TCCCCTCCTTAGAACAACTGAGTGAGAACAGGCTCGCAGGAGAACTAGAGGGCGGTAGTATGTGGCCGCACGAGACCCAGACGGGGGTGGCACCGAGAAGGAGACGCAGCTCTATAGCTAGCCAGCTGCATGTAGGGCCCCTACTGCTAAGGTAGAGGAGGAAAAAGCAAGAAATGGTGGCATGTACTAAGACCCGTCACCAAGCTGGACGGACGAGGCCTAGCACCATTGGATTGAGGGGAGTTGCGGGCGGAGGCGCATGCGCCCCGTACGATGTACATAAAAAGCTGGATTCGAACCGAGGAGGGACTGCTTGCCCGCAGGGGCGAGGCGCCCAACCGCCTAATCAGAGTAAGTTTAATAAATAATAATAAATACAATACATACAAGGTGCGATTGAAAGCCACTCCATACCTATGAACCCGCAAACAATCCTTAATTTTGGGGGAGGCGGGTGTAGCAGGAGCTCTAATGCAAAACACAAAGGCCAGATCTACGCCAAAACAATGTTATGTCAATGGTGCCTATGAATTATATTCCGCAAGTGCGAGTCAACTTACCTCAGTGAGTATCAATAAATTACTAAAATGGTATAAAGGCAACTTCAATGACCAAGATGGCAAAATATATAGAGAAAATACTAGCATATCAAAAGCATTCAATAAAATAAACTTCATAGTATAAATTTGCCTTTCCCAGCTAATGATAAAAATAGCAAGATATTAATATTAACTAACGTGGATCTTGGTTGATCCGGCATCCCATCAAAGCTTCAACAATGCTACGGTTTTTAAAGGCGAATTAATCAACCAGAACACCATATATTTCACTAAACTAAGCCTTGGGGCATTTCTTTAAAAGAATGCCCTTTTATGACACCCAGAATAGGCGATTTGCCGCGGTCGCCCATTCGCGATTGCCATCTTGCAAAACACCCTTCCGACTGGTATGTTATGACGATGCCGAGAACGTTTGAAACAAGAAGAGTATATTATATAGCATTTAAACTAGATTATCAAGGGTGGAAGAGAAACAGAATGATGAAGACAATTGAAAGATGATGGGCTGATGTAACCCGGAATGACCAGGGTGGCGGAACAACCAGGATCCGCGTTATTAGATTAGATAATCTTGTCGAGATAACGTGGATCCTTGTTGTTTCGGCAACCCGGATATTCCGGCAGGAACTTCAATACTTCAACTTTCTTACCTTTCTTAAACATGAATTAATCAACCAGAAAACTATGAATTTCACTAAACTAAGGTTTGAGGCATTTGTTAAAAGAATGCCCTTTTGTTTGACACCCAGAACAGGTGATTTGTCGCGGCATAGGGGATAAAACATGGAGTGTAGGTTCAACATAGGGTTCTAGAGCGGATGTAGGATGAGATATATATCTCACACTTGCACCTTCCTCACCACCAACATTCGTAGTAGGACCCTAAAGCTCGGTTGAACCGCCTCTATTGGTTACTTGCTTCATTAATTTGTTCATATTTGTCTGCTTTCTATTCCATTCCAATAAATGCTCGATTTCATCCTGCATCAAGATACGCTCATCAACTAACTTGACCGACAATATTCACCCATTTGCGACTGCCATCCTGCAAAACACCCGTCCGACCGGTATAGAATGACTGTGCAATGTCCTTTATCATTGCAATAACTCCCATTGCAAACCCTGGTTCGTCAAAGTTGTAGATATCATCCGAAGTGATGCCATATTGAGCAATCGTTTTTCCAATAGGCTTGAACCACTCAATAATGGTATTTAGATCTTCCAGCAAGTCGTATCTCTATATAGCTATAGCCACGAGACAATTGACTAGAAAGCTCGGGATGTTGTCACGGGGTATACCAATCAGAGGGTGACAGGTCACTGGTCCTTTGAAGTGTTGACCTTTGATGTTCCATGTGTTATATCAATCAAAGGGGACATGTCACTGATCCTTTGAAGTGCTGACGTGAGCTGACGTGTGATGATTTGAAATCATGTGTTGATATCTTTGTTGGTTCATGATCTCTTTATTTGTTCATCATCTCTGGTGTGGCTGAGCATCATGGGGTTAGAGATCATGTATCTATAAATCTACTGATGGAGCCGGCCTGGGAAAGGCAAGATTCAGTCTCGTTACCGAATGGATTATGCTCATGCCTGAGCCTGCTCATATCAATGAGCCCTACATCTTGCTGTCTTCTTACCTAGCCAATAGTCTTCTGTTTCTAGCTACCCCTTAACATTGGATGTCGTTTGATGTATCGTGTTGGCCAATTATTGCCAACGGTCCGGGGGGGTATTCTCTCTACGGGTTTCGAGTAGTATATTGGCTATATCTCTCGACATGGTGATCGTAAGAGCAGCACCTCTAGTAACCATAGAGATTAACCTACCCCGGATTGATCCCCTTAGTTATGGGTCAATTTATGGCTTGTAGCCCTCACGACAGACTCACCTGGATCCCGTCTTGTAGCGTAGACCGCGGGACCTTGAAAGAGCGAGCAGCAGCAGCAACGGAGGTAACCCAGCCATTTTTAATAACCTTATTTACAAGCAGGATTCTGTCTACCTGCTCAACTAATTTCTAAGATTTTTGACCACGGATTGGTGGCATGGTAGGCATTTGAAAATTGGAGGTTTGGTGAGGAGAGGAAAATTGAGGTGCCTGCCGGAATAGCTGGGGTGCCGAAACAGCCAGGATCCACGTTAACCCTTGAAGGCTATATTGAGCAATACTGATATAGATATAAGGGCAAATACAAGAAATACATTATGGACGGCAACATATGTCTTCAACGACTGACAGCTATACAAACAAGGCCAGTGAACATGATACTTTTTTGTCTCCACAAAATATCAAAAGGATACATAGTAATCTAGGACGACCACTGCCTGAATGAAACCTATGAGAATAAAGCTTATTATACCGCGGTTCTAGACAAGAAGAATTATGTGTTAAAAAAGGTTTAAAGCCGAGGAAGGTATCGTGGGGGGTGATGAATTGAGAGAAAGATATGGTTGAATGTGGACATATTGGAGGAAGGAATTGAAAGTGTGGAAGAAAGTAGATGGAGTCAAGTATGTTTAAACGTTTGATTGGGATGTATGAACTTGGCGATGATAGCTAATTTCCCTAGGTGGATGATTTGACCCTTTTATCTTTTTCATGTGTTGCACTTCATGTGCTTTATTTGACAATTGGCCCGCAATAGTCTGTCCGCCAAAGTGTCATATTTGATTATTTTATATTGTACAACAGCCCTATCTCGCAGAGACGAGATGCATATGATTGTTTCGAGGAATGAAAGCTCAAATTCAAAATAACACGAATGAAAGTATGTATTAAAGAGTCCTTCATCGATAATTTAAAGAATGTACGAACAAAAGTTCAAAGCAACTTTAATCGAATACGGGGTTGAATATACACTAACCCAAACATACGTAAAGAAACAAAACATTCTAATTGAAGGAATTGGCATAGCACTAATGAATAAGGCCGTTTAAGGGCCTTATTGATCAGTTCAAATGCCCCAGCGTAGCTACCTATGTCAAACAGCCTTTAAAGGCAGCTAGCTACATATCTGCATATAGCACCGCATAAGGCGCTGAGTGATAAATCACCTATGGAGCATAGTTGGGGGAGGCCGAAGTTTGGCTACACAAGAAGATGTGAGATAAAATATATTGATTTAATTTCGAACCCTATCTATATACGACTAGTCCATTTGAGACAGGCTAAATTTGTTGAAAGCAGACTCCAATTCAACCACACAACTAAGCTGAGAAGAAAGGAGAAAGGAAGAAAAACAAGAAGAGACGCGAGACAAAAGAATGGCCACGCTCTAGGAGGATTATGGCAGGGAAGGAATGGTGGTGGTGAAGATATTCGGAAGGAAGGTTTCTTAGAAAGAATGTGGAAGGAAGTTGGCGGAGTCAAGTGAGTTGATTTGATTGCAAGAACTTGGTGGTAGTAATGATAAACCTATTTATTCCCCTGGGGTATTTGACTCCTTTTATCTTTGCTTCAGGCGCTTTGTTTGATAATAGATTCCGTAATCGTCAGTCCGTCCGCGTCCAATCTGTGAAAGTCAGTCACTCCGCAGGCGTCTGTCCGTTAACGTGTCATATTGATATTTTTAGATCTTACACACCCCAACTGCGAAGGGAAATTGTCCTTGACTATTTTTACTCCATTGTTACCAGGCCAACTGGCCTTCGCCGGGGCATGCAGGAGACTCTGACAGGTCTCCGGTGTTCCGTCATTGCTTTCCATCCTTTGTCAAGCATGTCATGACTTCTGACTCATGTGAACCTTATCTGCATTGGTCTGGTTTACCTCTGGGACGGCCGGGCGGACCATCGTGGTTTGTTTCCGCTCGACTGGTGACACTGTATGTTATGTTAGAAAGTGAGTGAGGCTTGAAGATAAAGAGCCCATACACTTGGGGTTCTTCACAGATCTTTAAGAATTATTTGATGTTTCTACTCTCCCCCCAAAAAGGATATTGATATGTATCATCGACCTTTAAGCCTCATCAAGCACCCTTCCACCTGACACTTGGTCCTTTGCTATTGAGTCGTCCACTACCGCATCCAGTATCGTTGGACTCCCATCCTTACACCAACCAACCCCCAGTCTCCTCTCCTGATTCCTGTCTCCGTGCCGTGATCCATCACAGCGCAAGTGATTGCGGAGCGTTAGCGGAGTAATATAGGGAAATAGCAGGGTCGCGGGTCACGTGTTGGGGTTCTGTGTAGCATGCCGGTCTGGAAATCACAGAGTGTAGTGTTAGCGCGGTGTAGAACGGCAGAATCACATCCTGAGAATTCATCTTTCCATTCTTTACCTACACTCATCGAATTCATATTTCCTTACCTTTCCCATAAGAATTCGTCTATGTTCTTGACTAGGCCGGGTTCGGTTCCAGGCGGTGACTTTTCTTATAGTTTACCACCTGATTGCTTGAAGTTGATAACACTCTGCACCCCGGCGTCTTCGCGATGCGTGATGCGGATCGCCTTCGGAGACTACCTGGGCATGTCCAGCGCGAGAGGCAGATGACCCCGCTGACACCGTCTACCAGCCGAGTGTCTCGAACTCTGCCCTTCCGGCCTTCGAGGCATCGTCCCCCGCACCCAGCAACGCCCGATCGAGCCAGCCGATCCGGGGGGGGGACGGGCTGCCACTCGCACCCCTTCGCCGTCCTCAGGTTCCTCCTCTCCGGAGCAGCCACCCACGGCCCGTGTCCGTAGACGGTAGAAGCCAATTTGATCAAGTTCAGTCCGAGCCTTTTTTTAAGATTAAAATACGTAATCAGAATTACCTACGGACCACGACTGGCGTTTAAAAAATTTGGATAAACCTAACGCTCAGCAATTCAGGCTGGGGGTCCGGGGGGCGCTAAAGCCCCCTGGTATATACACATGTTTAGGGGGACCCGCAAAGTGGGATGTAACATACGGAACCCAACGTATAACATATGAACCTTCGAAAGTTATACTAATAATACCAACCCATTAAAAGAAATATTTATACATTCAATCTATCATGGACTGCATAATATATCTGCTTGCGGCGAACGACAAACATACAGTCCCACCGCAAAAGTTTCCGTCGATGCGGCCCCACACCCGCGTTTTTAGGACGCATGCCAACCAACTCACCTTCTTCAAACACCTACCATGGTTCCCAGAATGCCCCTACGTCCTATTAATTTAAACAGGGTAAAGGGAACAGAGTTAACTCCACACTTACGTGGTAAAATCTCTAGCCAAGCTGAAATTGGGATCCCCACGGCTACTATTGCGCGACACTTTGGTTTATCCCCTTCAACCATCCAATATACCCTCGAACAAGAACACGCCCGAGCAGATGGGAAGACCTGCCCTCGATCTGGGAGACCCCCTATTCTCTCTGAGGGTGACAAACGCTTGATCCTGCGTTTAATTAAGCGCGATCCCTTTATCGTGTATCGAGAAATTCGCGACCAAAGCGGATTAACGGCGTCTGACGACACCCTTCTTCGTCTGGTGAAGTCCTCGGGCTACGGCCATTGGAAAGCTAGAAAACGACCCTTCCTGACTCCGGAAGTGGCCGCGCCACGTTATAAATGGGCTTTGGCCCACCGGAATTGGATGTGGGATGACTGGATGCGAGTTGTGTGGAGTGATGAATGTTCCGTCGAGATCGGAAAAGGGAAGCGCCACCGTTGGGTCTTCCACCTGAACCACACCAACAAAAAGTACAAAAAAGAACATGTGATCACGTACCGGAAGTCGAAAGGTCTCTCTATCATGATTTGGGGCGCGATCTGGGGTGGTGGTTCCTCGAAAATATACCAAATGGTTCGAGATGAGGCATTCGCCCGAAACGGCTACTCTGCACGCTCGTATCTCGATGTTTTAGAGGGAAACCTACCTCAGATTCTCGATGATACGAACCGCATCTTCATGCAGGATGTGATGGGAAATTGTCTTTGAGTATTTTGACTCTTTGTCACCAGGCCCATTGGCCTTGGCTGGGGCATGCGGGAGACCCTGACAGGTCTCCGATACTCCGTCATTGCTTTCCACCCATTGTCAAGCGTGTCATGACTTATGTCATGTGAACCTTATCTGTATTGGTGTTTGGTTCGCCTCCCCGGACATCCGGGCGGGCCGTTCTGGATTGTTCCCGCTCGACTGGTGTACTACGTTAAATAGTGAGAGAGGCTTGAGGATAAAAGACCCAGAGACTTCGGATTCTTGTTAGATCCTCAAGAATCAATTGATGTTTCTACTCGCCAAAAGATATCTTTGATTCGTATCGTCTACTTTATTGCCTTCGGCTACAAACTCCCAGTATTACCACTCTTCCTCTTATCTTATCGATTCACCATCTTCTACCTGACCTTAGTCCTTTGTTATTGGGTCGTCCACTACCCCATCCAATATCTTGGGACTCCCCTCCTTACAAAGAATTAGCACTGTAGTTCTTCAACCACCCACCATGAAACCAATTCGCTCCCAACGCTCTCAAAAATTAGCAGAGCAAGAGGGTAGGATCTTATTAGCTATCAGGGCTTTTAACAATGGAGAAATCCAAAATATTCGCGAACTGGCACGCCGATTTAACATCCCCCGTTCAACGCTTTCTGCCCGCCTTTCCGGTACGCGACAACGCGCGACTTGTCCTGCAAATCCGTGTAAATTGACAGAACTTGAAGAGGAACGTCTTGAAAACTGGATTCTCTCTATGGATGCTCGTCGAGCAGCCCCCCGGCCCTCCATGGTTCGAGATATGGCGAATCTTCTGCTCGAACGACGTGAATCTACCCCGGTTCTTTCGGTCGGCCAAAATTGGGTCAACAAGTTCGTTAAAGGCGTCCTCGTCTCTCCTCCCGGTTCTCACGATAATACAATTACGAGCGGGCGAAATGCGAAGATCCGAAAGTCATTGGGGAATGGTTCGATCTTGTTCAAAAAACAATCATTCAATATGGAACGACCCCAACGAGATTTATAACTTCGACGAGACCGGTTTCGCGATGGGAGTAACAGCGACCGCGAAGATTATCATGAGAAGTGAATACTACGGTCGGCGTTCACTTTTACAACCCGGAAATCGCGACTGGGTGGCCGCGATTGGGTGTACAAATGGTTCCGGGTGGGCGCTTCCTCCAACTGTGATTTTTAAAGGTAAACTCCACCTCCAATCTTGGCTCGAGTGCCTCCGTCACGATCAAAAACAAAATAAAATTGTTGTATCAATTTACGAGAATACTAAAGCTGAAGAATAAAAAGAAAGGAAGGAAAAGCGGGGCACGCCCTCAAGTAAAATATCAGCCCGGCAGAATCGCAACTCTCCGCCTAGGCTTAGACCGTCACAGCCTTGACAATCGGCGGTTGGAAGTCAGTCCCAACGGATGTGTTATGAGCCAAGTCTTTTGTGCAAAGAGTGCTGTTATTCAGAAAACTAAAGGTGAAGAGAGAAAGAGAAAGAAAGAAAGCAACTATCTGAGAGGAGCGTTTATGCTCATCAGGTACGTGCCTCAGGCACGAACAAACAATCACCTCCTCGATCACATGACCCTTGTCTATTGTCCTAGATCTCATAGCACGTGACAGGATAGACCTCTGATGAAATTGGACTTCGATGGCTGGAAAGGCAGTTCATTCCGGCGACTTCTTCGCGTACGACGGGGGTGTATCGGCTATTGATACACGACGGACATGGGAGTCATTTGGGCCCGAAATTCGACCAGCTCTGTGTGTTACGATGATGCCAGTTCCTCAAAGATAGAAGAGTGCATTTGAACTAGAATATTGAAGACAGAGAGGGAAGGAGAAGAAGGAAGAAGGGAAGTGAGAGATGGGGCCTTCACATAGATCCTCACGTCATGTGTTCTCATCCCTCCGTCTAGTTCAATGCACCTTCAAAAGCAAACAACAAAAGTAATAATAGAAAGCAAACCTGTCACACGTGACACTGTGAGCAACATAGGATCATACCAATCTGCATGCCTCCCCACTCCTCCCACCTTCTGCAACCTCTCGATGTCGGTTGCTTTGCGGTGTTGAAGCGGTCATACGGCCGGTTTGTTGAAATGAAGATGCGGAACAGGATCGACCACATCGACAAACTTGACTTCCTTGAAGCGTACCCTCTCGCACGAATTGAAACTTTCAAATCGGAGACTATTAAAATAGCTTCGCAGCAACTGGTTTACTACCTTTTGCACCAGATCGAGTGCTCTCAGAGTTGAATGTTCGTCTTCGAACCCTGATTCCCCCTCCGAGCCGGGGTAGTGATGTGAAGGAAAAGACGGAGGACTCGGGACAGACGGGACCCGCCGGGACCCTGTCAAGATCTCTCAGCTTTCATGGTCTCGATCTACTACGTCATGGGATCTTGTGACAGATATCCGCGAGGATCCGTCAGATCGCCTCCACGTTTTGGAACCATGGAATCCCGAATCATTGTGTCCTCCTAGCTTGCCACTGATGTGAGCGCCGGGGATAAAGACCCCAGACTTGTGGGATATTTCGGAATCTCTTCAAGATTCAGTTTCTGTATTACTAGGCAATAAACTGATGACAAGTCTACCATTTCATTTGATCCCTTGATATATTCTAGTACCTACGATAACTATCGTTTTGCCTGATCGTCCACTCTCACGTGAAAACCCCCATTGTCCTCACAATTCCTGAATCTTCTATTACGGTCACCCGAAACGATGGTTAGAAGATCGACAAGGTCGAGCGACCATGCCTCACCCTCGGGCGCAGTCGAAAATCCCTCTGTCCCGACAATGTGATAGTAGGCAATTCTTGCAAAAGAGTCCAATTCGACAAGATAACTAGTCTAAAGGGAGAAGAGAGAAAGAAAACAAAGAAAACAAAAGAGGCGCGCAACAAAACAAGTCCCTCGTCTCTCCTCCTCCTGTCACATGACCTGAATCGACTCACCGCCTGGACAGGCCTGGCAGAACCCACCTGCAGTGTCACAGACAACCCCTGTTCCGGTCTCTCCAGAAAGGACAGGTACCGAATCCCCTACCCAGGAGCCAACTATCAAAATGCTCCTGGAAACAATCCGCAAGTTGGAGAAGGAACAAACCGAGCTTAGGAGGGACCTCAATAAGCCTTCTAGTCCAAAAAAGGGAGTCAAAGATTTGGACTACGGACACCAAATCGCGGATTTGCCTCGCTTGAAACGGTCGTCTTCTGTACAAGAGAGGGACACTTGGTTGAATGGACTCGAACTCATTTTTGAAGGATGCCCCAACAGATTCTCCAAGGATGAGAATAAGATCATCACCGCGGTAATGCAAACATCTGATTCCTGCAGAAAAAGCTGGTATCAGCATTTGGCGGGTTTGTCTGAGGAGAAAAAACATCATGTCAAGCATAACTGGCCTGCCTTTGTGGATTGGACCTTGATGTTGATTTCAAATTCCGAGCAAAGGCTGGGAGACCTTCAGATTGAGTTGGAGAACAAGGTCCAGGATAAAAATCAGGACCCTGTGGATTTCGACCAAGAGTTGGCAGTTTTGGAGGGATATTTTGAGCAGAGGTCTGAGAAAGAGAAGGCTTTGTTTTTCTATAGCAAACTCAGCAAAGACCTCCGACAGGAAATCTCCTCCCATGCAATTGAGCTTCCCCACACCCGGGTTAAAATGGTGCAAACTGCTTTGCATCATTGGCGGTCGAACCGTTGGAACGTTGATAAGAAGAGGAAACGTTTCCGATGAGGATGACGACGAAGACAAACCTCGTCGGTTCAAGGGAAAAGGTCGCTCTTTCGCGAATCGAAACAAGGAGAAGCGAGAGAAATCGCCAAAGAAAAACCCTGTGGGACCGAATGGCAAGGTGAACACCTGTAACTTCTGCCATAGTGAGTTCCACTATGCTTCGAGGTGTCCGGACAAGAAGAAGAGCAAGGGGAAGGAGAAAGGCAAGAAGGATACTCCTGTACAAGGGGCCAAGTCAGCGGGAAAAGAAGACGAGTTGGAGTAACCCCTACACCTTCAACTCCGTGGCCCCAAGTAGGGACTACTTGTGTTTTGCACGTTCCTGTACTTATCAAAAAACTCCATAAAAACACATGTCGATTTGGACAGCGGATCGGGATGTGATCTTGTCAGCAAGGAATTCGTTCAAAAATACAAGTTTCAGCAAGCACCTCTTACTCCACCGATACTTGAGGCAGTTGGCAAGCTTCAAGTGCCCACTTACGAAGTCTGGCGCATTCCCATCACCATAACTGACCTCCGGGGTCAAACCAAAACGATCTCTCGTCCCTGTGTGGCAATCGATCGTGACTGGCGTTTGGAAGGGAGTCCTGTCCTCCTTTCAATGACTACCTTCAAGGATCACAACATTTATTTGGCACCACCTCTTCACAAGTGACTCAAGCCGAAACTACACAAAGCACCTCACACGGAGAAAGACATACGTCGATTGGCTTCGGCAATTAAAACTGCAGTTCGTCCAGGGCGTCAAAGTCCTCTTATCCAGCCGTATATAAATTCGACAAGGTGCTGAAGGGTTTCCGTACGAAGCCCTACGACGAGGTCTTACGCGACCAAGAAAGCAAGGAATTACGCGCCGAAGTCGAGAAGAGGCGGCGAAAGAACGCCCGATCCAGAAGACAGATTGTTAAGATCCTGTACTGTGGGTATAAATTGGAAACCTGACATGACAACTACTTAGTTGTCATAGTGGTCTTTTTGGTTAACGCCTGCACTTACGTTCGGTAGGTGGTGTCAGGCCCACATGCCGTAACACAGATACATGCCGCAGAAGGCATCTTGGCTGAAGAAGCCGCTGCTAGGATTTTGCAGACGGGAGAAGCTGTTGAAGCTCCTTTCCCCGGCGCGAATCCACAGGGAGAATCGGCTATTTAGCCACGTACGCGGCCCCCCGCGGGCGTGTGGGATATGCAGATTGCCAGGGCATAGAAGAGAAACATGTCCCCAGAGAGATAATAATTAGTTGAATTAATTTATGGCATTTTGGTTGAAATATTTGCATTTAAATTTAACGGGTGTGACGGTCTAAGCCTAGGCAGAGAGTTGCGATTCTGCCGGGCTGATATTTTAGTTGAGGACGTGCCCCGCTTTTCCATCCTTTCTTTTTATTCTTCAGCTTTAGTATTCTCGTAATCGATACAACAATTTTATTTTGTTTTGATCGTGACAGTTGGCCAGCTCGGTAGTGAAATACGGTATAGCATTTCTTGTGAAGTGATACATCAGTGGCATGTGTTTTGCCTTTTAAAGGAATTCAGGATTTTCACTTAGTAGCTTGGCCGATAGACAATCCACTAGTATGGTTGGCACTGAGTGCGTATAACCTAGATGTAGGTTGTCATTGATGTAATTGAACATGCACTTCAGGTAGAGAGCTTCTTTTGTGGCTTCTTTCAAAGCAATGTATTCAGCCTCGCACGTGATAAGGCCACACTCTTTTGTAATTGAGAGTTCCATGATATGGAGTTATTGTGTGATACGTTGCCTGACAGACTAAAGATATTGTGAGCACAATGGGGGTTTTCACATGAGAGTGAACGACCAGGCAAAACGATAGTTATCGAATGTACCAGAATATATCAAGGGATCAAATGAAGTGGTAGACTTGTCATCAGTTTATTGCCTAGTAATACAGAAACTGAATCTTGATGTCACAATGTCACGTGTGACAGGTTTGCTTTCTATTATTACTTTTGTTGTTTGCTTCTCAAGGTGCATTGAACTAGACGGAGGGATGAGAACACATGACGTGAGGATCTAGGTGAAGGCCCCATCTCTCACTTCCCTTCTTCCTCTTTCTCCTTCTCTCTCTGTCTTCAATATTCTAGTTCAAATGCACTCTTCTATCTTTGAGGAATTGGCATCATCGTAACAGTACTTTGTTCATCAAGGTCAAGTTGATTATTTCGATCAGACCATTGGGTTCTTTTGTGTATGTTGGGCTAAGTCTATGCTCAATAACGTACTTGGTTAAAGCCAATTTGAAGTTTTTGTTGACGTATTCTTTACCATTGTCGGGAAAGAACTCTTCGAGGCGTCCATTGGTATTGTTTTCAATTTGAGTGTTACGGCATGTGGGCTGACACCACCTGCCTAACGTAAGTCCAGGCGTTAACCAAAAAGACCATTATGACAACTAAGTAGTTGTCATGTCAGGTTTCCAATTCATACCCACAGTACAGGATCTTAACATTGAGCTTTCAATTTCTCGAAGCAATCATAGGCTTGTTCCTTTCTGCGAAGTAGGAATATCCATATAAATCTAGACTTTTTGTCTAGGAATGTGATGTAATAAGCATTGTTATCATATGTTCTAGGCAATGGCCCTCCTAGATCACTATGTATTCTTTCAATCCTTTGGAATATTTTGGTATGTTGGCTGACTTTGTTTATATGTCTGTTGTTCTTTGCAAGCAGGCATACTTTGCAGTGCATAATCGAGTTCATGTATTTTTCTTTTGATAGATCAATATTGATGTGTTTTAGTATAGCTTTCAAAGGTTCACATGATATATGACCTAATCGTTCATGCCATATCTTGATGAAGTGCTTTTCCACCCTTTTTGTCAGTAGGATGTTTTCGTTCTTGTCTCTGTCCGGGGTAAGCAGACTTGTTTTGTATAGATTATCTTTCTTGGATGCATTTGATATGATAGTGTTTTCTTTGTGTATGATGGCGTCCTTTTCATTGAAAGTTGCCTTTATATACCATTTTTCAGTAGTTTGTTAGCACTCAAGAGATTGACTCCCAATTCTGGGATGTAGTAGACATCATTGATGAAGAATTGCATGTTTGTATTTGTTTTGACATAGATTTCGCTTTTGTATTTTGTCTTTAGATCTTTGCTTCACCCCAACTAACGTTTGTTTTTGTGGGTTCATACGAATGGAAGAGTTTCAAATCGCAAATTGTATGAATTGTAGCAGCAGTATCAATGCATAAAATCAAACTTATTAAACATTAAATCTCTCGAACGCATTGACCAATTCAAATTTCTTGAACGCTCTGATGTGTTCAAATCTGATTTATGTTTGTAAGTATGATATTCATCAATGTTTTCGGTCTTATTGAAAAGTGGAAGGCGTACCTCTTTTAGCAGGTCGTCATCAGACAACTCAGCTCCATCAGTGATGATAGTATCCTCATCCATCGGTGTTGTATCAATTTCAATTTCGCTCTCGTCATCCTCCTTCAAGAGGGTGATCATGGCACTTTGTTTGTTTGGGGAGAATTTGGTAGTCGTCTTTGTTGTTGGGGTTTTTCAACCTTGTTTGTTTTGCTTGGAGTTGTAGTTGGAGCTGGGCTGGGTCAATGTCTCATATTCGTCGCTCAGGCTATTCAGCACCCTTGCAGGCAATTATCAGTTGCTTAGGAAGAAGAATGTTCTTGCCCTTGAGATCGTCATTGAGTGTCTTGACCTTGCTGAGGTACTCCTGCATGGTGTCGAAGTCCTCAAGGGTCGTGTTAAAGAATTCTTTGAAAATGAGGTACTCGGTCGTGAACCCTTTTGGGTGGTAGCACGACTCGAGGGCTGTCCAAGCTGTTTTGGCATCGATACAATCTGATGTAGAGAAGAGGTCCATCCTCACACAAGAGCTGTATGATAGACAAAGCCTTCTCGTTTTTGTTTTGCGAGGTTGAGGTGGTGAGGACAGAGATGAGATCCTCTTTCGTCAAGATGGCCTTGACGCGAATGGCCCAGATTGTAAGGATTCCAGCTCAATTCGTTCTGTTGGCTAGATAAGATATGTACAAGAAGGGTTCGTTGGAGAAAGGAAGGAGAATTCTAGGGTGCTGGTGTTTTGTGTGGTTTGTGTGGTTTGTGGGTCACGTGGTGTTAGCGCCAGTGCTATCGCGCAACTCATACCAAAAAGCCGAAGGATCTCTAACACAGATGATATAATTTTTGGAGCTTTTGAGCTTGGCGACTGAGGTCTTTTCGAGAGACGTCATGATGGCGTATGTCCGTCTGGTGAATGAAATTCCCAAGACGTAGTTCAGCAAGTCGATATGGATGATATGGGTCTATTGCTGAAGTAGGAATTTTGCCGGGCTCATAAGCTCTAGGAGGATCATGGCAAAGGAAGCAATGGTGGCAGTGAAGGTGCTTGGAAGGAAAGGTTCTTAGGAAGAATGTGGACGAATGATGATGGAGTCGAGTTTTGATTATGTCGCAAGAACTTGATCATAGTAATGATGCTAAAACTAATCCCCCTGGGGGATTTTAACTCCTATTTATCTTTGCACTTCATGTGCTGTGTTTGGTGAGATTCCGCAATCGTCTGTCCGGAAGCAATAAATCGCAATCCCCAGTCCGTCCGCGTCAATCTATGAACGTTACGGTTCACTTGTCTTGTATCTTTATGTTACGTCAGTCCGCAGGCGTCTGTCCGTTAATGTGTCTTGATATTTTTAGGCCATATTGATATTTTTAGGTCTTACAGGGGTTTACAGAAATTGTATTGTGGAAGGTAGGTGAATTCAGAGGAAAATATTTTTGGAGCTAAATGGATCTGAGAAAAGAGGTATTGTGCAAAGTGTGGAAAGAGTAGTCGGCTTAGTTAGATGTAGTCAAATAACTAAGTTTGTTTGATTCTGATGATGTGAACTTCATTATAGCAATTTGCTGGTGTATTTGACTCCTTTATCCTTTTCATGTGCTGTATTTGATGATTGACTCCGCAAGTGTCTGTCCGGGAACTCCCCCTGAAGAATCTGTATAATCTATGAAGATTGTATATATAACGTATTCCACAAGCGAGTGACGCAGTCCGGAACACATCGTAAAAGCGATAAATACAACTTGATATCTCAACAACGGTGGACTCTACGGACTTTATCCTATAGCATAACATCCTTCAGGTCATAACTAGCATCCATAGGGAGTTTGAGGAAAATCCAAGACTTCATGCTTGTGTTAAATAGATATCTCGTTTTTGGCAACGTATTTTACGGTCATTCTTGAAATCACCATAATATAGTCTTTTAATATCTTTGAAATTGATACAGAACGCTAAGTGTTCTTATCAAAGGCTATCATGACATAAAGGAGATAAAATAAAGTTGTGGTTGTTGAGATATCAATGTAGGATAATATCGCTTTTACTATGTGTTTTGCGCTGCGTCACTCGCTTGTGGAATACGTTATATATATATATATATATGTATATAGATTAGTTGTTTGGTTTATCTCTCGGCTCTGCTAACCTACAGTAGCTAGAGCTGAGAATTGGGTGAATGGTAGATTTGTGTTAAGATATCTACCACTTGATATTTTGCGGAAACATAATAATTATTATTAACGTGGATCCTGGTTGTTCCGGCACCCCGGCTATTCCGGCAGGAACTTCAAAACATCAACTGTCCTACCTTTTTTAAACGCCAATTAATCAACCAGGAAACCATAAATTTCACTAAACTAAGTTTTGGGGCATTTGTTAAAAGAATGCCCTTTTTTATGACACCCAAAACAGGTGATTTGCCGCGGCATAGGGGGTAAAACATGGAGTGTAGGTTCAACATAGGGTTCTAGAGCGGATGTAGGAAGAGATATATATCTCTCACACTTGCACCTTCCTCACCACCAACATTGGTAGTAGGACCCTAAAGCTCCGTTAAACCGCCTCTATTGGGTATTTGCTTCATTGATTTGTCCCTCTTTATTGCCTGCTTTCTATTCCATTCCCGTAAATGCTCGATTGCATCCCGCATCAAGATACGCTCATCAACTAACTTGACCGACAATATTCACCCATTCGCGACTGCCATCCTGCAAAACACCCTTCCGGCCGGTACAGAATGACTGTGTAATGTTCTTTGTCATTGCAATAACTCCCATTGCAAACCCTGGTTCGTCAAAGTTGTAGATATCATCCGAAGTGGTACCATATTGAACAATCGCTTTTTCAACAGGCCTGAACCACTCAATAATGGTATTCGGATCTTCCAACAAGTCGCATCTATAGCTATAGCCACGAGAGAATTGACTAGAAAGCTCGGGATGTCGTTTGATGTATCGTGTTGGCCAATTATTGCCAAGGGTCTGGGGGGGTATTCCATCTACGGGTTTCGAGTACTATATTGGCTATATCTCTCGAGATGGCGGTTGTAAGAGCAGCACCTCTAGTAACCATCGAGATTAACCTATCCTGGACTGATCCTCTTAGTTATGGGTGAATTTATGGCTTGTAGCCCTCATGGCAGACCAACGAGTAATCACCTGGATCCCGTCCTGTAGCGTACACCGCGGGACCTTGAAAGAGCGAGCAGCAGCAGCAACGGAGGTAACCCAGTCATGTTTAATAACCTTAATTACAAGCAGGATCCTGCCTACCTGCTCAACTAATTTCTAAGATTTTTGACCACGGATTGGTGGCATGGTAGGCATTTGAAAATTGGAGGTTTGGTGAGGAGAGGAAAATTGAGGTGCCTGCCGGGAAAGCCGGGGTGCCGGACTACCCAGGATCCACGTTATTAATCTTATGCTGACTAGGCGGTTGGCCGAGACGTCTCGCCTCTGTGGGCAAGCAGTCCCTCCTCCGGTTCGAATCCAGCTTTTATGTACATCATACGGGGCGCATGCGCCTCCGCCTGCAACTCCCAGCGTTAACCCCAATCCAATGTTGATTGTGGAGATATATAAATCTTATGGAGTTAAGGGAAATTACTGCATAAAGATAGAGGAGAATGGTTTCACTGACATACAGTTCTACCGCAAAGGTTTCCGTTGACCCGCCCACCGAAAATATATATATTTGAACAAAAAAAAAAACTTTTAGTGACATTCACGAAGACCTGTCACCAAGCTGGGCGGACGAGGCCTAGCACCAGTGGATGGAGGTTAACGATGGGAGTTGCGGGCGGAGGCGCATGCGCCCCGTACGATGTACATAAAAAGCTGGATTCGAACCGAGGAGGGACTGCTTGTCCAGAGGGGCGAGGCGGCCAGCCGCCTATTCAGAGTAAGAATATAATAATAATATATATTTGAACCCATGAGTTTGAAGTAAATAATTTAAATCAATCATCACTATTAATTACATTAAAAATAGGATCATTTGAAGGGGAATTGCTTGATTAATCTGATAATATGATTTACAGAGTCTAATATTTAGTGTACCACCCCTGAGAGGAGATAACAGCCGCAATGTGAAGGAAAAGACGGAGGACTCAGGAGAGACGGGACCCGCCGGGACCCTGTCAAGATCTCTCACCTTTCATGGTCTCGATCTACTACGTCATGGGATCTTGTGACAGATATCCGCGAGGATCCGTCAGATCGCCTCCACGTTTTGGAACCATGGAATCCCGAATCATTGTGTCCTCCTAGCTTGCCACTGATGTGAGCGCCGGGGATAAAGACCCCAGACTTGTGGGATATTTCGGAATCTCTTCAAGATTCAGTTTCTGTATTACTAGGCAATAAACTGATGACAAGTCTACCATTTCATTCGATCCCTTGATATATTCTAGTACCTCCGATAACTATCGTTTTGCCTGATCGTTCACTCTCACGTGAAAACCCCCATTGTCCTAACACGCAACCCTGTGGTTCATCGTCTTCACCAACTTGTCAAAGTAATCCTGACCTAGCTCCTCCCACGCCCGGTCGATTAAATCGGAAAAATGCTCCTTTAATTCAGAAGGGGTTCCAGCAAATGATTCCAGGTGCGGATCCAGCCTATCGATCATTTCTTTGAGCTTAGCCCAGGCATTTTCGATAGGGTTCAGATCCGGCGAATACGGAGGCCACTTTATCACATCATATTCGTGCTCATCCAACCACGACTTGATTAAACGAGCCGTATGAATCGGGGCGTTATCCTGCATGAAGATGCGGTTGGTATCATCGAGAATTTGAGGTAGATTTCCCTCTAAAACATCGAGATACGAGCGTGCAGAGTAGCCGTTTCGGGCGGATGCCTCATCTCGAACCATTTGGTATATTTTCGAGGAACCACCACCCCAGATCGCGCCCCAAATCATGATAGAGAGACCTTTCGACTTCCGGTACGTGATCACATGTTCTTTTTTGTACTTTTTGTTGGTGTGGTTCAGGTGGAAGACCCAACGGTGGCGCTTCCCTTTTCCGATCTCGACGGAACATTCATCACTCCACACAACTCGCATCCAGTCATCCCACATCCAATTCCGGTGGGCCAAAGCCCATTTATAACGTGGCGCGGCCACTTCCGGAGTCAGGAAGGGTCGTTTTCTAGCTTTCCAATGGCCGTAGCCCGAGGACTTCACCAGACGAAGAAGGGTGTCGTCAGACGCCGTTAATCCGCTTTGGTCGCGAATTTCTCGATACACGATAAAGGGATCGCGCTTAATTAAACGCAGGATCAAGCGTTTGTCACCCTCAGAGAGAATAGGGGGTCTCCCAGATCGAGGGCAGGTCTTCCCATCTGCTCGGGCGTGTTCTTGTTCGAGGGTATATTGGATGGTTGAAGGGGATAAACCAAAGTGTCGCGCAATAGTAGCCGTGGGGATCCCAATTTCAGCTTGGCTAGAGATTTTACCACGTAAGTGTGGAGTTAACTCTGTTCCCTTTACCCTGTTTAAATTAATAGGACGTAGGGGCATTCTGGGAACCATGGTAGGTGTTGTGACAGCTGGACAGGCCTGGCAGAACCCACCTGCAGTGTCACAGGTGTTTGAAGAAGGTGAGTTGGTTGGCACGCGTCCTAAAAACGCGGGTGTGGGGCCGCATCGACGGAAACTTTTGCGGTGGGACTGTACTATAGTGGTATATCTTTCGTCTTTCTATGAAATTCAGGACCTTTAATAATAGTAGTCGCCACAGACAGACGGTCCACTAGTATATTTGGTATTGATTGAGTTTCTATATCCTAGGTTTGTCATTTGTGTAATTGAATCTGTCTATCATAATGTAGTCCTAGGGGGTAGACGACCCTGAAGTCCTTCCATATTTTTCTGAGTATATTAAAATGTCTTTTATTACGATTACTCATAGACATTGAGCCATACATGACCACATATGTCATTTCTGGCGTAGCTTTCAGCACCAGCTATATATAGTTGTCGTCCTACTTGGTTTTGACGGCTTTTTATATCATTTTTATTTAGGTATTTCCCTTACTTTCTTTTCTGTAATCCGGTTTCTGGGTCTTCTGGAATTTGAGCAGGCATATATATTCAGTGTTGTTATTGATATCAACTTATTCACTAGATTTTGTTTATAATTGTATATCGATTAATATATAGGTCTTTGTGTTAGACGATAGAGGTTTTCACGCGAGGGTGAAGGCAAAAGGATGGTTAACCAGTGTACGAAGGGATATCAAAATGGAGAGATAGACTTGTCGTCAGATTACTCTCTAGTCAATACAGAAACTGAATCTTGAAGAGATTCAGTAATATCCCACAAGTCTGGGGTCTTTATCCCCGACGCTTACATCAGTGGCAAGATAGGAGGGAGGACACAATGAATAGAGGTTCCATCGTTCCGAAACGTGGAGGCAATCTGACGGATCTTCACGGAGATCTGTCACAAGATTCTATAATGTGGTAGATCGGAACCATGAAAGGTGAGAGATCCTGACAGGGTCTCAGCTGGGCCCCGTCAATTCCAAGTCCTCCGTCTTTTCCTTCACACTTTGTTGTTACGGACCTCAAGGAAGCGCGGGGGCCGCAGCTATTTGAGTAGCAACCGTGAACCAATCATTCTACGGACGCTAGGGATTAGCGTTGTCACGTGTGTTTCGGTATACTTGGGCATGCCCCCAGGGGCCCAAGGCAAAGACATTCAGGGCAGGAGCAAGAAACAGCCTGCGGCTAACCGTCGCGAACAATACCCTATTACTCCATGAGACGGTTAGCGCGACGCGGGAAACGGCCACCATTCTACCAGCACCGAGATTACGCCCTAAATGTGGGAAGCACGGTAAAAACCCCACGTGACTACATCCTATCAGTGATAGGATGGACTCATCAGCGATGAGTTCTGACGCATCGGCGATAGGAAGGACTGGATATATAAGGACACTCATTTCAGCATCATGTATTTAGTTCTTCGCGATCAATTGCACATTGTTACTTGGTTACTACCTTTAGTACTTTGCACTTCACAGTTCACCTTCAAGACAACCCAACCTACGAGTAGGGGATTCACTCAGTAGCAATACTCAGTGATTGACTTACTCGGCGCGCACTTCTGGCACGTTCTGCAAGACACTCAACAGGATCCATCCCGCAGTAAGGCTTTGCGAAGCAACGGTACGATTGAGAGATACTCTTGGAATCCGCAGCTAGGATCAGGCAAGTATAACCCAAAGTTATCCTAACTCACAGTGACCAGTCGGCTCCGCGTAACATTTGTCTTTGGTCTTTGATGAACATTCCATTCCCTAGGAATGTAGATACTGGTCCCATTTCTGCTTTCTTGATAGAGGATTCTAGATTTGCCATCAGAGCTCGTATACTCCGTATACTGCTTATCATATGAATGGCTAGTATATCGTCAACATGCCATATTGATATGGTTGTTTTCTGTATTTATATAGACACCTTCGTCATATGGCAAAACCTTGAAACCGTATTTTTTGATAATTCCTTGGTTAAATATTTACGCCACAATCTTGGACTTTGTCTTATACCGTGGATGGCTTTCTTCAAATGACAGCATTCGGTATTATCATTATATATACCTTCAGGCAATATAGTATATAAGCGTCAAAATCAGCGTGCACAAATGCAGTTTTGACGTCATATCGTAGGATAACCCATCCTTCATCGATGGCTATTGTCTATGACATACGCCGCGTTTCGGTTCTACATGTAGTAGAAAGGGTCTCCAGGCAGTCTATCCCTAGTGTTTGGAAGCCTTGGTAATATTAGCCATCGGCCTAGGTCTTTTCATAATTTATTAACCATGATTCTTCAATTGTTGTGGGGTCTGATATAGGGTTTAATATAAATACCCACATCCCTTTGATGGCAGTGGTGGTATTCTTATAGCAAAATATTCATCAGTGTATGTACGTGAGCTTAACCCGCCGGGCAAGTGAATTTTTATAAAAGAAAAAGTGCTGTACACAGTTGACCGAATTTTCCATAACATAGCAGACCCTCGAGATGCAAAATGTTAAGATCGTGTACTGGGGGTATGAATTGGAAACCTGACATGACAACTAGTTAGTTGTCATAGTGGTCTTTTTGGTTAACGCCTGGACTTACGTTCGGTAGGTGGTGTCAGGCCCACATGCCATAAACAAATAATTGTTACGGGGTCCTACCCTAGGACCCCTCACATCTCTTGGGACTCTGGATGAGCATTGTACCTCGCCCGATCATTGGGCTCCACACATCATTGACTTGGACCCCGGATTGATGTTGGATTGGATCATCGGGCTTCCGTCATCTTGGGACTCGGACCCCGCATTATCTTGTTTGATCTCGGAAGATCCTGGAGAATCCCGGATGGCCTTGCGTGGCTTTGTATTATCTCAGGAGATCTCATACGATCGTTGGAAGATCGTTGGATAAGTCTGTGAAAGACTGTGATGTTGTACGAGGGAGTTTCCCCTCTTTTGCCCCACTTTGTTGTGCCAATGAGCATTGAGCATTTGTCATTACACTCATGTTAAATACTTCGACTTGGAGAGTGCCATGAGGGCTCTCCAAGATTCAGTCTCGTTATCGAATGGACTATGCTCATGTCTGAGCCTGCTCATATCAATGAGCCCTACATCTTGCTGTCTTCTTACCTAGCCAATAGTCTTCTGTTTCTAGTTACCCCTTAACATTCTGAATCTTCCTTAATGGCTACCTGAGAAGAAGAAGATGTCTACCCGACCGGGCCAAAACCTCCGAAACGATCACTCTACAGCAGTGACTCCATCTCGCTCCACGAGCACCTCATCCGAATACTCCCAGAGGAGTCAACCCATTCCTTCATCGCCTCTGCCTACTTCGGACACTCAGGACGAACCCCTTTTCCGATAACCTTATCTCCCCAGGAGAACCAGCGGAAACACCCGTCGATAACTCATTGCAACGCCGCATACGCGAACTCGAATACGAAGTTGAATTCTATAGACAATCCATTATCGAAGCCCGATCGAACCACTCGAACATGGAAAATACCGACGCATCATTGACCTCCATCTCTATCACACTCTGCCCGAGGTCCAGCCTCGAGCAACGACAACGATGGCTCCAAGAGCTCGGGACAACCTTTGACTCGTCTCCCCACCAATTCGTCGACGATACCAGACGGATTACCTTCGCATATTTCTGATCCGACCGACCGACATGGGCTGAATTCAAAGAATGGACTCTCCAGTTCATCCGTGGAGAATGGAACACCAATATTGATAACAAGGAACCTTCTACTTCCTCATCACCTCGCACAAATACCCGAATACGAACAGCCAGATGACCCTACCGATACAACCCAACCAGGGACAACATCACCCCCTTACTACCGAAAATACAAAACGAAATCGACGTCTTTGTGCACCCATCACTTCCAGCTCCGCAATTCCGCAAGATATCTCAGCCTCCACTGTACGACACTCGAATCAGTGCATACCCAACACAGATCTCCTTCCTCCACACAAGAACATCAACCATGCCATCGACACCCTTCTTGGTGCAACACCTCCCTACGGACCGATCTACCCCCTCGCACCGAACTTCAAGTACTCCGAAACTACATCGACCTCAACCTGAAGCTCGGTCGCATTCGACCCTCCAAGAGTCCAGCGGTAGCCCCTTCCTCTCACTTCAGAAATCCTCAACCAACTCTCTTGCGCGACTGTCTTCAGCAAAATCGATGTTCAGAACGCCTACCATTTTCCAGAACTACATTCACATTGATCCCTCTGGATACCTCGACGTGTTCTGTGTGGCCTATCGCGACGATACTCTCATCTTCTCCCACGACCGCGATCCACTCACAAAGCACATCCGTCTCACCCTCGACCGCATGCGCCAATACGAACTCTACGCCAAATCATCAAGTGCGCTTCCTACCAAAAGAGTGTCGAGTTTTCCTCGATATATTGCATCAGCGTCTATGGCGTCTCGATAAACCCCGCGTTACATCGAACTATCCAACAACTCACGCGTCTACACTGCCTTCCGAGAAACCCAGACCTTCCTTCGATTCTACAGTTTCACCGACGATCCCTCCACAACCTCGACAGCTATTCACACATCGAAGAATCCCTCTGGATACGAAGACCCTTCTCGTCTTCAAAGACCTCCTCCTCGCTTTCCAGAATACACTATTCTGCGCCATTTCGACAATAAACCGCCCCAATACAGATACTTCCCAGTGTGGATTGGCCGGTATCTTCTCACGACAAGATGATGATGGCGTTTGACATGGGTCAAAGAAGTTTACACCAACTGAGTCTCGGCATTCTACCGGGAATCAGGAGCTGTATGCTATTGATCACGGCTTCGCGTGTGGCATCACTATCTTGAAGAGAGTCGGTACCGTATCAACGTCAGTTCCGATCACAACATCTTGAAGTGTTTATGGACATTCCAAGGTTACAAGGTAAGTAAGCACGTTGGTGCATGACTCTTTCCCCTTTTATTTGTTATAAGGCACCGCGCAGGGAACAGAAACCCTGCAGATGGACCTTCAAGGATGACGAAAGCTGGTTCAAGGGATGCCTTGGATGCCACTTTCTAGATTCCTATGGCTGCCCGGATTGACACCATCGAGGTGTCAGGGTTGGCCACGGCTGAGGCCGAGATTCCTCTTGCCGCCCGGAGGGACACCGTCGAGGTGCCGGGGGAGGCGTTGGCCTTGGGGGCCGAGGATGTTTTGCCGCCCGAAGGATCCGGGGACAGGCTTTGGTAGAAGTATCAGTGACGCTTGCTGCGGTAGGAGTTCAAATTCGAACTTATTTTTTGCCGTCAGAGGAGAAACATTCCCTGGCCGGGTCAATAGATACCTGGAGGCAAGAACTAGGTCGCTCCCAGGTTGGCAATCATGATGTGTTCGTGAATGCTTGCAGAGTCGGACTGCTTACGGGAGGTAAGCACCGACTAATTTGATGGCTATCACGATGTGTGAATTGGCTGTCGGGCGGAAGTGTATTGATGCTTGCCGATCCCTATGTGATCAAAACCTGGCCTTGTCGAGCCGGTCAAGGGGTTTACCTTGTTGCACAGGTCATGGTACCTGGAGACGTTGTTGAAGGAGACCGCTTATGTGTTAGGCGTGTCTGCCGATTTGATGCCTGATCCGAGGGAGGATCTTGATACCTGTGTCTAGGATCGCTGCCGGAGCTCTGCCTGGTATGGATCATTGGTCAGTGGACCTTGAAGTTGTCGAAGTAAGAGCGCTTATGTGTTAAGCGTGTCTGTCGACTTGATGCCTGACCCAGGAGGTACGAAGGAGGATCCTGAGAAGCGTGTCTAGGATCGCTGCCGAAGTCCCTGCCTGGTATGGATCATGGGTCATTGCGCCCTGAAAGCATTGTGCTTCTCAAAAGAAATGATGATTTTACATACACAGTACCCACTGGTGAGAAATTGGAGTCTCTCTGGGCTTTTACGCTTACATCATGGCAAGAGGCCACAATGGATTTTCTCATGGGTCTTCCTGGTGCAAGGAAGTCGACCCAAGTCATACCGGTCATTATGGACCGCTCTTCAAAAGTTCGTGAAATTCTTCCTTGTTCATACTACGACGACTGCATCGGATCTTACAAAGTTATACCACGAGGTCGAGCCCTACTTGGGCTACAGGAAAAATTGTCTCTGGTTGCTGTCGCCTGTTCACTTTTCGAAATTCCGGACCAGGCTATGGGACCTTGGGGGTACCCGATACCATCTCTTTTTCCGAATGCGCGACGAGGACGTCGTCACAAAAGGGAGATGCCAACAATGAAAGCACGAATTGAAAACGATTTTTTTTCGCCAAAACTCAGAAAGAAACTCATGCTGCACTTGGGAAAACGCCAATGTCTCGACTGCAAAACGCCACAACGCATTCCATGCAGCGCTTACAGACCACAAGGACGAACACAAGTTCGACGGCCAAACACACTTCCTCGTCAAATGGCAAGGTTGGCCCTCCGAGTACAACAATGGACCGACCACAAAAACAGCCACTACACAAAAGCCCAACCCCCATCCTGGAAAGACTTCCAACAATGGACACTGGACTTCATCCGCGGAGGACGCAACACCGCTATCGACCTCGCTAAAACGTACTTCAATGCCAAACAACGACCCAACCAGGATCCGATCGCCTTCCACAACTACCTCCAGTCGATCGAATCCCAGATGGCGATATCGGAAGAACAGCGCGTCACAGGGTTCTTCGCAAAACTCATCGAACCCTTACGAAAGGAATTGAAGTTTGTTCTCCAGGATAGATTCCCAACCAATCGAGATGACCTTCTCTCAGCCGCGATCCTCACCTGGAACAACAAGGACATGGGAACACCGGCTCCTACGAAAAAGCGCAATCATGAGGATACCACCACACCGTACAGTCACAAACGGCAAAAGAACGACAAAACAGAAAACACAAACGAATCAAAAAAATCGAAAAACGACAAAAACGACAAAAACAAAAACAACGACCAGAATCCTCGGACGAAGGATCTTTCGACGATCACTTGCTACCATTGCAGCAAGAAGGGACACTACGCCAACAAGTGTCCAGACAGGCAAGCAACCAATACAGACACCCCAGCCGCGGTCAACCGAATCACCCAGGATGACAGTGACTCGGAAAACTACAGCGAGTCGGAGTAGACTCCACGATTCCGACTCCATTGGTTTACGTGGAGAAGTTACCCCAGATGACGGCCCCAATCCTAGCGGCTGACACCCCTATCGCAGCTGATTTCGACACAGGCGCCCAAGTTAACCTTGTCAGCTTGGAATTCGCAACAAAACACACAAACTGAAATTCGGCTTGGAGAGTGCCATGAGGGCTCTCCAAGATTCAGTCTCATTATCGAATGGACTATGCTCATGTCTGAGCCTGCTCATATCAATGAGCCCTACATCTTGCTGTCTTCTTACCTAGCCAATAGTATTCTGTTTCTAGTTACCCCTTAACATGGTGAGGGGTAAGGAGGTCGAAGTCTTTACGTGTGTGGCCGGAATGCCAGCGATAAGATCCTGTGTCGATTTGAATGCGGACAGGGCTCATTGCAGGCATTCCAAGGAGGACAGGTGAACCCTTTTTACCTTCTATGGCTCAACAGACAGATGTCCAGGTCTTGGTGACACCTCGGGAGTCGGTGGCAGTGATGGGAAGGTAAAAAGCACCATGGGCGTTGGAAAAGGTACCGTTGGAAGGCTTTGAGAGGCGGAGGTTTGACGGACGCTGATTTCAGTTTGTGTTTCATTGCGAATTCCAAGCTGATAAGGTTAACTTGGGCGCCTGTATCGAAATCAGCTGTGATAGGGGTGTCAGCCGCTAGGATTGGGGCCGTCATCTGGGGTAACTTCTCCACGTAAACCAATGGAGTCGGAATCGTGGAGTCTACTCCGACTCGCTGTAGTTTTCCGAGTCACTGTCATCCTGGGTGATTCGGTTGACCGCGGCTGGGGTGTCTGTATTGGTTGCTTGCCTGTCTGGACACTTGTTGGCGTAGTGTCCCTTCTTGCTGCAATGGTAGCAAGTGATCGTCGAAAGATCCTTCGTCCGAGGATTCTGGTCGTTGTTTTTGTTTTTGTCGTTTTTGTCGTTTTTCGATTTTTTTGATTCGTTTGTGTTTTCTGTTTTGTCGTTCTTTTGCCGTTTGTGACTGTACGGTGTGGTGGTATCCTCATGATTGCGCTTTTTCGTAGGAGCCGGTGTTCCCATGTCCTTGTTGTTCCAGGTGAGGATCGCGGCTGAGAGAAGGTCATCTCGATTGGTTGGGAATCTATCCTGGAGAACAAACTTCAATTCCTTTCGTAAGGGTTCGATGAGTTTTGCGAAGAACCCTGTGACGCGCTGTTCTTCCGATATCGCCATCTGGGATTCGATCGACTGGAGGTAGTTGTGGAAGGCGATCGGATCCTGGTTGGGTCGTTGTTTGGCATTGAAGTACGTTTTAGCGAGGTCGATAGCGGTGTTGCGTCCTCCGCGGATGAAGTCCAGTGTCCATTGTTGGAAGTCTTTCCAGGATGGGGGTTGGGCTTTTGTGTAGTGGCTGTTTTTGAAATCGGTCCATTGCGGTCGGTGCTTGTCGTCGAGGCAGAAGAAGGCAGTAGTAATTTTCCGTTGGTCCTTGGCGTATCGACGAGGTGACGCTTCGAAGATTTCTTCCAATTCGGAGAGCCAGCGTTGGCGTATTTGGAGGCTTGAGGTCGGGTTGAGTTTGACTGAGACAACATCCAGTTTTATGTCGCTATCTCTTTCTTCAGATTCCCGGCAGGGGCGCCTCGCAGTTGAGTTGGCTTGTCGCTGGATCTCGAGTTGTCTTTCGAGGTTTGCAATTCGTTCGGCGTCAAGTTGTCTTTCCAAGGTAGCAACTCGCGCAAGGATAAGTTCGAGAGGGGATTGATGGTTTCTTTCGGTATGGGTAATGGGAGGTTCATTCAGGGACAATTCCGGAGAGCGTGTAGACGTAGGACTTCGAGAAGGGGATTGAGAAGTTGTCGCAAGGCGACGAGCGCTTGGCGAGTTCGAGGCACAGACATCTTTTCTTCTTAGGTAGTTGGAAAGAAGAATCAGAATTGTTAAGGGTGACTGTTTACAGGACAGAAGACCTGTCAACTAGGTAACAAGAAAAATAGATGTAAAGAAGAAGAAGACTTTGATAGATTCAATGACAATGAAGAGGGAATTCCCTCATACATTATGATAATCCCTCATAGACAATCTGACAATCTTCCAAATGACACGATGGTCAACCGAAGATCGGATGTGATAAACAAAGACAATGCGGGGTCCGAGCCCTAAGCTGACGAGAGCCCGATCGATGATCGGCAGGATTCAGATCCATGATCCTCCGGAGTCGCAACGGAGATCGGGGTCCACGTCTCCGATGAACTCCCTTAGCTTTTGTTCCAGATGAAAATGGAGAACCAGGCATTACCACATGAATTGGACTCTTGAGCAGAACAAGCCGCCCAGTTACTACTACAGAACATCTACATTGCAACTCCAGCTCCCAGAATGTCCACTACCTTCTCTTGAAAATCCACCGCCAGAGCAGGCCCGTCTGTCCCTCGGAAATCTCCTTTCAGGCAAGCAAGTACAGCCTGGGTATAGCCAACCCCCATCTCCTTTGGCAGACCCTGCACTGCCAATGCCATCAAATCCTCGACCACCTTCTTTGGTCTCGGCAGCCGTCCGGAATTCTGCGCCTCTCTGATTTTTGCTTCCATCAAGCGTGACAAAGTGACCCATAGCCCGATTTCGAGAAGTACGACACCCAGTGCATAAATATCATGCAGACGGCTAAATTGATGTGTTGGGCGACCCTGTCGATTTGGATGACGATATAAATTAGGCTCGACTTCAAAATCGGAGCGCATGTCCGTGCCTTGCTGTACAGAGCGCGCATAACCCCAGTCGCTCAGGTACGAGACAACCTTGTTCTTGGTATTGAACCCGGAAAGACGATGCTCGTAGAGACCAGAGGCACTAACTCCGGATCCTGTCTCCATGAAAAGGAGAATGCCCCGACTCCATATGTTTTTGTGGACCCAAGCTGAGGCGTGGACGTTAGAGAGCGTCAAAGCAAGACTGTGTGCCATGCTGAAGCGATCATTCAGGGTTGGCTTCCTAAGTGGTCGTTTGCTTGCGCTATCGACGGCATTGATGAAGGCGTGCAGGGTTGTCAGAGATGGCCCACTTGCCCGTTCGGACTTGGGGAGCTTGTAGAGAAAAACGCTGCGCTCCTCCGAGGGTTGATCTATGAAGCCAAGGCATTCCAGCGCATAAATCTTGGGCTGGTCGAGAGATTCAGATGAGACGCTTGTGAATGCGGCGTTTTGGAGTAGCCAGGCCAGATTCCGCATGGGCTGTTTGAGCTCGTCTACTTCATCTGATTCTAGATCATCTCGCTTGAGCATGCTCTCATATTCATGATATTCAACAATCACCTGTGTCGTCTCGGCATTTGAAGGAGACCATTTTCCCAGTTGAAACCCGCCTGCTAATTTGCTTTCCTCGGTGATGATACCAGTCAGACTGTGGTAGTCTGCCGGTGCCTGGGCTTCTGCTAACATACGCCGCTTCATGACTGGTTCCAGGCCACTTATCTTGAACCCTTGATGGTTGTCTTCAACAAGTTTAGCCAGCGTGTCCTGCGACATATGCTGCATTAGATTTCGCAAATCTTCTGACCACTTGGTATACGCCTCCAAAATACGATTGAGCTTCTTTTTGTCGAAGAGAGACCAGTCATATCCTTTGAGCTTGAGCGACCTGGCTTTACTCTTGGCGCGCTCCATGAGTGATTCTTGCACTCTGGAGTTCTCTGGCTCCATGACATACTCTTCGTCCACGAGGCCGTACTTCGCTGCCATTATTTCATACTCGGCCAGCGTCTTCCTCATTTGCACCAGTAGTCCTTCTACCGTGTTGGCAATGAAGGGCTCCACCTTGCCTGGAACCATCAGCCCATGTTCCGGGTGGAAGAATGTGCGTTTGAAAAAAGAAGAGTAGACAGCTGAACATTCAGCTTGAGCCGAATCTCGGCCCGATCGTCATCGAAGGCCTTGACATCGGAAATGACGCCTTGTATAAAGACCGTGACCTGGTAGACCTGTGTGATGGCCGTCACTGCCGTGCCGTAGAAATCCATTCTGGCTCTGAAGTAGATGCTAGACGAAGGGAGACAATATCAGGACACCAGAGACTAGAGAGAGGGGATGATCAGTGGGAGTCAGCAAGTCAGCACTAATGGCTTGATTGTCCCAAACGGGACAAGGGCTAAATAAATCAGGAGACTGACAGGACTACATACATTTTTGTATGGACATGAACTATTTCGCTGAAGCAAAAGGTTTGGTGCATACTCGTTCTCGTCTGAGGTGTTTCCAGTTATCTAGTTGAATGATGGATATACTAAACCAGACTCTTACCATATATCACCTCCATTTCTACTTCACCCCCAGTGGTCCGGTGACTGTGGACAGAGTTCGGCGCCAAGGCCGAGGTTCAGATGCTCAAAGGCTGGTCAGCTAGCTCGTCAGCTCGTCAGCTCGTCAGCTCGTCAGCTCGTCAGCTCGTCAGCTTGTCAGCTCGTAATTCAAAAGAAACCTCAGGGTGTTCCTCCCTTGGATACCGAATGGTCGTTTTCATTCATCAAATGTCAGGATGACAGACTATGACCTTATCCTCGACTCCCTGGACGATAATAACACGTATTCGTTGGATGAGACTCTATCACCTTCCCTCCAACCATGGTCTAGCCCAATTGACGTTGAAGAACTCGATCTCAACAGCCTGAATCTTTCCAATTCCAGTATATCGTGGATCGACCCGCTAGAGTCAGCTATAACGGCCACACGAAATGGCTCTGCACCAGTTCTCAGCACTCTCGCCCAATTCACTGCGATCCTTTCCCAGACCGGGATCCACGGTCCACGTCTCCTGAAGGCAGCTAACCTTTCCACCCGAGCTACTAAGATCGGTTCCGGCGCCCAGTTTACCGTATTCAAGGACCCCCTCTTCGAGAACGAGGTCATTAAGCGTGTTAATGTCCCACTCTCAAGTATGGCAGAGCAGCGCTTCTCGGCCAGCACAGATTATCGCCTTCAGCTAAGGGCACTGGCCCTAGAGGTTCTCTCGCTTTGCAATCCCATCATACGTGGGCACCCAAACATCACCAGTCTCGTCGCGTGGGGGTTCGATTTCCCCTTTGCAGACATGGCCGTACCCGTCTTGTTCATGGAGGCGGCGATGATGTCGATGGATGAATTTTTGAGTGCGGAGAAAAGGGAGGTAGGGGTAATCTATCAGCTTGCGCTAGGCGTGGCAAATGGGTTGGAGGCGCTGCATAACCTCAATATCGTACATGGGGATGTCAAGCCAGATAATGTGCTCGTGTTTGCTGGCCAGAGTGAAAACATGCCATTCCAAGCTAAGTTGAGCGACTTCGGTGTCTGTGTTGATTTGGAAAGTCCGGAAGGGCAATTTACATTGAGCGATTACCGGGGGACGCCGGCTTGGCTGGCACCTGAGGTACTCAATGGGAGTATCTCAAGATTCGGGGGATTCTCACCAGATATTATGTTCAAGTTTGATGCGTACAGCTTCGGGATGGTGCTTTTATCTATCTTCACCCGGGATGGTCAGCCTCTGGCTTTGGGGGAGGATCCTGACAACGTTCCGGATCAGGTTTCCAAGTTACTCAACCGGGAAGACATTCCCTCACCCATGCGCACAGAGCTACGCAAGGCAGCTTTGAAGCTGTTGTCCGAGGATCCTAGGAATCGACCCCTTCCAAGTCCGACTTTGCTCAAAACAGACCTGCCGACGTACGCATATTGGTATGTCGACCAATCCCCTGAGTCCATATCTATAAGTGGCTGACCATGTCCCCTAGGTTCTCCTCAATCCAGTACAGATCCACGAGCTCGCACATGGGAGTCATCGATCCAGCTTACAACAAAGGCCCACTCTTTTGGTACAGACTTGACGATAGCATCCGTAAAGAGCTCGAAGAACAACATACGCTCAGCAAGGCAGGAGTTGCTCCTCCTTTTGCAGGAGATGTGCTATTTGGAATAGCACAGACAATCACCGGAGAGAAACCGATGTATCTCGATCGCATGCTGACGTATCTGGGTGATGCGGTGAAGGCAGGGTACTCACCGGCCAAAGCTGTATATGCGCAGGTGATGGAGGCGCATGGTCGAAGACCAGAGTTCGACGATGACGCGCTGGAACAGTGGATGTTACAGGCCGTCTCCGAGGGTTACATGTTTGCGAAACCTGCTCGCTCGACGGAAAGAGTGGACCAGGCGAAAGACCTGTTCAGGTCTCACGGGGGATACTGCTCAGATCCCTTTTTAGGGAAGAGTGATGTCAAGACGGCCCTCAACAAACAGACCGTATTAGAGTGGAATATGAAGAATGGGACATTCGTCGATCGTAAACGGAACACGATGTTGCATGCTGCTGCTGCTTTTGGGGAAGTTGATGCATTGCATGGGCTATTGGATGATGAACCGGCGGCGGTAAATGTGGAGAATGAGAATGCCGAAACGCCGCTGTACAAGGCATTCCAGGCGGGGCATGTGAAAATAATTGAGGCTTTGCTTGACAGTGGCGCGAGCGCATCCTGTCAGACTCGACAGAAGATCACTCCTCTACATTGGTTGTTCATGATCCCTGACGATTCAATTGACCGAATCGCGAGATGGATGGTTGAAAGAGGAGCGGACGTGAATGGAACCGTGGAGCCTGCCAAAGAGAACGGCAGTGGATTCTCAGAGAAGATTCAGATACTTCATTAGTATGTTCTTGTTTTTCTTCGGTGAGGTCAGACTTAGAGCTAACTAACCAGTCCGTTCGAACTTCCACATGGAGCACCTCTTCACTGGGCCTGCTTTTTCCGAAACTTGACAGCCATCAACGCTCTTATTTCCCTCGGAGCCAATATCAATGCTGTCTACCATGGCTCAGACCCATCAACTACTCCGCTTGCATTGGCAGCATACTTCGGCGAGCCCACTATAGCTGAACATCTGATATCGCAGGGTGCGGATGGTAGTCTGCTTGACTCCAAGGGACGAAACACCCTACACGGAATCACTAAATACTTTCCTGATATACATGGCTATCTGCGCCATTACTGGCATTATTGGATTCGGCATGGGGCTTGGGATAATCATTTGGTGCAGCTTGGGAAGTTGGTCAGGGTTCTGATCAAGGCTGGTGCCAATGTCGACGCCAAGGACAAGGGGTATCCTTGTTTGACGCCTATTGCGGCAGCAGCTGACGCTGGATCTTGGGATGGGGGTATGATATGTGCGTTGTTGGACGCTGGAGCTGATTTGGATGACTCAATCCTGACAGGGGGGGATACAGTCCTGCATTCGTGGGCCTCTATCGTCGGGCCTCGTCTAGATTATCCATCTTCGTACATGTCAACTTTGAAGAAGATAGTCAAGGCTATGCCGAACATCGATATTCGCAACCGGTTCGAAGAGGCCACTCCGCTTCATGAGCTAACAACAGTATACCACCCGGAGGACGAATTCGAGGCTGCGTGTGAGATATTCCTCGGTCACTCCTGTCCGGCAGACTTGAACGCGAAGACTCGTCGTGGCGCGACCCCACTATCTATAGCCCTTGAAACCAAGCTAGATTCCGCACGACGAGGCCGCTTCCTACTCCACAAAGGCGCGGATCCCCTCGTCCTCAGTGATAGAGGACGAGATGTTTTCTATTCTATTGCAAATAACATCGCACTCACTGATCAAGACAGTCATGATCTCATTCAACACTTCCTTCGTCGCCTCAGCCCTGACATCCATAATGCCTACACCAAGCACTATATTCTCAATCCCAACAGCAACGAATCCCTTTTTTGCTGCTGCAAGCAGCGGGAAACCGCTCACAATCAACCTCCTTCTCTCCCTCGGTCTGACCAGTCACATAAATGAGCCTGACAAGACCAAATCCCCACCATGGACCCCCCTAGACATAGCCCTCCACCGTGCCGAGCTTGGCCGTCGCGCACACATGCGCAAACTCGCAACTTATAAGCCCGGCTCAGCACGTGTACGGGCTCTAGAACAAAGCCTGGTCTACGACGAAACCCAGGGCCCACCGGTGCGCGCGGCTGAGTCATATAGAGGGTTTCCAGATGTCATCCGGATCCTACGAGATGCAGGGGCTAAACGGTGGTGTGAAATTGAGGGAACTACAAAAGGTGATTATATTGAACAGCCAAGAGAGTGGGATCAAGAGGAGATGCAGAAGTATGGTTTCACGCCGGAAACACAGCCTAATGCACAGGCGTGGACGGGCTTGTATGAGTTGGCCAGGTACAACGATGATAGATGGAGTTGGCTTGGTATGCTGACATGGCGGAAGGGGTGGTGATTAGAGAGGGGTCTGAGAAGTATACACACAGATTACATTCTACATTCATGTATATCAAACGGGAGTGCATTGTTGAAGTTGAAACAACCTCTAGTCTTGACAGGCAGCTCGCAGCTCGAAACAAGTCAATCGACATAACACAAGCAGCAAGCTCGAAGAGTCCAGGGCTACCAGGTACATCCAATAGAAGTCGGGATGCTTAGCAGCTTAGGTAGTACCCGCCCCCGCGCCAATACGCTGTCCGCCTTTCTATACGCGTACACAGTATACAGGTGCCGGACGGAGTACGCACAGATTCAATATCCGATGTAACTCCATACCTAGACGCATGTGAATATCGTGTAGCTGTACAATTCTCATTGGTTTTGGTTGGATATACACAATTGGTCATTTTATTATAGAAATACGCATAAATCTGACCTCGGGATATCTGACAAGCCACTATGAGCCTGTATGAGGGGACTCGGAGTGGCGAGATGCGGGAGAAGAGGCTTCGTCAACCAATCACAGAGACTGATATTCGCCTTATCCCTCGGCCTCCCCCAGTTCCCTCAACTTCCCCCCTGGTCACCTTTCTTTTGAAAATTCATATCTCTTGTACAACCATACAACTGTTGTACATATTGCTTTCTGGAATCATGTCATTCTCAAACTTGGTCTCCGACATTGCCTTCCGTGATGCTCGTCTTGATGATGGTAGCTCACAAATATCCCACGCCCGATCTCATCGATCCCATGCCACCGCTCGGTCATATACAAGCACCGCAGCAACAAGTGTCAGCATCTCTGGCGAAGTTTCTAGCCAGCTACACTCTGGATATAGTCACCCCCTGACCCGAGCATGGCAGGCTGATAGGCAATTGACAAAGGTCTATCCCTGTTATTCAGGCAGATAATCGCATCCTTGCTAATACATTGACTTTACAGGACATGCTCATCTATCCGTTGTTTGTCACAGATAATCCCGACGAAGAGACGCTAATTCCTTCCTTGCCAAATCAATACCGTCGCGGGATCAACCGTCTGGTCCCCTTCCTTGCTCCCCTTGTCCGGAAGGGTCTGCGCTCAGTGATGTTGTTCGGTGTACCCCTGAATCCATCCGCCAAAGACGCGCTTGGAACTGCCGCAGATGATCCCGATGGTCCTGTGATTCAAGCGATTCGCCTTCTTCGATCCCGTTTCCCTCAACTATATATCACGACCGATGTATGCCTGTGTGAGTATACGTCGCACGGTCACTGTGGGATTCTGCGAGAAGATGGAACCCTCGACAATGCGCAATCCGTTGATCGGATTTCCGATGTAGCAATTGCCTATGCAGCGGCCGGAGCTCACTGCGTGGCTCCCTCAGACATGAATGATGGGAGAATTCGAGCGATCAAGCTCAAGTTGATTGAAGCCGGTGTGGCGCACCGCGTACTTTTGATGTCTTACAGTGCTAAATTCAGCGGCTGTTTGTATGGACCCTTCCGCGATGCGGCTGGCTCTTGTCCGTCATTTGGGGACCGCCGGTGCTATCAACTTCCCCCGGGCGGTCGCGGTCTTGCTCGACGTGCGATACAGAGAGACGTGGCCGAAGGCGCTGATATCATCATGGTGAAACCCGCCAGCAGCTACCTTGACATCATCCGGGATGCCAAGGATTTAGCCCCGATCTTCCAGTGGCGGGCTACCAAGTCAGCGGTGAATTTGCAATGATACATGCCGCTGCCAAGGCCGGCGTGTTCAACCTCAAGGACATGGCCTTTGAGAGCACTGAGGGCATTCTGAGAGCAGGCGCTGGGATCGTGGTCAGTTATTTTGTTCCCGAGTTCCTCGACTGGTTGTAGTTGTTTTTCTCAACTCGGGCGATTCTTCCCATCCAACCTATTTATCAGTGCGATGTCCCTGCCAGACCGCACTTCCACATCTAGGAATATTTATGCCGAGCGTGATCTACTGAAACATGCATGGATTTCGAACCTGGATAGGTTCCCCTTATGTGATATGACATATTCTTTTTTCTTTCTTCCGTTTTCCCTGTGTTAATGATTACCCCTTACCCCTTACCACAATGAATTCATCATGTCCATTTCGAGTGGAATTTCGATCAATATTGATTAATACCGGGACCAAGATTGGATTAAGGTAAAATATGCAAAGGCATTATGTATACGCTGCAATTGTCGCACCCGACTTGCCACAAGGGAACAAAACAAAGGAAGGCTAGAGACAATGGATAGAAGCTATTCATCGGCGACGGTGGATATCCAACCCTTTCAAAAATCAAATCGAACACAAGAGGAAAGCCATGGGAAGTCATGATTCGGCGCTCTGACCGATAGAGCTTGATAAACCAGCGGGTCACTCAACCTGTTCATGTCATACGAAATCATACACATCACTTCGTTCGTCAAACTGAGGGCTTGGGCTTGGTACCCTGAAAGCCGTAAGCTGGGATGTCCGTTTTGACAATCTCTCCCGGTGCCACATAAACGCCTCGATGCAGACAAACGCCTGGATAGATGGTGCATCCCGCACCCACGTAGCAATCTTCTTCGATGGTGACCTGTTGGCCTTGATACTGACTTTGCGAGCCCTTGCGCTCTTGCATGTTGGGCACAGCGGTCGAACTGATGATTTTGACACTGGGCCCTATCCACGTATGAGCGCCGATGCGGATGACACAGTCATCCACAAACAGGCAATTCTCGGAGATCATGACATCTTCTCCAAGATGGAGGTTGTAGCCATAGTGGCAGGTAAACGGCGCCTCAACGACCACCCCCTGGCCAATGGAACCGGCCGAGCGAGCCCCACCGGTGCCAGCCGGCGAGTTGACAATAGAACTTGCCGGCGGGACTATGACCTCCTTCAAGAGGCGGGTTTGTTCTTTCGAACTGATGCCCGTAAGTGGATTGCAGGCATTGTTGAATTTCCATAGTGCGCCGCGGCAACGGTCTCTCTCCTCGACGAGGTGGACATCGAACGGTCGGTAGGGTTTGCCTCTGAGCATCTTCTCTTTCTCCGTCTCGTCAGCCCGACCAGAGAGCTGGTTCTCAATGCTAAGCGCCATTCGAGCCTGCGCCTGCGGACTATGAGTATCCACAGCGGCGGTGTGCAATGTGCGTTGCTCAGGTCCACTTTGAAAGAGGGACATGCTGGATCTCGGATGCGATGCGTGGCCAAGGTCTCGGAGGGTTGAGATGGCCGGGTAGTCAGGTTTGGGACGTCCCTCGCGGGATAGCTCACATGCATGGATAGGTGGAACTTCCCGGTAGTCAACTACCTTAGCCGTGGGCTCTGATTGATAGGAGGGATGACCGGCACTGGGACCGGGCCCGCCACCTGGCCAAGCTTGCTTTGACCATGCACGATTGGATGGTGGATTCGTTGGGCTGGTGTTATATGGTTGAGCAGGGCGGTCATTATCCTCCACCACCAGGGGCCTCAATTTGGTTGTGTCGACATGTTCTGCAAGGCTTGGTTGGCGGTCTTGGTGCCGGGACGTTTCTTGCATGTACGAGCCATTGACATCCGAATAGCCTTCTTTGGATTGCAAAGGGACCGGGGCTTTTGAAGTCGATGGTTTTTGCCAGGTGCTTCGGGAGGAGTACCCTTCACATATGAAACCACCACGCAGACAATTATTGCCTACAATGCATCGTTAATGTCGTTCCATGGAAATGGGATGCTAGAATCGGGACAACAAAATAACTTCTTTTTAAGACGGAGAGTGGGTAATCAAGGAAACAATGAACGGTGAGACATTCGAACCAAGCACAGAAGTGAGGAGATAGAACAGACTGGAGCAAAGACTTACATGCCGGGTGTTGCTCGTCGCACTTTTTCTTCCTCCTACGGCAGGTCATACAGCCTGTCTTTGTTCGATTACTAAATACCCGCTTTCGCTTTGGCGCCACCTGTCCCGCCACATGTCGTTCCGGTGCATAGCTGGGGGAAGCTACAGGCTGTGCACCAGGCGTCGAGCGATTCGCACCCGAGGACCTTTCGTGGCCTGCCTCACGTTGAAGAGCGTCTGCAAGATGGGCATCCGATGCATCGATCTGCTGAGCCCGTTGTGCCTGGGTAATCAGCTGAGAATCATACTCTGACCAAGGACTATTGGCAGATGTCTGGCCCGCATCATTGCCCTCGGACCGACGAGACGGTGTTACAGAATGATGACCACGCTCAAACTCCGAGACTGAACCTGGCACACTGCCAACCGGGTTCGACTGGTTGATCTCCGTAGAGCGGTTCACAGGGCTCCTGGAGGCGTTCTTGCCTTCCGGATTGGATGAGCCGCGTTCTCGTGATTCGGATCTCTTTCTCTTGCCCTGGTTGTGTGAGCTCGGAGAAGATCTCCGTAACCGGTTTTCTTGTTCATTGGCACGATGGTCTCGGTCATGTTGCTGACTCGTATTTGGGTTGCTCTTTTCTTGCAGTACATGTTCTCCATTAGAGACAGAATTTGGAGTTGGCCCATTCCCAGGTACCATGGTGTCTCTGCCATTGACTGCGGTGAAGCGGGATGGGCTGTGCTCTGTCCCCGTGTCGGTACCCGAGTCATGACTGCCATTCATCACGGGTGCAGTGGCGAGGGCCGTCATCACAGAAGGAATGGAGGCAATCAAAGACAATGTAGGATCTGGGGTTACACCGGAACGAAAGGTGCAATGCACACTCCCCGAGTATATGGCGAGTCTATGGCGTGTATTCTGTTGACCCGCGGCAAAGTTGGGAAACTCAATTGCCAGTTGAACAGCCCTCCAATTGGAGTGATGGACTCAAGATAGAGAACGGAAAGTAAAACTTCAAAAATCAGGGTATTTTCTTCCTTTAAGAAGGAAAAGGAACAAGAAGACTCCAACTCCAACTTCGTTTTGGTTTTCTCTTTGCGCGCGCAACGCTTTGAGCGGGAATTGCGGCAAGTCACCCGCGGGTGGGGCGGGATTCGGGAGATTATCACAGACAAATAGTACAATATAACAGGATGTTGAAAGGCATAAGTGTTTTAAATAGAGTAAGATAAAGAATAAGAAAAGAAGGCAAGTAGGAAAAGAAAAGAAATTTAGTAAAAGATAAGGGAAGCGAAGCGAGCGAAGCAAGAGAGAAGAGAGGAAGGGGAGAAGAGGGAGGGGGGAAAAGCGACTAATAAGAGAAGGGAGACCGAGCTAGGACCTTCTGACTGGCAAGCAAAGTACATTTATTAGGGAAAAAATTAAAATAAAATGGAAAAATAATCAAAGTAGTAATCACTAATAACAGTTAAAGAGGGGAAAAGAAAAAGAAAAAGAAAAAAAAAAGAAAGAGAGAGAGAGAGAGAGAGTCAGAGAGGGAAAGGGGAAATTGGCGATCGGCAATGACGGCGTCACACTCAGGACCAATCGGAGAGGCGATCAGCCGTATTCTGGTGAGGCGCGGGTCTGAGACATTTTCATCCGCCTGGACTCTTTCTTTGCGATCCTTTTTACCTTTTGGCGCCCGTGTACGCCGTGTGTGCGCGGTGTCCGCGCATAAAGAGCGGTTATGCGCTTAACACTCAACCCTGGTTTTTGGTTTCCTTGGATTTTGGACATGTGATGTGATTTCGATCTCTTTCCTTATATCGATATCTCCCTGTTCCTTCTTCCTTCTTTCCCTTGTCTTTTTTTTCCTTCTATTATTATTTATGAACCTTTCCTTCTCGGGATTCATTGATGACTGCAGCGTGCCGCGGCGCTAGGACCAAGAAACTAAAAATCAACTAGGGAGTCGGCTGCGCACGGATATCCCTCATGGCGCTTTCAATGTAGTTTAGACGAGCTGGTCTAGTCCTCGAATCTGTTTCGAAGGGAAAAACATCACTCCGTAGGGCGTAGATACATCATGACGAACCTGACCAATGTTGACACCTGATTCGACCCAACTCTTGAACTCTCGTAATTCTATCACCGTATCAACTACTATAACCCAGTTACCAGTTACCCAATGAGAATCTGTCCTAAATACATACATATTGGTACATAAAATGTGATAACGAAGTCTTAAGAGCCGGCAGATATGCATGTTTGGGTAAACAGAGGCGGGTAACTAGCGGGTCGGGTAGAGCTCGCGCTGACTAAGATCTCAACTGGAGTCTCCATGTTCAAACATCGACGCGCCTCTCACCGCCAGAGTCTTGCGATAGCTTCCCTCGTTTTTTTCTTACCCAATCTGGTGTTAGCTCTTTTTACTGCTGTCTTCAGACGCTGGTATGTCTGGTCTTACAACTCACTCCTCTACCCAATCATCCTTCGTCCGGAGACTGTGCTGACCTCAACCCCTCCAAAGGATCTCTACCCCACCGATTACACTTGTTTCCCATTCCCCTCTATTCGATACTGCCCTGCAGCCGCCCTGGCACCCCCCAATATCCTGTCCCGGTGGTTTCCTATCTACCTCCACCCTTGATTCTCGTGTCTCGAACCCCATCCCCCGTGATCAGAGGCGACATCGCCAGTCTGCGTCGCGATGTCGATTTCCGTACAAGAGCTGGACAACACAGTCCGAGCCTTGTTTGAAGGCAAAGGAGCTGTGGTAAGTGGAATGCGTTGCTTCAGATTGCTTCAGTATCACAATTCAAGATCGCCTTCTACATCTTCCACGGTTGAATCTCTTGGGACAGCAATACTGACGACTTATGACCACGTCTAGCAAAACCAAGCCCAGCAAACTTTGACAGAAGTAAGCGCCCAGTTACCTCTTATGGAGCTTCCTGTATGAGTTGCAAGCTGATTTATCGTGTGCTCCTCAGTTCAAGCAGAATCCCGATGCCTGGGTCACCGTCGGCAACATTCTCCAAGAGGCATCATATCTTCAAACCAAATGTGCGTCTAAGGAGTTGTTGGCAGCCTTTTCCCTTATCCTGGTAAATTCCCCAGAAGACTTTTGCTGACATTTACAGACATCGCCCTCCAAGTCCTCGATAATGTGATCATGACCCGGTGGAAGGTTCTACCACGAGAGCAATGCCAGGGTAAGAGCTATACTCCTCTCGCTCTGGTGTTTACCCCCCTTACTGAGGCTGTTTTCGATAGGCATCCGTAATTTCATCGTGCGATTCATCCTCGAGAATTCCGAATCCGAAGAGAAGATTCAAGCGGAGCGCCCTCTGCTGAACAAGCTCAATCTCGTTCTCGTTTCCATTCTGAAGCAGGAATGGCCGCACAATTGGCCTACCTTCATCAATGAAATCATTTCTTCCTGTCACGCCAGTCTTTCAATCTGTGAGAACAACATGACCATCCTCCGTCTGTTGTCGGAGGAAGTTTTCGACTTCTCGCAGGATCAAATGACCTCCGCCAAGGCACGGAACTTGAAGACATCCATGACCTCAGAATTTGCATCGATCTTCCAACTGTGCTCCGAGGTTCTGAACACTGCGACCCAGCCCAGCTTGGTGAAAGCGACCTTGGAAACTCTCCTGCGATTCTTGAACTGGATCCCCTTAGGTTACATTTTCGAAACCCCTATCATCAACACTCTCCTCACTCGATTCCTCGGTGAGCCCGAATTCCGAAATGTGACGCTCAAATGTCTGACCGAGATCGGTGGCCTGCAAATCGGCTCTCCTTACAACTACGATGAACGTTTGGTGCACATGTTCACCGAGACGCTCACCACCGTTTCCAATGTCATTCCCCTGTCATTGGATCTGAAGCAAACGTATGCTATGAGCAATGGAAGGGATCAGGAGTTTGTATCGAATCTGGCCTTGTTCCTCTCGAGCTTCTTCAGTGCCCATCTGGATGTATGTGTGAACTCTCACTGGTCTTATCTATGATGCTTTTTCTTTTCCTGGTTATTTACTGACTTTGCCGTTTCCTTTTCTAGCTCATTGAGAAGTTGCCGAACCAGGATTACCTCACCCACGCCCATTTCTATCTGATTCGAGTCAGCCAAATTGAGGATCGGGAGGTGTTCAAGATTTGCTTGGACTACTGGACAAGACTGGTGCAAGAGCTTTATGAAGAGATGCAGCAGCTCCCCATCACCGACATCAACCCGCTCGTATCCATGAGCGTTAGTGGCCTGGCTAACGGCGGCGCCCCCAACCCCAGTACCCTTGCGAACTACCCCCTGCGCAAGCACAAGTACGAATCCGTTTTGACGAATCTCCGCACTGTGATGATCGAAAAGATGGTCCGACCAGAAGAGGTCTTGGTGGTTGAAAACGATGAGGGAGAAATTGTGCGAGAATTCGTCAAGGAAAGCGATACGATCCAGCTTTACAAGACGATACGCGAGTGCTTGGTCTATCTCACCCATCTCGACGTGGTTGATACTGAAACCATCATGATTGATAAACTGTCTAAGCAGGTCGATGGAAGTGAATGGTCTTGGGTGAACTGCAACACGCTTTGCTGGGCAATTGGTTCTATCTCTGGGGCTATGAACGAAGAAACAGAGAAACGTTTCCTGGTTACCGTAATCAAGGATCTCCTTGGCCTTACGGAGCAAAAGCGTGGAAAGGACAACAAAGCCGTGGTGGCGAGTAACATCATGTATATTGTGGGACAATATCCTCGGTTCCTGAAGGCTCACTGGAAGTTTTTGAAGACGGTCGTCAACAAGCTTTTTGAATTTATGCACGAGACCCACGAGGGTGTGCAAGATATGGCTTGCGATACTTTCATCAAGATTGCCAATAAGTGCAGGCGGCATTTCGTGGCCCTTCAGCCCGGGGAGAACGAACCCTTCATTGAAGAAATTGTCCGAAACATGCGAAAGATCACCATGGACCTTTCCCCTCAGCAGATTCATACTTTCTATGAAGCTTGTGGCTACATGATCTCAGCTCAAGGTCAAAAGGGACTTCAAGATCGCTTGATTGAGAACTTGATGGCGCTTCCCAATACTGCCTGGGATCAGATCATTGCGGAAGCAAACCAAAACCCGGCCGTTCTCCAAGACGCCAACACCATCAAAATTGTCGGAAACATCATGAAGACCAATGTTGCCGCCTGCTCCTCGATTGGCACCTACTTTTATTCACAGATTGGCCGGATCTATCACGACATGTTGAACATGTACCGCGCTGCCAGTCAGCTCATCAACGACGCCGTTGCAAGTGATGGTAATTTCGCTAGCTTACAATGAAAACCCCGGGCTTGACTAACACTCAAATAGGAGCTATCGCACCAAAAACCCCAAAAGTCCGCGGACTTCGGACAATCAAGAAAGAAATCTTGAAGCTCATCGACACCTACGTGGACAAGACAGATGAACTTGAGATGGTCAATGCCAACATGGTGCCACCGCTCATGGAAGCAGTCTTGATTGATTATGCCCGGAACGTTCCCGATGCCCGAGAGGCCGAGGTCTTGAATGCCATGACCACGATCATCCACAAGCTTCACGTATGTATTCCTCATTCTTTCCTTCGCCCCTCTTCCTTGACGCGATGGCAGGAGATTGCTGAGCATCTGCCTTGGCGCTTCCCGTACCTGCTAACACATTCATTAGAATCTGATGGAGGATAAGATTCCAGCCATCATGGACAGTGTTTTCAACTGTACTCTTGAGATGATCAACAAGGACTTCCACGAGTACCCTGAACATCGGGTCGAATTCTTCAAACTGCTTCAAGCAGTAAATCTGTACTGTTTCCAGGCTCTTCTGAAGCTTGATGCTGCGCAGTTCAAATTTGTCATTGATTCATGCATGTGGGCATCGAAACACGACAACCGTGAGGTTGAGAATACCGGCCTTACAATGTGCCTGGAGCTGATGAACAACATGGCGGAAACTGACCCACAAACCTCAAGCATTTTCTTCCGCGAGTTCTACGTTCCGATCCTTCAGGACGTATTCTTCGTTCTCACCGATAGTGACCACAAGGCTGGTAAGTCATGTCCCTTGCTCTTGAAATGAAGCGACGAGCTTACAGGTTTTTTTTAGGATTCAAATCCCAGGCCATGCTTTTGTCGCGCATGTTTTACTTTATTGAATCCGGCAAGATCCAGGCGCCCATCTATTCTGCCGATCAAGCCCCAGCTGGAACTTCAAACAAAGACTTCTTGCAGGAACACATTGCAAGCCTGCTCAAGAATGCATTCAGCAACCTCCAAGAGTAAGCTATAGTGTCTATTGAGCGAGCCCATGCAAAATTATACTGACTGTTCACAACAGAGCGCAAATCAAGCAGTTTGTCCTCGGGCTGTTTGCCTACACTGGTGATTTGAACAAATTCAAGACTCACCTCCGTGACTTCCTGATCTCCTTGAAGGAGTTCTCTGACGACAATGCGGAGCTTTACGCGGAGGAGAGAGAACAGGCGGTGCGCGATGCCCAGGTTGCTGAGCGTGACCGAGCCATGAAAGTAGGTGGTCTGTTGAAGCCATCAGAGATGGATCAAGAAGATGAGCTATGACTGGACCAAGAACTGCGCTCTGAGTTTGTTGCTTCCTCTACTAGTTCGCCAAGACATGGGCAGGGAACAAGTATGGACTCCAAGAATGACGGCCTTGATGGCTGGTCCTTCTATGAGCTCTAGATCGTGGGAAACCATGTGTCGCTGCAAGTTTAGGAGACTTTGCTCTGGAAAGATGTGTATGAATCTATTCTTTTGATTTTTTTCTTTTATCCTTGACTTGGGCGCATCAGACATGAGAAATAGACCCATTCTCTGAGGGGACTCTTCGAGGTTGGTGCATCAAGGCTTTACAAGGAACGGATCCACCAGTTTCATCCTACGTGAACTTCAGGCCTATACAAAGTGTAGAATTGTTTAATAGCTTTTGATGTCAAATGATTAACAAAAATCTTCAATCCAGAGATGGTACTGAGATGGGAAATAGCCCAGTCCATTGACTCCATTCTCGTACTCCACAGATAGATACATATCAAACTGGTTCCTAATCACTCGAACTATTAGCATCATTAGCATTAGTTGATTCATATGGGTACAAATAAGTTAGTTATAGTCATGAATCTCATAGGGGTCCTATATTTAGGTAACTACTGTGTAATTAGTTGCTCCCTAAAATGACTAGCATGAGGCCTGACTTGTTAGGGCTCCGTTTGTATACACGAAAGCGAGGCGGTGAGCACCTATCAGTTGCATCATCAGAAAAAAGTTGCCCAACACGCCACACACCATTCTCACAGTACATCTGTCTCCTTCATCTTACCTATACCTATTACGTCCCATGACAATGTCCCGAACACGCCAGCCAATAGTGTCATCCTCTTTCCAGATCGCTGAGCCACGAGAATCATCAGCCCGTCTTCCAGCGACCCTTAGATTACGAGCCGAGGAAGCCCCAACTAACACCAGCGAAGAGTCCTCGTCCTCTCGGCGAATCAGATGGAGCGAGGACGTCGTGGATAACGAAGGCATGGGAAAGAAAAGTTCCAAAGGTATGTCTTCGATCTATTTGTTCTACTCAGTCCATTCCATGTCTCTCGGTCGGTCCCCACACGGTCTCACAAGCTAACCGCCACAAGTATGCTGTATCTACCACAAAGCCCGACCGGTCGGCGAAAGCAGCTCAGAAGAGTCCTCATCCAGCTCGTCCGACAACGATAGTGACAGCGGTGACGACCGTCGCACGGCACGGTCTGGCCCGGCCCGCCGCAGGCGCAGCCGAGGACGGGAACTACACAGCGAGCATACATCTGAACCTGGCGAAGAATGTTGCTCCGAAGGTCACGGTCCCAAACAGAAGGCCAAGCGGAGAAAGCCAAGTCCGAATGCATATGAAAAGATGCCTAAACCGTCGAAGAACCAGAATCAGAATCGCCCCCAAGGTACCTGATCTGAGAGTTCGGGGTTTCTGACTGGGAACAAAGCAATGAAGCGGGCTGGGCGAAAAGCTCGAAGCTGTCCATGGACTTGGCTCGGTTGCATGGCTGTGCAGACAATACTGCCAAGGAACGCACATCCTACCTCTCCTTGGGCGAGTTATGGCGAGTTTCATGTCTATGTGGGTGTCCATGGCATACGCATAACGCTGGTGTAGAGACCTGGGCCCGTGACGTACGGGACATCGTACAATGGCATGATAAAGGGACCAGCTTCCTGTCGGTCACATCCATGGCACATTGCACGAGGATGTGACGGAGAATGTGCCGGTTAGAGGATTACTGCAACGATTATTCGACTTGCCGGAAACATTTACCAGGCGTTGGGAATAGACAAGACAATACAATGGTATCGCGAATTTCTCAGAATTGCAGGGGAGGGTATCTAAAATAAATGCAGTCCGTCGGGTTTAGAATGATCGTACATAGGTGAAGGGTTGACACATGAATCCCGGTTCTGTGGGCAGCAAAGCGGACATCACACCATCATGCTTTTTCTCCTTACAGCTACACGCTGGCCACGTCTGGCATGATTGGTGTCGATTGTGCCATTTAGTGCCGGCCTGAAAGAGTCTTCGTCCTCGGGAGAATCGCCACCTGGGGACTGTGGTTCGTCGTGCTTTACCATATTGGCCGTTGCACCCTTTGGGTTTGATGAGTGGCGTCGAGTTTGTCGCCTTGAAGTCGATGGTTCTTGGGATACTTGGGCCGAGATATCTGCGAGGCTGTTTTCAATCTCGTTTTTGAGACCAGAGCTTGGATCACTCGCGTCATTCTCGTCCTTTGGTGCCGATGACACCTTGCGTTTTCTCCGAGACACCATTGCTAGCACCTGTTCCGATGGACCATCACCGGAAGACATATCAGCATTCTGCTCTGCACGGGCCAGAGCAGGGAGACTGTCGTGCGACTGAGAGCGGCTGCGGTTTTCTCCGCCCTCCAGGCTGTTCCGGCCGGACTGGAAACTCGAGGACCTTCGGGATCCGAATGCAACTGCATCAATCATCTCTTTGGTTGGGCGGCGCATCTTATCGCGCAAATTAGGCTCTGCATAGCTGACTACAGTGCCGCGGCGACGGGAAGGCCGAGCTCCAGAGTCTTCTTCAGATTTCGATCCATATGGATGCGGTGATAGCGCTGACTGGCGAAGCGCTGGCTCTTCTAGCTGGGCAGAGGCAGGGCGCACGGTGCGCTTTTCTTTGGTTGTGGAAGCGACTTTAGACACTCGGGGTTTCTGGCCGAGAGTCTTGCCGGTGGCTTTCTCGACGGTCTTCACATTTTCTGGCGAGTCTGTATTCTCATCCCCCTTGGTAGACCGTTGCATAATTTTGGAATTCTGGTTTGAAGACATGCGGGCCTTCTTGGGAGAGCTTAGGTTGGCATTTGCACTCTCTGTTCCAGTTGTTAGCTACAATTTTCGGCATAGAGACAGAATCAAAAGACAACAGGACATACTTGGTTCGAGCACCTTCCGCATGGAAAGAACAGGGGTCTGTGATCCTCTTATTATCTGCACATGACTCTTCACAGGCGACTGGTCTCGCTGGGTAACCTCGAGTGGGATTGTTTGCTTCTTGGGGCTATGGCTAGGCCGGGTGAATTGGAATTCGTCTTCAACATGAAAGTTGGACTCGAACTGGTCATCATCTTCAGGGTTGTATTTCCGCTTCGTCGAAGCTGAGGTTGCGTGCTTTGTTAAATCGATGGATGGACTCGGTTCACCGTCCATTGGCGCTGGGCTCATCTCAGGTGGGATCATCGAGTCCGACTTCCTTTTCTTCTTGCGCGTCTCGAGTGTCGGGGGAAGCAACGTTCCAGGCAGATCGTTGTGGGAGTAACTGCTTAATGTCGTCTCCGGTGGAGACGGGCTTGAGTGTTCGATGGGTGTCTCTGCTTCCTCTGCTTCCTCCGGCATGAAGGTGAACTGTGGCGGAGATTCCAGAATACTGTGATCGTCGTTGACCAGATTGTCAATTTCCAGTGGCCTGGGGAAAGTGTTAGCAACTAGCAACTTCGGATCAATTCGAACATCCTTACTCCAGGGTCCGCCGTGGGTAATACTTGTCTTCGACAATGGCGGGAAGCCTTCCATCTTCACCTCCCATCGTGTCTCCGGTCCGAGGTCTCGACTCCGTCGTCTGCTTTGGCTCGACGCACTGCTTGTCGCATTGTTTGCTCACATTGCGGGGCAACGATCCCAATTCTGTCGCCAAAATACTCAAGTCGGCTAGCTTGGCCTCCAACCTGGATTTGATATCGTATATACCATTGTGTAGCAGTTTCCCTGCTTCCAGTCTTTCTGTCTCCTGGGTGAGAGTAATAACCTGCTTCCGAAGAGACACATTTTCTGAGAGAAGATGCGACACTTCTGACTCTAAGCTGCGAATGCGAAGGGATTGCAAGGAATTCACCCTCGCAATCTCGCGGTTTTGTCGCACAAATCGTCGCTTCACTAGACAGTACCAAAAGTAATTACGCGTCAACTGCTAGCCCAAACGAAGTGAATCACACGTAACTCAGGCAAACTTACAAGCTTCGATGGACTCGGCGGGAGCGGCATAGTCATTCAACCGAGCCATGATGGAGGCAGCGACCACTGCGTGACGGGGTAGGTTGGAAAACAGTGATAATGTGCAATCGAAATATATTTGTCGATATTTGAGTCTCAGAATCCCACAAACCACCAGGGAAAAGTCTATGTGGTCCAAAGCCGAGAGAGTATCGGGTACGAAGAAAGAGAGAAGGTAAACAGCGTTGGATGGCCAAGGCCCTTGTTGATGTTTGTCTGCTTCGGGTTTAGCCGCGTCCAGTGTTTGGATGCTGACTCAGCCTCGACTTTGCCCGCGTCTAAGTTACAGGTCAATCTAGTTAACTACCCAACCTTAGTTACGCATAGTTACTTGACGCGCCTTGAAGAACGGTTCTCGTTTCTCCTTTCCTTCGCTCAAACTTTCCCATGGCATACTCATCACGACCAACCTCAATGCTTTCAGGCGCGCCTGGTGGCTCTTCTATGCGTCAGCCTAGTGGTTCGCAAGCCTCACAACAATCTTCGGCGCTGTCGGCCCGCATCGCAGCTAAAAAAGCCGAGCTCGAGAATCTGCGGCAACTACGTGATTTGAGTGGAACATTGGCGATGCAAATGCAAGCTTTGGAGAGTAAGATCTCCACTTTGAAAGATGGCACTGAAGGTTGCCCTACCCGTTCCCTTGACACGGGGCTCTTCGCTCACCGTTGACTATAGCTGTTGCATACGTGCTTTCCAATTGGGATAACGTTCTCAGGGCCATTACCCTCGCGTCGAGTAAGGGCAACTTCCATAGTGGGATGGATCGTTTCCTTAAGCTGATCTCTCCTGTGCAATAGAAAAAGCAAGCGGACTCCACGACCCGGCGACCGAGCCAAGCACCAAGAATGTGGAGAATGCGCGCAATCAACCTCGCCTGCCATCAACGCTGGTTCGCATTCCGGCCGAGCCACGTGAGAAGACTGGCGAGTGAAACAACCCATTGGCATATGTCTCACTCCTTGTCCAGCCACCCGGCCGAACATCTTTAGCAGCACATTTACAACATCTGTGGCTGGAGTACTCCGTACTATCGGTACTCTCCTTCATCTGCCCACCCCCGGGTATGCTCTCGAAGGTTTTGACCATACATGTGCATGCACCGGGACCTGGTCCCAGGATCTACGACTTGCTCCATCCCAGCATGATCTAGTATCAACAATGTTTTACCAAAGAAGAGAAGAGGATTTCCTCCGAGGTTCAAGGTTCCATCATGAGAGGGGCTGGTCATTAGTTGCAGATCTCTTTGAGGACTGGCGAATTATGGGAATCGACGAAACTTCAATTCGCGTGACTTGTTCTTCCCAAGGGCTGCGCATGCAATAAAGTTGGGTTATCTCGAAATGGCAGACGAATCAAAAGAGGGGATTGAAGATGCTTCAATTCCCTCAAACCTTAGTTCTCTTTGAAATTTATTAAAATACAGTATAATACTGAACTGGGAATAGGTTGGAAATCTGTGATTGGTGTGGTGGGATAGAGTGTACTTCAGTAACCTCACTAAGTCAAGTGGCATTCGGAAGTGGCAGAAGTCACCAAATCACAATCATCTATCTCCCTCTATATAGCGTCACAATCTGCGTAAGTCAATCTTTATTATTTTTTTTTGGTGGTTCTAATCAAGCATCATGAGACCGAAAATCTAAAGAAAATGGCGCTTTGATGTCGATCAAGAGGGTGAAAGTGAAGAAATGGAGGGAAATTGTGTCGATGATTACCATTTTCAGGTTCCTGCAGGAGGAAAAGACGCTAAAGTGTGGAAAGAGTAAGAAGTGTAGTAGTAGTGTACATTCAATCTACTTCCAAGTGGGGTACTGTTTCTCGGTTATCCACATAGAAAGTATACCAATTGTGGAGAGTCGCAACAAAGTATCTCAAGGTCCTCCTCTCTTCTACACTCTTTTCTTTTTTTCTCTTAAGCGCCCGAAGCACAATAAAAGCCTCTTTTATATATATATATATATATACATTCTCGGCTATTTCAGACCATCCCAAGCTAAAAACGTGGTCCCAGTTCAATTTGACCTTATCTTCGAACGTGCGCGATTATTTCCCCCACCCCGCAATTGGTACCTGGTCTGCCTTCTGCCTTTACCCCTTCTCTTCCTCTCATTTTCTTCTATTTAATCTCTCTTCTGCATTCTGTCCAGACATCTGCCCATTCCCGCCCATTCCATCGGTCGTGTGGCATGATCACTGTGTGACACTTCAACGATGAATAGTGGAGACTTATGATATCGAGCTCCCTCTACTTTATTTATTCTCTCTCTTCTCTCAAATTTCATTCAATCTCATACAATCACACAATTTCAAAGTCTCAACCTCGTTATAACCGCTGCCCTCACTTCCTCAAACCGGATCAGGTCAACATTGACCTCTCTATTCCACAAATTCATCAGCGATGTCGACCGAATGGTCCTTGGATTTCTGCCTAGTCTGTGACCGACAGACCTTAGGCACCCCATATTGCTCCCAAACATGTCGCCTAACGGAGCTGGACGTGACATCGGAAGATGGAATGTCCTCACGAAGGTCGAGTGAAGCATCTACGCACTGGCCTGAGACCACTCAAGCCCAAGCCCGAGCTGCCGAGCCAGTCAATGTTTCTGCTGGCACTCACGACTCCTCTCGAACCCTCTCTGCCTCCTCGTCTCAAACTTCGCTTTCTTCCCTGAAGAGTAATACATCCAACTCGTCGAATGTGGCCGATCGACTCCAGGATGAATTGCGTGACTACGCGAGCAGTTTTGATCAAGTCCGCGATCTGAAACGGCGCATGACGACCACTTAGTCTCGAACGGGACTTTGAACCCGATCACTGTGCCTCTCGGCTTGGGATCCGCCATCTGCATAATGGCCGGGGCACCCAAATGCATGCAGCCCTCATACTGCGTTTTGTGAAACGATAATTTGCATATTCTTGGATGGCATCAGGCGTCAATGCTGGAAAACATATATTTTCTCTTTTGTTTTGTCTTTCTACGTTTATGGATCAGCCCCACTCTATCTTTTCTTAACGAACCTATACCCCCTCAACTGTTATATATCATCATCGGAAGGAGTTGGATCCAAGGTGCTTCGTCTACATAGTTACCTACCAGATTGTCCATAATCAACCCTGTATTTTTGAATCATATCATTCCATTCAAATATTAGGTATCTGCCAATAATTCTATTGGCTAAGGCTCAAGTCTCGGAGTATGTCAGATCAATTTCCCAGGGATGAGGAGGAATGTGTCCGATGCTAACCATCCAATGGAAGAATGCAATGTGGATGGATAGCCGAAACGGCCAAGCTCTCGACCGCGCAAGAGTTGCATGGAAGTCAACAACCCGATATGCAAATGCAGACACAGGCGCCAATACCCAGGGCCATTTACCCCGACCGGATTTGGTGCCCTGCAGGATACGAGCCCCCCCCCTTTCTCGCCCAACTCGATACAAACTTGATTCACCCGGTATCATTTAGTGTGCAAGAGCCTTCGATAGAGCTTTCTCATTCTTCGGCACAAACCGAACCTTATATCTTTGAGGAATAGCCACCAGGCTCGTCGGATCTGAATTGCCGCGGAGAGGGTGGCAGTCTGTCTTATCATGTGGCTCGATACGGAAGCTGTTGAGCGTACGGATGAAGACGAGGTAGAGCTCGCGATTGGCGAGCAATGAACCCGCGCACATCCGGTAGCCCAGGCCGTAAGTGAAGAGCGGCGCGTCAGGCTGCTCGAGCCAGCGCTCGGGACGGAACTCATTCGGGTCAGTCCACACGTCCGGATCTACGTCTGTTAGATGTGGTCCTATCTATTGGAAGGTGTAGATGAAAGGCACTGGCTTACCCATGTTGCATGCCCAGGCATTCAAAAAGAAGACTGTGCCCTTGGGGATGACAACCCCCTCATAGGTAATATCCCTGATCGAGGTGCGCGGAAGTGCCAATCGCAGCACAGTGAAGTACCTATGAGTTACCCTGTCAGTTCATATTGTCGACAAACGCTGGCTGGCTACCCCGAAGCGAGAACATACCGAAGACACTCCTTCACCAGGGCTGCAACATAGGCACACTTCTGATCGTCCTCCGCAGAGCACATCGGCTCATCCTGTCCATACATCTCTTGGATAGCCTTGGCAGCCCGATCCTGGATATCAGGACGCTGAGCGAGCAATCCCAAACTCCACGCAACCAGAGTGGTGACCGTATCAAGCCCACCGGAAAGCATAGTCAAGCTAATGGATGTCAACTCCTCCTTATTCAGCTTAGCCTCTTTATCCAGAATGACATTGGCCTGGATACAAGGCTTGTGTGTTCCTTTGGCCATACGATCATCCAAGTCGCGATTGAGCGCACCGAGATACTTATCACGACGAATCCTCATCTCCGCGGCTTTCTGTGAGTTGGAGTTGAACGGGTTCAACCGCAGCAGAGGAATATAATCCTGCAGATTCCCAGTGGTGCTTCGGAACCTACTGATCTCTTCCTCCACCTCGGTGATTTCGTCGAACAAGTCCTCTTCCTGCGATGCAATTCGTACACCCCAGTTCAAAGTCAACGCTAGACTCAAACTCAGACGCTGGATCATGGGCATGGGGTCGACAGGTGTCTGCCCCTGGTTTCCGTAGGTATACAGCTCTTCCACAAAGGCCTTGGACTCGACGTCCAGGTGTGAGACATATGTGTCGACGGAGGGGCGGTTGAGGGCCGATGCAGCGCCCTTTCTGCGCCTCTTCAGGGATTCACTGTAGGGTGAAGTACCGATAGTCGTGCCAGCAGTATTGGAAACAATCTGAGCGACGTGGTGGTCAGTTACAGCCACAGGAGCAAGTCACAAGGTTATCCAACCTTATGGAAAGTATAAGTTTCGGGCCTGGAACTTAGGGCCTGTGCATTCTGACCGAAAAGCACCTTCGCCGATGCAGCCGAGTTCACAACAATGACGGGAATATTCCCCAGCTGGATCTGATACACAGCACCGTGGGTTTTCGACCAGATCCGATACTGCTCTGCAGCATTTGTGCGAATCTGTGCCAGGTTGCCAATCAACGGCAATCCCCGTGGGCCGCTAATACCCACTACCCGGACCGACGAACGAGTGAATTCATTGATAATGACATAGAGAACAGGGACGAGGATGACTGCTGCGGCTAGCGAGTGCCATGGGTACTTGATTGCGGCGCTTTGTAGTGATGATATGGCCGCCGCAATAGCCATGATGGACAGGTAATGAACGAGGGTATGCTTTCTATCTAGTAGACTAGCTGAACATTATGAATATAACCCCATCAGGGCCCAGGGAATATATAAGTGAACAGTATCAGCTACCAGGTCAAGGTACCAGTGCTCGCATGGAACATTTCCGCAGAGGCTAGGCCGGTATCTGGTCCTAGGAGGTTAAGTTTCTGCCCCGCATTACCCCAGGTTTCACCAGGCCCTGCTTCTTTTTCGTCAGCCATGGCCATCTGTCCAGCCGAGGGCATTCCGCACCATGGAATTGTTCCGCTCACACAATGATAGTCAGGTGATTTATTCACTAGTCCGTGGTTTTATCTCTCCGGTTGAAAAGTAGAAAACTGTCAGGAAGAAGCCGATGTTAAGGACCAGACGGTTCAAATTGTATGGGCAAAGCTGATAATACCTGCTGCTCGCCTGCGCAAAAACGGTTCTGATATATTGCTAAGAAGTTAAGCTAATGCAAGATTTTACCTCGCTCTTTTTTTGCAATCGTATGGAAAGGAAAGAAACAAAAGACATCAGATATAAGAAAAAGAAGAGGTTATTCTATCTGCAACACCCCTATTCCTCCCTTTCTGGACAAGTAGAGAATTTCAGTGCAGACTATTCGGAAAACAGATGTCTGGAATAGTATCTTTATTTAGGTTGTGTCTCTCTACCGTCCATGTGGTGCCATTATACTCCGTAAACCTTTCACTTGTAAACTCCTAATAGTTAACTAGTTCTTATAGTTTATCAGAAGGGTCGAGACCACACCATTGTTGACAAAGGGGCTAGTGAAGATCATATCCACTTGCGCAGGGACTCCCTTTGCTTCTCAAAAAAAAACCTTCTAGAACAAGAATAGAAGAGCCTTACTTACGATCCGTTTGCAATCCATAGATGAGAACGTTTGAAACTGGAAAGGAATATTTCGACCTGAAATCAATTGGCAACGGACATCATCGGTGATGACATTCCTGACCAAAACCGGAATCCAACTCCCTAGGCTTGGAAAGAGTGGGGCCCAGCACCAGCATAAGGAAGACCACTACGGAGTAACATGTGCACAGAGCATGGGGGGAGGATAGTATTGATCAATTCCATTTGCAAGTGGAGCCGATCCAAACAAAGGTGCGCCTACTGGGGTGTGTTTCTGGGGGGACCCTGGGCTGACTAGGGCGATATGGCAGGCTGCGACTGCGAGTGGCCTGTACACAGCGTAATTCATAAGCTTGAAGCTCTCAATCAGGTGGCCGCGAAGAGATTGATCAAGTCCAGACCCCTTTTTTAGATTGATCTGCAGTCATTGGAGATCAAGAACCAGAATCGAAAATGAGTTCAAGGGGATGCAGCATCGGCATCCCGAGACATTTGGATCATGTGTGAGCAGGGGTAGTACTCCGTATACTCCGTACATAAGATCCCTTTCCTCTCATCTCCATTGAAGGGAAAATTGATTGAAATTCCAAGGAAATTTCTTCGCGTCATGTGTCGGAAGTAAGACCCGGAATTTCCCAGCCGAGCCAATGATTGGTGGGATAAAAAAGAATAAAAGAAGTGGCGTAACAAACTCCACTGCCAAGCTGACTCCAATCGTGAGCTGTCCTGATGACGCAGAGCTCGGATGTACTCGTGACACCCCTGTATCCGTAATGGAAGGTATAGCGATCAAGTATCTGGTACCTATCCTGAATTTTCATCGCAAATCTTGCCTTTCTGGAGATCTACAGTAGTTAGAGATTGTATTGTGCCAGGGAATTGGATGCTTTCATTGTAAGAAAAAGGAAAGGGAAAAAAAGAAAAAAAAAGGGAAAAGAAACCCTTATAGCTGGTAATCGGTCTTCCCGCCTTCCGCCTCCCTTCAATCCCTCCCTCTCTCCTCACTCTTCTCTTATCCTCTCCAATTCTCTCCTCAACTAAATCCTCTTGATCTATACTTTATTACCCTCATTTGGCATATATTCTTATTTGAAAGAACTGCACATTACATCAATTGATAACATAAAGCACCGTGATTTCGGAAGTCGCAGATAATGGCCGCTCGATACTCGCGCAAGCTCTTGAGACCTCTCCTCTACACATCTGCGGCAGCCGCAGCAGGAGCAGGTGTTCTTTACATTTCTTACCGTCCGCGCAATATTCCCGGTCTCGAGGGCCCTGCTGTTCCTCCCCCAGGGTACCGCGAAGGCAAGCTCGTCCCACCAAGTTTCCCTGCAATCAAGTCGCGTCTCCAACAGATTGAGGACCTCAAGCGCAGTAACGAGGAGGAAGAATATGATCTGCTGGTTATCGGTGGTGGCGCAACTGGATCCGGTATCGCATTAGATGCGGCCACTCGAGGCCTCAAAGTCGCTGTGGTTGAGAGAGACGATTTCAGTTCGGGTACCAGCAGTAAGAGTACCAAGTTGGTACACGGTGGTGTTCGTTACCTTGAGAAGGCTGTCTGGGAATTGGACTACAACCAGTTAGTTTCGCCTTTCCTTTCCGTCCTGTTCTTTTTTTCCCTCTTTTCGTCGCCAGGAAATTTTGGGGTTCTCAAAATGACATCATCGATGTGCATTGACGCTGACGATCGTATCGCAGATATGCATTGGTCAAGGAGGCACTCAGAGAGCGCAAGTACTTTTTGAATACAGCTCCTCACCTGTCATCATGGCTGCCAATTATGGTGCCTGTTCAGAAATGGTGGCAGGCTCCCTATTTCTGGGCTGGTACAAAGGCCTATGATTTCTTGGCAGGTTCCGAGGGCATTGAGACCTCGTACTTCTTGACCAAGAGTAAGGCCATTGATGCCTTCCCCATGCTGAAGCGTGACAATATCATTGGAGCAATGGTGTACTACGGTAAGTACTGAATTGCCGACTCCTCTCGCGAAGAAAAAGTTCTCAGCTAATTTCTTACAAGACGGTGCACACAACGATTCCCGCATGAACGTATCCCTTGCTATGACCGCCGCGCTTTACGGAACCACCGTTGTGAATCACTTAGAAGTCACTGGACTGAACAAGGATGCGAACGGCAAGCTGTGCGGTGCACGCGCCAAGGACGTCATCCTTGAGAAGGACGGTAACGTTGCCAAGGAGTTTAACATTCGCGCCAAGGGTATCATCAACGCCACTGGCCCCTTCTCTGATTCCATCCGCAAGATGGATGAACCCGATGTCAAGGAGATTGTGGCTCCAAGTGCTGGTGTCCACGTCATCTTGCCCGGCTACTTCAGCCCCTCAAACATGGGTCTGATCGACCCTTCGACTTCGGATGGACGTGTCATCTTCTTCCTGCCATGGCAGGGTAACACCATCGCTGGTACCACCGACCAGCCTTGTGAGATTGAGGCTCAGCCCCAGCCCACCGAGAAGGACATCAACTGGATTCTATCGGAGATTCGTGGCTATATCGCCCCCGATATCACTGTGGACCGAAGCGATGTCCTTGCTGCCTGGTCTGGTATCCGTCCATTGGTGCGCGACCCCAAGGTGAAGAACTCGGAGGCGTTGGTCCGCAACCACCTGGTGACTGTCTCCGCCTCTGGACTGTTGACTTGCGCCGGTGGTAAGTGGACCACTTACCGCCAGATGGCCGAGGAGGCAGTTGATGAGGCGATCAAGGTGTTCGGGCTCAAGACCCGCGAGCTGACCGCCGTTCCCGACATCAGTGGTGTCGGTGGTAGTGGTCTGGTGGCTGACGGTGCCGTGCTCGATGGTAGCTGCCAGACCCACCAGGTCCGCCTCATTGGTGCTCACGGTTTCTCCAAGACCCTCTTCATCAACCTCATCCAACACTTCGGTCTCGAGACTGATGTGGCCAAGCACCTCACCGAGTCATACGGTGACCGCGCATGGCAGGTTGCCGCCCTATCCTCCCCTACCAGCGAACGGTTCCCCGTACGCGGCTGCCGCATCTCCCCCATGTATCCCTTCATTGACGGCGAGGTTCGCTATGCCGTTCGTCACGAATATGCTCAGACCGCCGTCGATGTGATTGCCCGCCGCACCCGTTTGGCTTTCCTGAATGCCGAGGCCGCCCTTGAATCTCTCCCCGGTGTCATTGACTTGATGGGTGAGGAATTGGAGTGGACCAACGCCCGCAAGGATCTGGAGTGGAAGGATTCCCTGACTTATCTTTCGTCCATGGGTTTGCCCAAGAGCTTCATGGGTCTATCGCGAGCCGACGTCCAGAACGGTCGCGTCAAGCAAGTGGACGACAGCGAGCGTGCAACTTTCTCCCGAAACGGTATGTTTTGAACCTCGTTTTTCTCGCCCAATAAAGTATAGTGCTGACCAACCCTAGAACCTCCTGCGGACATGATTGAAAGTGACGTTCGTGCTACCGCTTCCGTTGCTGTTGCTGAGGCAGTTGCAGCCAAATAGATGTGGTATAACTATATAGACTGGTCTTGTACAAATAGAAGCGTTCCTTAATTGTTATCGTTCATTTTCCAGGTTAGCTTTTGTTGGCAATTTCTTTTTCACTGATCACGAGAAGGACTCGGCAAAACCCCCGAGTCTTACGATCGAGACTTCTTGAATAACACCTATTTTGCCTACGCAGCAGGTGCCACCCCGAACTTGCCGACTGTAGTCTCAAAACTTCCCAAACTTCCCGCAATGCATCCTGCCACTAATTACAGACACCATGACGCCAGATCGGGTTGATGTTGATTCTCCATCAGGCTCTGAAAAGCTCCAGCTGGGTCTGCAAGGTTCAGATCGCACAAAGTCGGAGTCAGTGAAGGAACAAGATCCCTTTGGAGATGAGAGCCAGGCTGGTGTGAAGTACAAGACCATGGCATGGTGGTGCGTATTGCTCTTTTCCAACCCATTTGAAAGTAGAGAGAAGCTCATTCATTTTGACAGGCAAGCCGGCCTGAGTAAGTCCATAGGCAGCCTAGGTGGATGAGTTCATTTACACTGACCCCGGTCAGTCATGATCGCAGAGACGATCTCGCTGGGGATTCTCGCACTGCCCAAAGCGCTTGCGACCTTAGGCCTCGTTCCGTACGCATCATCTCTCTCCCCGGTTGGAGGTCAAAAGCTAACCTGCCTTGACCAGTGGAATCTTGACCATCCTCGGTGTCGGGATCATCTCGACGTATACAGGATATACCATCGGCCGGTTCAAATGTCGACATGTGCAAGTTCATAGCATGGCCGATGCTGGTGATCTGCTGTTTGGAAAGATTGGACGGCACACACTGGACGTGGCCCAGCTTATCTTTTTTTTGTTGGTGATGGGTAGCCATGTCCTCACTTTCTCGATCATGATGAACGTCCTCACAGACCATTCCTCCTGCACCATTATATTCTCGGTTGTCGGGTTACTCGCCTCATTCATGTTGACTCTCCCACGGCGGCTCGAAAAGCTGTCTCACATCTCCTGGGTCAGCTTCGTCAGTATTGTTGGAGCGGTGCTGACTAGTATGATTGGAGTGGCTCTGGTGAAGCAAAACCCAGTCCCCGTCTCGGCATTTTCGTCGCCGCCCGAAGTCCATGATGCGTGCCTTGCTGTTGCAAATATCATCTTCGCGTACGCTGGCCATGTTGCATTCTTTACTCTCTTCTCCGAGCTCCGGGATCTGAAGGATTTCCCCAAGGCTCTGGCGCTTCTGCAGGTGAGCGAAATGGTTTTATATACGGTGGCAGCTATCGTCATTTATGCATATATCGGACCAACTGTCGACTCGCCTGCTCTCAATTCTACGGGGCAATTGTTCCGCAAAATCTCCTATGCGATTGCGATGCCCACGGTACGTACCTTTTCTTGTGCATGTTTTCCGATGACGAGCTGACGTCCGCTGGTTAGATTGTGATTGGAGGTGTGGTGAATGCCCATGTCGCTGTTAAATTCATATACGTTCGCATCCTTCGCGGCACTAACTCGATGCATAGCCAGTCATTTGTGGCGCGGTTGATATGGGCTATGGTATGTGGAGCGCTTTGGATCTTGTCGTGGATCATCGCCGAGGGGATTCCAGTCTTCAACGATGTGCTAGGACTCGCGGTTCGTTCAACCTATCTGACCTATCCCCAACTTGGAGCGAGTACTAATCTTGCTCCTCTACCAGAGCTCCCTATTTGCTAGTTGGTTTTCTGTCGGTCTGCCTGGGCTCTTTTGGCTATATTTGAATCGGAGTTGTTGGTTCCTGACCTGGCGGCAAAAGACTCTTTTTTGCATCAATGTCTTGCTGGTTTTTGTCGGATTCCTCATTGTGAGTTATGATCTGCTGCGAATTGATGACGCTCTGACTTACATCACTAGTGCATTGTCGGATTGTATTCGTCGATTCGCTCGATTTACCGTAACCTTCGTGAGGGTGTGGGAGGAGGCAGCTTCTCATGTGCCGATAACTCGGTATCCTAAGACGATCCTTCAACTGAGACGGGGGCTTTCATTCGAGGGGATGGAAATTGGGCATTGCACCTGGAACTATTATTAGGGCGTTTCTCGGTATGGGTATATGAAACACAGAGAACAGTCTCCGGCGTACAATTGTGTCTGCACTTTATATGAATCAATTGAGTTATCCTGGAGTCCACTTTCAAGGCGACAACCAATGTAGAGAGACCAGAGTCGGGAGCTACTATTCCTTCGGCCGGCAGAGTATGCCAGGGCTGTATGTTCTTTTGTCTTTTGTTCCTGTGCTATCTCTCTGACATAGTTACGCGGAGGTATATTTGTCTATGTTCCAATTACGTGTGCATCTTCGGTGCGTTTAGCCTCGCCAGAGCGACAACCCCTCTCAAACGTCTTAAGCAAGCCTCACTGGAGGCTCGACAGAGGATTACCCTCTGAGCAACGGAAATAGTGGTCTACCTACTAATGTTGTCGAAGAAGAATGAAGATTTGACCGAGGACTATCGCATTCACAGTAATAGCGCGGAAGTATCCACCGAAGGAACCATGGATAGACTTGAGGTTAAGCTTCTAAGGGACTTGAAACACTAACTTAAACTTATCAAACTTTATCTTAAAATGCCGCTTATCGTAAGAGAAGAAAGGCAGAAGCCTATTAGTATCTCCTCAATAACTTCTAAGCCTTATCCCGTCCGCTTCTCCGCATATTTGCGAATTGTCTCTCCCTAGTTTCTTCCCTTCAATATTTCGTGCTTCTTATTCTCTTCCTTCTGGGGGACTTGTCACATGATCTCTATTATCATGAAAGCAGCCGGATGAGAATACTAAAAGCGGCGCCCTACTCAACGCTCGCTACATTCGCATAGTTAATACTCCTCTGTAAATACTCCTCTGGCATTAACTAAAATGGGGTTTGGTCGCATTACCACGTCCAGATATCCTTTATAGAGCAATTTAACGCTTCGAAGTTTTCTGTGGTATTCAACGTGACGATTCGTGGTAAAACATGCGCGATGAAGGCCTGATTTGTGGGTTGATAGAGAAGAGAATCCTGGCTTTGACATCGGACAACAGGGCTTTTCGCAGTGGCACACTTATATCAAAGTTGACATTATGGCAAGGATACCTCGGCGAAATCTAGCCGGGAATACCCTGGGAGCCTCTTGTTTGGTTACCCTGTTGTCCATCCATCTGTTGCTTACTCGGCTGTCGTAAGGAGAACATACATGGTCGTCAGCCGCCGGATCTACGACTCTATCCTTGTATAACTAGTTTTGCACTATATAAATTTGATAGCTGCAGTTCTCTCTCAACGATTAATCTTAAAATCTCGAAGGACATGGGTGGAACCCTACAGGCTGCTCTACCTAGAATTACCGGTTTAACAGGAGAATAACCTTGAAGACTTTGATAAATAGAAGATTGAATCGGTGTCCAAGGTAGCCATTTTCGGCAACCAGTTTACGGTGAATTAGTGCTGCGGTGTAGTGTAGAAGCCCGACGCATGTATTGTGTCCCAACTAAGGGCAGGGATCAGGGCCAACTGTCCCTGTGCATAAAAAGCCACATAAAAAAGGGTGAAACAGAGAACGGCATGGCGTACATGCATACCGTCGTCACACCGGGTGTCGTATAACCGGGAGAAGGGCGTGACCACGATCACCGCGATTGTGATTTGCTGGAGTTATCGTATATCCAACGTCTCTGGACTCAAGTCGATCCCAACAATACCAAATCAGATTCCGAGCCTCTTTTCTTTTATCCCATGATGAAATGCAAAAATATTGGGCATCGTGTGGACCCCACCAGGGAAGAAACAAGTAGAGAGCAGTGCCCCAGCGGCGATCTGATTTCTGGATTTGGATCTAGATATGTCCGGTTTCCATGCTGGGGCTGTGTCTGCAATACCAGATGCCAGGGCCATGCAAGTAGAGCAAGTATATTGGTATTGATGGAACGAGCTCATCATTGCATGAGATTGGGCGCGTCTGAACCGACACCAATCTGGGCTTGTACCGCACAAGTGCAGAGGCAAGCCCTGCGGAGCTCCAGCGAGGAGTTGGGAACCCCCTCTGACCGGGTATATATCTGTACCAATGAACAAGCAACGCAATCGTAGCTACTTGGTGACACCGTCGCAATTGGTGGTCGCTTGATAGTTGTTCCAAAAGCGAGCCACGGCGCTTTGGGCGACAGGAGAGCCGCGGTATCGCGAGGCGAGAAAATAATTGAAGAGGGCAAACTCGTCTGGGCTCAACACGTAGTTATCTGGCTGTGCCTGAATCCGATTCCAAAGTTCGGTGATGGCAGCCTCCAGGACTGCAGCGCTTTCGGTGTTACCGGGGCCGTCCTCGCCATCCCGAGCGTGTTCTAAAGCCAGGCGAATTTCCGCCCAGCTTCTGGATAGTGGAGGATTAGGCATCTTGTTGAAGATGAAGGGTCTTCAGGCGATGTGCAGAAGGAAATAGATGCCTTGGTTTTTGGTGGGGGAAAATTTGGAAGGAATGAGAAGATGTGCGCCGCAAGGGCTCAACAAAAAGCGATGGCAAGGATATAGGCCTAATAAGTAACAGAAGAAGCGAGACTGTGCAGGAGACCGGAAAATCTGAATCTATTATTTTTCCCCCAGTAATTAAATGAAAAGCCGAAGTGGAGCAACGGGAAAGGGAGGGAGGAGGGGGCAGGTGGACACTGGGCCAGTGGTCCGAATCCTATGCTCATAAGTGTTACATGCGGTAGAAGGCGAAGATGGGTTTAGTTGACCCATAGGCTGGTGGATGAGGTTCAGGAACAGGAACAGGTCGGGGAGTTCACCTTCGTGCGAGATGGTGGTCGGGTAATCGACATGATAGTTTAAGAGGTATGTCTTTCACCTTAAGACAAAGAAGGCCTTGAAAAGGACAGCACATACCCCGTTGGGAAGGGCAAGAAATGCATAATAATAAAGCCAAGGGGATGGTGGGGTGTGTAGTTTGCATGGGCCACCAGGGCCAGGGAGTTATGCCCTTGGCGTAACGGTCTTCTCCAATTTTCTTTTAATGACATGCTCCGACTAGGGTCGAGCTAAACAGATGGTGGATATCGCTGTGGAAGGTGATTCGCCACTATGGTTCAAGAGCCAGGCAGGGTCGCTTAAAGCTGTAGACCGGAGAAGGACCAATTGTGACTGGTAGAAGGAGCGATGTGAATGGAGAGCGTCCGGTGTATCAGTTGAGTGGGACCAGCGGTCGTTTGAGGCTCGTTGGACTGGGTATTTCCGAAAAGATTCCAATCATTGCCGAGATATAAACACTGCGCTAGCGTCGTTCCCAGATTTCCCACCTCATGATTCATGTATCCCGCATATTCCAAGGTTCCGATTGGCGAGTTCTCTGGGTGATCTCGCCTTTGGGCTATTTCAAAACGGAATATCGTGGATGTATACTCGCTTCCGAGAGGATACCATACTTCTTCCGGTCACCGTTGATCTCCAGGGTTGTTCGCCCGAAACCAAAGGTGCTGTTGTGTAGGAATATCGTTGCCGGATAACTTTCCTGTCGTATTCACTTGGATCCAGAGCTCGTATTCGGGTCCTTTTCCTTTTGTTTCCAGCTCTTTCTTGCACTTGTTTGCCCCTTTCGACAGAGGCGACCACATCACACGAGACGTTTCATGTATTCTGTTGGCGAGGACAGATGCCAATTGCTTTTCTCTTTCAAGATGAAGTTGGAGTGCATTGGGCCCTCAGCAATCATTTCTAAGGAAGGATATTGAAGTTCAGAAGTTGAAGCAAAAGAAAAAGCAAATTGGGATTTGTGTCTGCCGGCCCAACTCTAAATGTTCCCCGGAGTTTCCCCTCTTCCCCTTCAACTTCATTTCAACTACATCTTTCCATTATACTACCTGGGGGCCTACCAATACCATCTTCTATGAATGCTTCCCCAATGGTAAATGGGAGTCTCAAAACTACCATCTCACATCCCATCTGACTGGGTATGTTCCACGGGTTCTGAAGCAGGATGCGTCGACCTGACTTGGTATATCCAGACAGAACGCCAGGTCTGTCTGACTATGACACCGTCTGCGATGAAGTAACTTAGCATTGCTATCACTACCTCCGGGCCAAGGGATCAGATGACGAGGGCTTACCCAGCCCATATCTCACTGTGCCTGAGCAGTCTTTTAGCTTTGAACAGTCATTGACTAATTGGCTTTTATGTGAGATACACGACAGGTTGTTGATGCACCATGACATTATTACTCCAAGGGTCTTCAATCTTGATCAGGACATTTGGTCTTACCACTTTGCCCTGACATTTTCTGCGATCTTAACTACAAGATGGGAAAGGTCAAGTCCCCCGCGGGCACTGCGCGGATACATCACAAGAGACATCATAATTCACAAACTGAGGTTTAGATTAGAAGAGGGAATATAGGTAATGCCAGTGAGGTATCTCGTTTAGATTCCATTCACTTAATGCGCCTCTACAGTCTCCAATTGGCACTGTATTCTTCTCTAGGGACATGTCTTTGGATCTGGTGGAATAGAATGGGACTGGTGACTTAGTTGTACTAATTGCAATCCCCTATGTGGCATTTGGTTTGCTCTACTTGTAATTGAATATGGCCGAGTCAATGCTGTTGTATCAGCGCTGAAAGCTCAGCAGCACCGTCGGCATCAGCGTTCTTCTATCGCGCGAAGGGATTCATTGAAGCCCAGACAGTACCTATTGGCAATAACTTCGCTCGCTCTATGCAGACCACAAGCGGCTCGTTACTGCGTTTATGACTTAAGCTAATTTAAGGGAAGAAGATCTTGTGAAAAGGAGTTTGTACATCACTCTTCCTGGTTGCTGCACTCCAGCTTTTCTCCAGATATAACCACAATACTGTTGCCTGGTGCAGGCGGTTGCACATGATATCGAGATAAAAAGACATGCTGAATCGATTAAGCCAAAAATCAGCACAACTTTTTTCCAAAGTCTGATTTCGACCTCTCGAGGGCAGGACTCGCCCTTGAAGCCCTGGAGATCTATACTGCTGACTAAGCATCACCCCGATAACTAAAGAATCTAAAGAATTCCCCCACCATCTTCAACTTTGACCTGCGCCAATCACGAATTGTTCCCCGATCTACTCAGTGCGCTAAAAGAGAAAAGGTTCGGTCGTCATGGTTTTCTATTTCACATCCAACGTCGTTGAACCATCCGCCTTCATTTATGTCGGCAAGGACAAATTCGAAAGTATGCCATCCACTGAGCAACCTGGGGAACGAAGTTTTAACGAGGATTTTAGACGAGGATCTCATAAAATATGGATTGGACAGTGATGTCTGGTAGGTTGAGGTTGTTTGATGCAGAGTTTGCCGAATTTGGTGACTGATATTCGAGCGCAACAGGGTTAGTCTTTCCTTCTTCAGCTTGCGACGCCAATCGCCCTAATGCTTCTATACGCTCACAGTTCCACGTCGATAATTTGTCAAGTGCACACGTCTATGTACGTCTTCGCGACGGCGAAACATGGGACAACATCCCCCAGCCGCTTCTGGAGGACTGCGCCCAGCTCACGAAAGCGAACTCCATCGAAGGTCAGTGCTCGACATGAACACTAGCACCTCAACCTCGGTCATTATTGACTTCGATTTAGGAAATAAGAAGGATAACATCACCATTATCTACACGCCGTGGTCAAACCTGAAGAAAGATGGATCGATGGCTGCCGGCCAAGTCACATTTCATAATCACAAGCTGGTCCGCAAAGTCTATGTTAAGCAGCGTGAGAATCCAATTGTCAACCGGCTAAACAAGACCCGGGTCGAGAAATACCCTGATCTCCGTGCTGAGAAGGAGGAGTACACCATGAAAAAGCAACGCAGTGAACGCAAGCTTCGGGATGAACAGCGGTCGAAGGAAAAGAAGAAGCAGCAAGAGTATGAACAGCTCAAGTGGCAGAAGGCTCATGCCTATGATGATATGTTCACCGAGGAGAATATGGAGGTCAGCAACAACCAGGACCGTGATGAGAATTTCCTCGACGACTTCATGTGATGGACACTACAGTCTTCTCTGACAGAAGACGATCTTTCCTCTGTGTTGAATGGCCCGCGAAATTATACCCTCTACATACTGCATACACCAAGTGAGAATCTTTGATATGACTATGAAGTACGGAGCAGATCCATTCGCTGCCAGTCATTGAGCCTTGTCATGTCTTTTTAGGTCATACACCATGATGTATTGTCGAAGCTACAGCGATCGATGGCCCTCTGAATAAAAAGCCTCCCACATATTGACAGAAAAATATATTTCCCGATCAACATACACAGTAGTTACTACGTGTATACTTTGGCGCAATCCCTTGGCAACTATGGCCGCAGGCTTGCTGGAGTACCCACGAGCACCGAAAAAAGGAGGATACGGTAAGCACATTACGTAGCTCTGGGAGATAAGTTAGACATGGCTGTCAGTAATTATAACAAATTGTATATGGGGAATTGTAAGAGAACATAACTTCCTAGAGGCGAATGAGATTGAGAGATTAATCATCGAGGCATAGCCGCCGCATAGGGCGGAAAGGGCGCTAGCCGTGTTGACAGCTTACCCTGAAACATTTGGCACTTACCAACTCCGCTCCCCCCCCCCAACGGACTTCTCAAACACCATACAGCCATGACCGAGGGAAATCCACCGTCTGCGGCCCCGAGTAAGCGCATGTCTCTCTGGATTGAGTGAATTGAGATCCACTGACCCCACCCCAAAGGCGCAAAGTCCAAGAAGAACAAGAAGAAGGCCGCAAAAGTCAAGAGTGAATCCAAGACCGATGAGCACCCAGAAGATGCGCCAGCAGATCTCGATGACCTCGTTGTATGCAGTGAACTCCTTCCCGACTGCAAATACAGCTTTGCTGAGACCCTTCTAGAACGAGCCCCATGATACCAATGCGAACCTCACACAAGAACCACAACCCAACGGCACTGGACCTAAACCAATAGATGATAGTCTCGCAGACCAGTCTGCCAATACCGAGGACCCCGTTACCACCACCGACGCTCCCTCAGGCACCGATGCTCTGACTAACCCCGCCTCCGATGGCACTGAGCCAAAGGATCGATTCGATGCACTCGTTCGAGATCGCGACTCCTTACGCGCCGAAGTGGCCGATATGCGGAAATCATTGGAAGAGATACAGTCCAAACACACTGCGGATATGGAGGCCCTGCAGCATAAATTGGACGACTCCGAGAGCAAAAAGGAGCAAGCAGAAACGCAGTTCCAAAAGCTCCTGGAAAGAGTCAACACCATCAAGTCGCAACTAGGGGAGCGGCTCAAGGAGGATGCTGTGCGTTGATACTAGGTTACTAGTCGAATCTTGTTGGCTAATTTTTGCTCTTTAGGAGGAATTGGCCCTCGCGCGATCGCAGATCGAAGACCTCGAAGACGAGAACAATAACTTGAAGGACCAGCTCGACTCAAAGTCTACCCAGCTGTTAGAGCTGTCAAGTGACTCCGCCGAAAAGGATAAAGAGCTGTCCACTCTCCGGGACCGGACGAACCTATCCCAACAAAATTGGTTGAAGGAGAAGGAGGAATTGCTCGAGCAGGAGTCATACCTCCAATCAGAGTTCGAACAAGCCAAGGAGGCTATGCACAATTGGGAGGTTCTTGCCATGGAGGAGCGATCTATCCGGGAAAATTTGAACGAAAAAGTTGGCGACTTGGAGGAGCAGCTCAGTAGCCTGAGAGATGCCTACGAACGAGCCACCGATGAACGTGACACTCAACGATCCACGGTTGACGGCCTACAACGAGCTCTACAGGAGATTCAGCTGGCACGAAAGCAAGAGCTACGGGAACTTGTTGAGAGTTCTGATGCTCAGCTCGAGGACCTTAGACGTTCTCTGCGGGAGGCACAGAAGCAGGCCGCAGATGCGGAAAATGGTCTTCGAAGTGCCCAGGAAGAGATCGAGCGAGTCCGGCCATTCGAGAAAGAAGTCAAGGAGAAGAATCTTCTCATTGGAAAACTGCGACATGAGGCAGTCACGCTGAATGATCATTTGACTAAAGCCCTACGCTTCCTCAAGAAAGGGAAGCCGGAGGACAATGTTGACAGGTAAGTTTTAGTTCATTCGAGCGTCCTCGCTTGCATGCTAAATCCTTACAGACATATCGTCACCAATCATCTGCTGCACTTCCTTGCTTTAGACCGCTCTGATCCTAAGAAATTCCAAATATTGCAACTTATCGCTGCACTATTAGGCTGGAATGATGGTGAGACTGTACCAGAAACGAAGACATTGCCCGAACACATCTAATTATTGGAAACAGAGCAACGCGAACAAGCAGGTCTTGCTCGCCCAGGAACCTCGAGTATGCCTGGGAAATTGCGTATCCCAGGCATCCCTCTCCGGACTCCGAGCACGCCAAACCTGGCGACGGAGTTCATGGACAACGGCGCCTCCAGCAAAGAGACGCTCGCCGAATTATGGTCCAATTTCTTGGAACAAGAGGCAGAGGTGGGTAGTACGAATCCATCGCGGCGAGGAAGTCACCAGGGGCCTCCAAAGTCATAGAGTACAGAAATGTATAAAGCAGCAAAGCCATAGATCTTGGATATTGATACTTTCATACTTTGATATTTTGATGTCAACTCCGCGATCTATGGCCATACAGACTACAGTAGTAGGTTCACCGCCTTTTATAATTCTGCCTCATTGTAGCGGCCATTTGGGCCGCATCGGATCGACATTTCGTTCCTTTGTATGCCTCATTTCACCTCCTATCTCCGTACATTCTCAGCGTCCTCCAGGCCACTTCTTCGTGGCATCCACTCTTTTACAATGGCACCTGCTGGTACGAAATATACCTTTGAGGGCAGGATATAGCCAATGCAAACAAGAACTTACCGTCTCTTTCCTATAGCTTTCCGACCAATCGTGATCTCCGGGCCCAGCGGGACTGGAAAGAGTACTCTACTCAAGCGACTGTTTGAAGAGTACCCTGATACATTTGGCTTTTCTATCTCGGGTCAGTGACGATCAACATGGGAGGAAACGGCGTTACTCATACTGCCCTACAGAAACCACGCGATCCCCTCGCCCTGGAGAGCAGGATGGCCGTGAATATAACTTCGTCACCAAAGAGGCATTCCTTGATCTAGTGGCCAAGAATGGGTTTATTGAACATGGTTAGTCACTCGCAGCCCAGGAACCTATATGTCCCTTAACTCATTGAGCAGCTCAATTCGGGGGCAACTTCTACGGCACATCGGTACAGGCTGTCAAGAACATCGCCGAAAAGAAGCGAATTTGCATCCTGGACATTGAAATGGAAGGAGTCAAGCAGGTTAAGCGGACGGATCTCCAAGCGGTAAGATGTTTTCGGTAGTTCAGGTGAGAGAGAATCTTTACTAATGCTTTCATAGCGATTCTTGTTCCTCGCGCCCCCTTCGCTAGAGGTACTGGAGCAGCGTCTTCGTGGACGTGGCACTGAGACTGAAGAATCCCTGCAGAAAAGACTGGCCCAAGCTCGGAATGAGCTGGAGTACGCTAAGCAGCCCGGTGCTCATGACAAGATTGTTGTCAATGATGACCTGGAGAAGGCCTATATTGAGCTGCGGGATTGGGTTGTCGATGGCGGCAAATTCGGCGCTACACAATAGTACACCGCATCTCATAATGAAGTGATTTAGTGGACACAATCCCGTTGCTAGCTCTTTAAGAATAGATGTCTGTCTCGTCAGGTTAATTAAGAAAACTAAGTACATGGAAAGCACCAGAGTTGACACGAGCGCTGGAGTGCCAACTCCCCTTTTTCCCTTGGCATTAGGAGCTCAATGGTTTTCCCGAAAAGAAATAAGATGGGATGTAGGATACAGACACACTAGAACAAACGAAAAAGAAGAAGGTGCAAAAAAAGGGGATATCTGCAAGGGCCTGCTGGCGTCAAAAGTGGACAGTAAGTTTTGGAGAAGGGCCGTCGCGCAACCGTCACAGCGCTCACGTCAGACATGAAAGATTTACCGGTTTTAGTATCCGTTCATGGCTGCGCGCTGCGAGTTGCGGCTCAGCTCCCGATCTGCGGAGGGACTGATGGGCCGGCTGCCACCGGAGTGGCCACCAGCAGCGCTGCTCTCCTTCAGAGCAAGCAGCTGCTTGGCACGGAAGGTCTCGTAGTGGATCTGGCTGGTAGTCTCCACCAGATCCTGGAGGTGGGTGCGGGTCAGGAAATTGCGCAGGTAGACGAATTCACAGTGGTTCTCATCCTCGACGTTGATGACACCCCAACGGTTCTGACGGCCGCGGACTTGCTTGCCGTTGACAACGATAGTCTTCTCGCTGCCGACAACGGAGAAAGGAATGATGTCCTGTGACCAAATGTCAATATCAAATTATAATGACTTATATCCCGGCTCGGGGAAGCATACCTTGATTTGAGCATTGATAGCACGCTCCTCGTCGTCGAGCTCATCATTATCGTAAGGGTACATCTTCAGATTGTGGAAGGCGAATTCCTCCTTGATGCGCTCCTTGAAAGCCTGGCGTTCTTCTAGAGTGAGAGAGTCGGATTTAGCGATAACGGGGACAACGTTGACGACATCGGACAGCTTCTTCAGAACAACGATATCGATGGGCTTGAGGCTATGCAGAGTTGGCGGGTCAGTCCAAAAGAGCTTCAAGGAGCTAGGTAGAATGAACTCACGCATGGCCGGAAGGCTGGATGAAGAACAAGCAGCAGTGAATGCGCGTGTCTTGGATGTAACGCTCACGTTGAGCAGTGAGTTCCTTGCGGAGGTACGCCGAATGTTGATCCTTGATGTACTTGACAATGGGGTCCCAGCTGATCATAATTAGCAAGGTCCGGGCCAATCTAGCTTGAGAGAGCTCAAATTACCATCGGTCATTGTTGACCTGATCACCGTAACCAGGTGTGTCGACAATGTTCAAGCGGAGACGCACGCCATTCTCCTCGATAACTAGTCATTAGTCAGTTACCTCCGCTTCGAAAATCCAGTGTCAAACATAGAAGCGTACTGTGCGATTCAGTCTTGATTTCGGTGGTGGAGCGAACGGGCTCAGAGGGGGTCAAACGGCCCTTGGAGTCAATCAGGTGGGATGCGAAGATGGTGTTAATCAGAGTCGATTTTCCGAGGCCAGTCTGGCCTAACGCGCGATGGAGAGAATTAGTTGAGGATTTTCCGGCAAATCATTGCTTAACACATACCGACACACATGACGTTGAACTGGAAGCCACGCTTCAACAGCTTGCGCTCAATCTGCGAAGTAATGCTGTCGAAACCGACATGGCTATGGGGGAAAACAGTAGGCTGTTCAGCCGAGGAAGCGGTAGTAGCGGCGGCCATTGTGGATGGAGAGAGAAAATATGAAGCTGAGAATTAAACGAAAGAAGTCAAGAGCCCGCCAGAAGCCAGAAGAGAAAGAGAAGTATGTTGAAGCTAAGAGCACCCCTTATTATCGTCGCTCTTCCCCTACGAAACTCAGGGGTGGGCTATACCTGATTCGGACTAGCGTCTCTCCGCGAGAAAACTACGATCTTGTGCTTTTGCTTCAAATGTCCCTGGCATAGCTCTCATCCCACCACATCGCTTTTTCAACGCCCCCGACTCTCTTTCACCATGGCATTGCGTCTGCTTCCGTTCGCTCCCGCGAATATGTCCCGCTCACGCCTCTCCGAATCCCTCCAATTTCCCCGTCTCGCTCGGTTCCTCCCGATCACACCCATCGCAACTAGCGGCTTCCTACAACCCGTCTCGATCTCTCTCAATATTCCATCCATCCTCTCCGATCTCTGGGACTCAGTCCTGCGCGCTGTCCCTAAGAAAAAGACCTCCCATATGAAGAAGCGTCATCGACAAATGGCCGGCAAGGCCCTCAAAGACGTGAAGAGCCTCAATAGATGTCCAGGCTGCGGTCAGATCAAGCGTGCTCATCTTCTGTGCCCCCACTGTGTCAAAGGTAAGATCTAAGTCTAACGATCTGCGAGATATCTCTGTCAATTGGTGATCGCAGTAAAGCTGACTACCTGACAGACATCAAGGACTCGTGGAGGACCCTGGACATGGCATGAGAGAACACTGCGAGATATAAACGTTTGCTCTAGGGACCGGGATCAGCCTGCTTGAGATCCCAATCTCAAGCGCCCAAAGAGATTGTATTTCTAAAATTGGTTGTGGATATATGCTGCATGGCAATTGGCGTATGGATTTTGCGGGGGGGGATTGATTTCAATATGACTTTACAGGAATCTGACCTACTAGCTTGAATTTGAGATATTTCTGTTCAATTGATTGGAAGTATCTGAATTCCAATGCTTCCATTGATACCCGAGAGATGGACAAGTTCGGGATTCAGATCTAGAAAAGTACGCAGTAAAACATGGAGTCGATAATCTACTGCTATGTAAGCGTATTGTGTAGCCCTGGAGTTAGCTTCAGCTTCTTATCGACTCAATGAAACAAACAAAGAAAATGAAACAAATGAAACAAATAGTCAAAGCACGATAAGACAGAAGATTGCGATCAAGGCGGTAGCTCGTGCCCAACGTCATTTCTGCAGCTCTGCTCCACGAATTTAGATCTCGACACAGCTGTGACAGGGCACAGTAAATATTCTCCAAATGGTAAGATCTGAACCAGAACATAATCAAGCCCATCGCTAAAACATCTCTATACAGTCGAAGCAATACATCCCCTGGGTCAATGCGGAAAATGGTAGGCAGTTCCCCGCGTGATGGGTTAGTGACTCCGCTGATATGTATGTTGCAGCGCACATTTCCGATATTTACTCGCTGGCTGTGACAGACAAGCAGCTTTTATCTGTCTCAGGTGGCTCGGCCATCAAAGTGCATTCTCTTACAGATACCGGGTTCCCACTGGTGCAGTGCATTGATGATGCCCACAGTAATGGATGTCACCATATCGTGACCGATGCGGCGGGCTCTCGTGCAGTCAGCGCTGGGTTTGATGGAAGTTTGAAAACTTGGTCTTGCCATGATGGTCATTGGGTTGCAGATGAAAAAGTGACTGGTAAGTGCTGCCCCTCTACGATAGCCCAGCACAAGGTCCAATTGTGTTAATAAGAGCACAGCGGACCTTAAGCATGCCTCGGCGTGGGCTATAGCTCTTTCTTGTGATGGCCAGTATCTTGCTGGTGTCACGGAACAAGGACGCATCAAAGTATGGGATTTGGCTGCGGATGGCAATTTGATTCGAGACCACGACACCAAAGGCAGCTTCGGCGTTACCATTGACTTGGTGAGACCCTAGTTGGACTCTGCCTTCTCAGGCCTCTGCTAACACGAGGACATAGTCTTCGGATGGCCGAATGATTGCGACTGGCCATCAAAACGGCCGCATTTACGTTTTCTCCACCGAAACGGGCCGCATGCCGTATAGCCTCCAAGGTAAGAAACGCCAACCGAAGCCGTGCAGAGACGCGAGTCCTAACCAATTGTAGGCTTGGTGGAACCGGTACGCGCCGTGGCTTTTTCTCCTGGAAGCAAGCTTCTCGCAGCAGCTGGAGATTCCAAGGTGATCTCGTTGTATAACTGCTCGTCTGGTAACCGAATTGCCTATCTCGCGGGGCACACCGGATGGATCACGTCTCTTTCCTGGAGCAGCACAGGAGAATATCTTCTCAGCGGGTGAGTAACTAATCAGAATCCACATATCGATACACGGTCAGCTGACAGTTACAAGTTCGTTCGATGGCAAAATCAAGGTCTGGTCTATGGAGACAAAAACTTGCGTTGCTACAATCCCGGAGATAGAGAAGGTTGTGTGGTCTGCCAAATGGCTCCCCAAGATCGGAAGGGCAGAGGGATTTGTGCTCGGTGGTGCAAACTGCAGCATCGACTTTTACCGCGAGGCTAGCGCTTGATGGAGGAACCGGACAGACAGCAATTTTGTTGCCACTGTGTCGTGACGATTGCAATGAAACCCAAAGAAATGTATTACTGAATATGCACAAGAATCATGAATTCATATGGAACCAATAACAAAAAGGCTCCCTTTTCACCTCAATTCATTGCTTCAACAAATAATTTACGCATCCGCTTCAGGAATGCTCCAAAATCTCGATCATCGTTGACGAGATCCACCACATGCTCCAAAGCATCCCGGTCAACCTTGGGCCGCGTGTGAAAAACCTCGTAGTCACGGCTAGCAGTGCCCAATTCAAACCATGCCTCGGCCTCCCAGTCTTTTTCCAGTAGATGGCTGTAGACAAACTTCAACCGGTCCTCACGGCCCGCACCTTCAATCCGAATACAAAGATAATCTTGCCAAAACTCCAACTCGGGGAAATTGAGACGAGATTGTGCATCCAGATGCTGTGCGTGGGACTTCTGTGCTTCCACCTTCTGATTGATAGCCTTCTGAGTTTCGGCGATCTGCTGCTTTAGACGATCACGTTTGGCGAGGCGGGAATCGCGTTCTAGGGTGATAGATGAGATAGCCGTGTGCATCTCAGCAGCTTCTGCCGCTTCTTTTTGGAGGGTTTGCTCATGAGTTTGGGCCTTCAGATTAAGGATCTCGATATCGCGCTGGCGCATGCGCTGGTCCTCTGTCAGGCAGTGTTAGCAGCCATAGTCGTGCAATTAGGCAGGGACCGTGCCATACCTTCATATTCAGCCATGTTTATGTGAAACTGATTCCGTTCCTCCAGGACTTGTTTGCGCCCACGCTCAATAAACGCGTCAAACTTGGCTGTGAATTGGGCCATGCTATTGCGTAGATCCTCAAATCCAAAGTTGATGCTGGGGAGCGAATCTGCCATTGACGGGGCATCAGCTGAGGCGATAGGAGGTCGCATACCGCTGGTAGATAGTGATGGTTCGAATGAAGAAGTCATGGTGTCTCAATATCAAGTTGTGGTGAGTCGATGAATGGTTTAGTTGAGGGTTGACGCGGGACAATGGGTTGTTTTGGGTTGCGGCGCAACAGCTGATCCCGATCCTTATCGATAACGATCTCCAAAAAACTTTCTTCAATGCTGGCGGCACCCACTTCCTACAACGTCGCATGCGTGCATATGTATGTTGACCGGCTGCACTTATACTGTTGCATTGGCCAGTATCGAGATGGTTTGGCCGGGTCTTGAACTGATCGCAAGAGGCAAAGAAAAATCCCATGGATGAACATCCAGACAGTGCTCTACATTATGGGCACGTAGGACGAGCTGTTTATCTTCCGGAGGAGCAGACATGGACATTCACTCGTTCTTTTGCAAAGTGTATGCAGCTATGGGACCTGCTTTGTTCTTCGGAATAGCTGACATCTTCGCCAGTCCCGCCGATTGTATATGCCGGAGTTACCAAGACAACAGTCCCCTCGCCCTTTCGTACAGATGACGCTCAACCAGTACCCAGAGTACCCGAGAAAACCCCCAGAAAGCTGATCACAAGTGTGCATCCAGACCTTGCAGCGTCATGGTCCTCCATTCGGGAAGAGCCTTTGTCGAAGACTGTCACGACCACAACTGAACAGTATGATCCGGAGGTCTCGACGCTGTTCGATCTCGGTTATGCCGTGGATCAGAGACGCCATGACAAGAAGTTGCGCTCAGTTCCAATTGCAGTGGCTGTGACCGGGGACTGCCGCAACATTATCTCTCTTCGAACTCTAGAGGAGGAAATCCTGGAATTGACTTCTCCGGAAAAGTTAGCCTTTCGTGCTCCATCAATCGATACCACTGAGATGTCTCAATGGTCTGACTGTGGCGCACCAATACGTCAAGTGTGCTTTGCACGCCCAATAGAAGAGAAGCCGATTTTTCTGGCCGCTCGTCTCCCCACAGCAACCGTGATATTTCGACCTCTCTACCACTGGGATCCCGTGCCTATGCGCTTCCCGGATAGCGCGCTAATGGGGTTTTCTATACCTTTACAAAATTCTCGACTGGATGCCAATCCGATCGTGAAGGTTTCTTTATCGCAGACAGGAGGATTCCCGCACGCCGATGTAACCTTCAATCCCTGGTATCAGAAACAATTTGCCATCGTAGATACCAGAGGCAACTGGAGTGTGTGGGAAATCACCGGCAGACAGCGCCTAAAGCTTGCGACTTGGTCTGCCGCACTTGTCAAAGCAGGCTCAATGCCCTCGCCGGACCCCACGCGCAAGCGTGGTAGCACTCGACTTGATGGTTGGGCTTCTATTGAATGGGTCCACAGTGTTGGATCGGTCGTTGTCGCCAACCGGCGCAGTGTTGTAATATATGCATTCACAGATGACCAGGTCCCGCCTCGCACGGTCGAGCTGGGAATCACAAGGCAATCCGAGTGGGTACTGGGCTTGCAAAGAAATCCACGCAACCCATCACAGTTCTTTGTCCTAACGACGACTCGTATATTGTGGTTCGATATCGGGGGTCTCCCAGGCGAAGATGATACGAGCCAGTCTTTACATCCTCGGGCCTCTTGGAGGCACTTTCGAGATCCAGAGGACACGACGTTGCGCCTTAGCGACATAGTCGTATATCAAGGTACGTGATAGTTGAACATTCGAATCCAGATCCAGTCTCTTGATACTGATGTTTATCTAGATCTATATCTCGTTCTGTATTCCCAGCTCACGCAGCTGGTACAGGCATTTCCATGTCCTTTCATAGCCGACGAACAGACTGAATCCATTTCCGTGCCCGATCCTCTGATACTCGATGCGCCGCTATTGATGGACGTACCTCCAAACAGACACGACTCTCCCATGCGATTCTCGTCATTGGTGTTCAGAGAGATTGCCCATTCTGTTACCCCGCTGGGCAGGAGCTTTTACAACCCCGACCTGACTCTGATCAAGCTCTTCTGGATGGATGGAGATCTTGCCGTCCACGAATCTGCTTTCAAGGGCCCGCGTGGAGATCCAGAGGAGCCGGACCCGTTCCGCGAAAGTAGTATTTTGCGGCTGAGAAAGCGCTATACCCCGACAGCATATGTCAGACCCGATGATAATTTCGTGGTGGATGACTGGGATGAGTCCGTAACACAGCAGGCAGTTGCTCCCCGCTACAATATTTCCACTGCGTCCGATACAGGCTCGGACTTACAATGGACCTTGGATTTCTCTACCATTTATGACATAGCGACTGGGAAATCGGAAATACCTCGGATCAAGCAAAAGAAGAGACAACGGCCCAAGCCAAGGACGCTTGACGGTTTAATCGCGAGTCTACAAAGCGAAATGGAGACTGGGCCGATGAAGCAGAGCCCAAGCCAGACGTTGGCTGAAATGAGTGGCAAAAGACTGTTGGCCGAGGGTCTCGATGAAAGCGCCGATGATGTGAAACGACTCGTCTCGGCACTTATGCCCGAAAGCCCGGACCCCGGTGCTCAATGTCGGTATATGCTCCTCTCTATACCAATTTCGAATGATCGGTATGGTATTCCAGCCAAGTTGTCCGAGGAAGCAGACAAGAATCTCTTCAACGTCTATGACCGGATAGTTGATGATTGGATGTCCACGCTCCCTCGCATCATTCCGGTGCATACGCGACTCATGAAAGAGAAACTCATTCGGGGAGTTGCTGCGGATCTCATCCTCTCGCGTCTCCTCAGGATCTCAACTTCCTTGGATGGCATCAATCTACCCCAGCTTGCAGATGCCGAGGAGGATCAAGTAAATGAGCAGGCTGTGGCACAGAATCAGCATCTGCATTCCAGCTACTTCTCGTTGTTGTCATCATCACAGATCCCTGCAAGTCAGTCCTCAATGACCAATAGCCGACTCTTTGGATCCAGGCGGGACCCGATGCCCGCCCAGCAATCCAAGTATGCCGCAGTTCCTGTCTTGAGTGGTCTCTCAGCATTCACCACATTCAAATCCCAACGTCCAACACCACGGAATGTTACAAATCTTTTATCCCACTGGTCAGTAGGAAGCAACCCGCAGGAGTATACATGGGAAAGGATCGAAGACGAGGAAACACGGCGAAGTTCTCGGCCGAACACGCCTAGGAGCAGACGAAAGAAGCGCTCACAGACTCGTGACCAATCCCTTCCTCCTACCCCATCAGTTCCTATGGTCCGTACATGGGGCAGTCAGCCAGTTGCTCCACGCATCAACAGTAGTCAGCCTACGGATGGGATGCCCATGACACAGATGGAGCGGGGAATTTTCGGAGCGCGTGAATTCAAGAAACCGAAGAAGAAGAAGAGAGCAGCTGGCTTTTAGAAATATGAAATGTAATACAATAATACTCATCAATATGGCTAATATGGCTCTGTATACTCTGTACTTGGTGGCCTATTAACAATTGGTTGTGAGAAATCACGCCAATTTGACTCAATTTCCCTCAAGGGGCTTCTGACAAATGCATACTCCGTACTTAAGAACATGCATGGGTTCAGTATAAAGTGCTTTCCTGCAATAATTTCTTTTCTTTTCTCTTTTCTGATTTCAGACCATTATTATATTTATACCATAACTCCAAACTTCACCGTCTCTCTGCCAAGCATCTTCGATCTTATCACAGCTTCCCCTCCCCCACACCAAAACACCCCTCACTACGCGTTCACCAAGTCACAATGTCCGACCACCAATACAAGTTCGGGGTGACAATGACCTGCGGCGGCTGCTCCGGTGCTGTGGAGCGTGTCCTCAAGAAGCTCCAAGGTAATGCGCGAACTATTCCCTCGCTTCTTGTGTTTACTAACACGTCTTGTTCTTAGGCGTCAAGTCCTTCGATGTCAGTCTAGAGACTCAAACTGCCACCGTCACCACCGAGTCTGATCTTCCCTATGACACGGTGCTGGCTACTATCAAAAAGACCGGCAAGACTGTGACAAGCGGCGAGGCCGATGGGGAGACCAAGGAGGTTTAGGTCAGCTATGCAGCCGCATGCTCTATATATCGAACACTTTTGCGTCATCGGACAAAAGGGCAAGGGTCATGAGCCAGTCTCGAGACCGTATACCCGAAGACAACCCAGGAGGGAGTCCTTGGGCAGAATACACCAATATATATATGTGATAGGTTACTCCCGTGGAAGTTCACGACTAGATGATTACCTACGATGATACACAGATGAAATGAATAGAGATAGAGAGACCAGAGCGGATTCAAATTAATATTGAAAGCTGCAAGTAGAGAGTCTTAAGAATATGCAGCAGGGTATCATGAATAGTATCAAATGCAATGCAATGTGCAACCAGAAAAACATCATCGAAACGAGCAGTTTTTCCAAACCGAGACAAAGGGGAATCAATGGAAGATGCGAGTGGGTTAATCCACAATGACAACACGCCTTCCATCAAGGACGGAATAATACGGCGAATGAGGTTCCACTCGTTGGACGTAGACTGGGCGGTTTTGCTCCGTAGTCTGAGATGGAGGATAATCGTGAGACGAGCTGTGAAATCCGTGTTAGCACAGCCCGTTTCAAAGGCATAGGAAGCTGAGTGGTCGGATTGGTTTAGTTCCCCCGATAAAGGCTTACCGCAAGAAGGCGAGCCCGCCACTGACTGGTCTTTCAAGAGGGACCTGAGGGGTGGACCCGCGAGGCTGGATAGTTCCTGTAGTAGCAGAGTCCGAGAAGGTGCGAGGGTACTCGTGGGAAGGAGCCACACGCGAGCCTATGAACAATGGGCTGTGTCGATCCGACAACGCCTGAGTCCGATACAGCTGCTTCGTGCGAGAATACTCAAGATCTCTAGCACGGGGTTTCTGACAGAGGTCCCCAGTGGGCTGGGTCTCGGGTTCTGGGCGCCTGGCGACGAATTCATATGGAGGAGGTTCATAATGGTCAACGTGCTGAACGAAGCCATCGGCATACAGGTTCCTGTCAGGTTGAACATCCTCTGGTAAAGGACGGCCATGGTCAACGCGGCTGCGCCGCATGACCCGCGGTTCCACTGGAGCACGGTCCAGACGAATACTACGATCACCAGGGTATGGATGCCAGTGTCCAGGGTTCGAAACGGCCGGAGCAGCTCCGAAGGCATGCTCGCCTTCCGAGACAAGGATACTGGCGCTGGAAAGCCCAGGTCGATTCTGAGGCTCGCGTGGTCCGTTAATAGGCTGCCGACCCAAGACTGACCTTGCATCATGACCAAGCTGGCCATTGGAATAGAGAGCTGGGTTCCTTTCCCGCTGATGTCGTCCTATAAGAGGGGCTTGTTCCACTGGCAAATAGTCTCGACGGGAATGAGGCTGGTCCGGACGATAATCTGGAATAAGTTCAACGTGACGATGAGGACGGGGCGCAAATCCCTCGGAAATGGGAAGGCCAATGGGCCTTGTAGTCCGCAAATCGGGACGGGCTTCATCTCGGGAATCTTCAGATGCCAGGCGTCTTCTTTTGCTCGCTTGCTCGCTGTCCCTTCCCTTTTCGACAACATCAGGGTGATGCATCGTCTCTCCTTGAGGATATCCTGGTGTGACCGATCGGAGAGACATCTTGTTCGTCATATGCACTAAAGGATGCGCGACCTCAGTCCGTCGGTGCTCTGATGGCCAGGGGTTCTCAATCGACGGTAAAATCACATCCTGCGCGTTGGATCCTGGTCTGGGATGAGTAGATCTCGCTGAGTCAGTGTATCGTCCTATGGGATTCCATTGTCGTTTCTCCTGCGGTCCGCTCACGAACACCGGCGCGTTGGTCCTGTCCGGCTGGGGGGATGGCCTTTCTCGTCGGGACCTTGGTTCCATCCTGGAAAGAGGAACATCCTGTAAGTGGATCAAGTTCGTACTTCTGGGCCCAGAGAGTTCTTCTAAGACCTGTAACTCGGGTGATTCCTGATTACTTGGTTTAGTGGGCCTGGCTTTGAGCTCATGTCCCGACGTCTTTTGCTGGAAGTCCGAGTGGATATAACTCTCCTGGACGCCTGCATATCTATGTCGATCCATTAGTGGAGTAGCGGGCACACGCTGTGTTTGGCTATCAATACTGGCTGAGCCTGGAATGGTTCGCCGACCAACCTCTGCGCGTTGAGGAATCATGTCATGACGCCGAGCAGCGGGTGGGTCCTGAGCACTGCGCTGCTCGGCGTATCGTGGGCTTCGCTTCCCAGCTGGGCCGCTAGCAAACCTAGGGTGTCCAGAACCATGTATACCTCTATATTCCTGAATGGCACGGTTCCATGCTTGGTACCTGTGGAATCCACGACGGTTCGTAGTGTCCTTTGCCGGTATTTCTGTGACAAAGCGGAATCCAGGCGGTGCTTCTTCAGATGGTTCCCGTGGAAGATCCTGATTAGGAGGTTGTGTGTTGCTGATGGGCTGACTCCGGACCTCATGTGCACGAGGATGGCTAGGTAGTATTTCCACGCTGTGGTGCCCTGCCTTGGACGCCACATCTTCCTCGGATTCGCTGTCTTCGTCGTCAGAGATAACGATCACCTCACGGAAGATATCCTCCAGGACTGTCTGGCCATTTTCATCGTCCCCTCGCCACTCAATGAGCTTTGATAAGGTCGTGTGCTCAACAGTTCCTCTTGCTTCATGGAAAGAAAGGTGTTTTAGGAGGCGGTCATAGTCAGTGTAGACATGCCGAATGTGAGCAACCACAGCCAACTGAGCTCTGCGAGCCATCGGTAATTCAGTCGCCGTCCCAACTTTTTTGGTTCCCTTATTTGTGAATCAGGTTTGTCATATTCTATTTCTTCAATCGTGGCCGGGTGCATGCTTACCTTCTGAAACGCCGTCTTGATGATTTGATTCAAGTCTGTGTCTGGTATGTTTGGAAAGAGGTCCCTCAAGGCATCCCGTGCTTCTGTGTTCAAAGTTATTTGAGATATTTCAGAGTCAGCCCGCTTGTGCTCGTCGGTCCCGCCAGTAGCATAGATGGCGACTGCTTTGCCAGTGCTTGTGAGATGGAACCCGAGCTCCGAGCAAACATTTGCCACAACAGTACTAGGAAAATGATATCCTATCCTATGAACATGCTGGGATAGGTTGTGAGAGCGATGGTGTGGGGTAGTCTAGACAAAATAAGCAACGTTGGCGAAACAGTGACCAGCCAGGGTTCTCACCGATACAGCGTGGATCTGAAGACCCTCAGCTCGACACCTCTCCTTACACGCCGTAGTAAGTAGAGGATTACCTGCAGGAATGAAGGTGTAACCACTTGGTGCTTGCGCTTCAAAACAAATCTGCGTATTATTTGTTAACCGTTCGGTCTCGAAGCCGAAGGATGGAGGATACATACGACACTCCGAAGTTTCTTCTTTTCTTGTGTGACAGATTCCATGATGACCTTATGCCTTCGAGCTCTCCTTTGAGCCGCCCTACTTGGACTGCGCCTGGCCAAAGCCGAGGCAGCCCTTCCCATAACCCGGGCCATAGTTCTGATCCAAACAGTCGCAGAACCTTATGGAGATGAAGGCTTAACACATTATTCACGATTGTTAAATGTGTTATGTGATCTGGTAGATGATATGCGCCTGGATCACCGAGTAAAGGTGGAAAGTGCACAAACACGAGAAAAGACGTGTGTGTATGCACTGGGAGCAGGTTGCAATGCAGAAGGTACGAAGCTAACTTATGGGCACCCCGCGGTCGCCCAAAACAGAGATAAGGTCCTTATTGTGCTCAAGTCGAAAGAGGGTGAGCAAAGAGAGAGGAGGAAATAAAGGGAAAAGATTAAAAGGAAAGGGAAATAGAGACGAGGGGAAAGATCTCAAGAGACCAGAGACCAGAGGGCAGGGAGGGATTGATAAGATTGCGTTGCGGCCCAAGTCACCTCTCCTAATCGTAGTCCTGCCTGAGGCTTCGATCTTCCCCAACTTTGACCTTCGATTCTTCATCCCTCCAATACCAATCCGACTATTTGTACTCAACAGTTCACATATCTCCGACTTCGCTGGCTCCAACTGTGTGCACCTCTGTGGAGATTGTTGGCTCCAATTCGTCCCACCGATCGGACATGAACGCTTCGATTCAGACCATGGTGGATCGGCGAGCTGTGGTCCACGCATACCGTCACCTCTATCGACAGGGGTTGAAAGCCATTCAGTATTCGACACCAGGTCGCTATATCCTTCTGAAGTCCCTGCGAAAATCCTACCGTTCATCCCCATCCGAAGAGTTCGATCCTGCCAAAATCGCCAACACTATCCGTTTTCTCGAAAGGGCCACCGAGGTCGCAGGCATGGAACACAAGATCTTAAAGAATCTCCTACTAGTGAGGTATTGGCAGCAGGATCACCTTGCGAAAGAGGCCCGCGTGTGAGTGATCGTTGCTGGCAGAAGTGGAGAAGAAAGCTGCTGACTTGCTACTACTAGTCCACGAAGTCTGGGACTCGGTCCTGTAGAGCAGCACTTGCGGACAAGCGTTTTCGAACATTATAATTTGACACTTGACCGATTGAATGAGAGCTTAGGAACCTGTCTCAGATGATTCAGACTCCACAGTTCTCGACTCTCATTTTGGTCCCGATCCGACCCGCCGCACTAGATCGTGCATCGTCAGGCCTCAGTGCTTCCCTTGGGCAGGAATTTGCATCGATGCGAAGTAACCCGCCCAAAAAGGAGTTCTAACTGCCGGGAAAGGACGCAGCCAGAACGCCGGCACCCATCTCAATCGTGTCAGGCTCCTGGGTGGGACCCGATGGCCAATCCTGCCTCTGGGCCATCACCAGGCGCCTAGTCTCGTTTATTTGGCATACGAAGTATTATGCCCGTGGTGCTCTACATGCCGTGGCATCTAACTTCAACCAATTCTAGTCTCCACTCTCCAGACCTAAGGCACATCAGCGAATACATGGTGAGGCCGGTCGCAAAACGTAATGACTGGGAAAAACAGTACAAACAAGAGACTGCGTGGTAAAATCCCCTGAGCAGATCTGAGCAGATTCCAATTCAGATGACCATCTCATTGCTTCATTTCAACAATTTCATGAGTTATTACTGCGTAGTTATGTACACAGTACGATGTCCAAGTAAAAGTCCCCACTGGAGACTGCCCAGGCATGTGACGATGATTCAGCATCGGAGGCGGTGCCCGTGGACGTCACATGCCACGAGGTCTGTTGTTTCAGCTCCAAGTTTGGGTTTGATTTTGCTTGACTACAAGCATCGTGTCTATTTGAAATGATGTTTCACAGCCCTTCATGAGTGGTTTCATTTCCTCGCTGCTAATCCAAGTTGGAATCCGATCCCCCAATCTGCCACCCCCACCGACCAGGCAGCCACATGACACCCAATCCGAACCTCAGCTGAACGAACCGACAAAGACATCGACAAGCGATAGCAAAGTTGAAGATCATAGACCTGTCACTCAACTGAGCCAAGATCACCGACATACACTCAACAACTGTGGAGATGCGGGTGCGGGGTCCCTGCGTAGCGCTGTCTTCTTCACAACCCTGACCAAAGAAATGGATGGACGGAATTTCCAGCCAGAGGGCAACCGACCAGTGGCCAATGACACATCTGAATCTATTCGGAGCGCGGCTGTGACAGAAGGTTTATTCAATCCTACCCATGGCGCCGATGCCACTCCGCTACTGGACCGCCGAGACAGTTCGACGAATCCACAAGCTTTACATCCCGCTGAGATGGTGGGCCCACAGACTGAACCGCGTATTGGAGCTTCAGAAGTAGCCGTTGGAAGGCCACAGCGATCTTTGGGCAGTGCATTTGACCTAGATACTCCAACACAGTCTTCACTTCCAGCAGATGATGGGATGGGAGTGCTCCGAAGCAAGATCATCGCGATCAGGGAGATGCAGGTCACTAATCTTGAAAAGGCCCGACTAGTTCATGATCTGATGACAGAAGATTATAAATCATCCCGTGACAGTTCGAGTACGTCTGGTGCAGCGGTGCGTTCTACTCCATCCAGCCCGCAAAAGTTAGGGCGGCCCACGAGTCCGAGCGCTCCCGGGGTCTCGGAAAACAATACATCTGGACCAATTTCACCAAGCCTTGAGTCGCCTCCACTACAGGAGCACTTGTTCTATCTCACACCTGAAGATCTACGACCGACCTATGTCCCCAAAACAGAAACAGGGACACCAGATATCGAAACTTGTGACGAGGAATTGGATACAGAAGAACAGGAAGAAGACATTCTTGGCTGTGTGCATTATCATCGCAATGTGAAACTCGAGTGCCACACGTGCAAGAAATGGTATACTTGCCGTTTCTGCCACGACGAAGTTGAAGACCATTCTCTTATTCGCCGAGATACTGAGCATATGCTTTGTATGCTATGTGGGGACGCCCAGCCTGCGGCGCAGACCTGTAGGCAATGCTGTGAGCAAACAGCCCACTATTATTGTGAGATCTGCAAACTCTGGGACAACGACAGCAATAAAAGCATCTACCATTGCAATGACTGTGGTATTTGTCGAATCGGACAGGGACTAGGTAAAGACTTTTTTCATTGTCAGGTGAGGGCTCCCCGTGAAATTAGATGATGGCTGATGAGCGCTGACAACAACACAGACCTGTTCCGTCTGTCTTCCCATGTCCATTGAGAACACCCACCGTTGCATTGAACGGTCCACTCAATGTGATTGCCCCATATGTGGAGACTACATGTTTGATTCTCCAGAAACCGTGGTCGTCATGAGGTGCGGCCACAGCATACACCACAAGTGCCTTGAAGAGTATTCCAAGAGCTCTTTCCGTTGTCCGATCTGTAGCAAGACCATCACCAACATGGAATCGACATTCCGAAACTTGGATCGCACCATCGAGAGTCAACCTATGCCGGAGGAGTTCAAGGACACCAAAGGTCTCGTTTACTGCAACGACTGCAGTTCAAAATCAGTTGTAAAATACCATTGGCTTGGCTTGAGATGTGACTTGTAAGTTCTCTTCAAAGATGGATGAATGTCAGCTAACGGTGTCTAGATGCGAGTCGTATAACACAGCCCAACTTCGCATTTTGCATGGTGACATGTCGGCTCAACCTGAAGAACATATGGGGGAAGATTTGATCTCCCGGCCTCGATCGTCTTCACTCATCGAAGAGAACGACTCGATGTCGTCTTCGCTGGCAGCACTGACCGTCAACGACACCTCGGTCTCTCGCTCAAGGCTGAGCATTCCTACGCCTCCTGAACCGGAAAGGCGATTCTCATCTTACAATATCACACGGGGCCGTGCTGTCTCGCCCGTCGTCAGCAATTATTTCGGACTGCCGACTGAGCGCGAATCTGAAACCCCCTCATCGATGCCCTTCTTTGGGGGCCCGTCTCGTGGCGAGAATGAGGATTATGGGGCGCTGAATTTCTTGAGCAAGAAGTTTACCTACAGCTATGGAATATTTGGTGGTGAAACAAAAGCAGCGGAAAATATTTCGAAAGCTGGCAATGAAGAGATCGATGGAGAATCCTCTGAGTCAGCTGAGTCTGAGAGTGACGATGAAGAGGACGAAGATGAAGACGACGAGGAAGATCAAGATCAACATCACATCGAAATTTTCGGCCATCAATGAGGCCGATATAGAGCGGTCCTCGCCCATGAGCTTAGATATCAGGTTGATTCGTCATCCTGAGGGTGGTGCCTTTGCCCCGAAAGATTATTCGCGGTAAACCCTTGTGGTGCAACGAACGCTGTGCAATCATTGACTAAACTATCCCTAACCCACGGCTTCAGCTTCAAAAGCAACTCCATGGTGCCGTATCTGGCATGATCATACCCAGCAACGTTCGCATGAGGCCCAGTAGCGAATGAAATGTTTTCGGGCTGATATGATGGCGCACTCATACCTCAAGCTTCCATTACATGCGCTTGCGACGAAGGTACATTTATCCTAGAGCCTGGTTGATATGTGGGCCTACACAGTCAATCAGAGATTGGCTAAACGAACTTGGAGCATGTTTATCTCCACGCACATCCAGCAGCTGGCTTGCTGCATCATAGCGTTCAGTTTTGCTTTGTTTTCCGAGGTGCAGCACATCGACAGCATGACCGCAACGATAGCAGATTCATTCGAAGTTTTATGTTTGACCGTTCGGTCTGCACTATATGTATTCATCTCTTGTAGTATCGGTGCCTATAACTATTGATTTCCTTAGATATAGCCCTAAGCTATAAATAGCGAAGATCGCAGATCTCGTCATTATCGCGATATCCGCTTACCTCAGCGACGTTCCGCATGCGGACTGAGATTCCATCAATCCATCGAGTCCAGATGACTTTCTACCCGTATTCAGAACATGTGCTCTGTCTGTTTTCATTCTCGAGGCTATTTAGACTGTTCTCAATGAAGATCTTGACTCTTTTCTACCAATTTCCCTGAAACGAGGCACGGATCCCTCCGCACCCCCAGCCCTGAGCCGAATGATATGCGCATGCGTTTCTCTCCTTCATCTCAACCGTCTAGATTGTTTTCTTCTGTTTTGTGACTTGATATCAGTCGACTGGGATCTTATGATTTAGTTCACCAAAAAAAAATATCTGGTTGAATCAATCCCATAATAGCCCTCCTCACAATCTCCTATCAGTACTGCCCCGCCGACATCCTCTCCCTCTTCGCGTCGCATTCCCGCCCGTATTATGATCCGTCGCAACTCCGATATTGAGATCCAGCTCCCGGATGCTGGGCCTACACCTCTTTCTCCTGATTCCGTGAGCGAAGTCGACGTGGAGATGCTCTCCGAGGAGCCCGCTCCTCCCTTGAGTCTCCCGTCACACATCGCAGCCCGGTTCTACCGGAAAAGCAGCAAAGTTCGCCGCTCCTCCTCCGCCTCATCTCGACGAAGCTCGGTGTCCTCTCTGCAGTCCCACCACTCGAGCGCATCATCGAACGGCCCGGCAAGTGCAGACAGTACTGCCCAACATCTCCGCCGCATGTCCATCTTGGAGAGCCGAAAAGCACGACTCGCGGACCGTGCATTGTATGCGGAGAAAGTGAGGCTGCGAGCCTCTTTGGCTAAAGCGGCAACAAGGAATCTACAAATCGAAGAGAGGGCCTTAGCCGCCCAGCAGGCCCGCGAGCGTCTACTTGCCGACATCACTGCCAAGTGCGAGGACCAAGTCAAACGCGCCAAGAAGAAGGCCGAGGACCACCGGGACAAGATAGCTACCGAAGAAGCTCGAATGCGCTTGGAAATGGCAGAGAAGTTTGCAGAGGCAGAGAAACGGCGCACTTTGTACCAGCAGACTCACCGACGCCAGCGGACGAGCAGCTTGCCAGTCACAGAAGAAAAGAAGATGTCCAGAGAGGTCACCAAATCGCTTACACAAGATGCAGCTGCGCGGAAGATCCAACGCGTGTGGAGAACCCATCATGCGAAAATGGTTATGGGGCAATTCCGGCTGTTGAACCTCACAGTGGATCGAGTCCGCGACATGAGCTTCGAGGAAGTAGGCGCACTGCTCTCTAACGGCGCGCTACTAGATACTATGACACGAGTGCTCCGACTTTGCGACCCGCAAGACATGGAAGGTGGTTCGATGGGCGAGAGGGGCGCAGTACGCACATTCCTTAGCAGTTATCTCATCGTCACTCATCCGAAAGAAGTCCTGAGCAGCAATGGCGATCAGGAGCAGGATCTGATTGCCAAAGCCCGGGAACTACTGCTAGCCTTTGACCAGGTCACGGCGCTACTATCGTCTGGTTGCTGCTCTCCATCCGTTATCACTGCGGATCTTCAGACTTTGTGTGAATCACACAATGTGTTTTTCTCTGCTTTCCATGCCTGGAAGACCCACGACTCTACCGTTTTAATTGAAATCATGGTGGCGCAGTTTGTTGAGTTGGAGTTAATCTGGCAGACGGTCAAAAACGATACAGCCGGCGGGGCTGCAGAGGACTACAGGCAGGGAATTCGTCAGAACCAGATTCTGTTGCTCGCCCGTCTGAAGAGACTTGCTGGACCTGACCGCCACATGGAGATGATCCGGGATTCATTGAAGAAAGCCAAACGGGAGAAAAAGCGGGCTGCCTCCAAGCAAGCTATTCCTCGGTCTGTCGAGGCCGCTCCTCCCACCGCGGATGTGCTGACGGAGAGTGTCGCAACGCCTCTGAGTGAATCATTTAACAATATCGATGCTGCCGTGTTCCAAGAGCTGGATAAGCAGCGGACATCTCCCCATGATAGATTCACCAAGATCCTCACCCCTCTTCCTGAAAATCGGGAGCTGGTGCATGAGCTTCTCCTCAACAAAGAATTCAGGATCGAGGAAGCACCCTACACTGAACCACGCAGACAAATCATGAAGCAGATGTGCGAGACGATGAAGATTGAAGTTGCAGCTGGGCACGGCACCAACTGGACTGTGGCCATGGCTACTGTCATTCAAGATCGCTTACTGCGTTCACTCCAGCGGGGAAATTCCCTTTACGTGATAATCAGCGAAGCGTTGGATCCCAAGCTGGTCCAGAGCCAGTGCGAAGCTGGCACATTTTCTTATGAGAACTTCTTCGTGTTCATGAACAACATTTTACCACGGCTTTGCGCTCCTTATCGGGACTCGGTGGTCAAGGCGTATATCGAAGATACCTCCGGCGATGCCATTGACCGGTTGGCTCGTTTGATGAGCGTAATTGACCTGCTTTCACTTGATCAGACGAATTTTATGATCCAGCTTGCCGCACCCCAGCTCATCGAAGAAGCCCCGGGATATGAGAAGCGAGCATTTGACCGGGGCGTCGCAGATGGGACCATCAGCCTTAGTAAGACTAGACGCTTTTGGCGTATTCATCGCAAGATGATCGTTGATGAGATGAAGAAGCGGGATCCAGAGGGCATCCAAGGGGAACCGCACCCACCATCAGCACGAGTCTATGCCCAAGGACTTGCAGACACCGTTCTCAGCAATGCCCTCGTGTCCGAGGATCTAGTGCCAGAGACACTGAGTCTGGACCGCCGACGGCTTGAACGGCTGCACGCCAGGGCGTTCCAGATCGTTGCCACGGCTTCCATCCTCCTGACAGCAAAAAACCTGCTCAAACGGGACGCACGGTCTCAATGGAAGGCCGAAGCAGATCGGATTCTGTCGCTCGACTTCAACGAGATCACCGCAGAGCGGGTCCAGTCTATCCTCGAGTCCACGCATCCGATGCCACCTGCTGCGAGCGCCCAACTTGCAGCTACAGTCAGACGAGTCCTCGGCCCCGTGGCTACTGCATGTATCGCAGCTGCGCCTCAGCTTGCAGTGGTCACCTCAGAGGCACCGACAGAGTCGCCTGGGAACACAAACTCCGCCCCCAGCTTCTCCGACCCGGTGGCGAAACTCATTCTCTCCCGCCTCCGTAGCCATGTCCTGTCGCGTCTCAGCGCAGCAAGTGCGTCTGAGCGGGTGCGAGCTACCACTACGGCTAGTCAGAACCTGGCCGGAGCGGGTATGCCCGAGTTCGTTAATGAGGTTGGAAAGCTGGTAGAAGAATTAGAGAAGATCAGAGAGGTGGATTGGCTTTGCCATGGGACTGTTTATGAAGGTTTATACGAAGAAGGCGTTGCACAGTGAAGGCGTCCTTGGATGAGCATTACAGAGCATATATCATGTTTCTTTTCTTCGTTTCCTGTTTGGTTTCTTCTGCTTTTTTATAATGTTGGATTCTGAAGATTGAGAGCGATTAGGCAAATTGGCAGGACATGTGATTCTTAGACTTGTATGGTCGATGCCCTGAATGTTAGGCCATCACTTAAACTCTCCTCCCTCTCCCTATCTAATCAGTAACCCCACACCTAAAATCGCACCAACCACTTTCCCCTCCAATTCCTCATGAACAGGACAATATTTCTTATGACACTCCTCTCAAGATGTCTTCAATCACAATAAAACACCTCTCCGACCTCACACCTCCCTCCCAAGAACGGACTTGGCTCACATCCCCGCATCCCACCCTCCCAATCGTCGCAACCTGCAGCTCGGACAAGACCATCCGCATCTATTCCCTTACAAACTTCACCCTTGTATCCACAATCACAGGCGGACACAAGCGGTCCGTCCGCACAGCAGCATGGAAACCGCACATGTCAGGCGAATCCGTACTGGCAACGGGCAGTTTCGACGCAACGGTTGGCATCTGGCGCAGATGGGATAGCTACGGACGAGAAGACGGAGCCGGGTGGGGGATGGGAGACAACAAAGAAATTACCGCCGAAGACACCACAGCACCCAATGACATCGACACCTCCAACCGCGAAGAAGACGAAGAAGAATGGCGGTTCGCCGTGCTACTGGATGGACACGACAGCGAAGTTAAGTCCGTATCATGGTCAGCATCTGGAATGCTGCTTGCAACCTGCTCGCGCGACAAGTCGATCTGGATCTGGGAAGATCTCGACGACGGCGACAACAACTTCGAGACCGTCGCCGTGATGCAGGAGCACAGCGGCGATGTAAAGTGTGTTTCGTGGCACCCTACAGAGGAATGTCTGGCTAGCGGGAGTTACGACGACACGATCCGGATTTGGCGGGAAGATCTTGACGATTGGGGCCAGGTCGCTTGTCTCAAGGGCCACGAGGGCACGGTCTGGTTCCTGGATTGGGAGGGACAGGATAGCGTACCCCGTGGTATTTCCTCTGGAGCCGCAGCCGAGTCCGACTTGAGTACTTTGCAAGCTCAATGGCGCACGCAGATCTCCCTCTCCGGCCCTCGGCTCCTCTCCTGCTCGGATGACCGTACTGTGCGTGTATGGCGTCGTCAGCCGAAGGAGTCACAACAGCAGGCAGCACTGTCGTCTGCGGCGACGGGAATCCCGAGTATTATCCGGCCCATGGGGACGGATGAGATTTGGGAGGAGTATGCAACCCTGCCGCGTGCGCATGAACTGCCTATTTATGCTGTTGCATGGAGTAAGCGGAGTGGGCTTGTGGCTTCGACTGGTGCGGATGGACGAATTGCCATCTACGAGGAGCGATTTGTTCCGGCACAGAATTCAGAGCAGCAGCAGGCTGATCCGGATGCTATGGATACTACGTCTGGTGATGGTCTGACAACACCATTGCGGACTGAGTGGGTGCTTGTCGGTATTCATGATGGGGCGCATGGTATTTACGAGATCAATCATGTTGCCTGGACGAAGAGGGCAGACCGCGGGTCTGGGGCTGAGGAGGAGGTACTTATCACGACGGCGGACGATGGGAGTGTCAAGGTCTGGACTGTGACCCGGTGATTTAGGATTAAACATACACAGTAGCTACGCTACCTGTTGGATCGAATTGGCTTGGTATAGATTGAAGGCTCTGTATTTAGGACCTTAACCCTGGAGAAGAATATTTAATGCTAGATAGCGAAAACAAAGCATGAAACCTTTGCATAAGGTCTTCATTCCCAAATCCCACCTAAGCGGTTGAAATGCAAATCAAACCCCTAGAACGCCGCCTCCTTTATACAAATGCAGCCATAGAGCAAACCGGGGTGGGGCTATCCATTTGCTATGAAGATGGGCGGGTTTCTCCAGCCCCCGGATGCAAAGCGTGGTGATCATCATCATCGCTCGTCTCACCCACAGCATAATGGTCGTGCTCAACACCAGGGGAGTGAAGCTGATCCAATTCAGATTCATCAAAGTCACCCGTCTCGACATCACGACCGGAACGCTTGTGCTGGAATCTGTGGAGAATGGAGGAATTCTCCGCTATATCATTATCCGAGACATCTCTGTAGCCCCCGCGAGAGTTGCGACGATTGCGCCAGATGAAGAAGCCCCAGACAAGCACACCGATAATCACAATTACGAGAACGGCCTCGCCAGACTTGGTATAGGCGTGCATCTCGGTCTGCTTCAGCTTTTCCTTCTCGTCCTTCTCATGGGCGGTGCTATTAGTCTGCCCTCCGACAGCAGTCTGCGGCAATTTCTCCCCATCGATGCGGGAGTCCGAAGGCTGGCCGCCGATACTGGCGATGTCGACGTTCATGAAACGGTCGAGCATGTCGCGGCTCTGACGGGGGTTATCGAACGGAACCATGTGGCTTGAGTTATAGAAAAGCACGTAGGTTAGATTACGGGCGGATTGGTAGATGCCAGCGGGTTCGTCTTCGAAAGACCAGTCATGGCGCGGGGCCCAGACACCGGGCGAGGTCTCGAAGCCGCTGCCGCCCTTCCATTTCATGTTGTGAATCAGAGTCTCCGTTCCGATATGGTTACAAATCAGATCTTTGTCGCCACTAAATAGAAGGATGTTGATGCCGGATTCAATTAGGCCCGGGAGCAGGTTGACGGAGGGGAGGGATTTCTTCGCGGTGAAGGCCTGGTGGACCATGCCGGAGCATTCGGTCCAGCCGGACTTCTTCGCTGGATTTATATTGAGAGCCTTGACAACGTCCGGTCGTTGAAGATATGGCTCAATGTTTGCCAAGTCAGGAGGCCAGTTCATGCCACAGGATAGGGCCTTGTCCTTGAGGCGGATATCGTACATGTTATAGCACTGCTGGTTCTCAGTGGTGAGGTCAAGGAACTGCTGCAAGACAAACTCGCACTCGCGTAGATCCAGCCTGTCCTCTGCGCCTGGGGCCTCCAACTTTGAGAGACAAACTTTGTTGAGGGAGTTCATCTTGTCATGGAGAGCTGTTCCCGGTTTCACGAGGCCTTCTCTCTCGACGAATTTGAGATAAGATGGGTACTGATCTGCAGGGGAGATCCAGCCGTTACCAATCAGCAGACCTTTTACAGGCCACTTTGTGCCGCCATTCGCTGCACGAGCCTCGTTGCGATCCTGGATGGCCTTTGCAATATATGGGATATGCTGACCAGCATAAGATTCGCCTGCGATGTAGAGCTGCAACATTGTTAGAGAGAAACCCCAATGCAGTAGAAAGAGAAACATACGTCATCAGACTCGTACTCAGGAAATAGGTCAAAGAAAGTCTCCAAGAAGGTGACAAAATGAGCAGCCATCTCGTCCAACTCATGGACATAGCTATCGGTGTTGGCATAGCTGAACCCCGTCCCGACAGGCGAATCGACGAAGAGCAAGTTGGCAAACTCATCCCACCGGCCTTCGTTATATCTCAGCGTCTGGTCGTCATTGAGTCGATAGGGCCCAACTTCCATCAATGCACCATCCATTGAGCTACATCCTGGACCGCCATTCAACCATATCACTGTGCGCTGACGGTTTGCGATGTGGCGGTTCTGAAAATGCCAGAAGAACAGGTTGCCGTTTGTTTCGGGATCGACCTCGATGTGTCTAGAGTTGTCGCGTCAGACAAAGCACCTTGACAGTGGAACACCGAGCTTGAAAAGCTTCACCCGAGAACCGTGGTACTCACCCAGCATGCATCTTCAGAAAGGGGCCCTCAGGTGCCCCTGGTAAATTGTGCACATAATAGTCCGCTGCCGAGCTGGCCGACACGAAGGTTGAGCTCAACAGCACCGACAAGGCGGATATTAACGTCACAGCACTGCCCCTTATGGGAGATGATAAAAAGGGTATTGAAAGCATTTCAGCGGTCCAGCGCGAGTACCATAGGAATAGTATAGGGGAATAGTTGAGTAGATGTCCCTGGGAGGGACTCGTAGGCGTGGATCAACAGATCATGAATTCAGACACGTGGAGGGCACGGGTGGGAAGTCTGCGGGATTTGAACCAAATAGCCCGGGGGTAAAGCAGAAATCTCCGTGGTCTTTGGAGCACAAAGAGAAAGGAGATTCAAGGTGGAGAGTCGAGAACATGACGGAGTCTCAAAAGGTAATCAAAGCTGGCGTGGCCTGTGGTAATGCGGGTAATGAGATGGTAATTACATGATGCACTGCCACACACCACTCTGACTCTGTTTAATCATGGGGTAAATTACTGTATTAAAATACCACTCGGGCCGAATTGTCCCTACTGTGTAGATTGCGCCTCATTGCGCCTATTGAGAGATCAATCGAGTTTGGTATTTTGCATAGTTAATTGATATGTTCTAATCGACCAGATGGCAGATAGTTTCTATTTAGATTGACAAGATCAAGGGCGAAACTCCGACTTTTTATTTTTCATACATGCCCAGGCGGTAGTAGGCGCTGCTTCAGCCACTTTCCGACCTTATTATCCTTTAATTTGGCAGATCTTCAGATGTGAACTTAGAAAAGATCGTCGAGGGACTTGTCGGCGTCGTGTTTAATAAGATCCACCATCCCCTGAACTGTCAGCTGCTTGTCTGTGGCAATCAACAGGGTCACTTACATCGGGCATAATGGGCTCCCCATTGGCATCTTTGACGTAGCGGAATGGCATTTCAGTGCGCTCATGCTCGTTAATGAGCAGTTCGGGGTAGTCGACATATTGAATTTCCTCGAGGGGCACTTGGCACACCATCAGCTGGCATATTCACTATCTATATTTCACAGTACTCACCCTTCTCGTGCACAACCAGGCGAGTAACTCGCACAGCAGTATCTGTAGTCATCTGCTTAGGTCCCAATCGGCGACCAACGTAGCCCTTCTTCCTCAATTCCGAGGTGCGATCTGTAAGGTTGTTAGTACATTTGAAGTGAAACTACTGTACTCCCTAGTTAGAGTATGGGGAGACAAGTACATACCTCTTGGTGGGTCATCACCTGCAGCAGTTAACAGTCAAATGTCAGTCCGAACTCAATCCATATCTCGTGGGGTTCAAAAGAAAAGAACAAAAGGCATTCCATACCGAGAATTCCACCAAATAAAAAGACTTCAAAAGTATTACCATCCTCAGGACTCAACTCGGTCGTAGCAGATGGATCCAACAAACAGACCTTATCCTTACGGTCAGCGAATATCTCCTCGACACTACGCTGTTCGACCTCGAGGCCCTTGGTGGCGGCCAGATCCGCGGGCATCTGCAGCTCGGCGGGCACAGAGCTCAGCAAGAATCTTGCCCCGCGGGCATGGGATTCACGCGCAATGCAAGCATATTCCAGAGTGGACCATGGGCCCAACTCAGGGTCTAAGTGTTCAACCACAAAGGTTGGTTGGATCTTCTGTTCGGCCATGTTGGTGTGAGAGACGTCACAGAAATTTGCGGGCGGAATGAAGTTTGGGAAGGTTTTCGGCCCACTGCACGTCGAGTGGAGGACCAGCCCTGGAGGACTTATGGATCAGTTGAAGTACTGTGTAAGTACCGAGTAAGTACTGTGTGTGATCATAACGTAGTTAGTACTAGTAGTCTTGAATGAACTACATTAACTGTTCATGTGATCTAGGAATTATGTACGAATAATTGCACTTTAGCATTAAGAAAGATAGAGATAACTGATAACTGTATAACTCGACTATATACTCATCCTCGAATAATTACACAGTAAAGAATGAGAGAAGAGTACAAAAAGTTCCCTAATTTTGGTTGTCGGGCCCATGTACTGTGTGTACAGCGTCATCTACGTACAGCACCCACTACAAATATCGTGTCTCTGATTCCTCTCTTCCCCTCCGGACCATTTCAAATGAAATAGCCCAGTCATAAATACCAACCGTCTTTTTAAAATTTCTCCTCTTCCTTACTTCTTTTCCTCTCTTCCCTCTTCCCCGAGTGTCACAACCTCACTTCATTCTCCCCGCCCTTATCCTTCCCGCCTCAACTTCCCCCCGCTTCAACATTCCATCCTCCAACTCATCATCATGAATCCGCATCAACAGAACAAAGTCGATATCAACGTGGGTACTACATCGACTATATTATTCTCATATCTAACATTATTCCAGTCGCTGAGCCCAGAGGAGCAGCGCCTGCTGCGCCTCTACGGCAAGATGCCCACCAAGAAAGACCTCCTTCAGAACAAGCTCAAGGCAAGCCAAAGATCCCCCAGCACTTATCCCTCAAACCAACTCTAACACATCGCTTTCTACAGGAGCGTAAATACTTCGACTCGGGCGACTACGCTCTCAGCAAAGCAGGCAAAGCCTCAGACGTGGGCGTGACCAACATTGGCTCGCGCCACCCAGTGCCGGAGAACATCCCGCATCTGACATCGACCTCCCCAGGCGCGAACACTTCCAGCAACAACGGCAGCATCAGCTCCCAAGGTGGACAGCAGCTTCCGGGCAGCGTCAGCGGACACCCCGGCTCGGTCGGCTTCCAGAGCCGCAGCCCCATCAAGGAAGGAGGTAGCTTCCTGCACCGTGGATCCAGTGCGAGCGAGGGTGAAACTGGCTCTGGTCTTGCTTCTGGATCTGCTCAGGGTGAGCAGGAACTGAGTGTCAGTCCCCCTCCTGCGAGAGAGGGAGTTCCTATCCGTCGGTAGGCGAGGAGCACTTACTACACTTACTACACTTACTGGACTGCACTGGACTGTGGCTGTCCTGAGGACAATCGTTGCATGCATATCTTTTGAAGGAGGTCTGTGATTTCACTCTCAAAAGCTCGGCGCTATGGGGATTTTCATATTGTTTTTTTATTTTTTTCTTTCTTCTCGAGGGGAGGAACTGGGATAGGATTGGGATGCACTGCGGGACAGAGCAAGCGTGAAGGAAGCAAAGACGGCCGGTGCTCGTTCGCCTGAGCTGATGTTATCTTCCGAGAGTCAGCACCATAAACCCCTGTCCAGTCAATCGATCACTGCCGGCTCTCCAGCGTCTTGACCTTCTTCCTTTCTCTGCAATTATCGTCATTTATCCAATTATCATCAGCAATCTGTGGCATTGCAATTTTCTCTTTTTACTTTCTGCTATGTTTTCTCTCTTTACTTACCGCGTCACTTTCGGTGCATTATGTCTGCTTGTATTCCTTCTGGCTGCCATGCTTTAGTTATACACATGGAGGGATCCACTTACCGTGTCTTGACTTCTGCCGTGTTATTTGTATCAGCCATGCGATTTGTCCATATCGAATAAAAGATTATTGGCCTGAGATCGGAGGACCTGATGCGTTAAAGCTGGAAATGAAGCAGTACGTGTTTAGTGACTGAAACAAAGTCTTTAAATGACTACACCGACTTGCGACTGGTACATCTCTACCAGTGGACACTTAAAAATCAGGTAGTTGTAGAAGATCTGGATTTCTATTGGACCCCATCGAGAGCATGACAAGTGAAAGGAAACAGAAACTGCCAAGATCCTGCATACACAAAATGGTTTGAGTCGAGCCAAGACCAGATACATGGAGAGGCTCGGGGGTGGAAAGCGAGCAAAGATCCAGAAGGCTGTGAATGGGAAACTTGAGCGAGACAGCAAAGGGTATAGGTGCTGAACATCGTAAACAGTAGTAGTAATTCAGGATTGGTGTGAAAAACAAGACAAAAATGAAGAAAAATAAGCACGAGGTTTATTTGATGTCGTCGGATCGTGAAAAGGAGGGGGCGGATGGAGCGGTGTTTTATTGCCTCGAGCCGCCCAACAGAGGGATTGCGAGGTGACAGGCTTCGGGTATAGGGCAATCAGAAGCACTGGAGGCGAAGGGGTGTCAACAGACAAATCCACACTGGATAATGCTGGTTGAATATGTCAAAGCTCTTAGATCGTACAGCCATGATATCACCCATAGCAATCGGAAGGGTAAGTCTGGCGAAATATGGGTAAGAGTGACTTGAGACGGAATCCGATCAACAGCAAGACCGGGGATATGTGGCAGGATCGAAGCTTTTCTGGCGGACTCGATCTGCCGTGGCTGTTGCAATGCCCCCAAACTGATAGTGAAACCCAAGAAACAACGCTAAGCGGCATCTTTCGTTGTCAGAGGCGGCGAGATGGGTCACTTGGGTGGCTTCTAACCGACTGGGCTCGTCCAGCAAGGTACGACGGCGAAAAAAAGAACGAAGAAATCCCGTTGCATTGTGCTTGGATTCCCACCGCGCGTTGTTGGAGCAACTACAGAAGCCAAGCGCAGGTACGACAATTCAACAGTCATCATTCAGTCGGTTTTCCAGTGGCCTGCCACTCCGTGGTCGAGATCATCGTTTTCCCCGAGCCACAACTCGACCGCGTAAAGCGTTATTGTGCAGGCAAGATTGATCCACCGCCAAGGGTTGCCTCCACCGTTGCCATGACTGCTCCACCATTCGCCGCTGCCGCCCATTGCTTGTGATGTTGATGCGAAGTGTTGCATTAACAGACTGGTGTAGACCGCGATGAGGATACTCGGGGCAAAGTAGCTCAGGAAGCCCAAAACCTGACCCGCTGCATCGGTGTCGTCTATGGAAGCTTCTTGGGAGAGGGCACGGGCGCCTGACTCGCGGACAGCGGGGATGATACGTGTCGATGCATACAGCACGAGGAGGCGGTACGCGAGCGAGATGAGGACTGAGGGCGTGACAGCACTGAACACTGCGGTAATAACGTTGAATCCTGCGTGAATAATTGACGGCAGCAGGGATAGCGCGTGCATGAGTTGAGTATATGAAGCCATGATAATGGGAGGTAAAGGAGGGAAGTCTCCGCTTTGTGAGGGCGAGGGAATCTGTTCCACGGGGTGCGACGGCTGGTAATCGGTGAAGATCTGGTAGATGCAGAGGACGATGTAGGCGAAGAGAAGAGAGCTTTCGACGGGGTTTCCACGGCCACTACCGATACCCCAGGCGCACAGAATAACAGCGCATGTGATAGAGACTCCAATCAGAGCGGCGTCGACATTGGAGATCTCCGGGAATTGCAAGACACGCCAGAGGAAGTAAACGGAGCTGGAGATGATGGTGGCCGACAAGACCAGGAGACCAATCTAGAGTTGAGAGTCAGTCTGTGTCCGGTTATTCGAATGAGAGATATCTGAGACATACCATCCAGCTATCGCTGCGCCCACCTCGGTTGACCAGCCAGCGGGTGATTTGCCCAGCGGCCTGAATCACCAATAAACTGCAAAAGCCCTCCGCCAGTTGGAAGACAGGCGTAGACCATCTCAGAAGTCTGTCCCAATTGCCGAGTGTCACAGTTTCCACCAGGCCGTCACGACCAAAGAGCCATTCCTGGAGAGAGGAATCGTGTGCTCTCTTGCCGCTGAATGTGCGCTCTGCCCATCCCATGTTGGTGCTATCTGAATCGACCGAGAAGCGATTCAGCGACCAAATCAAAAGAACCAAGATGACAGCCCATTGTGAGAACCGGAGAACGGTGATGATAGAGGATCGGATCCACGATCGGTCAGGGGTGGTGACCTTCAATAGTGAGAGGAAGAAATAGAAGGCGGCTAAGGACAGCGAAAAGGCCAGGCCACATGTCTTGCCGCCCACATCGAAGGCGAGTGGGATGGACGAGACAGTGACGGCGAGGAACAAGGCCGATGAAAAGACTCGTAAGAGCCACATCGGACCGCCGAAGGAGGTGGGTACGGCGGAACGCGAACGGAAGAATCGAGAAAAAGAGGCGACTGCGGTTTACAGGGAACTATGATCGTGTCAGAGCTAGATGGGGGGGGAAGTAAAGTTAAGGAGGGGGTGGGAAGGTACTGTTTTTCTTTTTTGGCGAGAGCTTATCGCTTGACGCTTCACGTGGGCCTAGGCAGGGAGGACAAGAGTAGGAAAGAACAACAAGACCAGAAAAGCAAAAAAAAAAAAAAAAAAAAAGGAAATCTGGAAGAGATCTGAGAAGTGAAATCTTTGGAGAAAGTAGAAAGGAGGCGGAGTTTCAAACTAAAAGAAGCGGAACTTTCACAGTCTCTTTCTAATTAGTTACACCACAACGCTAAGTGACCGCAAATTGCTCTGCCCGAAAGGGCTAGTTTTGACGCCATTTTAAGGCTATTTAGTATACGCTTAGTCATACCACGTGATTGGTCTCGGCCTAGCTTTTACGGTACAGCGTAGCTAGCCAGTGGACATAACCATTTATCTATTGTTACTGTATTCTTGTCGGCTAACATTATGACCCATTGACTCTACTACTGGTTGGTGAATCCAAGACCATAAACACTACAAGACTCCGGAAAGTTGAAACTAACCCCAGGTGGACCCACTCACGATTCAGCCTCTTTTCACAAGAATCCACCAGCTTTCCACGGAACTCCGGGCTATTGAATAGAACGCTCTTATCGAGAGTCATCTCTAAACGCGATGTTTGTACCTACTAACACCAGGTCCTGGAAATTTGAGTCGTTCGATTGCCCGATATATCATCCTACCATCCAAGTTCAATTCCACGCCGGGATTCAGACCCTCAGCTGCGATCAAAGCCATTCGCTCTCAAAATATATAGAGCGGGAATAGAGGTAGGTAACCTATAGTGAGTATAGGCTATACATGGACACGGGCAAATCGGTATCTCTGATAAGACACAATGACTTCTCATTCTCCAAGTAGGCATCTTTGTCTCATAATCTGATACACAACTGTTACTTCTTACTGGAGGTTCGAACGATTGTTGTACGGAGTATGAATCCGCTTGAAGAGCGAACTCAGTCACGTGTAAGGAATCAGCCCTATTTTTGAGCCCTGATAACCCGATATGGCAATGCAGATAAGAATCTCAGCGAGCCAGAGCGCAGCAATTAATACGTGAATATCTTTCGGCCATCTCCCTTCTATTTTGAATGTTCAGATTGAAAAACTACTTCAAAATGGCCGAGAACGTTGCAAAGAAGCTCAAGACCTCGTCTCCTTTGATCGGGACACACAGGTGAGTCCTAAGCCCTGGAGCTTGCTGCTCATCTAGCTCAGCTTGGTCATGCACTGACAATTACAGCGGCCACTTCCACGCCGATGAGGCCCTAGCCGTTTACCTCCTCCGTTTGCTCCCCACATATGCATCCTCCTCTCTCATCCGCACGCGCGACCCAGCTGAACTGGAGAACTGCCACACCGTTGTCGATGTCGGCGGCGTATACGACCCTGCCACCCACCGGTATGATCACCACCAGCGGACCTTCTCAACAACCTTCCCTCAGCACGAAACAAAGCTCTCCTCCGCCGGCCTTGTATACATGCACTTCGGCAAGGCAATCATCGCCCAGAAGCTGTCTTTGCCCGTGGACCATGCCGACGTAGACCTGCTCTACGAGAAGCTGTACACTGACTTCATCGAGGCCATTGACGCCAACGACAACGGCGTCTCCGCCTACGACGATGCCGCGCTTACTGCTGCCGGTATTGAGAAGCGCTTCAAGAATGGCGGTGTCACCCTCGCCTCCATTATCAGCGACATGAACAACCCAGACCCCACCAGCCCACCAGGCGAGCCCCAGGACGAGGATAGCCTCTTCGGCCGCGCCAGCACGCTCATCGGCAACGTATTTGCCCGCAAGCTGCACCACGCCTGCACGTCGTGGATGCCCGCCCGCACAACTGTTGGCTCCGCCTACGCCTCGCGCAAGGAAGTCCACCCCTCCGGCCGTATCATTGTCCTCCCCCAGGGTGGCGTGCCCTGGAAAGAGCACCTCTACAACTTCGAGGCTGAGGCTTCGGGATCCAAGGAGATTGACCCCGCCACCCAGGTGTACTATGTCCTGTACCCCGAAAGCGCTACCGAGGGAGCCAAATGGCGTGTGCAGTGCGTTTCCACCTCCGAGAGCAGCTTTGAGTCTCGCAAGCCTCTACCGGAGGCGTGGCGCGGTGTCCGTGACCAGGACCTTGATGGTGTCATGGCCGCAGAGGCTGAGAAGAATGGTCAGAGCAAGATCCCCGAAGGTGCCGTCTTTGTTCACGCTAGTGGATTCATTGGTGGCCACAAGACGAAAGAGGGTGCTATGGCTATGGCTGAACGTAGTCTGGAGCTGTAAGTCTACGGTTATTGTCAACACGGAAACAAAAATTGAATTTTGATGGAAACATTCTATTTATGACCTTCAACGGAAATACATGATTGGGTTAACGTGGCAATTGGTCCCTTGCAATGGCACTAGGGCGTCGGACTTGATGTGTAGAAACTTCACTTGTTCTGGCATCAGTATACTGGACGACAAAGCAAAGCCTCTTGTGTTTGCATAGCGAGCGGCTCACACTGCCGTTTCCGATATATAGTAGAAATTACTTCCTGCTATACCTGGCGTTTCAGATCCTGTTTTCCAGCTGGACCTGATTTTCGGCGCTGAGTAGCAGACGCGCCAAAAGAAGGTTGGACATGCGGCAAGTGTAGGCACAAGTTTGATAGGATGAGCCTTGGAGGTCGTCCAGTCAAGCTTTCCCGGGGCTTCGCGAGCGATGCTCTCTCACACAAAGCATGGTGCTCGGACTGATTGAGACTGGAAAGCACTCTTTGCGCTCCAACCCGTAGGCTTCCGGGTAGTCCGGGGGTTGAACATCTGATATGACCTTTGAGCTGAAGAAGCATAAACAAGCCCTCAATGACGAATGCTCAATGAACTGATATCCTCAATACTTCCAGAGCCATCGCCAGGTGTTGACATGTCCTTGGGTTCGACCTGAGAGGAAGTATCCTCACGCTCGCCCATTGCCCTTTGGATGAGCTTTGCCTTTGTAGCGGCGCCTTTCAGACGCTCGTCCACGTCATTGACAGCTTCCTCCTCATTGCTCATATCCAATGTAGCTGGGTCGACGAGTTCAAGAAGTGTTTGGAGATTCCTGGCAAGTCGAGTGCTGTGTGGCGGCAGACTGGGCATATCTTTGCAGATAGCGGGATCAAGAGAAAGAGTATCCCTTGTGCTATGTGCTTGCACCGAGGGGCTTTCGGACGGTTTCAATTCGAGTCTCTGTGCCCAGACTAGGGCCTTGCCATATAGACGACCCATTTCGACGAACTTCTCGAAACCTTTCTCGACAGCAAAAACGCTGCCTTCAGTATATCCAGCTGCCGCTCCGTCTGCGGCGCCGAGCGCGTAGCCCTCATTGTAGAATTGTTCCTCCAGATCAAGGAGGCTATCCAATGGATTGGAGTCCATTGTATAACGGTAAATTCAAGTAAGGAGAAGTAACTGAGTGAAATGAGTTGGAATAGTTGGAATTGGAGTTCAATGATAGTAACTTTTTTGGTAGGCGCGGGGTCACGAGATAAGCCCACTTTTTGCTTTTCTTGCCCGCTCTTGCCCGCTCTTGCCCCTCCAACAAAGACGTTCTTCCCTCCAACTCACGACAAGATGACGGATCCCATCTTGCCTAAAGCTGGAGAGCGCAATATCCTCATCACTAGCGCTTTGCCCTATGTGAACAATGTCCCTCATCTGGGCAACGTCGTGGGCTCCGTGCTGAGTGCCGATGTCTTTGCTCGGTATGACTCAAAAGTTCCGGAATATGACATTGCGCTTCAGAGCTAACAGAGTCTGACAGATACCACAAGGCCTGTGGTCGGCCCACACTGTATATCTGCGGTACGGACGAATATGGAACAGCAACCGAGACTAAGGCACTGGAGGAGAAGATGTCGCCGTCGGATCTATGTGCCAAATACAACAAGATTCACCAAGATGTCTACGAATGGTTCAACATTGGCTTCGACCACTTCGGTCGCACACCCACAGAGAAGCACACAGAGATCTCCCAGTCTATCTTCAAGCGCCTGTACGATAACGGTTTCCTTGGCGAGCGCACCGCTGAACAGCCCTACTGCGAGACACACGGCTCATTCTTGGCCGACCGCTTCGTAGAGGGTGAGTGTCCCCGCTGCCACTACGACGATGCCCGCGGAGACCAGTGCGACAAGTGTGGTCATCTCCTCGATCCCTTTGATCTCATCAACCCTCGCTGCAAGCTCGACGGCGCTGCCCCGGTCCGCCGTGAGACGAAACACATTCACATCCTGCTCGACAAGCTCCAACCGGAGATTGAGAAATGGGTCCACCCCGCTATCGAGAAGGGTAACTGGCCCAAGAACTCGCGCATTATTACCGAGTCGTGGCTGAAGGAGGGCTTGAAGGAGCGTGGTATCACCCGTGACCTGAAGTGGGGTGTTCCTGTCCCGCTGGATGGGTATGAGAACAAGGTTCTCTATGTGTGGTTCGAAGCTTGCATTGGCTACCCTTCCATCACAGCAAACTACACCGATGAGTGGGAGAAGTGGTGGCGCAACCCTGAGGACGTCCAGTTGTGGCAGTTCCTGGGCAAGGATAACGTTCCTTTCCACAGCGTCATCTTCCCCGGCACACAGCTCGCCACAAGAGATAAGTGGACCATGCTTCACCACCTCAGCACCACTGAGTACCTCAACTATGAAGGTGGCAAGTTCAGCAAGTCACGCGGTGTCGGCGTGTTCGGCACCAACGCTCGCGAAACCGGCGTATCCGCCGACGTGTGGCGTTACTTCTTGTTGAAGAACCGCCCGGAGACTGGCGATACGCAATTCGAGTGGGGACCATTCGTTGATAGCAACAACAGCGAACTTCTCGCCAAACTCGGTAACCTCGTCAACCGTGTCATCAAGCTCGTTGCCGCCTCCTACGGCTCCGTCGTTCCGGAGTTCACCGTGCCGGAGACTTTCAACCCATTCTTGGAGGAAGTCACCGGCCACCTGCGCCAGTACCACGAAGAGTTGGAGGGTGCGCACCTGCGGGCCGGAGTGCAGACCGCCATGCGCATCGCCGAGGCCGGTAACGGACTGATCCAGGCCAACCGACTGGACAATGCCCTCATTTCAAATGAGCCTGAGCGCGCAGCCGCTGTTGTCGGCACTGTGCTCAACCTCATTCACCTGCTATCCAGCGTGTTCTCGCCGTACATGCCAGCTACATCGAAGTCGATTCTGGAGCAGTTGAACGCCCCCTTCTTGTATATTCCCAGCCTGGAGGAGATCAAGGATGGCTGGAAGCCTACCTCCATCAAGGCTGGCCACAAGATTGGCAAGGCTGCTTATCTGTTCTCTCGCATTGACCCCAAGAAGGCCGATGAGTGGCGTGAGATGTTCGGTGGCTCGCAAGCAGACCGCAAGAAGAAGGAAGAGGATGCTGCCAAGCTCGCAGCGAAGAAGGCTGCGGCCAAGGCCAAGAAGAAGGAGAAGAAGGAGAAGGGCCGCGCTGGTGCCGGTGCCGGTGCCGAGGGTGGTGTTGAGGGCTCTGCCAAGGGTGGTGCCGAGAAGATCTCTGTTACTACCGAGGGCAAGAACGACGAGGCTGTTGAGAAGATTGCCGATGGAGTTGCGCAGGTTACTCTGCCTACCTCGTAGAAATACCATGTTCTTCTTTTACACGCATTGTGTGTAGCGGGATGGTTCGGGGGCAGAAAATACCAGGCGCGCTGAGGGGGCATTTGTATTCGTTTATTCAGTTTCTATGGCATGGGTCATGGGGATCGGGGACCTTCAACTTGAAAATTTTATAGCTACTATTTAACAGGTAGCAATATCATACGCATGCAATGAAGGTGTTTCGTTCTTGGTCGCTGGCCTCTGGCTTGGTTCTGCCTGTCAGCTATAAACTACATGCATTACAGGTACTTACATGTACACATTAATATGTTCAACCAGGTAGGTACTCCCAGGAACAAAGTACATGTAGCTATGCAGGCCTATGCTAGTAAAAAGATCCCATTTGCACTCTTTAGTCAAAACACGCCGTTATGGTAAAAATTTCATTATGCTCGTTGTAGGGACGGGACACAAAATTGATCGATGGATGAAGCGCATCCCGATTTCCCACGCCAAAAAAAAAAAGAAGAGATAAGAACAGAGCAATGGCCAAATCAACGCTTGCGCGTGTTAGGTCTGGGCTTTGTCTCGTCAGGTCCGATAGGGTGCAGCATGACCTTGTTAGGAGTCTGCTGGGTATTGGCAGAGTAACCCTTGCTCCAGTCGTAGCTGACGGCGTAAGCGAAGATATTTCCGGTGCGGTTGAAGGCAGTGGTGGTGATGGGGCCACCGACGGCAGGATATCCCTTGAGACGGTGCTTGGCATCCTTATCCCAGAAGTGGAAGGTACCGTCTGCTCCGGCGGTGCTGAAGGTACCGTGGACGGGGTGGAAGGAGATCGAGTTAACGGAGAAGATGTTGCAGGTATCGCGGTTGGCAGGCGGGGTTTCACGGTGGCACTTGAAGGAGAAGTTTGAGGCGGCGTCCTTCTCCTCGACATATTGGATAGCACAGCGGCCTTCGACGGAGCCGACGGCGAAACCAGAGGCATCGGAAAAGCAGCTGACTACCCGCGTCTGCCACTTGAGGGGTGATTGCATAGTCTTGTAGAACTTGGTGGGCTGATCGAGGTTGACGATGTTAATGTAGCGATCCGCGGTGCCGATGACCAGCAGCTTGTTCTTGACGTCCATGGTGTAGACACGCTCCTGACAATCGATGGAGGCGATTGCGGTGGACTGTCGCAGATCCCAGTATTTGACGGTCTTGTCCCACGAGCCGGTAATCAGGAGCGGTGATCCGCCCACGGAGGGATTGGGAATCATGTGGCAGCTTCTAATCGGGGCGTCGTGTGCAGCGACCTGGGTTGTTGTGCCTGATCCGAGGTCAAGCATGCGGGCTGCCTTGTCGGCACCAGCACCAACGACCTTGGTTCCATCCTGTTAAGAAAAAAAAAATTGTAAGTTAGTCACTGTGCGACGGAGCTTGGGTTGGGAAGATGGGAGGGGATGGGGGGTGGATGAAGGGGTGTCAGCTTACTGGAGACCAGCAGCAATTCAGAACAGGAGCTTCGTGCTCGAACAGTGCCTTTCCTTCACTTTGTCCCTGGTCGTTGATTTCGTAGATGCGGACTTTCTTATCCCACGAGGCTACGGCGAGGTGTTCGCTGGTAGGCGAGAAACGGAGATCGGAGATGCCATCCTCTGGGGGAGTGTTGAGGGCAACATCCTTCGAGATGTCACCGGTGGTGTTGGTCTGGCTCGTGGAGGCGGCCGACGCGCCGGCGCCGAAAAGTGACATCGGAAAGACCGACGATGCTGTGGTTGAATCTGGAGGATGGAGGTATGAAGATGAATATCAGAGGATAAATTGAAGAGAAGCTGAGTTCAGAGTCGAGAACTCATGCAAAGAAGAGAAGGAAAGTCGAGCTCAATGGGGAGAGGAAGAGACAGGGTAGTTGACGATAATTGTAGCTTGATGGAAAGCGATGCGCGACGGTGGCAGAAAATGTGTCTCACCGCCTTGTTGCTATCTTCAACTTTGGTAAGTTAGGCACTTACTTAGGCCTGTTAGGGAACTTCTGTTAACAACTTCTTTTACCTTCTATTCGTCAAGGAATTTTTGGCTGCCTGCTCCCTGAATGAATATGATGAATTTCTCTACTACCGTTCTAGAGGCCTACAGTCATGCATGTATAGGCTTGCCATATGGCTAGCTCCGAACAGGCAGCATTACCGGACTGCAGCTATCCGTTTGGGAAGATGGATAAGATTCTGACTCAGTACTATTCGAGTCACTCGGGGACTGTGGGACATTCTACCACGTTGGACTATGGCCACTCTCAGCCCTCTGGAGATGACTCTAGTTGACTCGAGCTCAGTCGAGGTTCACTTCTTACGGTAAGTTATGGATGCGTAGGCATCGCCCAGGTGCTGATGTTTACAAATTCCGAGTCACCTAAAAGGTACACCTCATCCGCAAGATGCTGCCTCAAGGCCTCCAGTTGAACACTTCAGTTACCTGGGCTCTGTGGATTTCAAGCTCAAAGGCTCCAACGACCCGGATCCGGCTTTACATCCTGTTTGGTCTGCCAAGGTCCCAAGAGACAGCCGAGTGCTGGTATGGCCAACAACTGCCTCATGAACGAAGACATCTTCACTGTGGTAAATCACTAATGTATTCAAAATCATATAGCCAGTCTCCATGGGTGATACTGTGATACATTTAAAAACGAGGGCTCCAAGTGGTACATCTCCGCTGACACATCTTACACCCAGGAGAATTCACCTCCGTAGAAGGCTGTGAAGGGGATGTCGTAAAGCAGAAGAAACCCAATTACTATGGGCAAGAAACCGAGTAGGCAACTATGTCTGAAGGAGAGTATATCAATGATACTGTCTATTGTATTGGACGCCAGTCACGCCACCAGTCTAGAACACGAACTTGCGACATGCGGTGGAGAGGGTTGTCAGTGTCTGTGTTCCTATGCAGGAGGTGGAATGTGATTTGCAAATGAGAAGGGTAGTTGAGAATGCAAGTGGTGAGACAGGAAGTGAGAGAGGGGAGTGGGATGGGTCCGGCATCAGGTGATCATTGACACGGGAAGGAATTGAGTTGTATCTGTGCCTTTTAGTAGATAGCCTGTTGTTAGGGGTCAATATAGACTAGACTAAGACTAGACTAGTTAACTAGAAAATAAATAAATCGATAATCCGTAATATACCAGTAAACTAGTAAACCAATAACGATATAAAGTGATCTGCCCTAAATAAGTGGAGCAAAATGCGGGGTGCAGCGCTAAGATTGGCTCCGCCGACTATGTTGATGTCAGTTGAGAGTTGAGACATGATCCGAGAGAGCCGGTAAAGGGAGACTCCTTTGATTAGAAGCTAAGAAGTATTTGAGACGTATGATAATATTTATTACGATGTAATAGATGACCACTATACCCCTATGATATGCTCATCCCCATAGGGTACTAACGGTACTTTGAAATAGGTGGAAGTCCAGGGAAAACACAAAGTAGCATGACATCCATGACTGACACCCCCGCCCTCTTACAAGGTCACCTGCCCTTCCCCTCTTCCTTCTCCTCTTTCTTTCTCTCCTTCATCTCCTGATTCATCTCCAGAGTTCTCTTACATTACCAACTTCCATCTAATCCTATTAGATCCAAACTGCAATCATGTCTGTTCCATTAACCAAGGTTGATTCTGCCATCGCTGGCTTGTCCATAGCGGATGAGAAGCCCGATGCCGTTGAGAAGGAGGTCAAGGGCAAGAAGACTCACAAGCGAACCTCATCAACGGCGGAAGGTATCTGGAACATCAAGGACCTCGGTGAGTACTCATCGTCTATCAAAGTGAAAAGCCGTCTAACAGCAATGTAGAGGAGCAGAAGATCGAGATCACTCTGCCAATTGAAACACAGAAGACTGGGTGGTTAGTATATCGGCGATCTCATTCCTACATACAGTCTCACTGATACTGATTCTGGATTCAGGAAACTCAACACCTCCCCCTCAACCATCGAGGACAAGGATATCCTCAAGATGTTCCTCGTCAACCCCCCAGTCAAGAAGATTGACCTGCATTTCCCCCTCGGCCTGGCCGTCACCGCTCGGAACCTCAAGGGTGTAACGATCAAGGATGCACTAGACGCCATCCACAAACAGTTCAAGAAAAAGGTCAGTTGTGCTGCAAGGCAGATAGAAAGGAGTCCATGATGACTGACGTGACACCGCTAGGCGGATGACGAACTGGAAAAGCCCTACCTCGCTGGTTTCGAGTGGGACAAGGAGGAGTGCTGGACTCGGTTGATCGTGCACCAGAAGAAGGAGGGTGCACCACAGCCAAGCAAGAAGTCCAAGAAGAAGGCCAAGGAGGAGTCGTAGATGGGCACTGCCCTATATCGACCCGGGTGTTCCCTGACGTGGATCATGGACACAGACGTATGTCCCCGGGTGTCTCCCCGCTTTCTGATGATCTTCTTACTTTCTTTCCCCAATCATGATAATGGACGTTTCTACTGAGGACTATTGACTCCTCACTATCTGCCATGCGCTATTTGACTTTTATCTTCCCTTCGATCCACAGTCTCGTCCAGCTGCTCTGCGCTCACTGCGTTTCCCATGTAGAAACAAGGATTAAGACGGCGCGAGGGAGATCATTTTACATTTTTGCTTTCATCTTATTCATCTTACTTATCAGTCATCTCAGTCCGGTCCGACTCAAGTATCTACTCTGGGTGGACCGGTATGGCGCCGTTCACTCCTTCTGACGCCAGATTGAATCAAATAATTCCACAATGCTGTCCTTCTTCCTGATAGACTGTACATCGTGTAGAGTTCACAGAACTGACCACTAACTAACTTGGTTACATGATTGTAGTCTGAACAATGTCAAAGTGGGACATGCCAAGCCACGCTATGTGTCCCCACCGAGTATCCACAATGCGAGGGCCGTGAACACAACTGCATAAACATCGAGTCATAGACTCTCTTCAATATCCCCTAGATATCCCCTAGACTTTCGGCTATGCCACACGACTAATTCCAAAGTGACCCCCAAGTTTTCCGCTCCAACACCCATGACTCTTTCCAGTACTTCGGCGTCATTCCCAACTCGCGATACTTCTTCCTAACATTCTTCACCGCATCATGCTCCGGGGCCGCTTCACTACTGTCACGTTGCCAACATACTCCGAAATCAGTACGGAGCACCAATCCCAGATCCCCTACACCATGAAGCTGCATCTCCCTCTGAGTGCTTTCACCCAGGTCCTCCAATCTCCAGAACACCCGCGTATTCGGGCATTCAAATTGAGTCCAGGATTCCTCGAAAATCAGCACTTCGAAGAGTGTCTCCATCCGCAACCCGCCGCCCAACTCCTTCTGATAGTCTGCAGACTAATACATGTCAGCTAAAGCTTCCTCTAGTCTCTCTTCTCTTGACGCTTTGCTTTTCCTCCATATAAACTTACCCACACCTCATAATGACACAAACTCTGCCCACCGTGTCCATAATTAACACGCAGAAACGTCAGCGTATGAACAGCAGGCTGCTGAACCAACATCCGGCGCCAGCTAGCCTCAGGTCGCATGTATGCATCCAACATATGCGGTCTGCGGATAAAATCGAAAGTAGTGAAGGTAACAAGGGGAAGAAGACGCTCTGTACGGCCATTGTGATTTGTATCGTCATCACCTGTTGCGGGTATCTGGTGGAAAAGCGACGGGAACGCCTCTGCGAGCATCGGGTTCTCCATTGTCGGTTTATTCAGTACATTGCCGAGGGGTTTGAAGAAGAGAGCCCGTTGGATGGGTGGGGAGGAGTTGATGAATCGAGTCCAGTCACGGCAAACGCGACTTGCCTTTGTGAGGAGGGTGCGGGTGTCCAGGTTTAAGAGGATTAGTTCGAAGATTTCGGGTATGGAGAAGGCTTGGGATTGAGCTGGGGTTGCCATTGGGGGAGGTGCCATTTTGATTGGAATGAGAAGTTGTTGAGAGGATGATGGATGATGGATGATGGATGGGTCTACGATGTGAGTGTCTTCTGGAAAAGTATTGAGATACCTGTAAGGGAGAGAAACCATCCGCGTGATAGGCTATATAGAGATTTGGTCAGTTGGAAGATGTTTGATCTGTTGAGCAGCAATTGCCAATTGAGGCTCGGCCCGCTCATCACACGACCACACGTGCTGGGAGCCTGGGAGATCGTGATTGTCTGTCGTTTGTTGATGAATCATAATCTGTTCAATTGTGACTTCAGTAGTTCAATCAAAAATTCCAATGTGAATGTGCAATCTCAATGCATATTGGATCGCTGAATTGCTTCTAGTTGGTGATCCAAGATCAGATTGAAGGTGAGAGATGTACGGAGTAGGTGTGACAGATGGAGCTTGAGTGGGGAAAGTGGATCAAGTCACGTGGAGATATGGAGATTTGAAGACATGAAGATATCTGTGTCTTAGTTAGCTGTCTTAGTTAGCTAACCCCGCAGAAATACAGTGTAAGTAAGGGTTGGTGTGTGGAGACCTTTGATATTGAGTATACATAGACCATGAATCTGATGGAGTCAGGAGTGTATATACAGTGCTGGTAGAGAGGTATACCCGGTCATAGCCTCATAGGTCATGGGATGTGGAGTTCCAAGGGAAAAAGAAAGATCATGATAGCCTTGCATTCACATGCGAGGATACAAGAGAAGGGTGCTTCAGTCAACACATAACAATAAAGGGGTGTAGAGGGGGCGAGGTAGTCTCCTCTCATCTAGACCGGCCGGAACTCCCAAAGAGGACCAGGACGATCTCGTCAAGAATCGTGAAAACAAGATGGGTATTAAGATGCTGGTTATTGAGCGTAGCAAAGATGCGACGGGCAGCAGCCTGCGCATTCGCTCTGCCGACGACATTACCCGCCAGATCTGGGATGAGAGTAGCCAAGACCACAGTGGCCTCAGTACGACTGTTAAGACGGTCTGCTGCTGAGCGGGGTGGCACTTTGCGGAGCACACCGCCCGGCCAGAGGGTATCACGAGCGAGAGCGATATATTTGAGAAGTGAATCATCCTTCACCAAGTCGCGTGTTCCCTCGCGAACCTTGCGCTCGATCGTCCCCCCGAGCAGCTGGTGCAAGACAACGACGACGGCCCGGCCGCGCAGCCAGTTGTTGCCACGATTCAATTCAAATGCCTCGAGGAAGAGATCGCAGATGGGCTTGATGAAGGGCTCGAGCTCGCGGTCTTCGAAGGCGTTGAGCTCCGCTTCTGCTTCGGCGGATGTGACGGCGTCCCCGGTGGTGAGGCTAGCCTCTGGAGTCATGGTGCTGGTGGCTTGCTGAGTAGCGGCCGAGATGAGGTTTTGTCCTGCGGTAGAGAGTTGGTCTAGAACGCCGAAGTTGCCGAGAAAGTCGTCCATGCCGTCTGCGACGGAGTTGTAGATACGTGTGACGAGGTCTTTGGTTTCGCCTTCGTTGTCGCGAGCATTTTCCTTGCGGGGGAGAATGGCACGTTGGGACAGGAACGCACGTAGATCACGGCTGCGGCAGACATCGGGTAGAAGGAGGAGTTTCTGGAGGTAGGCTTCGAGAGCAAGTCGTCGTTTGTGAAGAAATTCCTTTTGTAGCTTCATGACGACGCGTCGGCGAGGAAAGTCCAAGTGCCGGACAGAAGGATATCCTTGGCGTAGCTTTTGATGTAACTCATGGAACTCGCTGTATCTTCTTGCAACGACCCACGAGGCAGCGGGCATTTGCTCGCCTGCATTTCTCTGGACCTCCACAATGTCTAGAACAATCAGTTAGCCTTGACGAATGAAACGCGTTGGAACTTGAAGAACCGTGTTCTTACACATTGCAAATTCACGACCATCCTCCTCTTCCTTGCCCACGACGATGGACTTGAGGCTGACGGTGGATCGCCCAAACAAGCTGTTGTCGTTTTCCTGGAGAATGTACTGTTGCCGCTGCATTTCCTTGCGGTGTATTTCGCGTTCAAGACTAGCTTTGGACTTCCGTAGGATCCTCAGCTCTGCGGTGTTGTTTGTCAGCTCAGCTTTGCGAGTCAATGCTTGAACCACAGCATCCTGAGCTGCAAGTTTGTCTATGTCCACCGAGAGCGCCTCAATGGCTTCCGTTAATCCCAAGTCCCCTGGCGCGGCTTCATGCACCTCATCTGCCGGGTCCTTTTCATCGACGCCTTCTGGTTCTTCATATTCATCTTCTATGAACTTTTGTTGCTCTGGGAACAAGTCGTCATCAAACACACCAAGTCGTGACGCATGGTTCACCAGACCAAGCGATGCGATGCTTTTCTTGGATTTCTCATTTCGGTTGTCAACCTGGGCAGCGTCGGGGTTGCGTGGCGAGATAGCAGGACGTTCCGCCCCAAAAGGGCCAGAGGCCTCACCTTTGAGGTCCTGAATTGTGCCATTTTTCGGTTCGTTAGTTATAATGTCGTTGAGCGCTGCCTCCATAGTCTCGAGGACTTGGGTTTGGCTTTGGCCGGCGTCAGTTTCGCCATTTTGAGAATCCTTGCCCAGGCTATGGGTGGACATGGCGAGATTGTTATCTGTGTCGTAATCGTCATCAAATAGACGAGCAGATCGCTCTGAGTCTATCGATCGTCGAAGGGAATCGTCATCATCAAAAAGTTTGCCCATGCCACGCACATCACTGGACGAGACAGCGGCTCGTCGAAGGTCCTTGGATGGTCTCGGTCCCGGCTGTGAATTAGTTCGTGACAACAAGGGAGGAAGAGGTCGCCTTTCGGGAGTTTCAAAAGCGACCGCCATTGGAGAAGATTGGGAAACTGGTGCCTGAGAAGCGGAAGCTTCGTCAGACGCAAGGTACTTCCAGTATAAGTCCGATTCTTTGAATTTGGGGTAATAGATATCTTGGAGTTGCTCTAGAATGGCGGACTGGGTGGTCAGAACCACCATCCGCGCTTTGCGGTACTGCGCTGGCGTTGCCCGCTTTCCTGCACTTAAAAACGCCTTGACTGCTCGGCGAGACTCCTCAGATACCTTGAGCTCTGGCTTTGAGAGGTAGGTCTCACTGAGAAGAGCCAAATCGTTTCTATCCGATGGTTTCCACGTCAGTGAAGTAGGCTCCGCCTCGTCTCCAAAATCGTCTTCAAGTGGGTTGCGGAATCCATCCACAACGACCCAAAACTGAACAAGTGACATCAGCTTTTGGCGGTCCATGAATTCCATGAAATAAGACAGCCCAGATGCGCTGTGCATCACGTCAACCAGTGACGCTTCATGCTTTGTAGAAGGGACATCAGGTCGGATCTCTACGGCTGGAGAGACATGGGAGTTCTCGCTAGGCCTGGCAAGCTTTGCCACTTTCTGGTCAAGGACACGTTTGCCTGTTTCGAGACGCCTCAAATAAACCGGGTCCTGGCCCTCGACCACACTCTCTTGCTTCAATTGACTGGCAACAAGAGCACGGAACCGACGGGCATCGGAAAGATTGTTGCATTTTCTAATTGCCCTCACGAAGCGTTCAAAAGCTCTCTCTGAATCAGTTGGGGACAAGCGTGGGAACGGCTGTCCGCGCTTTGATTTGGGTGCGGGTGACGCATGCTGGTCCAATGCAGCACGTAGCTTGCGCACAGTTTTCCGATCCTGCAGGGCTGTACGGCCATATGCTTCCATTAACTGGTTCCATGTGTCCGGATCTGACAATGCTGAAACCATCGGAAAAAGCACAGCACATGAGATAATTTCGCGAATCAGGACCGATACGATGCGACTGTTGAGCACACTTTTTGGGAATAGCTGGGGCAATAGACCAACTGCTAATTTGCGTAGATATTCCTGTTGAACTGTCTTTTGATCGGAGGTGGTGAGAGTCACAGCAGGGTGTAAGCGGCCTTCACGATACTTATTTGCAATGGCTAAGTCGAGCTCCCCGGACTCGGTCACATTTCGATTAAGGTTGCGCCCCCGAACAGAACGTTCAGCAATGTCGAACTCTTTGAGATGCGCTGTCAGAATCGGAAAGATGCGCGAAACTATCAGCGAGATCATGTCCTCTGCTACCAACCGATCCCGGAGGTTTTCCAGAGCAACACGGATCGTTCGATCGACCTCATTGGCAAATGTAGGGTTTGGACTGATACTGTGGTACCAAGATGAAACAAAATCCCGGGTTATGAAAGACAAGAGTTCGTCAATACCCTCCGAAACAACAAAGGATTGAGGATAAAGCGGCCGGGCCCGGTATCGCATGCTTCGGCGGACATTGAGCACTTCCTTTCGCCAATGCTTGGGTTTGATGAAAGCCATCGAAACATTCTTGATGGTGGATTTGTCATTTTTGTGCCGGACGGTCAATATGACAAGACCTATAATACCCGCAGAGCATAGCACAGCACCCAGAGTCACAGCATATCCCAGATACCGGAGGATTGGCAGCCAGCGAACCACAAGACCCCATGCGATGAACACACCGACGCCCGCCAGAATTATGTCACGACGACTAAGGGCCATTGTCGCCATTCTCCCCGCACTCTTATTTGAGCTCTACGGCTCATAACGATCACTTCCAGGAAATTGGGAGCGAACAGCTCGACATAGTACTGTTATCGCGGCTGACTGAGTCTGATCGGCGGAGGAGCTTTGGCTGTGTTGAAGGTGCTGGAATGGAGTTGATATTTGGTACAGGCCTTTGAGATTCAGAGAGGGGATCAAGGCGCCGATCTCAGCTTTGAAGGCGGCATCAAAAGGAAAAGCCAAGCAAAGAGTCGAGAATGATAGATCCCGTGACCAGTGACCGTGCGGAGTTGGAACGTCATTTGTTTACTTAAGCTTGGTGATCCACTTGGCCCCAACTGTCAACGTCAACTTCACCTTCCCCTCTTCCTCTTCCTCTTCTTCTAGTCTCTTTTCTTCTCTTCACTCTTCTGTGTTTCTGCTGAGCGGTTCTTGCATCATGGCCTCTATCACGGATTTTATCAACTTTTCCTCCAAGCCCTTACTATGTGAGTCTAGTGCTTCCTGCAGTATCCCAACAATTTGCATGTGATTGACCCCTACAGGGTCTGCCGCAACCATCGCTTTTAACCCTGTCTTCTGGAAGTGAGTGTTGAGAAGACTACAAATCCATTCTACTATGTTCATGGGAATAGCTAACCCGGCTTTCTTTTCAGCATTGTTGCCCGTGCAGGTTCGCCGACTCCACCCGAGAACTGTCGCATTCATCCTTAGCTTACCGTTGAACAGAATACCGCAACCACTTCTTGACCCGCATCTTCGGAGGCCCGTACAAGGGTTGCTACTTCCTTGCGGTCACTATCTTCTCCCTTGGAATTCTTCGTGATCATGTCTACCAACTCGCTCTGGCTGACCAGCCCTTCTACGCTCCCGTTCACCAGCCGGTTGTTGGTGGTATCTTGTTTGCTATTGGTTCGGTCCTGGTTCTCTCCAGCATGTGGGCTCTCGGTGTGACCGGTACCTACCTGGGTGACTACTTCGGTATTCTCATGGATGCCCCCGTCACTGGCTTCCCTTTTAACGTGACTGGCTCACCGATGTACTGGGGCAGCACCTTGAACTTCCTCGGTGTTGCTCTGTACCACGGCAAGGTTGCTGGTATCCTTTTGACCGCCCAGGTCTTTGTCTTTTACTGGTTCGCTCTCGGCTGGGAGGAGTAAGTGGCCATTCGCCAGCATTTGATTGCCTTCACTAACTTTCTTTAGTCCTTTCACTGCTGAGATCTACGCCAAGCGTGAGCGTGCGCGTGCCAAGAAGCAGGGCGGCAAGCGACAATAAGTGCCATGAATGTATACATGTATACAAAGATTGGCCGGGATATTCAACACCCACAAACTGCGAACTGAAAGAGAGGCCAAAGAAACAGAGGTCGGGTTGCTCAGGCAACTTCTCCCAGATCTGGGGTTGTCTTTCCCCCAAGTCTCCAGCACGTGGACCCATCCGAATCTTCAACGAATGGACGTGTAGACGATAAGCCACATCCGCCTGGTCCTTGATACTGGTGATGAGTAAAAGGACGCGGCCCAGAGTGATTTCCCTTACGCGACTACCCCAAAAATATAAATCAACCCATCGCGACAGAACTGCAGTATACCTGTGAATCCGTAGACCTTCATGGCTAATTTGAGATGTCCGCTGAGGATATCGAGGAGCTTTGTCCGGTCCTGTTTGCCTGCGTCAGACTAAAGGGAGAAATGCTGTTTGTAGCCGACAAAGAATGGCCACAGAACTTAGATAAAGGGGATTGTATTCTCCCTATGCAACACTTCACCTATACAAGTACGCGCAGCAGCACCAACAAAAGACGAGGAAGAAGGAGAGTCAAACAATATCCCTCTAGCCACTCAACTGTACTTTAGAAATGTGCCCTGCATTCGCATAGAGATAGACGCAAGTATCCAAAATCACATTCATTAGAGAAAAGAGGGTATATACCGACGCCACATGAATCAGAGATCCCAGCTGCCAAAAGAGACAAGGGACAGAAGGGTAGTATGTAGGATCCTATCACAAGACCTGAAACATCTTTAACGCCACGCTAGTATGACGAGGACATGTCAACAATCGAAGGCCAAGACCAGAATCGAAGAACAGGAAAACAGCAGTAAACGCAATGATGCACACAAAATAGCACTGCCAACAGCCTGTCTCTATTACTGCCGTCTCCCCCTTCCTCTCTTTGCCTGCGTCCGTGTCTCATCGACGGTCTCAACCTCGTCCTCGTCGGTGCCCTTCTTTAGGTCTTCCCCCTCAGCGAGCCCCCATTGCTCGCGATCATACCAGTCCTCCCCATCGCTCATTTCTCCAACGTGTCCCTCGGCCTTACACCACTCCAGCACGTCCGCTTTCATACGGCAGGCCTTGTTTAGCGAATCAAGCATATGTTCCACCCCGCGAACAGTCTCTTCTTGTTTTTGAATGTACGACCAGAGCAAACGCCGTGTTTCCTCAGCCTCAGTGGCAGGCAGGCCGAAATTTGGGTCTGGGAGGATGTGGTCCGGGACCAGGAAGAGGGGATGAGGAGTAGGTAGCGGGAAGGCTGAGTTGGTGGAGGAGAGTGGGAAGCCATTCTCAGTTGGATTACCCGCGTTAGCTTGTGCGCGCGTTGTCATTCGGCGTGGTGGTTCAGGCGACGATCCGTCGTGCATTTCGAGGTCTTGTTCTGTGTCGTCGCCGACTTCGTTCGACTCAGCGGGAGCGCCGTCCTTGGTTGCGTCTGCATCTTGCCTTTCTGTTGGGCTTCTACTTGAATCCGCCCCATCTGCATGTCCATTGTTCTCTTGCGCGGAAGAATCGGCGTTTTGGTGAGGTGGGAGGTCTTTAACGGTGGCATCAGTATCTTCCGATTTGAGTTGCGGGTCGTTCTTGTCGGCTTCCTCCTCATGTACTGGGACTTCTGTCATTTCCACATCTTTATGAGTTGGATCAAGCTGCTGCTGTTCTCCATTCTGTGCAGGTTGTTGTAGTTCCGCAGTGGCTATTGAGGGTACCTCTTCTGTCGCGCCCTGTGGGCCATTGACCACCTCAGCTGCAGACGGCGTGCCTGTCCCACTCGGCCCCTGGTAACCGGTCGATACGCTCGGGACATCGCTGACGGGCCTGGGATCAAAGATCAGGTAATCATTAGGAGTCTCGATCGCACCGCACGGCATCCAACCGCTATCACCGAGAAATTGTCTATGCAAACTCCTTGCGCGCCAAAGCAAAGCTCGCTCCTGGCGTAGCTTGTGTTCAACCGCCGATGCCATGTGCTCCAGAGCTCGCGACGTGTATGGTTGGGACATGGAAGGATGGGTAGGGAGTTCAGAAGGATGTTTCAGGGGACAAAGAAGAGCTGGAGAAGAGACAGATCAGTCATGAAGCCATAGACAAGATTTTGATTAAAGTCACTCACTTTCAAGCGCGATTCCAGAGAACGGGTCCTCTTCAGCAGCCGCAGCATCGGCCTCGGAATCTTCATCGTCCTCATCAAGCTCGTCCCCCTCAGAATCATAGCGAATCGGGTTCGGCTGAAGGATGTAGCGTGTATAGCCCGCATGTTCAATTTTCTATTCGTCGCAAAGCTGGAGTCAGTTTCTAGAACATCGTATCTGGCTGATCGCCGCGCTGTTCAGGCGTGAAGAACAATCCTCGGCGAAACTTGCAGACCACGCACCTGCTTGTAGTATTCCTCGGCGTTGATGTAACCCATTGCACCCTCGCTCACATACTTAGCATTAGCATGCATTTTGTTACCACGATTCGTAGGCGCCAGAATCGGGTCGTCAGGGCCGTTATCTGTCGAGGGAAGACGTCAGAGAAACATTCTGCCCGAATCCAAGAAGCTCGATCGTTAACTTACCATCACGCTCTCTGCGCAAGGCCCGCTTCATGCCGGTGATGGTATCGGCGATCAACGCCGCTTGCGCCGCCATGGTTACGGTGTCGGCAACGAGGCTTTCGAGTTAAACACGTCGGTTGGCGCGTTGGAGGGGAATCCTCAGTCGAACGAGGGCGTGAGGACGGATATCGAAGAGGCAGGAAGGTGAAGGCTGGGATTTTCGATGCTGCAGCCTCAATTATCGGAACAGATACCACAGGGATCAAGGAAAGTAAGCTGTAATGGCTTTGAGTGACTGTGATGAGCAGCTCTTGGACGGCAAGACATGCGGAAGACCGATCGCCGCTAGCCGGATTAGGAACTCCGGGTTATGTGATAAGGGCTGGTCACCTGACATACCCTGATCTATCATACCAGGTTGTTTACATCTTGAATGGGAAGTGTCTATCTTATACATTATCACTCGTTGTGATGCAAGTCAATTCATCTATGTACATATAACTCAGGCCGTAGTCATATCATTCAATCATCGGCGTCAACCCATACCAGAACCCCCTTCTTGTCTGACCGCATATCCCCAGTGGGCAGGACGCGGAGGGACTTATTGAAATAAGTATCAATAACTACCAGTTGGGGTTGAATCCATAATCCGCGCTTCGCAGCAAACAGATTGAAGTTCACCGTATGCCGGCTCAGTGGCATAATTTGCACAACAGTCGTCTTCGGTCCGCTAAAGGCGAAGTGCTCACTAGCTTCCATGACCAAGTTGAAGGTAAGGAAATGGGTAGATGGGTTCTCGAGGACATATCCCATGTGTATTAACCCCGACATCTTGCTAGATGGTGTAGCCGATGCAAGTACCCGAGGCTCGCCCATGGGGGCGACGAATCGGGGAATGTCGAGGATGGTGGTCATGACCGAGTTTTCCACGTCGGCTGAAAGGACAGTTTCCGATGATTGCCGGTGCCACTTGATCTCCAGCGCGCAGTTGAGCGCAGTTGGTCGGCGGTCCCCGAGAAGGAGCTTCCGAATATCAAGGCAGAAGTTGGATTCTCGCAGTTCTTCTGGTGCAAGATGGGGTGTCTCCGCGCTGACAAGCTCTTCCGAGTGAACCGAGCAGATGGCGCCTCCAGTGGCTTCGAGCAGGATCAAGGACATCTTGTCAATCACCAGTGGTTCCAATGCAAAGGATACTACTTTCGAATTGAGGTACCACCTCTGGAACAGGCCCCCTGCTATTGGCGCGGAACTGTCCTCAAGCAAGTCGTCGCTAACAGCAAAGAAATTGGGCCACGGCTGGGGGTGGACTGCAGGTAAATATTCGTAGTTGGCTTCGAACGGCCGGATGAAAGATAAATCCACGATGATGTTCTTCATAATCGGGGTCTGGATATCAGAAACCAGATGGTACACAACCGAAACTTCCAATGTGAGATTAGTAGCTTCCTTGGTGTCATTCAACACAAGTGTAAGCGTGTGGTTAGACGAGCGGTCCAGAATTCCCACAGCTCGCTTCAAATGATGGGACGGCCGCTCAGTCGGAGTGCTGGCGCCGGATTCGAGGGGTTCGGCGTTGCTAGCACCGTCAAGCCACTGGATTTGGGCGGCAGATTCAGGACCGAAGAGTCTGATTTCAGTAGAAACATCGGCAGCTTCGTCTTCTTCATTGTGTATGCCGATCTGAAGCAACACGCGTTCGTTGGTATAATAGGATTCCTTCAGGTTGGGAGTTGTAAGGCGGATCTTGGGGGGCTTAGGCAGGACCTTGCACCTTCCAGTGTCCCGATCTTTGCCTACTCGTCTGCGCGTGGCGCCCTTTTGGGTCTGTTTCCACCAGAACGATTCACGCTGGCCTGGTTCTGTGATTGCGTAGCCAAGATCAAATTGTTCCTCTTCGATCAGCATGGTAATCGAAGCGATCTTGGCTTCACCAGCTTCGCGGGGAATGCAAGTGAGATTGAAGATCTTGGTTTGGGAGGGTCCCAGGGTCAGATCTGCTATGCCAACCAATGTAGACAGCCCGCCAGTAGGTGATAGAATCGTTGTATCAGGATTGCTTGGCTCACGAAGTGAAAGATCTGCGATACTACATGGAGTCGTTGTGTCTGCGTCCCGGTTCTGATCAGATTGGATCTTCACTGGGCGAAGGCATCCTTCAAACACCAGCTTAACCTCTGAAAGTCGGACAGGGGCCGATGATGTTTGAGCACAGGATGTGATGGAAAGTTGGGCGCGCAGCGGCTCCCCGACGTTGCCATCAGATTTCTCGAACACCAACGATGCGGTCACTTTTGAGCTATTGGTCAGCGAAATCTTTGGTGTGAGAAGGTCCTGCTATCTTACAATTTGTTACAACATCCTCCGCACGAAGGATAAGAGAGGGTTTGGGCTTTTCTGATGGCAGACTTTCGAGACTCCTGTGGATATCATAAGGCCATGCAGGTCTCGCGTTGAAGGCTATGAAATGGACGGTTAATACCAACAAAGACAAGCATACGGCAGAAATTCACTTACTCTTGTTGAGTAGCTCCCAGTCCACTCGCAATACTGTCTCGCTGTCTTGTACCCTGAGGGCACATTCTCTGAGAGCCCATCCGAACTTGGCCATCAGGTGCCACCATCCAGAGCGGCGCCAGCTGAGAGTCGACCATAGTGGTTGGAGAAGGCCATGCGCGTCGGACCATGAACCAATACGCATATACTCCTCGGCCGCCTCAAGACTTAGGCTCTCAACTTTACGTGTCTGGTGACGTTTCGAGAATTCCTCAATAGCACCCTTGAGCGTTTCCAATATTAGACTGGAGTGGTCGAAAGTAGTCCGGCCTTCTTGGGGTGCTTCAAGATGAGGGTCGGGAACAAGGTATGTGTCGTAAAGGTATGATTTGTTGGCGAGTTGCGAAGCGGGCAACTGCTCAGGAGGCATGCGATCTTCGGGGGGAATTTCTTGAGCAAGATTCCGTCGCATCATTGTATGCTTTGCAGAACGGTGCAGCCAGTAACCCTCATGGTGCAGGTGTTCCCATGGCCTGACCCGTTCGCCGGTAGGGATCGATCTCTCGGGTAACGCATAGAGCTCTCCGGGCTGCTCAGAGGAGATACCACTGGATATCAATGGGATTTCTGCTCGGCGAATAAGCTGCCCCATTACCATCGACCACCGTGCCTCCCATGCTTCCCAGCCGTAGTGCTTACTGCCCTTTCCTCTGCGATTGACGATATCCTTTACTCGGGTTCTGTGGTCCACCCAAAGCCTAGCTGCAGCGGTGGTCTGACCCGTCCACAGCAGACAGCGTATAATTCGGATGGCGAGGGCATCGGCCAGAAGGCGCGCATCATTGAATCGAGGGTTCCAGCCCGCGATGATCTCGAATACTTCGTGCCCAAATAGAGTTTCATACGCACTCTCGTAGTTCCGACAGGCTGCATCCATCTCTTGCCGGAATTCAGCAAATATGCCAAGTTTGAATTCATACCGCACATTCCAGCCCTGGGATGATAGGGTCTGAGAAGTTCCAGTCGTTGGCGGCGCAGTGGGAGGAGGAATACTACCCCTGTTTCGTTTGCGCCTGGCATGTTTGGACAAATCCCGGTAGTACTCAACGACCGATGGTTGCAGTAAAGAGAAAAGTGACTTCACAAAATCTTGCAGTTCCGACGAAGTTGCATCTGGTGGAATCACAAATATTGATTTCGGGTCAAGATTCGTTGCCCGCCGAATCCCCGCAATTCGATCGTCAATTTCCCCTTCGTAGCCGCCCTCCTCTCCATCTTCTGATATCAAAACAACGATAAAACGCGTTTTGTACCCGGAGGCTTGCCATTCTCGTTTCAAGCTGTTAATCTCGATCTTCAGCTGATTGTCTCGTAGGGAGTTCATATTCGGATCCAAAGAAAATGGGAAGAAATTCATCACCGCTGCTGGAACTAGGTCCTGATGTTTAGTTACCCAGAGAGGTGTGAGCAAGCCATCTGGGAAAGTTGGAGACCCTGGCGACAATGGCGAGATGGGCGAGTGGAGGGTGAACGGTGCGCTAGGCTCTGAGGTCTCGTTGTCCTTGTCATCGCTGGGAGCGGTCGGTGATGAGGGGCTAGGAGGGTCCGCCTTTCGAGGAGGGAGCTTGTATGACTAGTATATCGATGTCAGCGATAAGTCCGCAGTGTGAAACACGATTGGATTATGGCATATCAACCTACCCGGCCGGAGCTTTTGATGCGATACCCAATGTTCGCGGTGGTATTTCCGCTCATGCTGACCCTAGATTTCCATGGCGTCTGAGAGCTGTCTTCCTCTAAAAGCAGGCTCCGGAGATCGTCCGCAACAGCCCCTCTCAGAGGTGGAAAATCTGAGAAGATATGAGTCCCCTTCTCTGCCAGGAGAGGATAACCCGATATTTCAAGGTCATCTTTTGAATCTGCCTCTAGTCCTGAGAGTAGGACGAGAGGTAAGTTGTGATTGACGTAGTCTTCGGGGTAGGCGTCCATTGCGGGCAATGGCTGTTTCGCAGCGCCGTCACCACATACCTAGCAAAGACCGGGTGCTTGCAATAGCAGGTTATGAATCTCGCAGCGGTTGACTGGAGCAGATATAATGCGTACTTTGTTTATCACAAGGCTTTGGGTAAGATGAAACAAATGGCGGTACTGCCATGTTGGTTGTGAGCTGGTGGGCGGTCAGATTTGTTTACCCCGATCCCAACACCTTAAGGAGTTAGATGCCCTTGAGGACTGAGGTGAAGCATGAACCTTCTATGAATTTGTCTTGTCTAAAAGGAACATGCGAGATGGGTACTGGGTAGATAATGTATGTATAATATAGCCATTGGTTTATGTAGTAGGATCTAAAACCTATGTATACTCTCTACTGTGTACTGGTAACCTGCAGGGACAGCTGCTGACCGCCTTTCATAGACCTGCACGTGATAGTCCGCTCAAGCTCTCGGGACAACAGTCGTTCTCAAACAAATGGACTCGTGTCTCGCGACGTTACTAAATATGATTATGGATTCGAAAGTCACACAATGTGACAATGAACGTGGCCTACCTGTCCCAGGGTACAATCATACAATGGAAGAATATGCGATAAGTTGATCAGTCTCTCACCGCTGAATGAGAATCATTATGTTCTGACGATAACGATTTCGAACTATTATATATTGCCCTAATCACGGAGGATTACACTATTGTCCGGTGATCTTGATTCAAATTACAGTACCTAGATCCTACATTATGCAGATATAAATGGAATAGATCAGCCATTGATATATTAGATATGCCTCTAGAGTACATCAGTGTTCTATTAGGCGTCAGAGTACACTGATAATCCTGATTGTCTCCATCAAGGGGGTTCGGAGATCAACTCCCAATTTTAAAGAACTTTATAAGAATTTGAGGACCCACGTGGAGTTTCTTGAATATGCTTGAATTCAACTTATTGTTCGTGCATAGTTCCACAATAGAAATGCAGCGGCAGCCTTATGTTGTACTGCTAGTCTGCTACAGTACTATATTATTGACGAATCCAAGAGTATGGGGATGGGATCGATGGGTCTAATGGAGCCTGGGAAATTAAGGTGGAGATCTGAGCTTCCCCCCCCCCCCCCAAAAATTATCAACACCCTTACCAGTTACCACCCTTTTCACTTGACGAACTCATTTTGCCCCTCGATTTGACCTGTCCAATTCATCCCACGCTCTTTTTCAGTCTCTTTTTACTCCTCCTCTCGTGGACTACCCTCCTTTGAGCTTCCATCAATCTCATTTCTTATCTCGAATCAAATACCGTAAGGGGCGCCGCAAGGACCAGAAACCCTTATATGTACACCAGCTGTCGCATGCAGTAGATCATGCGCCCATCGGTTTCATACCCTGCATCCGTATCCCTGAGTCTGTGTGTTTGCGACTCGAGGGTTGAATCCCTGGACTATTGAACGCCATGCATCTGAACGAGACCGCCCCGGGCCCAGTGCAAGCGGAGTCGGCCCTGCTTAGCCGTCGGCGCCGTCGCAAATCGATGCCCTCGCGCAATGGGAACACTGACCCAACGTCGCCTGAAGTCATATCCTCTCTCATTTCCTCCCTTTCCACTATCTCTGTGCCTCTAAACTCGCATTTTGACAATCTTCCGAAGCTCGACACCGACTCCGATCCGGGATTGCCTGAAGTCCCGCAGACGGCGCCTGTCTATTCTATTCCCCCTTCCGAGCAACATGGGTTTGGAATGAGCTACGGTGCCTACAAGCCAGCGGTCGAGCCATCAGAGCCCGCGGAGAATCCATTCTTGCACCCCGATGATGCCGCGTCGTCGCCTGTCATTCGCATGGCTAGAGCGCCTCCGTCACCAAAATCACCGCGATCGCCCCGATTCAAGCCCTTCAAGGCCACAGATTCATTTCCCACCCGTCCAGCCTCAAGAGAGTCCCATACGTCCGTGGTAGTCGCCCCGGAGCCTGCGTCCTTCGGTACGATCAGCACAGAGCCTGGCCCCCGTTTGTCAACACCGAGCATTACTTCAAATAGTTCTACGGGACGGACACGAAGTCTCAAAGGCCAATTCGGTCTATTGAGGAGATCGTCCTCACGAGAATTCTCTAGCGAAAAGGACGCGCAAGCCGAGCGCTTACGAAAGACGACCAGCCACAACGAGAGTCTACGGCACAATATCCCGCGCAGTCGAGCAAGCCTGCGCTCATTGCATTCCATGGCAGAAGTGACAGAGGAGGCGCGTCCTGCAGACGTCAAGGAAGAGCCGTACGAAGAGAAGATTGCCAGCACTCCACCTACCGTGGACCACCAATCGTTCCACAGTACCCCGGATGCTGGAAATCCTGGTGGCATCGGAAGTGGCCGGCCTATTCCGACCCGCGATTCCTCGCTGCGACATCGGCATAGTCAATCGCCGAGCTCCAAAAAGCATCGGTCTGCCCGTCATAGCCGATACTCCTCCACGGCTAGCAAAGACCCCCACACGGAGAATGGACTGCCGGGAACGAGCAACGATGCCGAGCAGGTGACGCGCCGGATTCAAGAGTTGAAAGACCATCAACAGAAGATCAAGACCGAGCTGGACGGGGCTGGTAGCCCCGAACACTCGACTCCGACGACCCCGGCAAAGCAGCCGAAGACTTCAAAGGTATCGCGGGTGCTGGGACACGATGTCGACAAGGCCGACATCTACGACGGGCCAGGCCGTCATCAGCCGCCTTTCAATGAAAGTGCCCCGTCACCATCTGTGATGACAGGAAAAAGCCGCACCGGACATCGGCCTGGAGCAGCACTTGCATCAAAGCCTACTCATCTACCAACGCAGTTGTCCAAGTCTTCTGCGGAGAATGCGGACTCTGACAGAGCTCGACAGAGACGGTCCCTCGAGCCACTCACACCAACCAAACACCGCCGTACCCCGTCCGGCCATATGTCTCACCTATCAAATGGGCGTCCATCTTACAGCACAGAACGACCATCCAGTGCCGATTCAATCGATCTCGCGGTCGATGACTACATCTTTTCGCCGAGGCTGGCCCAGAGAGTTACCCACCCAACCACGGGCCGTACTATCGCATTCTCTGAGGTCGGTGACCCCACAGGCCATGTTGTTTTATGCTGTGTTGGTATGGGTCTCACTCGGTATCTGATGGCGTTCTATGATGAATTGGCTCGGACACTCAATCTCAGACTGGTAACCCTGGATCGCCCTGGCGTTGGCGAGAGCGGTCCACACCAGGGAGATGAGCCGAGCACCCCTCTCAGTTGGCCAGGTAAGCGACGACTGCTGAGCTTGTTTAGTTCTGCGCTAATTTCTACTAGACGACGTTGCAATTGTTTGCAACCACCTACGGGTGACCAAATTCTCCATCCTTGCCCATTCTGCCGGCGCGATTTACGCTCTTGCCACGGCTCTCCGAATCCCGCAGCATATTCGTGGCCGTATTCATCTACTGGCTCCATGGATACCTCCATCGCAGCTGTCGAGCATCGGCTCCCAGAAAGACCCCGCGCCCACAAACGCAGTTCCTTACTCCCAAAAAATCCTTCGTGCTCTCCCTACATCTTTTCTTAGAGTGGCCAACTCGAGCTTCATGTCGGCTACGAGTGCCAGCATCACCACCAGTCTACCCAAGTCGCCGCGAAGGGTCAAGCGCAAGGCCGCTGCGAAAGACGCAGCCACTGCCAATCAGGCTCCGCCCGTGCCAGCGTTGCCTTCTGCTGTCGAAGCCCACGAACAACGTCAACAACCGGACACCAATATCCAACCGATCGCTTCGACTACTGGTTCGTACCGAAAGAGTGACACGACTCTCGCATCTCATGCGAAATCTCCAGAAGACGAACTTGAACGGCAGCGCGACTATGATACTCGTCTCACCTACAAGATCTGGGCATTGGCTACCACCAACGCTAACCCGGCGGTTGATTTGCTTACCTGTCTCGAGCGTCGTCAAACGATCGGGTTCCGTTATGTGGACATCACTCGGTCAGTGGTGATTCATCATGGTAGCAAAGACCCCCGCGTTCCAGTGGAAAATGTCCAGTGGCTTGGCAAGACGATGCGTCGTTGTGAGGTTCGGATCCTCGAAGGCGAAGGTCATGGCCTCATGGCATCTGCTGGTGTCATGGGAAGTGTCTTGACCGAGATTGCCAAGGAGTGGGAGGATTGGACGACCCTTGTCCAGGGCAAGCGCCGAGCTACCGTCAACCGTCCTTCACAGCCTGGACTCTCCATTCATGCTTGATCTTCTTATACCCCCATTTTTTTTCTCTTTATTTTTCCCCATCAGTCGATGTCTTTACTATGATGACACCGCGTCTTTTCCCGGCCATGTGACTATTCGTTCCCTAATCACCTCGCCCTTCCCTCGTTTCCACAAATTAGGCCGCAGCTGGTCTGTTGGTTCCCATTGCTTTGGCTTTGCCTTGAACTACTCCTTACTATCTACCCTTACACTAACCCCTACCCCCTATCTAATCACCTAATGGTGCGAGGCTCCCTGTCTTATGATTAATTGACATGAGGTTTTGCCTTTGAACAAAAGGACCTATCTGATATTTAGCATAATACCCAGTCATGCCATATTTTAATAACATATTGATAATTCACGATCAACCTCAAAATAAGCGTTCGTAAGGCAGTGAATAGCCCCAGCCAAGCATCAGCGCTCAGACGCGCCCGCAAATCAGGGATGTCATCTCCTTGGCTCCTTAGGAACCCCACTTCTCCTGACCTGTTTGGGTCCTTTGGGAGCTTTGGATCTCTTGATTCTGGAACATATCACGCCTTGAACGAATGTTTGTGGAATTATCACTCTCAACTTGACCTGTCAGCTTGACCGAAACCGGAGATCGCATTCTTGGCTTCTGGAAACACGTCACCGTGCTTGGTTCGGCGCGTGCGCATTCGCCACGGAACCCAACGAGCAGCTGCCTCGATCAATTCAACACAGCCGGCGTGTAGTATACAGGTTATAAAGCCGCCGAACGCTATAAGCGCAACCGTCCACAATGCCTTCACAACGGAGGCTTCGCCTAATCGTCATTGCGGTCATCGCGCTTCTGTTCATGGTATTTTATTACACTGTACGTCCGCAGACTCTTCCTTTTTCGCGCTATTTGGGCAAATGATTGATTCGACTCGATACATTACAGGACGAAGCAAGCAAGATCCAAAACCAACAATTCTACCGTTCAACGCTGGCAGCAATGAAAGCGAAGGAGCAAGCCAAGAACGCCAAGTCACAAGAGAAGATCCAGAAACCTGTCCCTGCGCCGGGACAGAATGGCGCAGCCGTTGCTGGTGATAAGGTGCCCGTCGCCGAGGTTCAGAAAGCTGCGATTCCCCCTGCTACAGAGAATGAAGATACGGAGGAGATTCCAATTGCGGGACGGACGAAGATGACTGTCCCTAAGAAGGTGAATCAACCTTCGGAGGTTCAAAAGCCGGCTAAGAGTGAGGAGGAGAAGGAGCGCGAGGAGAGGGAGCAAAAAGAGGCGGAGGCGACGACAGAGCTCAATGCAATTCTTAAGCGCTCCCCAAGTATGGTTCCCACTACTCCCCTGTATCCGTACTGAAAACTAACAAGCATCCAGTTATCATCTTCTCCAAATCCTATTGCCCTTACAGCAAGAGAGCCAAGTCAATCCTACTGGAGCATTACTCCATCCAGCCTCCGCCGTTCGTGGTCGAATTGGACCAGCACCCGCTTGGGCCGAATTTGCAGGCCCTGCTCGCGCAGAGTACAGGGCGGCGCACCGTTCCAAATGTTCTGGTCAACGGCAAGAGCATCGGTGGCGGGGACGATGTTGCGGCATTGGATCAGAGCGACGAGCTGGCTTCGACGCTGCGACAGATGGGCGGGAAATGGATCGCGGATGTCTCGCGCCAGGAGGTAGATAATTCACTGTGAGATAAGCATTGTAATACTAGATTCAGTGGCCATAGTCCATGATCCCGACGAGAAATCGGGGGACATGGTGAGCGGAGCGCATTGTGTACTGTACATAGTCTTTAAAGAACTTCTAATTAAATCCTCAGGAACGCTTTGGATCGAGGCCTGAGGAGATAAATACCATATGTATCTCTACCTCTCAAACCTTGACAGTCACAGTAATGAAACAAGTACCGGTACAATTCCCGATAAGGCGATAAGCTGATAAGGAACCCTAATTGCGCTAGACCCAAAGTGGCCCTAAGCGACGCACAATCCCGTGACATCCAATTTCGCTCCACCACCAAGTCCATTCGAATTTTGAACCTCCCCGACATCGACAATCTACACCCCCGGCAACCACCAAAAGTCACGTCAAGATGCGGTACATTCACTCCGAGGAACGGCTGCCCATTCTGGACAATGGTGAGCGAATTTCTTCTTTTTTTCTGCAGTGGAGGATGAGGGAAGCCGGTCGCACACAATACACTTCTTGAGGCATGAACGAAAATTCGACACGACACTATGAAGTCTCGCACGACACAGGACACAGACACGACCAATATTCAGCACGACTATAGCAGGATTGAGGAGGAATCATTGTGTGGACCGGCGACTCGCACACCCAGCAGACAGCTCCTTCATTTCTTGATTCAAAATATTGAATTTCGTCAAAACAAGACCATCGACTAACCCAATTCCCTTGTGTTTTACAGTGAAGGTCCACATTAAGTCCCGCGTCGTGACTGTCGAGGGTCCCCGCGGCAAGCTCGTTAAGGATCTCTCCCACATTGCCGTCACCTTCGGCCGCCCCGAGAAGAATGTTATCTCCATTGAGCTGCATCACGGTGCCCGCAAGGGTGTTGCCACTCTCCGCACCGTCCGCACCATCATCAACAACCTCATGATCGGTGTCACCCGTGGCTTCAAGTACAAGATGCGTTACGTCTACGCTCACTTCCCCATCAACGTGAACATCGAGCCCAACCCAGAGACTGGCCGCGCTGTCGTTGAGATCCGGTATGGAACCCTGCACAGACCGAATTCATGGTTTCGCGACATGATTTGGAGATTTCACTGTTCAAGGTGAATCGTGATGGGAACATAGGACTAACATGATCATTTTTCAGCAACTTCCTTGGCGAGAAGTACGTCCGCCGCATCACTGCCCAGCCCGATGTCGATATCGCTCCCTCCGCCAACGTCAAGGATGAGCTTATCCTCACCGGTAACTCCCTTGAGGGTGTTTCCCAGTCCGCTGCCGACATCCAGCAGATCTGCCGTGTCCGCAACAAGGATATCCGTAAGGTGAGTTATATACAACACCTCTATTCTGGAGATTCTACTGGGGGACTCAGACCCAGACTTGGTGGCTAGATACTAACCGTTTCCAGTTCTTGGATGGTCTTTACGTGTCGGAGAAGGGCAACATCATTGAAGAGTAAACGTGCTGCTTGGGAATGTATGGGGTGTCCGGGAGAGGTTTCTTTAATTTCGCCTACTTGCATATAGGGAAGCAAAGCGAAATGTCAAAATCAAAACGACCCTTTTGAAATTCACTGATTCCCTTACGCGAATAACGTCTTTGTATGTGGTAGAAATGTGCGCCCGTGGCGAATCCATGACTTCTTTTTTTAATACTTGGAGATATGGCCGAGTAAACCTAGAAACATTGAGTGTATAGTAGCTGAGAGATGCAGTTGAGGGTTGCGGACTCGTAGATCACAGCTGAAGATGACGATCTGGGGCATGGGGAACCTAGATCAGCGGTCTTAGGCTCTTCGAACATCAACTCGGCAACCTCCAACACAACCTACAACGGCTTACACAAATTGGAGTTCTATTCGCGTCGACAATTCAGCTTTTCTACATATATACATATCGCTTCAAAACTACAAGAGTCTACCCCCAGTATCCCCATCGGAGTCCCCACGCGCGTGACGTTATTAGCATGTGAAAGCGAAGATTGGGTCCGCATGTGCTTCTCTCTTCCCACAACACAGACACATCCCTCGACTCAACATGGGGTCCTGGCTCTCTCTATGGAATGTTGTGGGGCCCGTGTGGAATATGCTCCTCGAAGTTGCGCAATTCTGGAGAGATGTGAGTGTTGTGTGGTCCCCGAAACTGGTGGGAGAGGTCCGGACACGGCAAAGACGAAAGACGACAAGGCAGAACATCGGACGTACCAATTGGTGTGATCTGAGCTGATTTATGTTGCTAGAATCTATTTTCATGGTGGTTTTCCAAATCTCCTAGAGACCGACTCTTTGACACGCTAGCCAATTCGCAAAGCTATGAGGAGTGGGAAGAGGCAGCATTCCAGCTCGATGAGCTATTAAGTAAAGACCTATGGTATGGAACAGCTCAAACCTTCCAGCCCAACTTCAGACCACTAATTATACAGACAGGCGCCAGAACCCAGTCAGCCGACACTACGACTACCGACTGATACTCGGCCGTCTAGAAGCACTAATGAGCGCACGAGAGTCCGAAGACATCCTTACACTAGTAAACCTGCTTCGCTCGGGGCTAGTACGAAACCTAGGCAACATAACCAGCACCAAACTGTTTACGCACGCGTACGCAGGGACAAAGCTTCTGATCGACGACTATATAACGCAAGTGGCACTGTCAATCCAGTATGTCACATCGATACCAGGGGACCCGATGCACCCGGGCGGGTTCAACTCGCAAGCGAAGCTGGAGCTGCTGCACGATACGCGACAGGCGTTTGGGCGGACGACGCTGCTGTTGCAGGGCGGGTCTGCGTTCGGGCTGTGCCATTTAGGCGTGGTCAAGGCGCTGCATTTGCAGGGTCTGCTGCCGCGAATCATCACTGGCACTGCGTCTGGGGCGATGATTGCTGCGCTTGTCGGGATTCATTCTGAGGATGAGCTGCTTCCATTGCTTGATGGAGCGGGGATTGATCTATCTGCTTTCGAAAGGCGGAAGAAGGCTAATGGCAGCGGAGAGGGGAACTCTGATTCGAGCTGGTTGGGCACGTTTTATCGTCGGATGAAGCGGTTGGCTAGGAACGGGTATCTTTTTGATGTTGCTGTTTTGGAGGAGTGTGTTCGGGCTAATGTTGGGGATCTTACGTTCGAAGAGGCGTATGCGAGGTCGAAGCGCATTCTGAACATCACAGTGGCGACGACGGGGAAAAATGGGACACCTAACCTGCTGAATTATTTGACTGCGCCGAATGTGGTATGTCTTTCTCCCTTCTGTGCCCTAACGTCAGTCACTCACACATACAGCTTATCTGGTCTGCGGCCGTAGCATCCAATGCCTCTGCCTCCACAGCCCTATACTCGCCAGTCACGATATACTGTAAAGACGAAACAGGCACCATCGTGCCATGGCCACACACACAGGACGCAGTTTTCCAACCCTGGCGACACGTGCACTACAACGAAGGCGAATCCCCACTCTCACGGATCTCCGAACTCTTTAACGTGAACCACTTCATCGTCTCCCAAGCCCGACCATACCTAGTTCCATTCCTACGCTCCGAACTCAATCTACTAGACCGACGACAGACAGGCTGGAACAATCTCACCCGCTCGACAATGCGTCTAGTAATCGTCGAACTCCGCCACCGCCTCCGTCAACTCGACTACCTAGGCGTGCTACCCGCCTCACTGAGCCGAATTCTCATCGACGAGACCATCCCAGGACCAAACCTGACCTTAGTACCCGACCTGTGTTTCTGGGACCTGACGAAACTATTCCAGAGTCCGACCAAGGAGCGAGTTGCCGAGTGGTCGTTGAAGGGCGAGAGGGGTGTGTGGCCGGCTATTAGTGCTCTGAAAGTTCGGGAGGCTGTGGAGATTGAGCTTGATAGGGCGTATCAGCTTGTGAGACGGCGCAGGCCGAGTGATGCTTCTATCTCTGCGCCTGTGATTAAGCAGGCTGCTATGAATGAGGGTGTGGCTAGACGTAGGAGGGGAAGTGAGAATGAGGAGGGGATTCTCGCTGATCGAGAGTGAGTGTATAACATGTCATTACTATAAGTGTTCTACCTGGGAATATGCGAACATGGATAGATATCCCTCTCTAAAGTTCATGTTCTTTGCAGTATAGAAACGGTCACTTATTCCCTTGAAACATAACAACTATGTGAATAGCCTCATAAATTACCCAATCCACCCAAACTTACTGTTCGATATCCCCAACACACCGGGTCCCTTTCCCATTGATAAAAACATGACATCTTCTAAACACCTGCGAAGCAGCAGTAACCTCAAACAGCAGGACATACCTTTCATCTTGCGGATTATAGCAAGATTGGTGAATAGGATCACCATTCCGACACCCAGTTCAAGTTAGACAAATAGAAACAAACCAACCTTGAGAGCAACCGACTTACATCAATTCCGCCCTTGCGATCTGTCCAAACTTCTGCAAGATCTCATCAGTACCTCTTCATGCTTCCACTTCCAACTCATTTCCAATGAATCCCATGTTAGAACAGTTGCCAATCCATACCTGCTCAGCTCCACCCTCCGGAGCAAAGAACGCGTTAGTAGCATCGATCCATTCAGGTGGTAGTTTGTTTATATCGAAGCCCTCGAATCTGACATTGTCTGCTGCTTTGCGAACTTGGTGTGAATCTATAGCTTGTTTTCGGACTTGCCTGGAATAGTCAACGTGTGTCCATTCTTCTTCTACTGTTGACATTGTGAGGTTATGTTAGGAATGCTGTATGTTGGTCTTGTGTATGAGATAGGGCTTGGATGAGGCGTGATACTTGGTTTTTATCATTGGTCCAGACGGAGAGTTCAGGCTTAGGATACGGAGTAGTTGGGGTCGAAGGAATACAATGGCATTGTGGGTATCATGCTGGGATAAAACTTCTTTCAGAGAAGAGTTCGTTAATGCAAGTACAAAGCCTTTGTGTTCCAGTCTGGTTGAAACTCGGAGCATGCTCAGACTTCAAACTCAGTTTTCCTACATGTCTCAGTATAGAACACTTCATTCATAAGATAACCTACACTCTCCACATTATTAGGCTAGCTATGATATAGAGGATGCCATAAGCTTCCCACGCAAGTCCGCTCATTCGATGGCATCCGATGCAGGCGGACCCTTGTAGTCTAGAAACAAAGTCAGTATAGAATTCGAAGAGCCCAACAGAAAGTCAAGCCGGGCGAGGGAAAGGAAAAACTTACATTTCCTTGCATGAATGAAATACCAAATAGCCGAGATAACCAAGAATCCCATGAACACAACCGATGCATAATTCATCGACTGCGCCGTAACCGGCAGCACAGTCGGCATACTGAACAGCACCATCTCAAACCCAATCCACGCAAGGGCAACGACATTCGAAAAAGTGCCAAGAACCCTGCCACAGTTCCAAGCCGCCTTGTGAACCTCCTCTCTCCCATTCCACAGACTCAAGAAGATCGGAATAGCGTAAGCAGTCGCCAGCGCAATCACACCGACAGAAACAAACGCCGTGAACGCACTCGTGCTACCGAGGTTAATCAACCCCAGCAACATCTGAATCCCCGTCAAAAGCAGCAATGCATTCACCGGCACGCCCCAGCGGGGATGAATCTTCGACCACAGTCGCGAGAGCGGGACAGCGTCGTCACGAGACACCGCCCAGGTCGTACGGGAGGCGGCAACGGTGATACTGATGGAGCAGAAGATGTTGATGACGAGGATGAGGGAGATGAGGCCTAGACCGCCGGCCTGTGAGCCCATTACCCGGTAAAATATGTAGGGTAGGGCTTGACCGCCGGGGGAGAAGTTGATGACATCCTCGAGTGGGGGCATGGTTGCGCATAGCGGGAGGATGAAGAATAGACCTGCTATTCCGCCGACGGGAACGCTGAGGGCGATGGCGCGGGGCACTTTGACAGCTGCGTCTATGACTTCCTCGGCCATGGAGGAGATCATGCCGATGGCGGAGAAGGTGTATGCGACTGGCAGGAAGCCGATGAAGAAAGTGAAGTTGCCCCAGCCGGCGAAGGACTTGTCATAGTGGGCGAGGGTGTAGGATACTGAGTGGCGGGGGGTTTGGGGGTCAATGGAGATGGCGAGGAGGATGATGAAGATCGTAAGGGCGGTCCATGCTGCGCAGCAGATGTCGATGGTGGGGAGGTGTTTGTTTGCGAAGGTGCAGAGAGGGAGGGAGACGAGGCAGATGCCGTAGAAGATCAGGAGCAGTTGCCAATTTGTTGCGACCCATTCTGGGTGGTAGAGGGAGATAGTTGAGGAGAGGATGGAGGCGAAGCCAAAGTTTACAGAGAGGGTGATGGTCCAATTACCGATCAGCCAGAGCCAGGCGTTAATGAATGAAATGGTGGTTTTGGCGCCACGGGAAAGCTGGAAGCTCCAGTAGTAAGGTCCTGCGGATGTTGGGTAGCGGGATGCCAGCTCGGCAAGAGAGAAGGCAACACATTGGTCTAGAAGGCAGACGACGATCCAGCCGACGAAAATGGACAGTTGACCGCCGCCATAGATGGCTGAGAGAAGGGGTGAGCCTTCGCCGTAGGGGATTGCTGCGATGGCGAGACTTTGGAATAGCAGTGTGAGAACTGAGCGGTTGCGACGAAGCTCTTGTGTGTAGCCTAGGCCCTCTAATTCGAGGTCCTCTGTAGTTCCCTTTTCGGGCTCCTTTGGCAGAGACGCAGTGGGGGAGGGAGTGGATAGCTTTTTGATGTCCATCTTGGCGGTGGGCCTGTCCGAGTAGGTCAGGGACTCAAGAGTAAAGATGGATCCACAGTTATTATATTAAAAAGATATGTAGTAATTATGTAGTAGCTGGTAAGAGAACAGTGATGTTCATGAATACTTGGACTTTGAATCCAAGCTATAAGCGGGGGATGACAAGAAAAAGCCGATCAACAGGGGGCAAGGATGTGGTTTATATCGACAGCAGAGTGAACGTGCATAATCTCCAATCTGCAGAGATACTGTGCATGGCATAGGACGTCACCAAATGAACGAATGAGCGAACGAGACGATTCGCGGGGAAGCTGAAGTCTGAACTATCTCGCATCCTGTAACGGGTGATAGGTAAGGACAAACGACAGGGGTCTGTGAAGATTCGGATAAAGCTGGACTTTAGGAATCTAGGATTAAGCCCCTGAGTCCTGGCCAGTGAGAGGCCTAGGGCTATCCCATCAGCGAACCAATTTGATCATTTGACCAATTGGAAATTGACTTTCGCATGCTTTTTCCTCTTATCTCTGGATTCGAGACGAGGTGTAACATTGCAGATGTGTAGCTGTCATAGGTGGCTGTGATGGAATGTCAAAATCGAGTCTATTGGGTCTTTGGTGAAGTTGATCACCTCGGTAGGAAGCTGTCCAAAAAACTACCCGAATAGGATACACTAAAAACCACGTGAGCAGTCGATGAACCTTGGAAACCTGCCAAATGTGAAACCTTAATGCCTGGGCTAAACCCCAAATAGTAAAGGTATCCGCCCTAGGGGACTCCGCTTTTATCTCTTGAGCTTATCTTATTCGGTTGGGCTATTATACATCGAGATGCCTGATTATTGAGAAATCAGTTATCATCGGACTGTGATTAGGGAACGAATATCAGATACAAAGTCAATTGGGTAACGTAAATTATAAGGGAGGTATCAATAGAGGGAAGACACAGCAGAATGACACAGATATACCAACTCTCATCAACATGAATCAAACATTATGTGGATAGTGTAAAATCTGGGGAAGTCCCCCTTCAAAGAGACCAATTACATTGCTGTGGATGGCCGGCCTTGGTGGGACCGGCGCGAGTGCATGCTGAGGCGGTGACCGGTAGGCGGGGGACCCTCGGTAGCCATCAGGGGCGGAATACTGAATCCATATCCCTCGGTAGTCGCACTACGATCCTGGGGATCGATTTCAACACGAACGGCAACATCCAGTCCACCATACATCCCACTGTCAGCACTGAAGCCATCAGCGGCGCGGTGCGTTGTTCCAGCATCGACTTCGCCTTTGTGCAACGGCGCGTGGCCGTCCTTGGGCAACTTATCCAAATTAGCGGAACCAACTTCACGGGCCCCGGCCGGAGCGACGACTTCAGTGAGCGTCGCGTAATTCCGAGACGGCATCGTGACCTTGTTCCACGTAGCGCTCTTTTCCAGGCCACCGGGCTGCTTATCGAAGAATGGCATGAGAGTCTCGTCGCACTCCCGGTCGAGATGGTGAATCTTGTTCCGTCGGGCGAGGAGATTGGCAACGGCCTTGGGCGGGGGCTTGTTGGTAATGGCGCTGCTGACGACGTTGACTATGAAGCGGTGGTCGTTCTCGCCTGCGAGGTTAAGCTTCGGCTTTGAATAGAAGCGGCCGATCGCGGCAAGGTGGACGTCACCGCTGAGAATGGTCACGCGGATGCTGTGGCTGCGGGCGAACTCTTGCAGGCGCTGGATTAGCATCCTGCGCTCGTGTTTGTGCTGGCGTGCCGTGTAGTGATCGTCCAAATCGTCAAGGAGATCAACTTGCCCGTCAAACTCGTTGAAGAAGCCGCCCGCAACGCCAAAGCGCTTGTTGAGGAGTCGGATGGGCGCAACCACCGGAGATGTAAGGATGTTCTCCAGCCATGCTAGACGTGGGTACGCGATGGGCACACCTAGCAACACGACAAGGTGCTTGATGTCGCCCTCAGCTGCGAGGATCTCGCGCTGCAGACGATCAAAGATCAAGTCGTAGGTTTCCTCGTAGTTGATCTGGTGGCGGGTGCGCTCTGTGCGAGCATCCACACCCATAAAGGCAATGCGCTTGCCGAAACGCATGTAGAGAGATCGGCTGCGCTCTTCCACATACGGACCTGGCCGCTTGCCGATGATCCAGCTGTCGTCCTCGACCTGGTTCTCCAGAACGTAAGTATTCTCCACCTGACGCGGGTCAGCACCGGCCGTGCCGTCGACCGCGTGCATGGTTTGCGGAGCATCGGTGGTGAAAGTTGACTTTGGAGGAGCCATGTGGTGCTGGAAAAGACAGTAGTACTTGAACGCGACACCGCCAATACCGCGGAAGACGGCACACTTCATAAAATGATCGGTGTAAGATCCGAACCCATCGATGATGTCGTGGTCATCCCAAATATTGACCTGGGGGATGCGGCCATTGGCAGTCCGGAAGGGCTCAGTGTTGTACCAGCGGACGTAGTTTGCATAGTAGTACTCATCGCAGTCAGCACGCATCTGATTATCGAAGCTATGACCGCGCCTCTTGTGTGGGTTGCCAATGGCAGTCCAGGCCTTGAGCGGACCATCGACACGGATACCATCATTGTAGATCTGATCGCCTCCACCAACCATCACATGGAAGGGCTTCTTGTCATGCACGCGCATCACGTCATTCCACAAGTTCGGACCCACCCAAGCGTTCATATCTGTGCCGACAGAAAAGCCATTGCACGAATGGAACATGATGCGCATGGACTGGTCTTCTGCAGGAACGACGAACTGCCAGGGTGCCTGGACCTGCTCTCCGCTCTCGCTGTGCAGACCAGGGATGTCATACTCCCAGCGCGCTTCGAATGTTTCCACCGGCACGGCCAGCGAGAATCGCCAGAACGCTTTCTGAGGATCCTCGTATAGCTTGAGACCTTCAACTGTTTGGCTCTTCTGGTCACTGCCGCCGCCACTTTGAGCTCCAATGTCTACGGCGCCCACTTGGCGCATGTGCAGCCGAGGCTGCTCCTGAATCGGCTTTGTGACAATCAAAACACTACCGTGCCAGAGGGTGGAGGTTCCGTAGTTCATATTCTTCAGATTGAGAAGAGGGCCTGAGATGAGCTCAAAGCGGTTGTTTGAGCCGCGCGCCATCTGCTGTTCGGTCTCTGCATTTTGAAAGGTGCCTGCGATTCGACATGCGCGGTTAGTTTACGCGTCTCCCGGGTTCATGGATAAGTTTCCCGGCATACCATTGATGTTTTGCGCACCGTAGTCGGCCATTATAAAGGCAATTGGTACAACTCAGGGTATCACAAGGTTCAAGGAGGATCCAAAAGACCCGTGGACTCGAGTCGCACGGACAGCTATTACAAGGGACACGATTGAACGGAGCGAGGAGTGCGACGTACGGTACACGTTAGGGGGAGAGTAGGATGAAACTCGAAGAGTGAACAGACTCGAAGTGGAGAGCGTTGGACAATAGGGCTACAGGGCTGAAAAATAAAACAAGGAAAAGAAGCGAGATTAGGAGCTGCACATTGCTGTCTTAGAACCCTTGGGGGGCGCGGCTTGGCAGCAAAGGAGGTCTCAGCTGCTTCGGGGAGAACAGCTCAAATTACATGACGCTGCCAAGATATTGTGGAGCAAATCTACCAATGAGAGCGAGGATTATGGCAGCCAGCCTTTTCGTGAGCCACGTAGCGCCACATTAGTGGCTTCCCACTATTCTTAATTTGGTAAGTGCGTGTGGCGGTGAACCCTTACCTTCGATCGATCGGTCTTAACATTCTCCATACTCCGATTTGTTTTGATTTCAATCACTTCGTCAATTGATCACCAGATTCGGGTGCATTTGCTTGATATACATTTTGGTGGGACATTTTATGGATTTACAACCTGTTACCTCTGTACTGTGTACCTGAGTTGAATGTTTTATGCATCAACGCGCAGGCTTCTGTCGTACAAAACACTGCAGCCTTCCACATAGTACCAGCCTAAAGCCTAACGCCAACGGACCTCGGCCTATCAGCTACTAGCGTCAGCTGATCTACATCTACCAGCCCTACTCAAAACTAATAGTGCGTGGGGAAAGCCAACCATCATCGAAGTTTGTTGAATTAAAAACTCTTACTGTGTACGGAGTAGAAGTTAAAGGATTAGAGAGGCCTACTGAGTCATAGCCGCCCGGGGAGAGCTCCCATCTCGCGATTGAGAATGGAATAAATGCAGAGGAGCACCATAACACTGACCAAGATCGGAACCTGCGCCTTCGATACCGATTCCGATCGGCCGGCAATGACCTGGACGAGACGAGAACTGTCTCCGCACTCGTGAGAGCCATCTAAATGCCTCTGCTCGGTGTGATCCCGCAGCCCAACAATACTCTGTCCGTAGAACAAACCCGAAGTGACAGTACTTCTTACCTGCTTCTGGCGATACTTCTCAAGGGTGAGCCCATCACGAACAGAAAACCAAGAATCCTGCGAAGCGATTGCAAGCAATGACCGCAATTCCTCCTGGAAAGGGTCATACATCTCACGACCCCCTCGGCATCTTCCCACATAAGGTCGGCGAAGTCCTCAGCGAATTGCAAAAACTGAATGCTAATGAGCATGTCCATGCCTGCTTGAAACGCCCGTGTCGTCATACTGTTATGGTGAAGCATCCCGAGTTCCAGGATCTCAATCCGATGCCGCATGGTATGGCGCAGGATTGTGAGAAACCGCTCGATGTGCACATCAATAACGAGCTTGCCCGCGCCCTGCATATAGGCACGCCAAAGGTCCTGGTAGTTGTTGAGCTCCTGTGGCACTTCAAATAGGTATCCCTGGAAACAGCGGGTTGTCAGATCAAAGCCCAAGACGAGCTTGGCATTGGTGAATTCATTGTGTGCATTGGGAACCGGGATTGTGACGAAAAACACGGTTGGATTCATGCCGCATGGGACATTTTCGAAGCTTGGGTAGTCGTGTAGGGCAACCTGCTTCAGGCCGTCAGTTTCCACGAGGCAGCACTCACTTACACGGCAGTTCTTGTCGCGGCCGCGCTCGATGTTCGCGAGAAGAATGTAGTAATCAACTACGCCCCAAGGATGGCGCATATATTTGTTCAGATAGTCAGAAGCCTGCTTAACGTCTTGCTGTGGCTCTTGAGACTTGGGAGGTAGAACCTGTTGCTTCTTGTGTTGGCTAAAACGAGTGAGCTTCGCCCATTTGAGATGCGACATACCGAGCATGTTGAAGCCGTGGGAGATACGAGGGCTCTGCATGGTTGTTAGAGTCTGCCTTTCTATGCTATTACTCGCGAGAGTGAGTTTTCCTCCGACGAATGGACTCGATATAGGACTTGATTCGGGACTCACGGCAGTCGGGACAATCCACAATAGTCGTATTGAACGGCGCGATGACCCTCTCTCTGAGGACACCAATCACCTCCTTGAAAAGGCTATGCACGGTGAGCGGCAGACACAGTTGTAGAACGAAAGTCTTGAGCTCCAAGCGTGCAGAAAAGATCTGGGCGAAGAACTCGTCGTCTTGCGTTTGGTAGAAGCAGTAGTGAATGATCCTAAAGACCTGAAAGACGATTGCCGCTTGGCCAACGCGAATCATGCAACGCTCAACCACGAAGGTGACAGAGCTGATCCACAGGACGAGCAAGATCCACAGAATGGGCCGGGGAAGATCCTGGAGACAGAAGTTAGTGGATGCCATTACGGGGAGAGTCAAGGTCAAGCGATGGGGGTACTTACAATGTTCGCTGATGACGGCGTGGGAAGGAATCTTTTGGAGGCAGCGAGTCGAGGTAGTTAGTATTCGTGGTATCGCTTTGCCTTGGGGAGCTGAGGATGGGATTGTGCTTCAATTGCTGCGACGAGTAAACCTTTTGTACTCCAGAGTGGAAAGATATGAGCTGATACGCCTGGGTCGATGCATAAAGAATGATAGCATACACAAAGACCTTCAAAGGTGTTTATTCGAAAGAATTGAAGGGGACGCCATTCGAGATTTGATACTAATTGACACAAAGAACACAAAGGAATTACCCCACAAAGCTATTGTCTCATGGTCTTTTGTCGGGGATAACCTGCGAGTCTGTCCTCGGCGTCCCCATTATGCCCTTTGTATGTTCTTTGTGCTCGACTATAATCGAGGCCATCCAGCAAATAAAGCAGACTCGACCTAATATTTAGATCGAGTACCAAGCACATTTGCAACACTCAAACCGCCGACTTATCTACTCTCAAATTCACGCGTACAAAGAATAGTGTATGATTCCGTGGTTTCTATTGATCCCATCAAAAACATCATGTCGACAAAGACTCAAATCTGAGCGCCTGTATACCTGCACAATGGGATGATATCTATCAAAGACGGAACAAAGCCATTCCAATATGAGAATCTTCTTTCAATTCACCGTAGTGAATTCATATCTGTCTTTGCTATGGACACATAAAGACCATGATACCCTCGAGTGTGTCTCTCCCAATCTATTGCTACACAAGAGCTTTACTCTCCCACAGTCGGATATACCTATCCCATCCCAATTCGCCAATATCTGACCTGGCAAATATGCAATACTCGGTATTCCAGGATGACGAGCCCTTGCTAGAACTCCCCAACGAGGATGCTGTCTGGGTGACCGTAATGCTTCACGAGGAGATGGAGGACTCTCACACTGACGAGGAAATCTTCAAGCATGTGCATCACCAGATTAAAATTAGAAGGGCTGGTGTCGGCCGACAGGCTCTGCATAACCTGGGGAAAGTGTGTATCTCGATCCCGATCCAGACTGGCAGCACTGATACGAGAGCCATCCTAGCCCTTGCCGAGGCCGATGCTTATAAGTGGATTGGTATACTCTACGATGGAGTTGTTACCCTGAACCGTACGATTATTTTTTCTACAATCCCATCACCTGCCCCGGAGGAACTGGAGGATTATGATGAGACTGAGGAATATGCTAAAGCGCAGGAGCTGTGGACTAAGTAGCTTGTGTTACCATACTTTGGATTTATGGCTGTACCTAGTGAAAATCCAAAGCTGTAGGTTATCAAACTCAGATTTGAGATCTCTAGAGAATGGAATAAAACCTTTCTCGAACCTTACGGAATAGGTATATTCCATCCATCCATCCCAAATTCTAAATTTGCAACCGACCATATGGAAGACTAGCGAGAACCTGACTTAGCCTGACATGATCACATAAGCATTCTAAATAGTGTCTTCAATCTCACAGCCATCATCGATCCACGCGACCGTAATTGAAGAAGGAGAAGAACCCGGGTTGTGACTTGTGAGAGCCTGAGAGGTAGAAGGTGAGCCCATCCACAAGCCACGTGCTTTGTAGGAACCAGTCATAAAACTATAAAAGACACTCAGACTCTCAGTGTCTTAGAAGCGGTTTGCTTCGCGCGCCACGGGGTATCTGCAAAAGCCCATATGTAGATGGGTAGAGATCGGGCTGAAGTGGCTGAAGCTCTTGCGGCTGATCGTAGGCTGATCCTTGGATGCAGATTGGCGGCCCGAAACTCTAATTCTAAATTTGCCGGCCCACAGCCGGGATTGTATGATCAAGTACTAAAGGTGTCCTACCAACTTTCCCTCTCTTTAAGGGGTTCGCGCTTGAAGTTGCTGTATATATTGTAGTGGGGAGGTGTGACCTCCCCCTACAGGCATGCTTATTGCTTTTCCTGTCCACTCCTTTGAGTTTCACGTGAGCGTTCCTTGCGTCAGCAGTTATGAGCTGGAGATATAGTCGCGAGGTAGCTTTAGTTGATAATACACACTCCTACACATCTCATATTTGACTGCTTGTGCGCAAGCGTCCGACCTCCTTGCTACCTCTGGTCTGATGTCTATGCTAGGTGGTATCTGCTGAATCGACCCGTGTGCCTCAGAGCACACAGCCTTGAGCGTTCCCCTCTTCATATGGTGAGCGACGCAGGGATTCTCACGGATGAGATAACCGATATTTCCGATTTGCGAATGCTGGCCCGCATGAGCCAAAAAAGAGTTTGGTTCAATTTGCCGAGGTACATCGGCCAGGGCTGTGGTATGTCTGGAGCAGTGTGCTACGAGAGCACATGCTGCAGACCCTTCTGAGGTTCTGTCTGGGGAAGTTACTCCCCTCACCGTCTTCTTATGTACCTCGGCAAATTGAACTAACTCTTTTTGGCTCATGCGGGCCAGCATTCGCAAATCGGAAACATCGGTTATCTCATTCGTGAGAATTCCTCGCGCGAACTTTTCATACTCATCACAAAAATAAAACATCGTGCAGGAATCTGACGCCGAGCGCGATCCAATCAGAAGACCGCCTGGGATTCTTTCCCACTAGCCTGGATCTTCCACGGATTCCTCGGGGTCAAACCTCCTTCCCACTTTTCTCTCGACACCCCTGTCTCGAATCTTGACTTCCCAAATTCTTCTACCTTGGTCGACGTTTCTGCCAGATAGCACTGCGTGTTCAGCCACCCAAAAACGATTCCCTGCGTCGGTCACCATATGAAGAGGGGAACGCTCGAGGCTGTGTGCACACGGGTCGATTCAGCAGATACCACCTAGCATAGACATCAGACCAGAGGTAGCAAAGAGGTTGGGCGCTTGCGCACAAGCAGTCAAATATGAGATGTGTAGGAGTGTGTATTATCAACTAAAGCTACCTCGCGACTATATCTCCAGCTCGTGACTGCTGACGTAAGGAACGCTCACGTGAAACTCAAAGGAGTGGACAGGAAAAGCAATAAGCATGCCTGTAGGGGGAGGTCACACCTCCCCATTACAATACGAACCTAGTATAAATTTTGTTACTTTGTACTCCGTACTCGTAGTCAGGCTTTATAATTTATATCACAACTCTAGATTCATAGATGTTCTTGAACAACTAGGTGGGTTCAGCAGTTGGTATCATTTATCCGTAAACCACTATGACGATACCACCAGAACAAACACGTCCGACTCCCGAGAAACGACATGGAATGAAATTTCCGAGACGTGGTCGAGAGTCCACCGACCCATGTACCCATGTATGCGTTGTTTCGATTGAGAAAGACGCGTGGAACTGCTTCATAACCTGGCGTGCAGTGTCGTGATGCCAGGTTGTTATGTCGTGGTGGGGATCAGTAGGAGGTCCGGAGACCCTCGATGGATGTCGACGTGATACAATGTAGTACTCCGTACGGAGAATGGAGGCCGAGTTGAGTGGCTGGTCAAACGTAATGATGACATTATTCGAAAGAGATAACAATGTAGAGGGGAAAGTAAACATGACGCGTGAACTCTGGACAGTAAAGGGGACCTACGGATAGGTGATTAGGCAAAGGATCTCTAGAGACTAGTAAAGCTACAAAACGATTTCTCTTCTCCAAGCTCGTGCCACTGGCTCGAGGAGTGATGAAAAGAATGTCCACAAGAGTGGGGAGGTGCCAAAGAATACGCCTGTCAATGACCCGAAAGCCATTGAACAGCTTGTTCCGCCGCGATGTGCAATGCAGGGACCAAGCTGTGGTGAGCCGCCTTCATGATCGCGGACACCCAAACAAGGTAAGTATGAAGAAGAAAGAAAAAGAAGAGGAAGAAACTGGGGGACGGGGGATATTTATAACCGTGCGACGGGGCGGTGGCAGAATTCAGACGGGGACACGGGGTCACGGGGATAGACTACAACTACGGTCTAAGACTACACGTAACACAGTGTCAGTACATACTTTGGCCTGAAGCGCTACCAACGGTCTGTAGCATTGGCTCGCTATTCTGCGCCATGAGGAAGACGCGGCAGCAAGAGTGGTGGATGGCCAGCGGCCCAGCGCGGAGAAGCTCTCAGCGTGGCCGCACCGCGCATGGGAGACCACTCAGACATTGATACGGGGCTTTCATGTGCCATAGGGCACAGCGAACGTTCCTGGAATGGCCCGAGAGGAGCCATGTCCACCTCCTTTTGAAGGGGAGCGGCTGAGGTAACTGAGGTAAGTCTGTCGTGTCAATTGGGGTTATCTCGGTGATCAGCTGATCTCATGGATACAGTTGATAGTATTATGCAAGCCCACTAAAGCAGCGGAGGTCGAATTATGCATAGTTCAAAGTGTATGCACATCTTGCAGCGTAGAGACTTCTATCAAAGGCCAGCAAAGACTCTTGAACAGAGAAGAAAGCCATAGTAGCAACAAAGGCCTTTGTCCTTCTTTCAAGTCTCACTTGATCTTACATTTATAATACATCGCAAGTCTCGAATTTTCCCCCTCAAGATGTTAAAAGCATATCGCTGTCGCCAAATAACTGAAAGTGTACCAGATATCAGAAGCCTGAGTCCCAGACTTCATACCAGAGCGCAGATCCTTACAGGTACAGTTGGTTCCCGAGTCTATACAAGATACTGACCGCAAGCATGACAAAGCTGTTTCAGCCAAGTGTGTTCCAAACCCCTGAAGGTAAGAATTTCGCAGATCCTCATAGTAACCGAAGGGACTACTACTGGGTCACTGTGTTTCTCCCGGAACATATGGTACCCAGGCACTTCACAGATGAAGAGATTATGGATTATGTACTGAAGCAGATCCAACAGAACCGCTGCAGTGTGAACGGGAGGGCCATGTATGGTTTAGGGAAGAGGTGTATCTCTCTACCCATCAAGCGCGATGAAGAAGAAGCTCCTTTGCCTGATTTCTCAGAGCCTGGGCCTGCACATCCAGATCTCCTTCTTGCCGTGGATCTCGCTGCATATTGGCATGAAATGATATTGACGAAGAAGATCATTCTTGATAAAGATCTGATCTTTGTTGCTAAGCGCGGCAAGGCGGCTAGAATGGAAGACATGCTGGACGTAGGGCTTCATGTGATGGAGGTAAGTGTCATAGGTATTTCTGTTAATTGATGTCGAAGTTGAGGTCTTGGGCTGGCCATCAAGAGAAATCAAGTCGTTCTTGCGTAAAGCTTGCAATATCCTTCACGGAAATGCGGTTCATCACAATATTCCAGCATAAATTCCATGAACCCCGAGCCATAGATAGATAGCATCAGTAGTGAGTGGCAAGGTGTCGTGAACTTCGTAGTTGAAGGGTGAATGAATAGTGAATAAGTGTAAGTAGTATGAATGCTAGGATTTGCCATGGTAACGCCAGTATGATACAAGTAAGTCCAGGATTGGGCGACTAGTCCTCTTATAGACTACAGCCATTTCAGCTGCCTTGCCTTCCTTTGACGCTCTTTCTTTTTCTGCAGGAGAGCATATCCACATCCGGCACCGGTAACGTACCCACCTAGATGGGCAGCATGGTCCATCTTCGTTAGCCGAGAGAGGGGCCAGGCACGGAATAAGAAAGCAGGAGCTATCAAGCTGAAGATCTCAGTGCCAACCAGACATCCGAGGAAAACCCAGCCATAGGTCCAAATCTGGTCTTGGAGGCTCTGGGGAAGAATCCACATGGTGAGTTTGTCACTACTTGGAGTTAGCATAGGTACCACAGACTAATATATGAGATCGTGGCGGAATACTTACTCAAAGTGAGACATGCACCATGCGGCGACGACACCGCTGGTTGCGGCGCTAGCTCCGAGGGAGGTCATGCCCAGACGGCCAAGGATGACGCTACGCATCAACGAGAAAGCAGATCCCGTCACACCGGAAGCAAAGTAGATGGCCAAGAAGTTTCCACGGCCAATCTCGTCGTGAACTGTAGGAGATAATGTTAGCATCTATATTGCCTATTTCTGCTGGTCATATGCATACCTCTGGTTCCCATAAGCCCTAACACCATCATGTTGGTTCCAAGATGTCTCCATGTTTGATGACTGAATACGCTTCCAATCATGCCCAGTGATCTGGGATAGAAGGGGACGATCACGAAGTAGCGATTCAGCAATTTCCATGCGGGAGGGATATATTTCCATAGTAAAGTGACTGCCACGTTGGCTGCCACGATGGCACCCACAGTGGCTATGGCAGGGGGCACATCCGGCATCAAGCGGTCTTTACGTGCGGGGAATTCATACGTCTGGGCAAAGGTGTAAGAGAGGCCCAGAACCACGGCAGTGAACAGAAGTGGAGCAAGCAGACGCTGATACTGTCGTTCATAAGTATTATTAGCAACGAGATATTTCAACAGACTGAGCCATTCTTACATTGCTGATGTTCATTGATTCGGGGCTTTCATCAGTTGCAGCGATATGATGTTTCTGAACCCAAGCGAGATAAGGCCTCTCAATGGGATCCGCACGAGGACGAGCTAGAAAGAGTCAACACCAACAAGGACAACCCGTATTCAAACTCCCATGACACATACCTTCAGTAAGCGCCTGCTCCTGATACTGCTGAAGAGAAGTATCCTTCCCAAACTGCTGCTGCAATCGCTCCTGTTCTTTGCGCTCGCCATCGAGCCACTCCTGCCTTTTTCGCTCCTGTTCAGCCAACAAGCGTTTCTCATTCTTTTCGCGAGCTTCTTTCAGAACACTTTTGCCGTACGGAGAGCCTTCCTCCCCAAGCTCTGCATCATACGAGCCACTCTGCGGCTTATACAAGCCCAGCTTCTCGGCCCGGCGCATGAGCTTCTCTTCCTCTTCGCGCTCCTCGCGCTCGATACGGGCCAGAATGGCAGCATCTTCATCAACTGGATATTCATTCCGAAGCCATTCCATAGCCATGTCAAGCTGCTGCTGACTGACGGCTCGAACAATGTCAATTGGCAAGTCTGCATCGAGCGTGCCGGTCAGACGGTGGCCGTGCAGGACGCCCAAGATACGGTTCCCCATCTTGGTGTTGATGTTGGCCTGACCAAAGATATCCTTGATCTCGGCATCGGAAAAGGGCTTGTCGCGAGGACTGACTACAGAGGGATCCGACTTGGACTTTTTCTTTGTAGAGGCGGCGGAGGTACGTTTAAAACGGCGGGGGACTGAAATCGGGTTGCATTGTTGCGAGGGGAATAGGACGGGTGTTGTCCGAGACGGGAGGGAATGTATTTGCGATCGAATATTCGGGATTGGTAACCCAAGTGGGCGCTGTGATGTGCTGCTGTACATGCGCCATGAGGTACTGCGGAGATCGCGACCTGCAGCGCGGAATGTCACCGGGGGCAGCACGGACGCACGGAGCCCCGGGCATGGAGCCCTCCATGCGGCCCAGACCACGTTACTCATGTCGCGGGGAGAGCGAGGCCTTAGAACGAGCCACAGAGTCTATGGTGCTGAATGATTGTTCGAGGGACTTTTTGGCGATATCAATGGAGCCTCGGCTGCAGAGTTGTTCCGGGACCGCGGATCTTTATCAGATGCACTTGAGCAGTGTACTTGTACTTGTATGTAGATATTGCTTCTGGATTCTTCAAACACTTCTGAGAGTGAAAGAAAACATAGTCCAGTGTTAAAAATATACAGGTCGTACATCAGAAGACTGTGAGTTAGAGTCACATGCTTAATTGTTTACTCCGTACTAGAATTACCCGTCGAAAGTGAGAAATGTTAAAGAACAACTTTTTGTACGATGACTATACAAAAGGAAAATTATGCACACAGATAAGAATAAACAAACGCCCAGAAAAAATTGACAGACATCATGCAACGGCATCTCGAGATTACATCCACAAGCGACAGGTTCCATCGGCACCGGCACTGACAGCCCACGCCTCACGCGGGTGCCAATCGATATCCAAGACACCAAGCTCTCCAGTGATCTTGTGGCCCTTGAGAACCTTGAGAGGCACAATGGTAGCATTGCTGAGCATGTCACCAGTAACGCTGCCGTGGAAAATCTGCAGCGATCCATCGTCAGAGGCATCTGCGAAGAGCGGGTAGCGGCCACTGGGATGGAACTTGACGGCGCGGATAGCCTTGCGGTGGTAGCGGAGGGTCTTGTAAGGACGCTGGGAGAGATCTAGATCGTGCCACAGCAGACGGCGATCGTATGAACCGACAATGATGTTGTCGCCGCCAGAGGCGCTGGATGAAGTCGGGTGGATGTCGAAGGACGAGATCCAGCGCGCACCAGGCTGCAAGATCTTGACGAGAAGCTGGCGCGAAAGATCGTATGCACGAATGGAGCGCTGGTTTGCCACGAACAGGATGGGTTTCGACGGGTGGAAGTGTGCAGTCTGTGGGGGACCACCGCCCTTTAGGCGGCGTCGGAAGGGGAATTGCGTCAAGTGCTTGCTGAGTGTGTGAATGGAGATCGCGACGGAAGCGGGTGTAGAGGCGCCTGAGCACACTGTCACGAAGTAGTCGCCGCGGCGGTGCCAAGAAATTGTCTTGGGCACGTAGCGCAGAGGAATGACAACGCAGACGCCGGCATCCACAAGAGCGGCCTCAGGACGAATCCATGTTGGAGGCGCGTTTTTCTTGCCTTCCTCTGAGGCACTGGGTGCCGGCCTAGAGGCGGCGAAACCCCAACCTGCGTCGAGGATATCCAAACTAGCCTTCTCGATTTCGGGATCAACGATAGGAGGCACGGCGAGGAAGATGTCATCGCCTGCGGTTGCGGCGAGGATGACAGCATCCTTACCCGGACGCCAGCGGACAGTGTTGACGGCTTCGTCGTCGCTGAGCTTGGCGCTCCACAGCTGGCGACCAGTGAGGAGTTCCCAGACACGGACAGTACCGTCGTCGCCACCAGTCGCCAGCCAAACTCCGGTTGGGTCCACGTTGACAGCGCGCACACGGCCCTTGTGGCCGCGGAAGACTGTAGCACAGGTGGTGGGGAAGGGCTTCAGCTCTTCGGGGCTGGGCAGCTTGGGAAGAAGGCTCTCGGGGTCAATGTTAAGCTTGCTACGGCGCACACGCGGAGCAAGGTAAAGATCCAAGCAGCGCTCAAACTTCTCCTGAACGAAGTTGTCGTATCCGGGAACTCTGCGCAAGGAGCCAAAGTCTTTGGGCAGGAAATCCTTTTCGCGATCCTCGGGATCGGTCTGCTCCCATTCCTTACGTTCCTTGTTATCAGGTAGGTACTCGGGAGGCGGGTGGTAACTCTCTTCGTAACCAGGAGGTGGCAGTTTGGGCGCCGGGATATGCATAACGTGATCGGGTCGCTCAAGTTCATCGGCCCACAGGTCGTAGTTGATGAGTTCCTCCTCCTTCTCTTCTCTATCCTCGGGCGCCTTGTAAGGAAGAATGCGGCCCTCGCGGATGGCCTTCACGAGTTTCATAACACGCTTTTGTTCATGTTTGGAGGGAACGAAGCGGCGCTTGGGCTCGGGAGCGGCGCTCAGAGGCATAATCTCCTGCTCGCTGGTGAACCATTCAACCAGAGGCTCATACGGGTCATAGCCCTCAGAGGGAACCTCGTTCATCTGCACCTTGCGGAGAAGCTCCAACTCGTCCTGGCTCAACTGCAAGGGCTTGCCGGTCTTAGGGTCGGTAAGACCAGTCCAGCCCTTGGGGATCTCAATACTATCCAGCAACGCATCCAAGGCCTCGCCCTTGGCAGGGCGCATGATCTTCTTTCCATTGATGTCGTAGCCAATATGAGGATACTCGTCGTAGAACTTCAGCGGGATATCGCCTATGGTGTTGGCGGTCTGGTCCACCTCAGAAAGTTCGGAGTTGTCGTCAGGGTGGATTTCGTCCCAGAGATAGCGATCGTTTCCATTGGCATCCTTCACAACGCGGAAGTTGGGTTCACCGGCAGCGGGCTTCAATTCCTCAGTATCAGAAGGAATCTCGTCACTGTCCAGTTCCTCTTCTCCATCTTCCTCGTCGCTGAATTCGTCAACCAGTTCGATTTCTGAGTCGCTATCCTCGTCTTCACTTTCCGAAAGATCGTTGGCGTTGTCCGACAAAGCTCCATCGAGGTTATCTTTGCTCAATTCGTCACCGGAGAATACACCTGCTTCCTCCTCCACATCTCGAGTAACAGCCTTGCGCTTCTTTGAAGCAGCCTTGGGGTTCATGGTGTCGTTCAACGAATGTTGTTCTGTTGCTGTAGATCCATGGATTTTTTTAGGATAATTTCTTGCGGCTCTCACCGCCCACATGACCGACCCCATCTTATCGCTATCAATGACTTAGCGCCCATCTCCCCAACCCAAGCTGACGACTATAGTCAATAGCCCTTAAATTACGACTCAAGGGTTTATGAAAGAGACCCTCAAAATATGGCGCTCTTACCTGAGTATATGGGAGCCGCTTCTCAGCCTCTTACCAACGATGCCTCAAAGCTGAAAAGACATGCAGCATGCGATGAGTGTAGTATGTCTTACTGGCCGATGTGACACAACCCCTGCTGACTAGTGGACAGGGCACCGAAAGCTCAAATGCTCTGGGGAACTGACAGGCTGCTTGCGATGCACCAAGCAGTCACTATCATGCAACTATTCTATTCAAAAACAGATGGGTCGACCGCCCAAGAAAAGGTTACGGACGGACGATGAGGGGTTCGACTTTGCGGCGCAATCGGGGGCTGACATCTGGCTCAATCCAGAGGATTTGCAACAACTTTCAGCAGGGATTACTTCCACAACAGGCGCAATTCCGGATTCTGATCATCTGTGCCCGGTGCTGTACTGGCGGCCTGGTTATGAGAATTCGCCACAGTCCCAGTCCGCAGATACACCGTTGAGTCGCGACGACTACACCAACACATGGCGGTCAGACCGTTTGAAACAGCCAAATCTTTCTGTTTTCCCGACATCAAGTCCTTGGCCAGATTTCTCCACCGTCTCCGAAGCTACGGCCATGCCATTACCATTCCCGAACCCTGCAGCTTTTGCTCCAATGGGCCATATCCCGCTTTCCCCTTCCACGTCTATTTCCTCCGACTCTTCGGCATCTAGCTGTTCTTGTCTAGCATCCCTCTATCTTAACCTCAGTCAAATGTCGTCCCTTCCTTCTTTCCCTGTTAGTGACGACACACTATGCTCGTTGTATATCGCCGCACGAACAGCGCGAGACGTGATACGCTGTGATATCTGTCCCAGGTCCTTTGCGACAGGCGTGCAGAATACCATGTTCATAGGGACACTATTGACAGTACTCGCGGATGCGTGGATGCGTGTTTCAAAGGCTGACGCTGCCAAGTTGGGGCCGGTGTGCGCGCCAGCAGAATACGTTTCTCGGGTACTGCAAGGCCCCGACCCAGCACGCGCTTGGAAGATATGGCTTCACAAGATAGTTCGCCGCGCTGTCATTGGTGGTCCCATAGAACCAGAATCTACGACTGCTTGTTCTAGGCAGCCCGATCTGCTGTCCATGATCACGGAAATCGAGAAGCGGCAACGCCGCTGGCATGAGCCCGGGCAACATCCGCTTTTCGAGTCAGACTCAGCTCAGGCTCAGGGATGGCCACAGCATAACGGTGACCCCTGTGGCGAAAATGAGTATCTATGTCTTCAAGTGGTTGGAAGTGCCAGAAATGTGATTGCGAATTTCAACTTCGACGCCTCTGATTATCCGGAGGGTGTCGAGCCTGTCACTGCTGCTAACGCCGCCCGTTGATGGAGATCAAGTCTGCTGTTTTCTTGTTAGTCAAAAGTTGGGATCGGTCATCTGTTTTCTGCGTATACCACATTTTGAAGATGTCGAGACAATGGGCCGAGGATTAGTCGTAGTTATATTAAGTCCGATAGGTTTGTGATACTGCTTCGGTGTTGGAACAATGGAACTAATTTCTACACTCGCGCAATGGGAAAGTGAGGCTACTTGCCAACCCAATGATACGTCCCATGAGGTTAGCGACTGCAGCTAGTACATTGTAGGTAGGTTGTATGATTTTGTACAGATCGTTCCTGAAACTAGCAAAGCAGTCACTCTGGCGCGGAAGGAAAAAGGTGATGTCCGAGTGAAGCAGAGCACCGATAGGTTCACTCATCGTCCTCATCATCGACCACATAGCGGTTCTTCTTTCGGGCAGGAGGTGTACCGGCCCTGGCTTCGGGCTCTGGCTTGCTCCGGGCAGCCTTCGCAGGTGCAGCCTCCTCATCATCTTCACCTTCCGCGTCCATATCTTCATCCTCCAGTTCTTCCTCTTCATCTTCAGCTTCCTCCTCGATATCCTCGTCACTGCCCACCAAGAATCCATCATCCTCGTCGTACTCGTCTTCTCTATTGCGGGCACCGCGGGAGTAATCCTCTTCGTCGTCGGTATAGATCTCTCCACGACGGTTTTGACGACGAGGCTTGGCGCGCGGACGTGTCGTATGCAATCCTCCATCTTCAAGACCACCAACACTAAGACCGGTAGGACCAGTGCGAGCGGCACCATGACGGCGACCGCGATCAGCCTCGCGATCTGCAAGCTGCTGTCGACGACGCTCCGCTTTGATAGCTTCCCTCTCCATCGTTTCAGCGCGTCTGGCGGCCAACTCAGGATCCTCCGTGAGCTCATAGCGCGGCGCAGTGCCAGTTGCGGTTTGCTTACTACCACGGGCAGCAGCAGCCAATTGCTCTTGAAGACGTTGAACGGCGTCGTCTGTCTCTAGGCTGTTCGGCAGAACGGTTAGACCGTGGGTGAGATGTGAGGTCAATCTGAAGACTTGAGCAGTTTCCAGTCCCGCTGCGAGGTAAACGTGGGAGTCCAGCTTATGGTCATAGTCGCCAGACTTAGTGAGAGGTGCGAGGGGCTTGGATGCGATCCGGTATTGCTCGAGAGGTGCGGAGGCGAGCTGAAGAGTGATGGAGCCATCCTCCCATCTGATAATGCGGGCATTCGATTGCAAAAGAGACTCATCTGCAGGGTCCTTGCGCCAGCACAGAGAGGTAGCAGCGGTCTGGTAAGGCGGTGGAACGTAAGTCGCGGGATTGAATTCTTCTCCTTCAATTGAGAGGAAATCCGGCACATGCATCGTGTATACCTATGATGAGTTAGATCAAGGCCAAAGACCACAGGGTGGATTCTCTGCATACCTCCCCGTCGTTGGTCAATGGCACTGGCGCTCGCGCAAGGTCATGGTCAACAACATTCACTTCTTGCTCCTCTTCAGCCACGTCATACATGCGTTCTTCGCGCCGATCGTAGCGATTCTCATCATCACCTGAGTCAAGTTGTTCATCATCTAGGGTGCGGTGTGGTCTAACAATCTATCAGTACCCAGCCCCGTTGCTTTAGTATGGTTCACGTACTCAATGTCGTCGAGGCCGCCCTCTCCGTCAGAGCCGAAGAGATCTTCATCTTCATCCATTTGTTCAGCTCCAGAACCGTTGGCATTGCTGTGTGCGGGACTCTCGTGACCCTCGCCGCGAGGGCGGCCATCCTCCTCGTCGGAGGACATGGTGTATCGAGTATGGGATTGATGTTGCGAAGTTGTAGATGGGTGGGAGTATGAAAGACCAAAGGGGTGACGTGGGAAGGATGTATAGTGTTGAGGTACAAGAAAAATAATCTAATATCTTGTTCAATGCGATAACACAGCCTATTGACCAATACTCGTCTATCGGAGCTCTCATTATTCACTTTACGCCGGGTATTTAGTTTCTCCACTTCCGATCTAAAATGAGACTAGTGTCCCAGTGGCCCAGACCAAAAGGGGATCCTCAAACGTGTGGGCATCTCACCGTCTCGTCCCTCATCCTCATTTGTTTTTCTGATTTCAAGCATCGCTGATCAGATTCAAGATGGCGACCTTCTTCCAGAGTGTGTAAGTACCGTATGCCCACTTGTGGGCTGTTACGATGGGCTGTTCATGTCCCTCCCACCTTCACCCCCCTCATACTGCACGAAGCACCCCGGCGCCACAAATACAAAGCAGCATTCCCCAAAGTCTAATATGTTCCCTGACCTGTCTCCCACCACTCCCTCGCATTCTTTCCTATTCAATACCTTCACACCTTTATATAGCAAAGCTTTGCCACGAATACCCGCTAACCTCATATCGATAACAGCCGCCAAGGATTTGGTCGGGGAGGGAACAACAAGAGCAACAATCCACCTAAGACCCCAGCACAGTCTTCGGCTCCTCAACATCAAGCTACCATGTCGAACACCCCCTCGATCGCGTCCGCTCTTTCAGTGGAGAACACAGGCAACAACGAGTCCGAGGGAGCTAAGTACTTCTTTCAGGAGAAGTATGCCCCGCTGAACGTGAAGGGCAACTTCTTGACCCTCTGTGCTTGCCCGAAGAATGTGGAGCTGGGTGAATGGCTGGCTCACCAGAGTAAGCAAATTGGAAGCTTCATCTGAGAGTTGGGATGCTGATATGTTCCTATTTAGTCGTTGAACAATATCGTCTACTTCAGACCATGCTCCAGGTTATTCAGGAGGTGAACGGCAATACCGGTCTTCCTATTTGCAATGAAAACACTTGTCCGACAATGTCTGCTGGCCGGTACGTGAATACGGTGGATACGGCGGGGTAATTTTGAATCAGGCTGACAATTCCTTCAAAGGCTGACCTACACCTGGCTTGTCGATGGCCGCACTGCCAGGATCTCCGCCCCAAAGTTCATCAACCGTGTCGAGAAATGGGTTGTGAGCAAGATCTACGACCCTGTTATGTTCCCCACCGAGAACGTCAGGGGCATCCCTGAGACCGCTTCCATCAAAGAAGCCAACGGTGCATCAGCAGCCCCTTCAGACCCCAGCAACCCGGATGAGTGGATCGGAAAGTCCAGTGGCTTCCCGAAAACCTTCTATAAGGACTGCCAGGGAATCATGAAGCAGATGTTCCGCTGCTACGCTCATCTGTACCATGCTCATTGGCTCAACCCTTTCTGGCACATCAATAAGCACGACGTCCTGAACATGTGCTTCGTTCACTTTGTGACCGTCTCCAAGTACTACGGGCTTGTGTCCGACAAGGAGATGGAACCTATGCAGCCCTTGATTGATATGTTCATCAAGCAGCAGCGGATTCCCCCTGAGGCGTTGAACGGCGGCCACTGGGCTCCAGCAGAGGCTGCTACTGCCACTTCTTAAGCTCCACGGGTCTGGAGCCGCATCTTTTCTTTTAACATTGACGACCATGACATGTCCTCGAACCTGGCGTTGGGCCGCGCTGTCTTATTTTCTTCGTGTTTTCCTTTCTGCTTCTGCCATTCCAAAAAATGGGCGAATCTGCGATGATATGACAGAGCTGGGTCTCTTAGCGTTCAGCATGCGCTGTGATTATTTCTACTTGAGGTTATTGCATATCACCATCCAGAATTAGCTGGCATCCTTGCCTGTTTTCTTTGCTTCCAATGCACTGATCTGATCATGGGGCATGACACCTGTAAAACATTACATCGTAAATGATCAACTAGATACATTCCACTGGAACCTGGGGCCTAGTGATCCGACTATCTAACGCTGGCAAAGATGGAGTGGTTCCCGCAGTCTGGAAAATAGACATTGGTCGGGATGGCTGTAACTTCATTGCCTGAAGGCCTCGTGCTGAGGTGAGGATGTCGATTCGTAGCCAAGTGACGCAGGCCATCGTCGACCCACAGTGGACGCAACCGCATAGAGCTCCCTCGACAATAGTGAGCTGCGATCGCTGATGCTTTGATAATGATGCTTTGAGCAGATCCGAGGAGATAGAGCCAGCCGGGCATAGAGAGTCCACAGGACTGATCACAGATAGACCCCATCCTCATTATCCCCATCATGGGTGCCCTGTCCTGCACCCGCACCCGCAGCCCCAGACCTAGTCCCATTCTCAGCTTCATTCCCATTTGCCACCGGCACATCAGCTGAAGCAATCTCCTTTGCATCTTTCTCGAGCTCATCAAGTTCAATCCAAGGCTGCCCACGATTCTCTACCTCGGTCTTCAACAACAAGATGCGCTCATTCATAGACACCGCCACGCCATCATTTTCCGTAATATACCCCTCTAACTCCTTTCTGTCCTCTTCCGAGTCATTGCTTTCTTCTAAATATGAGCGAAGCTCTGCGTTCGAGCGATGCAGATGTGCGATGGAGTTGGTGAGCTCGGAGACTTTGCTGTAGAGGACTGCGAGGGGGAGCTCTTTTATCGCCTCTGCGAAGGCTTCTGGGGATATTGGTAGTGATTCGCTTGACATCTTGCGTTGGTTGTTTTGTGGCTGATGGGAGTGGAAGCTGGAGTGAGAGTTGAGATCAATGCGGGCTGATATGGATTGTCCTTATCGTCACGTGGTGGCTTTTTAGATCGCGTTATTTGTATCGGGAGCTAAACCCCTTTGGGCTATCAGGTAATCTCGAGTGTACAATGCCTGAAAATTCTGGTTCCCAGCTAGTATTCTGCTGCTCGATGATCTCAAATTGAGATAGTGAGCGTAAGTGCTGGGTCTGGGAAATGTCAAATGATGATATGATCTGTCTCGCGCATAAGGCCGGGGGGCAGTCTCGGGTGACGGCCGGGCTCAAGCCGGGTTTTGCACCCGAGATGCCAGAATAGGCGGATTCCAGGCCGATACCTACTGAAAGAGCTGCTGGAAGATGCCAGTGAGGATGGAAATCATCACGACCAGATCATTGCAAAAGAGGGTATATATAATTGCTAGCAGGTACCTAAGCTGCTCCTATGTACTTGTACTAGGTACCAGCCTAGTCGACAGTCCAGTGAACAACCCGCTTGACTCGAATAGCCATGGGATCCATACCATCCTCAAGATCATTCTTTTCTGCCGGATCGTTCTCTATCTCAACCCGAGTTCTGACCATTTTGAGTTGCGTTTGGGAATCTTGGTCCGAGTGGAAGAATGGTGTGGGGCTTGTTCGGGTTCCCTGGGCTTCGCCATGCCACATCTCGTGCTTGCTGCTATAGCGAGTGTGGAAAGAGGTTCTTTCTCGTACATGAGAGGTGAATCGACGCATCTGAACAGGACTGCCCGGCAACTTCGGTAGTCTCTTGACTGCGGCGCGTATGAATGGTTGTAGGACTGGGAGACAGGCGCAGATGATTCCGATGCATGGCTCGACGGTTGACCAGACAGAAACGTCGCTCAATGCCCATGTTATGTCTACGTTATCCTTGAGGAAGGTGATGTAGTGGATTCGAATTCCGCTTGCAATGCAGACACTGCAAAAAACAGCAATATGAGCAAGGATATTTGGTAAGAGGGTGGGTTGATAAACTTACAAACCACCCAACAAGAGCACACCGCACACCCCAATCTTTTGTGATGTACGCATCTGAAGTTTCCAGACCGTATGTATGGGAACAAGCAGGATCAAGACATCCGTCACAACATTGGCGGTTGCGTTTCCAAGATAATAGTAGTAGAAGTTATATCGATACCGGCCGGATGCGGGATCGACAGTCTCGGTCCAGAAGTAGGAGATTGGATGAGAGGCGCATAGAGCTGCGACGAAGCTTCCTATGGCCCAGCCACAGGAAATAAAGAGTGTTGTCCAGATCATCCAGTTCATGCCGAAGATTCGGCGGTAGAACATGAGAATCGACAATTTGATGAGTAGTAGCTCGACGAGGTATATTAGGAGATAAGCGAAAAGCGTCTTTAACCCTCAGTCAGACCTGGCTCCTTGGTTGTAGGGGGTTCTGGTAGGTACCTTTCTCATGATGAGCATAGCTTCTAGCGTTGTACACCATACATGTTTGCCGAAACCATAGAAACTACCTGATTCAATAGTTATATTAATGCCTTGCTCTTCCGATAGTCTTGTCACAGGCAGAACTCACCAAAGACAGACATCGTGAGCAATGCAATCAATAGAATTGTGGATGCCCCAATCAGCCAGTCATCGGCTGCCAGCCTCGCTCCCTGGACATATTTCCTCACCAAAAACCGGGCCACGACAGTAAGAACTGCAAGGATACATATCGTCACAACCACAGAGTTATCACGCGAGGATCTGTTATCATCGAGATTGATCCCAGGCGGCGGGGGTCCGAAGATATCTGTGATGTTCATATTGACGGTTTACTGCCTGTACGGTGTACCAGCACCGTAGCCCATGAAACAGTGGCGCTTGAGGAAGCGGCCAGGAAATGTTGAAAAATCCCTGAAGAATACCCCTGCTGAGCAGCATACCAGTCTGGGGTCATTCCATTTCGCTCCAGTGGCCTGCATGATATCATTTTGTAAGGATACCAGGGGCAGCATCCTAAAAGGGGAATGGCAGATCTAAGTCGACGGCTCGACGCGCAGTTCACAAAATACCCAGGTCCCACTTTCTCCATTTGGATAGGACTTTCTGCACGACTTGAACCGTTGCACGCTGTCCCGTTTAAGCGGGAACGGGCCTGCTTAAGGTTGGGGGCGAAATATGAATATCTTGCCGGGCCCTATGGGATCATCGAAGCTGAGTGGTGAATACCATTGTCTGCGGAGAATTACTCCCTAACACATGTGATCAAAGCTCATCCTGAAGGATCTGAGGCGTGTTCGTTGTTTGACCATCCCTTGAGAGTTGCAGATCTCGATCTGGACTTCCAATCATGTCAGTCAAGGAGATTGAATAGTCTGGAGATCTACTGCGTATGGTTGCGCCCCCAAGCGGCGTGAACCTAGGGAGAATCTCGTCGTCTCATTGCGTTAGCCAAATAGAAGTCTCTTCAGTCCCACACACAGTGGCAGGCTATTTCTCTATGATGCCTATCTCGTAGTTACCGAGGCTGTTCTCCCCACAGCCCTGGAGGAGAAAAGGACTGACCTAATATAGGATTAGCCCCCGAGAAGAGCAGTCGCAGAGGTCTTTATTCCAATCATCTGCTATATAGTAATGTCAGTAGCGAAATCTATGTCAAAAAAGCAAGAAGTAGCGAAGTTGTTGAAGTCTAGATGTTGATTGCCGCTCCACCGAAAAGTTTCCCCCACAACATCTCAACCTAACTCCAACAACATTGAACAACATCCACCCACTTCCACAAACCCTTCTATTGGAGATCAGAATGCCCCCAAAATCAGACCAAGCCGATGATAAGCGCCAAGCTGCGCGCGAAGTAATCGATATCCTCCAAGAGATTTCCGACCTGTTGGTATGTTCCCATCCAGACCACACCCCAGTCGTCCATGTCTCTATACACTCAGAAATACAACAAGACACCAAAAACTAACATACTGAACAGAATACCAATCTAGACCGAACAGAGCTGTCGCTTTGTGTGTCTCTTATCGAGAACGGGATTAATCCCGATGCTTTGGCGGTACGTGTTTTCTCCACTGATGGAACTGAGATGTTCAATCTTCGCACTTTACCTGGGCCAATCAGCGCCCTGAATTGATAATAGCTAACTTGAGCTTCGCAGGCTGTTATTAGAGACCTGCGTAAGGAGACTGGTTCTTCGAAGCGCGTGGTTAATGCCCCTACCGTGGAGTGATTAGGCGTCAGCTGAAGAGGGAGCTTTCGCCTGTCAACTGGTGTATCAGCTGCCAGTGATGAGGTCTCTTGGTTCGTTTTGGTGTTAGTTCCGGCGTTTAGGTCGGGTATTCTGCTACTATACTGGCCGGTGGGGGGGTATACCCTTTTGCGTGTTTGTTGTTTGGTTCCTCGTACAAATACATTTTCAATTTGGCTGGGTTTATGGAGACACCTGGGACTGACTGGAAACGTCTTGGGCTACCTCTACTAGGTATCGTAAAATCAGGTGAGTGATGGGTAGCGCATAGCAAGTAGGGTAAATTGACAAAGAAGAGTAAAGGGCAGATATAAGGAATCGTGGGCTAGGGGATAATGATCCAAATGCAAGAAGGCCGAAACGAGTGACGCTGTTTGTGGGAAGATTCAAGTTCCAATCCTCGCAATTATTTTGACTCATCGGGCTTGCTGGCACCCTTGGTATCTTGCTCCTGTGAGGAACCTACTCCGCTGGACATTGCCTCTGCGGTGGCTGTCTGGAGCTTGTCGCTCTCTGAGACAGTGGTCTGTTCCTTGACCTTGACGTCTTTCTCGTCATCGCTATCACCAAGGCTGAACGGGTCATTCTCCGCAACCGGAGAAGGCTCAACGGTCGATAAAGGCTGCCATTTGCTGGACTTGCTGCCGGTTGAACCACCACGTTGGGATGTCGCGGGAGCTTCGTAATTGGTATCGATCTCGGTCGGTGGCCCTTCTTGGAAAGACACCTTGCGCCTGTCTGGAGAAGGAGATACAGATGGTTTCTTGTAAGTCTGGCCGGGACGAGGAGGGCGAGGCGGGGGAGCTGTGCATAGTTAGCAAGAAATGATAATCTCAGATATCGAGGTCTATTTTTACCTTCTCCGTCTCTCAACTCAAGTGCAGAGAAGTCATCGCCCAGGACTTGGGGATCAGCATCATAGCGCTCACGATCTCCACTGCGGCGGCCCATATCACCACTACGCCGCGGCCGGCCCTGGGCGAAAGAATCTCTTTGGTTATGGCCAGGCTCGTCGTCCAAGTCATCTCCATCAATTCGCTTCTTCAGGTTTGTTACCCACGAGTTGACCTTATTCTGTGTCTCCAAGAAACCCTTGCGGAGGTTCTCGCGGATCACCGGGAGATCATCTGTGGACACCGAGTTAGCATGGATCAATTCGGATAATAGCCTTAGAGCGTACCATCGAAAAAGCTGTATCCCCGCTCATCCGATTCCTCGCTTCCTCTAGGCCGCTGGTAACGGGGATCACTCTCCCAGCCGGGGCGTGGTGAGCGGCGCGGCGCCGCATTATAATGTTCAGACAGTTGACGGGCATACATCTCATCAGCTTCCAACTGCCGCTGCGCAGCAGTGCTTTGTTGCGTTGGGCGCGGCGGCTTCGGGGGTGGTGCCATTTCCTCTTGGGCCTTTGGGTCAGTCATACCTGCAAGTTGAGGTCAGTGTCAGTTGGCACTTATTGCATAAACTATAGGTTGCCACGTACCAAGGAGGGCATTGAATGCGCGCTCGACATTCCAATTGCTTGCTGTCAGAACTGCTCTGACAACGCTAGGCTCGATGCTTGGGAACGCTTCCTTAAGGGTGTTCTCTGACTGTTCTCTCGGGCTCAGGGGCCGGGGCGGCTTTGGCGGGGCTGCCTCAGCGGCAGCTGGTTGAGTAGCAGCAGGAGAAGTACTGATAACTCCGCTCTCCTGAGGTTCGTCGTCAAAGTCCATCGGGCGCGCAGTTGTCGGCGACTCGGCTCGTGGGCTATTAGCGGTGTTGAGGCCAGCCAACGGCTTGCTGGGAGTAGTCTGTCCAAGCGTGAGCCTCATGCGACAACGTAAATGAAGTCCCCGTTGAGAGTTGAGCATACCATCTTGTCCTCGTCCGACATGTTGAGAGATCTGAGGAGCTAACAGATCAAAGAGAATAACTGAAAGCAACACAAAAAGAACAGTGTTGCCTGAGAATGTCTAAGGGCAGGCAGAACGTTATCGGGGAAGCTCCAAGTGACGTGGGGAGCACGTGATGGCGGGCGAGCTTTATACAAATCGCCCTGGATGTTTCCGCAAGAACTCCGAAGATCTTCAGGCTCGCCCATCTGCAAGGTGTTTGGACTCGAATCTCAGAATGGCCCCTTCCCGTGAGACTACGTTCTTCTAACCTCAACTGGGCCCAGATACTGCAGATATCAGATCCTTGGCTAGGTTCCAGCCCGAAATGGCTTCAGAACAAGAGCTTTCGACTTCGTTCATACCAGCCTTGTACAAGCCGGCTGCTTTACTACCTATTGCGCGTCATAAAAAGAGTCTGCTCTATCTAGTCGAGAAATACCCTGTCACTATAGTGGTAGGCCAAACGGGTAGTGGAAAAACTACCCAACTTCCGCAGTACCTAGACCAGGCAGGATGGTGTGAGGATGGAAAGACAATTGCTGTTACACAGGTAGCTATCTACTCTCGATACTTCACACTGAATAATGACTGACCCTGCCTTAGCCCCGACGGGTGGCTGCCACAACAGTTGCAACCCGAGTCGCCGAAGAGATGCGTTGCAAAGTCGGTGAAGACGTGGGCTACTCCATCCGGTTCGAAGATTTGACATCTCCTACAACGAGAATCAAATTTTTAACAGATGGCATGCTGCTCAGAGAGGCTCTAGTCGATCCTCTTCTCTCGCGGTATTCAGTGATTATGGTTGATGAAGCACATGAAAGATCACTCAGCACTGATGTGCTCCTTGGAATTTTGAAGAAGATCAGGAAGAAGCGTCCTGAGCTTCGCATTATTGTTAGTAGTGCAACGCTTCAAGCAGAGGATTTTCTTCGCTTCTTCGCCGGCGAAGAGTACAATCCCGAGGCAGATTCAGCGGAATTGGGTGGAAGCGTTGGTCGCATCATCAGCCTGGAAGGACGGATGTATCCAGTCGATACTCTATACCTTGAGTCTCCTGCAGAGGACTACATAGAGCGGGCGGTCAAGACCGTCTTTGATATCCACACACAAGAAGGAGAGGGCGATGTGCTGCTCTTTTTGACCGGCCGGGAAGAGATTGACACTGCAATTCAACTGATATCCGAAAGAGCGGCAACTCTCCACCCGAAGGCGCCCTCTCTGCTTCCATTGCCACTATATGCTGGTCTCACCACAGAGCAGCAGATGTATGTTTTCGAGCCGACCCCAGAAAACACACGAAAAGTAATCATCGCGACCAACATTGCTGAGGCTTCTGTCACAATCGACGGAATTGTATTTGTGATCGATTCCGGGTTCGCCAAGCTCAGAGCATACAATCCCAGTACTGGCATTGAAACATTGACCGCAGTGCCAATATCGAAAGCATCTGCCACACAGCGAGCTGGTCGCGCTGGACGAACGAAGCCCGGCAAGTGCTTTCGTCTATACACCCAACAAGCCTTCGAGCAAATGCCAGAAGCAACTGTGCCTGAAATTCAACGGTCAAATCTCGCGCCGGTTATCATGCAACTCAAAGCCCTGGGCATCGATAACATTGTCCGATTCGACTTTTTGACCCCACCACCAGCAGAACTTGTCATTCGTGCATTTGAGCTTTTGTACTCTCTTCGTGCAGTTGACGAGTATGCTAAACTCACGAAACCACTAGGAACGCGGATGGCCGAAATTGCTCTCGATCCGATGATGGCTAAAGTTCTTCTCGCTGCGCCATCTTTCAATTGTTTGAGTGAGATCCTCACGATTGCGGCCATGGTCAACCTCCAGGGGACGGTGTGGGTTCAGCACGCAGGAGAAAAAAGATCTGCTGAGATTAAACGACGAAAGTTTGCCGTCGAGGAAGGGGATCATTTGACGTACCTGAACGTGTATCAGGCCTTCGTCATGAAGGGAAAGAAGGAGTCCAAATGGTGTCATGATAATCTTTTGAATTACCGGGCTCTGACGCGCGCAGTGAGCATTCGAGGCCAATTGAAGCGGTATTTGGAGCGCTTTGGAATTCAAGTGGATGAAACACTCTCATCCCGCAAAGGCCCAGCGGATCTGAGCAGCCAGCCTGAGCGGATTCAGCGCTGTCTCACCACGGGTTATTTTGCCCACGCTGCAAAGATGCAACCTGATGGAACATTTAAGACTGTCAGCGGAGGGTTGACTCTTCATGCCCATCCAACTTCGTTGATGTTTGTAAGTGCTCAGTAATCTTTTGCATAGAATCCACCATGTTCGTTGTTACTGACTTGCCCACAGAACCGAAAAGCCGACTGGGTCATCTTCCATGAGATTATGCAGACGGGCGAAAAGACCTACATTCGAGATGTCACGAAGATCGAGAAGAGCTATCTACTTGAATATGCTCCGGAGTATTACAAAGTCAGGTAGATCTCTCCGAGGTCGTTACATCGGGATTGGAGTTCCAGCTAGAAAGAAGGCTATCTTGTACAAGAATACCCATGTCAACAATCTGTGCATAGTTAACACCTGCCTAAATTACCTGTAATCATTGAGTAGGAATCTAAGGTCCAAGGATTGTAAACAAGCGCTTCAGCAAAACAAACAAACAGCTGTCGTGAATTTCATGGTAGAGAGCAAAACGACGTCACGGGAGCGGGCCCAGCGGGGAGCTTCCCAAATAATCAAAGCTCTCACAAAGACTTAATTACGTTACGTCCATAGGTATCTGTCTGTCGAGTCCTACGCTCATCAAGTCCATATTGATTATCCTGCAATGTCAGGACACCATCACGACCATGATGGCCACTGCCATGGAGAGGATCATGACCATACCAACGACATCACTCCAGCCATCCAGTCCCTCCTCTATACTCAGATCAACTTTGACCTAATCACAACCCTGAATGGTACGATTGAGTCCTTAGATAATTACCCGATGGCCACTGTCAACCTCTAACCTATGATGGCGCAACAGAAACCACCCCAAACTCCGGCGCATCAATTGTGCAGAAGACCTGGGCTGAACGGTTAAACGACAAGCCGGAGCTTGAGAGCGACGCCGATGAGCAACTGCTTATGACTATTCCGTGAGGCTCCCTTGTCTACACAACACCGCTAACATCTCAGATGCTGTATCTCCCTGAGAGCGCGTCGCAGAATAAAGAGGGAAAAAAACCGGAAAACTAATCTGAGCTCTTCCTACAACACAGTTTCAATGGCCAAGTCAACGTCCACTCTCTGCTATTGTACACGGCACCCACGCCCTCCGCCCCGAAAACCGTGAAGTTGTTCAAGAATCGCGATGATATGGATTTTTCAACTGCATCGGAGCTACACCCAACTCAAACGATCGAGGTGCCGCAGCCAGTGCCCGGCGCTGATATCTTTGAATTGCCCTTGAACCGCGCCCATTGGAACGCGACCACGTCTGTCACGCTCTTCATTGAAGGTAATTGGAGTGATGGCGAAGAGGATGTTACGAAGGTTGGCTATGTCGGCTTCAAGGGACAATTCATGAAACTGTCGCGAGAGCCGGTGAACTTCCTCTACGAGGCTGCAGCCAACCCACAGGACCACGTTTCCATCCCTGGAGTTAGTGGTGTTGGCAGGGTTATGCCTGGACAGTAGGGTCGGTCCGGTGAAGGCCTTTTTGACCACGGATTTCACTAGGTGCCGCGGGCATGGCTCAGTGTAGGGCCTGGGACTGACTGATCAATTGTGATGATTTACGATAATACCATTATGCTGCTATGTACTTTCCAACAATACCACTTTGGTTTGACCGATTGTTGTCCGGCATGCATTCTCATCAAGTGAGCTCTGATATTGAGTATCATTTATGAACTATCCTCGCCCGACCAATGTGCCATTTTCTAAAGTGTATACATACGTTTAGTGAATATGAAAGACCGAGGATCCGAAACAGATAGAAGAATGAGCCACCAACGCCATGATTTAGTCTACCAGCAATGTACTGTGTAGGCAGAAAAAAAAAGCAAGTCACAACGCCGCGGAAATGCTTTGACTCGTCACTCGATATAATGCAATGCCGTGATATGTGCAACCAGGGACCAATGTATCCCCTCATCAAGCAGGCAAGGCCGTCCGTGTCTCAGCCTTGGCCTTGGCTCTTTCAGTCGACTCTGCCACCGGCTCTTCAACGGGGAGATCAGCAGTAGGCGGACTCGGCAGTACGACAGGATCAGAGATGACTTCGGGGCCATTAAGCTCGCGTTGGAGCGCCTCAAGCTCATCCTCGACCTCGTCCTCATCTTGATTCGTCAGATGACCAGCCAGCATCTGGCTCACCTCCTACAACAATCGTTAGCAAAACCGAACTCAGACACCGAACCAAAACCAACCGCCCGCAATGGAGCAGAAAACAAAACCATGGAATCGTACCTCCTGATACGCTCTTGCCTCCTCGGTCTCTTCCATCATCCTCTCAACACCTTCAAGACCTCCCATCTCCTTGTTGATTGTCTGCAGCACCTGCGTGCCCTGCTGCAAACCAAACAACACATCCTTCTGGACGAGCGCAAACTCCACCTGCCCGGTCAACTGTTCCAGTTGCGCGAGCTGCTCATCTGTTTTTGCCAGCAGCGACTCCTGGTATTTCTTGCGTCGGAGAGCGAGCAGCGCTCGCCGCCGATCATTGCGCGCGAGACATTCCCTGGCGATTTCCGTTTCGCGATCTGTTAGGACGGTTATTCGTCGCTGGTATTGGTGCAGCTTGTCGCGTTGGTTTTTCATATCAAGGATCGCCCTATAGATATCGAGGCATATTCGTTAGCTGGGATATCGGATATTAGACTACGTATATGGGGGGTGCTGGGCGGGGATGAGGGGGTCTCGTGAGGAGAATGATAGACACTCCCGCAAGCAAGATTGAGAATGACTCGCAGATATTGCAGCTTGCGACTCACCGATCCTGGGCAGAGATCTTCTGCGAACTACTTGAGTTCCCCATGTTGTTGCATAGGAGAGGAGACATCCCCCGGAGCCATAGATGCGGGCCCAGACTTGGATGACGTTTGTAACGGGAGTGAAAAATACGTGTAATTTTCATACGATCTTTCAAAGGTTTATCTCCAAAATTTCGACATTTTTTTTGGCCGTCGCATTAACAACCACAGCAACCATGCCTCCAAGGAAGGGCACTAGGCCGACCCTCAGTCAGGGCCTGGACCGTGAGGTATGTGTCTGGAATTGAGTTTCCTCTTGCTCTAGACTCACGCTCTAGAAAAGGTCTACCAAATTGTGCGCAAGATCATCGACGACCAGCCCGAGACTGGCCGCATCCGACTATCGGTCCCAGCGATTTATGACACAATTAAGAAGTCGAACTCGAGCTTGAACCGAAAACCGAAGAGACTGATTGAGGACAGTCTGGAGCGAGTATTGGAGGTTATCAAAGCTGATATGGGTGAAGATGACGAGGACTCCATGGAGGGGGACTTTGAAGGACTCGAAGAGCCCGCAGTTGTGGTACGTTAAGCTCTGTGCAGGTCTCGCTTGCATACGCCACGAGCACTATCTAATTGGCTTTGGTATATCAGGTGCCCAATGGCATGAACCAGAGCGTCGTTGGCTCATGGACGACAACGAAAGCGAAAAAGACCGCCGATTCCTCCGCTGGTACTCCGGCACCCACCTCGACCAAGAGAAGAACACATGGCGCAGAACCTGTCTCCAAGCGACGCAAGGCCGAGCCCGCCGATCGATCGCCACCGACACACGTCAGTCTCGCAGATCTGGGTGGACTGGATGATGTTGTCCAGGAGCTTGGTGACTTGGTTATTCTACCCATGACCCGGCCGCAGGTTTATATGGCATCAAATGTGCAGCCACCGCGAGGAGTATTGCTGCATGGCCCGCCGGGTTGCGGTAAGACCCTAATTGCGAACGCTTTCGCCGCGGAGCTCGGCGTGCCATTCATCTCCATTTCTGCGCCTTCGGTTGTGTCAGGAATGTCGGGCGAGTCCGAGAAAGCCCTGCGCGAGTACTTCGAAGAGGCCAAGCGTCTTGCTCCTTGCCTCATTTTCATCGACGAGATCGATGCGATTACGCCGAAGCGCGAGAGCGCACAGAGAGAGATGGAGAAGCGAATTGTCGCCCAGCTTCTGACATGCATGGACGAGATTGCTCTCGAGAAGACAGACGGAAAGCCCGTCATAGTCCTCGCGGCAACTAACCGTCCAGACAGCCTTGACGCCGCCCTGCGCCGCGGTGGCCGCTTCGATAAAGAAATCAACATGACTGTGCCCTCAGAGCCAGTCAGGGAACAGATCCTACGCGCGCTCACCCGCAAAATGCGCCTGGTAGATGACATTGACCTCAAGACCTTGGCCAAGCGAACCCCCGGCTTCGTAGGCGCCGATCTCAATGACCTTGTTTCGACGGCCGGTTCCGCCGCCATCAAGAGGTACCTCGAGATCCTCAAATCGAACAGCGGCGAGGAAATGGAGATTGAAGGCGACGACGCGCTTAGCCCGCGCGTCCGCGAGCTCCGCCGGCTCATCAGTCACGCCAAAGAAACACCCATTGGCGAAGAATCCGAAGTCGTCCTCGTCTCCAATGCAGACTTCTTCACAGCCCTTCCCAAAATCCAACCCTCTTCCAAACGCGAGGGCTTCGCCACAATCCCCGACACGACCTGGGCCGATATCGGTGCCCTCGGCGGCATCCGCGACGAGCTTGTCACGGCCATTGTCGAACCGATCAAGAACCCCGAAGTCTACGCCAACGTCGGTATCACCGCACCCACGGGTGTCCTCCTCTGGGGTCCTCCTGGTTGCGGTAAGACACTTCTCGCCAAGGCCGTCGCCAACGAGTCCCGCGCCAACTTCATCAGCGTCAAAGGCCCCGAACTGCTCAACAAGTTCGTCGGTGAATCCGAACGTGCAGTCCGCCAGGTTTTCCTCCGCGCCCGCTCGTCCGTGCCTTGTGTCATCTTCTTCGACGAGCTGGACGCACTTGTGCCCCGTCGTGACGATACACTCTCCGAGGCCTCAGCGCGTGTCGTCAACACTCTCCTCACAGAGCTTGATGGCCTTGGCAGCAGTCGCACGGGTATCTACGTCATTGCCGCTACTAATCGACCTGATATCATTGATCCTGCGATGTTGCGCCCAGGTCGTCTTGAGACTCTTCTATTCGTGAACTTGCCTACGCCACTTGAGCGTGTGGATATTCTGCAGACTCTTGTCCGGAATTTACCCATTGAGTTCACTGAAGATCTGCGCAAACTGGCGGAGGAGTGTGAGGGCTTCAGTGGTGCTGATTTGGGCAGCTTGTTGCGCCGTGCTGGTTACTCTGCCATCAAGCGTCGTGATACTATCAAGTTTGTTGACTTCGTTGCGGCTAAGTCGTTTATTCGGCCTAGTGTGACGGATTTGAGGAAGTATGAGAAACTACGGAGGGATTGGAGTGGTGGTGTGGTTTGAGTTCCCTTCATGGGGTGTACTGCGTATATAGATCTACGGTCTTACTCGCCTGTTTTTGCTTGGGATCGTCGGCATAGATACCTTGGACATTGCAATTTGATCAATATTGAATCATTTGATTCGACATCCCTCCAGAGCTATAAAGAAAGATTCTAGGCGCCTCACTTGCATTATAGTGAAAGCCTTTGGTGGCTGGCAGACAATACATCCTCACGTGTATGCTGATATGAAGTCGCATGACTAGAACAGATAAATAACTGACTGCACGGGGACGTATGCCTTTGAGATGGTTAATCGCGTTTCGATAACATCCTGTCTTCCTCCAGCAAATCCAAGTGTGAAATCATTCTCACACTTGCCAGTCGACTCTCGTCAACATCCCATCCCCGGCATCGTTGGTGAAACCAAACATCAACATGAAGTTGACGGTTATTGACAACGACTCGGCCTTCGCCATCCTACCACCAACACCACCGTCCCTCTGGCAACAGTTCTGTGCACGGCCTTGTCTCTTCCTCGCCAACAAGCTCTATTCATGGCGCCCAAAGGCACCTCCGGACGCCGAATTCGGCATCACCATCGTTTGCATTTCAAACACTTACAAGGAAAGGCCAGAGTTACCAGAGGGCGACGTCCTCATCCACGCTGGCGATCTCACGACCACGGGGTCGCTCGCCGAGCTCGAAATCACACTGAAATGGCTTCATACCCAGCCTCATCCCATCAAAATTGTCATCGCAGGTAAAAACGACTCTTATCTTGATTATTTCAAGAGGGGCAGTCCTGCCTGGGCAGCAGGACTCGAGCCAGACGTTAATTGGGGCGACATCATTTATCTGCACCACGACTACGTTGCCCTTCAATGTCCGAATGGGCGCGAAGTCACTATCTTCGGAAGCCCATTCTCACCGCGGACCACTCCTTCCGCGGGTTTTCAATACCCTCGGGGTGCAGACATCTGGGCAGAAGTCACTGATGACGTTGATATTTTCGTCACTCACACTCCACCATGGACCCATCTCGACTCACTCCGAGGCTGTCCTCATCTCTTGAACAGGATGTGGAGATGTCCTCCTCGACTGGTTATTTTCGGGGGCTCTATTGAGAACTGGGGTGCGAAGTATTTGCACTATGATGCTTTGCAGAATGCTATGGAGGTCATGGAGCATGATGGTGGCGGTTTCTTCAATCTTTTGAGGGTTATCAAAGGGTTTTTGCTGGCCTTTTTGCATCCCCGCCGTAAAGCCGTGACACTGCTGGTCAATGCATGCTATTCCGAGGGAATGTGGAGCGTAGGACAGCGAAAGCCGGTCATTGTAACTTGTTAGGGGCTGAGGTTTCCATATGAATCTTGAAAATGTGACGAGGTGCTTCGACAGGATGTGGTGTACCTACATGTATTGACCGCAAGCCCTATGAGACATGAAATTATGAATGCAGACGTGAGACTATACGACCTATTTCCATAATTCTTTTGTGTTATAGACGTGTAGACACACCGTAGTAGCCTTGACATCGCGAGTCGCGATTTCAACAGACTCCATGTTTATAGATCACGCGCAACGCTTATTGGTCGAATTTCAGTGGGGACCATAAAAACGCTTCTCATTCACAACCACCATACACAGTAGGTACTGCGTACACACAGCTTATGCACCTGGTCAAATATTCACCTGTCTGACACAATTTCATACAGTCACAGACTGTGATTCACAGTATCAAATATCCGAAGTGGCCGTTAAAAGTGACCTGTCAGCCGTGATCTGGTATGGCACCTCGAACGGGAGGAATGCCCGACCTCTCTATCTCGGACATTCATTCCTTGAAGAGGGATCAAGCACTGGAAATTCTTGCCCAGATTTCACGCGTTGAGAAAAAGACCTTCCCCACCAATGAGGCATTCCCATTTGGAGAAGAGTTGTGGAGAAAAAAGCCCAACACGCGAGTTCTGTACGCGACACGAGCCAAGGGATCGCAAAGTGATCTGATTGCCTATGCAGTCTATGTCCGACAGAAGGGCGTTGCGCTTCTGCACAAAGTTTGCGTGACAGAGCCTAACCGCCGTCAAGGTGTCGGACAGGAGATGTTGTCCTACATTCAGCAGCGCCTACGAAAGGAGGGTTGCCAGTACGTTCATCTCTGGGTGGACCAGGCCAGGGAACCTGCGCGTGCCTTGTACCTTCGCAGTGGATTTGAGGAGCGCGAAGTGATCCCTGATTACTATGCCCCTGGACGTACAGGTGTCAAGATGGTCCTAGTTTTGGAACGTGATGGTTGAGCCACTGCCGTCCATGCTGCACCCTACGGACCTTTTTTACCCCTCCCAATGGCCTCTAGAAATGCTCCTTGCCTAATCGGTCCCTTAGAGATAGGCCCGGGGGTTAATAAGTAGTGGTGGCTGGGCGCGCCTGTGCTCCTTGGCCGCCGCAGGAGCTACCATGGCCACCCCTTGCATGTTCGAAACGTGAGCCCGATGATAGTGATCGGGCCTGCGTATCATTCTCCGCTGTCATTCTGCTACATACCTCAGTGACGTTTAACATATCCAGGTATGGCTTTTCTCGAAGGGCAGGCCCTGAATGTCTCCCTGTCAGGCGTCCCTTTGGCGCGACAGGGACCACGATCATTTGGAAGATCAGGCGTGATACTCTATGGTCTTCGCGCTGAATCTTCTTTCTTCCTTCTTGACCACTTTCATTACCTTTCTCCGTGAGTTTGAAAGCGTCCTTGGCGATTGGTGAGCCTCAACTATACAGAGTCAGAGTGCTCCCGCTTCCTCAACCGTTCATGGCGTTCTTCCTCGCTATCATCCTGGCAATCTTGTCAGTCGCCAATGCCGCAGCTTTAACTGCCAACTATCCCATCAATGCGCAATTGCCACCTGTCGCTCGAGTCTCGCAGCCTTTCCGATTTGCATTCGCCCAAAGTACATTCTCTAACAGTGACGCGGACACTGAATATTCACTATCAGGTGCACCGGCATGGCTCAAAGTCCACAGCAGTACTCGTACCCTGTTAGGGACGCCGCACTCGGATGACAGCGGCGCTACCAGGTTCAAGCTTGTGGCATCCAATGGCGCGGAAAAAGACAGCATGGACGTGACTTTAATTGTGACAGAGGACCAGGGACCGACTGTGAACAAGCCGCTCATGCCCCAATTGCGGGCATTGGGTCCTGTTTCATATCCTGCCACGCTCTTCATTCACCCTGGTAGTCCGTTCTCGATCGAGTTTGACAAGGACACCTTCGGCAACACACATCCTTCCACGATCTACTACGGGACATCGCCTAACAACGCCCCGCTACCGTCATGGATCAACTTCGATCCGGCAACCCTAAAGTTCTCTGGGAACAGCCCTGCTTTCCCAGGCGCGGGACCCCAGACATTCATTTTCCAGCTGATCGCATCGGATGTGGCTGGATATAGCGCAGCCAACATGACTTTTGAACTCTCGATTGGGCCACACATCCTGGCATTCAATGAGACCGTCCAGACCTTCAATCTCACGCGAGGAGAAGAATTCAACAGCCCAAAATTCACCAATTTCCTCTCTATGGATGGTTCACCCACTTCAATCAAACAGTTAGCAAAAGTCGACGCTAAACTGCCGGACTGGCTGAAATTGGACAAGGAAAATGTATCGCTGAGTGGAACGCCGCCCAATGATGCTGTGAACCAGAACATCACTATTGCCGTTACGGACTCTTTTCAAGATAATGCGCTGTTGATGGTGCGCTTGGAGTTCATGAAGCTGTTTCTCGACACAATCGATGGCGTTGAGGCAGCCATTGGCCAAGACTTCAAGTTTGTGTTCAATCAGTCTATCGTCACAGATGACTCTGTGCGACTGGATGTCGACCTGGGCAGTGAACTCTCTTGGCTCACCTACTTCCCCGAGAACAAGACTCTCTTCGGGCACGTTCCAAACGACACAAAGCCTGAAAAGTTCACTATCCCGCTCACTGCACACCAGGGCTCTACCGAAGACTCAAGGGACTTCATTATTGATGTTATGAAAGCCTCGGACACGCATTCGAACCCCACAGAGCCGTTCACCCATACCAACACCAGCAGTCCCGATCACAGGAAAGCTGGCATCATCGCAATTTCAGTTGTGGTTCCCGTTGTGGTAGTCCTGAGTTTGGTCATTCTCTTCTGTTGCTGGCGACGCCGCAAGGCCTCGACCACGGTTGAAGAGGCCCCTCCTACTACCAAGTTTGCTCCACCACGACCAGCCAGGCCGGATGCGCCCAACTGCCATCCGTCCATGACGGAGACCGAACGAGGTTCTTGCGATGACCACTCTGAAGACTGGATGAGCCCTATTTCCCCTTCGTCAATCCCCAAGCTCGAACTTGGACCGGCGTGGAACGTGTCTACATTCGACAGACAGGAGCACCCACTTGCCTTTTCTATCCCCGAACCCATCATTCCACCTCGCTCTCCTGCTCGCAATTCTGCCACCCGTGGGTCTCCCACTCGTGGTGGCTTCGTCTTGCGAGACACTATCGCCGAAGAAGACAACGCAGCCCGAGATGATTCCCCTTCAAAGAAGCAAAACAACCGTCTCTCATATACGAACAGCCCCGTGCGTCGTAGGACCACCACCCGCTCCCGGCGAGAGCCCTTGAAGCCGATCCAGCCTCGGGCAATGAAGCGAGAATCTATACAATCTTCCAAGTCAAAGAGATACTCGAAGCGCTCCAGTGGTATCTCCACCGTTGCAGCGGGACTACCCGTGCGATTTAGCGGAGCCGGTCATGGTGCAGGTGGATTTGGACCTCCGGGTCATGGCGTCGTGCACACATCATGGCAAAACGCCCGAGCTTCAATCATGAGCGACGAGACCAGTCTGACAAATATGGCCCCTATGTTCCCGCGTCCGCCTGCCGCAGGCCGTATGCGCCATAGCATGGCATCTAGCATCCCCGATAACTCCAAGCGGTTGACTCTCCGTGCCGTTGAACCGGATGATTCTATTCTTTCCGACGCCGACTCCTTGGAAGCCTTCGTTCACAGCCGCGCCAAGCACCGCAACTCCTCCAACCCTCTTTTCTCTGCACAAATCAGCCGGCGTACCTCGTCAGGCAAGCGTGCACTCGATCGGAACCGCAGCATCCGCAGCCGCGCCGATACCGTGTCTGTGTCAACTTTCAGCGATGACTTCCGCCCTGGCCAAGAACGACCCATGTCGACTGCAATCTCTGTCTCGGAATATGGCGATGAAAATACCAATAACGCCCGTTTCTCCCAGTACCAAACCCTTCAGCCATCGGGTCTATTTCCTCTCGCCGAAGGCAGCGTCAATGGCCAGAGCCAGCTGAGTCTTGCGCAGGATTATCGCGGCGTTATCTCTCCGTTACCGCGCTTCTGGAGCGAGAATAGCATGGGCAGTGCGCCGCAGTTGGAGGGTGCCCTAAACCAGCCTCGATCTCAGAAAGTGAATGATGAGAACGCTATGCCGCACAGCTCATCTATGATTTCGGATCTGGATGAGCATCTCTCGCGCAAGGCCGGGCCTAATAAGAACAACCATCAGTGGCGATTGTCGTCTCTTGAGCCGCCGGCGCCACTGAGGACTGGCAGTGATAGGGGTCTCCCCATTGCCAGCAGTGGGGAGCTTGCGTTTGTTTAAGGCCTCTTATATTTCCTATGCCAATCTTGTATTTCCTGTGTCATTCTTGATCCTTCTCCTGTCTATCTGTTCTGTTTCGGTGTTCTCTGGGACTGCGCGCATGATATCCTTTGGCTTCTTTTTTAGTTGTTGGGATTTGGACTTTCTGTTATACTAGTTGATCTAGTTTCTAGCCTTGCATAATAATCCCACTATCTCAATTCGTCCTGGGTTGGTGCCTATGTAGCCTAGTAGGCAGACATAAGTAAACTGTAGATAATCCAAGTGTTGACTCTGTTGAGGGAAAGATGATCAGCCACAAGAGGATTGGCCGCCCTTTCACGAGACACAGAACCACTGCTGGTACTAGTAGGCCTCCAATTTCCCGAAGGGGGTCATCAAGGCAATGGCGTAACTGCGTCTGACTAGCCCAGGCTGCTAACTTGAGCATCATGTGCCCCTGTCTGTTTGGTTCCTTCCAGTCTCAGCACCCAAATCAACGCGATACTCATATATCCAGGTAATTCCTTCCTCGATACCATCTCAAACAAACACAAACGGTAAAACCTCCCAAACTCCAAATGACCAGTCCATTTCACGTGACTCTATAGTAGACGGCGTAACAAAAGCGGTAAAACGCAATACCAGGAAATCTCTGCTTTCGAGATCTTTTCCTCTTAGAACCCTGATTCTTCTCTTCTCGACTCTCTGAAATTGACATATTTTCCATTACTTCCTCAGATCGCCTGCTCTTTTCATATCAACAACCAAGACCTGGCAGAGGCAAGAAATCCATCGTCATAGGTTGTTCCCCACTTATCGCGGGACCCAGACGCGCTGAAAAGCCCTGCTCATCTGACCCTTTTCCCTCCAGCACCTATTTTCCACCACTTTGCTCCGGAAACCTCGATCCCACTTCTCCCCCGAACTATTCAATCTTTGCCAAAATGGGTCAAACCCTGTCGGAACCGGTGGTCGAAAAGGTGAGCCGCCGATATTTTGCTTTTTCGTGATTTCCACACACCTGCTTTTTCCCACCCCACACTGGCCATTGTGACGCCAAGGTACCTCCACGACCTCTACTTGCCCTCGGTTGTGGTAATACACCTCAGCTAGGGGGACTATGGATCAAGCCATCTACCTATGTCTGCCAACGGAATGACTAGCCTGGGTTGCGACTCGGAGAAATCTTCCTCGGTTGCCATGCGGGGTCCTGGGTCGTCTCCAGCTGGAGGCGCGGTAGTGGGGGTAGAATGAAGCAACGTATTGGCGTCGCCAAATTAACCAGGCCACTTTGCACGTGTTGGAGAAAAAGATATTTGACTAACATGTTCTTTTTGCTTGTTCTAGACATCGTCCGAGGGCGGGGATGACTGCTGCGTCTACGGTGTGTCGGCCATGCAAGGCTGGCGAATCAGCATGGAGGACGCCCACGCCGCGATCCTTGACCTCCAGGCAAAGTACACGGGCAACGAAGATAAACCGACAGATCCGGAACATCGTCTCGCCTTCTTCGGTGTGTACGACGGCCACGGTGGCGATAAGGTTGCATTGTTCACCGGTGAGAATCTTCACAAGATTGTCTCCCGGCAGGAGGCTTTCGCCAAGGGCGATATTGAACAGGCCATGAAGGATGGTTTCCTGGCGACCGATAGGGCCATTTTGGAGGGTTTGTGCATGCGTTGTTCCTGAGGTGGTGTCGGATCGCTGACTGATGCAGATCCCCGCTATGAGGAGGAGGTGTCTGGCTGCACTGCTTCCACGAGTATCATCTCAAAGAAGAAAATCTGGGTTGTATGTTCTGGCCCAAAGCACAAATTTTTAGACCAAAAGGGGTTCCGAATTGACATTGCGTAGGCGAACGCTGGTGATTCACGATCCGTGTTGGGAGTCAAGGGTCGCGCGAAGCCCCTCTCATTTGACCACAAACCCCAGAATGAGGGTAAGTGCTTGATCACCTATCCATTCCCACGATCTGTCAGAGCATCTGACAAACGATTATCACAGGCGAGAAAGCCCGTATCAGCGCTGCTGGTGGCTTCGTCGACTTCGGTCGTGTCAACGGCAACCTCGCCCTGTCCCGCGCTATCGGTGACTTTGAGTTCAAGAAGAGCCCCGAGCTTTCACCCGAACAACAGATCGTCACCGCATACCCCGATGTGACTGTCCACGAACTCACAGATGATGACGAATTCTTGGTCATTGCATGCGATGGTACGTGTTCCGTTAGTGCTTCCACCAGTCTAAATGCTAAACACTCTACAGGTATATGGGATTGCCAGTCGTCTCAGGCCGTCGTTGAGTTTGTCCGCAGGGGCATTGCCGCCAAGCAGCCCCTGGCCCAGATATGTGAGAACATGATGGACAACTGCCTGGCCTCCAACAGTGAAACTGGCGGTGTCGGCTGTGATAATATGACCATGACTGTTATTGGACTCCTACAAGGAAAGACCAAGGAGGAGTGGTATAACCAGATTGCAGAGCGGGTTGCGAACGGGGATGGACCTTGTGCTCCGCCCGAGTACGGCAAGTCTCCAGAGGAACCCGAAGGCATTTCCACTTCTTCGTGCTGACGGCCAGTTCGTGCAGCCGAGTTCCGCGGCCCTGGAATTCGGAACCAGTTCGAGGATAATCCTGATGAATATGATTTGGAGATGGAGCGTTCCCGTGGCTTCAGCGTACGTTCGGGCCGCACCATATTGCTAGGCGATGGCACTGAAGTTATTCCGGACCAGCATGAAGAAGAATTATTCGACCAGACCGACGTGGACCAGGGCGCTATCAACCAGGTACAGAATCAAACCGACCTCCGTAACGACCGCCAGGAAACTCCGGGCCCTCAGGGGAAGCAAGAGACCGCCAACGTGGCTTCAGCTCAAATATCCGAATCCCCGGCCTCTACTGACGCCGAGAAGGAGAAGTCTACGTAGACTATGAACTTATGAACGGTCTATCGGATGGTCCTATTCCTGCTTTTGGTTTCAATCGGTTTGTTTTTGTTTTCTTGTCAACGACGCTTCCCCGTGATTCTATGATCATTCTACCATCTATGTATGCCCTTTTCACCCTTTTTTTCCTCGTTTGCTCAGTTATCTTCGCTCTGGTTCCGAGCACAGTCACGCTTCTTTTCATTATTTCCCTCGACTTGAAATGGATATTTGTCAGAGACGAGACATGCGGCAATGATACTACTCACTCATATGGACTTGGATGCGATGAGAGATGCGGGGTGGAGATTCCATGGAAGGTCGGAGTTGAGAGAGAGCGCCCTTCGCCGGGTGCCAATGGGCCTCATGAACACATTTCTTTACTTATGCCATCACCACGAGATACCGCAGAAAATGCCCGTCATTGACGAGCCGTTTACCTACACTTCCATTCCCGATTCTCATTTTCTTCTCCCTTTTAATGCAAATTTCCGGTCCATTCCCTGCCTACCGTCTCTGCTGCGGTTTGGTCCATACAAGAGTGAGTACTTGCTTGGGGCACAAGCTGGTAGAGTGATGGGGATTTTGTCATGGTAGACAATGGCAATCATTCATATACCCCACGACATATATCCGATGCATTGAGCGTTTTCATTGTACTCTGATAGATGTCGTTGTTCTCGTTTCTATTTTAAGCAACGGAGTTCCAAGAGAAAGTCAAGTCCTCGTGTCCCTGTACGTAATTGGGTAATTCAACAGCCATCTACATTTGATAGTTACTTTGACACCATACACAGTAGACCAGAGTACTACATCTACGGAATTGGATGATGTCGTATATAATAATTTGTGCATCCATGGAACCTGGAAAGGCTCCCCCTGTACCTCCTAATCCACACGTGGTCAGTGTAACGCAGGAGCGCCAAGACACAGAATTGCAAAGTGATGGCCTGTTTTGCAAACCCCGGTATTGTAACTTTGACCAACATAACCCGGTCAACCATCATCGCATCAGCGGCGCAAGCGGAGATGAGCCCCCACTCTTTTCCCCATTCCGAAAATTACCAGTCTCTCCTAAAACCGGGTTGCCGTCATTCAGGGTTCAACATTATTCTCTCCCTAATCTCCCAACTATCCACTACTCTCTTTCCTTCCTTCCCCCTCCCTCGGAAGAATCCTCTCTTTATTCTCCAGGGCATCATGTCACCATCTACATCCCCCGCCGGCAAGCGCAAGCGTAGCGCCTCTCACCTCCCCGCTCCTGTTCCCAAGAACCTCACAGCCGACCTTCAGCCCTCCTCACGCGACGCGTCCGGTGAAGAAGGTGGAGACGACTCGACAGGTCCCAATGCCAATGCCAAAACCCCCAACGGCAGACACTCCTCCAAGCGGGCCCGCAGGTCTGCCGCCGATGCCGCAGGCCACACGGAGGTGAACGGCGCCGAGCCGGCCATTAGCAAGGAAGACCCCGGCGAGCCCTCCGAGACGACTGTCGCCAGCAGCGACATCGAGGGTGGCTCTCGGTCGCGCCCGGGGCTACACATTGACCTCCCGGACTCCGAGCCCGTGACGGAGGAGCAGATGGCGCCTCCGGTCTTTGGCCGCTTGCAGGATCCCGTCGGTTACAAGACTAACCCCCCGCCGGTTGGCCGACCGGTGCGAGTTTATGCGGACGGCGTCTTTGATTTATTCCATCTTGGGTATGTCAACACACGGATTGAGTTTCAGTCTGGATTTTTGAGTCGTCGATTAGACAATTGAGAAGTAGCGCTAACGACTTTCATATATAGTCACATGAGACAGCTCGAGCAGGCCAAGAAGGCTTTCCCCGATACTTACTTGATTGTCGGTGTTACTGGCGACGAGGAGACACACCTTCGCAAGGGCCTGACGGTGCTTAGCGGCGCCGAGCGTGCGGAGACTATCCGTCACTGCAAGTGGGTTGACGAGGTTATTCCTTGCTGCCCGTGGATTGTGACCCCTGAATTCTTGTCTGAGCACAAAATTGACTATGTCGCTCACGACGATCTGCCCTATGAGGCTGCTGAGGGCGACGATATCTACGGGCCCATCAAGGCGCAAGGCAAGTTCCTGGTAACTCAGCGAACTGAGGGCGTCAGCACCACGGGTATCATCACACGGTATGCTTCACCTCGCTTATCATTGCATTCCGCAAACCAAAGCTTATGTATCCTCTAGTGTGGTTCGTGACTATGACCAATACATCTCCCGCCAATTCAAGCGCGGAGCCTCGCGCCAAGAACTCAATGTTTCGTGGCTGAAGAAGAACGAGCTCGAGATCAAGCGCCACGTGGTCGAGCTGCGTGACAACATCCGCAACAACTGGACCATGACAGGCCAGGAACTCGGCCGTGAGTTGCGCCAAATCTGGCAGAACAGTCGGCCCAACAGCCCTGCACCCACCGCGCGTAACAGCATGGATTGGGGTGCGCGGGGTCCTCTTGCTAGCCCGACGGGAGGCGCCAAGTCGCACCTGTCACGTGTTGGTGGGGAAGTGCCCGGCCGCCCAGATAGCCCGATGGGCTCGCGTCGGAATGAGGACTTTGCTACTGGTTACAGTCTCGGTTTGATCGGTGGTGTACGTGCCTGGGTAAGTCAGAATGAACCTCGCCTCTTGATCTTTCTATTCATCTCCTAACTTCTTTCTACAGATGGCCCGCAGCCGGCAATCACTCCAGGAACCGCCCAGCGGCATGAACAGTCCCACCGACGAAGAGCCCGAGTCCGAGCAGAACGGCTATGAGGAGGAAGTGCGTGGCCGTGCCGGTCACGTCTCTGCGCAGTAGATTTGACCGAATGGTCCAGCTGCAAGGCAGTTTCGTCTGCGACACTGTCAACCTCGTCCTCTCTCTTTGCATATGTATCCGTCCTTTTCATCTTGCATTCGGTTCGTGTCTTATACTTTACAAATTGTGCCCGTGAGAGGCGGTTTTTCCTATGTCGGGCGCTCGGTGTCTTCTTCCTGTGTGCGCGTGTGTTGAGGCTGGTCTAGCTTCGACTGCGCAGTCCGCGATTTGGATCTCGGGCTCTGTTTTCTTTTTCTTTTCTCTTCTCTTTGCTTGTGGTTCGGCGGATTCAATGTTCCTCCTGCCTCCATCCCCCCTAATACTCTTCAATGAACTTGTTCCCCGTTTCCTATGTCTATAGCCTTGGTGGGATGATGGTGACCTGATTGATCTTGATCTACCATTGCAGGGCTATTCTTGTTTTATTATTTGTTGAAATTGTTGATAAAAGCTGGAATTGATGGGTAACTGGAGGCATGGACCCGCCCTTGACCCCTATACTGTCTGTCTGGAGTGATATGAGATGCACATAGATTGTTATTGTTTCCTGTACTCCAGTACTGATCCCATTGAAATCGAATGAAAGATTGCAACACTTGAATTTGATGAGAGTACTCCGTAGATGTAGAGAACGTTAGAGGTACCTTTTGTATGAAACGCTCATACAAAAGGTACATCCCCTTCGAGCCATACTGCGTAGTGGGGATCTACACCCGCTCACATATCAGAGAGCTTTTTACGTCCAACAAAAGCCAACCCCCATTATCACCTAATAAATCACGTTAAAACCACCGGATCAGACCAATCCTCCTCTAAACCATACCGATAATCAATTGGAAATATCATACACCTACTCATAGCCAGCAGCGGCTGAGCAGCGGGCAGCCTCAGCCAACATGTCCCGAAACAACCCCGCGCAAATCGCCAGCACAATGCTATCCTGGCACTCCCTCGACCTAATAACCTGCGAACCCCTCCAAACCCTCTGGGCCGGCTACGGCCAAATCTGCTCTATAACCGCAACCGCCCGCACCGCCGCAGCAGCAACCCATCTCAACAAGCTCTGCAACATCCCCCCATCCAGCAATGGCACAAACAACACCTACGCCCTCATCCTCAAGCTGATCTCCCCACCCAACTCCAATTCCACAGACGAAGGCCATATCCGCAAAATGCTAAGCTACGAAATCGAACAATACTTCTACACAAACATCGTCCCGCATCTGTGCGACATTGGGGTCGCCAAATGTCTAGCCTCGACGCGTGATATGCACGGTAAACCCGGTGCAGAGCAGCTATCTGGACTCATGGCTACTATCATGGTTGATCTCAGGCCTCAGTATCCCGTTGCCGGTGAGAAGAGGGGTGTTTTGGATTCTGTGCAGGTTTTTGGGGCTTTGGATTGGTTGGCTTCTTTTCATTCGCGGACGAGGGGTTTGGTACCGGATGATCGTGAGGGACTTGTATTACCGCCTCTTGAGGAAATGGAGAAGAGAAAGAAAGAGGGCGGGAAGAATGGATGTAATGGCCTCTGGCTTAATGGGGGGTATACATATCTCGCTACACGACGGAAAGAGTATGCTTCTTTGCTTGATGATACGGGGTCGGAGTGGTGCGAGGCATTGTGTATTGATTCAGACGGCACTGGGATGTCTATTGCTGAGATTGTTGCGTTTCTTTTGATGCCTTGCGGCAGAAAGATGGAGTCTTATATCCACGGTGATGTCAAGTCTGAGAATCTGTTTACGAGTGCAAAGGGGGATGAGGTTGCGTTCTTTGATTTCCAGTATGTTGGACTTGGTCTTGGGGTTTGTGATCTGGCGAAACTGTTTACCTGCTCGGTTCCGGTGTCTATGCTTGTTGGTGGGGATGGGGATTTGCCTGAGAAGTTGGGTATGTGTGATGGTGAACGGGACTTACTGGAATGGTATCATAGCAGGCTTGTTGAGAACGAGGAGGCTGGTTTCTATGAGTGGGAGGAGTTCAAGCGACATTGGGAGACGGCTTTGGTGGATTGGTGTCGGTTTCAGGCTTCGTGGGGGTTCTGGGGGAATACGGAGTGGCTTGAGGCTCGTGTGAGGTCTATCTTGGGTGACCGAGATTGGAAGGATTGGTTGTATCGGGAGAGGGTGAGGAGACCTATATGATGGTGGGAGGCTGAAGTGGTTATCTGTTTATTTCGACATCTATAGAGAAGACTGAACCACCCCGTATCTGATCAAGCCCATCACAGCACCGAGTAGAATAGCCAACGGTGCCGCAACGCCAAAGTATCGCCCACCCACATAGCTAGTAGCAGTCACAACCACCCACCACGGATCATCTCCCAAACTCTTGCCCGACTGGAACCCTTCATCGAGATAGCCAACCTGCCATATACGGTAGACCGCCGTATAGATCAACCCCACAGCTCCAGCATTGACACCTCTCACAGCGGATTTCACCCAACGTCGACTCCGCAAGACGCCCCAGACGCCCATTGTCCCATGAACAAGGACAATACCCGGAGTGAATATCCCGAAAAAGGCAACGACAGCTCCAGTGACAGCGGGATATCCGCCGTGGATAGCAGTTAAGCCGCCCAAGAACACGGCGAAATTGAAGTTCGGCCCAGGGAATGCTTGAATAACAGCAAGCCCGATGAGGAAATCGCGCGGGCTGACCCATCCCTCGGCGACGATGTATTCTCTGAGCAGGGGAATGACGACTGGACCGCCACCAAAAATGATAGTTCCCGCCAGGTAGAGATTAGCGAAGAGTTTGTACAGGAGCGGAGGGTGGGATAAGACCCCGCGGAGGACCATGACGACGATGAAGGAGAGAAGGAATACTGCAATAACCACAGCACCAGACTTCCAGGAGAAGCGCAAGCGACGGCCCTGTGGTATCGTGCGTGGCTCCGGGTCTTGAGCGGAATACCGGCTCTGAGCGTCGAGCGCTATGGAAGAATTTGATTCCAAGGCTGCGCCTTCATTCCTACCTCTCTGTCCCCCTCTATCCGACGGTTTAGCTCGTATACCCCGGACCAGGCTGAATATCGCTTTGGTAGGTCGATGCAGCCAGCGGTAGTCGTATGCAACAGTACTGCACCCAGCAGCAAACATAAGAACGGGAAAGTACCACAGCGCATTGTACAGCATTCCTGCAGTGGCAGTGAGAAAGACCACGATCCTCGTGAGTTTGTCCGTGATAGCTTTATTCGACAGCTCAACTGCTGCCAGGGCAATGATACCAACCGTAGCGGCATTGAGACCTGACAGCACCGCATAGACGGCACGAGGAAGACTCTCGTCGATACTGGCTATACCAATCGATAGACCGAACATGCCCAGAGCACCTGGTAGACTGTGAGTCCGTCTTGTATCAGCACCATATCCGGTGGCCCGAAGCATGAATCTCACTTTACCTCCAGGTGATGAATCCAAGTGTAGCACCGAGTAAGCCGTCGTGGATGAGGTTTATACAGTAATGCATTTTCGTGCTAGCGGGGCCAGAGAGAGCTTGTGAGATGCTGAAGAGCTCTTGATACTGTGTTTGATACGTTAAGCCTTGTTCGTTGGGATAAGGAGCTTGAAGACGTACCAATTGCTCGTCTATCCAGTTGAGCTTTGTTACAAATTTGTCGTAGAACTGGGATCATGGTGTTAGGTCCATTGCAAGGCTATTAAGGAAGGAGTCTTCTGTTTACAATCTTGAAATGAACGGGAGGACCGCCAAATGCTGTGAATCCGAAGTGCCAGTTGACCTTGAGGATTTCCATGCTATGGATGACACCCTTCTGGACGGCATGTTTCCATGTGTTGGCCATTGTGGCATGGGATAGCATGTAGTGACATGTAGAGAGTAAAGAACTGCAGACGAAGTAAAGAAGTAAAGATGAAAGTACTTAAGGTTGTCCGGGGGTAGCACGTCATTCCCTTCTCCAATCACTTCCAACTTGAAACCCACGTGTGCGAAGATACACCTTGGCACGTGGATCTTTATCTTCGACACTCTACGGACCTAGTACTCCGTACATAACACATAAACTCATGTATGGACTTATGTTAGGTTAGGTATCAACCCGCAGTAATCGCCAATCTCCCTCTTCTCCTCAACTCTCTATTCTTCCCTCCCTCCCTCGGCCTACACAAAACCTCCCTCAACCCATCCCTCAACTCTCCAACCTCCCTAACCAATTCCCCCTCAACAACCCCCCCTAACAGCAGCATCACACCTCGCGGTAACCGCCAACTCAAAATCCGTCAGCCCTCTAACTTCCAACAAAGGCTGAACCCACGGCACCTTCATCCCAAACGGCATCCTCTTTCCAGAAACCTCAATTTCCCCACTACCATTACCATTGACAACACCAGTGAACCTCCCCAGATCCAAACTCACCCCCAGCTCCCTCAACCCCTCCAATCGACAAACAGCTTCCCAAAACCCAACCCACAACTCATCACTATGCGTATGCGCATATATCGACCCCTTATGCTCCCCGCCCGCCATCGGCACCCAAACCGGCATCCACTGCACCGTCAATCTAGCAATGGCATTCCTAGCAGTCGCAGAGATAGAACCCGAGAACGCGATGAAGGTATATAGATCGTCGACGTCAAAATGCGAAGCTCTGTAGAGGATTTTCTCTGCTTCAGCATAGATTGCCCGACAGACGCGCAGGAGGGCAACATTTGCATTGCTGAGCTGCTCTGGGAGGAGAGCATGGGTGTGTGGGTAGAGGAGTCTGTCGCTGTGGCCTGGGACGCGACCGTCGTAGATGCGCCAGCGGGCCGGGGTAGTTGGACAGCAGTGGCGGTTCTGGGTTAGGGAGTTTGCAGTTGTGGAGTGGGGGTGGGAGTGGGCTGGACAGCGAACATGGCGGATTTTGCCTTTTAGTTGGACGAGGTGGAGGGTTTGCGGGGTTGAGGTCGTTGGGGAGGGGGAGTCTGTTAGGACGTAGGACCAGATTATTTGGCGGAGTTCGGCGGGGAGGCGAAGAAGAGGGGATTGTGGTTGCGATGGGTGGAATTGATCTTGAGAGGTTGGATATTTCCAGGGGTCTATGGGGGTGTTGAGGGTGTAGTCTGGAGAGCAGATTGAGCGTGATTGAATTAGATCGCGGACGGTGTCGCGCCACCGGTGGCCGGTTGGATAGTAGTGCCAGATGGAGTAGGGGTCACGGAGGACCCAAGTGTCGAAGTGGCGCATTGGGATATGAGGATATAAGAGAGTGTATAGGGTTTAGATGTCTATATTGTATGCAGAGTAGGTCAAAGTGGAGGAGTCTGGGGAAAATATGGGGCCAGTGCCAGTGGGCTTTTATGGAGGAGATCCACCGCTTTTATCGGGGATGAGACCAAAAGCGAGAAGCCCTTGGCTTTATCGAGGCAACAGTAAGGCGATGGGGGCTAACTATAAATTCCCAATGCGGCTTCAGACGGGAAATTTCGGGAAAGTCAATGTTATCCCGATGACGTCGCGCGGCATGACAAATGGCCCAACTGCAATCTGGTCTATTGAAAAATACGGAGTACGCTGCATACTGTACAAAATTTGAAGCAGACTAAATCTTTAGTTATATGTATCTAGAAGATGCATCGGAGCAGAGTCCTCCAGGGGCCAATCCCACTCGAGAGCACAGACAATCAACCAATGCAACCAATGCAATCAATGCTATGTCCTGAATATGCAACATCCCTTCGTATCAATATGCAAGCCTCAAACTCAATGCCCGCCTTCCGGTTCTGCAGCCACCTCCGCTCTTTCCTCGTCAGTGGCGTCCTTGTACCCCTCAATATCCCGATACTCCTCAACCACACTCTCACGACGCGGGGTAGGACTCTCCTGCGCAACGGCCACATAAATCGCACAGGCCAAAATGACTCCAGACCCAACCCAACTAATCGGGCTAAGTGTACTCCCCCACACCACCTTGTCATAAAAGACAGCAAACAGCATCTGCGTATAAACCATCGAAGTAGCCCGTGACCCCTGAGACGCTTTGCCATTGGACACCGACGCAGGCGGGACATAAGACAACCCCGCCGTCAACAGAAACTGCAACAGGAACCCACAAACACCCAACCCAGTCAGCAGCAACCACTCGATCGGCGTGTTCGGCAACCGAAACGGCACAGAGGGCACAATCGCCATAGCTAAGAACGAGATGACCGTAGTAACGGACGAGAAATACGTAACCGAGACAAGCGGATGAGCCCGACGACCGATCATACGAATAGAGGTATAAGCGCCTGCGGCACCAAGCACGCCAACAAACGCGACGATCGTCGCCATAACGTGGTGGTAAGAGTTCGCGTCAGAAGGTGGTTCATCCGCGCCCGCCGAAGCAGACAGACCCAATGCCCAGACGGCAGCGGGCGTCGGCGATGCTAGTGCTGTGCGGGATGTGCGCTTGCTGAAGGGACGGGCAATGAGGATGACACCAGCGAGGGAGACGACCGCTGCGAGCTGTTGTTTGCGGGAGAAGGTTTCGCCCGGGATGAGGAGGGAGCAGGCGTAGCAGGTCATTATGGGGGCGAGGAAGGTGATGACTGTTGCTTCGGAGAGGGGGAGATATTGGACGGAGTAGTAGAGGCCGTAGACGCCCATGAAGCCGAAGACGGCACGGAGGAGGAGAAGGCCTCGGACGGGTTTTATGCCCAGCGGGGAGGGCGTTGCGGCCCACCACATGTAGAGGTAGCTGGCGATAGCTGTTATGGACATGCGGGCGAAGAGGATCTATGGTTGTTAGTAGATCGTCATTGGATATCAATTTTGTCCTTGCCTACCTGGAAAGGATGCATAGCACTATGAATCTCCAGAATCTGTGTCATAACATTCATCGAAGCAGCAAACATCTGCGCCATCAACACAAGCACCATCCCCTTATTCCGCAACCACCAAACCTGCCATGCATGGCGAGGTCGGGAAGCCGCAGCGACGGAATCCTCATAGTCCTCGATAGGACGCGGTTCAGACTGCGTCAGTGCTGGCTGGGATTCAGCATCACTGCTGCTTTCGCAGTTATCCTCATGTTGATTTTCAGACCCGCGCGTGTGGGGTCTGCTCTGCGTCTGCGAATGTAATCTCGGCTCCGTCGCCGAACGTGATCCTGACTGGTCCGCGGGGAACGGCAGGGGTGCATCGGGATGATCCTGGTATTGGGCAGAAGTTGAGGCCGAATCGACCGGTGCTGGCAGCATACTGGGATCCGTGCTGGGGTCGGAGAATGTGGTTGATCCCTGTGGGGATTTTGTGGGGGAGGCGTCCATGTGAGGATTTCGGTTCTCTTTTCTTTGACGAGCGGGTCGTTAACGTCTATAAGATGCTTTGGATGGTGGACTTGGTGGTGATATCCATGGAAGGAGAATAAATGCAATAATAGTATATTCTAGGGAAAGGGAAGAGTCTTGAAAGATCGGAGAAAACGCCGGTGGCTAGAGATTTCTCATGACAGGCGAGTGGAGCCTAGCTTGCTGACCGCTAACCCCGGGCTTTGCTTATTGCTTTGGATCTGATTACATTGATAATTTCGTCGCTATCAATCTCATTATCTCTTTAAGATACTTCGGAATCCTAGCTCTTGGAAGAAGCGGATTCTTATACAAACTAACATCTAGAGAGACTTCTCTGTCATTAAGCGGCGAAGCGCCTTCGAGCTCACGCCCCCCACGTGGGCCCCACCCAACTTTCCTCCAACCAGCACTCACCATCTCCTTTGCAACTTGCAAGGCTTCAACTAATCGTACTAATCTATCATCAATCCCCTTCTCAACTGTCACAGCTAATTTGGCCGCCTTGCTTTTACTGCAACTGCCATATCCTCCAGACTGGCCCCAAGCGCACCCCAACCTGGGTAATCGGCAGAATGTCATCATCCTTAAAGATGGTGAGTCCTTCTGTGTCTTCTCTTCTCGATACTCATAATCAAGCTAGATGCTAGATCGAAAGCTCAATAGTTACGCACCACTTGAGCCCACGGACAAAACAAAGTAATTCCTCTGTGACTTCTTCAAGATCCTTCCTCCTGACGGGAAAAAAATCTGGCGGGGGACGTTTCGGGGTGTGCAAACGATGAGACGCTTCGGCAACTGGTCCAAAGCATCAGGAGTGAATTATTGATTCCTATGAAAGCACAGGGTGGCAAAACACCCACTGAAATCACTCCATCTCCGCGTTCTGGCATTGAAGATTCAATCGAGAATCTCAAGAGCCTAAACATCGGGCCCATCAGTAGAAGCTCTCAGTTGCAACTCCGGCACCACTGTTTAGAAAGAGATGGCAACAAATGTCTTGCAACGGGGCAGTACAGTCACAGCCGCGCCCATCCACGGAACGCAATGACGACCCATCTTGAAGCGGCCCACATAATTCCATCTGCACTTGGATCCTTTCAGGCCAATGACGGCGAGGCAGTGGACAGACATGCGAAGATTTGGGTCAACCTAAGGCGCTACTTTCCAGTTCTTCGCAATATGTCCTTTACCTCAGAACAGATCAATTTGGAAAAGAATGTCCTGATGCTAGACTCTCAACTTCACACGGAATTCGGTCAATTCAGACTCATTTTTGAAGCAACCGGAGTTGCTCACCAATATCGAATCAAGACCTTTCCAGATACCGCCACGGGGCCAATACGAAATTTACCTAAAAATCGTCTTACCAAGTTCAGAGTTCACAAAGGAAGTTGGGAACTTCCAGATCCTAACCTTCTCGAAATCCACGCCTCTATTGCAAACTTTCTACATATGAGTGGCCAGGCGGAGATAATCGACAAGGTCCTGAAAGATTTTGAAGACTGTGGTGGGCTTGCCCCGAGTGGAAGCACCAACATCGAAGACCTTCTTGCTGTGAGCAGCCTCTCACTACTACCCTCGAGTGCCAACAGAACGCCCGATTCCTACAGGTCTGCAGACAAGTAACGTCCTCCGGAGAAGCAAGATGCAGTGAGCGGCCTCTCACTGCTACCCCCGAATGTCGATGAAACATCCGATTCCCAAAAGACTACAGAGAACCAACGCCCTACAGAGAATAAAGGACGCCTACGGGCGAAATTTTCTGACACTGAGAATAATCCATGGACATACTAACTTGGATAATCGGGAAAGCGGTTGTCACGGTCGCAGTTACAGGTTAGGCCAGGTGATGGACCGGACCACTATCTTTAGCTAGCTTCTTAGCTCTGGACCCATCAACAGAGAGATCCAGTCTTATTGCTTCGGCTGTCCTCGTTTTCCGTAACAGTCGCATGGCCTTTAGAATAGTCATGATCAGCTTTGGCTTTCCGTATCTCTCTTTGTTATTGGAATCAAATATCAGTGATATCACTATACTCTTATGTTAAGTTCGTTCAACTTTTCTGTCACAGTCCACTTTCTTCATTGTGTGGTGCTCCCAATAGCATCTCCCCCCGATTCCACTTAGTTTGAAAAATGGACTTATCTCTGCGTTGACGTTTGAGTAACTCAGGGCCATTCAGTAAGCAGCTTAGGGTCACTCAGCCTGCATATTCGTGACCGTCTCAGACCCTTTTCCCCGCCTTCTTGGTGTGAAGTTCTGCATGGCTACGGTTCGAGGACATTGGGCTGCGATCAAGCTGCAACTAGGACTTAGAATTAAAGGCTCCTCCTCTAGGCCCTTTGTGACTTTGTCTGAATCTTGAAGAGATTCAGGTTTGTGTTATAGTGTTATTGATTAATAGGGATGTCATGTGATCTCACATGACTCAGCCAATCATGTTACCTTAGGTTGGTCTGAGCCTGAGCCTGCTGATAAGTACACAGCTGCGTACTTTATCAACCGCCATCTTCTGAATCTCAAACTCACTGCCACCAAAGCAACTTCTGCAGTCCACTGATAATCTCCCTCGGCCTACTGCAGTATTCAGCAATCATGGTCCGAACAAGAAATGCGGAAAAGTCCGCAAAGGACGAACCAAGCCAAGAACAGACGACTGAGCAACCGATCGAGGACACTCCCAAGTCGCCTGTCGCAGCCTCTGAAAACAAAGACAACAGCCCACCAGAAGACAAAAAAGATGACGCCGCATCTAAAGCGCGCGAGAGAATGGACAGGTTCAAAGCTCTAAAGGCTCGAGCTGTAAGTGGCACTCAAAGGATTCGCGCGAGTCAATATCCATGGCCAACCCGCACCGTAATACTGATCAAGTCATAGAAATCTGCGACTGAGCGCAACTTGAAAGAAACCGCGGCCGAATCTCAGCGTCTGACCACCGATCCCGCCTTGATGAACACGTTGAATCGCAAGCATGCGTTCGCCTCACACAACCTCCTCAAAGCAGACACCGAAGCTTCCGGGGAGGACTTCGAACGCAAACGCGCATGGGATTGGACAGTCGAAGAATCCGAGAAATGGGATAGGCGTATGGAAAAGAAGCAGCGTCACCGAGACAACGTAGCTTTCCAAGATTACACTCAAGATGCTCAGAAAGTGTACAAGAGACAGCTGAGAGAACTGCCCCCGAACTTGGAGGCCTATGAAAAGGAGAAGCTCGCTGCGATTGAGCGAGCTGCAGCCAACGGTGACCTTGAGATTGTGGAGACCGAAGATGGTGAAATGATTGCAGTCGACAAGAATGGTAGCTTCTACTCTACTGCGGACTCGACTGGCTTTACGGAAAGCAAACCGGATCGTGCTGCTGTCGACAGACTGGTCAACGATATCCAGAAGGCCGAGGATGTGCGCTTGAAGAAACGCAAGGAGCGTCGTGGTGGCGATGATGACGGTGATGTCACATACATCAACGAAAAGAACAGACAGTTCAACCAGAAACTGGCTCGCTTCTACAACAAGGTTGGTGGTACTTGTCAATTCTTGTGAGAATCCTTTGCTAACGTGTTCTAGTACACAACCGAAATCCGGGACAGTTTCGAACGTGGTACTATGATTTAATGCGATTCAGAAGTGGTTGCGATAATTTACATGAGTGGAATTCCGATACTGTCTTGGGAGGCACAAGGTGCCAACCAGCGAGCAGAGATTCCACGCGTTTTCCGAATCTTCTCTATCCAAACATACTATACAGACAGCCAAGGCCACTCGGTCAGCCAGCAGACTCAGAGCATTGTCTTCCGCCATGCTTTTGTTGCAAGTGCCTCGATCTGTTTTGTCTCGACCACTCCCTTAGTGGTCTCATCCTCCAATGCCTCAACCACCGCTTCGCCCACAACGTCGACTTTGAGAGGCTTTTCGGCCATAGACCCGAGGAACCCAAGCCTTTTCCCGAGGAAGTTGTTAAACTCAGAGGCAATGAAGCCACCCATTGCGATTGGCAGCGTGAACTTCCGGCTCGAGTCATACATGAAGCCGGGGCGGACAAAGATGCTTCGTAGGTCCGGGAGGTTGGATGTGATGGCTGCCTCTGCATCCCGTTTGGTGGTAATGTACCTGGCCGGCAGAATCGGTGCCCCGGCTGCGGCAGAGATGTAAACGAAGGCCGGGACCTTCTCATTCCTGGACTCTTGAGCTAGTGCGATAGCTAGATTACACGTCAGTTTCACAACGGGATCTCAGTCATCATCACTCAACATCAATTGTACATACCTGAATCCCGGTTCATCAATTCATAGGTCAATTGCCCATCTCTCTCCTTTGGCTCTAAAGCCTCGCCCTCTTGTCTTGCCAGAGGGTTCTGGCTGCCAAGCTTGGAGGTACTAAAGGCTCGCTGGAGGCCACTGAAAATTGGCTCTTTGCCTTGAACAACGCCCTTGTAGTCGGCCTCCAAGAGAATGCCCATCGTGTGGACGACAGCAGTGGCACCTTTCAGATGTGACTTGTAAGTCTCTGGCTTGAGAATATCGGCCTTGGCCCACTCCACAGAGCTCGCCCAGCTAGGGCGCTCTGGAGAATCGGTGATTGTGTCCCACCGAGGCTCACCAGATCGACTAGATGAAGATTAGCATTGCGCTCTCAGGTAAATCCATGCATGGAAGAAAAGCTACCTAATCGATGTAACAGTCCATCCCCTTGCCGCTGCGGCTTTACAGATTCTAGACCCTAGGATGTTCAGTCAGTAAACCGAAAGCAAGCTTTACACAGGACATGTTCTACATACCCAAAAAGCCGCTTCCTCCGGCGACGATTAGTACCTTGGCTGCCATGCTGTAGCTGACAGTAGCTCTGGGATAGCTTCGGAGAATGATGTCAATAGGCCGGATTGCGGTAATTGCTGCTATTTACGAGCTGTAGTGGACTCACGGAATTTGAGTCAGAAATAAAATTATCCACAAGAGATTCAGATTGAAGAAAAGAGCAGCTTTCACCAGTCAATTGTTTCTTAACAATATCCTGCTCTTCGCGTCATTCTTGATCATTTGCCTTTGCCATCGAGCCACAGGAGCTCCGGGCGGACTATCCATTTTCCACTTTCTTGCGCCCTTGTTCTGGACAATCCATTTCCCATCCGTCTCCCATCAAGTATCAACATGCCATCTGCAACAGGAAACAAGCGCGTCAGGGTAAGTTCTAAAGCCCGAGAAATACACCTGAAACATAACTAACCCGCTCGCCAGGGCGTCTCGGTGTATCGGCCATTTGGTATGTCCACGCGTCACTGCCGACAGTCGCAAGCTAACGAACATAGTCTTTGGCAGCAGAGCGCATCCCTTCACGGACAAAGATAAGCCCTCAGATACCCCTGCCGACCACACCCACCGCTGGACGATCTTCGTCCAAGGAGTCAACGGCGAGGACATCTCCTACTGGCTTAAGAAAGTCCAATTCAAGCTGCACGAGACCTACGCCCACAATGTGCGCTCAATCGAGAAGCCTCCTTTCGAAATTTCTGAAACCGGCTGGGGTGAATTCGAGATCCAAATCAAGCTCTACTTTGTGCCCGAGTCGAACGAGAAAGCCCAAACACTCTGGCACAGCCTGAAGTTACACCCATACGGACCGGATGCGGAGGGCATGAAAGAGCGCGGGGATGATGTGATCAGCCAGAACTACGAGGAGATCATTTTCAACGAGCCCATCGAACCGTTTTACGAAGTTCTTACCGGTGGTCCTGCTGGTCCCCAGTCTGCCAAGAGCAAGGGAAAGAACGCCAAAACCAGTCCACCAACCAGGACGGCGGAGATCCCGATCAATGATACCCCAGATTACCCCGGCAGACCGGGCAACCCGTACAGTCAGGATACGGAGGGCAAGGAACTTGATCGCATGGCCGAGGCTACTCGGACGGTGGAGCAGATGATCAAGGAAGAGAAGGAGCGCCTTATCGAGAGGGAGAAGTATTTGGCCCAGCTGCGAGAGAGTGAGGGTGTGCCCGCCAATACGAAGAAACGGTGAATTCTCCACTCGTGCCTCAAGTCAGAAAACGAGGCCAGCCACCACCGCGCGGTTGGCTTCCAGCGCTTGTCAGATGTGCCTCGTCAATAATTCCCACCACCCCGATCCGACACGTTTCTCAGTGCCGGGGCTCTGCACCCGAGCAGTCGCATCCTGTGTTTTGACTGCTTTTGATGATTGCTGTAAAAGACTGAGCCTGTCTTTTGCTGTCGAAATGTCACGACTATTGCATATATCCTAGTCATGAGAATCAGGCTTGGACATCTGCTTTCTTGGAGGTGTACCACCAGGAACTACATACGGGCTCTGTTCCATTGCCATCGAAACGATGTCCTCCAAGCCATGCATTCCGGAGGTACTGGGAATGGATCCCTGATCTCACTGACCCCAATCATGTGAAATTTGAAATATGGCTGATTCAGGCATCTACTACCTTTGCATGGTACGTGGCGATCACGACAACCAACCAGGCCCCGTTGCTATCTACACGACCACAGAGCCTATGATACCCCACATGTGATAATGTGATTTTCTACGAGGTCAACTTGAACCATAGTACCCAATACAATCAATAATACCAATTGACTATATGAACAAGCAAATTTATATACAAAACCATCGTTAAATCATCACGAGCCCGTTTTAGTCTCTAGCACTTGGCGTCTTGAACCGTATCTCTGGTCTTCTTGAGAAATGGTATCAAGTCGGTGCCACCAGTGCCAGCGAGCCCAGTCTTCGCATCTACATCCTGTACCTGCGAACTGACTGTGGCTAGATTCATCTTGCATTTGCCCTCTTCAGCTGGGTTGGGCTGCCTCGCTGCCATGACGATGTACCGGGTCACCATCTGGATATGTGTGTCTCGGAAGTTCTTCAGTTCGTTCACAGCTGCATTGTAGGCATCCTTAAGAGCCTGATTTGTCGACTCAACAACGAACGGACGCACATTAGCCTGAGGGGTCAGAGCTTCGAGAAAGCGTCGATGGGGACCAGGCATGTAGTCTCTCATTTGCTATGTTTCTGTCAATACTTGCTCCACAAGTTCCAAATTGCTCTTCTCATACCTGAATGAAACTAGGACCGGAAGTCTGCTTCCCATCCGTAGCAGAATGCGTGATACCAAGGAAGATATCAAGCGCCTGAATCAGAGAGCTCTGAGCATTACTCCCACCACTCAACTGCAACCAATTTCCGGGTCTTTCAACCCCATCCCCAAGGTCATAGTACACACCCTTCGGCAGACCAGCATGACCCATATTCTTACTCCCAGCCAAAAACGGCCTTAGCTGATGGAAGAACACAGCAGGTCGGTTATGCTCGTACATCCTCTTGAGGGTTAGTGTCAGATCGCTCAGACCGTCTGCAAACCTGCACAACAGGGCCGTGAGGAGATCTGCGTCGTTAGCAGCCACTGCCTTGATAGCATCCCGCATCAGCGAGATCAGCCCGACACCTTTGGCTTCGACCGCGACGGAAATGACCATGAACCACTCTTCGTCTTTTGTGCCGGTGAAGGAGGTCTGCACGTGGAGATTGTCCGGGTCTGTGATGTCTGAGCCTGGGTGGGTGGGTTTGTAGTTCCAGAGTGTGAGGCCTGCGTAGGTTGCGCAGGCTGGGAGTTCGAGATGGGATGAAATCTCCAGGAAGGGCTTGGAGATTTGAGGGGGGAGTCTCTGACTGAGTGTTAGAAGGGTTTTTTTTTATATCTAGAGGGAGAGGATGCTAGAGGGAGAGGATGCTAGAGGGAGAGGATCTTACATCTTTTGGAGTCTCTCCTCCCCAGATATAGGCATGTGCTAGATATCCCATGATGACACATGCCCGACGCCATTCTGGCTCTGTTTGGAGATAATTGGTTGAGCAGATTGGCAGGAGGTCGATCTTCTCACGGATCTGGTTTGTCTGAATGAGATCCGGAAGTTGGTCGGATAGATCTTCCCAGACGTTGTAATAAGGGTTTGTGAGTCTGGCCAGTGGTAGGCCCTCGGAGAGGAAGCCTTGCTCATCGTAACCCTCAAAGAGATCGTCGAGCATAGCTTCTGATGATTGCCGCATCGTGGAAGATGGAGTTGTGTAGGAGTTTTGGCTCAATGAGTCCGGGTGTTGGTTCAAGAAGTGTTGGTTCACGAAGTGTTGGTTCAAGGAAGCAAATGCAATTGGCATGTTATAAACAAAGGAGAAGGAAGTCACTGCTTTTTAGGCTTAGCATAATATTTCAAATAAATCCATGACACTATGGAGCCTTTATTTGACGCCTTCGGCTTGCACCGGGGTCGTTTCGTCCATATCTATACAATCCGGAACAGAGCCGGATGTATATCCGGCATCCGCCTCTCATATACAGCGGTTCGTGGATCTGCTCTGTAACCATGGAAGACTTCCAGGTCCACATGTGCTCGTTCATTTCAATATTCCTGGGTATAGGCTCAGCGATTCCTTTGCCCAGATACATGTACCGATAGAAACGTCTCTCTGGCTTCTTCTCTTTGTTCGTCGTAGACCGCTTGTCTCGTGGCTTGGGGGTTAATTCACAATTCACGGACTTGACGATCTGAGCACATAGTTTGGCTTTCCTCTTTCGTTTGAATAGATATTTTGATTGCCTTCCCTGCTAGCTGGGCGGCATGGTATAGACGCAAGTGGTCTGCAAAGCATGCAGCGTAATCGACGGCCTATGAGAAGAGATCCACATTAATGAAAGCACAAAGTCTATCAGCACGGAGTACTCCGTAAAACAAAACGAAAATCATATCCAAACCTTCATGTAATGATTAGCACATACTCCGTAGGAACGGAACACAATCTTGGAGCAGAATTGGAATACGGGAAGAGTCCCCACGACGTTCGACCACTGACGACCAATGCACATCGTGGAGACGGGTCGGGGAGACGGAAGCGGAACAGCATCCGGGCTGCCATGCGAGTTGCATTGTCACGTAGCCCGATTCCATTCTGGACTTGTCACTTGGTATAAAAAGCAAAAAAAGACCCGGGCAATCGAGTCCAAATTGCAAGAACATCTCGTCTTTCATTCCTTGCCTCAAAAGTTAAGTTCAGCGCTGACTCTCGGCACTCAACTTGTCAACCCAACACGCTAGACACGCTAGACACGTACTTCACAACAATCGCCGATATGACGGGCACCAAAGCTTCCAAGCCTGTCTTCCCTGTAGAGGCAGCCTCGGCAGAGTACGCCGCATCTCTGGATGCAGCGGATCCTCTGCGTGAGTTCCGGGACCAGTTCATCATTCCCTCTAAGGCCAATCTGGCAACAAAGAAGCTGGCGAAGCCAGGTGAGAATCGCAGAAATAACGAAACATTAATCGCCACAGATGCTAATCAACGTTGACAGGTCTATCATCAGAGCCAAGCATATACTTCTGTGGCAACTCCCTTGGTATCCAGCCCAAGGCGGTGTCGAAGTATATGGAGGCCCAGTTGGATACTTGGTCCTCCATCGGGGTCTGTGGTCACTTTACTGGACTCGAAGGGTCTCCCTTAGGTCCATGGCAGCTTTTGTCGGAGCAAGCAGCTGCTTCGATGTCGAAGATTGTCGGGGCAGCGCCCGAAGAGGTCGCAGCCATGGGCACACTGACAACTAACCTCCACCTGTTGCTCGCGAGCTTTTATAAGCCGACCGAGACCAAGCGCAAGATCCTGATGGACTGGAAGGCGTTCCCCAGTGATCATGTAAGTTACCCGCATGATTCATCTGAATCGGCATTGCGACAATTCCGCGCTCTTAGCTGACATTGTCCATAGTATGCGATTGAATCACACATTGCCTGGCATGACATTGACGCAAAGGAGAACATGGTCCTCATTGGTCCAGACGAGGGACAGTATGAGATCTCAACGGAAAAGATCTTGTCGTATATCGACGAGCATGCCGAAACCGCAGCACTGCTTCTTCTTCCCGGAATCCAGTACTACACTGGACAGCTATTCGACATCCCGACAATCACCAAATATGCCCAAGCGAAGGGTCTCGTCGTTGGCTGGGATATGGCACACGCATTTGGAAATGTGCCGCTGCAGCTGCACGAGTGGAATGTCGACTTCGCAGCCTGGTGCACATACAAGTACGGCAACGCCGGGCCCGGGGCGATGGGTGGAATATTTGTGCATGAGAAACATGGCGAGGTTGATTACAGCGCTGGACCCGATGCTCCAAAGTTCCGTCATCGTTTGACTGGATGGTATGGCGGTGACCGCTCCGTGCGATTCAAGATGGATAATAGTGAGTTTCGTCCGATTGTCGTTTGAACAAATAGAGTGCTGACTCCCGGCAGAGTTCAAGCCCATTCCTGGAGCTGGAGGCTTCCAGGTCTCCAACCCATCAGTCATTGATTTGACGTGTCTTTGCGCGGCTTTGTCTGTATTCGATCAGACCTCCATGGCGGATCTGCGTCAGAAGTCTTTGAAGCTGACGGCTTATTTGGAGTTCCTGCTTCTGAAGGATACCGAGGAGGAGACTCGCCTGTTTGATATTATTACACCATCGGATCACCTAGCTCGAGGCGCTCAGCTGAGCCTTTTGCTCAAGCCTGGCTTGCTGCACAAGGTCTCCGAACGTTTGCAGGATGCTGGTATTATTTGCGACAAGCGGGAACCAGGTGTTGTCCGTGTAGCGCCTGTGCCGTTGTACAACACTTTCTCTGAAGTGTTCAACTTTGTCAAGGAGCTCAAGGGGGCTTTGGCTTCTAGTTAGGGTCGTCATAGTTAACATTCCATGTGGACATAATAATGCAATGCATGAACATGATGCCGTGGACATGAATAGGCTATTAAGCATCGTAGATAGCATACGAAGGATATCTCATAATGATACAAATACACTATTGCCCGCCTCAGAAATTCCCTATACTATCCCAGTTATCTCCACTGCGCAGGAACTCCTGCCCCTGAGAAAAGAAATTTGCAGCAAGAATAGAATACCCATCATTGGATAGCGTCAACTGCTGCGGCGAGACCAACGAGTTCGCGGCATAGTCTTGGCTAGGAAAAGCGGCATTGTCGAACGATTGAGACTGGATATTGGGAGTATCCCCTTCCTGGGCACTCAGGCGGAACGGGGCAGGCAAGGGAGATGTTTGAGATACCTCTGTACCCGCAGAAGAGGATCCGGCATAAAGGGTGTCTCCGAAGAGGCGCCTAGCAGAGTCAGTGTCGCTGTTGGATGAGTATTCAAGGATCTCCCAGAACCGGGACAGATCAATCAGAAGGCTTTGATTTTGCGCTTCCGGGTCTGATTGGTAGGTGGCTGAAACGGCGTCTTCTAGGCGTTGAAGCCTGTGTGCCTGATTATAACATAAACGGTTAATGTCTGATATGAGATACGAAGGAAGTTAAGTGGGCTGGGGACCATACCAATCGAGCCATGTGCGGCCATCTTTCCCCTATTGTCTGCACGAACTTGACGCACTTGGTGAATCTCTCGCGCTTCTGTTCTCTGATCGTTGCATTATCTGTAAAGCTGAGCTGTAACTCGATCGTAGCCACGACAGCTGCGCTATATCCTAGTACCGGATCCGATACTAGGAACGACTTCTCTTCAAGGTAGTTGATGAAGTGAATGATCCATGTCGTATGAGAGGAGATCAAATCCGACGTATGTTGTAGGAAGATCTCAGGAATAGTACTCCGGAAATTCCTCAGGCTTAGCGAAAGCAGAAGAGGGTGGTTGAGTAGACAGAGATTGGTGTGATACATGAATTGGTTCAGGAACCATGGCCCCCAGTATTCACGATGTGCCTGCAGCTCGTCCAAGGAGCGTTCACTGAGATTCGCGGGCTTGAATCGGTGGAGGTATGGCATGCGAGTCTCCATTACCATCTGTAACGCCAGGATCTTCGAGTATTCGGATTCAGGAGACCATGGTGGGACGTTGCTTGGGCGTCCATGGAGTCGAACATATCGTGCTGTCCTTGCGAACACTTCGCTTAACATCACCACATATGCAATTATTCCTTCATCCTCCATGTCACTTCGGCGCATTTCGACAATTGATGGTCCCGGGGAGAGGAAGCGCGCTGGTCGTGCTGGGCTCCGGGGGTATGGAGGGCCTGGGGCATCGGGTATGTCTAGGATCGAGAAGTCTTCGCCGTGTAATCGCTTCAGAAGACATATGCTCCAGAAACACCGTCTGCGTTCCTCGCGAAATGTGGTGCTTGTTGATGAACGGGGCTCTTGTCCCAGATTGGCGCACTGGGCAAGGTTCATTGCCAAGCTGCTGTGAATACTGGAACGGTGTGTATTGCCATCTGGTAGAATCATTAGCCGGTTTCTGGACATTGGATGTTCTGAAATCATACTCGTGAAGTCAACTAAGCTCAAGATGCAGAGACATTGAAGTGTTGATAGTTCCACCGGCCCTTCTGAGACTCTTTTCATTACAAGACTGCGAGCAACCTCGGCATAGCCGGTGACGAGAGCAGAGAAATCGGCCCTGATACGATGATCGTATGAGAATCGAAGACCAAGTGCCAATATAGCGAAGAGAAGCTCGGCATCCCGTGTCTGTAGATTAGACAGAAAGCCGTCCTTGTGGAAAAGAGGCAAAGGTTGAGATTCACAGTACAGCAAATATAGTTCCGCGATAGGAACTATCTCCTCCCACGGCGGTAAGCTGACAGATGAACCTGTCATCGACAGTGTCGGTGGAACAAGAGGTGCTGCCTGTCGTTGTGGCTCGTTTCTCCCACTGCAGAGGTGTTTCTGGTAAGTCATAGCCCCAATGTAGATACTGTAGGTCCCTCACCCTAGCACATCAAGAACCTGCTCCAGTTTGCCTTCAAGGTTTTGCAGTCTGTCTTCCTAGAATACGTTTAGCAATTGGATATACGCATAGGGAGCCTCACAGAGGCAAAGAAATGACCCACTAGAACCCGAGGTGCTCGCAGGTCTGAATCATTGGGCCTTGGACTTGACTCAGACAGCGGCCGACGCCTTTCGTCGGCGTATAGGCATTGCTGTCCCAACCTAGCACACAGAGAGCAGACTGGCTGTTCTCCAGGACATTTGGCTTTCTTTCGCCTGAGAGATTGGTCAACGGCAATTGCATGAAACAGATTGGCGGGCCGACACTCACCTGCAAGGCTCACAAGCCTGCCGTACCCGCTTTTTCGAGGGTCGCGGTGCATAGTCAAAAATCTCATCTTCCATTCTTACATGGGAAACCGAATCTTAGTCGCGAGGTGTTGTAGCAGTTTGTCTGACTAGAACATATTCTAGGAGGACGGATAGGGCATTGTAGAAGGCTGATCGACGTGACCGGAGTATCGAATAATCAAAATATGATATACCGGTGCTGCGGTGCATACAGTTTTTTAGAGAGGAGTATGATTTCTCAAGAACTGTTATACTATCCTTTCCTGGATTGGGATTGGGCCAACTTAGCGCTGGAGGGACAATCTCGGGTCCGGACCCGGCCCGGCCTGGGTAACCGCCGCGTGGTCACGTGCACACTGACAGCATATAAACACCCAGCTACCCCAGCTCGCAACTCTTTGTTCTTTGCCATTTCACATACCCGACACAGAAGAATCTTCTCACTTGTCAACCATCCTCTAACCAAGGTAAAGAGGTCTCTATGGATAAAATCATATCTCTTCTACCGAGATGGATTCCTTTACAGCTCCCTATCCACAACCGTGACCCTTCACCTACAACCAATATCTATCCTGTCATGAGATTTTGCTGGGTCCCCTAGCGAACTTCTTCTGCGACTTGCCTTGTACGAACACCCGATCTACTAATTTGGCTCTCACTCCGTGCTACTCGCCTTCACGGACATCGTAAGATGTTGAGTGCAGAGAGCCTTCACCATCAGCAGGACCGGGTGCTAGTACAAGGCAGGTCGCAGAAGATGTTCGACTTGTGACCAAGGAATAGCTCTTGACGGTAGACATGGTTGGTGCGCTTTCTACGATGTACAAAGCTCTTGCTCGCCTCTCCGACTCCCAGTTGATGCTCTTACTAAACCCATCCTCCCTACCCGCAACAGTGACCCTTCACTTACAACCGATATCTATCCTGTCATGAGATTTTGCTGGGTCCCCTAGCGAACTTCTTCTGTGACTTGCCTTTTACAAGCACTTGATCTTCTAGATTGGCTCTCACTCCGTGGCCGACTGGTCCCGGACCTGCTACTCGCCTCCAGCGGACATCCTAAGATGTTGAGTGAAGCCTTCACGATCAGCAGGACCGGGTGCTAGTACAAGGCAAGTCGCAGAAGATGTTCGAGATGTGACCAAGGAATAGCTCTTGATGGTAGACATGGTTGGTGCGCCTTCTACGATGTACACAGCCTTTTGCTCGCCTCTCCAACTCCAAGTTCATTCTCTTACTACACCCATCCTCCCCACCCTCGTATCCTGATAAGTTGTTGGCATTACCAACAGCCATCCGTACAACAACTCAAGCTCTGCCTGTCACGTTGCTGTTGTATGGATCTGTCGTTACTCCCGGCCTTTGAATGATTTCCGTCGAGGTGGCTGGGGTCACCTGTTCTGTATATGATTCTTTTCAACTTCCGGACAACCATATTTGATGACTAGAAGCCGCAACGTAGACATACATTTACTTAGGGATGCAGAGTAAGACTATGTCTCGCGCAGTTTCGCGGAGGTTGAAGCAACTCAAAGAGACTCCCTGTACTATGACTAGTAGCTAGAAAACCTCATCTCCATCTCCTGCTTACTGTTCGACGGATGCAAGAGCAGCCAAGCTGACTTAATTCATCAGAAAGATAGGTAGTTATGCGGCGACATCTCTTGGATTGGCGCTTCAATTTATCATATGTACAGCTCCAATCTGCGTGGCTGCCAACCCATCTAACCCCCTTCTGGAGTAGAAATACACCATACAAAAAACAGCTGATGACACAGCTTAAGAAAGAGAACTGGAATTGGCATCATATATTCCTACCAGATATCCACGGTCTACCGTTTAGATCCAAGTCTTGTGGCCCTGTTAAAGAGTCAGCATGTGAACGTGCTCGATTACCCACCCTTCTCGTCGGTGGGGGAAGGATAGCGGATAGCGGATTGGTGAAACTTACGAGGACCATGCGGCACATGGCGTAGGTAGTGGCTATTGTCAATTAGCATTCCATCTGCAACTGTTTTGGGTGTATCGGGAAAAGACGGGTTCACTCACCAGCACCGAGACCGTAGACGGAAATGAGGTAGGGGTACATGATGTAGGCGGAGCGGGAAGTCTGTGACACAATTCCAACGTCAGTTTCTTGAGGGAGCTCATTGAGGGCGTAGGTGCCCCTTCAGGGTGTGTACTGACCTTCCACCATTGACGCTTGCCATCGTGGTTCTGGAAGAGACGCTGGTAGTAAGGCACACGGTTCTCACGGAACACGAAGCTGAGAAAACAATGAGTCAGTATTGGTTGTACTAGATTGGCGGTATAGCGTTCCCTCGCAGGCGCATCAATTGCAATTTGAAGGCCGAGGATCGCGGGAGGAAATTCAATGGTCGCACTCTCGTGGTCGGGATTGTGCGCGGGGGTGTTTTGGAGCAATTCGAAGGGGCCACATACCCAGCCATACGGGAGCTAGTAGCACGGAACATTTTGGCGGTTCTGAGCGAAGAAGGAGTGGGGAGCTTAGGTACGACGTGGGCGAAATGGGGATGTGAAGTCGATCCGGAATGAGCTGGATATCGTATCACGTGCCATCCATCACCTGATCAAATCAGAGGTCGTGTCAGGTCATCATCCCGAAAAGGCAAAGCGTCAAAAAAGTGCCCTGGAGCGCAACAACTTTTGGACGTTCAATAGCAAGCTTGTCGGATTGTCCTCGAGGAATCGAAAAGGATGTTTGGCAGCGAGAATTTGCCATCCCGATCTTTATTCCTTCACCACTCATGCGCCCGGCGCTTCTGCGATTGTTGAAGAGGCCGTCCGCCGTCTCGATCCTTGACACGCTTACAGCAGTACCGGCCGGAATTGAGCAGTTGGAGTCCAGATACCGGTGTTTACGATGCAATTCGCGAAGTGCAAATCACCCCGATGAATCTGACAACGGCCTAGCCCGGCAGCAACTTGAAGACTCGCGCCGAGGGAAACGGCCATTCAGCTTTTCCATCTACGACATTGAAACCTCCGATGAAGCGAGCAACTCTGTAGCTACGCCTGCTACGAAGCGGAACCCCAACACTTTTTCTAAGCAATGCCCTACCAAGCTTCTGGCGCTTCGACCAGACAGGCTTGAATTCGAATCGGACGTCGGACACCTCAACGACATTGGGACGCGTTTAGTGGATAATCCGGACCAGCGACATAATTTCGACCTGTGGGAGGAACTCCTACGATATCGCCAGCGACACTACGGAGACCACGGCACACTAGAAATATGGGAAGGGCTCATGGTTCGAGTGGATGGGGTACGGCTCCCGGTTGCGGGAGACCAAGCGGATATCTTCTGGCAAAGCTTTGTGGACATGGGATTGAGGCGAGAGCTATTTCTCAAAGAAGTGCTGGACTACGCTATCGATTTGTGGAAGCAACATGGCAGTCGATGGCCACAGCTATATGAGCGCGTGGTGGGCGAACTCCTTGACCAGAGCCTAACGCACCGTGCCATCGAAAGCCACAAGAAGCTTCAACGTGCTGGTTTGGCTAGCGCGCATGATGTGCTGCAAGTCTTACCCTCGGCGATCCGCTCGACGTCTCATCCGGCTGGCACGGAAATTGCGACTGTCGCTGATCTCGAGTGGTCATCCTTGCCGCCGGGCCTGAAGGCATTCCAAACTATATGTTCTACAACCCCCGACCGCAACTTTTACGGGCCTGTCATCTCGATGCTTATCCAACAAGGCCACGGAGAAGCGGCGATCTCGATGCATCATTTCTTTGCTCATATCCAGGATCATCCACAAACTCCCGATGAAATACAGCCATTGCTGGAATACGTTGAGAAGTTTGGGTTGCGGAGGGAGTTCAATCGACTCCGTGGCTATGTCAAAAAGCGGTTCGATACCGAAGCATCGATTGACCAACCTGGCCCAATAGACACCACCCCACAATCCGATGCGAAAGAATCGCAGGACGGAAAGCCCTATAAAGATGACATCGGTGCTAAGATGTTTGCTACTCGTGCACTGAACTTTGACATGATCGTTGGTGGTTTGAAAATGCTCGGTGTCACCGAGATTGGCCATAGGACGTTGCGCGAGCTGGCTACGAGAGCTCACGGCAATCAAGATCTTCTGGAGAAGCTCAAAGTCCTCAAGCAGTCTGGAATTTCTGTCGGTAGCACTGTGTTCTCCCGGTTAGTCCAGAAACTCGCAACCCAAAATCGCGACATCCTTCTCTCCGACCTTCTTCGCAGCGACCAGCACCCGGACGTTCTCGAAGACAAGCGCATGCAGGAGTCAATGTTGGTATCTTATTATATGGCTCGGGATTGGCGACTGTACAATATGACCCTAGCGGTGTTGGCGGAGCTTTATCCCACCTCACCCGACCTCCACGACATCCATTTCCGAAAGCACATTGCGGCCCGGGAATTAAGCGCAGCGGGCAAGGTCACCGATGAGCTAGCCCTCCGGGGGCGTACTCTGAGCGAAGAAAGTGTGGATTTCATGGCCGAGCAGATTCTCACCCCTCGCCGCATGAACCATCGTCCGCCCCCAGGCCAACGTCTGTCTGCCGTCGAGGAAGTAGTTTTCATCTTCAAGATTCTGAAGCGTGTGGTCCCCGCAGGAGGCTATGTCAGTGCTGCCTTCTGGATTGAGATGCTCAAGCGTCTCGGTATGGCGGATGCATGGGCGGACTGGGACAAACTTCGAGACTGCTGCACATGGCTTGTCCGTCAATATGCGGAAAGCCCTGGGCAGATGGCCCGGTCGCACGTAGCATTCTCCAAGCCTCTCGATCCCAAGCAGCCCAACGGTCGCGACCGGCGAATGCTCGACTTGATTTTCACGCCCCAAATGCAAGCAGCTATCGTCTCCTGGGGATTCAAGTTCCGCGTGCTCGACACGACCGCATCAAAATTTGCCATTTCCCATCCAAACCCTCAAGTTCATGACAAGCTCGTCCCATGGGTGCGGGGTCTGATTCTACTGCGAGAGCTGGAACGATCCGGCCTTCGTCTTGACAAACGATTGATCTCACAGGCAGTGCGCCACCGCCTGGCTATGCTCTACAGCCACCATGTTCTATCCGCGCGACGCATGAACCGCATGCTGCGACGGCGGAACCCGTATCCTCTACAGCAGGTGTTGAACGATGTATTCGAGGCTTGGGGGGACCAGTCTCTTTTTGATGGGATGGAGCAGAACCCGCAGGAGTTGGTAAATCCACCACGATCTGCCCGGACGAAGCGACGCGCTCCAGGTATACGTCTGTCGCTGAAAGGACTATAAGTCGTCTTAGACGTGTCAAGCGTCCATGTATAATAGCATTTTGTAAATAGTTCATAATACCCACAGTCATGCTTTTGAGCAGTTGAAACATCATTTGCTTGTGATCGACGATAAAAAGTCCTCCACATAGTCCAATGGGCAGTGCAGATCCACCCGATCTAAGAATAGTTGAGACGGCAACGCGGCATAAACGCGGCCTCTAGGCATTCTGTTTATTTCTTGTGCTCTTTTTCATTCTTTACTTATTTTACTCTTTTATTGTCCTGATATTGTTACATCTCATATATCATTTGTGTCATTTGTGTAAAAGTCATGCGAGTATTCACCTTCCTAGCTTTGCTGCCCGTGATCCTTGCGAATCCCCTCCAAACCCGTACGACAGCATGCAACAACTCTCCCGACCTTTGCTCCAAATCCTATGGGGAAATCACACATCTCGGAGCCCACGATAGTCCCTTTGTACGAGATGAGACTACTGGGAACTCGCTAGCTGGCGACCAGTATGTTTATCCCTTCGATCCCCACACCATCTCGACTGAAACTAACCAATTCCCAGATACTATGATACCCTCACACAGCTATCAGCCGGTGTCCGACTAGTGACAGCACAAGTGCACAAGGACAACTCACAATGGCGTCTCTGTCATAGTACATGTTCTCTGCTTGACGCCGGACGACTGAGAGATTGGTTAAAAGACATCAAGGGCTGGCTAGATGATAATCCAAACGAGGGTGAGCCCATCCACACCATTTATGCTATTCCCAGACGAAAGAAAGCCCTAACAATACCTCTAAAACAGTGGTAACAATCCTCCTCGTCAACTCGGACAACGCCTCAGCCTCCGACCTCAACACCGAATTCACATCCGCCAACATAACTGACTATGCCTACGAACCAGAAGGAAACACCGCACCCAAAACATGGCCAACACTCCAAACAATGATCGACACAGGCAAACGCCTCGTCGTCTTCGTCGCCCCCATCGACACAGACTCAGCCCATCCCTACCTCCTAAACGAATGGACCTACATCTGGGAAAACCCCTACGACGTATCCTTCCCCTCAAACTTCACCTGCGAAGTCGACCGACCCTCGGAATACCAAGGCAACAGCGGCGCCGCATTATCCGCCAACCTGCTGCCACTAATGAATCACTTCCTGTACTCGAGCGACTTCGCGATGCTGGACATCGAGTACCCAAACGCGAGCTACGTGGCGACGACGAACGCCGCATCAGGCGGAGTGGGGAATCTGGGGTCGACGGCGAGCGCGTGTAAGAAGGCGTGGGGTGGTCGACAGCCGACGTTTATTATGGTTGATTTCTTCAATCGGGGGCCGGCGATTGAGACGGTTGATAATCTGAATAATGTGTCCAATGCTGTTGGAAGGAAGAGTGTTTCGAAGTCGGAGGAGCCGACGAGTGGTGCGGCGGCTAATGAGAATGTGTTCAAGGCGCTTGTTGAGCTTGCTGCTTCAGCGAGGGCGGGGGCGGATGTATCGATGGGGAATTGGATTTGGACGGGGGGGGAATTGGGGGAATTTGCTTGGTGGAGGAGTTTCTTTCTGATGTTTCTCTATATTCTTGTGGAGCGTTTATATTCGGGATCTACTTGTCCTTGACGATAGCATGGGATATGGGGTCTAAATTTGCAGGGCGTTTGGGTTAGAATTGGGATGGAATGGGGTTTATGGGCTATATAGTCTTACGAATGGAATGATTCAAAGTCGGCCTCTTGCTTCAGCATATTGATTCCATTAAAGGCAGTCTAGTCCTTCCCCAATATCTCACGCACCTTCGTCACCTTATCCTCAAAGGACTGCACTTTATCAGTCCTAGATCAACAATTAGCCAAATAACCAGAGAAATCGAAACTGAACAGCCATATCCACTCACCTCGTTCCAATCCGGACAGTAGTTTGAATCCGAACAATCCCCTTCTGATGAAGAATGGTGTGCGCCTGACCGATAACCTGATGAACCCGGTCCCAAGATCCTTCTATAAACAGAAGCAGTCAGTAAACAACAGTAATCGGCGTGTCACATAAGCTGTCAGCTCTTTTCCCCTCATTCTCTCTCGCATTTCAGTTGCAGCTGCAGATACAGCTACAACTGGGGAGATGAGATGAGCGAACAGGTCCCCACACAATTGGGAAAGCTGGATCTGCGAGGCAAAAGCATAATACGGTCGTAGTATAGATCAGGGATGTAACCGTACCGAGGGTTGTGCCTGCGGAATGCATGACATACTTCAAGCCGCAGGTTTGGACCAGTCGCTGGACGTCGGCGATTTCATCTGCGACCGATGGTGAAGAGGTGCCGATCTGGGGTTATGCTGTTAGATTGGCGGGATTGCGGGATGATGTGACCTGGTTGTTCCATTTCATGAGGGTTTCCTTACGGGGATTAGACAGAAGTCAGCGGTACAGTGGGTGGGTGTTGGGATATTGATCGGGGAACCAGACATTGCGAATTGGATTGTTGATTAGGTCTATGTTGTGAATGTGTGGATGGAAAATATGGTGGGGGAAGGTTTTAGAGGGGAAACAATATCTAAGGTACGGAGTATGCGGCATACAACTCCGCGATGAGAGCTGAATGATGTCGAGGTCAAGTGACCCTCCACAGGGCTGAACGACGATAACTTATCTGACTGACTTGCCCTCGAGCCTCTGCATCATCTCACATTTCCTGCACAGCGCCTCATTTTGATATACGACATGTCCGATTGCTGACCGCCAATTGCACCTGATAAATGCGACTTCAATCGCTCTTCTCTTTTTTTCTCCTCGAGTCCCTACGGAATAAGAATGATGATTCCCTGGAATACTTCAAATGCTTAAGGCTTCCTTTTTCCTCTGATTGGCATGATCGACTCCAGGGGTACGCCACCTACTAATCAGCCACTCCCCACACGAACCCTGCGTTTCCCCCCGGTTTCTTTTTTTAATTCGAGCGGATTCTTTGTGCTCTTTGTGTCCTTTGTCTCGGTTTCTCCTTTTAATACTTTGAAACCTCTCCTATCCGTCCATTTCCGTCTGTGAAAAGCCGTGTCCAGCGCCGTACGACTGTCTCCCGTATCTCGTGCGCCATTTGTCCGGGTCCTTGATTGGATATCTCAGTCATCCGGCCACTAAACGGGGTTTAGCCCGTCTGAATGGATTTAAGCATCTTGGATGCATATGCATGAGCGATCTGAACTCGTTTCGACCAATCGCTCCTCGATTTGCGAATCGGTCTGGATCTCAGACAATAACATTCTATATTTAACAATCACGTCATGATCACGATAACCTGATACTCATCTTCTAACGGATGACCAAGCCTAATCTCCTGGAGCTCCCTCGGGGAGTTCAGCTCGTCTACCTCGCCGAGGGAGGGGCAAACGTCATTTATCGATTTGTCGCAAACACAGCACGCGCACCAAAGGACATATCTCTCTCCCCAAGTAATGCAGACTATTCTCTACCAGCCCAACTAAGGGGGAAACTCCTTCGACTCCGCAAAGAAACAGCAGCCGACATTCCTTACAAAGAGATTGTCCGAAACTTCGACACCATCATCCGACCCTTATTCACCCCCGACGAACTAGTCGACCAAACCCTCATCCGACTCCCAGAGGGTCTCCTCTCGCGCTGCAACGACCAACTGCGAACCGCAGAACTAAATGACGCGCGTCCGAAAAAGCGCCATGGCAACTATCTCTGCCTAAACGAACCATTCGGTTTGCTCATTACCGACATGACGACGGCCGGCGAACCGGGCGCGTATCTGGCCGAGCTGAAACCGAAATGGTTGAACCAGTCGCCTTCAGCACCTAGCACCGCACAAAGATGTCGGACCTGTGCGCTGCGGGAGATGAAGAACCGCGAGGCACTGCTGCTGGGCCTGAAAGAGCAGCGGTCGTTTTGTCCGCTGGACCTTGTCTCGGAGCAATTTGAGAACGTGCTGCGGGCGACGGGGTCGATTAAGGGATGCAAGGACCGAGCGCGGCTGGCTCGGATCTTGTATCGGAATCCGACGATGCTGAGATTGCAGTCGTTGCAGAAGAGTGAGAGGGAGGTTGGACTGCACGGGCCGCCAGCGCATTCTCGGGGGATGTCGCTTGCGATGACTCTGCGGGACTGTACGATGTTTATTAAGGTGAGCTCAACCTGTTTACTTGCTAAGGGTTGTTTACTTGCTGAGAGTACTGACACCCTTCACAGATTCCCAATGATGAAAGAGCACCCGTTCAAATCCGCCTTGGCGACCTCGATCTCAAGTCAGGTGCTGGCGGAAAGGCCGGTTACTGGCGAGACCTGGAAACCCAATTGATCGAAGAGGGTTGGTATCGGGGTAGCAACATCGGTCAAGGTTCAAGCGAGTGCGCTTTGCACACGCGAAGGCCCTCTCAGTCCCTTGCAATATGACCTCGGTATAGCTATACTTATCCCATCTGCATTGATGCGAATTGTGCGAATGTTGCGGTCTGTCCTGAGCGAGTAAATTCATGTCATGACTTGTTTGTACAGTACTTTTTCATTGTCTTTTTCGTGTGGTTTTCTGTGGTTTTATTGTTTTTCACTATATGGGGTTTGGACCACGGCGGCTGTTTTGTGTTATTTGTTGCCTATGACTGGATGTTTCTATATGGATTTATACGCCTCCCACCTGCATTAATATGGGTAATACATACTTGCTTTCTTCGTCGGTTCTGATATTAAGATTGGTGTTTTGTAGATGTCATAGGTTATGTATCGATACCTGTAAATAGATCGATGTTAGGGAAATGAGTACTCTCCGTACCTGAAGCTGAAGCTGAAGATCAGCATCTCCCCCCGCTTCCGATAAGAGTCAAAATCAGACCATCCTACAATTCACCTCCTTCACCATCTCCACCGCCAATCCCAAATGAATCCAAGAGTCGGAATCGGTGTCTTCGTCTTCAACACCGAGGGCCAGTTCCTCATCGGCAAGCGAAAGGGCAGTCATGGTGCCGGTACGTCAAGCATGTATATAAGAACATACTCCGTACAATAAGCCTATAACCTACCTGTATCCCTACAATATCAAAGAGGTAAAGAACTAAATCCATTGCTACAGAAACATGGGGTTTACCAGGCGGCCACCTCGAATTCAACGAAACCTTCGAAACCTGCGCTATGCGCGAGACCCTCGAAGAAACAGGTCTACAAATCAGCGACGTGCGATTCCTGACTGCCACCAATTCCATCATGGCAGCCGAGAAGAAGCATTATGTTACTGTTTTCATGGGTGGGATTTGTGAGGAGGGTGTTGAGCCGCAGGTGAGTTTATTTTCTCATTTCCTTTTTCCTCTTCCTGATGCCCTAGTCTGTTGAGAAACACTGGCTGATGAAACGGTCAGACTCTCGAACCGGAGAAGTGTGAAAGTTGGGAATGGATTTCTTGGGATGCGATGCGGGCGTATGGGGAGGAGGAGATGGAGGGTGATGGGTCTAGGGGGATGAAGTTGTTTATGCCTCTTTTGGATTTGTTTAGACAGAGGCCGGAGTTTAGGGTTTGATCTGAATCCTTGAGATAGTAGGTATCTAGTATAGTAGTACATACTTGAAACCAGTGCCCAGGGTGTAACCGTGTAGTATAAGATCTTACTCCGTAGTCACGATCTTCTCTTGCCTGTTGCTACCTGGGTTAAGCCCTCTATAGGAATACAAGTTTATTACTGCTGCAGCTGTCAGTCGTTCATATAAGATCCGGCATCTTCGTATGATTGCTGGAACAAGGAATCGTATTCACATTTCTCATAAATTCAAGAACCACTCAATGTACCCTCCAAGTGGAGAGAACTACATTCGCTGGGCTGACGCTGGCTAACGCTCAATGCAAAGAAATCAACAGGAAAACATCAACTCGAACCATACACCCAATCCGACACAATGACCGCAATAGTCGCAACCTACCAACATGTCAGTCAACCCAATTCCCCCAGAAAGATGACCCAGAAAGAAGCAAATACTCACCAACGAAACATCAACACCCGGCATAACAACAATATCCAGCGCAGGCCTCGACCCCAACCTCGACATCAACATCAAAGCCAACTTCTCATTATGCCAAATACTCTCCCTAATCTCCGCCACCTTCCTATCCCCATCGACGACATCAAAAAGCGCCAACCTCCCCCCATGTCTCTCAACATTAAGCGTCATCATCTTCTCCTCCTTACTCTTCCCCGGATACGCCGCCGCATTCTCAAACGAAAGATTAAAGTTCCCAAACGCCGTATTCCCCAGCGTCCACCGCGGCGCCCCCGTCGCTATCGTCGCCGTGTCACACCCGGGCAAGCTAACCGACCAGCTATTACTCCACGACCACTTGCGATGAAGCTCGAAGAGCGGCAGGCCGGATGCATCGCGGAACTCGCGACAGGAGCGGTCTGTGTATTTGCGGCCGGTGACGGTGAATTGCGGGGTGTGGTCCTCTTCTGTTATTTTGTAGGCGACGGCTGAGTGGGGGTTGCCGTAGGGGCGGAGGACGAGGGTTGTCTTTGTGCGGGTTATGTATTGGGTTCGGAAGGCGATGTCGCGATTTGGGGAGCGGAGGGGTTTGCGTTGTGTGTGTGGGAGGACTCGGACATTCGAGTAGTAGGTTGCTGACATGGTGAGGTCCGAGGATGGGGGTTAACCTAGGTCAAGGGTCTAGGAGTGGTCACTGGTGAGGGGAAGGCTTTTATATTTTTATATTTAGGCAATGATGTATGTGATGTATGCAATGTATCGTGCTTTTGATATCCCTGCTGCGGCATTTATCCTGTGCAATGTCCGTGATGCTGCTGCGCCACAGCTTTACCGAGGGGAGGGGAGTATACCTACACCTCATGAAGCTATCTGAGAGATAGCGGCGGGGTAAATGCACGCTATGGCTGGTCTCGACGTCTTGTGGGGGTTGAGGAAAGTTGTTCAGTGGGGGTAGGACGAGTCATCCTTGCATCTCTCCATGAGAATCGGAATCCACCGTCATACATATCGTCAGCTAAGCGAGTGAAAGAGAAAACAACCTCGGATATGATCATCGAGGTACGGCGGGAACTCTCAGGCAGAGTCACCGGCCTTTTTGATAGGTTCGATGAAATGACCACGTGATCGTACTGTTACTGAAGTACTGAACAGACTTTGAACTTACTGTTAGCGTTATTAGTTACTCTGAGACTCTGAGTACTAGAGGCGTAAAGTGAATAGGTTGATACTACTGTGTAGAAGACTAAGAAGAGGAGGAGGGGGTGGAAGGACTGTGGAATAAGGAAAGGAGGGATGATGATGGATCTGTGTGTTCTGAATCGATTCATGACCATACTCCCAATGATAGTCATGAGATGCGAGGAAGGAGCGTACACAGTAAGTTGCGTAACTACCAAAAGTAAACAAAAAATGATGAATAATCACATCACGTGATTGACGGGTATCACTATCACATTTCACATATATCACAACAACACGGGGTAAGACTCACTGAGGTAACACTCACCGCGCCTCTTGGTGACATATTCTCCCTCTTTCTCTAGCGACATATTCTCCCTTTTTCTCTATGGCCGACAACAGTTCTCCAGATTACAAGCTGCGTTCAAAGCAGTTAGAGGAAAGGCTCAAGCAGCTCGAAGAGAGACAGAAACAGGTCGAAGAGCTCATCCGACCCACTACTTTCGTGGAGTTCTTGCGCCATTCCCACAACCTCCTCTCTCGACCGTTGAGAGTTGAGACACCGTCTCGCTCGACTACCGGGAAAATACCCCTTCCCACTGGGAAATATTGCCCGATACGATTAGAACCCTGGAGCGGCTGCTCGACAGAACTGTCGGAGCTCTACCGGTCCGTATCTGGCTATCTTCAGCTGACACCAGAAGGAGCGCTACGTCTGTTTAAATCATTGGATCAGCTGGAAGGGTTAGGTCGAGAGTATTCGATTACGCCCATAAGCAGCGAGCGAGACCTCGAGGCCTATGAGCGATCCGCCGTGGAAACGCATGTCCGCGATATCATTTCCGAGTTGTGCAAAATACCCGCTGCTCGCGACGAGTTTGGCCTCGGTGATGCAATCGAGTTCAGAAATCATACGAATTCCTTGAACCAGAACGAACCTATTGAAGCGGATGCAAGCCAACCGTCCAGTATACGCCGGCCAAGACCTGACCAGTACTGCATCCATCGTGTCGACGGCACCACTAGCACGGTTCTAACGACCGTCGAGTATAAACCGCCATACAAGCTTCCTGTCGTGGCCCTTCGTATGGGCCTCCGACCGATGGACTTATGGGAGGAGATGGTCAGTAAAAACAAAATTGAAACAGAGCAGGAAGCAAAGTTGAAATACAATGCAGAGCGACTTGTCTGCTCTGTGCTTGTCCAGGAATACCACGTGATGATTCAGGAAGGGCTCGAATATTCCTATGTGACAAACGGGATTGCTCGAGTCCTACTCCGTGTTCCACCTGACGACCCGGGCACGTTGTACTACTTTCTTTGTGAGCCTAATAGCGAATTGGGCCCTGAAGTTGAAGATAGTTCTCAGCTACAGAAGACCTCTGTTGCGAGGACACTGTGTCTGTGTTTGATGGCCTTCCGTTCGACTGTGCGTGGCCAGGAATGGCGAAATTCTACACGACCAGACCTTCCTATTTGGAAGACCAGCTTTGACCACACCCGTTCTCAGATTCCCAGAGAAGACATGGAGCGTTTGCACTCAAGTAGTACCCATCCGGAGTATTGGAGTCCGAAATCCGGTTCACCTTATGATCCGCCATCGTCTCCGCCGGGTTCTCCACCAGCAGCAACCCGCCGCACTCGGTCTCAGGCGGGCTGCGCACCGTCAGATGTATCACGTCGCTCGCAGTCGCCAGACTCATCGGGCTCCGATTCGAATCAAGCAACAAGTCGCAAGCGGGGGCTCAGCCAAGTCGCGTCATCCCCGTCTACCCAACAAGCAGCTCGTCGACGGGACAGGGGTAATGATCAAGGCAACCAGACCCGGCATCGCAATGCACAGTTTTGCACTCAACGATGTTTACTTGGATTGCAGTCTGGCGGTGTCCTAGACGACTGCTGTCCAAACGTGATGCTTCATCGTCGAACTAAGGACGATCTCCGACATCCGATAACCTCAGGAGATTTGTTGGGTTTACTTAAAGCACAACTGGACGAAAACATTGACCGCTGCATACCTCTCGGAGGTTGTGGCGGATACGGTGCACCGTTCAAACTTACCTGCATCGAATACGGCTACACGGTCATCGGAAAAGGAACCACGTCTGGGCTGTGGAAAGAAGTCTCCGGCGAAGCGCAGATATACCAAATTCTGCGAAAGGTTCAAGGGTCGGCTGTGCCTGTTTTCCTGGGTACCATTGACCTGGCGAAAATCTACTTTCTTCACGGAGCTGGAGAGATTCGTCATATGCTCGTGATGGGCTGGGGAGGACAAAGTACGGCATCGATGGAGCTGGCGCCTTGGCTCCGCCACGAAATTCGCAAATCAAACAGAGAAATCAAAGCCTTGGGAATCATTCACGACGATCTTTCGCGTGACAATATTTTATGGAATGAAGAACTTGGCCGGGCATTGATCATCGACTTTCATCGGTCCACTTTGAAATGTCTACCGACTTTGCAGCGATCGGTCAAACGACGACTATTTCCAGAGGCAGAAGATCCCAAACGTCTTCGTGTGACGTGAGTGTGCATGATTGTTGTAGTTCATTAGCGTGATATTAAAAGATACCCCGACTCGAAGTCAAGAAATGAATTGATGATATTCCAAAAATCTGTGACGCCTGTTCTATAGCTACTGTGTACAATCCCAAGACTTAGACTTGTACCTGTTCAAATACCTCCGGGTCTAGCCTTGCTGAGTCACCCCCTTCAATACCTCGGTTGTTTCTCTCTCCCTCTCTCTCTCTCTCTCTCTTGTTAGACTAAACTCGCCTGATCATGGCAAAACTCAGCGTCAAATCCCTGGACCATCTGGTCCTGACAGTCCGCAATATCCCCAAAACAGTGGCATGGTATACAACCTACTTGGGCATGCGACATGAGACCTTTACTTCACCAACCAACAGAGCTGTACAAAGGTAACCCCTCATTCTACATTTACCCCAAATCCACAGAAAAGTCCAAAAGATAAGTTAGATACTGACATATCTAGACACGCATTACTATTCGGCTCCCAGAAAATCAACCTCCACCAAGCAGGCAAGGAATTCGAGCCTAAAGCCCAGGACGTTATGCCGGGAAGTGCCGACATGTGCTTCCTGACAGAGGAGAATATCGAAAAAGTACTGAAAGTATTCCAGGAAGCTAGAGTTGAAGTACGACATCCGGACCTCTTGAAGTTTTGAATATATATGGAACCTGATCTTTGCAGATTCTCGAAGGCGCCAAGATTGTAGAGAGGACTGGGGCTGTGGGCAAACTTCGCAGTGTATATGTGAGAGATCCGGATGGGAATCTTATTGAGTAGGTCTTTTTATCGTCTTGGCATCTTGTTCAGATGGATGTCCCGAGTTCATGACTCATTGCCGATACAGGTTGTCGAACTATGAGAACCATGAGTGATGGGGACGACGGTGACCGTGGAATAGGTAAGATGTATGTGATACCCGAGCATACACTACCCTCGATCAGTAAAGCCGAAAGCCGGGGTAGATCCAGATCAGATTCACAGGACGGGAAGGCCAGACACAGCTTCGTTACTCAGGTGTCGTCACAGACGAACATGTTCTAGGCGTGATCTAGTTAATCTCTATGAAGTATGTACCCAGAATACTTACTTAGCTACCTATTACAGACACAAACATCTGGTCATGATATCTGCTGGAGCTATACATCCTTTTACTCCGTACTCCGTTGCCCAAGAGCAGACCCTAAGATGAGGTAGTAAATGGTCTCCACTGTGGGGAAAGATAGAAAGGGATGAGAACACAACCAGTCGAAGCACATGAAAAATCCAAAGTCATTGGCCCTCACATGTGGAGTCATGAATATCAAGACCCTCACTGACGACACTGAACACTGAAAACAGTGAAAACGTGCTAGGGCCTGCCCTCTCGCCTACACATAAGAAATCCTATAAAATATCCGAATCAAGGGGAAATCTCTAACTTCCAATCTACCATTGTAACTACAATCATAGGAAAATGACACTGACGTTCTCTACATTCCAATGGAGAAGAGTGTGACTCAGGTACGGACTCCATTTCCCCTTCTCTCTTTTATCCCTCTGCTCTTTCAGCGCGATGATGTTGTCTATCCGTACCTTACCATTTATGGTGAAATTGATACCTTTTAATATGTTTCAAGACGGGTCTCTGAGTCTGCTCTTTAGCTGGTCATCTCTATACTTCTCAAGTTCTCATCTATTTCATGCTAACGCTGAAGTCTAGGCATTGAGTGTCATCTATAACTACCTATATCCATCGTCTTTGAATCAAGAACTTTCCCATGACCCAGGAATCATCCTCCAGATGATCATATGAATGTAAAGCCTTACTACGGATTGCAGTACGCACATCTACACAGCCAATATAACTATGACCCCCTGTAACGCGAATGATATTGACATATCGGAAGTAATGATAATGATCTGCTCTACCAAGCATCTTCAGGAAGAATAGCCCTAAGCATCCTATACGAGCAACACAAAAACCAGACACTCAAACCCACGAAACAACCCCAATCATATACCAACACGAACGAAAAGATCCTCCACACCATTTCCCATCACCTTTTCGTCCGATACCAATTCCCCACCGAATCCCCAAGACACTCCCCAACCGTAACAGCTACCTCGAGCATCAGCAACCATCAGAACAACTCTCTCAAAGTAAAGCAAAACTTACGAATCAATCCACGCCTCTCAACCTCTTCCAACATATTCACAACCAAAAGCTCAACAGTATACTGATGCGCATCATGCGCCAACACAACCGACCCACCCGCATCGACCTCCGCCTTGAATTTCTCAAAAGAAATCCAATTAGAAACCGGATCATCATGCTCATAGTCCTTAGTATCGACACTGGCACCGATGACATGGTATTGCAGGTCTGCCATGGCGGTAAGCACGAGGGGACTATGTCGGAGGAAAGGGAGACGCATGTAAGTCGGGAAGAAACCGAGGATGTGCACGAATGCTTCTTCGAGGGTTGTCATTTGGTGGATTATTTCTTGGTAAGAGAGGGTATCCAGTGAGGCGTGGGTGTATCTATGAGAAGGTTAGATGTGAGCTGGGTACCGTGTGATTGGGCTTAGAGTGTAGGTCCTTAGAGTGTAGGTCTTGAATGATTGTGTCCTGGAAGAGAGTGTAATCAACATACGTATGAGATCCCAGCTGGTGTCCTTCCTCATAGGCACGCAGTACCAGATCTGAGAAGGCATCGATTGAGCCCTTGTTGCGACCGTTTAGGAAGAAGGTTGCTCGGGCACCGTGTTGGGCGAGGGTGTCTAGGATCTGCGCTGTATAGATGTAGGGGCCGTCATCAAAGGTGAGGGCAATTGTGCCAGGAACTGTACAATGGGTGAGGACTGCTCCGTAAGGCAACGCAGAGGTTAGAGGATGAGTGCTATTGGCTTGGAGGTGAGTGATATTGGCGATTTGGGTAGTATTGCAATTTCCGGTAGGAGCGGCTTGGGATAAGCCTGCAATCAAAACCAGGAATGGAATTAGGAGGTAATTCATTGTGAGTATTGGAATGTAGTAGTAAGGATATTCAAGGAGTGTCGAAAAGGGGGATGAGGTTGGGCTGTCGCGCGGCAGGCCATCTACTTCGCAGCTTCCTGATGGACACTCCCAATGACGTGGTGGAAACTGTTGTATATGGCATTGAACATTCTCGATCTGATCCCCATCTCGCAGGAATTTACATCGCATAATATAATATGAATACATCAACTTGAAAGGTATCAGGATAATACATCCAACCCACCAGAAATGAAACCCAACAACCACTCAACCCTTCCGAGTGCTCTTCTTCATCGAACGTCTCTGCTCCTTCTGAGACTCCCGATCGAGGAACTTGCGCTGTTCTTCGGCGCTCATGCCGCGCAAGATACGCTCACGCTCATCCTTCTTGATCTTCTCGGCGGCAAGGCGGCGTTCCTCAGCCTTCTCGTCCTCCTCGATACGACGGAGCTTCTTAATCTCCTCATCGCGGACGTTACGGATCTTGCGCATAACCTCAGCACGGAAGTGGGCAGAGGCGACCAGCTTGTCAGCCAAACGCAGGAACTGGTTGAACAGGGGGAGAGTGGAGGAGTAGCCAGAGACGGAAGAGGCGAGGTTGGCGGAAAGCTGGATGCGCTTCTTGGGGACGGTCTCGTCGATCCTGGGAACACAAGCCTGTTAGTAAACCATTCAATTGCTACCTTGAGCCGAAGCACTTACTTGGTGGGCTTGTCGACGGGCTGATCGGTGACGATCAAGTACTCAAAGTTGTTACCGGCCTGCTCAATAGCCTGGATCAACTCCGGGGTGAGGAGAGTATCGCTGATCTCAGCACTCTCGGTCATCACAGTGACCCAGGACGGAAGCTTGGGGTTATCCTTGGAGAAAGTGATGGAGGCATCGTAGCGGTCGTTGCGGAACTGGCGCATGTGGCTCTTGTGAACGACAGCCCAGATGAAGCCGTCATAAGTCGAGCTGGGAACCTTGAGAGGGGCAGTGTCCTTGGCGAGTACGGGGACCAGGTCCTTCTCCTTGCCATCAAAAGCGTACAGCAGAGCCTCGTATTTCTCGACGGGCGGCTCCCAGCTCTCAAAGAAGAAGCTGAAGACATACTCCATGATGTAGGTGATCGGATTGTAGCGCTTGGGCATCTTGAGGTTGACATCGAGGAAGGCAACGTTCTGGCGGCCCGTCGCATACGCGGCGAACTCGCAGGCAGACCTCTCCTTGATCAGCGACTCGGGGTTCGCCAGCTCGACGGTGATGGCATCCTCAGAGGTCGGTTGGGCAATACCCTCAAACCCAACAACGGCGAACTCCTTCTGAAGAGAAGGGCCGTGGGCTTGTGCCCAATCCCGCGCCTTGCGGCGGTTCTTGCGCGCCCCCCAGAGGTGGAAGAGGACAATGAAAAGGATAACTGGCATGATCATGGCCTCCTGCTTGAAATCGCTCAGAGATGTCCTCTCCCACACGCGGTACCAGGCCGTGTAGGGGACGGCATTGGGGGCCAGCGTGTTCACAGCGGGGACGGTGGTGGTATCGGCGAGGAGGGAGGCAGGCGATGGATTGGGAGCTTCCACGAAGTCGGCGAAGTCTACCCGGGGTCAGCCGAGTAATTGAAATAGACCAATTTACATACCATCATCAGGCTTAGCTCCCTGGGAGCCAAACACGTTCTTGAACATGCCCGCCATGTTGGAATTGATGTGATGGGGGGAATGGAAGGGAAAGGAGTGGGAAGGAAATGAGAGGTCCCCGGTACGGAGCTAAGTTCCTCCTGGTCTAGCGCGCTGTCTCCAGCTTTTTTAGCCGGTCACTGAGTACGGAGTACGGAGTATGGCCTACATATTTGCGATGGGAGGGAAATTAACAAGAGAAATTAAATAGTCCAAAATCCAGAGTTCCATATTGTTTAAGCCCATGTCCCACCCCCCCAAAAAAAGAAATGCAAAGGCTGCTGAGCGTGGTATTAAAAAATGAAGCCCAGGGAATCTCAACGCCAACTGTACAACGACAGACCCCATTTTTGTTACAAAACCGCTCAGAATAACAGAAAAGCTCCAAAGGGAGAAACAAGGCAGGAAAGGTCAAGACAACAAAAGAAAATCGTAAGTCATGCTCCTGAGTTACTCGAAAGATACTCAAAAGGATAGGATGTGAGTGGGGATGTGAACCACTTAGTGGCCGTATGCCGGGGGAGGAGTGTCTTCATGCTGACGGCTCCAAAAGCCGCTGCATGCGTTTGTCATGAGTTTATCCTCGCGCATTCGACGTGCAATTTCGCCGGCGAGCCGCTCTACCAGGACAGAGTCAACGTTCTCGGTGTTGACCTTGTCATCCTTAGTGAAAGGGAGAGCATGCGCAGGCAACGGCGGTCGCTGGCTAGAAGATGGCCCCGCCTCAGCCTTCTCGTGGTAATTACGCACAGTAGCACGAGGAGTGGCTTCGAGATCCTCAGCTTTCGGGCCGCGAATAGTCTCTTGGGAGTAGGACAAGTCTCCGTCCCGACGCGTTGAGCGGGAGAGGCTGGTCATGTGTCTTTCGGGGATTATGGGCAGGTGAGAATCGGCCTCGGGTGCAACGGGTGGAGTCACTGGGTCATCCGCCTGCTCATTCAGGATAGGCAGAGGTGCTGATGCGATAGAGGGGGGGTCGGGACGACTCGGTCATGACACTACCGTCGCTCACACTCATTACGTCATCCGTGGTCTTAGGGCGGCGCAAATCGACAACACGCTTCTTCCGTTTCCGAGAATGGGCTTTAGAGTGGCGTCCGGCGCCCAGGCTCAAGCCATATGTACTGCTGGTGAACGAGTGACCGGATAAGGACGGTCGGCTTTGCAAGGAGACAGTGCTGGCGGTGTCGTGCAGGGAAGACATGCTACCCATTTGAGAGTGCGTTCGCGATAGAGTCGGGCTGAGCGGGGATAACACGTTTGGAGGGAATTCGGTGACGTCGATGGGAGCTGTCCAGGCGCGATACACCACTTCCTGGATGGAAGGAGTGAACAGGGACAGGGTACGTTGCGAATCGGTCAGAGCGGCCAAGCGAAGGAGGTTCTTCTGCGAGAAGAGAGAGTGGGTTTCGACGGATGAGTCCAAGGAGAGCGAAGCGATCTCAGACTCGTTCAGGGCGTTTCCGAGAGCGTCGACGGGATCCTGTGGTGGGCTGGCGAGAGGATCTTGGCCGGGGCCTTCGCTTGCCTTGCCTGTGTTGTCTCTCTCGTCATTCATTTCCTCCCCTGTGCGATATTCTGGAACCCATAACCGGAGCGACAGTCGATGGATGATAGCTGGCAGCTCATCCATGAACAGGATCCGGAGCTGAGCCTCGATTTCCTTTTGTAGAAAATCACGGACGAACGGGATCGAATCAAAGGTGGAGGAGACCTTGAGCGATTCGAGTGGATCATTGCGAAATACGACTGTGATTCCTTTCTGCTTTGAGAAAACCAGTATCACAAAGCCGGAGAGCTTGAAGTCGGAGAGGGTGATTTGGAGAGGGATGGTAAGCGGGGTACTAGAATCGCGATAGTGTTAGGAAGATGATTCGTGTGTTTCATATGCCAGTTACTCGCGATGACTTACGCAGCGGCGACAGGTACTGGCGATGCGAAAGTTGGTCGCGTGAGGAGGAAGGTATTCAATGGATTCGCCTGAACTCGGGTCTTCAACGTAAGAAAGGCGTCGCCGGTATAGGACATCTTGAAGATTCCACGGAAGCGATCTTCGGCCAAATCGCCAATCTCCAGAATCTCCAGTTCGGGTGGGATAGAACCCAGGTTCAACTCGGTGACGTGAATGTCATCGACGATAATGGGCGGTTTCGGGGATTTATTGAGGGCGGCAGTGAGCAGATCTTGGGCGCGAGTGTAAAAACTCGCGTCCGCCATCAAAGGCGACCAGTTGAAGTTGAACGCCATGCCCGGGCATTGAGAGTATTAGGAAGTATAGAACATTGGAGAGTGAGGGAAGAGAGAGAGGCGGGAGGCGGAGGAAAACGAAAAAAATAGGAAAAATGCAAAAGCGCACCCGAGGCGCGTGCTCTCCTTCACGGGACTTGAATCGGCCTTTTCTCTTTCTTTTTATTTTATTTCTTTTCTGCTTGCTTTTACCAGTTTACTAGTTATTCTATTTCTAGTCTGAATCACGAGATATTTTGATGGCTCTTAGTATGCCTCCTCTCCATTCTTTGACGAAAGATAGGCACGTACGTCACAAGTGTGTGACTTGCAGGGACCACTTCCGGTCAGCCCCGGCATGATGTCCACTGTGGGTGGTCTAGAGCCATTCACCGTTCAGGGATATTCGGCTTGCATGTACCCTAGCGGTCCCTAGACCTAGTCTCTTGTTTCTTGCCTAAGTATTTTTGGTTCCGAAATCTGGAGAAAGGGGAGACACGGGCAGTTTTATCTGACCCGAGGTATGTGTCTTGGCCATACTTCCGGCCTCGTGTAGGAATGACTCTATTCGAGAGCAACATTGAAGGATGCATATCCCTACCTACTGTGTACATAGTAAGATAAAGGGGTAGTAACTATACTAGGATTTGGTTGATCGTTATTTTGTGCGCAAGCACTAAGGAGTAACCACCAATGAGTCTATCAATAATTAGGTGCCATGTACTGCGTACACTGCCAAAGACAGCCACGAGCTGTAAATCTGCAGACTGAGTCCACGTTCGTTTCATGTAAGGAGGCTGTCGAGGCCAATCTCAATATGCAAATCAATAGAACTAAGGCCTGCCTCGTGTGAGTGGAAGTAAGTCACTTCTCCATTCACGGGGGTTGTGCCTGGTTCCTGAATATGGAACAACTATTCGCCCTTCTCCCTTCAACCGACATCTTAGTCTACTCCGTAAAGCAAGATCAATGAAGCTATGTACATAGTACTCCGTGCATACACTGCACAAGAGTGTTTACCGGAACAGGAAGATCGGCAAATGGATTTCACTGCGGCAACCCACGCTAAGCCCCATTAGGCTAAATGTCAACACCGAGAATTCATCGCCAAACGCATCTTTCTCTACGTCTTGTCAACATCCTAACCTCTATTTCCAGCCAACACATACCCCAGATAGATGAACTGGGGTATAGGTTTCCTCCACAATGTCAACCCAGCCACCCGCCCAGTTCTCGGTTTACACAACGGAACCTAAACAATCCAAACCCAAAATGGTCACTCAGCGAAGAGTCTATGGCAAACGAAGAGTCAATGCTCCTAGAGCTGTTTTTGATCAACCGAGTCCAGCCAGAGACACCACATTTACGGAGGTCCGCTATGCCGATCCCGTAGAAGGCCTCCAAGCAAAACTAGCCCAAGTAACGATCCAGGACGACTCGGCACCTCAAGATGCGACCAATACACAAAGCGAACAGCGAACATCGAGGCAAACTACTTCTAATAAATCAATTGTGTCGACAATAGAAGACCTCCCAAATTCTCCCATCGCCAAATCCTCTATCATATCCTCGCCATCGACGACTCAGCCGCCATTGAAGACTAAGTCAACCTCATCGAGGGCCAAACCATCAACAAAGCCTAAACCACGACCTACCGAAACGATGGTAGAGGTCCAAATTTGCTCAAACCCCACCGAGCTACCACATACCAGACTAGAGATACCAGACATTACGCTTCAGCACCCAGCCGATGATCGAGAAAGATCGCAAACACCTTTCGACAGACGCAGAACGACAAGCAAGGATCGAGCGGCCATGCTGCTCTCAGGATCTGTCATTGACAGTGCAGTCAACGACTATGTTCGCCCAATCCTGAAAGAGGCGCTATCACCAATTGCGGCGCAAGGAGTTCAGAAGTTTGATTCGTGGGCCTCGCATTCGGAAGACATGTTCTACGTCGCGAAACTCGCAGAGGGGTCCTTTGGGGATGTCTACAAGCTCCATCTCCGAGAAGAAACTTGCAGACCAGCGGTATCCAAATCCAAATTGGCCAAATTGAAATCATATGGCGACGGAGTGTTCAAGGTCATGCCGCTGCGGGCTAAGAAGGGTGTTGGGTCGAAGAAGCACACAAGCATCGACGACATCGTTTCCGAAGTCAAGATGCTCAAGTACCTCGATCCGGTTCCCGGATTTGCTCGCTTCAGAGAGATCCATGTAGTCCAGGGTCGCTACCCAGCATCATTCCAAACTGCCTGGGACCAGTACAAGAAGACGAATAAAGAGGCCCTGAACCCGAATCCATCCAGCAAAAGATCATACCCTGATAGTCAGATTTGGGCCATCTTGGAGATGGATGATGCTGGGTACGAGCTAGAGAAGTTTGCCTGGTCATCTATCTTCCAGATTTATGACATCTTCTGGGGAGTTGCAATGGCTCTGGCCCGAGCGGAGTTGTTTGCGGAGTTCGAGCACCGCGATCTTCATTTGGGCAATGTTTGCATTCGTTCGACGCGGGATGACGGTCGCTTGGATCCTCCCACCGAGCTCGAAATTGTTCGTCATTCATCCTCCAGCGGATTTGGCATCAGCACCCTGCAAACCACTATAATCGATTATTCGCTCTCACGGGCGGAGCTCTTGCAGGGTGACGATCCCGCCAATCCGAAACCAGTTGTTGCCTTCACCGACCTGGACAAACAGCAGATATTTGATGGAATCAGCCAAGATGAGGATGAGATGATGCAGCGGAACACGTACCGATAGTATGTTAGCCCACACTGCATCTCTCCGATCGATTTACTGACATTATGATTAGCATGCGAGCAGCACTTTATACCGGCAATCCCCTCGAAACAGAGAAGGTGTCGACCATTCCAGGGATTTGGGAAGAGTACGCCCCACGAACCAACCTGGTCTGGCTGCTGTTCATGCTACAAACCCTCTTGAAAAACCGAAAGCCAGAAGCACCCACTGCTCAGCTACAGCGAGTGGCTCTTGCAGCTCGCTCGCCCAACAGGAAGATCGCAAACCCGCAGACAGCTAAAGGGAAAGAGCAGAACCAGCCCGGCTTGCTCATCAGGGAGCGTCAGACCATGGACCTCCAGGCTGGAATATCTCAACTCCAGAACACACTCGAGGACAGGCTAAAGGCTGTTCTTGAACTTCTTGATTTGGAGCACGGGCATGAAGATATGTGCTGTGCTGGTGATCTGGTTGCCTATGCGATGGATTCGCAATGGCTGGCTGAGGAAGACTTCTATTAAACATTCTTGATACCAAAGCGTTTATGCATTGTGGGGTTACATTTGGTTTCTATTTCCATGGTCAGAAGACCGTTTATACATATTGGGGTTTGGGAGTTTGGACACCTGGTGCATTGGAGTCCCCGGCATAAGGGACGGGCATGTATGTGGATGATCTGGGCCTTCTACATACAATTCTATCATTATATACCTACACATTACTTTATCTTCCACTGGATCATTCATAAGATGGACACAACTCATTTCGTTTGTTAGAGACCACATCCCATGCCAACTACCATAGTTGCACGGAGTACGTCGCCTCGAAATGCAGTATGTATCTTTCTATTCTAACCAAAGACCTTGGCATAGCCCTAAATTTTCTTCAACCGGGGACAATAGCCCCGGAAATATTATCAATCACCATTACCATTACCATTACCTCGGAAATCCCAGGGGGACGACGGCAAGAAGCCAAAAGCAAACAGCCAGCCCCGAGAGTCCGAGACAACAAGCAGCTGGTAAGAGCCCACAGAGATCTTTGATGCAAACGCATTTTGTTCGCACATTTCGTTTTCACAATTGACACACGAATCCTTCATGCGTGTCATGACGCGACATGTTTTTCACAACATACCGCTTTCATAAAAGAATCTTACATAGCATCATTCCCTCCAGCTCTGAAGAGCTTAACCCAAAGCTCCGGCCTCTTCCAGAGCGAGAAGGATTTATGATCTTTCCAATCCAGAGATTCGGGAAGAAGTTCGAGATCGAAGTTCCATAGACATTTGGCGAGGATCAGGCGCATTTCAGCGTTGGCGAGGCTGGGAATTGTCTTGTTAGTATACGTGAGGAAAGAGATGTGGCAGTTGGTAAGAGAAGAAGGTGAGGGAACTGACTGTTGGCCAAGACAGTTACGGGGACCGTAGGAGTAGGGTTGGAAAGCCTCTTTCATGTCTGAGTTGTACTCGTCTGACTCGTTCAACCAGCGTTCTGGGACGAAAGACTCGGGGTTCTTGAAATGTGTTGCGGCGTGGAAGGCGGAGTAGAGGGAGATGGAGACTGAGACCTGTTTGCCATTGTATTGTCAGTAGAATGTCTTTTGTCTTTGCTTTTTTTTCTTGTTCGATGACAAAGAGATGACCTAGAGAAGGAAGAACAATGTCTGAAGAGTAAGCTTCCACTCACGCTTTCAGGGACATATCTATCATTAATCATTGCACCACCCTCGGGCACAATGCGAGGCAGCATTGATGGGATAGGCGGGTATATGCGCATCGTTTCAGTCAGCACAGCATTCAGATACGGAAGGTCAGTGAGAGCCGAGAGCTTGATATCCGAAGCTTTGGTAAAAGCATTGCGAATCTCCAGAATAAGACGATTATACGCATCTCTGTTGCACATCAGGAAATAGATGCAGCCGGAGAGCAGAGCCGCCGTAGTCTCGCTACCAGCCAGAACAAACACGGCCGAGTTGGCATCAATCTCCGACGGAGACAAGCCCTTTCCATCCTTGGCGTGTTTAAGGATGTACGAAGTAAAGTCCGGACGGGAAGTGCCCTTTGCAAGCCGACGACGGATCTTATCGACGCTGAGCTGGAAACTAGCCTCGCGCTTTTCCATCAAATGCTTTGGAATCAAGACCTGGACCAAAGGCACGAGAAAAGGATAGAACCAAAAGATTTTCAGGTATGCGCTTGCCTTGACGGCATCCAAGATAATGAGAACCCACCAGTGGTATTTGCTATGCGAGAGACATCCGAAGGGCTCACCGAAAGCCAGGTCACCGATGAGGTCGAAGGTAGTGAAGTTGAACCAGCGCGTGATATCGATATCAACCGACACGGAACTACCAATGAGACCGTGCAGTTTCTCAATGAGCATATCGGCATAAGTCTGGAGGATCTCCTCCTGCTCGCCTAGGGCTTTGTTGGAGAAGGCGTGGGTGAGCAAACGGCGCATGCGGGTGTGGTCGCCCTCGTTGGCGGTGATGATTGCATTGACGCCGTTGGGAGTGGGTGTGTACAAAGCCGGGTCCTTGAGGAAGATCTTCTGTCCTTTCTTGCGGTGACCGTATATGTCCTTCCAGGCCGATGCGGCGCGGTAAGCGAGCGCATTAGGTGCAATGCGAACTACGTCTCCGTACTTGTCATGGAGACGCTTGATGATCGAGTGCTGCTCGCCTCTGATGTCCCAGAGGATATGGACCAGAGGTGTGATGGCAGCTAGCTTGGGGCCGGGGTAGTGGCTCAAAGGGTGGAAAAAGAGTGTGTAGATAATCCAGCCGATAAAGTAGATGGGCAACTGTAGGTTATGAACTGTATGAGATACGATTCCTTTGATTGGGCTTAGTATAGTTCTGTCTCAGTACTCACAATGGCAAAGAGACAACATAGAACTCTCCAGAAGGAGTGGACGGTTAGGGCAGGACTCAGTCCGACCATAGCCACATAATCAGAAAAGACCATTATGGACAAGAGGGGAGAATTAGAATACAAAACTAAAGTCGACGAAAAGGACCTTTTTCAAGAATAGACACGAAATGAAGGCTCCAAACGAGCAAACGAGCGGTGTGCGAGAGAAAGACGGAGGGACGGGGTGAAGTAAGTGAGCGATGGAAAACAGAGAAGAGCAGGGAGCCGGTTGTGGGATGGGATGGGATGAGTAGGGCCTATACCTTTACGAGGAGCTTAGAAGAGGGCTGGGAGGAGTTGAGAGTCCATCACGTTCTGTCTACGGTTTATAGTTGGAGCATTTAGTTACATCTTGAAGACCATTGATGCGAGTTGCGAAGACGAAGGAGACAGCCGGCAAACTTGGACTTGACAACGTAATCTAGGTGACGGTAAAACTGCCGCCTCAGGAAGTGATGTGATCGGCTTCCGGAGCGAACATGAGCAGCTCACTGAGCAAACTGATCGCTCACCCCGATGCTCAGGCTGATCAGCCTATTTGATCTCAGTCTTCCTCTCCAATCTTTAAGTTGCTCCGACTATAACCGCACTGCTTGCTGCCTACTTTCGGCGTTCCTGGGATCGAAGGCTAGGATATGACGGATCCCCATATTGCTATAGTAGTAACTTAGTCTCGCCCTCTGAAAGAGATATAACATGAGCGACTTTGATTGAGCCATCGTCAAAAACCTTGCTCTTCCCAGACGTGCCTAGCAATTTTCTTCAAAATATCGTCGTCAAGGCTGATGTTTATTTCTTTCGGGATGCTCGGTGGGCGAAGAAAGAGCTTATTGAAGCTGATAATAAGCGGCTGGCCCCGGAGGTAGACATGATTGTTATCGCCTTTGCTTATGGTAATGACTTGCTGACGTTGGACCCTATTGTTCACAAGTTCCCATGACTCCAGCACGATGTTGGGCGAGCTCCGACCGATCTTGACTGTGATGACCATTTGAACATCACCGTTTGATTCGGAAAGCCAGAACCGAGCATCGGACGTCAATTTGGAAGGCGACTCTGAAAAGCTCGTTTCCACGACAACCGAGGGCCATTTCTTCGTTCGAGCTCGAGGAAGCCTTCTTGGTAAAAATTGGCAGTCGGGTTGTTTAGCGGAGCCATTTTCTGCTTTGCAAATGGCGGATCCAAAGGTTTGAAGACAGTCATCGAGGCCCATTGGCTTAAGACAATCAAAAAAGAGCCTTTCGAATACGCGTGCCGCAATTTCATGAGCGCGTGAGACTGTCATTTTGACAAGAAGAAGGTGTTGGGAAGAGTTGTAAGAATTCCAGCAACGCTGAAGGATATTGTCGTCCGAGTTTAGGAAGTCACGACTGAAGGCCTGCTCATTAACCTTGGTGAAGAGCACCCATTCACTGGCCTCGAATTCCTCTTCCTGGCGACTTAGTTCCATCTTTACAGTTTCTAAAAACTGTTTAGTCCCCTTGTACGGATACCTTCTGATCGGGGGTCCTAGATCACCGAGAAAGCTGCTGCTAGAGGCCTTGTCTAGCTCAGACTTTATGTTCGAGGACATAGTGGTCGCAGTTATACCGTCCCGTGCTAGTGTGAAAAAAGAAACATTCCCATATTGACTGTAGGCATTAAGAATTATCCCCGACCACCTGACGCTGATGTGAGTCATGTGACATAGCCTGATTACGATCTTTAGCGCAATAGACGTCTACGTGCAGTGATATTATACATCTTGTTCAATGGCTATTTTGATGCTAGAATTTTGGAATCTCGTATGTTCGTAGCTAACCGTTTGTTGTTACTCATTTGTTGTGACTTTCACTGTTGCGTTCGTTGCTAGCCGTCCTTATTGTGACATAAACGGTTATTACCCGTCGTCCGTTTATTACTACCTATTTACTACTACCCGTTTATTACTATCCGTTCGCCGTTCTGGATTTATCAGCTTGTTTCTTAGTATAGCTAGGCCTAGGCTCATAAGGGTAGGTCTTGGGTAATAATCTTGAACTTAAGGCCACACGCGGCCAGTATAAGGTAGGTGGTAGTCGAGACTCTGACGCACGGGGTTAAGGAAATTATTCTAATTGAGGTAATTTCTCAATTTTCGAGTCGCAAATGTTTGGGATTGACGTGTATAAGGCGTTAAGTCGCGCTTTGGTTTTTTCTGTGACGCTACCAATCAGATAATGGAGTCAACAGATGGCAAAGGGTGCATGACACTACGATTACTTGACAACGCACGGTCTGGGGAAGTGGACAGAAGGATCATACACGAAGTACACTGAAAGGAGCTAAGGTTGACAGAGGCAGGATCTCTTAAGCATTAGAAAAGCGGCGTTGAGTATTGTCCAGAACTAACAGAAAGACCTCTCCTATTTTTCAATTGGCGACTACAATTGGATAACATAAGAAGCGAGACATGACAACATGCCTGGATGTCTACCCTGAGAGTCCCGAGTGAAGGGTAAGCAGATCACTGAGCAACCATGAGTGCTCGGGGAGAAAACGGAAATATTGCACAGAAACAGATCACTTGCCTGGTTGATGACTAAGAACCTGGTAAAAAGGACGCCTAAGACAGCGTCAAGAGTAGCCGTTTTCCGCATCGAATTTACCGTTACCTAGCGTTGTGGTGTAATTTGGTCCAACCTCCTAGGCAAACGGACATATGATCTCTTGACATACAAGGAAGTCACGACCACATGTATATGATAAAATAGTATTTGCAACTCGTCATTAGTCGTGATCTCTAAGACAACTATACCAAACCAATCTATATGAAACCGAACTCAACCACTGGCAACGAAGAAACTCAGCAAGCTACCGGCAGCTAATCCGCCTACGAGAATCAGGCTCATGAAGCCACCAGCAGCTGCTCTCTCATCCGCAACAACCCAGTGACTGGCACCCATCATACAGCTTGTTCCCAGGTATCCATTTGTAACACCGAAGAGGAGCTGAACAAGGAAGTAGAATGTGTCACTCTTGACAACAGCACCATGGCCATTGATATTGCAGAGTTGGTACATGGGAATGAACATCATTCGGGCAATGGCCACAACGGCAGCCATTTGAGGATACTCTCCCAGTGATATCCCCGGAATAGCCACCCCCAATCTTCCGATTAAGTCACCCAGGTTCCAGACCAACAGTGCTAAAGGCACAAAGACACTGGGATCGTAGATCCGTGAACTGGTAGGGTCGTTGACCGACTGGATCTCGGCAGTGTAAACGGGGAACACCATAGAAATCATGAAGCAGAAGAACACGGCGAATACCAAGAACCGCAGCTTCACGAACAGAGTCCAGAGACTGACTGTCTTAGCCTGTTCGTGCTCATCCGTGACAGTCTCATCGTTCTCTCTTAATACCTTTTGCCTTGAAGCAGGTTGATGCCTGAGCAGATATAGGAATGCCAGCAGAGCGATAACCGAGACACCCGTAGATGTTAGAAAGTAAATAAACGCCGACCTCGATGAAGTCGTATGAGGCATACTGGGACCATCATCTTTGCCTTCACTCCCTTTCGATGGCACCGCCAGAACGGAAAAGATCTGAGCAATACAAGGCAGCACGCCCGCAACACCCTGCCCACCCATAATAGCCTGCGTATACTCCTGTCGACCGAAGCTCGAGACATAAGCGAAAACACCATTCTGATTGATACCAGTCGCCAGACTGGCGCCGAAGACCATCACCATCAGGAATGCAAAGTACACTCGCGGCGACGCATCATGCATGACGACCGCCGAGAAGGCGAGGATCGAAAACACGGCGCAGGTCATCAACAGCGAGAGCGTCACTCTCCACGGGTACGAGGCATTCTTCTGTAGCTTTGCCAGGACATAAGCGGTACCGAGGTTCGTGACTGTCGACACAGAAAGAATCGAGGGTTGGTAGTGCAACCTTGTCCAGTCGTCCGACTCAAACCGGCTGTAGAAATATGGTGCCGCGGCAAGGAACATGTTCCTAGATTGTTCTCTGCATTAGTTCCATGGTCGTTCCAATGCATGCATATAGCTTATTTCCTCTGGATCACCTACCAGGCCCATAGCATAGACACTCCTAGGAGGAAGAAAATGCTATATTGTAATCTTGAGAATGGGGACTGCTGGTCTCGCGGTGTGTATCTCGTCTCATCGGCGTCTTCTGCGGTGGACTCTGGTAGTCGCTCATACGCCACCCGACGGGCGATGAGTCTGCGGATACGATCCATTGCTGTAGAGTCACTCCCCCTTGTATAATTAGGGGTTGTGTCAAGAAGAGGGGGTTATCTCATAGCAAAGAGCTGTATGCGTCGTTCAGGTCGGGGTCAGGTGCATATGGCCCGTGACTAAGCCCGATAACACGATAAGATGCGGATAAGGACGCCAAGGACTACCTAACAGCCCCAGGACTTCCAAGAGTGTAAGGGGGCCCTCGGCTTCCACCCTCATGATATGCAGGGCCAATTTCTCCACAATCATCTCTAATGGCCTCTTTCCAAAGACGCTCATGCCAAGCGCCATCGTAATTATCCTCTGATCCATCCTCCACCCGCCACTGCCTCACCACATTCCCACAATCATCTAAAAATACATGTAACAGGCCTCCTCCGTTGACCGCCACCTCATCCTCCACAAAGATATGAGTAACAACACAATCGGCCTGATAGAAAGCATACCTCTCAAGAGGGTTCTCCTCAGAGGGGTAATTTTCAGCATCTACAGCCTCCCTGAGGCTCTCCTCTCTGAGACCAAGATTGACACGCTCATCTGTGACACGCTCAGGAAATAGTTCCAGGGCGGCTGCCAGATCCAGGCCACTGAATAAACCTTCATCGTCGAGCACTGCTCCCCCATAAGTCACCCATTCTGCAATTTCATTGGCAGACCATAAAGCCTTATGGCCCTCGTCATTGGTGTAGCAGAGACGAAGCCAGCAGCCAACTTCAGCACCAGTATTATGAGCACAATTGCGCAGTGCCTCAGGCCGTATAGGCCGAAGAATCTCATCTATTTGGGCTTCAGTAGGAGTGGGTGATGAATTGCCTGGCTGGTAAGGCTAATAGGTTGGTATTTAGTTCAAGGTTATGAATATTTTAAGGGCAATAGAATATAATCACCAGTCTGCCTTCGTATCCCAACGCGAGAAATTGGCGTAGAAGCCTTTGGCGACGGTCGACGGGGAACTCGGAGGGGTCTGGGTGAGACTTATCCCATTCGGAGAGGAAAAAGACTTCCACTGCAATGCTTCCCCAAGCAGGTATTTCGGGATTTTCGTTCTCAATGATATGGACAGGCATTTCGTCTTTCGCGTAATTTGGAAGATGTGGGTTGGAGGAGGAATTATAGGAAGTGATCGTTGTCCGATCGGGACCACCTCATGGGCGATTGATAGTTGGGGCCTGTTCATTGCAAGAGTACACGAATGTGCACTTATTTGGGGCTCACCGACTCTTATATTGTGACACTACTGAGCACCTTATGGAAGTAGAAGCCAAAAGAATGAAATTGATATCAACATTTGTACACAGTTGCTGAGAACTTAGTGTCTATCGCCAAATTCAAAATGCGGAATGTCTAGAGGGAGTATGAGATGAGAAGACCGACAGGAGGTGGGAGATGGGAGGTGAGAGGAGAGTACAGATGGGGAACATCGTATGTTAATACATATTCAACAAGAAAAAATATCAGTGTACGAGGGTAGTGGTATCAGTAAGAGCGAGGGAGTACGACTATTCCTTCTTGCGGGGCACGGGCTCATCCTCGTCCTCTTCTTCCTCCTCTAGCTCAGGCTCGGCCTCCTTCTCGAGCTCCCAGAGCTGATCTGGCTCAATAGCCTTAATTGGAGGAGGGTGTGTCTCGCCTCCGCTCATTTGCCACTCCATAAGCTTCGTGAAAGCACCATCTGGACGGGCGCTGAGCTCCTCGTAGGGACCTTGCTCCGCGACCTTGCCGTCATTGCCAAGAACAATGATCGTGTCAGAACGCTTGATGGTGGAAAGACGGTGGGCAATGCTGATCGTTGTGTTGTTACCGCGAAGCAGAGCGGCCAACGCACTGTTGACGAGGGTCTCGGATTCAGCGTCCAGAGCGGAAGTTGCTTCATCCAAGATCAGGATATCGGGGTCCTTGATGAGGGCGCGTGCAATGGCAATGCGCTGCTTTTGACCACCTGATAACTGGGCCCCACGAGCTCCAACGTGGGTATCGAGGCCATCGGGCTGTAAACAATTAGCGTGGGTCATGAACACGGAAGTTGAGCAAACTTACGAAGTCGCTGATGAATTGACAATTGGCCTTGCGAGCAGCAGCAATGATCTCAGAGCGGGTGGCATGGGGCATGCCGTAGGAGATGTTGTCGGCAATCGTTCCAGAGAAGAGCACGGGTTCCTGGGAGACTACACCGATCTTTCTCCGAAGAGACTTGGCGTTCATCTCCGTGATATCTTTTCCATTGATCAAGACCCGGCCCTCAGTGGGTTGATAAAACCGGAGCAGAATGGACGCAATGGTTGATTTTCCTCCTCCAGATGGACCGACAATCGCAACGTTGGTCCCTTGAGGGATCTCAAAGTTTAATTCCTGGAAAATCTTCACGGCAGGACGGGTGGGATAGCTAAACGTGACGTTTTCGAATCGAATAGGCCCGCGAGCGGTCTCAACCCTTTGACCCTTAGTAGGGTGAATGGTAGGCTGACGGTCTTGTAGCTCGAAGAGTCGACTCGCCGCACCCACACCTTTCATAAGCTCTGAGTAGAAACTGGATAGGCCAAACATACTCGAGCCGGCATATGCGGTGTACATCAAAAAGGAGGTCAACTCTCCAATGGTGATTGCACCTGATTGAACCATCCCACCACCAGCATACAGCAGTGTCAAAATGGTCAGATTTCCCATCAAGCCAGTCTAGTAAGAAATCTGTCAGCAAGAAAGCATCGCCCGAATCAGAAGAGTCAACTTACCGAACTGAAGAAAGTCGCACTGATCAAGGACTCCTTCTTGCCAAGCTCGAAGATCTTGCGCACTTGCTTATTGTACCTACCCACTTCAAGAACTTCGCCAGCAAAGGACTGACTGGTCTTAACGTTGCCCAACCGCTCTTCGGCAATCTTGGTCAAAGAGCCCAAATTCTTTTGAATCTTGCGACTGAGGTTTCTAATGGCACGACCGTAGAAGAGAGCACCGAGGCCAATTGGAGGAAGCAATACAAGCAAAATCATGGATAACTTTGCACTGGTATAGGCCATCAGACTGAACCCAGCTGCGCCACTGACACCAGCTCGTAGTCCATCAGACAAGTTCTGCGTAATACTCTTGCCAACAATGATAGTGTCAGAGCTAAGGCGCGAGATTAAGTCACCAACTCGGTTTGCATCGAAGAACTCGGCATCTTGCACGAACGTCTGACGGAAAAGCTTTGAACGCAGCCGGGCAACAATTCGCTCACCAACAATTCGGAGAATGATTATGCGCCCATAGTTCGCACCAGCGCCGAGGAATAGGACTCCGCCGAGGGCAGCGTAAAACATGGGCATGCTGAGGCCGAACAATTCGCCGCCACCTTCAGCCGCACTTTTAGTTGCACTGTCCATAATTTTGCCGATGGAGAAGGGAACTGCCATTGTGATCGATGAGGATACCAGAAGGAAAAAGAAGGCAAAGCTGAGCGCCTTCGATTCAGGCCGAGCGATCTTCAAAAGTCGCCAGATTTCGCCGAACCCGGACTTCTTTCCGCCATCCTTGTTGAGTCTGGCGCTCATATTCACCTGAGCTGCCTGTGCTGCGCGCTCGGACAATTCGAAGCCCTTGTCATCCTCTTCGAGAGGTTCCGGGGTAGTCCGGGTGGAATCTTTGGCGACGGCAGGTTTCGCTTGGAGGAGACGTGGTGTCGAACAGAGAAGGCGGGCTTGAGAGGTAATGCGAGAGGAAGAGTTGGTATTATTGGGAGTGTTGATTTGGAGCAAGAGTGGGTTGTGAGCTTTCCGGAAAGCACCCGAGGCGGTTGAATAGAGACGACTTAGCCCATTGTGTTCGCCGTGGAGGACATTAGAGGGGATCGATTTGGTAAAGACATCGGGGGTGAAATAGCCGTATGGTCTTAGGGCTTGCCGTGGGCTGACACCCACGGCCAGAGACATGGGCAGTCTGGCACCGCGCATCTCGGAGTTGGATCGGAAGACGCTCGAAGCACAGAATTATGATGATGTCACCGAATGAGACGTCGACATGCCATATCTGAGTGAGTTAAATTCGAGTTTGCGATTATTACATGGCACGCATTTGAGCTCCGTGGAATGTGCGGTGGATTGTGCGAAGATATGGTTAAGCTTCGCCGACGCATGTGGTCATCAGCAAGGCGGTTTTCGGGGCCGAATCTGCCCATATTGACCGCCCATTGGATTTGCCTCGACTTACCGCCCATGGAAGCTGATCGAGTGGTCTGGATACTTCGTCTGAGAGGGGGCCAGAAGCTGTGTTTATTTGCAGTTTCACTGTTCTGAACTGCTTCAGATCATCTTGTGGACACCCACTCCAATTCTACTTGTGCTTAAATCAGGATAACGTTTGTCCATCGTCTATCATTCGCGCCCTGCATACCCACCCCACCTCATACCAATCTACAGATTCACAAAATGGTGCTCGACTACAGCAAATGGGACTCCTTGGAGCTCTCTGATGATTCGGACATCGAAGTCCATCCCAATGTCGATAAGCGTTCTTTTATCCGGGCCAAGCAGGCTCAGATTCACCAGCAACGAGATCAGCGCCGCCACGAGATCAAGACCCTCAAGTACGAGCGAATTATCAATGATGGATTGCTGTCGCGCATCGATAAACTCCTCGAGTCTCTCAAGAAGCATGAGGACTCATCTGCTTCCCCCGATGAGTTCATTTTCACCACAATCATGGAATTCGCGAGCAACCCCGCCGAAGACCAGGCCCCTACCCCGCCGGAGGGAGTATACACACACGCGCCGGAACAGCCTAAATTCTCCCAGATGTTGAGCTCCCTAGTGGACCAAGTGAAGGCGGATATTAAAGATCCCAAGCCTGAGAACATGTTCCAGGCATACATTCAAGGTGTGAATGGGCACCTCGAAAAGATCCAGGGTCTTCAGAAAGAACTGGACGCGAAGCTTGCGCAACTTGAGAAGGAAGAAAGCTCTAAAATCACTAGTGATAAGCTACATGAAGGTTTCAATCAGTCACATATCACCAAGGCTGCGGAGAAAGCGAAGGCTGCTGCCAAAGCAAAGGAGACCTCCGTCGAGCTCCTGAACCCCGGCGCAGCAAGCTCCATGACCAAGGCCGATGATGAAGGCGATGATGACGATCCTGCCGATGTCGAGATTAGTCCGTTGGCGAAGAAATTTGCTCAACTCAAGCCTGGAGACTACAAGGCCTACCTGCAGTTCATCTCAGCGAACCCGGATATTGTCGCCGAGAAGGAAACCGATGGTTTGCTTGTAGAGGCATTCAACAACCAGATGAAGGGTAACGAGGAGTATGCTCGCCAGTGTGTGCACCAGGGTCTGCTTCTGCAATACTGCCGCTCGCTCGGTCCTGACGGTATCCAGCTGTTCTTCACTCGGTATGTTGATCTCAATTTCCTTCACACGATCTATTCTAACGAATTATTCCCAGCATTACCACCAAGGACCACCGCGCAGCAACTCTGTTCCTCAACGACGTCAATGACACATACAACCGCATCAAGACTCGCTCCGCTGAGCTCAACAAGAACAGCTCGGCATCCGACGAATCTGGGGGCGTAGAGCAAATCCAGCTGCACGCTGTTGACCCCGGTACTAAGATCACCATCAATATCCCCGCCGCCAACAGTCAGGATCCCGTCGAGATTGAATCGCGCAAGCTCTTCGACGCTTTCCCCGCAGACTTGCAGAAGGCATTGGAGACCGAGTCCCTGGATGAGGTAAACAAGGTCCTCGGAAGGATGTCCGTTGAGGAGGCGGAGGTCGTTGTGGAGCAATTGGGTAATGGAGGCATGCTCAGCTTGGAGGAGGGAATTGTGGATGCCACAACAGCCGAGGGGCAGAAGAAGCTGAAGGAACTGGAAGCTGAGGGTAAGGAAGAAGTCGGAGAGCCTGGCGGTGATGTTACCGAACTTGACTAAGATATCCCAACGTCGATGATGATGTGATGTAACGTTATGCATTTCTTACTCTTGGTTTATTGCCAATTCCTGTCTATTGTGAATTACGTTCTACATTTTACCTTCCACATACCCAACAACTCCAATCAGAAGTACTCGAAGCGTGAAAGAAAATCCGCGATTGGATATCGATGATGTCGATTTCGGTGAGATACTAATTTACAAAACCCCTGGCGACTTCGCTGCGTAGAATGAAACAAAGTAAAGAGAATAAAGAGATACAGCTGCCAGAAAGAAAAGTCCGACTGCCACGCGATGCAGGAAGGGGAATGTAGAAAGAAAATCAAATCGTACGAGAGTATGTCAGTAAACATGGGGGCACCACCGTCCTGACCGGGAATCCATTATCTATCCCACGCGCTAAAACAAACCACCTAGATTCCGCTGGAACCAGGAGCCTCCTTGTCCTTCCGAAGTTCAAGCAACATCTCACGGAAACGCTCCTTTCCAGAGCCGCTGGCACCGCCTGCGGAGCCCTTGCCTGAAACATCGACCAGCTTGGCAATGCGCTCCCAGCTAGTACCACCGGCGGAGGTATCCTCCCGGTTGGCAAGGAACTGTTCGGCTTCGGCGCGGGCGTGGGTGCGGTTCTTTTCGGCCTTGTTGTTGTAGGAAACGTAGAAGTCGTCGATATCCTCCTGTGCCTTCTTGACGGTAGCGGCCTTCTTCTCAGCGGAGACCTCTGCACGGCGGGCAATCTCAGCGTCACGCTTCTCACGCCATTCACTATCATTGAAAGAAACAAGTCAGTTTGGTGATGCAAGCCAGAACATGATGGCTGAGGATGCCGCAGGTTGTGCGCCTCGTGATCCGGGATCAGCAATTGAACTCACCGGACTGCATCTCCCTCATCCTCGGGTTCCTGTGTGCTTGGGTAGCCGGTACGGGGGAAAGGTGAGCCGGATCCAGTGATTGTGCCGCCGGGAGCCACGCGCTGTATAGATGTAACCCCTGGTCAGCATACTGTATGTTCACCCTGATGGAACCAATAGTCATTCCATACCTCGTTCTGATTCTGAGTCTCCACGGAAGGGAATGATGATTCAAAGTGGCCGATCTCCTCGACAGGCTCGTCGCCTCCACCAAGCAGGTCATCATCCCCGCCTACAGTCTGATCCGCAACGTGGTCGTGGGTGGTAGCGAATTGGTCGGCATCTTCGCCGAGTGCGGCGCGCTCACGGGCCAGGAAATCATCTTCGGTAGCGTCTTGGGTGTTGGCGACTTCGGTTTGGCCTAAATGCGGGTGACATGTTAGCTCCGGCGTAAGGAGAGCAAGTAAGGCGGGATAAGCATACCCTCAGAGAAGTCCTCTAGGGAAGGGAAACGATCCGCCATTCTGAAAGTTGATTGAAGCTGATGAGACGATTGAATAGAGGAAGTTGGATTAGGAAGGTCGTCACAAGCAGAAGGAATAAAGCGATTGGGTTGTTGAGAGTGATAAGAAGTAGAGGTGTTGACAAGTGTGACCGCAGTAGGCTCGGCGGTCCGTTGTTCTGCCGTTGCTAGGGCGGTAGGCTTATCCACGTTTCAAGCTTGGGGTACAAGCCACTTCAGCTTCACTCGTGCTAAAGAGCTTGGTAATTAAGATCTTCGTCTGCTCTTCCTCTGGTTTTGATCACGGGCAATTACCTCTAACTGCAATTGCGATTCGCAGCTCTCACCGTTCCAGAGGCGGTCAATTGCTACCTATTTCCTTTGCGTCCTTCACTTTGATTGCTACTTGCGCGCCTAGGATAATCTCATTTCTCATTTGTCTCTAAAGATACAACCCAAGTCCTTCATTGACTCTGATATCATGGCTTTCACCGATGATGCCGTTAAAGCGAAGCTCTCGGCTCTGAACGAGACCCAGGAGAGCATTGTGACCGTCGCGCAGTGGGTCATGTTCCACAGGTACATCAACACCCCCTTCTCTGTAAATGAGACCCGCTAACTTCTGGTGGTAAATTCAGGCGCCATGCAGAACGCACTGGACAGATCTGGTTACAGAAGATTCGCGACTCGCCTGCTCCCAAGCGGCTCAATTTGATCTACCTAGCCAATGGTACATACGATCCACCCCAAGCTCAGTTTCACTTGCTAACTATATTTACAGAGGTGGCCCAGCAATCTAAAGCCCGTGGCAAAGATGATTTCCTTATTGCATTCTCGCCGGTCCGTTTCCCCCTCGATCCGCCGCGGCGACTCCGACTAACAGAACTTTAGATCATCGTCGATGCTACTACAACAGCTTACAAAGGGTCGTCGGCGGATTACCAACAAAGAATTCGCCGAGTAGTGGAGGTCTGGAGACAACGCAATGTGTTTGACGGAGCTCTTTTGGACGCAGTCGAAGCTCGCATCGACGGTAAGCCATGTCAACAGCAATACAGACAAGTGGGGACCAACCGAACTGACCCATCTTGCAGAAGTTGACAAAACTCGCTCTACCACAAAGAAACAAACCCTCGGGGGCTCCTTCTTCAAGGATACTTCTTCGGGTTCCACCCCTAATGAACTACAACCTCTCGTCCCATTGCAGGTTGCCGTCAGCAAGGCTGTTGTCAACTCCAGCAGCTCCTCCACACTCGCTACCACAGAGTTCGACAAGCTCCATGATCCCAATGCCCCGAAGCCTACACTGCCTGTTCATGCTGCACGTCTCAGCTCGCTGCTGAAGACTCTCGCCAATGCAGAGAACTCCGTCTCTGAGGTTATCAAGTCGCGCCGTGCTTTGATCGACGGGCTTGAAAAGATCCTCGAGACCAACCGCGCGGAGCTATCGAAAGAGGAAGCCCTTAGCTCAGAGCTCGCGCAGAAGAAGATTTCGGTTGATAACAAGAAGCGCGAGGTTGAAGATGCGATCCTGCGCGGCCTGCCAAGCGGAGAGTCCCCTGCAGACCATGGCGATTCTAGTGGACATGAGAATGTATCTGCTCGCCCCGAAATCGAAGCCTTGACACCTCCCCCAGTGGAAGCTATCACACCTGTGGGATCTCCACAGCCAGAGAAGCAAGCGCTTCGCCACGGTCCTTTTACTGAAGAGGCAGACGACGACGCCTCGGAATGGAGTCACATGAACATCCCCGATATCCAGCAGCCAGACAACGGGACTGGTGTGAACGATCTTTCCGCGACTGCCCAGCCACAGCATGCCTTTGATATTGCTGCCGATGGCCATGCAAAGAGGCGCAAGATCTCGCATGGGGAAGAGGATTACGCGGCTTTTGCGGGCGGTGATCTAGATGCCGATGTTGCTGACCTGCTAGCCAACCAGGGCAAGTAAGTGCATATGAGGTCGGATACCTCCGGTCATGCTTTACTATGGCAAAGTGCATGGCTGAACTTGAATGTGTTTTACGGATGTTACCTTCCAATCTTTGCCAATTAGCAGTCTTCTACGCTATCTCCGGTTGAACCATGGGAACCATTGATCTTGTGTACTAAGTGACTAAACGTATGGCTCGAATAATGAAGCAAATGGCCTAAATCCAGGCCAGTAACGAGATTTCTTCTAGGTATACCGCTTCTGTGGGAGCATCTCCGTGTAAACCATGTATCCACCCATAGGTGGCGGGAAGTAGGCCGCTTCCAAGTCGCACCTGGTAGGTATCTACGACTATATGCGAAAAGAATGTCTCGTGTTTCCTTCATATTGTCTAGGAACTAATGCTATTTGCAACCTAAGAGACATCATCGGAATATATCTGGATCCAACCATCGATCTCGCACGAACCGATTTGATAATCGATGTCTCCTCCCTCGGTAAGCCATCACAGAGCGGATATTATTCGACGATTCATCCTCTGGAGGCGGCGGTGCTGAGCTGGAGCTGTGGCCCTTGGGCTTCACAACCAATAGAATGATCATTCCAATGACGACCAGGAAAAGCAATAGCATGATCTTGCGTTTAGTGGTTCGTTTTTGATAACTCGTAGCCTAGATGTGTCAAATTGAATCCAAGTGAGAGAAGAACTGGTAAAGCGAAGACATACCACTTTCAGCTCCTTATCTGCGGCCTTAACCTCGGTACCCATTCGCTCGATGTTGTAATCTATACGGTCCAGCATGGTTCCTTGGTCGATGATCATGCTCTGCAGTTCCCGGAATATATCCGAGAGCTCAATGATTCCCTTTGCGATATCGTTGATTTCACGCTCGCGCTGCGCAATAGCGGCATCATTCACACCCGTCTGCCGCTGCGAAGTCTGCTGCAACATCGTCTGCGAGAAAGACCTGTCGGCATCTGACTCCATCATCGAGGGATCCGTGTATGGGTTCTGGGCCTGCGGGGGTGTGATATCGAATGGCGTCGCAATTCCCTCGAGGTCTCGTAATTCTGCACAACAAGTCACACATTAGCCGGACTGAAACAAACCAGGGCGGGACAAGAAAAAGAAAAGCAAGAGAGAAGGGAATCGCATACTCCGCAAATAAGTGCTCTGCTTCTTCCTAAACCGCGCACTAGCTTCCTGCACCCTAGCAGCCAGCGAAATCTGAATATTCTTCGCCATAGTCTCCTCGCCACTAGTAACAGCACCCTGTGCCTTCGACTCCGCAACCATAGTCTCAATGCGCATGATGGAGCGCTGACAATCATGGAAAGAGCGCGTGATATCCTGAGTTAAGCGCTCAATGATGCCCTCATCCTTCCTGCGCAAATCCTCGTCGCCGAAACCCGGGAGCAGGTGTTTCTGATGCAGCTTGTCAAGCTGGGCGGAGTTCTGGGCGATTTCCGCTAGCAGCTCGGAGACCTCTTCCTGCACGTCGGCCCAGCGCGGTGGGAGGAGGTCCATTTCAATGACCATGTCGCCATCTTCGTCAGTGTCGGAAATCAGGCGCCGGTTTTCTTCCGGGTGGGAAGGTGTGTCGGAGAAGCCATTTGTTGGTGTGAATTGTGGCTTTTTGGCGGGGTGGTGGATTAGGGATTGGCGGTAGGAGAGGTAGCTGTGTGCCAGAGGGATTTATTAGTGGGATTCGCTTTGTAGGCTAGGGTTTCTGGGTGGTGCTGTCTTTCTTGTCGGGGCGCAAGGTTGCGTCTGACGTAGGGCATGGGGCTGCATACAGATTGGTGCGATCCCGCCACATTGTGAGGGCGTTGGAAGGATCGGATCAGATAGGTGGTTTATTGGCGCGGTGAGCTTATCAGACTCATGATCAGCTGAGGGGATTAGGCTGGTAGTTTGGGGCCGCGATGTAGTCGGAGGTGAGTGACAGGAGCTCTCCACATGTGCATCGGAAGGGGTCGCATATGCCCGGTATTCATCGTGTAATTATGTGGTATTGTCTATGTGGAGTTTGGTAATTTTGGTATGAGTGTGTAAGTATTTATCGCCGTTGGGAGCCTGCAGGGCTGCAGCTTCGGTCCTTCGTGAAAAGTATCATAAGTATGGCGTTGAAGGTTGATTATTGCACTGTAACATGTACTAGGGCTCTTCATCGTGTAATGTCATTATGTAGGTCGTGTGCTCTGCTATATAAGAAAGCTCTCCTTTCATATCGAGTACACCGTACCCTGCCTACCTGTAGGTTCTTACATTGAGCTTTAGCAGGCAAATACGTACATTCAGAAGGTCCTACAACGCAATAAGAACTCATTTTCTCGAAGATCCACCGTATGTGGGCTATTGTAAAGTCCATTTGACGGTCAACATCTGTAAATTCAGGCGACACACTAGGTATGTCGATATCATGTAGTTAGTTATGGACCCGCAGTCTACAACAGCCCTAAAGATAGGAGAAGTACGCCTCAAGCCAAGACCTTGCTAACGTTAGCGCAATGGGCCTCTTAAGGCTGGCTTTATGCTGTCACTGTTAGCTCGCTCAGCATGGTCCTGAACCTCTGACATGAAGCTCTCCATTGTCCACCAGGCGTTGCATATGCCTTGTGAAAGATGATACCCCGAGGTCATTGTTATAGCAAACAAGAATCGCGGTCCTTGACTCCTTGATCAATCGAACAGGAAATCACGAAGGATGAATACGCAGTCAGACATTCAGCCCTGGAGGTGTTAGACGCCCCCACCGCCCTGAGCTGACGACGCTGACTGGGCACCTCAGGCACGCTATTTTGGTACCTCTGGTAAGGCTAATTCCCCTTACTCTCTTCTCCATATTCGACCCCTCCTTCTCTTTAGATTGCATTCTTCCTCATCTACATTCATCATGGTATGTATTCTTATAATTTGCCAACTTTACAGGAAACCCTCTGTTGTGCTGTCGAAATTGACACTCCCCCACATTGCGGGGTATCGACACTGAACCTCTGGACCTCGCTGACCGTGGCATAGGCCGATTCCCTGACCGAAGAGCAAGTGTCCGAGTACAAGGAGGCATTCTCCCTTTTTGTGAGTACCCCCACATGCAAAGTTAAAGACGTGGAAGCCGGGGCCATGCTGACCGGGAGGTTGTTATGAAATAGGACAAGGATGGCGATGGTGAGTGCGATCACGCCCGACAGTTCATTCGAGTCGACAGCAGCGTCGTCTGCTTGGGAATTCTACGATGGAGCATACTAACCTAGAACTACACCAGGACAAATCACCACCAAGGAGCTTGGTACCGTCATGCGCTCCCTCGGCCAGAACCCCTCCGAGTCTGAGCTGCAGGACATGATCAACGAGGTTGACGCCGACAACAACGGCACCATTGACTTCCCCGGTACTAGACCATAACCCGATGATTTGAGAAACGAGACGGTTATTGACGTTGCGGTAGAATTCCTCACCATGATGGCTCGCAAGATGAAGGATACCGATTCTGAGGAGGAGATCCGTGAGGCTTTCAAGGTGTTCGATCGTGACAACAACGGCTTCATCTCTGCCGCTGAGCTGCGCCACGTTATGACTTCTATCGGCGAGAAGCTGACTGACGACGAGGTTGACGAGATGATCCGCGAGGCGGATCAGGATGGTGATGGCCGGATCGACTGTATGTTTGCGAAACAATCCTGGAGTCTGCTTGCCTACCGTATACTAATATATTCATCTCCACAGACAACGAGTTCGTCCAGCTGATGATGCAAAAATAAGCGCTGCAATTATCATACGCCTTTTTCATGTTAGCTGACATAGGAGCTTCGTTACGAGGATGTTTCTCTTTCATTTCAATCATCCAGTGCCGATTTCCCGTAGTTTATGCTCGTTACACTACACATCTTGGATGATTTACGATCAAGCGTGTACCGTGGCATGCAGATGGAATGGATTGGGCCATGTTCCGAACCTAGTATTTATAATCTACAAACCATCGCTCTCTCCATGTTAGTCCCTGGTGTTGGTTTGTACCAACACGGTCACCTTCCGATAGACATCCCTCGAAACTCTGTAGCAAGCGCATGATCCCAATCTTGTATAGCCGTTCAACCGCTGGATGCCAGTCAATTCCCGACTATCGATTAAATCTCAAGACCTCCATAAACTGCCTCGCAACGTCCGCCCCAGACCACGGATCAGGCTCTCCCTCTGCATCATCTCTTCCGATATCAGTCCTAGAACCAGCCTTCTTCCACCGCCTCAACCGCTCTTTAACCTCGCTTCCAACACCAGGAATGAGAATAGCCTCTCGGCCCTCCATACCCAGCCTAGCCCAAAACTCCCGAATCAACGACGCAGTCGCCGTATACTCAGCATCGATATCCGACTCCTCAATATCGGCAGCAGAGATATCAATGCCAGAGTCAGCTTCCAGATCAATACCCCCCGCTCCAGCTACACTCCCAAACGACCCATCTTCCCTAGCAACAGGAATCGCCTCCACAACCGACGGCCCCCGCCACTCAATCTCAACCAGCGTACCACGCACCCGCGCCGTCGGGACCGTCTGACGCACATCGCCAAGCCGCACGCGGAAATCGCCAACATCATAGACGACCCCATTCGGCACAGCGAGCGTGAACCTATGACTCCAAAACGGCTGGCAGGCGTAAGTAAAATGCTGGAATAGGGTGCCGTAGGAAGCAGGGGGGATGGTAGTCATGACCATTGGTGGGGCCGGGGAGTGATCCGGCGCGATACCGTTTACCGGGCCTGTTGGGGTTTGGTTTGGTGCTGGTGGTTTGTCTGCTGGCTCAGAGGTGTAGATGAAACCGTGGGTGGGGTAGTGGCTTAATGAAAGGAACTGCATGTAGCGCGGGTTTGGGGGTTTCTTGTTGGTTGAGGAGGCGGGGAGGAGGCCTAGGGTGTCGCGGAGGAGCTTTTGCTCCAGGGCCCAGCGGCCGATTGGAGCGATGTCTTCATCTGGGAAGGCGGCGCGGAGGCGCTCCGTTACTGTACTGAGGGCTGTTGAGGAATTGGGGTTTGAGGGGATGAAGTAGACGCTTTGTGGGTTAGTCTAGGAAGTTAAATATAGTGGGAAGATTGATTTACCCGGTGATAGGCATTTTTGATGTTTCCTTTCTTGTGCCAGGTGCAAAGAGGAAGATAGGGTGATGGTCACAGCACGGTCGAGTTGATGATGCTTTGAGCTGAGACGATAGGGCCGGTGATTGCTACGATTTCGGCGTTTTCTAGACCAGCTAGAATATCATTCAAGTGACTGATGGCAGATAGTAATCATGCAATATAGATGTCGTGCTCTTTCAATAGGAATGATGCTCAGGTCCAATGCCAGAAGGAGAGACGAGATAGTGCCTCTCAGACGAGACGGGAGCTTGGCAGTCTATAGCATGATTAGTATAAGTACGGACAATAAGAAAGACTCAGCTACCGACCTTTGGATGATTTTTATGTATGGGGTTGTTCTAGAGACTGCGTTACAAGTGGTTTAGCAATTCTCTAGACAGAAGCCCATGATCACATTGGTATGCAAACAATGCAAACACCAACATCTGGACCGAAGCCTAAGGAAGAAGTTTGTTTGGTGTCAACACGCTTCTTTTCTACACTCCGTACAGAGCATGGGATATTGGAAACCTCCAAGGCGAGCTCTCCTTCCATGAACCTTTGAAACTAGTTCTAGAAGCTGGGACCTGTGGTCGGGCTCAGCAGTACAGCCTTATTACGCTCCGTTGTCCGCCAATTGTCCCCTAGTCTTCGATACAGTCACTGTCAGTCCGTCATAATAAAGCAGGACCTTTGACCATATGGATGTCCGATCAAGATCAATGATATTTGGAAGGGCACACGAGTGACACGACAATGCTTTATTCAGAGTGAGGCGATACTCTAATTGATTGTCGAAGAGTTCTAGAAATCGATAAGATCGACTCCAGAGCTCCAGGGACCAGGGCCCATCGGAGTCAGGGGCCGCAGTGGGGTTGGTGGCGCCCTCCAACAGGGGAGCACAGCCCTGAATAAGACTGAGCATCTTGGCACTTTGGAGTAAAGTCTAGACTTACACCATTAAAGACTCTAATAATAACGGCTTCGACCCTGCAACTTTCACCCTTGTTGCGTGTAAAGGGATAACATTGAGGTTACACCAATCATCGTTCAAATGTCTCGGGCATCATGCCTTCATGGAGCCACAGGGACGATCACTGGAGATCACAGGCCAGGCCGCGTCTGATCTCTCGTTGAGGTAGAGATCTCTCACAATGCATGACGTTGCCCTCCACTGTTCCACATGGTGTTAAAATGTGTCCATTCCCTTTTGCGGTTTGCATTGTTAGGGAGTCAATTCTCTCTGAAACGCCAATGCCGGTCTTTACTTCTATTCTGTCCGGTCATTGACTTATACACCTTCACTCCTAATCTGGATTTCCTATGGCCATTCTTTTGTTATTTTCGTGATTCTAGTTGCAGCATCGGCATCAGCTGACTGCGTTCATTATGTTCTCCAAGCGCAAAACCCGACCTATATCAACCGCATTCTTTCTGATCGTTGCAACGTACATTCTCTTCTTCTGGCTACCGAGGACACAAACTCCCCGGAGTCGTCTCACAAAGCCAATCTCCAGAAAAGATAGCACTATCCGGCAAGATGCCATCCGTCTGGATAAAGTGACTGCGCGATACCCCGTTGCGCAATATATCCCGCTACCACAGGGCTCAGTGACAATCCCCCGCATCCAGCATGACTTTCCGAAAGAAACCCCCAGCGAGCGCAACGAGAGACTCAAAAAGCGAGATGCTGTGAAGGAGGCATTCCTATACTCCTGGAATGGATATAAGGATTTCGCATGGATGCGAGACGAGCTGAAACCTCGCACTGGAGGGTATGACGATACCTTCAACGGTTGGGGTGCCACCCTCGTTGACTCGCTGGATGCGCTTATTATCATGGGACTGGACGATGAGCTTCAGCTGGCACTGGAGGCTTTGGACGAAATCGACTTCACAACGACCAAGAGTAGGCAGGTTCCTGTCTTTGAGATCATTATTCGCTACATGGGCGGCTTCATTGCTGCTCATGACCTGACCGAGGGAAAACATCCTATCCTGCTGAGAAAGGCTGTCGAACTGGGCGAGATGATCTTCAATGCGTTCGACACCCATAATCGCATGCCCCAAGTGCGGTGGGATTGGACCAGGTAAGCCGAAATGCAGGACCTATACAACACCCAGATATCGAGATTGACGAAATGAAGGTCCGCCAAAAACCAAGAAATCTACCCCTCAGTGCGCACCAGTTTGGCAGAGATGGGCTCGTTAACCATGGAGTTCACTCGCCTTACCCAATTGACCGGAGATCCCAAGTACTACGACGCGGTGCAGCGGGTCATGAACGAGCTCGAGGTCGGCCAAGACAAGACCCGGATGCCTGGTCTGTGGCCAACATGGATCGATACGGACCAGATGAGATTTGACGACTCCGAATTCACCATTGGTGCATGTGCGGATTCCGCCTACGAATACTTACCCAAAGAGCACATCCTCCTAGGTGCACAGACCGACAAGTATCGTCGGATGTATGAAAAGGCCATTGCGACATTCAATGAGAACCTGGTTTTTAGAGCAATGACCAAGGACGAGAATCGGCAGGTCCTCTTCACTGCCAACGTTGTTGCAATGAGAGGCGATTCAAAGACCTTCCAATACACACCTGATCACCTCAAATGCTTCATGGGTGGCACCGTGGCCATCGGAGCCAAGGTCTTCAACCGCCCGGAAGATATGGAAGTCGCTAAGGGACTTACCGACGGCTGCGTCTGGGCATACGACGTGATGCCCACGGGTATCATGCCGGAGATCTTCAAAGTCAGTCCTTGCAAGAAAGCCGATAAGTGCCCGTGGGATGAAGAGCAGTGGATGTCAGATGTCATTTCGCAAACCATCGAAAACGAGGAGATGCGCGAAAAGGCAGAGGAACGCATCAAGACCCTGGGTCTGCCGCCAGGTGTGACTGATATCAAGGACGCGGCGTATAAGCTTAGGTTCGATTCACTTCTTCGTTTGATGCACTTCGGCTCATTGACATATTTACTGTACAGACCTGAAGCCCTCGAATCCCTATTCGTCATGTATCGGATCACTGGAGATAAGACTCTCCAAGACTCCGCGTGGCGCATGTTTAAGAACATCGATAAAGCGACGCGGACTAAGTACGGACATTCTTCCATCAACGATGTGCGTCATGAAAGGCCAAAACACATGGACAAGATGGAGAGCTTCTGGCTTGCGGAGACTTTGAAGTACCTCTACCTCATTTTCTCTGAGCCGGATCATATTAGTCTGGATGACTATGTGCTGTATGTTTTTTCTCCGGGTGTTTATCTTGCCTTCCCAAGCTAATTCTTTCTAGGAGCACCGAAGCACATCCTTTCAAGCGGCCAAAAGCCTCGGGTCGGTGATATCTCATGTTTATGTGTGTACAGCTGGCTTCTTCGCAATATAGATTTGGGTGATGGGGTCTGGCGTTACAGGCATTGGAATTTCGGGCTCTTCGCGTCTACTTTCTTTTCACCGCAGCAAAGGAATCACTAGCTTCTATCCATAATATCCATTATTGAAAGTGTCTACATGTATCGATGCATGTGTCCTGGCTAGGAACCATTATAGCAGCCATCTCTTCTTGTTATACATAAGTAGAAACATCAACAGAATTCTTCAACTCTTCTCGCGCGCTCCCCTCCGCCTCATCTTCATATTGAATCGAATACCTCACCTCCTTATGGATAACCATCCTATCCGCACCCTCCCCTTCCTCCGGCTCAACCGCACCCGCAGCACTCGGATTCCGAGTATGCGTCCTCGGCACAAGCTCGATCAAATCCGAAGCAACAGGAAACGACCCCCTAGACCCGGCTTTAACTCTATTCTTCCCCTTCTCCAGCTTCGAGAAACTCTTCTTCTTACGGGGTTCACTGAACGCGAACAACGACCGACGCATCGGCACGCGCACAGGATTCGACCCGGCACCATCCCCAGCGCTGTGCTGATTATTCCCCGGCGCATGCCCAGCATCAGCCCCCACAGGACCCGATGAGGAGGGATTCTTCGTCGAACCCCCACCACCAACAGGACAAAACAGCGGATGTGACCCGGTTCCAGCTCTCTTCCTCTGCACGCGACTCTGCGACATGGCCCTCGAAGCTGAATTCGAACCAGAACCAGAAACAGAGCCAGATTTGGAACTATTTTTCGTCTCGCGGGATCTGGACATGCTACTTTCCAGTGTCGAGTCACCGGCCGTACCGTAGTTGGTGCTAACGGCAGCCATGAAGGGTCTGAGACAGAAAACGCTGCAGGCAATTAGGGCGTAATGGACCTCGACTTGCATCCAGACGGTGGGTTCGACGGCGGCGAGGGTTGTGTCTTTGTTGTTTAGGGCTGTGCGGAGTGTTGCGATGTGGAATAGGGAGAATATTATGATACTGTATTTGAGACGAGGTGAGTTTCGTAAACTGGTGTGTTTTTCCCTCTCCCGGGATCCGATGTAGGTATGATCTATCATTTTGGTGGGTGTTACTCACGGAAAGCGGAATATAAAAGCAAAGCCAACGGCTAGTTTGCGCCGGAGGGACATGAATAGGCCTTTTAAGAGGACGATAGCTAATAGGAAGAGGAGAAGTTCTGTGATGACGTCGACAGCGGCGATGAATTGCCATCGGTTGTACTAATTATGATCAACCTTAGAGACGGCCTCGTGGATTTGAGGTTTGAGATATATCGCTTGTGTTTGTACATACCAGGTTGCGGCATTGGCCCCCGTCACTCCGCCACGGTGTATTTAGTTCGCAATTGACCAGGATGATGAAGACTGCTGGGATCACCCAGGCCGTGCAGAGAGCTAGGGTCGCCCAGGATGCTCGGTTATGTGGTTTCTGGGGCGTAAGGCGGAGATAGATAGCCACGACGCAGCATTTGGAGAGATAGATGATTATCAAAGAGATGACATCGCTTGTTGCGAGCAACTAGCTGTTCAGTCTTGGTTCAGGGAAGCGATGAAATAAAAAGCCGGAATGGGACTTACTGCCTGGATCTGATGGAGGCGACCATCCTTCAGTAGCGAGATGGATGTGCCGAGTCCGCGCGAGCAGGCGTAGAAGATCAGACTAGACTGCAGCACAGCAATGGCCTGTATATCAATCAAATTCCTGTATCAGCCTTCTATTCATGCATCTCCTTCCCTTCCCGATATAAGCCCTAACTCACCGTCGCCCCTAACAAAATCCAATCATCCCGCGCAAACGGCGGAATCAACATAAGCCGCACATAGAGCCGAATCAACAAGCACACAAGCGTAACAACCAGCCCCAGCGCTGCTGTAATAATCACCCACGCGCCGTGGTGAAATTCATCGACAACCTCAAAGGGCGGCGACTGGCCCGGTGGCACATACGGGCCCATGGCAGGGGTGGGGGAAGCAGGAGCCAGCTCAAACGGAGGCTAGACAATGATCCTGCTAGTTCCAACGAATATACCATGTGCAAGGACGGAGTCCATGTATATGTATACGAGAAGGAGAATATCAACACAGACACAGGATGAACCGTGGAAGGCTGTCAGATTGGAGAGCCATGTGGGGTGGAAAGGCGGGACTGATGAAAGAAGGGGTTGGTTTCGATATTGTGCTTGTATATACTCAGTTAAATTTGGGGCAGAAGCAGGAGGTATGCGGGCGGCGAGTTCGAGGCGATAAGGCCCGAGTAGCTGGGCTACGGCTGCTTGCGATTGTGATTGTTGCTGGGTTGCCAGATCATATGTCGATAGCCGTTGAAGCTACGGGTTATCGAGTTCGGGGACGGACAACATGGAATGGTGTATTCTCCCAGGATACAAGTTAGGGCTTGGGTACCTACGGGATGGGTAGATGTTGGCGCCGACGCCGTGCGTGGATGGTTAATCCCTTCCTAAGGCTTCCTATTCACCTGAACGGCAGAATATGCATTGTAGGCGTTGCGAATTATTGCCAATTCTTGTTGACGCTGAGGTCATCTGGGTTGGAATGGCGTTTTGCCTTCTCTCCCTCACTTCAAGGCGACTCCCAAAGCCAGATTAATGCTGTGCATTATAGGGCATAGCGGCTCACTGTAGCGTAGATCAGCATGGCTGCATGTGCCCCCTTGTAAATTCTGGCATGGGTTTTCAGCAGGCTGTATTCCGATAGGCTCGTCTGTTGCTTCGAAGCAAACAACGCGAGGGGCTAGTGCGACCACCCGGCGCCCAGTTTGTTCTGGGCATGGCGTGTGGCGGAAGTGTCTGGGGGATAAGCATCAAGGGAGGGATCTGCGACCAGGATTAATAGGAAATTTAGTTCGAGCGATACATCAGAAATGTAAATAATTCGATGTCAAAGCCCGTTCTCAAGGGTTACATACATGGGATTTCTTTGTTTCTTTTTTCAATACATCGTCTTGGTCATCTCCTTTTGTTCACGCCCAAAGAGAAGAAAGAATCCATAGTCCAACAACAAGAGAAACACATAGCACATATGTGTAGAAATTTAGAGTAGCCCTACAACCCCAGAAAGCAGTCCAAATTCCAACATTGTCTTCAAGTCTAACGTCCAATGTTAGATGTGCAAACGCCCCCCTTGGCATGCAAGGTCCCAATAGCCCCATTCCAGGCACAACGAGACAAGGGATAGACAGCCCTCCCAAAATATGAGTTCAACAGTTCCATTCTCAATTGGGTGTGAGATGCAGTAGCCTCCATCAAACAACGATGTGTCATTTCGAGGTGTTTGAGAGTTCTTTGTCCACATGGCGAGAATTTTTCCCTAGCCATGTCTTGCTCCCACGTCGAAACCACGCTTCCGTTGCAATGCAGAGATAATCCCAGCTCCTTGGAGTTTCTCCTAATACCTGCTTCTTTAGGTTAAGAAGATTCTGTTAGGTTTATTAGGTGGTTCTGTTGTCGCGCACTATATACTTCACTTGCACGATCCATCGGGGCGTTCGAGTTGCCAGGGTATATAGGGTTTACTTCTATCTTTTCTTCCCGCGGGGGATCTTCATCTTCATCTTCAATATATTGTCTGTTTGTTAGAAAACTCGCAAACATGACGGTTTTCAAGAAATCCAGGCCTGACTCGCAGCAGACCATGACCGGCCTCGATGACGACGAGGAGTACGGCCAGAAAGGCCTTGTTGAGCCCCGGTATATGGGCACTCTGGCTGACCAGCGGGATATGAATGCTCTTGGTCGAGTGCAAGTTCTTCGAGTAAGTTTGCTCTGCTCTATCTCTCGATACTGTCCTTGCTGACACCAAGAAGAGAAATTTCCGCTTTATCTCCATTGTTGGATTTGGCTGCACTTTGATCTGCACATGGGAAGTCATCTTGACGTATGCGTTCATCCCTGCATATGATGATCATGCGGGCCACTGACTCCCTTAATAGATTGTTGGCGGCTGGCTTGACCGACGGCGGTACAGCGGGCTTGATATGGGGATTCATCGGCGTCTCAATAGGGTTCACCCTTGTCTACGCCAGCATCGCTGAGATGGCCTCAATGTATGTGCTTGATGTGTTATGGCTTCTTGGCAAGCTGTCGGTACTGATTGATTGACAATAGGGCCCCCACTGCTGGTGGGCAGTATCATTGGGTGTCAGAATTCGCACCCAAGAGGGGGCAAAAGTTCCTAAGCTATATCACAGGTAAATACTGTGTAGCTAGTCACTAAATAAACCTCATCAGCTGACATATCCTCAGGATGGCTTTCTGCAATGGGATGGCAATGCGCCATCGTAACCATAGCCTACCTTGCTGGCACAATCATCCAAGGCCTGATCGTCTTGAACCAACCAGACTATGATTTCCAGCGATGGCACGGTACTATGCTAGTGATTGCCATTTCGACTTTCTCAATTCTATTCAACACCTTCCTGGCCAAGAACCTTCCCTTCGTGGAAGGACTGATCTTGATCATCCACGTTGTTGGTCTGTTCGCCATCATCATCCCATTGTGGGTACTTGCGCCGCGCAACAATGCCCACGCAGTCTTCACCACGTTCAACAACGGCGGCGGGTGGAATAACCCTGGGACTGCGACGCTGGTCGGATTGTCGACGACTATTACATCCATGCTTGGGTATGACTGCTCTGTTCATATGTGTAAGAAAGAGCCCTCTGGATTGGCGTCATTTGGCATGGTGCAAGTTGCTAACATCCAAAAGCCGAAGAAATTAAAGACGCATCTGAAACACTCCCCAAAGCAATGATGTCCTCTGTCGCCGTCAACGGTGTGCTAGGGTTCATCATGCTAGTCACATTATGCTTCACACTGGGCGACGTCGACAAAGCCCTGAACACCCCGACAGGATTCCCATTCATTCAGATCTTCTATAACACCACCGGAAGCATCGCTGCAACAAACGCTATGACAGCCGTGGTGGTCGTAACCCTAATCGCCAGTACCATCACCGAAGTAGCCACGGCGTCGCGGCAGCTGTGGTCTTTTGCGCGTGACGAGGGCCTGCCCTTTTCGTCGTTCTTCGCATATGTAAGTCACTTGTCTGCCTCTTAACCTGTGTGATCGAGTACTAATCATCAAATATCAGGTCACACCAGGCTGGAACATTCCTCTCAACTCCGTGTTGGTGTCTCTAGTTGTCACGATCCTACTATCAATGGTCAACCTCGGGTCGCAGGTGGCTCTGAATGCCGTAACCTCGCTAACAATCACATCCCTGCTATCAGCGTACATCGTCTCAATCGCCTGCGTATTCCTGAAGCGCGTTCGGGGCGAGCCGCTTCCGCATCACCGGTGGTCACTTGGAAAATACGGTATGGCGGTCAACTTCGGGGCCCTGGCATTTCTGTGTCCATTGTTTGTCTTTGCCTTCTTCCCTCTGTCAACGGATGTCACGCTTGAAACGATGAACTGGAGTGTGGCGATGTATGTCGGCATCGTTGGATCGGCGTCGATTTATTACTTTGTTCGGGGGAAAGATTATTTTATCCCGCCTGTGGCTTTAGTTCACAGAGACGAAAATAGTTAGGGTTGGGGTGAGAGTGGGCTGCAGACTTCCTCTTTTTTCTGTTTATTTTTTCCCCTTTTCTGTTTATGCTTGGCTTTCAGGAGATGGTCTACTGGATTATGATGATGTGATGATGTGACGTATATAGGTGCTTACGATGTGTGATGTAGGTACGGTCGAGATTTTGTTGTTATTACACTTGTTTCATGCATTTCGATCGAATAGACTAGCAAATATTGACGACCCTAGTTATTCGTGATGATAGTGAGAGCCTGAGAGGTCTTCAGGAAAAGCCTTTAACCGTCCCGCCGGGATTGAGATTAAGTTATCAGATGGAACGGTCCACGGATTAGCCGTGTCATGTGCCGTTCCCCTTACCCAAGCACGCTACTTCGTATTGTACAGTGTCCAATACACAAAAACGCCATCCCAAGCCGCAAAAACAAGACACAAAGTGGATCGGCCCAGGAGCCGAGATACGGCGCCACTAGCGAGAGTGAGACATACGCCGTAGTGACACACACGGTCGAGCTAGTCAGCTCGCGAATGCGTATTCTGTACTTTGTACATTGATGTAGGGAGTGATTCCAGGCTATGAGCGACTATTGAATCCATGACCCCTGAGCGCCCCCGGCCCCCGGGCGGAAGCCCTAAGGGTGATCTGCTTTGGATTCTGCTTCTCTAACACAGTAGAACTCCCTAGTTAGCGGCCTAGCCCACTCAGAATAACCCACTGATTGATCTCGCCCGGGCTGGTCTCCCCTCCTGGGCCGGTCGGTCGGGCAATCGATGGGCTACCGAGCGGCATGTATGTATGTTGTGCTAGGCTAAAAGGCTGTGATGACTGATGAGCCAAGTCCAACAGGAGACACAAGGTTAGACCGGCTGTTCGGAAAGTGGGGTGATCAATATGAGTAGAGACCCATTTGTAAGAATGGGATGTTTTGTCCATATTCGAGGGACCCCCTGTCTGGGATTCCGCGTACATGTAAGATGTGGATCGTAGAAGGTATGCACAACATAACAAGCGTATGCTGCCCAGGTGACATGCGGGGATGACTTGTTACTGTGATGTTATCAGATGCGATTACATACTCAAAGGGGCGACCGATTCCGCGCTGTCTCGCTATCTGATTGATCTGATAACCGAGGTACTGTATGGTACGATATTGTTACATGTTTTATACAAGCACGTGACATTTACGGCCGACCTCGGAGCTCTACTACCTAGTACTGTGTACATAATGCTTCCAATGCTTCCAATTCCAATCAAATTATCCTTGTAGAATGCGCATGTGGTTGTACAACCAAGTAGCAAGATACAGATACAATATGTAGAAATAGCCTACATTGAAACTCGTCTAACTTACCGATCTGTTGTACGGTTCTGTTTACACCCAGTACCGGGCCCGCCTCGGCTGTTTGACGTCAATACCGGTGTAGTACGCCGTTACTCCGTACACTCTGTTCTTTTCATATGCACCGTCGATCAAGATGGATACAATAACCCCAAATGGAGTCAGCACCATATCCAGTAGTTGATTGTTTATTATTGCTGACAACTATGATCCCTGGTAGTCAATATCAAGAATGGGGTAATTCATAAGTACCGTAACGAACATTTGAAGAATCCACCAAGCCGGAACCAACCGCGTAACATAACCGGTGACGAAGAATGTGGCGAATCTGATAAATCCCTGACTGCTTCCGATCTTGTCCCCGTTCCCTGTTGTAAGACTGTATTTCTCATGTCTTATCTCATATTACATATACCGTTATTTTCGAACCGAGCTATCCTCCCAGCAAGAAATTGCTCGGGTTCATGTCCTCCATCCTTATTCCACCCTTGACTCTCCCAATGAACTCGACTGTCCGACGCATGATTTATTCATAGAATAGAGACAAGGGGCCTCTTACGTCCCTCATATACCACCACGTCTCGACTCATATATCCTCGGTTTTCCTTATTGCCTCGAATCTGGCGTAACCTTTCGGTCATTCGAACCACGCCTCTAAACTTCCTCATGGGTATGCACTACACAGTCAAGTATCGACCAAGTACCGTGACTTAATTCTGACATTATCGTCATAGTTCATGCCCTTCAATCCATCATGCCCTCCGTAACTTATGCTCCAACTCCAACGGGGTTACGCCCTCCCAGAGGCACGTATCAGGAAATACCGATCTCTTCGACCTCCCACCCAGATAACCCAATTCCGGAAGAGCCCCGAGGTGTGCGTTCGCTCTCGGTAACCGACATAAGCTTCAATGTCGTCTCCTCAAGCTCCTCGCAAGGCACTGAATCTGCCGGCTCAGAGTCCCCGGATACCCCTCTGACGCCAACCAGCGAGTCGCAATTGGAGGAAGAACTAGCAGACCGAAAGCCTGAAAATGGTCGGCAAAGACGACGGGCATCAACCGTCTTGATATCACAAAATTCCAATGATATGAGGCGGGTGTTGGAGAATGTGGGCACATCAGGCACTCAGAAGCTTCAATCCCTCTGCTGTGGCGGTGGTTGTTGCCGAGGGCAGGCATTGCGTCCTGTAGATGGACCAATCTCAGGGTTCAACTCTATCACTGGACCTGTTGGGAACAAGGCTTTCGATAGCCTGAAGCTGAACCTCGACCTCCTCACGATGGACAGTGAGCTTTCCAACATTGCCCCACTCCCAGAGAAGACAGTTTCGTTCAAACCGCTCCCGGCAACGGCGGTTGATATGACTCTCGGTCCCGCAGATCACCCGCCCGAATTTGTGCAACCTCACCCACCTTATTCGGTCTACCGTGCGCCTCTGTTCCATACCCGTGAGTTGACAGGGCCCGGTGCCGAGAAGCGTACTTACCACTTCGACATCGATGTCACCGACTATCCCGCAGAGAGCGGCATGGTCGACTTTGTAGTCGGCGGTGCAATTGGTGTGTGCCCTAAGAACAAAGATTCCGAAGTCGAGGACGTCCTCAACCTCCTCGGTGTGCCGAACTCCATGCGAGACAAGAAAGTCCTCATGCGCACCACAAAGGGCCGATGGCCGACAATTTGGGGCGACGACCAGCCCCGCGAGCTGATCACCACCCGACGCGAAGTGCTAAGCTGGTGCTCCGATATCCAGAGTTACGCACCCACTAAGCCCCTCTTCCGTCTTCTCGCTGAGCACAGCAGCGATGCACAGGAGAAGAAAATCCTGGAATACCTTTCCTCCGCCGAAGGCCAAGGCGCCTTCTGCGATCTGCGCACCAGTTCCTTCGTCACCCTTTCCCAACTCCTTCACGCCTTCCCCTCCTCTCAACCCCCTCTCGACCACCTACTCTCCGTCCTCAACACTCTGATGCCCCGCTTTTACTCTCTCTCCCAAGACCCCCAAATCTCCTGCCGATATAAAGGCAGCGAATGCCGTCGTCTAATCGAAATAGCCGTTACCGTGGCCGAGTCCGAAGACTGGCGCGGCGGCACCCGCACAGGTGTTGGGTCCGGCTACCTCGAGTCCCTCGCAAAGCAATTAATCGCCGCCGAAGCCAAGGGTGAGAAAGTCGACCTCCACATTCCGATGTTCCGCGGCCTGATGGCAAACCCTCTCGCAACACGCTTTGCCTCCGACGGCCCGATGCTGCTCATCGGCGCGGGCGTGGGCATCGCTCCATTCCGCGGGTTTGTGCAGCGCCGACTGCAGTCCGCAAACTGCGCGAACAAGGTGTGGGTGCTGCAAGGTGTGCGGGACTCACTGCTTGACGAGCTTTACTCTGGCGAGTGGGGTGTGCATGAGGATAAGGTGCGCACTGTTGTGCAGAGCCGCAGGGGCGAGAGTCGATATGTACAGGAGGAGGTTCGACACCAGGCTGATCTTGTCTGGTTCGTTATCAACTCGCTGGATGGGCGGGTGTTTGTTTGCGGATCGGGCAAGGGCATGGGTGAGGGTGTTGAGGCTGCGCTTATTGATGTTGCTATGGCGAAGGGCAATCTCAATGCCCAGGAGGCCAATATGTTCTGGCAGCGGAAGAAGGAGGCGGGGCAGTATATTGCTGTGAGTTTGTTTCCGGTTCTTTCTCTTGCGATTACTCTTACTGACATTCTTCAGGAAACTTGGTGATCTGTTCATACCAGATGGACACCAAAATTGAGTTGCATGGATGTCTCGATTGTGTATATTTTTCGTCACGACTACCCTCGTGCAAAAAAACCCGCATTTTACAGGTTGTACATATCGGTTTCGTCTGCCTGCATGAAAGCTTTACGGTTACTCTTCTTTCGCCTCGTGCTCCTCAATGGTACACAACATCCGGGTTGTCATTTGGTCTTTTGTTTCGTGATATTTTTACATGATCATGTTATTTAGCGGGGTGGTCATCTATTGTGTGTTTACTTCATTGTTGACTGGTTCCTTTTTCTGCCATATCCAGTCACTCAAAAATACACATTATCTATACAATCATTCGTCTCCTATGATAATTCACTGACTGTCTCCCGTAGGTTCTTGCTACCTAGACTATTCAAGCCTGCCAAGACACTCAAACATGCTCAATCCTGTCCGGCGTTCACACACAATCAGAGCCCGTACGATGTCTCTTGTCTCTGGCTCGGTGGCTCCTGTTCACTTAGCTCTCAGTCTAAATGCCTCTCAACGTAAAAATCCTTTGGCCCGTCGAAGGTTGCTGCGGGTATCCTGTCTCTCAATAGCTGGTGGCTAATCACGCAGATCTAGCACCGCACTACCACGCAACAGTTTTCAACAGGGTAATCTGCACATAATCATGCAGACACCGCGCAGTAAGAGACATGTATCTGTCATATGAACAGCCTCTCTATCAGAGACTTTCTATTGAGACGAAGATCATGTGACAAGTTGCTCTCAGTCTCACCCTGACCCCTTGACCATATGACTCCCAGTTTGCATATGCCAAACAATCACCCATCTCTGTCTATATAAACCCAACCCTTCTCCTACCTCTCATCAACTCCTTCCTTCATCTCCATCTCCTCATCTCCATCTATATAATTATAAACCCAGCCTCCTACCTCTGGCCATCGACGGCTTACTTCGTCTCCGCATCCTCAGATCAACACCATGGCCCATCTATAGGTATGAACTAAACCTCTCATCTCTCATCAACGCGTTACTCCATCCTTCATCGTCATCTCATCACCTATCTATACATAGTCAAGTCCAACCGTTTTCCTTATCATCACTTACCCACTTCCGATCCCCTTCAAAGCTCACAAGTCTTCTATCACCAGACCCATGATCACCACGGACCAGACGCCTCCGACATATCAGGAGGCCAGACCGAGCGGACTATACCTAGATACCGGGCTCCCAAGTCCCAACAACCCAAAATCCTTCCTGTGGCGACCTTTTTGGAACATGGGTAACGGGCCTGGAGAAACGACATGCGCAAGGTGGTGGAGACTCTGCTCCCTTGCCGATAATTGGGATTGCTAGATTGCCTGAATGGACTCCACATGGCGCTCACGCTTCTCAGCCGCAAGCCTGTTTGCCACAGCTTGGGAGGTCGCAGATAATGGCCATTCTCCTCCCCGTCCGCGTTGGACCCTGTGCTCTGCTAAACCTACCTTCCGTTGATCACACTCCTACGCTAATCACCAACGGTATCCAAGAGCGGCATAGGCATGGCTCTCTTACCATGGCTGATATGCCAGTTGACGTGGCGAGCAACTTCATGTCCCGTGGAGGTGTCATCCCTAATCTGCGGGGCATTCGCCAGCGAGTGGCAGCGATGTTCCGTTCTGCTTTCCTCTCTCCACCAAATTTGGTGAGGTGGACTGGTTGGGTCGATTGACAGACAGCCCTACTCCGCTGGAACGTGGCAAGAAAGAGGCAAACTTCTGCCTGGCTTCTTGAGACTTCTGCCTTATGTTTGCGGAGAGCCGTTCTCTGACCTATACCACGGTCCACTTCCTTTCATTCTTTCTCGAATGTCTGACGGCTGAAGTGTAAGGACCAAGCGGATGATCTCCAGCTATCGCCTGTCCAACATGTTGCGTCCTGCTTGCCTGTCCCAACCCACTACTATACCAACTCAACGAGCTATTCATGGCGTCATATGGGGACTGGCGAAGTTGCTCGATTGTGGCCTCTGCTCCGGTGGAGCGCGAAACTGAAACGTGAAAGAGGTAGCCTTGCAGCTTCTGCTTAGGTGCGAGAACCATTCTCGAATCTATACCATAGCCCCCTTCTTTCGCTCCTTCTTTAATGACATGGAGCTGATAGGCGCAACTCGACGCCACTCCATTTGGCGGGACGCTGCTTCTCGTGTCGATTTGAGACTACAATCGCTCTTCTCGATGGACCCTGCGGCATATCCATGATACATGGCTTGCTGCTTGGCTCGTCTCGAATCACCGATGGCATGCAGGCCAGGATCCAGTGAGGTTTGTGCGTCGCCACTATACGATTTGTGCTGGGCACCGAGAACCCACATGATGATCAATCGAGGAATCCGATCCAAGCCAACTGGCCTCGATATGAGCACATCATAAAGGCGCCTAGAGGGTAATGGCAAGCGCGAACGAAGCAGATAATGGGAGAAGAAACTGCTAGTGACATTCTTGTCGGAGAAAGAGGCTGCCTGTGCGGGTCGCTGGCGTTTTCAGAACTTTTCGGGAGACTGGCACCTTTATCTGTGGGGCTAACGGCCCTTGTTCTGGTTGTGCTGGGCACCGATATACCCACCTGATCAACGGAGGGAAGGAACTGATTTAAGCGAATTGCCCTTGCTAAACAATCCAGCGGGGTCTCCAGTACCGTATAGCGGGAAGAAACAGACTTGGTCTTTTGACCCACTGCCTCAACAACCCATGGCCAAGTATGAACAGTGCTTGACTTCCTGCATTCTCTTGCCTATCTGCGACGGACCTGCAGAGATGGCGGGGGCAACCAGGGACCTAGGAAAGGAAGATAGGATCCCAACAACACCATTACTTCCTTTTGGTGGAAGTAAAAGGAATGTGTGTAGCAGAAGCGCCCGTTCTGTTGTGTTCTGTTCAACTCCCCAGCATACATAAGGAGATGGAGAGAAGGCCTGTCAACCACCTTATCAGAACCGTCCCTTCATTTGGAATGGAAATGGGCACCAACTTGGGATAACTAAAGAAGTCACCTCAAGTCGAACAAGTTTCGGAAGCGGGACGTCCAACCATTACGCCTCATGGGACTCGGCGGCCTCAGCAACAATCGGCGACAAGGCTCTGGTTGTGATACTCGGGGCCTGGATCACATGGTCGTGGCGTGTATACCTCAGGAGTTGATCGTGACCGAGAGCATTGTTCTGGCTGTTCAGTTTCTGTTGATCTCTTTTCTTTTTCTTCTTGAGCTTTGTTATTTTCGTCAAATGCACTCTGTTCTTTTTACAGACTTGCCATGTGTAAGGACTAAGCGATCTCCGCCCTTCGCCTCGTGCTTGCAGCCATTCTCGTCAAAGTCCTACGATATCGACGATGTCGACGATGTTGAAGATGCTCTGGCCTCTGCCAACTCTGGTCTCTGCGAATCAAGGCATCACCATCCTGCCCAAAATGCTGAGTCCACCACCTGATCGACCGCGTTCGCGTGTACCTTGGGTGGAGAGAGATCCTCCTTTGATGACCAGGCATGCCCATGTTGTGTCAACAACTCCATCCCGGAGACTTTGCTGTCTGACCTCCATGGTTTTGAGCCAACCCGACTCCCTGGCTATATGACACGATTTGGATTCCACGAGCTATGCCGACCATTGAGGAAGAGGAATCTACAGATGGCTTCTTGAGCAGTGAAGTTGGACCTATATACAGACTTTCTGTCGTGACAGACGCCCGTTGGACGTTTCTTTTCCGCCAGCGGGAGGCACTGTGGCTTCCAGTGGCCTTCTGAATCCGCTGCCCATCAGCACGCAAAAGGAGATTTCTTTGTCACCCTCATGAGGACATCTTGCGACTCTCGGCATTTCTGTCTTACTCGCGTCCACCTGAAGAAGTACTCTGGACCCGGAGCATTGGTCCACTATGGTCGTTGTGTATTAGTCTACATCAGAGACTATATTTCCAGAGCAACGAACAATGAAATTGGAGGCGAGCTTTGGGCGGTCAGAGAGTCCAAATTGGTCTGTGGCCCGACGGATGCGGGAAAGAGAAGGACACAAGGTTCCAGCCTTCGTGGTCCCGTTGGAAGGTTTGGACACGCCACGACGATATCAACCGTCAGTGTGATGTGCCACGATCATGCCGTCTCCCCACTCATCGGCCAATGAGTAGTTCCTTCCGCCTTCGGGGTCACGGGAGGTGAGCTTTGAGGAGAAGGTCATTCTGCCCACCTTCCGTCGGTCCCAGAAGCCGATGGTGTAACTGCAACTCTCACTCAAAACCGCTGTCATCCAAGAAGAGCGAAACAAGCCATCGTGTATTCGTCAACTTCCGATGACAATAAGAGTATGAGGGCGGGACCCTGTAGGAGTCTTCTAGAGCCTCGCAGGTGATCAGCTGGCGCGTCGTCATTGCAAGACCATACCTGATCACGGGCTATGTGCTGTGTTTGCCTTTTTCCTCGTTGCTTGGGGTTTTTCCTACTTCAAGCACCCGACTTCAAGCACCCGAATTTCCAGAGTACCATTCAACAGAACACTCTGGATCCTGTCGAGCCATCTGCTTGAAGCGACGGAATGATAGTGAGGGCCTGGTCCTAGTAAATATCCCATTGTCTCTATACCCAGGTAGTATCTAGCCAATACATACCGCATTCATTGTCTCTTCTTCTCTTCCTTGTTCTTTTTGGGGTTGTACGCAAAATCCCCAGTAGAGCGAACTGTACAAACTCTGAATAAGTAAAGTAGTTCATAAAAAGCCTGCTCAAACAAGTCTCGAGAATCTCCAATATTTGACTTCGGGCTGTATCTGCTTCTGTACGTGCCAGCGCCAGAACCAAATAGGGCCCGAATACCCACGTGAGTACACGTGGATGCATTCATAATAACCATATTCACATCCCTCAACCTATTCCCACATCACATACTCGATTAATGTAGTATACCCAAAACAAAACACCCATTTCCATTTCCATTTCCATTCCCATTTCCCAACCCAATCCCAATCCCATCCCAATTCAATTACCAATCATGCAAAGCCCTTGGCACAAGCCCAACAGGCATAGCACCCCCAGTAACACCAACAACACCCGAAAACAACTCCCCTTCACCAAAGCCCTGCGCATAACCCGGCATCAACTGCTCCAGACACTCATACCCCTCAACCAACGAATCCAAAACCTCCGCCGGCGGCATAATCCCCGCAATCTGCATCCGCCCCCCAAAGCCATGCCCCTGCCCCTTGGTGTCCACAGGACTACTCCCCGCACTCTCGGAATAGCGTCTCTGCACCTCGCCAACAATACAAGCAATTTGATAAGGAAGGTTATCGCCTCCCGGCGCAAGATGCAGCAGGAAACCGCGGACCTGCGTGATGAGAGGATCGGGGATGTTGTAGTCGCATAGTGTTAGGGCTGCGTAGCCGACGATGAAGTAGACGTGGTCTATCAGGGCTGGGGCGGAGGAAAAGCGGGTTTGGAGGAATTTGGAGATGATTAGGCGGGATGTGTTGCAGATTTCGGGGAGGAGACGGTCTGTGTCTGGGGTGTAGCGGGTTGCGGTGCGGTGAAGGAGGAGTTGGCAGAACCAGAGGTTTAGGTCGAGGGTTGAGTCTGAGGCTGGGATTTGTTAGGATCTTGGATTTGATTTGGTGACACGTTATTGGAAGGGGAGTGTTGGAAGGGAGGCTTACTGAGAAGATGGGCCCATTCCATCTTCCACCGCTCGATTTCTTCGTATTCGGGTTCTGCGAATTGGAGGCGGTGCTGGCTGTTTTGGAGTTTGAGGGCGATGCGATAGAGTTGGATTTCTGCGACGATTCGGCCGTCTTCGGCGGTCGCGGCGGCGTGTTCGAGGATTCGGGGGCATTGGTCGAGGTATTGGGGCTGGATGTTGACTGTGCGGCCGTTTGCGAGGGCGGAGCTGTTTGTCGGTGTTAGAGTGTAGTCCACTGGGTGATGAGGTGGAAACATACTGTAGTTGGGTTGCGCAGAGAGTATTCCACAGACGCAATTGAGCGAGTACCTCATCCGGGTTGGGATTATCTCCAGGCCGGGTATTGAGGAAGCTGAATGAGGCGAGAGCATGGTTGATTGAGATCCCGCTCAGCAACCAGTCATCCATCAAACCATCTTTGTGGATGGAGGTTGAGTATAGACAAAGTAATGTCAGCGCTTGCAGCATATCGCCCGTCATTGGCGAAGGCTTCCACAGCATCTTGGCTACGGCGTGCTGTACGTGGAGAGCGATATCGCGGACGGTGTGCTGGGGGAGTCCGGGCAAATAGCGAGCAGCCATTAGACATGCGGTGTTGAATAAGAGTGTATTTGAGCGTTGAATGCTGGATGCATGATTTATCGAGACCCAATGGCCGAAATATTCCACGAAGCTAGCGATATGGTTAGCGCGAAGCTCGACAAACGCAAACAAGTCAGACACACAGTTCAATCATTTTATGGGAGAGCTTGGCATCTACGATGCCCTGGGTGACGATGTCTCCGAGGATATCGGCCTCGGCAGAGTGGTCTCTCTCTCCGAAGCACTCTGCCTGTAGATCCCGGATGAGCTGCGCAGGCTTGAGTGGATAAAAAGATCCAGACATGCTCTCTGAACCCGATCCGTCTACGCTGTTGCTTCTTGGCTGGGAGGTTGGGCTGCAGGACATGCTGGGGGAGCGGTTGACCATCTGGCGCATGAGATGAATCATCTCACCCATACCGCGTTCGAGAGAAACCAGTCGTTCTTCGATCGAGGGGATGGCGGCCGTAGCATCGGACCAGGTGGATGCATTGTCCTGGAACCTCTCCGTTGTCTCAGGGAGCTCACATTCAAGCCTGATCTGGTAGTCAGTATATAGATCATAAGACTATAAGCAAAGTATCAACCGAAAAGGGCAACCAACCTCAGAGATAAGCACCGCCGACAAGCATGCCCACGAGGATCCACATCGCAGCGGGTCTTGAGCTTCCGACAGGTATTACAGGCAGTCATTGACCGACGAATGCGCCCCTTTGGCCTTGCATCCTGACAAGCGACCGAGTCAATTCTGCCGTCATCGGGGGCAATGCCCTTGGTCTCCCATATGGGATTATCTGTAGGGCCGGTTCGCGTCATCTGGAGTTACTGGAGGTACTGTTTTATGGGGGATCATCTATGCCTGATCGACAAAGATGGAGAGAGGGGAAGAGAAGATCAACCAAAAGGGAAAAAAGAAAAAGGTGAAGATCACTTTCATACGGATGATCCCAGCCTTATAATAACGGGTAGGGGAGGTTTAAGGAGGTTTAGCCAATTGCGACAAGACTCGGATTACTGACGATATCAAGATGTAAATCACAATTCTGCTTTCTCTGGGGTAAAATAGAACTTCTAGAAACGGTCCAGAGAGGGGAACCTGCTCTTAGGCTTGATATCTCCGACGAAAACCGTTGGATGAGGGGGCACCTAAGCACCTTCTATCTACAGTCTGAGGTTATCGTGAGATCCCTGCTTATTGACTCTATCTCTAATTAATTTAATTAATTTCTCTCTCTTGTCATTGCAGTCTTAAATTCCACCATTCAAGGTCTAGGTCTAGAGACTTACATTTGCCAGCTTCCTAAGCTGACCAGTGGGACATACACATCCTAGTGAAGGTTGGAAAGATAGCCTTAATCTCATTGGTTAGCACGTGCAATGTCTCAAAGGAATGGCTATCAGGATTGGAGGGTCGCAGCAATGTCACATTGTAGGTTTCTAGGCCCTGTCGCTTGCTGCTTAGTACATGACTCGGTACATTAGCGGCCCCAGTTAGTCGCTTTTGGTCGACTTAAGCCTATTTAGTCTTACGCCGAGGGTTTGTGGCTTCTTTTAGCTGAAGGATTGTCGATCTGGATGGGTTCGTTAACTAATCACTTATCTTTGCGAGGAAAAGTAAAAAGTGAACAGATGTGAGTGAGTGCTGATTCGAATCTTTACACAGTAAGAAGATTACAGTCATTTTCCATGGTCGTTGACTAAAAATCAATCAAATGCAACCTAACATGTTATAGGGATTGCTAATCGCGCACCGCTGACTGGCAATGCGGATGAATTGATTAAAGTCACCCGAGGCTTCTTTGACCAGGGGTGAAGGGATCCACTCTATAAAAATGAATATAAACTCACTCCGGGATTCCTCCCCTTTTGGGGGTCTTCAGGCTAGAGCCTCGGGTAAACAGGCGGTCAGTTTAGTTATCACAATATGCTAGAATCGTAGTGCCCAAATGGTTGAATTCTGGGGTGATCGACCACTGGCCCTGATCCACATCAGCCCTTTGACAACCTTGACGGACATCCTCGGCTTCGTTATCGGCCCGATTGAGCTGCATCGTGCGAGCTCCCATCTCTTAATTAATTTGTTACTTCTCTCTCACGTCAACGCCGATCAAGCTATGCCCAGATATCCGGCGATACGCCTCTAATATCTGCGCTGCGAGCCGGGATTATGCGACGAGATATGCGACAAAGTTTCAAGGCAGTGCTAACCTGCGCAAAGTCAAATGACCACTGACCTCGAGATACCGCTGTTTTCCAATCCCCCGGTCAAAGCCACCCTCGGAGGTAACATATTTAGACACGATGTCGATCACTTGGAAATCCCAACGATGTCCTCGAACCCAATCCTGCCCGCTCTAAACAGCGCAGCGATGCAGTAGGCTGTAGCAAGCTTTCAATCACGGCGCGTAGGCGGGAAGCCACCGAAAGCCACCAAAGCCCCTCCTCAAATTAACAGTGAGGAATGGACGTGGATTAGCAACGCAATGCGGTCAGATCAAGCCGCCCGTCTGATAAGGGCGTTTCATTGGCCGGCTAAACTTTCCCCCCCTTTTCCTTCCTGCTTCTTTACATCTTCGCTGCAGGGGCTCTCGACCAACGGGCTCTGATGAAGACCGCCTGCATGCACTGGCTTCGGGTCCGGGTCTACATACATAAATGCCCGCTTCCGCTGAGGGGTCGCAGGCTAGTCGGGTTTTGGTCTGGTGCCCGCAAGCGAAGCGTACGTGCTTCTCGATCTGGGTATCAGCCGATAAGAGACTTGTTTGGCGTACTTTCTTAGCTGGATGTGAGGCGGTCGTTGGGACCATTTTCTAGAAAGAGAAGTCACCCACCCGTGTCCGAGATAACATATCCTGGGGCATTCTGTGTGTATTGTTTGGAAGGAAGAGAAGTTCTCAGGCTGTGTACATGTTTGGTTTGTTTACTTTTGCCCTAATCCTTTTTGGGCGCGGGGTCGCCTCGGAAAGCATACCAAGCCAGTCTGGGATGTACAGTTTGTACGTGATTCCCATACTAATGGTACTTTCAATAGAAACTCGGCGATCTTAGGCTTTAGCCAAGATACTAGATCAGTTAGAGAACTATACGATGTGCGACAAGTTCAGGGCTTCCTCTAATCACATGAAGCCGGTAGCAATCTTTCTCAATGATCGGCGTGACTAGTAGTGATCGAATCCGAGGGGTTCTAAACTGCTATGAAACCTTTTGATAGCAGACTTCAATTCTCAATTCATGCAGCCATGAAGAACTTCTCCGCGGACGAATTGGACATATTTTGTGTAAGCGAATCACCTTCCATCAAACCAACGTGATCAAGATATGGACTCCTATCTCACGCAAACATGAACCTATTACCCATAATAACCTATAACGCCTGATAATGTACAATCGCAGTTCCACCTTAGCTTCAATCTAATAAAACCCTATTACGTTTAAAATAGCATCCCCGCTTCATGCGGGCCGACATAAGCACCAACTATGCCCTATTCGACTTCCAATTTCAAGCCCAGGGACATTCCCCTCAACAACGCATCCAACGGAACTCCATAATCACAGGCAAAGCCCCTGTCGTGGTAGAGGGCTTTAGTTAAACCTTGAATATCATGAGTAAAGCCCTTGGCGTTTCTAAGCTTGCGTTGATAAACCATTGGAGATTAGGGTTTCCAATATGACCGGGGTATGATGTGCAGCAATACGCAGTGCAATTGCATATCTCGTTGTTTGATGTGGATCAAAACCCCGCTTCGGTGTCTGTCGCTGGTTGTCGGGTCTGTTTATTCTCCGTGTAGGCAGGTACAGTGATAACGTTCACTGCACTTCGCTGCACTCAGACCTCCTTCCTCCATTCACAATATCGGTACGAAGTACATGCATAGGATGAGCGATATCTTCAGGGACAATCTACCTACTTCTGTCACCTTCATAACTCTGCTCTCATTCTCTGCGCTAATTCTAACTCTCCAATGGCACAGACTCCCACAAAAAATGACCGATTCCCCCATAATGCCGCACAACACTCGAACCATTCCCAACTATCAAGGACGCAACAAATACATCTAAAACAAAAAAAAATTGACCGACGCAGGGATCGAACCTGCAATCTCTTGATTCGTAGTCAAGCGCCTTGCCATTGGGCCAGCCGGCCTACTTGTTAATTTGAACCAAAATTGCATTATTAGTGTGAAGAAAGAAAGACCCACTCGGTTTGCACGTGTTTGGGGCTGTCGGAACTTATTCGGACAGGATGTGGTGAATTAAGGTTTTTATATTGATTGTTCCGCGTTGGATAGACTTTCTAAAGTATGCGAAACCTGATTCAGGCGCTTATTGCCGCTTATTTCGGGTATTTTGTGGAAGACTGGATGTTGGTTTGAAGTATATATCTTGGCACTGCCATCAAGACAGGTAGGTGCACAGGACTACTACCTATGCTTCAAGAGCACCCCAGAGTCAGACCTGAGACGGGCCAGCCCCTCTTCATTTCCAGCTACCGCTGACGCTGGGCCACTTCATTGTTACAGACAAGGTGGTCACCACCCAGTCACCCAGGGGAATCTCTGAAAGCTAGAGTGACCCGTGGTGGTTCTTGCTAACTCCATGACATCCATGGAATCTGCTTGTGTACAGAGAAGAGAAATGTGCTGCAGAAGGCTAATATAATAGTGACACGCAGAGCTCCCGACTCCGAAAAAACTTGCATCTCATCACCCTCGTCCGAAACAGACGGTGCACATGCTCGATAGCTCCGATCTAAAGGACCCAAATGGATCTCATAAATGTCTAGTTTATGGGTTCTAGATCCCAACGTTCCAGACATAATCAAAGCAGACCTCTTAGATGGAAGACTTCCTGAATGGAATACGATAAACACAGGGAACGTCATGGCCACAGGAAGCACCGAGCCCAACCTACTTCCAGGAATAGCTGGAAGAAGTATACTGCGTATACCTTGATGGTCCGCTGAGTCCCGATCTCACACCAGAGGACATTGGACAAATCATTGGAAGATTGTTGCATTTTGAGCCGTCTGTAAGAGCGCTAGCGAGACAAGTTCTTGATGACCCTCGGTGCAATGACTGACACCATGACAATTAGTTTACACCATGAAGGTGCATATGAAAGTTGTCTCCAGTCTACTGTACTCAAGTTACCTGATGATTTTATGAGACTTCCTTTAGCGAAACTCTTCGATCAGATCCAAGTCCGGCGGGTAGGGTGGCAGATAGACCAATTTCACCCCTACATCAGCACACATCTGCATCATCCGCTCTGAATGATGAACCGAGGCGTTGTCCATAGGCTACCATGGTCAGAACGAACTGATTTACGTCCTGACCATCTTCCGCAGTGCTGAAAAAGCTGTGATATGAAGTCCTCGAACACGGTGGCACCTGAGGACCCGCCAAAGACACGCGAGAAAACGATTCCATCCTAGGCATACACAGAAAGTATTCGATATCGCTAATCCGTAGTCGTGGTGAAATTGTGACACTTGCATAGGGGACACCGAGTGGTGACCAGCCTGTGTGCCTGGGCCCAACCTTCAATCACATACTGATTCATCTACGTAGACCAGCTAATACAACTAGGTTTCCATGGGAATAGGAGAATGAAGAAAGAAAACAAACAGAAAGTAAACTAGCGGTGTGGCACTCGCCACCGTGCCCTGCAATCGACTACATACTGTACAACCACGTAGCACAACATCATACCAGATGCCCTATGTAAGTCATAATATACACAGACAGGCGGGGGCCACTCCGATCTGAGATAAACCAGTGTCGTCCCTACCCTTGCAGGCTTAACCACTAGGACAAATGGAGAAAATGAGGCGACGTCATAACATATATGCATTATCCACAAGAGCTGTCATATGCATGCTACTTACATAGTCCAGGTTGTAAGCACTTTAGTCGACTGCAATGCGAGTACATATTGGCTGTCACCGCAAAGTCAATCGACGGACACATACTCCGACCTGGTGTCGATTCCAGCATTCCAACGTGGCCATGCATTCCGGCATATCGTACATGAACATAAACCTGTTTTTATGCATAAGATCTCAGATTCAAGTCCACATTCTCAGATCTGAACTGCAAGGTACACGTTAGCGTAGGTACATGGCGTCTAAAAGTCGGTCTGTACTCCGTATCGAGTATAGTTACTCCGTACATATGGCCAGATCTCTAGAGAAATTTAGCACAAGCGCGTATCCCACCTACACTATGCTCGCCACCTACAAAGGAAAGCAAGTCCCGAGCAAAGAACCCAAAATATCCAAACCACGTTAGAAGCGGGACGCTAGCGAGACTATTGATTCCCGTACCGAAAGAAGTCTCGAACGGTGGGTCCGTCGATCAGAAATTAAATCTCCAGCAACTAAGATTCAATAGTCCGAGCTTGGACGGCCACTGCACAATTACACACTGAATACTCCGTACATAAAATAATGCAAGGACCCTACATAAAGGAGATCATGCGTACTCCGTACTCCGTGAATTATACGGAGTACAACACATTTAAGGAGACATAGAGATCACTGACATCGGATCCTCCACTTAACGCGAGGACTGAACACCATATATGGATAGGATGGAATATGTTATGTCACATAACTACAGTGTATCTACATGCACATACATACCCGGACCAATTCAAAACGCATGCACTGAACACGTGTATATGATATACAACTTAGATGTCAGGACATGCATTTCCAAACTTTCAGCCCATAAGGTGTGAAAAATATACGGTGAGACCGACGCTCGGACGAACCTCGATCTACACGAACCATCGGAACCCAAATCGGGCTGACATGAGACAGCTCACAAATCCCGCAGTTGACAGCTCCGAGAAAATCGTCACGCGCCACATCTATACGAGCATTATTACCTTGCGGGTAGCAGACATGTGTTGTTCGTATATTCTAATGTAGTTCCAATTCCCGAGCTATGTCAACCAGCGCATAGTATGCGCACACCTACTATCGCTACCAGGTAGCCCCCAAGACAGCTACACCTGCATTTACAGATGTACTACGTATACTTAACGTAGTCGAATATGTACAATATAACACAGTTAGACACTCCATCTAGCCCGCACAAATGAATATCCAAAAAGATGCTTAATTCACCGCTTTATGACGGGTCGGATGCGGGCAGCCGTAGCGAAAGCGCGAGTAGCGCGAGTCAGATCGGACCCGAGTACCGACGAGCAAATTACTGAGATTCTAGATTCCCAAGATGAAATATGTACCAAAAAAGAAAAAAAAAGCCAAAACCAAAACCAGGGTCTAGTCTGTAAACTGCTAAATCGACAGGGTCAGTCTAGGGGGATAAAGATTTCCACTGAATCTGATTTGCCCTCCCCTTACAACTTACAACCTGGAAGTGTCTAATGCACGCTGCACGACACCTGTGCGGTGCATGAAGGGCCAGTGGTTGGTTCCGGATAATCATTTTTTTCTTTTCTTGGTTACTATATGCATAACTATGTTGTACTAGTGGCTTGCATAACCGCTGTCTTTGTGGGGCGATGGAATTTGTACATGTAGGTATTAACTCCGTGCGTGGCATCTAACTTAGTTAATTACTCTGCAGTGCGCACGTCTGTAGATGTATGTAACTGCATCCCGAATCCTGTTTCTTGTATCCAGATCTACATTCTCAATCTTCACAATGTAAGGTCAACCACAGCGGAGTGGTGCTGTGGAAGACAAGAACATTTGAAGTGGATGTTCCCCCTCGCCGAGGGCATCCCCAAGAATGAAGAAAACATCTACCCAAGTTCCATACTTTAAGAAAATAGGTCCCACTTTGTGCATGAAAATCAATCCTCGGCAGAACTCCGCCGAGATCTGCAATACCCCGTAGGAAGCTAAACGGATTATTCTCGGAGCAACAACGGAGCAAGACTGAAAAGAAAACAAGTTTAAGCAACCCACCAAGTCACAAGTTCATCCTGTGGATCTTCATCGCAGAGGTTAAACACACAAAATAAAAGCGTATATTCATAGCCCCAGCCTCTAGCTGCCGGTCAGAACGCCAAAACTGAAATCCGATCTGATCGAAGCCTGCAGGATTCACGTGGCTGGAGGGAAGGGCGTTCCGTGGTTCTGTGGATTCTTGGAATCGGTACTGGGAATTTTGGATTATTTCAATTTTCAACCAACCTAGTTTCAACAAGGGATTGAGATGGATCTAAATCCTGTGAGTTCCATAAGATAAGGATATAGTTAGTGTGCATATTAACTTTACAGTGAAGTTTTGCACTGCAATGAATAATATCCCATCAGATTACATGTAAACGCGCGGTCAACTAAGCGCTGTCAAGGAAGAGCCACAGCTTTAGATTGACAACCCGACGTCAGAGAAAAGTCAAAAGTGGACGATCTCGATCTCCAGATCGGGGAATTCGGAGTTAAGGAATATCCCATTGGGAAATATTATTGAGTATCAGTTTCGATGTCAGGGCTAGTTTGCGGGTCTGGAAAACCCAAAATTGAATGCGAATTAGTGACAGTCCGTTCCATGGTTCAGCTTCCCCCAGTTTCACCTTTGAAAATCGCTTTTTGGTATGTAACCCGAGTTGTTTTCGATATTTCTTGCCTAATTCTAGATTCAATATTACCGTAAGCTTCAATGGACATCATATATACTCTAAATGTAGAGCAGTCTCATAGTCTATTTTTGTTTCTAGAACTGTCCCTCCCTATAGACTCGAAGTCCGAAGACCCTAGAATTTGTATGTTATATCGAAAGTAACCCATATCGCAGATCAGTAGGGAAAAAGGAGCCCAAGTACCGAGGATGCGTAGTGGGGACGGGTTGTGCGGTGGACAGCTGGGATCCGCATGCAGTATTCTTTGGATGATATTCGGACCCGCAATTGTGGCACTCTGCGCTGTGGATGAAATGATCATCACAATCAGGAAAATAAAACCGGAGAAACCGAGGTTCCTAACACCTAGGAAATGCAGGCACTTTGCAGACTTCTGTCAGTCGAAAGCACAGAGTCGAAAAGACAAAATGTAACAATCACATAGCATATGTGAACAGATGAGATTCCCAAACATAACCCTTGCCATTTGGTTCCAGCGCCAAAAGACGTTCTCGCTGGTGAACGCAGCCAAGAGAAGGGTATCGAAATGTCATGTCTAACTCTGTCCCCGTACCGGACGGCAATGCGACATGTAGTGAAGTCCAGAAGAAGTGAGAAGAAAACATTAAAAGGGAGACAGATAAGGAAAAGAAAAAGCCAGTCTATGCCGTTGAACCCCATGACTCGTAAATGGTCGCAAGAAAACAAGATAGACCTCCCAGTCGTAAAGTGAAAACGCTGTTGCGAATGCCGTGTAATGTCGAAAAAGAAGAAACAGAAAAAAAAAGGCCGTGATCGAATCCAATCAGCGATGAGGAGAAGCCAAATGCTCCGAGCCATCAACATCACTAAAAGGCGAGTGTCTCGACTCAGCATCCACACCACTGCGCATCTGATTCCGCAAAGCAGGAAGCTGTCGTCTGCGAGCATTAATGAACCAATTACTGATCTGTATCGAATTAGCAACCATTCCAATTCCATCTCCAATTCTCAAGCCAGAACTCACCTGACTAATCGACAGCCCCGTCCTCGTCATAAACATCTGCTTATCCTCCTCACTCGGATAAGGATGATCAAGATGCTCATGAAACCAAGCCCGAAGTATATCCGTAACAGGCTTCGGCAGATTCCCCCGTCTCCTCTTCGTCTTCGGATCAATCGGATCCCCCATGATCCCGAAATTCGCCTGTCCATGCCCACCACCACCCATCATCGACATCTGCTCCTGCTCAAACGAATGTCCATACGGCGGCTGCATAATAGGCTGAGCGAACTCGCGCGGCTCGGGCCCCGCGCCGGGCTGGCGGTAATCCTGCGTGAAAGGGTCAGACCGCGGGGCGCGCTCGACATAGCCTTCCCTGGAGGGTGGAGTGTTCATGCTTCGGCCTGGGATGGAGTCCAGGTCTCGGATGGGCGGGAGAATTGGGCTGGGCCCGCGGGCACGGCTGTCTGATAGTCGCATGTGGTGGGCTGGGTCGGACATGCGGGGTTGTTGGTCGCGGGCGACTGTGTATTCGCGGTGGGATTCGTATGAGGTTGAGGGTTGAGGGTAGGGAATTGAGCGGGGGTCTGCCATATCGTGGGCTGAGGGGGGTCGGGCTTGTGGGGGGTAGTATGGTGTTGATTCTATTTCATCGTGGAGGTGGGCGGGGAGAAGCTGGAGGAAGTTAGTATATGGTGTATTTTGTTGGTAGGGTGTGTGATTTGTCTACCTCGCGGAATGAGGGGAGGGTTTGGTGAGGGTGTCCCGTTGACGGCTGAGTTGTATACGAAATAGCCATATCGGTTTCTTCGTCGACCTCTCGGGACTGGGACATAGACGAGGTGTGAGTGGGACAAAGGTTGAGATGTCCCGGATGTGGAATGGTTCACAGCAGCACAGATAGAACTATGTTGTATATTGTACTGGTCGACTTCAGACTCGATATCAGAGGGTAAGTTATGAGACAAGACGAGTCTCGAGATGTCGAGGAAGGTGTTGAAGAAGGGACGAATCGTCAAAGGAAATACTAAGAGAAATAGGCGTTTACGATGGCATGGTAGAAAGAAGGCCAAGATTATATGCAAGGTTGGGGAATGAGGGCAAAGATGGAAATGCGTTCCAAATAAGGGCCTGTCGAACCCGAATGCAAGAAAAGAAAAAGAAATAAGAAAAAAAAGAAACAAACCTCATTAAATCGAAAAAAAGACATCCAGCTGTTACATATCCATGGAAAAGCAAGAACAGGGGCCGAAAATGACGATCGTGTGGAGTTGAGTGTCAAAATGGAAAATCACTAGCTTAAGGTTGACAGATGCCAAAGAAGGGATCTCTCTCACGAACTGCGGTTCCATAGATTGGGAGGGGGGGGAGGAGTTCGGAGGGTGTGATTGGACGAAGGGGAAAGTATCCCTTGGGTCATGATAAATAATGGAAATGGAAAATAGATGGATTTACCAATTTTGGTTATTTCCGAATTTTCCGATTTATTTGAAAATTGGACCCGGTCATCCCTGCTAAAGCATAGCAATGTCTTCTATAGCTACATGATAGGAATAGAATCGAGAATACTATCATAGCGCACAAGATAATGGAGGATATGAAGGATACAAAACAAAACAAAAAGAAGAGCCCGGTTGTGACAGCCGGAGCGAATACTGTCATATGTGTCCGAGTCAGGCAAAAGCTGATCACTTCTCTAACGTAGTAATGAAATCTGTAAATCAAATCACATCATTGCTTTTTCTGTGGGGAGATGTGAGATCCAGTGGCAGAAAGTAAAAGAGGGAAAAAGAAAAAAAGAAAAAGAAATGGGAAACCTTACCGATCCAGTCAGTCCCATGGAAAGTAAAAGACAACCGGACATTGATCAATGACTTGAACTTTGTGCATTGTACTCCATACGGTAAGATAAAAGACTACTCCGAGTCAAAAGAAAAGATCGCCGAGCTCTGTTCCACAAGACATTACACCATCACACAGGTCCAAAGCGAATAAGAAAGCCAACAAGTGAAGTCGCGATCGCAGATTGCCCAGACTCCAGAGCCTCTCATCGGCGGGCACGGAGATCGATCGACCAAACAAAGACCGCAACGGGGAGAGGGGGTTGGTATTGGTCAGGGATGAGATCGCCTAGGGGTTCTTTAATTGGTATCTCCACTTCCTTCGAGATGTGGCGCAACAATTTTTCTATTCTTTCCATTTATTATTTCTCTACTCTACTGTATACGCCGTAGGGCAACGTCAGAGCAGGGATCACCCGAAACCCGCATTACCTATTCATCGCAATTCTATGCACTGTGAGCTGGTAATCATGGCTGGTACCCTGATTGGAGGGAAGCACGCATATGATATCTCAAAGGTGTGCAGGGAGCATATGTGACAGCAGGGCACTTACATTAGAGCGATTCTGATTTCTTAGGACCGACCTCTTTGACCTTAGTGTATTAGGTCTGAGTTTACCGCGCTTCTCTTCCTACTCAGCTTGACAGGCATATCCCGAGCCGACCGACCCACTTTACCAGCTATGTACATGGTCACATTCTGACAATTCGATATTTGGAGATTCCTTAGTGCCCAAGTGGGCCTGCAAGATATACAATGCCAAAGCGGAACAATGAAGGTCGAGAGTGACTTTTTTGTGATTGGTGGGGTAAGGCCAGAAGTGTCAGATTATTCTATTGATCATATGTTTCAACAGCTAGCATTGGAAGGTGAGAAATTACCCCTCTTGATCGGACGTTTCGCCCGAATCCTGATGCCTTGGCAGCTGTCCCAGTGTGGCCCAATTCACAGCCTAAATGTCTCAAGATGGCAGCCAACCCCGGGCTTTCGTGAGCCAGCCTTATTGCAGCCGAGTGCAAACTAAATTCCGTGATCCACTCAGATAGATCCAGACAACTGGATAGAAGTCAGATAATTGACCATTCAGTTCGGCATGAAATAAGAACCCTTGGAACCAGCCTCGTGTCCCTCGTGGACCTCGATCTGGAGAATCTTAAACTCTCTCGATTTGCCCGTCATTCCAGGGCGCGATCTGAAGATATCCTTGAAACTTTCCCAATCCATACAACAAACCTTGAACAGTACGGAGTACAGGCCAATATGTATCGATCTAAGGAATAAAAAAAGAAAAGTAATTGAAATTCCAACCGATCGTCATACCTGCCATGCCCCAGTCTCAATGACGAGATCCCGAGATCGTGCATGAAAGGGAATGCAGATCATCGGATCTCGCAGAACAGGAACTAGGATCGGCCCTGGAAATGACTGGTCTATTTTCTTAGGAATGAGGTCTAGTCTACTGCAGTAGTCAGTTGTACTAGATACATGTACACCGGAAGAATTACTCCAGATCTTTGGAAGTATTTGTCATTTCCCGGTAGGCGGGTTCGCCGATCCTTGGTTCTGTCCACAGGTACCACAGGTACTGTTTTGGTCTCAATTTTGAGTGTGCTGTTAACCTTATTTCTCGTGACACTTAAGCTTGCTTGTTCCTCCCATTTCTCTTTAACAGGTATTCTTCTAGATCAATTCAATTCTTAAAACAAGGATTAAAAATAAGTTAAGACAAATATCCCCACTCCGTCTATTCCAAATCCAGGGTTCAGCATAAGGACCCATGGTTCATAAAACTCGATCCCAAAATGGCCGTATGCATACTCCCCCATAACAAAATAGACACAGCCCTACCAGCACCATCCCGACAATCTGAATCCCCGTAATAATTGCTTCTTCCACAACCCGACCGTGTCACTGCATTTATCGCCAAGAGAGCAGTTCGTGACAGCGACCAATCTCTTTCATGCAAGCTGGCCTCTTTTCGCTATTGGTCCGATCGGGGTTGTTTTCTATTTTAGGCATGGGTCATTCACTGGTACCTGACTGGCGTTAGATCAGGTACATACTGTACTTGGGGAACCTATGGTGATGGTAAATAGGCTATTCTGGGCACGTCAGTCTCTGGTCGCAGTAATCTGGATAGTGTCGGGCGTGGATTGACATTCTATCACAATGGTTGAAAAGGGAAGGAGACACTCACTGCATCGCGCTAGCTCGCCAGTTGGCTCGAAGCGTTAGAAGGCAAGAAGGCACTGCGTCGCTCTAGCTCGCCAGTTGACCTGAAGGGTTACAAAATACTACCATGCATAGTTATCCCACCAGGAGAATCTTACTTGCCTTCTAGATAACTAGTAGCAATAGATGGAGCTAGCAGGTATGAATAGCCTTGCATTTATACATAGTAGTGCTTATCCTCTTCAAGACTGACGGCGCCATCTGTCGGCTTCTAAGTGTAAAAGGTACCAAATGGGGGCACACTAAGACCAGGTATGTGCTGGACGCTTAGGGCGACGATTGAATCACATATTGTGTACTGTGCCATTGTTTGAAAAAGACCCAACCGGAGGCTTCTGGCCACAGCAATGAAAAAGCTACCTACCAGAGTGTAATACAGCAAAATTATATCCTGCTTTCATTCCTGAGCTCCTTCAAACTGTACCGCCCACAGCAGAGTTGTGAAGTCAATGAGCTCTTGCTTCGAAATGACGATGTCATTCTCCCTGTTGTCTTCCGCTGGTCGTCGAAAGAATTAATCCAACCCCATCACGAGCTGAGGAGGAGGATGATTGCGGTTGAAGTGAACTTTACCCTTCGACTTTGTGATGGTCAAGTGTGTCTTGTTGACGGGTCTGGGATATCCATGGCTCCCTTGCCACTGGTCAATCGTAATCTCTGTCTTCTTTGGATGAATCTTGACTCCGATGGCCACGTTGGCTTTCTGTCTTTTTGGGTTGACCCAGTACTGGGCATCACGACGAAGCTTGGCGTAAGGCTCAGACGAAGCCAAGAGAGTTAAGGTAAGAACGACTTATAGACCTTGCTCCATCCAAACGTCGCTTGAGATATGTCTCAACTGATCAGGAGAGATATCAATGTTATGCTCCGGCGGGACAGGTCGTCGACAAAATAATTCCTCAAACTCGATTGTCAAGGGTACTTCTGGGCTGGCGGTAATCTGTGCGCCGTGACGGGATATCGTAATGGACTGCCGTATAGTTGGGAGGTAGCAGGGCTGATGGTGTGGTAAGGAGCCGACCGCGTCTGAAAAAGCTGTCTCAAACGTGATATTGGGTGTCTTTGGATTGATAGACACGATGAGTAGAAGCTTCACATCGCCCCTGGAGTTCGTGAGCCACCATTCTGCGTCTGCCTTCAACTTTCCATAGGACTCAGAGTCTCCAACTTCGACCGCAACAGTCGGCCATTTTGCATCGCGACCTGGAATAGGTTGCGAAAGGGCCCACGACTCATCGGCCTCCTTTGAAGAAGATACACCTCGCACGCGTGCAGACCCTACCACGAGAATCGACCGATGTAGACTCATATCGCGTACCACATCTTGCACTTCACAAAATAGGCCGCGGGAAGCTACCTGATGGACCCCGGTCACGAGCTTTATTATCATAGATCGAGTGTCGTAACTGAACATAGATCGAGCGGAGCTCGAGGAAAACTCTTCCGCAATGGTTGGTGGCACGTTTGTGAAATGTAGGTATTTGATCACCTCGATAGGAAGGTTCTGTTGCTGTCTTATGATCCTCCGGATAGTGTTGGCATCCGATCCGATGGCTTCGTATGTGTCATCAGGTAGTTCTTGGAAGCACTTGACGGCAGGTGAGTCCGAGTTATCGGACAGGTCTGAATGCCGCGGCATAGTGGTCAATTGGCGAAGTGATCTCGACTTGAACAGAAAGTGCTGACATTAGTAGTAAGGATTAACTAGATAGATAGTGAGGTTGTCTCTCCCACATGGTTAAGTCATCCTTACCTTATCAATCGGATAGGGTTCCAAGGTTACAACACTTCGTTAGCTGGGTCTCGCCGCCGGAGTAGTGTTGTTCAGCTTGTTCTTGCCCTGCGTAGATGATTGCTATTCTATCTGCCATGATAGTGAATGTGGCGGCATTTTGGAGAGGGGAATGTCATCGGTAAGGTTGTGAAGAGACTCAGCAGCGAGGAACTATCTCTTCTCGAGCGTGAATGGGGAAATTCTGTGACTGCCGCCAGGTAGAAGGCTAATTGTATGAAGTAGAAGGACTTGGAGAGTACGTAAATGCACAGTCAGGTGGATGGAAGAGAGAAAGAGAGAAAGAAAGTGCTATCATGGCATAGCCTCAGCATAGGTTAGTCCAGACTCTAATCTCACCTTTCCCTCTAACTATTCACCAGTTGACTAGTTCACAGTAAATCTAACCCTCGAACATTCAGCCCAGAACCAAAGACAGGGAATATGCACACAATGCACTTGTACCTGTGATTGGAAATGTACAGATGATGCGAGAAATAAATCCCACATAACTCACAATCCCTGTACACGTCCAATCAAATCTCACACAGCCCTGTCAACCCAACAGGGATTATCGGGACGGGCGTCCGTGATTACCGGCCTGTTTGAGGTGATGCCAATCGATCCTTGATCTGATTTTCTTCGGGGATCCCAAGTAGATATGTGATGAAAGCAACGTTGGTGTATTCGGCCCGAGATCGTGTACTCCCACAAGTTCTGATCTGCGGAGATGAGGATGAGGATGACGATGATGGATATGGATTTGTATCAAGAGGGTCTAGAAATGCATCAACGCGAGACTGTCATTGAAAGACTATAGAAATCACAACCAATCTCACCCACAATCTACCACTTCAAAGTCCAGTTCCCACTAAACGCACCCTTACCAGTCAACTTCTGCAATCCACCCACAGAAAGCACACGCGAAGTAGAGTTCCACTGTACATGCTCAGCAGACACCACCTCCCCACCAAACCTAACAACACCAGGCCTTGTCTCAACACCAAGAACAGTAACCCTGTCCAACGGATTCACCTCCTCCCATCTCCCCTTCGCCTTAACACTGAGAGCCGATCTCTCAACCGTGAACTCAACATTAAGGGTCTCATCCGGCACATTACTCTCCCCATCATCAAGATACAGCTGCCCAGACGCAGCCCCATGTCCACCAAGCGCAACAAGCAAAGACCAAGGCGTAGCACGCGCCTCCTTAGTCGTCAACGCCGGCTCCTGCATCGGCAAGACACTGCCACCCCTGACGAAAACAGGGATATGGCCCAGTGGCGCGGGGATAGTGGTATTAACGCCTGGCTTCGCATCGACGGCTTCATGACTGTACCAGTCATACCAGACCTCTCCGTGCTTGAGGCCCGGGAAGACACCCTTGACTGAAGTAGCCTGTGGCGCAAGCACGGGGATGATCATGAGCGCCGAACCGAGCAGGAACTGTGTGTCGACGGCGGCGAGGGAAGGGTCAGTTGGGAATTCCCAAGCGAGAGCGCGCATGACCGTCGTCCCCTCGGTGTGTGCCTCATGGAAGAGAGTGTAGAAGTAGGGGAGAATGGCGTAGCGGATTTGCATGGCGGATTTGGTGGCTTTGGCTACGGAGTCCCAGACATAGGGCTCCTGCGGGATTGCGGAGAGGGTATTGTGGTTTCGGTAGAAGGGGAAGAAGGCGGAGAGTTGCATCCAGCGGTTGCAGAGTTCTTCGTCGGTGTTTCCGTTGAAGCCGCAGGTGTCGACGCCGAACATGGGGATGCCGAAGAGGGAGAAGGAGAGGGCTTGGGGGATGGAGAAGAACATGTAGGCCCACTTCGAGGCGTTGTCGCCTCCCCAGTGGCCGGCCCATTTGCCGGAGCCGGCGAAGGTCGAGCGGCCGATGATGAAGGGGCGTTTGTTGGAGTCGACTTTCAGCAGGCCGTGGTAGGTGGCGTTGAGGATTTGGTGGCCGAAGAGATTGTGTACGTCGTATTCTTGGACGCCGTCGTAGTGGGTGGCGTTCGGTGAGACGGCGTGGACGGCGAGATCGTGACCGTCCTGGTCGTGGTTGATCACGTAAGGTGGGTGGTTGATGTTGCGTACTCCTGCAGTGGGTGTGGTACGCAGATAAGGGGTTGTGGATGAAGGGCCAGAGTCACCGGTTGCAGCGGCGGCAGCCTGGCTAGACGCTGCCGAAGACGCGGCTGCGGCTTCGGTCTTGTTGCTCAGCTCGAATCCTTCGGGATAGTCGTAGATCACGTTGCCAGGCTCGCCGGGGAGTGCGAAGGGAGGGTGAGCGGGGTTCATGCTCAGGTTTTTAGATCCGCAGCTGCCGACGCAGAAGGAGGAGACTTCATTCATGTCAATCCAGATGCCGTCAATGGCAACTTTCTTGTGCCAGGTCACGATCTCGTTCGCCCAGAAATCATTTGTCTTCGGGTTGTGCCAGTCGGGGAAGACAGTATAACCGGGCCAGACAGCGCCAATGTACTCGCTTCCGTCAGGGTTCTTCAGGAAGACATCATCTTTATGCCCGCGGGTGTAGGTATCATAGCTGCCAACATCAGCAGGTACCCTCGAAGACAGGACCAGAAAGACTTACGCATCAGAGACATTATCAGGGTTCGGAATATAGATAGCAGCATCGATGATGGGGACATAGTGACGGCCACTGCTGTGTAGCTTGTCCAAGAACTCCTCACCCTCGCTGTATGGATAGCGGTGCTGATCATTGTCAAAGTCGCGGTAGCCATGCATATAATCAATGTCATTCCTGGTCAATATTTAGCAATTGTCCAAACGGCGGGAACGAGCGATCAACCTACCAGATAGTCTCCAAAGGAATTTCGAACTTCTCAAAGTTGGAGACGACATGCTCAAGCTCAGTCCAGTTATGGTAGCCCCAGCGGCACTGGTGGTATCCAAAAGTAAAGTACTGCTGCAATGCCGGCAGGCCAATGGTGCTCAGCTGGTAGTTCTTGGTGACCTCTACCTGAGTGGGACCAGAGTAGAAGGTGAGATCAATGCTGCCTCCCAGGGTGCGCCATGTTAGACCTTCAGGCTGCATGATAATCTCCTGACCATGAGCGTTTCGGAAGAAGACACCGTGCGAATAAGAGACATAATCCTTAGACTGATCCGCGTTGTCAGCTGCAACGAGGGTGTGATGGCCCCTGTGGTCGACCTCGTAGTAACGGGTGTCTAGATAGAAAGGGTGGGTTCCGTAAAGATTGCTGGCCGGTAGTTAGTATTGACAATGTTGTAGAGAAACCCCACGCTGGTCGTCTGAAACTCACAGATCAATAGGATCACCAATATCCGATGCATAGAGAGTCACAGTGCGGTTGTTCAAGATGCGCAGTTGCTCGATATGCTCTCCAATCCCGTACAAGTTGTAATCTCTTGGTAAAGAAGTCACAAACTCAACAAACTGGTTCTCAAATACCAAGACCGAGCCAGTGGTATCGAAGATAGCATCACCAGTAGCTTTACGAGTGACCTTGAAGTGGAAAGACGGCTTGTTCGACCAGGTAATCTCAAGGTCACTTCTTCTCTCCGAAGCATGCTTATCGGAGCTAGGCCGGGGAACGACATGCTCATCCAGCACGAACCAAGAAGAATTGGAAGAATCAAGATAAGTCGGGACAATTTGAACATTGAGCCGGTCATGAGCGAGGTACTCAATAGAAAGATCTAATGAGTCCACATCCGTACCATAGACATTGCATGGCTTCCCTGCCAACTTCAGGGTTGCAGTCAAGCCGCGAGAAGACTCCCGTACGTTGGAAGCCCTGTAGCCTGGACACACGGACTGTGCGTCAACAGCTTCCGGGTCATCGATATTGGCGATTAGATGCGCGCCCGAATCAGAATCACTCGGAATAGTGAATTGTGAGTATGCCGATGAAATAGTCGAAGAAGCAGCAGAGCGAGAGCCCGCGGCGGATGTTGAGAAAGTACCATAGGCAGCTGGCAGGAGCCAGGTACCAACGAGAAGGTTTCTTACACCGACCATAGCGACCGGTTCCTGGCGTTTAGAGCAGGGAAGTTCGTCGTTTCTCAAACGATCTGTCCAGCGCAGCCCCGTTCTTATAGGTCCAGAGCGCAAGGAGGTTCGTTGCACAACAGCTGCACAGGAATTGACAGGAACCGATCACCATCCCGAGGCCGGAATACGATTGAAAATATCCGTCGATTGTCCGGTGGTCCACATCGTTTGCCGAGTTCTTTTGCGGGGTTGGTCAAGCTTCCAAGCTAAATCAAGCTAAATTATGGAATGCTGGGGCTGCGCATTGCGGGGAGGGCCCCTTGCGTTTACCCGTGCGATCCGATTGCTACTGCATGCCGATGGAATGGAGGAGTACTCCCTGGAGAGTACTCAGACAGTCAAACTCGTTGATTCGATGTCCAATCATTGGTCAAACATGCCAATCCGGGCGAAGCCGCTGGAAGGTACTGCCCATGTAGGAATACCGAAATGTGTATGTCTATTGTAGGTAGCAATATCCAACTCGGAAAAATACAAGTCCGCAGAGTCGGAAGTACTCCATCGTCCCACATTATCCTGCGTAAGTGGTTAGCAGTCTCCTTGGCGCAGTAATAGGGAAAACCCACCTCGCCTTGACGACTGCCGATCACACGATATAAGACCTTGTGATTGGCCAGTTGTCCGATAAATATCCGTGTCCATTGGCCCCTTGTATTTCCTATGCTACGGCCGAATCTCGTCATGACCCCGTCTTTTGTCTGCGGTGAGCCCTTTCTCTCTAGTGAAGAATCTTATAACTACCGAGAGACGCCTGGAAGACGTCTGGGGAGTCTGGACTCTGGAGTAACTCTGGAGGGAGTGTCCGTGGGAACCTCATAATCTTGAGTTCTCGACCCCACGTACATATCTTGATCAGTCAATCAACCGAGGTTCCCTTTTCGAAAGTGTAACGACAGTATACACTTCATCCTCAAGCGCATTGGTTTAGCAGGCAGATATCCATCAAGAAAAGCCCTTCTTCGGGAAGCCGAGAGGGATCAAACAAGCACTCTCGGTACTTCGGAGGCTCCGTTTAGACGATACTTGAAGTAAAAGAAGCCGTGAAGAGTGAACAGCTTGATTGGGTCCGAGGAAGACACCAAAGCGGAGACAAGCGCTTGTCGTATCTTAGCGGTGTCCACTCCCATTCAAACAGGTTAAAGCAGGGCCAGAAAATCGCGCATCGTTTGATCTTAGCTCGGCTCAAGCAACGCCATGAAGATGTCAGGCCACCATAGCCGACTTGGCCCATCCGATTAGGATACCTTGGCTTACGGGCCGAGATGATGGAGCTGTCAGTGTTTTGCAGGATGAAGCAGGATGACATAGATTCGACAATCGGAATACTCCCTGAAAGAGTCAAGACGCATGTCAATCTTGCGAGTCCATGGAAATGTGGGGAAGGCTGAGGGGAATCCGTGGTTGGCGCGAGATGTCGGGCCGAGATAAAGTAGGGTCGCAACGACCCCTGATCTAGAAGATGCCTGGAACGACCAAAGCAAGTACGAATGCGAATAAGATCAAGATGAACGCCATCCGCAGGGGCCTTTGCGGGGTTTTTTTCTTCACTCGCAAGGACCCTTCCCCCGCGCACGCACTTCCCCAGGTTTCCGGGATTTGTTTTATAATGGACCTCGAAAGTCCCCGATGAAACATCGCATCATTACTGCAAGGAAAATCATAACATGAACCACTCCTCTGCTGAGTCGAGTCACATTACCTAGACATATACCCCAGATCCAACAATGTCAACCAAAAAGACCTATAAGCAAGCCTGCGACAACTGCCGCCGCCGCAAGATAAAGTGTTCCCGCGAACTCCCATGCGACAAATGTCAACGGCTACTTCTCTCCTGCTCATATAGCGACGTCCTCCGCAGAAAGGGCCCCAAATTCCGCACTCTCTACCCCCTAGCCCCAATCCACCCTCTCATCTCCCGACTCGACCATCCCGAGCACCCCAATCCCGACGCAGACGGGTCCGGCCCGGATCTGGAAGAGATCCCGGACTACATGTTCAAGAACTCCCCCATCTCCCCAGAGTTCATAATCACCGACTCGCAGTTCGTCGGCCGAGACTTCTCAGATACATTCTCGCACCTGCCACCACCGGAACTCGTCTCCTCCCCCGGCTCAACAGACTCAACAGTCGAATCTGCCATCGGCTACGGCTACAACTACCGCTATGCCAGACCACAACCCCCGCGGCTGTCGCCGCAGATCCTCCTCGCGCACGTCAATGTCTACCTCAAGTACCTGTTCCCAATCATGCCTGTTGTTCGCGGCGACCAGCTGCGGCTGGACTGCCATGCGCCGGAGCAGCTGACTGCCCGTCGGTATGCATTTCTTGCCTCGTTGTGTGCGGCAACGCATATCCAGCTAAAGCTGGATGGGACTGCGCCGGTGACGGATTCGGCGCAGCGGCGTATTGGGGACGGGCAGTCGTTGATGTCTGGAGAGGAATTGCTTTGTGAGGCTGTGCGGGCGCGAAGGGAGGTTGATGTTTTGGAGGAGGTTGGGACCGAGTCGCTTTTGACTTCCTTCTTTTTGTTTGCTTCGTATGGGAATTTGGATAAGCAGGATCATGCTTGGTTCTTTCTGTGCCAGGCCACTTCGTTTGCGTTTACGCTTGGCTTACATCGGGAGGGGACGTATGCTGAGTTCGAGGCTGAGGAGGCGGAGGAGAGACGGAGGATTTTTTGGCTTTTGTTTATCACGGAGAGGTGAGTGATACTGCGGTGGTGTTGACGACCAATGCTGATTTGTGATTACAGGGGATATGCTCTCCAGCAATCGAAGCCGGTTATGCTGCGCAGCTCGATTCATAAACCTCAGGTTCTTTGCTCGGAGGATCCCATCTTGGCTTATGGGTTTATCAACTTGATCAACATCTTTGAGAATCTCACCCCCAGTCTTTATGACTGGATCTCGGCTGGTGGCGGGGATGGCATCTTAGAAAGACCGCCCACTTCTGCCATCCAATCGAGCCTGTGCAAGCCTATCTCTCTAGACGGAGTGCTCGAGATCCAGCAGGTGGATATCCTGATCACACAGCAGTGGCTGCAGGCAATGATGTGGAAGCTGTCTATGAGCCATGCCACGCAGAGTGCATCGCGTGATGACGCAGTCTTACCATTTCATCTCCCGGTGGTGGTAGGCAAAGCCGTGATGAGTGTGATCGGGGCAGCCTCCCAGGGAGCCGTCGACGCCCATGGAATTGGAATGGTAAGCCGGAGTCTTTTACACTCAGCTTTCGCATACTGATTGAATGTCATATAGGAACAAAAACTCTTCGACCTGGGCGTCTCCGTGGCGGACGTGGCAAGATCACTCGGACCAAAAGCCGTCCACAGACTAGCCGAGTCGACTATTGATCCAAATGAGTTGCTGTGGGGTATTCTGCACACGCTTTCTCAAATCCGCGGCTCCCCTTCTTACCTCTTTCCGACCTTGTTGGAGCGCTGCAGGACCGTGCTTGGACTCGACTGCACGATCACCGCGGGGAACTTCCTTCCTATACTCGGTGCGGCTGTGCCGGATCAGTTGGCTTCGTGGTCTGGCCAGCATGTGTGGGATTATACCGGTGGTGGGGAGGATATTGATGTCGATGGCCAAGAGTCGGCATCTCATGGATCAGTGCAGGAATTAGGGTTTGGAAATTGTTTATTGGGATGATTGCTGTATTTTGGGTGGCGTGTGGATTTTGTCTTATGATACCAAGTGGAGTTTTATAGACGGTTGTGATATGGATTGAGTTGAATAGACCACGATCAAGCGCAATGGCTGGATGTCTTCCTGAGCAGTCGATACTCGAGAGGAATGGTGGAGATCTCGCCATGTATTTGGGGCTGATACATTGTCACGAGCCAGGGGACATAGGTTTTGCAACTCAGATAAGAAGAGTCCACAGAGTCTCAGGGATGTGTTTCGATCTTCATAGGGTTGGATCTGAGGGATGAGTTGGTGTAGACCTCCCACGCCATGATGATCCAAACACATCCCTGAGATTCACCCTGTGGACTCTTATCATCTGAGTCGCAAACCCGTGCCACCAGGCTTGTGATATGCTGCCAACTGGCAAGTGGCAAGAAGTTAACAGCTGGCTTCATACGCTCGTTGACTCAGGTTGAAGTGCGGGGCCTTGGATGAATGATACTGATAGCCTTGTGTAAAAAGATGAAACCACCTAAAAGGCATGACCTTGAACGCAGGTACGTAGAATGATCTCTGAGAGGCTTTAAGAGTTGAAGTTCAGACTATGAGCATCGATGTCCTCAGACCAAACAAACATCCTTGGCATGTTTGTCTCGGCGAATCTCCAATTTCACGAAGAGCTTCATCTTTCTCTTCTCCGTAGCTTCTGCCCAATTGCTCACAAAATGTTCCACTAGTATGTCTACTCTCACTTCCAACCCTTTCTAAATAGCCAATTGACATTCGACACAGATCCTCCTCAACTCTCCACACAAACCAACAGCTCCCAGAGCACCAACCCGGAGCTGATACCAAAACCTCACCAACCTCACGTCACCAATCTCGAAAACAACAACAACCTTGAACCAACAAAAATGGCATCCCTCCGCCTCACCCTCCCCCGGCATGCCCTCCGCCAAACCTGCCTACCAACTCTCCACCCGACCCTAAGCCTCCCCCAAACCCGCAAACACTCCTCCGTCTCCGCCGACGAACTCACCCACTTCTCAGCCCTGGCCAGTTCCTGGTGGGACCCAATGGGCCCCTCACGCATCCTGCACCTAATGAACCCCCTCCGCCACGAATTCATCGCCTCCTGCCTAGCCGAAGGCTCCCCATCACCAACAACGGAGCCCCGCGCAACCCTCAACTACCTAGACGTCGGCTGCGGCGGGGGCATCTTCGCCGAGTCCCTAGCGCGCACAATCCCCTTAAACACCAACACAGCACCAACACCAACACTAGCCGCTACAATGACAGCCATCGACCCGTCAACGGATCTAATCCGTATGGCGCGTTCGCACGCTCGCAATGATCCTACTGTCGATGCGCATCTTCGCTCCGGGAAATTTAGGTATTTGAATACGACGTTGGAGGATGTGATTGCCGGAACGGCACCGACTACAACTGAAAGCTCAAGCCCAGGTTCAAGCTCAAGCCAAGACCTAAGCCAAAACTCAAATCCAGCACAATACGACATCGTAACCCTCTTCGAAGTCCTCGAACACATCGACCCCAAAACCTCAACTCCTTTAACGTTTCTCACAAACTGTCTCAAAGCCCTCAAACCCGGTGGCTGGCTAATCGGGTCCACGATCTCACGAACATTGCCATCATTCCTGCTGAACCAGGTTATCGCCGAGGCTCCGTGGCCTATTGGTGTTGTGCCGCGGGGTACGCACGAGTGGAGCAAGTTTGTGAATCCGGATGAGGTTAAGGGCTGGTTGCAGGAGGGGTTGATGAGGGTTGCGGATTCGGGGGTTTATCGTGGTGGGAGGGCGGAGGTTGAGGGGATGAGGTGGAAGTGTGTGGGGGCGGTTTATGTTCCTGGGATTGGGTGGAAGATGGTCAAAGGGAGTGAGGATTGGGGGAATTATTTTTGGGCTGTTAGGAGGGAGTTTTAGTATCTGGATTTGGGGTGGGGGAACTCTTTGTATATAAGTTGAGACTTTGTATAATAGTAGATTTGGCATTAGTTTCGTTAGGCATGATGTATTATGTATCAGTTGTATTGATCCATTGTAGAGACAGCTTCGTTACTCATATTCATAAACTCATTTCCTTGTCTCGTTATTATACAAATCCGTATCCCATCTTAGGGCCTAGGGATACACCCCTTCGAACCTCCAAGTCACCAAGCAAGACGAACCTACTTCTTCCCCCTCCCCCTCCTCTTCTTCTTCTCAACCTCCGGCACAGAAACAGTCCCCTGTTCAACCTCCTCGCCCTGACCCTGCAACCTCTGCGACCCACTAATAAAAAAGGTCAAATCCCGATTCTGCTCAGCAAGATCCGCCTTCTCAACCCTCAACGACTCAACCTCCTTGGTAAGCCCCTCAATCCTCTGCAACATATTCCCATTCATAGCCTTCTCCTCCTGATACTTCTTCTCAAAAGACCTGGCCAAGGCCTCGAACTTCTCCGCCCTCTTCTCCGCTCTGGCGCAATCATGCTCAAGACCCGGCAATGTCTCCATAGTCAATACATCGTACTTAGCCTGCAGTTCTTCCAGACGCGAAGCCACAGTCGACGAACTAACTTCCGCCAGAGCGGCCGCAGCACTAGCCTGCGAGGCTTTATCGACGGCGCGCTCGACGACTTCTTCGAAGTATGCACGCTGGCTTTCCAGCTGGCTGGTAAGGAGGTGTGTGTATTCTATGCTCATGTTTTCTAGTTTTTCGCGGGGCACCGCGTCGCCCCAGTCGGGTGGATCGAGGGCGCTGTGGTCTGCTGCTGGAAGTTCGAGGAGTTTGCCGTCTGTTTTGCTCTGGATGATGCGGTGGACGTAGGCGTCGCCCACGTAGTCCCAGACGCGCTCGGTGGAGAGGTCCATTGCGAAGGCGTGGTTGGTTTCTTTCCAGTGGGCGAAGGCGTGGGCGCCGTCGTAGCGGCCGCAGCCGATTGTGCCGCAGATTAAACAGGCCCAGAGGTTTTGATCTGAGTGGCAGACGCTGCATTCTTGTGGTTCTTGGTCTGGTTTTAAACCTGCGTTGGACTTGCGGCAGTCATCTTGGGTGTAGCGGCATACGGGACAGCCGCTGCCTTTCCATTTTTCGAGACAGGTGCAGTGGAAGACGTGTTGGCAGATGATGGTTAGTAGGCCGGTGGTTTCGTCCATTCGCTCTAGGCAGACGGGACAAGTCGGTAATTCGATTAGGGCTGGGGTTGGCGGTGCAAGAGGTTTGCCGGTGAGAGTTACCTGTCCGGCGGAAGGCATGGGAGGCCGAGAGGGAGAGGGAAGATCGGAGAACGCCCCATGCTCGGACGGTGTTGCAGCATCCACGACTTCGATTCCGACCGTCTTCACAAACACCACATGACAAGTCTCGGGCTCGATGCTGTTAAACACTTTCCCATTCCATTCCTTCTGCCAATCCTTCGCCTTCCGCCCGCTGCGGAACTTCATCAAAACCATATACCGATTCGCACGCGCCGTCCTAATCATACGGAAATGACTAACATCATCCATAGTCTTCTCACCCATAAATCCGAGGAAATCCGACGGCGACAGATAAGAGGGCACAGCAAGGATGCACAGCGTCGTACAGTCCTCATCAGGGTTCTGCGCAAAGGAAGAGACAGTCTCAGGAAATGGATACGCAGAAAGCCCCTTCCCAGAAGTCTGTTTGGTGGCCGCCGTCGCAGTTCTCACCGTAGCCTGCTGCTCACCAGGCTGGCGGGCCGCAGCCGCGGAGCCTTTGAGATCGGTGGGGTAATCATCTTCGTTCCCAAGATATGGCGTCTCCTGCGTGTCCCGGTACAGATGCACAATTCCCCAAACACTATCAGAAAGCTGGTGATCGAGTGGGATGTAGCGACCTTTTGTGCGGGCGCCGCCTAAGATGTCGGTGCCGATGCCCGCGGCGACGAGGTTCTCCGGCTCCGTGGCGGCCACGGAGGCCCTCTTGGTGCGTTTTGACTGATCTTTTGGGGTGACCATATCAATGCAATCGATTGAGATGGCGCTGAAGCGCTTGTCGTCTTCGAGGGAGGCGGGGCTGGTGTAGGTTTCGTAGGGAGAAGAGCTATCGGAGGGAGTGTTTCGAGCTGGCGTGGTGGGGATATGGGTGGTGAATGTAGAGGAGAGACGTTGCCGATGCGCCAGGGAGCTTTCGGGGTTCGTTGATGCGTGGTTATCTCTTGTGGGTGATAGACGGCCTGAGCTTGAAGACCGGCTTCGTTGCTGGAATGGTTGTAAAGCTTCCCATGCGGATTGTATTGCGAGGGACGAAGAACTTGAGGTAGGTGAGTTAGTTGGGCTGTGGGAAAGAAGTTGGAAGCTAAGATGGTAGAAATAAGCGGGCATCCCGGATGATGGCTCGCATCCTCTGGAGCTTGCACTTCGAGGTTCACGCTTTTGAACCGTGTTGCCCGTGAATCGTAGGCCCGGTCCCCCGCCGATAAGAGCGATTACTTAATCACTGATAAGGCTGCCACTGCGCCTACGTCACCAATCACGATCGTTCCTGACACGCGAGTGGCAACCTGGAAAAAGAGGCAAAGGACAGTGAACATTCTAGAAGACTTAAACGCTTTGTGGTCTCTGCGACGGCCGACCTGTCACCTCCATTGGAATGGTGAGGTGGCAAGAACGGCTACAAGTTGATGAAATTGACCAAGATGGGAGAATAGCAAGACCGTAGGGGGAACTCCGAACGGGTACGGTTATACCTATTGAGCACTACGGAGTACCTTGTAAAGATAGCGACAACATATTGGCCCTATCCAGACAATCCCTTCGGCTGGCTAGGTAGTCAGATACCTAAGTATGTTTTGGCAATTATATCTAGACTAAATTCACGATGGAATGGTATGTATGCCAAAGAGTAGGAATGCTGTAGGGTTGATTGTAAGAACTACCGATCACGGATGCGTGATAATAATAAGAGCCCTAAGTAAAGAGAGAAGCCGTCCTTAACATTGCAAAGAGGCCTCAGCCTCGAAAAAACGACCGAACGCCATGCAGGTTCAAGAACCCACCAAAAAGAAAAGCCTCATGTCACCATTTACTGGCCGCCACGCAGACGCAGCACCAGGTGCAGAGTGCTCTCCTTCTGAATATTGTAGTCCGAAAGAGTTCGCCCGTCCTCCAGCTGTTTACCAGCGAAGATAAGACGCTGCTGGTCAGGGGGAATACCCTCCTTATCTTGGATCTTGCTCTTGACATTGTCAATGGTGTCTGAGCTCTCAACCTCTAGCGTGATAGTCTTTCCAGTCAAGGTCTTGACGAAGATCTGCATACCACCACGGAGACGGAGGACAAGGTGTAGGGTGGATTCCTTCTGGATGTTGTAGTCGGAGAGGGTGCGGCCATCTTCAAGCTGCTTGCCTGCGAAAATGAGACGCTGCTGGTCAGGTGGGATACCCTCCTTATCTTGAATCTTGGACTTGACATTGTCGATGGTATCTGACGACTCGACTTCCAGTGTGATCGTCTTGCCTGTGAGCGTCTTGACGAAAATCTGCATACCACCACGGAGACGCAGGACGAGGTGGAGAGTAGACTCCTTCTGAATGTTGTAGTCGGACAGAGTACGGCCGTCCTCGAGCTGCTTGCCAGCGAAGATAAGACGCTGTTGGTCGGGAGGGATGCCCTCCTTATCCTGAATCTTGGACTTCACATTATCGATGGTGTCGGATGACTCGACCTCGAGGGTGATGGTCTTTCCGGTGAGGGTCTTGACGACTGTGGCGAATGTTAGTAAAAGAACATGACGGTGGCCTGTTTAAGTCAAACTTACAAATCTGCATACCACCACGGAGGCGGAGAACGAGGTGGAGAGTAGACTCCTTCTGAATGTTGTAGTCGGAAAGAGTGCGACCGTCCTCAAGTTGCTTGCCGGCGAAGATCAGACGCTGTTGGTCAGGGGGAATGCCCTCCTTGTCCTGGATTTTGGACTTGACGTTGTCGATGGTATCGCTGGACTCAACCTCAAGGGTGATGGTCTTGCCAGTCACTGTAGACAGATAGCAGTTAGTAGGTAAGTTCAAAGACAGACCATGCAGAGAAAGGTGGCAATCTAAGTAACCATCTCTCCAGCACGGCGGCTAGATAAGGATGCAAACGTACGGGTCTTGACGAAAATCTGCATGTTGGCGAGATTCTAGACGATCGATGTGAATGTGAATGGGATACGTGGAAAGGGAAAGGGTAAGATGCCCTGAGAGTAGAGTTATGGATGGTAAAGGAAGAAGAGAGTGGCTGAGAGGGGAAGAGGCCTTATGTAGGAAACAGTGGAAGGAAGAGGGGGCGTCTTAGTCAGAAGGCGTCACTGACGACCGTTCGATTGGAAGGCTGAAAATGCCAGAAGATGCCGGATGAGTCAAACAGGTGCTTGAGAACAGCCTATCACTTCATAGACGCCACCCACTAGAAAACTCCGACTGGTGGTAGGATTATTAAGATTCTACGATCTTCCAGGAACCCTGAGTCTTTCTTTTTCTCTTTAAATAGCATTATAGCATATACGCCGTATTTCCCACCCATTCTATCCGTCTATATTCACTTACCTGTGACAGCCCAGGGTGATGACGTCTGGTTGCTTATCGCGAAAAGAGGGGGTGGACCTAAATGGGGAAATGGAGACGCTAGTGTGGCCAGAAGGTACCTGGTACGGGGCTGTGTGCGGCAACTGCTGCGCGCCGCCGGGTACCCTGTACCCACACCTATCAAGCCGATTTCCCGCATCCGGGCTCACCGCCAACTTCTACGATTATCAAGATGTCGGAATCAAGCTGATAGGAGTGAATAGGAGTGAAGATAAGAGTGTAAGGTAAAGCTATACTTGAGATATCATAGAGCCTAAAGTCCTTTAATCGGCATATGAACAAACGCTGGCAAAATTCATCCCCGTCCGACGCCGTATTCCCCCGGCAAAAAGGCCAGGCCAACCACAAAGAATGTGAGTCGGGGGATTCAGACAGCCTGCAACGCCCCGTCGTTTACTTTCTCAGGGCCATTCCCACTTGGCCCTGTTTGCAGCGGGTGCCAGGTGCCGCAGAATGAAACAAAACAATAGAAACACCTTCGGCCGTACACAGTCATGACATTCGTGGTCCTCGTTCATCGCTGGAGACAAAGCTATGCGAAGAAAGGTATACACCAACACGAGAGCAAAAAAATAAAAATAAATGCAAAAAATAACAATGATCAAGGAAATAAAAAGATAAATATGACAAAAGACAAGATCAAAAAGAAACACGGCTGATGAATAGCTAGATCAAAGGAAAGACGGTTCTCTGGGAACCACCGTACAAAAAGTGTAAAGGTATGACCTCGCTGGGAGGGAGCTCGTCGGAGTCATCGTTAAAGAGTGAAAATCGATGCGCGGCATCGTCACGACATTCGTTCGCATATTCTCATCCAGCTCGTGAGTTTGTATCGTCGAGAATTCAAAAACAAAAGCGCGGAACTGTACTCGCTGGAAAACGCAAGTCGTGTTATATATCGTCATCATAATGCGTGTGCGCATCGGGGTCGTAGTTTAGTTGGCGCGAATGACCAGTCGCGACACAAATTTATTGGAGAGGCAGTCGAAATCGCCACGGTTGAATTTGGAGTTGGAACGGCTGCGGAGGTAGCTCTCTGCGAGATGGATTAGTATTTGGAGTGAACGGTGAGTACAAGACAGGTAAATCTTACCATGTTGCTCAACATGTTGACGGACTTCGGTCATGGTGTTGCAGACATCCGGGTTGGAGTACAGAAGGTGGTGGTGCTTTTGTGAGTCCCACTCGGTGAAGGGGGGTAGCTTCTGCGAGATGGCCTGGAACAGTCCAACGATGACACCCACCGGGGTGGTCTCCATGTCGGTGCAGAACTTGTCGACGGCGGCCTGGTCCGGAGTCCGGTAGTGGCTGTCGAACTGCATCTCCTCCCACACAGCCAGCAAAATGGAAGCCAGGATGAAGATTGTCGGCCAGTTCTTCAGCTTGTCGCCGCTGTACACGCTCGAGTAGAGTGCAGACAGCTCCTCGAGCACATCCTTCTGCAGCTCACGCCACATGCTAGCCATGGCACACTTGATCTGGAAGTTGATCATGACAGGGGCCATGGTCTTGCCGGAAAACTTGGAGCCCATATTCTCAATCTTACCCAGGAAGCCCTCCTCCTCGCCGATGCCCTCGACCATCGTAACATGCATAGTGAGGTTGTAAGCCACAACCAGCTTGAGCGCCTTGCGGATGACGGGCATTTTGGTGCGGAAGTAGAACCGGAACGCCGTCTTCAGCATCTGCGTCAGGAAGGGGGTACCCTCGAAGTAATCGTCAACAAACTTCTCAAAGGTGCCATTGCCATCGATGTGGCGGTCCAGGTAGTCCGACAACATGGCGTGCGAAATGCCCTCCATACCAGCGGAGAGTTTGGCAGTCTCGACCTCGTATTGTGTAGGATCACGCTGCATCGACTCGATCCAGTCCACAGTGAAGCACTGCTCGTCACGAACATAGACCTCACGGGCGTTGATGGGCAAAATCTGTCCGTAACCGTGGGTGATGAACAGAGTACGTTCCTGGTCGGAGAATCCGGTGATGTTGCCGACCGAGAAACCCATGGTGATGTGACGCTCGTAATCCGCTTTCCAATCCTTCATGAAATAGCCAATCTCCTTGATATCAATGCGAGTACATGGCACCTGCCATAACCGTGCGTGTGACGGTTGGCATCCTGCGCAAGGCTCGCCCTTATCACACGTCTTCTTGAGGAACTTGCAGCGCAGACAGGCGCGCAATTTCCGTATCTCACTTGCCTGTTTACGTTGGTCGGGCTTGAGGGGGCCCTTTCGCTTGCCAACACGCTTCTCGGTGGTCTCGGGCTTTCCGGTCTGAGATTGCTTGCGAACCTTGGTTTCCGCGGTCTTGGCGGCAATGGGGCTCCTACGGGACGGCTTGCGGCTTGGCGGTGAAGCGGATGAGGCCTGGGACCCAGCAGATCGAGCAGGGGATGTCGACTTTTTGATCGGAACCGGGATCGGCCGCACCATTCCGACGGGGCTGACAGCGGACGGGGAGCGAGAGCCTTGCGAAGACGGGTTCCGACGGACGATTGCACTGCTTGTTGGGGAGGTACCGTGGATGCCAATGGAGCTGCTATGGCTGTGACTGTGACTGTGGCTATAGCCGTGGCTATGACTGTGAGTATAGCACGGCAAGTCCATGTTGGGTTCTGAACCAGGAGAGCCGATCGGATTCGTGATATCCACAAAACTGCCGTATGAGGTGGAATATGAGGACTCGGACAGACTACGGTCGTGCAAAGTCTGGGTGGGATTGACAAAAGCACCTTGTTCGGGATAACCAAAATCGAGAGAGCGGCGGTGGTCGATAGTACTCCAGCCGTTGTCACTGCTGGATAAGGAACGGACCTCCAAATAAGTATCAGTGGGGGAACTGCTCTCCAGCACCGGGTGCGGGGCATAAGAGAGATCCGAAAGGCTGGTGGGGAGTCCGTTCGGAAGTCCGTTAGGGAACGTCATCAGATCTGATTGGAAGTCGTGATAGGTGAATGGCACCATATCGACCGGTGCGGACATGGGCAGGAATGGACTATCCAATAAGCCAGCGTTCATCTGGCCCTGGCCAGACATGAGATCGACGGGTGAGGACTGCATTGACATGCCATAACTGGTCGTATACTGGGGCGCGGCGGACGGGTCTTCGGATGAATATGGCAGGTGGTGGTGAGGAGTATGAAGCGGTTGAAAGTGCCAGTCGACCATGAGGTTTGGATCTTGGGTCACCGACTGTTCCAGGGGGTGACCGCTGGTTTGTAACGGGGAGAGACCATGGGCTTCATCTGACCGTGGGGGCGCTTGATCTACCACGGGCCATGACTGATGCTGTAGATAGCCTCTGGAGTCGTAATCGACGCCTATCAGGCCATCACTGGACAAATCGACATTGGACATGGCTTTTTTTTCGAGTCAAAATGATCACAGGAAAGTGAAAGGGAGGGGAAGAAAGGACCAGCCTGGAGGAGAGGACCTTCTTCAGAAGAGTCACACAAGTATGAAGAGGGAGGAGAGTGAGGCGGTGGGGGGGGACAAAGCAGCGGTGAAGGAATACGCTAGGGGAGTTGTGGAGAGTGGAGATGCGTGGAGAGTTCAGGGCCAGTCTTGAGGGAGGAATTAATTCCACGGGTAGTTTAGTATGGTGGAGATCACTGGAGATAGCGTTGGATGTACTCCGTCCTTGGCCGTAGTACACAGTAGAGACTAGAGAGGAGACAGTGATCCCATGATCTTTCTTTTTTTTTCTTTTTTTATTTATTTCGTTCCTATTATTGAATTCCTTTCCTAAAAGGGAAACCCACAGGTTGCCTTATTTCTGCACTTTCTTGCTCTTTTTCTTCTTGTTCTTCTTGTTCTCTATGTCTCGGTACTAGTTATCTTGCTTACATTCGATCTATCTTTTAGGGAGATTATCTTGGACTCTCATATCTAAGTCCCGTCGGATCAACCGTGGAACGGGAGATCAGTGGGGGGGGGGTAAGAAAAACGCCGTACGTTGAGAGCGTGGCAATAAAACACGAGATCTGACAGTCCGTTGTGATGCTTGAGCCTACGCCCCAACAAGCAAGTGTTCTCCCTAATCAGATCCAATCAGCTTCCTCCCCCAGTCCACTTCCATGCCCGTGATACGGATGTCCCCATAGGCCCATACCACAAAAAAGGGTCGTCAGTGGGGGCCACTTGAACAGTTCAGGATGACAGTGCCGTGATTTCCATGTCGATCAAGATCCTAAGGCTATTAGGCTAACATTGTTGAGACCGTGCCAAGTTGGCATCGTGAACTCTCTGGGACGATGGCGGCAGGGAAAGGAAATAAGAAAATTGACAGCTCATCTTTTTCTATTCTAAGTGCCTGCAGTAAGGGGAACTTCCAACTCACCAGCCACCATCGCGTGCATTATCCGAACCCGTCACATCGCATTGCCTTTACTTCTGACATGCATCTGAGTCTCGAACGGAGTATCCATGGACAACGTTGTGCTGAACCTCTCCTGTTGAGAGAACTTGAGACCTGCTAGCCTTATTGGGATAGCTCGGTTCTCGAGACTCATGAACCCATGAAATTACCCGAGACCAAGTCATCGTACATTTACTACGAATGCTTTAGTTCCATCTGAATTGTACGTAGACTTCATATTGTACGGAGAAGAATGAAGTCCCGCAAAATGAAAAGCCCGAGCGGGGAGAAAACAAAGAGCAATTTCTAGACCATCGGCACTTCACATTCACCACACGAGAACAATAGTAACAGCTCGAACATCCTTCCAAGGTTCTTTTTCTTTGACAGTAAAAACACCACCATAAAAATCCCCCAACCCCACCTCCAGTCGATGCCACTCATAGCAGGCAAATCTCGACGCAAAGTTCGATTCCCGAAGAGCGCGACAAACCAAAGCTCAAACCAAAGCCCAACTACCACAACCTCGACACAATCAACGAAAATGACCGAGCAAGCAGCGCGCCCGGGGATCCCGGCCATGTTCACGCAGCCGCCGCCCATCCGCGACCCGCTCGTCACCGAGACCCTCGATCTGCAGAACGCGACCCTGGCAAAATGCCTGCCATTCCTGAAAGGCATTCACAGCAGCCAGAAGGACTTCAACGAGCACGGCGTGCCGGCTCTGCAGCGCGATGAACATGTAAGCTACCTCTACGACTCGCTGGAGGATTATCCCGAAGGCTTTGTCGCGATGGATGCCAGCCGCCCGTGGATCTTGTACTGGGGGTTGGCGGGACTGGCGATGCTGGGAGAGGATACCACTCGATTCCGTGAACGGTGAGTGCTTCCTTGCTTCTCCTATTATTTATTACCTTTTTTCCCTCTTCTATCCACACAATGGAGATGTCAGAGTCTGGAGAATCCCTCAATCGGAAGCGATCATCTCTTTATACATGAATCTGGAAGAAAAGGAAAAAAAAAACAAAGAATGCCATTCTAAACCTTCATCTACAGTGTGGTTGCTACGCTCCGACCAATGCAGAACCCCACAGGGGGCTTTGGCGGCGGCCACGGCCAGACATCTCATGTGGCGGGCAGTTATGCAGCCGTCCTAGCGCTGGCCATGGTTGGAGGCGAGGAAGCTTTTGGATTGGTTGATCGACACGCGATGTGAGTTGTCACCGGCAGAACTACTGCATGTGCATCTGCAATACTGTGCCGACCAGGATCCTGGATTCTAACCTTTTTTCTCCCTTTCTTGCAGGTGGCAATGGCTCGGCCGGTTAAAGCAGCCTGATGGAGGATTCCGCGTTTGCGAGGGCGGGGAGGAAGATGTGCGGTAAGTTCCGTCCAGCTGGGAGCTTTTCTGGGGACCCGAATTGGCGTACCATGTAAGCTCGGACTTGATCTGACTTATCATTATTGCAGTGGCGCATACTGCGCGATGACTATTATCTCGCTTCTGGATCTGCCGCTGGCGCTGGCTCCTGGTTCGCAAGCGCGGGATGCTGGATTGGAGACTTTGACGAGTGGACTACCGGAGTATTTGTCCAGATGTAAGAGTTACCGCGGGAGATGGTGAAACTGGGCTGACACTCGCTCTAGGCCAGACGTATGAAGGAGGTATCTCTGGGAGCCCTGGATCGGAGGCCCATGGTGCATATGCCTTTTGTGCACTGGCATGTCTGTCTATCTTGGCGCCTCCCGAGGAGATCTTCCACAGGTGAGTTGCTAGTCTAGTCTATACTCTCTTCTCGTTCATATTGCTAATGGCTCTGACAGGCACATGGATATGCCCCTATTAGTGTCATGGTTGTCTGCACGTCAGTCCGCCCCTGAAGGCGGTTATTCCGGACGAACCAATAAGCTGGTAGATGGATGTTACAGTCACTGGGTCGGTGGATGCTGGCCATTGATTGAATCATCTCTGGCCGGCAAGCCGACTAGCACCGAACCCCCAGCGAACAGTCTTTCCAGCCGTGAAGGGCTTACCAGATACATCCTCGCGTGCTGCCAAGGTAACAACGGCGGACTCCGTGACAAGCCGGGCAAGTAAGTCAACCCAATTTCCCCCGATCTCCCCTCCGCAGCTCTAGCTGATCGAACCGTAGACACGTCGATTCATACCACACCTGCTATGTCCTGGCGGGGTTGAGCGCAACTCAAAACCACCACTACCGCACAGACACGAGTGTCTCAAGCAAGAATTTCTCATCTTCCTTCTCTTGGAAGTCTTCACCCAACCGATCTGCAGACAATGTATTCTCAAGGGGTGATCGACTGGCGCCTTTCCATCCCTTGTATATGGTTCCGCACAAGGCGGCGGAGGAAATGCGGCTCTGGTCCGAGGCCCATCCCCTCACTGTGTAGCCGGAGTATGGGCCGGTCGGTTGCAAGAAGTCACGGAGCAAAGCGCTAGGGCAGATGATCCTGCCGTCAGACAACAGTAGATTTGGAGCAATATGGTACCATGGGTAGGGCTCCGTACGCATTATGCACGACTTATCTTGTCTCGATTCCTTCAAGGCCCAGCCACGCGGTCATAGCATGGAAGCCACGAGGATGAATCTCCAGGTCAGGAATGTGAACGAGACCACGACGCAAGGGATGAATTGGGGGGGTCAGGGTCTATGCGGTTAGCGAGTCTGGGCGCGTCCGGGGCCCGAGTATGCCCTCTAGGTCATAGCACGTAGCATTCGGATTTGCGTTCATCGTTTAAGTGTTGTCAATCAATTCACCGATAAGTGAAGTTTCCCATCTACCTCCCAGCGCTAAAAGTGGATCGATCTCAAAGTCAATTTCCCTACAAGGCATTGTCGTTCTTGTCGATCAGTAAATCCATGCCCCCTCAATTGGACCATTTTACCCCTCGATTAGAATGTATTCGCCACGGTTGTGAGAGCTGCACGAGGCCGAAGAGGGAAAATGGAAATGGTCAGTGTTTAACGAGGCTCCAGCATATGCAGATAAAATTCAACGCCCGTTTCCCCTGCAATGCCAGCTCATCAATGCGTCCGATGCCTGTCGAGTAACTTTGCTGTGATCGTTTAGTTTGGTTTTCCATTATTCGGTATTGGATGTACAATTTTGGTGGATTGACTCATACATAGTTGTACATGAATCCTAGAGGTTTCATGCTCCCCAGACGCGTTCTGCACGTGAACGGCCCCCTCTTGACGCTAACTGTTGCGCGTCTGTGTCTTGAGGTCTCGAGGCGGCAAGTTCACTTTCTTTGTTACTACAGAGTACTGCACACTCAATGAGAGGGAGAGGAAAAGAAGAAAGAATATACGCAAGTGCGGAGCATATCAACCAATTCCAGAATCCCAATCCCATCTAATTCCCTACAACGGGAAGTCTACATATACCAGCCCTGGCACCAGATGCAATGCTTTATCTACAGTAAACCTGCAGATTGCACCGTTTACATCTCTTAGTCTCCGAGAATGTTTAATTGATCGGCGAGTTGCAGGACGAAATCTCCTCGGAAGTGCCTCAACACGGTTGAATTCTACTGGCAAAGAGCTATGCCAGCGCATCAGTAGAAACCCGCCGAAGAGAAAGTTGTACTGTTACCATTACTTCTGGCAGTTCTTGTTTTGTTTCTTTAGATCCTCGGTCCAATCCAAGATCTTCTGTATCTGTCTTCGTGTATATTGTTTACATGGTCGAGGTAGTCAATACCCGGACCTATTCCCTGGCCTACTGTACACAACCTCTCTTCTCTCGCTTCAATGGCTATTGAAGATGACATTTGGCCATTCCGGTGTAATTACAACCGTTCGTCTGCTTCAGGACGTCTGCATCCAAAGTACATAACTCTCTTTGTGCGCTGTCGCAATTACAACCATCTCCCTCCATCGGGTACTGTGTACACCAGCCAGCTCACGGTATGACCTGTGAAGTGCATCAATGCAAAGCCCCACCCGATGTCTATTCCCCAGGTAGATTGTATATTGTATAGAAACAAATCTTTTCCAAGTGCCCCTCAAAAGAATTAATATCTTTTTGTTGTACGGAGGGGTGGGTGAATTTTATCCGTACTTGTATACATGGAATCAGCATTCTAATATTGCAACACATCCCCCATTCACGCTCGTCTCTGTTTTCCTATTTCTCTGCATTCCTGATACTCGAGCTAAAAGACCTAAGACCCAAGACCCAGGACCCCACAGCACACGCATCATAAACGTACTTCCTTCCATCAGCAGCCAGCACATCTACGCGGCACAAACAAACGCAGCACAATCCGCATATCCAGCCCTAACTCACCGTTCCCACATCCACACCCAATCCCAATGCGCCCAGAATAACCACAATCTACAAATTACCGTGTGTAGAGATCACTGGCAACGCCCTGATTCCACGTACTTTTTCACCACCAGTCCAAATCCAAAAGATGTACTATATCCTCTATTTGACCAGTACGTACCCGTCCCCCCATCCAAGCCACCTTTCCCAACGCAAAAATAAACCAAAACTAACAAAAGTCATGTAAATATCCAGGCCTCTGCCGTCGCCGCAACTGGCCCGAACCAATCTACAATGCCTCCACCAGCGGCACCGGCTACACCTGCACAGTGCGCGTCAATAACCGCGAATACCAAACAGACAACGTCTGCGCAAGCGAAACACTAGCCCGCGAGAGCGCGGCCATGCGCGCGTATCTTATTTGTCGGAACTTCTCGGTTAATGATGGGATGTATCCCGCTGGTCATGATGATGGGGGGATTGTGCAGGGGATGAGGGTTGCGATTGGGAGTGGGAGGGGGAAGGGGAGCGGGAAGAATATGAATGGGGAGGAGGATGCTGTTTCTCGGTCTTCTAGATCGGGGTCTGGGTCGGGGTCGGGGTCGGGCTCGTCGTCGACAGGGAGGTTTAGTGAGGGGAGTTGGAGCGGGGGGAGTAGTCCTGAGTGGGGGTTTGGGAATGGATGATTTGATTTAGGGGGATTGGGTGGATAGAGGGATGGAATGAATGGCGGTCATGATTTATAATGTTTTATGATGGTGATGGATGGTGGTTTCTTCGATAGATTGAAAAGCTGTGGGTTTAGTTGTCGGCTCAGATTTGCGTTGACTAGATCTAGATGAGATGGAAGCGGTTACTGTGTTATCAAATGATAACATTCGCATTCGCCTAGCCCTATCCCCGGTGAAGTCTGCCGCCGCACGGGAACAGCCATTCACAATAACCATACTACCCAATGACGGTTCATCCAACGCAGATGAAGTCCACAATGTCAAAGACAGGACGGTTTTATCCACAGATCTAGCTGTCATTTTGAGAAAGGTGTCAGCGAGGAGCTCTCAATCTTAGTTCAGCGACATGGCCATGCAGAGCGTGCTTCAATTGGGCGTTCCTGACACCCAATGGACTATCGCAAGAAATGGCGCCTGTGTATCTCGTTTTTCGTTCTTCGGGGCAGTTGATTCCCACCGGCAGGATGGTGAGTGATGTTGATGGTCCTCGACACCATGTTTGGGTTTGTGAAGACCCTTCGTATCATTCAGAGAGGAAATAGAAGAGAGGAATTAGTCTGTGCTGGCGGGATACTGTTAACTGTGTGTGAAAGAAGAAGAAAGAGAAGGATGCAGCAACACATGTGACATTTCCCGCCCAGGCTCGTCCCCATTGACCGCTCGTGCTGGCGAATGAAGCTCTGCATGATTGATTCGCTGAGCTTGAATATTCACCTTGCAAATATTAACTGGAGCTAGGCAATGTACTGTTTCCGTGCTCTCCAGAATATTGCAAGGGTCGGATAAGGTTTCGTGGAAATAAGCTTAAATAGTGAACCGCGGTACCGACGGTCCGGATTTACATGGCTGTCTCTCTTCTATCAAGCTCGAGGCTTTACACATTTAACATTGTTTGTCCATATAGTCTGTCATGCGTAGGATTTCCACACAAGTGCAAAGCTTAAATTTCTCTAGGTAGCCCAAACAGAAAACACCAGCAAAATAACTCCATCGATACCATCGTCCTCGCTAAAAAGAGTTCAAAACCCTGCTAAACGTGACGCACAAAGAAGAAAAAAACCTACCTGAGCCATGGCTCTCTAAAGCACATCCTCACCCTCATACTCTTCATAATCCACGTAGAAAGTCTCAAGCCCAGCCTCGAACGTCTGGAGATCTTCGTTCAACTCCGGAGTGATAATTTCCTCGTCTGCCGGCGTAGTAGCCTGCTCAGCCGCATTCCCCAATTGGAATTTGTGGACGTTTCCAAACTCAATGTAGTCGGGGCTGTCTTCGATTTGTGCGCGGGTTGAAGAGAAGTCGGGGTCGACGTATAACATTAGCAGGTCCGCGATGGTGGGGACATGACCTGAAGAAGGGGCTGGAGCTGGAGCCGGAACTGGAGAGGTGCTGGTCGTACTGGCAGTGCAAGCCTGAGCTGGGACAGTAGCTGGGACGGTGATAGGGGTGGTGGCCGGTGCATAGGTAGGAGCCGGTGCTGAAGCAGCAGCTGGGAGATGAGCTAGAGCTGGAGCCATTGCATGAGTAGGAGCTAGTGCGGGAGCAGGAGTAGGAGCTGCAGCTGAAGCTGAAGCTGGTGCGTGAGCAGGAGCAGGAGCTGGGATAGGGGCAGGACCAGCAGCGGAGCTAGTAGCGGCGACATCGTCGACTTCCATATGTCTCTTCCATCCATCTTTCTGAAATCTGTAAAATCTAACAAGATCAATCAAAATCTCAGTTAGCTTCTTGTGCGTCTTATAATGCCTATCCTGGACGAATTCAGGCAGCTCATCCAACCTGTTCCGAAGATCCCTTCTCAATCTCTCCCTGATGGCGTGGTTACGTTTGAACATGTCGTCAATCGGTCGACCCGTAGTGAGATACTCGTTAAGAATTGGAGCGTAGATCTTTCTAACGTACTCAGTGACTGCTCGTTGAAGTTCGGGTTGGTTCGAAATACCAATTGCGGCCCAGAATTTCACAATGAATGAGGGTTTTGAGGATGGGCGGAACTTGAGGCCAGGCATCTTAATATACTGACACGAAGGTTGATTTAGAAGATGTTAGAAAGGGTGTCTGAGGCTGACGGTTGTTTGATAGATGTTTGATAGTTAAATAGATGTTTGATGACGTTGTGTACTAGTTTTCTGATAGCTGGTACTTGCGACAGTTGTTCTTGAGAATGATGTCCAAGTATCGGTGGACTTGCTCTTGAGCCTATATCATGTATCTGGTGAGTTCGGTGGCTCTTGTTCAAGTTTCGCTTCGAAGACTATTGCTTTCAAGTGTGGTTTTCATAAAGTGCGCAATTCTTTGATACTTCCTGGTGCTCCTTTCATGAGGGAAATGATAGGAACAAGGACGAGGACAAATAGGGAACTGAAAGAGCCTCAAATACAACAATGCATGCTTTGATATCACGCTTTGACACCGTCCATAAAGTTCTTTCGCCAGATATAACCCATGTTGGAAGACGGCTTTGTACCAGTAATAGAAACAATTCCATTGTGACTACTCTATCGATACCAAGGAGAATCGACTTCCTCGAATAAAGGAACTGTAATTCATTTTCCTTTGCTTTGTCAGTGTTAGGAAATTGAGGGCTGCTCAATGAACATGGAGAACAGAAGTGGACATGTTGAAGCTGTCGAAGGCGGTTGGATACTGAAACTATGATGATAGATGGGAGTATGTAACGTGAGATAGTAGATTGTGCGATTTGGAGATGTTGTTGAGAGGTGATGAGGTTGTAGGAGTAGAGGATTGAGGTCATATGATCAGAAGTTATTATAGATTGAGAACTTCGACAGCTACCTTTCTGTGCGCATTCCAGCTTCATACTTCGAATTTGCAATACTTGATAGGAATAAGCCTTCACATTACGTGTGATATGCCATTCAGCGATTTAAATTCTCCAAGCAACCCCAAAAGGCATAGGTATGTCTTGCGCTCTTTTATGTCTTTTGAATGGTTCATCCCGAATAGCGAGCTCAGTCTATCCATGTGCCTTGGTGCTAAATGCAACAAGATACCGAAATATCAGCGTTATGGAAAGTTGGAGTTGCATTTAGAGCCTACTGGGTTTCCCTTGCATCAACTTACAGTCTTGATCATATTTATGCCGAGAGCAGAGTGCAAATAGCAAACTTGCTCTCTAGCAGCCTAAGGGTCGGCAACTGAATCTGTACTCTACAAGTATCGGGGTTTACCGTCATGATTATGGCGAATTGACACACCGTTGCGTGGCCTTTCACATGTATGAAGACATCCCTTCTGTCATACTGTGTATTCCAGAGCTGTTGTCGCCACAACCTCGGCCTGCCTGCTCGGCTGTCTACTCCGCTGTCTTATCTAGATGTTCTGCAAGCAGGGAGTGATTGATTACTGAGATCGACGTGGTGTAGATCGTACGTCGATCTACATCTACATCATGCAATGTACGATCTACTGTCACAAGCTACTGGACCTGCTTTAAGATTATCTCCTCCCTAAGCTGCAACTATGCTCCTATTCGCAACAATCATCATTGAAATTATTAGTTAGCTGGGGAATATGATCGACCGGTTCCAGAATTCAAGGCATCGGCCCCGCAATAGCCAACTACAGTATGTCATAGTTATCTGCCTCTTAACGGTCGGCCGACAACAACAACCAAGGGCAACAATAATGGCCGTCCTATTAAAAAAAGCCTGGAAACAGCCTTGGAAATGCCCGTTACATCACCGAGGTTTGTGGTCAGAAGAACAAGTAATCTCGCTCTTACATCACCATCGCCCCCCTTTGATTCTTGTTTGTCCCCTGACGTCATACCATCCGGAGCTGCCATCAAACCTTCAGCCAACTTATCTATAAGAAGCCCATCCTCCTTCTACAATTCTTCTTTCCATCAACAGCTCTTCAATCTTCCAACTCTACATCCACTTTCAAACCAACTTTCAAAAACTTTTACAACTTCACAATGGAGACCGTCAAGGTTCGCAACATCAACCACCCACCGTCGTGACCAATGTCCAATACTAACAACGTCATAGAACGCCGCCAACTACGTCTCTGAGTCCGTCCAGGGCGGAGGTGCCACCGCTTCCAAGGAGGCCAACAAGAACGTCGCCAAGGACTCCGATACCAGCCTCGGCAGCCGTGCCACCGCCGCAAAGGACGCCCTCGTCGACAAGAAGGACGAGAAGTCCCACGAGACCAAGGCTGATGTCCACAAGGGTAAGCTTCAACATCTGATACAAGTGTTGTATGGAATGAAGGCTAATGATATTAATCTACAGAGGCCGCTAAGCACTAAATCAGCGAACATGAAAATGTGACCGCTGTGTGACGATGAGATACCAATTCTGCTATTTTTAGGTGCTATGAGCGATGCTCCTCACCCACACACGGACGACTGTTATGACAATTCAGCTTAATGACAATTGAATTACTACATTGATATTATCATCCACATGTTCTCAGACTCCGTATAACAGAACTTGAGTAGAGTAAACTTCACTTTGTACTGCTTCCATTTGTGCTCGGTGGCATTTGTACAGGTAGATTTTGTCTTCCGCTTTTCTCGACAAGCATGATACTAAGATCCATGGATCAACGCAGCTTCTGGTGCTTCCAACCAGTTGACAGACACACCTGTCTAAGCTGTCTTCCGGTTCTTCCGATTCTGGTGCAACCGGCCAAGGCAGAACGACTGTTAAGACGCGATTAATTTTCGGACATCTGTTCAACTTAGCCACGCGACTTTCACTTTTCAGTTTCCGCTGCTTATACATTTTACAAATTTATAACGGCTAGTCGACTGGGTACTAACATAAGACCAGTTCTATGACCACTGATGGGTGCAGATAGGGTGGCAGAATGATGAAGATGGTGCACATAGTATTTTTCACCGCCTGTATCACCGCCAGCCTTACCTACCGCTTCTCCGCATTTCAATCCACTATCTTCAAACATATTCTGCCTGACAATTTCCTACGATGCTGGCAGCTTTATACAGTACTGCGTACAGCCGATAGGGCCATCAATATGTCATTCTTTCAGTACTTCATTTGGAAACTCTTCCTCCTTACTGGTTCATCTGCGTAGCCTCTTGTCAATACCTAGGCGTCGAAACTTCTACACCTGGAATCTAGACAGTACATCACAGCGACTATAAAATGACGTCATATTGGTTGTAAGCCAACATTCCCATGGGATGGATGGTGTGAAGCCATGCGCTATCTGCGCGCATCAACCGTTACACGATACAGCATCACTGTACACTACAAGATTCTATTACTTGCTGAATAAAAGTACCCTACGTACCTGAAGACGCGTTGAGTATACACTACGTCATCAGCGATCACCAACCCGGCGACAGAGGCAAAACAAGACCACGAGACAATCTATTTCATCCAATCCCGCTTCATTCCAAGATATTCAGGAAATTCAGAAGCAAGCCGCTATTCTTGTGAACACGGTTCGTCATCGAGCCTAGCATTCTTATTGCTGTACAAAGACCCGGTTGCAGCTACATCGCGCCCTTTCAATCTTCACCTCACCACTGCACTTTTGAAACTACACACATCTACACCATCAAATACAACTTTCACACACCCAAGCTCGCAAATCTGATATTCGCAACTATGACCTCCATCATCACCTCCATTAAGGACCTGATCACCTCTGTCTTCGAGGTAATCTTCTCCGTGTTCAAAAGCGCGATAGACACAGTCTCTTCGCTCCTCTACGCCGTCTTCGATTTCTTCGCTGGTATTCCTATTATGATCGGACATATGGTGAAGGGCAGCCTGGAAGCTGCTGGTGGAGTTGGTTCATTTGTTGCCGGTGAGTTTCAAGACCTTGTGATACAAGTAGATAAGCTAACGGGTTATGCAAAAGGCAACATTGTCATCATAAGTCTGGTTGTGCTGGGTAGCTTTGGCTACATGGCTTATGTGAGAGGTGATAAGCGTCCAGCCAGCACTGCTTCTAAGAAGCTTCGTTAGGCTGAAATAAGAAGTTTATCTCTTCCGGAGATACGCAAGATGATCGGATGTTTGATATGATACCTCTCGACAAGTCTTCAGAGCGAGGAAGATTTCAGGCGTGGCGCAATGGTTTAATAACTTGAGTCTTGTTGTCTTCTGTTTAGCTTCTGGAATTCATGTTAACGACGTAACGATATAATTTTTTTTTCACTAGTTGTATTAAGTACAGGTGCAAAGACATGTCACCAGTTTTCTCTATGGATTATCCCTTTTCCAACAATATCACACCGGCTAGAAATCAGATCGTGAAATCGTCCCCACTCATCTCAGTGTAGTTTATCGCACTCGACCGAGGCTCATCTAATCGGCTCTCTTCTTGCCGCGCAGAACCTTGCGTCGCTGCGCAATCATGTGAGTATACAGGATGTAAGAGCCTATATGCTAGTCAGTACCAGACCCCGTTAACTACAAACGCAAGCAACATACCAGGCACATAGATAGCGAGAATAGCGATGAGGGCGTAACGGAACAGCGGGTTAATTTCACCAGCAGGTCCAAGAGCCTGGTAAATAAGCATGCACTCGCTGGAGATACCGATAGGGTAGAGAATGTAGAAAGTATTGTATCTGTCCAAGTTCGTCAGCCAGCTGAACACAACAACCACCGGATATTCGCTCAAACATACCGCAACCAAGTCCACCAGCTCGGCACCGAATTTCCAGACAGGGTAATGGAAAAGAATCCATAACGGATAACCTCAGTGATACCCCACGCAGTCACGCATCCCAGATAAGCATAATCACCCAACTGGGTGTTGCGCCCGCCAATAATCTCCCCACCAAACGGCGCCATAATACCCCAAACAAGCAGAATTCGACTAGCAACTTGCATGGCAGTCGTCATGAATGGCGCGCGCACGATGCCCACCACGCTGTGCACGACCTCCAAAAGGGCGAGAGACTGCGTGGCCAGGAGCAGCGGGTTGAAGGTCAAGTGGAAGACCTTGGGCAGGGTGTTGGTCAATACATGAGGCGGGAGCAGGGAGGCTGTGTACGCGAGACAGCTACCCCAGGCGAGGAAGTTGAGGGTGTTGTAGGCCCAGAGGTAGACTCTTGTTAGGCCTGAAGGGCCGGAGCGCGCGGCGCTTGTTGCTTTGGATGAGGCCATTGTGTTGACCGGTATTGGCTCTTGTTGACCTCTGTGAAGGCGACTGGTGATGTTAATACCCCGGATGGACGCGCTCGAGAATTTTGGTTGATTTCCGTTGGGAGATCTCAATCAACAAAAAATAATCTTGGGCCGAGGTTGTTCCGGGGCCATTAGTCAGCATTTCTAGACTGGAGATTTGCTGTGGAGAAGAATGTGTGTTTATGATCTGGGGTACTCCAGATTTATTTTGGTGTCACTTTGAATAGAGCTGAGCGAGATTTGAGGGTGTGTGAATGCACTGGTTTGGGCATATTTTGTGTGGAAACTTTGGAATCATGCTTTCATTCGTCCCTTTGTCCTCTACCTGAAGATAACCCGCAGCCGGGGCGTCGGATCTAGATGCCCCACTGTCTGCAAGCCTGAACCTTCCATGACAGCAATTGCCGAAGGGTTCGGCCGAAGACAGAAGCAATTTGATTCACTGATTTTGATCTGTATATGGTTCGTTTGTATGACAGTATGATTCTCAAGCCAAGCGGATGGATTCCTGGGAGGCGCTCTTGGCTGGCGGGAAAACAAATACTACTAGCTGGTCCTGGGGTGTATACCTAGTAACTAGCTGCATGAACTTGTCCTGACTACTGCTAAAGGCGTCCTGTAGCGCGTGCCATCTCGTATTCTGTGTAGTCTAGACCATTTGGCTTAACTGGCCTTGATTTGCATACACGAAAGGCTAGATGAGACATCGGAGGAATTGTGTGCTAACATTTTGAGGCCTTTCAAGGTTCGAAGTTGATTGATGGAAAAGTGTACACAGTAGATAGGCAGTGGTACCTTCGGTTGGTGTAACTAGCCCTAGTGAAACTAGCGTGGTCTTTATTCAAGAGCCACCTCATGTCAACCTTCAATTAGCCGTGTCTTATCTGGTTGTATGCCCCCGGGCACCGGCTCATGAATATCTGCGATCTGACATCATGGACAAGGCTTCGCCCTGCATGGGCCGGGCCGTGGGAATTACATTGGTGTCCAGTGCTGTACTATGTATAAGCATGTGTAACGAGCCTTGATTCCAGGACTCAGGAGTACTATAATTCTCGAACCCTGCACTACATAACGTTGCCAGAGAGACCTTGCACGGCCAAGAATAGAAGTAAACAAGACATCCTCGTGGTCAGTAGATCGTCCATGGGTCAATGTATGTAATCTGTGTAATTGACGTAACTGCTGTAATTTTACGTCACGCCGGGATGACATCAGAGGCTAGGACAGGCTGAGATATGACCGATATGGCCCCACTCATGATGTCATGGCAGATTTTACATGCTATCATTGGCAGAGAGGGTTCTTGGGCCAACCACATCGCGCAAAACCAAAAGGACGGAAGAGACGCAAGAATGCCCCCATTCACTATATAAACAAAGATGGCTGCGGATCGCGCGAGGCATGAATGGAAGGATTCAGCTTCAATTTACAAACGACATGACGTGTTAGCTTCTACGCCAGTTGACCTTGAAGACTGCAAAACCAAAACCAGACCGAGAAAAAGCAATGAGAGTCGAGCAAAACCACCAAGAGACCCATCGTCATCGGTGACAGCATACTCGTGTTTTAGCCGAACAATACCTATTACCCCCCTTCTCCTTTATACAAAGAAGGAACCGTGGAGCCATGTGCTCTTACATTGGTCGTTGAACTCGCCGACACAGAGTTCAATCTACGTCAGATGAAGAATCCATGCAACACGCGATCAAAATGGGAGCGTACCGGGTCACTGGACACGGTCCTTGAGGGTCCAGACCAACTGAATCAGGTTCTCATCTCGCACTTGGCCCAGGACAATCTGCTATGGGAGCCGGGATTGTCGCGCCCTTCTCCCATACATTTTTTCCCCTTTCGCGGCTAATAAAGTCTTCTAGGACAACTCGGTGTCTTCTATTCTATGCTTCCTTTATCTGAGAGCAATCCCGAGCAATTCTTCACCGATGAGAATTCTTGAAGAATGCCACCGAGGTCCAGAAAGGCCCTCGCTAGTTCGCAGTTCCGCGTCTGACCGTCCAAAATATTTGCTTGGAAAAGACAGACCCAATGACGTTCCTTGCTGAGATCGGCGCCCCAATGATGTCGATTCGCCGGTACCCCCTGCCGCGACCAGATCTTCATTGTCTCTGGTTGGCACTGGCGCCGTCCTTTGTGGTCAGAGAACGTCGCGATTTTTCTGATTATTATTTTCCGCCTTGTCTGACTCCACTAGACATGTACTATTCAGTACAGCTACAGCTGATCCCGAGGGGTCAAACCGTTCGTTTCCGCTTCTCGTCTCGCTGGTGGGCCCAACAGTTCGGAGGCGATGCCACGGTTACTCCACTGGGGTTACCGGTCTCTTGGACAGAGTCTGGAAGATTTTGAGTGAGATGTTATCATGTTACAGTTTTGGGCGACGATCATGGCTGAGAACCCGATATCACAATCTCAGATTTACCAACAAGCCCACTCCGAGCGTCCAAGGGAAAGAAACGAATCAGTTATCATGCTAACTGCGATGGTTTCGGACTGCGCTTCGGAGCCCTTAGCCCTATGCGCCAGACTAAACTAGACTAATGCTCACTCCCCGCAGCATTTCGAGTCCAATAAGAGTCATCGTATAGGTACAGTAGCTAATAATACAATCACCAGTCCAGTGCGATTCATCCTTTTCCCTCCGGTTCGCTATGCCAAGGCTCTCCGTTACAAGTGAAAAATTCGGTATAAGATGTAATAAACGTATAAAAGCTCTATTTTGGTGAAGTAAATAGGATGGAGATATTGTCTGTAATTTTTGCAATTTTTTACAGTCCCTCTTAAGTGTTTGCCTCCCAGTGGGAGCATACAACATATAGTCAAATGGGCAAAGTGTCGCCTTTACCCACTTAACGCCTTCTCCGCCCCTCCGTTTTCCTCTCACTCTTCCCCCTCTCCCTTGTCTCTTCAACTTCCCCTTTTCCCTACCGCACGTGTCTTCTTTCATTAACCTTCCTTTTCTCTTTTGGGTCCTCCCCAAATTGTCCTTGTCAGCTTCTTTTTGGTACTGAGACTGGTGATCTCAAGCCACGAGCTTCGAAGGAACGGGAAAAAAATATTCCAAAGGTGGGATGAACTCCGAATGCCCTCTAATCTGCCCCTCCCTTTTTTGAGATTACTCCCACCATGATTGATTTCTGTCGTCCTATTTGTCTCGTTCATTTTCTTGCTCACTCTCAAGTGGGACCCTGGCTTTTGGCTGCAGGTCTGGTGGGATGCGCTAGTCATGGTTTCCACGTCTGTGACTGGATCACGTTCGAGTATATGGGTTGAATGGTCATTGTTTGCACTTCGCTACACATATACAGCCTCCACATCTGGTTCCTTCTCTCACTTCCTTTTCCTCTTTCCCCTCAAATTCCTGCTTGATTTATCCCACACATTTACCCTCCCCCCACTCACCTCGGCCCCGTGACTTGTCTTGGTTGGTGTCCCCATCTTCTATCACCTACTGCCAGTCAGCCCTGGTGCTTAAGCTGCCTGGATCCCTTAATGTGGTGGCCGCTGTACCTCGCAGCCTCTCACTTGCCATAGACCTCGGAGACCTCTCACTGTCTTTCGCGTCAACAGCCTCCAGGAAGACCCTTGCCACCGTGGTGCCTGGATCCGTAACACGCTGCTGGCTTTGTAAGACCTTATGCGTTGTGTGGAGACCTCTGACGTCCTCGTGTCATTGTCCATCCTGCTTTTCGCGACCTCTCGTTAAACATTGATTTGCCACATTACAATTGTCCAAGATCTGGATCGACCGTGGAATGAACTCGGGCTAACTGGGATTTTTCAAGCAGACCACAACCGAATTCCATCCAGATTCGCTAAGCATCAGATCGGATTATACACGCCAGTTTCATTATACCGTGACGATCTGTGCCACGCACCGCCTCATCCCAACGTCTCTTTGATCTCTTTTACATGCATACGCAAACCATGGCATCAACCGATATCAAAAAGGCCGAGTCGGTAAGTCTTCGATGCGTGCCTCGGCTACAGAGACGGTCGACTGACCTGGTAACCTAGGCCAAGCAGGGACCGCCCAAGATATCTGATTATAAGGAAATTCTTGATGAGAGCACATTCGAACAAATCCTTGAGATGGACGACGACGAGGAGGATCGCGACTTCAGCAAGAGCATCGTGTATGGTTTCTTCGAGCAGGCCGTGAACACCTTCCAAAAAATGGAAGACAGATTGTGAGCGACCACTTGGCGCATCTTTGACTGGAAACTCTTTACTAATCGTTGTCCACCAGAACTGACAAGAACCTTGCTGAACTCTCTGATCTCGGACACTTCCTCAAGGGCTCCTCCGCCACACTCGGCTTGGTTAAGGTCAAGGATGGTTGTGAAAAGATCCAGCACTTCGGCGCCAAGAAGGACGAGACAGGCACTATGGATGAACCAGACCAGGAGGTTTGCCTCAAGGCTATCAGAAACACCCTGGATGAAGTCAAGGCCGCATACAGCAAGGTTGAGAAGGTCCTCCGATTGTACTACGGCGAGGAGGTGAAGGTCGAAGAAGAGGAGCCGAAAGAAGCAAAGCCCGAGGCAAAGGAGGAAAAGCCCAAGGAAGATCCCAAGAAGGAGACCAAGGAGGCTAAGGAGACTGCCAAGGAGCCTACTAAAGAAGCTCCCAAGGAAGCCACTAAGGCAGATGCGAAGGAATAAGTGGTTATGCGAGTTGGTTGATATCCCTGCCTTCTTTATCTTTTTAGCGACGGATGGAGCATGACAAATGGCTGTTTTCGTTTTATGGTTGCCCCCTCATTGCCATTGTTTATCCCATTTTTTCTTTCTCTCTCCCATCCACCTGGCTTCTTCCTCTGGCTTGACACGTACATAACCAACCTTCCCCCGCCATATTTCCTCTCCTGCCCCGACACAGGTGTGGAAAAGGATATTCTTGGTCTGTCACGTAGGTGCAGGCGCGAGAATCGTGACTATTTCGAGGAGTTGAACAATAGCGACATATGGAAATCCCAGTGCCTATGTCAGGCCCTCAGCTATTTTCTCTGCTTTGTGTTCTTGCGAATGGCATCAGTATATACTGTGTACATTGCAAAATAACGGAGAGTAGTTAGTTCTACTTGTCACAAGACCAAAAAGTGTCACCAAACCTTTGGCTTTGATCAGATACAAATCGTAGCAGACGATAGAAAGCAAACCCCGAGAACGTGATCTTATCAGATCAACGAGCATCAAGCCGAGAAGTGGCGCTCTAAAAAGCTTGTTCCTTTCAGCCACTTGCGCGGGACTCTGGGGTCCCCGGATACGCCTTACCCGACTTCAACCTAACAACAGATATCATGACGTGCGTATAGTAAGACTCCAGGCCGTGAGTTTCTCATACCACTACGTGAAACAGCACCGATCCGTGGTGAGCTTGATGGAAGCTGACTCGGTGGACGCGACCTGGCAGTTTGCCAGCCATCAAGGAAAGAGCCCAACTGAAGACTCTCAAATTCTTGCCGGAGTCGAGTGAGCCGGGAATCGTTCCATCGAGCCCTCTCCAGGGACCTATGCTGTTGGAGACCATTCGCGAAGGCAAGGCAGATTTCAATCCGTTCGAGCTTGATTTCGAGCCCTCAGTCAGTCTGGATTTGGTGCCTGTCTGCATTTAGACAACTGGGGGATTTCCACGAGATCCTGTGGTGTGGATTTGTGGAGATTGGACTCCCAGATCACTCGTACTGTTGCTTTACTTGGAATGAAATTGATGAGAACCATATCTGCGTGCGACAGGAATTTGAGGCCGATGTAAACTTGAGGGCCGGCCTTGATATTTTGAACTCGTTCCGGGTTAGTGAGCGGGACACCTCAGGTAGATTTCCAGGACTCCAGGAGTGAATCGGATTTCTTTTGCTATCACACCCACACAGGACTTACAGTAGTAGCCTGCCTTTATCATCTGTTCAGGCTCTAGACGGACTTCTATATTGACTCGGGATATGCTCAGTGGAAGCTGTGTTGATTAACCTAGGCTGTTTTGTAACTATATCCTTTTGAATCATTTCCTTTACGAGATGCATATAGAATGTCCTTTGATGCATTCGTCATGGAACAAACGACTGATTTTCCTCTCCGGTCTGCGGCTGGTCTGAGTGTTCTGCTGAGCCGTCTTTCAGCTTCTACTTCGGTTTGAGATGGACGTCAGTACGAAATGTGCACCCCACGACTCATCGGGACACATTTCACTTGGTCATAACTCATGGTTGACTGAAACCATTCCATGGCCCTTGTAGTTGGTCCCAATCAATTAGCCAACTCACCAGTCAACCCAGGACACTCCATAATCCCATGTGTCATGTAGGTAGATACCGGAGTGAAAATGGGAGAAGACCAACCGTTTGAGAAAAGGAAGCTGGTGAGTTCTCCATCTAGCTTAGACCCTTGTTCAGACACGAAGGCCACTGGATACGGAGTCGTCGTGAAGTGTGACCCGTAAGGCAGCCTCAAAGCACAATGCGACACAATCCTCCAATACACTCGCCTTAAACGATCCGTTCATGTACAAGATAGCAGGCGCTTGTGTCGTTCCAAGATGTCATATTCAGTGCGCCCCAATGGTAGCTCTTGCGGTTTGCTGGTCTCGTGATTTGTCTCGTGATTTGTCTCGTGCTTTGTTATGCCCTCCTCCCTCCCTCCCTCTCACTTTCCATCACCCCCATTCATCGGCATCCTGTAGCTTTGCATCATAAGCTGTAGGCCCTGACACTGCACATGCAGAGACAGCCTGAACCTGAACATCGTACCTGTAATAGAGCCTGCGATACATGTTCCCATTTCTTGCTGCAAGCTTGCCATGTTTTTGTCCGACATCCACATCATCCGCATCATGAACCCTTCTCATAGTTGCGGGCCCTGATGCCACAAAGACTGCCTGACTCTTGATATCATACCTCTAACGGAGGCTGCGCTAGTCGAGCCTGTCTGCCTGCACGAGCCATTACAGAGTTATCATAGCCGATCATTGATATTATAATGCTGCCGTCCGTCACGAAACTATGTAGGCTGATCCCGGTAAAGAGCAGTCTTCCCTTGATGAGTCGCATAGGTAGCAGTGCCAGTAGTAGTTCAGAAAAGCGCTGCCTAATCAAGAATGACCCTATCCAGCGCGGCTGGGATCACCTCGCCGGCGCTTGCTCCGGACCACATCCTCAGAGGGCTCCCGCCCAATTCGGCGTCGCCTGAATCGCGGCGGCTGGGAGCACCTCGCCGGCGCTTGCTCCGGACTACATCCACAGAGGGCTCCCGCCCAATTCGGCGTGTCCTGAATCGCGGCGGCTGGGACCTCGTGACCGGAGCCATCTCTTTCCTGCTGAGGTATATGGACATGGTCAAGAGCTTTTGCCCAATTTGGCGTGTGTTCTGCTCGGCGCGGCTGGGAGGTTATGGCCGGAGACTTCTCTTTCCCGACGAGGCATGGATATGGTCGAGAGCTGCCGCCATATTTGGCGAGTCTCCCGCCGTATTTGTTGATTCTCATGCGCGTGGACGTGTTGCCTAGTCTGGATCAATCGACATAAATAGAGGATCTTCCCCAGTCCAATTCTTTTCTTTCTTCTCCTCCTCCCGTACTCCGTACATACTTTTATCATTGGGCATCTTCTCCTTGACATCATCCACAAGGAACGGAGCTCCGATTGTTCTCCGTGTGAGCAGCAAATGATGGAAGTCGGCTCACCTACTCGACGGGGATCCGACGGTAGCCGTCGGACGATGAACGGACTCGACTAAACGCCGAAGTAAGTTACCGATACCCATTTGAACTCGAACGACATGAACTGCTTGACAGCTAACGTGTTTGCCCTTTGGTATGACAGGTAGGCATATCTATGACCGTCGGCTGAGGATAGCCATCAAGGGCTGCTGCATGCCCTGCGCGTCCCAGTACAGGCATCCCGCCTGTCCAATACCAACAGTTGAAGAAGAGGGCCCCAAGACGGCCAACTTGACACCTATCTATGTCGCCGTGGGTCTTGCCGGTCTCGGTGCTGGTGTCTACCGCTACAGCAACACCGCTGTCGCCGAGCCCAAGGAGCGCCCGAAGGTCTTCAACGGCAAGGACTGGGTTGACCTCAAGCTGGCCAACATTGAGATCCTGAGCAAAAACACCAAGCGTTTCCGCTTCGAGTTCGATGACAAGGACGCTGTCTCTGGTCTTCCCGTTCCCTGTGAGTAGCACAACCTTGATCGCGTTCATCAGTTCCTCACTAACGATATACAGCTGGTGAACGGTGACTAGAACAGCCTGTCCAGCATCTGCCAGTCGACGAAGGAATCTGACAGTGTTGTACGCGCTTTGGCCATCGAGACCACTGGTGGGCTCATCCAAGAAGATCAGGATACTGGGTTTTGCAACCAGGGACGGTCGCCATACGTTCATGGACATCCAGCTGTTCCACGCACCCTGTCGATCGCTGGAGTAAGACGGGCGGCGGGCGGCCGTCGACCAGGATCGACCCGTTGATAGTACCCTCGGGTTTTGCGCTGAGCGAGCACATCGAGCAGGGTGGATTTACCGGCGCCAGAGGAACCCAACAGGGCACCGAGCATACCAGGCTTCACCCATCCGTGAACATTATCGAGGAGGACTTGGGCGCCAGTGGGTGTCTTGACGGTGTACGTGAGATTTTTCCGTTCTCTGCAGCCTCCATCCGCCCGATTCTGGATTTTTATGTACCGCGGAGCCACTTGGGGTTGATGAATCCCATCTTGGTTGAAGACTTTCCGAAGACTTCCCGAAGCAGACTGGCGAAGCTTATGTGTGGAGCGTGTGGAGTGGTATCTGTACGCCACTCAATTTCGCAGCATTACTCGCTACCATAACTTTAATGTGCTCTATGTCGACTACTGACGGCAGTGTCATCGGCAAGTCAGTTTCCGACGCCTATCAGCAGTTACGAGGAGAAACGTTCCCCACACTCCAGTTCAGACCTTCGACGGGAAAACGACGATTGGCGGGGGGTCGCAATCGAGGAGTTCGTCAAGGAACGCCAGGACCAAGTCATCGAGGTCATCGACGAGTCGGACGGGACTGGACCATGCTGACTTAGTCGGCTCTCCAGGTGGATTGTGGATGGATACTTGACGACCCACCGCCCAGCACCGCATGCTCATCGGCCGCGGCGGCGATACCCGCCGTGGCATCGAGTCCAAGTTCAACGTCACTCTGGACATCCCCAAGCAGGGGGGGGCGGCGAGGGGAAGTTGGAAATGGTGCCCACTAAGGACGCCTGGTGCAACTTCGGGTTAATGTGGGTGTTTATCCTCTTCAACATCGCCGCATGTCTTTCTCGCCTGGTGTACGAATGAATGTACATAGTTCTCCATTCTTGGAATTCTCTTACAATTATCGAGTTGAAGAATTCAAGATTCTATATTCAAATCTCCATTTTGCATACAAGAGAAAAGACCCTAAGCCTAGATCGTGACACAAATGCATACATCTATCTCTGCCATACAAATCCACCAGATTGTCACATCGTCGAGTGCCATGCCATACATTCATGGGAAATTGGTAATGAAACGTTATAAAATACCATTTAAAAACAGGGTACATTGGAAAATCATAGGATGGTTAAATGGTTTAGCTCGTGTGCGAGTAAAGGTAAACTTGAGCATCAAGATAGGGAAGGCAGGAGAAAAGTTAATCGCTTCATACAACGGGATGGGAAGGGAAGGGGAAGTTCAGGTAACCTCAATATCGAAAGAGGGAGAGGAAGGGAAAGATGAATAGCATCAAAATGGAAGGAGATAGAGAGGATGGGGTCCCCATTACCTACCAGTGGGTAGGCACTCCAGACCGCTCCTGGACCATCAGAATATCCCCGCGGGGGCTACGAGGCTTCTCCAATCTTCATCGCCTGCACCTCCACCCTCTGTACTAATCTACGGCCTCCCTCCTAAGTAACGCCGTCCGCTGCGACAGAAGTCCTTTGGGTCAAAGCGCGGAGGGTTTGCCTAGCGTAGTGCTTCGAGAGAGCTTTGGCACAGACGAATCCAACTGGCAGCGGCTAGCAGAGTAGGATCACGAAGAGGGACTAGCATTAGCCTGGCAATCGTGGTTTCCCATCGAAGGAGCCCTAGACACCCTATTAACCACTAGACCACTGGGGGGGGGAAGGTTAAATATAAGTACAATTTCCTCCTCATAAGGGAACAAATGGGTCACGGGGAATGTCACTGGGAGATTTAGATCGGCATCTTGGAGGCCTTATAGGGGGGTTGGGATATTCAAATTTAATACATAGAATCTGGGGATGGCTAGCTACCTGTTTGCGAAGTTATAGATTAATTGCACACGATATGGTGGTGGTTGATGGGAATATAACTTTCTTGGGTACATCCATCTCGAGACAAACATGAGCCTATTCAGAACACAACCTTATGCGGCTGTCATATGACCTCAACCTCGAGGCTGTGGGTTTGATTCACTACTTGTCAGAATTATTACTCTTTGAGCACATACCATTGCCTGGTTTTCAGGAGAATGGAAGAACATCGACACATGACCCACCAGCCAATACAATATCAGAACACCATCAAAGTCCTCTGCCATCCACACCAGTCTTCCCAAGGGCCAGTGATCAAGTCGAGTCTCGCATGCCTGGCTACAGTACGAATACCCACTAAGCCCTCAACACTTGACTACAGCCTAGAGTCTAGACGGAGGTCGTTGGACATCAGTGAACGTACTAGTTATATGCATTGCCGAATGCACAGCACTCGGCACTCCATGGATGGTATTCCCCCAATATATATCCCCTTTCATCGATCGATCGCCAAAGGCTATTGGTCGTTGATCTGCGAGATCGAACTCTCTTCACAGTGTATTCTTTCTTCTCAGGTCGTCTGGTCCATCTCACTCGATGGACCTTTGACCGCTGCTGTTAACCAGGTCAAAGAACTTATAGTCTAGTCCAGGGGACAACGGTGATAACTACAAGCTTCGATGCTATGGAAACCCACAATGCCTTACATTTTGACTCTCAAATTCCTATCTTTCGCAGAATCACTATTATCGACCCCCTCTCATCCTCTAACGTCTACATAATATGACTACCAGACAACATTCCGGCCGTATGCACATCTACATCCGACCTTGCATGCGCAATGGGTCAGTGTCCAGCGAAGAACGGGGACCCGCAGTCTGGAGACGGTGCGACGTCGACCTTCAACGGGGTTCTCACAGTCCCCCGCAAGGTGAGAGATGGCGCATCAAGTTCCTCAGGCGCGTTTTCAAGAAAAGCTCTACATGGTGCGCCCATAGACGCTATCGTTGAGATCACTGGCAGATGCAGTACTCTCCGTGTCGGTGGTTGATCTCGATATCTCAGTTGTCCGTGCTGGCATGCAATGCTGCAGCGGGACTATGCAGTCTCGAACTTCAAACTGGGGTAAACTTTTTGCCTTGGCTGACCTTCTCTCCGTGTACGATGTGCTATCCGTCGCTGAATGCTACGTCAACGGGGATTGACTTCAGAGTGACCGGTTGGGATGGTATCCATGGATGAAGTGTCTTAAGGATACGAGCCCATGACCGCTTTTGATGTGTTTACATGCTTCCATTACCAGCCGGTATTTGGGGAACTTGTTCTATATATTCCAGCGAATATACCTAACATAGTTACAGCCACGCGGGAAACTAGGTGATGGTCCAGACTCAAGTAGTAAGGTACGAAAGACAGACCTTCACTCGAAGTAGCTCGAGGGGAACAAACCCAAGCTCAACGGGTTTCACTTATTGCCACGTTGTCCGTTCACTTCAAACCAACCCTACCCACGAATCAACGCATCTCATCGCCTATTCATCTCCCACAAACGAGAAAACAAATATTTAAATCGAGTCCCCAACGAACCGGGTTCCCTTCCCCGCAACGGAAGCAAATACGCGCTCTGTTCTCGCATCCGGGAGCCGCTGCAGATGCAAGCAACGGCACCGTTTTGGATTCCGGTCTGTCAGATCAACTGTACTAAATTGCATCCTGGACTGAAGTCCGCTCTGCCGGGTCACACAACATAACCAACGGGCCCCTTGGTTTTCTGCAGGATAGCTCGCACAAGCCGACGGGTAGGCACATGTGCCTTATTTGCCTTTATGTTTTCCGCTAGCAAGGGTGACCGTGAATGTTTCGCCTTGGTGCTTAGTTGGGTTCAAATGTTTCAGAGCTTCCTCGATGCCCGAGTTCGCACATACACGGTTTCTCTGACTCTGTTTACGGAGTAGCGCTGTCTCTTATCTCATTCTTGTGTGTCTCTTTTTCTCCACACAGCGGCCCGACTGCAGATGCACGTCCTCGGTTGAAGGAATGCAGCTTTCCAGCTTTGGCTGGTAGCTCTGTCTATTTCCTTTCCTGGCGGATTCGTACATGGGTGCGTGGTAAGGAGGTCGGAGTTCCCGTTAGTGTCGCTGTGTCGCTCCCTTCCGAGTACCATAAGGTCTATCCGACTCTTGTGTATGTGCAAACTGGCCTCGAAATTTCAAACCTTTCCTCATGCAAGTATACATATATCTCCGTTCTGTCTCGGATAGCAGACTTGAGCTCACAAATCCGTCCTCGATATACCAGAACGCAGTTAACCTGTCTATAGCTATTGGCGCTCAGTCCTCAATCCCTACGCAACGGGTGTACGATGACTCTGTTTGTGATTTGCCCCGCTTGATTCGACTTGTCATTCTGACCCGTAATGCCTGCTTTTCGAGGGGGTGAGCGAGGAACAGCGAGCAGGAACAGGAGATCCAAACTTTGTACCACCTATATAGGTTCCTTTCCTAGGTATTCCTCCAATTCTCCGAGCTGAGATGTAGATATATCCTCGTTTGCCAATGGGCCCAGCCTACTCACCGGAAGGAGTTGTATACACCCCTTGGATTGGATCCGGAGTTACCAACGGTTTGCAAGGTTCTCATTTGCTCTAGCATGACACGAAGACGTTAGTCCGGGGCTGTATATCAACGGCAGTGAATCATATGTGCATTGTACTACTGCCCCCAACTACATGTATCCGCAGATGCAAGCACGGTAGCGTCTAAATCCAGAAATAGATTGTAAGCGCGAGAACAAGAACGAACAGGTTCTTCCAAAACGAGAAAAGCCCGCAACATTCGACTACTCTCTCTTCTACATGTCGTACCCACTACGCAGTAAAAGAAAATAAACAATAATCTCAAATCCTTGCTGTATATCGATCTGATTGCGAGTTTGATTCCTTATTTCCCAATCCCTCCTTCCCCGCTTGGTCCGATTGCGTCTGTTTCTGTTTCTGTTTCTTTTTTTTGGCTGTCTCGCGCAAATCGGTCCGTTCGCCTTCTTCCTGCCTCATTCCGACCCAAACACTCTGATTGTATCGGCTTTCGGCCCCGTGCAATTAGCCAGCTAACGGCGCGGACATCTGTTTGAATGTAAGTGATATAAAGTCCGTCCTGAGCCGGGGAAGGAGGGAGGGTATTAGTTCTTCAACTTCATCCATCTTCGTGATCTATAAGAAAATCAGATTATATACTCTTCCTTCCCTTCCACCACCAATCCACCTGTAACCTCGACTCTATACGAAGTATACACAATGCCCGTCGGCCCTCGCGTCTCCAAAGAAGAATTCATGCACGCCTTGGGTTTAAACCCGCAGGACCCGAATCATGAACAATACTACCGCGCCATGCGGGTAAGTACCTTTACCCCCATCAACCCACCTACCTCCGACATATAACTCATGCCTAATCCTACGCACAGGACGAAGCAATCATCGTCTACAACCGCATGAACCAAGATACATCCGTCCTCCTTGACAACGTCCGCGCCGACCCGGCAACCCGCCCCCCATTCTTCTGGCATCATATTCGACCGGATTGCCAGCGCTGGGCTATCCAAGAGATCTGGCACAATGCGGCGCCGTTCACGAGGGTACTATTCGATCGCGGCGCGACGAATGGCGAGTACGGACCGAATTGGGTGGCTGGGTGGTTGTTGTATAGTGTTTTTCGGTCTCGGGATGTGAGGAATAATCGGAATCGGAGGAAGGGGGAGGCGTCTGGGGGTGAGAGTGGTATGTATCTTGTACTGGGTCTGGGTTACTGGTTTGGCAGGGATAGGGCTAATGTTGTTTTAGATAAACGCAGACAGGAGGAGACGGCGCCGCCGAAGAAGGGGTATTATGATCCTGTGCGAAATGGGACGATATAGGTTAGGGCTTGGTTTTGTTTAGCTTCTTATCTGGGCTGTTAAGCTGTTTAATATTTATTTTGCATGAAGGAGTTTGAGATAAATGAGTTCAAGGTATGACCGGACTGTAGGTATAGGAATAAATGTGATGTCTAATGCAATGTACAAACGCTCATAGTACTCGAAGATCAATCAACATCAGTCTCCTTCTCATCAGAATCCTTCTCCTGCTTCTGTCGTCGCTCCGACTTCAACACCTCCGTCACCCGCTGATCCTGCTCATCAGCCCGCTCATCCCACTCAGCATCATACTCAGCCGCAATACTCTTAATCTCCCTCCGCAACGAATTCCCCTCATCAATCAACGTCTCCCAAAGCTGCAAATCCACCTTATGCAACTGATAAAGCTTCTTCTGCCTCGCACTGATCGTAAAGTCCAACGCAGACTTATACGAAATCTCCCGATTGTGATACAGAAACCACAAATAACCCCCCATCAACGTCGACAAACTCACCAAATAAGTAACAGGCTCCATAGTATCCCACCCCAAATCCGTCTCAAACGTCAACCGGTAAACGGTAAACCACCAGACAGCCAAAATCCCAAACCCACCAATCGCAACCCGCTGCGCACCCCGATGCGCCAACGCATCGCACTTCTCCTTGACATCCGCCATCGTTTGGATGCGGCGGGAGAGCTTGCGCAGCCGCATGCGGAGGTAATAGGTGCGCTCGTTGAACGACGGCACCGCAACGCGGATCTGGCTTAGACCCGACGGTGCGCCTTCGATCGTGATGATAAACTCTTGGGCCCGAGCTGCATCCCGGATGAAGTCGCCCACCTCTGTGGCTTGGGACCAGCGGACAAAGCGCTCGGGTTCGCCGTCTGCTGGGGACTCGCTCATGTGGCGTGGATAGCTGTAGGTTTCGACGTCTTCTTCGCGGGAGCGGCGGTGTTGAATGGGGCCGTGGCCGAGAGGTTTGGAGCCGCCGGCGCCGTCGTTGCCGGGGACGTAGTCCGCGTCTGTGTGGTTGTGGGTTGCTTCGATGTCTATCTCGTCTTCGATGCGCTTTTTGGGCCTGATTGCGTTGTCTTCGTGTTGGAGGGCGATGAATGATACTGCTGGTGGACGGAGCTTGTCGGTTTGACCTTTGATTGGGGGTAGTTCGGATTGGATTAGTCGCTCCAGGTATGAGAGAGGCTGCTGAGGGTGGACGAGGATGGCTATGGGCTCGATTTCTGACTAGGTGTTAGTATATTCATGCGGATTTCGGTGTGGACCAGACATGGACATTACCTTTATCATGGCCTTGGTTGCCAATTGTCGTTAAAGGAATGATCAACTTGAACAGCCGCGATGGCGTCGTCAACATTTTGCCTATTACAACAGTCAGCATTATCACCCAACACTAAGTGTATTGACTCATTGCTACCTTTGGTCATCCTTTGAGGAGAGGTCTCCCTGGTCGGATCCCTTTCCCCTTCACCCTCCTCACTCGGCTGCTTCCCCCCTGAGCCTTAAATTTCTCCAACAGCTCCTCGGACTTCCAATCATTCCTTGGAACCAATGTATGATCTGCTTTGCTGAAACTCCTGGACTGAATCCACGTCCGATCCCGCGAAAGCGCAGTCGGCCACACGCATCCCGGCCTCGTCAACAGTGTGGCCGAAGTTTTGAGTCCTTCCTTCCCAATGGATATCCCCGAGAATAGACGCATATTCCTCGATGAAGCAATGGATCCATTCATTCCAGCGCAAGTCTTTAGCCCCGCCGGGCCAAACCTAGGCGAAGCTGCAGCTCCGCGTTGCAATATTCTCCCTGTCGCCGCAGACACGATAGGGGTGCAATTCCGCGTCGGAAAATGCATTCTGTGAATTCTGTTGTCCTTCCAATTGATGGCTGTTTATGTTCACGTCGCGTTGGGAGGAAGTGGGTATAGTCTATAGATTCGAGGTTGGGCAGGCGTCAAAAGCTCAAGACATGACGAAGAGGCGTTTCAAGTACACGTGTGGGGAATTATGAACGATATTAAAGAAAAGGAGCCAAGAATAGGCTAATAGCGCAAGCAAGACGCAGTAAACTAGGCCAAGTCCAGATACGAAACAATCGATCTTCAAGCTTCGTGCCTTGGAATCTCCTGACGTCACAGAGCGGTGTCGGTCTGGCCACTTTGAGGCGGTGTCACAGCTCCGGTGTGGCGGTGCGAAACTACATGCTGTCATGGGTCGATCTGATTGGTCACAATGTAGATTGTGCTCGCTTTTGGGTATCTCGACATTAGTAGCTCGCCTTTGACCTGCCAGGCTGCAAGGGAGTAGAAAGTGTCAATTAGGGTGAAGCAGGCCAATTCTGTTGGTATGTAATGAGATTCGTATATCTCCAGGACTTGTATAGTCTAGTCCCTCCAAGAGATGCTGGATCTACTAGAGAAGATGTGATCATTCTACTGTTGAGATACAACTAGAAAATCAGAGATCGCGCATAATATCCTGCACAGCCTTCGCAGCGAACCGTCTGCGCTCTCCTTCTGGTAGCTCAGAGCTCATATCTAACAGCCGAGTCAGTATCAAGGGCAAGTATAACGAGTCATCCACATCGTACCTTTGATAGCCTGCATGCGCATCATCAACGCCTCCATACTCTCAACATCAATCTCATCCTCGGCATCATCATGACCAAGGTCTTCTTCATCACCATCCCCGCCTCCACGCTCAATAGCCATTCGCAAACCGAACATCTCGCGCTCCAATTCGGAGACTTCATCACCAAACCCACGCGAGCTACTCATACCTAATAACTGATCTTCAAGATCATCCTCCGAATCCACACCAGAATCATCCCCAAGACCAGAGGCACCACTAGTCATAGACCAATCATGCGTTTCAAGAACCTCCCTGATGCGAGGCATACCCTCACGTTCTGTATAGAGTTAGCACCAAGAGCACAAGCTCCCAACGAAAAAAAGCATAACCCACCTCCATACTGATTCCGTGTCTCAACCTCCATAACCTCCTTCGGATCCCACTCAACAACCTCCCACCCCAACAACCCCATATCAAAAAGTTGATCCTCCCACCACGCAACCGAAAACGGCGCCTCATTCCCACCAAGATCCTCATCATCAACACCAAGCCCCAACCCTGCACTCGAACCCTCTGACATCTGTTGACCAGCAATCCCCTTCCTTCCCCCTACCAAGACCAAAACCCCCGGCACATCCCCGACCCCACCGCGCTCCTCATCAATCCTCTCCTTGACGGCGCCGACGCCGCGCATGAGATCCCGCAGCGCGCGCACATCACCCCGCTGCGTGGGGTCTACATCCTCACTACCGGGCGGTGGGGAGGGTGCATCGCTTGGGTTATGCGCGCAGACTACCAGAGCACCCACGGCTTCACGGACGATTTCGGCGTCTGCGCTTAGGAATTCTGTTTTCCATTGCTCGGCTGTTGGAGCGGAAGGGGTATCTGCATGCTGGTTCTCGAGGGGGATCTCGTCAACCCAGACGGGGACTTCGGTTGTGTAGTATTTTGTTGAGAGGCGGAGGGGGCTGTGGGTTGTGTAGCCGGCGAAGGTGGTTGTTGGCGTTTGGTCTGTTGATTCGGATTGGGGTGGGGCTGTTGGTTGTTGAGGCGGGTCGAGGACGGGGACGCCGGTTAGAGAGTGCAGGAGTGGTGGGATGATTGAGAGGGAGTGGGAGGTTGGTGTGAGGATTAGGAGGCGTCGTGGGTTGGGGATGTTCTTGGCTTTGGGGTTTGCGGAGGCGGGGTCTGTGGGTGGAGAGGTCATTGTGCTGGCTGTTCTGGGTAATAGCCAGTCTAATTCGTCTCTTTGTGTACTTGAGGGTGGAGATTGGCCCAATTCAGGGTATTGGGTGCGGTTGCTTGGAGAGGGTGGTGTGTTGGAAGGGTAAGTTGTCCCCCGCATCGAGGAAAAAGTTGCGGAGTGGATAAACACATGTCACTGCTTAGTGGATAGTGTCAGGTTGCCTACCACGTCTACTACTGATATCCTATTGTTATGAAGGCATTAAGCTCACTTTCTGTATGGACTTCGTGTTACGCATGATTTGCACCTGTGTGGGAGCGACCGCCAAATGCTTGATAGGGCTCAGAGGTTAGAACCCAACGCTAGAGATCAGAGAATACGCCATTAGCCTGGAACATAGGAGATAAATGTCGGGTATTGATTCATTCATTGAACAATGATCTGGCAAGGCTTCCACAAGACATAGCAGCCAATTTTCTAAGAAGTCGTGAGATCAAAAAAGCCCGAAAAAGAAATCCCCTTGGAACCAGAAAAAAACAAAGAAAAAAACGCCAACCACTCTGACTTTGTGAGGTCTTGAAACTGCGATTTCATCTCTTCCACATCACACCTAACCGCGACCGCGCTGGCCACGCGCACGCTGCACTGTAGCCTTACCACGCGCCAAACCGACACCGCGCCCGCGCTGGCCTCGTGAACGGAACATAGGAGCATTGCTAGAGGAGGAATTGAGTTAGTGGACCTGGAAATGCATTTGGAGAATCGCGATCAAAAAGCTAGGTGTCAGGTCCAACGTACCGGAGCATGTCAGGCACAATGAAGAATCGCACGTGGCTGCCGCGGATGTAGACCTGGTCGAGGTGGGAGACACGGCCATCGCGAGCAGTGACAGTGATATCCTTGAGCTGAACGTTCATGTTGTCCTCGGCTTCCAAAAGCTTCCCTCGGTAGACGACACCAGATGTGATCTCAAGCGTCACGACATGGCCCTATTAAAAAACGACGTTAGCCCTATGTCATGCGATCGTCGATGACTCCATCCATATCTAACTGCATGCATCCGTTTCCTCCACAAGACATAGGGGAGTGTAACACACCTGCGCTTCGTTGAGGAGCTTGATCGGGATGCCGATCGTGGAGGTGAGCTTGCCCATTTTGAATGTGTGACAGCGAGCGATTGAAAGTGAAACGAAGTGAAAAATCAAGACCCAAAACTGCCCTGGCGTATAACAAGGGGACAGAACAAGGCAATGGGTGTTCGTGGGGTGATGGTGGGACGGTGATGAGGTCGGAGATGGTCGAGGTTAGAGAAAGGCGAGTTTTGCGGCTAAGCTCGTCCTCTCCGCTTTGGGCTCCTCACCAAACCACTTACATCGAAAAGAAGCAAAAGGTCAACATAACACTCCGATGACAGTTCACTTCTCCTATCAACATATACAATTGCAAAGCTCTCTACAATGGCCGGCTCCCCAAATTCAAACCTGCGCGGCTTCAACCACGCCGTGCAAACCCTCCTCAAACAACCAACCCAATTCCTTCCACACCTCACCATCCCAACCTTCACGCACCTCCCCGAGAACCTAGGACCACACCTAGTGAATTCTCGAAAACCATCCCCAACAATGCCGGAGAAAGTAGCCCGCACACCCACTATTCGCGCTCTGGTGCTGGATAAAGACAACACGCTCTGCGCCGCGAAAACAACCGTCTTCCCTCCACAGATCCTTTCCAAGCTCTCCTCGCTGCGCACCTCACCAACCTCTCTATTCAACCAAACTACAAACCCAAACTCAATTTTGATTGTCTCCAACCGCGCCGGCAGCCACGCGAGCTTTGACGGCGAGGTAGACGAGCTGGAAGCGCAGTTGGCGCATCTACGCATTCCTGTTTTCCGGCTGCCGGCCGGCACGGAGAAGAAACCTTTTTGTGGGGATGAGGTTGTGCAGTGGTTCCGGGAGCGTGGGGTTGTTGGGTCTTCGAATGAGATTGCCGTTGTGGGGGATCGGCTGGGGACTGATGTGCTTATGGCGGGCATGATGGGGTCTTGGAGTGTTTGGTGTAAGGAAGGGGTGTTTGATGTTGGGGAGGCGGGGAAGCCGGAGCGCAATATTTTGGAAAAGATGGAGGTTTGGATTGAGAAGTTCCTTAGGACGAGAGGGTATGAGGCACCGTTACCGAAGGGGTGGGAGAAGGAGAAGCAGGTATGAGGCATGCGATGCTGGGTTGATGTTCAAAGTTGAGATACCCTTGTAATACTACTGGCCATTATTGCCCTTGTACACTAGAATCAGACTAAGCTCCAGCTACAATCTATAAAATCCGTGTGCGATACAAAATGAACTGATTCAGAGCCTAGCGTCAACCCTCATTGGGCACTCGTGTACCGCCGGTGCAACGCCGTCCTATGTATATGATCTGGCGCAGAGGATATCACAACTCTGCAAAGCCCACAGGAATAGCACTGACTGAATGTCAGACCCAACAGGTGCCGACAGGACAAGCTCATGTGCGAAAAAGTCTTCAGACACTATACCCGGGAGACGAACTATTGTAGCCCAACAGGAGCGCAGGCCAGGTATCAGTATAGCACAGCAATCCTCGAAGGAACGCGAGAGCAAAGCAAACAAATGAGAAAGTGGAGAAAAATGGAGTCACCGTGCAAGTCGGGCTGTTTGACATAACCACGTAAATCAAAAATGGGGAAAAGATGAAAGATGAAAGATCCCGGCAAGTAGATCGGTATAAGAAAAGTAAATGGTAAAATTGACCGGGAAAAAGAAGAAGAATGTTCTGTATCCCGACTGGGACAGAACAAAGAATAAGAAACAAAAAAGCGCTTCAGGACCGGCCCCAGAACAGAAAGGGTATTAATACAACAAGACGCAAGGGTATGCCGCGCAAGAAACATCAAAACCAAGGTAAAATCGCTCAGCCATCACCAGCCACGAAATGTCCAACGAGAACCGTCAAAGGCCGCGTGCAAGAATACCGAGACCCAATACCAAAACAGCATTCAACGTTGGAAAAAGAGATCTCCCGAGGTGGAAGAACCCCAACGAACCCATCGACAAGCATAAGCGCCGCATACACCCCAAAAAGACCGCAAAACATCAAGAGACAAAGGAGAAACACATCAACGACCCCGAGCACCACGCTCATGACCCGGTTGGCATACCCTGTGAGTTGATTTCATCCAGGTTGGCCATGCCATGAGAGTAATCACCCATCCCAGGAGAGGGGTGAGCGGAGAGGCCATGCATGGGGAGTTCGAAACTGGGGCTGTCGTGTGAAACGCCAAAGTTGACGTGATGCTTTGAATACATATCGTTCGTTGAGAAACCGTCATCGTAACTGGTCTGCTGGTCATGCGAAAAGCCATATATATCCGACGAGGCGTGTGACATATTGGACATTGGCGGGGAATGACTTGCAATCAATGGATCCGCAGGGCTCATGCTAGAGTACGGGGATGGCGCATGAGATCCCATGGTTGAGGCATCCGTTGACCCTGAAGACACGAAGGGGACATTGAATTGAGGGGCCATGTTGGCGACAGGCGTTGATTCTCCTTGACCGGCATTGCTATACATTGGACTAGCGAAGTCGGGAGGCGAACCTGTAGTTGTCGCAGACACGGAGTTGGTTCGGAAATCAAGCCCATATCCTTGGGTGTCGATGCGTAGGTCAGTTGGGAGATGATGTACTGACTGCGGAACAGGCGCGTAGATGCCTGCCTCGGTGTGGTTAAAAGCAGGAGGTGGCGGCACATGGAAGGAAGACATTGGACCTTGAAGTGTTGAAATGTCAATCGCAACAGGAACAGAACGGCTTCGTTGGCGCTTGTGCCCACGAGCAGCTGGCATGTGGAAACCCAAGTGGTTGCTGTCCTGATACATATTCATATAAGTGGGAGCGGCGAATTGGTTAGGTTGAGATGCAGGGCGCTGAATGAACGGTGGAGACATTGCAGCTGGAACTGCAAAGCTGGGGTTATTATAAGCCAGACGGTTCTGGAAGGACTCCAAGGAAACAAGCTTCGCAAGTTGAACGCTTAGGACCTTGGGATGGCCACCCAGGCGGTGAACCATGATTTGACTGGCTTGCTGCTCCTCGGTGAAATCACCACACTGGTAGAAGCCTCCAGAGTTGGACGAATCCATGTAAAAGTGCGGTGGACGGTTCAGTTCCACAACAAGACCACCTGGTCCAGATGGTGCCCCATTGGGCCCAGGGCTTGAATCGCCAGTCTCCAATGTAATGTTCTTGATATAGGAGAAAGGGTATTCAATCTTATAGCCGGCAGCGTCGTTGTTAATATAATAGGTCATGCATGCCTTGTCGGGTGAATAGAATACGACCAGGTCCATGGCGTTCTGGCCAATGCGCCGCCAGCTTCCGACAGTCAAGGAACGACAAGTGAAGTGAGAGATGACTAGTGGAATTAGCCATTGAACAAAGGTTGCAACAGGGAAGAAATATTAAACATACCGACTTTGCCGGATGGGTTGTTCTCATTCGCATACATGCTAGGCGGTCCATATGCGCCTGCGCGTCCAAAGGGGTCTCTTGCGCCGGGCTTGTTTGGGTCGAATTGCATCGCGAGATAGTGTCGCATGGATTCTGGAATAGAATCACATCCTTCGCCGGTTTCGATACTCTTTTTCGCCAACATCTTGATTTTAGCGCGACTAATTTGGGTCAGTAAGATGGAAAAACAAGGCTCTGAATGGATACCTACCGGTTCTGGAACCAAATTTGAACGGAACGTTCCGTCATGTTAATGTCGGAGGCAATCCTCTCTCTGGTGGCCGCAGTGGGTGTTGGGTTCTTGTTGAATTCCACCTCCAGGAGACCTAGCTGGTCCTGAGTTGCCCGCTGGCGCTTGTTGTTCTTCTGCTGTTGAGTAAGAGTGCTTTTGCGCGGCGGACGGCGCGTCGCAGAGGATTGGGCCGTGGTAGCACTGGAGGTCGCCGGAGAGGGTGTGGATGCTGGAGGCGAGGATGACGATGTTGCCGTGGGAATTGCGCCGGTTGGCGGGTAATGCATTTCTGTCAACGAAGACATAGTGCGATGCGGTACCGTAGAAAAATATGACACACAAGGTTGGAATTGCGTTCAAGATGTTTCAATATGATTTTTTTGGGGGGTTTGCGTATATGTTTCCCTTGGAGAAATGAAGTGTGCAGTGTGTGACGATCCGGCCGACAAATAATGGGAGTGGTATGATCCTGGTGCGGTAACAGAGTAGATCTCGCAATTCTTAATCCTCTTGAAGCAGCCACAGGCGCGAGAGTATTAAAGAAAGATGCAAAGATTTGAATGAATAGAAACTGGCGTAGGGTCGAACCGCGTTCGAGGGTGTCCACGTCAGAGATTGGGTGGTTGGGTTGTAAGGGCGCGTCGCAGAGGCGTCCAGCAAAAAGAGGGAATAAATAAGAAGGCTGGCCTAGGCAGCTTAAAACGAATGGCAGGGGAATTATCTTCTCCCTATTTCAACAAGATATCCTTTAGAAGGTGTTCGAGTTGACAGAATGGCAATGCCCAGGTTGAATCGATCAACGGGGCGGGAACGGGGGGGAAACCGATCTCGAGAAAACGAATGAAAGCAGAAAGAGTGATAGGGTCGTCGTGAAAGAATGAAACGAGCGACCTAGCAAACAAGAAAAGAATGGAGGGAATAAGGAATACCGAAAGGTAAGAAGAGGAAAGAGGCTCAGGAGATGGGATGCTGACTACGCGTGGGGAACCGAACGAACTTAGTAATATTCTCTCTCGCTGGGCACGAACGGGCTGTCCGCTGTTGGCTAAAAGCAATTCCGGCTATTGGCACCTCGTGGGGCCCCCATCGTTTACGTTACTGGCAGGGCCTCGATTTGTCTGTTTCTTTTTTAGTCGCAGGAATCTCCATTTTTTCTATGGGTTTGGAGTTAGGACTGAATGTTGCGACCCTTCTCATCTGGGTCCAGTTTACTGGAAGAAACTGGTTTTTTGGCCCCTGCGTTGAACCTGCATGTGCCTAACAAACATGGAGCAATGAGGGTGCAGACTGAGCCTCCATGATTTCGAGAGAGGGGGTGCGCTGACCCTCCCCTTACTGTCTGTGTATGTTTTGTGCAGTTGTCCAACTGCATTGGTGTGACCCTCAGGGGCAAGTCGAATGTGCTACATCAGCGCACTCCGTGCTGCAGGAACCTTTCATGGAGCATGGTGGCGTCGAATGAACCCAGAACACATCCTAGGAGTTCTCGCCAAATAGCCAATTGCCGCCGAACGGTATCCACGTGAGATCCGCGGAAATCTAAAGCGCCGGCACTGAACTGGTTTGGATCGCCAACCATGGACGTCAATGCATTTGACAATGCGTTTGAGGTTCGGCAAAATTAAATAGAACCTCACCGTGATCGAAGAACTGCCAAGGCCCTTTTTTGCTTTTTTTTTCTTTCGTGGCCAGAGTTTCCCCTGATTCAACTAGTGGTTAACCATGGGCGCCACAATGGAACACGCACGGTCTTAGGGGCTAATCCAGTTGGACTCAACCAATGAGCATGCAGTTGCACGTGCAGTTCCGTGGATAGTCAGAGGGGAAACATTCAGGTACCCGCCCCGGCATTGATTATGATTGGCCTCGAAGACATGACAGGTCATTCCAGACCCTGACCAGTGGGCCAGTTTTGCGTTCAGGGACTGGTTCTTCTCTGGCGTTACGCTATCCGTCTTATCCGGGTCATTCGTTATTGCGTTTAAACTGAAAGTACGAAGCTGCAACAGTACGAAGTACACATCTCGGTCATCGAAATTGTTTCGATTGAAGAGGCCCTCGGATGAGTATTTTGGGATCATCCGTCGGCGCAAATTGTGTTCTGCGTATCTACATCGTACTGCGACTCAACCGATTCTCTATTCTCCTGGTCATTGTCTCGGTCTAGCATTTGTTTACTCTGTTCTGCTTAGACTACACATGCAGAAGCCTCCAGGCGTAACACGTTGGTGCCTGATCCTATTGTTGACATACATGCGAGATCCCGGCTGTCCGATCTAGGAAATCACCCCTGAGATCGTTCATTGTTGTTACCCAAGCCACACAGCCACACAAACCTTGGATCTGAGTGACAGATGATTGATCGCGAGGCTCGAAAAGATAGGAAAACAAACCAACGTGGTCAGAAGATGAAGAAACAAGACCCTCGATCAAGCGCTTGCACATAACTATCCACAATTGATAGTCCAGTCCCCTTGCCCGCCCAACGGGTTCCACCATCCCACTCCCGGAGCCTGTCAGTCGTTTCCCATATCTTCTCAATAAGCTCCATCGCCGAGTTCCGCTGTTGTTCCCTATAATAAGCAGTCATAGACTCATGCTTCCGTCGAACCCACTCACGATCCTCGCGCAAAATTGCCTCTCTAGCAGCAAGGTAAAACGGCTGGGGCAGCGACGAGTCGGGTCCACATCCGGTTGATAGATGGTCCATCAGGCCAAAGCACACATGCACCAAATGCTGCACGCGCGGCGAGTATGTCTGGTCTCGAAACACCCGTCGAGCAAGCAGTAAATGCGCTGTCCAATAGAAGCACTCAGTGAGGATGTCCAGAGGCGTGCGGTCACCTGTGACTGGAGGAATGCCGTGGTATCTAGAGCCCCAGACGCGAAGCTCCGTGTCGACCTGGAATGCTTCGCTAAGGATAGCACCTTCCTCGGTGTTGTTGTTGAGCATGTCACTCACATCGCAGGCCAAGTGTGCGATCCGTACGAGGTAGCACATAAGTGGCTGTGGACATCCTGTCATATTATGAAATGATGGCTCGGTCGTATCCCAGCGATTCTGGTCGGGCTGGTGGAGTATGAAATCCCGCGGTGCGTACGGCCTTCGTTGTCGTGAGATTGCTAACATGACGTCAACCATACCATATCGCTGCACAGTCATGCGTGCGATAGGGTTTTGTGGTAACTCATGGAAGTAGCCCAGTGTTTGCATGAGCCACGAAGCGCATTTGACATGAGGCTCCAATACGCCGTCTGCTGTCTGGGCAACGATAATACCTTGGAGCACGACGGCTGTGAGTATTGCTTCTCTTTCATGCTTGTTGTTTGCTACAATTTGACCTGAATCACTGGCAGCTCCAGCATCGATCCTGAGAAGGTTTTGTGCGAGTGTTCTTATCATTCGCTGCTGACGCTTGGCCGCGAGGTCAATACTGGCCAAGCCGAAGTTGAGCATATGTTCTGTTGATATGCAGACTATCGTTTCGAGGAGAATCGGCGACGACAGGGCTGGGATTGAGAGCTGCCGATAAGGGTTGTCCGGGCCATCTAGGGCAGGAACATTGGATGAGACCAGTCTTACGTCTGTGCAGAGTATTTCCAGTTAGACTTGCAAACTGGGGCGACATGACATTCTAATGGACGACGCACAATATTCCCATGCGACTTTTTCTTCTTGGGATTCGAAATGTTTCTCTGGTAAAAGGGCCAAAGGCCGGCCTAGTGTGCTTTGCTCAATTGCTTGATGGGGGTTTTTGCACCGAGGCTTATGTCTTGTCGTCATTGGCTCTCTCTGTCGAACCCACTTCACCCCTGACGGATAGGTGCATTCTGAGTTATGTGAAACACAGACTGAGCACACTGGCCGTTTCTCGTCGCATTTATTGTGCTTCTGTCGGCATTGTAGACATCCTGTTCCGCGTCTATATCAGTGCCCGCACTTCGCCCCAGAATCAGCCACCGTACCAGTACGAGATCGGGAGAACCTCTCGCCCCGAGGCATTTCATTGATTGATTCACTGATTGGAGGGACGCCGATATAATTCATAAGAAGTACGTAGCCCCGGAGGAGAGTGATGTATGAGTCTCGCTTCCCCGCAGCCTTATCTATGAGTCGGAACCTTATGACTATCACCTGACGGTTTCCCTCGGGACCAATCGGATGCTTAAATGGACGCTGGGACCTTAGGAACATTCTTCGAATTCGCATTCTTATTGATCAGGTTTACTCATCGAGGGATATAGATTCTTATATGGTGTAAAAATAGAGCCAGTTACAATTGGATGAAGCAAATTATGCGTGACACGGTGACACCACAGGGACTTCCTAACCCAGAACTTCCTTGATGACACCAACAGTTCGGTCAACGATCAAGTCGATCTCCTCACGAGTCGTATTGTAAGGAGGTGCCAAAACGATATGGTCGCCATTGACACCATCAATACCACCACTGCCAGGCATCAACGAGATTGAATATTCAGGCTTAAGTCCTGTCGTGTGCAGAGTCCAAGAGAGCGCCTTTGAAGGGGGATATGGCTCTTTCGTCTCTTTATCCTGGACAAATTCCATCTAAAGCCATGTTAGTAGAGACCATTCATACTGGGAAAGAAGAAAACTTACCGCCCAGAATAAACCTCTGCCACGGATATCACCGACATGAGGGTGACTGTCCAATCGCTCGTGAAGACGCTGAGAAAGGTATTCTCCCATAGCCCGCACATTCTCCATCAGCTTATCCCCCTGAACAATCTGTTGCACTCTGTATGCTGCTGCACAAGCAATTGGGTGCCCTTGGTAAGTCTGACTGTGTACAAAAGACCCCGTTCCCTTGCTCAAAGTTTCGACTACATGCTTGTTAACGAGCAGCCCAGCGATCGGAGCGTAACCGGCGCCAAGCCCCTTGGCGATTGTCTGAAGATCGGGCACGACGTCTTCCTGCTCCCAGGCATGGAGAGTGCCTGTGCGACCCATGCCAGACATTACCTCATCCAACACGAAGAGGGCTCCGTGTCGCTCGCAGACTGCTTTCATAGCCTTGAGGTAGCCTGGCAGCGGTGGAACACATCCAAGTGTCTATAAGAAGACCAAATTAGCAAAGGCTGGATCCTGACATCAATTGTACTCACAGCGCCAGTCATAGTTTCAGCGAAGAAAGCACAGACAGTATCGGGGCCCAGTCTCTGGAACTCGTCCTCCAATTCTTGTGCAAGTCTCGCGACGTACTCCTCGTTAGTTTCATTATCCTTCATTCCTCTGTACGGATAACATTGAGCCACATGGTGCATATTCTTCGAAAGAATACCTTCATAAATCTTTCGTCGGGCGGCGTGGTGTCCGACAGCAAGCGAGCCTAGGGTGTTTCCGTGGTAGGATGACTTTCGAGAGATGATGTTCACACGCTGGGGCTGGGGAACAGGCAACTCCGTGAAATACTGAATGGACATCTTCACCGCAGCCTCGACAGCCTCAGTACCTATCATGCGCCATAGATGTCAGCAGCGAATCTTGTTAAAGGACTGTTATGGTTCTTACCTGAGCTCACAATGAAAGCGCGGGACATCTGCCCACCAGTAGATTCAACCAAAAGTTTAGACAACTTTTCCGCAGCACTGTTGGTAAAGTACAAGGAGTAGCAGTAAGGGATCTTCTTCAGCTGCTCCAGAATGGCCTCATGGACGCGTTCATCACTGTGGCCCAAACAAGAGACAGCTGCACCGCTTGTTGCATCCAGGATCTCCTGCCCATTGTCGGTGAGCAGGTAGCTTCCTCGACCACCAACGATGTTCAAGGGCTCCTTGCGCAGCTGATGATAAAGGACTCCACTGGAAGCCGTGACGCCTGTCTCATCAACTCGCTTCTCAGTCGGAGTAGGCGCCGTAGCAGCTGCCAAATCTGGTGTATAGTCACCCATTGTGGAGGAGGTAGAGTGTGTACGTAGAAGAACTTTGGACGTATGTATCACGAATGGATGTTAGATTTGAACTTGGACTAGAATGAGAGGGTGACTGGAGAGCAATAAATAGACATCTCCCAGTACAGCCAAGAGTTACAACACAGAGAGATGCATCATGGCACTGATACCTACATGTTGAGAAGGTCTAGATATAACGCCGTGATTGGCGATTGTCGCCTTGTTACACAGCTCGAAGCTTATACATGGCTACGATAAGCTATTCCCAAAGAGGAAATCTTTGTCGGACCCAAGCCCCTGGACAGCTGCATGGACGTGATAGGGTGGAATCTTAGTTTATGAGATCGACTTTGTTGATAAGAAACTTTAGACCTCTTGATTACTTCGAGCAAAGATTATAGTATCGAAGAGCTTTGCGGGGAGTGTGCCAGTAAAGTCTGCGCATTGACCTTTGAAACCCCGCCACCATCATGGCCCGTATATGGAAGGCTTAGGGGATGAGATAATGGAAATCCCTATCTGGATTCTGGGAGCACAACCAGAATAGGAACGTGATAAACCAATGGAAGAAGAGAAGGAACCACGGGGGAAAACTCTCACAGGGTAGTTCACCGCTCTCATGCCCGTGACATAGAACCTCGGTCGCTCTTGTCAGGCGCTGAAGTTTTAGGTATGGGTATGCTGTTATCTCATGTCAAGTGTACACTATCACCATCTATTACTGCGCCATCTGTTTCCCGGTCACAATCGCAAAGCCAAGATAGCCATTTCCTGAGGCACCCGAATGTTGAGCGGAGAGGCGGAGGCGTAACCGTAACGTGCTGCCCAATCTCAGCATGTGTCACTGTGGAAATGGAATGACCGTGGTACAAACACCTTTTGAACCTTGGAATAAATGGAACAAAGTAGGTTGAGAGATCAACCTAATCGGCGGTGCAGATCGGAAGTCGATTGAACTTATCATGCCCATGTCGTTTGCATACCTAGGAGACTGTCACTGACTCCACAGAGGCCTACCCAAAGAACCTCAAACCAGCAGTTATGAATAGATAGAACCGCATCATATTCCCATGGGAAATAACGAGAGATGATTGGATCATTGGAGGATCTGCCCGATGGCTTACTCTTATTATGGGGAAAAGGCCATTAGCGCGAGATCAGGACATCCGCGGCCCGCGGGGCTCCTAGGGCTTACGCCTTACGGTCCCGCGGCCGCCATGGGGCCTGACTCACAAACAACACCCGTTGACAAGTGACAACACCGTGTCCTGCAGGATCCCACTGCTTGCCGAAGACTGCTGGAAAATTCTCTCATCAGCCGGACGACATAGTTTTCCACCATTCAACGGTTTCAATATCAGCCAAAATGGCAACATCGCAAGTCTTCCCTTTCTCCGTCGGAGACGCTTCAAACGACCGCGTGAAGCTCGTCCCTCTGAACCCAGACAAGCACTGCGACACGTTTTACCGCCTATCCTCTCCACACCCGGAGATATACTCGTACATGCCTCTCTTGCCCCCAGCATCAGCAGCAGAATTCAAGTCCTGGTTCCACAACGACTCCACAACCCATATCCTTTCATTCGCAAACCCAGAGACATTCTCCTTTGCAATCATAGACAAGACACGACCAGCGTCACCCGAAGACCCCGAAGGCGAATTAGCAGGCACTATGAGCTTCATCCGCACCTCAGCGATGCATCTGAATACGGAGATTGGGTTTATTGTCATTCTCCCGCCGTACCAGCGAACCCACGTCGCGACCAATGCCGTCGGACTTTCTCTGCAGCTTGCACTTGAGGCCCCGGAGAAGGGGGGTCTCGGACTGCGCAGTGTACACTGGTCGGCTAATACGTTGAATCTTGCTAGTGCCAGGCTTGCGGAGAGGATGGGATTCGAGAGAATTGGGGTTATACCGTGGCATATGCGCCTCGTGAAGGGTAAAACAAATGGGAAAGTAGGGAATGGTCGGGTGTTGCCGGCTGGAGGTGATCCTGAGGATTTATGGAGAGATACTCTGCAATTGTGTCTTGGGTGGGATCAGTGGGAGGATGGAGTAAGGGAGAAGGTGACGAAGCTTATGGAGAGGTGAGATCAAAATTGTTTTTGGCTCACTCTGTGTATCACAACCATCTCAAGAGTCAAGACTACGATGCAAAATAAACTTGGACACCTGGACCACAACCAGACCCCATTTGTCAGTATTATAGCGATTGGTAGCTTACCCCGGCATGGGGAGGCGAACCTCCAAAATAAGCACTGCATGCTATGCAGTGCCTGCTGTATTTCATCCCACTTCGGGTTCATGGTTTAGATTAACCTCTAAGAAAATCCGTGAATAAAGCTCACCAGTTGGTGAGTGGTGACCAGTTGGTCGCCAGTTGGTAGCACGCCAAAACGTGAGTGATTGCGTCTTAGCACGTAAGTGAGCCATCCCTGGCAGTAAGATGGCACAGATCTTTTCCAGTCTCAGCAGTAGGGTGAGCACTAGCATTGCCCGTGCATACTCCTGTCTAACAGAATGCAAGGTTGATGTCGATGGCGCGAATATTGCGCAAAATGCTTTCGAAGAGTCGCAATATGCAGATGACAACGACCCGCCAGATACACCTACCTATAGAACCATGCAGGTACTACCTATTGGTGGTCTTCAAGGCTATTCTCCTGCTAAATCCTCCGTGTCATGGAATGCGGGATGCTTGGGGTATACCTTAGTGGCGCAATCACTGGGATTACTGAGAACATTTGGTAGGGGTTGTATTAAACAAGCGGAGATGGCACAAATTCCGAGTGCCTTTTCAGTTCCCAATATCGTGGAACTCTAAGAACACAATGGGAACCGCTGGAGATTCCCAGCGAGTGTCGGACACCAGGGTATACAGCATCGACGCCGAGAATCGGCGCAACAGCACTGAGTACACTGAGGTTCCAAGGCCAAAATCATGGAAAAGCTACATTTGGGATACATGGGATCTACCACCCGATCAACGCTGGATGCTCTTCAAAGTGGATGCTTTCGTCCTCACCTTTGCATCTCTCGGTTATTTTTTAAAGAATATCGATCAGACGAATGTCAACAATGCTTTTCTCAGTGGCATGAAAGAGGATCTCGGAATGAATGGCAACGAGCTGGTGACAAGTATGTTGCCTTTTATTGCTTGGAAAGATTCCAGCATCTGCTAAAAAAAGACCACAGGCACATCTATCTGGACTGTGGGATACGTTATTGGTCAAATCCCATCCAACTTGTTGCTGACCAGAGTCTCGCCTCGATGGGTTATCCCCTCGCTGGAGGTAGGATGGGGACTGGCTACTATCTGTACATCGACTGTCAAGTCGTATAAAGCCCTCTACGCCTTGCGCTTCCTTGTTGGCTTTTTTGAGTAAGCGCTCATTCTCAGCTCATATTCTTTGCATGTGGACAGTCTCTAACACGGACTGTAGGTCAGGATTCTATCCCGGTATCCATTACTTACTGGGATCGTGGTACACCCCCCAGGAAATTGGAAAACGAGCCATGATTTTTTGGCTGGCTGGTTCGATCGGAACTTTATTCAGTGGTTTCCTTCAGGCTGCTGCATATACAAACCTGAATGGGACACATGGCTATGCGGGTTGTATGTGCTTTGCAATTTTTCTTCCTTTTCTCTCAAACTCCAGATGAGATACTGTCACAACCACTCCAAATTGCAATAACAGGAATGCAGCCTTTGACTAACACAAACAGGGCGCTGGCTATTCATCATCGACGGTATCATCACGCTACCACTAGCTGTCGCTGGGTATATCTTCTTTCCAAACCTACCGCAAAGCGGGCAGAGGACATGGTGGACAACCGAGAAGGAACATTTCCTGTCAGTTGAGAGAATGCAGAAGATCGGTCGTGCTGGCAAGCAGCCATGGACAAAGGCGAAGGCCGCAAGAATCCTGCTGAGTTGGCACACGTATCTTCTTCGTAAGTTATAGTCTACCAAAAGCAATCTAGGACTATACTGACCGCTCACCACAGCATTGCTATATATTCTTTGGAACAATGGACTGCCTCAGCCAGCTATGGGCTATTGGCTGAAAAGTTTCAACGCTAATCCTCCCCCTGTACCTGGGACATCTTACACTGTTGCGGAGATCAATAACTGTAAGATTGATTCCAATGTCTTGACCCCAGCAGATGCACTGACTCTGTATCCAAGTGCCGTTGCCTACGACTGCAATCCTCATTGTTATCTCTTTAGTCTGGGGCTGGCTGTCTGATGGCGTATGTCGCGGTGCTCGTTGGCCGTTTATTTACATTGGCGCTGTTTCTACTGTAAGTCGTTAGGTCTGATATCTTCTGGATACTTTCCATGACATGGGCACTAACTATTCTCTCAATCATTCAGCTCATTTTCTCCTCTTTGATGATGAAAATGCCATTTTACACAAATATAAAGGGCCGCATGGTGGTCTATTGGCTCAGCAATATCTTCGTGAGCACGCCTTTCTATTTTCTTCGTATTGATATCTGACAATAGTTTAGAATGGCGCCGGCCCTCTAATTCTAAGCTGGATCAACGAGATCTGCTCCGATGACACAGAAAAGCGGGCATTACTTGTTGCAATGGCCAATGACCTAGCATATGTTGTGCAGGCTGTCGTGAGTCTTCTTCGTTCTTTTTTACTGATTGCAGGCTTTCGGGCAAATACTAACGAGCACGGGCAAAAGGCTCCTAACTTTATATGGAAGACTACGGACTTCCCTCAGGCCCCCAAGGGGTATACCTGGTCTCTCATACTTCAGGTCTTGCTCAGTAAGAAGTCCTATCCCCTTTCGGGTACTTTTGCGTCTCACTAAAACCTCTCTAGTCTTGGCCACTGCTACCACCCAATTCTTGTTATGGCGGGATCAGAAAAGGGCCGCAGAAATAGAGGCGAGCCGTGCAGCTGCTGCCCCTCTTGATTCATCGTCTATAGACGTAGAGACACCGGTAGGATCTAGGGAAGGAGATGGCAAGGTAGCTGGGACTTCTCGGATCAAGTATGTTGGCTTAGGTTAAGGTTGAATTGCCACAACAGATTGTGTCCATGAATAGGTATATTGTGGTGAAAATATTCAGAGTCAATTCGATAGAGTCCATCCTGTTCATATAGGTTTCAGCGGGTACGCCGCTGTATAAGCGCCAGGGGCCAAAATGCCGTTTCTGACTAATCTTTATGCCTTAATGCCTGACTTTGGCCTGACTTTGGCCTGATTTTGCCTAGGAGCCTGAATTACAACGGGCAGAAAAATAGGGCTGTCTGAATTCCGATTACACTTGACTTAATAAGCGAGGTACCATACTTTTGCTAGCTCGCTGTCCAGCCATAAAAATGAAGCCTTTTTATCCCATACAAACGCATACATCTCTAGTTACGGGAAGATGCATGGTCGGTTTGTCTGGGTGGATTTAGAATTAACCTATGGCTGGAATTAAAATAAAATACTGTAAGGGATTAGTAGCTTGTAAAGGTTTCATTAGCTATTAAAGCATCGAGGTTTACCTGTTTTACCTGTGCATTATTCCGTGCTGGAGAGAGAGCGCTGGTAAACCACCTTTGAATTGGAGATGTATGCATTTGTATGGGACAAAAAGGCTTCAGTCTCACACATGGAGAGTAAACCACCTTCGAAACTGGAGATGCATGCATTTGTATGGGACAAAAAGCTTCAATTTTACAAGCATATGATTACAATTTACATTACATTGTACAGTGCGGTGTAAAAGGCGGTCAGGGGACTGGCCAAAATTTCAGGCTCCTAGGCCAAAGTCAGGCATTAAGGCATCAAGATTAGTTAGAAACGGCATTTTGGCCCCTGGCGCTTATACAGCGGCGTAAGCGGGGTTCTGGGCAGCCCGCTTCCATGCATGTATACACCGCTAGATCGGATGACTCCTCGACTGTACCATTCCATCTTCAGACCTTCCTCTTCAACTTGGTAAGCCTTCAGAGGTGCTGCCGATATTGGACCTCAACATGACATTCCCGTATAACCATGTCTTGCTCATTGGAGCCACGTCTGGGATCGGTAGAGCAATAGCCGATCGTCTGATACAGGCTGAAATCAAAGTGACTGCAGTCGGAAGACGAAAGGACCGCCTCGATGAGTTCGTTGGGAAACATGGCAAAGAAAAAGCCAATTCAATGGTCTACGACGTCAGCGTCATTGACAGGATTCCTCGATTTGCGGCAGAGTTAGTATAACCAACGACGTTCGGAAGATATACGCCGTATATGTACTTAATTGAAACCCAATGACAGTGCGACTGCTCAACATCCGGACATAGACTGTGTCTTCCTGAATCATGGCACACAGCGCAAATACAAGTTGACCAATCCCAAAGATGGAGATCTCGTGGATTTCAGAGCAGAAATGGATGTCAATTTTACCAGCTATGTGGCTCTGACTCAGGCATTTACTCCTTTCTTGTTGTCCAAATCTGGTTCAGCGAGCTTTATATTGTCAGTGCACAACCTCGGCGTCAACCGTTTCATTGAGATATTGATCTTTTTTGACAGCACGACATCCCTTCTAGCTCTTGTGCCAGCGCCAAGGATCCCTGCGTACTCAGCGGCCAAAGCTGCATTGAACGCTTTTATATACTGCTTGCGCGACCAGCTGAGGGAATCGAATGTTGGAGTGATCGAGCTGGCTCCACCACTTGTGTCGAGTAAGTTATAGTCTTGGCCAGTAAAAACCTTAACAAAGGACGAAAAGATGAAAGAATTTAATGCTGATAATGTATATTGCTTGTAGCTGAGCTACACGATTACATGGGTATTGAGAAAGGAAGAAGCATGGGAATGCCGGCCGAGCAGTATGCCGAGTACGCTATTCAAGCCCTCCAAAGAGGAAGCGACGAGGTTCTCGGTGGCAGTGTTCAACCGATAGATAATTTTCAGGAATTGGTTGATAAGCGACGGAAGCTATTCAATGAGTTCGCTCCTATGCTTCGTGATGTGGAATAAGAGATGCCTTTGCCGCGTTGTGCCAACTGGCTAACTGGTCACCAACTGGCGACCAACTGGCGAGTATTCACGGATCTTTTTCTTGAGTGGATAATCCAGACCATGAACTCGAAGTGAGATTGGCAACAGCAAGCATGTCAATCTATATAATAAGATAGTCATGTTGCCGTTCCAATTCGGCATTACGAGTCTGCAGAAATCAGCCACCAACATCAATAAATTTGGGAAGTAACAACCCACAAACAAGACCCAATGAACATTGCTGCAGTCATTTTTCGCTTGCTTCCCTCGCGCGTCCCAAACAGACTGAAGCAGAGATATCGCCGTCTCATTGCCCAGCCCACCATGTACCCGGACATGGTCAAGCCGCAGAAGGACATAGTGCCGCGCGTGCGGGGACAAAGCATCAGCCCCTGCCATGAACAGTGGCATGACCGCCAACTCGATCAGAGAACACTCTGCAGGTATCTCTGCCAGAGAGTCCAGGATTGCTGTCACGGAATCCTTTATTATTGGCGCTTCGGCTGGTTGGGCTACATCCAACAAGCGAGATGTGTGCAGGATGCACGCGTGGCGAAACGCCTCGGCAATTGCGGGCCAGCGTGGATCATCGTTCGGATATCTATCAGGCTTCAAGCGCCATGAAAATAATTGGTATCGGTGGGCACTGAGGAGTCGCTCGAACTCTGGAGTTTCTAACTTGCCCGTGGCATGCGCCTTGGCATGTTCTAGGACGTTGCCCATGATCAAGAACAATTCGCGGGGGCAGCCATTGACGCGCTCGAATTTCAAATCGCTCAGATCCGCAACGACTTCACGAAGCTTAGAGGAGAAGCATAGTCGTTGGGGGTCTGTAAGTGAACGGATGATGTCCAGCCTGATAGGATATTGTCAGAGCTTAGAGCTTACGAATAACCGGATGAGACCGCTTGCCATGCTAAGTTTCCCAAGAAGAACACAGTTCTTCTATCATTCCGGGTCAAAGTATCACACAGGCGCAACTGGTTGCAAATGGACAAGGCACCTGTGATATGAGCGCCGTGGGTGGAGATGCCCGACTCAAAGATCTTCACAGATTCAGCTGTGCGTTCCGAGTGCAGGGATTGTCAACTCACATCCTGAAGTAACAATACTTGAATGATAACGAAGATCCCGTCGCGTTCGTTCTCATCCAAATGGCCCGAGATGCCATTGTGAAGAGTATCGCCGAGCCAGCGTATGGCTCTGACTCGGTATTCCACGGCTAAAGTCTCTCGCAGATAGATGTCATCTTGCTTGATTCCTAGATGACATGCGGAAAGTCCTAGGACGGCATATAACAGACCTAGTTGTTCATATGCTAGCGGCAGAACATAAGTTTGGTATGGGTTGTCCAGGCCACTGGCTGGGAGTGCGATTTGGTGTGGACATATAACCTGGTCATCTAAATATAACACAGTTAGTATATTGTCCTTGGACTGAAAGGGTAAGATGCACAGACAATGTGCCAACAGTAGCTCCGTCCTTTCCAACATCAACAAATCATCCAACTCCACACTTTGCCCTTCTGGCCGTGGCCGTGGCCATAGATGGGTGACCGGAAGTGGCGCTTCTTCATTCGTCGTATCGAAGATACTATCACTTGGCTTATGGACGAGCTCCTCGTCAGTAGGATCTGGAGGAATGCTTCCAATGTCCGACGTCAGGGCATGGCCACGGGTCACAGCAGGGACTGCCCTGTTCTTCCATTTCCCCCGGGTCGCTAGTCCCGCAAAGCGAAACTTCTCTGGATATCCTTTACATTGAAGACCTTTGGTGATACATCTTTGGCAGGCAGGTTTTGCTCGGTCGCATTTGCGACACTTTTCACGGCATGTTATGCAAGCTGGGCCTGGAAGAGATCGTCAGGGCCGCTTTTGCTTGGTGTATGTAATACAAACCTCCCGGGGGCATTTCCTCTCTTGATTGGCGACAACTGACGTTGACGAATCAAATCATCTGTACAAGTCGAGATCTGACTGGGGAACTTGGAAGTTGGAAGGAGAGTCGTAAATCACGAGGTCTAGTTATTGCGGCCTTGTTTGTCAGGCCTCAAACGGAATTCCTAACTTAACATTGCCGAAAAGTGGGGCAGTCACCCAGTGTTTGCTTGAGCCTTGAAAGAAAAGCCTGTGCAGTCTGATTCGTCCACGTCAGGGGTGGCGCCCACTAGATTTAGCCGCTGGCCCACTGTGGGCCAGCCTTGATCTGTTTCTCTCTTCTTCATATATTTACCTTTCAGTTGTCCCCCATCCATCCCCATAACCTCCATACGAATCATCAACAACAACAAACCTGTTCGACGTCAGAACGATGCGTGTGTTCCTCCTGGGAACCGATGATCATCCACACGAACCGTCGTCGACTACCTGGATGAATGAACCACTTGTTCGGGAATACCATTACACGTGACCTGCAGATGATACCAAAGAGCTTTGTGCCCGCAACATCTCACAAGCGGAGAGGAAGATTGCCCACATCCAGGAAACGTCGATGTGAATCTCAAGAGACACACGCACAATCTCCTGATCTCTGCTCTAACTAAGACACAAATCCAGCGACTTCTGCAGAAAGGCATAGTGGCTCTAGAGTTACTTTCACGGACGAGCAAGTATTATTCGAAAATCATGCCTGGAAAAGCGCATGATGCTTCCAATGCCTTAAACCGATGTCGACATCCTGATTCCCAACACGTCCAGTCTGGATTATCTCAAGCCAGTCGGTGGCTTCGAGGTGGTTGATGGTGAACTGTTTATCAATCGGTTCGAATCAATTTGCTCACCACCATCGACGATATGAACTCTTATGAGCAGGTTGACGAGCATGTCGAAGCCTCCCTAAGGGATTCGCCTTGGAAAGCCGGACTTTTCCCTCGCAGTGAAGACGGAGTGCCCATAGCTACGCCAGGAATACATTAAGGGCATCGAGAAGCAAGCATCAGATCTAAAGGATGCTGTCTTCTGGGCTAGGCAGGCGATCGTGTTCGTGCAACACAACGTTGTCAGGGCAATGGAGGCGGCAAACTGCCCAATGTCGAGAACGACATGGATGGGAATCGGCAGAACTTCTTCGAAGGACCGGCATCGCGGAAGAACCACCTTTCGAACCCTGGTAGTCTTCCTGCCGAATAGCTACCGCTATCAAGGCTTAGAGAACGAACCCCATGGAGGTCTCTACAATTGTCCCGAGCGTCTAGCCGAACTTCTGACAGACTTACGGTCTATTCTTACTACCTTGGTAAGAAAGCAGAGTGAAACTCCCGTGTTGTATAATGCCATCGTAGGGGCAAGTGATACCTCAGGAACCACCGAGCTCCTCGCAGCAGAAGAACCTAGCCATCACTCGTGATTGAAATTGGGTCTTCCCAATGCTCTGGGTCGCCCCACAAGGATGCGCGATGGTGGCGGCATAATTCGGGTGGTGCCACGGAATCTGTTCTCCTGCTAAAAATCAAGGATACCCCTGGCTTTTCGGTCGACGTTGAGCTATGGGAAGAGGTGATGTCCCGCACCACGACAGTCCCGTCACCATCTGCCTCTATCTCATTCTCAACTAGACTAGAGCGCACGCAATTCGCCACTGTCGATGCCTCCGGGCTCCGGCAGATATACCGACATCTTCCTTCGCTATGCAGCTTAATGAGGCAGCCCTCTGGTCCAACCTATCCAGAACTCGTCCACCTCGCCCCCGATGTCACGTACTATGACATCTAGGACCAAGGTCAAAGGTCATGTCTCGAGAAGGTGATTGTTTGTCCGTGCCTGAGGCACGAACCTCATGAGCCTTTTTTGCTTTCCTTCTTTCTCTTTCCTTCCTCAGACTCCTCACGTTTAGTTGTCTGGATAGCAGCACTCTTTTTCATCAAGAATTGGCTCGTCACACCCGACGTGTTAGCTGAAATTTGTGCTCCCCCATGTTGAGTCCTTCTTTTCCAGAAGCCGTCTTAGAATGCTCTGGCCTTGGCTTCCTTCGAACACCAACGTTCTTGAATGTTACCGATGATGGGCTCTACAGTCAAAAAAGACCAACCCCCCCCCCCCAAAAAAAAACCACCAAAACAAAAGCGGACGGGACTGGACAAGGCTGGCCTTAGTCGCCGGCTAGTCCACAGTATTCCTTCACCCCGCAACAGCAGGCTGCGTGGGAGAAACTGTGGCACGAAGCGCAGGAGGTTGCCCGGTCCGGCGGACTCAGTTCACCAGCTGGCACACCTAGTCCTGTTCCGAGTCTGGCGAGTGAGGACGCATCTTACGAGGTCGAACATGCCAGCCGCGACACCGATTGGGAGTCATCCCCCATCGACACAGCATGCTTGAATTTTTGCATGGAATTGTTGAACCAGCGCTCACGGGTGAGTGATTACTAGAGTGCGCTGGTTTGCGCAGTGGCCGTGCAGGGCCGAGGGGAAGCCGGTTGGCGCGATGCCATACCCATCTTGTCACGGATCATAAAAGTTGCACGATTCATGTTGGTGCACAAAGCCATGCGATTTGCTCCCGGGGGGGTCGAAATGATCAAGAGCTTATCGAAATGTGGCATGGCCGGTACTGGTCTCTCCAGCTGGATGGATACTTGGGTTTCTAGCTTCCCTTTCAGCTTGTCAAAATCATTGTTTTTTTTTTGTTGGTTTGTTGTTTCTTTGGGGGGGGGGGGGGGGGGGGGGGGGGATCAATCGAAGGCCAAAGGACAGAAAACAACAGAGGCAACTTGTCGTAAGAACAGCCATTCGTGAACCAATCAAGAACCAGCTTGCTGTGCGATTCCCAATGTTTAGTCCGTGTGACGCTAGAAACCCACAGGTACCCAATAGGAAGAAACTCCGCCTTATAAGAGTGCATTTCTCCGGTCTTTATAGGGCTCGAGATTGATTACACCGGCTCCCACAGGTGCATGATGAGTAGGAGCAAACAATGTAGAATAGACCAGGGAGACAGAAGTTAGAGAGTATGACAAAGCCCATTTGACTACAAGAGGTACAGTAGTAGGTACAAATACCTGAGATCAGGCTATGCAGTTAGTAAAGTCGGAATTGCGTGGTCTAAAGAGAATACACTGCAATAGCAAGTAAATGCGTAGAATTCATTGAGCTACCTAAAGTTCCTTATGTAGGCACAGATCTCCTGACAATAGAGGCACCGAAAGAAAGGGACGTCAAGGGAAAGAAGGCATCCGCAGACGAAAGCCCTCGGCGATCCTGGAATAGAGCATCCATCCGTATGAAGAGCCGAAGAATGTGACTTGATAAGGTCATTCATTGCTGGTTTGACCGTGATGGGCTGATATGGAAACGGCGGTGGACCTGGCGCTGAGTGGGACCATATCCAGAGGTAAGTTGCGTAAAGCAGTAAATTTGAGGATGAGATTCATCCGTGCGAGTTGCAGCGTGGTTGGAATTGTGGGTGGCTGGCTTGATGCACGGAGACAGGGCGGATGATAGAAAGCCCACGGGGCATGTCCTCAAGATGATGATCAACACGTGGGTAACCACCGAGAGATGGCTTGTCTGGGTGGTGTTGAGCAAGCCGGCAAAGGTGAAGATTAACAGGTCAAAGGCACATATTGACAGACGGGTTGCATGGCCAATGGTGGTTGATGGTCAAGATGAAGCAGATACGCAAGAACCAAGGAGACAAAGAGCCACTGCTGGGCGTGGTAGACAACGGGTAGTCATAATGATGGCCCAAGTATCGGGGGGGGGTCCCCATGAGTGCGGATGATCGATGTTTGACGGGTTACCAGAATGTAGAGCTTGTTTTGTGGCAGCACAACCAATATTGACTGGCAGCTGGAATGCCGAGGCCCCTCAGGAGAAGGATGCTTCTTTGTGGTTCGTCGCAGGTGGTCAGGATGATAGGGTCGAAGATTGAAGTTTCTTGTGTAACGATGTGGATTACACGCAGTCGATGCCGATGCCAGAAAATTTGTTGTTCAATGACGTTGGTAGTGAGTGGTCAGAAAGGCCAAGTCGAAAAGGTCCGTAGGTGAACAAGGCTTAGGTGGATAACACGTAGGTGGACAAGGCGTGGTAGGTCAATGGTGGGTGGTGAATGGTAAGGAGACAGTGAAAGCCGGCTGGTGAACAGGCCAAGAGGGAGTTCCCATTTTGAGAACAGGGTGGATGGTTAAAGGCCGGAGTGCACCGGCCCGTTGGTTGTGCTAGTGAGTTGTAGATGATGAAGAAGGCCATGAACGAGAGCGTCAGTTGCAATATCAAGTTGCTGATGAATAAAGGTTGATGGAGGAGCAAGGGTAGAAAGGTAAATGGAAGGTTGGTGGTTTTAGTAGTGGACGGTCATAGACATTATTTTGAGGCCTGAAAGGCCATTTGTCGGATGGTGGTCAATGGCGGTTGGTTGAAGACGAAGAAAGATGGCAAGAAGGCTATGATAGCAGGCATGCAGATAGCATGTTGAGAGAGTCGATAACATTCCGGGTGTAAGGGGCAAGGCGGGAAGGTCAATTGGGGGATAGGTAGATTGCTTTAGTAGCAGGTGGTCGAGGGTAGAACATTGATGTGAAGGCCAAATTGAAGGCCGCGTAAAGTAGGCTGGCAAGAGGGATTGACTGGGGGCATAGCAGACAGTTGAAATGGGTGTTGGCTATCGGTGAGAAGAATGGAGATGGTTGATGATTTCTGAGAAGGCTAAGGCCCTAAGGCCTTGTAGAGATTTCTCTTGATGGATGGTGGAAGAGACAGTGGAAATGGTTGATGGTAGACGACAAGGTTAAACCGAGAAGGATGCAGTGGGAGCAGTGGATTGAGTGGAGCAGATTGCCCTATCCAGCCTTCCGATTGCCCTGAAGCCAAAGAGGCCCGCCACGGTAAGACTGGATATAGGTCAGTAGAGGTGGCCAAAGGTGGTCAAGTGAATGTCGTTGTTGTTGTTGGGTGGTTGCGGTTGCTATGTCCAGTCTCCTGATTGTCCTGAAGCTGAAGCCCGCCACAGTGAGACTGAACGGAGCGTGGATTGTTCCTTCCCTTTTCAATGCCAAACCAAAACACGTGTATGGAACATGGGGATCACCCTCCAGCATTGAACAGGTAGTACCAAGGCCTGAATATGCATAAAGACGCAGCTAGCAGGCTCATAGTCTAGGAGCTTCACTTGGTTAGCCCATTGAATCTGTGTCCATGATATTGGGTCAGAAGTAGCTTTATAGAATTCGGAGGTCAAGTTGTTTGGAACTGATAGTATACAACCATCCCCACACCTAGGCCCAAACCCCGAGTAACACGTGGAGCGTGTGCCTGTAAGTGTTAAAATATCCCCTAAATCGAACAGGCCATGTGTACGCAAATCTGTCCAGTTGTCAGTATTCACTTGCGGGTGCCGAGTTCCAGACGCGTGTTTAGCGAGCTTCCCGTCAACCGGCAAGCCACCCGTCAACTGGCAAACATCTCGCCAACTGGCAAACATCCCGCCAACTGGCACTCCTTCCGGCAACTGGCAAGGCTACATTCCTACGAATTGCCCCCGTAATCCCACAGCGACAGCATGTATGTAGAGCGAGCTAACTCGAGTTAAAGTATTAACGAGAAAATCATCATCATTCCACAGCGATACGTGCTGCGTCTGATCTGGTGTTCAATCCTACTGTGTCTGGCAAAAGGTATGAATTTCTCCGAGTAAGTTCACATTGGAAGTGCTTAATATCATCGACCTCGAATTCAGCGGTCCCTAGGGTAACACGATCAATAGGCAGCCTTGAAAACATATCAATAGTGAAAGAGTAAGCCCCCAGCTAAAAACCTATGTATACAACTACAACCAACATCCAGACCAGTTAGACAATGTCAAATCTCTGCATTGAAGAATAAACGAGGCAAAGTAAAGCTATAGTATATGTACTGCCTCAGCAAGGGAATAACACGTATGCAAACCCATATGTAACGCGCAAAAGGAAAGCCAGACTCAAAACAAGAGCCGGGGTATAACGATCTGGCGGCCGACTCTGCAAAAGCCAACAGAGAAGTCAACAAGAAGCAGTGGTTATGAAAGAGATCAACGCCTTTTGAGACCTGGGAATCGTAAGAGAGAATGCAGAAATGGGCAGACGCAATCGCTATGAGGGAATGACGAGACAGCAGAATGTCAAAGCAAAAACAAAACAAAACATCATACATGTACAAATCGAATCATTTCAACTGGCCCTTCCGTACAACACCATACCCCTTACTGAACAGCTCCTGGATCTCCACGGACCGCCGACGACCCGTCGCGTCTTCGGGACAAAGAAGCGAGGGCTGTCGACCGCGTTCCGGCTCCGCATTACCCGTGCGACTTGGCGCGCTGCCGTTTTGACTAGCAGTTGCGCTGGCACTGGTATACCCCTCGAGCTCCAGCTCGTCCGTCGCGGGCTTGGTATCCATAACGCGCGGCCGGGCGAGTAACTCGCGGACCTGGCGTTCGCGGGCGTCGAGTTCAGCGATCTCGGCGTTCTCACGCGCAATTTCGAAGCTGGATTTCTTGGTGCCGTGATCCCAACCCTGCTGGAGTTCTGAGGCAGCGGCTTCTTCGAAGCGCTTGCGGATTTCGAGGTCTTGTTCGTATTCTTGGAAGATATCGACGTCCGTCGGGAAGAAGAGGGCACGGAGGGTTGAGACGGTAAATTCAAAGAGGAGGACTGCTGAGACGCAGAGGAGAAGGACGACCCAAAAGAGGAGATTGTGGCCGGAGTGCTGGAGGAAGTTGGCGGGGACATAGTAGACGCCTTTGCCGGAGGCCATGGTGTATTCGCGGTCGAGGATCATGTCCCAGACGAACCAGCCGCCGACGGAGATTATTATGGCGAAGAGGGAGATGTAGGTTTTGTTGTGGACTTCTAGCGCTTGGAGTTTGAGGTTGATGACGATGATGCAGGCGGAGAAAGTGAGAAGACCCAAGGCGAAGGTGTCGTTTCCGCTGATGTTGACTCTGGCGAGGCCATAGAGACTCCACATCGTGAAGAAGATTATCACTGCTTCGCAGGTGGCCATGAAAGACCAACCGAGATATAGCTTCATGTTGAAGCCGCCGTTCCTTTGGCCCTTGGTGTAGAGCTCTGGCACGGCAAGCAGGGTCGATGCGGCGAGGTCTTTGGTGAAGATTCCCAGGAAAATAACAGCCAGCGAGGTGAAGAGCGTGTTGAACATACTCAAACTCCACGGTTCGTACAAACTGGTGCCAGTGTAGCCGTTCCAGCGCTGGTACAGCGCTTGAGTCAGGTAGAATAGCATTTCCTTCCAGAACGTGCCCAAGGTATACTTGCACGCACGCATGTAATTCCAGCGGCCGTGCACCAGAAGTAGCTTGAGGAGGAAGCGGAACTGCCCGATTGAATAGTCTGAGATACGCGCTGCCTGCAGGCCTTCCTTTCCGGCAATACCGATGCCCACATGGGCCTCCTGGATCATGGCGATATCATTGGCACCGTCTCCGATGGCGAGCGTGATTGCGTCGTGGACATGTTTGCGAATTGTTCTCACCAAGAACGCTTTCTGCTTCGGGCTGGCTCGGCAACAGATGACTGAGTCTGTCTTGACAGCCAGCTGGAAGAACAACTCGCGCAGAACATCATCAGCTTCGATGGTCGAGAGCGTCTGGCCATCGACCACAACCACAGAATGTGCGACGCGGCCGCGGGTGATTTCTCCGATAAGATGCACGATCGTCTGTTCGACGTCACCATTCTCGTGATCGAGGATGGTCAGAGTTGAGTACTCTTTCACAAGACGACACGAGTGACCGACATTGATAGCGGTTTCACGCTTGTCACCTGTCAACATCCACATCTTGATGTTGGCTCGTCGCAGCTTGTCAATAGCCTCGGGGACACCCTTCTGCAGCTTATCCTCGATAGCAGTGGCGCCTGTCAGCTCCAGCTGCTGTTCAATTTGCTCACCAACCTCCTCAATTTTCTGCTGACGGTCAACGAGACTGGTGCAAGCCTCGTTATAGGCAGTCTTCCAGGTCGTGTAGGTAGCTTCATCCAAGAACCGATGACCATACAACAGAGTGCGCAGTCCATCAGTAGCGAAGTCGTTCAGATGCTGGAAGCAGCGCTCGAAAATAGCCGTCTCATTGACAACCAGCGCCTCCTCCACAAGATCTTCGTCCTCATCCTCCCCATTCGTAGAGCTTCCGGAGTCGGAGATGGCAGCCGAAGGTCTGCTCATTTGCGCCGAAGGTCGAGGGCTGTAGTATTCACTATCAGTCTCTCTGTTCAGCAAACCGCCATCTGTCTCCCGATCGCGTAGCCAGACATCAATGCTAGCACGGAGAGCCAAGCCCTGTTGGCCCGTAATCGACGAACGCTGGCGAGTGAAGCTAGGTCGGGTCATACTGCTTCGAGCGACGCTGTCCTTGCGGCTTTGGTGTTCGCTGTTGCGACGGATAACCTGATTCATCTCGGCGTTCTTGCGTTTGCTGGCACGTCGTTCGATCTCGGTCGCTTTCTCGTGAGCCAGTGCAGCTTGCTTGAACAGACGCATCAGCGTGGTGTCGGCACCTTTGCAGAACAAGCAGATGCGCTGATCAGGCATGCGAACGACGACAGACATGCGTTTCCGTGCGCTAGAGAACTCGATGACGTCCATAATTTCGTATATTTCGTCAGAAGTGGCTCCATCAGGTCCGTTGGGAAGTGTGCGGATAGTCAGCGTGTTGGACTGACGATCCACGACGAGATAGCCGAGATCCTGGGCTGCGAGAACAAGAGCTAGTTCGTCCGGTGAAGAAGCCTGAAAAGTGGTCTTTCCGTTCGCGCCTTCTTCGGGAATGCATGTGTGGCAAAGGGCCATGGCCAAGATAAACAACTTCGCCTTTCGGGCAAAAATGGTGTATGGCTTGCGCTGAATGTACTCGAGCATCTCTTCGGTCCGATAAATAGTGGCAGACCGGCCAGGCTGGCGGATAGCATCAGCAGGCCCAGAAACGTTGGACGGGCGGGGCATCTGGGCCTCAGAAACATTGGACTTGCGACCCATCGCCTTCTTCCCTTTGTTGCTGCGCTTTTTGTGGATCAACTTGGTCTGGTCGCCCTCGCGGGCAGCCTCCTCCTGAAGGTCAGCATCGTGGAGCCACGCCGTTCCAGCCACACTCATCTTGCGAAAGCGCATGGAATTGTTGGTTAGGGTACCGGTCTTGTCGGAGAAGATGTAGCTAACTTGGCCGAGCTCTTCGTTGATTGTAGATGTGCGCGCCTCCAGCGGGGTATCGGTTTCTGGGTCGTACATGTCGATATCATTCAGAAGCAGCATTTGGGCGACCTTGACGATTTCCATACTCACGTAGAGCGAGATGGGAATCATCGTATTGAACATGATCAGGAACGAGGTGAAGATCGGCCCGTAAGCGACACTGGCATCGGAAAGATACCAGGACTTTTGTTCAACGTCCTGAGACCAGTACTTGTAAGACACCGTGCAAATCACGGCCAGCATGACGACCAACACCACGATGAGCATCACGACGCGGTTGACCTTGTCCTGGAGAGCAGGCCTCTTGATGCGCGGGTTCTTGTTGGCATTCATGCGAATCTTGCACTCCTCGCCGGTGTAGATCACCATACCCAAGGCACGGTCAGTGTTGCGGAGAACGCTGCCGCGGTACGCGATCTCGTTGTTAGTTAGAGGAAGCTTCTCCTGAGCGTTGACAGTGACGTGGCCGTCAAATCTGTACAGGTCTAAGTTCGGATCTTCGACGACGAAATGCAGGGAATTGCTGGTGATATCCTCCACGGTCGAGCACACCTTGGACACAGGCTGGCAAGCCTGCTTATTCTTCAGATTAGTCTCGCCATCGAGAGCCATCGTCTCAATATAAGCGACACCATTGGGTCCGCTGGCGTGAAGTAAAGCAATATCAGCAGGAACGGGCTGGTCGCGCTCAAGTTTGATAACGTCGCCAACCCTGATTTCAGACCACTTGATCCGCTCCCAGTCTTGCGAGTTACTGATAATGGAGGCGCCGTCCTGAACCTTCCCGTGGCCTGGGCGAAGTACCCAAGCCTCCCGATTATTCTCCTCTTTGTCCAAGCGATATCGGCGCACATCATCGAACCCTTCCTTGCCCATCGAGATACCAACAAAGATCAAAAGTGGAACGATAGTCGTGTAAGTTCCAGTCGTACTCAAGCCAGGGATCATCTGCAGGATGGCGACCACCAAGAAGTAGAAGTTTGCGACTTTGGTGAATTGAGCAAAGAATTGGCGGGGGAAGAAACTCCAGAGACTGTATCGGCTAGATCGAATAGAGTTGCCAATATAGGGCTTCCCCGTGCGCTCATCGAGCATGGTATCCACCATGGAAGGATTCAAGTCAATGTGGCGTCCATCTTTCGTTGGTGGAATATCCTTGATGCGCAAGACAAATTTCTGAATGGACGTCATTACGGCCTGGAAGCGCGCGACAGCGACAGAGGTAGCTGCCTTTTTCCGAGCCCAACTCCCGTAGACCTGAGACCTGGAAAACTGCTCCTTGAGACCTTTCTCTGAAGGCTCAGACGAGAGATAAGTGATTGTATCCTCGTTATGACCCGAATCGAGAGTTGCCGTCGGTGCAACGCTCAGCGCATGCTTCTCATCGGCGGAAGTGAGCGTCTCCCCAGCCGGTGTCGAAGCCGGAGCCACATCGGAAGCCGGCTCCTTGACCTCGCCCAGCTCAGCCAGAGCGAGATCATCCTTTTCCACCGTCGGATTTATAGCCTTATTGAAGATCGTGCGACGAAGCGAGTATCCGCGGTTTCGTGACCGAGCCCGACCGGCTGACTCAGGACTCGTCGGGGAGGCAGGGGAGAGGGTTGCATTTTGGGCGGCACTGGATGGTGAGAGCGGAGAGGTGGGCGAGGGAGGAGGTCGAGCCGACGGAGGCGCCAGCGCCGTGTCGATTGTTAAGCCGCGGGAACTGGGGCGTCGGTCCCAGTTTGTCTGTCGTTGTTCCTCCACGGACTCGCGATCGAGATCGGTCGAGAAGCGAACATGTTGGGATGAGATCCGTCGGCCGGAATCGGAGAGCGTCCGCGTCGAGACGAGGGATGGCCGTCGGAGGACATCGCTTTGCCTGGGTTGAATGTCCTCTGTAGGTTCTGTAGGCTTGTCGTTGGGGGTCATGACGACAGTCGAATTCCTCGCACGAGGGCTCGGGACAGAGCCCGACGATCTCGGTGTCGTGATTTCTTTCCTCCGAGGTAGTCGAAATGTGCCGTTGTTACTGGCTTTTCCTATTGGATTGCACTAAGTAGTTTGATTGAGTAGATCACACGGATCGGACTATCATTCTTCTGTTCTTTCAGCGGGGAAAGACGTAATCCCCTGTCGCAAAGTGAAGGTATTGGCGAGGGTTGAGTAAACGAAAGTACTCCCGTCGACGCAAGGATAGAAATACAGGGCGCAATGATTGTGTGCTGGGCCAAATAAAAGAAGCAAAGAACTCAGCGAAGAAGTGAATAAGAGACTAAAAGAACTAAAAGGACAAAATGGAAATAGAGACCGAAGAGACGAGGACCGAGCCAAGACCCAAGAAGAAGAGAAACGGTACGGAAGCCAAAAACGGCCTAGTGTTCCAAGTTGCGATATGCGTCTAGAAGGTGTGGAAAATGGCCAACTTGATAGGTAGAGAACGAGGAAAACTGGAGTTAAGTGGGGGGGAAAGGGATTCCGACAAACAATCAACTGTCTTCATAACAGAAATACCGACAACAATAACCGTGGGATGTTTCTGGGCAACGCGTAAGATGCAACCATCAGGCACCGCCCCCCCCCCAATAAGTTAATTTAAGAAAGCCACCCGGGGCGAAGATGTCAAGTTCATCGCTGCATCCATGGAAATGCTAAGACCGAACCCAGGACTAGCCGTCTTCCTATTGGTCGTCGGCCCACATTCCCCGGGCCCACCCTATTGGCAGTATTGGGGACAAATTTGGCCGAATGTGGCAATTGACTCTCTTCTATGTACCTGTACTCCAAGGATACATTCGATTATGGAATACCGAATGGAGTACAAGTGTTGAGAAGTGTCTGTGTACTAAGTCAATTTACAAAAATGCACTTGCAACAGGAGCTTGGACTACACCATTTCTATGCACAGCATATCCTCCCTATCGAACTGGTGGGCTAATTGCTAGTGGAGTTCTGGCCGATCATAACCAGGACGGGTAAAACTTTTGCGAGACTCCCGAGTCAAGGCCCAGACAGCCCTCGTTAAGAAAAATCTGAAACAGACGAAAAATAGCATTTGAGTTAAAGTTGGGTTGGTTCAAACGTTCACGATTCATGGTACACTATGTGGAGTAGAGGAAGAATAAAGTCTCCAACGATCAGAACTTGGAGTCCATAAATCCACACCAGCCAATTCTTAAAGACGCATGGCAAACACGACAAACACACGTAACTCATGCCAAGAGGCTAGCCCAATGACGTCATGCCCCACTCTCAATAGCGTGGTGGCGGCTGGCCATGTCCTCCATATGGCTGCTGCGGATACCCAGATCCAGGCTGTGACGGATATCCGTAGGGCTGAGGGGGCTGCTGGCCGTAGCCACCCTGCTGTGTCTGGTACGGAGGCTGCTGCTGAGGAGGCTGCGGTGGATATTGGCCACCCTGTGGTGGGTACCCAGCCTGGGAACCATACGCACTCGGAGGGGCACCAGGGGGCGGACCATAGGGAGGCTGCCCCTGGCCTTGCGGCGGGGGAGCTTGGCCATAGCCTCCTCCATACTGACCTGCCGGTGGTGGAGGGCCTCCGCCACGACGTGCGTTCTCTCGCTCGTCCTTGGTGTCATAGGAGGAATCGATGGCGCCCAGCATCAGTTTAGCACACTATATCAATGGTCAGATCGATACTATATCATGATTCACCAGACTTACCCAAAGCTCACGAGTGAGATGCACTGGTGGGTTAGCACGGGACATCTCGTCTTGCTCGACCTCAAAGTCTAGCATACGACGTTAGTTGGATTCACCATGCACTAACTCCACAAAGAACTTACTGGAGGTACAATCAATCAAGTGGCCAATGTGAGGATCCTCGTCCAGGGTAGCCAAGAAATCGCGAGCCCGCTGGTCAGTTCCCACCTGCGAGAACTGGAACGCAACGGCACCAGGGCCGTAACGGGTCCGCGAAGCCTCCTCCACTGCGTAGCGAATGACATCACCCACGGCACCGTGAGGCTCGCCGGCCGGCTGTCCATCGGTAATGGTGATTACCAGAACGGGCTTCTCGAGGCGGTTGGCTCGGGCGGGTTGGACAATCATGGGGTCAACAACCTTGCTCCTGAGGCTGGTTCCCAGAGGGGTCAACCCCGAGAAACGCACACGGGAGACGAGACGGTTGACATCCTCTGCATCACGGATGCCATCACCCTTCTCGGTAGAGTTCATGAATCGGACAGAAATACCATCCTGGTCAAAGGTCGATGCTGCAGTAGCTACGAGACCAAGGATCTGTCTCAGCTGGTCCTTTCGAAGTCCCTTCTCTTCAAATTCGATCGATCCACTGTCATCCACGTAGAGGATCACGTCGTACAGTGCCAGTTTCATGACATCGGTCGCAACCTCCATGGGTACGCACCACTCGCCAATCAGCTTGTTAAGCTTTCCTGGGGCTTCGGCGGCCAGCGTCTGGACAAGTCGGTCCAGTCGCTCCGGTGGGTAGAAGCTTTGAAGATTCTTCTCTTGGATTGTGGAGATCAAAAGCGATCTGTAAGCTGCGATCTGTTGCTGGGTAGCCGGGGGCGCTGCATTGGGAGGGGCACCACCAGGGGGGCCATAGTGGCCAGGGGGTGGTCCACTTGGTGGTCCAGGACGGCCCTGCCCACCAGGATATGGAGATCCCTGGGGAGGGGGGTAAGGAGGAGCCTGGTTCTATTATTTGGTCAGCGCGTTCCTTTCTTTACCAAAGCTAGCAAAGCAAAGATGACACCAAACGCGAGACAACGATCAAGGCGGGAATAATCCAGGGTAGGGGGTAATTTGTACATAAGACTGCTGTTGTCCAGGGTGTTGCTGTTGACCGGGATACCCCTGTGGTGGTGGGGCTTGTTGTCCAGGGTATGGTGACTGTCCAGGCTGCTGTCCCGGGTAGGGCGAGCTAGGCGAAGCATAGGGCTGACCAGGCTGTTGGCCCGGATATGGCGAACTAGCGGAGGCATAGGGCTGGCCCTGGGGTGGTGGTGGAGGCGGGCGGCCATAGCCCTGGGATTGCTGCGATGCGGGGTACGGGGGGCTGGATAGCGGAGGCCTGCCGTAGGAGGCAGGAGATGGCGAAGGGTTGTAGTGCTGATGTTGAGACGATGAGCCGCCGTACGGAGTATAGCCTTGGTATGGTCCGGACATGATGAAGGGTTGGATTGTTCCAGAACCGAATGATGACCGTGGAGGGGTAACGCGGGGAGGAAAGAAAACACAATGCAGAAAAGTTCAGTTAAAGGAAATGGCTTACCGATCCCTGAGGGGCTGGGGATCCAGGATAAGCTTGGTATTGCTGTTGCTGACTCTGCAGAGGACTGACTTAGCACTTTGCCTTCTTTGAAATGACGTCGAGGTGCGAATCTTAGTAGAAACGAGCGACAAAATTGGGCAAATGACTTACGGATCCACCGGCCTGCAATGCTGCAGGAGGTCCCCCAGTGTACCCCGAGGGGGGGTGCACCTCCATATGTACCACTACCAGCCATCGTCTGGCTATTCTGAGCTGCGGCGAGTTTCTGAGCAAACTAAGATGGGTCAGATTGGGAGATTCTTCCTGGGTTGGTAGAACGACTAGAGGGATGGAGGAGGGTGAAGACTTACACCCATGATAAATTTGAGGAAAGAAGATGAGAAAAAAGTGAAAACAGGCAGAAGTCAAGAGTCTCACGAGGTAAATAATCAATGACGTTGCCCGATGTGGATAGACCCCTCTTATTTGAGGCTGAGCTGTATGTGAGATACCTTGGGGCACCTGACCGTTCCACTTATTTCTCCAAGCAAGAAAAGTACTCCGATGTACCTGGAGAGAAGTCACCCGATCCCGTATGTGTTTATATGTCAATTCAACCTATAAGGTAGTACTTCAATACCTTTACATCATTACATGCTGTCTTCCATTGTCGTAGGTTTAATGTACAGCTCAAGTTCATTTAATGTACATCTCAAGTTCAGTGTCCTTCAGGTAGTCCTCGTCATTATTTTCTTCGGCATTTTACGAAGTTTATTTCAATTTTGTAATATCTTTGTAGAACTAAAACCTTTGAATCGGAGTCAGCCTTATTGCTTACAGGCGTCGTCCCACATTCACAGCCCTGGAACACTGACGACCCCGCGCCTGAGGTGCCCCACTATCGGCCGATGCTTCCAGAAGCTGCACCTCCGTAGATCACGTACAGCTAGAGTACTTGTAGAAGATACACTGGCCAGATGATACGAGAGGAATACTGAGACAGGTGACTATGTCTCATCTCAGATCTGAGTCTCACTCTCTCTTTGCGGAAGACCACTCGAAGTGGCCAAAAGGCTGCAATATCCTGCAGCCAAGTGCCAACTGGCCGATTCACCGAGTATGACTCCGGGCCATGAGAAATATGCAGAGTATACCTCCCATTGATAACCGGGGTAGTGCAGTGGTCAAATACTGTAGCTCACCCCTTTTCTCTTCGCGTGCTCGAGACAGGAGTGGTTGCTATCAAGTGTAAGGAAGATGCGTCTGGGCCCCGCATCTTTCGGTGGATGCCGTGCGATGTGCATCGGTGCCGATCGAATACTCCACCATCGGGAGCGGATCGAACTGTCACCTCATGGAGGGTAGGTATGTATCAACATGCCAAAGCTGAATGGCTCATTTTATAGGCCAGGCTGGTGGAAACGAACCCTCTGTCATTCCTTCGGGGAGCAACCAGCGCTTGAACATATGACGTGAGGCCGTCTTATAGCACGCCAGCCTCCAGGTCAGCGTGCCCATGGACCACGTTGAGGCGGTTAAATCTGGTTTCGATATGCATATATCAGATTTCCAGAAAGTTTAGTGATTAGTCGAGCATGTTGTGCATCGTAGTGTCGCGTTGCAAGTACCACCCCAGAGTCCGGGCATGCATAGCCAACATATTAAGGTAGTACAAAACCCTAACACATGTTCATATAGGAATAGGATCAACAGTTTAACCTGCGGCTGTTTAAATTAAGAACGTCAGATCCAGATAACCATGGCTCAAATCCGGGGTAAGGCTGAAACTGAACCATGATTTCGGTCCCTGGGCCTCTGGACAATGATGTCACCAGATTGGCATGCTCAAGGGATGTCCGGCTGCCCTTGAGAAGGATGGTAGTACACGGATCCCAAGGGCACTGCCCTCTTACTTTGTCTAGAGGCTTGCCCCAGCGAAGCATCTCTCTTACGTTTATCTAAGGGTTGAAGTCGATTTAATCTCAAACATTTGCAGTTCTGGGTTTACCTGCGATATACTGCATACATCATCTCATCAGTCTCGCGCCACACTGAGCACTCTACCCATAGCTCGAGATCCTTCATCTCTCCTTGATCTATAATTATAGGAACTGCCGTTCCCTCTCCTATATACCAGCATGCCTCACCAGGTCCTCCGCTTAGGTATCCTAGGCGCGACCAATGCCGTCCAAGCAACCTACCTCCCAGTCCTACAATCCCTCAAAACACACTACACCCTCACAGCAATCTACGACGCAAACGAAGAAATAGCAAACCAATGCCAATCCCGCTTCGACATAACATACAGCACAAATGTCGCACAAGACGTCCTCCTGCACAAAGAAGTGGACGTAGTCCTCAACCTCCTCCCAATGGAATACCACGAACAATACACCATAACAGCCCTCGAAACGGGCAAAGACGTAATGGTCGAAGTCCCCCTCACAATGAGCATACGCAGCTTCCGCCGAATCCGCGAAGCGATACAAAAAGGCCACACAACACGCTCAACCAATACCCCCAACTCCGAACCCGACAAACCGAAAATCTTCGTCGGATGCGCACGTCGCTATGCGCCGTGCTACACAGAAGTCTTCAAGAAAGAACTCGCCAGTCTAGGCCGCATCTACTACGCGCGCTGTAGACACATCGCCGGCCCCATGAACAGCGTCGTCTCACCCACCACGATAGACATCACGTCCGCCACAAAAGAACACAATGATCCAGAGCAGTTTCGCGCACTGGTTGAAGACGTCTTCGGATGCGAAGACGATCTCACGCCTGACCGCGTCGCGTTCTGTCGATACCTCGGCATGCTGGGGTGTCATGATTTGTCGGTCATGCGTGAGTCGCTGGGATTGCCGGATGCTGTTTCGAATGTGGCTATTACGAATCCGTTTTACTCTGCTATATTTCACTATACGAATTCAGAGGTGGGTGATGGACACCCGTTTACGCTCACTTATGAAGCTGGTATTGATGCTGTGCCGCGCTGCGATGCTCATTTGACTGTATATGGGGCGCACAAGACTGTTAGTGTTTCGTATGATTTTCCAAGGCCCGGTGAGAAGATTAGTACGGGGACATTTGTGCGGGTTGTTGTTGAGGAGGCGGATGAGACGGGGAGGATTGGTGATGTTAATGAGCATGAGATTAATGAGTTGGAGAATGTTGTCCCTCGGCCTCGTGTGAAAAGGACTGAGATGGTCAGTACATGCAACGAGGCGTATGAGCGTGAGTTTTTGGCTTTGCATTCGTATCTGGTTGGTGCTCGGTCTGCGGCGAAGACAACGGCTGAGGATGCTGTGATGGATCTGCGGATGCTGCTTATGATCTTTGATCACTATAACAGGCAGTGTGGCACCATCAGAACTCCGTTGGGCTGATTTCCCTGCCGAGGTGGGGCTATTGGGTTTCATCTGGGTTCTCGGGGGCCCCACAAGAACAGGTACATGGTAGAAGGTAATAGGGTATACGGGTAATAGCAGTCCTTGGATCGTGAAGGACATAGGGTACTTTAGTACTTTAGTCTTAATTTTGACTGTACCCATCGAGTGGACATACAACTCGAATTTCACGCATCGTAGCATTCATATTCTATATCTGCGTACTTAGATTACACTAGCGCTTGCCCTTCTTCTTATTCTTCTTAGCATTAGAGCTGCCGCCAGCAGGCTTCTGCTGTTGAGGAGCAGACTCTTCCGCCTTCTCGTTCACAGGACCACCCTGTGTGAGAGCCGCAGCACGTTGCTTGCCCTTCTTGCCCTTGGGCCTGTAAGAAGACCGGTCACGCACAGGCAGCCAGCGCTCAGGGTCCGGCTTCTTGGCAGGATCGAAGTCCTTGGGCAGACGGGATTTGCGGACACGTTTGCGGGCACCGTCAGCAGTAGCTGCGGTACGTTTGCGAGCACCTGCGAAAGCGGCTGCGGCCGCAGCAGCCGAGGACGCGGATGGAGCGATGCCTGCGGATTCCAGAGCCGAGACATCAACGTCAGCGATCAAGTCACTGACTGCGGGAAGGCTATCGAGCTGGGACTCGATCTGCGCGTAATCGAGTGTTGCCTGCGAGGCGACGTATCCAGCGATGGCGACGCGGTCGTTGGCATCTTGCTGTTGCAGGCCGCGGAACAGCTCGCCAGCAGTAGCGAGATCAGAGCGCTTTTCGGAGTGCAGCAGAGAGGCGGCTGCTGCGCGGAGGAGGGAAGCGGGAGGCTCAGGCTGCGTGCGCCAATAGGCGGCAGCTTGTGCGAGGGTGTTGCGAATCTGCACCGTGCGGCCTTCGAGCTGATACAAGGATACAAGAACGCTGAGGAGGCCTGGGTTGAAGCGGATGGACTCATTCGATTCCTCCAGGCTGCGAAGGCTCCGCTCCATAGCTGTGATGGCGGAGGCGGTGTTGCCGCTGCTGATGTAGAGCTGCACCACTGTCAGGAGCAGACCGAGGTCAGTGGGTCGTCGTTCCAGTAATGGGGTAATCTTTCTGAGTGCTTTGGGACCGGTTTCGTTCCTGGCATGAGCTGCCGCGTTGGAAACTGAGAGCAGGTTGGTGATGGTGTCGGTGGACGGGCTTGGGCGTTTTGACAGAGCCTTAGCCGTGGACCGAATGATACCATCATATTTCTGAACTAGGAGGTCTGCAGCGTGCGAGTTGCCAATCAAATCGCGGTCCTGGTATTCGAATAACCTATCGTTATTGGTGGCATCTGGGGTTGCGTGAAGGGCTTTGTACAGGATGTAGGGATTGACCGCGGTCGGGCGAGCGAGAACGATGTTGTTGCGGGCGATCTTTTTTGTCGATAGTTCAGGGATACTGATAAGAAAGGGTAAGTATACGTAAGTTCGAGATCATCCGTTCCAACGTACTCTTCCACAGCGATGTCTTTCAAAGCCGCCTCGGCCTCTTCCAATTTGCCAAGTCGAATCAGGACATATAGTTGCTGTACGGCAATAGGCAGCAGCTCTGCGGTCTTTTCTTCAGGTGAGAGGTCCTCCGATGTCCGGCAGATATCTATGCAATGCGTCAGTCTGATTACGAGTCTCGGGCAACACAGCGGGGTGCTGACTCTGAGCTCTGTTGAGCAATATCTCGCCCTGCTTGAATGCACCCTTCGCAATGTTCAAGCAAGCTCCATTGTATGTGGTTTCAAATGATTCCAAGTCCTCTCTTGACAATCGGTCGTGGCGGACGAATTCTGGTTCCCCTTTCCATTGAAGCTGAGCATCGGTAGCCCACGAGTTGATATTAAGGTCATTGACCTCTTGACTGTAAGATGTATCTTTCGACAGCTCTTCGTAAAGCTCGGCCGCCCGTCGGAAATTCTCGGCACGGTACCGCTATTGGCGTAACTTGATTAGCACTGGTCCTGAAGCAACAGAAGATACATCTGGACGCCATACCACTTGAGCTTCGAGGTGGCTAGCACCACGCCCGGAGGCCGTGCGAGTCAGGGCTTCTGTGGCTTCTTCAAGCTCGCCACATTTGTATGACGCATAGGCATATTCTAAGCCTGCGCTGTTCTTTAGGTCATCGCCTCCGGCCTCGAATATCTTCAGAGCCTCTTCGTAACGGTCGAGCTTCAATAGAGCAACAACTTTCATATGCTGCGCTTTCAAGTCCGATTTGGATTTGGCGAGAACCGCATCGCACGATTGAATGACTTCCTCGTGGTCGTCAATGGACGCCCGCTGCAGCAGCGAGGCCAGCGATTGCGCGACCATAGCGGGGTTGGGCGCTCGGGATTTCGAGAGGGATATTAGGGGTTGGTTTCGACGGAAACAACTGACAATATCAAAGTCGGAGTTCAAAGCATGAGTTTAGATAAAGAACACGGTTGCTCCCCCGGATCAACTGACATCCAACTCCAATGTGCGGAACTGGTCTTTCCCCATTAGGGATTTTGCGCTTAATGCCGTATGCCCCGCCGTATCTCACGTGGTCCGCATAGATTCTACCATGTACCATCCTCCGTTCACTTACAAGACAAGCCTCTGAATTGGAATCAGTAACTCTATACCAAATGTTTCATGAGGGGTCTGTGGTCCTCCTATGATTCTATGATTCCCATGATCCCATCGTCTTGTTTGCCACGTCTGACCGCCATTGCCGCATTGCGGTCTTCCCACTTCAATACCTTGTAGTACCGTTACGGAGATATGTTGCCAAATGCCAATGCAGACTCGAAGAACCTGAAGAAAAGCGTAGTACGTATCCATCTCAGTTTCGTCGGAACCAACGTGAAGAATCTATAGCGCAACCTGTCTTGGTTATATGAAGAAGTCACTGCTGACTGCACAAGTGACAATGTCAATACCGCGTAAGCATGACTCGAGCTGCTGTACTGTGCAACAGTAAGTGTATGTATGCTTTAGGCTAAGCCAATATCCTCCTTTCATGCAGCATGTTGTGTTGCCCTAATCCATGGGGGACACCCAAAAACCGAATGGTTTGTTGCTAAGTGTGTATCCCCGTGTTTATCCTCAATTGGCAGGGGGCCGAACTCTGATTATTCGTGGCTGTGTAAGGCACAACGCATACTTCAGAGACATCATGGGAATCGGATTGAAGATGCTTGATCCCTGACAGGAGTTCTACTCCACATCGGGATACTAATGAACACAGCCGTCTTGAAATTGGACCCCGAATGCCTCTAATGGACCAAGCTTTAGCTAGCCGAAACAAAATGCTCCATTCCAAGAGACTCGGTGTATTGAAATCAGAAGGCTATGGTAGTTACGCAGGATGTATCTAAAAATCGGCAGGGGCCGATCGACACGGAGATCGGCTAGAAGACCTTCAGGCGGGAAGAGGCAAGAATTGCCCCGTAGTCCAAGCTCCCGTAGGAATTCAGCCCGGTGAAGGAGGCGAACCCCGTTGCGTATCGGAATGAGCTCACAAAACATAGCTAGCCCAGTGTGTATGCATACTTCGGATATCGCTCCGCTGTACGAAGTAGATACTAGTGCTTAGGCGGAACATTGTCTTGGCTATTTAAGCGATCTGAACCAGAGCAACTGAGAGCCGCAGCAAGGGTAATCGGGGCGGGTGACGCGCGGACGTGGAGACCGGAATTTTCAACTGCCAGTGAAAAGGCAGAGCGACACCTCAAGAAATCTTGGCATTTCGGGGGTGATAGTACGGAGTACACAGTACGTACATAGATGGCCCAGATGGTGTCCGCCTGAGAGTATGTATGTACGTCCATCGTAAGGAAGCAGCCTGGGGTAGGAGGCCAGATGATGTGTTTGCATGGAGCATTGTTCCTCGCTTCCATTGTGAGATTGAAGAGCTAAATGAAGAAGACCAATCCGGAGCTCACGTGACCTCCATCCAATCCAGTACGTCATGGCCGATCTCTCAGACCCCTTGAGAAAAAGAATTGTCCTTAGGATTTTCATACCCATGGAACCATGATCGTCCCTGGGCTGACATCCCATTTCGTATTTTCGCTTTCTTCCTCTTCATCTCCTCTTATCCCCTTACCAACCGCTCAGCCACCTATATACTACACCTTTCTTTCGCCTGCCACCGTGGGCCCTTGATTGCGCTCAAACTGGGACACTGGTGTCCGCAATGTGGTAGAACCCGAAGAATCTCACAGCAAAACAAAAGATGCTTTTCAATGCACGGGAAGGGTCTCTTCCAGGAGCCTCATGGGCGTGGAAACGGGTACTGCGGTTTGGAGTCGCATTTTTGGTCGTGGTAGGATTTGTCATGGTACTTTGGCCCTCGGTCGAGCCCGTGAAACTGCCAATGCAGACCATTGCCAACATCACCGTCGCTCCCGATGTCTCCTGCGAAATCGACTATGATAGATTAGTCGCCCTAGACGTTCGAAAGATCTCTCAATATACCCGCCGAGAAATCGTTCTCGACATGACGGAAGGACCGGTGCCCTACAAGCAGCGTCTCGATGAGCCGTTCTTCCAAGCAAAGGGCACTGAGGGGGCGGCAGATGGATGCTCCATTCCTGCTCCGATCAACTTGCAGGTTCCCGAACCGCCGAAATCGGTAGACGCATCACACATCGATTTCGGAGTCGCGACCAGTATAGAGAGATTGAATGACTCTCTGGATGCGTTCGCACACTGGGCCGGATATTCGCGCGCCCGCATGTTCGCGCTGATTGAGACGGATCGTTCGGAGAACGGAGTTCGTGATGTCAAAGCCAAGGCCGATGCTCTGGGGATCAATCTCCATATCACGCAGTCGGACGACGACTACCTCCACCGGTACTTTGCGCTTATACCTCTTTTGGAAGAACACGCTCGGGAATCCACCCAATGGGGCTGCGTCATTGACGACGATACATTCTTCCTATCGATGCCCAGGTTGGTTGATGCGCTCAGCAAATACGACCACACCACTTCCATGTATATTGGCGGATTGTCGGAGTCCATCCCGCAGATTGCGACTTTCGGAATGATCGGATTTGGAGGCGCGGGCGTCTTCTTATCGAAACCTTTAATGACGGAAATCACCAATGTATACGATGAGTGCTCTGCAATGGATTTCACAGGCGATCGCCGCATCGCCATCTGCATCTACCGCTACACCCAGACTCGGCTGACGGTGGATCACCGTCTACGCCAGTTGGACCTGATGCACGATGCTTCCGGGTTCTTCGAATCTGGTCGTGAACCCCCGCTCACAGTGCATCACTGGAAGTCCTGGTTCAAAGCAGACATGCCGAAGCTGGCCGTAGTCGCCGAGCTGTGCGGTGCCAGCTGCTTACTCCGCCAATGGCACTTTGGCGACGGTTGGATCCTGACCAACGGGTTTTCTGTGATCAAATATCACGTCGATCCCGATGCGGACGACATAACCATGGAGAAAACCTGGGACTCGCACAATGGCGCCGACGATGAAGCCTACCTGCACGAACTAGGTCCCCTCCGCCGCAAGGACGAGGACAAGAAGAGCTTCCAGCTGCGTGACGCCATTTTTGAGAATGAACGTGTCACGCAGTGGTATATCAGGCCCGATTCGAAGAACGGTGACCAAGTCTTGGAGCTGACATGGCGCAAGAGGTAAATATTTCTTTTTCTGCTTTGCCTTGTACATGTACAGAATCTGTTCAGGCTACTTTATAGTGTCCGTGGGCCCCGGTGGTCCGCTGGACCGATAAACCCATAATTTGGTGCATGGGTAAAAGAATGCCACTGCACTTTGCATGGAGTTTCGTTGTTTATAGATTAGAGATACACCTTTCTTTCTGCTCTAATGGGTTCAATAATGTGATATGGATGCTTTACTTTCCTCCGCCACGGGCAATACTCAGATTCTTCCAAAACAAATGTACCGTTTCTGCGAATTCCCAAGTCGATGGCCCATCATCGGCGGCTTCGTGCAGATGATCACGTCACGGCGTTTTCGTCCGTTTGCAAGCCTGCTCATCCTCATACGGAGGATAGGTGAGAACAAATGAAAAATTCCATCATATTGTACGATTATATCTTAAGTGAAACAATTAGACAGCATGGAGACGTACTCTTTCCATGTTTCAACCAAGTCACGCTGCCCCTTGACCATATCCATCTGCTGTAAAAGGGGCGGTTGCACTAGGAAGAGTTGTATAGACTCAGAGCGAGAAGCTACCATGAAGGGGCAAGTCGCGACTGGACTTTCCAACAAAGATCTGGTAGTCTCCCCGTTGCAGCACCCATTCTTGCTCTTCAACGCTCCAGGTACTCAGATCCTTCCGTGTCAACGAGAAAGCCACCTTCTTAGCCTGACCCTTCCCAATCTTGACCTTCTCAAATCCGCGTAACTGACGAATAGGACCATTGGGAATACCAACGTATAGCTGAGCAACCTCATCACCCTCAACCTCGCCGCTGTTTTTGACAGTTGCCGAGACGCTGACAATCTCATCCCACAGGTGAGGATTTCCACCGGGCTGCACCTTGGCAGCAGGTGGGGTTGCTGGGGGTGCGGCGCCCTTCTTGTTAATCTGAAGACCGGAATAGTCGAAGGTAGTGTATGACAAGCCGAATCCAAATTCAAACTGAGGTTCGATGCCCTCTTTGTCGAAGGCGCGGTAATCAATGTACACACCCTCGGTGAAGTTGGATTGCGGGAAAAGGGCGAATTCGCCTTCTGGGAGATCAGGCTTTAGCAAGGCACCGTAGTCCTCTGCTTTCTTGGCTACCGTGTAGGGGAGTCTTCCTGAGGGATTGGAGCGGCCGTAGAGTAGTTCTACAATTGCTGCTCCGGAGTCTTGACCTGGGAGGTGGCCGTAAATCACTGCAGTCACATTTGCATTGTCGATCCAGGCATTGACAAGTCGGACTCCGGCGTTGTGGATGACAACAACGGTGTTCTTGCATTTGCTAGCCACATTCGTTACCAGGGTATCACTTGGCGTATCGGAGAGTCCTGGTCGATCGCTACCCTCAGTGGCAAAGGCATTGATAAAGACCAAACAAGCGTCGGAAGCGGGGTTGACTTGGGGGTTTTGAGAGGTGACATCGTAAGCAATCGATGTACCGTCCTTGTACGCCTCTTGCTGAAGGGCAGCCAGGGGAGATATCATATAAGAAGGGGAGTTGCTACCAGATCCTCCTCCAACGAACAAAGTGGAGTTCTGAATAGCTGCATTGCCGCTTCCAAACAAGGAACCCGAGCTGGCGGCCGCAGCTTTGGCGTCATATCCAAAAACAGATAGAAGCTGGGGAGAGCGTAGAGGCAAGCCGTTGTTGTTTTTCACCAACACGTGCCCTTCAATGGCGCCTTGGAGAAGAACATCTCGCGAGCTCTTGGCTCTCCCGATCACAGGTTCATGTGGATCGGTCAACGAAGCAGGCATACCAACTCCCGGTGCTGGGAATTTCGAATCTTGCTTCACCTGGTACCACGAGGCAATGATTCTCGTCGCCATGTCATCCAACCTTGATGCCTCCATGGTACCGTTAGAAATGGCAGTAGTGAGGTTCGATCCCCAAGTCTGCGTATTGGGCATGACCATATCCAGCCCAGCATTTGCGGCAGCAATGCCAGCATGCTGGGCGCCCCAGTCTGTCATGACATATCCTTGGAAGCCAAGCTCGGATTTCAACAACCCATTGAGTGCCTTGCTGTTTTGGCAGGCGTATGAGTTGTTAAGCCGGTTGTAGGAGCACATAATCGAGACGCTTCCTGCCCGGACAGCCTCTGCGAACGGCCAGAGATATAGCTCGTGTATAGTTTGGTCGTCAATGTTGGAGGAAACAGAGGCGACATTTCCCGAGGGATTGCGGTTGGTCTCTTGCTCGTTCGCGATATAATGCTAGTCAGGTGTCAGTGAAATCTGCAACTTTCGGTAATATCTTGTCTGCTGAATGCTCTTACCTTGGTGCAAACACCAACTCCGGCATCTTGGGTTCCTTGCACAGTCTCATAGACCAATGCGCCACTCAAATATGGATCCGTTGAGATGCCTTCCCAGTTACGTCCGCCTTGGACAACGCGGCCAGCTGGGCCAACGACAGGGCCGAGCAATACATTGACTCCTTTCTTGTAAAACTCCTTGCCCATTTCCAAGCCACGAGTATAGGTAAGATCACGATTCCAACTATAAAACAATTAACAACTGCACTTTCTGTCTATTCAACAGAAGCTCACCTTGCACCAGCATGGATACCACTGGGGTAGCTGCTCACGAAATCGGTACCACGCTTCTGAATTTAGCAATTCTGAATATTCTGTCCGGAAAGATGAATAACTTACCAGGCCATTTCCAGCATCACTGACACACAGTCCGGGGAAATTCACACGGGGAATGGCTGGAACAAATCCAGAGCAGCCGGTCTTGCTTTGAACACCCGCGGTGAGGCTAACCTTCTCCTCGTCTGTCAGTTGACCAACGAGCTTCTCTGCCTTTTTATAAGCAGCAGCCCAATCGCCAGCTCCATCTCCTTGAGCTGCGAGACATAGTCAGTCGTGAGCTCTGTTGTGGGTAATGGGGCAACATACGCGTTGGATAGACCGGAGGTGAATCCCCGTAGAAGTAGACATCGCTGGTAATTTCCTGCGCTGTTGCAGACGAAAAGGCAAGGCCGGCCACAAGGGCAGTGAGTCCTGCAAAGCTCCGCATCTTCCTGAATAAAAGCCTTCGTTGATGCTGACTTTTGGTTGTATGGCTCCTTCTCAACTATGGCCTCTCTAGGAGGGGAACAGGTGAAGCGACGAAGAACGAATATAGGAGCAACTTATACTCCGGGGAAACGTCGGCAAAATAGATCAAGCCATAGCTTAGTGGCATTCCTCGGGCTATATAATAGCGAAATCGCCAGGCACAGCATACCTCGACGCGGCAGGAGCGAGCCGAAGTCCCCAACAAGAGTCGCACAGACGTCAATGCAACAGGAACCCATAATATTGGCTTATCCAATTGAGTATGAGGTATTTTCAAAGTCAGTAGCTTGACTTCTTGAAATGGCCACTTAGACGGGGCGGAAAAATCCAGTACAAACACTCTTAATCATTCTAATTTCTACCACAAGACACTGAGTCAATTGCATGAGAGTCGCCGTGAAATGGACTGCCTGCTCACTCGAAGAAATGACGTACGTCTAAAGGCAATGCCTCCTCGCGGAGGGCATTTCCTCAACTAGCTGTTCACAAGGTAGATCAGCGTCTGATAACTATTTTGGAGCAGAATGCGGGGTAAAATGCGGAGAGACAATATCGGCTCTATCCGCTTTATACAGAACTGCCACCAATAAGGAGAAATATAAGCAAATGCGGGACATATTAGCGTGGTCATCAAAGTCCATATTCGGGTTAGCCAGGTTTAGCAGTGTAACGTCAAGCTACATTATATCAGGCTAGGTAGCCTTCAACTTGCCTGTAATCCAACTAGTTAGCATTGTGCACCCCGTAGTTAGTTAATCAACCAGTGAAGAGGGGAACGCTCGAAGGCTACATGCTCCGAGGCACACGGGTCGATTCAGCAGATACCACCTAGTTAGCATATGAGCGCCTGGGATTAGTGAGCCCCAAACCCCCATTCGCCCCGCTTGTTGGATTTTGTCCAGGTCTTCATACACTCCCTAGTTAGTTAACTAATTACCTACCATTTTCAAAAATATATTTCAGCACCAACCATAGAGCTTCCTACACAACCATGGAACGCTCTTTTGGCACCGTTATTAGTGGCAACAGGAGACCAAATGCGGAGCTATCGCCTGAGCAGCGCGCTGCTATCATATCCAAGCATGAGGACGGCCACAAGCCTACTGAACTTGCGAGCGAATTCGGCTGCGCGCGCAGAACAATTTACGACACCCTCAATCGCTTCAAGCAACACAACGCGGTCAAATCCCTACCTCGCAGCGGGTGCCCTGTAAGGATTAGCCGTCGCGCTGAGCGCGCTCCAGAGGACGTTAAAGGTATCCGGTTCCTCGAACGTCGTTTCCGAAGCCCGTACCTGATGAGAATCGACCGAATGGTCGATTTGGATGGCGGATTGGGTAGCTGCGAGCGAAGCGCGTGGTAGCTCCAATTAGGGTGCCGGCGAGCTAACCGATGGATCTGGCGTTCAGCGCGACGGCTAATCTTTACAGGGCACCCGCTGCGAGGTAGGGATTTGACCGCGTTGTGTTGCTTGAAGCGATTGAGGGTGTCGTAAATTGTGCTGCGCGCGCAGCCGAATTCGCTCGTAAGTTCAGTAGGCTTGTGGCCGTCCTCATGCTTGGATATGATAGCAGCGCAATGCTCAGGCGATAGCTCCGCATTTGGTCTCCTATTGCCACTAATAACGGTGCCAAAAGAGCGTTCCATGGTTGTGTAGGACAAAAAATAGAAGTGGGGGTTGGGACGCGTTCTATAAAAACGCGCTAAAAATTAGCGGGTGTCGGGAAACTTTTTCAACGTAATGGTACTGTTAAGTGTTACGTCGATCCTGAGCAAGAAGCAAGACCCTGCAACAGATTCTCGTCTTTCTTGCGAATCACTGGCGTCGGGGGAACAGATCGGGTGGTCAGCAAGCGAGCGAGGTACACACAAAAGCGACGGGCTACCCAGTGGAGTAGTCCTTCTTGTTCTGTGGCCCCGTGAAACGCATTTGCTCTTGGGATCGTTATAAATTCGCTATATTCGTCGTCGAATATCACAATGAAATGACAAGAGCGTTCACCAATTCTCAAGCGAACAAACGCTCGACACGAAATCAGATGTCACTTTGATCTCTACAGAAGAGAAGGCATTGAAGAACGGCATCTTCAGCTTCAGAATCGGGCGGGAAGCTTGGTTCATACTGTTGCAGTAAGATCACGATGGCTTGCTGGGTATTTAGATTTTCGTAAGTCAAAAGAAAATTCAGTCGTCTTGTGCTCAACGGTAAGGTAGTGATACGGTATTTGAGTGGATACGGTGTTTCGAGAATTCCCCTTCAAAATGCAGTGGAGATTGAGGCCGAATGCCGTGTTCACCCAGAAGACTGCATAACTATGGAGTACGGTATCTCATGGAAAACATAGGTGGGTGGCGCGGCATGGAACATCCCCATATTTCCAAATGTAGACTCTCTAGGTTCCGGGATGGACACTAGGCAGTATTCCCATTGGAAAAGGTACAGATCTTGCACACTGCCCGGCAAGTCGTTGACTATCACAAATACCTACAAATACAAATAGGGCTGATACCTTGGTAACATCCGGGCATCCTCCATGCACCTAGGAGATATATAGTTCTCATGCCCGGACCTGAGGGCCAGCTGCAAGCCACGGACCTGGGAAAAGCGCAAGACCGCTCCCGCTGCGGACGTGCACTTGCCCCCGAAACAAGGCTAGTACTACTACTACGTACCTCCATGTGACCTGTTCGAGACTACAACCCGTAACAAGACGCCAGCACGGAGTACTCCATACCTAGGGGTAGACCACATGGCGAAGATCCTATGGAACCCCTGAAGATCGATCGACATGGAACGTCGATCAATATAGACACATGTAGCGGATGTGAGGCCATGTGGAGCTAACGATTCTGGCAGCCTGGCTAGGATACTCTGTACCCTGGAGACAATCCCTATCGGGCCATCACCGGGGAAGCCGAATCGCGAGAAAACACCCTAGGGGCAGGGGCTTCCTCAAACAGAATCAACTGTTCATGTGATGAAGCAGCAGTCCAGACTGAAACGAGAGAGGAGTTATTATAGAAGTTTTGTTTCAGTCTAAATTTCATCTTGACTCTCCAAGACTCCAACGGACCGAGTCTGTCAGTGGAGCGCGGAGCATACCAAGTGCTAAGACATTAGCTCATTAGCTCCCTACGCCACTGGTCTGATACATTTTGTGTCATTTTAGATTGAGAAGATTATCTGCAGCGTTCGCCACGCCTAGAGGAGCTAGCGCTGACCATAGCGGACTATTTCTTTGGCGTTAACTGTTAAGAATATCAGTGGGCCAGTTAGGGCCAGTGCTCAGTTTCCCCAGGAGAAACGTGACATCAGAGTGGAATCTGCGGCAGAAACAGAAAAAAATGGGACCCTTTTGGTCATAGCGTCGGCTGTTCCTGAAGTGGATATTTGCATCTTTCTGTGGTTTACACTTTACACAGTATGATACCAATAAGAAAAAGGAATTCAAGCAAGGTCGCTAACTATCGAGGATACAAATGAACGGAGTTTTCTCCCAATTTGTCACCCGCCCTTGCAGTCCTAAAACACGAAACTGACCTGTCCAGTACTCCAGGGGTTGCCTACGGAGACAGGCTGAAGGATAATGTTCTACTATTAGAAATATGGAGACTAGCGTGGGAGCTGATACACCAAGACACGTCTCAGCCACAACCATGTGGGAATCGCCCCGTGTCTAGCGATCCAATGTGCGTTGGTTGCGCGTTAGTGCGATTTCTTTTCTACAGTAACGAAAAAAAATAAATGAAACAAAAACATTGATGCCCAAAAACAGGGAAAAACAAAATAATCAAGTCGAACTGAAATATATGTCAGTCATTGGGTTAGACACATGACCAGCAACTCGGCACAAACGGATATTCAGGAGATAATCTCCGCGACTCCCCGCAGGACCGGGTTTAGAAACCTGGAAAGTGTATGCAGGAGGGTGTCGTCACATTCGTCACGATGGTCAGGGATGTGAATTAGCTTAAAGAGGGGAAGGAGAAAAGTGGTGGGAGGAGTAGGCGATCATGCTAAATAATGGGAATAGTCTTGAAAGGGGAGAAGATATGACTGGACCAGGTGGCGCCCAGGGCCCCCTTTACACAATTTGGGCTTTTGGGCTTGTTACGGAGTATTGTTTATCGTATTCTGCTCAAAGTGATAGCGCACAGGCTCACGGAGGATCTCCTGGCTAAGGCTCCGCACCGTGCAGGATGGGGGCCGCGCGTGATTTTCTTGGGTTTTTCTGCGGCTTCTACGGCTTCCATGGAGATTCGAAAATCCTTCTGGTGGCCTTCCAGAAGGTCAGGAGAGGCTTGGCGGAGTCGTCTGTGCCGTGTTTGTGGCAGTGGAGTGTGGGTTCCTGGAGGCTGAAGCCAGGCTAGTGTCTACCCCCGGAACGGAAAAGGGGCGAGATGGAGATGTGACTACCGATGTAGGTGGCTCCACCTTCCACAATTAGAAGAATTAGAAGCAGAGAGTTGAGAGAGAAGAGGGCATGAGGGAAGTTGAAGAAAGTTCTTTTCGTCCTACCCAGTGTAACGCATGTATGATGTTTCATGCTCAGAGTACAACTACAAGGCGACCCTAGTGTGATGTCAAACCTTCTAGAAGGAATGCAAATCTCCCATTTTAGCCTTCGACGGCTTCGCGGCTAGCAATAGTCGGAACAGACTATCGAGATGGTGAGGCAATCTCCGCGTTCATGCCCCATGGATTGCTTATATCCAATCGTACATCAGAGAAGGGAAAATATGACTATATCACTCACTCTATATGTTGCACCATGAGACGCCTGCAGGTCATCAAGGTTAATCACTGAGTTCTTTTGCTTTTATCACTGTACTCCGTAGTTTTTTATGATATCGCAGAAGCCGGCAGATGAGGAATTCATGCATATGAAGGTACTGTTTCTTGTAGCTTCAGGGGCCATACTTAGTTGGGCCATTCATTCCCCCCTTTTCATGCTAACTGAGAATGGGACTGGATTACGCCTTCATACCTTAGCTTCCTCTTAGCCCGATATCCCCTTCACGTCATGGGATGGAAAAGCAAGCGTCACACTAGAACCAATCGACAATGCGTTGTACTGGAGTACTGTCGTAGAATCTCGAACATTCAGTATGGACTCCGAAGAGACTAACATCGGGGGAAATTCAGGCTCGGATCAGCCTTTCGTATCCATTCACGGGGAGAAGGCCACGTTGTGGATCCCCTGCTGACGGGTCCTTCTGGTGCGGCCAAGTTTCCTTCTAGCGGGCTTCGCTGGGTCCGACTAGGGGAACTAGCCTTCTGGAAAGAAAGTAGGGGCTGAGGAGAGGTCTTGACTCTTGCCCGTGATATCAGGTCGAATAATATACAGACATATGGGAGTATATAGTACAAAATGTAGGTAACTGTAAGATTTGACATTGACTCCGATCAAGACCAAACTGGAGAAATAGAAAAAAAAACAAAGAGAAGAAGTAAATAATGATGTAGTATGCAGAGGAGTGGCACCTACCACACCTAATATCACCTCCATAACATAACATAATATTTTCCCCCCTCCCCTTTCTTACTCTCCTCCTCAACCCTTGGCTTTCCTTATATTTCACCTTTTTTCTTTTTTTCGTCAGTCATTTTGATTTCTTGCCTCCCACTTCTCTCCACCCCCCACTTGGTTTCGCGCAAATCCCTCAACCGCAACCTCACTCGACCTATTTCCTTCGCCTTCCTTCCTCGAGCCACCCTCTGCCATACACCCCATACCTCGATCGCCCGAGCTTCGAGCATCTCTACAAGGTGTGTTTTCGCTTTCCTTGCCCTCACCGCGATTTGCCAGCGATGACGCATCTCGCTTATTCGCCTTGGTTGCCCGACGTCGCGCGCTGTCCCTTGAGCCTCGAAAACGCGGTCATTCCATATGTGTACTGTTTTGTAATCTTTCTCGCCTGTCTTGGACTTGGCATCTGACTGGTTTCTACGCCGAGATGTGGTGCACAAGGGGCGAGAAGATCACGGGAGACGGCGAAAGCACTGTGGTTAGAAAGCGTTGGAGGGCAACCGTTATTAGCATATTCATCTGATGCTGACCATGGACCTTTTTTTTCACATAGGAGCTTTGACAGGGATAGTTGAAGAATAGTTCGTTGGCCTACACCGACACACGTTCACGCGTTCCGCCTTCAGCCGACCACAACATCATTCTCTGGAAGCGAGCTAGGATCTGGCAGAACCCGAGACCATCATTGCCCGCTAGCTCTTACGCAACCTTGCATTCCACTGCAGGGAAGTGGAGAATTTACCCCGTCTCATTCCTCCTTGAGGAACGGCGTGTTCAAAGACAGAGCTAGTAATCCAGGCCCACGAAGGGTGAGTTTCTGGTCCACCGAGGTCTCCCACGCGCCTCACACTCCTTGCGAATTGTCTGCCATCGTATCGAGGCCGATATACTGTCTTGTATAACGTCAGTGCTGACTATCCTGACCTACAGAGTCTGCTATCTGTGTCGTACCCGAACCTCCCAGTGATCGTCCCAACGGCCGCCACCGTCGAATCGACCGGTCCTTACGCGCGAAGGACTTTACAATTGGATCGAGGTATCACACTCCGTGGAAATACTGCTCGTGGAAGGCCTGTCGGAGGACGTCTTCGAAAGCAGTCCTTGACCGCGGCTTCTTGGCTAGGTGTTGGGTCGGGTCATGGACTTCACGACCATCCTGAACAGGAAAAACTCCGCTGCAGCCGCCGCCGCCGCCGAAGCGCAGTTACAACAACAGTACTTTCAACAGAGTGCACAGCTGCACACCGGAGCTTCACCCAACATGAAGAACGAATCAGGTGGTTCGGACAACCCTGTCGGCGCATATCCCCCCACGGTCCCCCACCCATGCAAATGGACGGCGGACTTGCCGATTCCTTTTATTATGCGCAGCCCACGGGCTCAAACCCTCGAATGGCATATGCCCCTACGGGCTACGCTGGCGATCCCCAGATGCAGCAGGAACCTGTCCCTCAGGGGAGGGCGGGTGTCGAACCACCGCCCAAGACTTTTCACTGCTCGACTTGCAACAAAGGCTTCGCAAGACGCAGTGACCTTGCTCGACATGGTATGTATGCCCGTGAAACCTAGTACATGTGGCCGCTGACCTCTTCTCAGAACGTATTCATACCGGGGTGAGACCCCACGCTTGCGAGTGGCCTGGCTGTGGAAAGCAGTTCATTCAGCGCTCAGCCTTGACAGTTCACTCCCGTGTACACACTGGAGAGAAGCCGCATATGTGCGAGAGATGTGGCAAGGTATGTATCACTCCTTTTCCTCTCCCTAGCTAGATCTAACAATCACCTAGCCCTTCAGCGACTCGTCCTCACTAGCCAGACATCGCCGCATTCACTCCGGCAAGCGCCCCTACAAATGCCCCTACGCCAACTGCCAGAAGACGTTCACCCGCCGTACGACGTTGACAAGACATCAAAATCACCACACCGGGACCATCGAAGAGGCTGCTGCTGAAACTGAAGCCCAGTTGCGGCAAAACAAGGATCGTGGACGCCCTGGCGAAGGAATGTTCTCTGAGCACGCGTCCATCAACTCTACACCGTCACCCGCACATCACGCCTCTATGTCTCCAGGTGGCGAGCTTCCGCCGCTGAACATGCACCGCTCCAGCGACTACTACATGGGCACTGGACCTATTCCGCCTCATGTGCGTGGTGATTTCCCCCAAGGCAGCCCTCGGGCGTCCCCAACTGCGACCTCTCCCTCGCTGTCCAGCTACGGCAGTGCGCCCCATGCTCGGCCATCCATGACCTCACATCCATACGCTCCACCGCAACCTCTCGAGCCTCCGGCGAATAGTGATCACCGTCCCAACAGTGTGAACGGCAGCCCCCACATGACCAGTCTTGGTTGGGCCTCACCGTCCCACGGTAGCATGCCATCACCCGGATCGGCCAACGATTTTACCTACCCCGAGCCCACAGGCCCAGCGTACCCGACGTCGATGCCGCCGCACATGTACTTCCCGAATTCTACTATCCGGCGGCCTACGAGCACTGAGCCCGAGAACTACGAAATGAAGGGCCGAGGTGATAATTCATGGTCTACAGCTGTATGATGTGAACATACCGATGCTTTGCCACAGCTTGAGTTCTCTTATTATTCTTATTTTCCTTTGTTTCATCATTTCATTGCATAAGCCCCATGATTCCCACGAGAGATATCAATATCTCCCGATTGATTTCATATGTCCTTTGATTGATTCTTATGCATTTTCTTGTCCGTCTGTATTTATATGGGAAACCAGCGCGCTGGAAGGAGTCCGGAACGGGTCTGATCGTGTTTCCCACTGGGCTTTATTGTTTTCATAGCTATCATCTCGCCCTTTTCTTTTACTTGGATATGGGCTTCACCGAGACACGATCAGATGAGGATCTCCATGGAATAGATAGAGGGGTTCGGACTGTGGTCTTGGGTTTGGAGTCGGGATAGGTGACTCCTGCAGGTGTCTGGGTTTTTAGTTTATGGGTTTGCTGCTGTTATTGTTCTATACATCTAATCATTCTTGCTTCTATCCAATTGTTCTCATCTCCTGTGCTTGAGCGTTTATATTGGGTATCAGATAGACCTAGTCGGAGAGAATAGTTACCTACAAGCATGTACATTTCTACGGGCATGACTCGGTAGTTATTCGTAGCTCTCGAGCTGAAGTCTAGTTCCGCCATGATACCGACCCTTGCATTATCGTCATTGTACGGAGCTGGAACACGTGAGTTCTTTTTAGGTTGCCTATTGTCAGCATCTTCAAGGCCGAAGTTCCGCATACCGGATGGACCAAACCAACGAGGCAATGGAGGTGTAAAAGACCTAAGCTTCTCCCTATGTGCCCTCCAGCTTCTGGAGGTTCCATTCATCAGGCCAATTCACGTGATAATGGTCGACAGCTTCATTATATCGGAATCCAGTCAGTTCCCGAAAGCCCTCGTTTATCAGTCGCATGTAACTTACGCCCTGTCAACCACAGTAACTCACCATGCTATTCTTTGGAGCCATCATCCCTCTCTCTGCTGCTACCTCCTGGATCAGTTCGTGGCCCTACCTAAATTCTGTCACACGTACTGTTTGCGCGGCGGACAATTCCGCGGATTCAGGATGATTTGTGAGGCGTCAGTGGTCAACATCATGGAGAGAGGCACATTTGATCTGGTTATGCAGAGTAATGGCGCAAGGACGGTTTACAGTATCCAAGTGCATGGATGGTGGGCGGTGGCTGCCATCTGGCGTGTAACAATCCAAATGAACAAAAGCCCTAATCGTTCGGCGCCTCAGGGGTTGGCCAAGGCCTCTTCAAGTCGGTGCTACCTGTCCACGGACATGACATCTCCATGCATTAGTCCGTACAAGTGTTCATAAACTTATGTATGCATGGATATTGCACGATCACAGATAGACAACATCACATGTACAGTACCTATAGATAGGGCTATCCACGGGTACGGGAGATGCGATATACAACAAGTGGCTCGAATAAGAAAGTATGGGAGTGAACCTTAATCTCGGCTATGCAGAGTGTGTGTCCAGGTGCCTATTGTGCCACTGCCTAGTGTACCACTCAGCTTATATCAATTAGGATTGCAATAAACAGATTCCTGAATCCCGGGGGTGGATTTAATTCCAGATCTATGTCGTAGATCATTTCTCTTCACTGGAGAGCTCCAGCCAACGAGCAGACTGATAATGAAGATGACATCATTACCATGCTGACCAACGCTGGGAGGCGATTGGTGAAAACGGTCAAATCCGAGGTTATTTTCCAACTACAGTACACAGTACTTTGTCTAACTACTGTGTGAATTAACACAATATTCATGCAAGTTTATGTTCAAAGTGCAATTATCTAAACAAAAAGGTGTTCATTATTAACTCACTAACGGACGAGAGAGTCCCAATTTCAAAGCGAGACTATGAGTCAGACCCCACACCTGGGCAGCTCCACGACTGGTCCGATGTCGCTCCCGGCCGAGGGCGAATGGTCATCTACAGTACTGTTGTCCATACACATGCGCTTGGTAGATTTCAACAGATTCTACTGGGACAATCCGAGGCTGGAAAACGGCAATGATAGACTTCTGCATGCAAGCCTACAAATCAATTTCCAGTAAAATTTAGCCGTGTACGGTAGTCGAGCTCCAACATCCTATCATACGCCCTCCACCCCACCATGGAGACTCCACAAGTGAAATTTTTTGTCCACCGAGGGGGCAACGTCGGTGTTCACCGCCCGCTGCTTCGGCGCTACTAACGCCAATGACTATGACTCCAAGGTTTTTCTTTTTTTCCTGTTAGAAAAGCATTTAAACCACCAACTTACCAGAATATTCAAGTCTCAATCTTGACTATCTGGACTTGAATTTCTCTTATTATATCAATTCTCTCATCATTATCCCAATTTGACATTTTCGCCTCAGTCACCCCCACTATCCACCATGTGCACCGGTGCCGACTCCGAGCCCAATGGGCAGACCAACGGTCACGTCGTTGACGCAAGTATGTTATTGGAACATGCCGTCAAGAGTTATCCATTGGCAGTGCTGACCGCTGAGTAGATGGCGATCACCGTGGTTTCACTGGCATTGAGACCCGCCAGAACCCTCACCCCTCCGCATCCCGCAACCCCTACGGCCACAACGTTGGCGTCACCGATTTCCTGAGCAATGTCTCCCGCTTCAAGATTATCGAGTCCACCCTGCGTGAGGGTGAGCAGTTTGCCAATGCTTTCTTCGACCTCGAGAAGAAGATTCAGATCGCTCGGGCTCTCGATGACTTTGGTGTTGACTACGTGAGTCATCGCGACAGAGTTGTGCAGTGTTTATGATCAGAGTATTAATCAATGTGCTTATATAGATCGAGCTTACCTCCCCCTGTGCCTCAGAGCAGTCCCGTACTGACTGCGAGGCCATTTGCAAGCTTGGCTTGAAGGCCAAGGTACGTTATGGTTGTGGTTGGGTCTCGTGATAATCCGTTATTGACCGAAGCTATAGATCCTCACCCACATTCGCTGCCACATGGATGATGCTCGCATCGCTGTTGAGACCGGTGTCGATGGAGTGTGAGTCACATTTTCTAACTTACGTTTCAACATAAACTAATTGAGTGTAGTGATGTTGTCATTGGTACTTCCTCCTACCTCCGTGAGCACTCTCACGGCAAGGACATGACCTACATCAAGAACACCGCCATTGAAGTTATCGAGTTCGTCAAGTCTAAGGGTATTGAGATCCGTTTCTCCAGCGAGGATTCTTTCCGCTCCGATCTGGTTGATCTTCTGTCTATTTACTCCGCCGTTGACAAGGTTGGCGTGAACCGTGTTGGTATTGCCGATACCGTCGGCTGTGCTTCCCCCCGCCAGGTCTACGAGCTTGTTCGCGTCCTGCGTGGCGTTGTCGGCTGCGATATCGAAACACATTTCCACAACGACACCGGCTGCGCCATCGCAAATGCGTACTGCGCCCTTGAGGCCGGTGCCACTCACATCGATACTTCCGTCCTCGGTATCGGTGAGCGCAACGGAATCACCCCTCTCGGCGGTCTCATGGCCCGTATGATGGTTGCCGACCGTGAGTACGTCAAGGGCAAGTACCGCCTGGAGAAGCTCAAGGAGATCGAAGATCTCGTCGCCGAGGCCGTTCAGGTCAACATTCCTTTCAACAACTACATCACCGGATTCTGTGCATTCACCCACAAGGCTGGTATCCACGCCAAGGCTATCCTCAACAACCCCAGCACCTACGAGATCATCGACCCCGCCGACTTCGGCATGAGCCGTTACGTTCACTTTGCTTCTCGTCTGACCGGATGGAACGCCATCAAGTCGCGTGCCCAGCAGCTCAACATTGAGATGACTGACGATGAATATAAGGAGTGCACTGCTAAGGTCAAGGCCATGGGTGATATCCGCCCCATGGCTCTCGACGATACCGACAGCATCATCCGTGCCTTCTACCGCAATCTCAAGTCTGGCGAGGACCAGCCTTTGTTTGATCTGACTGCTGAGGAGCACGCAGCGTTTGTTGCCAAGGAGAACGAGTTGAAGGCCGCCCAGGCTGCCGGTATTCAAGCATAGACGCTTTCTCTAGCCAGTTGCATTGCATCCGCACATCCTCCTATCCCAACATGCGGGCCTGGCGGATTTCTTGACGATTGACGGTTTTTCTATTCATGTTTTCTGTTTCACGTGACCCAGGGCATCTTTTATAAACTTTTGCCATTTCATCTCCAAGGGTCTGATTGTCTTTATGTTCTTCTTTGGTCTTGAATGAAAACTCAAAAGCGAGGGAGATTTGTTTACATTTTCTTTGTACATAAGCGCAGAAGAGCCCAACGATGTATTTCACAATTTTTGACATGTGGTCCAGATATCGTCGTAAGTTAACTAGTTGTAAACCGGGCTAATTACGTCAGAGGAGATAGAGCAGTGGAGGTAGAACACAACCCATGAATAGCTCAATGGTGTAGATCTAGTGAAGCATTGAAATACAAAGAGATATTCACAGTCTCTAAACTCTTCATACTAAATCCCTGTCTCATTCCTGGTGAATGTCAGTCGAGTGCCTGTTTCATGTGGCAGCCGAGGCACGCTAGCCCCAACCTGTCAAAACGTACCGGAATGCAACCTTCCCATTGCCACTCCCCATCTCTATCTCAGGACTATTCCTAGGGGTCACAATGAGCTCTTCAATGATGCCAGTCGCTCTTCAGAACAAGCTGGCCGGCTACGGCCGGGCCTCCAGTGCCCATCTCTCCGCCTTGAATCTCGACCTGTAAGTCGAGCCCCGTTCCCCGCGAAATCAGGCCATAATGGAAAACAGCGCTCAGTACTAACACACTCGCAATCTAGTATCCGCAATATTGTATTTATCCTGTTTATTCTTCGGTTCGTGCGCAAGACCTTCTACTCCGTCCGCGGCTACGGCATCCTCGGCAGCATCCGCAACATCTACATCTCGCTCCGGCTCTTCTGCTACGGCCTCTTCCTGCGCACACCGGGTGTCCGTGGCCAGGTCGATAAACAGGTCAGCACTGCTATTACGAAACTCGAAGCAAAGCTTGTCAACAGTGGACCGGATGTTACGCGCTATCTTGCGTTGCCCAAGGAGGGCTGGTCGCCGGAACAAGTCCGCGCGGAACTGGACAAGTTGGCTGGCCTTGAACATACTCGTTGGGAAGATGGACGTGTTAGCGGGGCTGTTTATCATGGAGGTGAAGAGCTGCTGAAACTTCAGACTGAGGCATTCGGACAGTTCGGTGTCGCGAACCCAATTCATCCGGATGTTTTCCCTGGTGTTCGGAAGATGGAGGCTGAGGTTGTCGCTATGGTATGCATCACTTCTTGTTTATGACATGCAGTATCGTGCAGGATCTTGGTTGGCTAACATATATGCTAGGTTTTGGCTCTCTTCAATGCTCCTGAAGATGGCGCCGGTGTTACCACCAGCGGTGGTACTGAGTCCATCCTTATGGCTTGCTTGGCCGCCCGACAAAAGGCTTTCTTGGAGCGCGGTGTTACTGAGCCCGAGATGTAAGATTGCATTACATTTTCTACTTATTTGACGCTATGACTGACTTGCACGCCAGGATTATTCCCGATACAGCCCATGCAGCATTCATCAAGGCTTGCAACTACTTCAAAATCAAGTTGCACCGTGTGCCTTGCCCCGAGCCAGAGTTCAAGGTCGACGTGGATGCTGTTCGTCGTTTGATCAACCCTAACACTGTTCTTCTCGTCGGCTCAGCACCCAACTTCCCCCACGGTATCGTTGACGACATCCCCGGCCTATCGCGTCTGGCCGTCAGGTACAAGATCCCGCTTCACGTTGACTGCTGCCTGGGATCATTTGTCGTTGCACTCCTCAAGAAAGCCGGCTTCCCTTCACCCTACGAAGAAGAAGGAGGCTTTGATTTCCGACAGCCCGGCGTAACCAGCATCAGTGTCGACACTCACAAATACGGCTTCGCACCCAAGGGTAACTCAGTCCTGCTCTACCGTAACAAGCTATACCGCAACAATCAGTACTTCATCTACCCCGATTGGTCCGGCGGCGTCTACGCCTCCCCTCGGTAGCCGGCTCCCGCCCCGGTGCGCTCATCGCCGGCTGCTGGGCCAGCTTAATGAGCGTGGGCGAAACCGGATACATTAACAGCTGCACGGAGATCATCAACGCAGCCCGCAAGTTTGAAGCAGCCGTCCGGACGGACTCAATTATCTCGCTACACATGGAGGTCATCGGCAACCCCATCGTCAGCGTAGTCGCCTTCCGCAGCAAGAACGGCGCAATCGACATCTACGATATCGCCGACGACCTCTCTGCCAAGGGCTGGCATCTCAACGCCCTGCAGTCCCCACCTGCCATCCACTGCGCCTTCACCATCCCAACCGCCAAGGCTGTCGAGCAGCTCATCGCTGATCTGACTGAAGTCATCGGAGTAGAGCTTGAGAAGGCCGAGCAGCGCAAGCGCGAGGGAAAATCGTATATCCTCCAGCGTGGTGATACGTCTGCCCTGTACGGTGTTGCTGGTAGTATCCCTGATAAGACTATCGTTAGCCGTCTGGCGGAAGGGTTCTTGGATACTCTGTACAAAGCATGATCGCGTTCCTTTCCTTTCTCTGTATCTTTGTTTAGCCTGTCCGAACACTCCTAGCTGTCCTAGCTGTCCTTACCTGACCCACATGGGGGGCGGTGGCGTTGCCTTCATCAAGTTTTGAGATTATATTCTTAAAGCGTCAGTTCCGTTAGATCGTTGTGCATATAATATTATGAGATTGACGCTTTGTATACATCTACGTAAATTGCCTACCTCGAAGTTGTCTTTTCTGTTATTGCCACTGCCCCCCCCCCCCCCATTAGCTTTACCACCATTTCCATCATCAGATGACCCATGGCTTCCTTCGGCCTTGCTTGTTTACTCTCACACGATGATGTTGCAGGCAATAACAGACATAAGTAGCATTTGTTTAATTGGAACTTGGGTGTCGCCATGGAGACGTTAAGAGTCACTATATCATACGACAACGTTGACGAGGCTAACAGTTATGCCCCCCTAACCCTACCCTAGTAAAAGACCATGCCCAGTTTGGCCCTAATCCGAAGCATTGAGAAATCCCCCTAACCATCTCAGATCTCATTCACCATATTTCGCTCACTCCCTAGTCCCTACTACCACCAATACCTACAGCCTGTGTATATCAGGTTATAGAAAATGGCCCCCCTTGAGACAGAGTAAGATCCCCTCCAAGCCCCAGTTTAGACAGATTCATGCTAACAACTCCCCCAGATTCCCCGCAATCCGCGCCTGCATCTTCGACATGGACGGCCTCCTCCTCAACACCGAAGACATAATAACCGGCACCACCAACAGCCTACTTCAAAAATACAACCGCCCACCCATGCCCGACTCACTCCGCGCCCAACTAATGGGCATCACAAACTCCACAAACAGCGACACTTTCCACAACTTTGCCAAACTACCCATTTCCGCACCCAATTCGCCGAAGAATCAAGAAACGAAATGCATCTCCATTTCCCCGACTGTCGACCCCTCCCTGGCGCAGCGGAACTCCTTTCAACACTCAGCAGTGCGCGCAATGCTAACGGTGTGCGCATCGAACTCGCCTTGGCTTCTAGTACTAAGACGCGTAGCTATGAGTTGAAGACTTCCGGGGCAGAGGCGGGGGATCTGTTGAGGGTTTTTGGGGAGAGAAGGGTGCTTGGTGATGATGTGCGGTTGGGAGGGAGGGGGAAGCCGATGCCGGATATTTATTTGGTTGCGTTGGGGGTTATTAATGATGAGGTGGTGCGGGCTGGGGGAGAGAGGATTTTGCCGCAGGAATGTTTGGTTTTTGAGGATAGTGTTGCTGGTGTGGAGGCTGGGAGACGGGCTGGGATGAGGGTTGTTTGGGTGCCGCATTCTGTTGTGATGGGTGAGTATGGGGGCAGGGTTGGGGATGTGTTGGCGGGGAGGTCGGGGGTGTTTGGCATTGGGAATGAGGGGTTGTTGGGGGTTGTTGGGGATGGTTGGGCTGAGTGTATTGGGAGTTTGGAGGATTTTGCTTATGGGAAGTATGGGATTGAGGGTTAATTGGTTTGTTATGCCTAGTTATATTGTGAGTAGTTACTGTTCACTCCGTATGTAGTATATGCATCAGCGAGACCAGAAAGCAATAATTCCATCAAAATCCTCGGTCGTCAACGTCTTCATATCCCGATCCTCTTTGGTGATCTCCCTTCTTAAACGACAGGCAACTCTAAAAGCAACAGAGGCCTTTTGAGTCTTGCCCATTGCCTCTAACAATTTCCCCTTGAGGAAGGTCGTGCGAGCGATCTCATTCTTGTGTGCACTTGGATCAACTGACCAAATGTCTAGCGCCGCATTCACCATCGTACTAAGCAGATTTAGCCAAAATGCCCCGTTAAGTCATATCGGAGGGAAACACTTACATCGCTCTCTCGTGCTGACCTGACCGAAACAGGTGCTGAGCCATCTTATGGATAACATTCGCAGTATAGAAATCTCTGTCGCCGACCGTCGCGCGCATATGGCGCCACGCTCTGTCATGGTATTCGAAACTCTCATCCCATAAGCCCTGCGCTGCACGGAGGTTACCAAGTGCATACAGAATCAGTCCAGTCCGGAAATACTCCGTGTCATTCTTGCCCAGGGCCTTCTCTCTGCCTGCCAAGCTGTCCGAGAGAAGCGTATCGCATTCTTCAAGCTTGCCCTGTGCAAGGAGCGACCAGCTTAGAGTGGCCTCACCCGCGCGCGGAACGTAGTTACCAAGGGCTTTGCGTATCCGCAGCGCCTCCTTGAGATCGGCTTCACCTTCCTCGTACCTTCTGTCCTGGATGCGTGAGATGCCTCGCTCCGCGTACGCGAGGTATAGTCTGTCGTCGGCGGTTTCTAGTTCTTTGCAGATCTTGGACACTAGATTGAGAGAACGTTCCTTGTAAATGCGACTGGTGTCAAATTCACTCGCGTCCATCGCAATAGCTCCCAGGCAGAAGTAGATATCTGCAAGGAGGGCATCGCGATCGGGGTGTGTGGAAGTTTCGCAGATGCTGCGCGCAGTTTCGAAGAAGCCGTCGAATTGCTTCGTCCTTCCGCGCTCCTTTTGATACCTTTTTGTCATGTTAGGCTATGCAGCATGAAATAGGGCGGAAAGTCTACATATCACGTACCATGCAGCCTCATTCAGTAGTTTTGCGAAAAGCAACCTCGTGGCCTCGGAGGGCTCTGAGATGGCTGGCCAGAGTTGATGTATCTTTAGGACGTGGGGATAAATTGCCGCACAGGCAGGCCATCTGCCAACATACAGCCTGCCCCCGGTTGATTTGGGCTCCGGTAGCTCTGGCTTTCTGGATGGTTTGGGCATAGCCGAAGGCCAGTCCGCCCAGAGAATGCGTACGACTTGGTCAAACAGGAACCGCTTCCTCTCAACATCCATCGTTGCCAGGATCACATCTTGCACGATGCGATGGACTGATAACTGTTGCTTTTGTTTATCTCTTTGGACTAGAGATGACTGTAAAAGATCGGTTCGAGCCTCAATATAGTGGAGCTTCTTGAACGGTGTCCCGTCGGAGAGCAGTTTCACTGCCGCTTCCATCAGCAAGTCGTCTCCAATGACATCTGGATCGAGAAATGCAATCAGCTCTAACAGTCGCTGCGCTTGAGGCTTCAGCTTCCCAAACGCCCACACAGTCGCAAGCGAATGACGATATGTTACCAAATTCGTATCGAACTTTGTCTCATAAAGACTGGCGTGTTCTTCTTGATCTGTATAAAGCTCAAAGAACTCTGACAACGTGAGCTCCTGCCTACGGATAATTCCGGCCATTTGGGAGATGGCAAGAGGGACGCCAGCGAGCGCATCGGAAATTCGCTGCGCTATGTCCTCATCTGCCTCGCTTGTATTTGTCGTAAGATGGTTGAAGAGGGACAAGCTGTCTCGCTGCGAAAGTGGGCCGAGATCTAGCCCAGTAGGTCGTCTTGTAAACATGCATTTTGCCAATGGATCACGGCTAGTGACAAGAATTGATCCACTGCCTTGAGGCCAGTAGTCCGCTAGGATCACGGGATCATCTGCGTTATCGAAAATGAGCAGCCAGGTAGCTTCCGATCTAGTCTCACCGTATTGAATAAATTCATCTGTCGCTGATAGATGCTTTCCGAGGATTGGAAAGCCACCCTTTCACAATCTCCCTGCTGACAACCTGGCTCTTACACTCGGATGGATCTTCCAATCCTAGCGCTAGAGAAATTTGCTGGTAATGGTAGTCGAGCTTTGCAACCTCGTCGGCTACGACCCAGAATACTGCATCAAAGGAGTCTTTATGACGTCGGGCGAACTCACGGGCTATTTCTGTTTTCCCAATGCCGCCAAACCCGCAAAGTGCGAATTGTTTCACAGAGCTTCTAGACGCTGTCACCATGTTTTTCGGAGGCAACAGCTCGGCTGCAAGACGCCCAAGGATATCTTCTCGGCCACAGAAATCTTTGTTTGCAGTATGGGTGTTGAAAAGGAAGCATGGCAAGTGAAGGGACTTCCAAGTTTCGGTGTTTGGTGTTGTAGAATGTATCATCTCGAAGCCAGAGAGAGAAGTTCCTTCTGTTGCTCCATTTGAGGGCCATTCAGTTGCATGGTTCGACGGCCATTCGGTGAGCTCTAACTGCTCAACTAATTGGCATCAGCATGGGAACACTGAAATATGAGATTTAACCTACCTCTCTGTGGTAGTTCACTCATCGTGGGTGAGTAAGCACTCGTTGTTGCGTATTGATATTCAGCTGAGAGCATTAGCACAATTCGGAAGCTTTCAGGCGAGTTGGCGGCCTACTAGACTCAAGTCGAGACACGAAAAGACGCCCAGCATCATGTAGAGTCTCGTACAGAAATTTATGTAGCTCCGGTAAGCCTTCGCCACCTACGCTTTTGGTGAACTGGCAAATGTCATGATGATTTAGGTTGAGACCGATGATTGTTTCCTCCCGGATATGAGTCGAGCAAGTGTCACGGTCGACCAACTGGGTATTGGGATTTAGCATTCATAGCTCAGCCGAGAACTCAATACTAACTTGTTGGTACTTCTGACGCGATGGCTTAAGCTGGTTTTCGACTCTCGCAATTCGTAGGCAGATAGAATTGGAGTATTGTTAGTGACCATTTCGAATCTACTTGCTAAGTCGAGTAGAATGGCACCTTCATGCTCCATAGAGGCGTTCGGGATCTTCAGGCTCTTACTAGTCGTCGTTTCAAAGAGATCTCGAAACCGTACAAAGCTCGTGGCTTTGTCGCCATAGCGATGCGGAGTACCCAAAAATATAACGCCAGCTACAGCGTTGACAGTTGATCCGTACCGAAGAAACTGGTTGTGGGCAACACACAATGCCTGCTTCACTGCAACACCACCTAAGCTGTGACAGACTAGCAGTATTGGTTTGGTGATAGTCTAGGGAAGTCAGCAATCATGAGAACCCAGTACGGTTGAAAGATCCTGCTTCATACTTCATCCAAGTCTGATTGCGATCGCGCATCACCGAGCTGCTGAAGCAAGTCGTATCCCAGCATCAACATCGACTCCCATGAAGGCTTGGTGCCTAGGAATGGTGAAGGATATTCGTATGCAAAGATTCGCGCCTCACCGCAGGAGCCGGGCAGAGTGGAAAGCCATTCTGGGTCAGCAAATGGCCATTCTTCTGGCGAGATAGTACCGATGCCAGGAACCAGGACAATGCTATAAATTTAAGTTACTACAAGTGGAGAATCAGTCTTGGCGTTTTTCTCTTACTCGACTCCATCGGAATCATTCACTGAATCTCGTAGTATCTTCAGGCAGCCAGTATTCGCAAGGCCTGATGATGGAGTCATTATAGCAGCCATAGGATGCGACGTTTCAGAGTGAAAGGAGGATGAGACTGGACTTCTGAAGCGGGGTAGACTATATATGCCAGGGTCCAGGGTTAGACCTTAGCCTCTTCGGAGTACGACCTACGGGAGAAGTACAGTAGCAGTGGCGTGTTTCGTTGATAACGCATTCAGGATCAAATTTTAGGTAGTGTTAAGTATTCTGGCAAACATCTAGCTGTGTGATTATCCCTCCAATTGTAGAACATACCGGCTCTTCGCTGGTACACCAGTATCACACAATATGACTTGGGTCCTTCTCGCTGCCTCCAGCCTTCAGATCACGCCCCGTACTGCGATGCCTTTTCCGGAGCCTCGCCCAATACTGCTGCATAGCCTGGTAGTCCCAAATAAACAAAATATAGGAACAGAGAGTGACTGGAATACACAAGATAAAAAACCACCAGAATTTTACAGCATTCTGGCCCAGGAGATCAATGTTCATCCCCAGTAAACTGGAGCTAAACGTAAGAGGAATGAAGAGTGTCGCAAGCAAAGTCAACTTCTTGAGTCGCTCGGATTGCTCGATTGCTTTGCGAGACTCCGCAATTGTAGCTTTGTTCATTGCCAAGGTTATACCTCGAGTGCACATGTTCGACAACTCCATGCACCGAACATGGAGCTGTGCATAATCCTCTAAGAGGCCTTTCGTTGTAAAAGCACTCTCAGAGCTATTAAACCCAAAATTTCTCGCCGTTTCGGTCTCTGGAGTCTGCCAACGTATACCCATGCCAGATGCTGGCGACGTAGTACTCTTCGGGCCCGGAATGTCCAACCTAGGTCCGTCCAATGCTTGATTACTGCGCTCAGCCAACTTGGAGAGTGCACGAGTGCTATCGTTCAACTGCTGCGCATGTCGGTTGAGAATGTGGAAGAAGTATTGAAGCGTTCCCAGCAACTCATCCGCGGAAACCCCTTCAGTTATGGAGTTTATCTGAGTTTCAATTTTCGACTCTAGGAGATTCAAAAATTGCACCTCGGAGAACGCCGCATGTGTGAACAGAGAAATGCACATTGCAAGCGGATCTCGAGGGGCACGACGGGCTAGATTAACAAGCGCGACCAATGAATCGTATTGTAAGGGCAAAAGGGCAGTGCTTTGCTGGACTTCTGCGGAAGCTTTCAGCTCCTGATCTAGGCGATTGTGAGTGGTTCGAAACGCCATTTTCGGATGATGTTGGAGAACAGGTAGTGGTGTAGCCTGGGATTCGAAGTGACTTGTCCATGGTCCCGGAGGAGATTCCTGTAAGGGTCTACCCTGGTCCATCCAAGCAATAACTGGAGGCAGGTATTAGCAAACGTTCTCGTCGTTGGGTATATCATTGCCTAGGTCTTACCGGTCCAGCCTTTGCCTGTCTTGGCGATACAAAGTGAAATCCATTGTTCAACCACGGAGAAGGACGAGCATATAGTGGAGTACTCGCGTACCAGTGAATCTCCGCAGCAGACTCTGGTAGAGCCGAGCTGTCGCATCTTGTATTTCCTGAGTTCAGCGGAATGATGTGATCGTTGTGACTGGAGGTCCTGTCCGCCGAAATCATCGCGATGAAGGAGAGTGCTCACACACAGTCGAATGATGTTGTTAGAGGTGCTTGGAAGGGATGGAAAACCGTACGAATGTCTGTGGATGCTTGCGCAGAGGAAATCCATATGTCGCCTAAAGAATTCTGGATCGATATTGTATTTGCTCCCAATGGCCGACACCCACGACGGTGATATGGAGCCTCGGATGAAGACAATTTGCCCCGAATCGCTAGCTGGGACAGACGTATCAGCAGAGAAGACCGCGTGTTGCTCTTGTCTATATGCTTGCACATCCCACTTTCTCTGCGCGCTGTTATAAACCACCACTAGATCGTGAGGATGTTCAGACTTCGAGGCGAAGCGAATGGCATCATCTTCCAGTTTCGTCGACTTGAAAAGGCTACGATCTTGTAGCATCCATTCTCTGGGGTCGGTATAATTGTTTCCCGGAAAGGCAGAAGTATTCGACAGCCGCCTTGAAAGGGAGAATATTGCCCTCGTATAGTTCTCGGGCGTAACTATTTGCACATAGCTCAAATCAGTTATGGTTCATTCCTTGTGAAGTGCTAGAAGAGTGAGGCCTTACGTGCGGGCTTTCTGTGCTGCATGGTCTGTCATGCGCCACTGGGACCTGATCCATGGGTATAACGTGTCAAATTATAGCATTCGTGTAGCGCTGGGGGATTTAGCAGTGATTTAAAGACAGAGGCTGACTGGGGGCTGCACGCGATCGTCAAGTACGCTTTCCTTTTCTTTCAAGTCGGCGCGCAAGTCACAGATGAGGCCACAAATCGGTCCACACAGGAGCTTGGGCTAATGCACAGTGCTCTATGAATATGATTAGCTTGGGCGCTCGAATCATCGATTCGTCGCCTAAAATCCAGTGGTTTCAGAGGGTACCTAGGTGCTCTTAGTCTTCACCCGGGTTCCTCACCCGGGGCCGCAGCCGCTCCAAGCGTCCAGAGGTCTGCGGTAACAGGTGAGCTTTCATTGGTCTACGATTTGGCAGCCAGCATCACTACAGCCTCACTACAAAACCCTGGGTATTTCATTTTCAGACGTGTTCTTCGAGGACTTGCAGAGGAAATGTAAACTAGAGGGAGATCGTACTAACTATCTCAGATGCACGAGTAACTACTGTAGTCGCGAGAACGACAAAACGCCGAGGGATCTCCGGAGACAAACCTAGGGTTACACTGGGATGCGTGCTGATGTCTGATGCAGCACTTCACTCGGTATAATCCCATCGAGACCCCTATATTGCGTCTTTTCAATTTTGCATCTGCTACTCCAGGGTTTTGGTTTGGAAGAGATTTCGTCGCGGTCTTTGACAGTTCCGGAGTCTGGCCTCGATAGGCATGATAGTGACAGCGACAGCGACAGCAGTGGATAATCATAGCAGAGATCACAGCATTGCCCGATATCTTCTGCGCTAGAGAGAGCCGCCTTCATATTCTTACGGTCCCAGCGGTGCTTCAGATCCCAACAGCGCTAACCATAGCCTCATAGATTGACCAGGGTTCAAGGAAATATTCGCCGTGGTTGAAGTTGTACTATTTTTACAAGTTGCCGAAGTCAACAGAGTACTAACAGAAACTATTATAAGTTACACTCAGATTGGAGACAGCCTGGGCCCCCAAGCCCTCCACGAACTTCCTCACCTCATCCCCCCGAACCCCGCGCAACAGCCATCTCAATTCTCAACCGTCCCATCCGCGGTAAGCAAAACATACTCAGGCACACCCGCCTCAGCCGCCCCCCTTGCAACAACCGCAACGCGAGCCGCCGCCTCATCAACCGTCCGCAGTGAGGCAGGACACCGTCCGCATCCATATCTTCAGTATTACAGTCCACGGCGCCGGACGCAATAACCTGCCCGATGGAACCAGCAAGCTCGGCCTCGTCGCCGGAATCATTTTGCAAAACGGACGGTCAGCGGTTTTGTGGGGAAACTGGCACGGACGGCGGCGATGTGCGGCTACCGCGGTCAGATCTTAGGATTTCGTCAGGACGGCGTGGCGGACGCCAATCGATGCGGCGATTTGCATAGGAGGATGCTGTGACTGCTGGTGCGGTTGAGAGTGAGGCTGTTATGTTGGCTGTTGCGGCGTCGTAGACGTCTGTTAGATTACCTAGGGGGGCCAGGGATGTGGAGGGTGCGGAGACGGTTTGGCGAGGTTGTTTTGGGATGGAGTGCTGTTTATTTATGGTGGGTTGATTTGGGGGTTTTCCAATTAGAATATTTATTGGAGATTGGAGTACGGAGCGAGTTACCGCATATATACTGGCGTAGCGATACATATCTACTGTGGTACACGATATTCGACGTGTCGAATGAGTCTTTCTCAAATAGGTACGGGAGAGGCCCTGTGGAGATCGGATGGTGGAGATCCGTAACTAAACTACCGATGCAGATCGGATTCGAGGCAAGGCAGACAATGGGAGAGTAGTTGGCTAGGGTACATTGTACACAGTCCATGGTAACTGCCCCTGTCTCAGACTGGATTACATCCATGTACGACAGTCTTGGGAGCTTTGGCGCAAGGGATTCACGGTATGGGGCGTCTTTTCCTTTATGATGGAAATACGTTTACCAGCGTCATTACTTACACTTACGCACATGTGCAGGTTGAGATGATTACGGGAATGTTGATCTGGGGTCTGATTGAGGAGAGGTGAATTGATCCCACAAGGTACGCAGTACTACAACCAGGTGAGCCGAAAGGGTAACGGGGTAATACAACTATACACCCCGGAGGCTGACGGGGGTGTTTCCATTGCTCCATTGGGAGAAATGGAGCTTCCATGCAGCTGCGGAGAGGCGAAAAAGCAAGAGGGGAATCTACTCAGGACATGAGCACTTTTTTGTTTGTATTCAATAGATGAATAGAGGCTTCCTCTTGAATAGAAACAGAGATGGAATAACCAGGAGATCACGGGTAGTTAATATGTACAGAATTGGCCCCGTTTCTCCCTAAAAGGAGTAAGAGTCCACTAGTAACAGGATATTTCATTTATTTCTTTGCATGAGGGGCAAACAAAGCTGTGGCATTCCTCAGGACAGGGAAGAAAAAATAGTCAGCGTCCGGGTGATTGGCCGTCATTGGGGATTCGTTTCTTGGAAGGAAGAATGTCCCTCTTTTAGCTCCTTGGTTTCAGCTCTTTCACAGTACTGTGTAGTTAGAGCGACTAGTTACACAGTAATAGAGCCAAACATTAATTGTCCGATCACACCCGCTTCGAGGGGAAAGCAAAGTCTGGACTCGGGAGTCGGGACCCATTTCTCCTCACGGTATGTGTATTGTACGGATATATTATATGGGTATTTGAGGGTATTGGAATTAACGTAGTTATGAAAATAATGTATATTAATAGGGACGGATCAGAGAACAAAGCGTAGAAAAAGAAATGCAAAAGAAAAGGGATCTGAGGGAAACTAGTTTACAAATAGAAGAACAAAAGGCCCTGAGACAGAATGACTTACGGGGCAATACTGTATCGGAGTCACAGATACATACAGTCCTGGGAGTCTACACCGAGATTAAGAGAAATCATGACAATTTCTATTGATAACTACACTAAATTAATTGATACAGTCCTATTCATGAATGAGAACAAGTCAATAGAACTAGCGAAAAGAATGAATTCAGAGTGCTACAATACAAAACATAAAGTACCTAGTACAGGTACATGTACTCGACCCAACGCCCATCGGGATCCCCTGTAATTTTACAGGGAATCGCCGTCAGCTCTCCCCACTCTACGCTTCTTGCTCATCGCCCTCTCTCTCTTCTCCTCACCTTCGTTTAATCTTACTCTTACTTTCTCTCACTCTCTCTGTACCATTTGCATTCACACATTCTGCATTGCACAGTCATAATACTTCCGAATCACATCCCCGATCTTATGGCGTATGGTTCAACCTCACTCCCTCGTGCAGTTGGCCGCCTGACCTGCAGCTCTCACGCTGCCATCCGACCCTGCTCACAACCTCGAACTCTTTCCCCTTCCCCCCAGTCCTGACCTCTCCTTCCTTTGCCACAATGTCGACCGGTTTCGAAATTCCCACCACCGGGCTGTCTCTCCATCTCGGGGATCAGTCCGGAGATTCCTCCGTCAAGCCAAGTCAGATCATGCGGCTGAATCTGGTGCAGAGCACTCTCGATGATCTGATCCAGACCTTGCGGAAAGATCAACCGGCTCGAGTCCGCTTGGGAAAACACCCATCCATTCACTACGGGGGCAAGTCCCAATCCTTCCACGCGTACCCCGAAACACACCGATCCGAAATCTACCGCTCCTCCGATAAAGGGAATTTGTATTTCACAGGCGTCCTGAGCCACAGTCTGGAGGTGGAAAAGGCCCAGACTGATACGGCGGCCACCGACCAAGCCCTGGCGGAATTGGAGGAAAAGTTGAACGCACACGAGAGAGGAAAGGAGTCGAAGAAGACTCATATAATTTCCCACCCCGATGAGCTTCGAGTCTTCCGAAACGCTGGAGTAGGCCACACAGGTCCCACGACCAAAGTGGAACGGGAGAAGGGCCGGATCCTCAAGACTGCTGCCAGTCGTTCCCTCACGGCCAGTCCCACCTTGGGCGCTCACAGGTCTCCTTCGCTCGCTCCCTCTTTTGCCATGACTCCAACATCCGCTCCTGTCTCGCAGAACAAAGACCGTGAGAGGCTTGAGGCCCTCAAGGTTCCCTTCATTCATTTGCTCGCCGTTCGCGCCGTCTCGGCCAAGTTCCTCGCGCGCCAAACCCGCTCCACCATCCAAGACTGCACCGCTCTCGGCGAAAAGTTCGGAGTGTTGAACCGGATCAACCCCGAGAAGTACGATCTCAAGGACAAAGTCTACAAGGACCTCGATTTGTTTGGCTTCAATTACACCCCGGAGGACCGAAAGGAAGCCATTGAGAATTCCATCTCTGCCTTTGATCGTATGCGCATCTCTCGATCCGACAAACTGTGGCAAACACTGCTCCCCAAGGCTGAGCGAGGCAAAGGGAAGTGTTTGTCTCGACTGAACCTCCATACTGGTCCACCCCAGAAACCCGCCAAGACCAACAGCGATGACTCGAGCAAGGATGACACCGACCGCGCCGCAAAGGGACCCGCGACCGCGAACAGGACTACTTCGGGCAAGGGTCCGGCCAAGGATACCACCAAGCGCTCCGCCAAGACTAAGACTACCAACAGCACTCTCACCGGACGGGTCACCAAGAAGACTGGCGGGAAGGCCCCGGTCAAGATCGACAGCAAGATCAAGTCCGCGGAATTTATCCACAGTTCCGATGAAGACGACGATACCGACATGCCGGACGCGCCTCCTCCGGCTCCGGCGCCGAAGCAACCACCGAAGGAAGACAAGCGTGTGCCGTCCAATCCCAAGATCCAGGCCCCAAAGAAGGCACCGGCCAAGCCTCGTACCACCGAGACTGCTTCCCCTGCTACTTCCAAGGCCAAGCCTGATGCCTCGAAGCCTAAGGTCGAATCAACCAAGCCTGCTGCTAAGGTCACTGCCTCGAAACGTCCTCCCCCTCGGCCCTCTACCTCGCCACAGAAGCCGTCTCCCCTCGGCTCATCTCCCCCTGCCAATGCCTCCGATTCAGCCAGTCGTAAGCGATCTGACAGCAATAACCAGTCCTCTGGCTCCTCCTCGTCTTCGCCTCTTATCACCCAGCTGGCGAAAAACAACAAGCTTACCCGTGCAGCACCGGCTGCTGCCAAAACTGCCCAGCCGAACGGTGTGACTAAGACTACTCCCACTGTCAACCCTCTGAAGCGCAAGGTTGAGGCCGACTCCCTGTCCGTGCCCCAGGCCGGACGTCCCACTGGAGACTTGGAGGCCAAGCGACGCCGAGCGGCTAGCTCCTCCAGCGGTGGCAGCACCGGAAGTGCGTCCCCGCCGATGAGCTACGAGCTCGCTCGACAGCAGCTACGGGAGAAATCCCAACAATTCAAGAATTACTACACTAAGTACCGCAAGCTGCATGACTCCCTTGCAGCGAACCCCAACCCCCGCAGGCGGACATGACCCGGCTGCAGAAGCAGCACAATAAATTGCAATCTATGAAGGAGGAGATCTGGGAGGAGGATCGCCGGCTGCGCAGCGGCCTTCATTCTTGATTTCACGTTTTCACAGTTCATCCAAACTCATGTAACATTTACCTGATACCAGATGGCATCGCACATCGTGCCAATTAAGCCGGGCGTTTTTCATGTTTATCTTTCATCAGCGTCGAGCTATTCATATTCATGTTCCCAAATACAATCATTTTTACAATTTCATCTTTTGTTCCTGCGTTCGTAGCGATCTCATCCTTAAGCGGCGAGAGACTTACCGCCCAACACAATGGATTTCGATATACTTGAGATTCAAATGTTAATGAGGCATTCAACACGATATCTAGTTAGACTCATTTCAAGTTCCATGTCATTGTAATGGATTATGGAACCGATTCCCGGTCGATCTTCGATTTACCGGGTTACCCCCAGGGCCCAGATCGACTAAACAGCCTTGTGCTAGTCCCAATTTGGTTGGGTGGATTCCTTCAACTAGGCGGTGTAGCACGTGGCAGTGTCACGAGATTGGCGATTGGCGAATCACCTGCACGTGACTGAAACAGTGGACGTCATTCCATCGCTTGACAGACTAGTCCCAATTGAGTTTAGCATCAGAGCTCATTCGAACTTGCTGGCTCCGAGGATCATACATGGCATAATTCACCCTACAGAAAATATTACGTTCCATGTTGCACTGTCAATTCCAGGAACTCTCCATTCGAACCCCATTGAAGTGCATATTCTAAGCTCGCTTGACGATGACGCCCCCGGCCCGTGGACGGGGGACTAGCCAACGCAGCCCGACCGTCTTGGTGGGACTGCCCATCAAACCCAACAGCCACAATGAAGTTTAACTAACCCATATGTCCTAAATACAGGTCACAGATTCCCGCGACCAACCCACCCAAGTACCACGTCGCCGCCGCTCGCCCGCAACCCGCTTCATCACCGTGGACAACGTCCTCCAATACGCCTCCGACGTGCCCTCAATGCAGCAGCGCGGCCCACCCCCGATCTCGCGGTCCCGCCGTCTGGCCTCCGCAGCAGGCCTCATGACCGGCTCGAGCAGCGGAAGTTCCAGTGCCGTGGCAGGATCCAGCGGTTCTATGGGCCGACTTGCCGCTCAGCCGCGCCTCCCGCCTCGGACAACCAAGGTCAGCGAGAAGCTGGTGCTTCTGCCTGATACTGGCGAGCTGGAGGAGGGTGAAACGGAGGAAGAAGATGACGATGATGTCGAGGGTGCGGATCTTGTGGATGAGGAGCTGGTCGCGCGTCTGGCTAAGGAGAGGAAGGTCGACCCGGAAATGATTCGACACCAATTGCTTATGTCTAAGCGGCTTCGTGGTGATTTCGGCGTTGATAATGATCTTGCGCCGCTACTGGCTGAGGAGGAAACTCTGCGGAAACGTCGGATTGGCCCTGAGCGCGCGAAGAGTTATGCTGAGAGACTGCCGAAGGCGCGACGGACGGAGAAACTTGCTCGTGTTACGGCTTACTGTACGGCGCAGGCGTATAAGATGGGGTCTCTGGCTGCTTTTGTTAAGGAGCAGCATGGTGGGCGGACGAAGCTTTATGATGATTGTCTCTACACGGCGTATCATCTGCCTCTTTTACCTGGTCATGATGGTTATCGTTTGCGCAGCAGTCCCGTGATCAAATACCCCGGTGGGAAGTCGCTGTTGGACGAGGAGATTGAGCGAAATGAGTTGCGTGATTATCATGACGAATTCGGTGTCGAGACGGAAGAGCATTCGGTTGGTGGACGCAATCGTCCAGAGGAAGAACACCATTATGAAGCCTCCCCTCAACAATCTGACCTTGATTCGCGGGGTGATAACCGGGAGGACTTCTTGAATCGTATCAGCGAGGAGGTTCGTGGCGTTGGTGAGAATGAGCATGCTGTCAGCTCCAGCTCCAGCGTTGAGGGGCTGCAGCGTATCCCACCGCTACCGCAACCCGATGGCACTGATGACAGTCGACAACCTTCGCCTGAACCTGCCCTCCGTCGTCGCAGACATAGCACAGACGACACCCACGCTTTGATCCGAGAGCGTTCTTCCCCACCCCCGGCTCCTCCAGCTTCCCTACCGCAAGCGCCAGCTCGCACGTTATACAATGTTGCCGAGATGTTCGTCTTCAGCTACGGTGTGGTAGTTTTCTGGAACTTCACCGAGCGACAGGAGAAAGATCTGCTTGCAGATCTGGCCTTCGCTACATCCTCGGCAACAGGCATCCCCATCCCTCTGGCAACGATGCCTCTCGACGAGGAAGATTTCGAGACCGAAGAGTTCCATTTCGAGTACTCTACTGCGATTTCGCGTCCGCGAGTCTACAACGATATGATCACTCTCCGCAGTGGCGACCACATGATCAAGCTCGCTATCAGTCACGGCATTGCCCAAAGCACCAAACTATGTTTCTTCGAGGAAGTCATGGCTCGCCAGATGGCGGATGCCAAAGATGTCCCCCGACGACTGGCAGTCACCGGCCAATTAGGCATGAAGCGCGAAGAGGTCTTCCGAATTCTTGGTCGACTATTCAAGAGTCGTGTCGAAGTCAACCTTTGTAAGCTCCAAACCAACACATTTTTCAACCCCTAACCCAGTTACCACCGACTGACCATCATTATCCAGCCTCCAACATGCTCGACGTACCCAACTTCTTCTGGGAAAGCGAACCAACCCTCTACCCCCTGTACATCGCCGTCCGCGAATACCTAGAAATCAAACCCCGCATCCAAGTCCTGAACGAAAGATGTCGCGTCTTCCTCGATCTCGCCGAGATCTTATCCGACTCAATCGCCGACAACCGCACTTCCCGTACGTCTTGACCCTCTCTCCTCTTTCCCTCTTTCCGTCTTCTCCCCTTGAATCATCTTTGAATGCATCAAACTGACAACAGAGCAGACCAAACATGGATAATCATCATCCTAATCATAATCTCCATCATCGTCACTATCTCCGAAGTTTTCCTCCGCTTCGCTCTCCTCCACTCAAGCCAGGGTTCAAGTACTCCGGCTAGTATCTTTGCCCGAGCTATGGGTCGATCCGTCACTCCGTCCCCGTCTTCGGGATGGGATGCCTACTCTTCCGCGCCGCCTGGCTGTATTTGTCCTTCGCTCGCTGCCGATGGAAGTGCGGGTATCGGTGTTAGTGGGATGTTAGGGTATTAATTTTGAATTTTGGTTGACATGGTTGTTATGGCGTAATTGGTGTTGTTGGGTGAAGGGCCTTGCACAGATTCTAGTTCGATACATATTGTTATAAAATTGTTCGGTTCAAAGTTTGGAGTATTGATTCTGATTTCTTTAGGGATATTGGTAATTTTGCTTCGGTGATAGATAAATGGGAGACAAGAGTGACCTAGGGCTGTAGGTTTCTGCCTGAGTATAAGGTTGGTGATTCTAGCATTCTCGGCCTTGAAAGAGATACCTATCCTTCCCGTCTTTGAAGACACTTACAAAGAAAGGGACCAGAGGGGCACAGTGGGAATAACAATCCCCTAAATGTCCACTATCTCGACGTACCTAGGAGTCAATACTTGGACGAGGTCGATGTCGGCAGTACCTAGGTAGATATGCCCTAGATATCCTCAATCGAAAAGGATGTGTCGGTCCGCAATATCACTCTAATCAACAGACACAGCCCATCAAAATCAGTTTTGGACCTTCAGACAAGTCACATCAACAAATTACCATATCAGGCATGGAACCCTGATCTGTGGGGGCGGGGAGCTTGATGCAAGTCACGAACCCACATGGCCCGGGTGATTTCCACGCATAGATCTGGTCGATTATAATTTGAAGGAGTCGTAATTTTAAGACACTAAGAGGCAATCTAGAACGTCTAGAATGTTCTGACCAAATCGCATAATGGCGCGATTGTACAGAAAGGAGGTGCTGGGTTTGCTGGGGGAAAATGCAGCGATGTGGTTGGTCCGCGGCGACTCCGCGCTCAGGCCAGCTGTCGTTCCAACTGGGTCTGAACTCTGAACACCATTCCTCCTTTTGTCTTTCGTCAATTCCTATCGCTGCCATCGCATCTCTCAGTTACAGGTGAGTTGTCTCAATCCACTATCATTCTGAATGAGACTTGAAGTCTTGTAATTCTTGTTGTCTCATTAACTGACTTTGGTTCCGCGTGTCAGCCTTCAAGATGCGTTTCACGTCGCTCGTCACCCTCCTCCCTGCCCTGGCCTTGGCCCAGGAGCAAGTCCCTCTCGCTGAGCGTGTGCAGGGTTGGTTCAACCAGGTCAAATCCTACGTGCCGACACCAGCCCCCGTTGCCCCGATCGAGCAGCTGGCGCAGAAGGTCAGCGAGAAGACCGTCACCCCGGTCTCCTTGGACAACTGGCGGTCGATCCTTACCCCGGCTCCCCAGCCTGAGGATTGGCTGATCTTCACTACTGGTGGTAACAAGACCTGCTTCGGTCGCTGCGAAAAAGCCGACAAGGCGTTCAAGGTGAGTTGATGTCTTATCCTCGACGCGTCCTTCTGCCGAGTTCCCCAATCTCTAACGTTGTTTCGCATTACTAGGAATCCGTCCTTCTATTCTCCGCCGACCCCACCTCTCCTCACCTTGGATACTTGGACTGCGAGGCTAACCCGGTCCTGTGCGCCGCCTGGTCCGCCAGCGCTCCCTCCGTCATGTACTTCCAAGTCCCCAAGGAGCAGCCCGCTGGCGAGGAGCGCGCCCCTACTCCTCTTTACAACATCTACCTGAACTCCACTACCGTCACCCCCGAGACCATCTACCAGATCCACTCCAAGAAGACCTTCGAGAAGGTCCCAGCTCACGCGGGTGCTCTCCACCCCGTTGACGGCTGGGTCGCCAAGTACCAGCTCAACATCCCTATGGGCTACGTTATCTGGGCTCTCGGTGCTGTTCCCAGCTGGCTGTTCATGATCGGTATCAGTTTCTTCAGCCGTACCTTCATGTAAGTGAAATGAATCTGTCGTCTTCGTTTGTGACCAGGCTAACATCTCAATTAGGAGCCGTCGCATGGGTCCTACTGGAAACGCCCCTCGTGCTCCCCCTGCCGGTAGCGCGAACTAGTCTTAGTCCTTTGGGCTATTTGGGTGTTTTGGGTTGTATATAATCGGTGGTTGTGTATCGTGACGCGTCCGATATACCACCTGGGTTGGGTTGCGTTCTTTGTTGGGCCGATATTTGTCGGAGATTGGGATCTTTTCTCCAGCTACCTTTTTAATCAACAAAATTCGCGACATTCGAACGACAATTTTAGAGCAGGTTCACCAAATCATTACTAGTTTTTGAAAGTACTTCCTTACCCAGGACACTAGTCCAGTTTTCTCATAATTTTCTCATAACGATCCATGTAGTGGTGCTCATGACTGATTCTCAGCCGGCAAGAAAATACGTTCCAACCACTCATATGCGCGCTGCCCAAGGCCCGGCTGCGACCTGCCATACATCATGCTCCCAGGCGGCCCAGCCGGGAGCCCAGACAGTGATCCAGCCCCTGTATGTACCTGGGTGTCCCAATCTGAGCGATTCCATTCGAGCTCTTCATTGTCTGACTCAGTATCATGCAGGAGGTTCCATGATGATAGTCTAGAATCGGAGTCTGAATCCGCATGGGAGGGGATCGTTTCTCGTCTTCGCCAAGGACCTTCTAATATAACTGGAGGACGAGTGTCAAATCTGACCCCCTTCCTCGGGACTTTCAGCTTCGCGCTCTTATCCTTTGATTCTGGATTGTTCCGATGCTGACTCGGTGACGGTTTCCTGCTCCGAGGTTGTGCGGAAGGCGGGACGTCAGCAAGTATCTCTTTCGCCTGGGGCTTGGTATATTCCCATGATTCGTCGACATAGAAATCCAACGTTTCCTGCAGAAGCTCTCCTTCGATATAAAGGCAGTCGTCCTTCACATGGAACGGTTGCTTGTATGCTAGCAAGACTTCAGGACGAATCAGATCTTTGTCCATCCTGACCCATCCGCACCCGTCCGGTGTTCTCATAAAACACTTGGTGTGAGCATATAGCTCTCCATTCCATACGCGGTGTTGACGTGGTGGTGATCGGATGGATGGACGATGTCTGGTGTATGAATCAAGACTATGCCGCGCCTCAGAGCGAACAGACGACCGCTCGGCATTAGATGGACTATCTTCTTCGAGCCATAGCTTAATCAACGGAATCGAATCTCTGCTGCGAGAACGGGTTACTCGACTCCTTCGTGTCGATAAATCACGGCCTGGCATTCTAGACGATGACCGGGACGTTACCCTCGTGGTCCACGTTGCTGGCCCAACCTCAGATTCACTGGAACTTTCAGATAGACCCAACTCAGACATGGCTCCTGGGGTCGATGCCTTGGCACCACTTAGGGGAGATCCTGGTAGCGACGTCTGCTGTACACTCTGCAGCCAGGGATGGCGCAAAGCTTCTTCCGCAGTACCCCGATCCCGCGCCATTGCTGCCATGATGCATTTCAAAAAGGAAGTTGCATCTTGACTGATCTGACTGTGACCTGCGCAGAGCATTTCCATGCTCGAGTCGCCTCTGGCATATTTCAGAAGGTCATTATTTCGTGGAAAAGGTAATTTCCCAGTCAAGATGTAGAATGTGGTCACTCCAAGTGACCAAAGGTCTACTGTAAATGTATAACCGCACTCATCATCCCCGTCGACCTCAAGCATCTGTTCGAGAATTTCCGGTGCAATATACCCCGGCGTACCGTTGATTGTCTTTAGCACGGTCGTGCCTCGCTCGACACGCTTGCTGAGTCCAAAGTCGCCGATTTTCACCCACCAATTTGGGCCTCTAGTGACGACAAATAAGTTCTGGCAGATGTCAGTCACAGTGCAATCCCAACAAAAGTATACTCGTCTGTCCTCACCTTTGGCTTCAAATCCCGATGTGCAAATCCATTGTCATGCATGCACTCAAGACCCTCCAGAATCTGGCACACTATCTGCTTAGCCTCCTCTTCCGCCAATGGCTGGTTGAGGTACTGCTGGAGATCCCCGTGTCTGATGTATTCCATAGCAATGAAAACCGATTCCGGGCTCTCAAACCAACCAAACGACCGAACAAAGAAGTCATCATACTAAATCGCGTTAGCACCATCTCGCTCTGCAATCCATCAAGGATATTCAACGGCCGTACCCGAGTATGCGAGAATTTAGCAATCGCCTCTAACTCCCGATTATATTCCTCCTCTTGAAACCCCACAGTTTCCTTCCTAATCTCCTTCACAGCTCGCAGCCTGCCAATCCTCCCTGCTACGCACTCCTCCAACCAAACAACCCCAAACGATCCGTGTCCCAAGCGCTTGGACTTGGTCCATCGTTCTTCCTGTCTTTGCCGCCGGGAGCGCCGCTTGCCTGGCACAAGTGTCGACCCGAAAAACGTATGCGTTGTACACTCGGAAGTGAACTCGGTGGAAAGCTTGGAGTCTCGCACGAGATCGGAGATACGGGACATGCGGGGCACGGGCGTGAGCGTGGGTTGCGGATGCGATATTGTCATGTACCCGACGCCGACGGCCATAGACTACCGAATCCAGTGTATACGGGTGTCATGGGATTTCAATCGGAATATACTGGACATGAGAACATGGCACTGCGTAATGGAGAGTTCTATCTCCAACCTAGCTGCTGCAGATGGCACTCAGCCGTATCGGGGCCCTGCAAGAACATGCGTATCTTGGCGGCCCCAATTGGCCAACGCACACGGCGAAGAGACCTGCATGTGCATGCGTACTATGAACAATTGGGGACTCACATTGAATTTCCCAGCAGTCAAGGGCGACGAGGTATGCTTTGAAAGAATGGGAGGATCAGCCTCTCGAGTCTCGCGGATGTATTCGAGATTTAAAAGTTTCGGTAACTGTCACTCGTACCGTGGATCGCTCTACCCCGGATTATCCCCGCAAAGGATAAATGGGTCGACCCTGCTCTCCTATCAATCCAATCTACTGTCAACATTGTGACAGGCACCTCCAATAAATCGAAAATCAGTCCAACTAAGGTTGATTTCCGTTAAATAGTCTTCGTTATACCACCGCCCTTCCCAGCCGCGTCTTTTACACCATTGACCGGCTATGGCTTCCAATATAGGGTCCTCAAAGCCGAGAGTCGCATCGCATACGCTCAAACGATTTCGATGTGGACACTGTGATTGGCGGTTTGCTCGACTAGAACACCTGCAAAGACACGAGAGAACACGTAGGTTCCTACATCCAAATAACCGTGTTGCGCACTGACGCAGGTAGATACGCACGAGAAGCCCTTCGGCTGCTCTCAATGCGCTCGTGAGTTCTCTAGAGGGTATATATACTGGGGTCGCAAAGTCATGGGCAGTGCTAATACATTGGAGTGACCTGCTGGTCCGCCATGAGAGACTCAGTCATCCTGGATCAGAAGAGAACGGTGAAAGATATACTCGCCCAGCCAAGCGCTCGCGACACTCTATAAACACTGGAACATGGACGCAGAATAATCAAGCGGCAGAGCAAAATACCGATGACTGTGATCCAGAGCGTTCGGCTAGTGTTGGTGCATCAGTCACAGAGATTGAGAATGGTGATCAGTCTTCTAGATCGGTTTATGACGGCTCAAGCAGAACCAATGGGACCACTCAAGAACAGATGAGCAATGTATCGCAGCCTTTGTATCAAGGTTATCTCAATACGCAACAGTTTGATGACACTGACGGCCTCTGTGCTGATTTCTCCACTCAGTTTGAAAGTCTGCTGAGCGATTCATTTCAAGATCTGGCAGCCTTCATGGATAATCATACTCCATTCACAGAGGACTTCGCTTCATTCATATCGCCCCCACAAGAATTCGCTCCGCCAGACCCCTATCACAATTCTGGCTCCAACCGGTTTTTGGGAGTAGAATTGAAGGCGGATGAGGCGGACTCATTCTCAAGAATGGGGTCACGATTACCCTCCCTGCAACCAGAAGAGGACATACCACAAGCTCCTCAGATTGATCGGGCCCCAAATCTCTTTGAAGGAGTTAGCACGAAGACTCGCGACATTTTCGTTGCTAAGGTAGAAGAATTTGCATCAGTCGTGCCTGAAGTGTTCCAACTGCCCTCTAGGCTAGCTTTATCTAGATATCTCACAGCCTATGTCAAGGGCTTTCATGAGCACATGCCGTTTCTTCATATCCCCACAATTTTGGGGGAAACATGCGCCATTGAACTGATACTGGCCATTGCTTCGATCGGGGCACAGTATTGCTTCGAACCCGAGAAGACAGTCCAGCTGTTCCACATAAGTCATGCTATTGCGAGGGAGCGCATAAGGAGACAAGACGCTCTCGTAATATCGTCAAATAGCGCTGGCCTTGATCAGCTGCCCACAGAGTGCGCCAACAGCGAGACCAACGGCCACTCTGCCCAATCTGAGCAGGATACGATACAGACCGCTCAAGCCCTCTTACTACTCATGGCTGAGGCAACTTGGTCGAAGCATCCGACAATTTTGCGTGAAGCTCTCGCTATTCAGAGTATTCTGGCAACCCTCGTCCGTGACGATGGCCTCAGAAGCCCAGCCCTATCAGAAAATGCCACTTGGGAGACTTGGGCGGCATACGAGAGCACCATAAGAACGAAATGGATAGTGTTCTGCTTCTTTAACTTGCACACCATAGTCTACAACATCACTTCTCCTATTCTGAGTTCTGACATGGATGGCATGCTATTGCCCTGCCGTGTTTCAACATTCCGAGCAACAAACGAAGAAAAATGGCAAGATCTGATAACCAAAGAGCACCCCATTTGGTTCAAAGATGCATTCTCTCTCTTATTCCGGGACGACTTCAACACAACTCGCATAAAACCAAATTCCACTCTGGCCAACTACATCCTCGCCCACGCCTTGATCCAGCACATCTACCTCATCCGCGAAGTCACCCGCCATCGCCACAAAGACATCCCTGAAAACGACATCGCCTCCATCGAGCATGCGCTAAGGAACTGGAAATCCATGTGGAAACACACTCCATATTCCAGTATCGACCCTTCAAACCCCGCAGGCCCAGTCTCCTTCAACTCAACTGCCCTCCTCCGCCTAGCATATATCCGTCTCAAGTCTCAACGCAGACATAGGCCCAGGCCGCGCTCTGCACACGCGAGATCCAACACAGATATCAAACGCATTTCTCAACGCGCAGATAATCTCGCGCACACCCAGGCTTTTGCGCGCCGTCTTGCATGCGGCGCATGCTTTGAGCATCCCCATTCGTATTGGAGTTCATCTTGTTGCGCAGACGCAGACTTTCAGATGGTCGATTCAGCATTCCCTAGCCACGCTCGAATGTGCTTTCTTGTTAAGTAAATGGCTTGAAGCGTTGTCATCGCCCGAGGCGATTCTGAGTGTCACTTCCGGCGAGCATAAGATGGTCATGCTGGTGAAGACAATGTTGGATGAAACGGACTTTGCGGTTCCTGCGACTTTCTCCGTCGCTTCCCCGTCTGGCATGAAATTGTTGTCTGCTAATGTCTTGCGGGTATGGGCAAAGGTTTTCCATGGACCTGCTCAGGTTTGGGCTATAGTTGACGTTGTGCGAGTCTCGCTGAAGTTGTGTGCGGATTTGGTTGAGAACACCTAGAACAGCTTGTATCTACTATTTTATTGCCTATCTACATTCCGGTTCCCTCATCCCACATACTGTCTACACCCCCAACATGCAGGTGACAGATTCCTTCAAACCTGAGCCTTACCCCCCAATTCCCTCTCCATCTCACCATTCTCCGCCATCTCATTCAAAGTCCTCTCCGCAATCTTCATAGCATCAACCCCAGCCGGAACCCCACAGTACGTAGTAGCATGCAGAATAGCTTCCCGAATCTCAACCTCGCTCAGACCGTTATTACGAGCGCCCCGTATGTGGACCGCCAGCTCCGGTGCGCGGTTGAGAGCCATCAACATGCCGATGTTGAGTAGGCTGCGGTCACGGCGCTCGAGTCCAAGCCGTGTCCATGCGTACCCCCAGCACCATTCGGTGACGAGTTCTTGGCCGGCACGGGAGAAGTCGGTGGATCCGTTTTCCAGGGCTCGGTCGACGTATGTGTCGCCGACGACTTCTCGGCGGACTTTGAGGCCTTCTTCGAAGAGGGTTTTGTGGAGGGAGGTGAGGGTTGGGTCTGTTGGCATTTTGGTTGGTTGTGACTGTGAGAGGAGAGACTTGTGGTTGGAATGTTCAATGTGGTTCCTGGCTGAAGGGAAAGGACGAGATGATAGAAGGAGTTTGAAGGGACACAAATGTATTCTATAGCTGCGTGATCGGGGTAATTGACGGGATATCTAATGTGTTAGTCGTCTCATAGTCCCTTGGGCTGTTTATAGACCCCGCACGTCTTGCCCTTCCCCAATATTGGGGAAACGGGGAAGAAGTCTCACTATCTACACACATTAGGATGATTCACCCAGTAAGTATTGTTTCGTTAGTACAGATCCGCATTGGAGTCGTGCATCAGGCTTATGGGTCTGTTTTAGGTGCCTGGTTTCGTGTAATCTTCACAACAACTGTGGAATAGTGGATCGGTCGATCTGAATAAGAGCTTCATGGTGAACATGAAAGAATACGAGATACAACCGCTACAAAGTATCCACTGTACCCTCAGACCAAGTTGAAGTACTTGAAACTGGGCCCACGATCTGTCGAAGCCCACAGCTCCGGTATATCAGACTCTCCCCCTTCACCTATCTTAATTCTGGCATCATCCTTCCAATTCTCCCTCCGAAGCAGTCTGGGCGTCCATTTGCTCGATCTCCCAGTCGTTAGCGGCTGCAATCGCAAAGAGCATCTTGTATGTCATTGGCTTGGCGACTGAAGCAAAGGTCTCGTCAAAGTCGACTCCTTCGATCTGTTCGAAACCTCTTACCACCCAACGACACTTGAACGTGACGATCTCGCAGTGTGGGCCGAGCTTGTGCTTTAACACCCACTCCCCGTCCAGGACATGCATAGTCTTCGTTCTTGGGACCAGCTCCCAGGTCTTGTTGTCTTCAAGGGATTGGAGGTCGCGCTTGACTGCAGGCAGCCAGTCGCTCCAGCGTGGAGACCATCTTGCGTCGTCCAGATTCTTTGGTTCTGGTGGAACTAGGCGGGCCTTGTTCTGTGGATGGGGCTCGTGGAGGAGATATTCTTCGTCGGTGGGGAGGATACCCGCGTCAGAAGCCAGGAGGCAGATCAATGGTCTTAGGGTCGATTCATGTGTGTTCCCGAGAAGCCCGAAGCGCTTTGGGGGCTGCCCTTCGCCTTTTCGAGGCGAGAATCTTGCGTCTACTTCTTTCATCCATGGGTAGCCCAGGATCATTTCGTCAATCTGGTCTTCGATGATCCAAGCAAACACTCGTCTTTGTTTGTATGAGTGGACATCGAGATCGAAATACGTCATCGCACGAATTCGGCCTTGATCTTTGATAACGCCATCAAGGATACGTGGTCTAACACGGATGCGCGGGAGTTTCAGCGAATCGACAAGTGTGCCATTTACGGCAGCATAGCAAGTACAACCAGAATCAACGAGTGCTTTAGCAAATTGAATTCCATTAACTAAGGCTTCTGCGTAGAACGGGCTCTCTTCTTGTTTCAACAGCTTCTCTTCTCCCTCCAGCTCCTGCTCGCGACTGAGGGCAGGAGCTACTCGTTTTCCGACTCCTCCTCGTCCTCCGACGACACATCTTCTACAGTAGCCGTTCGCACTTGCGTGCGTTCCTTGCTCGTGGTGGCGGTAGTCACCCGAGGCCGTGTGGCGTCAGTGGGGCGCTTGGCGGCAGCAAGGGGACAACGATTGATCCAGGATCCATCTCGTCCGCGGCGGAGGCAGCGTCCTTCTCTCTTTCGGGCCTCCAGCTCTCCACTCGTGACCCACTTGGCACGCTTCCCAATCAGTGCCTGGTCCTCAGGGCGGGAGGATGGGTTGCCTCCTGAGTTCCTCACCGCGGCGATCCTGGTGGCCGAGGGGGCGTCGGGTCCCACTCCATCATGTCCCCATCGGGTTGGGACTTCCTTGTACGTGGTGTGGTGCGTTTCGCCAAGTCACGCATGTCGAGATCGGTGCTGATCTCGTGCAACCGGCGAATGACCGCCTGAAAGGAGCTCGGCACGCCTCGGTTGCAAAGGGCGTCGAGCATGGTGCTGTTCAGTGCACCAAGCAGAATCTGCCGTTTCGCCTCGTCGTTCCAATCCAGGGCTCCGGCGTCGGCAAACTCACGCTCTAGCTGGGGAAGGAACTTGGCAAAGGCCTGTTCGTCACGCTGCTTGATGTTGTGCAGCCGTCGGGCGGCCCGTGCCCGAAGGTTCGGGTCGCCGTAGATCTCCTCCAGGCGATCGAGGAGCGTGTCTGGAGAGGCATTCCGCTCCAGGAGGTGCGTGGTAACGCTGGCCAAATTCTTGGCCGCCACGGAACAAGATTTCCCTCGATGGAGATGCGACCGGTGGAAACAGGGATTCAATACGGTAAGGCGGTTTGCAATTTACGTTAAACTTGAGGAAAAGTAAATACATCGGGGGATCTTGTGTTGAGTTGAAGGCTACGGCACGTGACCGGCACGGAAGAACCACTCTTCCGTGCACTGGCCAAAACACTCTCTCTAGCCCCCTGACGGCTTCTAGTCAATCAATCCATCCAATACACAAGATATATCCTGAATCCTACATCTGTAGAATCAACATCTTGCGCTCTTGTAGCCTTTTTGTGGGTCATGTGATCCACGGCCTTGGCAGTGGTCCTGAGCGGGCTCTGGCCCGTGACAATATCATCATGTTAGCAATCCAGGCTTTGTTACATTGCTCATAGTTATTGCCTCATACAGGGCTCATTCTTTGCATGCCTTCAGCATTACTATACTGTTTCTAAAGTCCCACTGTATTCCCGGCTGGCCAAAAGGATGCAGTGAGAATTAGCCCACGTATTCAAGTGCCTGTCCCTGTATGGATGAAATACACTATTTTCCACCATTTCTCAAGATTTCTGTCCCAAATGCCAGCATCCAACGCGCCTAGAAGAATATGACGACAGTTTTATGGATCATGAGTTTCGATCGCTTCAAAGGGGATACTTGAAGCTGCGCCTAAAATCGGGCAATGCCCACTTAACCATCCACTCCGACTTTAGTAGCACTTCAGCAGTCGGTCGTTCCTCAGGTCTGAATGACAGCATCTGGCGCATTAAATCCAGAAAAGCAGTTTTCTCGTTTCCTTCAATCCCCTTTCCATCCCGACGCCTCCATTTCTGCACACCGATCTCAAATGACTCTTCAAGAGTAGGCCATCTATTTCCCTGTGAGACTCTGTTGGACACCCATACTCATCGAAGAATCGAGACCGTCCTTCCCAGTTCTGCCACCAATCGGAAGGCATAGGGCCCAGTACATCTACATGCTGAGACACTATCTCATCCTCATGCACAAAATCGGTGCTAAAAATTGCCTTCATTCCAATGATCTCCCAGATTGCCGTAGCGAGACTCCAGATATCTGAGGGATATCCGAGCGGGTTCTGTGATTCGAATTTGGCTTCTGGAGCTCGGAACGCGGGTGGAGTATGGCAGTCTCGTCCTAGACGAGTTTCCGTGGCTGGAGAAAAAGCCTCACCAAAGTCGCTTAGAAGGACGTGCGCGTCGGATAATGAGAACTTCTCCGCATATTTGCCTAGGAACAAGGGCAAAAAGGCCTTGGTCGGAGCATTAGGGGGCAATGGCTCACCGTCACATCGAGTAACAGGTACTGCCTCAGGTTCGCCATATTTTTCATATAGTTGCTTGATAGAAAGCTCGTCGAAACTTGATGGAAGCTTGATCAAAATGTTGCTCAAATGAATATCTAGATGAAAGATATTTCTTATCAGTTACTTGTACGAAATTGAAACAATCGTCATCGTTATAACATGCCTCCATGAACATAGCCTTGTGAATGTGTATAAGCAACGGCCTGCGCAAGTCCATATGATATTGCTCGACCCACTTCGAGGGGGAAAAGGCGGCTAAAAGATATCTCTCTCAAGTTACATTGTGCAGGGGCCATTGTGTAGCACGTATGCTCTCCATTGGGCCCTCGCACTTTGAACTCATCTAGGAAAACAGATATTAAACCGCGCCCAGGGTGTACGGGCGAAGACCCAGAGAGTGGAGCAGATAGAGCCTTGAGAATCTTTGCCTCGCGCCGAAGAGAGTTTGCTGTGTTGATCTTGACAGCAACATATGGCTGTAGACGAGTGTCCCGGGCAAGCCAACCCGTCGAATAGCCTCCAAAACCAAGCTTGTCTACAATGTGATATCGGTCTTGTAGGACGTCCCCGACCATAACGGGATGATAACCTCCAGGCCGGTATTCATCAAGTGACTCCACGCCCTTAACCCAGTTGTACTCGATGCGATGGTATTCGGCCATTGTGGAGCCCAGGCGTCCAAAGGGGCTCAGGTCGACCTTTTGCCCTTTTGGTCGTTGCGGAAGGGATTGGAAAAATGGGACAGGATGCCGAGATTGCGCCGGTGATACAGAAAAGCGGAGGGGGTTGGCAAGTATATTCAAGCAGCGTGTCATAATAGTCTGAGAGCTGAACTGGATCCTACATAGTATTTCGCGGGCTCACGTACTTAGTGTATTAGTCATAACAGAACAAAAACAATTATTAACTATCGCCATAGTATTTCGCGGGCATTTTCCTCAACCTCCTCCATTTCGCATCTAAGGTCCGTAATCTGCTAGATAGCAGCTGATATCATGTGATATGTTTATTTAAATAATCCTTCCATCATCAAATTCCCCAAAACCAATCGCTATGTCTCAAAACCCCGCCTGTCCATCACCCCCCGAACTTCTGGCAGCGTGAAGCGACCAGCCCTAAGAGCGTGCACTTGGACATAAGTCTCGTTTTCGGCTGGGTTTATTGTCATGATGTATTCGGCAATTAAAAAGAACTATGGCAGAACAGGGTACAATGGAAGCACGTTATCTAGTACGGCTCTGGCGGCTTCTTTGACCTGGTCACCTGGGTGGGGAAATGAAGAAGTTGGGGATAGATCTGGGTATACCCCAATATTGGGGTAAACGAAAGCAGATCATACACAGCGTGTAAGGATTATAGTCTTGCAAGAGTTCCCAGAGTAGGGTACACTCTAACTATTTGATTGTACATTTCATAATTCTCTTCCTCTTTGTGTTCCTTCGTCTTCGTGGCGTCTCCTCCTCTCCACGCAACACTCGCAGGATTCCGAAAAATGACGGCCGACAAAGCAAAGCGTATTGGCTTTATTGGCCTTGAAAACATGGGCCTCTGGATGGCAACCAACTTGGCCGAAAAACTGCCGGTCAATTCGAAGCTTTACGTCTTCGATATTGTCACAGCTCTCATGCATGATGTTTGTGCGAAGTATCCAGAGAAGGCCCTGGCATGCTCTGGCCCAAAGGACGTTGCAGAGAAATCGGTCTGCATCCCGAAATCAACCTGATTGCTGGTCTTCAAACTTCAATGCACTAAATCCTATTCTAATTCTAGGACATCATCATTACCATGCTTCCTGAAGGAAAACATGTCAAGGAAGTTTACATGGGACGGAATGGAATCTGCTCTAGCGACGTCAACAATAAGCTTCTGGTCGATTGCTCTACTATTGACACCGCAAGTTTCCTAGAAGTCAAGGACCACATCACAAAGCACTTCCCTTCTGCCTCAATTTACGATGCCCCCGTCAGTGGCGGTGTGATCGGAGCGAAGAAAGGAACAATCGCGTTCTTCCTCGGCTGCGCCAAAGAAAACACTGAGATCGACAAACTGAAGCAACTATTAGGTCTCATGGGTGAAGAAGTCATCCCATGCGGTTGTCCCTCGCTCGGACTGGCAGCAAAGCTTTCCAACAACTACTTGTCCGGCATCATCGCCATCGCCTGCTCGGAGGCGATGGACATGGGCATGAGATCCGGACTGGACCCGCGAGTCCTCTCCCAGGTCTTTGCGGCAGGCACTGCCCAAAACACCATTTGTGATCGGTTCAACCCAGTGCCCGGGGTGTATGCCGATGCGCCGTCTTCGAATGGGTACCAGAATGGATTCAAAGTCCAGCTTATGAAGAAGGACTTCTCGCTGGCTCTGGATATGGCTCGACGCGTGGGGTCGACTAACGTGCTTGGAGATGTTGGACTGGAGACATACAGAGGTGCTAGCGAGGATGAGCGGTGCAGGGATTTGGACTCGCGAATCGTGTTCCGGTACTTGGGTGGGAATGAGAATTGGCAGGTTGAACGCTGAGATCTGTTTCTACCTAGGATGTATCCATATACTCAGACCTTAAGTGCGTCTATAGATATCTACGCCCTTGCGTTTAATTTGATGCAGACCAATACCTTAATCTGAGCTGAGGCTGCTGAGGTCTCATCTTTTGTTGACGGCGACGCCAGTGCTGGCGTTAATCGGATAATTGGCGCAATCAATGGATCCTACCACACTAGAAAATAATATAAAGAAATAAGAGAATATATATGCTGTAAGAAAAAGCCGGTCAAAAACATCTATGGGGGGACTGATCCCGGGTGAGTTAGGGCCTTGTGGCTTTGCTGGATGCTTCACCGAACTTTGGGATAAGTAGAACGAAGGTAGGCTGATACTTGATAATTGGGTGTGATCAGAATTAGATTAATGTTATTTTTGACGAGCTCATGCCATAGTTATTACTTATTCCAAACGAGACATGACAAACGGGATGATGTGGAAGCGTTGAACGCGGAAACGTCACAGGGCGGTCGAGTTTGTCTAGAAACTTTTTATCTTGCGACGCCACGATCTTCAACCACCTCCCACCTCAAAATGGCCGCTCCAGTACCATTAGACCGACTACCCCCCACGACGACTGCTTATGTGGTCGCAACAGCCATTATCGCAGGCGTGACCGGATACTTCCTCGGCCAAGGGTCCACGCTCAACCTTTTCAAAGAGAAAAAAGAAGGATGGCCGAACAGCTACGATGTGAAGGTCCATACACACTCCTCCGACGAAGAGGACGAAGAAGACTCTGAAGAAGAGAGCGACGAAGAAGACGAGGGCAACGGCGAAGAACTGTCCAGTTTCAAGGACAACGACGAGGAGGTGAAGTTGGTGCTGGTCGTCCGCATGGACTTGGGCATGACCAAAGGTATGTGATCTACGTCGCTCCAGCTCTTTCTTGCAATTTCATAGCAAGCGCTTACGGGGTTTCTCTTCCATAGGCAAAATTGCCGCCCAATGTGGCCACGCAACCCTCGCTTGCTACAAATACTTCCTCGAATACGCGCCCAACTCGCCCGTCCTCAAGAGGTGGGAGCGCTACGGTCAAGCCAAGATCGCGCTGCAGGTCAGGTCCGAGGAGGAGCTGCTGGTTATGCAGGCTCAGGCTATGAGCCTTGGGCTTTGCACGCGTGTTATTCAGGATGCTGGGCGCACCCAGATCGCCAGCGGTAGCAAGACTGTGCTGGGAATTTTAGGTCCCAAGAGTGTGGTGGACGGCGTGACGGGACACTTGAAGCTGTTGTAAATTACATACTGCCTTGCATAAATAGAGGTAATGATGATAATGACCTCATCGAAAGAGTTTTGCACAGGATTCATCGCGTCGAGTATGAGATGCGACTGGACATCATTGCTCGTCGCGTTGACGCGTATGTGCGTAATACCGAATGGCTTTACGCAGTAGCTTAGCCCGAGAAGCCCATTTCTGCACTGGCAGAGCTGATAAACCCAAGGATGTCTTCTACGAAAAAATAGGAATTATATTCAAGAGATGTTGGCAGTCATGGTTATTCCCTAACCTCAGTGGCCAACGGCCAGTCGGCAAAGAGACATGAAATATGACGCCGCCCAACACCAAGCAGCCAGGCCGAGCTCACCAGTGGGAGCTCAAGACCTGCGTTCAAGGCGCGGACAATTAATCTGAGATCTGTCGACCGGAAACCGTAAAGGCCATCCACGCAAAAAAAGATGGCTCCAAGCTCGTCGAACTGTTCAGCTCTCAACCACCACGTAGAAACCAGTCAGACTGGAATCTACGGGCAGGAAATCCAAACACAGATCCGTATATAGGTGAAGAAGAAAGGAAGAAGAAAAGGGCGGAAAGGTTCTTATTTATGTGCCAAGTGGGGCCGCTAGGATTTTATGGCGCTAGGCCAAGATTGGTATAGTGGGCGGTGGTATGGTCATGTGATCAGATTGCGATTATCAGGGTAGCAACTGGGAAGTGTTGCGCTGAAGATCATTACCTTCCCATCACCTTAAGTCTTGCTCAACACACCGTCAAAATGGCGGACGCTTTATCTATTGAGCAGAATAACAAGATCCGAGTGGCACTCGGCCTAAAGCCGCTCCCTGTTCCCGGCGCTGGCCCCGAATTCAGAGAAGATGACAGCGAATCAGGCGAGGAGGAAGACCCAGCGAGCACCCTCGAGTCGCGACAGGCGCAAAGCTACGAAAACTGGAAGAAGCTCCAAGATGCCGCCGAAGCGAAGAAGAAGCGGGATGAAAAGAACGCCGCCGTCAAGCGAGCACGCGATATTGCCCAACGGAACCTTCAACTCCAAGGCGCCACACTGGGCGAGGCGGGAGGCGACGAATTAGATACGAAGGCCTGGCTATCACAAGCTAAAAAGCGACAAAGGAAGATCGAGAAGGAACGCGCCCTCAGGACAGCCGAGGAACTCGCAGAACGGGAGCGTGCCGCAGCGATCGAATACACTGCTGCTGATTTGGCCGGTATCAAAGTCGGACACTCTGCCGCTGATTTTGACGATGAAGATCAGATTTTAACACTGAAGGATACCGCGGTGGACGCCGAGGATGAAGATGACGAGCTGGAGAATATCGAGATGGCCGAGAGGGAAAAAACCCAAGAAAAGCTGGAGCTCAAGAAAAAGAAGCCCGTTTATGATCCTACCGCGGAAAACCAGGGGATCCTTTCTCAATACGACGAGGAGATCGATGGCAAAAAGCGAAAGAGATTTACGCTTGATGCGCAAGGCTCGACCGAGGAACGCGAAGCCAAGCGACAGGAAGTCTCCAACCAGCTGAAGAAGAACATTATCAGTCTCGACATCGAACCAGATGTGCCATCATCTGATTACATGGACATCAGTGAAGTTAAGATTAAAAAGCCTAAGAAGAAGAAGGCGAAGGCTACGAAGCGGAGGACTTTGATGGACGCGGATGACATCGCTCCAAACGAGGACTCTATCGATGCACAAGGATCATCGGCCATGGAGATTGATTCAAAGGCAGGGGTTCCGGTTCCTGGACGCCGTAAACCTGCCAACGAAGAGATCTCCTTCGTTGACGACGATGACCTACAGGCCTCTCTTGCGTTACAACGACGCGCAGCCTTTAAGAAGCGTAAGAAGCTCAGCCCCGAGGAACTTGCCAAGCAGCTGAGAGAAGAGGAATCCCAAACCCCAATGGAGATTGAAAACTCGGAGAATGAGGATCAGGGAGAGGGTCTGGTCATTGATGAGACGTCTGAATTTGTGTCGAATCTACACAAGCCTACGCTTCTTGAGCAGGAGGAACGATCAGCATCAGTCGCCGCTAAGGAGCATAAAGCCCCTACAGCAGAGCCTGAGGAAGAGGGTGTTGAGGTCGACATGGACCGTTACGGCGACGTTGAAGATGAAGAGGAGCTGGCTGCGCGCATCAAGCGTGATGAAGCAGTCGAAGCTCAGGCTCAAGCACAACATCTCACGGGCACCGGTCTAGAAGAAGAATCTACTCTGAACCAAGGTCTTGGGGCCACACTGGCAATGCTGAAGTCCCGCGGCCTCGTCAAAGACACAGACAGTGCCAAACAGCACGCACTCATGCGCGAGCGCGAAGAGTTCTTGGCCGAAAAAGCACACCGCGAGGCTGAGATCGAGCGACGCGCCCGGTTGCAGCGTGAGCGGGACCGTACCTCCGGAAAGCTCGAGCGCATGTCAGCCCGGGAACGGGAGGAGCACGCCCGCTGGGAGAACAAGCAGCGTGACCAACAGGAGGCGCGTCATATGGCCGAAGTGTTCAACCGCGAATACAAGCCCGATGTGCGACTGCGCTATGTGGATGAGTTTGGTCGCAACATGAACCAGAAGGAAGCCTTCAAGCAACTCAGTCACCAGTTCCATGGCAAGGGCAGTGGAAAGATGAAGACGGAGAAACGTCTCAAGAAGATTGAGGAAGAGAGGAAGCGTGAGGCCATGAGCAGCGTCGACAGTAGCCAGCACACTGGTATGAACAATGTCGTGGGTGATGCTGCGCGCAAGAACCGCCAGGCTGGTGTGCGCTTGGGCTGATCATTCTATCTTGTCTTCATTCTCCTGTAAACCAAATACCAATTGCATGATATCCAAACTTGAGGTCTATAGTATTCTAGGACTAGAGGCGTCTTAACCTAGCTTGTATGTATTGACGTTATTGTACTCCGTAAGTTAGTACTGCGGAGTTACGGTGTAGGTCTTGTTGATCAGGAACGCTTCTGTATCTCCGCATGTGGGGAGAAGTTTATTTTCTTCATCCCCAATTTAACCGAAGTTACTGTGTACTGTGTACTGTATTGCAGCTGTGAAGCACTATTTGAAGCAATTAGGTACCCATAATACCGTCAAACTTTACGAATGATGGGGAAATAGGAGAAGGCAGTTGTACCCCAACTCCGTGAGGGGAAAATATGTGGAGTCAGACAGCCTCGATCAGTTCACCGGGGGATTCGACTCCCCCGGAGCAATTGCAGATCGGGAGATACATCTGCTCCGTACATCTTCATCGACAAGGGGTAGACTTCAATAAGGGTTGTACGTACTGAATATATCGACATTATCTCACGTCACATTCCAGGGTGAATTCTGTAGAATATCAATCTGTCGAGCCAGTGATCAAAACATATGAAGGTGCATAACTAGGAGCAGATGAGGTGGTACTTTGTTCATGAGCAATTTAGCCGTGCGACTCGGGTGTTCGTTGTACCTGGTACCTCGGTCGGGGTGGAGTCGCCTACCAACTGGCAGGTACCCGATACCGCTATCACATGAGTCAGGGCAAAAACACCGGGACTGGGTCTCCGATCCTTGAACCTTTATTATTTCTTTCTCCGGCCTTTCCCTTTCCCCCTTCCATCCCAATATCGGAGGTCTAGCTTCTTTGTCAATTCTCGTCCATCTCCTCTGCCATACACAATGCTCTCCACTCTCAGAGTCGCCAGCCGGTCGGCTGCCTCCCGTGAGGCCAGCATGCGCACTGTCGTGATCGGAGCTAGACACGCCTCGGCCTGGTCCAACGTGCCCCAGGGTCCTCCTGTAAGCTTCGTTGAAAGCTTGCGATCATCGCATTGATTAGAGGGCCAATTCTGACGTAGCTGGGTCAATAGGACGCTATTCTCGGCATCACCGAAGCTTTCAAGGCCGACTCCTTCAAGGAGAAGATCAACCTGGGTGTTGGAGCTTACCGTAAGTATTGCTCCCATACAATCAACTTGCTGCGCAATGATTTCGATTGCTAACGAGACATGCGCGTTTCTCAGGTGACGACCAGGGCAAGCCTTACGTCCTGCCTTCCGTCCGCACCGCTGAGGACAAGGTGGTCGGATCACAGCTCGACAAGGAGTACGCTGGCATCACCGGCGTTCCCTCTTTCACCACCGCCGCCGCCGAGCTCGCCTACGGCGCTGACTCCTCCGCCATCAAGGAGAACCGTCTCGTCATCACCCAGACCATCTCCGGTACCGGTGCCCTTCGTATCGGCGGTGCTTTCCTCAAGCGCTTCTACCCCGGCGCTAAGAAGATCTACCTCCCCAACCCCAGCTGGGCCAACCACAAGGCTGTCTTCTCCGACTCCGGTCTCGAGGTCGCTCAGTACAGCTACTACAACAAGGAGACCATTGGCCTCGACTTCGAGGGCCTGATCGCCGACATCAAGGCCGCCCCCGAGGGCAGCATCATCCTGCTCCATGCCTGCGCTCACAACCCCACCGGTGTCGACCCTACCGAGGCCCAGTGGCGCCAGATCAGCGATGTCATGAAGGAGAAGAACCACTTCGCCTTCTTCGACATGGCCTACCAGGGCTTTGCCAGTGGTAACGCTGACAAGGATGCCTTCGCTCCCCGCCACTTCGTCAAGGAGGGTCACAACATTGCTCTGTGCCAGAGTTTCGCCAAGAACATGGGTCTCTACGGTGAGCGTGTCGGTGCCTTCTCCCTCGTTTGCGAGAATGCCGAGGAGAAGAAGCGCGTCGACTCGCAGGTCAAGATCCTCATTCGTCCCTTCTACTCCAACCCTCCCATCCACGGTGCCCGTGTTGCCTCCACCATCATGAACGACCCTAAGCTTAACCAGCAGTGGCTCGGTGAGGTTAAGGGTATGGCTGACCGCATTATTGAGATGCGCTCTCTCCTCCGCACCAACCTCGAGAAGCTTGGCAGCAAGCACGATTGGTCCCACATCACTAGCCAGATTGGCATGTTCGCCTACACTGGCCTGAAGCCCGAGCAGATGGATGTCCTTGCCAAGGAGGTAAGTCAATGTCGAATTTCAGTGTACTTTCCCAGGGCCGTTTTGCTAACAATTATTCTAGCACTCCGTCTACGCCACCAAGGACGGCCGTATCTCCGTTGCCGGTATCACCTCCGCCAACGTTGAGAGACTCGCCGAGTCCATCTTCAAGGTTACTGGTTAAATTCAAAATCGCCTATATAACCTAGAAGGTATAGTTTTGCAAGATATACGATAAAACGAATGCTGGGAAGTGAGAGAAACGGGGCCTGTTGGTGCTTTGAAATCCAGGCACTCCTGTACTGATATCTAATGTCTCTGTTTCAAATTTAGCATGATCAGGCTATGTCCGTCTTAACGGGGATCTTGGTATCATCTTTTGACCTATCTCTATTCCTCTCTGGCCTACGTAACTCATTGCCGTCGTATTCCTCACTCATCTACATTCGTACCAGTCCACCTCCCAATCTTCTCCCAGATCTCCTCCCTCGCAACCATCTGCACCCACCAATTACCATACCCATCCTTCCCCGTAACAGCCACCAGATTCCGCATTGCACGCTTATCCAATCCCCCCGGCGTAGCAGCATTGACATAAGAAGGCCGACAAGGACTCCCATCCCCACCAACCCTCGCACCCCCAAAATCAACATCAAAGAACCCACCCCTCCCCCAATTCGTACAGAGAATACTCAACTGCCCCGGCTGACCAACCATAGGCAGATGTCCCGTCTTCCTTAGCGTCTCCTTCCCCAACGCCGAAGAAGCAAAAACCTGCTCCTTCGTACGCTGTAATTCCAACGCCCTCCTGATCTTCATCGCAACAGACCCCAACCGACAATCCGACAGTGGATTCGCTCCAGCAGATCCAAATTCCCCCGCTTCAAAAGCCGCAGACGCACCAAGCGTCGCGTTACCAATATACACACCGGGCGAGGGCAGCGCCAGCGCAGACCGAATATCGAAAACATTAGCTATATTCACCGGGCATTGTGGGCTGGGATTATGTGCTGGAATGAGCATTGTCGCCAGCCAAGCGAGGAGGACATCGCTTTCGCTAACGAATGGTCGTGGCCCCTCGCCACCGGTGTCCAATTCCCGCATCGTCTGCTCCCGCAACCTCCGCACGACCTCAGCGGGGATAACGAGCCCTTTATCCTGGAGAACAGGGAACCGGAATTCCTCCCACCACTTCCATATCGCAGCCACGCCGAGCTGGAACCAGCCGAAGACATTTCCTGCTAGCGCGTGTTGCGAAGCGGGACGGTCTTCAGTGTGTTTCTCGAGGATATCCTCGTCGAAGCCGAGAAAGGGTGGGACTTCTTCTTTACCGGATAGTACCGCTGTCCACGCCTTGATCAATCCCGATAAGCCCATTGCGTCTGTCAGCGTGTGCTGGAATGTTACGCCGAGGAGCGTTGCGTCGTTGAAGAGAAGTGTATGGATGAATAGCTGCGGGATATCGTTTTCCAGATAGTCTTGTAGACAGCTTGGTGCCGTCTCGTGGCGGAAGAGGGAGTTGTATTTTGACATGCAGTCTATGACGTGGACTTTGGGGTTCTGTGTGTCTGCTTCTTTGATTGCGGGCATTTGGGAGGCTAGAGGGTGGGTGGTGATGTTCTGGTCTTGGTGTTCGGTTGTGAATATGAAGCCTGGTCGGTCTGAGGTGAATTTGGGGGGTAGGTGGTAGGTTAGCTTGCCTGAGCTCTGTTTGGTATTTACTGGTTAGATCGAGGAACTTCTTTCGGTTAAGGAGGGAGGGGGAGAGCTTACATCCATTCGTAGGCGGGACCCGAGTTTCCGCCAGTTGCCTAGCTCGAGGAGGCGGCTTAAAGAGTTGCGAAGTCGCTCTGGGTCGAGTTGTTCGTCGAGGCGGAAGCCGACTGTTAAGCATATTGCTTTTACATGGGGGAGGTCGTCCCAGAAGTGGAATGGGATGATTGTGTCTGTGTCTGGGGATGTTGGCTCAGATGGAGGGCCGCTTGTTGGACTCATTGTGGAAGCCTCGGTGCTTCGACGGAGAATTAAGTCCAGGAGGATGCTGGTAGACTACTAGGTTTGGATTGGAAAGACCCTGAAGGATGGAGCATTTTTAGGTAGGGGAGAGTGTATTCCAAGTGGATTGCATGCAGTGAGGGAGGCACGTCTAGTCCCCGCGATGGATGCCTACTGATGCTGACGATAGATACCGGAATAGGAACGGAGGGTTGGCCGTTTTATATTCAAGGATGGACTGGTCAGTATGTTCAGTTAGAAATCAAGGGCTCTGCACAGCCCTGGCATGACAAGCCCGTAAGCCCTAGTTTACCCTCCGAACTGTCGGGTGGGGTCGTCTTTCTAAATCGGGGACTATATACAGAGCCTGAACATGGGCATTGATAGAGGGAGAATAGACCCAACATCCTGTCTGGTTAAGGAAGAAAGAGAGTCCTTATTGCATAGTGGACATTCGAGAGGATATCAAACTTCTGTCCCATAGCTGAAAACCTATTGTACAAAGAAAAAAAAAAACGACCCGCTCCATGCAAAAGTCAAAAACAGAAAAAGAGGACGCTACCTGCCAACCGATCACCGTCCGAAGAAGCTGCCCTTTGAAAGACGCCCAAGACATTTGGACGCAGCAATCCTCAAAATCAGCATTCAGTCCAAGCATCTATTCCACCGGAAAGAGAACAATCACAGCTCGTTTCGTTGATCAGAGATGCTCTTCTCAGTGTAGTATCCCGGATCAGGCTTGCGTTCAAGATGCACCTCCTGCTTTGTAAGACTGTACTGGCACTCCTCGACCTGAACGAGTTCCTTGACTTTCATGATTTGACCCGCGACGGAGGGCGAGACTCTGTGGAAAACTGTTGCCATGCGCTTCTTCAGGCCAAGAGCTTTGAGGACATCTGTTGACCGGCGCGGCAGTCCAATTGCGGAGCGCAGGAGGGTGATGCGGAAGTAGGACATGTTGGCTTCGTGTGTGGGAGAAAAGGAGAGTTGAGACAGTGGGATTTCGGGATGTTTGGTGCTTCGATGACTTGTAGATTCTTCCGGGGCCGTGGAACGGGATGCGGAATTGGTAGGATCGAGGGCGGTAAGATTGCAGGAATACCGGAATATCGATTGAAGGAAATTCCTGCTGGTATCTGCAGCACAATTGATTCTGAAAGCTGGCGGAGAAATGTCGCGGGACTTGGAGATGTTCGCGATCCCGCAAATTCAATTGAAGGGCGGTGTGTCACGTGCCCATTCTGCCAGTATCCGATGACAGTAACGACGACTTATCGAGCGGCATTCAGATAGATGATAAAAAGCGTGCTGTTTTTCGAGTCGGAGACTATGGGCTGCGGGCTTCTACGCGTGACAGTACCTGGACTCATATCATAGCTTTTCTGCCACGTACCAACCTCCAGACAACCACGTCCCATGCCCGCATTGTTGACACCTCACCCCTCGACCTAGCTTCGAGCGATTGAGCCGGAACGACGACATCACGAATTACTTAATACCCTCACCACAACCATGGCGCAAGCAAAGAATATCGATACCACTGTGGCGCTGCCACGACTCGAAGACCTTCTACGGCACCCGGAAGATCTAGACAAGATCAGCGGACTGAAAGCGGAATACCTGCGGAAGAAGGCGGCCGTGGATTCACAACTGCGAGAAGGGCTTCGCGACCAGCTGGAGGCAGTGCAACGCAGCATCGGTGCATTGACTGAGGGACAGCGCCAGGTTTCGAAAACAAAAGACGAGCTGCAAGGCATCGACAAGCTATGCGCGGAGTCACAGGATAGCGTCGAGGACTTTGCGCAGATTGACCAGCTTGCGCGGATTCAGCGGCAATTTGATGCCACGATTATGATGAAACGGGGGTTGGAGAACTTCGGGGCGGATATACAGGAAGTGGAGGATTTGCTGAAAGAGGATGATGATGATCTGGAGAATCAGCCGAACCTACTACGGGCTCACATGCAGATCTCGCGGTTACGGGATTTCCGTGATGAGGCTATGGACCAGATTCACAAGGCTCATGATCACAGTGCCGAAGAGACTCTCGCGCAGTATTTCGAGGGGCTGGATTCTGTTATTGAGTGGTTTGACGATCACCTTGGCACGGCTTGCATGAATCTCATCCCACTGGTGCAGGCGGATAATCGGAGCATGGTTGTTCGACTCGCGGTTGTTGTGATGAATGAGGAAAAGAATGATGATACGGTTCGTGCGTTGCAGGAGGCTCAGAAAGACCACATGGATCTTGCAAGTCGTTTCAAGTCTATGAACATTGGGCCGAAGACCGTGCGTGGATATAAGGACAAGTTCATTCAGGCTATCGAGTTGTATGCTCAGGGTCAATTCGAAGAGACACTTGAAGCCTTCCTTGCGGATCCGGAAAATCTGGAAAAGAAATTCCGTTGGTACTTCAATGATCTCTTCACGGTCAAGCAAGGCATGCAGAACCTTGTACCGAAGAAGTGGAAGATTTTCAAAACATACACAGACATCTACCATCGGATGATGCACGACTTTTTAATCACCATGATCGACGACCCTGAACTCCCAGCCGACAACCTCCTCACCATCATCCATTGGAGCGACAAGTACTACAAAAAGATGAAGAAGCTAGGCTGGACAGCAGCAGAACTGCAACCCAACATTCTCGACGACCGCGAGCCAGAACTGGTCCGAAAATGGCAGAGCGTCATCATCGGCGCTGTCGAGGACTGGATGGAACGCATCTTTAACGCGGACAAAAAGGCACTCATCGACCGGGATGCAGATGCCCTCGACAACGACGCAGACGGCAACTTCCGCACCAAGACATTGCCAGATATGTGGCGCATGCTCCACGAACAAGTCATGGCATCTGGTTCCTCAGACCGTGCCGACCTGGTCGAGGGTGTGATTGACGCGATGTTCCGGGCCCTGAAGAACCGACAGAGCGCATGGCAAGCGCTCATTGACGAAGAATGTGCGAAGCACACGTCCGGCAACGCCGACCCAGAAGGCGTCCAGCTGCTACAGGACTGGCTGGTAGGTGTAGCCAATGACCAGATCTCCTGCATCGACGACAACGAAGAGACTGGCCAGTACGGCTACCTCACGAGATTCAAGGCCGATTTCGAGCCACTTGTAACACCGAAGTACATGGCGACGACTGCGATGACCGAGCTGGATGTGCTTCGCGATGGGTATGTGGATCTCAGCACGCACTGCCTGGCGCAGTTCGTGAATATCGTCTTCTGCATTGATCTCGTCACTGTGCTACCGGAGATCTTTACTGCGCAGTGGTACCACCAGTTTGCTATGAAGCGCATTACCTCTACCTTTGAGGACTACTTATCTGACTACACGCCCGTGCTGCACCCGTCACTGCCAGAGATCCTGGTCGAGGAGTTTTCAGATGAGCTATTGGTGCGTTACCTGGGCGCGGTGCGTAACAAGGGTGTCAAATTCCGCCACAGTGCCGAGCCATTCACGGAGAAGTTCAAGGATGACGTCCTTACTGTTTTCGCGTTCTTCCAGCAATATCCTGATTCATTCGAGGGTACTATCAAGCAGAAGTGGAGACTGGTTGATTGGCTTGTTCGTCTCCTTGATACGGAGAAGGGTCCCCCACTTGTGGGCGTTTATGAGGCATTCAAGCTGGAGTATTGGGATCTGCAGCTTTCGTGGGTCGAGGCTGTCCTACGCACTCGTGAAGACTTTGAGCGCAGTATGCTCACCCAGATTAAGGCCAAGGCTGCGGAGTTGTCTGTTGAACGCGGACAGGAGACTATCATGAGTCGAGTAAGATGATTTTGTGGTTCATCTTATGGTATTGTCCATCACGTGGAATTTTTCTATCTCGTCCATCCCACTCAGCGGCGCTCAGCCTCCACCGTTACGGGACTCAGGATGATACTCCACCCCTCTCGCCTTCTGTGATCCGTCAATGCATCATCGCCTTCAGAGTCAGGCTGTACAGGCTATATTCTCTTGTTGCATCGAGGCTAAGCCGAGCGCAACCACAAACCACATGTATCATCCGCAACCCAAGCAGGCTTGGGATCTAGCCAACCATTACCTAATACAACTAGCAATGCAGCAATGGAAGTATATGTATTCACAATTCTCCTTAGTTCTGTTACTAGGTATAATGCACCCCAAACACATTAACTACCGAATGGTACCTGTAACTAAAACAATCACTCTCTACCAGATTCAAGTGCATCCTGCGGAGACGTAGTGTCCAACGAAGACACCGCAGTCTGCACTGGAAGCAAACTTCGCTCCGCAACGACAGTGTACTGCTCATCAAGACGCTCGTTCAGACCAAATCTATCATTAACACCAGGATGTAACTTCTTGGCACCCATTTCACAGATGCAGACTGTATCCAGCGGAATTTCTCTCGCCCAGATGAACGGATAGCTGGGTGATGGCGGGACAGAAGGAGAAGCAGAAACACTTCCATCCTTTTCTACTTCGGGTTCCTCCTTATTCTCACCAGTCTCTGCAGATGATTGGAGACGTGGATTCGATTCCGTACTTGAGAAACCAAAAGGCGGGACGTGTGGAGTGGTCCTTTCTTCATCGGAGTAGTAATGACGATATTGCGCGAGCAGATTGCGAGCATCGAAGGTAATGCGCTTAGCGTCTTTGCCTTTGGCGTTTTTATTCGGATAATTATGTCGCCCACGAACGTAAATTGTGTTGACGAGAGTTGCATGCAAGAGAAGTGGTCGTGGTTTTGGCTTTCGGGCTATTGCAACTGTGGATGGGTCCGTGTTCTCTGCCAAGCTTGGGGGTTCGGATGCGATTAATCTTTCTGCTAGGTGCAGAGACCCAGTGATGGGTAGATCAGAGGATTGGGAAGATTGATTGGCGTCCTGGGTTGGAATGTTGTTCGAGGACCTATCCTTGGCCTTGGATCTTGCGTTGGTTTCAATCTGGATGAAGCCAGCGTTGATGAATTTGTCACGTAGCTTCACGCAGAATGGCAACAAGCGGCCTGTAGGATCCACCGGATGGGCATGTAAGACCGTTGCTTCCTTGCCACGGGGTAGAGCATGTAATGACTCGAGAGAAATAGTGAAGGGTGATGGTTGATTGTGAGTGGTTTCCTGTTGTGGAGCGGACGCTTGTTCCGCCTCACTCATCAGGCCTGCCAGATCTAGGGATTGAAAGAATGAAAGAGCTTGGTCAACACGCTCCTTGGTAGGGAGGCTCATCACCCCCAGGGTAAGATGCAGTGTGCCCAATGGGCGGAAGGCACTGCTGGGAAGACCCAGGCCTCGGTGGTTTGCGGTCTGGGGAGTGGGACCTGGGCTCAAAAGATGGGCATTTTTGAATGCCGTGAGTGATGATTCCAGCTGCAATATTGAGGCGGTGTTAACTAAGGGGAGGCAAAGAAAATGGGTCAATGGCGGTTTCTTTTCTCGGCGCGGTTTGCGCGGTTGTGGCCTTGGTGCGGCTGTGGCCTCTGTCATGATGTATCTATATTGACACAGATGTGCCAAAATGGACCTCTGGTAATGTTTATTGCACGGTCTCATGGGCCTTTGCTGTGACTGTCGTCAAATAGCCGCAAGGAAGCAGACCATCGAAGTCAATTCCCTGTCGGGGCAAAACGCACGGACCAGGATCCACAACCTTATGTCAACGATGGACCTCACGTACCACGGTACCAGGGACCTCTGGAGCGGCCTTGAACTACATATCGATCAATGGAAAAGACGTGACAAAACAATTGAAGTTGGAATTAAGTTACTAACTTAGAGCTCATGCGCCAAGTAGGCGCCGTTGCCTGCTATAAAGGGTTTTGCATGTCATGAATCTCATACAGAGTTGTAGGCGCCGGAGGTGACTAGCTGTTTCTCCGGGGTTAGCTAAGAGATGAAGTGCGAATAACATTCCGGAAACGCATAGCATGATAGGGTATCAAATGGGAAAGAAAGGTGATTTATCAATGTAGAAAGTAGATTTCGAGACCGAGCCCCAGGATCCAGGGCCAGTCACAGAGCTCAAGAAGCCTCCTTCTTGCGACCCTCCATAACCCGTAGAACATCAGCAGCGCTATGCTTGTCCCCCTTTTTCTTCTTAGGACCACGCTTTCTCTTTTTCCCGCCCCGTCCATCGTCGTCAAAGTCGAGCAAGACGCCATCATCCTCCTCCTCACCATCCTCGATGCGACTACCTCCGAACTCCATGTCCATATCCGCGGCGTCCATGGCTTCCCGGCGGCGTGCCTCTTCAAGGAAGCGTTTGTGGCGAAGGGCGGCATCAGAAGACTCCCTCTCATCACCTTCTGCTGAAGGAGAGGCCTGTCGGAGGGCTGCGGCTCGTTTGAGAGCGGCAAGAATAGTCGGGTCTTTGGTGAGTGGGTTAGACCGGTCCACAGGTTCTGCCTCTGCTGTATCTGAGGTCCCAGTGGCAAAGTAGTTTCTGGGTTTTGCGGGTGTTGGTTCAATGGTAGCAGGCTTTGTCTCCTCCTCGCCGACAGGGGCCTTCTCAAGCTTACGAGCTGCCAATTCACCATCCTCGTCAGAGGACGACCCATCATCCTCCTCGAGTCCAGCAAGGGGGTTGTAGTCATCACCAACACCGGCAAAGATATCATCATCTTCTTCTTCGGGCGCCGGGGCAGCACGCGCAGCGAGCTCAGCCGGAACATCCATACCGAGGGGCTTAGCGCTTTTATCGGGCATAGGAAGGTCTCCCGCAGCAGGAACAGGCGTTTCGACCGGCTTATCCAGCCATCTGGTTTTCCTCTTCGTATTTCCCTGTGCATCTGTGATGAGGAGCACCTCTCTTCGACGCCCGGTTTCATCGCGCTCCACAAACCGCTTTTTCTCAGGCTGGGCACTACTCAGCTTCTTGAACTTTGAGCCGAGTATGGATTCCGGCGGTGGAGCAGGCGCAGCAGCAGCAGCAGCCCGGCTTGCCCTCAGTTCCCGGAGAATCTCATCACGGGTCTTGGGCTTCATAGGCGGCGGTGCCATAGTTCCCTTCTTTTTCTCCTTTTTCTCCTTCTGGTCCTTGGGAACGGCGACAACCTCCTCCTGTGCTTTCTCCTCCATCAAGCGCTCAAATTCCTCCTCCGCATCTTCTGTTTCGGGAGGCGACGTAGGTTTCTCCGCCGCTTGCGACACGTCCTCGCCTGCTCTAATTCTTCGCAGCAAGTCGAAATCCAATCCTTTGACCATATGTGTGCTGCTGATGTCGCCTCCAACCCCGAGGTCTCGGCGGAGTTTATCGAAGGTAGCCTGGTCGATTTGTCCCAATTTCACCATTTCCTCCAATGCCTTTATCCGCTTCTCGATATCCTCTCCATTCTTGGCATCGTCCTCTGCATTGCGTAATTGCGCACGGTCCTGATATCCGGTCGGGAGGGCTGTACCTTTCGGCGCGGCGGAGGACTTGAATCGCTTGGAAGGTCGGTCGCCTTGGCGACGTTGCTCGAAGAGCTGGCGGGCAAAGTCAACGCCAGTAACTGAGCGCCTAAAATGATTTCACAACCGTGAGCTTCTTCTGGGCCGACGACCTCTGGAGATCAAGCGACTTACGGTGTCATTGGGATACTAGATCGCATTCGCGACCCGAGTGAGCCACCCGGGGTTGCGCCGCCACGCGACACATCAGGAGCAGGCGTTGAGCTCTGGCCCTTGGGTTTTGAAGACGACTGGTCGGCCACGAGCCGACGAAACTGCTCGTTATTCATTATTGTGGACTCAAGTGGCTAAGGTTGAGGTCGAAAAAGGCTCATGTCAAGAGGTTGAAGGTCCGGCTTGGCATTGAGTACAGTCAGTTTTAGCGACCGTGGACGATTTAATTCTTGATCTGCCATAGCAAAGTGTGTGCGGTCGGGTATTGTGCTCAGTGGCCGCTATCCTGCTGTGCGTTTGATAAGATAAGACTACCTCCGGTCTAGACTAGATCACTTCGACATTTGCCCTATGCAGCAGATGCAATTCTCTCTCATGACTCCATATAGAAATTCAGAATGCATAAATAAAGTGGAGTTGAGTCACACAAAGCCTGGTATTCGAGCCATAGCTGCCAGGATGAAGGAATCGAAGCATATTTCAGATGTACAACCAAAGTCAATGAAAAGAGGAAGATACTCATCGAAGAACGAAAAGAGCTAGAGACAGTCATAAATGCACATAATAGTTTGCCAATGAAAATTCGAAACCAAGAAAAAGTCTACGTGCACGCACATCAAATGTGACAACAGAAAAAACAAAGCTATCTTTTTGTAGTCATTAGATGGTCTCCCAGCCACCGTTGTTGATCTCCGACTCCAGTTTGCGGCTGATAGTCGCAGGGATCGAGTGCGACAGCCAGACATCGCGGAGAAGCCGGTCGTATCGCTTCTGATTGAGGATGAGCTGGCGGTTACGGCGGAGACCTGGGTCAACTTCGCCATGACGGTCGAGGTAGGGGGCGTAATGCCAGGATCCGTTCGTGTTGTGCAGGTAAAGAACCGTGCACTTGCGAATGTTAATGAAAAGACCTATATTTTTACCGCATCTATCACAGAAGAATGGTTAGTTTCATGCATGGAAACTGGTTGGGGGGGAAGAATTGACTTTTGAAGGTGCTGGTTGCAGCCACCGAGCTTGTTAACCATGCAGCAGACTGCCTGTGAGCAGAAGATCTCTCCACAGAATAGACAGATGCTGGGATCGGTGAGCTCTTTCTTTGTTCTGGGACAGCGGCGACGGTTTGCCTCTTCAATCAGGCTATCGAAGTATCTAGGAAGGCCGACAAGCTCGAAAATAGCGGGGTGTGACAGACTTGGCCAGAGTCGGTGGTCTTCAAACCGAATACCTGAACGCGAGGCATTCCAGTGGAAGATCCACCCTGAGATGACGGCGTCGAAGGGGCTGTTTGTATTGCGTGCGGGTTTGACAGACATCAGGATCTCATCGATGGAAGGCAAATGAAGTGCCCTGGACAGACGCTCAAGCTCAGAGGCCTCCATATCGGCGAGTCCGGTGTTCGGGAATTCAACGCCATGCTGAACGTGAAGAAGGATGACCGTCTTGCGCAGGAAGGCCAAACTATAGCTAGTGACGAGCCGTCGGAAGGCAGTGATGATACTCGGTGTGGCAGTCTCCTCTCCATCTTTGACGTAGCCACTCTCGGCGGGGAAAGAGGAACCCTCAGCACGCCCGACAGAATTTGCCTTAAGCTCAGCGACGATCGAGTCGAAAAACTGCTTGCATACAGTGTATTGCTCTTCGGATATATCATTAGCCACAGCGTGGTCATCCGGATGGTTAGCAAGTTCTTCCTTTAAGCCAAGGGGCCAAAGAATGAAAGTCACGGCGACCTTAACAATCTCAGCCACAAAGCACATCCGCACGAGGTGGCGGATATCAATACGGAGAACCGGCTGCAGAGACAACGAGGCTTCTGCAAGGAACACGAATGGATCCACCGCAAGCAGAGGCTCTATGTTGCGAACATCGTCGAGCAAAGGTGTACCACTCAAGCAAGGGTGCCCGACAAGGAGCTGGCAAATCTTTTGACGATGCATCCTTTGGAACTCATTCGATGGATGATGCTTCCCTGGCGCCGTCGATTGAAGGGACCCAATTGCAGCGTACGTCAACGCGGTCTCTGAGAGAACGCGCAGATGCGTGAGCGTCAAGGGAGGGATTGTGTCGAGCAAGGTCGAGCCAGGCTGCGCCTCGACGCCACGCTGCGCAATTTCCACCGCAGCAATGCTGAAGCCAAAGCTGCGAATCAGAGAATCAGAATGTGCGAGGTCATCACTGTTACTCCCTACATATGTGGCGTTGAATGCAGAGCTGAGATCGTTCATCTCAATGGTTTGCTTAAGTCGCAAGTAGATCTGAAGCAATTCCGACATAGGGCTGTCCGGAAGGCTTGACACCTGTTGCAGTGGGCTGGAAGGCGCGAGATCTTCGGTAGGAGGGAACACACCAGGCATGGGCATGCGCGTCGACGGAATGTGTTGTGCAGCTGCAGTCGCCGGGAAAACTGAGGCCATCAACTGATCGATGTTGGCAGCTAAAGGAAGAACCAAGGTCTTGGACAGGTAATCAATGAAGAGGTCGCTGTATGCCTCTGGATACGCTTTGTCTTTCTCCATGAGAACTGGGAAGTTTTGCTGTTGGTGCAGGGCATGCTTGAGACCCGTTTGAAGCCATTGGTCGAAGGATCCGGAGGGACTAAGCGGAACCAGTGGAGACTCCTCCTTGCCCTTCCAAGCAATTGGAAGGAATGCATTTCCAAGCGCTTTGCAGAGAGGACACACGAATTCCTTGAGGTTGGTGTTCTCAGGATGGTTGCGTGCAATTTGCTGGGTGTGCCGCCGCTGCGTTGCCCCATAGTACTGCTCAAAACAGGAGTAATGCATGATGTGCCCACAGCCAGTAGTCACAGGTCCATTGACTGTGCTCTTCGCATTGAATCCTTTACTCAGTCCAACCTTTTCGCTGATGACTTCACCGCCGGAAGAGTCAAGGCGCTTGATCGTAGTATGGTTCTCCCCAGACACACCGAACGGTCGAATACCTTCGGCAGATCTGTCTAAACTCGAGGGCGTCTTGAGCACCTCACGAATTCTATCAGGATCCCGGATATCCGTCTGCCGCAAAATTGTGCTATCTTGAACCAAGGCGAAAGTACCATAGAGTCTCGCATCATTCGTCTCTTCCTGACACAAGATGCAGGTACCACTCGGGTACTTCCATAGCTTCCTTTCTGGGGAAAAGTCTGTGTCGGAGTCGAGATCGCTGAAATCTTCTTCGCCCCAGTCAATGTTACCCTGGCTACTCAAGAATTGCTGCTGTTGCTGCTGGAACTGAGCCATCACTTTGGCTTGCCTCTCCAATGCCTGCTTCTTCTTGACCTCCTTATCATTGTCGGTGTCAATGGCAGGGGAATTGGTGTCAATACGGTCGAATGGGAATTTGAGGGATGCAGTTGCTGATGAGTAGGTGCGAGGGCGCTTTTGCCAGAGACGCTTAAGTATGTGACGAATTTTAGGGCCAGATGCGGTGAACTCTGGAGTGATGGATATCCTCTCTAACAAGCCGACAATGGTCAGACGGCCTGCCTTAATCTCCCGAGTCTTTGACAGGGCATTCCAGTTGAATGAGTTGGAGTGGTCTTCCACCATATCGGTCTCCTCAGAATCATCTTCTAACACTGCTGCGAGTATAAGATGCAGAACCACTTGAAGGAAAGTCTCCACGCGTGTCGGCGGGATAGTGGGTGTACACTCTTTCGATGAGATGACATATTCCAGACATTGGTGCACAATCTGGGCAAAGAGCATCGTTCCAGCAAATCGGGGAAGATTGGAGAACACACCAAAGCTGATGGGCCGGAGTTTTGGCTCATAGACAATATCCGAAGCATCCTTGCCAGTCTTCTTCGCCATCCACTCTTTGTATATATTCTCAGCTTCGTCTCTTTGATTCTTTGTATAGTGCGCGCTGTATGGATCAATGAGGCCGATATACTCGGGCTTCAATTCGAAAGTACCCGAGTCACTCAGGCCCTCGGGTGGGCGGAAATTAGCGACTTCTTCCAACACATCTTGGAACATGTCCGAGTCGAGAAGCTTGTCGCTAAGCCGGGTTGACAAGTCAGAGAAAGAAAGGGGCTTGAAGCACAAGACATGAGCAATGTCACGCTTGATGTTCTCGTGAGTGAGGTGAGTGCTATCATCGATCTCAGTCAACGAAGTTCGGTCTGTCAACAAAATCACCAGTAGATGAACGAATTCATCCGCCACATCTACAATCTGCGAATCTTCGTAGCCAGGGCGGGGCATGTAATTCCGAGCCATCCATTCAACCATACCGAATCGGTGTGCAATGGAAGCAAGGACTCTGCTCGGATCGCAAGTCACCATGGCAGTCTGGAGAAGGAAGATGTCTCTGTAGTAGGCGAAGTCACGAGAAGAAACACCGCGGTACTGGGACATTTGATGCCGCAAACTGAGGCCATTGCGAACCCACATGCCAGCCTTCATTTGCGCTAGCCAAGCGCAGACTCGAAGCGGGTAGTCGAACATGGCCAGAAGCAGATCCTCTGGCCCAAGGGAGAGCAAACCGTCATCAATACTGTGGGGTTTAGCGGCCTTCATGGCGTGGATTTGATTCCTTGCCGCGTTGGCAGCTTCAAGGAAAACCTCGCGCATGACTTCACTGCTTATGTCTCGTCCGCATTCGACGAGCCATGACAGTGTGTAGTGAAGGGCATGATGGAAACTAATGGATCCACGTTCGACTATAAACTCGACGACACGGTGACAAGGAACCTGGCCAGAGGAGCCGACTTCGAAATCAAAAGGTGATAGCGTTTTGAACTTCAATTCGTCCTTGATTTCAGCCTGGTCGAACCGCTTGCGCTCTACGCCAGCCGAATGTATAATCGCAGTAGTAGTGGTGGTCTCGATGGCCCTCAAGAGATTTTGGCCGTTGTCAATCTGCGGATTGCGGAAAGCCTCGCAGAATTGGCGGCAAAGTCGGTTAATCTCTCTCATGAGAATTGAGGCACTGATCCATGCGTCCGTTTCATATTCAACGTGCTCACCAACCGCGCGCACGTTGGGGCATATGCCCTGTGACAATTTGACGAGATCCAGGAATTGAGGAAGATACTGCTCTTCAGTCCGTACACGGTGCTGCACATACTCAGATTGAAGAAGGTATCGAAGGTCAAGGAAGAAGTGGTAGAGACGTCTGTTTGTGACGGAACCGGCATCGAATGCCAGTGTGGCGTTGGGATCGACCGATTGAGGTTCACCAACTTGTCTCGTCGTCAAGAAGGTGTAAAGAATGGACATCACTTTGGTGAGGAAGTTGCCTCGCAGGACAATCTCTTCTGTGATTGAAGGAGTTGTGAGAAGTTGTAACGAAAGGTTGACAATTGAGTGGTCTGGCTCTCGATCCGCGATGAGGTACAGTTGGGCCAGAGCCGTGTACAACGCAGACAAGCGCAGGCCCATAATGCGCTTGAACTGGGGAACATTGACAACTGTGCTGATGTATAGATCACGTAGGTCGGTTCGTGTTTTCTTCCACAATCTTAAATCATAGAGAACCATCCAGTCAAGGCGAGTACGCTGCCACAGGTCTTCGTACGGAGGTACGTTATCACCTGGAGCTGGAATAGGCGGGCGGACGCGCCAGTGGCTTTCTGTGTGCGATGGCCTCTGCCTATTCATTCCAGGTGTCTTGGGAATGGGAATGTAGCCAGCAGGACCGGGTTCAGGGGCTGGACTCTGAGATGCCGTATTTCGGTCAGCGGAGGACCGATCTGCGGGCTGAACCTGTACGGGACGAGGAGAAGGCGGCTGTGTGCCAGTCAGTCCGGCAAGAATACGCTCTGCCAGAGCAAGCTCATCATCTGCCCCGGCCAGATCCATCGCATCGTCCTCATCCTGATCCTGATCCTGATCACGGGACAGTTCGAGGTCCATTTCGTAGTCATCCTCGTCGTCGGCATCGTGAGCCTCAACATAGTCCTCGTCTTCGTCTCCGTCCTCGTCAATGATATCGTTTTCAAGAATGTCATCATCATCGTCGTCGTCATCATCGGTGGTCAGTACCACTGGGCCATGGTTAGGCAAGTTGATCATGACCATGCGCGGCGGGATGTTCTCCGTCTTCTGATGATCATCAATGCCCTTCATACCGATATCCTCGTTGTAGCCGTCGCTGCCCTTTTTCCAAGGATTGAGCATCTCTTCGCAGATGATCTGTCTGAAAATCTCATTGTCTTCGAGAATCTCACAGCCAGCAATATCTGTCAACCACTCGACTATTGTCGCGCACATTTGTTCGCGGAAAGTATCGCGAGCAGACCGCACCGTGACAGTGACTTTGATCTCCTCGATGATCTTAGAAACAGCCAGCAGTCTGTTCAGATCTTTCGAATACTTGATCACACTGCGGCCAATGTCATTGGTCTCATGGGCCCGGGCAACGCCGAAACTATCTCGTTCACGACAAGCACGCGTGACCTGGTGTGATACATCACGAATAGTATGCTTCTCGTCATTCCACAGCATGACGGCAAACTCGGGATGTTCTTCCTCTTCATCGCCGGCGCCGTACCAGCTGGGACGTAGTCGAGAGGCCTCTTCATCTTGCCTGATACCTTCGGCAGTCTTCGGCAACCGCAGTTGCTCCGGGGAGCAAGATATGACATCACAAAAGTAGTCCAGCACACGAGAGATGGTCAAGCGGATCGAGGCGACGAGTTCAGACGGCAGTTCCCGCTGCGCCCGTTCCTTGCCCTTGGCATTGCCACTGTCGGTGTGAATTGCGCAGAAGAGCGGCAACCGCCAGGCCTCGTCGTCTCCACAATCACAGCAGCCACAATTCCCAGAAGAAAGCGAAATCTGATATTGGTGTCCGGTATGGTCTGATGAATCGAAGCACCTACTGCACAGCACGCACGTTTCGTCCGCAGCACACGTAACGCATCGGTATGTGGCTTCTCCGGCACGGAAAATATGGCCGCAGCGCTTGCCCCGTGCGGCCTCGCTGTATTCAGCTCCCTCCCGGGCGCCCTGGGCCTCGGCCAGCTTCCATGGTCCTCTCGGAGTGCCTTCTGGAAACAAGTGTCGCACGAGATCGTTGTTGTGTCCGACGAGCGATCGGAAGAGGAGCTCTAGCAAGTCCGCTTCGGCGGCGGGGCCATAACGGTAGTTGTGTTTTTTGGGTAAGCGGAGAAGACCATCGCCGAGTAGCTTCTCACATTCCCCGAGCATAAGCATGGTTCGTCGTGGTAAGGGATGTATCGAAGCGGCCGCTCGGACTATCACAGGTGAGTGACGGGACGGGGCGCCGTTGTTGCGACAATGCGCCTGTAGTGTCGGTCCGATGCACGAGGCGCTTCTTCGAGGATATGTAAGCGAGAAAGAAAAATTGAAACAAAGACTTGAGCTATATTTCCAGTTCGTGTTATGATAGGATTCTCAGGTATAGCTCGCGTATAACTCACGTTGCTCACACGGTGGTACTTTGTGGTGGGGGAATGATGAGAGCGACGGGTGAGGTGGACCGATGCAGGCGAAGCAGGTCAACGTAGACACGGTGAAGTCATACGCAACTCAAGACTTGTTCTGTAGGCAAAGGTCCGAATGTTGGAAATACAAGGGCGAGTGATGCAAAAGCGATTGTTTAAAGAAAATTGAGGTCGACCTACAATTTTCGTCATGACATCGATGGAACCGGATGTCTCTCATTCTTAGTGTAAACGCCACACCGATCCCCGGCATGGCCTGGATCACCTACAACAGAAGACACCCTTCAAAGATTTGGTATAGCTTCGGAGTTCGAAAGTCAAAATTACAGATTTCCATCTATCGCATACAAGCCCACTTGTGGGATGAGAAATAACTGGCATTAGCTCCGCTGGCTTTTTCCATGCCCCCTTTCCCCGCGGTAAATGCCCAACATCCTTTCAACCATTTACTCGTCGTCCTCCTCCTCCTTGGCAGCAATATAACGGTGCTTGATGTCCTTCCATTGGCGCTAAAAGGCGAGAAACAGTCAGCTTGGGGGTGCTCGGATATTGAAGAGGGCCCCATCGGGGATAGACGGAGTTCACATACGCCCTGGTTCCAGCTATCCCAGATCTTGTTGGAGGTCACGTCAAAGCCACTGAATTGAATTTGTATCGTCAGTTGTCTGTGTAAAGAGTACAACGTGTATGTCATGCACGCGGACGGGATGTAACGCACAGCTCGAAAGCGAAAGCACCAGCAAAAGCAGTGGTCAGGAGAACAGTGTTCTTGCGGATGAAGGTCCTAAACGCAGCGAAGAGTGCCTCGGTTAGATTCCAGTTGAATAATTATGGTCGCGATCATAGGACCGGGGGTAGGGAGACATGCGAGTAGATGATGTTTGCGAGCTGTCATGCGAGAGGTCAGTCAGTATTGGCCATAACGGCGTGGAAAGAGCAGCAAGGGGATGGTAGAGACATACGCCAGCCATTGTGAGAGATTGGGGTGTTTACACACAACCTGAATGAGTGGAATTGACAGGAGGATGGGGCGACGAGGATTGAAGTTGTGAGGTTGAAGTTGCTGAAGGTTGAATCTGCGGGAATTGCCGGTCCGCTGATTGGCCGAGCCTCCGGCCTTCCGCACTCAACTTTCAATTGTCCGCATTGTTTTTCTCAGCTTCAGAGACAACACTCAAGGTCTTGGAGCTTGACTCTCGGGTCAAAGCAGATTTTGCGACATCTCTCACTCAATTACCAAATTGACTTCCGCCTCCTCGCACTTTTACCACCCGATCACCGAATCTTCTACATCTCCCTCTTATCATACATATTTGAGCTCAACTGCGACGCACCCTCTCAATTCCTCCGAGAGATTCCTCAGTTCGAAGCTCGAGTCACATTTCCAGTCTCATCTACTCACTCACATCCATTCGACCACAATCTCCACACATCCCACCTGATGGAGCCCAACGTCGCCCGATCCGGCATCACCACCGATGTCCAAACCGGTGAACGCTATATCCCCGCCTCGGTACGCCCCGATGGTTCCAGACGCAAGGAGATTCGAGTACGCCCCGGCTATAAGCCTCCCGAGGACGTCGAAGTCTACAAGGCCCGGGCAGCCGCAGCGCGGAAGTCCCGCGCTAATGGCGGGGTGCCAGGTGCAGAGCCCTTGAGCAGCGGGGACGACAAGACAAAGACCGCATCGAAAACCACTCCCACCACTCCCACCGCAAATACCTTCATTACGGCCGCCAGCAACAAAAACGCCAAGCGTCGCGAGGCGAGGCGGGCTTCGAAGACCGACGAGGCCGCTCCCAGGACCGAGGGTAAGGCTTTCGAGTCCGATAACTGGCGTGCCCCTGCCCCCGCACCAGCCCTGAAGAAGGAAGAACCGGTTGCCGAAGAAGCTGTTGATCCAGAAGTCGAGAAGGAGAAGAAGGCCCGTAACCTCAAGAAGAAGCTGCGGCAAGCGCGCGAACTTCGAGACAAGAAGCAGCAGGGAGAGGCACTGCTGCCTGAACAGCTCGCTAAGGTCATCAAGATTCAGGAGCTTGTTCGGCAGCTGGATCTACTGGGCTTTGATCAGAACGGTTACAAGAAGCTGGACTCCTAATAGACCGGTCGAGAATTCGCGGTTCTTTCAAACACCTGGCCACACCTGGCCAGTCACTATGACCCTGCATCAGGTTAAATTATGTGCCAAAGTGCATGGCTGCAATCCATGCTTCCCGCAGGTGTCTATGACATTTGTTGGCTCCTAGCAGACCACCAATCTGTCCCACATCGTCATTGGGGTTGAGCACCGCATAGAAACATATCCAGGGCTGTGGTGAAGCTGCCCCAACCATCCGGCCCTCCTACCTGTCAGGAAATTCTGGATCCTGTTACGATGTACCGGTATTGCCCAATCATCGGCGTTTCGTCTGCTGCTTTCATCATTGCACCTCGGGCACGCCCATCCACGGATGACCCCGAACCGGGATAACCATTGAGCAGGGCAATGGATCTGAGCAAAGGATCAGAACCACATTTTGGGGACCCAGCATGGGTAGGTCGCAGCCCTGGATCAGACATAGAATAGAAAATAGAACCCGACCAGCTCTAAAAGTTGATTTCCAGACTCTAGTCTTCATAGTTAGATCACCATAGTATTACAAATATACAATTACTGTACATGACTGGGACCTTTCATCGTGTACACCACCGTAGCATAGGCAGCAAAACCACACGAGAGAGCCATCCAGCATTAGATTTTGGAATCCACCAAACGAATAGGGGACATGACAATGCCACCTTTGAGAGCCCATTCGTCATAGTGATATGGAACCCAGGGGCGCCAGTCATTGAACTCGCCACTGAGCTGATGGGTCCCCATGCCGTATGTAGCAGACAGGATACCCTGCCTGACACAGTCGCCCACACCGACGCCATTATACCAACTACCCGCAAGGACAAGCGACCCGTCGAATTCATCGCGCACCGTCTTTGAGAGACGGTACATGCGACCCAGATGGCCGACTGTATGCTGGGGAATAGCATTCTCCTGGAGACGACTTCGCGCCACAGTCGGGGTATCTGTGATATTCATGTGTCTCCTGAGCATTTCACGGGCCATTTTCACGGCCGTGTCGTGATCTGGATACTCTTCGAAACCGTCCCAATAATGACCGCCGAGCATGACGGTGAGTTTCGTGCCACGTGCGGAATCTTGGCGGATGGTACCCGCCGAGGAATCTGTGCTATTGCCTACACTCGAGGACGAGGCAAAGATGACACCAAGGCCGCATTCCGGGTTCTGTTCGTAGGGGATCGAGCGCGGTATGAGGTATCCGAAGCCGTCTTCCACGGGTAGAAGGTCAGGATCTGAGTAATAGAGATTTACAACCATGACCGTCACGGCATAATTCTGCTTTTGTAGTAAGTGTGGGGTAAAGCCTGGTTCCTTCATATTCAACTCCATCACTCTGTCTCGGATACGTCGTTTTGGGTTTTGCATGGCTTTGCCAAGTGCGGCTGGCGGGATCGTGGAAATGATATGCTTAGACTCATACCAGGATTTGCCGTTGAGCCTCATCTTTAAGTCGTCAGCATCAGTCTTCTGACTAAAGAGATATCACATACCGCCGTTTTGTTATCTCTTAAAGCCACCATAGTGTCGACTTCTGTATTCAATATGATCGTCACTTTCTTGTTGGCTTTCAACGAAGCGACCAGTCCTTCAACAAGTTGACCAACACCTCTCTTGAAGGTGAAAGTACTTGCTTCCGCCGCGAGAATCTCCAGGTCATGCTGACGCCGCACTAACTCAGGCCCCGCGGATATGGCATCTACGGCCATGAAATCATCCATTCTCCTGATCTTCTTTCTGGAGAATGCCCGAGAGAGCAGGGATGCCGTAACTCCGCCAGAAACGAACCCACCGACGCCCCCAATGCCTCCTTCAAGATTGCGGACGGAACCCAGCAGTGTCTGAGCACTCAACTGGTCAATATCTCCTGCATAGACCCCGTGGAATATCGCAGAAACAAGATTATCTGCAACGTCAGGACCAAAGCGACGCCCGATAAAGTCCGCAACGGACTCATCCTCCGCCCATTGAGTGGGGTGCCGAGGTGGAGCAAAGATATCCTTCACTATCCCCGATAGAAATTTGTTAAATAGTGGTTCTTTCATTGTATTCAAGAAATTGTCAAAGTTTTCCCCAAACGATAGTGAGGGCTTCGGCGCCGGTATGCGAACGAGGTGGTCCGGATAGTAAATGTAGCGATTCTGGGCTGCAGGGCTCGATTTGGGGGTGACAATGAGCTCATTGTATAAGCCTAGATTGGTTGCCTTTAAAAAGTTAGTATATGAAGTCCTTTCACCAATGGCGATGTGCACACGAGGAATGTTCACCAGGTAAAGCAAAGGAAGTGACTCTGGCACTGAACTCTTCAATGTGCGCGGCCCATATTCGAACACAACATTTCCACCATCGACGGGAATTGTTTCCGAGTCAATCCAGCCACCTAGCCGGTTTGATTTCTCAACGAGGACGACACTGGTGCAGTTGGGGTTCTGCGACAATTGCCAGGCGGATGTGAGGCCTGTGATACCACCACCGAGTACAAAGGCCTGGAAGCCTCTGCGTTGTTGGGCATGGAGAAGGGAGTTCAATTGCTTTTGCCCTGGTCGTAGCGCTTTAGAGGCACATTTTGGCAGCATCTCTCCTGGTTGGAGGTCAGACTTGTTTACGCTTGGTTGGAGAAACGGAGGTTATGGCCCAGGTCCACTTGACGGAATCTTCCGTCATTACTTAGGCGGTCAGCTGCAGTTGGAGGCCTGGACTGGCCCCGGGGGCATGAATGGTCAGGGCCCAGTCTGGTCTCGAAGTATACTAGTAAAAGAATATTATGGTTACGTGCAATGGTTTATGAGAAATTCGCGGATTTGTCTTCGCCTTGGTATTATTGTTCTGCAGAATCAGCGGGGAATCTATGAACGAAACAGATAAAAAACAAAAAAAAGCAAATGCATAACGAGTCTCAACGCCATTCCCTCCAGCCATTGCTCGGTCATGATCAAAAATTGGATTGTACATAGTATCGTCCGCAGTGAAAGCGGAATCTTGAAATGGGAATATTTTCGGCATGAGCGGACTGTGAGATGTCGGCTCATGTTAGGCGGAGTCACGCGAGCAACTCATTGCTTTGGGCGTTCTCCTCAGCGCCCGGCTTGATGAATTCCTGGGGTCCGTCCCCATCCGCAACGAATTTGCGTTCGCTCACATGCTCACCAGTGCGTGGTGTCCACACCTTGTCGGGAATAGAACCACGCTGACCCTCAGCATGCTTGTAAGGACACTTAGGGTTCATACAAGGGTTGAATTTGCACGCGATTTCCATGTGTGTGAATTTGCACCCTTCGACAGTGCAATCTGCTCCATTGCGGCAGACAGGCATGCTCGGGTGTTTGAAGTGACAATTGGGATTGGTGCAGTTGGGGAAGAATCGGCACATGGCCTCTGCCTGGTGGGCAGATCGCACTGCTGGTGAAGGGTGTCGGCCAGTGCATTTCTTGTTCTTGCAAGCTGCACCATATGAGCAAGTATCGGTGGGATCAATTGAAATGCCTTCGGGGGCAGCTGGTGACTGGTGGGCGAAGGGGCAATCCTGGCGTGTGCATCGTTGGTTGAATCGGCACACGCTGTCTGGGTTGCTCTCGTCTTGAGCACCACCCATGGTGCTGTCCATATCAACATCTCCTCCGTCTCCGGCCCTTGTCTTGTTTTGATTGCGCTTTCCACCGCGTTGACCTCCTCGTTCAACTCGATTGAAAAGCGACCGATTCTGTCCATTCTGGAAAGCAGGATTCACGGCAGGCGGCATGAAGCCAGGCATGATTTGAGACATCATACGAGCCTGTTCTTCCAGCATTGACATGAGTTGCATCTGGTTTTCGGGACTCATCTGCATCATGGGGTTGCCTTGCGCTTGCATTCCCATACCACGACCTCCACGACCGTTTTGCTGGCCGCCTCTCATTTGATTCCGGCCGTTCTGACCAATGCGCCCGTTTCCTTGCCCTCGCACACGATGCAAAGCTGCGTCCGAACCACGATCCAAGTTCCTATTTATTTGATTTAACATTCTTCCCTTTCCGCCTCTGGCATTGCGCATCGCTTTCGGTCCGGTGGGGCTATCGGATGGGGACTGGTTAGCCTGTGATAAGAGTGAGCAGAATGATTGGAAACTTACATTGAGTCATTACTGGCGTCACCCATCTCGGCATCCGGGTTGTTGGCTTCTCCAGAAGAAGGGGCAGATGACGGGGTCGAGGTGTCGAAATCCATCGCTGTCGGATTCAACTGACCAGTGGTGGTACCAGTTGAGGCTGGAGCAACTCCATTGATTTGTTGATCTAGAATTTCGACTTGAGAGAAAAGCCATCGTGAAAACTCAAGGGCTGCAGTATCGCCTTCCTCCAGGCCAAGGAAGTCGTTGGAGAGTTCGGTGGCAATTTGTTCTTGGGTCTTGCCATTGACCAGCATGAGAACGATGTAGTCGATGAGTGGAGATTCTTGGCCATCGCTCCAACCCATCTCCACCAACTTTGGCTGGATTACATTTGCGACACCCTGCGCAAGAGCCGTGTTCGGAATGATTTGAGGAAGCATGGTGAAGGTGGTCGTAGAGGAAGCAGTGGCGGATGAGTGAGAGGTCACAAAGAGATGAGGACTGATAAAAGAATGATTTCTGCGCCACCCGATAAAGGCGGGATCTGATCTGCTGGGCGCGCCTGATAAGAAAGCTGCAATGACAACGGCGATGGGTAGGAAAGTGGCAAATAGGTGAAATTGAGAGACCAGAAACCAGTACTGAGAGAGGAGATAAAGCTTTTGACAAGCTGATGAGGTGAAGCTAATGACCCGATGATGGATGTTTGATGGATCACGTGCCTGGGGCGGGAAGGCGGTGGGGTGGCGCAGTACTCCAGCAGAAACAGCCAGTTAACCTGACTCCTGAGTAGTATCAATTTTGAATGGAAATGTTTGGTTTCAGATTAGATGAGACAGATACCTATCCATACGGGATATGGCAAGATTTACTAAGAGTAAAGAGAAAAGGTTGGAGTTCACAGCTGCTACAGAATGTCCTATGTCTCTACAAAACGGGTTGTTCACGTGATTAGTTGGTGAGTTATCTTGTCACCGTTCTTGTGAGTTCTCCAGCTTGCTGTGAGCCTGAAACCTTGGCATGGCGACTTCAAGGCTTCATTGAGACAAGTTGACAGCATAGCCATAGGAAGCCTGGCTGCCTGAAAGGGCCTGTCAGGTGACAATCCAAACAATCTGATTACTAATTTCTAGGCCTTCAACTCTTGAAGCCTGAGGCCAATCTGGACCTCAGGCATACACCATGGCCTTAGGCGTTCACACCTTTCACAGTACATATGTCTTATTTAAACTGATTAGTGAACTACTAGTCATGCACCCCAGAGGCCCGGGGACTTGGATGCATGTTAATGATTCATGTGGCTGCAAGACAAAACATAATTCGCCGATCCTCCGTCTCGGACCTGGGAATCATGTGCAAACCCTTGTGAGTCTTGTCTTGCCGAGGTGTCATACGGTCATACCTCCCCCATGCGACAACTTCCCCAGATCATGGGTATCCCCACACCAATCGCTCAGTGTGAAACCGAGTTTACACTTTCAGATCCTCATGAAAATCCCCCAGATCCCCCGCCTAGCCTAGCCCGAGATTTTCATGCTGCACAAGTGGACCAATCCCAATACAACAAGAGCAGATTATAGACCAAAATGATGGCATGCGATGCGGGGGCTCGCAAGAACGGCTCGTTTAGGTGTACCCCAATCCTTGTTTGGGAGACCATGGGCGCAGATCAGTGGATTGGCACGCTGCCAAATCGTGTGCACATCATCTTGTGTCAGACCTTATTCTAGCCTGACATCTTGTTCTCTATATAATAGTCCGAAGGTGCCCATCTTGGGACCCAAATACAGACTAAATCCAACTCGGACCAGTCTAACGGCACCATGATTGAAGACCTCGTGGCAGGCTTGACGCCTGGTCGGGCGTCACTGTATCTCCTTGGACTGTTCGTTACATTCTGCGTCTTCCGCAAGTTCCAGGCCTCAGCAAAAATTGCTCGTCTCGGCGCGAGAGCCCCCAAGATCCCTTTCCGTCTTCCATATGCACTCGACTGGCTCTACAAGACCTATGAAGCCAATCAAGCGCACGAGGACATGGCTTGGTGGGATGAGTCCATCAAGACAGCGGGTGGCAAGACGGATGCGAAGACAGCTGAACTCGACGCCGGTATTTCTACTCGCATGATCATCACCAAGGACCCGGAGAACATCAAGGCTATCCTCACTGGACAGTTCGCGGACTACGGAAAAGGCGAGACCTTCCACCAGGAGTGGAAAGAGTTCCTCGGCGACAGTATCTTTGCCACGGACGGCGAGCTCTGGTCTCGCTCTCGTCAGCTCATTCGCCCCATGTTCGTGCGAGACCGCATCGTCGACACAGAAATCTTCGAGAAGCATGTCCAGAAACTCATCGCGCATCTCAGCGGCAGCAAATCTCCCAGCGGCGGCAAGGTGGTGGACGTTTCATCCCTTTTCTTCCGGTATACCCTCGACGCAGTGACAGACTACCTGCTCGGCCAAGGCACAGACAGTTTGGAAAACCCCCAGACCAGTTTCGCCGAAGCATTCAGATATGTGCAGCGCCGCCAAGCAGAGCTTTTCCGTTTCGGGTGAGTTGCCCTTCTATGCAATACCAGCACAAGATGACTTTGTACCTTCACCGAACTTGATCTAACATGCGATCCCAACACAGAGTCTTTGCCTCCGTCATGTCCCGCACCGAATTCCGCAAGAATCTCAAGATCATGGAGCAGTTCCTCCAACCCTTCATCGACACGGTCCTCAAGCTCTCCGCCGCTGATCTCGACGAGAAGCTATCCAAGCGCGAAACCTTCCTCGACGCCCTCGCCCGCTTCACCCGTGACCCACGCATCCTGCGCGATCAACTCGTTGCTGTCCTCCTCGCCGGCCGCGACACAACAGCCGGAACACTCTCCTTCTGCCTCTTCGAACTCTCCCGCAACCCCGAAGTCGTCGTCAAATTGCGCGAGGAAATCGGCAGCAGACTCGGGCTTGGACCCGATGGCCGCAAACCCACCTACCCGGACCTGAAGGAAATGAAGTACCTCAACGCAGTGCTGAACGAGACAATGCGTCTCTACCCCGCGGTTCCCTTCAACGTGCGCTACTCGCTCAAGGACACGACTCTGCCTCGCGGCGGTGGTCCGGACGGACAGTCGCGTGTTGGTGTGCTTGCAGACTCGCGGGTTGCTTACTCGACCATGCTGATGCAGCGGGATCCGGACCTGTATGATGGACCTGAGTCGAAGAACTATATCGATCCTGGGAAATGGGTTCCCGATAGGTGGACTTCGGGCTGGTCGCCGAAGCCTTGGCAATTCATTCCGTTCAACGGTGGGCCTAGAATTTGCATTGGGCAGCAGTTTGCTACGGTTGAGATGGGATACACTCTCATTCGGATTCTGCAGACTTATGATCGGGTTCTTCCGATCCCGGCTGCTGGTAAGACTAAGATTGAGGATCCTGTTCTCAACTGTGAGGTTACTCTCAGCCCTGGCCAGGAATTCAATTGCGTTTTCCTCAAGGAGGGTGAGGAGGCTGCGCGATGAGCTTCTTAGGATGGAAATAGGCTGAATATGGAAGGATATCATTTGAAATTGGACACGAATTTATGACCTGCCTTCAGGTTTTGGAATAGGGAGGAATCAATTTTATCTTTGCCTTTGAAGGCTATGCTCATTCTTGTCCGTCCTCAGTAGAGACACACAGTATGTTACAAGGCTCTTATCCAAGCATTAGATACAATATCCCCAGATATGACCAAACCAAGAAGGATACTATCAGTACATATTGGGCTTATGTTTCCTTAACTTCTTGAGCCTCTGCAAGATCTCCACCTTACGCAGTTCCAAGAGCAAATCCTCTTCATCTGCATCTTCCAGATCACCTAGCACAGTCACCATTGCCGTCTGCGCGGTTGGAAGATGAATTTCCTTGATTGAACAAGACACACTCTTGGCAGTCGTGGTGAATGCAGCAGGGCTTTTGACCAGTTCAGAGGTTACCGCATGCTCTGCCTCATGTAACGTCTTCTCTGGAGGGGGATCATGACTTTCCATCCGCACCGTGGTCACATTATTCGGAACATGGACCTCTCGTTCCTCGTCGAACTTGGCATCCACCCAGCCCCTGCACATTTTCACAGCCTTCTCCCATTGAGCGAACTTCGCGGCGCTTTCTTGTCGAGACACTTGAGGCTCGAAAACCGCACCACCAACGCGATTGATATCTCGAAGCTCAGCAAAGTTCCGCCAGAGTCCCACAGCAAGGCCTGCTGCGATTGCTGCTCCGAGAGCTGTGGTCTCCCGCATTTTGGGCCGGTAGACGGGCATGGAGATCAAGTCTGCCTGGGTCTGGTTCCAGATTAGATATGGTAAATACCAGAGTTGCCGCTGTCAAAGGAAGTATGCCGCACCTGCATTGCCAAGTCTGAGTTGCTCATGCCACCATCTACAGCTAGCTCCGAGAGCGTATGGCCACTGTCTTTCTCCATTGCGTCCAAGATGGCTTTGGTCTGAAAACAGGTTGCTTCTAAGGTTGCGCGTGCGATGTGACCCTTCTTGGTGTATTGGGTGATTCCGACTGCGTACAGCGTCAGACACATAGTCCAGTCCAATTCTTGAAGTTGAAGAAAGTTGAAGACACTCACACATTGTACCCTTGGCATCATCAATCCAATAAGGTGCAAAAAGACCACTGAAAGCAGTGACAAACACACAGCCCCCATTATCCTCCACCGAGTGAGCAAGATCATTAACCTCCCGAGCCTCCTGAAAGAACTCCAAGTTATTCTGCAAGAATTTGACCCCAGACCCAGCAACAGCAATACTCCCCTCAAGCGCATAAACCGGCCTCTCACCAAAATGATACGCAACCGTAGCCAGTAGCCCATGCTTCGAGAAAACCGGCCTCTCCCCAACATTATACAACAAGAAGCACCCCGTCCCATACGTATTCTTCGCCATACCCGGCGAAAACCCCTTCTGCCCAACCAATGCAGCAGACTGATCCCCCAAACAGCCCATAATCGGCACATTCTTCAGCGGGCCCGACGCAACAACCCCATATGCCTTCGAATCCGACGAAGGCACAATCCTCGGCAAATGAACCCTCCCCTTAATCCCAAAGAAATCGAGCAATGTCTCATCATACTGCAATGTCTCTAGATTCACAAACATTGTCCGCGACGCATTCGTCGAATCCGAGACAAAGACGTTGGCTGCTGCGCCACCGTTCAAACGGTATACGAGCCAGGCATCGACGGTGCCAAACGCCAACGTGCCGCGGTCAAATGCATCTTTTACTCTGGGGACTTGCGCGAGCATCCAGAGGAGCTTTGTTGCAGACGAGTAGGTTGATAGCGGGAGGCCGCAGAGGGTCTGGAGCTGTTCTGCACCTGGCCTCTGTTTCAGCTCCGCGACTATGGATTGGGAGCGGGTGTCGGTCCAGACAATGGCGTTGTGGAGGTGTTCGCCGGTCTCATGGTCCCAGACTATGGTTGTTTCGCGTTGGTTGGTTATTCCAATGCTTTTGATGGAACTTCGGGAGTGGCCTTGGGCTTCGAGGTTTGAGACGGCTTCTGAGATGCAGGTTTCTACTGAAGATACGAGTTCGAGGGGGTCGTGTTCGTGCCACCTAGATCGGTATCAGGTGTGAGCCTCTGTCTTTGTTGGGCTCGGACTTACCCTGGGTGTGGATAGATTTGGTTGAACTCAACTTGGTGTGATGCTACTGGCTCGCCCTCACGGTTGAATATTAGGAATCTGGTGCTGGTTGTGCCTTGGTCAATTGATCCGACGAATGTCTCTGAGGACTGCATGATTACAGATAGTAGGAGCTCTACGGGATGAGAAGGAAGATAGGTTCTACTTGCTCATGATATTGAAAAAGTGCAAAGGACGAAAACAACTAGGGGACCTCGTCCTCATAAATACGAACTATTGCAATAGCTTCATAGTCACACAGCGGGGTGCTTCGGGGAGGGGGTCCGCCGCGAGGAGGGATTGGTGGGATAAATGGTCAGACGTCAGGGAAGTTAGAACGGGCTGTGTGACGAGACATCGTATTGGCTGTAGGAGTTCATGCTTCGGTTGGCGTAGAAGAAGCCAAGAAGCCAGTCAATACCGTAGAAGACTATGACTGTGTTCTGTCACTTCTGTGTCAATGAGGAAAAGATTTCCTGAACGTTCTTCGTATTCCGACTTCCCCCCCCCCCCCCGACAACCCTTCTAACCCCTGTCAAACATCGACTCCCTGCATACTGTGGAGTACGTGGAGATAGATCAGCAGACGATGGACGACTCGGCTGAGTTGACGAAGTCAAAGTGACAGATCTGAAGTGGAGAATTGCGCACTGACTCTTATTCTGCCATCAACAACAGACGTCTGACGGTCTGACCATCCTGACCCCCTAAAGTCTTTGGTCTAGACGGCAACTATGTGACTGGCTAGAATTGCAATTCCGTCTGCAGAATTATCTTGGCTACATAGTACATGCACTTCGGTGAATACAGTCACCAGTGCATGGCATCATGCTTTTAACTATGATAACCGACAAGTACAACTACCACCACACCCAGAGACCAGAGTCAAATCCGGAGTCCCCGGTCTTGATACTACCTCCAGAGCAGATGGTCACACGGCCAGCGGTCAATTGTGCCACTGCCGACGAGAAGCGGGGAGTGAGCGAGATACTACCCTCAGTATCAGCCTGGGGGTAGACAGCCGGGCTCTATCCGCTATCCGCCACTCTCATCTCCCTGGGAGAAAACAACCATCTTCATCCAAGTGACACAGTCTAGACATTCCAGAAAAAGGAAATTTCAATCAGGCCTGCATGTGAGGTCTGGCACCCGACGAGTTGGACGATGAGTAACAGAAGATACGGAAGCTTCTCCTACAGCCGTCGCAAATACCGGTAAGCGAGAACTATACACGGACATTGCGGTCTACAGGAGGTGAAGAATTTACCCCACAGGGGCCGTTCGGAATCGGACACAGGCTTCCGTGAAGACCAAACGGCACATCCTACAAACGAAGTCTGAAGAAACTATGAGCAAAGATGCCGATGCGCTGTCAGAGAAATTTCCGCCCCTTTGGTAGCTGGGAAATAAAAGGGAAACACGGGGGACGAAAACAACAGAAACCCAAAAGAAAACTCACAATGGCCTCCCCAGCCAGCTCAATGAAGGATGTGTGCACTTGATGCTTCCGAGTCTGTCCGGATTTGACTTCAGCTGATATCTTCCCTGCAAGTCTTGCCACGCCTACTGGAGCTTGCCCTTGGAAGACCAGGAGGACAAGAATTCAGACCATCCACCACATCTCTCTTCCTCCAGGACAGGACCTTGCAGCCATTCGAGCCGCCGGCTCGTCCTATGAGACAGCGCAGAGTCAGTGCAAAAGGGTTGGTTACACGGTGCTTTCTTATCTGAGCCGTTGATATACCGGAGGAACAGTCATACCTGTTTCGGTAGTTGGCGAGAGTTTCGCCACGGGTAGTACTTGCGTACTATATCAAGTCAAAGGCCCGTCCCGCTCGCAGCTATGGCTACCTGGAAGGAGATTGAGGTTTGTGCAATGGCAAAGGTACACGAAGCTCCTTTCTCTGTTAGTCGTGACAGTGGCTGTGGCTCGCTGTGTACGGACAAGAACGAATCAGCTATTCATCATATCAACCCAGAGGTCGAAAGCCCCTACACTCGTCCCCTGCTGTGGTCAAAAGTGAGGGAGTACTGCCGCGATGCCTTCTCGGAATTCTTTGGGACCATGATCCTGATTCTATTTGGGGATGGTGTTGTTGCGCAGGTACTGCTCAGTCATGGTGAAAAGGGAGATTATCAGTCTATCTCTTGGGGATGGGGGTGAGACTCTTTTTTTCCTTTTTTATACCTTTTCCATTTACACACTCTCTCTAACACCCCAATCATCAGCCTCGGAGTCATGCTAGGAGTATACGCCAGCGGCGCATCCGGCGGCCACATCAACCCAGCCGTAACAATCGCAAACTGCATCTTCCGCGGCTTCCCCTGGCGCAAGCTCCCAGTCTACGCCCTATCCCAAACTCTCGGTGCAATCTGCGGTTCAGCCATCGTCTACGGGAACTACAAGTCAGCAATAAACGCCTACGAAGGCGGACCAAATATCCGCACAGTACCCGGCTACTCGGCGACGGCAACGGCGGGCATATTCTGCACGTACCCGGCAGAGTTCATGACAAAGACGGGCCAGTTCTTCTCGGAGTTCATTGCCAGCGCGGTATTGATGTTCATGATCTTCGCTCTGAAAGACGATGGCAATCTCGGCGCTGGTCCGCTCATCCCTCTCGCGCTGTTCTTCGTCGTCTTCGGTATTGGCGCTTGTTTCGGTTGGGAAACTGGATATGCGATTAACCTGGCGAGGGATTTTGGTCCAAGATTGACCTCCTATATGTTGGGATATGGACATGAAGTGTGGGCTGCAGGGAATTATTACTTCTGGGTAGGTTCTGTCTTTGCCCTTACTCCTGACAGTGGAGTACTTCAGGGCTTGTTCGCGTTTGCTGACAGTTATCTTAGGTCCCTATGGTTGCACCAATACTGGGTTGCACCTTCGGTGGATGGCTCTATGATGTCTTCCTGTATACAGGCACGGATAGTCCAATCAATACGCCCTGGATGGGGATCAAGAGATTGTTCGGGCCCCTTACTGAAAGGCGAGTTGTGCTACAGAGCCCAGTCTAACCGCACAAATGGCGTGCTGAATGAAGGGCTGGGGTGGACTTAATTCAACGCCATTCATGACCTGTTTATGACAATTTGGTGTAAAAGGGGACGGAAATCCGCAATGATATCTATTTGTTTAGCGTTATGCAGTCTAGTTCTTGATACTTGACATGATCTATAGTCATTCGTTTTCTCTCCTTTCTATGTGAGCAACGTGTTTGTCCAGGAGAGACTGGATGGATTGTATGCAACCAATGCAATGGGATTGACTATGAAACAGAATAAGCATAATACATTACTTGTACATTACTTGGTCTAGATTCGGAGATATCATCCCCAGGGATATTCCATAGGTCCTATAGCTGTCCAGCTAGACGGGACCCAGTTGGCGGATAGTTTGCCAGTTGGCGGGAGGCTTACCAGTTGGCTGGAAGCTCTCTAAACCCGTCTAGAACTCGGCCTACATGATTCCAGAAGAGAGCACAACATCTGCAGCTTACTTACTTTTTAACTGACACATGACCCTGTCATGTGTCAGAGTTAGCTCGTGGACGGAACTAGTGTCTGCAAGTATAGTACTCCTAACTACATGACGGCAACTCTACATCGATCGAAGATAGACAACTCAGAGCCAAAAACAATGTTGCTACAGGTATGATAACAGTACACAAATGCGCGAAAACAAATGCCACGTATTTCACAGTAGACACGAAAGATTCAACACATCTAGCTGACAGAATGCTGCTATAAGAACAACAGATTCAAATGGCTACCGCACACCCTTAGCGCTTGCCCTTCTTGCGAGGAGCAACGACCTTGAAAGCAGAACTGGCAGCCTCTTCCTCGCGCTGAACGGCAGCAGCAACGGCACTAGCAGAGCCCTTCTTGGCAACCTCGCTCCAGCCACCGCCGTTCTTCTGCTCGCCGAAAGCACTGGGCGAGACGGGGTCGACAATGCCCTTGTCGGCAAGCTTGCGGCGGCGAATGAATTCCTCCGCGAAGCGGCGACCGTCCAGGGTCTGGGAGTTGGCGTAAACGGAGTCGGAGATGATCTCAGCCTCGGCGGGCAGGAACAGCAATTGCTGGACAAAGTCATCGACATTGATGCCGCTGTTCAACCCCTTGCTCAGAGCCAGAGTAGCCCACTTGGTGAACTCCTCCATAGCTTGGTTGGGGTTGGACTGGGGAGTGCTGCTGGTCAAAGTACGGGCAGCAGTAGGCCGGGGCTTGGTAACGACAGGTGAGATTGGGGTCGTTGCGCTGGCAGCGCGAGGTCCCAGAGGAGCAGTCGGCACACCCTTGACCTTGCCACTGGCGCCGACGGTAGTCCAGGCACTGGAGGTGGCCTGGCCGGCGGGGGAGACGGGAGCAGGGCCCTTGCTAGCAAGGTCGGCATACCGCTTGCCGACAGAGGAAGGCACTGGGGGGCTGGGGGTTGCAGCCGCGGCGGCGGCAGCGGCAGCGGCCGCGCGGTTCTTGCGGGCTTCCTCCTCCTTCTGAATTTGGGCCAAGGTCTTCTTAGCCGCGGTGGTAGTAGGAGTGGGCTGGGTCTTGGTAGCCCAGGGCGAGGTAGCAGAAGCAGGCGTGGCCGGAGATCCAGCGCTGGCCCAGTTGGCCGATGAAGGCAGGCCAGGAGCGGCCTGTGCTTGCGCTTGGCTGAGACGCTCTTGTTCCGCAAGGAACTGGGCACGACGGGCTGCAGCGGCGACTTCTTCGCGCTGGGCGGCAGTACGGGCCTCAGCTTCCTGGATCTCCTTGAGAGAAGGACCCTTGGGCAAGTCATTGGCCTCCTTGGCCCAAGGTGCAACCGAGGTGGGAGCGGCGTCAACAGGGGTCTGGGTCTGGGAACGAGATCCAGTGGCCAGGGACTCGGCGACGTTTTGGCGGTTACGCTGCGCGGTAGGCGCCGGAAGAGGCGAAGCCGAGGGTGGGGGAGGGAAAGGCTGGGGCATAGCTTGGTCGACCTTCCAGACTGACTCAGGAGCGCCATGGGCTTTCTCATGTTCCTGCTGCTGGCGTTGGGCAGTCGCAGCCTTGTGGACCTGCTGGGACAGAGTAAGAGGCTCGGCGCCGGTAACAGAATCAGTCAGCTGTTGAGCTGCCTCCTCCATCTCGGCAGCAACATCTGCTTCGTGTTGTTGAGCAGCGGTAACAGGGTGGGTAGGGAGACCCTCGGCGGTGCGCATGCCCATCTCGCCTTCTTGGGCGCGGAGGGCATGGAACTGACGAAGACGTTCCTCACGGGCGTGCTGGTCGAAGGGATCTTCCTCATGGGCCTTGTCAAAGTCTTCCTGTTCCTGCTGAAGCTGGGCACGATCTTGCAACATTTGATTAACCTGCTGAGACTGCAGGAAGTTATCGGGCTGGCGGGCAGCGAATGAACCAGCATTGCCGAAGGCAAATGGATCCTGGCGGCCGACGTTCAAGCGATCAAGCAGAGCAGGGAGTTGATCCTGGCTGCCAAAGTCGGTTCCCAGCATTCCGGTTCCCACGTTGGAGAGGCCACCCTGTCTGGGTGCAACGCCATCGAAGAATCCGGGAAGACCTTGGGACTGCATAGGAGCTTGAATCGGGGACGGCTGGTAGCCCACCGGGGATGTCATGCTCGAGAAGCTGGGCTGGCTCTGAAGGCTATGGGCGCTAGACTGGTGCTGCAGCGAAGGGTTGATGGAAGAGGAAGGAGCCCCGGGAGGAACCATCTGCTTCATGATGGCCTGCTGCTGAGCCAAATGCTCCTTCTGTCGAGCCATCAAGTACTGCTCTTCCTGCTTGCGGCGCTCGAGCGCATTTTGTTGCTCGGCGGTCAAGGTAGTACCGAAGCTAGGGAAACTGCCGGGGAAGGGAGGCTGAGCAGAGCCAGCGGTGGTGTTGGTCCACTGGGCAACAGTGGGCTCAGGGCCATGGGGGAGCCCGATTTGGGGTACAAGGAATGGTTCGCGTGAGTTCCCAATGCGTCTCACCAGCTGCGCCAGCGGCTCGAACTCAGTGTCCTCAAGCTTTTTGATTTGCAATTCGGGGCTGAAGAAACCGGCCTTGAACCAATCATGCATCTCAAGGCCAGTCCAGGGGCCCTGGATGTTGCCCTGCGGATCCCGGTAGATCCAGCGCATCCTATCCGGCATAACCATGGTGCGTTGCTGCGAAGCAGGAATAGCCGAGCCAGGGGTCTGGCTAAGATCGTGACCAGCCAGGTTGGGAATGGAGCCAACGGCCGAAACGGGTGTTTGGGAAGCAGGTGTTGAACCAGGATGGCTTGCCTGCCCGCCCTTATCGGTTTGCGAATGATCGAGTCCATCTAAGCCCACCGAATCGGATCTTCCCTGCTCGTCTTGCATGGAAGAGAAAAGGGCACCGAGTTTGCTTGAGCGGCCGATGCTTCCAGTGCCAGTTATACCAGCGTGGGGGCTAAAGAGGCCACCTCCGCCAAGGGTTGACAAGCTTGGAGATTGAAGATCGCCCATGGTGCCAAAGATAGGATCGCCGAACCCACCGCCAAACGCAGATCGCTCACGAGTCGGGGTGCCGACAGCAGCACCAGACCAAGTCGAAGTCCCTCCCAGAGAAGTCAGGCCACCCAAGCCACCGAGACCAGAAAACGCGCGATTAGCATTGACACTGGAGTTTTGGCTGCGATCAACAATGGGAAGATCCATTCCCGAGCCAGCTCGTCTCATCGAGCCGAAGGGGTTGGAAGTATCCCGAAGTCCGCTAAGTCCAGGATGCTGCGCCTGCTGGATATCCGATCCATCGGTGTCAACGTCCTCCGGTTCAGCCCGGTCGCCGTGACGATCACCATGCGGGCTCTGGTAAGGATTGGTGTTAGTCGGGCTCGTCGGCTCGTGTCCCTGGAGGAGGCTAGGAGTTGGGTGTCGAGAATTCTCTTGACTCATCAACTCGCGGAACCCAGGAATGTTCGTCGAAGTCATCCCGAAGGCGCCAAATCCGAGATCAGGTTGCCCAGGACCTTCATCCTGAGACCCGCCAAGAGCCGCGCTGCCACTGCGAGGCTCGTCGAATGGATTCGTCTCGCTTCGGTTGGCACGAGTCTTCACGGCATCACCCCAGGGCGACTGCGAGCGTCCATCGCTGTCTTGTTCTGCAAGACGCTCAAGGTTGCTCATTGTCTTTTCCTTGGAGCCGGCCGTATCCTCAGAGCCATCCTTGGCCAGCAAACCCTTGAACCTGCTTTCCCCACGGAGACTTCCATACCCTTGTTTCTTTTCACCTGTGGGGGTACCGGAGCCAGAGCCAAGAGAGAACGCCCCAAAGGCACCCATCGGGGAGAAATTGGCGCTCTGCGAGGCCGAGCCCCAGGGGGAGGTTGGCCCACCGACGCCGGTATTGATGGGATTGGTGGAGCTGCGTTTCAAGGTACCGAAAGGAGAGGAGGGATTCTCCCTACCATCCTTGGCCTTCTCATCGACCTTCGGGTTTGGCTCTCGGAAATCAGTTTTGCGACGCAACAGAGCCGGGGGAGGGGTGGAGGTATTGGTTTCGTCGCGGAAGAATCGGGAGTTCGAACCGGTGGGCGACATAGGGTTGCCGATCGATTCTCCAGTCTCCCGGCGCCGAGGGCCCGGACGCCCGGCGGTTGGGGAGGAGGTGGTGTAGTTATTGATATGGCCCTGAGGATAGGAAATCGAAGACTTGCGACCTCCAGTGCCCGGGGTGGCATTTTCCTTCGCGGCGTTGGTGGGCGGGGGCTTCAAAGGAGAATTGACCGAGGCAGCGAACAACTATTATGCAGTTTAGTAAAAAAAGACTCACACTGGCGGACACAACACCCACCTCTCGCTCATCGTCCGTCATTCCCGTGATCCCAAGAGGTTCCACCTGGCCGCCATGATCCCAGCAAACCTCAGGCCCCGCGGCGTTGTTTTTGTGGTCGTCCCGCTTCCCCCACGCTCCATTTGCAGGAGTTGACACCGTGTGGGGATCCCAGTCGGCCACGAAGTAATCCTCCACGTTCTTAGTCAGGGATCCTTCCTCCCGTTGCGCTTTATACAGCTCTAGAAGCTGATCCTTGGAATACCGGGCGTCCCCATTCCGTGCAGTGCTAGAAGTATTTGTGCTCAAGTGTGGGGGGATGTACGCGCCACCGGCCGTAGGTGTCGAGGCAGATACAGGCTGACTACCATCCCGTTGGTGAGAAGGATTAGTAGCAACAGAAGGACGGCGGAAGGTCTGCGTAGCTCCGTTCATGCGGGTGCGGGACCTAGTTGGCATTAAAGTTAGCATCGGCGACCTGGAGCTCGAATGTGGACGGGCACAGCAGCCAGCGATGACAATGAGCCAGTTTTGTCAAGCTGAAGCTACAATAGCACCGAGAAGACTGAATGGTGTTGACATACCATTCTCCGCCAGTCGAACCATCCCCCCTCCGGCTGGGGTCCTGGGTGTTGCCGGCAGCGGCCGAAGCGAAACTCGATGGAAGTGGTGTAGGCATTGTAATAGAGGCTATTATGGTCGGATGTTAATTCCCAACGTAATAACCGATTCAGAGATGTTTGTCGCGAGACCTGTGGCGGGCTAGCAAGCAAATGTGTGATGCGAGCGGATGAAGTCGCAAGCACGAGATTGAAAATTTGGGGTGGAGGTGTGAAGTTGAGAGCTAGAAGCTAATCAATTCAGAAGGTAGAGAGCTGTGAGAGAGGTAATGCAGATATGCGAGCGCCAGACTAACAAGGTCGAGAAAGAAGAGAGATCGAGTTTCGATTTCGCTTGGGAAGTTTCCTGGGCAAAATTGATTAAGCGGTGGGCGTGGCAATACGCGTACCTCGTTGTAAATACAGTGTATCCAATGTTCGGTTGTCGCGTGATCCGCCGCTTGAGAGGACTCAGTGCGGCGTATTTATGGAACGAAAATTACATTCTGCCAAGAACGGGTACTAGATACACGCACAACACTGTGTCTTCACTGCCCGACTATTCTACTTGTGTACTTTGCATCAACTTCACTCACTTCTCTACTAAAGGGGAGGATGCTTTATATGACAGAATTTGAAATAAACTGCAAACACTGAACCCATGTTTGAGCTCAAACTTTTCTCCGTCAAAACCCTAAAGGCTATAGAGAGGGACGACATATGCAGTACTGAGGTGGCTTGACGCAAGCAGAGTGAAGTGGAAACAAAGAAATAGACGTGTAAGGCCCCACTACAGCCACGTTCTTATTTTGATTGGCAACTTAGCTGCTTTCGAACACCTCACATCGCCATGAAAACTACGAGGTTTGTTTGAACGAACTTCCTATGTCTCTTTCATAAAGACAGAGACAACAGACTGGAAGGACGTGTTCCACAGATGCAAGAGAAGGGGGCCATGAGATGCATAACCCATACATATCCCTTTCTCCCCAACTTCTGCAATGCTGGGCAATCCTCCCCTGTCTCAAAAACAGTTTCAACGGTCTAATGTGTCTTTAAATTCAGCCTGGGATTGTGTTGGACAAAGAATCCCATTCTCCGTTGTGCCTGTTAGTAAGGCTGGATCATTGTGTCGCCCTTTGTAGAGCTACTGACCTGCATGCGGCATATCCTATCTGCTATGCTTCATTCTATACTCACTACAATGCTTTGATTAGCTGACTCTGCTGAGATCAAGTCACACAGAAGCAACACAAAACAGCACAATGAATGTCTTGGTCCAAATCGATATGATGGGCTCAGTGTTAGAGGTACACGGCTCTTGTCAAGACTCTATAAAGATCACATCTCGTCTGCGGCAATTTCCTCTTTACAGTTCTTTCGCTCCAAGACAATCTACTCAGCTTCCTATGAACCTTAAGTTCTCCAACACATCAAAAGCTATCTTCTTCTAGGAGATTGTCCCGTGATCAAAGAAGATGAGGCGTTCCAGACTCACTGGACGATCCAAACCTAAAGACACAGAATTTGGATGGTACTTCGCCGGCGAGCCAATGGACAAAAAGCAGTCTAGAGGCGGGCGGATCAAGCTGGTTCGTTACGGGCCGGAGGTGGAAGTCTGTGCCCACAGCCGATGCCCATCGCCATCGCGCGCTCCGGAAAAGCCATCTTGCACCTGCCACGATCGATGTGAGCATCACTTGAATCGGACACGGTCCCCTTCACCAAACAGCAGTGAATATTTTGGCTACGAGCCTATCAGAAGATGCTGTGGTGGATGCCACGCTATCATATATGAGTCTGGTCCTTCTCCACATGCAGAGAAAGCACCTTGCTCATGCAACAGCCGGTGTGAGCTGCACTCGAACGAGAACCGTTCATTCGTGCCCAACAGCAGTGAATCATCCAGCTCCGAATCCATGATAAAATGCTGTGGCGGCTGTCAGTCATCGACACGCGAGCGTCGTTCCCCCGAGACCCGTCCCACCACGCCGAACAGCAGTGATTATTCAGACTATGACTTCCCTCCCAGAAGACGCCGCGGCCACCGCACCTCGAAGCGCGAGTCTGAAAATGCTCCCCAGCCAGACAGCTGCCGATGCGAGGTTCACACACCCCCTAGCACACCCCCCACAGCAAGTCCGAAGTACATGTCCGCTCGCACGTCTTTCGCGACGTCGCCCCGCCTAGTCCCGATAATCAACAAAAATGCTCACCATCACTGTCGCAAAGCGTCTTACTGCGAAACCCATCCTGAGCGCTGTCGTGCGCGGACTTCTACCCCTTTACCTATGCCAAGAGCAACGCCGACACCAACTCGCTCTGCCCATTTCAGTGAACCCCCGCCGAATGGTCGTAGCTCTCGCAATAAACACACTCAGCCGAGAAGTACAACCAAGCGGCCTGCTTCTCCGTCCAAGCAGATGCCAATTCTAAGGACTATGCCTTCTTCGAAGTCTGAAGGCCACCGGCCAGAGCACCAGCATCGCAGTTACTATTACATGGACGGGTATCATACCGATGACGCTGGCTATTACACCACTTATGATGATGACTCTGCGTCTGAGACTTCCAATATGGCTGCCTCTGGCTTCGATGCACATGCGGATGAGTCGCTCTGCATGAATTATCACCGCTGTCGTCCGAGGTTCGAGTGCGGTCAGGGCTGGGTGTGTGGGAGAGAGTGAGCTTAGAACAGGTTGTGCTCCCTTGTTCCGTTAGCCATGCTTCTGGTTTCAATGTAAGGACTAAAGATGACCTCTGTTGCGTCGTTATGTTTGTTCTGTTTTTTTTTCCCTTCTGGTCTCCTGATTTCGTCTCCCAGACTGGAGGATGATTTGGTTGCGGTTTAGATGTCCAGAAAAGCGTAACGTTTTCCTTGTTTAAGACTTCTCTCAGATGTCTTGAACCTTTTGCCTATCACCAACTAGAAGCAATATAATTCTCTGATAGCCAACATCCTCGAGTTTCCCCCTCGTGGTACGTTTGCGCGTAACACATAGTAAATGCGATATTTCATAATTGTTGAGGTGGCTGGTTGGAAATGATGTAGCAAGATCCGTATTTAGATCAGAAGACAAAACCTCCAAAGCCTCAACCAACGAATTTTCCAGTGCGACTATCAATACCGTCCTCGGTCCTCTCAGTATCTTTCCATGGTTGACTACCGAGCCAGTGGTGGCTGATATTCTCCATCTCAATACTCGCGAGGTTCCCCTTCATCGCCAGGTTTTTCAACAATAGTCCTGCGTGGATAGGTTATGGACTATCTATAAGGTACTTAAAATAGCAATGTGACAGACCTACAAGGATTTAGCTGCTCCCGCCAGACGAATAGGTATGACGGGACTTCCATTACCCCCGGGCTGAAGGTATGACCTCAAGTGATATATATTGAGGACCTATGGCGCTGGGCGAACATGGCCCACATGGATTCAGACGGGATAGGTACCATTGGAATTGTTGAACTCAGAATTGAGAATTCACGCATTCTGTCAGGGACCTGCAACTGATTACCTATCCTATCCAGTCCTCTGCTAGATAGAACTACCTGTGCCCTCGGGCATTCGGCCCCAGACACGCTGCCATACGCAATCAACCTTGAGACCTCGGCTATCGATAAGCATCTCATCTAAGCGTCCCCGCACGTCCAAGTCGAACTATGTCAAGCTCCATTCATCCTGATAAACCCTTTGTCGAACATAATCAATATCTAATACACTCAAAATGTCGAAAGCAATCTACATATCCCCAATTGATGGCAAACCCGGCAAGCCCGGCCAGGTCTACTACCCGCTCTCCCTGCGCACCGTGCCCAAGCCTTCCCCGCAAGGGGGTGAGCTATTGGTGAAAATGATCGCCGCCGCGCTCAACCACCGCGACGTTTTCCTTCGCCAACACCTCTACCCAGGCGTGACTTTCGATGTGCCCCTGCTCGCAGATGGAGTCGGTATCGTTGTCGGAGCCGGCCCTGACGTTCCCAACGCGGATAAATGGCAGGGCAAGCGGGTGATCCTGAGCCCCGGCACTGGCTGGAAGGATTCGCCGGATGGGCCAGAAGAGGCGACCGGATACCGGATTTTGGGAGGCACAAAGTTCTTGGATAAGGGAACGCTGCAGGAATATGTGACTATGGAGTACTCAGAGGTCGAGGAGGCCCCCGAGCATCTCTCGGATGCCGAAGCGGCGGCTCTGCCCCTGACCGGCTTGACGGGGTGGAGAGCCCTGATCTCCAAGGCTGGTGAGCGGAACTCTGGAAAGGGTGCTGCTGTTTTGGTTACGGGTATTGGTGGTGGTGTGGCTCTGATGGTGCTGCGATTTGCTGTTGCCAGGGGTGCGCACGTCTTCGTGACGAGCTCGAGCCAGGAGAAGATCCAGAAGGCTATTGAGCTGGGTGCTGCCGGTGGAGTTAGCTATAAGGAAGAAGGTTGGGAAAAGAAGCTGTTGGGTATGCTCCCTGCTGGTAAGAAGAACTTCGATGCCATCATCGATGGTGCTGGCGGTGATTCTGTTGAGAAGTCTGTCAAGCTGCTCAAGGTGAGTGCTCTAGCTGCATATATGTGCTTATGAATGAACTTACTCACGCTCACAGGCCGGTGGTGTCCTCTCCGTCTATGGAATGACCGTCTCGCCTAAGATGCCATTCACAATGGCGGCTGTTCTCAAGAACATTGATGTCCGCGGTTCCACCATGGGCTCCCGCAAGGAGTTCAAGGATATGATTGAGTTTGTCAACGCCCAGAAGATTCGTCCTGTGATTTCGCGAGTGCTTCAAACCGAGCTGGACGACTTGTCTGCGATTGACGGGCTATTTGAGGACATGAAGAATGGCTCACAGTTTGGTAAACTGGTTATTGAATTTGGCAAAGCTGCGGGCAGCAAGTTGTAAACAACCCTTGCTACGATGTCCATGAAGCCATGATCCTGTATCTCAGGGCTGTTTATATACGTACAAATTGAGATGCTTTGTGCAGCAAGTACGAGTTTCGCTCCTTCCTCGGCTCACTGACCCAACACGACAGCACAGTCTGGAAATCCTTTGCATCTTCAACCTGCACCACATTATTGTCACTCATCTCATATCTCACATCCAACTGAGTAATTGAAGCTCCAATACGCTCATTATATAAGCACCTTCGCATTCATTCCAGTCCGACCCAACCATGACCTCAAAGAAAGAGCGTCCCGCCGCCCGACAAGTCCTCTCCGTTTCACGCGGACATCAGAATGCTCCCCGCGTGATGTCTGATTCCCGGTCTTTACTTGATGACCCTTGGGATGAGGGTAGTTTCCAGGTATTGTCATAGGAAACAATTGACTTTATAATTCATCCTTCGATCGCTAACAGTCAGCCAAGTCCACAGACGCCACTCATTATGCTCTGCAGACCCTCAACAAACACATCGAGCGACGACTCGCAAAGGTGCAAGCCAACACCATCCGCCTGAAGCGCGAACTATGGCTACTCCAGCGACATATCAAAGAATTCCGCCATCCCCTGTTCGAGAACTGGGAAGCTGACGTGCTTACCCGTCTGATCGAGGTCGCACACGCCCAGCAGTATCAGAAAGCACCAAGTGGACTTGTGATCGGACAGCCGACATTTGCTGAAAGGGAAAAGCTCACCCAGACATACATAAGTGCGGCGAAGGGAATCCGCCTAGCGACTCTTCGTAAACTCGGTCTGTCGGAGAAGTACCATCAAGCTTTGCAGCGATACTCAGAGGTGAGTGCTTTTGGCTTGGCTCTATGTACTTTGCCTGAGTTAGCCCTAACATGGAACAGGTCGCGCCTTATCGAAGTTCGCGTCCCTATCAGACCGAGTTCACGTTCGCCAAGTGGCTGATTGAGGAGAAGGAGAATAGGCCAGAGCTGTATGAATTCTGGTCGAAGCTTTTCCCAGTTTGCTACAATCGCAGCATTGACAAGAGTGCGGCTATTTTCTAGTGGCATGGGGAGGACAGTCTCGGTATCCCTTCTTGTCTCTCTGTCATCCGCTTGATGTTTGTTTGGAGAGAAGATCCAACAAGGGCTTATTATACATACGCTGTCGCTCTACCGTTGGTGCATGTTATTTTCTAGAGGTTTGTGGGACCTTGCTCTGCGTTTCTGCGTTTCGGTCTCATTCTGCTTCTCACTCTCGCTCGTCTCAGCCTGTCATGTGCATATTCAGTCTTTCCTTGTCGCTGGCAAATCAAAGCCAATTCCAACTATTGTATGTTTCTCCTAGACACCTCGCAGTCTTCCGGCGCAGCCTTACCATTACTTGAGCTAGTAGATGATCGCCCAAGCTAACAGCTCAGCCTCTTGCAATGATCGACAGTTTAGATGTCACCTATCACGCAGGATTACCACTGTTACATCGGCAGAACAATAATAACCACCTATAGACGACGAACCTCCCGCCGGACAATGCCCTCGTATATGCCCTTGTATGCCGAACCGCGCAGATCCACATAGCCAGTCCGGTCCTCCAACAATCCACGGTCTGTCGCCCAGCGTCCTCAATCCGCAGTCTGCATCTACAAGTCCCGCCAGTGCCACTACCGAACACGAAAAGACGAACAGATTTCAGATACAAAATCATCAGCCAAGGACCACATGACGTAGCGAACAAATCCCGAATCACAACACCCCCCTATCAGAGGCTCAGAGCGCAGTAAGTAGTAGCCAATGAACAACTCACCGGCTAATTATAGCACACCGCATCGAGGTGCTAGATGTTAAAGTTTGAGACAGCTCTAGCTAAGCCTCTAAATACTCCGTATTCCGCACTTTCGCTGCAATAACGGTCGGCTTGGCAAGCCAGCGCCTGATCGTTTTCCAACTTATACGCAGTACGCGATATCCTGAAGATGTCTGTGGGCCTGGTGTGTGCAGAGTTATGCTATCATTGCTATGCTTAGCTCTCGGTTGCACTGGCGGCACTGCTACCTCCGTGCCTCGTGCGTTAATGATGAAACCCACTTCGATCTGTTAGATGGGCCGACGAGGATAGGGCTTAGCTGGAGGTGTGCATATCCACCTCCAGGGCTCCAGGGCTGCTAGGTAGCCTGGTACGGAGTACGGAGTACAAGATGGAGTTATTGTACAAGTACCCCTACATAGAAGGTGGTTAGGTAGTACCACCGGAGTATTCTCGCTAAACTCAAGTCGACCGCACTCAATCCATGAAACTGCAGAACCATTCGTTCATTAACTAATGGAACCCCCACGCCCAATCTTGGAAGTCAGTGACGATAAGATTGATAAATTGGAAAAAGAAAAAAAAAGTTAAAGGCCGAGGATAGCCGAACCAGTCACTGTGCTGCATTGGCGCAAACCACTCGATTTAGGGAAACGGTCCAAACGGACATCCACTTAATTGACACCCGAAAAGGCAGGCGAGTGCCGCGAGGTCGATTGTATTCGGATCCTTTCGATCCCGCTCCGTTCGGAGACAGCAAATCTTTAAAATGGGGTGTCAAAAGTGGGTAAACCCTGTACGGATAACGGGTACGGAGTAGTCCGTACTTATGTTGGAAACCCGCTATGGCCCGATGGGGCTGTCTCCGACTTTTGGTTTGGGAGTTGTGGAGCGGGTTAACCTCGGGACATAAGATCTTGAAGTCGGGGTGAAATGCCTTCCGAGAGCCGATTTCTAGTTTTTTTTTTTTGTTCGAAGGTTAATGTTCGAGTTTGAATGAGGTTGAGTAGAATTGTATTTGTCGCTAGATTGAGAAGACAGGCGGTTTCATGGTTTGCTGGTCGCCCGACCGTTCGGCATTGGTGGTTTTAGCTTGAATCGCGTACTAGTTAGTTGGATGCAACCAAGGTTAAGTTATGCTCTGGATGGTTTCAAGTTTATGGCTTTATCGGAGATCCATCGTCTATACTGTGTAGTTAGATAACATTGGTGTTTTTGTCTCGATGTGAGAAGGTCAAGCCAGATTTCTATGTTCTACTCTCTGGTGTTAGGATGGTGGTATATACTACTGCAACTGAGTGCAACAACGGATATATGTTTGTGCTTCCATCACAACTACAATGGGCATCACCTACCTATTTCAAGATTATTGGATGCTTTGCAGAGTCCAATCTGCATAATATCGGAATAGATACTTCAGGTTTGATTAGAGAATACCCAAGAAGTCGATATCGCTGTCCCCGTCGCAAAACATGCACCTCAATTTTGAGCCCAGGTACTAAAATAAGCATAGCACTTCTACACGATGCTTGGAACCGTGGAAAGAAAAAACGCCCAAACTCAAAACCTACACGGGGTCACACCTCAAGCCCACAACATTAGCTAAGATCTACAGCTATTCTATTCTATCGCTCCGCAGCGACATCCATGACCAGCAACGGAGCCGGGAGAACGCCCCCGACTCGGTAGATGATCCACAAAGTTTACAGTGTAGTGGAACCTTGATGCCTGCTAAAAATGGTGAAACAGCGAGTCCTGCTTTGTTGTTTGGACTTGTCTCCCACTGAAACATACTCGTTCGATCTGAAGGAGATCTGGAGATGACTAGTTTGATTCGGATGTTGTTTTATGTGGAGGATAGGCAGAGCTAAAAATAAGATGCTGACCTCGGAGCTTCTGTACAATTTCCTAGGCTTACGGCGGTGTACCCCCGAGGTCGTGGTCGATGGTTGATAGCTCCTGGTAGTTTCCAATTGATTGGCCCTATGCATCAATCCGTTACTGGGAAGACATAAGGCATGCTGAACGGATCAGCTGTAAAGACCAAAGCACTATGTACATTGCCATTACCCATTCACCCGGGACTAAAATCATAACCCTCATTCTCCATCGAACGTGCACAGCCTGTGGAGACAGATAGCCTAGGGGAAATAGTCAAATCCCGCTTAGCATTCACACCATATCGAAGCTACCTAATGCAACGTCCTCGGTCTAACTTGGCCCGTCCAGGGAGTTAAGCAAGGTTAAAACCGAACACGGGCGCCTGCACGGTGTAGACACTGCTGCCTGTGAGTGGCCAGCTATGACCGACCCACGACATGGAGTTCGCATCTGCCGCTGTGATAGACGGACGGTCGACGAATGAGGTTGTCAGCGACAGAGATAGTTGTAGGGGTGAGAGCGGGAAAATGTGCGTTTGCATATGGGATCTGATCCGTGCAAGGTCCTGTAGGTAATTGAGTATGACTGTATGAGTGAGATTTTGTTCGATTCTATGTCTGCAGGGTGACTGCAATGGACTCATCTAACTAGTCAAATACTAAACGCCAGACTTGGTGTCCTTTTTCTTTCATGAATCTAGTGAATACACTGTATTTAAAACATCCTCCGTCAGTTATCCAGAAGCAAATTTATGTGAAGCGACTAAAGTCCAAGCGGGTCCCACTCCAGTCCCATCTCACATTCCTCACCCAACAGTGCAGCCCAAACACATGCAACACCATAACTTTACCAGACCAAATCGAAGATCACCACCCGTTTGTCTATCTCTTGTCTCTCCCCCTTCACGGACCGACACAAAAACGTAAGGGTGATCTTCTTCCAGGGCAAAGAGTCCTCGATACCCGATCCCCTCTGTGTCGATGTTTCACTCGTGAGCTCCATGATTCAACCAATCGATACAGTGGCGCAGAGTCCTTGCTCAGCCCTGACAGCTCCTTCTACTTCCGTGTGCTCGCCCTCGCGCTTCTTGGAAATAAATGAATTGAACGGAGATGAGATTAGAGCGTGAAATGGAAACCCCATTCTAATGTCAATTATTTCAATAATTCACCCCTCAACCCGTGGCTGCATGCAATCAAGTCTGGCTCGCATACAGACACACAGGCACGAGCGGCAAGATCACGGACGTGTTGGAGGCAATAGTTCGAGTGTACCTGCATTAACTGAGGGGTTCTTGGGAAATGAATGAATCGAACGGAGATAGGATGAGAGTGTAAATCCTCATTCTAATATCAATTATCCCAATAATTCATCCCCTCAACCCGTGCCTGCATGCAATCGAGTCTCGCTCGCACCCACAGATACACAGGCACGAGTGGCGAGGTCACGGACGTATTGGAAAGCAATAGTTCGGGTGTACCTGCATGAACTGAGGGGTGCTTGGAACCTTGGAAGGGTTTGAAGGGTTCTGAAGGGTTTGTGTAGCTAGGGTGGATTGAGTTTACTCCTTCGAGTTAGGATGGACACAAGGGAGGGGATTAGGGATTAAGCTGTGATGTAGATGCGATGGGCACGACGTAGCGTGATATTTTCAGTGGATGGTTCAATGGTTCAATCAAGCATCGGCTTTGCTAATAGTTGAAAGTGTAATCCAAAGGATTAGGTAGAACCTTGGAAGATGAGGTAGTCCGGAGAGACCGAGATCCGAGTATCGAAGCCCTACATGGCGGATTCATCCGCCTCGTATTCTCTTTTTATTCTTTCGAAAGAAAGAAAACAATGTCATAATGGGTACACGACTGTCCGATCGCCCAATAATATCACCAAAATGGAGCACTTCAAACAAGGCTCCTCGTCCGAAGCCCTAGTTGGTGTTTCCATAGTCCGTATACTTCGGTATCGAGCCCTAATTTCCTCCTTTCAAGGAACGAATTATTTATTTCTTCAAACCACTAACTTGCATAGAAGTTCATCAATCTGCATTAACCAAAGCAGATATCTATTGAAAATTGTGTTCGGATGTTTTCCTGTTAAAGGTAGTTCGGGGGTTGGGTGTTCGAGGTGGAGACATACGCACCCGAAGATTGGCCGATCCTGGGACAAACGCGGAACAGGCGCGGAACAGGCGACAAACTAATTAGATTGTGTGTTAGACCATTGGTTTTAGAATCGAAGGGATAATTAGAATTATGGGATTTGATATAGATGTTGTCCCTTGGATGGGATAGAAGAGGGTTATGCTCCTTGCTCTGGTGTTTGGGGTGGTTGGGGGTGGTTGGGAGCATTGGATATTGCAATTGAACATGAACCGTACATTTGAATTCACAACAATCGTACAGCATGCATGCATGTAGGGAAGATTATTTGATTGAAATCATGTAGAAAATAGCAAGGAAAAAGTGTAAGGAAGAGAAAGAAGAATAATATCGCCGATGGTTGACGTTGATGCGAACCCGTTTCGGATGCGATCGCTGATTGAAGCTTCGTGGGCAGATTGCTGATCATGAGCTCCACTGTCCAACCGAGATCAGAAATGTTGGAAATCATATGATCCGATACTGAATTGATGTTGATATTGCCATGTACGAAGAATTTTGTTATGCACTCAAAATCTTCCGAACAATTGTGTCCACAACCGTACCGCGGGATGTGCTCGTGGCAAAATCGCGGAGTTTAGCTGCATTTGTATCTTATCGATAGCAGATTTTCTTTTTTTCTGTTACAGGTTTTTCCCTCCCCGTGGCCCCTTTTTCCCCATCCCTTTCTACATCGTGGGTGGCTGGTGCTGCACGAAATAAATAAAAATGTGCATCCGAACGGTTGAGGCCTAAATAGGCTTAGTGTCATTTGAGCAACAACACCTCGATTGAGAAAGAAGAAAATAACCTTCTGTTCCGAATATGCTTCGAATCTCTTGGACCCTTACACTGATGATCTCATGAACTTTTCAAGGTCAGTAGTGAATATTTGCCACAATGGAGAATGATTTTATTTCGGCCATTGTGCAGTTACATGCAGCTGTAACAATAGCATGGTTGACGTTCGTAGAACTGCAGATATCCATGGGTTGACGCGCTGCATCGGATGATTTTCTGTAGAACAATGATCTCCCGCGCGGGGATTGGCGCGATCGACAGGGCCAAGATGAGCCGTTGAGATGGGAATATCTATATCGATATATGTGCGCGTGTGTGTGGGATTACTTTGGTATTGCTGTTACTACTTACAACTAGATAAATCGTAGTGTTATATCAACAATAATCCTCCAGGGCGAAGTTGGCTGAAGTAGGGCTAAGTGAGGTGACAGTGCAGAGTTGGAATGGAACCGTTCCGTTGGATGGATCTTCGGTTCCCAAGTTGATGCCCGATCGGGCTTAGGTAGGGAAGTCACAGCCAATCACAGAGTGGGACCCTTGCATAGTCAGGCCACCGGGGACCACCGAGTCACCTGAAAACTGCAAGGTGTGCTAAACTTAGCTCTTCGTGTTTATTAGCTTTTTGTGTTTTTTATTCGGTTGTTAGTATTAGTCTTCGTACTAAATCCTCAGGATTCATTTACAGGAGAGTCAGATGACCCGAGACGAACAGGTATAAATGCATCAGAGTATGTTTTTAGCTTTCTACGCAGTAGTTAACTAGTTTGGAAAGTCCATACTAAGCCTTGGTGATGGGGTGATGGGTACACTCACATGTGCAGCCTCGTGTCAGAGGGGAAATGTGAATTATCATATTGACCGACATGACGACACGAGTTGTGTACATGACCTTTAGGAGATCCCCGAGTGGAGTATCGAGGATCTGGAGAGCAGACAGTCCCTTAACTTCTTAAGGGTTTCTTTGACCAAAGTTCGGCCGGGCCGGCGTAAGGAGAAGTTCGGACAAAGGAGTCCCTGAGATCTGAGTACCGATAGTGGTACTGTATGGAGAACACTTCCAGTAAGGATAAGCGTCATTGGATCAGAATGGATCAGAATTCCGGGCATAAAAAACACAAAAAGAAGGACCCGAAGCTGAGGTAGGGAGCTAATTATACCCTTAGCAGTAAGCAGGAAAGGAAAGGAAAAAGAAAATAATCAGAATGACCCGTTCGGCTGCTGATTGGTCGGGATATAGTAGGAGAGGAGCCCTTCGGAGAGAGTCCCTGTTGTAGTTACAATCCCTGATTGGGCCTTGACCTAGGACATGGACCTTGTCAGAGTCACAACACTCCCTTCTTTTAGTAAAGGACTACTCCGTATGCGATGCAGTAGAGAACTCAGGGAATAAGAACACACAACAACAGTGTACAAAGGTAACCAGAAAGAATCAAATGGCCTTACCGTGGAACTTCCGTTGTACTTTTTTTCCTATTGGTTTCTCCACTTTTCTTAGCGGCGCAGGGCCGCCCGATGGGTGTCCCAAGCAGACATCACCACGTTCTCTTCCTCACATGTTAAGCCTCTTAAAGATGGTCATTTCTGGTCACTACCCAGGTAGTTCCAAGGTTCAAGCTCTCGAGATTGAGAATTATGTCAAGACCACTTTCCCTCAAGCATTAAGAATTAAATTGGTGGATCTGACCGGTCGGACATCTCGGAAAGCATAACAGTCGGCTTTCTAGTGGCTTCCGACTTGGAAGGTGACTAACTCGTTTGTAGATGGTCCGCCTTTATCGCCTCTACGTTCTCGAGACTCGACCTTGGGAGACTCGAGATAATTATAGAGAATTCTAACCAGCCCGAAACCCTGGACTGTGTGACCGTCGTACTGTACCTACTACTTTCCTAGTATGTTAGAAGGTAAAGCGTATTAATACCAACCCAATTGATGCCAAGTCCCCCCTCTGTGCATCCCCCACGATTTCCCACTAGTCCCTTTAGTCAGTGAAGGAGGGAATTTTGATTGGTTCGAATGGAGAAGATGACCAGAAATTATATTTAAATCTGGAAACTAAAAAGAGAGAAAAGCCAAAAAAAGGAAAAGAAAATCAAAAAAAAGCCCCCACTCCTCATACAGTTCAGTTGCACTCTGACCTGCTCTAATAATAATCCATATAATCCTCAATCCTCGTTGCTTTTAACCCTTCTGGTCCCATCTTCCTTGCATCTTGGATCTCTTTCTCCCCCCCCTCCCGTCTGCTTTCAATATATCTATTATGACTTTTTAGTCACACATTCGCTCATCCACGTTCGCTCTTACGCTCGCTTGCCGCTACGAGAACCACGTTCGCTTTTGATTAAACCTGCAGAAAAGAAAAAAACACCCCGATTGGAAAACGATTATATTCCTAGCTATAATACTTAATTTGGGTCGCCTTGCGCCTTAAACCCGGGATTTTCGGCCAATCTTTATCAAACCCCCCGATTCGGATCTAAGGGAGAGATATTCGAAAGTGCAGTCATTTGTCCGACATCACCTGCGTTTGCCGCATCTCGATTATCTCTGTAGATCCCGTTTGTTGGTCTCCGTCTCAGTTGAACCTTCAACGTTCAATATCAAGGAAAAAGAAAGAGGCTTCTTTCGTCTATTCGCATCGACTTTGTACTTGCGACGGTCGACGCCTAGGGAATTGGGAAGCTGAAATTCAACCAATCGCTCATCTTGTCTCGGCTGAAGACACCCATTCGATCCTGAATCTAGCGGAAACGCAGCCCTCTGTTTGGAAGGGTCTCAGAGTCATTAGAGATATTGGCAGAGGCAATATCCTTTCAGGAACTATTCAGGTAGATCTCCTCTTCAGCTTAAGGTTAGTATCAATGTCTCCCCCCACTCCCCCTCCCTTTGCCCACGGTCTCACTTGTTCCCCATCGTGCCTTGCATACATCCTCTTTCGGCTTCTCGTTCTCTGGTCATTCTCCTTGCAGCCGGAAAGTCGTGCTCCCTCTGGGAACTATACCAACGACTGGAGGGAGATGACGATAGTTCTTCGAAGCCGTCGGATAGCTTCCCCGTCCCGCTATTGTCTCCCCGGCAAGTGTTTGTTGTTGACATTAGACTCTCTTCTTCAGGTTCGACGGCCCTTGGATCTTGCATATTATCTGGAAGTCAACAGCAGAATCTGGTCTCAGTTCAGACCTTCTTTCTACTTTCTTCTGATTCACTCGGTGAGTTTCAATTCCCCTTAGCTCAGAAAAGCCCGATGCACCGATCCGGTTCCCTATAGCCCTGAAAGCTGTTCTCGTATACTCATTCGTTGAGTAGCCTATCATCATCATCCTGCTCATTGTGGCCCAATTTGCGTGAAGTTTCCCGAAACACTTCGTGGATCCCAGGAAAAGAAAGAAACCCGAAACCTATCCAGTCTACGCTCGTTGCTCGTCGTCAGCCAACCAATCTCACCTCTTGCCGTCACGAACAAGCGGTGGACCTTTCTTGGACCTTCACTGCTAAGCGACAGCTTCCCTTTATGAACTAAAGCAATCACGGTCGAAATCAGAGCCTGTTCCTGCAGCCAGCCGTTCCTAGTCTCAGCCTTAGTGACTTATTCCTGGATGGTGATTCGAGGCCTGTCGTTGCCGCCATTTTTGTGAGACTGACAGCAACTTCATCTTGTCGCTCGTTCTGTCTCGGAGAGCACTCCATTATTGCTCGTGCTTTTTCAACCTACAATCGTTTGGAATAAATTCCCAGTCATTCGCTTCAGAAGGTTCTGTCTCGTTGCACTCGCTGCAACATCTTCAAGCTGGCTTACTCGAAGACACACGGTGTTTTGGTAAGAAAACCCCCTCAGCCTGGTGGATGCCCGCATGTTTTGCCCAATTCTTCCAATCCCAGCCCAGAATCCTGTTTGAAGCCTCTCAACCCAGCCATTTTCGTGTGCACAAGAAACCTTCCGACTGACCTTGTCTCTTCTTTCCCGTCACAGTTCGACCCGGACTTTCAAACGCCTCTAATACTCGGCGAGTCGTTGGACCTGTCGGACTCAGAAGAGTCACAGTTTGTCGGTGCATTTTCAGACGGCCTGTGGGCCAAGTCTGAGCCCATCTTGTCCATGTCTGCTTTCCAGAAGCCCGCCGCTGGAGCCATTCTAGGTATGTTGCAACTGGAGACCTCGATTTGCAAACGTTCCATGCTAAGACCACACAGATTACGGTTCCACAAGATCTCTTCAAGATGCTGCTTCTTACTCGAACTACGGCCAATCACCCTATGTAACGACCCCAATGGTTCCCTCGCCCATGGCCGATCAGGCAAGTCAGATCTCGGATTGCGTTCCGTATCTGCCCAATGAGTATGCTAGCTCCTACGAGGAGTCTCAGTCGCCCATGTTAGCTGCACGCCACCGACAGCTACCCGAGATTGTGACATACAGTCCCCAGCGGGGAAGCGAAGGAGGCCGAGTGATGGTAAAACTCCAGTGCCCCTATGATCTGCATGCCTCCACATACGCCGCCTTGTATGTGGTCTTCGGCTCGAAGAAGGTTGAGTCCCTTCCGCACTTCCTCGGCTTCGACGGCCCTGATTTCATGTACGGTCTTTCCGCCGATGTACCTGCTTTCCTGTCCACCGGCTCGCCATCACTCGCTGTGCCCCTTTCCGTCTCAATGGAGACCCAGGAAAACTATCCTGCCACCACTCTCCAGGTCGGTGTGTTTACCTACGAGCAAGTCCCGCACTCTTCGCCGCCAGTGGACTCCCGCAAGAGGAAGCTCTCGTCCTACGCCGATGTCACTGCGGCACCTTCCGCTAAGAGACACACTGGAGCGGTGATTCCCAAGGTTGAGCACCACGAGGGCTACCACAGCCGCTCGGTGTCTGCATCCTACTCGCCGTACCTGCAGCCTCTGCCCGCCATGGCCGGGTTCGTCACACCGTACCAAGCTGCCTCCTCTCCTCAGACTGGCTCTGGCCAATATTCCACTGTGTCTGCCGCTCCTCAGCCCGCCCACCGTGTCCCTTCCCCTATCACCCCAGGTTGGAGCCCATCGTTCGGCACCGATGCTCGCCACACAGGCCTCGCCCTGGCACATGGTCTGCGTCAACGAAAGGGTCCCGTCCAGCGCGGTTCAGCGAACCCCACTCTGATTCGCACCTCGACCATCCAAACAAACGCCATGTCCCACAGCGGAGCTTTCAACCCGTATGCCATGTATCCCACCAAGGCTGTGCTCAAGCTCAACGGTGACCTGAACACCATGACCGACGGCTGGTCGGAGGAAGAGCGTGGCTGTCAACGTCGTCTGGTGCAGTTCACCCGTTCCCAGACTGGTAGCACCATCCTGGGCGAGTTCAAGGCTGTTACCCCCGAGGATCGAGCTCCAAGCAGCATCTGCATCAGCTGCATTTACTGGGAGGACAAGGACGAGTGTTTTGTCACTAGTGTGGATACCATTTACCTTCTCGAGTCGCTCGTTGCTGTGCGCTTCACTGTCGAGGAGAAGAACCGTATCCGTCGCAACCTGGAGGGTTTCCGTCCTTTGACCGTCTCCAAGGCCAAGGCTGACAGCGAAGAGTTCTTCAAGCTCATCATGGGCTTCCCTGCCCCCAAGCCTCGCAACATCGAGAAGGATGTCAAGGTGTTCCCTTGGAAGATCTTGAGCCACGCACTGAAGAAGATCATTGGAAAATACGTATGTTCTAACGTCCGTAGCCCACTTGTGATAAGTTACTGATTTTCTCAATCTAGTCTGCCAGCTACTCCTCCACCGCCAGTGCTATCCCCACGCCAATGACTACAAACTACACCAGCCATGGCACTGCTTCTGATTCCGGCACCGAGGCCCACACTTCCAACTCTCCTCAGTCGATCCCCGACCATGCTCCTGCTGGTAACACCTACACGAGCATGCCTGTCCAGGCCTACTCGGAGGCCGATCACCCCAGCTCCCACCTGTCCTCAGCCCCCGACCTCCGATCCATGGTTGCAGTCACACAACCATACTCCTCCGTCGGTGCATACTCTTATCCAGCCATCTGTCATCCCCAAAATGCCCACAGCCTCGCAGCCTCCGCTCCTCGACCTTGGGACATGCACCCACTCGGCCCGAGCGCCCCTCACACCGGCGCCCCGACCAACGGGGGATGCTACAACTACCTGGACCCCGTGTACTCCATGCATGACACCGCTCACGGGCACTGATTTACCTCCTGGCTGGACCTTTATCGATTTCGCGCTGCTTTTTTTTTTCTTCCTTTCGATCTTCATACTTCCCCTCCGATTTTACTGCAGATACGAATTTCCTTCTCTTGTCACTCCTTTCCAAGCCCAGACCACGGCTTGCCAGGTCCTCGGCCATAGTCCCTTTTTTGACTTGAAAAAGTCACCTAAAGTCCTATGTCTGACCCTCGCATCCCGCACATTGATCATGATTTTATGTCCGTCCTTACATTACACCATCTGATGCCTGATGCCCACATACACCCAACCATCGAGCCTTTGCATATTTGATTTCACTGCTGTTTTTTTGTTTTTTTAAGACCTGTTTCTCGCATCTAGACGGTGTCTTGTTCATTCCTTCCTCGGGTTGCATATTTACACGCCGGGCATTGCGGCCTTCCACTCCCTTTTTGCGAACAAAAGATACATTCTGGGCTTTGTACTACCATCCAGCATAGCGGGCGCTTGCTGTCATTCCTTTTTGCATTTGCGGTTTTTCGTCTCGGATTGGGAATGGGATAGACTTGGGTTTTGTTTTCTCTTGGGATATCTGGGTGGCTTGGCCCATTTTATCCAGTTATCATTTGGCGCACTTGGCACAGCGGGTTTTGGATCTGGAGGGCTTGACTGACACATTGAGGTTCGCTTCGTGTTGTAGGGCTTCATCTCTATGTACTCCCCCGTCTATTTTGACTTTCTTGTTCAATTTTTTTCCTCTGGAGTTGATTTGTCACTTTTCACTTTCTTGTTACTTGAGCTGAGGGTTGTCACTTACTACCTACTGCATTGTTCTGGCGTTTGGGACTGAACAGTTGGACTGTTCGTTACCTGACTGTTATCTTTAATCTTACCTGCTTTGAATCTTACCTTTTACAGTTCGTCATTCTTACTCTCGTCTGTAGCCTTTGTATATGGATTTCCTAAGCCTGATATCTCTCACCACGTGATCCACCAAGCCCTCTTCTAAATTGCACTTGGCAACTTGACCTTCGGTTAGGCGGTGAGCAGACAGATCCTCGGAACCGTCATGTGACCTATCTTATCGCCACCCCGGCCCACAATGCTCACATTCTTATCGATCCACCAATCACGTGATACGCGGGGTGCCCTGCGAAACCGGGCAGTATCAAAAAAGGGCAATTGAGTCATCCTTTGAAGCTGTTTTGCTTTTGTGACCATCATTTCCTGTCTTCTTTCACTTTACCACTCACACCATAAACAATTGCACTCCCAGTACATAAATAGGGACTGTTTGCCTCCAATTGGCCCTTCCCCTTCTCCCTTCCCATCACCCACCTTCTTTCACTCCACCCTCGCATTGCATAGGCTTCAGATATGGACGCCATCAAAGAGACCTTTGCCAAGTGCAAAGAGCAGAGGCGCGCAGCCCTTGTCGCCTACATCACAGCAGGATACCCCACTGTTGAGGAGACCGTCGATACCCTCTTGGGTCTTGAGAACGGTGGAGCCGGTATGTCCACACCGAAGTGATGAATGAACCGGGGAGATGGTTTTCAACTAATACCTGAAATGTATAGATATCATCGAGCTTGGCATTCCTTTCACTGATCCCATTGCTGATGGCCCTACCATTCAAACTGCTAACACCAAGGCTCTGGAGAATGGCGTTACCCTCACTATCGTCCTCGAACTTGTTCGCACTGCACGCAGCCGTGGCTTAAAGACTCCGCTTCTCCTGATGGGGTACTTCAACCCTGTCCTGAAGTATGGAGAGGAGCGCATGCTCCGCGATTGCAAGGAGGCTGGAGTGAACGGTTTCATTATGGTTGATTTGCCCCCCGAGGAGGCTGTTCGTTTCCGTGACCTCTGCGCTAGCACTGGGTAAGTGGGCTTCCTCTATCCTTATGACCTTTTAACACATGAACCTGACATGATTGTCTATCATTAGTCTGTCTTACGTCCCCCTCATTGCCCCTGCTACCTCCGACTCGCGCATGCGTCTTCTCTGCAAGATTGCAGACAGCTTCATTTACGTCGTTTCCCGCATGGGTGTAACCGGTGCCACCGGCTCACTCAGCGCCAACATCCCCGAGCTTCTGAAGCGTGTCCACGAATACTCCGGCAATGTCCCTGCCGCATTGGGCTTCGGTGTGAGCACTCGTGAGCACTTCCTCTCCGTCCAGGAACAGGCCGAGGGTGTCGTCATTGGCAGTCAGATCATCACTGTCGTTGGCAAGGCCCCTGCTGGCCAGGCTGCCAAGGCTGCTGAGGACTACCTCTCCAGCATCACCGGACGCAAGCGCGAGCGCGATGCATCAGGTACCTTCACCCGCGAGGTCAATGTCCTCGAGGCCATCCAGAAGGCCCTGCCCGACACTACTGCTCAGCCGACCAAGGTCATCACCGATGCCGACACCCCTGCCGGACCTGGTCTCGGCGACCAGCTCGAGGCTCTCAATGTGACCAAGGACGTATCTTCGCAGCCCTCACGATTCGGCGAGTTCGGCGGACAGTACGTCCCCGAGTCTCTCATGGACTGCTTGGCCGAGCTCGAGCGCGGCTTCGACCAGGCCAACAACGACCCCAAGTTCTGGGAAGAGTTCCGCTCCTACTACCCCTACATGGGCCGTCCCAGTAGCCTGCACATGGCGCAGCGGCTGACTGATCACATCGGCGGCGCGAACATCTGGCTCAAGCGCGAGGATCTCAACCACACCGGCAGCCACAAGATCAACAACGCCCTCGGCCAGATCCTCATCGCCCGCCGCCTCGGCAAGACGCGCATCATCGCCGAAACCGGCGCCGGCCAACACGGCGTAGCAACAGCGACCGTCTGCGCCAAGTTCGGCATGGCATGCACAGTCTTCATGGGCGCCGAAGACGTCCGCCGCCAAGGCCTCAACGTCTTCCGCATGAAACTCCTCGGCGCCTCCGTCGTCGCCGTCGAAGCCGGCAGCCGCACCCTCCGCGACGCAGTCAACGAAGCCCTCCGCGCTTGGGTCGTCGAGCTCGACACAACCCACTACATCATCGGCTCCGCAATCGGCCCCCACCCCTTCCCGACAATCGTCCGCACCTTCCAATCCGTCATCGGCAGCGAAACAAAGGAGCAAATGCAAGCCCAGATCGGCAAGCTACCCGACGCCGTCGTCGCCTGTGTCGGCGGTGGCAGTAACGCCGTCGGCATGTTCTACCCCTTCTCCAACGACCCCAGCGTCAAACTCATCGGCGTCGAGGCTGCCGGCGATGGCGTTGACACTAACCGTCATTCCGCCACCCTCTCTGGCGGTTCACACGGTGTCCTGCACGGCGTCCGTACTTACGTTCTGCAGAACGAGCACGGCCAGATCGCTGAGACTCACTCGATTTCCGCTGGTCTCGATTACCCCGGTGTCGGACCGGAGCTTAGTAACTGGAAGGATACGAACCGCGCTACTTTCATCACGGCCGACGATAGCCAGGCTCTGGCTGGTTTCCGTGCCCTTGCTCAGCATGAGGGTATTATTCCTGCCTTGGAGTCTTCGCACGCTGTCTGGGGTGTCATGCAATTGGCTAAGCAGATGGAGAAGGGTCAGAATATTGTTCTGAACTTGAGTGGTCGGGGTGATAAGGATGTGCAGCAGGTTGCTGATGAGCTTCCTCGCTTGGGTCCTAAGATCAATTGGGACCTGCGTTTCTAGATGTTTTTCCTTGACGTCGCCCTCCTTTATGACCTGTTTTTCCCTGCCTTGGGCAGGGTATTACTTCTCTTGCTGTCCTTGTTACATATACACGAGTTTTTGTTGAGACGTTTGTGTTTCCTTTGCGGATGGGAAAGCGCTCTACTTTTACCTTTTAGGTCTTTCGCATTTTTTTGGATAGCAATCAAAAGTACATATTGATATCCCATTCTCCTACCTTACGTCTTTCCTATTGGTACCTATCCACGGACCACAGTCGTGCTCGCAGACATACCGTCGAGTTACTTCACGTTTCCAACTACGACAGCCCAAGCCCTAACAAACACTCTTTTCAGAGACCCAAGCTCTAGAATAAATTCAATATTGTATCATGCTCACAAACCAAAAGAGTAAAAAAAAAAACAAACAAGTAAAGAGATAGGAGTATATGCAATTGATATCAACAAAGCACACTAAAAGCAACCCCGTAGCCAAAAACCAAAGCCAAGTCCAAGTCCAGACTCAACACACAGCACACTCATGCATCAATAAGGTTCTCATGCGAGTTATCACGGGTATCCTTGTTAGGAATCTTGCGTGCATGGCGGGCATAGAACTCGTCAAGAGTGCGCTTGGGAACACGGTTGAGGAGTTCCTTGGGGTAAATGCGGAGGAGGTTCCAGGCGAGGTCAAGGGATTCTTGGATGGTGCGCGACTCGTAGGGAGACTGGCTGATGAAGGTTCGCTCGAATTTCTCGAGGAATTCGAGGGAGAGCTTGTCTTCGGAGGAGAGAGCTTCTTCTCCGACGACGGCTTTCATGGCGGCTGGTTGCGGGTATTAACGTTAGCTGGTGCGGTGGAAAGTGGGGGGAAAGAAGGGGATTTTTGCTTACCGGCGTCGCGACCAATGGCGTACTTGGCGTATAGCTGGTTGGAGACGTCACCGTGGTCCTTGCGGGTGCGGCCCTCGCCGATGGCAGACTTCATCAGACGGGATAGCGAGGGGAGGACATTGATTGGTGGGTAGATACCGCGGTTGTCGAGCTGACGATCGATGAAGATTTGACCTTCGGTAATGTAGCCGGTCAAATCGGGAATTGGGTGGGTGATATCTGTATAGATAGATTAGTGCTGTTCAGGTTGTTCGGTTGTTTGGTAGAAGGACGAACCATCGTTAGGCATGGTCAGAATAGGAATCTGTGTGATAGAACCGTTACGGCCCTCGACTCGTCCAGCACGCTCGTACAGGGTGGACAAATCCGTGTACATGTAACCGGGGTAACCACGACGACCGGGGACTTCTTCTCTGGCAGCGGAAACCTCACGCAGGGCATCACAGTAGGCCGACATATCGGTCATGATAACCAGGACGTGCTTCTCGAGCTGGTAGGCGTAGTATTCGGCGGTGGTCAGGGCAAGACGTGGAGTGATAATACGCTCGATAGTAGGGTCGTTGGCCAAGTTCAGGAACAAAGTAACACGCTCCATACTGCCGTTCTCCTCAAAGTCGCGAGTGAAGAAACGGGCAGTCTCCATGTTGACACCCATAGCGGCGAAGACGATAGAGAAGTTCTCCTCGTGGCCGTCGTGAACATCCTTGGTTGGCCGCTTGGCCAGACCAGCTTGCCGACAGATCTGCGCGGCAATCTCGTTATGGGGTAGACCGGCAGCCGAGAAGATGGGGATCTTCTGTCCACGGGCAATAGAGTTCATTGTGTCGATAGCGGAGATACCGGTAGAGATAATTTCCTCGGGGTACACCTTGCCAGTTAGTTAGCTTCCTATAGAATTCATATCGGAGTAGGACGCATACTCGTGAGTAAGGGTTGATAGGCTGTCCGTTGATATCCAGGTAGTCTTCCGCCAACACCTTGGGGCCCTTATCAATAGCACGTCCCGAACCATCGAAGACTCGACCTAACATGTCCTCGGACACACCAAGCTTCAAGCTGTGACCGCTGAACTCGACTTTGGTCTGATCGATATGTCAGCACATCCGACTCACGAATCATTAAAGAAATCCCATGGCTGTTATACCTTCTTGACATCGATACCGGGGGTACCCTCGAACACCTAGTTGAAAAGCAGCTGCGTTAATGCCTTGTGCGCTAAGGGACAATAAATAGCATCAGACTCAGTCCATACCTGCACGACAGCGCGGTTTCCTATTTGCACGCATGATAGTCAGCTTCCATGTATACAATCGGCAGAATGTGGGGAACGGACCTCTGGCTTCCAGCACCTGGCCACTGCGCTCTGAGCCATCGGGGAGCGTCAAGGAGACGATCTCGTTATAACGGGGGAACTTGACCTGTTTTTAAATGTTGTTATTAGCTTGCGGCTTTCATTATCTGGCCAGAACATCAAGTTCATAGGTCAGCTCACATTGTCAAGGACAACCAGCGGTCCGTTGATGCCGGAGATGGTATTGTAACGGATTCGGGGCTTGACGGAGGACATCCGGGGGTCAATAAAATCGGCCATGGCGAATCAGATCCTCCACGGGCGAACTTCAAGAGAAATAAAGACGGCGATGGGGAATCGAGCAAAGGTGGGACTGGGGGGTTGGTCCAGCTGTCTCGACGGGGGAGCTCGGGCGGTGACGTTGCACGTGATATGGTCCAAGATTGCGTAGCCCGGTCGATTGTGTACGTAATCTGACATCTAGTTAGTTAACTAGCTCGAGCTGCGAGCAAGAACATTGAAGTTCTTCGCCTTGTGGAATCAAGCAAAGAAGGAGAGCTCTTGGGACTTGCCTTACTTGGCCCTTGGGGTAGTGACTAGTCAAACAATAGAATAGGGAGAATGGCAACGCTTCAACAAAGCTTAGGACCACACGAGTTGCAACCGTGAACCGATCAGAGTCTCAGACATCAGACACAGAAGATAGCTCGAAGTTGGACATTAAACAGCAAACGACGATGCCGTGCTAAGTATACAATATCAACGTCTAATGAAAGTCTCTACTTGTTGTGGAATGATGTACACAATCCTAAGCAATTGCCAAGCAACCAAAGACACTGATACGCCGACCAGGAGCCAAATAGACAGCAAAAGCCCGTGTCAGGGACCAGAATTAATTAAGAATAGAGGAGATAATTAGGATCATGCGAGGGTCATGAACCCATGAAAGCCGGGTATCCAACACGTAAGATAGAGTAGAGCACAAGAGTTATTCATAAAGCAAAATCCGAACGCTGTGCAAGACGATAGCCTTGCGATGATCCGATCCAAGAAAATGCAAGCCAGAGAGAACATGAAGAGAGAAAAAAACGCCGATTCAATCCACTATAGCTTGGGAAAGGCTTTTCGGAGTAACGAGATTATTGGATAGGCGCACATTGGCGGTGCCCTTGAGTTTGTCTTTCCATGTATGTCTCTTCAGCTTTCGGCGAGCAACCATTACCGGGACGGAAGAGTTCGAGAGTAGGTAGTTGGAGAATGAGCCGAGAAGGACACTGGAAGGATCAGATCAGTATACTTCTCAACCGCACGCAGTTGAAACTTGAATGTCTGGTGTCACTCACCCTTTCAAAGCACTTTGGCCTCGAGCGCCCACAATAACTAGTGTCGGCTCGAGTTCATCGATCTAGGATAGAGTGTAAGTGTAAGTTAACAACAAAGAGAACCCAGAACAGGGAACTACTTACAGCTTCAGTAATCATAGACTTCGGGTTCTTGCAGTGGATCACCTCCACGGCAATTCGGACTTGCAATACCGTTTTCCGCAGCAGCTTCACACAGGTCTGAGACACAGTCTCAACTGCCCTCACCCGTTCCGCCTCAGCTATCGAGGATGCCCGGGAATCAGCAGAGTGTGTCTTGCTTGCAGTACCAGGGCCAAGTCGACCCAGAATGGTACGGGATCCAGAATTTTGATTGGCTTCCTTTGTCTGGGTGCCAACAACAGCCCTCGCATCTTTTATCATTTTGGCTCCCTCGCCGACCTGCCCTGCTGGCGCAGTAGCAGAGTCCTCATGCATGACGTATATGGCAAAGATGGTATCTCCGTCTCTAAGAACCGTACCGATGGTCCACTCCAGGGCATACACCGACTCTTCACTCAAGTCGGTTGCGATTAGGTATTTGCGCCGGCGACGACGGGTCCCATCACCTTCCTCCTGCAGACTCGAGAAGTTCCCGCGAACAATTGTCCGGATGGAGCGGTTGCGAACTCCGTTATCAATTGCTGACATGGAAATACCGAGCTTCTGGGCACGATGAATGTCACCGATCTCGGCTTCATCATCGGAGCCATAAGGTGTCCCAGCCACTGATTGGATACGAGGGGTGGGAATGTCGAAACTGGTTTGCGGATGCACCACAGGTTTTAACGCAGATTTTCGGGGTTTCTTCTCTTGGTGTCCACTTGGTTTTGGAGAAACTTGTTCTGTACGACATGTCAGTATATGAAGCTCTTTGATGAATCTCGAACGTTAACGTACGTTCTTCTGACTGCCTGGACTTGTCACTCTTAGGTTTCTCGAAATCACTAGGCGTGATCGATGTGATATCCGAGTGCTTCTTCTTCCGTCGGCCCCGTTCACCCTCATGGGTGCTATCTTCGTCGCTCGAGGAATCAGGTTCATCCTCGCTGCTTTCAATCATATTCTTGTCACGATCAAATACATCCTTGGCTAACCGCTCCCCTCCCTCCTCCACAGCTGGCTTGACATAGTCTGGCAGATTCCCATGTGGTTTGACCAATGCTTCGTCTGACTTGTTGAATGAATCGTGCATATTAAATGCCTGCCCTTTCCCTGAATCCCCAGGTGATGCTTTAAGAGTTTCAATATGAGTAGACTGGCCACCAGAGGCAGGGGAACGACCCCGATCCGGGGAAGGTGTCGCACTGGAATCCAGTGATGAACCACGCTGGGAAGATGACCCCCGTGATGAATCTCGTTCTCTGCCGCGGGAGAAGCTTCTAGGGAAGAGACGGCCAGACATCATGGCGGCCACACCCTTGCGTCCCTGGGATCTCTCTCGAGATTGCAGAAATCGCTTTTTTGCATGTGGCTGTTCTGAAGAAGCCGCAGTGTTGTCAAATTTCCCATTATCATCATTTCCAAGGTGAGCTGCTGTTCGGCCAGCTTCAACGGCATAGTCAGATGATCTCCGAGCATGGACATTGACATCTCCAGGGGTCTCCCTCTCGGGTGAAGTAGGAGCAGATGCCATGGCAGATGAAATGATGCGCAAAGGCGATGAGATGAGCGGCTCGACTGGGCTGCGGGCTCCCGCTCTGGATGAATAGCTCCCGCCCGCCTTCTGCGGGGCAACCAACAAGCTTTGTCTGGTTCGGTTGAGACCCGATGGTTTCTCTATTGGGGTTGTTGATATTATTGGAGATCGACTATCTGAGCTTTTGAGTTGTTCAGAGTTCGTTGGTATAGGAGAAGTTCGACCAGTGTGGTAAGTGTGGTACGACATGGCTTGATTTGGCTTCGCACCGCCTCCGGATGTGGGGAACTGGGCGCTCGTCCAACGACGTCGCCAAGCGCCGAGGAATGTGGAGCAGATCGCCCTGTTATGACGATGGGACTGCTAGGAATGGGTCTTAGAATGGTCTGGTCTGCATTAGTATGGCAGAATTAGGTAACTGGGCCTGAAAGCGCACAGAAAAGGGTCAGAATAGAGGTTAATACCTAATAGGTGCAGAATATACTGGATGTCTAGCAATGGGATACAATCTGGACTTCCAAGACTCATATACAATCTTGAACCATCCACGTGAGAAGGGGGAAGTAAGGGTTGGGAGAAAGAGCGCATGTCAGGCTTCGAAGTGCAGCCACGAGTGACACGGAGCACGAACTTGCATATCATTCCCAATTAGATGGAAGGAATTGATGGAACTCGATAAATTCGCATAAATTGCCAGAATAGAGCATGAACTAGAACAACCTATGGAGTTATGGGTTAGGTCGAATTTACAAGTATGGATATAATTATCGAGGAATTGCTTGCCCTACTCCGTATAAGGTATCCCTGCATTACCACAAAGAAGCATTGTTATTGTTGAATTCTGACAGACAGAGCATACTACTACATAGACCAGATACCCAATCGTTAGAACGAGCTTCAAACGAAGCCAAATTTTTTATTCTGACCAAGTAAACACATCTCAACCGGTCCGAATGCAATTGCCTAACTCCTATGGAACCCTTAAACCGAGACGATAAACGCTTGCCATGACACATGAATGCAGAACAATAGAGAACAAACTAGGCCTTAGCCCTCTTCGACTTAGGCTTCGACCCCTTCCGAGCCCCAACAGCAGCAAAAGCTTCCTCCGGAGGCTCATCATCCGCACCACGCTTCTTACCAGGCTGCGCATACTTCTCCTCCAAACGAGCAAGGAAACCAGCACCACGATCCTGCTGACGCTTAGTGATAATAGCCAGCAGGTCATCCTCATTCGCCGCAGCCTTCGACCCAGCCCCGGCTTTCTTCTTCTTCTTATCCTCAATTTCCTTCCCCAACTTCTCCGCCTCCCTCGCCTCCTTCTTCGCCTTCTTCACACGCGCCTGTTTCTTCTTCTCCGACTCCTTAGAATAACGTTCATAGTCCTCAACTTCCCCATCAGCAATAGCCTGATCAATTATCCCGCGGAATCGCTCATCGTCGTCGAGCACATTAGACAGCATGACGGTATCGTAGATGGCATCCATATCACCCTCGTGCGTCTCATACGCAGCGAGCAGATCCTTCCTTTCCTCGTCTGAGTTTTGGTATTTCTTCTGGAAGTCGGAGATAGCACGCGAGTCCAGCATCGCCGAGAGCTGTTCGTGGTAGAAGTCCGCCCAGTTGAAGTCGCCGTCTTCGCCGAAGGCTTCGTCCGTGCTGCCGGTGCGGTCGTACACACTTCGTCGGCGCGCGTCGGAGAGAACACCGTATGCTAGCGCGATCTGCTGGAATTTTGCGTTGGCTTCGGCGCGGGCATCTTCGCTCACCTTGTCTGTGCTGGAGTTAGTAATTTGTGTGATTCTGGGCTTTGGGGTTGCATACCGGGATGGTTTCGCAGGGCGCTCTTTTTGTATGCGGTTTTGATGGCTTCTGGTGTCGCATCGGATGCAACGCCTAGAATCTTGTAGAGGTTTTCCTCGACAGAGGGCATTTCTTCGTCCGAGGCATGGTTTTCAGGCTTCGCGTTCTTCGCCATTGCAGGGTTTGATGGCCCGGCAGGTGTCCAATGTTATCTGGGATAATACAACGGGAAATAGCGCGCAATTGAGATAGATCACGCCGGATAGGATTCGAATTGATAAAGGGCAGGTAAAAGTGGCGGCGACACGAGCATGAAATTACTCCAATATGGTAGGAACACGCGATTTGGACGCGACGGCCCATTTGCGTCATTTTGCAACCTCTCCCCGCCTTGCCCAATCAACCCACTGTCAAGACTCCGAGCTCATTGACGGCGCCACTTCACTCTCCACGAACTACATAAGCTGCAGAAATTATCATATTCTCATCTAAAAGACAAATTCACAATCTACATCTACGTCTACAAGACCTACCACGCCATCCTCTCAGACCAAACCAAGTTACCAACCAACCCGATTGCCCATTACCATAACTCACCATGCCGACAAACACCTCCCCTCACCTCCCCTACCTAAAACAATGCCTCACCCTAGCGGAGCACTCACCCCCAAGACCAACCAACTTCCGAGTCGGCGCACTCCTTCTCTCCCGCAAAGACGACGACCCCACCTTCGCAGACGACCGGATCCTCTCAACAGGATACACAATGGAGCTAGCGGGCAACACACACGCAGAGCAATGCTGTCTCTCCAACTACGCCGCAGTGCACAAAGTGCCCGACGAGCAAGTCGGCGACGTGCTCCCCGTCGAGCCAGGCCGGAAACTCGTCATGTATGTGACTATGGAGCCGTGCGGGAAGCGGCTGTCTGGGAATGCGCCGTGTGTGCAGCGCATTACGCGGACGAGGGAGGGTAGTCAGGAGGGGATTCATAAGGTTTATTTTGGTGTTAAGGAGCCTGGCACGTTTGTTGGGGAGTCGGAGGGTTGCCAGATGTTGACGAAGGCGGGGATTGAGTGGGAACATGTTGGGGGGTTGGAGAGGGAGATTTTGACTGTTGCTTTTGCGGGGCATGAGAATGCGGAGGAGGAGGTTAGGGCTGCGTTGGAGGGGAAGGAGAAGGGGGGTAGTGATGGGGGTGGTGAGCAGAGGCAGAGTCAGGCGGATATGCCGAGGAATCCGAAGAAGAGGATGATGGAGGGGGAGACTCCTATCTATCTATGATGGTGTGGGGGCAATAGACTCAGTCAAAAGTGACATTGCAGGAATCAATAGGTAGTCAACCCTTTCATCAACATCCTTCTTCGTTGGTAGAAGGCCGTCTTCGAGATTTGGGCAACGGCATAGGATGTTGAGGATTAGCCCTGAGCAAAACAATGAGAGCATTACAAATGCACACTCCAAGTTAAGAGCTCGATGCCATACTGCGTAGTGCACCAGAAAAATCCATCAAAGGCAGGAATACAAGAACGCGTCTTATCTGTATACACGTGACCATCAACCAGACTTCCAATGCCCGTCTCAACATCCAGTTCTGATACTTCTGAATACAACTCTGGTATGATTTTGAATATCTCCGTGACAAACTACTAAGATTAAACATGACCCAATGTCGACAGACGAAAATGAGAGCCTCACTTTCTACCCTGCATTCTGCTTCAAAGCATCACCAACGCACTTTGCCTGGGTGAAAATGGGTGCAGCCGATGTGCATCGTCTCCGAAGATCGCCTCAGTTTGTGGGTATGTGATTTGATTTCTCCCTTTACATATTCGACTTTACAAGCATTACTTTCCCTCAAGATCGACGCCCCTGGTGTGCGTCTAACCCTTCCCGGGGCTATTTATCGTCAAGTCTTGAAAAGATGCGTTAGCGTGAAGAAGTTCTATTGATATCTTCCACCATGACGTCTATACCTCCTTCACCATGTCCAGACCCCTATATACTCGTTTAAAACGTCACCTACCCTGCCATTCTTGCATATTCATACATATCTTATAATCTTCCTGCCCTGAACCCAGCCACTCAGCCCAAATCTATGTATAAAAAAGCCAACTAACAAAACCAACAGGCCCAAACATCTTCTTCTACAACAACCACCCAATCCAATTCGTCAGCCTAGTAGGCATAATAGTGTCGCGCACCGAAGTCTTCCGCCGCACACTCCTAACACTAGACGACAGCAGCGGCGAAACCATCGAGATAGTCGTGCTGCAAAAGACAACACAAAAACCCAGCACAGAAGACCCAGACACAGAAGGGACAGAACAACCACCCACCGCAACAACAGCGGTGCTGAGCTGGGCCTCATTCTCCAACCTAACACCAACAACAGGCCTGACAACAACACACATAACCTCCAAAGACCGCGACGAGATAGACATATCATCCCTGCAACCGGGGACGCTCGTGCGTGTCAAGGGGACATTGTCAACATTCCGCCAGCGGATGCAGCTGAATCTCGAGCGGTTCTGGCTGGTTGGCGATACGAACGCTGAAATGCGGTTTCTGGATGATCGTCTGCGGTTTCTTCTGCGGGTTTTGTCTGTGCCGTGGGAGCTGAGTGATGATGAGGTGGAGGAGTTAAGGAGGGATGCGGAGAGGAGTGATGAGCGGGCTGTTGAGGGGAGGAGGAGGGCGGAGAGAGCGGTGAGAAAGAGGGAGGAGAGGGAGGAGAGGCATGCTAGGGCTATTGCTAAGAGGTATAAGAAGGAGGAGGAGGAGAGGGAGAAAGAGCTTAGGGCTTTGAGGGAGGATGGGGAGAGGGTTATGAGGAGGTTTGGGTTTGGGGCGTAGGTGCCGCCTTCCAAGTCTGAAGACGATACATGATCGCAGTCCAGATATTGGATATGACAGACTTTTTCAACTTGAATATGTGTTACACTTTGCTTTTCTCATTGCTATACACGCTAAATCAACTAGATTTTCATAGTAAATGTCATAGTAATTGAAACAGGACATTGATCATGGGATATCGTCAGTCATGCATAACCCCAGCAAGAAGGGGTATCTTCGTATCCATGCAACGCCGATGGAAACTTTTGCAACGAAAACAAAGAACCAAGGCAGAGAGACAGCGAGAGATGACAACAAACCAAAAACAAAAGACAAGATAGACCAAACCAGCTCAGCGATAGTACTTATCACCCGCATACCCATGACTAGACCTACCACCCCGATAATAATCATCCTCACTCCCCCGACTCCCGCGACTCCCTCTTCGATACCTCCTCTTCTCATCCGCATCAGAGGGCAGATTCGAAGTCGGCGACTCAACATAATGCAAATCATGCGCCGACAACCCCGCATATCTCGACCCATCACGACCAAGCCCATCACTATCCGAATGCCTTCCATGATTAACGCCACGCGACGGACTGCGCGATTGACGGTACCGCTGCTCAGCGGACGCACCAGACCCAGAGCGCCGTTGGTATAGCGGGTCACGATCACGGTCACGGTCATACGAATCGGACATTCGGGGCGTAGACGTCGAGCCAGATCCCATATCGTGAAAGCTTGCATCCGAGGACCGGGGATTCGAGAAAGAGCCCGCGTGGCTGCGACTGGGCTTCGGCTTTGAATCGTCGTAGACTTTGCCGCCGCCTGGATGGGCGCTGTAGGGCTTTCGCTCGCGCTCGATGGGAACCGAGGGGATGGGTTCGTCTTCGTCTTCGTCGTCTGTGACCATGGAGACGGGTCGTGGTCTTGGTTTCTGGGCGGATGCCGGGATGGGGGTTGCGGGGCGGGGACGGCCTCGCTCGTATGAATGGGTGCGCTCCATGGACGGTGCGCTGGTGGAGGTGGAGATGCGCTTTGATTGTGCGGCTTGGGCGCGTTCTTCTTCGGTTATTTCGAGCATGTCGACGCCGCAGTGGAGCATTAGGCGGTCCTCTAGGTCCTCTCTTATTTCGAGGTCGCCGATCTCCGGGAAGAGGCGGCGGGGGATTTCTTTGGGGAACCGCTCTTTCTTGTCATCTGGGTTGTTGATTGGCATGTTCCGGACTGCTCTTTGGAGGCGCTCGTGTTCTCTCTCCGGGTTGGCGAGGATCAGTAATGTGGCCCATTTCTCGAAGCCTTTTGGTGTTAGGCCTGGGGTTTCTGGGCGTGATTTTAGATCTTTTTGGATGAGGTGGTGTTCAACGTCGATTTCGCGGAATAGTCTGGAGAGTGAGGATGTTCTGTCATCGAAAATGTCTGGGTTATATATTGTCAGAATGTGCGACTGAAATGGTGGAACATATCGAAACACCAACCTTGCCATTCATAAGGATCATTTGGACAATGGGTATCTTCATAGAACTTTTGCATCTTATACGGCGGGATAACGAGGGTGTTGCCAGGAGGATAGTCCTCAATCTACCGAAGTTAGCCATCAGCCCTCAGCAGACCAAAAGAGACAAAAAGCACTTACCAAATGCATGGCAATACCACGCAAAAACTGACCCAACCTCTTTGTCGGCTTCCCATCTTCAAACAATTTCCCCCAATACCGCTCTAATGTACTCATTCCCACAACAGTAGCGTCCCGCTCCGGACCCTTCGGCCGCTCCGGTTTATACTGACCGCGTTGCCCGTGATCGTTATTCCCACTCGACAAATAACCATCCACAGCGGCAGGATCCTCAGAAGGGTCCAAAGCCGGTTCTCGACTGAGAGGACTATCACTAGCGTAGCCCTGGTGCGCGTCCGGGAAATCTCTAGTGTAGATATTGTCGGAGGCCGAGCTGGGAGGGGGAATCGAACTGCTTCGCGGCGGGGGTACAGTAGGCGGGGAGCCTGCATGCGGACGCAATGATGCATCGGGTTGCCATGGTGGCTGTTGCGATTGCGAGCGGGGCGGGGGTGTGCCAGATCCTTGTAGATTGTCTAACCCGGTTGTCTTAAGCTGCTGGATCACCGTGGCTGTGATTTGCGATAGTATCTCTGGCGACAGATAGGCGTTAGGCCCACTGTTTTGCACTGCGGAGTTGACTGCGTCGTTTATGTGGCCGGTGCTTGGGTTGGGGGAGCGCTGGCGTGACGGATAGTTGTATGGATCTAGGAATGGCGGGTCGGTCCGCGGCGGCTGCGGTTGCGGCATGTTGAGATATTCTCGTTCGTGGTAGGATGGATGTGCAGGTGTGGATGAGAATCCATATTCGTTTGGATCTGGGTTCATCTTGCCCGGTTGGTACGTATTGTCGGCGTATTCACCCTCATAGTCCATATGCATATCGTTTCTAGATACGCGGACTGGCGCTGAAGGTCACGGCTCTTTGCACAAGAATGGCAGCGGACTGCGCGTCGCAGAGAAATGAATCAGCCGAAGATTCGACGAGGTGCTCGATAGAAGGAGAAAGGTTGCGGAAATATTATGTGGGGATTGGCGGGGGGCGAGTGAAACGTGGTGGCGATCGCTATCGTCACTAACACAAGACGGCCGATTCAAATCTCCTCTTTGTACTCCCTCGACGTCACATTGTGTACGGTCTTCGCTAGACCCAATACTTTAATATATTAAAGTCCCACAGATATTCTGTCAGATTGCTAGTCTCGGCTGAAACGTCCTGATCGACAGTCTACTGAAGCATGCATCTTCCATGCGATGCGTGCATTGCCGCTTGTCTGTACACCTATCAGAGTCGCGTTGGGTACTCCTTTATATTAAGCTATGTCATTGCCAGCTGTCGGCTAAGACCCAACCCTTGGAAGGTTTGATCAGTAGACTATGACTCTTGGAGTTTATCTATCGAAGCATGCCCCAGGGCTGCATATACTTTCCTACATGTGTTCCAATAGTAATACTATCATTTGAATAGAGCAATGCAAATATGCAGGCTCTAATCTCTAGTGATATCAAATACGAGCTAGAGGCAATACGCAAACCTACGACCCTTGTCTTCGTACGGAGACATTATTCTTGCATTATTCTTGAAGTGTCTTACAAATTTACGAACATTGCTACGAGCTGAGAGAGGGGTTATTTTTAGGTGGTTGTGGGGTCAACGGAACCACTGATGTCATAACCATGGTACTATCGCAAGCCGACCCAGGGATTGAACTTCAAATGGGGATAAATGTAAACTCCGCTGGGCTAGGTAGATGAGCCATAAAGCATAAGACTCCATCGAGCATTTTGAAAAAAGCAAAAAAGCAAGGAAAAGCAAAAGCGAAAGCAATCACCACGTCTATCAGGTGCGGACACCGAAGTCTCGGGGAATCCTCGATCATACCGTAAAGTCGTTCGCGAGAAATGCATTCCCTCGAGGCTTCAATTGACAATTAAATAAACGGCTTCTCTTCGAGCGGAGTGCGGTCATCGATCGTGCGATTGCCGGGTGTCCAGCCTGGGGCGGGCTCAGGTTTGGGATAGTGGGCCTATGCGATAGTTGTAAGGAGTATTCTCTGGGGCTCTGGGAATAGAAGTCATGATATAAACTCACCTTGACTTTCGCAAAGCCACCCGCCTTCCTCTTGCCATCTTTTTCCACCGAGCCATCGTCCAGGACGAGAGCTTTTTCAGGCGACTGATCCAACCCAGTCTACATCAAAGACATGGCATGAGTACCCAGGTTTGGCTATAGTTAATGTGTTTTTGATCACTTACCGTGTTATGCCACTCAAGCTGCCTAAGAGAGCCCAAATTAGAGCCAGGGACTGAACCAGAAGTAGGCTCGTTTTTCTCCGCCTCATCCTCGGCACCCTCAGCCTTATCTGTAAGCGCAAGGACTCCGTCCGGGTTGTTGTAATTGAGGGATTGCTCGTATTTCATGCAGGGCTGGCAGATCTAAGGCGAGACAAAATGAGGCTAAGGGAATCCCACATCTGCCGGTCAACGACGAAACTTACCGGGTTATCGCGGATACGCTGATTCCTGGCAAACTGGTCGATGCCACGAATGTGCTTACAACGGAAGCACATCTCTTCACACTTCTGACCGTTGGTGCATGGTAGACACTTAGCTACCAATTGCTTGTGGACGACATCATAGCCACTATCAAATATCGCCTGGCGGAGGTAGTTGAGCTGGTTATTCGAGTATTGAAACTGCGGACGATGCTGTTTGCAGACGCAGCATCTAATTCTGTAAAAGTGAGCAACAGAGAGACCCCCGAGTACATGGCAGATACTGACTCGTTGGGAATGGGCATATGTTCCACACTATCATCTATGTGTTAGCGTATGCTTCTCAGCTCTTTCTGGATTTGGCTAACTGACGCCTCTTTTATTTGTGGCGAGTATCCCCGCGAATAGGGACTCAGGACACCCCCTCGCCGTCGCTGAGGCATGGTGGCCCGATGAACTTGTGTCGTGCTCTGTGCTTCAAAAAGATAAAAGATAGAAGTCAGATAAGGTGCCGTGGGAGAGTAGGTAGATGTTGAAGAAAGAAAGAAAGAAAGAGAGGAAGAGAGGAAGAGAAGGAACATAACAGAACGAATGGGCGTTGTATGTTTGCAATGTGGAAGCTGCGTGGGTTGCTCCTTCCTAATCTGAGATTTTTGAGCTGGCCACTTCGATCATCCCAAATATGCTCTCGTCAACACACCTCTTCACCTTCTACTTTGGCTTCATATTCACTACACAGTACCCGACGACAGGCACCCGGAATATACACCAGAGTGAAGCGAGTCTTTGAAAATGAATGCAAGTCAATCCAGCCAATCTAGCCAATCTGTGATTATCTTCTCATTTATTCCGAGGTGTGGAAGATAGTCAAGGGCGACTGGACAACATTGGAACCAAAGAAATCTGGGTGATCTCATGCGGCAAAGGATGAAAGACACTGTCAATCAAACAATATGAAATTGCATTTTTGCAAGACGCAGAGACAGGCCATTACCATATCAACGCTAGACTCCGAGCCCATCTTGTGGCAGGGTGACAACATCAACGACAAGCACAACAAAGACCTCCAATAGACCGTCGAAAGGAGATGTCCTCTATCATGAAGCGATATTACCTCACTTCAAAGCTATGATATCCCTCCGAAAGTACGCTAGTCCTTCCAGAAAGCCATAGAAGAAGCGGGGCATGATCCCCAAATAGACACATGACACTTAGTCTCTGACTCTGCATTGTTGTGTGTACTCCGTACAACATAGTTAGATAGGGGGTAACATACCATAGTCTCGGTAGGGGCTGGGGTTGGAGCCAAGTAGATCACGGACTACGGAGATTAATACCCAAAGTCCTGGAAGAAGCTAATTTAAAGCAACACACATGGGCACAATTTGAGTCCCGGAACGGCAAGAAGAGGGGCATTCATTAGGTAGACTCCAATGCACTGCCGAAGTACGAAGTATCCGAGACGTCGCGGCCACCTTAGCTGACGATCTAAATATACGCCAGCGGAGCCAGAGTCCCACGCGAATAATGCAGCAAAGGACATAGCCATTGTATGCTCCGTACGCTAGGTAGCATTGAGAACTAGTGCCACCTGGGTGACCGCGTATCTGAAGGGATGTTTATTCGCGTCGTTTTGCTGTTGACACCTTCCCGATGGGCAAAAGCTTCCTATTCCGGAGATGAAATGCAAGGGTAAGTTTTGACTGACGGCGGGACGACCTTGAAGTAAGAAATCGAAGTACTAAAGGGGTTTTCCAGAATTGTTTCGGCCCCTCGTGGGATGTTGAAACGCGATCATCCACTGCACTTACCCGTGGACATCGTAGATCTGACAGTCCCAGCGATCAAGGGGTGCCGCTCCCGTGGCTTCCACGAGTTCTGGAAATTCACACAGACATTCTCGGCGGTTGGAGTGGGCCCAGTTGGTCTTAGTGTCGAAGGTACTCCGTACTCCGTAGTGTGGAAGGTCCAAGGTCTAAATGACCAATCTGGAAATTTGCCAAGCGGCCCAGGAAGTTCATGCCGAACATCCTTCGGTGCATTTATCGGGATTTAGTTGTGGTTTAGTCTCCAGAGAAGGGGGCTGTTAAGGGGGCAACGAGGTCAACAAACCGGGCGGATGTTCGCCCCCGAAGGACCTTCTTTTTGGGATTCTCTGGTCCATCCAAGAACGGCCCCATTTCGAGCCAAAATAGCTACTCGGGGCTGCTTTAGTCGTCATAATATTGGAGCTTTGAAGGTCACATTGCCAGGATGGCCCAGGAACCACCTTCTCGAAGGCCGAAAGAACATATTGACTTCCCGGCAGTTTGGGAAGCAAATAGTCTGCTCGCTATGTGGCGAATCCGCGATCTTCCCCCTATTGCGGCCCTCCGCGGATAGCAGGAACGGGCCTAGATGGGGCCCACCGTGGAGACTTCCGTAGACCCCCGAAGCAACTGGACGACTAGGATGTTGGAAGGAAAAGTTAAGACTTAAGAGGCGTCTTGATGGTCGTCACAGGCGCAACAATTGGATAAAGTGGGCTGCTTTTTATGATAGGGGTCAATGGCATTGTTAGTGCATAAACTCCATTGCACTACTGATCTTTGACTGATGATGGTTGGTTGATGTAGAACATAACTCCACAGCTTCACGAATCATAATTCGAAAGTAAAATACTCCGTAGAGGGGAATTGTACCTCTTTTCTTTCAGTATTTCGTGTACTATCGTACGGAGTACGCGGTGTGTACTCCAGGACGCGTCGATATTGTTCTGTTCCCCAAATAGTACTACTTCTTAAATAACAGTGATGTCCACTGCCGAAGAAAATTGGAGACGAGGTGGAAAATGGGGCCCCTCTGGGTCTGAAACTCGGATTCTGCTCGGTACGGGCCTTGGGGGATTTACGAAGTACCTGACGGAGTAATTCCGTACACACTGACCAAATCAACTCTGTAGAGTGTAGAGATTGAATAGGGGGGAAATGAAACGAAACAAATGAGTGTTAGGAATAGATGACTTATAGAATACAATTTATAGCACGGGTTCGTAGCTTCTAGTCCAATAAACATGGATGACTATGACTGGTCAACCGTATTAGACGCAACCTTGAAAGCAATAGTCAAGCTGGGATCCTTGCGGGCCATAACGGTTGCCCCAGAGTTCGTCCATGGATTCATCCATCTGACAGCATTCCATACTCCGTACCATTTCCCATCCCGCTTCCTACGGGTAATTACATCTCTTTACTGTGTACACAGTAAAACTTGGGCTCCATGATTAACCGTGATCGTCTCTACCTTTTACCATATGCATTTCTCGGAACCGCGAGTATCGCTTGGCTTTGAAATTCTGTGGAGAAACACGGATGGCGCGGTAGGAGACAGTTCTCAGATTGGCTGTGGCTGGTTGATTATGATCCTACTGTTATTTGATTGGAGTCGCTAGAGTGTCCTAACTTTGATGCATTACTCTAAATACCTCAACGCTTTTCCGGTACCTATGGCAACAGAGACTAAAACGCGGCGAGTTTTTGAGTCGGGAGTCGAACAAAGAACTCCGCGTAGCCAGGGGAATTCTCCGGACGCTGTTCCCAATCGGAAACGGCCAGGGGAAATCTACCATCGATCTCCCAAGCATGCATCGATGTACCTACAGAAGGTCCAGACCGCGTACCTTTGAACAAAGAGAGAAAGGAACCCGTCATATGCAGCCCACCAGGTACTTAGATTGACCTGCTTTTACTAGTTATGCCGCGAACCTCTGCGTCCACCCGCGGGCCGCGAACCTAAGTTACTAATTATCTCCCACATGGCCAGAAGCATCGTACTCTGGTATGTGATTGGTCCTGACCAGTCAGAAGATCAGTCAGAAAAGACGAATCGAGACATCTCGCTTCACTCAGAGCTCGGATGCACCAGGAGATCAGATGGCGGGGAAATCAGCCACAGGATGTCCGGCCAAACAATACCCCAGTAGACAGGCCAACGCCGACTACGCGCTGTGCTGAAACTGGGATGACCCGTCAACAAACGAATAATAAGACGGTTGGTGTTTGGGGGGTTTGTGTGAGAAACCACGACTGGCAGACAACCTGATAACTAACTAAAGTCCGAAGGTAGGACATGACATAATGGAGATAACATGGCGATGGAAAAGGATCCTCCTTGCTGTTGTCAGGCAGACCGCGAGTTGGCGGTAGTACGGAGTACATCTTACCTACATCTGGTACATCAAAGGAGAAGTTGGGTACATCTCCGATAGAAGTTGACTCGTACAAAGATCGGTAACCGAGATGGTTAGCGTGTACTTCTGTACTTCGTACTCGAGTTGAGATGTCTTTGTTTTGAATGCAAGACGATCATGAGAGATCATTAATGATAGTCGTGGAGTGATACATGTCGTTCGAGGCAACCAATTCCAGGGCTCGAGGCAAATAAATTACCAACGCGGCCCAACCCTTTCCGAGAAGCCCCAGACAGTTGCAGACTAGGGCTGCGTGGGCAACGGTTACAGGCTGCGCACAATTATTTGTATGCCCAACCTCCTCAATTATCAGGCGCCGTGCATCCACAGCGGTCAGATGATAAAAACACTGAGGGAATTACTCGTAGTGATATCCAGCTATGTATGATGGAACAATCACAACATCCGGTTTATGTGTAGAATTGGTTTCAATCCCTCAATTTCGACTAGCGATCGAGAGAGACTTTTATTTTTCCTTTCTTTTTCAAAGCAACTGTTATTACGTCGATGTAAATGTTTTAGGTCCGGGGGGGGGACTTGTATGGTAAAATAAGGTACATAAGGTACCGTTTCCACAATGGGGTCCCATTGGATGAGACGGGAACAACCCGTTATTTGGGCAATTTCTATTGGATCTAGCCTTCTTGGTTTTTAATTTTTGCTTTTTGGTTTATTTTCGTATCTTCAGTTTATTTTCTTTTATCCTCTAATAGTAAAGGATGTATTATTGGCGTATTCGCGATTCTCCTCATAAAACACAGACCCAGATCCCCCCCTCTCTCTATGCGCCTTATGTGTGCGATGTCGCTTTTATTTTCATACTTCTTTGATTCTTTTTCCTCTGATTCTTTGACACACTGACACTCTTATATTCTACTTCTATTCTATCCTATCTATATACTGAAGTGACCTCATTCTCGAAATCGATTTTCGCCACGGTGGGCTGATCTGCAACGACCTAAAGTCGTTAATTTACCGTCCCCACGGCCCCGTCTACATAGGAGCTCAAGCTGTCACCGTGTCAGGGGCTCACCCTCGGCCCTCAGATCCTCCAGTTTCCACCAGGACGGGTCTCCTCCTATTTTGGATTCTCGTTTTTTCTTTTTATTGCATCGTGCCCGGTCTTCACTCCTTCCAGATCGCCCACTACATGATAACCGTCACTCCCCCTCCAACTACTTCGTCACTCCTTACCTTCTGTCAATGGAAACTCAATACTCTGGCTCACACTGATACTTGGACATGATCGCCTGCTGCAATTGATCTCCTACATACATAACACTCACTTGGGGGAACCCTACGAATCATTAACCCCCCTCTACCTAATTGTGAGCCCGTTTGATCGAATCTTTTGAGAATGCCGAGAAGCTGACCTGGAACTCCGCAGACCCCTCCTACATTCTTCTTTGATCTGCTGGCCAGAGCTGAAGAGATATCACCATGACCGTCACATATGATACTCCCCCTCGTGGGTCACATACCTCCATGGCAACCCTCGAGGATCGCTTTGAAGTGATCAAGGAGGTTGGTGATGGAAGCTTCGGTAGCGTTGCCGTCGCACGTGTACGGACCGCCGGTGCCCACATTGCCCGGAGAGGAACTATGGTATGGAATGACGAGATTGGCGGTATACTGCAGTTTCGCTGACACATTCCGTTAGGTCGCGATCAAAACCATGAAGAAGACATTCGATTCATTGGGTCCTTGTTTGGACCTGCGAGAGGTCATTTTCCTCCGAACATTACCAATTCACCCCCACCTCGTTCCCGCCCTTGACATCTTTCTCGATCCCCTCTCCCGCAAGCTGCACATCTGCATGGAATACATGGATGGCAACCTATACCAACTGATGAAGGCCCGTGACCAAAAGTCCTTCGAAGGCAAGCACGTCAAAAGCATTCTATATCAGATCTTATCGGGTCTGGACCACATCCATGCACACCACTTCTTCCACCGCGACATTAAGCCCGAGAATATTCTCGTGTCGACCTCCGCCCCCAATGATTCCGCCTTTAGCCGCTACTCTAACCTTGTCACTCCCCCTCCACCCCTCCCGTTTACACTGTGAAGATCGCCGATTTTGGTCTTGCACGTGAGACTCACTCTAAACAACCATACACGACATATGTCTCTACCCGTTGGTATCGGGCACCGGAAGTGCTTCTGCGAGCAGGAGAATATTCGGCCCCGGTCGATATGTGGGCAATGGGCGCTATGGCAGTCGAGATTGCTACCTTGAAGCCACTCTTCCCCGGAGGTAACGAGGTGGACCAGGTCTGGCGCGTGTGTGAGATTATGGGCAGTCCCGGAAACTGGTACAGTAAGTCGGGTGCAAAGATTGGTGGAGGTGAATGGCGGGAGGGATCACGCTTGGCTCACAAGCTGGGTTTCACATTCCCTAAGATGGCACCCCACGCGATGGAATCCGTCTTGCAGCCCCCACAGTGGCCCGCGGCTTTCAGTGAATTCGTCACTTGGTGTCTCATGTGGGATCCCAAGAATCGCCCAACGTCTACCCAGGCGTTGAACCACGAGTACTTCGCCGATGCGGTTGATCCGGTGCGTCCCAAGTCCTCAACCTCAGCGCGACTCCTGGGTCGCAAGCAGTCCGAGAAGAGCTTCAAGTCTTCGACTCTTTCTCCTGGTGACTCCCCTACATTGTCTTCTAAGCCTTCTTGGTTCCGGCGATCGTTGGTAGTTCGGTCAGGCAGCCCTGCGCCTGCTTCTGAGGATAGCCCTGTCCGGCAATCGGCCGTCACGCAAGTCTCTGTGCCTGAGATTCAGCCTGTCAAGCCGCGTCCCGCAAATCCTAAGCGGGCTACTTGGGCAAGTGGTGCGCCAATGCCAATCCTTCCTTCTATCCGCCCTGTCTCTCCCCTCTCCAACTCTGTCACTGCCCAGGCGAACGTGACCGCGGCGCACAGCGAGTCCACCAAGTCTTCGGAGACTTCTGCAAGCGCAAAGATCGGTCGTCAATTGTCTGTCAACTCCCATGGCAATCACTATTCGGATGCCAATCGTCAAGAGGCCGAACGGATGCTCAATGGCTCCGGGAGCAACACTCCAACCACCAAGGAGAGCTTCTTTTCCCATCTTCGCAAGCGCGCCCGCAGACTGTCTGGACGCAACCAATCTGCACCCACCGATGACGTCGAGGCCAACGCGGGTTGCATCCCTTGGTCGAACCGTTCGTCGATGGCTCTCGACGGGCCTACCAGTGACCCAAAGCAAGGTTCCGACTTGAGCGAGCTGGACAAGGCTCTCCAGGGTGTCAAGTATTCTCTGGACTCATCCGCGCTCGGCAACGTCCCGGTGCATCTGCACAATGGTGCTGACGGCAACACCATCAAGCGTCAGTCAATGCCTCAGGCCACTGGCAACAACGTTGCTCCAATCTCCAGCAGGACCCGCCGTGCCATGCAGATGTCTACCCACCCGGTTCACCGTTACGAGACCCCCGAAGAGGAGGATGAGTTGCTCGATGAAGTGTTGCATTCCGCCAGCAAGGCAGCTAGACGCCTCGCCCAGTCACAGTCCACGAGCTCTGATTCTCACAGCGGTGCTCACCGCCAGTCGGAGAACTCCCGCACACAGCATAACCCCTATCCCACACCGTCTCCGACGGCCAAGGAGTGTGCTACGTTTGGGCAGCAGTCGACACCGAGCAAGCTCAACTTGCACAAGCTTGATCACGCGATGGCACACCGTCATTGGCCCACTCCTCCTTACGAAGAGGCCGAGCTCCACAACAAGAAGTCTGACTACTTCTCTCGCGGATCCAACTTCATCTAGGTGAACTATCATCTTGAACTACATCACATCCTTTTCGATTGCGAAAAGTACAAAATTCTGGCGAAATTGCACAAAGATGGAGCAATCTTGCTCAAGGCGTATGGGTTCGGTAATTGCTTTTCTTTCCAAGGTCTGGCCATATGGAGGGTGTTTTCTCTTTTTCATTTTCACTGGGCATTGGGTTGGCAGCCCTCTTTGCAAGTTCCTCATTTTCCCCTTCATACCCCTACAGGCCTTTTTATAGATCCATCCGGGCCTCGTTTGTTTCCTTATGGAGTCCTTTCATTTTTGTTACCATTTACCAGAGGCGTGTTCTTTCCTTGACATTTGATACCACATGCGCGAGTCGCATTTTACATACAGGCATATACATCCCCCCCTACCTGCTCTTCCCTCTACCCTCTTTTCATCCGAATTATCTGATCTCGGACATGCACATCCTTCTTGATGGATATTGCGCTCTTTTCCTTTTGTCCATATTAATTCCCTCTTTTCCCCCTCACCACCGACTTGTACATTGTCCGCCTACTGGCCTCCCCCATTCTTCTTGTCTATATTTTTTCTACCATTTATTACCCTGCATTTTCATACATACTACTGCACTTATCATCCCCCCTGCCTCGCTTCCCTGTACCACTTGCTCTCCCTCCGATATACTGGCTTGGATCCAGTTCGTCCTATACTCTTGTAATTTACCTCACCTTTGGCATTGAGCCATGTCCATACATAGACCTCACTACATACAATTGAACTGATAAAGACATACCGTTTGCACTTGGTAAAATTTACTCGAAGAATACCTCCCAATCACGTTGAGGGTCAACCAATAAGGGTACATAGTACGGAGTAGGCCTGCGAAGATAGACCGATAACAGCGGAACAACGATCATCCGCCCATCAAGATTTCCTGATTGAGACTGCTCTGCTTGACTCTAGCGACGTTTTTCCCTTCCGCTCAATTGCTTACCAGTACCACCTGACCAGTCGACGTCAGACTGGCATAAGCTTTCAGCCCATCCAATCAATCCACTACAGATCCAACAGGCGCTTCCGACAAGCACGTCTCGCAAATAGCGGGCCGATCACAAATCTGAACCGCCCACCAACAGCTTGAAGATAAACCTCGCGCAGCCGATCTACCGGTACATATCAGCAGAAAAAGACATATCCATTTCACAGGAATCACAAACAACTCCACCACCAAAATGTCGAACCAAAGACAAGCCTCCTCGGCCTCGCAAGTCCCCCACCTCTCGCCCGCCGAACTTTCCTACCTCTACACCTCCCTCAGCCTACCCAAGAACCCCATCCGACCAGACGGCCGCTCACCCACACAATTCCGGCCCCTTTCAGCAGAGACCAACATCCTGCCTGGCACAAACGGCAGCGCGCGCATCGGCTTCGCAGACGGCACGCAAGCGATCGTAGGCGTCAAAGCCTCAGTTGAGAAGACCATTCTCGCGGCCGACACGCTCGACTCACGGAGTCTGGCGCAGCACGGCGATGCGCTGAACCGCGAGGGCGAGGAGGGTTCCGCGGCTGTCTCGGGGCAGGGCGAGTGGGTGCAGATGTCGATTGAGATCCCCGGGTACCGGGATGATGATGCCTTGCCTGTGTTTTTGGGCGAGATGATGAGGGAGAGTTTGGTTGGGTCTGTTGCTGGTGGTTCGGAAGAGGTAAAGGAGATGGCGGGAGGTTTGAAGGGGAGGCTTGTTATCAACAAGCGGTGGCATTGGCGGTTGTATATTGATGTAAGTTTGTCTCTCACACTGCGCTCTGCATGCTGGATGCTGGATGTCCTTGATCCGGCTTCAAATTTGAATTCGATATTGTCAGGATGGGTCAGATCACAGCTAACGTGTATATCAGGTTTTGCTACTCTCCCAACCGCTCGCATACCCCCTCCCACTCCTCTCACTCACAACCCACCTCGCCCTACTCAGCACCAAGCTCCCGAAACTCAAGTCCACAGGCGAAGAAGACCCCTTCTTCGACGACGACTGGGCTGTCGCCGAGTACCTCTACCCGCGCTCCAACAAGCAATCCTCCCCCTCAGACGCACCTACATACCCCGTCCGCCCACCTGTAACGCTGCTCGTGATCGCCGTCGGCGAGAACGTCATCTTCGACCCCAACCGAGAGGAAATCGCCGTCGCAGATGCAGTGCTGGCTATATCCATTACGCGCAGCAGTGATTCGGAGAACATGAAATTGCTCTCTATCCGATCAATCGATCCCCCCTCCCGCCTGACCCAGCCTGGTATCCCCAATTCCGAGAATGTGAATATGCTCGGTGGTCCGCCGGCATCTAGCAATCAGTCCGGTGGGCAGGAGGAGGTTGGTGGTGTGTGGCGCCCGCGTCGGGGTGGAGTTCAGCGCAGTGTTATTACGCGTATGATCAAGACTGTGCTCCAGAAGGGCGGCGTTGGTGAGGAGGTTATCCAGGGCCTTGAGGGGGTTAAAGTTGAATGATTTTGAATTCTCGTGGTCATGTATGAAAAGTACAGTACAGCATGGTTGTTACAGTTGCGACTTTGATGTCTCATTTGACGAGTCGCTTCTTTCCCGGAGTTCGGAAAAAAGCGTTGTTTTCTTATTGAATCGTTTCTGTTCTTCGTTCATAGATCGGAGTTGAGATGCCCTCCAACCGTAGCTGGATCAAGAATCCACTAATATACAAAATAAGATGAATCCCTCTAGCAGGGAATAGCCGCAAGTAGGTCCTACATATGCCTTGGATAGAACCCACTGATCCCGTGGCAAAACGAACATGCCCAACAACCTATATCACCCACCCATTGTCAAATCACCAGATCCCCAACCACTTCTTAACGGGCTTCTTATTCCCCTCCCAATCCACAAATTCCTTCGCACCCTCCTTAGCATCAACAGCAGCATCAGCCACAGGCGACTGCACATCAACCTCAGCGTCATCCTTGGCATCCTTCGCAGGCTCCTCCTCAAGCCCATGCGCAATCCGATACTGCTTCCTCTTCTCCGCGTCCTCAATACGACGATGACGCTGCTCACGCACGCGCATAGAGTTGTGCTCCACATGCATGCGCCACACAGAGAAGGCCCGCGAGATCGTGCCGATGGGCGAGGTCAGCAACTCCGACCAGGAAGGTAAGAGGTGGGCGAAGGGCGATGTTGCTTTGAAGTTTGTTGTGAAGGTGAAGCCCGCGCAGGAGATTAGGACACTCTGTATATCATCAGTTCTTATTTCTTTCTTTCCCTGGCAGATCCTATGTTCTGGTAATGCGAATCTTCTGGCTCAGACCAGCATGATCTCTCTCTCTCTCTCTCTCTCCGGGTAGATATTCGGCAACTCACCATTGCAATCCAAATATGAATCCACTTGCTCGTCAAAAACTTATACATAACTGTTCCTTCAGGCGGGAACATCCCCGGGTATTGTCTCTTAGTCTGCTCGACGCGCTCTTTCTCCGTCGTGCGCGGACCGTACTCGAACGGCTGACCGGGCGGTGCATTCTTCGGGGACGGGGCTACGAACCGCTGCGGGTGCGAAGGTGGGCGGAATCTATCTGGTTTCTCGAGGACGCGCTGCTTGGGCGTGGTGGTGCTTTTGGCTTTCTTAGCCAATATCGCGCTGGTGGAGCTGAAGCTGCGTTGCGCGCTTTGGCGGCTGAGGGCGCGCAGCGTCAGCGCTGATGGGGGGCCTCGTGGTAGCAGGAAGCCGGGGATCGGGGTTGGCATTTTGTTGGTAAAATTGCCGTTGGGAATGTGCCCAATTGCGTCTTGTGAGGGGCTTGTTGACTATCTAGATGCGGAAGCAATTTTTGGAGGAAGGTTTTATATCACGTGACCCGGGATATCGGATGCCGATCTGAGTGAGCCGGGTGACCGTAGGCTAACCCGATTTGGGGAAAAGCCTATGAGGTCACTTGACTTTTGTAGTGAATCTGCACACCGCTTTCCATTCATTTCCCGTTTTGACTATCCTTTTTTTAGCTTCAAGTTGTAAGCTGTACCTAACTAGAGCAGATTTACTTCATAACTAGTTATGAAAGTATCTGCACTTTAAGTTCACGTCGTCTTTGTATTACAGCCGCGGCAACAGGCTAAATGGCATCTGCTTCCGAGATTGAGTCGAGAATAGACCGTTTCTGAACTCAGGATCCACAACATCGGGCCACCTGCGGATCAACTTCGGCGAATGACGAGGCGGGCATTTCGAAGCCACGGTGGACCGGGGTCTGCTCCAGTTCTCCAGGGGGGAAAGGGGGTCGCCGCGCAACAAACGATATGACCCCGTCGTTACGGACATTCTGGGCATCCCAGGTTAGAAACGAAAGGAGTTGGATGTTTCAGTGTAGCTTCCGGCAAATATGCAAAAGGAAGTTTAGTCAGGGACCGGCAGGTCTCAGCTGCATTGGGGATGATGAACCATGAGATCATGAGGCGCACTTTTGGGGAGAATAGAAGGGAACGTTTAATTCCTTGCCACAACATGCGCCAACTGCCAGGTGGTCCAGTATATTCACAGATACATACACAATAGCCCATAAATAAACAAGTTATTGCACGTAGCAAGAAACAAGGAGGAATCCGGGGAGTTGTAGACACACCGACGTTCCCGGTTGCGCCCGTCCACCATGAATAATCTGGCCTGTGATTGGTCACGAGGTGGATTACGAGAGGCCGTCGGGGCCAAGTACAAATAACCAGATTTTCTTTTCTCCCTTCCCAGATTTTTTTGTCCGTACAGTACAGTGTCATAATATCTTTCTTTACCACTCTCATAATACTTCACAATGCCTCCCAAGAAGCAAGAATCTTTCGCCCCTGGTAAGCTACCGACACCTCCCCCATTGAGCATTGAGCTTGGAAAATATTTGGAGGTTCGATTGGGGAGGCGCCATGGTCGAACGGAAGGAAGCGAGGGTATCCAACTCCCAACACGGCGACGATGATGTTACCTGGAACGGTCTTGGACTCACCTGCTTGCTTGCCTATCAACACATTTGCGCCTCCTCGTCAACCTAATGATCACTTGCTCAATTGCAACTATCGCAATCGTTCTCCTCAAATATACCACCGCATCAATCCTTCCGTATGACGACCTTGGACGTTTTATGCATTGACGGCCATCTACATGCGCGAAGCTGCGCGTGCGGAAGCTGCTCTCATTCAATCACCCCCAAAAAGCAATCGACACGATCGCTAACCTCACGTCCGCTGCAGGTGACGCCGCCAAGGGTGCCAAGCTCTTCCAGGTAAGTTTTTAACTAGCTCTATGTGCAGACAAACGAAGAAGACTAACGGCTCTTTCCTTTTCAGACCCGTTGCGCTCAGTGCCACACCACCGAGTCTGGCGGTGCCCACAAGGTTGGACCCAACCTCCACGGTCTTTTCGGCCGTAAGACTGGTTCCGCCGAGGGTTACGCCTACACCGACGCCAACAAGCAGGCCGGTGTTGAGTGGAACGAGGACTCTCTGGTATGTGCCGACTACAATATCCACTAGTCCAAAAGTTGGACCACCCGCTAACACGCGCCTATAGTTCTCCTACCTCGAGAACCCCAAGAAGTTCATCCCCGGTACCAAGATGGCCTTCGGTGGTCTCAAGAAGACCAAGGAGCGCAACGACCTCATCACGTACGTTTTACCGCAAATCCACCCCTGGTCCATACAGACACTAACAGTATATCCACAGTTGGCTCAAGGAAAATACCGCATAAATGACCTGATGTCTCTTTTTAATTCCCCGGCTTTTTCTTATGTTTATCCGCTGTCTCTGGGCATAAAAGTCTGAGACGGTTATGGCGCCGTGGGCTGATTACCGGACAACAGACCGGGCATGTACTTTTATTACAACTTCCATGGTGACTCACAATAGATTTGATCTTCTCCCCTTCACTTTCTGTTCTATTAAAAAAAAATCTCAAGCAGACAGATGAATATCATACAAATTCAAGTTATCGTGGACTTCTTCGGATTACGATCGATTACTGTCCTATGATAGGCTGTTTCACTCATTAGTCCTCCATTGGGCCAACATGGGCGGTCAGGCACGGAGATACTGCAAAAGTACTTGACATGTACTTGCATATCGATGTAGGATCTCTCCAACAAACAAGTCCTCTCCATGTACTTTTCCAGTACCGCCCTGCATCTGATGTGTACAAAAACTTTCGTCTTCGAGTATCGGCACATGACCAAACATTAACAAATTGATTGGCCCAGCCTCCTCGACTCGGATTGGAAGTAGCTCCAAGTGAGAGACAAGTGAGGGGATGGTTTCTCACTCTTCACAGACCCGTTTACTCTATTAAAAGACGTTTTGATCATAGACAATCCATCATTCAGCGCTTAGCCTACCACATCTTAACCCAATATCAAGTATCGAATGCACCTATTTCGAAGACATCTTGTGTCGTTATCTGGAACTCGAAGTCTGTCTCGTCGCATCGCATCGCATAACTTATCGCATCATCAACGCGGGGTCGATCATTCAGATCTCCTTTGTAACGGATAGCGCAGCAAACATCTGTCCCTGCGCAATACTTAACTCAAGTTCCGCAAGGAAATAAAACGCTTCAACCAACACACAACAGCCACTCATCGGCTTTGAAACGGCGCTTCGTCGCCGGTCCCTGCAGTACCTCACCATCTTCGGCGCAAGCGTCGCAACACGCCTTTCAGGATGCTGGATCAGCCAGATAATATGTTCGACAGCCATCCCTCCCCTGGATGCGTCGCTAGAAGACTTCGAAAGTGATACAAACCTCCACAGGTCCCCAATGTTCAACATACCGTCGCAACACTCGGGATTCAGATCTGAAGACTCGGACGCAGATGATGCCGAGATCGAAGAACCAACTCAGGCACGTTGGTCTCCTCCAGGTTCCCACCAGCCTGAGTCACCCGAAGGCAGTGGATGGTACCGGCACCAGCCTTACCAGCGCAAAGGTAACTCCAATACGGATCGCATGCGGCTCATGCCCACAGTCGGCCTCGGCATTTCCCCATCCCAGTCGCGTGAGCCCAGTCCACAGTATGAGGATGCGCTCGAAGGCCCCGCGAATACTAGACCAAGCGATCGCGCCACTCCCGGAGACACCTCTGATGCAGCTAATGTGCCTCTCCCGGCGGGTGCAGATACTCCTCTTCATGGCCGTTCCCCGAGTCCCCCTCCTCGTCCCAGCGCAGGGGACGCCTCTCGCGTTAGTCCGGAGGATGACAGGGACGGTTTTGGCCCGGAGATTTTTAGTAACTGTGAGTGTTATCCAATCTAGAATATCACTTTCAGTTGCGTGGTGTACTAAGCATGGTTTTGTTTTTGCGAACACAGACATTCGTTTCGCGGTGCGCGCAGAAGTTCAGCAACGAGAACCAATCGCAGCGGTATTCGGTTTCCTCCGCTCCAAGTTCGAGCGTATGACAAGCTCCAAGTCTCACACGACCTTGTCTATCATCGTCTTACTCCTCGCTATCTCTTTCATGCGAGCGTTGGTCCTTCCAGGCCTCCCGCAATCAATCCCAGACCTCGTCAAGCTCTCCGGCTTCGCCCGCTCATTCGAACCTCTGATCTACTACTCAGAGAACGGAGTGCAGCAAATCGGCACGCTGCAGGAAACCGGCGTCGCCGTCTGGGACCTGAGCGAGTCCGTCCGCGGCACAAACATGACCAGCGCGCCGATAATAGTAGGCCAACTGGACGAGCTCTCCGACTCGCTCAAATCCCTCTCTCTCGAACTAACCCGCTTCTTCGCAAACGTCGACTCAGACATCGACTCCATTCTCATCGTAATGGACTGGGCCAAGCGCGAGCTGGAAACGCTCTCCAACCAGCCCCCGAGCAGCCTCCCCACCATCGTCTTCGACAACTTACACGACATGCTCTCCCGCATCGGGGCCCTCGAAAGCTCAGCTTCGAACTCCGACGGCGCCCCCACAACAATAACAACTCCCCTGGGCCACCTCGTCATGGCCATCTTCGGACCGACCTCCGCCCAACGCACACGCACAACCCTAACGCGCACGTTCACTGAATTCCTCTCCGTCCTCGAAGAATCCATAAACAGCGAATTAACGCACTCAACGGCACTCTTCGCCCTCTTCGAATCCATCGACCGCCAATTCCTCAATCTGCAACGCACCGTCGTCCGCGAATCAGACGCCCAAGAACGCGCCGAAGGCGAAATGCTCTCTTCGCTGTGGACCAGAGTTCTGGGACCGGACGCCGCAGCCGTCCGCAAATACGAGAAGAACAGGAAACTCCTCGCGAACGTGCGCTCCCGCACAGTCGCTAACAAACACCTCCTCGTCGACCACCGCGGCCGCCTACTGACGCTGAAGGTTAATCTGGAGACGTTGCGGCGCAAGCTCGTCAGCCCGCTGGTTCGGCGGAATGATTCCGTCAGTTTCGTCGGCTCGCTTGATGGTGGGAATGGGAATGGCAATTCTGGGTCTTCTGGAAGAATGCTTGGACCCGTTGAGGCGGTGATTGATGGGCAGATTCGCGGGCTTGAGGGGACATACGATTATCTGCGTTCTGTGAGGGAGAAGCAGAAAGCGAAGCTTTTGGAAATGGTTTATGGCGCTGGGAGGAAGGTTAATCGGCCTATGATTGATGGGTTGGAGGGGAGGATTAAGAAGCTTCGCTTCGGGGTATTGAACCTTTCCTTATTGTCGGGCATAGCGTCTTGTCCTTTCGGTGGGATTGGGGCGTTTGGTCTTCTCCTTCTTTCGTCTTGGGATCTGGAGTTTGGGCATGTGTCACGGGCATCGGTGGCGGACTCTTGGTGAGAATTGGAGGTTACCTGCTCGTTTGGATGTTTACTTTGGTTTTGGTTGGTTATTGCTCTTGGTATTGGGGTTTTGGTGGCTCGACTTTGATTTTTGGTGTATCTTGCTTGGGGTGGCGAAGAGATATGGCGGTTATGAGGAAAAGGATAGAAGATTTTGGCGCCAGCTGGTTTGCTTTAATGGAGCCATTGTTCTAGGATCTTTCCTTCTATCTATGCGTGAATGAAGTCTTTTGTGAAACCTGACTTCTTTGTGCAAATGCAGGGGGGCTGTATCATAGGTATGTAAGATCTTATAGGCTGAGATGCAGGTCACTTAGGGTTAAAAGGGAGTATCCGAGATCGAGATAATACTCCGTGAAACAGGTTTCATACTATGAGCAGTAAGCACCAGTGCCAAAGTAATACTCCCCCAGGCCAAGATCGATTGCCGATGCTGACCTTGCTACAGGATATCTGTTGTAAACACCATCAGAGCAGGGCGAACGCTTGAATGAGATGGATCATGGATGTGGACGGACAGCTTACGATTGAAGAAGGAAATTGTAGGGCAGATGGACTTTAGGAGAATAGTTTCGAGCAACTACCTACCCGTAACTCTGTTGAATCTAGTTATACTTCGTACTGTCCTGCGTCTTCCTTGTCCCTCGATGCGCGATTAGGGCTAACTAGGGTTTCTGTTGCCTTTCTTGGTCCTTTCCACTGATTAGGCTTAGTTGTTCTCCTACATCCTTGATCTATGAGTTCATCTTGAGTCTCAATCTCTGAAGTTAGACTGTGTTTCATGGTAAACCACCTTCAATCAACCAAACAAGTCCACTGCACTGTTCCGAACGACCTTAGGGCCAAGAACTGCCGCCAAGTCAGCAATGATCCCCTTGATGGACATTGGCTCGGTCATCGACATGCTCTCCCATTTAACCAAATCCTAAATCAAGAATTAGCACAGCCCTCTTTCGCTTCACTGAATTGAGACAAGACGAAATACATACGTTCATGTGGACAAAGTTATTGTTGAAGAACAGCAACCAGTGATCCAGATCCAATTCTTTCACTTGCTCCAGTGTAAGAACGCCCGGCATGCCGATATCAAAGAGGGATACGTCTTCCGCATTGAGATCAGTATCAGTATCCTTCTCCGAGGGCAGAGGCGCAGGATTAGATGATCGGTCCCGGGACATAGAGACATAGGAACGGGAATTGAGCTTCTCCGTCAGTTCGCCATCGAGAGGGTCCCAGTCGCCAGATTCAGGGTCTGCGTAGGGGGAAGGTCAGAGGTGAACAATATTTACATAGTAATCAAGACTTATGCCAAGGTACGAGGGGAACCTACCAAGGATGTACTGAGGGCGGAAATTGGCCTTGTACCGCATCTTCACGCAGGAGTGAATATAGTACCCTATGGTTCAGTTGTTAGGGCGCTCCAATAGATATCCGTCCGAGCATTTTGACCTACCCATGTAGTAGTACTGGTACTGGTTCTCCATCGAGAAGGCAATTTCGCGCATGGCACTCAGCTTCCCGATTTCCCATTGTTCGTAGGCGGGATCGTAGCTATTATCGGCTGTCAGCTTATCCATACTTTTGGGTGGTGAGTGGAAGTCGGTCAGCTTACAAGACGTAAACAGAGCTCACGCCGCTGGGTAACAAATCCAGCACCGCAACGGCAATGAGCTCGCCATCAAGTCGATAGCATTGGTGCCAGGATCCAAGTTTCTTCTCTGAAGCATTCTTGTCTGTCAGTGGATTGGGAGTTCTCGTGAGGCCCGTGCATAAGAAGCGTTGGAAGTCTTTGGGTTTCCAGTGGGAGACGTCCTCTTTATGGACGGCCGTTTGGTACTTGCGGAACAGCTCAAACTTGGCCTGAGACACCGAGTCACCTTCGAAACTCACTTCGAACCGGTGCGCCGGTTCGATCGGACGCTTGGTAGCAGGGTCGATGGGCCGTTTGACCTGGTCGTACTCGCTCTGGTGGACAGCCGACAGAAGGTCAAAGTTGCATTTGCGGTGCTTCTTCTCTCTGTGGGTTGATTAGCAAGAGGTGATATTTATCCAGCTATGGTAATCACATACTCGCGAGTGCGGGGGCAGAGCCGGGCAGCTTTGCGCATGTACTCGGGGCCTAGGATGAACTTGTTCCATTTGTTGATGGCCTTACGCTGGTCACGACGGGGCCGGTAAGCAGATGCCTCTAGTCGTAGCGTGTAGTGGGGGCAGCATGATCGCAGTAGATTTTGCTTGTAGTAGAGGCTCCCCGATCTGAAGTGAAGTCAGTATGGTCTGGTGGGTTACAAGACAATTGAAAAGAGGTCATACCGCCGCCAACCAGCATTAATCAGGTCCTCGTAATGTTCCGGGCGTACGGAGGTTGAATTGGCGTAGTACGATTCACCTATTGCATGTCAACATCTAAGATGAATACGAATGGTAGAATACGGGAGAAAGGGACAACAAACTTCCATCTTTGGACTTGCAGTAACCACACGAGTTCTTTTGGTAGCCTGGAGGGATCACATCACATTAGTCTCGGCATACGAAGGGGGCTGATCGATCACGGAGCTGCATTAGGGCGTGGTTATCCCCGCCCTGTTCTTCCACCCGTAGCACCCTGAGCCAGTCGAGGCGCCACGGGGTAACTGGGGTCTATCTCAGTGGTTTGCTGCATGGAAGTGGAACATACCCAGCGGGCGAAATAGTGACAACTCGCGCGCGCGTTCGGCGTCAACTCTGTCCATCTTTAGTTGTGTGCGTTGGCATGCATTAGCTTGGATGTGGTGAGAGTGTAAGAGATGAAGTTGGGACTTGGCGGGGTAGTACTAGATACATGGATTTCTCTATGGGCAAGGGGTTATGCTGCTGCTATGCACAGTAAAATCTAACTACGAGGCAACTATGCAGCTACATTTGAGCCATCAAGAGCATGCGTATGGCTTCCTTGACTACTAAGTAACCTACATCTCAACCTTGAAAAAGCCTCTGATCGGCGGATTGTCAAATCGTTTTCCGAGTTTCGCTCGGTACCGAACCCCGTTGGAGGATTACCCAATCTATTCACACAATGACTATGGAGTCTTGGAAGTGATGAAGGTTACAGTCTCTCATCAGGGTCATCTGGGTCATCTGACTCATCTCGCTTCATTCAACGCCAAAATCCACTGTTGGACGCATTTGGGGATGAGTCACATGACCATCTATAGAGCTATGAAAGGAGAGACAGAACAGAAAAGAAAAGCAGATATCTTCATATCTTCGTCTTGACTTTCAAATACTTCCTATAGATCTATATAGCATCTTACGTTAATTATAGAATACTTATAAAGTGAAAAAGACCCAAACCTCCAAACGTCCAAACGTACTATTCTTCCCGGACTACGGCGCCGGTGCCCCTCCATTCCCACTTCTCTTCTTTTTCTCATTCCTCAATAACCTCCATTTCTCAGATCTTCTCTTGAAACCATGCCTATTTCCACTTACCATTCCAATCCCCCGTCGGGCATGAACGGGAAGACCTGATCTCTCTCTCCGCAGTAAAGAGGAAAAAAAAAATTTCCTTCCCCGACCGCCTCCCTTCTACAACACCTGGAGCTTCCTCACCTCAAAAGAGACACAGGCTCCGAGGGAGCTTGTGAGATCATTATATATCTCTCTACCTTTCTCGGACATTTCTCTGACCTTTCTTCGATATTCCTGGTCATTCCGCTCTTTTTTACTCTTTGCCTTTGCATCTTGCGCCTCTCGGCAGTCCGAATCTCCCCCACGAATAAACCGCATATATTCGATTGTCTATTACAATGGCTCAAATACGGTCCATGGAAGCCCGCGTTGGGCGGAAAAACCAACGTGAGTATCGCAGACGTGCGGTTCTTGCCGCGCACGTGGGGGATCGCCCCTTACGTCTACCGTTCCTGTGTTCCCTGACTCTAACGGCTTGTCACAGGCTACGGCTCCAAAGGCGAGCGACTGGTAGCGGGCGTCGTTCCTATCTCCGCCGACAAGACGAAAGTCCTCATGATCCAGTCCGCCGGACCCGGAGGCTGGGTACTCCCTAAGGGTGGATGGGAGCTGGACGAAAAAACCGCCGAGCAGGCTGCATGTCGCGAGGCATGGGAGGAAGCCGGCGTTGTGTGTGTTGTGAGCAAAGATCTAGGGCTCATTCCAGATATGAGACCCTCTGGCCTTTTGACGGCGCAAGCGCCCAAGGCCTCATACCAGTTCTTCGAAGTCACCGTTGAGCGGGAAGAAACAGAGTGGCCTGAGATGCACAAGCGGAAACGTCAGTGGGTTTCGTATGCACAGGCTGCGACCGCTCTCGCAAATCGACCCGAGCTACTTGAGGCGTTGAATCGCAGCTCGTTGAAGCGATAGTATTCCTCGCTTGCTCACATAGCCTCTCTTGCACCTCCGACACTCCCGACACTCTCCCCTCTACCATTCCTCCTCTTGTGCATCGCTTGAGAGAGCTGCTTTGGATTACGACTTGACGTTACCAACTCCATGAAGCCAGTTGCTTCGTCACTTCTACCTCATCACTTCTATTTTGGCTTTGGCTATCTTTCATTGCATCTTCCTGACGGTCGGGCTGCCGCTACCCGACCGCTATTTCTCTATCGACTACACAACCTGAGTCTGTTCCTTTGCTTGTTCCCTCAATAGATGACTCAGTTTTTACAGTACACGCAGGTTTGGGGGGCACTGAAGCATTATTCTTGCGTCGATGGGAGGATTCCTCTATTTCGACTGTAACGATTTATTCGAATCCATTGCTTGGTCCCTACTTGTTAGATTCGAGTTGAGAGTACTTAGTTCTAGACAGACACTTTCGCTGCTGGATCCAGTGTGTCGCAGCAACTGAATCAAATCTGACTCCCCCACTTTCCAGAGAAAGGGAAGAATCAAGGAAAAGAATAAAAACGTTCTATCAAATATCTACAGTGTACAGTGTACTGTGTACTGCGTACAAGTAGAAGCAGACTCGACATTTTGCTCTGATAACCCGATTAGGAAAAGCGCAAAAAGCTGTCTCCGAGAGCAAACCCGCGTCCACTCCGAGCCTACACAACTTCGCGCTCGTCTCAACCACAAACACCCTAAATTACCCCACTGCTAATTGCGACCCGCACTCTTCCATCTACTATCTTACATGACCTGTGGATAAACACCTCTTCCAGACAAGGGTGGCGGCGAGCAGCGCTGCCGCATAACCAACATGGATTACGAGATGGACCTCGAGCCCACCGGGCCCCAAGTGACAGTCCGCGAGGTAAGCCAGCCATTCCATCCAGCAATCAAACCAACATACTCATCCCCCACAGGCTGAACCCTACCGCGTCGACTTCAGACTATCCGCCGTAGACCTCGCATTCGCCAACTCCCTCCGCCGCACCATCCTGGCCGAAGTGCCCACTCTCGCCCTGGACCTGATCGAGATCGAAAGCAACACCTCCGTTCTCCCCGATGAGTTCCTCGCACACCGCCTGGGCATGATCCCCCTGAACTCGTACAACTGCGACCAAGACCTCGACTACACCCGAGACTGCGACTGCGAGGACCACTGTGTGCGCTGCAGCGTGACGCTGTCTCTGCATGCGCGCTGTAGCAGCGGCATCATGTCCGTCTACGCGCGGGATCTGATTGTCGTTGGCGAGCGCATCAACGATAGGATTGGCGATCCTGTCCTCACGGACCCGGAGCAGAAGGGTCCCTTGATTTGCAAGCTGCGCAAAGGGCAGGAGATTAAGATGACTTGTCTGGCGAAGAAGGGAACTGCTAAGGAGCATGCGAAGTGGGCGCCTACTGCTGCTGTCGGTTTTGAATATGATCCTAACAATAACCTGCGTCATGTGGATTACTGGTATGAGCAGGATGCTGCGAAGGAATGGTACGTTTTTCTTTTTTTTTCTTCCTTTCATATGGTGGGGATTTGCTTGGATTCGTCCACTGACATATATGTTTCATAGGCCTGTCTCCGAGAATGCTGCTTGGGAACCCGTCGCCAATCCCGATCAACCCTTCGACTACGACGCTGAGCCGGGCTACTTCTATATCGATGTGGAGAGCATTGGCAACCTCGACCCCGATGCAATCATCCAACAGGGCATCGTCTCGATGCAGCGCAAGCTCGCAACTACCGTGTCTGTCCTGTCCGGCGAAGGCGAAGATGGCCACGCTGGAAACGCCACAGATGCCGATATGCTAGGTGCCAATGATCCCGATGCTTACGAGCCGCCTGAGGGCATCGATGGCAATATGACTGCATACGGAAGCGGTGCTGCCAGCGCTTGGGGTGCCAGTGCCCAGACACCCTATGGTGCTACGCCTTATGGACAGAGCAGCTATGGGTACTGAACGTGCTTAGTCCAAAGCAAAAGAAAATAGGGACTCGAGCATTCTGTGGAGTTTTGTTTGGTGATTTGCGGGGCGCTTGGAGTTTAACGTTCTTTGTCACATTATGCTACCTATTGGAGGCGGTCTTCTGGTTGCAGGTGATGGTCTCTATGTCACAAATAACTTTCTACTGGTGGTTCTGTGAACCGGAAAATATTGATTACAATTGAAATTTGCTCAATATCGATAGCCCATATGCGCTTTTTTCTCTGTTCCTCACCGACGATATGTTTGAACACATCAGTCGTTCTACGAACGAGTACGCCCGGTTAAAATGAGGGCGAGGGGCTGATAGCGAGGGGCTGATAGCGAGAGCCCTGAGACCACGCCTCGTGGTAGTCGCGCCTGGAAAGATACCACAGCCGCAGACATCAAGATCTTTGTCGGTATCTTGATCTATATGGGTGCCGTCCCTTTGCGTGGAACGACGATGGCATCCAAAGGCGATATTTTCGTTTTTCATATGGGTATAGTGCGCTTTGAGCAGATCAAGCGCTTTCTGCATATCTCTTGGCCAACTAGCAGAGATCCCTTCCAGCCACAGGATAAGCGCTGGTGGAACAAGCCTTTAGCTTCATACGTGACCTGGCCCGTGTCTCTATATAAGGAAAACGAAAATCATCCTTAGGTCGAAATTAGTTATTAGTCGCTCCCACACTGGAAGTACTTTATACAGACCACTCGTCTTGGGATTCCATTTTGCCATGATGATATGATCAACCCTCAAGACAGATTCTGGTCCAAAGGCCAGAACTACCGCGGCCCGAGCGAAAAGCCCACCACCGAAACATATTGCAACGTCTGGGACTGGGATCAACTTCGGATGGTCAAGGTCAAAGGCACCGCCAAACTATTCCCGCCCGAAGAGGATAGGGAGCTCTCGATTTTGGCGCGATTCGCCGATTATCTATCGCCGGAAGTTCGCGCTATCACAGTCGACGACGATGGGCTCCTTACCGGGGTTTCGACAGACCTGGAAGAGGATGATACTCTATTTCTTGCATATATTCCTTTCTCACTCTGTGAATCGCTGGACAATTGCCGTACAATTCAGTACTCTAAGCTCCAAGAGCTTGACCGGCTTGGACCGTGCATTGAGCTTGTATCGTACGAAAACGAATCCAGGATTCCCCAAAAGGTTGTTTTCAAGTTCAACGTCTTGAACAAGCCTTTGAGAATGCAAATGGCCTGGGATGAACTCAACATTCTCAAGAGTCTACCGCCACATCCTAATATAATACCATTCGATCGCGTTGTTCTTGAAGACCAGGAGTCCCGGGTGATTGGGTTCACAACGAAGTACATCCCTGGAGGAACTCTCGCCAATTCAAAGATCCCTTTTCGATTCGAGTGGCTACAACAGCTTACTCAAGTCGTGGATTTTTCAACCTAGAACTAGGGATCATGCACCAAGATATCGCTCCCCGAAATCTGCTGATCGATCCTTGCACACATAAGATCGTCCTCTTCGACTTCGACCGGGCTGCATCCGGGAAAAAAACGGCTATACGAAGGTCGAGATGACGTTACTAGTGTCGTCTTCACACTCTACGAGCTTGTCACGAACGATACATCCTTCTCGGGTATCCCCCACTCGGATCGACATATAGGCATGGTGCAAAGTATCTCGGAATGGATTGTTAATCGCGAACTTGACTCTGACGTATCGAAGTTTCGCAACTTCTTGAGCGAATGGGTAGCAACACGAAGATCTGACGGGGATATGGAAAAGTATCTCAATGCACCACACCGATTTACATGGCCGGACCTACCAACAGCGCCCGACTACAATGTACCATTCAAGATGGGCACAACCTGGGATGGAAAGCCAAACTGGATGACTGGCCATCGGTCTAGATTCACCGCAATGAAGATGGAGCAGTACTGCTTTCGCTGGGAGAGGCCACCACAGAGCCGCTCGTTGATCGAGGCTGAGAATAGTGTATAGTCGATCAGAATACTGGACTGCGAAATGAAGGAATAGAGAATCACCTGAAGAGTGTAGGCGGTTGCACCAGTTTCGGGACGTACTGTATGTTCCAGAGAAGACAAGTGGAAGAAAATCTCCATATCCAGATAGCTTCCACAGACAATGACACAAGACAAGCTCATCCGCACCATATCGTGCGAGACACTAGATACACTAGACTTCAACACGTACAAGGCTCATATAGTGGAAGCATCCAAACCAAATAAGTACACTTTCCATGGCAGACCATAAACCAATAACCATAGACATAACATGCAACGACTCACATCTACTTATACCCCCGAACAAGCTTGATAATACTCGTCCCATCATCCAGAATCTCCTTCTCTTCCTCAAGCCGATACCCTCCCCAACGAGGAAGCAGCACTGTCCATACATACCAGTATAGAACCCCAAATAGTACACTACACCCGTCAGCAAACATACACCTCCACAACTGAAGATAACACTCACATCGCAATACCAACAAGAGCATATGTAGCGTAGAAGAAGTCCACGTCCCCCTTCCAATCGGACGGCGGGATAAACGGCGTAACCAACAAGATCAGACAAACCACCACCCTCAGCCAAACAGCCGGCAGCCATGCCTTGAACGGTCGAGGAAGATGAGGCTCGCGGTACCGCAAGACCAGCAACCCAACAGTGACAGCCAACGCGAACATCTGTCCCGGATAACCCCTCCAAATCGAGGATGAAGTTATAGACGTCGCCTTGCGGCGGTAGTGCAATGACCAGCGCAGAGGGGATATAATGGACAATCAATCCGCCCAACGGCGAGCCAAATGGTTTCGAAGATGAGAGGAGGTTCTGGAATGGGAGGAAGCCTTGTCGTGCTATCTCCTGATTCACGCGTGCCTGCGGATATGGTCAGTATGCAATTCATCATTCATAACTTGATCTCGAGGTTCAAGAAAAGAAGAAAAATGAAGAAGACGTACCAAAGCAAAAGTCACAACCATCACATTCCCAGCTGCAGAAACAGCAATAGCAAGCGGGAAAAACACTCTCCCAACATGATCCCCGAATAACCTCTCAAACAACAATGCCCCAACCAACTCCCCACTCTCCTTGATATCCTCCAGCGGAATAACAAGGAAATAAGAAAGATTCGCAAGAAAATACAACGCCCCGGCCGTAACAAGCGCAGTCGGACAAACCGTCTTCACAATGCCGATCGGATCACGAACCTCATTCAGCACATTGTTGACATTATTCAGTCCAGCGTAGGAATAATAGACCTTGAAAAGAGCAGTCGATAGCAAACCGAAGCTCCAATTCGAGCCCGCCCACATAGCATCCCATGAGAAGGAGTCACCTGTCAATGACAGGGAGATATCATCTTCATTTCCAGAAGATGCAGATCGGAGAAAAACAACCCATATCCCCGTCAAAGACATAACACCAATCAAGAAGATCTTAACCCACCCAAGCACATTCTGCACGAAAATCCCCGTCTTCAAGAAACATCCATGCACAATCGTAATAACCGTCAAGAGTCCCACAGCCAACGCCTTGTGCTGGTTCTCGCTTGGTTGCACGCTCAGTGCAAACAGTACGTATCTTGCAAAGACGATGCAATTACTGGCTGTGAACCCTAGTAGCACGGCCTGTGCGGCGACGAGACTGGAAGCTAGGAAGCGTGGGTTGGGGTAGGTATACTCTAGATATACCTGTTACCAGATGCAAAGCATGAAGTATTAGCCCGGTTTTATCTTTCTTTCTGATCTTTTGTATATAGGGCTGGGACAAGGGTTGGGAAACTAGGAGTTCTGGAGTAGTACATTCTTACCTTCTCACCACCAGAACGAGGAAACATACATCCGAATTCCATGGACACGGCTAGACCGCAGGCTGAGAGGATTGTGCCAATTAGCCATACTAGCAGGGTTAACCCTATGCTGCCGGTTGAGCGGACTATTGAGCCTGGTGTTGCGAAGATGCCGCTGCCGATTACGCGGGAGATGACGAGGATGTAGGCGCTTGACCAGGTGAGGGGTTTGAGGGGTGTGTCTAGGGGAGTATCGGCGTAAGAGGAAGGGTTTGGGAGTTCGTTTGGGGGGGATTGAGGGGGGGAGAAGTGGTTGTCTTTCTTGGTCCATTTGGGGTTGTATAGTTGAGAGAGCTGAGAGACTAGGTTGGTTTCCCCCAATTTATCATTCTTGGGATTTCTAGATTGCGGTGTAGATTGTGTTAAGGAGAGAGATCTAGTCAGACAGCATTATTAGTAGTGATATGGCGTTGGTTAGGTGTTGCTTGGAAATCATCTGCACTGGCTGGCACGTCATTCAGGCCAAATGTTGTGTATCCGATGTGCGTTGGAATGTGAGCGGACAACGCGGATTTAATCGGATTTATTGGGCATGGGGTCTGATAATGCTTGAATGTGTTTAGAATCGGTTACATTAAGTAGATAGAAATTATTCGCCATACTAGGGTTGATCGATTTACATTTTACCAGCCTGTAGTCCGCGGACTACCTGTATGATCAACTGGAGAACCTGGTGCTACCTACGATCAGAGCAAGGACCTAGGAATAGTTGGAATACAAGTATAGAATATCTCTTCACGATCAAGACTGATTGATTTTGACTTCATATTGACCCTAAACAAAGTATCCATGTACGGAGTAGAACCACTTGAGACATTTCCAAAAAACAGACATGTCCCCAACGCCTTGTGATAAGCATGCCATGCGACGACTATGCACAATACAACCCATAAACCTCGCTAAAGATGCAGAAAACGCCCCAGAATAACAAAATCACTCCATAAGCTCCACCGGCGGGCGAGCAGTCTTAGGAGGCATCTGATTAACAGACATGTCAATTGGGCTCATGTCCATCTCATCCACATCCTCGATATCCAACGTCATATCCTCAACCATAACAGCAGGCAGATTAGGACTACCACCGTGGTCCTCGGGATTGTAGATGATGGTGCTACTCCTGCTGCGCTGCTGGGAGCCCGAGCTTGCAAGCGGCCAGCTGGGCGTGCGCTTATTCGATGTGTTGGAAACCGGCGTCACAGGATCGACGGCAGTCTCAGCAGGCTGAGCAGCCTCAGTCTTCAGCATGGACAGGGCGTGTGCCAAATCCGAGGCGTGTACTTCTTTGTTGGGCGGGTCCTCGTTGCGCAAGACCCAGCCGTGGGGCGGGCTGGGCGGCGGGGAGATGAAGAACATCTTGGAGACTTGCGGGGCTTCGAGGAGCTTGGGTCGGCCGCCGTCTAGGATTGGGGTTGGCTCGCCGAAGTAGATCCGTGGGTACACGTTTCGGTTCAAGAGCTGCTTGCCGTCGAGCAGTTTGCGGATTGCGATGGCGTCTTCGTCGTTGTGGAAGGAGCAGACGAGACGGCGCAGAGATGGTAGCGGTGAGAAGGAGTTCAGGGGGGCTACTGCTGTGATTTGCTTGCGGATTTCTTCCAGGGCGGGGGGTTGGAAGACGAGGAGGTCGTGGAGATCGGTGATTAGGAGGGTATTGGATGGTGGCGATGGTTGGGAAAGCGGAGGAATGTTGGCGACATCGAGGGATAGTGAGGGTCGCGATGAGTGACGGGATGAGGGGTTCATGATGGGTGATGATTGTAATGAGTAAGGAGGTGAAGCTGAAGCTGCCATGTTGTGTTGGCTTAGTTGGAGGGAAAGATGGATAAGAGGAGAAGATAAGGAGGTTGCCACCGGATAAGAACTGTCGTTCTCGAATTCCCAGATGGACTCTTTTGTTGGTCACTTGTCAGATGACAAGATGGCAAGATGGCGAGATGGCAAAGAATTGTTTGATGTTTGAACTTGAGAAGAAAAAATCTGATCCGGATTGCCTCTCTTTAATATGCGATGGGTGGTTATTGAGGCGCAGTACGGAGAGATGGCAATCACTATCCCTGCACTGCCTCCGGCCAAGTACTTCGCACATTCCTCCGCCATGTTCCTGACGATCTACCCCCCTGCTTCCGGCTTTGAGCGAGGCTTAACTCTTTCCAGTGTTTTATTTACTTCGATCATTTTCATCCGATTTGACTAGAACGTTCTCGGTCATGATGCTGTTTCATGCGCCACACAAGCCACACATTGAGAGCTGTCTTCCCCATTTGCACGTGCATCAGCCACATCCCGTGATTTCCCAACCGAAGCTCCGCCCCTTTAGCAGCCGAGGACAGCGGACTAGGGGATTCCTGCGGCGTCCTGCCCAGGAAAAAGTAACGTGTGGATTCGCGCCTAAGCAATAAAGCCCCGATACTGTTAAGTGTACTCTTTCACACTTCATCTACTAAGCCTTCGCCACCCCTAATATCTTGCCGACTAAATCACAAACGGGTCCCATCACAAATTTGGGCTTACATTAAACGTGGCCATGTTTGCGCAGCTTTAGCTTCCAGGCTACTCAATTAGCTATTTACGGAGATCTCCTGTCAGTCTCTGTAACTAGGTGAGGGCAAAGCAGCTATGACACTAGCATGGTCTCCGTGGCACGACTCGGCCAACAATCCTTGTGTGGTCGGGACTCGGAACTGGGACTATTCGTCCAACTGAGCAAGACACCAGACCTAGCCCTGCGTTGGGGCAACATGACTATCAATTCGACTTATCCTGGTTTAAACCACCGGTTCGGATTGTGAGTGGCTGAGCTCTGAGGAGCTTGTTGTTGTGGACAATATCAATCTGGATTTTGGTATTTACTTTTACAGTAGGCTACGAAATGGAGACATGGTAGTCAATGCAAAAGTGAGAGGTCCCAGAGAGGCGATCCCTAGCTCCGTTCGTAGGTAATGTGGGGACCCTTGGCAATGTATTCCACTTGTATATGGACATAGGGTTCGATGACCCCAAGATATGATAAGGTTGAACTGCCTTGCCAATCGCCGGTGCCAATAAAGTTGGAACCACCAGGTCAAGTCTATGGATGCATGGAAACATCCCGAAGGGCTGTACCAACAAGACAACTGGCAGTTCATTCTACAGCTTACTCCCCCGAACTGAATCACCTCAGCTATCTGCCTTCCAGACCCAACAGCGCAGTCGATGCGCGGCCTGCGCGGCTGCGCCTACAACCGCAGCAAACGCAGCTTCAACATCATGTCCCGGCAGCCACGCTGTATCGGGTCTGCCCTTCATCCCAGCAACAAGCGCAGCATTCCCTTCTTCGCCTGTTGCAGGCGTCGTAGGCGTCGTAGGCGTCCAAGGTTATTGGGGATCTGATTCGACACAGCTTGGTCCGTGTTCCAGTGACTGATACCTATTTTCAGTCAGCGGAATGATAGCACATGGATTGTCTATGATATGACACGCACCGAACATCATGTGGGATCCGACTTGGGCCTCTGAAGCCGACTTCGTCAGTATGGGAATCGTGGACACCGGGTTTCTCCAGTGTACGCCCTGATCAACGCCCCGGGTCCCCATGTTCAATTGCCTAAGCGCACGGGTGAGATACTTACCATTGAACTGAGCGTAATGTTACCTCTAACTTTTAAAGGCTCTGGAGCTTGCTCGTATAGCTTGATGTCTGGGTTTGACGTTTGAAGGAGACGGTATCCGTACTGACGATATGGCCGTTGCAAGAGCCCGCCACGGTGAGTAGATATAGTTGAGCGGGCAAGGTTGCTATATCCAATCTCCCAATTGTCCTGAGACTGTGCGGCCCGCCACGGTGAGACTGGATATAACCGAATGAGCGGACACGGTTTGGGTCAATCGCGTGATCGCGTCTCAAAGTCACAGGCAGCAAATAGTACAAGATCCGTTTGCCACAATGGACCATTCAGTTCATGCAAATACCCGAAGACGCTTGAAGAGAGCCCGTGATATCACGTGTAGGTGGCGCCATTAGCAGTCCTGTTGTTCAATTCAAACTTCGAAACTTCTCTTCTTCACCATCTCTCACTTCTCTTCTTCATCATCTCTCACATCTCACGTGCATGTGCGCTTGAACTTGGTTCCGTGTGCAGTCCTGCATGGCCTCCCTCACTGCCTTGTCTCTCCTTGACGCTGTTGGCCATGTACGGCCAGGCTGATCTTTTCTCGACACATCCATATTGCTGAGCTAGTCCAACTGCTCCTTCCAGAAGTCCCATCGCTCCAGGGATCACCAGGCATCTCCCCTCCAGAGCCTTCGATCCTTGAAACTCGGCTATCCCTGAACAGGACAGGTGGTACTTCCTGCCGATGAATCCGTAGAGGATACGGCCAGAAAGCGTAAGCCACGGGGCTATACCTTGCAACTCAGACTGATATATAAGGTCAGTTACCTGGAGTCTCATGTTTGCTTTACTCACGTTTAGGGCGGTGCACTCAGCAAGTAGGCCGCGGGCGTTCATTGACTACTGGGTCGTTTTGCAGTGTGTACATGAGCGTTCTTCTCTGCCCTGTCGAGCTCAGAGAAAAGAGACGGGTCATCAGCCGGTGGATAAAGCGCAAGATGAAAGGCACAGAAGGTGTTGTGGAGTTTGAATCCTTCAGACTGCCGGATAACTTTTGGAAAGTGATAACAGTCCATGGTGAAGCCCTGAAGGGATCTATGACTGCGTCGTCAGCCACAGCACCACCGGAGGACGCCGACTTCATTTGTCTAGTTGGAAGATGTTTGTAAGGAAAGTTGGATGGGAAGCGGATGAAGAGGAGAAGATGGGACGAGAGAGAAAGGAGATGAGAGTGAACATTATAAAGCGCCGGGGCATGCCCGACTGTATCGAGGATGTGATACGCTCTCGCGACGATACGCTACACTCTCACGACGATACGATACACTCTCTCGACAATGCTATACACTCCCGCGACGATGCGATACGCTCTCGCGACGATACGATCGTTGCCTGGTCGTAACTCGGACTCCGGGTGGGTGCGCCCGTCGACATTATTGACTCGAGGTCACTTGCCTGAATCCCATCATCCAGTATCTCGCACTGGATCCAATATTACGTCGTCGGAGACCTATGCTAGATGCCAATCGCCAGGCAAGACCTAGGTCGAAGCTCTCGAAGGGTGATGCTTGGTGGTCCCTAGATTGGAACTTGTGGAAGGAGCTGCTGCACTGCATCAGCAATATGCATGTGGCTGCGAAGGATCAGTCGGGCCGTCCATGGGGAACAGCGTCAATGAGAGAGTCAACTGCCAAGGCACTGAGGAGGCCATGCAGTTCGTTATACGGAACCAAGTTTGAGCGCTCATGCGCGTGGGAAGCGAGGTGGCAATGACTGCCAATGAGGTATGAATATCAAGCCCTGGGTATCATGCAAGATGCACATATGGACTCGAACTAATATCACTGATTTTCTCGGATTTTTCAATTCGAACCTCCTAGCGGAATTGCTGCAGAAGTGACGGCGGCAGCAGCAGAACTGGGCTTTACAGCGGTTCCCTGGTGGAAAATTCCTGGCGTCTTAATTTTGAAACAACTACGCACTATGTCCGGCACTAATCCGATATCACAGCCCTAGACGGAGATCATCATATTGCACATTTCTTACTATGCCTCCGCCTCACTCATTGCATACATCCCCGGCGCTCTTTCAAGCCTCCTGCTGCCCGCTTGATAACTAAAACGTCGTTTCGCGTGGAAATCTGCTTAGGTTTTCTCCAGCCTTGCTCTGGTCTACCGATGGGGTCTCATTGCCGGGATCTGGAACCAATCTAGGGCATCCTGTAGGCCTCTTGTCATGATACGGGCTGCTAATACGTCGGCGGGTCATCCGAAAAAGACTACACCCATTGCGCTTTATTATATTGGATACTGACTGGGAATAGTATACCTAACCGCAACTCTTTCGGCCAGATTGATAGGTTGGTTCTCTGTCTTCTGTTTCCGAGTTGAGTCGCTAGCACACTGGTGATGAATCACAGCCTCGGTACCGGACGTGGCTCATTCTCCTTATGGTAAGTTGTTGGAAGGCTTCAGTGCTGGTGGAACATTTGACTTTCGCTTCTTTAGGTCCTCCAATTCTTCTGGACGCAGGAAGTCAGGGCCAGAGGTGTCGATTTCGGCAATCACACGCTTGAGTCTCATTTGCTCATCGCTGGCCCACTCCGCGTGGATATTGTACTCCTTGGCCTTGCGGCGCTCGAAAACCCGCGGTCCAACATGGACACCCTCAGGGGGCGGGGTGAGAACGAGGTGGCACAGGCGCCAACAATAATCGCCCCTAAACACAGGCTTGAAATAGGCCAGCTCTGGGTTCTCCCGCATGTCAATGTGAAAATTGTTGATGTATGCGAATGGATCGCCGCTGTTGAAAATGTCGTCCAAGGAAGCTTCATAATGAAAATTTCGGCAATCACACGCTTGAGTTTCTTTTGCTCATCGCTGGCCAACTCCGCGTGGATACTGGAGCATTGAGACGACCTGATGACTGATGACTATGATCCAGGTAGGTCCGGGGATCTCAAGTCATGCGACTACAACGAACATCGGATGGATTCTTTGTGTTCTGGGTGGTTGACTTCCCCAAGCCACGTGCAAATGAACAGTTCAACCTGTGCCTCGCACCTTCTACCTGCGTTAATGGCGAATGAGCTGTGGCTACTCAAAAGCGTAATTCCTCCAGAGGACTGCTGCTCGCATGCTATAAAGGACGCACAACCTCTCTTCGTCTCCTTTTCTTTTCGTTTCTTCCTCATCCCGTTCCACCGCGACTGCAGATCACAGCGTCCAACTGTGTCTGTATCCGTTGCCATCTCTTGCTTTCTCCCATTCCACGCCGTTATTGCCCTTCGTTACTTCATCATGTCGCTGTGTCCATCCTGGGTCTGGGCCTTTGATTCGAACGTCCAGTAAGTATCTCGTCTCTTTGAACCTTAGCATCTTCCCCAATCATGCCATCATTTCTAACTGAATCAGTGTCGCCAAGGATAGGGACTGGTTTACAGACAACTACGTCTCCTTCAATTCCTCGGTCGAGGATAGAAGCGGCAACCGTTACGAAGTCATCGGCGTCGGCACCGTCAGACTTCGCACCCAGAAAAAGCCAGGCTTGTCCGGCGACGCCAGCCGCGGCCAAATCTGGCTGACCAAAGTCCTGCATTGTCCAACGATGCCCTGCAACATCATCGGCAAACCAATCATAGAGGACTACCTCATCACGCCCTTTCATTATGAAGCTTCCTTGGACGACATTTTCAACAGCGGCGATCCATTCGCATATATCAACAATTATCACATTGACATGCGGGAGCACCCAGAGCTGGCCTATTTCAAGCCTGTGTTTAGGGGCGATTATTGTTGGCGCCTGTGCCACCTCGTTCTCACGCCGCCCCCTGAGGGTGTCCATGTTGGACCGCGGGTTTTCGAGCGCCGCAAGGCCAAGGAGTACAATATCCACGCGGAGTTGGCCAGCGATGAGCAAGAGAGACTCAAGCGTGTGATTGCCGGAATCGATACCTCTGGCCCTGACTTCCTGCGTCCGGAAGAGGAAGAGTGGCTCAAGTTCCATGATGGCAGCGAGGAGAAGTTCCTTGCTAGCCGTGGATTCGAGATCGATGTCGAGCAGGATCGCAAGGACGGCCGTGCTATCCTGCGGGATATCATTGCTGGAAAGAAAAACTGGACCGAGACGACTTAATTTACGTTGCCGATTCATCGTGAAGAAGAGATATTCAAGGATCTGTCTTGCGTTTCTTTCGATGTCCATACATTGACCAATCTCCATCAGTAGCTCAATGAAGTTTATTCAAACATCCAACATCCATATTGTAATCCTTCAGAACTCCAGCTTAGAACGAACTTGGCTTTCCATCGGTTTCTGCCCCAATGTCTCATTGATCAGGGTATGCAACCATCGTTTACGGCCATATGCCATATCACTTCCATCTAAGAGTCACATCAACCTAGTCACCTTCCGAGGTTAGCCATGGTCTTTGGCCGCCGTACACTTGATGTCGATTTCCTATCAACAAAACAAGCAGTACAATCCAAAGATAGATTATAACGGATGTTGGATGTTTGAATAAACTTCATTGAGCTACTGATGGAGACACGTAAATGATCCATGCTTCCCAATTTCAGTTCAAGCTTCGAAGTATCTCATCTGCATATCTCTCTGCCATGATTCATCGCTCATTGACAGTCATTTCTACCTGACTTCTCACGCGCATGTGCACTTGATACTGGATCCTGTTCAACAGGCTGCATCCTGGTCTCCCTCGGTGCCTTGGCTCTCTCATTGACGCTGTTCGCCATGGAAGGCCCAGCTGATCCTCGGTTGCCACATCCATATTGCTGATACGGATTCATCGGCAGGAAGTACCACCTGTCCTGTTCAGGGACAGCCGAGTTTCAAGGATCGAAGGCTCTGGGGGGGAGATGCCTGGTGGTCCCTGGAGCGATGGGGCTTCTGGAAGGAGCGGCTGGACTAGCTCAGCAATATGGATGTGTCGAAAAAGGATCACCATGGCCTTCCATGACGAACATCGTCAAGGAGAGAGCCAAGGCACTGAGGGAGGCCATGCAGCACGTTGAACAGGCCCCGGGACCAAGTGCACATGCACGTGAGAAGTGAGAGATGATGATGAAGAAGAAGAAGAAGTGAAGAAGTGAAGAAGAAGAAGAAGAAGAAGAGAAGTTTCGAAGTTTGAATTGAACAACAGTGACTGCTAATGGCGCTACCTACACGTGATATCACATTCACTCTCTTCTGGCATCTTCGGGTGTTTGCATGAAATGCCCGAATGGTCCATTCCATGGGACAAACATATCTTGGACTACAATTTGACACTGAGAAGCAAGTCAAGCAACTAATCTGAATCGCTCTAGGTTCGAAGTCTCCCAATGGGCTACATGGCCATGGAGTTTGCAAGGCCAAGACTGTAGGCGAAACCACAAATAGATTCAACGGTTTAGCCTCGGTTGTCAACTGGCTCTTCAAATTGAATCCATTCCCACGAATGTTTGGACGTTCAACTGCCGGCCATACGGAGTAGAAGGCGGGAGAAGGTCCTTCGGATCAGCATTTTTCCTTCCCCAAGGCGGTCTACAGCGGTCAGGTGATTTCGATGAATTTTGTCCGAGGGCCAATGACTCCGCAAGTTGACTGAATTTCCATTTTCAATTCCACATCTCACTATTCATAATGTTCCAACGAACTATCTTCAGACAGGCTCAGGCCGCCCGCTCTATCCTGTCCACCTCTCCCTCCACTGCATCGCTGGCGCTGCGACGGACAACACAACAGCCGCGTCTGCCGGCTATCCGCCCATTCACTCCGCGGTCTACCCGCTTCTACTCAACAGAGACCAAGGAAAAGACCGAATCTGAGACCGCCGAGGCCACTGAGGCCACTGAGGCCGAGGATCCCATCAAGAAAGAGCTTGAGCAAAAGACAAAGGAAGCCATTGAGTTCAAGGTATGTCATTCCCAGCACACTCACTGCCATAGCTCCCCGGCTCTTTCACAGGCAAAGATTAACACAGCTTCTCGTATTAGGACAAATGGCTCCGCGCAGTAGCTGAGTCTCGCAATATTGCTGAGCGCAGCAAGCGCGACCAGGACGCCGCACGCAAGTTCGCTATCCAGGGTTTCGCCAAGGACCTCCTCGACAGCATTGACAACTTCGACCGCGCGCTGCTGGCCGTGCCCGCGGACAAGATCGCGGCTCCCCGGACCGAAGAGAACAAGGATCTCCAAGAACTCGTTGATGGTCTCCAGATGACCCAGCGTATTCTCCTGAACACCCTCCAGAAGCACGGTCTCGAGCGCTTCGACCCCAGCGAGCCGGTCGACGGCAAGGCCCAGAAGTTCGATGCTAACTTGCACGAGGCTACCTTCATGGCCCCGGCTGCTGGTCTCGAGGATGGCGATGTCATGCACGTCCAGACCAAGGGCTTCCGCCTTAACGGCCGCGTTCTGCGGGTGAGTGCCAAGACACATTTTCGAGATTTTACTGTATCATGACTAACTGTTTTCACCTATAGGCTGCCAAGGTTGGTGTCGTCAAGAACGCCTCTTGAATGTCCCGCAACGACTTCGATCTTCAATTCTCCAATCTTCATTGATCCTTTCCGCATCTCACTCTTCCTGGCTCTTCTCTGTACCATATGTCATACATTCATCATGATCACGATTGGGTCTTGCGCTCGGAAACGGCTGGCTTTCTCACCCAGGAAAAACTCATATTCCTCGCTTTCTTTCTGCTTGTCTCTTGGATTCGGCTGCACAATACACCCTTGTTGCATGTGCCTGGAGGCGTACGGATGGTCACGTGTTGCTTCTGTCCTTTCGTCTTTTTCGTGACATCTGCATCTCTATGTCGCCTGATAACTCTCTCCTCCTCATTTGTATAATACACATCTCTTCGAGGCACTGTCATAGCCTCTGATGCCTTCATTGTTCTTTCCCCGTAAACTATAATACTTAATCGAAAATACTACTTACATAGTGTCATCCGGTGTCTATTGGTATCTGGCAAAGCGCTATGCATGTGAACCTGATGAGAGGAATGCTATATCTTACATGATCTCCATAATAATAACAGTATAGTACAAAATACAACCTAACACACTTCACACTCACCTGAGCTCAACCCCAAGTTCCCCGACCAACTTCTCCCGGACCTTGAGATGCATCTCATTGGTCTCCTCATTCGTCAAAGTCCGCTCCAAGCTCCGATAGTTGATACGGTAGCACATGCTCTTGCGCGAAGTCTTAGGATGCGTAAACTCATCAATGAGAGTAACATCCTCGACAAGATCCCCACCAATCCCCCGAACAATCTCCATAACATCATTCTCATGGAACGGCACAGCACCACCAGCAGCACTGCTACCACCCGTCACAGCGGCCGGAGGCAACCAGAAAGCAACATCCTTATAACAAGCCGGATGCTTCGAGAAAGGCTCAAAGCGCGCAATCTCACCAGCCCGGAACTGTGACAAGAACCGCTCATCCCGCGACCAGAACAGACGGATATCAGGGATATTAAACAAAAGCATCGCAATCCGCTCAATGCCCAGTCCAAACGCCCACCCAACGTGGTCCGGCACGTCCGAATTAATCAACAGATCCTGCTTGATAACACCGCACCCCAGAATCTCCAGCCAATCACCCTGCCAAAAAACTTCCAGTTCCCACGACGGACTGGTGAACGGGAAATAAGCCTCAACCCAGCGCACCTTCAGCGGCTCAGCCCCGGCAGCACCGCTACTAGCCGCCGCGGCCTTGCTAGCCTCCGTGAAGACCTTGATAACCATGCGCTCGAGCGAGCGCTTCAGATGCGCACCGATAGCCTCGACCTCCTCGGCACTGTGGTGCGCTGATTGCAGCGGGTTGCGCTGGGGATGAATAGTTGGGTTCGGATCCTCGACAACGATGTCATGCCTCGGAATCTTCTCTAGGTCCGCCAGGACCTTCGCCGCGGTTTCGGATGATGCGGACAGCGGGTCCGTTGCTGGCCGCTTCCACAGCATTGCGCCCTCCATCTGGTGGAAGACCGGGTAGTGGCTGCGGTCGATTGCGTCGCGACGGTAGACATCTGCGATGACGGTGTAGCCGACTTCTTCGGGGCGGGTTTTCTCATTTCGTGCGATTTGCTGGAAGTAGGCTTGCTGGTGTGCGCTTGTGTGTGTGCGCAGTACGGTCTTGTCGTTCACGTAGTAGGTGTCTGTGCGGCTGCGGCCCGGGTGGTCCGGCGGGAAGCCGAGGAAGTCGAAGTTGAGCCTTGTTGAAACAACTGGGTTCTTCTCAGAGTAGTTGCCGTAGGTTGGGGCTGGGAATTGGCTTTCGATGAGCTTGCGAGTGATGGCGAGGGGGTGGTTGTCGTCAAGGTAGAGTCGGCGGCCGACGTGGGAGAGGATTGTGTCGGGGGTATTGGTCCATTCGTCAGTTTGGTAGACGTCGCCTTCGATCTTGAGGGTCGGTTGTTGTTTGCGTGTTTTGGGAGCTGTGGTGGTTTCCTGTTCGCATGTTCGGCGAGCTGTGGTTGAGCTCCATCCGCGGGCGTGGGTGAGGATGGGCTTCAATTGGAGGGAGCGGGGAATGGCGGTTTGAGGTCTGGTTGGGGTAATTAACCAGCGGCCACTGCTTGCACGCAGAGCTCGGCCGGTAGCGAATAACCTCATTGTGTAGTGAGGTATTTGGTTATCACGAAAATTGTTGATCAACCTTCGATCAGTATCAACAGATGTTCGGGCCGGCGAAATTAGTCTCCGAAGTACACGAACAGCGCTAGTTAATCAATCTGCACTGGAGGACCGACATGGAACATTGCTATTGGAATATGCATTGATAGAAGGCTAGAACCTAGCGAATAACTTGGCTGTTACATACTGGCTGACACTGCGATTCTGTTTCTACTTACGTACTTCCATTGTAGGTTCTTAGGTTATTTTGCGCTTACCTCGTCTGCCCGCATACTGGCGCATATATATACCGTCGTCTTGCACTGGCAGTCTTTGCCTACCTAGGTCTTTTCCAAATGGCATTTCAAATGGAACTCATACTTTGACACAGTGCTCATTATATAGATATATTACAGCCGATGAGTCTCTTCCCCCGCAGTTACAACACTCATTTTGATAGCCTTTATGAATACATAGGACCGAGTGCCCCTCAGTGCTGCCCCCCTCGGTAATCCGACGCCAACCGCGCAAAACCCGCGAAATCTCCGAAGATCACCACAATAATCGGATGCTGTCAGATAAGCCTGGGGGAAATGCAAAGGAAACTTTGGAAGCATCTTAATGGCTGTATGCAAGATAATACTCTCGGTATCTATTTGAAGGCCCGAACATGGCTGGTGGAATGTACCTATTCAAATGGCTTCAGCCTGTATGCTTCTTACAGACCGTTATCGCGATGTTCGGCGCAAGGGAAAGTCCGCAAAACCGAGGTTATGATTGGTTGAACCGATCAGCCCCATCATATTGCGTAAGATGATTGGCTGTCTCTTACAATCGGATGGGGCTACCGAATGTCTCTCGGAGTTCTGATTTGTCTCCGTCGGTATTTGGAGGCCAAAAATTACGTCAGGTCACGTTCCAGAAAAGGCCGAGAAAAAAAGGACAAATGGACGGAGAAATTACCAGTCTTTGATCCCATTCCAACTCTCCACTCCTTTTCTTTTAATTACTGGGTGTTTATTCAAGGGGTCTTGTTTTTTTAAAACAAGATGGCAGACAGCGGCAAGATGTTGGAGGTTGCTCCTCACTCCCGGATCGTGCCCGTTCAGACGCCCGCGCAGACAAAACCGAAGAAGGTGCATTACCCGTTTTGGTTTGGAGGTTCGGCCTCATGTTTTGCAGCGGCCGTGACGCATCCGTTAGATTTGGGTAAGTTCTTCTGTCTGGACCGTTTTCTGCGCTGTATACTGACTTTGCGACTGTAGTAAAGGTAATTGCGAACTCCCAGCAGTTCCGAGACCGGAGATTTATTTATGCCCACAATTGCGAGCTCTAACGCTGATTTGTGTCGCTTGTTGCAATAGGTCCGCTTACAGACGCGTGCGCCCGATGCGCCGAAGACCATGCTGGGGACATTTGGACATGTTGTGAAGAATAATGGCTTCACGGGGTTATACAGTGGTGTATGTGCGCCCTCAGACTCGGACAAGATGATTGGGGTAGCGCTATCAGCAAACGGACTGTTAGCTAACATAGGACGATTTGGCCGGATTATAGTTGTCAGCTGCGATGCTGCGCCAGATTACATACTCCACAACGCGATTCGGTATCTATGAAGAATTGAAATCGCGCATTTCCACGCCAGAGGCTGGCACACCAAGCATGCTCACTCTGATCGGCATTGCCTCGGCCTCCGGATTCATCGGCGGTATTGCAGGCAACCCGGCTGATGTGATGAACGTCCGTATGCAGTCCGATGCAGCGCTTCCCCCGCCCAGCGACGCAACTACCGCAACGCGCTCCACGGACTCGTGCAGATGACCCGGACAGAGGGACTTGCTTCTCTCTTCCGCGGCGTCTGGCCCAACTCTACCCGCGCTATTCTCATGACTGCATCCCAACTCGCTTCCTACGATACCTTCAAGCGCATGTGCATTGATAAGGTCGGTATGGCCGATAACCTCAGCACACACTTCACGGCCTCTTTCATGGCTGGCTTCGTCGCTACCACCGTCTGCAGTCCCGTAGATGTCATCAAGACCCGTATCATGAGTGCTTCTCATGCCGAGGGCAAGAGTCAGAGCATTGTCAGTCTTCTGCGGGATATCTGCCGCAAGGAAGGTCTGGGATGGACTTTCCGCGGCTGGGTGCCTAGCTTTATCCGTCTCGGCCCCCACACTATTGCCACCTTCCTCTTCCTCGAGGAGCACAAGAAGCTCTACCGTAAGCTCAAGGGCATTTAAAGGCAAAGAGTGACCATTCCTTTTTGTCTCCCCTTGACCCCTTTTGTTCGCCATCCTTCTCATCCTACAAAGTCATTTACGCCTTCTATCTGATACATCCTGGTACATACGGTTTGTTGCCTTTTTTTCTTTCTCTTTCTCTTTTCTTACTTGGGTGGTGTACTTTGGGATTCACGAGCAAGATTTCGGCTTGTACATAACTTGCATTCTTTCGATGTTTCTTTCGCCAGAGGAATTCGAATGATGGCCATACAGGGTCATCTAGCATATCTCGGACAAGGCTATTTGCCATTGGACAGTGTGCTTGCTACATTTTTCTGGTCGGGGGTTGGGACCACATAGAACTAGATACTCATTGAATTGGATTCAAAGCATTTCCACAAGGACAAAATATGCGTTCATCGGATACTATAACCGCCCTGGGTGAGCCATGGTTCCAGGTTCGCAGTATTGAGCAATCACAGGCGCTACTGAGATATGGGGGGACTTCCATCCTGTAGAAGACTGCCCATAGTTTAGAAGTCAGAACAGATACTGGCTATAGAAACATATCTCTTTACATGGTGTCTATATCAACATCCTTTCTTGTCTTACACTGACGCATCGAGTTAGGAAAGAGAGGGCTTGTATCCCCGCGTTACCCAGTAGAGTACATTGGAATTGTCGACACATAAAAAAATCTGACACAGCTCAGTTGACCAATTGAGAATAGCATTTGATCATCTATTTGTCAAGCTTGACAGGGAAGTTGCCAGCCTCTGTTGATACAAATTAGTACATATACACACAGTCAAAGGGAACATCTTGGTGCGTACCGCGCTGACCGTCCCAACGGTCGGTCCAGGCCTTGGGGCAGAGAGAGCGGAAGGCGTGGTAGAACTGCGACATTGTTAGATATAACTGGCTTTCCGATATGTCGCCAATGTTGCGCTTACCTGCTTGCAGGGGCGGAAGTCCTCGCCCTTAGCAGTGGTGCACTTGTAGTAGTCGACATAGTTCTGCCAGCAGTGCTTGGTCCTGCGGCGCAAATCAATGTTAGATGGGCAAAAACATCGATCCGATTCGAGATATCACGTACTGGTTCATCTGGGGAAACGGGCATCGTAGCCTGCAATTGAATCAAAAATTGTCAATTTCACCATACATCAGCCGATCGGGAAATATCGGTCCGCAGACATGCGGAAAGCGAAACAAACGAATTTGTATCGAAAGGATACATACCAGCTGCAATCAGATTAGCCATTGACTCTTCAATGGGGTTCCTGGCCCCGGTTTTCGTGGGAGGGGGCTAGTGGACTTACCAGTGACAAACTTGAAGGGCTTGGTCTCGAGGACCTCATCGGGGTCGGCTTCCGGAATAGCACCCATATTTGCGATGTGTAGCTTCGAGAGAAACGACACACAAGAGAAAAGAGTCGGAGTGGAGTGGTAATAGAGGAGGGGAGAAAGTTAGCCGGGAGGAGCGACGTTGGGTGATTGAAGCTATGAAGTGCCGGGTATGACCGCGGGCGGTCAAGCGAGGGCCACTCAGCGCCTCGCTTTTACACCCGAGCCAGTCACGTTCTTGGAAAGCTGGTGTTCCAACCTCGTCCTCATCCCACTCTTCTTCTGCTACTCCAGGGTCGAACCACATACATCAATCGCCATGTATCCCACTCGCATGCTGCGGATGCAGCCCACTCGGGCTTTCGCCTTCCCTTCTCCTGTAAGTTTTCACCTCTGTGTGTGCTATTGATTGTTCACCTCGGTTACTAACTCCTGTTTGTAGAAGGAGCCTCACAGCGGTACGCACCCTCGAACTAGATCCGGCCATCGGAGCCATGTGGATTGGCTGTACTTTTATGAGAACTGCCATTGAACTAACTCTGCGACCACAGCCCACACCATCTCCCAGCGCCTGCGCCAGCTCAAGCGTGTGCCCCCCGAGTTGCTCCCTATCGGTATGTGCTACCGTCATGATTTCGCAATGGAGATTTGAGCTAACAAATTGGTTATTATACAGGCTTCGTCCTTGCGTACGTATTTGCTTTCATATCATTTGCCGCCTAGTTCCGGAGCACATGCCCGGATTTTCCGCCCCTATATCACTTCACTGGCAACCAAGCTCTTATTTCCAACGCTAACTTATATTTTGCAGTGTTGCCATTGGCGCCGCTGTCTACTCCTGCGGCAAGAAGCTGATGACCGACAAGACCCTGCGTCTTTACCGCAACAGCCCCGAGAGCCGTGAGCACTAAATGTACCACCATGTTTCTTTGAGCTCTCAAAATCGAATCGCATAGTTCGAATTCTGGCCCCCTGTATTGTTGATTAGGAGAGTTTGAAGCCCTTGGGCATTATTGAGTGAAAGCTATTGCATCGAAGACGAGGCGGGCCTGCCCCAGTCCTGAAGCCGTGTACATATTCCGGCTTGCGAGCTTGGCTTCTGATGGTGTAATGGGCAAATTGTAATGTCGGTTTGAATGTGTGCTTCTTTGTCATATTCGTCGTAGCTATCGTAATTTACAGCGTGCTTCACTCGGCCTTCGGCCCGGCAACATCTAATTGTTCCAAGCCCTGCATAGCATCTTGGGGACGACTGCTTGATGCTTGAGCTTCCTCAGCTGCTAACCGGTCCTCCTCGCTGACGACATGCTTGGCCAAATAGCCCTCCTATAGAACATATCTGTTAGTATACAATGCGATCAGAGGTTCATATTCAACCCACCTGTTCCCAGATCGCAGTCTTGCTACCTAATCCCTCATTGGCATCCTTCTGTGGCTTCGCAGCAGCGACCTTAATCGTACGTCCATAGATCTCGCTGCCATCCATGTTGTCAATGGCCTCTTTGGCGTCTTGGGGCAGATCGAACTCCACATATCCAAATCCGCGGTGGACGTCCTTGGAGTTAGGCTGCTCGGGTTTGGGCAGCGAGATATCAACGACCTCGCCGAACGGAACAAAGGCTTCGGCAAGTGTATGCGCAGTCACTGCCTGGTCAAGGCCGCCTACATAGACAGTGCTCTTGAGCCGCGTGGTTTCGCTCATGATGTGTAGTTGCGGTTTCGGCTTGGTTTGCGCGGGATCCTCGTTATAGTCGGCGATACGATGGGGTCGCACAGAATTATCGGAAAAGCGGAGAAAAAGTTGCGTGCGACAATAGGGAAGGCCTTGGTTGTCCACACTTTTAATTCAAGCTGTATCTTGCTATCAGCCCAGAACGGAAGATTGATATCACGTGCAAGCTCACCTCGGGAGTGTTTTGGCGAGTCCCGAAGCGGTCTAGCGCGGGTTCCCCGGTCCCTCCAAGTCCAGGAGGCCACTTGGTTTACTGCTATACTTGGAACATCTAGAGCGTCACCCCATTGTCAATTATTCGTACGGGGTGGTCCTTATTTGTTTCTTTGCTCGATATTTGAACCTGGTTGCTCTTTGAATGATTATTTCCCCCCTTTCTATTGGTCTCGATTCTTACTACAACATATCTCCCCTGCCATCATCATGGTACGTCTAAGGGAAATCCCAAGGACGGCCACTTTTGCCTGGTCGCCTGGCGCCGCATCGCCATTGATCGCAACCGGAACCCGCGCTGGAGCTGTCGATGCTGACTTCTCCAACAAAACATGCCTCGAGCTGTGGGATTTGGGCCTTGACCGTGAAGATGCGAGCGAGGAGCTACAGCCGTTAGCTAAGCTTGATACGGATTCTGGGTAAGTTGGGTCTTGGGGGATGTCGACGAAGCTACGCCTGCTGACCGGTTAATGCAACTAGTTTCAATGACCTGGCCTGGACCACATCCGAAGATAACAAACGGGGTGTGATTGCCGGCGGTCTGGAGAATGGCTCATTGGCGTTGTGGGACGCGGACAAGCTACTTGCCGGAGACAGGTTCGTTAAAGTTCATATGAAGAAGTCCCTCGGAAACAATGCTGACCATTCAATTTCAGTGATGCATTGATCTCAAGAACCACAAAACACAGCGGTGCCATCAAGGCACTTCAGTTCAACCCGAAACACCCGAATCTTCTGGCAACCGGTGGTGCAAAGGGCGAGGTACGCTGGAAATCGAGATCCATTGGTTATATATGGGGCTAACGACCTGGTAGCTGTTCATCTGGGATCTGAACAACATCGAGAACCCATTCCGGCTGGGCAACAACGCCGCTCGCACCGACGATATCGACTGCTTGGATTGGAACAAAAAGGTCCCCCACATTCTGGTCACTGGTAGCAGTTCCGGCTTTGTGACGGTGTGGGATGTCAAGACGAAAAAAGAGAGTCTGACCCTTAACAATAAGGGCCGGAAGGCTGTCAGCGCAGTCGCATGGGACCCCGCGAGGGTATGTTGGCATGTCATACGTGAATGGTCTCAACTTTGCTAACTAATCTCGCATCTAGCCGACAAAGCTTATCACATCGTCACCCCTCGAGTCAGACCCAGTGCTCTATGTCTGGGACCTGCGCAACTCCCACGCCCCGGAGCGCGTAAGTTGTTGCTTCAGAAACCAGGTGTGGCTTAATACTAATATGCTCTATATAGACACTCACAGGTCACGAGTCCGGTGTGCTCTCACTGTCTTGGTGTGACCATGACCCGGACCTTCTCCTCTCGGCGGGCAAAGATAACCGTAATATCTGTTGGAACCCGCAAACTGGCCAAGCCTACGGAGAGTTCCCCGTTGTCACGAATTGGACTTTCCAGACCCGCTGGAACCCCCACAACCCCAACTTCTTTGCCACCGCATCGTTTGATGGAAAGATCTGTGTACAGACTCTGCAGAACACGAAGACCGATAACGCTCAGGCTATCGCCGATCAAAACCAGGCCCTGGACGGCGAGGACTTCTTCGCCAAGGCCCAGACCCAACCTCAGGTCTCCAAGTTCTCGCTGCCGAAAGCGCCTCGCTGGCTTGAGCGGCCTTGCGGTGCTACCTTCGGATTCGGTGGCCGGGTCGTTTCCTTCGGCCTGACCGAGAAGGGCGCTCGTACATCCACCATCAAGATCACGCCCTTCGAGGTGGATGAGAGCATCGGAAATGCCACAGAAAGCTTTGAGACTGCATTGAAGGAGGGCGATATTCGTAGCCTTTGTGAGTCGAGGGCTTCAGGTGCCTCCAACGAAGCAGAGAAGGCGGACTGGAAGGTGATGCAGGCTTTGCTCTCCGAGAACCCACGCAAGGGCTTGGTGGAGTATCTAGGCTTCCAGGACCAGGCCGACGAGGCTGCCGATAGTCTCGCGCAGCTCGGTTTGGGCAAGAAGGAAGGCGAGGACACCGATGGTGCTGCCGCCAAACCTGCCGAGGTCAAGAAGCACAAGCGTCTGCAATCTATGTTTGATCCCAACCCCGAAGGTGACAGTTTCCTTTCTGAACTGGCTGCTTCTAAGGGTGCTCAGACCAACAACCCATTCCAAATCTTCAATGGCTCAGAGAGCCAGGCAGAGCAGAAGATCACTCGGGCTCTGCTGCTTGGAGAATTTGAGAAAGCTCTGGATGTCGCTCTCAGCGAGGATAAGATGTCCGATGCTTTCATGATTGCTATCTGTGGCGGTCCGAAATGCGTTGAGAAGGCGCAGGAATATTATTTCTCTAAGCAAGCCGGTGGACCAAACTACATGCGCTTGCTCGCATCTATTGTGGGCAAGAACCTATGGGATGTAGTCCACAACGCTGACCTATCCAACTGGAAGGAAGTGATGGCTGCTTTGTGCACCTTTGCGGATGAGAAGGAATTCCCCGACCTGTGCGACGCTCTCGGCGACCGCCTCGAGGAACTAGTCCAGAATAGCGATGATAAGAGCGCCCGCAAGGATGCCTCTTTCTGCTTCTTGGCAGGGTCCAAGCTTGAGAAGGTCGTCGCCATCTGGGTTGAGGAGCTCCGCGAGAATGAGCAGAAGGGAGTCGAAAGCGACGCCGAGAATAATACCTTCTCCATTCACGTCCGTGCTCTGCAAGGCCTGATCGAGAAGGTTACCATCTTCCGCCAAGTCACCAAGTTCCAGGATACCGAGCGGAACAAGGACTCTGAGTGGCGCCTGAGCGTCTTGTACGACAAGTACATTGAGTATGCCGACGTCGTCGCTACTCACGGCCGCCTGCAGATCGCACAAAAGTACCTCGACCTTGTGCCTGAGAAGCACCCTGAAGCAGAGGTGGCCCGCAACCGCATCAGACTCGCCACTAGACAAGCACCCCAGAAGGCTCAGCCTTCTGCCGGAACGAAGTCTGCATTCAAGCCCCTCCCGCAACAGCCCAACCTGTACCAGCCACAGCAAACTTTCAGCCCTGCTGCTTCCGCGACACAAGCTGCTCCTAACGCTTACGCCCCTCCTGCGCCTGTTGCGCCCCAGCAGGCCAATGCTTATGGCGCTCCCATGACTAGCCCGCCAGCGCAGCCTGCCAACCCCTACGCCGCCATCTCGGCCGGGGGAGGCTATGCACCTGCTACCGGCTATCAGCCAACTCAGGGAATGAGGCCTACTGGATATGGCCCACCCTCTGCATTCGGTGGACAGCAGCCTACAGGTGCTGGTGTCCCTCCTCCCCCTCGTGCCTCTTCTAACCAGTCGCCGGCGAACAATATCACGACATACACTACGGCCACCGGTCTTCCTGCATGGAATGATCTACCAGAGGGCTTTGCTAAGGCGCCTACGCCACGCCGTGGAACTCCTGCCGCTGCCGCCGCGCCCATCGCCTCTCCTTTCCCTAACCAGTCACCGACTCTGCCGCATGGGCCTCCCCCAGTTGGCGCACCGCGCGCACCATCTGTGCCTCCCCCACCAAAGGCGGGCTCCATGCCTCCACCGCGCATGATGTCGCCGCTATCTGGTGGACAGCCTGTCTCCAATATTCCCGGACCTTCCCCGCCGCCACCTGCCAACCCATACGCATCTCTCCCCCAGTCTCCGCCGTTGGCTCAGGGCTCAACCATGGCCCCTCCGGCCTCCATTCCTCGGGGAGCATCGCCCTACAACGCTCCCCCTAACGCCCCACCGCCAACTAACCGGTACGCACCCAGCCCGGCTGCCCAGGCTGCAAGCCCGCAGCTGCAGACCCGCGGCCCGGTGGCTCCACCTCCTCCTGCCAGTGCTTCGCCCTACGCCCCGCAAGCAGCATCACAACCGCCGGCGGCCAACCCATATGGGCCCACCACGCCTATCACCACGCAGCCTCCGCCTATGGCCCAGGCAGTCCCACCACCGCCTCAGGGATCTCGACCTGGAACAGCTCAGTCGCAGAGATCCGCTCCCGCGGCTCCCAAGTACCGTGAGTTTGATCCCCAGTAACAATATCTTATTGCAGCAAATTGACCACTGCCACAGCTCCTGGCGACCGTTCCCACATCCCCGCCAACGCACAGCCTATCTTCGAGATCCTCTCGGCAGACATGCAGCGCGTCAAGTCCCGGGCTCCCGCAGCATTCAAGGCACAGGTTGAAGACGCCGAGCGCCGCTTGAACATCCTCTTTGACCACCTCAACAACGAGGACCTGCTCAAGCCCAACACCGTTGAGGATATGGTCAACCTGGCCCGCGCAATCCAACAGCGTGATTTCAATGCCGCCCTTGGCATTCACATTGATATCATGACTAACCGCACTGATGAGTGTGGCAACTGGATGGTGAGTGAATATGGTCCTTTGAGCTGGTCTCTGAACAACACTAACGAATCTTTTGTAGGTCGGCGTTAAGCGTCTTATTAGCATGAGCCGCGCTACACCGTAAATGACCACTTCGTCCCTTGTCGAGTGGAGGGAATGTTTAGGGCTTGGTATAGCTTGAGTACTATGTCTGGCCTTGTTTTCTCTATACTTCAGCGTTTCTCCAAATCTTTTTTTCTCTTGTTCATTTTATAATTAATGTCTTTGCGTATCTTCTTCCGTTCCTATTCCTCACGGGTCATAAGTATGATCATGAGTGGAGCGAAGCAAAAAACCCCCAACGTCTCTTTCGCCTGCGTGGGCGGGAGTATTCGTGGACTGCCAGGCGCCTTGTCATATAAATTGCCTGATAGACATGAATCAACGAGGATAGTATGTGAATTTCGTTACACAGGACAGACATATCCATTCAAAATCTGGGTTATACACCATTGATCCTCAGATAGACCAACTAGGCAATCTGCTGCGTTCTATGTACATTCATACAACCACATCGCACATAATTAGACTCCATCACCGACCGCCAACAGGAAGACCACCCCCAAGTCGTCCTCCACGACTAGCGGGGAAGTTACGCGCACTCAACAGCGCACCCTTCACAGTACGTATATGAGCCCTAAACGCCGAGATAGCCTCCTCCTCCGGCTTCCGCAAACCGGACTTATTATTCGACGCAGCATTACTACTCGAATTCCAAACCCCATAAGTCGACCCAGTAGTGTACGTCGGCGTACTGTAAATCAACCCATCACAGAAATGCTGCAAATCCGTAAGACTAGTGCGCACAGAGTCATCCAGCGTACTCGCGTCCTTCTCCGCATCAACAATCTCACGCAGCCGCGACTTAATCGACTCAACACTGCTAACATGCTTATCCACCACCGTCGAGGGCGACAACGCCGCCGCGTCAGCAGAGTTAACAGCACCAGAACCCTGCAGCGCAGGCGAGGACTCCGGGCTCGTCTGCGTTGCCATATCGCGGTGGAACAGTTCCGTCGGGTCGGACGTGACGGACTCGACGTCATCTTCGTCTTCGTCGGAGTAGGGTTTGATTTTGCGGGCTGTTAGCTCGGGCGGGATAACGCTGACTTGTTTCTCCAGCTTCTCGTTTAGTTTTTGCAGGTTTGTTTCGGCTGTGCCGGCTAGCTCGTGGCGCGCGCTGGTTAGGCTGGCTAGCATGGGTTTCACAAGGAATTCGCTGGCGCTGTACAGGGTGGCGCCTAGACCGGCCGCGCCGTAGAGAGTGTACAGGACGCTGCGCATTGTGACTAGCGGGGGTGGCTTGGAGGACTCGAAGAGGAACTCCGGGTAGGTGATTATTGGGGGCACGTCGCGGGGGGCCGGTGCTGGTGCTGGTGGGGGCGATGGGCGCGATTCAGACATGGTGGTGGATGGTGCGGTGGTGACGGGAGAAGAAGGTGTGGCTTCTGTTTGGACGGGTGAGGTGGATGCGGCTGGTGTCTCCTCGGTTGCGGTTGAGCTGCTGGTTGCCTCCTCGTTGCGGGTTATGCCAAGGACTTGTTGGATCTCGCTTGGATTCAGGCCTTTTGACTCTAGGAAGGAGACTTTGCGATCTGTTGGGGCATCGCGGATTGACTCGTCTTGTAAGAACTTGGATGCTTGGTCTAGGAGAGCTTGTCGGGGTGTGGAGGTTGTAGATGCGGGCGCATCGTCGGCTGGCGATGGCGATGGTGATGGCGACTCGTCCGCTGCCTTATTGGGTCTTTGCCATGCAGGAATGGATGCTTTGGATGTGTCGTCAGGCATGGTGGAAGGCGTCCGACAGATTTAGTAGATGGCGAGAGAGCAAAGGGTGCCGGGTAACTGTAAGGAGGAGAGGTAACCTTCCCCGGACTTAGAGCCATGTGACCCCAACCTCGGCTGTTAGCCTGTTACAACTTACGGGGCCGGGCGATGTTCACGCCTGAGGCATCAACATTGCCGAATACTACCTCATTGAGACTTTAGAGTATCACTCGCATGAGCATGTCCTAGAACGCGAGATCTTAGGTATGCTTTGAAGTGCTGAGGTGGTGAGCAATGTTGGGTTTATCGAGTGAATCTATACGAGGTAGAGAACACGCGTTTTGAGACTTGAACAGCATGTTGGTTACATTTCATCTGTGAAGATTATGTCGAATACAACTCCAGCTTGAGCACCCAGCTCTGCGAGCTGGTGCCTCATTTCAGGCTCCCAGTCATATTCGTCAGTTTCGTATCTGACTAGTCCCAGTGAAACGCCGCAAAGGTTCGGCGTGAATGTTCGATCCTCGAGCCATGATTTCAGCACGTCTAAGATTGCGTGATCTTCCCACTCGAATTCAGGCCAATCTGGTTCCTTATGCTCCGAATTCTGTATACACAGGTCGTAGGTAATGGTCAGGTGTTCAAGCTTTCTTGGAAGCACATCCTGCAGGCGTTTCGTTCTGTCTAGTGCAAATCCCACGAGGAATGCCCATAAGCGGTGGTCTGAGGAAAGTGAGACAACCCTAACTTATCATCCTAGCCTGTACGGTAATAGCGTGGAGTGCAAAACCAGTCAACCGCTCTTAAATGGCAGCCTTTCTCGTTCCTCAACTTTTTACCAGTCCCAACGAACCCAAGCCTTCCAGTCAAAGCCACTGTGAAAATACGAACATGTGACTAACAATGAGACCTGTAGGTCATTAATCTTGACCAATGACCATTTCAAGACTTCTGCTAATTATTCTAGATTCATCCAGAGCCAACCGGCTTGACCAGCTGCCCAGCAGATATTCTATACTCGATATTCGAGTTACTCTCACCCGCTGAATTTCATGCACTATGTCTTGTTCATAAGAGCGTTTGCGGAATGGCCGCGAGGCTTCTCTACCAGAATATCCAAATGGTTTGGGAGCGTGAGAACCCTTTTGATCCTCCACCAGTCACTAAACTATTGCGAACTTTGGTCTCCAGTCCTGATTTGGCTGCTCACGTCAGGACTTTTCACCTTGGCGGCGAAATCACCAGTTACGCCTCACTCGTGAGAACCATACGCGCAGTTCCCATCTTTCCTACCGAACTGAACGCGTCTATATCATTCATTCAAACGACTGGAGTCCCGTATAGCGACCTTTGGAAACAAGATTTGCAGCAAGGCAAACTTGACGCTGTTGTCGCGCTGCTCCTAGCACAGCTGCCGAATCTTAAATCTCTGCACCTGGGGCCTGCTTTCACCAAACAAAGTGAGATTATAGGCATGGTTCTTCGTTCAGCCATCTTTGAGACTGTAGACTACGGGCTACCTGACTTTCGGCATCTCCGAGACGTGACATACCTCCTCCATGAAGGCCATGACCAGGCGCGTGATAAAAACGTCAAAAACACTGCTGATGTGTTGCCCTTTTTCTATCTATCAAATATCGAACGCATTTCGGTCTTCCTCGAGAGCCCGCTCGCGATAACGTGGCCTCAACCAACATTGCCTGTCCCGTCAAGCCTTACATCACTGGTTTTGAACTCTGTTCGTGAGAACTATCTCATGAATCTGCTTTCAATCACGCCATATTTGAAATCGCTGCGGTGGACATGGTTTTACGATAACGGTCTCCTCGACGCAGTCAATTTGGCAATTATTGATCTTGATCAGATCGGTGATGCCATATCTTGTCTCAAAAACACTTTGACCGACCTCACAATCATAGGCGAGATTGAACTGGGAGGCAACGATATAAATCTCCCTGGTGTAAAAACAGACGGATCATTGACGGCAATGGTTACTATGGACACTCTCAAGGCACTTCAAGTCCCATGGGCATTCCTCGTGGGATTTGCACTAGACAGAACGAAACGCCTGCAGGATGTGCTTCCAAGAAAGCTTGAACACCTGACCATTACCTACGACCTGTGTATACAGAATTCGGAGCATATGGAACCATATTGGCCTGAATTCGAGTGGGACGATCACGCAATCTTAGACGTGCTGAAATCATGGCTCGAGGATCGAACATTCACGCCGAATCTTTGCGGCGTTTCACTGGGACTAGTCAGATACGAAACTGACGAATATGACTGGGAGCCTGAAATGAGGCACCAGCTCGCAGAGCTGGGTGCTCAAGCTGGAGTTGTATTCGACATAATCTTCACAGATGAGATGTAACCTACAAGGGCTGATACTGAGCCTGCTGTTCAAGGAGGCAAAGGCTTAATCCGAAACCGGTATAAGCTAAAGCCCTTTGGATTACTTCCAGCAGCCTGTTCACAATCTGGAGACTGCGCTTGAAGGTTTCCAGTATTGTAAAGAGCTGCACAGAGTCTAGGTGCAAAAAGCTCGAGCTTATACCACCACATCTGATTTGGCTCAAGATTAAGCCTTTTCGCTTCCTGAACAGCTGCCTCACGGTCAGGGTAGCAATATGGAAGAATCGCCTGATTTGCTCGAATCATTTCAATGCCACGAATCTTCGAGGCATATGGGATTGGCCCACGTTCTTCGCTCTCGCATATTCGTTGTTGTTGGATGATAACAATGAAGCCAAGTCTTGACAAATAAGGAGAATAAGCTGCATGAGCTTTCGACAAGTCTGTCAACATTCACTCCAGATGGCGATTGGACTGTTGGGGGGAAACGTTCAGACAGCTCAAGAGGCTCAAACACCACCTGTCCACACCTTGGTAATGGGGTATCTCACAAAATATCTGCATCAGATTCGCTTCGCTTCTTCCTTTTTAGGTCTCTTAACCATAGGAGAAGGAGAAGATGGAGAAGCGCTAGAAGGAGCGATAGAGGAGCTATGTGATAGATGCCCTTCAACGACAGCCGACAGCTCTGTGTGATGCTGAGGACTCAGGACCGTAGGACGGTATATTGTAGATCTACTCTGCTAGTTAGCTATGGTAATGTGGTCTGGGATAACTATGAGTCTATCACGGCCGGGTCACCCTGACCCAACAATTTAATAGTACTATTCCTAATTTCGAAGGCGGTAAAGCCAACTGGCCAATAACGCTGTCGCTCCAAAATTACCGCTAATCCCCGGGATAACAATCTGCCGTGATTGAAATGAAATCCCCAAGTATACTCGGGACCGCCCGGCAGAATGGGCCGGGCAGTACTTCATTCGTTCATTGAGCGTCAGTGACTAGGCCACCTTGAACAATCCGAAACTTTAGAAGAAAGTACCTGTGAGTTATTGTGAATTGCCCTTTTATTGGTATGTATTGTGTGTTTCTTTCTTATTCATCTGGCCCCGAGAAACAATCGAGGGTTCAATAGACCCTCCCTCCCCCCGTACCCTCAATGGAGAAGAAAGCCAGGAGAAACCATCCAGCCTAATGCCCTGTAACGCGCTTGGTTCGCACTTATCGGTTATCCTCCGTCTCTTAAAGAAGCTGTGACTTCCCGGTTTGCAGCTCCGCTTCACACTCCGGCGACGAGGTGATTGGGCGGATGGTCCTTTCTTTCTTCTCCTTCTCTCTACGGACTTGCCCAGTCTTAATATCCTAGTCCGTACTGCCACACACTTGCCTTCTTCCCCAATCTCACTTCTTTTACCCTGCTCTTCATTACTTTTTCGTATTCTCACCTTTCCCCTCCCTGTCACACTTGTCAAAACCGCCACCATGAGACTCCGATCTCGTCGATCGCGAAAGACTCGCGATGACACCCCGGAACCAGATGCTAACGTGGCGACCAGGACCACAAGGCAAACTCGTGCCTCTGCTTCTGCTTCTGCATCTGCATCTGCTTCAGTTGTAGTCTCCCGATCTCTGAAATCAGGAGACCGAAAGAGATCTCTTCGTCTGACTGTCAAGATGCCCTCCAACAAACTGCGAGAAGCCACTGGCAATGGTCGCGCTGGAGGAAAGCGCTCAGTCAATGTGTTTCGGGAAGACCCCATAGTTTCGGGACCCCGCTCCAGTCGGAACCGAAAAAAGATTGTAGAGGTTGCTACGAGTGACGAAGAGGACCTCGACGACCAAGAAGAAGACGAGGTCGACGATGAAGATGCGCCTGCGGAAGATGATGATGATGAAGACGCTGATGCTGATGCTGACGCGGATGGTGATATTGACATGGAAGACACCCCTCAGCCACCAAGCAAGCGCATTAAGGTCGCTCCTATTTCTCGCCCCAAGGCAACCAAGAGTGTGGAGGCTAAGGAAATGGAAATGGACGAAGATGAAGAGGAGGAAGATGAAGATGACGAAGAGGCCATTTCCGACACGGATGAAGATGCCGAAGCCGAGGCTGACGATCGAGATGACAGCGCTCTTCCAGACGTCAATGCTGATGAACTCGATGACCTCGATGAAGAGGATGAGCTGGACGAGGACATGGACAGCGATGCCTTCGCCCTGCAAAGCGGCAAAACGACTAAACGCCAGCGGGGAAATCTAGGAAATGATTTCTTGCAACTTCCCATGGGTAAGGAACTGCCGCTGATCATGAAACCACAACGGAATGAAACTAATTAGATAACAGAACCGCAGGTCAAGAAGCATTTGACCGCTGAAGAGCGTCAGATGCGCCGTGCAGAGATGGCTCGCCGAAGGAAGAACCTCAGCGAGAAGCGAAACGAAGAGGAAAAGGTTTGTGCAATTCCCCTGAAGGATCAACAGTGGACTTCCCGCTGATATTCAACACCAGATGGACACAATCAATCGACTGCTCAAGAAACAAGCCCCTAAGCGACGTGGCCGAGCGGCGGCGGCTGAGGCTGCTGATGGCACCCCCGCCAAGAGAACGGAGAGCCTGAGAAGCCCGATCCTACCATGGTGCGCTGGATCAGTGGACAAAACGGCTGTAAAGTCAGTGTCCCGGTAGAGTGGCTTGGTACACCTGCTGGCCGTGTCTTCGGTGCACCTACTGCGCCCACTATGGCAAAAATGGTTGAGGAAATTTGATGCGACATGCAGTTATTACAATGGGCGGCGCTTATGGAAGGATTTTCTGACAAGAGATTCGGGAATGGATAGCATCATTTGCAAGGGACTGGGGTTGGTCTATTGCTTGCTCTGCGAATGGCGTCTACGACAATTCATGACATTTTAGTATCTCCGATAGTTCTCAGGTTCACAGTTCGAGCAATACATGACTATCTTTCATCTTCTTGAGTCCTAGAACACACGGTTGAAAACAGCTCTTATATACAAATCGTCCAAAGGCCTGAGTACATGGGCTAGTCGGCTCAGACCACCGTTCAACGCCCTGCCAATAGGTATCCAGAGCTGGCCAGCTGATGCTTCCCAAACTTACTTATGGCAACCTCCAGGGCTGACCATAAGACCTGACAATTATGGCACGGCAGCAGCTGTGGTGCCGTGCGCCCCGGAGTCTCAGAGCGCGGGGAATGGCGCAATCGCCAACGTAGCTATTGCACCGAGAATAGCCCAATGGTACATCGTTGCCTGGTGACACCTAGGCCAGTTACGATTCCGAAATGCCACTTCTAGCGGAAGCTTATTGATCGTCACTGTGTCGTCGACTTGGGATCTTGGTGAGATTTGGCATTGGCGGCAACACCCGTGTCCTGCTTTGGAGCCAAAGTATCAGATAAGGGGGAGGTCTTCTGGGCGTGCTCTTTCTCGTATTGGAGCTGCTGGAATGTCGGCTGGAAAGTGTAGTAGCCTGGTGCAGATAGAAAATTCGAGGTTAGGAACTAGTACAATGAATGGGCCATCCGTGCTGTAGGGTAGACATACCAGTGAAGACGCCCACGCCGATAGCGAGGAGAGCAGGGACAAAATTGCGACTCATTCTGGCTGGTTTGAGGCTGACAGCGAGATTGAATTGCGGAGTTGGCGGTTGGGAAGTCCGGAGGTAATGCGGGAGATGAGATTACTTATCAGCCAACTGATTAGCCGGCGCGTCTGCTCTAAATTGCTTTCCCGCTGGCACGCGTCCGAATACTCGGAGTCCTTACAACGAGACAGCCGGATTATTGTTCGGCGTTCCGTCCTTTTGCTTCTCGCGAATCCTACGCTGAAGATTACTTTACAATTGTTTGCAGTGTCCTGTGACGCCCCCAATGACTGTCTAGAGACATGGACGATGCCCGCCAAGGATGCAAATGGAATCATGGCGACAACGAGGTTATGTCCCCGACTCGGACGAGGAAGATGGGTTCGACTCGCTAGAATCAAAGAATGGGAACGTCGACAATAGCGCTGATGTCGGAAATCTCGAGTATATCGACCCACCATCTTCGTTGCCGAAGGAAGGGACGAGGGCAGGGGAGGAGCGACGCGAGCGGACTGGGCTTGAGAATGGCTCAATCACACTCTCGGATGCCGGGGACATGCCCGAACGAAATATGAATGGGACGGATCTTGGAAATGGGCAATCCTCCGAGCCCGAAGCTGGGGACAAGCCGGGTTCTGCCCGGAGGACACAACCTTTCCGAGACACCACCAATGGCCAGAACGCTCCCTCAAAGGAGATTGTGGATGATGAAACGACACCAAAGCCACGGAAAGGACGACGCAAGACTTATGGACGTCGATCGTCGGCTACGAAACAAATGAATCGCCGTAGCACCGAGCTGCATAATATCAATACCCCAGCAAAGCCTACAGACAGCATTTATGATATCCCAATGTCATCACAGGACCATGACAGCCCTGTGACGAAGCGCTCGAATCGCGAGATTACGCCAAAGCCCTTGGAGGCTAGGGTGCAGCCACAACGACGAATCATACCGGAGCTACGGACACCACGGGCCGCCAGCACGCGGAGTCAAACATCAAGCACTCGAAGCTCCTCCCCTGACGAGTTGATGCTGATTTCTCAACCGGTCCGGAAGAGAACTACCGTGGTTGAGCGTGTGCGGCCTGTAGATGCTCCGCCTTTACCGCCACCACCACCGCAGGAGGTATCAGATGATGATTCGCCGTTATCATCTGTACCATCATCCCTGAGCTCTCCGTCAGCCAACCACTCAGAACCACCCGCAACAGAACCACTTGCAGCAGAACCACTTGCAGCAGAACCACTTGCAGCAGAACCACTTGCAACAGAACCACTTGCAACAGAACCACTTGCAACAGAACCACTTGCAACAGAACCACTTGCAACAGAACCACTTGCAACAGAACCACTTGCAACAGAACCACTTGCAACAGAACCACTTGCAACAGAACCGCATGCAGAGGATGGAAGAGAGGTAGAGCCAGGCAGACCGACAGATGAGGAGGCAAGTATGCGGAGAGCAATACTCGCCGAGCTAGGTGTCAACCCAGACGATGTATCTCCTCACCTTAATATTCCGGAAGAAGTGCTGCGAGAACTACCGCATGCCACGCAGCGAACCTTCCGTAAGCGCAATGCCATTCAGATGCACCCGTACCATCTGGAACAGCTCAAGTTCGCTCAGCAATTGCAAGCGCGGGGCGTCAAGCCATTTGGTCGTCCTCCAACGCATAAAGAAAAACAGCCTGTGACAGATGAAAGCCAAGGGCAAGATTCATATGACCCTGAGGCACCATCAAGTCCACCCCTGGAGGAGTATCTTCCGCCGGAAAGACACGAGCGCCGCGGTCCACAATCTGCGGAGAAAGGACGGGGAAGCAACGACCGTGAAAATCATCGACAATCGCAAGCTCATACGGCAAAGCGCCAGAAAACGTCACATTCTGGAACTCCCAAGGCACGCCAAAAGCTACAACAGCCTTTCAAACCTCGCGGCATTAGAGACAAAACTACAGCTAGGGGGAACCCAATTGGGATCTCTATATACGAGTTATCATCTAGTCCTCCACACGCAGGCCATTCGTCTTCAGCTTCACGGACCCCTCGCGTCTCAGAAGGAGGGTTTCGGTTTCCTCGTGGGTGGTCGCCCCCGGCAGGAATTGCGAAACCTGTGTCGCAGGAGACAGCACACACCGACGAGGCTGAAGCGCCGAGAGCTGGTGCAGATGATGACCGGGAAGTGCAGTCTATCTCATCCGACAGCCAGCGAAGTGAGGACGAAGAAAGCGATGCCGATTCCGAGGAGCGTGAGATTCGACGTTTCCAGCGAATGATTCGGGGAGCGCTCCCTGCATCGCATGCCCGGCTTCTACAGAAGGATAACCGAGATAAAGAAAAAGCTGCACGACGAGACCGCCAGACTGCTATGCAAAGGCCAGACGGCAAGGGTGTTGCCCGGAGGCTCATTCGTAAGGGTGCCCGCTCAGGACCATCAGGCACGCCACAGTCACGAGGCCTGTTTGATCTGGGGGATTCTGACGACGATGACGAAGACGTTGACAACAGCACCACCATGAATGGCTCTATCACCGAGGACTCTAGTCAGAGATTGACTAGCACTCATGCTTCCGAAGACCCCTTTGCGCTGGAAGCGGGTGATGTCTCCGAGGACAATCGCATTGACTACATGTTCGCGCCTGGTCCCCGGAATTCGACAGGATCTCGGCGCAAACCAAACGGTCTAAAAAGACCAAAGTCGAACTCTAGACTTCTGAATGGAGAAAGACAGCCTAAGAGACCTCGGCAAACTCGAATGACCGACGCGTCATATGGAGCACGAAGGACCAAGAAATCTTCCATTCCCCGGCGCCCGAGAATAGGCATTCTGGATGCGCCAGACGTTGCCACGAAGGCCCGCGAAGAGCAACCTCGGTTTCTTAGGATTGCTTCAAGACAGCCACGATCACGCAAAGACCGAGGCAGGCAGAGTCCTACTCAGAAGTTCGTTCAGTTGGCTTCAAGAGAGGACACAGCGGATGCAAACGAATCTTTGCGGGATTGGAGAAGGGGAGCTATACGGCAGGCGAAGATTAGCCCTTCCCGGCCCAAAGCTCGCCAGAGCCAGCATTGGACGACAAAGCTGTCGATTCTCAGTTCTCGAGCTCATCCAAAGCCCAGACATGACCTAATACCGAATCATTTTCGTGACTCAGAGGCTGACTCTGGTCTTCCAGACTCTAACCTAGCTGAGCCGGAACAGCCACCGTCCGAACCTGACGCAGTTCCTGCGTCGCCAAACCCAGTCTCACCGGAGGAGCTCTCATCTCGCCAAAAGCCAGCGCGGCACGGTCACACATGGGTTCTTCCTAGGAATGCTGCCGTAACGTCCTTGACGAGAAACACCATTCGCCCTGCTGCACCGACTTTGATAGGCACCGGTAGAAGCCAGAAGATGGCCCCGGCCACTTTTAACAAGTCATTGTCTGTACTCAATCGAAACTACCAAAACCAACGCACATCCAAGCCCTACAGGCCCAGTTTGACACTAGATCGATTTGTGTCGGACAACGGATCCGTGACTCTTGGAGGCAATCCCTCGCCCACAAATCATGCTGCTGCTTTGGTCGAAGCAAGGAATCAAAGACCAACGCAGAAAGCGCATCCACCACGACAGCGGTCAAAAAAGAAAAAGCCCACCCGAATCGACCTCGATGCCGACGAATTCCGCCACGACTCTGGTATTGCCACAGTATTTCCTGATGAATCGGAGCCCCCTATCATAACACACACTGGAAATACCCGCCCTTTGTCTTTCGGTGTCGGCGGTCTCTTTAACTGGCAACGCTTCTACCCAGTCGACTTTGGAATTCCTCCACTACGTGCCAACACCTTCTTCCACGAATCTACATTCATAGGTAGCGGAGAATTTTCTCGTTCAATGCAAGTTGCCAAGCGAGATTTGGATGGATATGTCGGTCCTTTCTCCATTCAAGCCAAAGATGAGAAATTCCAATGGGATCGCTGGAATGACACAGTATCATCTGAGATGGGCCAGGTTTTCGATGCAATCATCGATAATGTCGAACGCAGTGCTGCTACCTCCCCAGACACGGGCATCACGGCTGCCCTGGGTGTGGCCTCACGCATGTACAGATCGTTGATCAGATACGTCACGGAAAACCTGGTGTTCATTGACCCAGTTGATCGAACGGGTTTCGTCACTCGAGCATTGGGACTGGTATCCCAGGTTAGAGATCCATTGGCTGCTTTCGTGACTGGTGACGGATACAACACCTCCGGGCTCGTCAAAATTGCCTCCCTCAACATGGTATTCTCGAACCAGATCTATCAAGTAGCCTCTCATCAACTCGTGAGCCCTGCTCTTGCGACAGAAGCATTGGATTTTGTCAAAGTTTGCGCCAAAGACGTTGCAGGATTGGTTATATCCAAAGTCGGTTCCTCTGAATTCAAAGAGCTCTTCAAGGAGAACACCGAGGCTGAGCGCCGCGAATCAGGCATTCGTGATCAGTATCCATCAGTGGAGGCCTATGTTGTTACCAAGCACCTTCTACGCAGCTCAGACCATTACAAAGGTTGCTTTGAAGATCTCCAGCTGGAAACATTCAACAGCGAATTCGTTCACAATGAGCGAGATGTGGGCAGCCTGGAGGCTGGATGGCGTGGCGTATTCACAGTCTTGCCACTGAACCAAATAGACCCGCTTGGAATTGCGCGTTCTGGCTATCATTTAAAGGCTGCCAATGACAACTGGAAGCTAGCCAAGCGACTTCTCGCTCCGGCTCTGGATCACTTCGAGGTTAACTCTGCAGCACAGCCTATCTCATACAATAGCTACTGTCGGACTCTATTCCTGAGATGTCATCGTCTCATCAATCTCTGGGGATGGCGCGAATGCAAACCCATACTGGACACGCTATTCGACTTCTTTGCCAAAAATACCCTCCATAACCTGAAACTTGAGGAAGCCCGCGGCTCTCCTTCATTTCTTGACGAACTTGACAACAACCCTTCGCTGGATGCCAGGATCGGGGAACCCTGTTTTCACACATTTCTGAAGATTGTAGCAAGTGGCTTGCGCTTTTTGGCGAAGAGGTATGACAAGAAGAAGATTCGAAACTTCGCCTGGCGTCTGTTGCCCAATCATGGTCGTGTGTACCCGAAAGAGCAGCCATTGCAACACGAAGACCTCGATGCGCTCAGGAATCACCATGATCTTCTGAGCACCCTTTACTGGGCAGTTCCTGACGGGTGTCGTCCTCGATTGGAGACGATACGCAACCTGGTTCATCCTGCTACTTCACACCGTGAAGCATGCAATATCAATTTGCGTTCATGGTCAAGGCTTGTTCGATTCAAGCTCTCCACAGACGAAGACGTCTCGGGACTAGATCCGTTTGGGGACTGGTATGGCTATTTCGTAACAGAACTGTATCAACAGCATTCCTATGCTCGCAAAGAAATCGAGTCTCAGAACACCGGTATTAACCGAGTTTCTCAACACCTCGTTGAACGCACAATCTCGCAGAACCAGAGGCAGATTGAAACACTGCTGAGCTCCGCGCTGAGTGGGCTGCGGGTTGCCGTCCAGTTGGCTCCTACTCTGGACCATGCGCATAGGCTTGTTTCCAAGACTCCGTTTGAGTCTATCATTACACTCTTCAATCCCAAGCTTCCCCGTGTGAACGTCGTCGTGTCCGAGGCACTGCAGGTCCTGGTGGCGTACACACTCAAAGATGTTCCTGCTACTTCTGTAGCGGAAGCTCCAGCAGTGGTGGCTACTGATGAGGACAGCCAGGAGTTTGGTGACTGGGATGCAATCCAGGCTGTTTGGGACGAGCAAACTTCCCCAAGCGAGGGTATTGAATACATAGAGAGAGCTTTTCATCCCACTGTCTCTCGCCTTGTTTCAAATTGTTTTGGTGAAGACCACTGCCCTGAGGATGCGATTCTTCTCAGCGTGGTTGAATGCTGGACTTCGATTGCCCGGGTTCTCATTCGCCATCGGCTTCGAAACTGGGACAACTATCTGAGTGAGTTCGGCGATGACTCCTGGACAAGGCTGCGGCAGACTGTCCAGACAAGAAAGTTCGCACCACTGTTTCTTGCGGCGTGCATTGAAAAAGACGCGCAAATCGTTGCTGATTGCCGAATCCAAGTCATGAGCATGTGGATGTTATCGCTAGTTGAGCGTTCCTCCCTGCTAAAATTCCAACATCGTCTCACAGAGGCGCTCTTGAATGGGAGCCCCACTGATCCCTTGCTTAGCAACCTTCCATTTTCCAAGGATCAGAAGACTGGCCGATATACGATCACACTACAGGACATAAGCTCTCGGCGACTGGCCCTCCTCTCGAGCCTAGCATCCAATATGCGTGAGCAGCTCCAGGCTATGGAACGTTCTGGTAATCGGCACTTCTCCGTGACGAAACAGGAGTACTCCGAGATGCTTCAGCGACTGATGACATCCATGAAAGACAACTACCGAGAGCTAGGGAATGGGACAGCGCAGGCTGCTCAAGGAGCGTATGTCGAGTTCGTGCAACGAGTCATTGGTTTCCTCCAGCAACACACCAGTGAAATCAAACCCATCGATCCCTTCTTCACGGACCCAGCTTCCTTCCCCTTACCATCCACTGACCCCCTCTACATTGTCGCGAAACTCAAACGCTACGAGTCGAAGCTATCTTCCAGCAAAGAGATCCAGACCCTGACCGGGTTCGTCCAGAGCATTTCCGAGCGCGCTGCCATTGACGGGCAGCAGGACTACCTGGTTGATCAGTTACATACCGCGATGAAAGACACCCACGAAGCCGGCGACCCAGACAAACCCACTCTCCGCACGGTATTATTACAATGTGTGTTCCCAGCGTATCTCGAAGCGGCACTTCCCAACCGCGCCGCTTGGATTCTCAGCCGCCCCGTCATTCAGACGATCACGCTGGGATTCAAGAGCTTGCTCTGCAACCTTAATACTCTAGACCCGGCCTGTGTGTCATCCGTCGTCGACACAATCGAGGTCGTATGTCGAGCCACGTGTCAAGCAATGGCCGTGATCTCCCTTCATCGACACCGTCTGCAAAGCCCACCAACCCTAATCACACTCGCTGCCTTCCTGGACATGATCTCCTCCGTGCTACCCGTGGTAGACTACATCGATCGTGCCACAGGTACAGGGGATATCATTCTTACGCACATCACATGGATCCGCGATTTCGCCAAAGTCGTCAACACATGTCTACAAAACACAGACGCCGATACGGAGTCGTCTTCCAGTAGTGCATGTATCGCTTTCCCTGACATGCCACCGGCCTCTGATACCCGGAAAATCGACCTCTTTGGCTCAGCCCACAAGATCGCTTCCAGTGAACTCCAGGTCTATCTCAGGAAATGGTCTCACCATGAGGGTAAATACTATTTCACTCGACCGGGCCACGAGTCTCAGGAGATTGCTATTGATCCGGAGATTGCGGCGACGGTGGCTAGTCGGAGTGACGCGCAGAAGGCGTTTGAGGATGCGGCGAGGGATTTCGTCTATCGGGCGACAGGTTTGGAGTTGGTGTGAGGTGGCTGGCGTTTTTATATAGGCGTTTTCGGGTAATGTGTTACGCATATCTAGACAGTGAATAATGTTATTTTGTATTTTTCCAAGTTTTATATCTACTACCTAGGTTCTGCCTCAATGGATATACCTAGGGCATGCCTTTCAGGCGTGAATCAACTCCAACACGACCCATTCTCTACCCACTCAATTGCTCAACTGCTGGATATTAAGAACGACCGTTGCATGCGTATCGGAAATTGGCCTCTGTCCTCAATTCCACGAATGATAAATATCCCTCGACGCAGTCACGCGAGCAAAGGCCTCAGAAAGTACCCTAACCCCACATCTTCAGCCCTCATTCGTGCCATTTGCCCCGATCAGGTAATAGAGCCGACTTGAGTATGCCGAACTCATCTCACAGAGCACTACTGTAAGTTGACTGTAACATATTCCCCGGGTTCCATTTCCCGCTCGCCCCTCAGTCTGCTGAGACCTCATGCTATATGAGCTTATTTGTCCCGCGATGTTACGGTAGGTGTTTCGGATAGAAGCAAACAAGTTTATACTCGCCGTTTGAGATCTGACTAAAGGTTACTACCTAGCTATTGGTATTTTGTTTGTCTTGCTTGTTCTGTTGGTCTTAGGTCGTAGTTGTTGGAGTATAAGTATGTTGGTAGGAATGATGACTCCATATATCTACCAGTCCGTTAAGAAGCAGATCATACTGTTTGAGGTAAAGAGCAAGCTCAAACCTAGACAAACCTCGATTCTGATTCTAGCCTACCTATCGACATCATGATCTGGAAAGCCCTCCTCAGCACGGCAGCCATATTGGCACATATCTCCCCAGCCCTAAGTATCCCAACCAACAGCTCTACAATATCCACTCGTCAATCCAATGATCGATATGTCTTCGCCCACTTCATGGTAAGTCCAGTCCCCCCAACCATAGAAACCCAACCTTACGTTCGCACACACCGTGACACCCTAACCCAAAATCTGTAATCAGGTCGGCATCGTGAAAGACTACCAACTCCCCGACTGGAAAGAAGACATGCTCGCCGCCCAAGCAATCGGCATCGACGCCTTCGCCCTAAATTGCGCCAGCATAGACGACTACACGCCCACGCAACTAGCCCTCGCCTACACCGCAGCCCAACAAACAAACTTCAAAGTCTTCATCTCCTTCGACTTCGCCTACTGGAACAACGGCGACACAGCCCAGATCACAGCCTACATGCAGAAATACGCCAGCCACCCTGCTCAGATGCAGTACCGCGGAGCTGCGGTGGTCAGCACCTTTGTCGGCGACAGCTTCAACTGGGATGCCGTGAGACGCGGGACTGAGCATGCGATTTATGCGTTGCCGAATCTGCAGGACCCGGCTTTGGCAAGCACGGTGGCGGCGAGGAGTGCTGATGGGGCTTTTTCTTGGTTGGCTTGGCCGACGGATGGGGGGAATAGTATTATTGCTGGACCGATGACGACGGTTTGGGATGATCGGTTTGTGCATTTTTTGGATGGGAGGACTTACATGGCTCGTTGGTTTTTCCCTTTCCTCATTTTTCACTTGAGTGGCTTGTTGGGGGATGTGGTTGCTAATTGTTATGACTGATAGCTGTTTCGCCGTGGTTCTCGACGCATTTCAATACTAAGAATTGGGTTTTTGTTTGTGAGGATTTGCCGACGAGGAGGTGGGAGCAGATGCTTGCTCTAGGGCCGGATTTGATTGAGATTATTTCGTGGAATGGTAATTTTCCCCCCTTCTCCCTTCTTGTCCCCCCAATGACCACAGCTAATCGCACTCTTATAGACTATGGTGAATCCCACTATATCGGCCCGTACTCCCCCCACCACAGCGACGATGGCTCCGCAAAGTGGGCAGCGGACATGCCCCACGACGCATGGCGAAGACTGTTCAAACCGTACATCTCTGCCTACAAGGCCGGAGCTAAAACACCTACAGTAGAAGCAGACGAGATCGTCTATTGGTATCGTCCGACCCCGAAGGGCGTTGTTTGTACGGGTGATTCGCTCTCAGCACCGATGGGCATTAATATGCTCAGCGATAGCATCTTCGTTGCGACTATGTTGACGAGACCGGCTGTTTTGACTATGCAGAGTGGGGGAAATACACCAGTCAGCATTGATGTTCCTGCTGGAATCGTTACTTCGAATGTGACTATGGGCGTTGGTAGGCAGTCGTTTACGGTTAGTCGGGACGGCCAGACGGTTTTGAGTGGGCAGGGGGGTTGGAGATTAAGGATAGTTGTGTTTATTATAACTTCAATGTTTATGTTGGGTCTGTTGCGGCTGGCAGGTGAGGGACGATTGGGAGGATTCAGGTGGCTGGGAGATGTAAGTAGCAGCGACTGGGAACACATGAAGTCACCATGTCGAGGAAATTATTTCTTGGCATGTTTGACAGATGATAGGTTTAGCCTGGAATACTATAGGTCCTGTCAGGAACGCAGGGCTCCACCTGGTATCGAAGAGTTTGCATTGTACTCCACTTTGTCGGATCACCTTTCCTCCGAGCCTCCGAGGTCAGAGGGATATAAACCCCCCAGTTTCAGGCTGTTACCTTTCCATTCGTTGGCCATTTCTTCTCGCGTTATCATTCATCCAGTGAAAAACTGCATACCCGCCTTCCGTTTAGCCTACTCTCGCGATGCCCCCCGAATCCTACCTCCCATCCAACACCACTGCGTGAGCGTTCCGCCGATCTAAATGCCCGTCCGCCGACCAAGCGCTGTTGTCGGTGCCATAACATTTCGACCACTGAGTGCGTTCATCAACGATCACGGAGTATCTGGAGGGCCGGTATATCGGGCCGTCGGATGTGATCTGGCGGCTACTGGGACATCGAGTCCGACGTAGTATCTGTATCAGGATATGCTACAACACTGTTTCTGGCAACCACAACGGAGGAAGTGGAAGGAGCGGGAAAGTCGGACTGTTATTGGTAGGATGTGCCATGTGATCCCTGTGGAGGCGAGCGTTTCTACCTACGCCTGCTGTTGACAGTCCGGAATGTCGGTTCTGGGGGCCCAGGGCCTACAGTCCTTAGGTCCTCGGATGACATGGTACATTCTGCCAATAACAGTCCCCTTTTTCCGTGGCCGCCACACACAGTGCCGTAGCATATCCTGATATAAATACGTCGGGTGACTCTCACGGCGGGCAGCAGCATTGTAGTTGAAGTAGGCCATGAGCTGACTGCGCGTGTTGTCGCGGGTTACAGATGTCGCCAATCTATCGGTCCTACACGTAGAGGGCTCGGGTGCAACAGAAAATGTGGTATTTCCAGAGGTCGTCGCTTTCATACAACGGAGTCAGCTGTACAGGTTAATTATATGTATGGTTATAACCAATAATATCAAAATGAGCATATCCTATCAACTTCCTGCGATTAGCTTACTGACTACCTACGGACTTCGCCTTCAAGCCGCCCGAGCGAGAAGGTGGACGGCTTGTAGGGTTCATTGTCCAATGGTCCAGCAACACAAGCTGTCAGCCCAATACCCATCGTATGGAAGAGCTGTATGATAGTACTGCGTAGTATGGTAGTTGCGTCAGGAAGAGGTTCGGAACAAGTCGTTGCCAAGCCTTTGCATGTCACCCCCGGCCGAGAGGTATCCATGCCAAGATATGCCAAGCCTTTCCGGCGCGGGGAACGGTCCGAACGGACTCGTTTTGAGATACGAACCATCGACTAGAGCTGTAATTCAGGATCGATCTGAGCGGGATGATCAATGACTGAATCAATGATAGTTAGCGATTTTTAAAGACTTACAAAAGAGCTACTTCCAATGGCAATAGTTAGGGAAAAGTACTAAGACTGGCCTCGTATCAACGAAACTAAACAGGAGGATCAAGATAGGTCTATCGGAGCAGCTCACCCCATAGATATCAGACAGGCTCCACTATAATCAGAAAAGGGCATCTCGTTCCGATCTATGGCCAGATCAGACAATACAGATAAGATTGATAGAAATATAAGAATAATCCCACAGTCCCACTACAGAGACACTTGATCCTCTCATAGAAACATCAAACCTCCATATAAACCTCCAAAAATGGAAATCGCAATCGTTGGCTCCGGCGTCATCGGCCTAATGTCCGCCCTCACTCTCACGGACGCGGGCTATAAAGTAACAATCATAGCCCGCGATTTACCCGGCGACGATAGTCAAGACTGGGCAAGTCCATGGTGAGCATCCTATCCGATCCCCCAGACTCCAGTATGCCCGGCAAACGCAAGCAAAAAAAAGCAGCAATCTAAACCCATCTTCCAGGGCCGGCGCAGCAATGTTCCCCCATCCCGACGCCAAAGGACAAGACCTACAAACAGAATCCTTCAAATACTACTGGGCATTGGCGCACAGAGATCCCACCAGCGGCGTACAGGCGAGTCTTGAACTCTTCCCCAACTTTCTCTCCTTCATCCCCACAAACTAATATGCCCCCAGGTCCTGAAAGCAACAGAATACTACGACGACCGCGACAACGACACGAGTATCTGGTACAAAACCCTCGTTCCGCGGTACAGACGTCTCAAAGAAACCGAGCTACCAGCCGGCTCCAAGCTCGGCTTCGACTTCCTCACCATGACGATAAACCCCTTGCGATTCCTCCCCTGGCTAAAGAAAGAGCTCGAGCGACGCGGCGTGCGCTTTATCCGGCGGACACTCGAGACACTTGACGCCGCGCGGACAATCGCAAACTGCAGGATCGTCGTGAACGCATCCGGACTCGGGGCTTTGCAGCTCGCTGGTGATGAGGATGTAATGCCGGTGCGGGGCCAGACGATGTTTGTGAAGACGGATATTGATTTTTTGAAGTTGATGCAGGGGTCGCATTATACGTATGTGATTCCAAGGATGTATTCTGGGGGTGCGATTATTGGGGGCGTTAGTCAGGAGGGGAATTTTGAGAGGAAGGTGGATGAGGGGTTGAGACCGGATATTCTGAGGAGGGTTAAGGGGCTTTTGGGGGAGAAGGGGAAGGAATTGGAGTTGGGGGATGTGGAGAAGGATATCGTTGCTTTTAGGCCTTCGAGGAAGGGGGGGTATCGGGTCGAGGTTGAGGGGGATACGGTGCATGCTTATGGGTTTGGGAGTTTGGGGTATGTGTATAGTTTTGGGGCTGCGGAGAAGGTGAGGGAGTTGGTTAGGGGGTTGGAGAGGCAGAGTCGGCTCTGAGTGGGTTGGATTGATATCAGAGATCGGAGTAGTTTGATATTGCATGCACATCTTCTACTCCAATATTCTGTGTCTTGGACACGTCTTCACAGTAAGTGTGGGATAAGGATGGAATAAGACGAGGTAGCCTCGTTGATAGCTAAGGTGTTGCCAGACAAATCTGCTTCATTGAACATGATGGTTGTATCAATGTCATGGATGAATAAGAGAAGCAATGAATATTCATGAAAGGTAAGATAACGTATTCATTGTGCAATATGAGAAAGCCAGATCGAACTCCATGTCCAGATTATGGACAGGACACAAGCAGAAACCCTCCGCGCAGACGCCGATTAGAGCCAATAACAGCCCAGGGAAGTGATCTGGGCTTTGATGACCATGCAATTACTTATAATGCTAGGAAATATTCGTCCACTAAGTCGTCGGTCCAGCACCGGCTCCGTTCCCGGCGTCATGGCTCTGGCGGCGATGAAACGGGTGTGTTCCGAAATGAAATACCTTCTTCACGGCATTGGTGATGCTGTTCTTCCTCCTGCCCGGTGGTGGCGCGTCCTCGGATGGTTCAGGCTTCTTCGGTACGGATGCATCGTCGGCAAGGACAATTGAAGTCGTAGCTGGTTTTGGCGGCCACTGTCCGTCTGCCTTCCAGCCTTGGACCATAGCCTTAGTCAGATGGGCGAGATTGACGGGAATGGTCGGTGTCATTCCTTGCACGACGACCTTGGTGTAGATAGACGGGTAGATGGCGGGATTGATAGTTGCGCGGACTGCATTATCATTCGAGATGAAAGGCGGCGCGACAGGACAAAGTGGCTCATCGAGCTCTTCTTCCACTTTCTCTTCTTCCGTCTGATCTTCCACGGCCGGTAGGGTCGTTAGTTGAGCGGTCGCTGGATTCTTCTGATCCGGCTCCGTGATGGTGGTCTCCGATGACTTCCGTTTAGCTCCCTCGTCTGGCGCAGTCGACAGCCCTTCCTCCACGTCCCCTTGCTGTCCCGAAGTCACGTCCCCTCGATGCTGGAGCTCCTCGCTCTTTTCTCTGTCTGCGACGGAAAGAGAAGTCACTGTCTGGGCGGTCAACTCAGGCATGTCAACGCCATCACTGCCCTGTCCAGGCGTAACGGGCGCAGCTGAAGTCGCACCACTCGCTCCCGGTTCAGCGCCAGTGAGCTCATTTGCCGTACCTGCCTGCACATCTCCCACCGCCCGTTTTCCATCCTCGGCCCGTATCTGTCGCCGAGTCTTCGCGCCACACCACGCGTCGCGCCTGGCCATCCACAAACGCAGTCCTTCGTTCCATGCCATTTCATCGTCCATTTGGCGACGGCGTTTCCGACGGCGCTCAATGCCGACATCTCCAGAAGTAGTCGGCGCAGCTAGCGGTTCATCTTCGCGCTCGCTGTCTGAGCTTTGAGGCTCGAGTTCTGAGGTGGGAGTGTCGAATTCTCGGGCTCTCCATTCGCAGACTTCGCGATTATGGCAGAGGGTGCCACTGGCGGACGAGGGGGAAGGAACTCCGGACTCAAATTCCCAGTCATTACGAACGACTTCTCTGACAAATTGTTTGGCCTCACGGACGGAGCTGTCGCGAGACCCGGTAGCCAGCATTTTTGCGATCTCTTGCTGAATGTGGGGGGGGGGGGGATTGATCTCGGGCGGGAAAGTGGGGAGCTTAGTAGCAATTCCTTTCCCTCGCCCGTGCGCGGGCTGAGCTGCGTGAGCAATAGTAAGCGAAGCAAAATGGGGAAATGCGAAGAAGAAGAGCTCACCAGAGATGGAAGGTGGCGGATGATCAGATTCAATGTCATCTGGCACGTGCCCAAATGCGGAGATACTTCTCCACTCTTCGGATTTGCCCTCTTGGCTTTTCTCTTGTTTTTGAGGATATTAGTATTACAGTATTGTCTGAAGTCCTATCACTGTCGCTCTATAGTCTATACATTCTTCTCTGGCAACTGACAACTGGCAATCCAAACCCTTGGCATTCAATAGCATAGAGAAACGAGATGACGGCATTTCTTTGTTCGATGGGAAATCGAAATGACCCAGCACCGAGCGGTGCTATTGACCCTAGTCGATCTCCTATCAATATAGCAAGTCGCTATACCTACCTATCGGATTTCCTATGCCACGTCTTGGCTTTCCCCTTCTGTTTTGGTGGTACATTTTTCAAAGTAGGGAATGGAGAAAGGGCCAATGGCTCTTCAATATTACCACAGTTATACATAGAGCAGGACAATAAAAGCGACCTAGCAATACACGATAATGATACAGCCCAGTAACATAAGATAATGGCCACTGAGACCAGGCAATAAGCCAAAGTCAGTACGGGACTCTCCCAAAGGATCTCGTGTCCACAAGAAAGCAATATAGAAATTCGGGCCAGACAGTTCCTCCTGTTGACATTCTCAAGCCGGTGCCATCAACTGCGTGCGGATGCAAATTGCATCCTCAGCTGTCGAGAGAGGTCCCAATTGCGATCGGCGTGACAATGTACGATGCGGAGTCAGGTTCAGGTGATGATGCTCCGGCAAAACGGTCTCGTAGTCGTCGACTGAGCGACAGCCGCGCTTGACTCTTTTCGCCGATACACCAAAATCATTCTGCCCACCCTCCGGGCCTAGCTCCGGGTCACCGGGGCCTTCATCCTCATGCGGGTTTCCACGGACATCACCGGGAGGTCCGGCATTGCCTGTATCATCGGGTCCTGGATATGCACATTTGATGCCCCTGTTGAACCGATTGGCGCGACTCATTTCAAAATCAAAGTCTGAATCATCGTCGTCATCCTCAATCTGATCGCTGGTGTAGAGCTCTATCAGCTCTTGCAGCTGTTTTTTGATCTCGAGGACATGTGTTATCCCCACTTGACGAGAATGACAACAGAGCCGGACAGCCAAGCGAGGATGCAACTAGTCGTTGCAGACAAAGCAAAGAGGAACCCCCGAGTATTTCAAGAGCCAAGGGCACTGCATCGTCATGGCGTTGTTGTTGCTCATGGTTCAGGCCATGACGCCTTCTCGTTACGAGTGGCAGATGAAGATGACGGAGCAATTTCGCAGCTATATAACCGGAGCAATGTTAGTCATTCAGCTTGATACCAGCGGACATCGAAGAAGGAGGTATCACAGTATATACAGAAAGCAAGAACAGGCCGAAAACAGACGAAAGGCCACACTTACATTTCGATTCACCGCGAGATTGGAAGCGAGGGTCTCAGCATGGCTAACCACTCAATCCCGCGAAGCTCCATCGCCCATCGGTGAACACAGTGACGTTGGCATTATCGCCATAGGTGAGAATGCGAGGACGCAGCGACGCAAGAACATCCGAAAGCAAGTCCGGGGCCAGTCACCTGTTCTGGATATTTCCCAGGAGTTGGAATGCGCCTCGAGTGTATACATTAGCTCGCCGTGCCATTCCCTGACCTTGGTGCGGTCTTCAATGATCACACCGCTGAGTGTTTGGGAAGTTCCCTGGAAAGAAACGGTTCCAACATGACGGTGCTGTCATAGGCCAGGTCTATTGGGGAAAAGAGTGCACTTAAATAGAACAACAACTATGGAGGAAGAAGAGAGAAGAACAAGAAGGAATCGGCCAAGAAGCTATTTATCCCACTTCTTGTCACAGGACTCAAGACAACAACTATCAGGCATCACACACTGGATGGTCACAGCATTGCAGTTTCTTATCATAGATGGCTCTGAGCTGATACCTCACAGTCTCTGTGAAGGCTCCAGATTGTGTAGCCGTTGTGACAACAGTCTCCCCGCTGATTGAAACTGCTCGGGATCGTGGCAAGTGCCTGGAGCCGACACAACTTGCCGGGCCCGAGTACCAGAAGGAGAATTGGAGGCAGGGGAGGTTGGTGGACGCATTGTGCCTGTGATCGCCATTTTGTGAGTTCGGGAGTATATATTTAAGAACGGTGGACAGTGCAGAGATGGGGGGATTTCATGAAGGAAGCAAAGAGACTTACACCACATTGTAATCGACACCAAATCATTCCTCTAAGATGGGCCTAGCACACAGGCGTGCCTTGAAGCGCGCAACAAAGCCTTTTTCGTCCGACTTGTAGTCGAATGCCCATCTTAGAGGAATGATCTGGTGTCGAATACAGTGTGGTGTAAGCACCAGCTCTGGGTTCGGCAGGAAGTTCAGGCAAAGCGCCTGCAGATCCACTGGCTCAACACATCGGACATGCCAGCTGACGGTTTGACCAAACCACTCACCAGGACCAAGCATGAGGCCTTCATCCACCAACTTGGGATGGAAACAGTCCCCCCAACTCTCTCTTCTTCTTCTTGAATCTTTTTCTCTTTCCCTTCCTTATTTTCTTTCTCTCTACTTGACTTTCTTTTGAATTTTGAATTTTGTACATGGCGTAGCTTTCCTGGGAACCCCCCGCGCCAAATCCTCCATGGGATTCGAACCGCTGCACGCGAGGCAAATAGAGAAACGGGTATTGGGTCTCAGGAGATTCAGGACTTTAGACGGAAATGGACGCTATCCGAGGAAGGTCTTCGATCAGAGCCTGTACGGGCTTCCGGCCCTTTAAGAGTCCATCCGTCTAAAGCCCTGAATCTCCTGAGACCCAATACCCGTTTCTCTATTTGCCTCGCGTGCAGCGGTTCGAATCCCATGGAGGATTTGGCGCGGGGGGTTCCCAGGGAAAGCTGACTCGTAATGAAGTGAGCATTTTCCGCCGTCTCTCGCTGACGGTGGCGGGCATGCGTACACAAAGGAGTACTGGGATGGTTATGTACGGAAACTTTGGGCTCAAACCGCCACCTTTTATCGCTGCCACACCGTAGCCTAGCTCTGAAGGGGCACTCGGTTGATTTGGTGAAGGACTTCCTCTCCGTACGCCGTCGATTCCGGTAAGCCTGGCTCCGAGAGCAATGAAGGTAGATAGGTTTACCCTTTGTTGACCGCTGAATAGAGATCGCGTAGCCATGGGTGCTAGCAAACACGTTGATCGACTCCAGCGCCTCCTTGTAGGTGGTAAAGCTGAGGTCTTCGGGTGGAGTAGGTAGCGATATGAGAGCTGGCGGTGCCTCAGTAGGCACGGGGGAGGACTCGGCAGGGAACATGAGAGAGGCCTCGGCGGGCATAGGAGAGAGGGCATCCATTGTTGGGAGTGTCAAAACTGCTAGCAATGTACGGAGTACTGTAGTTAGTAGCGGAGAATTGAGAAGTGAGAGAAAATTGAGCAAAGGAATAAAGGGGTTCACGTGATTTAGGGCTAAGTGGAATCCCATGTAGAAACGCATGATAAATTACAATTTTGTCTATAATACTGCGCCAACCGCATTGGGACTAGAGGGTGTGCCAAATCGACTTTGGGGTGTGCCATTAACACTACCCATATGAAGAATGAAGACGAGCAATGCACCCCAGACAACGTATCTTAGCTCCGCCGATCATTTCCCCAGACTTGTCTATGCTTGGCCCCCACTGACCTCCTTCAAGACGACCTCCCAAGTGAGCTCCTCCAGACTGTCCGCATGAATTGAGGCCTGAATACTGTTAAGAGTACTTTTGAAGCACATCGCACTACTAGCATAGAGCATGCACAGCTTGCACCCCACACAAGTCAGCTGACTGCCACCCTTGAAGGTACCTGCAATCCCAACTCACCTTAATAGGAGCCTCGCAAGGGCCCCAGTGGACAAAGACAGTCTTAGTACTGTAAACGCAGGTAGCATTAGCGGGGGGCACATCCTGCCATCTCTGATCCAAATCAACCACTTACCGTCTTCCTTCGCTACCAAGATCATATTCCATGTCGTAGATGGCATAGCGCGGGACCGGGTTCCCCTCTTTGTCAACTGCAGCTGCGAGTCTCTGCCGGAATGCCTCAAAGCCAACTTCGGTGGATGATTCGTCGACTATGACGCGCTTGTTGTCGTCGGAGATCTTGAAGATGATGAACTTGGGTTTGGCGGATTTGCCGTATCGGAGCTCGTTGAATGCATGGATGCATTCGTCAGCGACGGAGATACTGGTGTTGAATTAGTTGGGTTACTGTTATAGTATAACAGCGGTTCTGGGGGCCCTGGGGCTAGAGACGAACCCGGATGTAGTCTACAGAACTCAGAGGCGTTAGTACTGCTTGGTTTGGATATATCCGATAGGAAGTACATACCGACATGTTGGAGTCAAGTAACCAGTGTTCTAGATGAAGGGAGGAGATTTAGATGAAGTAGACCAAGGTAGATTAAGAGTTGAAATTGAGAGAAGGGAAGCTACGTTGATCATCTTATATCCCCATCCAACGTGCGTTTGATCTGTTTCTTTACATGCTGCCTGGATAGGCTGATGGATTTTATCCACAGACTACATATGGAAACAAGGGTCTTTGAGATTTGTAAGTAGGAACGTTGTGAACTGTGCAACGCTGGAAACATCTCTGCCTGCGGCTCTACATACAAAGCCTTTGTACTGCAGTTTCACAGCATTGTGTCACTGCGCAAACCCCATAATCATATTGCCAGGGCATTTCCGTGCTGTTTCCAATTGATAGTTCGTACATAAATTTACATGCGAACATCGGATCGTAAAGCCGTAGACACAGACAATGTGGTCCATTAGATCGTCAATGCCGAGGTGGATCTTGGACTACGTATTGCCCAACTAGGCATCATCAGAACCAGCCAAAGACATTCTACGATTGTGTAGGAAATTGCATCAGTCTAGAGTCAATTCTGAGCACCATCTAACTAGGCTGATAGCGCGAAAAACAGCAGTATACACAAGTCGAATAATGGTACAGGTCTATCATATCGCTAAAAGTACAGAGGGAAACCCCAGGGCTTCCCCCACACGTAAAACCCCAGTATACAACCCAATGAAAGCAAAATCAAGTCCGGACACGCGCTGAATCAGTCGAACTTTCACCAGCAGGACCGGGAATGAATCCCCAGCCAGAGCTCTTCTGCCGCCTCCCCTTCCGGTCACCGTATTGCTCATCGAACTTCCGAATCGCCGCTAGCGATGACATATCTTCACTAATAGAAGCGCTGATTTCTTCCAATCCACGTTCAAAGTGAGTACGCGTCAGAACACGTCGCTCCGGGTAGCTGTATGGCTCGTCACCGGTGTGCTTGGCTGCTGCCTCATTTTCCTCGCGGACGCAAGCCAAGGCAGCCGCCACTGACAGGTTCTTCAGATCGGACCCGGAATACAGCGGTGTACGACGGGCTAGTTCCGCAAGATCCACGGCGGCATCGAGCTGCTCCTCTTTAAGGTGGATCTTCAAGACGGCGAGACGGTCTTCCTCGGTCGGCAAATCGACTAGGAGTCGACGGGGCAGACGGCGGAGGACAGCATCGTCCAGATCGAAGGGTCTGTTGGTAGCGACCATGATGAATGCGGAGAAGTCGTTCATACCGTCCCACTCGCGCAGGAACTGGTTGATGAGTTCGCGGTGAGAAGTGCGGCTGCTGGCCCCGGTGCGCGAGCAGAAGATAGCATCTGCTTCGTCGATGAAAACGACGCAGGGACTGAGCTTCTTGGCGAGTGTGAAAATGGCTCTTACGTTCTTCTCACCCTCGCCGACGTACATGTCGTACACATCTGAGCCACTGATTTCAAGGACTGTTGCGCCGCTCTCGCGGGCCACGGCTTTGGCGAGGAGCGTTTTACCTGTGCCGGGAGGTCCATACAAGAGCAAACCGGGGATCTTGTCGGTGGCGAGGACACCATATGTGAATGCCTCAGGGCGGATGAGTGAGAGGGAGGTCAGGGTCTTTAGGGCTTCAATGATCTCGGGGGGCACATGCACATCATTGAATGTAGTTCGGATACTCTTTGCGTCGACGACACCATTCAAAAGCTTTTTCTCGTGCGTGTTGCACGTTTTGCGCAAGGAGCTGATCAGCTGATCGCGACTCTGTCCTGCCTCTGCAGTCTTCTGCTTGGGAGACTTCTCTTTCAGCCATTCGTTGGTGGCTCGATCGCCTTTGTGCATAAGCTCGATTCCACGTTGAATGTGTTCGAATCCGAGAGGCTCGTTGGCTTCCGCGCAGCCAAGTGCAAGAGTAGCAATCCAGTGGACTTGATTATAAGACCAATAGCGATCCTCGATCCCGGAATCTTTGATAGTCGAAGGTTCCAGTGGCCAAGCGCGATTGCTCAGAATATCATCTTTGACAGGCAAGGCCTGTTCATGTAATCGGAACCGAAGCATGCTCTGCAGGTGGCGAATGTTGATAGCCAGGGTGCGCTTCTTTCGGTCCTCTACGAAGACCTTCTCAGCGGCTTTCGAGCTCATGGCTGGAGCTATGAGCAAGGTCTTGGAGAACGGGTCGTCGAGAACATTCTGCAGAAGACTGGCGCCATCTTGCGACGGCGAATGGTGAATTTCTTGAGAAGTCGTTCCGATTAACAGAATCTTAAACCCTTCTCCTCTCCGTTCTTGAATGATTTTGTGCAGGAGTGAAATGAATTTCGAACCCTCTCGAGTATTTTGAATGTCACGGTAATCCTGTATGTGCAAAATGATGTCTCGAGATGGCAAAGCCTTGCGGGTGATCGCTTCGGCCTTTTCTGTCGATTCAGTGGAGGCGGGTACAACTACCGGGCTAGGTAATCCGAGTAGCTCGTTGACTAGCTGGGCCCACCGATTATCCGCACGGAGACCACTTCGTGAGGCTCCAGCCCCAGGGTCGGGGTCTGTTTGGCCATTGATCGATCCCCCAAGGAGGGTTTTCAGCCCAAGCCAGTTTGGAAGCGGGATGTCACCTGCTTCTTTGCTGCTTTCAATTGTGATGAAGCGAGGCGCACCAATGTTGCCGTGCATACCTCGGGAACCACCTCCAATCTCAGAAACGTCATCCTCGCCGTCTTCTTCGGGCTCTTCGAGCTCCGACCATGACGGTGTGGTGGAAGTTCGATATACATCGTAACCGAGAGACCGAATAGGCGAAGTGACTCCAGCATCTGCGAGATCTTGCTCGCTGAACAATTGTGCAATGTCCTGGGCATTGAGGGTCACCAGGTCCGCGCCCAAATCATGGGCAAGCTTTTTGACAACCGCATCTAAAAAGGGTATACCATCATTACCGGGATAGTGTAAAGACAGATGTGACTTCTTCACCGAAGGCTCTTTTGCATACTTTGCGGGTGGTAACCGCAAGCCTGCTTTGACAGAGGCCCGCAGCTCTTCCCAGGTTTCCTCGGCCACCGCATACCGATTTTCTGCTGCTTCCGGCGGTTCGCTGGACGCAGAGGGGTCTGAATCACCACCGGAGGCCAATCCCTCACGTTGTACATCCTCCGGGTCCTGTACTAGCCCCGACTTGGCTATCCTAACTTGCTGTAGTTGTTGGGCAGCACAATCTTCATGGCCGTGTGATATCGTATTGTACTCATAGAACCATGGCGGGACTGTTGTCCTGGATTGAGAAGCTTGCGGCGAGGACTTTCGATTTCTCATCGCCCTGCGTACAGCAGACCCGTAGGTTTTGGTGACTGATTTGGCAGCCTCTGGGGAGGTAGAAGGCGGCGACGGGCCATTGTCCGAGATGTTTTCAGTTTTGAGGGAAGGTTCTTCCACGATATTCGCTGGCGCCGTGGAGTCTGCATCGTGAGGGTCCCGGGGCGGAGAGGCGAGCCATGTTCGTGAAATGTGGAATCGTCGCGCGGACAGCGGTGCGGAATAGCGGCGGCGAGCGACAAATCGACAAGGGCGTGCAACGGACAGCCGAACCTGTTGCATTGACGAATACATCCGGGACTGGGTCGCCGGAACTAAATGTGATATTCGCCGGAAGTAAGTGTATACCTCAGTCACGAGTGGCGCATGGCTCCTTCTCGGTCCCTGCGAAGGAGGAACTCACGGTCACGTGGTCAAATATTTTCTACTGTACCCATGGATTTCACCTCCCACTATCAGAACTCACTTGTTGGCGTTTTGAGGTGACAGATCAGACGTTATACTATCCTGTGCGCTATAGGAATTCATTAGGGCTCGGTTTCCTGGACAAATCCTCAAGTTGTCAGGCATCCTACCTGGGGAGAAATCTTCTATGCCGCTCCTTGTGACGCCAAAACACAACCTTGGAAGTTGACAACAGGATGTAAAGTAGCATATAGGAGGCAACTGGCGATTATCTCCGGAAAGGACACTGGTATGTCCAGATAGAGGTCATGAAAGCTATGACTTCATACCTGGTCTAAATTGTCGCAGGTTCCTCGTCGCGGTCAAATGCTCCTCGTCTGATAGCATCGCTGCCCTTATTCCGGAGATAATATTGTGACAACGTAGGTAGATTGTACCATGAAGCAACTAGTTATCCAGTGACTAACTAAGACATTGGCTGTTTTCATCGAATATTTAGGTTAGGGTTTTGATGGACGCCTCCAGTGTCAAGGTACGAAGTACCTCGCAATATCTCAACTCGACTCATATAAGAATCAAGGATCCCCGAAGCTATAGCAAATGACATTTGTGGGCGAAACCAGCGTTCCTGAATTGTAGTTATAAACACGCTAGTTTCATAGTCACCGGCCACCAGGTGCAAAGGTAAGGTTAGTTGTAATGATTCTAGGAAGTCTAGCTCCAAGCAGGCACCTGCCCGGGCGAGCTGTAGACGAAATCTGCCTTTGCAAGAAGGCTCGAGTCAAAGCCTTGGTATGGAGGCAATTGCGAATCTTGACCTAGTAGTATGTGCAGAAACAACAGAACTCTTCCGGCCTTCAAAGGTTGACCATTACGATTCGAACAAATGGCATTATGTGAGGACGGAACACATCCAAAGGATAGTTAGTTAGAGCCCGAAGGGTGATATCATAAAAAGTACAAGTTGGGTGAATTGTTACGATGTGAGCTTGTAAAGGCATTCAGAGATAATAATTGTATTCAAGTATTCCACAGCTATGTATCCAGGAACACACAGGTGTGATGGCGAATTGATCATCAGAAGGAAGGCAACGGAAATCTCTACACGGTTTTGCGCATTCAGAACAGGTCTGTGAGTTTACATCCGAAAATTTTTCATCACTTGATCAATTGGCCATCACAACCAGCGATAACCGGTTTCGTATCGTGTCCGGAGAAAATCTGTGCTGAGAGCGATATTAGTAAAAGCTCAACAAACGATATTGTGATATGCATTGCAATAGAAGAGTTCTCAGACAAGATATACTGGCAAGTAGCAGACCAACCGGGAAGGGAGGTCCGAATTATCTCCGCATGGTCGATTTGGAGGGTAAGAAGTAAAGGGTTTGTCATCCTTGAACGGATCGGAAGTGCAGATGCAGGCAAAGAGACAAAACAGAGAATATCTCAACTTACATTAAGCACCAGGTAACAGCACCTGAGCTGTCAGGTTAGTGGCGAGATGAAGCATGGCAATATCGAATGCCACCTTTGAATCAATTGCAATCAGCATTAAGAAAGCGCTTGAAACCCAGATGGATCAATCGTATAGCCAAATGCCAAAGTCAATGGAGACTGTGAGCAGAGCAGCCATTGCGTAAAAGAGATGGAAAGAAAGAAGAATGCAGCACACGATGCAATGAAGAGAGCAAGGAGTCTTCCTAGCAGTCTTCACAGTTGTGTGCCACAGAAGAAAATGAAAGACGAGGATGAAGAAGAAAGAGAAAGAAAAAAAAAGTTGTGAAGAAAAGGACGCGAAACTGACCACGTGATACCCCAATTAGGAATAGCGTGTGATTGGAATCGAGCAGGAGACTGAAGTGAGGGAAAAAGCCTCAGAAAGAGACAAAATTTGGATATTTTGTGAAAAAGATGAATTTTGACAAGATCTCCATATAAATATCTATTTCATTGTAGCTGTCTTCCTGCATTTCTGCTTAATCGCGTTGTCGTCTCGGTTAGATCCTCCACCTACGGACCCGGATCCTCCGTCCCCAGTTCTCTCTCTCCCACCGGGCGATCATCCTTAATTCCTGACCGGGCGTTCGCAACAACCTTAACAACCTAATATCAGATCCCTGAAGAAGACACCATTTGATACTTGTGAGTTGTTGCCTCTAAGTTATTCTGACTGGTTGAAACCCAGCCCCTCCACACTACATTCTCTCTCCCTCTTCCCCTAACCTGCCCCGTCATTTTTAGCCTTCAACCCGTTATTCTCTTGTAACCACCCCCCAACTGACAGCAGTCCTGCTTGAGCTTCATAGGAGGGAACATCTCTCGTGCGGGTGAGTGACTTGGCCAGGAGGCCCCCGATCGATACCTCAGCGCTTCGCGTCTGCTGAATACCGGTCCAAGTCGCTCGCTACGTCTCGGCCCACTCTAAACGCTAAAAGCGGCCTGTTGTCTTTCACCCCAGTCGCACTCCTCGCCGCGTCTTTCACACCGCTTTTCTACCATCGCGAGCGATAACCCTGAAGTCTCCCACGCGCGGTGACTTCGTTGCTCAGCAATGATGATGACACAGCCGTTTCCTGCCCACCAAGGCATGCCGCAGCACGGGTTTCCCCCCGGCCACCCAATGGCTGCGCAACACCCGAATGGACACCCGGGACCTGGCATGGTGCAACAAATGCATCCTGGTGTATCTGCACCAGGAGGACCTCAGGTTAGCCAAGCGGGTCCGATGATGGGTGGCATGATACCGGGCGCTGGGACAGCTGGACCTGGCGGCCCAGGCCCGAATGCTCATGCTATGTCCCACCTAAATCCCGCGCAGGCGCATATGCTTCAGAACCCTCAGTTCCAACAAAACTGTTAGTATACAATTTGCTAGGATTTACAGGCAATGGAGCGTGAAAGCTCAGGTGTAGGGGTGGTGCGATCGCTCTCCGTGGTGATCCATGTCCTCCGCCGCCCCAAACCTTCTTCCAGCTGTCCTGCCCGAACACAAATCGCTTACTAACTCCATTGATCAATATATAGTCGCGAACAACCCACATCTCTTACATCAGCAACAACAGCAACAACAAGTACTACGGCAACGAATGATGCTACAACACCAGCAGCAGCAACAGCAACAACAACAGCACCAGCAACAGCAGCAGCAGCAGCAGCAGCAACAACAGCACGGCCTCCCCGTGTCAATGCCGAATGGTACACAAGGACTCAATGCGGCTCAAATGGCGGCGATGCAAGCAAACCCTGGAATGCGGCCCGTCAACATGATGCATATTCCGCAGCAAATGCCACATGGCCAACCGCCAAGTCTCCAGCAGCAGCAGCAATTCTTCGCGATTCAGCAAGCACAGCAGCAAGCGCAGCAGCAGCAGGCACAGCAACAGGCGCAGCAAGCTCAGCATGCCCAACAACAGGCGAACAACGGACAATCAGGGCAGCATACTCCGCAACGTACATCGGCACAACCCTCCAATATGCATGAACAAAGCGCCACTCCGCAGTCGCAGCATGGTGGTCCGCAACCCGGCGGTGGCGGCACCCCTCAACCTCCTCAACCTCCTCAACCTCCCCAGCCGCCATCCACACAAGCCCCGCAAGCGCAAGGTCCGCCTCAGGGCCAGCCGACTCCTAATGCACCGCCGCAACAATTGCCACAAGCTCAACAGCCGGGTCAACAGGGTCAACCGGGCCCGCAGCAACAGCCTCCCCAAAATGCCCAGGGCCAGCAAGGCCAGCAACCGGGTCCGCAAAGTCAACAGCTGACTCCCCAGGAGGCCCAAATGAAAGCACAGCAACATCAAAATGCTATCATGTTGCAGCAACAGCAGCAGCAACAGAGAAAGAACCACGCGATTTTGACCCTTTACGCCTACTCTGAACATCTAGGCAACTTCCAATCTCGCAATGAAGCACAAGATCTATCATATTGGCAATCCTTTGTTGAACGTTTCTACTCACCTGGTGGTGTGTTGCGGCAGGGCGTCTGGAACAATTCGACCGGATCTAAACAGTTTGAGATCGCAACTCCCGCTCTGGCTCGTTATTACCTGACCCAGTTCACGAGTGGGATTAGTCAAGTTCAAATGATGGTGGAAGGTGCTCGCGAACGGGAAGCTCCTAACGGGGGTCATTATGTGGAAGCCCCCAAATGTTCATTCATTTATTGGTTCAAGAATGAGTGTCAGGTAAGCCGCCTAATACATGGTCTTCTTTTGTCTGCTCGCTAACCTGATTTACCTTAGCTTTTCACAAACGGCACCCTGCGCGCGCATTTTGATATGCACAACAAGCTTGAGATGCTTGATCTTCATGTTCATAGCCACAACGAGTTCATTCCGCGGTCTCTGTTGTTGGCCCTAGAGGCGGATTCCCAAAAACAAAGTCCCAAGGTCCCGAAAAATGCCAAACGCGCCCAGACTAAGATGACACCATCTTTAGCGCTGCCAGAATCCATGGTGACTGCCATGGGAGTACCTACGCCAGTCATGAGTTTCATGGAGGTAGCCGAGACCATTGCCCAGATGCAAATGCTGTTCCAATTCTCGCAAGCCAACCCTCATCTCTCACCACCCGACGCGCTGCGAAACCTTGTCCACTCCCTCCAGGTGCACAATGCTCCATTCGTGTCACCTCAGATGCCTATGAACCCTGGCATGAATCCGGGTATGAACCCTGGCATGAGCCCAAACATGAATCCAAACATGAACCCCAACATGAACATGAACCCCGGCATGAATCCGGGCATGAGTCCAAGCATGAACCCAGGCATGAATTTGGGCATGAATCCTGGCATGCAGCCCATGCAGAATGTCCGGGGCCATAGTATGGGAGCCCCATCACAGTTTGCCTCGCCGGCCATGGCCCATCTCGGTCTCCCTGGGCAGCAAGGCTCGCCTCATCTGACTGGTTCAGCCCACGCGAGCCCAGCCCAAAGCAACCTTGCCGGCCCCCCAGGGACGATGCAACCGTCTCCAGCCGGTGTGAACAATAGTCCAAATGTAGGTGGCAACAAACGTCGCCGGGCAAGCACCGTCAAGATGGAGTCCGAGGACGGAGGAGTCGAGGCTAACGGTGCCCCGCAACAGAGCCAACCAAAAGTAAAGCCCAGCCCTCGGGTGACGAAGCGACAGAAGGGTGCCGCCGCCTGATGCTGGGAATTGCTTTTGTACCATCTAGCTCTATTTCATGGAATTGGCGTACGGCTTAGCACGACATGTTGCGCCACCTCCTTATTCACCAACCCATCTGGGCCTCTTTTTCTTCAGAGACCTTCTCTACTTTTCGGCACATGACGACTCAATCTATAGTTGATGGGATTTAATCAGTGCTTGAGGCCCATCTGCCATGGATGTGGCATCAGGCCTCGTCAATCCCACTCAATTCCGACTTAATGTACTCTATTTTCCTTTGGAGCGTTTTCTTGGGCGGCTCGGGATCATCGCCTGCCTTTGCATGTTTTCACTTCAGTTATCTCTCTTGATCCTTTTGCCATTTTTGGGCTTTGATGACTTCTCACTGGTCTTTGCTTTCGTGTATTGCTGTTTGACAGTCTGTTTTCCCTTCTCATTGAACAGACAGAACTATTGATATCCGTGTTTGGCGACTGACATGGCGTTTGGCTTTCTTTGGGGACTGCGTCTGCGTGCATTGGGGTGTTCCATGTTCCATTGATCTGTGTCCTCTCTCTGCCGCTATTTGACGAATCCATAAATATCTGCTTTCCGTGATCATTGTAGTCTGTACGAAGATATGTAGGATCATTCAGTCTAGCAACAAAGCGTGATCGACAGGCTGTATTGTCCCTTTCCACCTTGTCCTCGTTTATCCTTACACACGTCTGGATATTAATATTCTACCTCTTTCCAGCAATCATATACCTGCCATTCAGAGTATTTACGAGGAGCAGATATCCAATTGATTCCATCTACAAGCCGAGCGGCGAACTCCGTTCGGAGCGGGCATTTGTTATCTATCAGCTTCCCCCACCTCCAAGACACTGCCCCTCATCTATTTTCTTTCCTTTCCCAACATACAACGCATGAATATATAATACTTTCACATATCTAAAATGGCCCACTCTCACTCCCACGATGCCGGCATCGACCATACCCACGATGACCCCTTCAACGGCCACGGCCACTCACACGATATCCTCGATGGCCCAGGCTCCTATATGAACCGCGAGATGCCGCTGATCGAGGGCCGAGACTGGAACGACCGTGCCTTCACCATTGGCATTGGCGGGTATGTTTAGCTGCACTATTCTCCTGTCTCCTGTCTGTCAGCTGCGATGGTTTCGGGACAATCAAGCGCGTTGAACCACCGACTGTAGATGTATATCCAGCAAACTAACAAGTCAATTTGAATCCCCACAGACCCGTGGGATCAGGCAAGACAGCTCTGATGCTAGCTTTGTCTCGCGCTCTTCGAGACGAGTATAACATCGCCGCAGTCACGAACGATATCTTCACAAGGTAAGCTTCTCACACTCTGTCGCTATAACCCTTTCTCCCATGATACAACGGCATTGATCTATACCATCATACCCGCTACCAGATTCACCACTAACCCATGCGAAATAACAGAGAAGACGCCGAATTCCTAACCCGCCACAAAGCGCTCGCCCCGTCCCGTATCCGCGCAATCGAAACAGGCGGCTGCCCCCACGCCGCCGTCCGCGAAGACATAAGCGCCAACCTGCTCGCCCTGCAGAAGCTCCAGAAACAGTTCTCGACAGATTTGCTGCTCATCGAGTCTGGGGGCGACAACCTGGCCGCAAACTACTCGCGAGAGCTGGCAGACTTTATCATTTACGTGATTGACGTTGCGGGCGGCGACAAGGTGCCTCGTAAGGGCGGGCCGGGGATTACGGGGTCTGATTTGCTGGTTGTGAATAAGATTGATCTTGCGGAGGCTGTTGGGGCTGATTTGGGTGTTATGGAGAGGGATGCGGCGAAGATGCGGGAGGGTGGGCCCACGGTGTTTGCGGTTGTGAAGCATGGGAAGGGGATGGATCATATTGTTAATTTGATTATTAGTGCTTGGAAGGGGAGTGGGGCTTATGAGGTTAGTTTGAAGAGGTGGAAGGAGGGGGCTGTTAGGGGGTCTGGGAGTCTTGAGGAGTAAATGGACCTCAGTGGATTCCTGGGGTAAGAGTTGGATTGGCTAAAAGGGAGGCAGTTAGGATGTTCAATATATTCATTGTCGTGTTGAAAGTAGATAATACACGTAGATGACTGCTTTTTCCCTCCGAATACAATCATATTCCCCGAGAACGCCTGGAATGCAGCTGTCGCCAAATCTCTATGTCACAGAAGCCGAAGGGCTGGGTATCTGGGTGCTTTAGGGCAGAGGGAATTGGCTTCCTCTGCTCCATAAGATATCACACAAGCAAGAAAACAAGCTCAGTGATCTCATTTGGCGAACCGGGAAAGAGCAGGCCCCAGATCCATACGCTCCTGCTTGAGCTTGTCCTTCGTACGAGCAGCATGTTCCTTCCGCAACGTCTCGGCCTTGAGACGCTTCTCGTCGATAACGTTCTTGCCACCCTTCTTGCGAAGGTACTTGCGCAGAGCACTGTTGCGACCACGACCACGGTTCTTGAGCTTCTCCATGTGATCCTCGGGCTGGCGATCTGGGTTGCGCTGCTCCTGGTACTTCTTGTCGTTGACAGTATCGAGCTTTCCAATGATGTTGGGATCGAGAGAGATCATATCCGGCTGCAACTTGGTGAGCAGCGAGTGGACCTCGTGCTCCTGGCGCTGTCGGACGTTCTCGTAAGGGTTGGCCTCCAGCGAGTCGAAGTTGGGCTCGCCTGCGCCGGGGACGATAATGCTAGCGAATCCTTGGTCGTGTCCGACACCGAGGATATCTTCGTAGGGGCACCAGCGGACGTTCTCGATGTGCTGGCCATCGCCGCCCCAGGCCATGTAGGGGCTCTGCACTTTGCCTACGTCGGCTGAGGCTGCGTCGAATAGGCCGCGCCACACGCTCATTTGAGTGCCCCAGCCGACTGCGGTCAGGCCGCGGTCACTGATCGCCACGGATGCACCGGGCTGGTAGCATGAGTATGAATGCACCTCTCGGTACATGCGGATGTCCCACACGTTCATCTTTTGATCCTGGCCCGTAGTGACCATGTAACGACCCTGGCGATCCATTGCAATTGACCGAACAGGTCCCTGGTGTACGAGTGCTTTTACGAGGTGGGTTTGAGAGTTGGGTGACCAGAGGGTCACAGTGCCATTCTGGTGTCCCACATGGAGGATGGCATTCCATGGGTTCTGGGCGAGAGCGGTCGGTTTGCCCAATCGCGTAGGCAGTTCAGCGACGGTCTGGCCGGTGGAAGTATCTGTGTATTTGAGGTGGCCGCTCATTTGCTATTTGGAACAAGAGATATGATTAGCTGTTGGTTCTCATAGATATCCAGAAATCGACGGTACTCACAGCGCTTGCAAGAAGGAAATGATAGGGCAGGAACTCGAGGAAAAGCGGTTCTAGGTGCTTGCTCAGGCAATGAATCTCAGTTCCCTGGCGATCGTAGATATATGTGTGCTTCTTCTGCGCAACAGCAAAGAACTGGTTGTTGTGTAGCCAGCGGGCATCCCGCACAGTCTCGTTCAACTGCAACTCGCAGCCCAGCTTGCCCTCGCGCCAGTCCATCGTCGCAACATGTCCCTTCCGTCCGGCCAGCAGCAGGTCACGTCCGTTCCGAGTATAGTCCATGCGATATGGTCCCATATCTGGGAGCTTTAATTCGAATCCCTTCTTGGCTGTCTCAATTCCGACGCTCTCCCGAATCTCGTCCTGACGAACTTTGTATGTCCGCTCGAGTTCGCCTTCGGGCTCGAGGAATCCTTCCGAGTGCTCAAGCAGAATCTCTGCATCCTTTGCTTGAAGGACCGCCTCCTTGTGCTTGAACTCCTGCCTTTTGAGATTTGCGCGCAATTTCTTGTCCCGCGCACTCTTTGCATTGACACCTTTGCCTCGTCCGTAGATTTGCTCGGCTGCTGCGAGCCTCATCTTCGCTTCGCGATCATCGTTGGTGACAGCCACCTTGTTGGCTGAGTCGGCCATTATCTGGCAATTTCTCGAGCTCGTTTGCGAGGTAAACCAGGAAGATTAGAAGGCGGATGAGAATCGTAGCTCCAAAGAAAAAAAGTGTTTTGCCCAAAATCCGCCAAGATTTGCTCTCACCGCTCGCTTATCCTCCACTGGCGAATTTTGTTTTCTTATCGTTAACCTTTTTTTTTTCGAAAGAGGCACATTCGTTTTTCTCGACTATCTGCCAGTGATTTATTGCTCTGGCTTGATACTTGCCAGTTAAGATTTGATTAACTTCAATCTGGCCTCACTTCCTTACCGATTCAAAGGGTCTAACGCCAATATGGCGCCTGCCCAGACGGTGCACCACCACCGCTCCACTACCAAGGTTTCCCACAAGCCTTACAAGAGCAAGCATGCCTCTAAGGGTGCGCTGAAAGATCTCGCCAAAGGTCTGATTCTTGAATTGTCTGAAATATTGAAAATCGCAATTTTAACATTCATACCCCTCTAGGCAAAATCGAAGGTGATGAGCGGGGCGGTCGTAAAACACCCCACCAACAGCTCAAGACGAAACTCGATCGCCGCAACACTGCCCGCCAAAGACAGGCATTGAAGCACCAAGAACGGTCCCAAGCTACCAGCATTTTTGCCGGCCAGAATGGCGCCCCTCGTCATGTCGCTATCGTGCCGTTGTCCGCCGATATTGATACCGCCGCTGCTATCTCTTCGATCAATGAGAGTGTTGATATTTTGACTGATGTCTCGCCCGACGGTCCTACTCGTGTGCGCATTGATCGTTTCCGCCAAAGTGTGCAGTACGTTCCTGCTAAGTACGATATGTTGAGCGCTTTGGATGTGTGCCGTATGGCCGATTTTGTCGTATTGGTGCTGTCGTCTGAGGTTGAGGTTGATGAGCAGGGCGAGATGCTGCTGCGGTCGATCCAGGGCCAGGGTATCTCGAATGTGTTGACTGTCGTCCAAGGTCTCGACAGGATTGATCCTCCCAAGAAGCGCCCTCAGGTGGCTTCTTCGTTGAAGTCGTTCATCAACCACTTTTTCCCCTCTATCGAGAAGGTTATGTCTCTCGACTCGAGACAGGAATCTTCCAATCTTATCCGATCTATCTGCACTGCTTCCCCCAAGGGTATCCGCTGGCGTGATGACCGCAGCTGGATGTTTGTTGAGAATGTTAAGTGGCCCGAGTCTAACCTGGAAGTGGTTGATGGCGTCGTTATCACCGGTGTCGTTCGTGGAAAGGGCTTGAAGGCAGACCGCATTGTTCACCTCCCCGGCTGGGGCGATTTCCAGATTGACTCAATTACAGCGGCGCCGCTAACGACTACCAAGGCCAAGCGGGATGATGCTATGGCCGTTGACTCAAATGACACACAGATCTTGGACACTCCTTCTGCGGACCAAGATGACATGGCTATCGTTGCCCCCGAGGAGATCGAGATGGTGGATGACGACATGATTTCCATGGCTGAGACAGAGAAGAAGGGTGTTCTGCTGGACGACTATCACTACTTCTCAGATGACGATGCACACATTCCGCCCGTACCCAAGAAGTTGCCTAAGGGCACCTCCACATACCAATCAGCTTGGTATCTCGACGATGTTTCCGACTCTGGATCTGACATGGAAGATGAGGATCAGCCCATGGAAATGGACACCACCGGAGCACCCGAGGATGGAGTGTTCCCCGACAACCAGGACGCAATGACTGAGGGCGGTCCCTCAGAATACCCGCAGTCAGAGATGTTCCTTGATCCCTCCCCCGAGGACGAGGCCCAGGAATTGGCCGATTACCGTGCCAGCCGCAAGACCGAAGCCGAAGAGGACTTGGAGTTCCCCGATGAGATTGAATTGCACCCCAACGCGCTTGCTAGAGAGCGTCTGGCCCGATTCCGTGGATTGAAGAACATGAAGCTCTCCCACTGGGAAACATCCGAGGATCGTCCCTACGAGCCTGAAGACTGGCGCCGCCTGCTGCAATTCGCCGATTTCAGGGGTTCCAAGAACCGCATCATGCGAGAGGCTCTCGTCGGAGGTGTCAACCCCGGTACTCGTGTGGATATTCACCTCCGCGCAGTTCCCTCCATCCTGCGCAACGGCCCTAAGCCGACTTCGCTCTTCTCTCTGCTCCGCCACGAGCACAAGCACACGGTGGTCAACGTCAACATGACTCTGAACTCCAGCTACGAGCAGCCTCTGAAGGCTAAGGAGCAGCTCGTAGTCCAGTGCGGTCCCCGCCGCCTGGTTGTGAACCCCATTTTCTCCTCGGCCGACAACACGCCGAACAACGTCCACAAATACGACCGATTCCTGCACCCTGGTCGCAGCGCCATCGCATCCTGGATTGGACCTATGACCTGGGGTTCCGTTCCCGTACTCGTCTTCAAGAGCAAACAAGCCGAGACAGAAGACGGCGACGAGGAAATGGATACAGATGCCAAGGAGGAATCAATCGCTCTGGACCAACTCGAGCTGATCGGTACCGGTACCGTCGTTGCCCCCGACCAGAAGCGTGTGGTTGCCAAGCGCGCCATCCTCACTGGCCACCCTTACAAGATCCACAAGAGAGTCGTTACCATCCGCTACATGTTCTTCAATGCCGAGGATGTCCAGTGGTTCAAGGCTCTCCAGTTGTGGACCCGTCGTGGTCGCAGTGGTTACTTCAAGGAAAGTTTGGGTACACATGGTTACTTCAAGGCTACCTTTGACGCTAAGATTAACCCGCAAGACTCTGTGGGCGTCAGTTTGTATAAGCGTGTCTTCCCTCGCAAGGCTAAGGCTTTGGAGTCGATTGCTGCGTAAGCTGGTGGAAGTAAGGTGGTGATGGAGAGGTGGATGATATGATACCATTTGACTGAACTGATTACATGAGGGTAGTTTTGCTGCTTTGAAGGAGGCGTGAGACACCCCAAAAGTATATAGACCTGACCTGAGGCATCTTAAAATGATGAATTACGAACCTTTCGCAATCAATTTCGGATTTTGTAGAATCTCAACGACAATCGGTAATTTGACTAATTGACCCCCTACAACCTAATGGACCGAGGTATCAGTTCCATGGCCCTGCCCTTATGTGTGAGTGGTACCTAGAGGCGGCCATGGCGAGCGACTGAGGCTCAGCAGAGTGTAACTGATCTTGGATGCAGCTCCGTGTTTACCTACGTTGAACACATCCATGCTATAACAGTGTGATTGGTGAGAACAGAGACAGGATTGCGTTGGTCTGTTCATTTCCAGACCGGAAGCATTTCAACATGAGTAATGAATCAAGAAACCAAAAACTAAAGGGTGAATATTCTCTAGACAACATGCGCGGGGAATCACCAAAATAAATCGATCGCCATTTAAGAAAAGTCCTCCTCCGCCTCCTCAATGTTATTCTTGATCCGCAAGAGGAGGGTGGTCTTCCACTTATCCAGCTTGCTGAGCTGATCATACTGGAACAGCTTGTCAGCGAACGTCTCCTGGTCACCGGCTTCAACAGCCTGGGTGAGGTCCGTGAGAAGCTGGTGCTCCCTTGTAGAGCCGAAGCTAGGGTCGAGTTCACGGTATGATTCCAGTGCACGGTTGGTCTCGACAAGATCCTAAGAGTGAAAGTATACAATCAATACCCTGCCTGTTATAGATGAGACGAGAAGGGGAGAAGGAAACTTACTTTCGTGGCAAGGTGGCAGATGCCTGCTTTGAGGAGATAGTCCTTCACAGACCATCTCATCAGATTGTTGTTAATAGAGGCGCGGCCGATGCGCTCGAAATTGGTGATGGCCTTGTAGTAGTCACTGTCCAAAGCAGCCAGGTCCGCAACTTTGAGATAGTGCTTGCTTGCAAGACTACAGATAAGATGTGTTAGCTGTTGTTGCTCAGATGTACCATATCGCAACAGAAGTTGAGGGATTCGTACGCTTCAGCATTGTCGCTCTCGAACCACTCAGCAGCCTTCTCGTACGCATCCAGCGCCTTCTTCATATCTCCGAGCTCCACCTCATACAATTCAGCCAGGTATTGCTGCTGTGTTGCCGCGCGGCGCAGGTTTCCCTTTAGTACGTAGTGCTGAATGGCACTGGCAAGAACGCGGGCAGCATCCTCAGGGTCGGACTTGCGGTAAACCTTGAAGGCTTCCTGGAGTGTGTTGGCAGCATCGTCGGGCTCGTTGAGGTTCTGGGTCTGGATAGTTGCAGCTTTTTCGAAAGCCTGGCCAGCCTCTCTGTCTATTCATTCAAGTCGACTATCAGCGATCCGTCTAGGAACATCGAGGCAACAGGATGGGCAGGCGGCGGGGTAGCTCACTCATTTTCTGTACCCGGAATGCATTTGCAGCCTGGGTGTAGAGATCTGCGGCGCCCTCATATTTCTCTGTTCGTCCTCCAAACCAGCTGAAGCCGCCGGAGGCCCCGGATAGCGCTTTGTCGGCCTATAGTATCATCACAAGGGTCTAGTCAGCTATCCGGGCGATCGTCATTGCCGACACAAACAAGGCGGGGAAGGACGCATACCTTTTGGAGTAGGACACGGGGATCTTGAGACATATTGAGTGTATGTGTCTATTGTTCCTGCAATAGGCAATAGTCTGTAGATTATTGATGTGAAGTGGGAGGAGGTGGCTGCACGGGGTTGCTGTCGATGAGAGCATCGATCGGCGGGCCCATGGAGGCGGTGTCTTCTATTTTTCGGCTGAGCTTCCCCGGGCCAGATGTCGAACTGCTTGATTCCTGCTTATTTTCAACGTTCAACCATTTTTGCACTAGAGATCTCAGATTGAGTGGACTGTTAATCAATAGATACACCACAATCTCTAGAACTATATACAGACAAGGTTCCCGGTACCAACAGTCCACAATGATCTCTCCTCGCATTGGCGCTCGACTCGCGAAGTCGCTACGTCCAAGTCCATTCCGCCTGAACGCGACGTTCACTCGCTCCTACCCCGATAAATCCGACAATGCAAGCATTGAGTCCATACTTGGCGCGCCAAACTGGTCTGTCAAGTCGCTTCTGCCGGACCCAGCTTCGAAACCACCACCGTCAATCACGCCGAAACAACTGCACCATCTGCTGCGCATCTCGGCTCTTCCCCAGCCTATCGACCAAGAGGAAGAGCAGTTGATGCTGGATACACTTGAGTCCCAAATTCATTTCGTCAAAGAGATGCAACTTGTCGATACTACAGGCGTCGAACCGTTAGCGAGAATTCGCGACGAGAGTCCCGCTGCTATGGAGGAGGCTAAGATCGGACTCGAACAGCTGAAGGAGGCTCTGTCTAGGGAGAAAGTCTCAGGACGACGGAAAAGGATCGAACGTGTCCCAAGAGAAAGGAATGATTGTCCGGATGGAACAGCTTGGGATGGGAATGCACTTGCGTGCGCAACCAAGAAAATGGGGAAATACTTCGTTGTCGAGATTGGCAATTGAACTACGCTTCTCACAGTTGCGCCACCAGGAGCCACCAGGATTGCTTCCCTACTCAACACGGAGAAACGTGAAGTGGTAGTGCCCTTGAGCTGTTTCTGCCTCAGGCGCATATTCTGAGTTAGCGTCTCCGAACGGTCCCGGCCCCCGGGGCCAATGACGGCATCGCCCCTCTCCAACAACATTTATCAACTTCTGCCTGTTTGCTTCAACAATTGCCAAGTTTCACTTTATTCAGCGCCAATGTTCAAGAACATCAAAGAAAAACAGGCAACATTGTTTCAATCCAAGCAATCCAATGCTTCGGAAAGTGACCGCGGCCAGGATTTGTCGTCCATCCTGGACCGGTCGCAGCGTGCCGACTTAACTGTCCTGGTTTCTCAGATTGCTGAGTCAATGCGAGGCAAGATTGTGGAGCTCTTCGAAGATACAGTCGTGAAAGAGGAGTCCTCTCGCCCCACACCACATACCTCGTCGAAGGCGGATCGCGATGAAGACACGCCTCCGTTGCCTCCAAGGCCACAGGGGAATGCGACTGCAGACAAGAGCGACAGTCCGCGTCAAGGTTCTCCTAGTAAATTGTTGAGCCCGCAATCCAAAGTCACCACGCTCAATAGTTTCGACGATTGGAGGGATTCTGTACTTCTGCGCGTCGGCGCTGTCGTCAATAAAGAGGAAGAGGATCAACATAAGAAGCAACACCAGGAAGTCTCGCAGGATGCCGCCCAGTCTGAGGATCTCCCATTGGACGAAGATAAAGATAGATTGGCTAAATTGCAAGAGATCTACCACCCAGTGGAAACCCCACTAGCTGAACTTCCGAAAGCGAAAAGATTGCTTATTCTTCATTCCCTTCTCCTTTTGATGCTCAGTCTAGAGCACTACAATGCTTATTCAAGAGTTTTGATGTTGAATGTCGCGTCCAGCCTGAACATAGATATCGAAATCCTCAACCAAGACGAAATCAAGGTTGCCCGCGGACTACTGCAGACAGCTTTGGCACTTTCCGCAGACCAAGACAACAAAGAGAAACCAAAGAAGAAGGATGATATGAGGAAATGGAAAGTCGGCATTGCATCTGTGGCTGGAGCTGCTTTGATCGGCATCACCGGTGGACTTGCAGCTCCGCTGGTAGCAGCGGGTCTTGGAACTGTCATGGGCGGACTGGGTCTCGGTGCCACCGCTGCTGCCGGGCTGCTTGGCACGTTGGCCGGGAGTAGCGTTGTTGTCGGCGGTTTGTTTGGCGCTTATGGCGGGCGTATGACTGGTCGTATGATGGACAAGTACGCCCGTGAAGTTGACGATTTCGCATTCATTCCAATTCGCGGAGAACGTCGTCGAAACGAGAAGGAGACGGACTCTGCTGAAGAAGATCATCGTCTACGAGTCACCATCGGCGTCACCGGCTGGGTCAAAGAGGAGTCAAACTTCGTGGTCCCATGGCGGGTGGTTGGTGCTGACTCCGAAGTCTTCGCTTTGCGCTGGGAGATGGAGCCTTTGATGAAATTGGGAAATGCAATTTCAGCACTCGTGACTAGCGCAGCATGGTCGGTTGCTGGCCGTGAAGTCTTGGCTCGCACCGTTTTCCACTCGCTCATGAGCGCAGTCATGCTTCCTCTGGGCCTCATGAATGTTGCCGGCGTCGTTGATAACCCTTTCAGCGTGGCCAAAGCTCGTGCCGACAAAGCGGGCGAAGTTCTTGCCGATGCCCTCATTAACAAGGCCCAGGGAGAACGAGCCGTGACCTTGATTGGGTATTCCTTGGGATCTCGGCTGATCTTTTCCTGCCTCCAAAGTCTCGAAAGGCGAAATGCTTACGGTCTCGTTGAGTCGGTGGTACTGATGGGCTCGCCGACCCCTTCAAACACGGAGCACTGGCAGAAGATCCGCAGTGTCGTCAGCGGACGCGTTGTCAATGCTTATTCCGAGAACGACTCTGTCCTTGCCTTCCTCTACCGAACAAGCAGTCTTCAGCTCGGTGTGGCCGGATTGCAACCAGTCGAAGGTGTTCCAGGCGTTGAAAATCTCAACGTGAGCGAATTGATCAGCGGCCACCTAAGATACCAGTACCTGCTTGGCAGAATCCTTACCCTCGTCGGACTGCAAGACTTTGACGCCAGTGAGATCGACCGTGAAGAAGCGGCTCTCGCTGCCGAGGACCAGCGACTGGAGGAGGAGCGGTTGCAGAATGAGCGCGAGGCTGGAGTTAAGGATCCGGGGTCCTCAGATGCCCGCGAGACCTTGAACAGCCAAGATGGCTTTAAGGAGGATGCACGGTTGCAAAAGCAGGTCGAAGCACAGACCCAGGAGAATTTGAGTCACCGGATTGAGATGCTCGATTTGCATCATGATGATTACTCGGCGCCTTTGAAAGAGGATCCTTCGAAGCATTCTGCGCTCTAATTGAGGCTCAAGGAATTATAATACACCCCACTCGCGAGATGTGGCAAACATTACTGCGTATGTACATGTACTCAATGCTTATTGCTGTCAAGATTGCACCTTCCTATGTTGTAGAATGTCAATGGTGGGAAAAGAGCTCTCTGAGCATGCGCCACTCCCCCACGAAACTGATTCCCGAACTAGTATTCAATACCAGAAGTGGAGGGAGTCCAGGCTACGCACGCAAGGAAGAGGAGGGCTATCTGGTGATGCTGGCATCGATCTTGCTGCTGAAACCATCAAGGAACACTGCAAGCCGCTTTGCACGTATGCTGGAGCTATCTCTCCAAGGCACAGGCGTCAAGCGACGCCTCATAGAGGTGCTTGACGGTCTGGGAGTCACATAGTGCTATCGGACATTCTTCGGCTCGAAGAAGGCGCTATCTACTCATCTGGAGGTATGTATAAGCTAGGACATCTACAATTACCTACCTCTGCAAAGACTTTTTTGAGGAAATGGACTGATCGAAGGAAAATCATGAGTTTGTTAAATTGAGGCAAGCAACAATTTAGTAAATGTAATCTTGCTCTATTCGATATGTAAGGATGTGGCTCGCAAGTGACCAACTAAACCAAATATATTTGTCTGTCTAAGGAAACTATCTGGATATGGAGGTTTTCTTCCATTTGTCTTGTCCGGAACATACTAGTGCCGTTCCGCACACAGGACCAAGTCCGATCACGTGGCTTGTCTTGGCAAGGAGCGGCCCTCCTGCGATAGTCCTGCAATTGACCAAATGGCGGTTGCTAGAGCCTTGGGAAAACATAGGCTTGGCATCACCGCCTGATTCATCCAGGAATTTCTGGCTGAATTCAACAGAGTTCAGCTGTTCAGGAACTTCAGATCGCCACGTCGTATCCTTCCAATGATACTCACAAAGCCTTGGGTGTAATAGATCTTGCGTTCTAACTTCTAGGACTTGTGGTAAATTCAAAATAATAGGAAATAAATATTTCACTTCCTATCTATACTCGAAGCAAGCCTGAAGATGGTCAGGAGTGTGGTCGGTGAGATACTTGACGGCAAATTTTCGATTTGTCGCACCGATGTTGAGGTCGTGTTCGGAACTTTTGAGCTGAGCCGAACTTGGTTCAAGACACCGAGATTTCACCAGAGTCTCTGTGTCAACCTCATAAAGTCTGTAGACGTGATGAGCACGTCATGCTCTCCTTGTTCGGGGGATCTATCGTAGAGAGCATCAAATGGCAAGACCAGATCTCCAGTAGCGCCTTGTCGGGTGATGATGATTTGTTGCGCACAATATGGTTGCTGGGCAGCGGGGTCCTGGGAGTACAGCGGAGGCCTGTTGGGGGGTCGGCGACAGAGCGAGGCGATGTAATCACGAGTGAGAGGAGTCGGTGCTCCAATTGGAGCTAATTGCCATCTTTCCACGTCGACACTACTATCCTTGATGGAGATCACCAGTGTAATTCTGACCTTGCCCTTGGAATCAGAAAACCATTTTGCTGCGTCGACGCGGAGACGAGGCATGCTTTCCGAGACTCCTGTTTCGATGACCAGGGTTGGCCATCCGATCTCACTGACTGGCGTTGTGCACCGGGGAGGAGGGAGAAATGCATCGTCAGGCACCTTGCCTATAGCAGTGGTCGGCTTGTATGTAGCACCTCCAACCCATTCTGCATCGTTCCAGTCCAGACCCATCCCAGTAAGAGCATCATTCACAGAAAAGACAAGCTTCCGAGTGATTGTTTCATGCTGTTTTGTTGGATGACTTTGACAAGTCCACTGCTGTTCTGCCATTGAAAACGGTAATTAATACCATCAAGGCAGTTCGGATCGTTATCCAGGCGATTGATGGCGGTTTGAGGGATCCGAAGAATGAGAAGCCATTGATTTGTGCGTTACTTCTGGTTGAAGGAAACAAGGACCCCATTTGCAGCGGCACGGAGAAGCTTCATAGAGGAAAATACCCGAAGGAAGCCAAGGCCAGAGCATTATGAGACGGCTTCTGGAAAAGAAGGACTCAACATGGGGGAGCACAAATTTCAGCTAACACATCGAGTGTTCCGAGCCAATTCTTGATGAAAAAGAGTGCTGCTATTCAGAAAACTGAACGTGAGGAAGGAAAGAGAAAGAAGGAAAGCAAGTCTCTGAGATGAGCCTTTTTCTCATGAGGTTCGTGCTCCAGGCACGAGCAACATGGTTATCTGGTAGAGCGTATGAAGAAGATAAATCGGCAGGTAGCGTGGATAAAAGAAGTGAATCGGCCTGCACTTCGGCGGCAATAAGCTTGTTTGAAGTCAGCGGACGCTGGACGGCGTGGATGGCTGAGACGGACCCTCACTATCCAGGGAGACCGGATGCGGATAGCCATCAGAAGGGTCGAATGGCCTTTGGCTCTCTCAGCCTCTCCGATGGTCAGAGGAGATGGACGCCTTCGGCATCTTCAGGAGCACCAACCGCGAGGGGACCATGTTGTGAGCCTTCAGGCGGCGCGAATGGCGTCTGGCTGTCGGCTGATGTCGCCTTCAACGTCTTCAAAGGAACCGGCGGCGAGGGGATTATGTTCCGGCGTTATTTGGCGTCCCTGACATACAAAGGACTGTCTTGTCAAAAGTATGATGAGAGTCTGAGAGACGCACTGGGTGCGGATTAATTTGAGGCAGTTCGAAACCACCTACGGATAAATTAAGAAGAGAAAGAAAAAAGAAAAAGGGAGGTCATGAGCGGCGGATATATAGACGTTCCGGGACCATGTGACTTCCAGTGACTGTGAGTACTGACTACTGCGTCCCGACAAGGCGACAACCATATGATGTTCAAGGAACAGGCCGCTGATTGGCTGTAATGCTCAGGCTAATGTCCGCGCCCTGCCAAGGCCCCTCCTTAGTGCTTGGTTGCCTCAGGCATCACCGTCTCACGGTGTAGACTAACTGTCACCAAATGATCATTTGGCCCACAAAGTCTATCTCCCTTCACTTCTTTCAGAACTTTCCCTTCTTTTCCTCTTCTGTTCTCTCATAACTCTCTTCCCTTTTTATCCTCGCGGCTTTCAAGATGACTGATATCACTCAGATTTTTAAAGGCACTCAGATCGCCCTTCCTGGCTCCGCAGCAACCGGGCTGGACGCGAGTACATGGGTGATTGACGAGAAGCTTTATGAGAATAGAGTCGATGGAGGCAAATCCTCATTTTGAAATGCGTGAAGTTGAAGCTCGGAGGAAGTTCAGACAAGGTGGATGCAAAAGTGTACCTTCACTACTTGGATATGGCCAATCCGTGCAAGGGGAACAGGGACCTGTACCTGGAGGATACATAACCTATATTGTTTGGGAAAAGGTCCCCGGGCAGGTCCTCACTCCGGATGTCTTCTGGTCATTCGAGCGATCAAAACGTGATCTCGTTCGCCGAAAGTTCCGGGCTGCATATGAGTAAGTGCGGAGTTAAGTCCTTGGGATCATGCTAACGAAGCATCAGGGAAATGACGTCCTTTGGCTGGGCTCCAGGAGGGGAGGATATCACGAAGATTATATGGGACGATGAATCCGCCGATCTATGGATTACGGGGTTTGGCAGTTCGTTTCCAACTGACGAAAAGTGGGAGGATTGCGTTCTGGCTTATTACGGCTTGGTCAACCCACCCGCGTCCGGCCCCTCCGGCGGTTGTAGGAACCTTGATAATTGGGAATGGTGATACAGATTTCTATTGGTGACAGGGAGAACAATCAGCCTCCAGGTACCGCTTCGGTGGTCCTCGAAGGTAAACTCCTCCCTTTGGTTGAGGTGTGAGTATCTCTCATCTCGAGCTGCTTAATGGAGTGACTGCCCTCTTTTGAAGGTGCAAGTAATAGTCCAGTGTCTTCCAAGATTCTGCTTCGTGATCAATCCAGTTCTTAACGATCTCCCGAATTTACATTCCCACGTAAAGTTCACTTGATACCCCTCCAGTAACCTAGCCGCTTTGTTCTCAGGTATCTTCATATCACAGGGCCTCTCTGAGCCTTCGTACCCTTGCCGGGTTGGGACTTCCACACAGGCGTTTTAGTCGCCAGCTCAACAGGTGGTGGTAATTACTGGTAAGCATCCCGTAGTAGTTACCATTAGTTAACGTTAATTACCAGTAACTAACTAACTAGTTAAGTTAACTAGTTAACTAGCTAACTAACTAACTATTGATTTCCAGGCTTGTCACTAAGTAGAACCATTTTTCGTATCGTCCACTATCATGACACTTCATTGACCCGTACCCAAAACTACACTCCTACTCTGACATCGCCGCGTCGTTGATGGAGGTTGGAAGGTGGGATTAGAGCACGAAGGGGTTGATCAGGGATGTCAAGAACATCAGGATCAGAGTTAGCCTACTCTTAACTCTTAAAAGAAGGTATCCGTTCTCAATGCTCATAGCAATTGCTCTCGCATTAAAATCACATTCCCACTGCCGAGCCCGGGGCACTTGAACCTCACCTAGTCATCATCCATAACCTAAGTCCTCCAGGGCTGCATTTGCAAGTCGATACATCCGGAAGCAACTCCCTCCGTCAACGCCTGGATCATTTCTCAATACATCCACATCGCAAAGCAGTTCAACCTCTGGATCATCTCTCGATACATCCACATCGCGAAGCAGTTCAACGTCTCTCAATACATCCAATCCACATCGCAAAGCGGTTCAACCTCTGGATCATTTCTCAATATATCCCCATCGCGAATCAGTTCAAGCTCTGGATCATCTCTCGATACATCCACATCGCAAAGCTGTTCACGCGATGGCCCCCAGGCGCAAACCCCAACAGCCAGCGAAACAGGTGCCCCCAACATCTGCACGTGAACGTCTACGCCGCGCCGCGCCTACCCGCGATACAGGAGGTCACAGCGAGTCCACACTGCCACCTATGCCAAGTACCCGTCCGAGGGTCCAGCGCGCAGGGAGTTTGTCGGATCTAGCACCGGCACACTCGCCAGGCCCACAGGAATCAACAGAGCGTCGGGATGGTCCGGCCATGACTTCAGATGATGAGAATGACCAAAATGTTGAAGTCGAATCGCCGCAGTATGATTCTGACCCCCCGATAGACGCCTCGCAGAGCACTGTGCGCAAATCTCAATCGGAGCCCGTTCGACCCCAATCCCAGGGAAAGCGTCGCGCCGATGCGCTCTCAGATCTGCCGCCTTTCGTGCGGCCGCCGATGATGATGCTCCCCCGAAAAAGAAATATCGCAAGAGACTTCCCGCCCCAAACACCAGTGTTGCCGCCGATGAAACCGCCGCCCATCATGCGCGGCTTAGGGAGCTGGTCAGCTGGCACCTTTTTAGATGGTACACCGCCACAGACAAATCCCACGAGTTGATCTGCAAACTCCGGCCCAATGCTGATAAGAACGACCACCAATACACTCTGGACTGCCAAGATATTGGCAATGGGTCGCGAAACTGGAAGTCTCGGACGCTCGACCATCTTCATGTAAGAGCCTTCCATATACCTAAGAATACTATTGCCTCGTCCGCTAACCATCATTGTCCTCGCAGGAGTACATAGTCCGAGCGATCGAGACCAGCGAGGTCAACCTCAGACACATCGTCGAGCCCAAGGCTCTGTTTCGCCATTTATTTGACAGCTTCACCATCGAAGACTTTGTGAACGTCTTCCGATGGATGGCCGACCTCCTCGACTGGCATCGAACCTCGAGATCTTGCGACCATTCCTATTTTAAGAATAATAGTGACACTGTATTTCAGACCCCCCGACTTCCTGCCTGGAATAGACCTATGGTAGAATTTACAATGAATATTGCGCGGGGAAAGGCAGACACCAGATCAGACGTGGCGCGTGTCGCATTGGGGTTATTGGAGTAATTCGTAGGGATATAGCCTTGCCAGTTGGCTGGAGGCCTGCCAGTTGGCGGGAGGTTTACCAGTTGGCGGGAAGCTCGCTGCACCAGTCTGGAACCCGGCACTCGCGTCAAGTCATATTTTGCGCCAAAGGCCTACAAAAATTATTCAACTAGTCATGGAAGATTGGATAACCTAATCAGTAGTAAGACCAATAATAATAGTCATTTGCACCTCACTTCAACCTGACACGTTCTGGGACGAATACAAACACGCCACGCCAACTGGCCAATCTAGAAATATTTGGCTAGCGGGCTTGCATGGCCAGGAAACTGAGTGTTACTTTGGCTGATCTGCAAGAATATCAATGCCAATATTATTGTCCTCTATAAAAACTTCCATGGTTATATACTATACAGACTTTGGTAGGTAGGTCTGGCCCTTCTCATAACGACGAATATTGCTTGATTGACTAGAAAAATGTAGCATCAACCAAGTACAGAAGATGGTCTCGATCAGTTAAATACAGAATAAATAAGGCCAGCTACCTACTCAAGCAAATAAGAGCACACAGGTAGCACCTCGCATCATACTCACCAGCTTATGTTGGTGCCTGAGCGATATGTATGAACGTCGAACGATAATGAATTTATCAGACCTCTTCCCTTTCATACGGAGCTACGGGGTAGACAGGAATCACAGGATACAATTGCAAAAAGCAGGCAAAAGCTAGAAGCCAAAAAACAACATACAACAGTGAGGATTCGCTGGTGGTCACCCACCCAACTACTAACTCACCGGCGTGTGGCTTAAGTACGGCTGAGCGGACGGGAAGCCCTGTTCTCCACACCCTATGGTCGTATGTACTAAATATAGTGGTGGGCAGAATCATATCTAACAAGGAATTGGATCAGCTGAAGTGTACGCACTATCCGCTTCGAAGTACAGGTAGTATCGGTGGGATTGGAAACCAGTTAATGTCACGTGAAGGAGCAGCGTATGGATCATGTGACTATCAACATGTCTAACCTCCAGTTTGCACTTGCATAGTGGAACCACTTCAGGAATCCATCGGACCATCATCAATACATATTGAGCTACTACCTACTGTGGGAGCCCGGAGACTCTATGTACGCGTGGGTGGCGTGGCAGCGTAACGCTAGTCGCCAGTCAAGGTAGGTTGCTCTACCAATTCCATGTTCCAAAGGTTGCGCGTCAATCAGGGTGGATATGTAGCTATAATGTTGCCAATAAGTGACTGGTTGTTGCCATGGACTATGAGACCTCTCATCCTACCCACCAGTACCGGGCATCTTCAGTCACTGTCAGGTTACTGTATTTCCAAGATTTCAGCTGTAGGCAGCTAGGCTCAATATCAGATCAGGGTCACCCTTCATGCATATGACATGGATGATTCCCATCTCCTGCGGAAAGCATTCAGCTTCCATTTCTTCGATTGTCGTTTTTGATATCATATATTGTTAGTTCAATCCTGACACAACATCGAAGATAGTCCGTACTCTGTCTACACACTGAAGGGATAGGGTGAACTCTTGAGCAACAGCTGTGCCTTGACGTATTCAGCCTCAAGAAGCACTCGTCCGACAGTCGGGTATGGTGGAGTCGGAACATTTTCAGCATTCAGGATGAGCTTACACTTGGGAAGAGCACGATCAAGAGCCTCGTCCGACAGGAATCGATTGCCAAGTGTGTCGGTGGCCAAGGCGATATGCCAATATGGTGGCTGAACAGTCCAGACAAGGTTGCCACTGGTGTAGAACACCTCTGGATTCTCTGCCATGCGCTTTCTGTGGCCGGATTCCACGATTCCTCGTATCTGCTGCGCGGATGGTGAAACCCGGTTCGAGTCCACAGGGAGGTGTGTAAGTCTCTCTACCGAGTTTCATATGGTCAACGTCGCTCACTGATGATCAAGTTGAACAGTGTGCACACCTCCCTGTGGACTCCAACGGGGTTTCGCCATCCGCACAGCAGATACGAGGAATCGTGGAATCCGGCCACAGAAAGCGCATGGCAGAGAATCCAGAGGTGTTCTACACCAGTGGCAACCTTGTCTGGACTGTTCAGCCACCATATTGGCATATCGCCTTGGCCACCGACACACTTGGCAATCGATTCCTGTCGGACGAGGCTCTTGATCGTGCTCTTCCCAAGTGTAAGCTCATCGTCAATGGTGAAAATGTTCCGACCCCACCATACCCGACTCCTCCCCAGCATTTCAGTGAGTGGCTGGCTGCCGAGCGGCAGAAAGCCCGTCGTCTTAGCAAGCCTTTGCCCCAAGTTCAACCACCTCCTACTGTTGCACTCTCTGCGTCGACGCCGGATGCAGCAGGCTCAGAGAAAATCATCGGCTTCCTCCTCCCACGTTCGCTCTAGTGGTCATACCCGCACGTCTTCTTCTGAAGTAGAGGATGCTCACGAGGTCCAGCAAACACGTCTGATGAGATAGTTGCGGAAGTGAAAGAGACAGGGAGGCTACTTATAGAAGTCAGAAATACAGCTGATCCGATGACTTCAGAGCTGGATGGACCCGCTTACCAAACTTACCAGGAAGCGGGGCCCTTGTACCTGCCGCATTATCCCACAGAGGTTCAGTCCCGCACAACAGCCCCTGCGGAGGTAGACTGGCAGGAATGGCTGGTCTTCCCGGAGGCCAATTGAGCTCGTTTCTCTCATAAAACGAAAAATCCCAAAAGAAAATCCCCCAGTGACACGTTCACGTTCGATTCAGGAAATCAACAAAGACCGGAGGGCAATCGCATCATACTGTTTCTATTTGCTTCATTTTGCTAGGAGAAGAGAAGCCCGGATTGACGGAAAAGGACGGAAAGGAACCAACTGCTGGTTGAGTGCTTGAGGATGTGTCCAGGCACCGCTGTCAAGAGTTCTTTCCCTTGTTGATAGACGCCAAGACAGATCATACATATTGTGAATGAGCTCTTTTGGGAATTGTACACATCATCTTTATGCGCATATCCGCGCCAATGGTCACAACTCATATCAAGTAGACAAACCAAAAGGACACAGATACAACGATCCTCCTCGCCAAGTTTAGCTGTTTGATAATCGATCCTACGTACACAGAAGCTCAGGGTTTCTACCTCTTACGCAGTGGCAGTAGCATTAATCAGTGATACCTATACTGTTGCAGGCAATTCCTTCTGTCTCGAACGGATAGCCGACGCTGAGTGCACTGCTACTTAGGACCACCTGAGACAACTCAGAAGTTGAAAACTGGCCTGCTGTCTGCCTGGACTCTCAATCTCTGCTTGCTAAGAATTTGGCGAGCGGAGGCCAGGAGGTTCTTGAGAGTTGAGCCAACTGTCTAATGCTGTCTAATGATAGCCCAGCTTTAACGGTAAACCAAATGGTTCAAAAACAAAACATACAACAGTGAGGATTCGCTGGTGGTCACCCACCCAACTACTAACTCACCGGCGTGTGGCTTAAGTACGGCTGAGCGGACGGGAAGCCCTGTTTTCCACACCCTATGGTCGTATGTACTAGAATTTTTCTTACAATTAATTATAACTAGTTATAGACATACCATAGTAGTAAATGCCCCTGGGCTTAACCACACCCAAACTTTGTAGGTTGCCCCATGACTCATGAGCGGCCAGAGATCTAAGTCGCAGCAAATCTTTGGGCTGTTGCCGACTCGCTTGGATTCACGACTCGCTTGTGAATTACGTTAGTAGTAGGTCCCTAAGGGGTTGATTGCACGTGATAATTGGCTGCAGTAATCACTGATAAACGCCTTGGTGAACCCCCTATTCCTTCCAAACTCGGCGGTGCCACCTTTGTTCCGCTTCACCACCCGAAAATAAGTGCTTTCAAATTCTGCCTCTAAGGCGTCCAAGAAGACCACCGGGCATGGCAATGCCACAGCAACGGTGACTACTTAGTCGTCGGTAACAACGTGGATGCCATCCCGACTTTGTCCAGCCTCAACGTACCACCCACCACCGGCAGGATAGTCGTCCTGAATGGCTTCCCGGGAACAGGCAAACTCACTATTATTGCGTGACGATTCACCACATGAAAAAGAGCATTTCGCTGGGTACCGGTGGTCCTACTTCTCTTCCCTAGGGGATGGGCCTTTAAAATCACGCGCCCAAAGATTCCTTGAATCAATCAACTGGACTTCACTCATCCAATGTGCCTCCGCAAAGAGGAATGGGCTGAACTGCCAATTACTACCCGACGTTGGTCTGGGATACAATCATTTAGTTCGAGTCATCGAATTTGCGGACGACACGCGATGGGTGGCAAGGCTCAGGATGCCACCTTTGACAAGGAATGACGACGAAGCAGCGAACGCATGCAAAGTAATGGAGAGTGAGTACGAAACTATCAGCCTGATCCAGAGAGAGAGCGAAATTCCTGTTCCACATGTCCACCTATTCGAGGCCAACCCAAGCCGCAGCGTTGGGGCACAGTTTATGCTCATGGACTGCCTCAAAGGAAATGTTGGCATGGACTTGAGCATGGTTATTCCCACTAAACACAAGTTGGACGTCTACGCCAGTATGGCTGAAATTCAGGTACGTAACCACTGTCACGCTTAGACACTCTATTCTAATTTTTCTTCGCCTAGATTGATCTGTTTAACATCCGATTGCCGAAAATTGGGAAAGTCGTCGGGATAAACAAGGATGGGACCTACCGACAAGGACCGCTACCAAACCTTGGTGGCCCGTTCGACACTGCGGCGGACTTTTTCAGAGCCTGGTCTTCTAAAGCGAAATTTGGTCTCTCTGAAAGTCGACTTCGAGACGCCGCAGGCCAATACTTCGACGAGGTATTGCCTTCTCTGTCTTTGTTTAGAGAATGGGTGAACGATAACGCGGAGTGCCTGTCAGTCAACAATACAGGACCGTTTCCCTTATGTCACGGTGATTTTGGTCATAACAATATCGTGTTTGACGATAACTACCGCTTGCTTGGTGTCATCGATTGGGAAACAGCATTTGCGGCGCCATACGAAACATTCTGTGAATTCCCCCTGTCTCTCTCGGTGATCCCACCTGCCATGGATGTTCCATGGAAATATGACGAAGCGGGTCGTCCGAAGGACCCAGAAATTAGGCAGAAGTTTGCCGACAGGGCAACTTACATCGCTATTGTGCGTCAAAAGGAACAGGAGCGTGGCTTAACTGAGGGATATACTCTGTCAGTCGCCCTTGAGGATGCTCAACGGCAGTATCTGGCTTCCGCGATGAGGTTGTATCAAGATGGAATACCAGGGTGGTTTTTCAAGGTGGCAGAAGGGTTCGGTAGTCAAGTCCACACATCGCCTAAGTAACATTTCTTCTCTCTTCCATTCCTTCTGATTTCCTGCTGGATATAGTCAATACTCAATTGCGTCCACTCGACCAGCAAAGCCACTCAATTATATCTAGTCTTACCGTGGAGGGCCTTTGGGCTTCAGGACAATCGGAAGGCTTGATATGGCAACCATTTCCACTGAGCCACATGCACTCGGCTATATCCACCCAACCATGCTCGCTCAACTACATACGTCCTGTCCTGGCGTGTACCCTATATGTGGAACTTGGTGATTCACTCATGCAGAAGCCAAATGTTGTCAATTCTTCCCCGCAAACTAGATACACGAATACAAATCAATAACTTGACAAAAACTCCAGTATCCACAGTATTGCTTACACGACTGAATTCTCAATATAAAAGTAGAAAAAATCAACTTCATAAAACTTCACGCACAATGAAAACTTCAACCAGACGTTCCCTTAACTCGCGCAATCAAAGTCCTGCTCATTCCACCGATTAAGCCGACGTGCAATGTAACCCCCGTTTTGAGCATACCCATGCTGTTCAGTACCTAGGTAATCCAGCAATCCATTCCGCATAATTATGAAAGATCCAATCCTGCTCTTCCGCAGTCCATCGGTATGTAACCAGATTGAAGAGATAGCTAAGTGGCGGAAGACCAAGTTGGAATTTATCTGACCATATACACGAGCTCCATTTCGTAAATACGCCGAATCTCTTTCCCGCACCGCGGTAGGTCAAACAATGCATCCAATGGTGGGTCAGAATGAGGGTAAAGCATCTCATATTCGAATTTGCCAGTGCATGCATAGCGAGCCACGGGTTCGTCGCCAACTGCGCAGTGTATTCAACCTGATATTTCGATTCCCAGCTCTGTCCGTCCTCGAACCAGTGTTTGAAGCGGTCGAGGCGGAGTAAGGAAGCTGTGTGACCGGGGAGCTCGTCCAGGCTATTTTCTAAAAGTATGTTTGTTTCGAGAATTCTTCTTTCGATTGCAGCTGCGCCTGTTTCTTTCGTGAAAGTGAAGAGTCCTTCCGTTCTGCGCTCCAGACCGGCTGGGAAGAACAGGCCTCTGATTTGATTGCAGTGATTGGTGAATTGTTCGTCTGTGAGTGCGGCCATGTCTGTACTAGGGTTTTCGAACCATAGTTGCGCACGGATGAAGGGGAGGATGATTATGTCGTGGTCTGGGAAGTAACCGAATGGGGATTGGGGGGTTTCTTGGAGACCGCCCAGGTTGAAGAAGTCTTCTTGTGTGTATTGCCAGTGGGATGGAGGCTCGGATGCATCCCATCCGTATGAAGTCAGTCTGAATGGATGTGGGGCGATGGTTTCCATGATTATATTGACCATTTCGAGGGATTTCCTCCACAGAAGGACTAGTTGGCCTGGGTCGTCTTTGTTCGGGGGTTTGAGATGAACTATGACATTGGCTCTGTGGTGTGGGAAGGTTTGGAAATGTCTGTCGGCGGCTGCTTTGTCCTTGAGAATTATGTCCACGTGCATGTTGGTGGCTTCGAGTTCGATGCGCATCCATTCATCCGCGTCGTATGCGGGTTTCATGAGTATGTTTTCGGTGCAGTTATTATAGAGGTGAGAAGAGACCTCGGTATATAGGTAACGACTGGCACTGAGAATTGAAAGAGGGTTGGCGTTTGGCTTCCCGTTGTTGAAAAGTTTTGTGTGAATGGTTGAGAAGAGGTATTCCCATATTATTAGGCGGACTTCTGGGGGAAGATGGAAAAACAGGCCCAATGAGTCCGGTAGATATAAGAAAGGAGATCCGCAGGAAGATTCGGATGTCATATCATAGTCCGTATCAGTTTCCATGGGAGAACCGAGACGAGAATTCATAGGAGATATCAGTGGAGATTCAAGGGAAACCCCCGAGATGCTGCCGGAAGAGCTGCTTATATCAAGGTCGATCAGGGGACCGATGAGAGGAGCCATGGGAGGTTCGATATCAAGGTCCATCAGAGGTCCTATGAGGGGAGCCATGGGAGGTTCCATAGAAAGCTCCATCGACAGATCAATGAGAGGCTCCATAGATGGCTCAATCGAAATATCAATAAGATCCTCTGCAAGAAAGTCCGGAGAAAGAGGATCCACAGGAGTGTCTGGGGAAGTGTCCATAAGAATGTCCGGAGAAGGCTCCATAAGACGTATCAAAGGAGAGTCAAGAGGAAGCTCCGTAACAGGTTCAGTAACAGGTCCCAGAATAGCTTGCAGACGAGGCGTCATAGAGGGTTCCATAGGTATAAATATGGACAATTATAGCAAAGAAATGGTTCTAAAGCGATGGTATAGTAGTATGATAGTAGCGATGTTGAGGTTGACGAAAAGGTTCAGGATCGGGGGCCCTAATTAGATTCATTCTGAACCTACTTTCAGGTAGATTGTCAAATTTACGTAGCAATCTCATGTTGTTGGGGTACTGAAGTGTAGTCCGTTTCCCGATTAAGCGCGGAGATGCCAGAGTCGGGACAAACTCTAACTGAATCACGATGAGCCAAGTGGGCAATGGAAATTGCATTTGCCACAATTTGTGCCAGCTCATGGCTTAGCCACATGCACAATAATCTTTCCCCTGGCACGACCGGAACGAAGCTTCTCAAATGCATGAACAGCATCTTCGAACTCGTAGGTGGTGTCCAGCTGGATCTTCACAGCGCCCTTTTGCACCCATTCTCCAACCTTCATCAGATCCTCACGGGTATTCTTGAAGAAGAAGATGACATACTTCCTCTTACCACCGCCCAAGAGGCTAGGCCAAACCAGCCTACCAGCAAATGTCGTCATGGCCGACGCACCAACCTGCACAAAAGCCTTCCCAGGCGCCAAAAAGTGATGCGACTCGCAATATAGTGGTGCAGGATACCCAATATGATCAACGATATGATCATAGACGACTCCGCGACCGCGTAGCGTAGCTACTAAGTCCTCTTCAACCGAGTAGTCAATAACCTCGTCAGCGCCGAGCGAACGGCAAAACTCCACGTTCTTCGTCGAACAAGTAGTCGCAACATGGCACCCCATTGCCTTCGCAATCTGGATCGCAAAAATACCGCATCCCCCAGAACCACCATTAATAAAAACCTTGTCGCCGGCATTAACATACCCAGCCAGTGACTGGTACGCCGTTTGGCCCGCGATGCCAATGGCAGCGGCGTGGTCTACCTCCACGCCCTCCGGCACGGGCGCAAGCAGACTCGACGATGTAACGAGGTACTCACCCAGCGAGCCGTATTGGGCGGGTCTGCTGAGACAGCCGTAGACGAGCTGGCCTGGGGAAAACTCGGTCGCGTTGGCGCCGGCTGCCACGACCCGTCCGCAGAAGTCCATTCCTGGTGAGGCTGGTGTGCCAATTACCAACTTTCGCGCGACGAGTCCCATTTCAGGGACTTTGAAGTCGGCGGGGTTGAGGGAGGCGGAGAGCACTTGGACTAGGACGTTGTTGCCGTGGACGGCGGGTGGTGCGCGTGCCGACGCGTGGAAGTTGAGGTTCTTTTCTAGGCCATTGGTTGTGCTGGAGTAGAGCCAGGCTTCCATTTTTGATGGAATGTTTTGACTAGAGGACATTTTGATGATTGTTATGTTTGTTTTGATGCTTTGATGCTGTTGAGAGAATCAGGGAGATTGTTTGTGTTGCCACTTTTTGGAGGCGATCAGGCGCGGGCTCAGGCGATCTTTGATGACCTCACCCGCGCGGCCGTGCCAACTGGCAAGTGGTAACGCCGTCGTTTTGTTGACATCCCAGTCAAGGATAATCGATAATCGACCATTCCTCTAGATTTCTAGATACTATCTCACGGCTCAAAAACGTCAAAGCGCCAAGTGCTAAAGCATCCACGGCTGTACGCAAAGTTGGCTGGATGACCGGCGCATAGAAAGGCGAATGGTTACTGGGCAGCTCATCAACAGTGCCCTTAGCAACAGCATCATCCCAAGTCTGGGGGTCAGTCCCACCAAACATCCACATAACATATGGTGCACCCACGGCTGTAGCCAACAAAGAAAAGTCCTCACTAGCAGTCGGGGGCTCCATATCAACCAGCCTGCCCCCAAAGTACGGCTGAAACGTATCACGCAGAGCATCGATAGTCATCCCATCATTGATGGTGGATGGCGTCGAGTAAATAAGTTTGATCTCAGGCTTCTGCACAGCACCAGCAGCCTGACACTCTGCCTGGATGATACGATGGATCGAGGCCCACACTCGCTTCCGCACATCCTCATCATAAGTCCGCACATTCAGCTGCATATCCAAATAAGCGGGAATGATATTCGGCGAGCTGCCAGAATGAATACTACCACAAGTAACGACCGCCAGCTTTCCCGGCGCGACCTCCCGCGAGACAATAGTCTGCAGCTTCGTAACGATCGCCGCACCAATGACGATGGGATCAATCGTCGTATGCGGTGCCGACCCGTGTCCTCCACGTCCAAATACGCGGACATCGAACGCGTCCGCCGCTGTAAGAAGCGGGCCTGCACGCAGACTGAGAGTACCGGCGCGCATCCGCGTCACATGTTGCGCGAGTACAAGGTCTGGTTTCGGGATAAGGTCATATAGTCCATCATCAAGCATTGCCTGGGCGCCGCCTAGGTCTTCCTCCGCCGGCTGGAAGATGCAGATCAGGGTTCCACGCCAGTGCTGTGTCGAGCGCAGTAGGAGTGTCGCGACTGCCATTAGGGCGGTGACATGCGAGTCGTGTCCGCAAGCGTGCATTACAGGCTTGCGGGTTCCGTCTTTAGCTTTGGCATACCGAGTGCTTGCGTAGGGAAGGCCTGTTTGTTCTTTTACGGGCAATGCGTCCATATCCGCCCGGAGGAGGATTGTTCGGCCGGTGCCGTTGCGGAGGACGCCTGCTACGCCATGGCCGCCGATGTTTGTGTGGACCTCGAACCCTAGGGCTTTCAGATGATCTGATGCTATTTTGGCGGTTTGCTCCTCCTGTCCTGACAATTCAGGTTCGGTGTGTAGATGTCGATAGATCTCTTCGAAAGGTTTTAGGTCTGGTCTGTGGAGATTTATGATCTCGGCCAGGATATCGTTTCGGGTCATTGGTCGGGATCCTGGTATAACTCGCATATAGGCGGCACGGTGATGGGTCAATGAATAGTATGATGATCAGCTTGACTCAAATCACGGAGAAAAAGAAAGACCAAGACTATTCTTCTGGCGGAAATCAAGTGTCCATATAGAGTTGATTTCGAGGAGGTAGCCGATGAGACAGTCTAGTGACTAGTCCGTCGGCAGACCGGCGAATCATCTAGGCCCCCCGCAATTCCACTTGCTACCCCGCATCGCTCGGCCACCTTGGGCAAATCTTTCTTTTCCCAGGAGCACTGCGTGTAAGTGTTCAGCAACCGTTGGACCGGGCGTTGATCGTCTGAGCTGTTATGCTGCGAGCCTGCGAGGTAGGGAAACGAGTGGAATTTCTCGAGATATCTCCGCTTGAACTGAAAAGTGTCTCAGCACTTGCTTCAATATGTCCTGGAGTTACCCAAACAATCCTACTGTATGCTTGAGCAGTCTTCCCATTCTAGACAAACTATTGAGTCAGTCCTTGCAGTCCCTTGATTGGGTTCGCAGCCCTCTCGACAGTCCATGCGTTTGCTTCGGCAGACCACGCATAGCCCTCGAGCCTCCGTCAGGACGATATACGCCGTTTTGATAGACGCTTTTGATAGACGCTTTGACGAACCAGGACATTGTTAATCACAGATTGCAATATTGAACTTCCATTTAAAACTGTCCGCAGGAGTCTTAGGGATTGGCTTGGTGCATTGGCGATCGTCTCACGTTGCTTGATTCGCGCAACCAACCCTTTAGAAAACGGCGTTATACTCCTGCAATCAGCCTATGTGGCAAATTCCACTGGGTGGTATCATCATCCCGAGGCCGGACTGGAGTTCACTGCAGGTTATCACGATGGACAAAGTAGTATATCAGGTTCCCGAAAGCCCCGTTTCCAAAACACCTGTCGGAATTGTTGAGTAATCCAAGCACATTACCTAGTTAGGTGGATACCTAAGTTCACTCCAACCCGTTTGGGATTATGAACGGATGCTTATAGGTGTTAGGTACGTGAGAATAGGTCCATCATGGGATCATGATAGATAACCTACTGACCAATGTAGGTACATCTGAGAAATACCTATATTCCATCCACACGAACCTTATCGGTAATTTCACCTTGAAGCTTACCAATATCGAACTGCCAACGAATCACAAGTAATATAGCCACTATGACTCCCTCAAAGGATCAATCAGAATGGATAAAAATCGCACGCTATACCTCATCTGACAACCCTTGTCCAGCTGAACAACAAACCTTCTTCGCAAGGCGCACTTTGCCTTGCGCTCGGACCAGCTGCCGCAGAGATCGGCCAGCCGCCAGGGTCTTATCTGGATATTGATTTTTACCAGGTACCTTCGTATTTTGAAGGTTCAAGGTTTACAGCTGCCTGAAGACTCCGAATCCACAATTGAATTGTTGCTTCCTTGATATGCAGCTAGACATGATTGCATACTACTTTGATGCGCGTAATCCTCCGTTGGTTCTCAAGCAACGGGCCGACCCAACTAGTGGGTCCTCTAAAGAGCCGTCAGCCAGTCATATTTGAGTTTGGGATGAAGAGGCTCAAGCAGAATTTTCGCCAGTAAAAAAAGAAATCTCAGGATTGGTTTTAGGAATAGCCGAACGCGGGGGTCGAACCCGCAGCCTTAAGATTAAGAGTCTTACGCTCTACCGATTGAGCTAGCCCGGCCGGGCTGTTGTAGGAGGTTGCAAGAATTTGATTCATGTTTGCAACGAACTATGATTCAGGTGAGGGAACAATTCGGTGGGTGGCTATTAGTATGAGGACGGAGCATAACTGGATCGGACTGGATCTTGATATAAGAGGTCATTATAACGACAAAGATCTGCCATAGTATGATGGAGACCTAGTTGCCGAACAATGCACACTGGTCTTCTTGAGGTTATCGCGTGCAATTGGAGGATCACCTTGTTGGTATAAGCAATGTGGGCCATGTGGCTTACTGGTGCCTGGGGAGGCAGCAGAAAAGGACATTGATCAAATAAGCAGTGACCTAATTGCGCGAGAAGCGACAGAAATCAGTATAGCCAAAGGCAGATCGAGAACATAGATGGAAGATTGAAGGGACACTTGGCCTGAGTGCCCGGCGCAGCCAGCTCTGGCCTTTCGCAGTGTGAAAGACTGAAGTAAGCAATTGCCGGGGAAAGAAGACATCAGTGGCTGGTGCAGCAAATTGGAAACCGGAGATACGAGGTCAGTGGCTGAGGCTGAGCAGTCAGCATGAATGGGGAAGAGGGGTAGAAAAGGCGTTGGATGAGAAGGATTGTAGTATAGACCTGTGGCTTGTGTTGAAAGGGGGAAATTGAGGCTGGTGAAAAGCGTGGAATTCACCCGACTCCGAGTTGGGGGCCAAAACAATGATTCGAAATTGCACAGTGCACACTATTCTTAGGGATTCTGAAACAATCACGTATTCCCAAATATGGAAAATTAGAAGAGTGCTCGAAGTCCCGGCGATATGGTTTTGGGAGTTCCAGATCTGTCTGGGTAGACGCTCGCTCAGGAGTCAGGGCAGGACGGCGGCTGCGGAGACCTATGAGCGTGGGGAAGTGTTGGCGCTCGCCCTGCGATCAAACACCTCTCTTTAGAAGTACTGGCTCTTGTTGAATCTCGAAGTACTATTTTCCGAATGTGAAGCCTAGGAGGGTGCGAATGACGCGAACCCGAGGCCTATTTTCAGGAGGAAACACGAGACCCTGTCATGGCGCAGGAACACGAGGAGCACAGGCCACAGGACATCGGGCCGATGATGACATACGCAAGGACATTTCAGCTGGGAATTTTGGTGTCGTAAAGTTGGGGAAGCAAAATTAGTGGTTTCTTTCAGGGTGTTTGGTGCCTTGGAAATGGAGTCGGGGTCCAAAAGGGAAAATCGAAGAAAGCGGTTGAAGGATGCATGACATCGTCAAGTTTGACCGTCGAGTTGGGGATATGGACCAATCAGCATCCCGGTTCATGTAAATATGGCGGTGTTCGAAGCCATCTCTCCAAGGCACAGCCTCCCAAGCCACACTATGAAGAGAGCGATACCCCATTTGTACATCGGTCGTGCTTATAATAGTGAGAGCCGCTAAGTACTGTGGAGGTACCACAGACCTCTAAGGACCCACTGGGTAGACGCCATGCCCTCCAGGCTCCAGGGCATCATCTATAGCCTGCATGAAGACCTGCATACCATATAAGAACACCCTCCCCCCCTCCTTCTTCACCAGAACATCTTCTTCAATTCCTGCATCTGAACACAAACCTGACACTCTATATCCATTGTCATACTCACATCTCACATAACCACTCACATCATCTACATTACGGTGATCATCAACCATCTTCGCGTGACCCCCCATAAATCAGGCACAGTGTCTCCCTACCGCTCGACCTCATATTTCGTGGATCCCTCAACCCTTACAACCAGGGAAACCCCCGCTCCCCGCCCTAGTCTGACACGCCGTCTACTTGGACTTCGTCGAACCAACACTATGCCCGCTGCCATCGAAGTCACAGACCCCCTCGTCGTCGTCCGCGACCTCTTTGACGACGAAAAGCTGGTTGTCGACGACTTCGAGCGCCACGTCGGCCACTGTCGCACCTGCCTCAACGCTGTCCAGACACCCAGGGACGGCCGTCTTTGCGAGTCGGGTGCCACCCGCGCCCGCGTTGTCAAATCCTATCTCTTCAGCCAAAACGGAAAGCACTTCTCCACTGTAGAGTACGAGAACGGCAAGTCGGTGCGAGTGAAGATTCCGCGTGAGAATGTCGCCGTCCGCGATCTCCTCACAGCTCTTGAGCAGGGACTACGTCTGCCTGAGAAGACCGTCATCGTCCAGCCTGTCCAGCCTGTCGACGGTGTGAGCTACGACCGCACCTATTCTGTCTCCGCCCGCCAGGTCACTGGCAAGCAGTCCCGTCCTCGCTCCCGCTCTCCTGACACCTACCAGCTTGTAGAGAGGGCCCCACGCAGCTCTCGCTCGCCAACGTCCATCATGTACCGCTCGCCCGGTGGCTCTCCCAGCCGGCCCACCTCCAGCCGTGGATCCTTGTACAGCACCGACCGAGATGAGCGCCGATACGAGTCGCCTCGTCGTTACGTCGAGGGATCCCCCAAGTACCACCGTTGAATGCATACAAAACGATTCTTCGGCTTTGGCTTACTGGATTCCGATGATACGACGATACCTTACACCAATCGCTTTGAACAAGATTCAATTCGCTCCGATGGACATTGACTGTCCACGCCCCCTTTCCCCTGGGAGGGGTTGGATACCCCCCCCGGGCGGGCATTGATTGCCCATGCCCCCTTTCTCCTGAAAGACGGTCCCCGTGACGTGGAAATAGCACGTTACGGGCAAACCGTCATACCCTAGTCTTTGACAACCTGGATCTTGGAGGGCCTGCCTGGATGCGCCCTCGGAAGTCTATCTTTTCTGTCTTCCGGATTTGATCTTTGACTCGAGTTCCCTTCGCGGTCTGATCTGGGGGTCCGTTTCCCCCTCTCAGACCCCGACTCGGCTGTGTCGACTATGACTCGAGAATCGACTTGATGTACGCAATCTGCAGTCTTGGATTGGCTCCATTCTTGATGCACTTCCTTTCCGGATGATGCAGGTGGAGGGGCTTAGCCAATGACAGATGCGGAAAGTCGACGATGTTCATGCATCCTGTTTTGTCTGGCCCTGCTGCACTGCACGCTTTATTGGCTATCTGTTGTGACTCACTGTTTTATGTGGAGAAGTTGTTCTCCCTGAGATTTTATGACTTTCCTTTGTTTTTGATATGCTTGAATGTGTCCACTTTTGTGGGGAAGGCTGTCAGCCTCACGCTCTTTAGACAGCTCCCTTATGAGAATTATGATACGTTGCCCGCGTTATGAATTGAGTCACAATTTCCTTTTTTTCAGGGAAAAATGTCAAGTGTGTCTAGAGTCTAGAGAGTAGATATAAGCATAGATTATCGTTGCACACAACGGGATCAGGAGTATCTCATTAAGCATGCGTTCAATTGTCCAGTTGTCCAATGCCCCACGATCGCCGAGCTGGGATGATCCTGCAACCCACTGTTACCCACTCACATTCTATGTTCCCCACCTACCTTCGAATTAACTTCTTACGATTCTTTGCATGACTCACAAGTCACAACCGGGTTGTGGCTGAGGAGATCATGTGCCTGAGGCATGAGCGGAGTTCAGGCGCACAATCTCGATGATGAAGACACGTGAGTGTTTCTCTATGCATATGACATTGGCAAAGTTGTCAAGAATGACACAAATTGGTCATTTGATTATCTGATGGACTTTGTATACCAGCTAACTTTGATCACAAAACAAACAGAGAACAGCAGCAGCTGAGCGTAAGCCTTCACTTCAGATTCATACTGCAAACTGACTACTGATAATAATTCGGCACCTTCAAACCCTTAAACTCGAACGAAGTGTTCTCTCGACGATCAATAACAGTCCGATGATGAACATCGCGAACTCTCGCTCGAACGTACTCAGTCCCCGTCGCAGCAGGCTTACTCTGATCTTTATCCTCATCACTAAGCAAACCAAGACGGTCAAGCAAAGGCGAAGGCACCGTCTTCATCACAGTATGATCACCAGGCCTACAGAAGTACAGCAACCCAAGACGAGGAACATCGATCTGATCCTTGGGAGGTGTGACAACGCGATGGATAGTCGATTTGATAAACCCTAACACTTGTATCAGCACAAGACAGCTTGAGAGTCAACACAAACGAGTCCTTACCATTAGTGAGGAACGATAAAGTGTCCGCTGCATTGCAGGTTATTCCCCCATCAACAGGCTTCACGTATTTCCATTCCCCATCCGACGTCCGAATCTGCAGACCAGCAATATGCTGCGAAAACAGCAGCGTTAAGCTGCCAAAATCGGTGTGTCCGCCCTTAGTATACCCCTGTGCCTTATCCCATTCTTCTTGTGTGCGAGTGTTGTAGATCATGTATCGCAGGTGGTCATCGGACCGCTTGTCGTATGCATGGGCGTCGACGAGGTAGTTCTCCGGCAATTCCAGGATAATCGCCATGAGAACGAAGAGTTTCCGGATAACGTTTTCGTACAGATCGCGGTGGAATTGTGCGATTTCTTCGTAATTTTGGCGGACCAGTCGATGTCTGGGGACATCATCCCATTCGGGAATTGGCTTGGGGACGTTGAGCTGGACAAGTTAGCGGCTTAGGCTTCTTCCACCAGTTCATGAATGGCAATGGAACGTAATGCAGATAGATAACGTAGGATTTAGTCCGTACCATTTCTACATTATCCTTCACACCGGTATCCCCAATCCACCTCTCGTTCCCTCGGTACCCGAAATACTCACCCTCGGCAAAATTGCAAGGGAAACTCTGCTTCTCCTCGAGCGGTTCTTTGAAAAACGCATTGCCGATACTGAACTGGCGTAGAACTCGCTCGTCGCTTAGCCCGTGGCCTACCACTACCCAAAATCCGACTCGGGTCACGGCGTCGTATAGTTGCTTTGCGAGCTCTTGTTTCCCGCCCGGCTGGTCGAAGCGAGATAGATCGATTTCAACTAGTGGAGCCCAGTCAAGCTTTTCTTTTGTAGGTGTGGGACGGGTCCATGGCTTGATGGTCACCTTTTCGGTGGGGAGATCTTGTACTATAGCGCCGGGTGCCATTTTGTTCTTATGACAGCGAAGTGGGGCCTGGGGTGTGATTTACGAGCATGAAAAGCTTTTCTTATATATGCAGAAGAAAATACTAATGGCCATCTTCGGAGGATTGCTCGGAGCAATTTTACTTTGCGTTTCTCCTCATTTCGTTGAAGGATGCGGGGTCTCATTGCCTCATGGTCGTCCCCGATGGCGTTATGCTAATGGGAGTAACGGACCGATAGGTCGGGGTCGATGATTAGATATCTTAAGGTTCAAGTCTGCTTTTGTTATTCAAATCAAGGAGGAGTGCGCGTTCATTGGTTCATTGATATTCCATCTCTCATCCGAGAAGGCTCACATGCAGAGCAAAGTTATAACTTGGCTCTAACCGGTACGGACGGGCGAAATATAGTGTGAGATCCTGCAAAACAGTCATTTGCCCATATCTCACCACTAGCGCTTAGGTACCTCGTGAGTACCTACCTAATGGCTTAAAAACTTGTTCGGGGAATGCCACTGACCATGGCACCAACTGGCAAACCACATCAATCAGGAGCGACGAATGCAAACATAGGATATGGATTGAAATAGGGGAACAAGCAAATTTAATATGAAAAGGCTTGACCAAATTATTTGATCGCTCTCTTCTACACAGAGAGGCTAGCTTTGCATCTCTATATGAACTTCTCCTTCGGGTGTCTAGCCAACTGGCGAGCTCTAACCAACTGGCGGGTCAGCTAAGAACAAGTGTTCCAGGCGGCTATAATCCCTCCAACTCTCAGAACCAACTGACGGCCAAAGCCTTCGAGCAGAGGCTCTAAATTCTCTGACAGTGTCCTACTTCTAGTACAGATTGTGTCTTGAGGTAGTCGACTCGGCGCTGACAATCATAGGTTTTAAGCTTTGACTCCCGCGATCCGAACCAAATATGAGCAATTAAGCTTAAACCAAACCACATACTGTGCGGAGAATTTTGCGGAGCATTAATCGCATACGTTCCGTTCAGCATGATGCAGTAGCGTATGTCGTGATCCCCACTATCATGGCACCTTGCCCTAAGATGCCGTCTCGCCAATTGGGAACGAGGGGTCCTGGACTCGACACCAGTATATAACAAGTAAAGAAAATATGCATTTTCTCTTCGCCGGGGTAGGCGATATTCCAAAATCGTCCGTGCACCGAACGAAACCGACAACATGGCCTCCACCAAGGGCGACGAAGATGTCACCACAACCAGCATTCCATCAACTCCACCCAGCGAGATCGAGAGCAAAGACTCGCAAACCGAATACCAAGCCAAGCTCGAGAAAAAGATAATGCGAAAGATCGATTTCTGGCTCGTGGGATTTTACTCCATTGTATACATCTTCCGCGTGATCGACTCGAACAATTACTCCAACGCCGCGATCATCAACCTGGAAGCCGGCACCGGTATCAAAAAAGAGTTGGGTCTCAGCGCCTCGCAATGGGCGTGGAGTCAGTCTATTTTCTCGTACAGCTACCTCATCTTCGAGCCGTCAAATACCATTCTCCTCAAATATTTCAGGCCTTCAAGATGGATGTTCGTCCTGATCTTGTCTTGGGGTGTCTGTGCATGCGCAGCCGGTGCTGCGCAGGACTTCCCGGGGATGATGTGCGTGCGGTTTGCGATTGGCCTCGCTGAAGCTGGGTTCTATCCGGCTGTGCTGTACCACATGGCGTTTTGGTATAAGCCTTCTGAGATGCGCTGGAGGATTGCGCTGTTTTATTCTCTTGGTCAGGTTTCTGGTGCGTTGAGTGGGTTGCTGGCGTATGCTATCAGCTTCATGAATGGGGCCGGTGGGCTTTCGGGCTGGCGGTGGTTGTTTATCCTTGAAGGTCTTCCAGCCATCTTGCTTGCTGTTGTTGCGTTGTTTGGTCTACCGGATTACCCCGAGACTGCGCGAATGCTGACAGAAGGAGAGCGGGAATTCCTCAAAGACCGGTTGTCTTCTGCTTCGCCGTCTGGCAAGGATAAAAACTGGAGTTGGGCTGATGTCAAGGCGTTACTTTCGAGCCCGACCTTGTATACGTTCACGATCTATTGGATTGGACATGGTATTGGCGGATTCGGGGTTAACTATGCTTTGCCTACTGTTATTTACGAGCTCGGGTTCACTTCGACGGCTTTGTCGCAGTTGATGAATATTGTAAGTTGAGCATACCTCGTTGAGAATATCCTGAGATAACGCCTGCTAACTGACTCGTGCACTATAGCCTCCTTATGTCGCATGTTTCTTCTTCTTGAATACTCTCGGATTCTTACTACACAAAGGTTGGATCAGGTCCTGGACCACTGCAGTCGCAAGTGAGTACAACTCGCCCCGTGCAAGTCAGTTGTGATCTTCCATATATGCTAACGGCAAAACAGTCGAAAGCACAATCATCATCTGCTATATCATCCTGATCACGGTTTCAAACTCAATCGTCAAGTACCTTGCCCTTATTGTCGCCACTGCCTGCGCTGGCTCGGCATATCCTGTCATCTGGCCAGAGCGGATTCGTGCGCTTGAGGGCACAGTGGCCGTTGGCATCGGCATTGGAATGACGAATGCCATGGCTCAATTCAGTGGAATTGTCGGTCCTCATGTATATAGTACGGTGTTTGGTCCGACGTATCGTGTGTCGTACGTTATCTGTCTTTGCTTCCTTTGTGCAGCTATCTCGGGCATCTTAGCCTCGTGGTGGCTCGTTTGGCGAAAGGATAGAAGGGAGGAACTGGCTAGAGTTGCGCATGAGGAAACTCCATGAAAATCTGGAAGAGCATTATTGGAGTCTTTGTTTTACCAACCTGACTTACTCTGTGGTTATCCTCTTAGCGTGCACATAGAAAGAGCCAGACAATTCCTTCTATCGAGAACACAATAGGCCACTTGTGATCCTCTCTTTGTTGTAGTCAATCACATGATGAATGTTGAATACTCTTCGAATATCGTTTGGGAAGGCACCTTCTGAAAAGACCCTGGATGAGAGGTTGTTATGGAGGGAAAACACTCAGCACTCAGCACTGCACAGCTCGCTTGGAATTACACAAGAAGGCACATGTTCTCGTCCATGTCTTCTCTTTACCGCACCCTTCCATCACCCAACCCATCAGCAACCTTCCAGGCTTCCCATCTCATAACCATCACACACTTCGTCACTCATCGCTCAATTCCAAAGGCAAGTTGCATCACCACTGCTTGCTACTCTTTGCTTGTTTCAACCTACGCACCCCAACAACTATGTCGGATGGTGCTTCTCAGGGCCTCCAGGCCCTGATCCTGTGTGGCCCTGGGGGATCACTGAGTACATTCACCTCTAGACCCGAGGAGTATCCCAAAGCTCTCATCCCTGTTGCAAACAGACCCATGATCTTCTATGCCATCGACCTTTGCAGACATTCAGGGATCGAAGGTAAGTCAAAACTATCTATAATATCCTCAACCAACATACAACCACCCATCACCTCGAACAGTCTAACAAGATCCTAGATGTCACCTTGATCACCCCTCCGCTCTGTTACCCTCCCCTTCAACAAGCAATGGACACGAATCCATATCTTACCTTGCCGTGTCTCCCCTCAGTCTCAATAATCGCACCGAAACAACTCACGATGACAACGGGAACAGCCGAGTTACTTCGTCTCCCTGAGGTTCAAAGATGTATCAAGAACAATTTCCTCCTTCTTCCTTGTGACATCATTTGCGAACTCTCCGGGGAATCTATTCTCGAGGCGTGGTGGACCACCCAGGCCGCGTCAAAGGTGGCTCTGGGTAATCCCGGCCCGGGAGCAGCGCGCAACGGCATCCTGCTGAATGGATCGTACTTTCAACCCAAGAAGTCCGAGCGACCAAAAGCTGAGCGTGAAAAAAGGAGCGCCCCGGTGCCCTCGCCGTGTACTACAAGACAGACAGCCAAGAGGAAAGTGTGCCCGAAGAAGCCACCGACTTCGTGGCTATTGGCCCACTCGAGCTGAATGATACACGCATTGTGCCATCTTGCGAGGACCCAGCCAAGCCACGCTTCAATCTTTCGAAGCTGCTCATGTCAGTGCCCATGACCACTATCAAGGAGAAGACGGCGGGTACAAGACGTGTTCTCCTCCGGCGCTCACTGGTGCAATACTGCGGACGAGTCAGAGTACTCACTGCCTTCCGCGATGCGCATATTTACGTTTTCCCCTACTGGGTTAAAGATCTGCTCAAGGATCAAGCCAAGCTGGACTCGGTTAGCGAGGACTTCATCGGCAACTGGGCTAAATCCGCATGGCAGGCAGGACTAGGAGATAAAATGGGTTTGACCAAGGATTTCGATCCCCCCGGGGTCCTCATCCCGGGCACCCGCCAACACGGTGCCTTCGTCGACAAAGTGATTGATCTCCAGCGTATGAGCAGTACCAAATCTTACCCAAAGACTGAGGTCACATCGTTCCTGGCCGGCCTCAAGAGTGCCGAGACATCTTTCAGCAGCTCGCCTTTCTCCAGCCAATGTTCGTCTCCCCAGAGTCCCCAGCCTCGGCCGCCAACTGCGCTACCGCAGTTGCTAGCCTATGTCCATCGAGGCTCGACACCATTGATCCGCCGCATCGATAACAGTGCTGTCCTACTTTCAACATCTCTTCTTCTAGCAAAGCTACCATCAGTCGAGGAAGTTGGTCCCGAGAAAGCGTCGTCATTCGCGCACGCCAAGAAGATCACCCATCCGGATAACATCGCCCCGCGAAGCGCAGTCACAGAGAAGGACTGTCTGATCGACCGCAATGTGATTATTGAAGAAACCGCTGTTGTGAAGGAAAGTGTGATTGGTGCTGAGTGCCATATCGGCAGCAGTGCACGTATTCATCGTTGCGTCCTGATGGACGGGGCGGTCGTCGAGTCTAGGGCTGAGTTGACTGGTTGCATCATTGGCCACCGAGCCCATATTGGGCATGGGAGTGTGCTGAGAAACTGTGAGGTTCAGGATGCTCTTGTTATTCCCACTGGAACGATTGCTAGGGGCGAGAAACTGATGGTGGAAGTGGCTATGGCCGATGAGGTGGATGAGTGATGTTGACATGGACATGGACTGGGATACTACCTACTTCGTTACTTCTTTTTAGCTGCAGGTTTTTAGGTAGCGAGTCAAGTAGCAAAGTCGAAAGACCAATAGGACAAGAAACATATTTGCCAATATTGAACAACAAAAACGTGATGATAACTAATAATTTGCTCGTTAGTTAACCCGATTAGCTCGCTTTACATACATGCTGCTATGCGGAAATAGCGGCTCCAGAGCCTGCTCCGACTACCTACAATAGGAGGTGTATCGCCAGTATGCAACTACCCTTTATGTAGGACTCGATCTGCGGAACACGAAGGCCAAGGTCGGTCATCGGTTGTGGTGATAAAGGAAGTTGGGAGCACCAAGACACAATTGAACGCCTTGGAGATAAGCACCTCCACAGTTTGGTCCAAGTTTCTTGACATAGAGATCTTCTACGCGATGTTTGGACCATGAGCGGTCATACTCCATCTTCGAAAGCCGGGCAACTGCCACATTTGCCGCGGGCTTATGTGTAAACGGAGCCTCGGAGGAATGCGGCAATGGAGTTATAAATCAAGTGAAGCCGGTGTCTTTGGCGGGACTTTCTGGAGACTAAATCAGCCTTGGGAAACAGCCTGTCTTTGTATGAATGTCCAAAGAACAGCCTACAAGCGGCGAATTGCGCCACTGGAAGCTGGAATTCTATCCGTGCACTAGTCCATTTAGGAGAATGCAATCATTCCAGAGTGCAAACTGCAAACTGCCAATGTTCTATCTGTGAAGGGCTGACGCCAAACTTGACTCAATTCAGCTGGGCCAGAATGCAATCTATCAGAAGCTTGAAGAAACATGAAAGTAGGCACAGCTGCACAGGGAGCGGTGCAAAGTGAGCAAACAGGTATTGGGTCACAGGGCCCACGTGACCCTAATCCGACACCAGTTGGCAGTTACACAGTTACACTATCCCTTTGACCAAACCTGGACTGTATCATCTCTTGTTAGTAGTCGGAGCTGTAGCAACATTCTTCCGGAGGTTATAGACATGGTCAACGGAATATATCGAAGATAGGACGTCAGCTGGTAATTAGGTCGAGGGTATTCTATCAATCAATCCCGCCCTTTCCCCAAAATGGATGTGGGAATAGCCTCGTTTCCCATTGCTATGGAAACCCGTGATCGAAAGCTCGTGATGTCACGGGCATCACCGAAGGCCCGTGATCGTCCCATCTCCTTCGAAGCTATAAATTCTCTGTCCTGGTGCCTCTTCTCCTTTCATTCTTGACCTTTCCAACCACCGTTGTTCATCGCTTTGGCCATCCTTTCTCTCGCGTTTTATCGTTTGTTTCATCTTCTTTGAGATTATCCATGTTGTGCTTCCCTTTACCAGAAGGTCGAAGCACGCGTCAATCAACAAAAAAATCGCCGCCTCCATCCAACATACCTGCCTTGCCATGTCCCACACTGGCCTGGCTGACAACGATCCTGTGCAGAAGTCACCAGAGGTGCCGAAAGGATGCGGCACCGACAAGTGACCTGCCTGCTATGATGCAGCAGCATCTTCCATCGAAGCTGCCGTTGTGCCCAAGAAGCAAAGCACCGTCACTCGTGCTTCCAGCTCCAGCGTGAAATGTAAGACAGAGAATTACATGGAATCCACTCTTCCCCATCTCCACGCCTCTTCATTTGGGAGTTAAGACCGACATATCCAGACCACCCACGGAAACATGAGTACCACATCGGTGCTCGCACGATCTTCCTGCTCCGCGCTGAGTCCAAGCCCTTCTGTCGCCTTCCTAGGGAGGCGAGACAACCTGTGTCAGCCCCATGAGCGAGTAACACCTTCGTCACGTACGACGTCAATGTCTACCAGGGCGCCCACGGAGGCAGGCTCGTGGAGCGTGACGGTGTGCTGAAAGTGGTCCCCGACAGCGAAGTCCGACAGCGAAGTCCGACCCGACAAAGGATGCTTGTCAGAGGTGTTGATCATAACTCTTCACCATTGCTTTTGGCATTCGGGTTCTGGTAGACTGTCAATGTGATCTGTCTTCGACAGGACCTTCGCGCGGCTTGGCTGGATGCACTCTTCGCCCTCCGTCCGGTTTCTCTCTCCAACGACAAGACCGAAATGGAGATCGAGTTTTACTGGCAATGACTGTTGGAAAAAGAAAAGCCCAAGGCTTTGCTTCTGGAACTTGGCAGCTCAATGGCTGCTGAATTGTAAGTAATTTCTCTTGTCATTGGAAGTTGGTCGACACGTGATTGCTAACTGATTCAGGAACCTGCAATGTGCGAACCACGCCGTCTTCTTGTCGCCATTGATTGCCTCTACCCAGAGGGACTACAATTCCGGGATGACCCAGGCCATTGGTCGTGCGCGTCGGTACAGACAAAAACAGTCCATGTGTACCATCTGCTGGTGAAATTCACGTACGACGTGAATGTTTACCAGAGCGCCCACGGAGGCAGGCTCATGGAGCGTGAAGGTGGCAGTCAAAAGTGGACGCTAAATGCACGGCCGCCAAACTTTAAGTGCCTGACTTCTGCCTTGAACCGCTGCAACTTTGGGGTCACCGGTTGGCTGCCCGACCTCGGTCTTTTCTTGTGTGACCACCTAGGATTTGCGATGGTCCTCATGTTGATTTCAGATATGTACATCCAACAAGCAGCTTCGGGAATGAGCCCGGACGCAGCGGCTGCTTCCACCCCTGCGTCCTCTACGCACGATGCTTCACCGCACTCATATGCAGACCCCCGCAGCCCCAGTGCGCTTCCAAGTGGTTTGCCCAATGGCTTACCCAGTGTTCCACCTCTAGGGCTGCCGCCAGCTAAGCGACAGCGGCTTACGAATGGTTCGGAAAAATCATCTGGTCTTTCGTCTGAATCTGGCCCGGCACCTTCGGCGGTTGGTACATGTTGGAGAAGCACGGCAAAGACGATATGGTTCAACTCATCTGCATCCACAAGAGGTGATTCATCCGAACGTGCCTCCATTAGTCCAACATGAGGGTGTAAACCCTGGGGATCTTCCACGCCTCATTTGTCTAATATTGCTGCACATTCGGGTCAGACACCTGCACCTCCGTCCAGGAGTTGAGTTGATAACAGGTTAATAGAACTTTGATTCATCATTCCCGTAATACCTAATAATGATACAATATATCAAGACAAGAAAGACGAAGAGTTGCACAAACCGCTCCCGATCCCCAACGATCATAAAAACCAACAGGGGACAATCATAAACGCCATATCATAACTAGATAATGGTAGATATGCGGAACACAAGGCCGAGGTCGGTCATCGGTTGTGTTGATCAAGGAAGTTGGAAGCATGGATCAAGACACACTTGAACGGCTTGGAGATAGGCACCTCCACGCTTTGGTCCAAGTTTCTTGACATAGTGACCTTATACGCGATGTTTGAACCATGAGCGGCCGTACTTCATTTTCCAGCGCTGGGCAATTGAAGTATGCTGCGCAGGCGTAATGCGAATACTTCGTTGAAGCAGCGAGTGACCGCAAATTATAGCTACGGCAGATGTATGGAACTTGTGTAACTTTTGGCTTCGTTTGTCGTTTGCATTTCGCTTGAATTACTGTCGTATTTTGAGGACTGACCCCTCAAGGCTTCTCCTCCCCAATCATCGCAAACCACCTAGCCACATAATCAATCCTCGGTTTCCGATCCCACGGATCCCGCGGCTCCGGTTCAAGGAAACCGCCATCCGGAAGGGGTATTTTTTTCCTTCGAGCGATAGTAATCAATCCAATAGAATACATACGCCACCCATCCCAGATAACCCAACCGAGTCTTCGCCACGGTTTCATGTTCGTCAGCGAGTAGCATGCAGGAACGGTCCGCGTGAGATTTATACCACTGAGATAGAGGTATGCGACGTGCCAGTGACGCGGGGCCCGGTGTCTCGGCGCGAGCTCCCAGGCGGATGTTAACTCTGTGTCCTCGGGAGGATCTGGCGTAGCCCAGAGGCTGCTATCTTGTGACTGTGTGGGTGGCAGGTCAAATGATGGGAAGAAAGCTATTGATGTTTCTTCCGGAGCGGGCCAGATGGTTTGGGCGGGTTCTTCTGCTTCTGGGTCATTAGGCAGCCAGTTCAGGGTCAGACCCAGATCTGAGAGGACGGCGGATACTGTCCAGAGTCTTTCGGCTGTGTGATAGTCGATTTCGCTCCAGGTGTTGTATGCGTCTAGTTCCCGGATTGAGGATTCGTTCCAGTTCCATCGCTGGGTTGCTGCTTTGCGCAGGTGGGAATAGTGATGCAGATGCCAGAGAGCCCAGTATGTGCGATACTCTTCTGTCCAGGTGAAGGGTTGGCTGGCATTTTGGATTTGGAGTGGAGGTCCACTTATTGAATCCGCGGGGATATTATCAAGGGTTTTGATGAGACCTTCTCGCATAATAGAGAGACATTTGCACGCAAGCCGCTGGATCTGCGCGCCTATCTTTAGTATATGCCGTGATTCTGTGTACCCTAAAGTTAGCGGATCCTCGCATGTCTGGTGATAGTGCTCAAGATCCGGGCATTGCAGTGAAGAGATACTGAGGTGCCCGATGTTATAGCATAGCTTTTGTATTTCTGGCATACAAGTAATCGGATTCGAGAGGATCAGCTCTTGTATGATGCGGGTAGGCTGGGCCTGGAAGACGGCATTGAGTCGTCGAGATGCCAACAGGCTGTTTTCAATGCCTGCAAAATCACCGATATTGGCGAGAATCTGTTGAATGACTTCAGGGGGCAGTTTCTCGAAAGAATCCATGTTGAACTGAAGAAACTTTGGGCTGGGAAAGGTAGATGAGAAGAGGGGGGCTTGGAGATATTTAAGGGTTGATCTTTAGCGTAATACCCGGCGTAGGTGCCGCACCCACTTCGAATGTCCACAGTTCTAGTAATTATAGGTGTCCAAACGAGTATCGTCGCAAAGGGAGTTATAACTAAAAAAGAGCTAAGAAGAAGATTGAAGATTCCTAAGGCCATCTTAAATGTGTTCGTGTTGTAGTGATTTCGAGGACAAATTCGTTTGGTTTGGATTAACCGGCCCCTACATTTTACCAAAATTAGTCCTCCACTCATTTGTCAAAAACCACCCACCTGTCGGCAAATGGGTGTCAGATCCGAAATCTAGGGATTTTGGACAAATGGGTGGAGGACCCTCGTTAGCGAGGGTCCGTAATTTTGGTAAAATGTAGGGGCCGGTTATATATTTTCAACCTCGACGAACCCTTGGAAACAGATTTTTCTATAATTTTGATAGGTGCTCCGAAAGTCAAAATCGGTACAATTATAACTTTGACAATGCATACCCTGTTTTGTTGGAGCCAGGGAATTGGGAGTGAGTCATAAATTCCACTGCTATTAACGGCTGGTTGCTCCGTTAGGTTTGACTACCTATGTCGCCACTTCTCTCTGCATTGCCTCTCTCTTCACCTTCCACTTCCTCTCCCCTAATCCTAACCCTAAAGCCTAGCCTGTAACAGAGGGCACCCCAACTCTCTCTCAAACACAGTGCTTCACGTTGAGAAGCTATCCCTGAACAATACTCCCAGACAACTGCACCTGCAAGAGCCTCTGAGGCACCGTCAACTGACGAGTCAGTCATGATATTATCCGATACTACGGAGTACTCCTATTCCAAATTGCATCAATGGATTTGCTAATGGAATATACAACAGGCATTCATGGTAAGCATTTTTTATATTTTTTAAGTTCTCTCTAGATGCATCCTAATCAAACCAAAATCAATCTGGCCGAACATTGGGCACATCATACATGCGGTAGCGACAGTCATACTACAGTTAAAACATCCCAGCAAAGAAGTAGGAAAGCTCTAACACACTGACTAGCAATACTCAACCCAGGCATCGAGGTTCATGTTCTTGATGACAGTGGAGAACTTGTCGGAGTTGGCTGCGTTGCAGGCCGAGTTTTTCAACGCAGATGACAGGACGGCTCTGGCTCTGAGCTTGCGGTAGTCGTGTCGGTGGGTGTGCCTGTGTCTTTGCTTGCCATTTCTGTGGGGCCTAGCGTCGTTGTCCTCATTGTCCTCGTCATCGTTATCATCATCGTCCTCCTCATCCTCCTCATCATCTCCGTCCTCAGCGTTGGTACTGGCGCCACCCTCTATGCTGCTTGCCTCGTCAACATCACTTCCTGTCCCAGCGGTGGTAGCATCAGAGCCGGTGCCGGTCTCCGTATCATCCTTGTCAGCGTCGGCATCCCCGCTGCCAGAGTTGACAGCATCAATGGTCACATCAGAGTACTCGATATGGAAAACCGGCTTATTAACCTCCGTAAAAGCAGCATAGACATCACACTCATTATACTCCGCACATTGCTCATTAACCGACCACTGCATCTTATCAATGACCGAGCCAATGATATCGCCCCCATTCTTCAGTCCAATAGACATGCCACGAGAATGCGACTCATCAGCAAGGAAAGACAAATACGCAATCGAGTCAGCCTCAGTCAGCCCAAGGCCATTCTCATTGCCGTACGCATCAATATTGTCCGGATCAACTCCATCACAGCCCTTCTCCTTCGCCATGTCCAGGCGAGACTGCATAACCGAGCGAACACCGTCAGACTTGATATTCAGCCATTTCTCGCCGGCCCATTCATCCAGGTCGCTGCCAAGGTCCGCAGAGTTAAATTTGTCTTTATCTGAGCGCCAGTCCTCGTAGGTGCCTGCGGAGAAATAGCAAATGACTTTATGTCCTTTGCCCTGGAGAGTGGTGATTGTCTCGGCTGTGTTTTCGAAGAGGTCGATGTCCCAGATGTCCGCGTCCACGCTGGTATCCTCGACGGTGTCGACTAGTTGGATCTGCCATTTGACGCCGGCTGTGGGCTGCCATATGGCCGCGTCTCCGGTGCTGGTGGAGTCGCGCTTCAATATCTTCTTCTCGTTGGTTCCAGCTCCGAGCTCAGCTCGGAGATCCATCCCGATGGCGAGGAAGAAGAGGAGTGCACCGCACGCCAAGAGGCTTTTGTAGGCCGCCAGGACCTGCCAGCTGAAATTGCGGGGGGAAGTCATCATTTTGGTGGAATTGATGCTTGTAAAAGCAAGTTTTAGAAATGAATGTGTATATAGAAAGGAACGTAAAGACAACTCGAATCCGGCAAGTGTCAGCAAAAGGAGATACTGGAAAATAGTGAGGGTGGAACGGTGAACACCATGGCTAGAGGACTAATACTTATAGTCCTCGACATGGGATAGAAGAGGAAATGATATATCCGGAGCACCCTGCATGACGCAGTTTCATATTTCCACAGGATCCCATGAGATCGGAGATATAAGACTGGGGCCCGATCCTAGAAGCCGGGGGTTAGTGAACTCTGCCCTGAGATGGTGGAACCACTAGCGGGCGACGTTAAACGATGCCAAGCAAAGCCAAGCAAAAGACAAAACCATCAACCTGCTGATCAGACCAGTAGGAGGGAGGGCTCGAGCCAGTTCGTATGAGAACTTGCGGCAAGTCAGACCGGGGGTGGGGGGTGTGTTTGGGATAGATGAAACATCCGCCAAGAAATGCCTTGCGCTTGATCTATCCCGTTCGTTGGCGGACATTCTAGACACATTCCTCTCGGCACTTCTTTCAGTAAAATCATGCATCGGACCTGTCTGGTGGAGCAGTCTAGAAAGGAATTTCAGTAGGGTCGACTTGGCCCAATCGGAGTGTTCGGTGGTGTCGTTAGTGTCGTCTTTAATTTATCAGACACAGATGGAGATCTATGAAGCGCTATGGGATATGAAGTCCTGATTTCCATCTACGTACCTATCTAACACGTAGCATAGTTAACACATGGCTCAAGCTGGAGAAATGCAGTTCGGAGAATTTCAATCTTAGTGTAAAAGGACATGTAGGAGGCAAACATTCCCCACATAGGAAATCGTACAAAATACCCGATGTCATCGGCAATAGTCTCAAGCCTCAGCATTTTTGAACCAATAGTACGGAAATACCCCTCAGGACATGGCTTATGTGTCTTTGTACCTGTGAAAGTGTGGCTTTATATCATGTAGCATGTTGATAATCTCGTTTGCCTTGGGAAATTACTGGCGGCGCTTAGCTACACAGTACAAGTACGGAGTCCTGAGACACAACATGCTCATCTCTTTGAGAAACATACGGTGCTACACAATTCTCATACTATGCTTTTCCTCTTTTGTCCTATTTCTACAGTCTCTCCCTTCGGAATCGAAAGATAGAGCATAGGCCGCTGCCGCCTGCGTATGCAGGAGACTTGGGTATTTAAGATTAGCCCTAAGTATCGTCAAGACACGGTGATAGAACACTCAAACGCCTATTACCTGTTCTAAATAAGACCCATCGAATATGCAATCCCGAGTTAACTCCCTATTGGCCTATACTATCTCATATCAGGTCTTTTTTCCCAACGTGATCTAAGATCTTCCCTCAAACGCTTGTTACGCTTCCATCCAGCCCCGTAAACCCTCGCCCGCTTGGAGCCTCGTCTTCGCAATGCCAGAGCCAACGCTCAAAGAATAGTTCCCAAGGAAGTTAGAACATGTTGATCTCCCGAGTCCCGATTGTCGCCAACATTGTCGCCAGTGGACCCACGTGACCTGGACACCTTCTCAAACCTGAGGCAGAAATTGACTAAGCACAATCCACGTGACCATCGGAATTGAACTTCACCTCCGACACAGCAAATTATTCCGCAGCGACACCTCGACCAGACACTCCGAGACGCCCAAGATGGCCAAGAAAGGTACGTAAAAAGACCCCTGGATAATCGCACAATCAACTGCAATCTGCAAAAATCCCCGCGTGCCCGAGATCAAGAGGGAAAAGGACAACCACAGCGCAGCAAAGCGTAACCCCCGGATTTATTGCGGCCAATTGCTAACATCGTCTTTTTTGCCTGTCACAGCAAAGTCCCGTACCATTGCCGTCCGGCTGATATCCATGGCCATGACGGGCTACTACCGCACACTTATTCGTCCGCGTGCGCACCGCCCTCTCAGCATGATGAAGTACGATCCTGTCGTAAAGAAGCAGGTGCTTTTCCTTGAGGCGACCAAGGGTGGAAAGAATAAATAGGTTGATCGCTTGATTGACTTGTCTCGAGGCACGAGACGCTTTCTACCAACTCGAGCTGAATCTCGCCTATCTCACTGTGTTCTTATTTCCGATATGCCCGACAAACGACACCCGGTGACTCTGCGTGCGGACTTGGAGGATGCGAGGACTGGGTTGAGGGGATGAGCCCTGTGTGTACATTATTTATGGGAATCCAGTGGGAAACTGGTTTACATGGTTTCTCCAGATCTTTGGGGTAAACCTCCTTTGTCGGAGCATTGATTTTGGCGTTAAGCGCAATACAGCTTTGGATACCTCAATGAAATTAAATAAATATCCCAATACTCCACAACAGTACCATCCCATTCGTGAAATCTGCTCAGACGCTCGTGTCCTCGGTTTGTTCATGAGGACCACAGATTCCCCTGTATCAATGGAAGGTGTCGAACACACCTTGCTTTGGATATAACCAATACCTGGAATTGGTTAACATTATCAGGCTATAACATTATTTGAACGACGTCGTCCCCTTGGCATTGACATGCTCAGCCAGCGTCTTGGCTGAAGCGCTGGTCATATCGGTCCCCTTTCTATCATTAGCTGGCTCTTCCATCGAAGTGTCCGACATCATACCTCGAGTGCGGCGTCTGCCACGGCCTCGCGTGGTACTTCCCTTGTCGGCTGCGTTGCTCCTGCTACTGCCTGAGGCCAGTCCCTTCGGACTCAGTCGCCGCTCCAGGCCTTTACCGGCATTGCGCAATCTCTTTGAGGGCCTTGGATTCACGTTGGAAGCGTGCTCATTATTGGCTGATTCCGTTCCCGCCATAGATTGGTTAGCAGCCTGGACATCTGTGGTTGCTTCAATAGACGTTTCTTCCTGCGTCACGGACTGGCGAAGACGACTGTAAGTTCGTTTTTGTGTTTTCTTTGCCTCTTTGGTCTCAGAGCCTCTCCCGGAGCTGTTGTCATTTGTGTCTGACATTCGTCGCGCTCTGCCAACCTCTGTCTGCGTGACAACTTGCGTTCCCTCAAAGCTGACAACTTTATGTTTGGTATTGCGTGGTTCTGTCTTTGCGGATTCGTCAGGCTTCTCAATCTCTGACTGAGGCCTTTCGCTCGCACTGTCAATGGTCCCAACGGTCCCAACATGTTGCCTTTCGAGAGCGGCACTGGTCTCCATAGTATCTCGGCTCCTCGTAAGAGACTGGCCTGGAAGCGTGCGAGTTTCTTGCGCTTTTTTAAGGGCTTCACCCGGCGTCGACCCGCCTTGGAGGTCGGGTGTCGACATGAACAACATCTCAAGCTCAGCAGGATCATTGAATAGTGACAAACTGTCTTCCCGGGAAAGTCTGTCATGAACATCATGAACACTTGAGAACGGAACAATGTTACCAAACCCCGCAGGGAACTTTGGTAGTGAGTCAACACAATCACCACGTTTTAACATCGACTTAGAGGGGCCATCAACTTTCAGTGACATAGGTTGATCCATCTGCGTGGGTTCAGCGAGCTTGCCGTCCTGGTTTAAATCGCCAACCTTGAAGATGTCTCCCTGTTTACCTTCTCCTGGGTTCAGCCGTTGGTTGCTGTTTCCAGTCGGATCCGTATCACCCATAGCTTGAGGCTCTGGATGAAACCCATCGCGGGTGGCACCGCACTGAACAAGAGAGGACTGAAGGATCTTCTCTAGCTTTTGCCACGTCTGTTCAAACGGTTCATCGGAATGGACCTCGATCACCTTCGCAAACCCTGCTCTTATAGTCGCTTGCCAACTTTCTGCCTCTTGGGCACGGCGGAGCAGTGAAACAATCTCCCCATCAGACTCCTCTCCAACTTTCTCTAAAGCAGACGACCGGGCCTTGAGAATAGTAAACTTCTCATTCATCAATGCGAGCTCCTCTTTGGCTTGAGCCATTTCACGCTCAAGTACCTTGGCCCTCTCTTCTGCTTCTTGTGCTACTTTCGCTTTCGATATTTCAGACTCAGTCTTCAATGCCAGACTTTCTTCGAGCTCGATGATCCTCTCCTTCGTTTGTTCATATTGCGCACCGAGTTTGTCATTTTCTACTTGAAGTGCGCTCGTGGAGCTCTTCAACAACTGTAACTGAATCTCATTGTCCTTGGCCGTTGTGGCGTAGGTTGCGCAAGTATCGGTCAGCTTCGTAACGGCCTTCCGTGTTTCCTGGAGCTGCACTCATGAGTATAGGGCAGCAAAGTACCACCAGAATTGCCTACCTCGAGATCTTTCTCGCGTCGCTGATTGTCGGCTGCCGTCTCGGTTTCGGCCTCCAAGCCGTCAGTCATCCAATCTCTTAATTGGGAGTCACGAACTTACCAAGGAGCTTCGGATACTTGTAACCTGAGCCTGGAGGCGATCACAATCTCTCTTCAGTCCCGACTTTTCTGCCTCAAGTTCCCTGATCTGTTCTTCGAATTTCGTTGTCATCTGATTCTGCAACTTGATGCTGTCGTTTCGCAGCTCTTCTCGGAGTCTCTGCTCAAGCATCTGAAGCTCGCCCCGCAACGCCGTCTTCTCAATTTCCAGGCGGGCATTCTTACTCTTGAATGTTTGTTCATTGGTAGCCGTCTCGGTAAGGACATCCTGGAGATGTTGGTTTTCAGACGACGTCTTCGCAAGCTGCTTCCGCAGAGTTTCGATTTCAAACGAAGTTTCCTGCAACCGGAGTTGCAACTGTGTATTTTCAGCAAACTTATTGGAGATCTCCATCTCCAGGGTAGGATTCCCTGCGGGAATTTGAGCTTCGGAAAGCTTCTGGCCAAACATTTCTAAGCCACGCATAAGTTCTGTTTCCGTAGACTCAACCGCTTTGACAGAGGCACCGAGACTGCTGAGCGTCGGTTCAACGACCTGCAGCTGTCGTTGCAAATTCCCATAGCAGCTCTCACTATTAGCGAGCTGCGTAAAGATTGACGAATTTGGACCGAGGTTAGTCTCAATCGCTTGCAGGGCGTCCTGGAGGGCTTGAAACACATGTTTGTTCATCTCCGTACTTCGATCGACGTCACTTGAAACCTGTGCTGCCAGGGAGTTGAACCTAGAGTCTCAATCAGCCTGGTGATTTCTCAATATCATATGTGCACGAAACTTACCGTGCGGCAGCCTCCCCGACGCTACTGGTCAAGGATTGGCTATCTACCCTTTCCGTAGAAAATTGCTCCTTCAGCCCTTCAACTGACCCTACACAGTTTTCAAGTGCGGGACCGAGTTTCGACAGGATATTTTCCTGCGATTTGACACAAGATGTGGCGTACAACTCGCAGGCAGAGTTAAGCTTCTCTGACATTTTACGCTGGTCATTTCTGACAAGGGCCATGTATCGCGCTTGACTCTGGGACTCATTCTGGATGTAGGTCTCGAGAGTGATGATTCGCTTCTTCTCATTGGATAACTGGGTCTTGATCAGATCCTCCCTTTCCTTTGAGTGGTCCAGCGCTTCTCTCAGTCTGGCAACCGTCTCCTCTGAGTTTGAAAGTTTGTTGCGCTGGCCTTCAAGTCGTTCTGAAAGTTGCAACCTAATCTTGTCTAAACTGGACTGGATTTCGTCTTTCTCTCTACCAAGAGAAACCGATGCTTCCTTCAATTCTCTGGCTTGCTCTTGGACCCTGCCGTACTCACGTCCGACTTCGTTGAGGACACCCTGTAATACACCAAGCTTTGTCTTCCACTTGTCTATCTGTGCCCGTTGGGATCGTGACTCGGAAGACGTTTTGGCGAGTTGTCCTTGGCACGTTTTGAGCTGATCCTGCAGGCTGAGATTCTCTTCCTTCAGAATTTCATTGTTCTTCTGCATCTGCTGCTGGATAAGTGTTGCCGCCTGCTCGCTCTCCTCTCGCTGTTTCACCCTCGCGATAAGAAGTCCAAAGAGGTCATCCTCACTTAGTTGGACGTTGTTCTTCTTACCATCGACCGGCGCGTGGGCTATAACAGAGGCTCCCTTCTCAGAGGTGTTGTTTCGCTTGGAAGCCTGCGGCTGGCAACGAATTGGCCTAAGGGGCACACGAGAGGACGGTTTCTCAAAAACACCTTGCTTCTCCCGACGAGGCTTTTGCCTCGGGGGAGATTTGGGTAATGCAGGCCCTGCTTCACTGGCCTTTTCGGTATCGTCAACAACATCTTGGCTCGGGTCAGATATCCTCGCTGCAGGGCCAGATATCCCTCGAGGCATATCGGCTGTGGTGCGCTCGTTCAGCTGGGCATCAAGTCCCCCAGCCTGTTGCTGTGTAGGGCTCTGGTTTGGATTTCCGGTGACAGAACAGCTGCCACTTTCTTTACCAGAGTTAGCCGCTGTCGAGAGCCGCCTCGCAGAGCGTTGAAGCAAATGTTGACTCGGAGGAGTTCCGCTATGGGGCATCGCTTCTTTGCCAGCCCTGCGATGATGGAAGCCAAGTCAATTTATTGCGACTAATAACTTTCACCATACAGACAATGGGTCAACTACATACGGATCTCTCTGAAGTTGTTGACGATCTGGACCCGTCTCCCTGTTCGCTGCTTCTTTTGCAGATTCGGGGTTTTCAATCGCAGGTTGCGTAACGTGGGTCTGTTTGGAAACGTTTCGCAAAGAGAATGGCTTGTGCAAGGCAGGCTTGGTAAAGGAGAAACATTCGGCATCAATAGCATCAATCCCAGAGCTCTCTGGGCGCCGCAAGAGCGGTATAAGCTTTTCCGAGCTCTCCATGATGATACATCAATTAGGACTGATGAAGAAGATGAGAAGAGAAGAATTGATGCGGGGTCCTAAATGGAGATCATATTGACGTCGAGGAACTCTAGTCAAGGAAGGAGCCACCCCGTGACTCGACTACACCCTAACTACTTCGTAGGTATCATTGCAGGTAACTACACCTAGATAAGGACTCCATCGACATGTCACACCAGCTCCAGTTTAAGGCTTAGGAGTGCAAGACCCTCACCTGAAACTACCACCCAGTTGGCCAAAAGGGCTTATCAGACTCGAGATGTGCGTCATATATTCCAGGGGTTGCTCGAATGTGTACTGTATAGGTACTGTGTACATCTAAAATGGTGCAATTCAGCGACCGTGTGACTTCTTTCATTGCAAAAGCACGCCCTAGGCTAGTTGTTATAAGAGTTGCAAAGGTGGAGACTTAAATGCGTTGACTGTTTACTCTTAAAGTGATAGCCTCATGTGAGCCAAGCAGAAATTAGGTTTCTTGAAAGTCAAAGTAGAAAGTTGAAACGACTAGTTTCAGCCTCACATGTGTACCATGTGACATGACTACCTTAACTGTTTGCCTATTCTCTGTTTTACAACACCTTCGACCCCTGGGCGCGCCCAGCCGACAAGGATCATCCGTTGGCTTAGTGGGCGCATTCCAAGCCTTTGAGTCCCTGATCTGGGCTTCCGACGGCAGTGACAAGGGTTTCAGAACCTTGCGGCGGTCACCCTATCAAGCTGACTGCGCCCATCTCAGATGCTTAAGAGATTAAGTCTCAGTCGGCCCAATTTTGCTACTCAAACATCTCTCAGTTATTTGCGGTAACGTCGATAACAGTCTTTCAAGATTGTTTTCTTGTCTTCTAATATCTCACTTAAGCTGTCCGCCTCAAGCGCTCAATAATCAATCAAGCAGCAGAATGTCTTCAGAATTGTGGTAAGCAAAAGTTCGTGGAAGCCGGGCATTTCATCTGGTCCCTTTCTACTACAATTTGATTCTCTACGCTTAATTCCTTTATTTGAACAATACTCACTAAATCTCCATTTAGTCCTGTCTATGCCGTGAGTTCGCCCTCCCTCGTGGCTGACGTCGATGACCTGAGTGTTAGCTAAAGCCTATGCACTCGTCCCCCACTGTATCTAAACCCGCTATCCCGACTCAAGTGGCTAACCTCTAAGACCCCTAGCCATTTGTCGGCTCTATGGGATGCGTCTGCGCAATTGTCTTCACTTGCTTCGGAGCTGCCTATGGAACTGCTAAGGCCGGCGGTGGCGTTTGCTCGACGGCCGTCTCGCGACCCGACTTAGTTGTAAAGAGTATGTCACGTTCGATATCGGCGGAAGACTTCACAGAATGGTGTTACCGTTAATATAAGTCATTCTGATGATTTGAGAATGCAACGCTAATCCGGTTTGATAGATATAGTCCCGGTTGTAATGGCTGGCATTATCGGGATCTATGGCTTAGTCGTTTCTGTCCTTGTGGCCAATGATCTGAAGCAGAATCTGCCCTTATACACAGGCTTGATACAGCTTTGTACAGGTCTCTCCGTCGGTCTTACCGGCCTAGCATCTGGGTAAGTTGCGTAACAGATAGGTCCCGAGACATAGCTGAGATGATTCTTTTATCATGAATTTAGTTTCGCTATTGGCGTCGTTGGTGATGCGGGAGTTCGTGGAACAGCTCTGCAGCCAAAACTATATGTTGGCATGATCCTAATACTCATCTTCGCTGAAGTTCTTGGTGAGAACGAGGTCATCTTCTGGCAATACGCAGAATGAGAAGCTAACACATGCCCAAGGTCTATACGGTTTGATTGTCGCCCTTCTCATGAACTCGGTCGCGAAACAAAATGTCGAGGAGTGCATATGAGAGTTCCATACACGGACATGGCATTGCTGATCAGATTCGAATCGATTGCGTGGATACTTAGTACACTAGTTGTCGAGAATTCAAGGCACTGGAGTTGTCTCACTGTTCGACGTTCAGAATAGACGCTCCTTGCACCAGGGCCGCGCTTAGAAAGAAGCCGAGGGCTAGGTTCTGGAATGATTCCAAGTACATTTTGGTTTGCAGACTTGACTAACGATAAACGGAATTCCAAGAGGGTGACGCCGGTTGATATGGGCGTAAGCGGTTATGAGACGTTGAGACCACTGATCGGAGTTGTCGAGATCGAGACTTTGGAAATCCTCAATACGCACCTGAAAATCGTGATTTGAATCAGGTACTGGGGTCAAGTACAAGATGTCATATTCTGTGTCGTTTCGATGCTCAAGGATATCTTGTTGATACGATCAACAAACCGGACGTTGACCATTCCAGCGATCTGCCTTTGCATTTTGTGTAAGAGACGAAAATTGAGTAAGTTTATATGCAGGAGCCTGGCCTGGCCTAATCTTCCTTGTTCGAATGCAGAGCGGCGGCGTACGTGTCTAGCATATCGCTAGTGGACTGGTGGAGCGGAAATGAAAAGACCCGCCTGGAATGCAGGTTTGAGCCGAGGATAGCCAGCTGCCAAGAAAATGCTACATGTGAGGGATCAGATTGAACCTCGCGTCGAATTTTCTACAAGCATTCCAGAGCCATTCTGTGCAACTCAGTTCCCGAGACAACAGTGTTTGGCTCCAAGGCGGTCAATAACGTGGCGGCCACGAGAAATCGGGAGAAGTAGGATAAACCACCCGCGTGGCAAACAATGATCAGTCGACTGCAGCAGGTGCTTCTAGCTTGCTTCCTGCTTGGTTCGATCATGCGAAGATCGAACTACCCTAGGCGCTTTACCCCTTTCCAGGGAATCACCATCGAGCGAGAAATAAGACAGACACCACACTCACAGTAAGACTGATTTTGCGGCACACTGAGTCGAACAAAGCGAAGGGATCTTGTAGGGGCATAAGGTGTGACACTGGACAGCTTAATACCTACTGCGTAAATAGCGATCTGCCATGGACATCTCCCAATACCCGCAGTACGCCGATTCTTATTTACCCCCTTAACCCTAAAAAGACCCTTCAAATTGTATTTTGATCGCCAGATGTTCGTCTAGGATCATAAGTGACCAGTCACTGGCGAATCGAAAGAGTCCGTGCATTGTTTTTAGCGAATATCTCCGCTCATCAATTGAAGCGGGCCCCAGGTTCGAACTGGCCAGCAGGCCAGGGCTAACTGCTCTCCACCTCCGTCGGGCTCATCTCCTTTTTTCAAATCCGATGTTTGCTGGGAAGCTCGGTGGATATGCCAAGACTATATCTCCCCGAAAGTCCTAAACATCGACGTCAATGTACGCAATTGTTTGACTTCCCGACATCTGTGCTAGACCATAGAGGCACGGACAACGGGGCCAACCCCCGGTAATATCTTCCACAAAGCAACTAGTCTTGAAGAGTAGCAGAAGAGTGTAGATCGGCGGCGTCCCAGGCCAGAACCAGTGTAACGAAATGGGTGAAGGGTCCATTTCTTTCATTCCCCCTTTCCCCCATTTTCTTGCGCGTCACGCGTGATTGGCCCGCATTTACTGCCACCTTTGCCAGACCGCTCACCCGCTTCATCCCCTTTCTTTCATCTGCTTCAACTTCCGAGTTGGTTATTCTTGGGACTTATTGTCGTTTGACAAATTTGTCTCTCTTGACTTTCAGCTCAAGGGATATCCTCATTTCGTTTCTGTGGTACCTGATTAAACCCGAAACCCGTGCGCCTCGGACGTCCTTAGCTCCCCGGCCTTGGCCTGTTTTTGATATACATAAACTGCAGGCTCGACACTGGAGGTCTTTATATTGTTTATCTATCTTGGAAACTTTCGGTGGTCTTCTGGCTTTCATTGGAAAGTCTTGTTTCGACCGTGGATTTATATCTGGACCTACATCGATCATCTTGCGCCGACTCTGAAACATTCGACCCCCGCTCGGCGATTCTACCTTCGGAATTCGGTCACCTAATGGACATTGCGATTTAAGCTCGATATTCACCGGAATCTCATACCATCCACGATTGTCAATTGCCTGACTACCGTTCCCGACGCGCCCACCTTTCGAACGGAGGTTTTTGGACAAGTGTGATGTTGGAACAAGAGACGATTTCACTCTAAATACTTCGCCCATCGCTTTATCCTCACACCATGGGAAACACTCAGGGAAAACCGGTGTCTTGCAATGACGCAGGTAGGTTACATGCTCTGAATCTCGATCCGGAGGAAGTGCTCGGGGCTTTCTGGATCACAACGGGGGATGCTCTTGATTAAGCCGCTGATCGCTTTCCACCAGTCAACCTGAATCATTTCCGGCTCCTGCGAGTCGTTGGAAAGGGTGCATTTGGAAAAGTCAGAATCGTCGAACGAAAGGACACAGGCCTCACATTCGCATTGAAATATATTCGCAAGGAAGAAGGTTCGTGTGAGACGCAAGGATGAGTGCGGAGTGTTAGAACTGACACTTTTATCAGTGGTTCGCTCGGAAAGTGTACGAAATATAATTCGCGAACGGAGAATGCTCGAGCATTTGAACCACCCGTTCCTGTGCAATTTGCGGTACAGTTTCCAGGACATGGAATACATGTGAGTATACCCGAGGTGATCCTATTTACCCACCGCTGACTGGATTCAAGCTATATTGTCGTTGATTTAATGAATGGCGGCGATCTTCGATTCCATATTTCCCGAAAATGCTTCACGGAGGACGCGGTGCGGTTTTGGATGGCGGAACTTGGATGTGCTCTGAGATACATTCACTCGCAGGGCATCATTCACCGCGATTTAAAGCCCGACAATGTGCTGTTGGATTCTGATGGACATGTTCATTTGGCTGATTTCGTAAGTCCTCCGGGAATTGCATCTTGAGGCAGATTGGGACTAATATGCCTTTCCAGAACGTGGCATCAGATTACCGACCGGGCAAGCCTCTGACGAGCAAGTCAGGGACGCTGGCCTACCTAGCACCTGAGGTCTATGAAGGAACGGGTTATACCTTTGAGGTCGATTGGTGGTCATTAGGTGTGACTTTTTACGAATGCATCTACAATAAGGTGAGATGGATTTGTTGCCAGTCTTCTTTCCCGTCTAACCTCGAGCGCAGCGACCATTTGAAGGCCGAAGCCAAGAAACCTTGAGCGAAAGCATTAAAAAAGCCCAGCCGAAATACTATGTGACCAACCCCGCCGTTTCAGTGCCTTGTTTGCGGGCATTGGGGGCGTTAATGCAAAAAGATCGGAGTCAACGAATCGGCGCTATCGGATTCGAGACCTTCACCCGACACATTTTCTTCGCCGAGATCGACTTTGAAGCCCTCGAGCGGAAACAAATTTCCCCCAGTATTCCGGCCATCAAGCGACAAAACCAACTTCGATGCGACTTACGATCTGGAGGAGCTACTTCTTGAAGAGGCTCCTTTAGAGGCTAGAGCGCGCAGACAAAAGCCGCGTGCCGAATTAAGGGAAGATGCCACAGCCAAGGAAATTCGGGATGATGAGCTTCACCGTCTCATTGAGACGATGTTCGAGCCATTCGACTACACCCTGACCAACTACCAAGGCAATGCCGCGGATGCAATTGCCGCTGCCACGTGAGTTCTCCTCGAGGTAAACTTGATCGTCTTGTGCTTACAATATTCCCGTCAGGAATCCTGAGGACTGCCTTCCAATAGCCACCACAACCTCAGGGAACACATCCGCAGCAAACTCAACCGTACATGCCCGCCAATTCTCCCAGCCCGACCCATCTAATCGCACGCATCCCTCCCATTACGAAACTTCTGCCCAATACGAAGGCATCTACTACCGTGCTCCGCCGACTGAAAACATAACTAGTGTCAGCGAGACACTTGATCCCAATGATCCCGCGAGCGGTCCCATCTCGCCCTCCCCTTCGAACCGCGTGTCAGGTTCACCACCGCCTGCTCCGTCCTTCCACCGGCCTCTACCCAATCGACACCGCGGTGCTACCCGACAAATGAGCAAAAGTGGCGGTGTGCAAATGGTTCTCAATGAACATGGCAGTTGGAGCGAGCTGGCCAATACCTCCGGTTCTGCGGCAGATGGAATGGACAGTGGTGATGACAAGGGAAAGCAAGCCAATGGCATGCTATCGTTCTTCAGTCGGAAAAAGGGTCGTGACCGCAGTCCCAAGCCCACTGAGCCAGGTGTTCTCGGCAAGGAGGGAGCCAGACAGATCATTAGCTGAAATCCTTCCATTTGGCGGAACTCATTTCGCGCCCATGCTGTTGGCGCTGTCCCCGACAAAATAACTGCACAATAATACGGGCCTTGCTCCATATGGATTACCAACTCTCAGTTGAGTTTGGAATGGCTCGGAGACGAATATATGCTATCAATGCTAGCATCCAAGGAGGTCGGTGATTGAACGCCAGCGTTTACCTCTTGGCTCGGTTGCCACTGACATGTCCCGGCTCCCGTCCTACTGGGACCTTCCGGAGACAGGCTGCCCTCTCTGAATGCATTCTGCACGGCATTGCATTTCTGCCTCGATGTCTGCAGCAAGAGATGCAGTGACGCAGTACTCGAAGCATATTTTATCATTCATTGACCTAGATTCCCCGGTTACAGCGAGAATTCATCTTCAGTTCTATGCGATATCCTTCTTGATTGTTTTTTTCTTTCTCTTTCTATCATCATCCTCCTCATCCTCTCTCTCTCTCTACTAGCCATATATACTCACGGCAGCTCTTGATGACCCGACCGGCGCTTGTTTATGTTTAATACTTTCACTTCTCATCAATTCCTTCTCAGGCGACCTGTTCCCTTGCGGCCCTCTTCTTTCGCAGTGATAGTCTTTCTTTCTTCTTGTACTATGGTGCTTTGTCCCCTTTTACCTTGTCGGCGTTTGCATACCCTGCCCGTTGATGAACCTGAACGTTCTGTATTTGCTGGAGTGTATATAGATTGCACTGGTGTTACATGGTGTGTTCTGGAATGGTCTTCCTTCCACTGTATATCATATCCCAGATTGGAAACAAATTTGGTCATTTGCCTATCACTCTCCGGCCATCGTCGATTGAATGGACTTATTGAATGTCAAAGCTGAGTGGAAAATGAGAAGAAAAATAAAATAACACAAAATAGAGAGAAAAGATTACAACCCAAGAATTGCGGTGCGATCTACTTCGCCTATAAATACTTTCTGGTCGAAGCATAGGTAATCCTGTCCTTTGAGAACCTAGTTGACTTCCCCCCTTTTCCTCAACATTGAACTTCATTTTGCCCACTTGTCACTGCACGCAGCACCAGCGCCACTGGCACTACTGCCCGTACATACTATTTTCTAATGGCGGCTACCGAAAAGTCTGGTATCAGCCTTATGACCCAGTACAATATCGTTCTACCGAAAAGAAGGCAGGAGTATGACTCTTCCGGCAAACCTATACCTGCATGCGAGCCCTATCAATGTGCTGCGGCAACTAAGGGGGAGGATCTCCCCGTCGATCTAAGCTCGTTTTGGCATCAGAGAGCAGTTATCCGTGGGATTCGTTATTCACTTCAATTTGCAACAAGCCCGGCAATTCTTGAGCTATGCTCCGGCGACGATGCTCAGGCCCATCAATTTTCCCGCGCCCGCAATGCTCGCCTGATAATGAGTGATATAATCCCCGATATGCAAAATCCTGCCACTCAGCCGTACTATATCTGGTATCCCGACATTGCATCAGAAGAAACATCGCGAAGTCGCCCGTCGGTATCCGTCTATGCGGTATCAAGTGGGCCGAGCGTGTGCTGCAGCATGCTATACAGATCTCTACAAAGAATTGGACCTTTTGCCTGACGTTTCTATTGCGGAAGAATCCCGCGAAGTTGACAAAGACGCCGAAATCTACAAGATTATCATGTCCGCCCCCCAACGATATGCTGTCATGGAAGATTTCTCTCGATCCGTTCATCTTGAAACCCCACGAACGCCTGCGTTTCTGAATGGCGATATGAAGCCCCGATGGGCTTTGGGACAGCGAGTTCTCCCTGGTAAAAATTTTACCAGAGACGACTGCTGATGATATTGACATCGAGGAAGATGGATTTATCGGCTTTCAAGATATCAGCTTGAAGGATATCAGCGGAATGGAGAACTACGCTGAACTGGGCCCAGGCCAGTCCGATCAACTGTGGATGCCTCTTCCGCCTGATCTCCCAAATCTTGAAAAGCGCCTTCAGACACAGATGGCCGCGTGGGAGGGCAATGTGGATCGATACAGTCGACTAATGCACCCACGCAGGCTGAGAACCGAACTTGAATACAATTGTGTTCTTCGTGGCATTTATCACAGTACAACCTTCGCCAGATGGTGGGCCTATCAGCTGGAAACAAACCCTGGACGGGCTATCCTCCCAGGTAAATTGCTCAGCCAAGGCAATGAACTGGAGTGCGGAGAGATTCGCACTGCGATTAATGCCCGCATGATAATGAACAATAATATCTCTGGTATCGACGATGACTCGGACTGCCTCCCGTGGGTCATATGGTGGCCCGTGAAGCCCTCTGCGAACACTTTAGCTGATCTGGTTCGAAAGTGTCCGTCCATGGGACATCAAGTTGCGATCACTTGCATAATGTGTGATTACGGTTCGATATTCCGAAGTTTGAAGCCCCCCTACACCGAATCCTTGTATGTGGCTGCCAGGCGAAGTGAAAATCCATTCTACCTACAATACCTTGAGGAAATCATGAAGGAGCACGACATAACTCCCCCGGACTTTCACGACTTCAAGGACTTTGAATACACCGCACCAGGCTTATAGACTGATCTGGAGCCTAGAGATGATCTCGCCTCTCCCACTGTCAGTTACCATGACATGGAGATCGGGTATGGCCAATATCCCTGTGGTAATGAACACGAAGAAACTCGAGGTACATGTGGAGGCGGGCTAGCAAATCCGGGAACGGTGGAGAGATACATGTGGCTCTCAACTGAAACTGCACAGAAGTTGAAAAATGAATTTGACGGGCACTACCCAGGTGCGGATATTGGTCTTTTGTATGATGATGAAGGACTTCGATCCAAGCTTTCACGCCGTATACAGCCCATGGATCGGTAGTATGCAGGTTTCGTGTCCCGAGCCCGAGCCATGGATCCATGTCACAACTATAAACACTATAGAAACAGACACGGAAATAAACAATACGCCGTGAATACGGTAGATAGAAAATAACAGTTCTCAAATATCCTAGGCAGCAATCGCAGCATTTCCTAAGCCAACAGTCACATAGCCACCTACGCCACCTCACCTAACAAGATAATTAGCGTCCCGTGTGGGGAAAAACAAAACAATGACATCTGGAACATCAACAATACCACAGTCAATTATAATTCCGACCTGAACCTTCAGACCAAACCAATTCCTACAATCCCATCTACGCACATCCCACGTGTACTCATCTCATCTCCAACCAGCCCGGTCCCAACTACATTCCGTCCCATCTCCAGCTCCACTACATCCCCCCCATTCCTCCACCACCACCAAGCCGATCACCTCCCACGCGCAACCCACATACCAAACCCCCTGATTGACAACATCCCCAAACCAACAAAGACCGGCATGCCCGGCCAATCCCACAGCCGGGACCGACGAGATCGCGACCGCCGCCGTGAATACATCCGCGGCCACTACGAAGAAGACGAAGGCGCAACGTCCAGTCCCGCCTATCGTTTCCGCGAGACCGAGTACGAGTCAAACTCGCATGATAATCTAGAGCGCGATGAGTACGAGGAAGAGCGTGCGCAGCGCCGGGAACGGAGGCGCAGACGGCGCGAGGAAGAGGGGGCGCTTGCGTATGGCTCGCCTGGGAGGCGGAGAGATAGAGATCGGGAAAGGGAACGGGAAAGGAGGGGTTCCAGGGCGAGGGAGTCGCCGGGATCACCTGTGAAACGGCATAGGGATCGCGATGCGGGAAGGGGGTATCGGAGGGAGGGAAGTGGGAGTCCGATGCGAGAACGACGGACTCGGGATGGCGAGACGGATGCTGAGGTGGAGGCGCGGAGGAGGAGGCGGCGGGAACGTGAGCGCCAACGAGAGCGAGAGCGAGAGCGCGAACTAGATGCTATTGCTGCTGCGCCGGCGAGGAAAAAGAAACATCGCAGTACCGAGTCTTCGAATAGTGCTTCACATCTTCTGAGCGCCGATGCGATGGCGCGGCTTGCTGCTGAGCAGGAGGAAATGGAGCGCCGTGAACAGGCTCGCGAGGCGGATGAGATACGTCGGGAACGCAGGCGGGAGCGGAAACGCGCTGCGATGGCTGCGGCTGCTGGTGGTGAGCTTGGTGGTGAGGTCTTGAAGGGTCGGTCGAGGCATAATGCGGGCGCTCGGGTTGTGTCTGGTGCGCATCTGGAGGAAGGGTATAGCTCTGATGCTCGTGTTCGTCGGCGCGGCGGTGGTGGGCCGGTTATGGCGGAGCATTGGAAGGAGGAGGATAGCTGGGAGGGGAGCTATGAGAGTGGGGGAGCACCGGCTTGGAAGTTCTGGGCCAATTGGTCTAGGAAAAGGTGTATCATTATGGCGTGTCTGTTGGCTGTGGCTCTGTTGTTGGCTATTATCATTCCGGTTGCTGTCGTTGTGTCCAAGAAGAAAGGTTCAGATTCGAACTCGAAGAGTTCGAGTACGAGCTCCTCTTCGGATGATCCTACATCTAACCTGGATGATATCAGCCGTGATAGCATTCCCGTGAGTGTCAAGTATAGCCTGAAGACGATATATGTTAACGATGGATTAGAGCTACGCCAAAGGCACAGTCTTGGACCCATTCTCCTGGTACGAGACAACCGGCTTCAACCTAACCTTCACCAACGCCACAGTGGGTGGACTCTCCCTCATGGGCATCGACTCAGCATGGGATGACTCAACAAGACCCAACGACGATGTCCCCCCTCTCAACGAACCATTCCCGTACGGGAGCCGACCCATTCGCGGCGTGAATCTAGGAGGATGGCTCTCCATCGAGCCATTCATTACCCCCTCCCTATTCACAAGGTGGGGCTCAAAGGACGGGGTAATCGACGAGTACACCTTGACAAAGAAGCTCGGAAGCTCTTCAGCCGCCCGTACCCTCGAAAAACACTACGCCACCTTCATCACCGAATCCGACATAAAGGAAATCCGGGACGCAGGCCTAGACCACGTCCGAATCCCCTACTCCTACTGGGCCGTAAAGACCTACGAAGGCGACCCCTACGTCCCCAAGATTGCCTGGCGGTACCTCCTGCGCACGATCGAATGGTGTCGGAAGTACGGACTACGGATAAAACTCGACCTCCACGGCGTCCCAGGCAGTCAAAACGGATGGAACCACAGTGGTCGGCAGGGGAGCATCAACTGGTTAGCCGGGTCCGACGGTGACCTCAACCGTAAACGGTCATTAGAGATCCACGACCAACTATCCCAGTTCTTTGCGCAGGATCGGTACAAGAACGTCGTGACGATCTACGGCCTAGCCAACGAACCGTTGATGCTCTCCCTGCCCGTGGAGAAGGTGCTAGACTGGACGGACGAAGCAGCAAAGCTCGTCCGCAAGAACGGTATCACTGCTACGATTGTTCTCCATGACGGCTTCTTGAACTTGAACAAGTGGGATAATATGTTCAAAAGCCATCCGGACAATATGTACCTCGATACCCACCAGTATACCACCTTCAACACGGCCGAGATCGCCTTGAACCATACGGCGAAGGTGGACAAAATCTGCAATAGTTGGTACCCAATGCTGAAGGAGATCAACACCACGACTTCGGGCTGGGGACCGACTATTTGCGGTGAATGGTCGCAGGCGGATACGGACTGCGCGCAGTTTGTTAACAATGTTGGTCGCGGCACTCGCTGGGAGGGCACGTACGATACAAGCACCGACACATTGAAGGCGTACTGTCCCACTGCCAGTCAGGGGACTTGCAGCTGCGCGGATGCCAATATGGATCCGTCGAAGTATTCGGATCATTACAAGAAGTTCTTGCAGACTTATGCTGAAGCGCAGATGTCCGCCTTCGAGACTGCAATGGGGTGGTTCTATTGGACCTGGCGGACGGAGTCGGCGGCGCAGTGGAGTTATCGCACTGCGTGGAAGAATGGCTACATGCCTGAAAAGGCTTATTCACCTGCCTTCAAGTGTGGAGACAAGCTCCCTGACTTCTCCGACGCGGTGGAGAGTTACTGAGCTTTGCACCTTCTGAGAGACGGAGTCCTCTCATTTCGTATTTGTACAGCCACATTTGTCGTTTAGCATGTTTTGCTGTGTTTTATATGTCTTAGATACCATTGGATTTAGATTTACTTTAGAGTCTGAACATCTCAACGCCCTCATCGGACGTGTCATCATTTCAACCTGAAAAGGTCTCCATTGACCTGAACGTACCATGTCCGGGCATACCATTCCTCTAAGCCTCAAACCACCCACCCTCCTCCCACATCCCATCCTGATAAGCAGTCTCCTTCCTCACCCACTGCAGCCTAACACCCCCAAGCAACCGATCCACCCTCTGAAAATCAATCGGCTTCATAACCCACCCATCAAACCCCGAGTCCATATAGACCAGCCGATTCTCTTCAAGCAGGGAAGCCGAGACCGCGAAAATAGGAATGCGGGATCCAGGCCCCGTCTCACTGGCTAGTTCCTCCTGCTCGTACTCGCGTATCATCTTTGTTGCAGCTAGGCCGTCGACGATGGGCATCTGCAATTACCGGTTTAAGTTAGAATTCTGTAGAATGAGTCGGGAAGGAAGATATGCACATACTTGTAGATCCATCAGAATAGCATTGAAATGACTGGGATCCGCCTTGTAGGCTGTTACGCATTCTTTTCCGTTCGTCGTCATGTGCACCGTATGTCCGAATTTCACGAGGCGTTTTTGAAGGATGGCGCTGTTGATGGGGTCGTCTTCTGCAACGAGGATGTGGAGGTTCCAGTCCATTCTGCTTGGTTCCGCGGTGTGTTGGTTGTCCGCGGTGTGTTGGTTGTCCGCGGTGTGTTGGTTGTCCACGGTGTGTTGGTTGTCAGGTGGTGCTATTGGGAGTGGTATGCTTGATGGCGAAGGGATTGGTTCATCCGGTTGTTTGGCTGGTCGTTTGGGTTTGGACTGTTTGGACTGTTGGTCGGATGGAGGGAAGTTTGTTGTTTGACTTGGTTTCAAGCTGATGTCGACGTTCGTGGTTGTCTGTCCTGACGCGAATTCGGGTGTTTGACCACATTCACAGGGTATGGTATCTTCCCTTTTGTTCGCTGTGCAGTTTGGGGATAAATGATCTTGCCTTAACTCTTGTTTGCTTTCATCTTCTGTTGAAGCAGTACCTGCATTCTGCGTTTGAGGGCTGTCTTCGTTTGGAAGAGGGAACTCAAGTCTGATCTTGAAGCAGCTGCCCTTGCCTTCTTCGGATTTCAGGCTTAGCTGTCCATTCATGTTGCGGACGATCCGGGCAACCAGCGCGAGACCTAGACCAAGCACGCTTCTTTTCTCCACTGCTTGGCCAGTTGTGTTTTGTTCGTAGGACTTTGGGGGTCGCATATATCCTTTGTTGGAGACTTGTTCCAGTTCACAGAACAAGGTCTCGACCGTCTCTTGGGACATTCCACAGCCGGTGTCATGCATCGCTATTTCCACGGAAATATGACCAGGTAATATCGGCCCGGGTATGACGCATGACTCGATTGTCACTGCACCAGCAGACGTGTGCTGCACAGCATTGCTGATCAAGTTGGTAATGACTTGACGTACTCGTCGTTGATCACCGAGAACAGGAGGCAGAACTGCATGTTGAACCACCTGAAGATCGATATGCTTCTGTCTTGCTTCTTCCCAGAAGATATCTGTTGCTTCAGTCAGGGTCTCCGACAGATTGAAAGCCTCGTCTTTTATCAAGGCCTGTCCGTTCTCGGCATTCGTAAGATCTAGAAGGTCGTTGATGATATATACCAATGACTTCGATGCCGAGTGCGACCTAGAAATGTGGTCTCGTGTATCTTGATCCAGAGAACCATCGAGAGCAATTTCCAAGTAGTTGATGATGGCATTGAGAGGTGTTCTGAACTCGTGCGCGGAGTTGGCGAGCAAAAGCCTCATCAATTGGTTGTTTTGCATTGTGGTCTCCTTCTCCTGCCAAATATCCGTGAAAGTGCGATATAGCAAGGAAAGAACAGAAGCCTTGCTAAAGTCTGACGAGGTCCACTGGTCATTCGATCTCTCCAAATCAGACGATATGCTCGGATCTTCCGAGTTGGCTTTGAAAAAGATAATGAAGTCGTGCCCATCCACCGAAAGCGGGACGTGAAGCAAGCCAGAAAGATGGTGGAAGCCGCGCGAGTAGTTCAAATCCCCAAAATCAGCAGCGATGTCGGTCGACCAGAACACAGTGTCATTCTCTTTGGCTTTCATGTATTCGAATAACGCCAGAACTTCCTGGGAATCTGTCGGCTTTCCCAAAACTCTAGCCTCCCCCATGATTGACGCCGCGGCGTAGTCTGCTCCAAACAGACTGAGCAAATCGCCAGTTGGAGTTTGGATGACCTGTGATGTGCTAGCTGGGGTTACGGGCATTTTTGTCTCTCGCAACTGAAACGGCAAAGTGTAGGACAGCCGCTCAATGTTGCTCGACACTGCCCCAGCTATAATCCAGCACATCTTTTGGATGAGCGGGTGAAGCGTTTGGCGGCTCTTGTAGGACTGACATGATATCAGTCCCCAAAGCTTGCCAAACACAGTTATTTGGATTGACAAACACGCCTCGACGGGATTGTCTGTATGTGTCGTTGAGAGCCCAGGGGGTGAAGAGAGGTAGGTATTTGACATGTCGAGTGGCGTATGGTCGGCCGAAGATCGATAAACGAGCCTTGCAGTGCCTTTATTGCCAGCGCAAGAGAAGCAGACAGTGTTGTGCGCGTATGCTCTTTTCAATGCTTCTGGGAAGGTTGATTCCGGGAACTTCATGTTTTCATAAGAGGTTGAGCCTGACGATTGGTCAATCTCATCTGCAACCACGATGCCATTACGATCACTGTCGAAATGATACACCGTTGTTCTGTCAAACTTGATAAGATCTTGCAAAGTGTTGATGGAATGTTTAACAAGCACTTCGAGTGTCTGAGCGCTTGCAAGTTGCTGGAGAATCCGAGGGATGCTGTTCAAGAGTTCGGTTGAATCTGGCAGATCGGCTGTACATCTGTCAAAAGTCTTCGATGGGGGACTTTCATCCTCAAAGAATGCCCCCGAGGTCATATCCAGCGTCTGTTTTTCTGTTGGGCCTCCCATACTCCTGGGACTTGGTTCGTGTTGCTTCTTTGAACGGCCGTCATGCTCGAAAAATGCCCCAGATGTTATGTCCAAGGTTCGCTTTTCTGATGTTGTGGTTTCACCCTTAGAATTCTCAAAGTCGGCTTTGCTCTCCGTGTCTCGAACCTCGGGCTGGAACTCGCAGAAAACATATCCCTTGTGAAGATTGTTGGTGTGCATGGTACACCACAAGCTCCGAGCATCCCCGTCAGACAATAACACGGACAAGAGAAAAATCTCAGGGCCGGAGTGTTCGACGGTGTAGTCTTCGCTCAAAATAAATTTAGCGTGAGCAAGGAAGCTGCTCCGGAGCGAGACAGGAAGTATATCACCGAATGTCTGGAGAGCAAAGAGTTCATCCGGAGAACGCCCGATGATTTCCTGACAGTTGCTGCTGGCTATTTGCACCCCCAACTCACCACCGGACTCGGTGATCACAACCAGTGCACCAGAAGATTGAATGAGATTTCCATCGTCATCCTCTTGCAGATATTGCGACCCCTTCTTCAAGCCGCGGAAACCGAGTATCTCTCCACCATTTTGCACGGTGTTACGCAACTGCGCAAGAACAGGATCAGGACTGGCAGTAGTTTCATCCTTGGGCACCATTGAGACCTCGCTCCCGCCACTGCTTTGATGCAATGCAGCCAAATAATCAGGTCTTGCCTGGTCCACTTTCTCAGAATTGACATCGTTTCCAAGTGTATTCTTCTGCTGAAAGCCCGGTGGTTCACCCGCAGGCCATGCAGTCCATGTGTCCGAAAAAGGAGATATTGGTGTTTCGAGCCTATCAAAGGAAGGGGTCTGTAAGGCAGACGAGGGCGTCGAATCCAGCGAGACAGCCGAGCGGACCGGGAAGACTCTCTCGGAAGAGTCTGTGCCTAATCGAGGCAGTTGCAATCTCGGCGAGACCAGCTCGGAGGTTACTGCTGATACTTCCGTCTTGTTTTCCGACAATATACACATGCTCTTCGGTATTGACAACGTTCGAGCGAGAGTCCGCCTCCTGTCGGACAGTCTTTCTTCTTTTTTCTCATTGTTGTCATCGTCATTTGGCTCATCAAAGATCACTGTCCAATCGCCGATGTCTTTCACATCGGACGGGAAAGACATCTCTCAGTATTCACTCCACGGTGCAGAGGACAATCGATAATGTCTTGAACTAGCTATACCATGAATGTCAGCGACAAATTGACTAGCGCGGGCTACTCGGGTCAGCTCACGGAATGACAGCTAAGGACGAACCACGCGGTTAAGATAAGACTTGCAATGTCGGAGCTACCACATATCGAGTATTTTCAACACACCAGCACCAAAAGTAGTGTATGAGGAGGTCCAAATGTGGCTGTGTGTGCAAGATCGAAAGATCTCCAAGGGTTTAATGCTTCAAGCGGGGTTTCCGAAAGGTTTCCTTCCTAGCGTCACCTTTCTCCTGAGCTCTGGACCTATTGAACCTGGAGCCAGGGCCAATAAGCTTCCTCCCTGAGCGCAAGACCTCGGTTCCTTTGTCCGGTTCGCCGCAGAGAGCCTTCGGAAATGGCTTGGAACAGAGCTGGAACCAGAAGATAAGATCCATGGTAGGAGTTTTGGTAGATGGTATGGCCAACCAAATGGCCCTATCCTATCTTGAAGACGTCTTACACAAAGGAAAGCAGCTGCAGGATCAGTCTTCACATGCTCGTGGACTGCTAAGGTGGCGATCCATCGCGCAGTGCATCGTCTTTCTAACGCAACCCGGCGTAGCAAGACGTAGTCTACACACTGCTAACACTCAATGCAGGGCACATGAAGGCAAAATCCGGCGGCTCCGGACCAGAACCGCAGGACTGGACGTAAAGGTACCTGTTTGAAGTTTCCACCATTGAAAATCAGCTGAGCTTGAGTAGAGGATACCCCACAGATTCCACGAAGATGAGTGGGCTATTCAGCTGTGCAAACACGTTGGGATGGCGACTGCGTGGGTGGCCATTGTGATTCATTGCCAATAAAATCGTCAGTTTGCCGCTGTACTTCTGTATCGTTATTGCAATGAACCGCAAATCTCACATTAAGTGTTCAATAATCAATCGAATAGGAGATCAGTCCGCACGACACTTCACCAGGGCAACTCGGGTGTGTGAGAGAGAGAGCTACTATCAGCCGAAGCGTTATAATCGTCCATAAGCAGGTATGCCACTCGGACCAGCATCCCGGGACCCGTTTGCAGTCGCCATGTCTGATATTGGATAGGAAGTTGACTCGCGGGCGTGCTTTCCGGGGACCCGGGAGGCGGAGGCGGAGGCGGGGCGGGCCTGAGGTCCCATTCTCCATTGGTCTGGAGCAACCCTGACACGGGACTGAAGAACATTGCGATGGAATATTTCATACTGTAGCAGATAACTGGGGAGTAGAATGTACGAGATGAACCGAATGAGTAGAAATTTTGAACAAAGATAGCCATATCTAACAGGAAACCTCCTAAAACACTCGTCGCCCCAGCCAAAACTCCCCAGATCTCCTGTGCATTTACTCCGTATAAAATCATGATTTCATAAGACGTTGCTCCAGGGCTCACCAGCGCCGGCCATAAATCGAGTCTTCCTTTCGCGGCCGGCTGGACTGGGACTCACGTCCCCGGTTGCGTGGGTCAGACACTGATGACTCTCGAGAAATCGAAGGTGTCGGCGCAGGCTCATCACCAGCATTCAGCAGGCGCGTAGGCTGGTTGAAGTCAAGGGTGCCCTGGTTATCAGTGAATCGGGATTCTGCATCCCGACCAAAGAGAGCCATCATGTCGCGCATGGTGAGCTTGCCCGCGCCAGTCTTGCCCTCAATTGTGGCATTGGCCAGTTCGCGCTTGCGGTCTTGCAAGGCAACAATTCGCTCTTCCACGGTGCCCTTGATGACCATCTTGTAGATTTTCACGTCAATGGTCTGATTCAGGCGATGGACACGATCGATAGCTTGCTCCTCTACAAACTAATTTAAGTGTTAGCAAAACAGCACAATGAATTATTGCAGAAAGCCATGACTTACGGGATTCCAGAAAGGCTCCAAGATGACGACGCGGCTGGCAGCTGTGAGGTTAAGACCCAAGGCACCAGCACGCAGACTGCAGAGCAGCACACGAGTGCCACTGTGATTTCGGAGTTTTTCAAGACTAGCCTCGCGGTGGTTGTTTGCCATTGCACCATCGTAACGAGCGAAACCGATGTTGGCCCGTTTCAAGAAGGGCTCGATCTTGTCAAGCATAGAAGTGAAGACCGAGAAGACGATGAATTTGAAGTCGGGGGCCTCACGGTTGAGGATCCGCATGAGATGACGGATCTTGGTGGATGGCAACTCTCCATTTTCCCCTTCATCATCGTAGATGTCTTCCGCCTCAGAGTCGGTTTCGTCCTCGGAATCACTCAGAACTATAGGCGGACTCTTCCTTCTGGAAGGCGACTCTACCTCATCATCCGTTTCGTCCTCCGAGTTAAGCCACTCGCCACCTCCTTCGGCGTTTTCATCGTCCACACCACCTACTTGCCCGAGACTGGGCATCTTACGCTGGTCTTCGGGTACAACCCATTCCCCTTCTTCATCTTCGTCATCGCTGTCAAGAACGATTCGGCGATTTTTGCGAGAACGAGCGATTTGGGTCTCTGATTTACGGGCCGAGGGGGAATCCGGAACGTCAAGCGTCTTGTGGTGACCCTTCTTCGACTTCTTTTTCTTCTTTTTGTCTGTGCCCATGACGTTAATGTTCAGGTCGGCTTCACATTCGCCGCATCGGCTGCCACCAGCCTTGATCTCATCTTGACTGAGACCCGTTTGGCAAACATCGCACTTCTTTGCGACGACACTCATGGCGCCGAAAAGATCAGCGATGCTGTCAAGGTCATCCGGCTTTGGCTGTGTTGGCTGGCTGTTTGTACTCCCATTCTGCAAAAGAACGTCCTTGTCCTTGGCCAAATCGCCTTTGACCAAGTCTGGATGGTTGCAAGACTGACGCAGACGCAACAGTAGAACCAAAGCCCCAGCGTAATCCACCTTACCACCACCCATCATCTGGCCAAGGCTATTATCCGTGCGCTGTTCAAGACGCTTGTAGAAGTTCATCTCGCCTGGCATGAATTCAGCGGCAACCTTGATAACCTCGCGCTTCTTGATTTGGAATCCATTGGACGACTTCTTTGGTTTTCCGTCTGGTGCTTCTTCACCAACTTTGACCTCATCGTTGAGTCGCAGGACATCCTTCGTTCGTCGCTTCATAAATGCCTTGAGATAAACCTGCAGTCGCTGAATAGCAAGACCTCCGCGGCCATTGTTCAAAGGCCGGCTAATTTGATCTCTCCAGGCAGCTAGGTCATCATAGGGCTTGACGCGAAGGAATTTGATCAAACTCTGCAACTCATCCAGGTTGTTCTGCAACGGAGTTCCAGTCAAGCACCAGCGATACTGAGCATCCAGGGCATATGCTGACTGTGTGGCCTTGGCGTTACGATTTTTGATTGTGTGTGCTTCGTCGAGAATGATGCGATACCAGTGGACCGCGAAAATTCCGGCCTTCTTCGCCTTATCTGACGCCGATGAGTTGAACTCAGAAGTAAGGGTTCCGTAAGTGGTGATCACCACGTCGTATTTGTCCAAAGTAGTCGAAGCCTTAGCGCGTGTTGCACCATGGTAGATGCAAACACGGAGCTTATGGGATGGCTCAACTTTGTCCTTGATTTCGGATTCCCATTGTTTGATCAAGGCAAGAGGTGCAACAACCAGAGTAGAAGCAATGCAGTTTGGGGGAAGCTTTGTCGTCTTTCCCTCTTCCTCGGTGTTATCGCTGTGTTCATGGTCGGATTTGCGGTTTTTGAGCATCAGAGCAACCGCTTGCACGGTTTTCCCCAGACCCATATCATCTGCAAGGATTCCACCTTTAGGGAAAATTCCTTTGGTAGTCTTTCGGCCAGTCTCTTTGTCACACATCCATCTCACACCCTCGATTTGATGTGGTAGTAGGGTGACTTTCAAACCTTCGACAACACCATCATCATCGTCCTCCTCCTCCTCCTCTTCCTCCTCTTCCTCCTCTTCCTCATCCTCATCCTCCTTCTCGTCGTCATCTAACTCCTTATCGGCCTCCTTGCCTTTGGTGGGTGTATCATTCACAGAGTCGGCATCAGTATCCTTCTGGTCATTGACCGTAACACCTTGAAGTTGAGCAGCAAGATCGTCAAGATCATCGATTGCTTCTTCCTTCTTCTTGTCTACGACAATTTCATCCTTCTGCTTCTTCTGTGATGTCTTCTTAGACTGCTTCCTTTTTGCGCCCTTCTTCTTGGTTTTGCGTTTCGGCTCGGTTTTTTCCTCCTCGTCTTCGAAAGCGCCTTCAAGCAAAGCTTTGATGTTCTCATGTGCCATAGCCGTATCGACATAGCCGTTCATGTCCATAGCTCCGAATCTTGGAGCTTGACCCGGTGCCCTCGGAGGCGGAGCAGTATCATCCATCGTGAGATCGATGAATTGTTGGAGGTTCTTGGACGCGTTTGATATCTTTGGCGGAAGAGGCTTAGACTGATAAATAGGTCTAGGCGCTCGAGGAGTTGTCCAAGTGACATTTTCAGGGCGTTTGATGCTCACTGCGCCATGCTGAAAGCCCCCACGGGGGTTATTGTAGGCCGACGGCGCCACCGGTTTGAACGGATCCCATGGCTCGCTTCGTTTCACTGACGGTGTAGCAGCACTCGCAGTACCCGATGGGCGATAAACTTGAGGCGCACCACTCTGCGGACCATCTTGGCGTGACTGGGGTGGAGCGGCGGGTCGATGGTGTTCGGCGCGAGATTGATTCGGTTTCGGAATGTTGAAAAGGTGGTTTGATCTGTTCTGCTGCGGGCCGATCGGCGAGGGTCTCCCAAATTCCGGTCCTTGGATATGTGCGGGGCGTGGCTGCGCGCTTGGTTTGACCGCCGGAGTGAGGGGCTCCGTTGGCGCGGTGCTTTCTCTGGCCATGTTGGATAAACAAGCGGTGTGTTTTGGAAGCAGGGAGGGTTCTCGTCAGATGGGTGATGGGTTTCTACAGAACGATGGAGGTCGTTGAGTTTACTGAGTACTAGAATCGCAAATGGTCAAGGCTCAGTACATCAACTCGGCGTAAAGACGGAATATGGTCAGAGCACTGGAATGCAAGGTCAGTCTTTGTCTTTTGTGTGCAGGAATCCTCGAGCTTCGCTGAGACTTGGGTCGCAGAGTATGGTGACAGAGTCCCAAACGAAAGTACTCCGAATATGCAGCAAAATAAACAATTCAGGAGTACCGACCTAGATCATAGCAGGTTTGATCCGAGTTGTGTTGTCGGTGGTGGGGGTTTGCAAACATCAAAGTCGAAGGTCGTTATCGATATCGGTTTTGTTTGGGGGGGGCCCCTAGCAACCAGTGATGCCTCAGGCAAAAGCCACAACGCGTGGCCTCCCTCCCACATCTCGGAACCTCGATACATGTCGGTTGTGCTGTGCTCACTCAACCCAGCGATCTCACACAACCGCTTCGTGGTAACCCCCGCATGCTCACCTGTGTGCTGATCTGCATACTCTGTTCTCGGGGTTTGTGATGCTAATTCTGGGGTCTGTACCGGGGACAGGGGCAAGCTTTGGGATGATTCTCCCTATCCTCCTTTGTGAGATCTGCCTCGGTGTATTATATAGCTGGCAAGCTTTGCATACCTGACACAAGGACGAGGAATCGGCACTGTCTTGATCGACCGTATTAGCCCTGGGCACGAGACACCGAGGAAAACGATCCTGTACAAAGTGAATACCCGCTGGGATTCCCCACGACCATTATCTCCCATGATGATGTATTCGAAAGCGAGGGCGTTCTTAAACTTGGAGGAGAAATGGATCCAGCAAGACAGGATCCCGAGATATGCCGTCTACCAGGATCAAAGTCAGGTATGCGAAGCGTGCCAGCTAGCAAATCCACCGAGGCAGATCTCGGGAATCTCACAATACCCTCTTGCTGGGTCCAGTTCTTCTTGAACTTTAAGAACGCCCTGGCATTCGAATACATCAGCCATTGGAGATGACATTTTGTGGAACCCTAGGGAGTATTTCACTTTTGTACAGGATCATGCTCTTCGGTGTCTCGTCCCCTACACGGACTGGACCTGGGAGGCCGACGATTCAAACGCCGACCAGTTCCTTGGTCTAACGAACAGTCCAGTTCATGACGGATTAAATATAGACATACCGACGGTGGACAGAGCAATCATGGTACGTCACCTACTTTCTACGTCTTCCCCCACACATTAGAACCTCGAGGCTGGACCGAGATAAGTTCCTTCTCAGTGAGAATGGCCTTAACACGCACGGCCCAGATGTTGTAGTTTTCCGAACCCTTGCGGGCTCATAACCTCTACTTCCACAACTGAATCCAACAAGCGAAGACACAAAAATGTCATCATCTGTCGAAAAGGTCTCAGTCCCGAAGCTCAAGGGTTCGGAAAACTACAACATCTGGGCCGTGCGTGTTAAGGCCATTCTCACTGAGAAGGAACTTATCTCGGTCTTCCCCCACACGTCTCCGTCATTCCCACCTCAACTCTAACTCTATCTACCCAAGATAAGATCAGCATGCCTTTATGTGTAGACGATCTGATTAGAAACACTCCTTTCACGAATATAAATTTCACCCAAAAGTTACTTGTTCAAATCAAGATCTCTCCCACGAATCGCTCAACTATGCCAAAAAAAACTCCATACCTAGCGCCAATCTTATCCATGTCAGTTGCTCTAAGATTCAAACCTCGCCAATAACCCCCTTCAAAATCTCAGGAACAATGACGCCAGCGTCTCCCTGGAAGAACCAGTCACCCTTATGAAGCTCGCCGGGTGAATCCTTGAGATCTATATTGACCACTGCGATGCGAGCACCCTTCGAACGGGTTTCATGAATATATCCCGCAGCCGGCCATACTCGTGCACTAGTTCCAATCACCAGGCACAGGTCAATCGGACCTTCCGCAATCCAGTTATCGACGTAGGCAAGCGTCTCTTCCGGTAGCGGTTCTCCGAACCACACGACGCCTGGCCGCAGCAGGCCATCCTTGCATTTGGGGCACTGTGGCAGATCCTTTCTATCCAGTTCGGCGATGGGATTGCTGGCATCTGAGATGTCAACCTCGTTTGCGGTGCCGCTTAGCGCTTCACCTAGCGCTTTCGATGCTGCCTCGCCGGTCTTGTCGGATTCGGATGGATGAAGGCCTGATAGCTTTTTCGGGATTTCAAGGGCGGGCACGATTGGGTCTGTAAAGTTGGACTCGCTGTAGTCACAATAGAAATCCGTGCATTTGACGTTGAATAGAGTGCCATGGAGCAGATGGAGCTGCTTTGAGGGGTGGTTTGCTCGCTGGGATAGACCTAGGTGAAGCGCAATCTTATCAGTATGCAATAATACCAACACAAGGGACTGGTCATTCATACCGTCGACATTTTGAGATAATGTGATAAAGTCTTCATTCCTTCGAGATAGCTCCGCTAACGCAAGGTGTGCTTTGTTGGGATTGGCCTGTAAGGCCATGTGTCGTCGGTAGCTGTAGAACTGCCATACAAGGCCCGGATTCTCGTCGAAGGCCTCCGGAGTTGCGAGGGAGGTAGCATCGTGTGAACGCCATATTCCGCCAGCGCCACGGAACGTGGGTAGACCTGATGATGCTGATATTCCAGCTCCGAGAACAGCGACGATACGCTTGCAGCCTTTCAAGTACTCAGTGAAAGACTGAAGATCGGCAGCCGGAACAATGCCCTTTGCGACTGAAGCCATCGCGTTTGAGTGAGAATCGTTAAGAATCGAGATGGAGGTAAGCTAATCGGAGGGAAGCTCGGGCTTTCAAGGTTCAGCCGCAGTGGAGATGCGGGGAATTTCGATCCCTTTCGCGCCTAATCTGTAAGGCGTCAAGCTCTACATCCGAGACTGATCTATCACAAAGGGACTGCGAAATGAAAGCATCAAGTAGGATAACATGTTCATTGCCACCAGTCATAAACAATTGATATAAGAAAGTATCGTCTGGTGTCTGACTACTTTATGCTTCGAACTTAGGTAGTATATCTCCAGGAAGATTGACAAACCTAATATAACTATGAACCTAGGACGGAAGGATGTAAACCACGAGGCACCACGAGACTGTAAGTAAAGACAGGTGGCCATGGGACATTTATTGAAGTATCATGGAAAGAGGCCGGACTATGGAAGTACATACCACTACGCCCGATCAATGAATTCCTAGGTGCATCTCACAAAAGCAATGTAAGAACTCCTCAAATCCCTAAAGACAAAGGATGTTGACTAGCCTTTGCTGAATTGGACTGTCAATGGTCAATGGTCATTCGTATGTAGACATCCGTCCATATAAAACGTCTAGCGATATGATTGTTCCATTGAGGTAGAGCTTCTGCTAAATCATGAGAAATCACCATACAAGCAGTCATACGAAGTCAAACACCTCCAAGATATCCAACACAATGGCATGTCAGATCGCAACATCACCACCGAGTTCACCACATGAGAAAGGCTGAAAGCCATAATCCTTTCTCGCTTTACGAAACCTACGTACTTACATTAGAACCTATGGAAGGCTACAAAACTTAGTGAAACAGAGGTATATTACCTCCTAGGTATCTCCTGATCAGAAAAGTGAGGTAAATTCAGAACTGACGACCGAGAACGCTACCTCACGGGGTTGGTAAATCGTCATACCACGTTCTCCAGGTATCGCATGAATCATTTGTATTGATCAATGTGGATTCGTTGACGAGCCCTGTGGTTACCTATCCATTCTGGTCAGCAAACTATATGGTGAGTTTGACATAGCTCAAGACACCGACATAGCTGTTAGGGGCTGCAGAGGTTGGCAGTTCACCGGCACTCTGGTTGGGAGCAATGGGTATCATCTCCTTGCGTTCGGATTGCGACTCACAGTCACGGTCATTGCTGGCTCCATCATCCTCAGTTGATCGTTTCAAAGGATTAACATTTCTTGTATGGTCAGCCACTGTAGCTGTCCAGCCGCTAGACTGATCGGAAGATTGGGGCGCTGGAGTAGGGCCAACAGCCTCCTGCATAGCCTTCGTAATCTCCCATTCTAGCTGTAGCTCCTTTTCAATTTTAAGAATCCCCTTCGGGATCGTGAGACGACCATCCTGATAGGCATCCTGCAGTCTCATCTTGGCTTTGGCATCGTTTCCAGTAGGGGCCAGTCCATAGTGAAGAACCTGGGCCCTGTACCAGTGACCAGGATGGTCGGGGTTGGGGAACTTGAATCGAAGTCTGGTACAGAAAATCCTCCAGAGGACCTCCCACTCCGCCCGTGGGTGGGTGTAGTTGTCGGAGGTTGTGGCAAAGAAGGTGTCGTTGTCGAATGTGAAACAACCGTGTTTAGTCGGCTCCATCGTGTGCTCCAGTATGAAGAAGAACAAATGAGGTAGGCGGATAATAGATGGATGAGAGGCGGGTATAGGGGAGGAAGAGGAGGGGTCTTTCGGTCAATTGCTTGAATAAAGTTATATGTGTCCGGTTGACGTCGTCGCTGTCGCCGTCGCCGAGTTGCGACCCGTCCGCGACGTCGTTGGATAATGTCGTGGATATCTATACCCTTGCGACAGAGTGCTACCTAATACACCAATGGAGCACCTTCCACGGTTCTGCCTACTTCAAAAGCCATGCATCTGACAAATAAGCACCAGTTAGAGACCGTTGGACTCATCACAGGGAGCACTACATCGGACTCCAAAGCGGCGCTGGTCTTCATTCTCCAAATCCCAGGAAATCAGTCATGGCATACCGAGTCATGAAGGTTTACAGGAAGCTATATACAATCTACCAACTTGTCATTGAGGCAGCATATTGATAGAAGTCATAGGACACCGGGATATCGTCACCTAGGTAGGTCGTTATCTCGTGAAGCTATCAGGCTTACTGTTCCGTGTCTTTCTTCAGCGGACTTTGGAGGCCCCAAGGAAAAGCATGACCAGCTTAATCCCATGAACCTTATGGCCTCAATGCCGACGATGTCATGTTCAAAGATGGTAGGCAAGTAGATATGCGGCATTGGGGATTTGTTGAACATTACCTTTTAGGCTACGCTTGTGATTGTGTGTGCTACCTAGCCCATGGGCGTGGACTGACCATATCTCTGACCAGAAGTGACTGTATGTGAGAGCTTCCTCTGTACGGCAATGCATATAAAGCCTGAGTACTGCCACTACCCAGGGGCTCTACGGAAGTATTTGAAAGTAAATAGGCTACTCACTACCAGACTGTGAATTTTATGAATGATATCGCGCATTCAACCAAAGATTCACCAAAGCAGACATTGATACAGGAAGATTCTCCATTGTTTGTACCTTACACAGTAGAAGGTTGTCCCACGTTTCACGGGCGACGGGCCGAACTTTAGTGACAAGGCCCCCACCCGAGCTGCCAACTTCAACCCCCAACTCAGACCTCAACACCACCCTAACCAACAATAACTCGCCCGGTTTAATCAGATCGCTATGAATCCATCATCACCCCCGACAAACTCCAGACAGCTCTCCGCTAGTTCAAATCCACAATCAAGCACACTCAGTCATCGCCCCAGTCCGCGCCAACCCCAAGGCTCAGACACACCGTCTCCGACCAGAGCCAATGCCCCGATACCAGATGACGACCATGGCGCTGACCTACCTATGAACATGACTGCATCAGTGATGCTGACCAATCTGCCCCGAGATGCTCATCAGGCACTGGCGGATGTCGAGAGTATCGATGCGGGGAAAGGTAAAGACCACCTTCCTAGATGAGGTTTGGGAGGAATGACTGGATCATTTTCAAGGTCGCAGAACTTCTCTAACGACAACATAGTCACCGTTCGCTTTCAACCTCTCCCATCAGCTCCAATTCTGAAAAATCGAGTGTTCAAGGTTAGCGCTTCGCAGAAGTTCGAGACGGTTGTCAAATTTCTGCGCAAGAAGCTAGATTGCAAAGAGACGGATTCGGTCTTTTGTTATGTCAATAGTGTATTTGCGCCCGGGCTTGATGAGGGTATGGGTGGACTATGGAGAGTGAGTTCTATTATGTTTCATTTATGAAAAGGTGGGATATTAACTTCGCAGTAGTGTTTCAAAACGGACGATCAATTGATTGTCGCCTACTCGATGACGCCAGCATTTGGTTGAGTACCACGAAAAGCCAGGAAACCCGACGATGATGCTATGTACAGATGATGATGATAATGATGCTCAACACGAGCTATTTCCAAAATGGCCATGAACAAATAAGGCGGAGATCACGTCTCCTGGAAGACCTCATCCACAGTCTTCTGGAACCCCGCCAGCTCCTCCTTTGAGATCGGATACGTGTATTCCCCAGAAGGAAACGCCCGACTCTTAACCTCGGCACGATACATAGAGATACCACGGGCAGCCTCACCCCATACATCCGCATACTGTTTAACAAACTTCGGAACAAATCGGCCAGGCTGGTAATTCCCAGACATGTCAACCTGGACAAGAACCTGACCTGAGCAACCATTCCCAGCACCAATGCCGATGGTTGGAATCCGCAGCTTCTCTGTTATAACCGTGGCAACCTCCGATGGCATCGCCTCAAGAACGATCATAAACGCCCCAGCCTCTTGCATCGCCAGTGCATCCTGCAGCAGCTTCACAGCGCTAGCAGCCGTTTTGCCCTGAACGCGGAAGCCGCCAAGAGCATTCTGCCGCTGAGGCGTAAGGCCCACATGGCCTACGACCGGCACGCCGGCTTGTGTAATGCGCTTGATAGTGGGCGCGAGTTCCTCTCCACCTTCGATCTTGACGCTGTGAACGCGACCTTCCTTCACCAAACGCAAAGCCGACGCGACAGCCTGTTCCGCACTCACTTCGTATGAGCCCATCGGGAGATCTCCCACCTGGTATCAGAGCAATCGTCAGTCTATGCTGTCGCATCATGGGAACCGAACAAAGCTTACAAGGAACGCCGCCTTCGCCCCGCGCGCAACACTCCGACAATGCAAGATCATCTCATCCATTACGACCTCACTTGTGTTCTCCAGCCCCAACGCTACCATCCCCAAGCTATCCCCAACCAACACCATGTCCATCCCCGACGCATCAGCCACATGCGCACTGGGGAAATCATGCGCCGTGAGCATAGTAATCGGTTCCCCCTTCTCATACAGCTTCCGAAGCGTCTGGATAGTGACCTTCTTGCGAGTCGTTGCATTCAGGTCGGGCATCGGCGCAGAATAGGAACTATGTCGAGTCTGGAAGGAATGTGGTGTCGGAGAGGTAGAAAGTATCCCAGAACAGCGAATTGTATGTGTAGGTTGCGTTCGGATAGAAGGTATCACTCTGCTCCTCAATATCGTCGACGCAATCGCTGTGCGCCGCAGCGCATGGCCCGGCGCGGCCATCGTGGTTGCGTTGTGGTGTGGACGTGGTCGCAGATACAGAAACTAAAACCAATCTTCCAACGTCCAATGGTTCTTTTCCCCAGTATGAAAAAGACAACCCCTATACAATGTACAACGCCTCAGCAACGGGCAAAGAGTAGAACAGCAACGAATGACCTCAGCGGCAAACCCGAGGTAGCTCCGCGCAGACTTCCGCAAATAGACAAGAAACGGTGTGAGTCTGAGTCAAAGCGAGATAGTGTATATATGAAGTAAACAAGTAGAACCACCTAGTGTCTTCGAGGCAGGACTTTGTATAATCAAACACCCATCCGTCCGGAACTAACGTGCTGTGTTATTCGGCGTAGATGCGGGCATCAAAAATTCTTTGAAGATCTTCGATTCTGCCTCCGGGGCCGACTGGCCGAGTACCGAGCCGTTTTGCGGGGGTTAGCTAACTCTACATCGCGTTGCTGATTATGAACATGAAGTTCTGTAATTAGTGCTTCAGATGAAATTGGAGTAGTATATGATGTTTCTTCTTAAGATAATTTTATGATTTTTATCCATCAAAGCTCCCAGTATGCTGCCAACAGAGCCTCCAGGGAAGCTCGAATGCGTCCAATCGTGGTGTACATAGCTCTCACCGCCCGGCAGTCTACGTCACCGCCTGCAGCTGAGGACGCCGAGGTGATTACCGCTTTGGGATAGGTGTGAGGATTGACATTGCAGCAGCTAGTCTAGATTTACGTTGTAGGAAAGAGTATTGGTTTGACAGCAGAAATTTCAATTAGCACAATACAAGCTGTGTAAACAGATACAAGCTGTCTAAACAGATCATCCAATCAAGTAAATGCTTGCTCGGGTAAGTGTCACGAGAATGGAACAATGAAGTCTCTACAATTAGAGGCTGTCTCGGGACTGGGGTGTGTCACATCGGAAACACGTACTCCGCCAGTGAGAATACACAACGGGATGTTGGTGAGGATGAAAGATAGCCTCGTGGGATCAAAAAGGGGATAACAATGTCATGTGGAATGGTGTGCAATGCAAGGATATGGATCCTTGACTATAGATGGGTCCATGTTGCCTTGACTTGTTCGCAACGACCGGGAAAGAAAAGAGCCAAAAGATGGCACAGCATCGACGTTGGGAGGTCAGTTGCTGTCAAGCGGTGGTTGGGGTCTGATTGCGAGGTCGAAGGCAATGGTGTAAAAGTTGATAATCAATACAAGTCGGAAGAAGTGAAGTAAAGAAAGGGTGTAAACGAGTGGACGGCCTCGATTGAGGACAGCAAGCAGACCAATTTCTAGAGGTAACCTGTCCTTGGTGCCGCAGATGCAAGAGAAAAAGGGAAAAAGAAAACGCCACCATGCATATGCGTCGATGCCGAGGGTATTGATTATGCGAGGACTGAGATCCAAATCGGGCATGACGGGCGGAAATGAAAGTTGCAACGTGGCAATGAAAAGATAAGTTGAAGATAAAAACCGACCTCAAGATGCAAAGGTAATTGGACAGAAATGAGGTCAAGGTCCAAAGAAAATCATGAAATGCTGTGCGAAGCAGCAAGTCTATTCGTCAAAGTAATTCGTAGTCGTCCTTGAGCGGGCGCTGGATTTCAAATAGCAACGCATCGAGTTCAGCCCAGTTCGTCGAGTTCGCGGCAAACCGGCGATGTTTGCGAGTCATAGTATGCTAAAGAAAGGTCAGCATGGATGGGAATACAACCCACGGATAGGGATTTAGATCATACCTCTTCAAAATCGTCAAATTTGTCCCGGCAGTTCTCGCAATACCCAGGCTTGGGATCTCTGCGTCGCTCAGGCTTCTTCTGCTGTTCCTTGTCATCCCTCTGGCGCTTCGAACCAGCAAGTTCAGACTGCTTTGCTTGCTCCCCATTGTGGCGGAGGTTGGACTTTCCGGGGGGTTGAGGTTATTCTTCATGGGGATGGCGGTAGAGCCGTCACCTTGACGTTGAGGGGCAGCCATAGACCCGGTCACGAATCCACCGGTGCCCTTCTCGAGGACTTTGCGCTGTAGGCCATGAACCTCCTTGCTGAGCCCGGCTTTTGCGCCAGGTACTGCAGCAGTAGACGAGACCATCTGTGATCGGATTGCGGATGTAACATTGGATGGTTGAACACCCGAGGCGGCTGGCTCGCATACAGTGTAGAAGGGCCCGCTACGAGGGATGTGAGGGGGGATGAAGCTTTCAGAGCTCTTTCTTTCACGTGTCTCATCCAACGATGGCTTTTCCATCACAGGTTGGATCGGGGCCGTAACATGCTGTTCTTGTGTCACCGACGGCTTATAGTCGGCGACCTCAGTTGTAGTCGTGCCTTCAGTCGCTCCTTGAACCGGCGCAACTGCTTCCGGTTTAGCATCATGCTTTCCATTCGCCGTACGGGAGGCAATCTTCTTCTCCTTCTGGGCCTGATGCAATCTGCGATCATGTTCTTTCCTGCTTGGGGGCTCGTCGATAAAGGGGCATTTTCCGAGAGGGGCGCTTCTGAACTGGGGCCAAGTTCCATCCTGGCGTTTGGCGACTCGGGGATATTCTCGAACCATGACTGGTTTGCTCTTCTCATTCATGTCGTGAACGTAGATGAAAGGCCCTTTGAACATCATCATTTCCATCGATGCAAGTGGATCACGATCAGATGGCCCATTGACAAGTTCCTGACGAAGGAGCCGCGACAAGTCTGTTTCGCCCTTGCCATGGGTGGCATGGCCACCTGCAGCCTTCGAGCGACTACCACAATCCCATGAGGCGATCTCACTGTCATTGATAGTCGTGATCATACGCTGAAGCTTTTCCAATGCCCAAATCTTCATCCCCATCTTACGAGCCCGTTGCAGAATGTCGGCATTCCTCATGAGAAAATTCAGGTGATCCCCGCGGGTGGGTTTCTTAAACAGGAGCGATGGATTGACTGTTTGCATGGTGGCATCGCCATTGCTGGCGGCGGTAGTTACTTCCGATTCTGCTGGGGCGGTTGACTCCGGGGGAATAGTTCGGGATGTAACGACGTGGGTCACCATAAGGGAAAAGAACTTCTCCTCGCGCTAGATTCAACCCAGGTTAGACATGATCAGACCAACGCCTTGATATCGAAGGGACAGAAAAGTAAGGTGCAAGGTACACTTGTGCGCTATTGAGTGGATCTTCATAACTTACAGCTCCAAGCGCGGCGACCTGACGAGAGCACCGTCGTCGAAGGTCTTCGGGAATGTTGTCAAAGTAAAAGACAAACGAAGGGAATGCCTTCCTGTAATGTTTCTGCCATTGTCGAATAGACTCCCTAGTATGTTCTGTAGGCTTTTCAGCCTTGACTTGCTTCACCACCGGCTGACGATCCTTCTCCCTGGCTGCTACGAGTTTCTTTTCAAACGCACTTGGATTGGCATTATTCGATCTCCTGGTGAAGAGTTTCGAGTCCGTGTTCGTAGTCTGGCACGTGGCGGTGCGACTTCCATATTCAACACCCTCCATCACTTGTTTCTTTGGCGGAGGTTGTCCGTATGGAATCTCCATTTGAGTAGATCGTGATCGTTTAGCTGGCAGTATGCCTGTCCTGTGTGGAGAATTGGTTGCATTCGGCACGTTTGCAAGAGGCCGGCGAGTCGCCATGTTCATGGAGTTTCGGGGCGAAGGAGGCACGAATACAGTTGCCATTGGGAAACAGCTTCCCAGGCTTTAAGACGCGTTGTAGAGTGACTATGATCCAAGGTCAAAGAGGGGCACTCAATGAAGAGCACGCGACGTGCTACACGTGTTTCCAGGAGTTCAGGAGTTTAGCGGATGCACATTGTAGCACGAAAAACCAAGGAGTAGCTGAATGAGAGAGAGACAATTCGAAGTGTTCTGTTGGGGGGGAAAGAGAAAGACGAGGTGGAGGACCTGGAAGAAGAAGAAAGAAAGAGAGAGCGTGTGGTGTGGAGACTTAGTTTGTTTTGGGCGGAGGCCCGACAACCAACAGCGCGTGAGGGAACATCAACATTGCATTCTTCAACCGCGAAGGATTCTTTCCAGGCTTCTTTCCTTCTTTCAATTCATTTTCAATTTCATTCTTTCAAATGGCTATTTTGCCAAATGCTTCTCTTCTTAACATCATAGTAAATGACCAATCGACTCCAACCCCCCCAAAACCAGCCCCCGATCAGACCAAAACGACCCTAGTCCAGCCACCACACAGTAATCCAGGCAAGGATAATCCTTGATGTGGATTGCACGGAGTACGGAGAAAGTAGGAAGAGTGTTCAGATGTTGTTATTTGATGCCTTATGCTACTATTATACATGGGAATTGAGGGTATCTTGCAGTTACTGTATGTTATATCACATCTTAACTACGCAATGCCTCGATATCCTCGACCTATTCCAGATTAGCGACCGATAAAGCTGAAGAATATTAGGATTCACATACCTCCTTGACAGCCTCAGGGGTCAACACAATTGGGTGTTCATCTCCGACACAGACACTGTCCTCGATGCGAATTCCGATCCCGCGGAAGTGGGCGGGCCATCGCTCATCGTCCGGAACATAAATACCCCTGGCATGTGTTAGTTGATTTTTCATGTTTGACTGGAAAGGGGCTGGGAACGGACGGTTCAATTGTTATACATTGGCCTGCCTTCAGGTTGTAGCCTCTGGAATAACCAGGGCAGTCATGAACGTCCAGACCAATGTAGTGGCCCAGATGATGCGGGAAAAGAGTGCTCAGTGCCTAGTCAAGGTCAGTATGGTAGCCTGATGTGTGGGATGTTCGGATGCATACATTGCCAGAGATATCAAAGCCCAGCGACTTGAGCTCATCTTTCAATCCATTCTCGGCGATGCCATGGAGTTTATCCAACGAGAGGTTGGCGGTCTCACGACACAGAGAGAGACAGCTTCGGTGCACCTTCAGCACCGCATTGTACAGGTCTCGTTGCGGGTCAGAGAACTTGCCATTGACTGGCCATGTTCTAGTGATATCGGAGATGTAGCTTCCCCATTCCTGTTGGTGTGTTAGCATATGCAACCTACAAAGCCTGAGATCGTATGGTATACTACTTACACCACCACCATCAACGAGAACCAAATCCCCATCCCTGGATTTCAACGTCAGCAGAGTCTAATAACGGTCGAGGGAGGTGCACCAACTTCAATACGTCGTCATTGCGAGTGTAGTGAATCGCCAAGGCATTCTGAATTCGTCAGTATGAGTCTAAAGTACAACCAACCGGGAGGCTTACCTGACCACCCGCGACAACCGGGACGAAGGCGTTGCCATCGCATCCATTCGCCTTGAATTGATATTCAAGGAATGAGTAGAGATCTTTCTCTTTGGTGAAATCTTGGCGCATAGACTCGGTGAAAGCTCTCCCTGCAGCTTGGCCTAGTCGACGCATCTGTACAACCTCGTTTTCACTCTTGAACACCCGCATCTCATTAAGAATATGCTTCAAGGGCTTAACCCGCCGGTTCTCAATGACCTTCTTCAGCTTTTCCGACGCGAGTGTCGGTCCATACAGATAACGGTTCAAGGATGACCTTGAGCCATCAGATGTGGGGATGTCCGAGTAAACCTCCGTAGCTCCCTGGACGATACCAGGCAGAATATCTCCAATCCGTTCGATGTTGCCTGTCTGTTCTGGATATCAGCTCACGTTCGTCTAGTGGCCCAGCTAATAGTATTCCGCACCTCGTCCGCATTGAAGACATCCACGGCAGCTTGGGTGCCAGAGCGTGCCCCGTCCCATAATTCTGCCCTGGGATCTTTTTCCCGTACATATAAATGGAAGATATGATTGTCGCCCGAGCCGTCGTTCCCGATGATTGCCAGTGCATTCGGTTCGTTGAATCCTATCCGGCGCGCAAACACTTAGCGAATGTCCGCAGCACCACCGATGAGCCGACCTAAACCAACATACCTGTCAGGTAGAAGAAGTTTGAATCCTGGCGGTATTCAGTGAAGATGCCTTGCGCACGGTATTTGACCTCCGATGCAGCCAGGACCGCAATGGCGCCTTTTGGCAGCTTATTCGCGAGTTTCGATCGACGTTGCGCATATTCAAGGGCGGTGATTCCAGGCGTAACTATAACAGATCAGATTAATCATCACGGCTAATTGATAAAGGCAGTGACTCACGTTCGCCAGGACTGAGGATGTGGGGATGCGTCTCGTGCAACGGTTGCCCGAATTTGAGTTCCGCGGCGGCCACGGAGGTAGTGTAGCTACGAGGTAGAGGGTTGCATCTAGGTAATTGGCGTAAAGAATGATTCAATGGCCTATGTGATGCGCGCAGATAAACAGCGCATTGGCGAACAAGGGACCTGCATGTCGCCATACTTCCAAAATAACGAAGGTGATAAGAGTAAACTGTAGAACAGAGTTGTTATCGCCAGGTTCATGGGCCCGCGTCGGCGGTGTGGGCCAATCACCTCGGGTGGGTTTGGCATCGGACGCCCCCGTCCTCTTCGAACCACGCCCTGTCGTATTATCCTAGCTTCGATGCATCTGGGCACAGGTCATCCAATGAACCAACAGGGTCCGCACTTACTCTAGCCTATGCGGGGAAGTTCTGGGATGGACCTGCCAAAAAGGGCGTATGAAGGTCTGCCCTAGAAGACAGTAAATAAGACTCGGTCCCTTGTCTCAGCTCATCATCTATCTACTATAAATGCTTGTTTCATCTTTGCTTTCTTCTTGCTCTTCTCAGGCCCAAGGCAGATTATAGATTCTGCTATACATCATGGGACGCACTTTGGCCTATCCCAAGCGGGTTTCCAATACTGCCAACCGGTACAAGCACCGAGGTATGTCGGCACTCCCGCGGCCTGAGAATATAGGTCTCGATGCGGACATGAACATCTGGTACTAACAATATGATACAGCCACATATGACCTCGGACCTATTCATTCAATCATAAACGACTCTCAGGTTCTCCATGTATCTTTCAACCCAGGACCAGAGGACCCGTTCCCTGCGATCCTGCCTATGATTGGCCAAATGGGCTCATTCGAGTACCCCTCCGCCAGCATTGACGAGCCTCTGGACTGCTACCTCCACGGCTACGTCAGCTCACGGATAATGAACCTAGCCCGCAACTGCGGTGAGGAGGAGGGACTCCCCATCTGCGTGGCCACAAGCAAAGTGGACGGGCTAGTCCTCTCTCTCACTCCCAACTCGCACAGCTACAATTACCGCTCTGCTATCTTGCACGGCTATGCAACCCTGGTCACAGACGATGAAGAAAAGGTCTGGGCCATGAAATTAATTACGAACTCCGTTCTCGACGACCGCTGGGATCACTCGCGTGTGCCGCCAGACCGTGCTGAGATGCAGTCGACAGTCATCCTCAAGGTTAAGATTGTAGATGGCAGCGGCAAGATTCGGGATGGTGGTGTCTCGGATGAGCGAAAGGACTCTGGTAACGAGGAGGTTACTAGCAGTGTCTGGACTGGTGTTGTACCTGTCTGGGAAACGTTCGGGACACCTATCCCAAGTGGTGATAGTAAGGTCACCGAAGTGCCCGAGTATATTAGTTCTTATATCAGTCGCAAGAACACCCAGAATAGAGCTCTGGCTGAGGGTGCGGTGAAGGCTCCGCTGCCGCCTGCGGAGCAGCACTGAAGAGTACCCGAATGTTGACAGTATGGATTTTATGGTACAATGGCGTTGCTTGTGTTCCACATAGGTGGATAGGTGACTGTTATCTACTTCCATCTACGCAGTATAATGGTTCTTCAACGCCGACTACCTGGAACATAAATATCTCGAAAGGAAGGGCCTAGGTTCTAACATTAATTATTGGTACCCTCCAGCCCGATTTGTGAGATAAGGGAACCTGGGCTATGATTAAGTAGGCATAAACGAACCTAGTGGATGCATCAAGAGAAGGTCCAACAAAACAGACAACAATTAAAGAGATTCCGACACCAAAGCCCTAAACTCCAGGAGTCTACGAGTCTAGGACTTTCATGATCGCCGCTACTACATCATGGCCGCTAGCGATGTCGTTGTCTCTGTCGGTGGCCAGCTGCCTCGGAATATTGCCCTCCGTTCCCAGGAGACTGGCGGTGCTACTATTCCTTGGTACTAAACCTCTGGTCATCGGCAAGGCCGAGGATTGCCACAAGTTCTCCTCTATCCTCGACAACATTGGTGTCGATCAGCCCGCCTGGAGGGAATTGACCTCTGTCTCTGAAGCCGAGAAATTCGCCGAGGCTGCTCGTTACCCCCTTCTTGTTCGTCCCGGTTATGTCCTGTCCGGTGCCGCCATGAACGTCACCTACAGTGTCGATGAGCTCAAGGAGAAGCTCCTTAACGCTTCTGCCGTTTCCCCTGACCACCCCGTCGTTATCTCCAAGCTCATTGAGGGTGCTGAGGAAATCCACGTGGATGCCGTTGCCTCCAACGGTAAGCTCCCCCACGACCTGGACTGGTCCTCTCGCCATGATTTCCCCATACAAGATCGGAGCTGAAATTTAGGTTGTGTATCGTGCATTAGGTAGAGCTCAGTCTTTGTTGATAGATGGTGTGCATTTTCTTTTCGGCCTTTTTTTAATGTTATTCTTGGATTGGAATTGGTCTTTTCCATGTTGAATTATTGAATTATTGAATGATGGAACTGTTACATTACTTTCAGCTACTTCCAACTGTGCTGGCGAATTCAAGTCGGGTCGGGCGTAGCAGTTCCAGGTATACTGTGATTGATGTACATCACGAAGGGGTGCTCTATTTAGAAGACAGCCATTTCAGAAGGGCGTATTATAAGTATGGACACTGACACCGTGTGCGTTGAGGCCCAGGGAGTTCTAATATTGTGTCGTCTCGGCGAGTGGTAGAAGCTTTTCCATTTTATAAAGACTATGGATTGTACTTCATTCCATTTGCTCTAAGAGGCAGACTTGCTGATAATCGATCGATATGACGTGATGACTGGGTGGGCTTGGGGCCTGATATCAATTAGTCCAATCTTACAGCATACAATGAGAAGTCGAGCGGGTATGTGAGGCAGACCAACACTGCGAAGTCGGAGTCGGGGTGGTTTGTTCACCAAAAACCGATTATCACGCTATCCGCACATCCGTCGCGTGCATGCCGTTTTGTCCCCGTCTTGCAACGAATGTCACTGCCATGCCTTCCTTTAAAGTTGTGAAACCGCTTTCTTGAATCTCCTTGAAGTGTACGAATAGATTTTCGCCCGCCTTAGAGGTAATAAAGCCATAGCTCTTTTCATTGATGAAAAATTTCACAACTCCCTGCTGTCGCTCGGACATATTGGTTAGACTAGATTAATTGAACCACAAACAAATTAGCAAATTTTGACAACTTGAACGCCACGTGAGTAGATAGAGGTATGATACATACTTGTGCGGTTGATATATGTACGTATGTTGAGGAGTAGAGCTGTGAAAGGATGAGCTTTCTGGTTTAAGTAGTCAGGAGGAATGTAGGATATTCACCCTATATAAGATATTTGTAGCGTGCTTACAGTCGCAAATAGCGGTGAAGATGCAGCGAAAAGATGTGTTGTGACGTATTAATGTCGCACTTCTGTAAGGTTGCATTAGGGGTAGGTTTTCTGGTCCTGTGGGTTGGGCATGCGTGTCTACACTCTACACTGTCTAGTCAACTCCGATGGAATGCATAAAAATTACCGATTTTAGCGGCTCGTATTCTAATTTCCATAATGTATGTGTCGGTACGATGGTGCCTAGCAAATCCTATGAAACAATCGGTAAGGATACTGGTAATTTTGATTATAACCTACCTGTGGCGTAGGGCTAATGCAAGACCCGCTTTCCATCCGAGTTGACTAGAGAGTGTAAGGTTGCATTAGGGGTAGGTTTTCCGGTCCTGTGGGTTGGGCATGCATGTCTATTTGTCCTTGTGCTTGATGATGATTGCGGGCACTACTACTTCATGAAAACTTCCATGGTTGTGTTATGAGATACTGTATTGGTCAATGCGGGGCTTTCGGGCCACCCGGCCATTGCCTCATGTCGATCCCGATCATTAGGTCCACATCTTGAGCAAAGGGTGTTGAATTCAGTCAGTATTCCTGGATGAATGAAGTGGCAATGCCACGCCTATGTTTTCCTAAGGCTCCAGCAACCGCCGTTCGGTCAATTGCAGGACCGTCGAAGCAGGGTTGCGAGGTTGGAGAACGCACTCCATGGAACGATCTGCGTCGTGCATGGAGAACCCCAACCTCACTTAGCGAAGCACATACCGCACAACAGTATATAATTCCGTATGGAGCTGAGGGCTGCGAACCTCAGCGATCAGTTCAGCAATCAATCCTCAGTTATTGCTATCTCCACTTATTGCCCGAATCCACATAGATATAGACTCTGCGAAGACCAGGGTCTAACAAATATTCAGCTTTCTACCGGTAGACACAGTCTAAAGGCTACATTTCCACATAAGGTCATGAGTTATATTGAGGATAAAGACTCAGTATATAATATGGCTTCATACTTGTAACTGAGAAGAGAAATCGAAATGTAAAAATTCTACCGTACGAATGATTGCAAGGCCGATCGTGACCTGCATCAAGCCCTGGTCGATGTCTTCGGAGGTCATGGTACTACCGGGCCCAAGTCGAACGTAATAGGCTTGCTGAGGCGTCTCGCCATATAGACCCCCTCTCTGCCAGATATGATAGAGATACTCATTGATCGCAGCACGAGCCGCCTCCCAGGTAGCGGGGCCATTCTGTTCATCTTTGAGTGTAATGAGAAATGTTTCAACTTCTCGCTCGACTTGATCAGCAAAGCGGCGAACTGAGATAGAGCGAAAGTCTCCTAAGTTTGTAGCCAAAGTCTGTGCGCTCGACGGTATCAAGCCTCGACCTTGAAAACTACGGATCATGTTGATACCCGGGTATGACGTCTGCAGTTCATTCGTAATCGAACGGAGGGGACGCAAACCTCCTTCAAGTGGAGAGGTGGGTGTCTTCCACACATCGAATCGTTTGTCCACCTTGCAGTACAGACCAGCCATCGCAGCGCTGGCCCCTGGGAGGGATGGGAGTTTCTGCCCAGTCTGCAGAAAGCCAAGGATGGTAAACTGCAGCATGAGGAGTCGAAGGATAATGAGCGAGACTTCCATCCGCAAGATCAGAGCCCAGGATATGATGATATGAAGGGCTAGATATTGAAGAGGGGAAAGAGAAAGCCAAGACTTGTCAGACTTTATCCTGTATATATGTGTTCCACCACAATCCGCACATTTTCCCGGGCCCGTTTGAATTCCGTCCCGAGAGATGGATGCCGGGATGTGGGGAAGGACAACAGGACGAACAAGCTAGGCGGATCATGGATAAAGCTAGCTTTCCTTTTGGCCTCGGGTCGCGAGCATGCATTGGTCGAAACCTGGCAATGCAACAGCTCTTTGCCACGGTAAGCGCTGTGGCGAAGAGTGGGCGTACTGGAAGGAGCGACGACCTGCACCGAGAAGATCGAGCTGGTTGAATGGTTCAACGCAGAGATTAAAGGTCATCGCCTTGACATACAGTGGCTGTGAAGCTGGAGGTGAAAACATTGCCTGAGACCGTTTCAACGTAGATTTCTTTTCCACGTACTTGATATTGTTCCAAAATTGAAAGCATAGCGTGGAAACATCGTCCTTGTAGATATTCTAGTCGGAATCCTAGCCTCCTAGGTTCCATCATCCATGGCCATTCTGGTTGTTCCTCCGAAAACCCAAGCCTAGGAGCTTAGAGTTAGGCTCAAGCCTCAAATAGTAAAATGGTAGGTAGGCTAATTGAATAGCCGCCACCAAAAGATTGTTTTACCTAGGATCTAGGCCGCTAGGACGAACGGTCACGTTGATTACGCCCGTCCTTTTTGGATAGTTAGGCGATCTACATGCCGTACATGGGCATGGGCCCCGCTTCAGGGCCGCCCTGCCCGGCATGCGGGGCTGACTCATCGCCGAATCATCAGCAGGCCCGATGAAGGTCGACCTTTTGGCGATTTCCCCTCTTCATCTTGTCCTCTTTACTGTGTAACGATCTCTCAGAACTGATCTGAACATTCATTGACTTGCAGCTAATTCCAGTGCTATCCTCCTCGCCGTTCCGAGCCGAACTCTTCCACCTCCATTCCCCCCACCATCTTCCCGCTCCGAATTCCGATTGCGGCATACCTTCTTCAGTCAAAGGCAACTGCACACTACATCTATCCTTCGTGGTTATCCCGGGGTCTGTACTGTTATCGGCATCGCAACCCTCGATATTGGATAAATCCCCAATAAATCCGCCAATATGAGCAGCCCTAAGCGCAGAATCGAGACAGATGTAAGTGATGTCATGGAGATTCCGATGCGCCCACGAGTTCTCTGGAATACTAACGACGGGGTTTGTGCAATATTCAGGTCATGAAGTATGGTTCCTTGCCTTCAACTCGGTTTGATGGCGTACGTACTAACCTCCAGCTAGGATGTATGAACGCCAATCCCCTTCTCCTTTCAATGTGGCCACCGCCTTTCGCAACCAGACCCCTTGGCCCTGATGAAGAAACCCGGTTATGGTTGGTTACGGGGAATAGTCTGACACTGTATCTAGGCTCATGAGTGACTATGAGGTGACTCTTGTCAACGATAACAGTAAGGACTTATCCGCCTCTAGCTATGGTTCTATGCGCTAACTATGGGAACTTAGTGTATGTACTCCCCACATCCCACGATACAAAATCTACATCATTCGGAGGTTTCGCATACCAATTTCTATTACCAGGCAAGAATTCTACGTTCGTTTCAAGGGTCCGGAAGAGAGTGAGTTATGCGCATGCCTGCGAGATATCACTTCGTACTAACTCTAGTAGCACCCTTCAAGGGTGGCCTCTGGAAGATTCACGTTGAACTCCCCGATCAATACCCATACAAGAGCCCGAGCATCGGCTTCGTCAACCGAATCTTCCACCCAAATATCGATGAGTTGTGAGTCAACAAGATTGCATCACTGGTTGCTCAGCAATTAATAACAACTTCGCCATAGGTCTGGCTCGGTCTGCCTCGATGTGATCAACCAAACATGGTCGCCGATGTACGACATGCTCAACATCTTTGAGGTCTTCTTACCCCAACTCCTCCGCTACCCCAACCCCTCGGATCCACTCAACGGCGAGGCCGCAGCTCTGATGATGCGGGACCCCAAGCAATACGAAGCGAAGGTCAAAGGTTTGTTACAAACGATACGCTACACCTACGTCAGTCCCTCCGCCATATTAACATCCCATCGATAGAATACGTTGCAAAGTATGCCAGCAAAGAAGCCGTCGACGAAGCCGAAGAGGACACCGAGTCCGAAGATGAGTTGAGCTCGGCCGGGAGTTACGAGTCTGGTGGTGAAGAGCCAGCGGGTACGATGGATGACGTCTGATCCACTGCATTGCGACAGTATCAGGTCTGAGATCTACTCGGCACATATTGCATCACTCAACTCTATTCGATATCCATGCTGGGACTGGGTGAGCGGGCGTTTTTTTTTCTGACCTTCCATAGTAAGGGAGTTGTTTACATGTACCACGGGTTTTACATGTAGCACTGGGGTTTTTCTTATTTTACTCGAGGTATCTCTTTTCGTTTCCCGCTTGTTATTACTTACTTCAATGCATCCAAGGGGTATTTTTTTTGCCAATTACAGTCTTCCTCAAGCCATTCTTGATTGGCAAGTTGCTGCTGAAGCTGCTCAACTATCGCAAAGAGGGTCTATGGTAGCCGATTCGTTATTGCTTCCTTGTAGCACGTGGCCTTCAATGTTGTATGTAGTTAACTCGAAATTCTGGCCATACATACCGAACCCAAGTCCATTTGACAGGGCTGGAATATCCGGGACTTACTACTTAGTTTAGATGTCCCTGCTTACAACCTCTGGAAGAGTCACCTTATAGAATGTAGTTCAGATTGAGTGTATATGTGAAAGATAACAAAGATAAAGTCTGACGGTCCAAAAAGGCGACAATGCATACTGAACTAGAACGATGATATGAGAAGAGAAACAAAGCGAAGGAAAAGTAACCAAAGCACGCCAAGCAGAAGATCAACGCGGAGAATGATGAACATCCGAAACAAAAGAAAAAAGTCTGCGCCATCGCGTATTATAGCGAGAAAGCCCGGAAAGGGAAAAGAACGGCTATGTATGTGCGAAAAGAAACAGTCGGCCTGCGATCAATGCAAGAAACGAAACCCTCAAACAGCGCAGCGCAAGGAAGATATAACCAAAACGGGTCATCCAGTACCCATATCTGCATCCCTCGATTCAATGCTCACACACCCCACACCCTTTTATTCGTGTACATCGTCATCATCAATGTGCTTAATGTACAGAGAAGATGCATGACCCAGAGGCCTCGGTCTCAGTCTAGCTTAGGAGACATTCAGCACCCCAAAGACATCATGGTTGACCTTGGAATCTGACTTGATATCGGTGCGAGACCGTTTCTTATTCGGATTGATGATGACCTCGCCCCAGTGTTTCGGGACGGCGCCTGATGCGCCGGAGCCCGGTCGGCTTGGCGGTGACGTCCGGTGGGTGGATGGCACGGGTGATTTGCCGGCTGGGCCTGATGGAGCGGGATGTTCAGATAAGGGGGTGTGGAGGGTTGCTTGGGGTTGAAGGTGTGGTTGTGGTTGGAGGGACCAGATATCAATGACGGAGCTGGGAGTGACGATCAGCAACGGGTCAAATTTCCGATTTGAATTTTTATTTCTGCCGCAAGGGAGAACGGGGGATTATTCGCAATAGTGTACTTACTCTGATGTTCGCTGGCAAATGGATTCTAGCGCCTCCCTCTCACGTCTCACATATTCCGGATCCGGTTGGCTGGCTTGCTGGGCGTGGTTGAGGGCTCCATAGCCATATCCTGACTGATAAGGGTCTTCCTCGAGTAGACGTGAAGATTCGGGCTGGAGGAGGAGACATATATATTAGCAAGCTGCAGTTTCAAACAAGTATCTGGCGTTTTGCGCAGTAAACCGAGGGTAATGCGCATTTGAATCTGGTGACGGATGATGTCGGTTCTGGGATCGCAACTCACCTCAGGAGACTCGTGGCGGTTCCCGCCAAGGCAGGAGGCACAAACACCCATTTATGGGGATCGAGTTCAAAATCGAATCTCAGAAACGGGGATGGGTTGGGCCTGCACGTTTGCGCTATGCGAGGGCTCGAGGCCTTGATCGGCCCAATGGTTCAGGTGGACCTCAGGTGGTGTATGCTTTGGCGTAGTGGTTGTGAACACAAATGGGGGATTCGTGAGCGAAAAGGAATGTGAGAAATGCAGAAAACAGATTTGAACTGAAACAATGGGCGCAGTATGGGAGAGTCACACTGTCGAGTGTCGACTAAAGGACTTTCTCGACGTCGGAGGTTGAGGCTGGGCGTTATCGCGGTGCATAGCGACCATCGGTGACGTTATTCTAATTGGCCGTTATTGCGGGCAGAAACTGTGCTCATCTCCCGACGAATGACAATATCGGTTGGAATATACATGGGTACTATTCATGATGCATTTCTTCGACTTCGCTGCTCTCTATCAGCAAGATCAAACAATTACTGTGAGTAGAGAAATTCAGTGATTGATTTCATATTTGTCGCATGCATATAAGTTTATGAAAGGCGGATATAAAGGCGGTATAACAAGGTAGACCAATCAGTGCAAGCCCCTGATGGCCGCTAAGCGGCGGAGGTCCGTGCCATGTCATCGGGCCGTGGCCGCAGCCGTGGAAACATCAATTTTCTTGAACATTACGATTTACGACCATATCCCCTCTCCTATCCCACCCACAATGTTCGATCTACCAAATGCCAAGCGGTAAGCATCGAACCGGGATCTATATACTAAGTTTAGCAGCTAACAATGTCCCTACAGCGTCCGTCGCGATGACATCGGCGGTACCCCAACATCTTCCCGCTCACCCTCACCAGCACCAGACGACGCCGCCGCCCAGGACGCATACGCCCGTCTAGGAAAGCTCCTCAACCTCGATCAATTGAATACCGCACCAGAACCAGTCATTTCAGAAAGTGGCGCCCCACAACCCGCGGACGACGAGGACGATGAACAAGAATTTGAATTCCGCCTCTTCAGTGCCCCCGCTAAATCAGCAGAAGACAGCACGAAGCAATCAGACAAGGATGAAAATACAGATGCGAAGCCGGCTGCGACACAGAAACTGAGGATTCGGCTACACTCACCCACCCCGGGTTCTGGCGGCGGCGAGGGACGATTCGTGAAAACTTCGCGCGGTTGGGATTATTACTTCTCTACCCCGTCTTTGCAGGGAAACCGCGGAGATATTTCCTCCGAAGAGGAGAGCCGCATCGCTGAGAAGAAGAAGCAGTTTGAGGCCGTGGCTGTTAGTGGGCAGCAGATGTTGACTTGGGCACAGTCGTTAGTCTGGGTAATTATGTTCACCCGCTCAATTTGCGCTGTCTTCCGCTAACATACTTTACAGCCCGGCTGCCATCTTCCTTGGCGAGTCATCCACCTTAAGCGCCATCAAACCAAAACTCCGCGACCAGCCAACAGCCCCCCTGTTTATGTGATAGACGGTGTGCCTCTCTCCAAGAGCCCGCTTACTCGCAAGAAGCCTGGGAAGAAGCGACGGGTGCAGCTGCGCAAGCGGGCTGTGGCAGCGCAGGTTGCGAAGGAAAACGAAGCTGAAAAGCGAACTCGGAAAAACCGAGAGAGGAAATTGAAGCGTAGACAGAAAGCGAGAGAGCAGAAAGCTGCGGCGGCAGGTGTCAGTGTTGAGGATATTGCCATGGCTGATGGCAATGATTCATCGGGCGGAGAGGAATGAATGGACTAGTACAGATTCCCAATATGATACCCGCAGGAGTGACCTTTTCCATTTACCGCCAGGAACGGATTTTAACCATGAATGGTCTCAAAACGAAAGCATTACCGGACTATAATTGCATGAGGCTAGAGCAAGTGAAGACCTAAACAGAACAGAGCCTGGGATGGTGGCCGCGACCAATACGGATAATCAATGGATGCAATGCATCGCTTCATGACAATGAATAATATACAACGCCGAGGGTATGAAACAAAACAGAGAGCGGCAAAAAACACTCGCAAGCTATATCAGACTCGCATATGAATGTCCGGCCTTTGCAAATTACGTTGAGCATCACACTTTCTACTGAGCGGGCGCAGCGGGCGCATCTACTGTCTCTGTTAGTACTGCAGGTGTCTTTGGCTCGCGGGGACAATATGCTTACCGGTCTTGACAGCTTCCACGGCCTTGGCAGCAGGCTCCTCAGACTTAACGGCCGGTTCTTCCGGCTTAGCAGCGGCCTTGGCGGGCTGAGCAGCAGGAGCCTCAGGAGCAGGGGCGGGTGCCTCAGCCGCAGCAGCAGGAACCTCAGGTGTCGCAGCAGCGGCCTCGGGCGCAGCAGTAGGAGCCTCAGTAGCAGTGGCGGGAGCCGCAGGTGCAGGGGCGAGAGCCTCAGATGCAGCAGCAGGAACCCCGGGCGTGGCAGCAGCGGCCTCAGGTGTAGCAGCAGCAACCTCAGGCTTAGCAGCCTCTTCGGGTTTGGCAGCAGCCTCCTCAGGCTTAGCAGCAGCAGCAGCGGCAGTAGCAGGCTCAGGCTCGTATTGGGTTTCAACGGGGCCAGCTGTGGCGCTCATCTCAGGAGAAACGACAGGAGCCGCGGCAGTCGCATCATTTGCCTCGGCCGACTCGGGCACTTTGGCGGTGTCTGCTGTAGGCCAACTGATTAGCAGGAGGTCTAACACAGAATTGACGTTGATGTATACATCAACCAGGTGAGAAGTCTCGTACCAGGCTTAGTTTCTGGGGTGACAGCGGGGGCGGCCGCGGCACCTGCCGCAGCAGCTCCAGCTACCGGGGCAGCGGGCGCAGCATTAGACGCAGGAGCTTCAGTAGCAGGGGCAGGCTCAGGCTGAGTCTTCTTGGACTTCTTGCGACCGAAAAGGAAACGCTTGAAGCCCTTCTTGACCTGTTCAAGAGCGTCGGGGGCTGGGTGGATATTAGCGCTGTGTTTTGGAATGGAGTGATCATGAAGCTCCAAAGCTTGGGTCGGGAGGATAGATGCGATGTGAACACTTACGAACACCAGGCATGTTGATTGATGGGTTTTGGAAGTGCAATAGGGAGCTGATAGAAAGATACAGGTGTAAATTGGGACACCTATGAAACAGCGCGGAATCGAAAAGGAGGAGAAGCAGTCGATCTATTTACCTCCACGTGATCGAGCTATGTACTCCGTATGCTTTTCGACTTTTCCTTTTTGGTGCTGTCTTAATGTCCACTGAGTGTCTTTAATGTGGAGTGGATGATATTTTATTGGTTGATCGCCATATAACTGGGTCCTATCCCGCAGTTTTATCTTAGCTCTGACAGCTAAGATTGTGGCTGTGCTGGCGCTAATTTGATTACGCTTTCATTTACTCCCCTGGTTGGGCGCTTCATAAGTGTTTCATGAATCATGATGGTCATGCATACGAGCATACAGACCGAGGATGATTTATGGAAATTTTATGAAAAGGTCAAATTGTGCCATTGCTGAAGAATCAAGCTCCGATGTAATGGATGTGTATCATAGGCTATAGCCGTAAATGGATAATGGTAGAGATGGAAACTCAAAGTAGATAACTAGAAGCATAAGACCAGGCTGGGGTATGATGGAGAGGCAACTGGTCAGCAAATCAGGACGCATGACATCTATAATTAAATAAAGAGATTGAAGATAGTCAGAGCAACGGAATGCCCTGAACATACCGAGATTAGATCAAGTGGCTTTGAATCAAGGGATGACACATACCTAAAATGAGGAAAATTAAGGCGATCGCAACCTTGAGATTCTGGGCTGCGATCACTATAAGAAGTATGGCGCAAAGAGACCATGCGGAGAATCCCCCAAGAGGAAATCCGCGGCCATTCTTGAATTTGAAGGCTGTATCGTCGATGAGGGATTGCAGATTGGCAGCAGCGATGCTGGTCTTGCCCAGCAAAGCTTGGGATACTTGCGCGTGGAACTGCAGGGCCTCTTGGGCTCGCGATTGTGCAGAAAGCGCCTCCGTTTGTTGGTCTTGGGCCTTTTGTAACTCGGTCGCTCTAGACTCGGATTGCTGCATGAAGGTTTCCATGTTTTGAAGTCGCTATAACCGTCAGCACATGACCTAGTGTGCAGAGACTGCAATGGTACCTCTGTCATTCTGGTTTCTTGCTCCAGAATCATGTTCATTCGGCTGGTCAACCATTCCTGCAACAATGGTAGATGATTAGCTACCTAGTTGTCACGCTGGAAAAGTAAACCAGCTTTCACATACCATAGCCGCGTCAAATCTCTGTATTCCCCTATACATCCTGTCCATATCGGAGTCAACAAGTGACTCGAGCGACAGATGCAGAGACGAAGCGAGATTATGCTGGGCGACAGCATTGTTCTTCTGCACCAAGAACGCCTCCTGGCTCCTAGCCAATGTATCATGGTGTGTACTCTGAAGAGCTTCTTGAAGTGCCTCCACATGGGTTGACACGTTCCGAATGTCCTATTTGACTGTTAGCTATTCGTTACCACCAAGTCGACGTGTTCACATCATACATTATCCAGCTCGCCTGTTCGAGTCCGCATATTTAACAAAGCCATGGATATCGAATCCTGAAGAGACCCCATTCCAGCTTCAACTTCTCGGAGAAATCGACCGAACGTCCGTTTGAACACAGATTCTGTCCCTCCCACATCCGTGACGATCCTCTCCTGGAGCGACTGAACAGCTTGCATAAATAATTGTTGCTGCTCAGATTGAGCCACTGCGTCTTGTAAAGCCTGCTGGAGTGCTTCGTTAAGTTTGAAACTGCTCTTCGATATGGATCGATGTAGGCCGATGAGCTCCTCCTTCTCGGCTTCCATTCGTGATGCATGACAGATTACAAGAGCATTTTGTCGGCTGTTGCTGTACGAAGTCCACCACTGAGGTCGTGACTCGAGTGTCCGGAGACAGTGCTCCAGCAATTCCCGTGGGACTTCACCTGATGCAGTGTCAGAGCCTCTGTGCCAAGTCATAAAGCCGTATCGATTCTTCTGTGGACGCGGCGATACAGTAACAGGAAGGCAAGATGGAGGAATTGAGTTGCCTGCGCCTTCAATTTCACATAGTGCCAGACGTGCTGCGTAGACCGATCGGAGATAATCGAGGGTCTCTGGGCTGTCCGTTTGAGAGCCATCGTTCCCTTCATTGAATGTCTGACATGAGCTCACTAGCCTTGTTGCTGCAATTCGGTTGCATGAAGGCGCAGAGCCCATGGAGTCCAGGATTTTGACGGCTTCATTGAATATGCTGTTTTGGTCTTGCTTCCGTGAAGTGAGAAAAGAGATCGCGTCGATGTCCGGTAGTTTGGGGGCAGACACAGGAATGTCACCTTTGTGGGTCAGTAAAATGACGCGAGAGTCTAATAAAGTGCCTTACTCTGTTGAGAGACGCTTGCTCGACAGAGACAGGCAAGCGCAAGGAAAACGCATGACAAGACTTGGAGATTATCGATGGCCCTCATTGTGAGCTTGATCTGTCGGGTTTTTGGCGTATGAGCGTGTCACTGGCCAGAACTAGGCTAATATTGATGACGTATAGATTTGAGATGGATGCGTGGGGGAAGTGTGAGATGAGTGATATGGGATGGAAAGAGTTGAATGGAGGTCCATTGGAGGATGACTTGACATCGGAACTGAGGGTTTATAGCCTATGTTTGACCCACGCCCAGTCCATTGTGCTTTACCCTATCTGGAACAGTTCAAATACTCTCAGCTCTGCGTCTAAATGCAAAATTTTTGCTTGACTAAATGGTTCCTTTCTTCGGTCCATATTCATTCTGCTGGCTCAAGATTCAAGAACAGTCAGTCAAGGACTCAAGAGCTCAGAATGAGACTGAACTCGGGGATATCCTGGGACCGAAGCCACTCGTCAAAAATAATGCCAAATAATGTCCCTTCACCAAAACATCGAGTTCATTTACACTTGGATATTCTGACATGAAAAGAGAGTCGAGGCTTAACCGGCAAAATGATATAGATAGTCACGTGCACGCTAAACCCGTTGAGGTAACATCTGCAACAAAATCCCAAAGTCCGCAACGCAGCATCCGACACAACACGCGCAATCACCATGTCGTTTTCCATACCCCAACGCTGCGCCCGCCAGCTTCTCCGCGAGCCCTTCCAGCGCGGCTCCTTGCCCATCTTCCTCGCACCCGCATTCTCCCCTCGCACACAATGCTTCTCGACGACAACCCCAGCGCAGTCCCGAGTCGGAGGCGCCGCAATCTCCATCCCCCCGGAGGTGTCATTTAACCTCGTTGATCTTCCTGCAGGCCTAAGCCGAACACGAGGAAAGGATATTCCCAAGTTTGCCGCCGAGATCAAGGGCCCCAAGGGTATGCCTTATTGCTAAAATTTGGCACCTGCGGATCGATGCTAACTGGTTTCAATTGATAGGCGAGATGACCCTGAACATTCCCTCGTTCGTTACCATCACCCGCGATGAGGCTGGCCAGAAGGCTACTTTGGCAGTCCAAGATCAGAGTGTCCCTCACCAGCGTGCTATGTGGGGTATGTTCTCCTGTCTTTTCTCTCCCGCGGCTAGTCCGCGCCGCAAGTCCCAATTGTGTCCTAACACTTCGCTTTTTTTTTCAGGAACCATCCGCGCGCTCCTACAGAACCACATCCTCGGCGTTTCAGAAGGCCATGTCTGTATTTTGAGTATGGTTGGTGTTGGTTACAGGGCGACAGTTGAAGACAAGGCAACCACCGTCGAACCCACCTACCCCGGTCAGAAGTTCATCTCTCTCAAGGTCGGCTTCTCCCACCCGATTGAACTCGGTATCCCCAAGGGCGTCCAGGCTAGCACACCGCAACCCACCAGAATCTTGCTGGAGGGTGTCGACAAACGGATTGTGACCCAGTTCGCGGCCGAGATCAGAGAATGGAGACGCCCTGAGCCGTACAAGGGCAAGGGTATCTTTGTCAATGGGGAGACTATCAAGCTCAAGGCGAAGAAGATCAAATAGACGGGAAGCGCCTTTCTTTATATTTACGCGGAACATTTTTGTGTTTGGTTCCGCGTTTTGTACTCTTATCGTCACATATGTACTTTTTTATTCCTCTCACAAGCGATGGTATCACATTTATATCAAAATGATTCTGCTCCCCGGGAACTCGAATGCTGCAGACGAGGCGACGAAATTAAAGCACGATCATAAATCCATTACAGCTTTAAGACCTTCTTGACGGCAGCAATGACCTGGTCCTGGTGGGCCTTGGGAGCAGCGACGACACCCTTGTTGACAGCCAAGGTCCGGCCCTTGCTGAAGTCCAATCGGTTGCCGTAGATATCAGTCACCTGGCCACCGGCCTCACGGACAATCAGGTCACCAGCGGCGTGGTCCCAAATTTTCTCCTGGTAATCCTTCTTGACGGGAAGGCGCAGGTAGACGTCACCGGCACCGCGAGCAATGGAGCAGTACTTGGCCTGCGAATCCAGTCGCACACTCGGTGCGGTGATGCCAAGCAGCTCAGCAACGGCGGCATTGTCGCCCTGGGCCGAGTGGCCAGCCTCAACACCTTCACAGAACACAGCGTCGGAGATCTTGTCAACCGGGCGCATAGAAATGGGCTTGCTAGCAGCAAGAGTACTGGCTGTCAGAGGGCGGCTGGTCGCACCCTCACCCTTGACAGCGGAAAACAGCACACCGTTGCTGGAAGCCGCGGATTGCTGGGTGCCGATGCTAGCATCAAGCGGGGCAGCGTCATTGACAGGAAGGTTAGGAGTACCGATAGCACCGACCTTGACATCACCATCGACCATCAGGCCGAGACACACGGCGTACTGGCCGCCACGAAGGAAGCCCTTGGTGCCGTCAATGGGGTCGAGGGCCCAGATGCGGCCCTTGGCACCACCAGCACTGTTGCCACTATCGATGATTTCCAGCATGCTCTCCTCACTGGCCAGAGGACCACCCAGAATCTTATCGCTCTCCGCGTCATCCAGCTTGATGTCCTTGACCAGGCGCCAGATCTCGGAGCTGAGGTCCTTGTCCTCGCGCAGGGAGCTGGCCTCCTCTTCGGCGACGATCTCATCGTTGGGGAAGTTCTTGCGAATAGCCGAGATGATGAGGGCCTGGGCGCCGAAGTCGCCAATAGTGACGGGGGACTTGTCGTCCTTGGAGACGGTGCCCTTAGCCTTCTCGAAGAAGACCTTCTGGGTCAGAAGGCATGCCCGCTGGACAGCCAATTCGGCAATATAGCGTTCCTGTTGGTAAGACATGGTTGTAGGTTGTGTGGAAGAGAGGTGGGGGAGGAGGAAGGAGAGACGAGATCGGGATTTCAGAGCCACACTGAAAGCCAGAATGAGAGTGGAGAAGATCACCAAGCGGGACAGTACACGTAATAAACTGAAGCGCGAAGATTGATCTGACCGGTGTACGGAGTCAGGCGGCTGCTTCATCCGAGACCAATTGACAAGATATGCAGGTAGAACTGACTGCTTTGGATTTATCAGTTGTGTTGGTTCTCTCCAGGTACCTCCAGGCCTTCCGTCGCTGACGACACTTTCCGATATCGCCTCAGGCACTTCCCCGCCCTAACCCCCTTTGAGCCGGAACAAGTCACGCGCCGATAAGCTTAAACTGTTTCAACATTGTTTCGCCTCTTTTTGTTCCCCTGTAACAAGGCCAATTTGCGATCTATACTCCGTCGAGCAATTTAGGGTATCCTTTCACTATATATTCTGATGCTGCTGCACATTCACTAGGCTTATCAGACCCACGCCAAGACCCGTTAGGCCCTCCCACGTCACCGATACCACGCGAAGGTAGTATTGCAGAAGCCACGAAGCGTCTGTGTTGCCCTTCAGCCCTATTGATATCTTGGTCGGCACTCTTTTCTAAATACCTACCACCTTGCATCCTGCCACCGTCGATACCTCGTACGATCTTGCGGAAAGGGCTGTGTAAACAGTGCCGTGCGGGGTTGTCTGCATATTGACATTGCAACGCGGGGTGCTTGTGGATTTGTTTGATCCCGGAATTGTCTTTGATTCCTTTGCATTGGAAGATAAACCAAAGGACTATTTTAGGCCTCGGAGTGTGTCCTTTTCTGGGCAACGATGTTCCAGTCTACCGTGGGTTACCTCCTGGAACGTACCCCCGTCACAGGATCGACTACTAATACTTTGATTAGAAGCCCTACACGGCGGTGACTGTACAGATTGAAGTCCTGACGAGTGAACAATATGAGGTCGAAGATTCCAGTGGTATCGTTGATTTGGTGGAAGTAGTTCGCATTCAAGCCAGTGGCCCAACAGAAGCAAGCCGGGCTCTTCGGAAGAAGCTGTGAGTCCCGTGGCGTGTGTAGTGCCACAAGCCGATCTAACAAATCCAGGAAATATGGCACCCTCCACCGACAGCTGCGCGCTCTTACCATCCTCGACTTCCTAGTTCAAAATGCAGGAGAGCGCTTCCTACGCGATTTCGCCGACGAGGCATTGCTCGAACGTCTGCGCATTGCGGCCACAGATTCCGTTTCAGATCCACTCGTGAAACAGAAATGCAAACAGATCTTTGGACAATGGGCGGCAACATTCAAGGACACACCCAACATGGCCAGGGTCACCGCGCTGTACAAGCAACTCCCCAAGCGGAAGCAGCCTGCAACGCAGGCGAAAGCAAAAGTTCTCCGAGAGGGAGCGAACTCAAATGAACCTTCGATGGGTCATGTCGTTTCTGTGTCAGCGGGTAGTGGACCGCCCACTGTACTGACTAGCCCGAAAGAGAAGTCAAGGAAAGTCAAGAAAGATAAGAAACTCTCAATCAGCAGCGGTAGGAGATTCGATCTGGAGAAGGAGCGCCCAGAGATCTTGCAAACGCTTGCTGCCTCCTCTGTGGCTAGTACCAACTTGTTAAATGCGCTCAAACACGTCAATCGCGAGACGCACCGAGTGAGCGAGGACGCCGAGTGCAGGAATCGATTCGAAAAATGCAAGCAGCTTCGCCATGGGATTCTGCGGTACATTCAGTACATTGAAAGCGAAGAGTTCCTGGGTGGTCTCATTCATGCCAATGAAGAGCTGGTGGATGCACTGATGGCATTCGAGGTGCTCGATAAAAGCGTGGACTATGACAGTGATAGCGAGGAGGATATTTTGGAACCTAGTTGGAGACAAAGACGTGGACTTGGTCTGCAAGATGATGACCTGAATGATGGCGTAGCTGGGCTTAATATCAATCCCCCAAAGCCGCCACGACCTACTCGTCCCGATAGCCTGCCTCTTGCCTCTTCCTCGCAACACTCACGCCCGATCTTCGATAGCGAGAGTGAGTCAGAGCAGGAAGATGATGATGACGACAACCCATTCGGTGACAGAAATGCTATTAAGACGCCTGCCATCGAGAAAGGGCCACCTACTTGGTACGTTCGCTTCGCTTCATATCCATTCTTCAAGTTTACTAACATCTCTTCAGGAGGGAAGTCTGATTCATGTGACTTTGTTTTGAAGATTCGATGATACTCGAAGCGGTTTGCGGTTCTAGTTTCTTTGGTTTATTGCCTGGTTTTATGCTTGATCGGTATACCCAAGGCCACTGGCTATCGTGTTGCTGAATTCCGTTTTTATAGTCTGGTTGTTAAGCCAAGTCAATTGGATACAAGCCTTCCATAGCTTATATCGACGTAAACCCCCTTTCTTCTAGACCAGCCAGTAAGGATACGTAAAGCAGCACACATCCCCCTCAGGAAACCAGACCCGAGGATCAGCCTGCAGCCTGCAGTGTAAGCACTAAACCTTCCAGGTCCGCTGCCGAGCGGCGGCGAGCGCACTCCAAGAATTCTACAAAACTCCATCTAACCCCAATCCTCAATCCCGCAAATCCCAAAAGCACTTAGCACCTTATCTTAAACTCCATACTGAACTACCAAATCGTGACCAAGAGACCAAAATGCCAGTAACCGAACTCGCCCTCCTACACCTCCGCTCAGACCCCTCACCATCAACCAAAAGCACCCTCCTCCAAGCCCAAAAACAACAAACAGAATACTCTGGCTACCAGGTGACATACCTGCGCCAGATCCAAACACCAGCATCATTCTATCTCCTAGGCGGATGGGAATCCATTGAAAAACACACGGGCGAGGGGGAATGGATTTCCTCTGAAACGAATCAGACTCTGCTGGCGCAGTTGAAGGATAGTATAGATGTGGCCTGGATGTTTCATTTGGATCTTGATGTGAGTGTCTCTCTCTCCCCTCCCACTTCCCTCTGACGTTGGACGTTTCTGGGAGTTGAGGTTGGAAGGGTTGAACTGACAGATGCAAAGCCATCTACATTAACCATCCCCGATGGGCCGATCCTCGCTATATTTAGATACTTTATCCTGCCGGGCAAGAAAGATGAGTTCGAGGCTATTTTCAAGACTGGTCTAGCGCGGCTGGAGCGCGATACAGCTCCGGCTCTCTTCTCTGTCTGCGGTGCGTGGCGTATTGACAAAGCGCAGGAGGATGAGTTCGTTGTTTTCGGTAGGTGCAGTCGAGATGAGGATGAGGATTATTGGGACCTTTTGGAGATGACTATTTTCGGAGGGATTGGGGATGTTGTTGGCTTAACCACGGGAAGGGATGTTCGGTATGTGCGTGTTGAGAAATGGGAGTAGATTACTCCCGTCTATGTACATATATGGTTCGTGAATGTTATATGAGGAGATCGTTTCATATTATGGGTCGATGTGACCATGCAGGATGAATTGCACCATTGCCTTCCTACCGTCCAATTTGAGTGGTGCCTCTATGTGCATAGCGCCGGGGACGCTTTTCGTCTCGATTTGCAAGCCAAGAGAATTGGCATGTTTTGATAACTGCTCTGGTACATATGATGGGATGACTTCGTCTTTCTCGGCAGATAGGAGGAAAATCGGTGGGAGCGAGCGAGGCGTTGGGCTTGCAGGATCGGAGTCGGGAGCAGGTTGATCTCTCCACCTGGCCATTTGCTGCATATCCGCCTTGATATCCCAGTTATTCCAAGAAAATGGGCCGAGATATCTATATGGAAGCCATTTCTGGGGGTATAGGCTGATGAGCATGTCTTTGATACTGGAAGTTGGTGCCTCCAATATGACCCTGGAAATGGGCGCAAGACGCTCGGCACTGTTTTGCTTGCCTTGACGGACGAGATATGTAGCGACTGCCGACGTTGCAACAGCTGCGCCCAGGCTATGTCCCCATATTACAATTTCCAGATCCGTCTCTGGGCCCGCGTAGACTTTCGACACCCAGTTCAGGAACGCCTGGGCATCCTTCTCGATGCCAGACTGTGTGGCACGACCAGAGGACGTCCAGTAGCCGCGGTATGATAGAGCCACGACAGTGTATTCTGTGGTTTTTGAGCCAGACATAGGAGATGAGGTTGAGCCTGTCGTCTCTGTGATTGCGCGCAAGACTTGAGAAAGAAGAGGCAGGCGCATAGGCGTTGATCCGCCATTGCCTTGGAAGTAACAAATCACGACGGACTTTTTCCGAGTTGAACTCATTGACCCTTGGTCTTTAATCTTGGCAGTATCGGCAGTCTCGCCCGTAGCGGTCCTTGACTTCTGAATTATGCGAGAGAGCGAAATATGGCCTTCACAAACAGCCAATTTAGTCCCATCCAGACTGCGGATCTGCTTCTCCTCCCATTGCACCGGTCTACACTCAACTTCATAATCTGAAATTCCCTCAGATCTAGTGAACGGAGGTAGCCAGGAGAGATAGAGGAGCTTATTTTGCATGACAATGATCCAGAAGCATTTCCATGTCCATAGGCTGAGAAGAAGCCCGATGAACATCAGAGGCGGTATAGCAAAGGTTGGAATCGCGTCTGTCATTAGACTCCATGAGTTAAATTGCTTTCGTACATTTTGATTGACACTGTTTTGCTTTCTGATGCTATAGTTGCCGTTGATGCCATTGAATTGGATGTTGAGAGGGTGCTGTATTGACTGTCCCGTGCGATATGATATTGCTCTTAGACCTTCGCCGCGTGGCATACGTTGTAGGACCCGGCGTAGCAGCATCAAATGTGTTTTGGGGGAAAATTGACTGTTCAGTGATTGGGTGTTGGATTGTTGTTGGATGATCGCGACTCTCGGCCCGTCACGGGAGGCTGGAGCGGGGAGCTGCCAGGCCCGAGCTGGGTCTTGACTCAGCATCCAGCCCCGACCTCGGTGGCCTCCGGGCTTCAATTTACCTCGATGGGTCCAACATAGGGACTGTTGATCCCCACGAAGGAATATAGCTGCTTCTACATGTGAGATTGGGGGCACATTGGAGTTAAGTTTGGACTGTGAAACAGATTTATACTAAAGTTTCGGAACGATGTGAGAAGAGTCGATTCAAGGTGCATCTATCACACCCAACCTAAGCTATGTATGTTCTTCGTCGAGCCCCAAGCTAAATCGGAGCTGCAAGTGAGTATCTGCACCACTAAAATATGTATCTCTTTAGGTATCGAACTACCTCTCTCTCCACGCCACGGGCAGCTTGGACCTTCGATTTTGGCCTCGATTTTGCCCTCAAAATGCCGCCAGGACCTTTATCTGGCAGTAAAGCCAAGGATCACCTAACCTGGAAGCACTGGAAGCTCGTACCAGGGGAGGGCAAAAAGGTGCTGGCCCCTGGCATGTCACGGCATATCATGCCCGATTGTTAAGGCCAAGCTGACAGAGTTTTCTTCTTACCACAGAAAATCGTCTGCATCCACTGCGAACACCATTCACCAACGCGCAGAGAGTGTCTCTCGCCAGCGAGCCCACACTTCCTCCTGCAAAAAAGCACCGCCAGAGGTACGCGCGCAGCGATCGGCCTCGAGGCAAAGCAAGCTGCGGCGATACGTGATGGAAATTGAGTGGCTGCTGCAGGGCATACCGAGGCAGGGCACGCAGCAGCCACTTAAGTTCCATCACGTTTCGTCGCAGCAGCACGATGCTGACTGGGCGCGCTGGGTGTACACCTCTAGGGGGCCGTTCAGCATCGTGGAAGACCCTGGCTTTATCGAGGCCCTCCAGAAGCACGATCCTTTATACACACCTCCCTCTCGGCGCCAGGTGGCTGGCCCGTTACTGGATCAGATATATATGGAGGTGGAAGCGAAGGTCAACACGCAGCTTCGAAAGACGCAATATCTGAATCTGACCTGCGATGAAAGCACTGATATCGCGCAGAACCGGATACTTAATATCTCGTTCACCACACGGCAGCGGTCCTTCTATTATTGTGGCCTTGACATGGCAGATCAGCGTCTGAATGCCAGCGAAATCCCCAACACAATATTGGAAAAGGCCGAAGAGTATCTCTCCTTGAAGAGCCCGGTAGATTGGGCGCGTCTCAACTCCCTATCCACTGACAGTCCAAATCTGATGCGCAAAGGCCTGCAACGATAGCATCCTTGGGAGCCTGGACACGGTCTCTCTGGATATCGCTAGCCTGAGGCTGAAGTGCCCACTCTTATAGCGCTTCACCGACCAGGATACAATCGACGCGGCGGTGGTGAAGCTTGATGAGAAGCTGGAGGCCGTGAGAATCGCAAGGTATAAAAAACATATGCTGGGTCTCCTGGCACTGTGAGAGTAGGCCGTGGACCTTTAGGCAGTAAGTACTTGATAGATAAGATTGTATCAGAGGCAGGCCTTGCGCATCAGGTTTGGCTGTCAGTGGATAGGGAGTTGAGACGCGTGCAATCCACCGAGCCCTCCGAAAGATACTCTCGAACCTTGTCCAATATTGTGTTCGCGATTGTATTGGAGTTGAGACGCATATCTTTAATGTCAAGCCCACAATCACAATAGTAAAACGAATGCTCTCGTGTGTTTAATGAGATGTTGAGGATTCGGTACTGCGTGATATCTGTGGATCTAACGGTGCTTTTTTGCAGGAGGAAGTGTGGCCTCGCTTGACTTGGTTAGTTAGGTCATGTGAACATAACCCAGCGAATCATGTTCCGTCTGAGCATGCTGAGGTAACCTTTCTGGGGGACAACCTACCGGTTAGGTTTAGCGCGTCAAAAAGTTCGGCAAAATTTTTGGATCATGTGACACATGGATATACTAGTAGTCTGACTCCGAGGAAACTGAGGTAACATGCCCAAGGTCCAAGCTGTGGCGTGGAGAGAGGTAGTTGGATAAAGAGATACAGATTTGAGTGGTGCAGATACGCCTGCAACGAGCAATGTAAATCACAGCCCGTATGGTGGATATTCAAATGGGTATTACGGTCGTGATCATCTGGAGTCGTGATATAACAGAAAGGTCAAAACAAAACGCAACCACAGTAGCAAAATAATACTACATTCCCTCCCTTCCCAGACGCCAAACCAAGCCAGAACCCCAAGGCATGCGATGCAAATTTCCCAGGCTCTTCACAGGACTTTCGATCTCATCCACTCACTCGTACCAACACCAAGGTTCAATCCATTCCGCTCCCACCAGCGCCGAACACGACCCTCAGCGCCGGAACTAGGATCTGCATCTTCAAGCGCTTCCTCGATATCACAAGTTTTGAACTCGACGCGCATACCACATGATTTCCACCACTGCAGAACGTGGTCGTGGCCATTCTTCGTCGGACCAACCAGAACCTGGTTATCGAATATCATCTTCGGGCCCTTGAGCTTATACCAGAATTCGAGGACATGAACATGGCCATGTGTGCTCGCGATGCGGGCGACGTTCTCGGCATGGCTATAGGGGATCCCGGATGCATCCCACCAAGCGAGAGATGCGGTGCGGCCCGACTGAGCTGCAAGAAGGACCGATTTGCCTACCTTCAGAGGCAAAGGGTTATGAGGTGGGGCGTTATCGGAGGCGGACTTCCACCAGTCCAGCACGGCTACTCGGCCTTCGGCGCTCGCGGCCTCCAGTGCTCGCTCGCTGTAACGCAGTGGAAGGCCCGAGTGGAGCCACCAATCTAGGACGTTGGTGAATCCGGCGCGGGAGGCACCGTCCATGGCATCGGCCATGTACTCTTTGTTTGGCAGTGCAGGCGCATCGCGCCACCATGTCAGAACGTTCGGGTTTCCGTATATTGCGGATGCTCGGTAGGGGATGTTTGTAAGTCGGGTGGTTGTCCAAAGAAGATCGAGGTGATTTTCGGTGAGATAGGAAAGGATATCTGTGCGAGAAAATTTGACAATGAGGTGGCAAGCGAGGTCGGAGAGTGGTTTCCAGCGAGGAAGCGCCTCAATGCGCCTCTTGATTGCAGCGAAGGATCCTCGTAGAATAGTGTATTCTAGTGAAGCTGGAGTTGACATTTTGGGTAAATGGCTTTGCCATTCTTTTGGAACAGGCAGACGGGTCGGAATGCCTACGGCCTTCGCTGTTTCCCAGTCCTGCAGTTGCTCCTCGAAAACGTTCAGCCAGATTTCAAGTGGTAAAAAATCAGCATTGCCTTCGTGTTTCATTTGTGTTATGCATCCGGTAGCCGTTCCAGATGCCGATGCAGTCGTCGCTGGGACCGCGGTGCCGTTGGGAGTCGCAGACATCGTAGCTTGCCATGGCGGCACTTTTAATGTGGTTTCCAGTGTTTCATGTAACTCCTTCAACCCATCCCATGGTAGGATCGTCAAGTCTTCGGGCCCTTTTGACTTCCAGAGCACGGGGTTGACGATGCGAATCCAAGGCCAGTAATGACTTATTTCATCGAGTTGCCGAGTACTGAGCGGGTGATCCCATTCTGAAACCGTCATTCCAGGAATGAGAACCACTGGCTTTTCCGAGACCCAGCCGCGAAGAAGCGCTAGGGTCAAGGTGTCCGTCAAGCCAGCTAACATCGCTCCCAGAGCCCCAGCATCGATAGGCGCAACCAAAAGCATATCCGCCCATTCACACAGCTCGGCCGTTTTCGCCTTGAGCCATTTTCGTGCGCCAGTTTTCTTATCGAAGGTCTGGCTGTCGACCGTATCCATATAATGTGGGATCTTGTTCGTACCCGTGAGTAAAGCCGACGGTTCGTCTGTGATCAACCGGAGTTCGATGTATGGGTTCTGAACGAGAGACGGGAGGACTGTATCGGCGAATGCGCTATCGGTCGATAGGAGTAAGCGGCGCCGCCGAGAATGTGAACCTGTCGCATCTTGCACCACTTCATCGGAGCATGGCCGATGCTCTCCAACCACCGTATTCATCTCACTTGGCCACGATATTTTTGCAATATTATTATTCAGAATTGTCGAGGTATCAGATCGAAAACCAACTGCCATACCAAGGTAACCGATACGATCGTCGGGCTGATCTGTATGCGTGAATAAAGGTTGTTGGAAGAATGTTGGAAATCTCGCGGGGAAGATAAGAGGCAGAACGAAATGAATTGAAGTCGGGGGCGCTTAAAATCGAGAGCGAGGGGGATCTCGTACTGTACAAATAGACTATCAGACTAATGGTCTGATCGAAAAGACCAAGTCATGTAACTCCAAAATTGCAATCCAGACTGCCTCGACTGCAGTCAACCGAGTTCGAGCGGTGAGGTAATGTGTCTTGCCACGTCTTTGCCACTGATCAGCCAAGTAACAAGTTCCAAAAAAACGATATTCTTCGACGGCCCGGACGACCCACCAATCGCAGTGAAATGAAAGCGATCGTTGCAGGGTACCTGGCGGCTAATAGCGGTCGAGTAGGAAGAGCTCAGGTTGATTAGTGTGGAGTCCTCGGGCTGCAAGTTGGGAGCGGTCAATGCCTGAGATGGTCCACCTTACACACGGAGTACAACGCACACGATGAGTACAACTTGCGGAGGATCCCTACTGCATTTTTAGATTGGTCTAGTCTTCCACTTATACAGGTCTTGAGACTTGCCAATATGAATTACTCGAGTCACGTACTCGTCTTTGTTTGAACGTAAAATGTGCATAACTATCTAGAGCATGTGGTGCCAAAGAAATTGGGTCAGATAGACCAATGCTTGCTTATGTGCTTTGCGAGGTATGTATGCTGGTCGACCTGGCCTATATAGTGGCGGTATGTACTGTTTCTCTCTATCGATACCGAACCGCAGAATCACCCTATTTTCGGGCAAGGTTGTTGTGGAGCTTATGCCCTCTCATGGCAAGACTCGATAGTGCCCCTAGCACGGTGAGGCCCAACAGTGTCACGAACACGGCCCGCAAGGAATTCATGTAGGCATCAAGCACTCCCGGTGTCCAGTCTGCGGGAAGCTTCCAGATCTCGTCTAAGCTATCCCGCAAACGTCCAATTAGCTCATTGGCGTCCTCACGATCACCAAAACGAGACCATAGCCCGAGCTTCAAGGTGTTCTGGAAGACAGCGGAAGCGATTGTGATACCAATCGTACTACCAGTGCTGCGGAAAGCATAGGAGGCGGACGTCACAACCGCGTGGTGCTGGTGGTCAACAGCGGAGATAAGGGCCACCAGCGTGATGGTTAGCATGCTGCCATAGGACGCACCACCCAAGAAGAAATAGAGGAATGGCAGCCCAACAGGGGTGTGGAGATTCAAAGTGCAGATCAGGCCAGCAGAGATCACCTGCAGAGCCATGGCAACGTAGTTGAGGAAGATATACCGACCGCTGGCGCGCATGATGATACCCGAACCCAAAGACCCGATTGAGGTACCGATCGCCTGTGGAATCAATCGGGCACCGGCAGCAGTTGCAGATAGTTTTTGGACCTGGAAGAAGACAGGCAAATAGAAGAGCAGTCCAAAGACGGCCATGGTGGTGAACCAATTGGTCAGACAAGCAGCTGCCACAGTGCGGTCTAGCAGGAGGCGCACTGGAATGACAGGCTCTGTAGCAACGTAGGCTTCCACGTAGATAAAGAGACCTAAAAAGGCAACGGACGCAACTAAGGATGCTATGACCAGCGGATGGGACCAAGGTACTTGGTTTCCGCCGGTGTTGAGGCCAAGCAACAAAGTCACCAGGGTCAGTACCAAGGTGATGGCGCCGAGGAAGTCCACCCGCTTGATGCGCGCAGTATCCGATTCTCTCGCGGGAATTTTGACCTTGACAGCTACTAGAGCGCACGACACAGCCAGGAAGGGAACCTGGAGCAAAAATGCCCATCGCCATCCCAGAGTGTCGTTGATCCACCCTCCGAATACACCTCCAAGTCCCATACCAGCACCATAGCAGATGTTTCCAATGCCCTGCCAGACGCCTCGCTTGCGAAGAGGGACCAAATCCGATGTAACAAACGTCGAGATCGCGAAAAGACCACCTCCTCCGACACCTGCCACGACGCGACCAAGGATGATAACCCACTGCGCCCTGGCCAGGCCGCAGATCAGGTTTCCGATAGCGAAGAAGACATTAGAGAACACTAGGCCCCATCGGCGCGAGTAAATATCGGTCAATCGGCCGCTGAGAGGCTGACAGGCTGCATTAGAGATCAGGTAAGAGGTGGCTAGCCACGAGAGCAGTGAGAAGGAGTTGAAGGACGACGAGATGGGCGCAGAAAGTGTGGCAACAATTGTGGTATCTGCGATGGAAACCGTGTTAGTTTCGATTCGCTTGAAGATATGATCATGCCCATACCCAGCGCAGCTAGGAAAACACCGAGCCAGATGCTCCCAAGGATCCAGATCAGTTCCTTGGTGCTTGGCTCCTGGGGTAGTGGGGCATCCCCATTGGAAGTGCCGTCGGGCACATCCCGAAGCAGGGGCGTCTGCTCAGATACAGGATCCCTGGCAGGGGTGTCTGCAGACATGTTGTACAATATGGTGTCGAGTAAACCCCAGTTGGAGTTCTTCTCAGGAGAGATTGTTGATGACGTGCTCGGCGATTCGGCCTAATCTCCGAAGGCGGCGGGCAACTGAGGGGATGTGGGGCCAGCCATTCGGCCCATTCCGAACTTCGAATGTTATGTACTGTGTACTGTGTAGAGCTACAAGCAAGGATACTATTATGTACACACGTTCAGACCCATACACACACCGCAAGTCATTCAATTGAATGGCCATTTAGGCTTATTGAGATGTGTAAGGCCCCAAGAGGTCATGTCAACGCCCGGATATAAGTTGTTAGACTTGACATATTGAAAATCTAGCCAGAGATCCTTGAGCGAGAATTCCATAGACATGAACTCGTAGAACCGGAAGAAAATGAAGTTTATGTGGATTTTGAGTCGGCCATCGTAACCATCTTCATCAACCTCCGACAGGGGCCAGTCGGGATCAATTGCCCATAAATATCCCCAGAAGATCTGCGAGCATTCCCCAGCTGTGCCGCAGGATAAACGCGCCTCATCTGTTACCAAAAACAGGACGTTCTTGAGAACACCGGGCTTTAAGTCATCTCTCTCGCGGCGATTCCGAAAGTCCCTGGGCCTTATATTAATGATGCTCGCAATTTCATGGTAGATAAGATAGACACTTACTGCTGCAAAAGGGCGAGTTCACTCTCTTCTGTCTCAAATGGAATAAATTGAGCGACTTTGTGATCGTGTATCTCATCATATCCTGGGAAAAAATGAGGCATCTCAAGAACGGCGTTGAAAGGTTCCACAAACTCATCCCATCCAGCCATTGCCTTATGATGATAGAACACACAACCCCAGCTCTTATCGCCTTCTCGATCGATGATCTTTTGAACCCACAATTGCGGCATGTTTCGTGGTGGCTTTTCCTGTCGCTCTGCTTCTCTCGCCTTGAGTTCCTCACTTTGTTTTCGGTAAAATATCTCATCCACAGCCTGAACAGCCTGGAGCTCATTTGCTGTCAAAACAGCCTCTTGGGCCTGTATTCTTTTGGTGAATAGATCAGGATGCTTCCGCGACCATTGGGACCGATTCCATTCGTCACCCATTTCACTCATTTTCTTAATGCGGAACTGATCACGAACGAGACGACACTCCGGGTATGTCAGGGATTCAGCATTCGTCGCGGCTTTTTGCAGCAATTCTTCAAGCGAGATTCCCAGGAATTTTTTGGCGTTGGCCTGCATCTCCTCTAGGGGCGGCCATTCCATCATCCGGTGCTTTTCCTCTAGCGAGATTTCCGATGGGGACTGGATTGCTTTGTCCCAGAGGGGCTCCAATTGAGCGAACTCTTCCAGTGTTTTTGACATAATCGAGGTAAATTGGCTTGTGCTGAAATTCGATTAAAGAATTCCGTCTCTCAATCTCTTTAAAGGCGGCTGCGGGGATGCAAGGGTCTTTATAGTCATCCATATTTCAAGGATATTTGCAAACTACAGTAAAACCCCGCTATACCGAATCAATCTTGGGAATGGAATTATTCGCTATACCGGGCGATTCGTTAAGTCGGGTACCATATATTTTAAGTACAAAAGTAGGCACGAATATCCCCCTGGCGGCTGTTCTCAATAATAGAGCCCTGGAGCTTCATACTCAGCCTATTTAGGTTGCGAATTTGCTCGATATCACCTTCTTCCTGCTGCTCGAGGTACAGCCTTAGACCCTCTAAGCACTCAAGGGCACGAGCCGCTGTTATATATATCCCGTGGTTCGTAGTTCGAAAGGACTTCTCGGATCGACTGCATCGTAGCGGGTGCTGAGACTGAGCTAGTTAGCTCGCCGTGTTGTGTACAGCTTGCTATTCCTCGACGTGCTTGGAACCTCTGTAGCCAACCATTGCTAAAAGCAGGTAACGGCTCCCCTTGACATTGGGGGATATGCTTCTGCTCAATCGAAATTGCTGTACGGAGTACGGCGAGGCATATTGTCGGAGGAAGATACGAGGTAGAAAATATTGATGCTATGAGTGGAAAGCAGTGTACTATGCTTGTATTGGATGAAAGTGGAATGAAGTAATGATATCAATGAACGTAACCGCAAGAAGGGAAATGATTGAATGTAACAACAAGAAGGGAATGAATGAATGATCGCAACCACAAGAGGGGAATGAATGAATGATATCCCGACAAATGAAAACACTATGTAGCTCTGGAATATCCTAGAACAGGGCAAGCTAGCTTAAAGATTTGCCTTCTTAGCATCAGCCTTTTGTGCCTGCTTTTCCTGCCATGCCTTGAGGGTGCGGCTCGACTCCGCTGCACGCTCTGTTAACGAAGCATGCAGAGACTGGTACACACTACCTTCCTCTATGAGGTTGGCGGTTCGCTTTTGCTTATGATCGAAGAATACGACCCAGGTGTGTACCTCAGCAACCTGCGCGTTCTGGTTTACCGACCAGATGGAATAAACAACATGAATCCTGTCCGAGCGTACATCTGAAATGCGGGCACCGGCAATAATCTTTTATAAAAAGCAATGCCTTGTTGTTAGCATCACTCGGTTCTTACTTTAATGGAAAAAAGAAGGAGTGAAGACTAACCAGGTCAGGGTACTTGACGACCCTTTTGATCTTTATCGTAGACTGGTTCGTCATTGGACCGATTCCACGACCCGACATGAGGTCGGAATATTTATCTTTCAGGCGATCTTGGAAAGACTCAAGCAAGCGAACGAAGCAATTGCCGGCGTAATGCACATAAGCCGGGGCCATGACATGTCCAAACGGGTCCTGGTCATCAGCCCAAGAGAGGGCATTTTCGCTCAAGGTGTTATATTCTATCCCCTGTTCCAACATCGCGCGAATAGTTGCTTTCCGAAGTGGCTCATATGGCCCGTTCCGGTCTGGGTGTCGATAGGAAGAGGCATCTAGAGCAGAGGGATTTGATTTTGGTGCCATGGCAGTGCGTGAGGACAGACAGTATGAGAGAAGGTCAATTAGAGCCTAAAGAGCTTATATCACTGGTGATACACATAGCTGCCTTTATATAAGTATCATGGGAGATGGTAAGTATTCGCCTCCCTCGCTTTCACATGATGATTCGGGAGACTCGGGTGAAATAAAGGAGGGTTGACGACCTCTAGAGTTGAGGAGTAGCGAACGAGGAGAGTCGCATAGGTAATGATATTCAGTGACGTCGTCCATCTTGTCTATGATAGGCACACTACATAAATTAAAGAGGACTAAAGAGCTGAAGGGTACCGAACGAAGAGAGTCGCATACCAATATTGAGAGTGACGTCGTTCATCTTGTTTGCGATAGGCTCACCACATAAATTAAAGGGGATTAAGAAAATAGGTGTGTAGTACAGAGCTGGGGTTTCTATCGTCATGTGGCAGTCTCAGCGAATCTTAGAAGACCGGAAGCATGCCAACTGGCGCCAAGCCCTAAACTATATCGCATCGTTACACAAGATCTACAGTCCTTTTTTGCATGACATCCCTTGCACATACGTATCTGGTGGAAATGATTTCCGTCGGTTTGGGGGCAAATGGGGGCATTTGAGGAATATCACTTGGCCTCTGAAACCAAATGACAATTCCTTTAAACCTAAGTCCGTTTAACCTGAGGTGATGTACTCTTAATCCTCCCATCGGCATCATTCACTTCCATATGATCGCCTTGGCCTGGTTTATCGCAGAAAGAAGGCCTTGCACAGGGCCAACCTAAGATATGGGGGGAGTATGGGCAGGCGATTTGAGCGGAAAGCGCCCCGGCCCGGCCCCCGGGCTTAGGTGGTGGATAAGGCACCACGGAGATACCTAGATGATAAGCTTCTGCTGTTCGCAGGTGCGCGTCCATAGATTTAGAACACTTACAGCTTTGCATCAAATGAAAACAGACATTGGAATAAACATTGTGACACTCGCACTACCTAAGGTAGCTTCCAACGTTGTTCCATTGTGTAAATAATCAAACTCCGTCCGTAGCTTTCACAAGCACCAAGTTTACTAAAATGTTGAAGTACTTTGACAGGAGTAGGACATACGACTCTAAGGCAGAGAGGCACAGAAATACGGTGGAAAGATAGTTGTAGTAACTACCTAAATTATCTAAGGGTCTCAAGTGAGCCATTGGTCAGATGATCTCAATAGTTTTCCAAGGTTGTACTCATCCATATTTTGCCTGACCATAAACTTTGAATTGACCTGACAACAATGACATTGTCAGTGCATCTTCCCCCCGCCCTGATCCAATCTTCTTACGCTTTGTTCTATCTCTTAGACTCTTACCACCTCCCCCTTTCACACTCACTATGCCCGAAATGGAGGCTCATCCAGTTCTTCCCAAGATGATTGGTGAAACGATCACTACACGCTGCCAGAACTTCAGAAGACGCGGGACTCTGCTCTTTACCTCCCTCGCGGCTGGCTTATCCTCGAAAAACTGAGTGAGCATCCGACCCCGGTTACTCGCGAAGATTTTGACAACGGAATGGGTCCCGCATATACCTCTGGAAAGTATCTTTGTCGCCTTGCAGGTGCCGGGAACGAAGGGAAGCTCGCCTATATGCGGATCTACAAACAAATTCCTCTAGCTGGCACTGAGCTTGACAACTTGGACGTTCGGAAGGCACAGGCCTCCGAGTCTCGAAACCACGTAGAGCTGGATGCCTTGAAGTATCTAACTGAAAACAGGTGCACTGCTACCCCCAAACTCCGTGGATATGGAATCGAAAAGCAAGACTCAACGACCTTGTCCCCGGCGGATATATCATGTACGTTGTATGGGAAAAGGTCCCAGGAGATTCTCTTGATCCTAAAGAGTTCTGGAACCTTCCCTACGACAAACGAGAGATCATCCGTGACAACTTCAAAAAGGCCTACACGTTTGTTACTGAACGCTTTATTATGATCACCGACTTATAGCTGACTGGAATTAGTGAAGGTTTGAGGTTTGGGTACGAGCTGAGCTTGGCGACGGCACCAAAGATCATACTTGACAAGGCCACAGGTGATGTGTATGTTCTACTCTATCCCTAGGTTGCAATCTCAAGCTGATGATACGCAGCAAAATCTCCGGATTCAGGCGGGCTGGCCGCATCCCCCGAAACACAGGCTGGGACGACTACAACTTCGTGATGTTTTTCCTGGTCCTAACCTCCCCTGCCCGGTACCAATACATTCCCACCATGGCGAATGATCTCAAACAAGGAGAAGGCAATGGCTGGATCTGGTGAGAAGGAGGGTTGATGTGCAGAAGGAGACAGGAGATAATCCCTATTGCATCTCAGAAAAAAAAGTAGAAATGTCATATTCGAAAACAGATTCCCTTTGGTATAACTGCTCAGCGCAACACACACATGTCACATGTAGTCCATGGATGAAGTGGAGATCACAGCCTGGAGTCAACTGGCGGGACGTCATACCGGCAGAAAGCAGGCGGTAAACACCAGCAAAACATTCCCCTCCGCACCCCTCGACGGTAGACCGCCTGGCAGACTGCTCCGGCTGGCTCGCGTCTTATTGGAGCCGTGCGACAACTACAAACCCTTGATAATATTTCTACCATATATACTTCCTGTGAATGAATGATTGCGAAATCCGAGACACGATTACATATCTCACTCCCACCTAGCCTGCGCACAGATCACCAGCTGTAGCCCACTCACCAAAGCTACCCCTCGGAAACGGGTATATAGCGGCGCCAATCCCGCGCACATTCAAGTTCTCGTGTTTATAGAACAGCCCTGACCAATTCGAACTATCACTTATCTCACTGGCCCAAATTGTAATGGCAGATTCAGGAATGGATGAGTTCGCACAGACACGCGGCGCCGACGACCTATTCGACGACGAGATTATCCCGATCTCCGCAGAAGAGCAGCAGACTCAGACGGAGGTAATTGCGCACGAACCAGAGCCAGAGCAGCAGGAGGTGCCTGTGCCTGAAGAGCCAGCTCCGGAGCAGCCAATTCCGCGCGGAGAGACTCCGCAGCGTGGCCGTGGCGGAGAGCGAGGTCGAGGCCGACGCGGACGGGGGAAGGGTGCGCGTGGTGGGCGAGAATCGGAGCAAAAGCGCTCGGAAAGTTCCTCGCGGAAAAAGTCTTCTGCACAATCTCCTGCATCCGATGTACGTCGGGGTAGTACCTCGAAGGGCGAGAAGTCCGCTGAGCCCAAGGAGCAACCCGGCCCTGTTGAAGAGGGCAATGGAGAAGAACAGAGTTCGAACGGCGCCGAGGCGCAACGTGTGCCAGCTGTTCGTGGTGACCGGAGTGCTACTGGTGGCTTGAGAAAGGTGAGACGACTCTGCTTCATATCGAGATGATTTACCGAACCAGCAGGCTAATTGTTCTCTACAGCCCAAGCTCACGGAAGCAGAACTCTCCAAGCGCATTGCCGCAGCCAAGGAGAATGCTTTGAAGAAGGCCGCGGCTCATGCCCGCGCTGAAGCCGACCAGGCCTCATTCATGGAGCGCGAGCAAGAAGCAGCGAAGAAACGGCGCGAAGAAGCCGCACACCGCCAGTTGATGGACAATGAACGTGAACAGAATAGGCAACGCAAGCTCAAGGCCCAGACGGGCCGAGAATGGGACTCGCAGAAGCGCGAGGAAGATTATAACCCCCGCGGCGGCGGCAGCCAGTTCCGTCGTGGTATGCATGGTGGCGTGTCTGGTGTAACTCGACGGAACTTCGAAGGAAGTCGCCCAGAGGACGCTGCTGATCACCAGAGTAGTCCCCGGGACAGTGGATGGGATGATGGATGGGGCGATGCAGGTGGTCGTGACCGAGGGTCGCCACGTGCCTCGCGGGGAAGTACACCACCCGGAGGTACACCACGACGGAAGGGCCTGGCTGGCAGTAGATTTGCTACGGAGAGCCCCGTTGCTGGGCTGGATGATAAGAGTGCATTCCCGGCTTTGCCGGAGCGGCCCAAGGAACCAGAGACGAAACCTACGCCTAAGTCGGAGACTAAGCTCACGGCTGACACCAACGTCAATGCTGAACCTGCTTCTGAGGCTAGGAAGTCACCATCAGCAATGGACAAGTTGGACTCCACGTTCTCACCCCTTACTGGAACTTGGGCGGACCAGTTTGATGACGGGTGGTGAAGTCTTTGGCGTGTTTTTATTTCCTTTTTTTCTTGGTTCTGTTTTACATTGGCCACTACGATTCTCCTCATGCATATCTTACGACGTCAAAAGATCCTGTTTTTCGCACTTCGCACTTTGATATCCCGCCTGTTCTGGACTTTGATCAGTGCCTATTCGGAGGGCTCAGATGCGAAAGCTCTTCCATACTGTATGTTATATACGCTGTCAGTGGTATCCATAGCAACTACACTCGGCAATTCCCCATGGCTCTACATGCTGTTCTGGTTGAGCATCCTATAATTCCTCGTGAGTACGCGTTGAAGTGGACACAGCTAGGTACCAGATGTTACCGCAGAAAGCCGATGTTTACTGCCTCTCAAGGGCGAGTGATGATGAATATCTGATGTACAAAGTTATTGGGTTCGATGGTTATGCCATATCGGCAGCAAGAATGAGAATTGTAAATGAAATGGATATTGAGCAGTTATCCTTCAACCTCCCCAACCGTCATCTGAGCATCACACCCAATATAGAAGTAAAAACGCCTGCGCTATGCAACGGGCCGGAGCCCAAGATCTCAAGAATGAAGAGAAGACAGTGCCAAATCACCATCTGCCACCGCCGCGGCGCCGATATCCACCACCACCGCCGCCACCACCTCCATAACGGGGACCCCGACCAGCACCCGGGCGACCACCAGAGGCGTAAGGGTTATCATCTTCTTCGTGGTGGCGCACTGGCGGGGCCCGGCCCTTCAGCTCTGCGCTCAGCTTCTTGCAGTTCGTGCGCATGTCTGAGTAACCCATGTGCATCTTTCCGAAGAAGTGATCTGCCAAGCGGCGGTCATTGTCAAGACGAGACAAGTAGGCACCGCAAACGTCGCAGACTTGCAGTTTCTGGTGGCCGGATGGACCAGATGTATCTTGCAGATTCTTGAGATCGCGCTCGAGGCTTTCTTTTTGCTGCTTGGCTGTTCGGACCTTGTACATTTCATTCAGTGCCAGTGCGACAGAGCCTGTCTCGCCGAGGATGGAGACTTCGAGGAGGCCGGAATTGATGGTGTTGGAAAGGTCGGCGATTTGTTTGAGCTGTATAGGATGTTAGCATAGTAGACTTGGAGATCGACTGGCCTCGACCTCGAATTGTGAAGCAAAGATTGATCTCGACGTACCAGATCGTTTGTCTGTCGAATCTCATCCGGAGTCTTCTCCAGTCGGCGCTGCGCAGTCTCGATTCGGCGGTCACAGTCGTCAATGTACTTCTGCATGTCGCGCAGGTAATCGAAGTCAAATCCCCATTTCGCTTTCTCGGCGGCAGACGCAGTATCGTATTCGGTCTTTAGGCCCTCGCTGTGAACCTTAGGACAAGGGCCGAGATCTTGCTTGGTGTTGGTGAACAGGTCGTGCGGGCAAGTACCAGCGAGGTAGGAACGGCAGACCTTGCTGTCGGTAATGGAGAGTTGGGCATTGCGACCATGTGCGCCTGATCCCGTGAGCTGTTCGGCTGTAAATGAAGCAATGTTAGCATTTGGAGACTCGTCGGGGGCGGGCTAGAGCTTGGGGATTTCGAGAGGCGCAAAAAAAATCATATCAACGTACCTCCCATGAGCTGCTCGAGCAGCTTTCGCTGTTCCGCCGCCATGCTGATAGAGCTTCTGCAGTAAGCTTGAAAGAAAAGGAGAAGACGAGATTGTGTCTACAGACGTGATTGGCGGCGGACGAGGAAGTCTCTCGTTTTTGATGCTTTTGGCGCCAAGAAGGCGGTGAGGCTCCACAGTCAACAGACCAGATGGACATCTCGGGGATTTGGGGTTTGCCTCCGATCTTGTCATCGAGGCGGAGTTTTTATATTGACTTGGTGATCAATTGAGTCAGTCTGTCCGGGGATACAGCTCACTTATTGGCCTACCGCTTCGCCGTCGACATCCCTATCCTTTCGATTGACCGGGGTAATTGCATGGACAAAGACCGCGCTCCGGCAAGCATGAAGTCATGACGGTCCTTTCACTATTCTCAGTGCCTTTTGTTGCGCTTGTCCTTTCGCTATGGAGCTGCTCTGTCTTGGCTTCTTCGGACTACCATGAACACCTTCTCCTACAACCTCTACCGCAGTCTTCCCTACTAGCTTCGTTCAACTTCCGAAGCAATACATCGCAACAATCATTCGACCAACAGCATTTCAGACACCTACCTCGAGCTCTTGGCCAAATCCTACAACACGCTCACACAAAGGAGCTACACCTCCGCTTTACCACTGGAAGATGGGATGCTGAAAGTTGGGGTGCACGGCCATGGAACGGCAGCAAAGAAGGAGGCACCGGTGCGGAGCTTTGGGCGTGGATTGACGCACCGGGTGATGAGGAGTATGTCATTTACAGGCCATTTTCTAAAGGCGTGCAAATACTAATTTGTTAGGGCATTTGCAAAGTGGATCACCCTGACACAATCCCTCTCGGGTTTATTCTGTGCCTCACTGAACTTCGTGGACTCAACCCGAACTACTCGACCGGTGGTGTCTTTTGAGCCTACTGGAGACCACTCAGCTGCAGATCAGCTGCATCTTCTTCACGGAACACTCCCTGGAGAAGTAGTCTGCACGGAGAACTTGACCCCTTTCTTGAAGCTACTGCCCTGCAAAGGCAAGGCTGGAATCTCCTCCCTCTTTGACGGGCACAAGCTGTTCGATGCTGCATGGCAGAGTATGTCAGTTGACATTCAGCCGGTTTGCGGTGCAGACGGCGAATGTGTGGTTCAGATCGAGCAATCCGTGGACATGGTCTTGGATATCGACCGGTCCAAGCGCTCTCGTTGTGAGTATATTTCCCAGTGTACATCGATTCAAGATCGCTAATATAGCTTTTTTTGCAGCAAACCCAATTCCTCGGCCGGTGCCTAATGAGCAGCTGATCTGTGACACTTCCAAGCCTTACAACTCAGACGATACCTGCTACCCGCTGGAAACAAGCGATAAGGCGTGGAGCCTGACAGAAGTCTTCGGACGGAGCCTTAATGGCGTGTGTCCTCTTGCAGACTCCGATGGGACAAGCGATCCAAGTGTGTGCCTTCGCGTTCCTCATGAGCGTGGCGTCTTCATCTCCGAAGGGGCCGAGGAAATCAAGAAGGAAGACGGATTTACCCGGTGTTTCAAGTTGGCATCATCGGCACCCTTCGATCTCTCAATTCCGCAGCAGCCGGTGAACACGCAAGTCCCACTGGATGAGCCCGTGCTCCACGCAGAGCGAACCATCGTCGGCCACGGCCAGGAGCGCGGCGGAATGCGCATCATCTTCGGCAACCCCTCCAACACCAGCGACGTGGATTTCATCTACTTCGAGTCTCTCCCGTGGTTCCTGCGCCCATACATCCATACTTTACACGCAACCATTACAGGACTCGACGGCGTGCCGCGTGAGGTTCCCGCCTCCGAAATCGTCAAGGAGACATACTACCGCCCGGCCATTGATCGCGAGCGCGGAACACAGCTAGAACTGTCGCTGTCGGTGCCGGCCGCATCAACCGTGACCTTGACTTATGATTTCGAAAAAGCCATCCTTCGGTACACTGAATACCCGCCAGACGCCAACCGTGGATTCAACGTCGCGCCTGCGGTGATTCGCATCTTGGATACGGCCCATCACTCGCCAATATACATTCGTTCCACGAGTCTACTTCTCCAACTCCCAACTCCGGATTTCAGTATGCCATACAATGTGATCATTCTCACTAGTACTGTTATTGCCCTTGCTTTCGGGACGATCTTCAATATCTTGGTGCGCAGAGTGGTTTCTCTGGATGAAGCCGCTGTTCTTGGATCCCAGAGTGTGAAAGGCCGACTCCTTGGAAAGGTAGTGGCCATTCGTGATCGAATCCGTGGTAAGAGTAGTAAAGTGGAGTAGTTCACATATGCAAATTATGAGTCAAATATTCTTTCAGGTTTCAAGCATGAAAAGAGAGCCGTAGGACGTAAGTGACCTCTAGTCCACCAACGTTCGCATACTCTCCCTCTACATTCACTGCATGGAGGTGCCCTTGTCGAATAAACCCTTCCATTCAGTCAAATCTCATCAATCCTAAACGCCATTAGAGTACATAACCCTCGAACCATTTCTCATAATGTCATTCAGCACCACCAGTCCAACTAACTCCGACTCCCAGTAAGTCTAGGTACCAACCAAAAATGTCAGTCACAATGCCTCAACCCCAAAAAGATGAAACACAGAAACAAAAAAACTCACCCGCCAGCAATATTCTTAACGGTATTCCAACCCGGATACGTATCCGGATCCCCAGCCTTATGCCGCATAAAGCTCGGATCCTCCGAAGGACCACCAGCCGAATCCCCCTCAACCTCACCGACCTGGTTCGCACGCTGCAGGTACTTTGTCTGCGCGCGGGTCTTCTGGTCGTCTAGACCGAGGAAGGAGCCCATTGTTGAGGCGGGGTTTGGGGCCTGTTCCCGACACAATTGCATTAGTATTCGGATTCCTGATGTCATGTCTCCTGTTGGAAGTATGGAAAATGTTCCGGCTATGTGCTGGGGCTTAGGTGAAGATGTCGAGGTCAACTTACAGCTGCGTGTCCGATACCCTCGCTGGAGTCGGAACTGCCGCTGCCGAATGCTTTCTCGCCCCAGCTGGTTTCCTTGTTGGCGGGTGTTGGTTCGGCGCTGCTGCCGCCGGCGACGGCGGTTGTTTGGCGGTTTTCGGTGCTGTCTTGGCCCATTTTGGTGGTTGTAGATGTTTTGATGTAGTTAATTGAGAATAGTTGAATTACTTAGGATCAATGAAAAGTGCTTTGAATAGAACTTGAATATATACAAAGTTCCATGGCGTTGACTTATATTTGCCACGGACCCCGGATGAAGTCATAATGAGGATACGCCCCCATCCCACCTGTGATGCAATCACGTGTGAGTGATCTGGTTTTAGGTTGCAAAATCCTGCTCTTTGGTATATTTGGTTTAGATAACTGGCTATGCCAACGGAAGGCAGGAGGGAGTACCTCATTTCCTACGAGGATGCTCCCAATCATACTGAACCACCCTATAAGTCGGCCATGCCTGCAACAAAACAGCACCAACCATCATACACCCGGCAAAGACCTGAGCCCGCAAGAACTCCGCCGTGTCAAGATTAACCAAAGCACCCGCGATCGGAGCTCCAGCCAGAGCTCCAAACGACGATATCCCCCACATCATCCCCAACCTTGTCCCCATGAAGCTAGGGTCAGGACAGAAAACCGGATGCGCGACAATAGACGTAGGCGCCGTAACCAAAACCCCACTAAGCGCACCCCAATAGCACGCCCAAACAATGAACCCGGCCTGCCCCGTCGCCGCAATCCAAGTAAACATCGCAATCGCCGAGGCCGCAACGGCAAGTATCAAGATACCGATAGGCTTGATATACGCGACGAGCAAATAAGGCACCACACGCCCAATCACCGACGACCCGTTCACAATCGCAACCATGTAGAAGCTGAGACTGGTGGACGTGTGCACGACCGTGCGGGCGTAGGAAGCGATATAGAAGATCGGCACGTAGTACGCGAGCATAACGCATGTCAGCGAGATAGCGAACATCATGAATGAAGGGGAGCGGAAGGCGTGCCAGTCGATGAGGCTTCTTGCGTGGGTTCTTTGGCCTGCGTGTCGACAGAGGATTGTACATGCTACGAGGGCGAGGAAAAGGCTGATAAAGGCTATGCAGCGGACGGCCCAGGGGAAGCCGATTCGTGGCTGCAGTTGGCGGAACATGATTGGGAAGATCACGGCGCCGACGCAGGAGCCGATGGAGGCGCAGCCGATGGCGATGGGGCGTTTTGTCGTGAAGTGGGTGGAGATCACGACTAGGGCGGGGATGTAGGAGATGCCGCCGCCCATTCCTACGCAGAAGCCTTGTGCAAGAAGGACCTGTTCTTGTTAGTGGTCTGGGACTGGATGGCGAGTTAGGTTTGGTGTGCTTCTTACCTGGTAGTAGGAAGTGGCTAGACTGGTCATCATCATTCCGAAGACGGTCAGGAAGCTTCCAACTAGAATTAGAGGGCGTAGATATCCCACGTCAACTAATGGCCCTGCAGCTATACCGATCAATGGGATTAATGTGGCCTGGACACTTCCCACCCAGGAGATCGTGGACGGTGATTCATGGGATAGGAGAACTGTTTGGTAGTACTCTTGAAAAGCACCATATGTTGTCAAAAGGCCCCTGAAAATAACTATTAGCTTGCTTTCCAATATATCGAAGCTTGATAACCAACCAAGAATTGACAAAAACACAGAAGCCCGCAACAACGCCTAGCCATGCATCAAGACCACCGTTGATTCTTCGTTTATGGATGTCATATTCCTTCCCATTGTTGGAGTCAGCGGGCGTTGGATGTGGTTGGGCGCCATCGCATGTCTTCTCTTCTTCCATTTCGATATTTGTCCATTTTGCGATAGACAGAGGTCCAAGTTATTAAAACAGACCCTTTCCCCCCATACCCCCCAAGATTTGGAGTCATGGTGGAGAAAGACCGGGGTCTACGGGGTCGTCATTAGTCACTCGGCACTCCATAACCGAGCTCTACCGCGTGAGATTCCTCCAATCGACTCGTGGACGCCGACGGGATTTCGGAAATTCGTATTTCGAGCTGGAAGGATATTGGCTTGGAGATGGAAGCTCCATATCGGAGAATAAACCGATTCCGTTTCTCCGTGTCGTTCATATCCTGAGGAGAAACGTGTAAGCGACAACCCAAGAGATTGATAATGATACGCTCTAGAGCCTTATAGATCTCCTCAGGTCTAATCGATTGATAATTATACGCTCTAGAGCCTTGTATAGATCTCATCGCTTTCAAGAGACCTGAGGAGTTGAAGAACACTCAAAGAAAGTCGTCCTCGAATCTAGGTAACCAATGTGATTAGGGATATGACTGACATCAACTTTCAACCTTAAGGGTTAGCTCTTCCAAATTCCAATTTGACTTACCCGACAGGGATGAGTCTAAGAGCCGTAAGCGTGGCTCCTGTTTTGATGGTGCTGTAGAGGTGCGACCAGTCTCTCAAGTTCCATGGACAGGTGACAAGGTGGGCACGTCATGTCCATGGCCCGGATACACATCTCGTTGCAGTAGGTTAGGGCTGCTTTCATGAGTGCCTTGACGGCATTTCCATCTGAAGATCCGATGATACACTGGATAGAGTAGGCATTGCCTTTGAAATTACAATGGGAAATATACTCTGGCTACAAGGTGTTATAAGATACCGGAACAATCAGTAAACTAGCAGTGGTTCGTCCTATTCCATTGAGTAACTAAGTAAAAAACATTTGGCGGTGGGTATTCATTCCACTTCCCCTAAAACAAAAGGCCTTTTCCAGATAGTCCCCCGAACACCGCAAGACTGGCATTGCGCAGCCTTGTCAAAAGAAATACAAAGATGAGATAAGATTGTACAGAACAGGATGGGCTATCGAACAAGTCCGTCAAACAGCTTACTGAGGTACGGTGCCATTGGCTTGGGCCTCGAAAATGGCTTGCATCAAAGTGTCATAATGATGGGCGGCGGCAGGTTGATGATTCAGAATCTTGCGAACGACTTCCAGCTGGGCCATGTCCACATTGGGTGCGGTCTTCAGGAGCTGTTGGATGGCGGGTGCATCCACTTGTGTGCCTAGGAGGTGCACCGCAGCGGCGAGGCCTGTCAGGGCAGGTTGGTGTTGCGGCGCTGCCTCGCCATATGGCGCAGGGTTGTGGTTGAATCCGGCAAAGTGGGAGGGGGGTGTGGGCGCAATTCCAGTGCTGAACTGGGGTTGCTGGGGGTGCCCATTGCGCCTGTGACGGGGCTCGCGAATGTGGGAGGCTCCTGGCTAGCCTGGTGCGATGGCGGCTGGACCGACGGAGGGTTGGACTCGCTGGTCTTGACGACGAAGATGGTGAGAAGCATGCGGTGAGGAATAGGCGCTTCCAAGGAGATGTTTTCGAGGAGTTCGATGAATTCTGGCATTTTGGTGGTGCCGACCTCCATGGGGACGAGGTAGGTATCTTTCACGGCGGACAAGGGGTGCTTCCCGATGACACCATAGCGTTCACGGCTATGGAAATAGTCGAACAGTTTGTCAAAGCCTGCTCGGTCTTCGGGCTTATCGGGGCTGCTGACGGCGATCACGGAGACATCGGTAGACTTGCTGAACTGAAGACCGCAGAGATAATCGGTCGCTCGTCTGATGTCGATACGCCCATCAACATGCAGATTTGAGGGCACCAAGTGGCTCCATGGGATCCGGCCACTCAGGTCAGCACCCCCCACGTGCTTCGCGGTAGAATTAAATTCCCCGATAGGAGGCATTGTGACCCTGCCGCGCCAGATGGCTCCATCATCGTTAAAGTCTTTCGGCGAATAGGGGGGAGAGTCGATGTCATCGTCGCGTAAGAGTTGATCGATCTCGGCATCCGCTTGAACCCTGCCGGTAGGCACTGGGTCGTGGATACTGGGGGGCATTTCCATTTCCGGGAAGACATGATCATGGTGAGCGCCCTCGGGCGAGAGACCACGCGCAATTCCGTCTGCCTTGGATTGCTGCAATCCCGTTGCGCTCGTCGAGGCCTCGGCTGGGCTGCCGTCATCGCCCGGAACGTGACGGGGTCCTCGGGAAAACACTGACTCATTTGCACCATGGGTCTCGTCCTCGATCAACTCTTCGCCCTTATGGGTGCGACGAATGCGAGGAGCCTGTTCTTGAATAATGGTGCGCTGTCTGTCTGCCTCGCGCTTGATCTCGGCGTCCTTCTGCTGCAACTCCTCGCTGGCCATCTCTTTTGACGACATCTGGGATAGAGCCTTAGGAGAGAGACTCCCTACGAGCAAACGGTCTCGCAGAGAGGTATTCTTTTTTATGTTGAACATGATCGTCCGAAATTGGAGCCTATACGAATCTGTTGGCTCGCCTGACCGCGCGCAGAAATTCTCATAGATCCCATCTTCGATGGAAAGACCAAGATACCGTGCGAGATCCTCCACTGATTGGTTTTCACGCAAGGTAAAGGTGCCTGCTTTCTGAGCCGCAGCGATTTGGTCTACAAACATCTTGATGAGATGTGTGGCCACACCCTTGCGAGCAGGCATAAGTTCATCCAAACTTCCAACAGCACGAGCCTCCGGGGTATTGTCTGCCTTGATTTGAGGCGTGGTCGATTGTGGGACAGCTGCTGGAATAGACTGTGGAGAGGTTCGTTGCTGCTTAACTTGTGGGCCCTGGTAAACAGATGAGTTAGCATTTCGAGTGACACGGTTAGGTGGTATAGGAATAGTCACCTTGTCATTCTCGGTCGTCTCTTCGAGCTTGCGCTTGTTGGTGCTTGATCGCCGAGAATCATTGGCGTGGCCATTCTTCTCTGGTTCCGCGGACGCAGTTATGGCCCCAGTTGCAGGAGAACCACTGGGACCAGGCGTAGTGGACGGTGCAGTACGAGCAGGGGTGCCGGCATCTGTTCTGCTCTCACTGGGTCTAGCTTTGCGGCCGCCCTTCTTGCCCTTCTTTCGCTTAGACTTCTTCTCCTCTGCCTCTCTGCGACGTTTTTCGGCGACCTCTTCCCAGGGCTTCTCGCCCGCTTGCATCCTCGCCAGAAGCACTTTGTGGTTCTCTGGTCGGCATTGTTCACAGAAATATTGATCCGGTTCCTGCCCTTTTGGGAACGTCAGGCCCATGCAATCATTGTGTTGCCATGCAGAACATTGATCACAGCAGATCATGTCGCGCTCCACATCCTCTTCTTCTTCATATTCACCACAGATACATCGGATGATTTCTTCTTCTTCCCCTTCGCCTTCACTTGGACCGGGTGTGGGTTCGGTAGATAGTTTCGCGCTCTTTTCTTTCGGGCTTTTGCTTTTGCCTTTCTTGCCGGTGTCATCTGGTAGTTCGAGGTTCTTGTGTTGGCCCTTGGTGGCTCGGCCTGAACGGCGGGGTTCATCTAGTCTCATTGTTAGCTTGGCTTCTTGTGAACGGCCCACAATCCAAATTTGGGGTCGCGCTGTCACTTGGGGTGATTTGTCGCAATGTCGGTAGCGACAGTGTACGAAAGCTTACCGGCCATGGTGTTGCTGTGTTTCGGTGCGTACTACAGCGGGTAAGAGAATAATAGTTCTCTGCAATTGCTCGCAATTTGCGCGTTACCCCAGGGCTGACAAAAGTCTCTACAGGCTCAAGGCGCTAAAGTAATACACAGGTGAAGATGGCACAGCAGCGATACTGCCTGGCCCACAGTTTTGCTTGATCGTGGAAAAAGCAATCTAGAGTCTGCGCAATATTGCTTCAACCGACACACGGGAGCAAAGAACGCGCCGAAGTGGGTTGTTATGGTGGACTGTGCAATCCCTTGCTGCGCGTCAAATGACAACTTGGCGCTAAGCGGGGTCGCGGCTGAGTGAGCTCAGATCGCGCTCGCGTTGTGCGATCGAATAGGGCAAAGAAAAGATTATGATGAGATCGGGGAAATAATGGCGCTAGATATCTCAGATGGAGAAAGCAAAAATGCCAGGTCGTTGGGTGCAAGGTAGAAGGAGAAATGTAATGTGATGTGAGGAGAAGAGCTTAGCAATGAACGAGGTGGCTTGGGCTCCCGTGTTTGTCATCTATATCACGTGACAGTTGTCACCAGCCACAGTCTCGCGGCGGTTTGTCCCTTCGGTGAATCCTAAGAGAGCTTCTCCAGCTTCCCCACTCATCATCACAAGTTCTTTTATTTCCGAAGCAATTTGAATCACGAAACCAAACCCATACCAACTACTTCTATCTAGCATCCATCCCATTACACATATTATACTCCCGACTTCCTACATTACAGCTCAAAGAAAATATGGCCGATGTCCGATCGCTCCTCCGCAGCGAGCTAGCTTCCCGCAAGGGCACCTCCCAACCGAACACGACAGGGAATCGGGTTACCAAGAAGCGCAAGGTTGACAGTGGAGATGGAGTAATGCGAAAAAAGCTCCGCGCCGCTGAACTCGATGCACAGTCTACCTCCGGCGGCACGCCCACCGAACAAACCACCGAGGCAGAGCAGGTTGACAGTGATGTCGCCGGCCCAGAAGCTTCAGTTGACAGCGAACAAGACATTGTTGAATCAGCTGCGGAGCCTGCAGAAGAGCCAACTACGGCGCCACCTCCAGATACATCCATGACTACTGATGAGGACGCATGGGAAGCATTCCAACGCGATGTTGTCGCGCCAGCTCTTGTACCGCATACGCCGGCTGCTGTTGCAGCCGAGGCTACGATATCAGCGGCTCCAGTGACAGCCCAAGAGCTTGCTGCGCAAGAAGAGCGAGCGAAGGCGTCAACAACTCGCTCTCGTGAAGCTGAGCTGGAAGGGGAGCGAGAGGATGCCGCGCGTCATTTGGAGGAAGAGTTTGATGAGATGGATCAGTTGGAAGAGCGGGTGCGAAGACTCAAACAGAAACGCGAGGAGCTGCGGAAAGCACGCGCCGAGGATCGACCACAAGATGAATCGATGGGCCCGGACACTGTGGAGCAGGACGCTGCTGAGAGCGAGAGTGAAGATGGTGACGACGACGATTGGGACGATTGGAGGTTTAAATGAAATGAGAAACGACAATGTGTCTACGCGAAGGGAAGAGGCTTCCCTCGTCTACAGTGATACCCTCAGGAGTCTAATGGAATCGGCATGCGCGATTTGTCTCTTGATGTATAATATTAAGATGTCTTTATTGCCACAAAAGTTACATGTGATAATCAGAGATTACCTATTGATCCAGCTTCGGCTCCTCATCTTCCCTCTGATCGACATCCATGTAGCTCCGTAGGCCGTCCTTCCTGACACGCATTGCCTGTTCAACTTCGGCCTCGCCTTCCCTGAGCAGGTGTTTGCCACGAAGGAGATCTCCTCGTTGCCTCCGCTTCTCTTCCTCCACCCGCTTCTCCCGATCCGCCAAAGCCTTCTCGCGCTTCTCGCGTTCAAGTCGTTTTCGGTCAAGTTCTTCTAGCTCTTCTGCTGTCAACTGTACCTCCGGCGCCGGAGGCAGTGTAGATATGTACGCCTCAATCAACGGGTCTCGCACCTCCGGCGCGAGTCCGATATAGCGGACATCAGTGATTACCACAGTGGGCAAAGCTTCAGCGTTGGAAGACCGATGTAACAAGTCCAACGGAACAGACTTGAGAAGGGCAGACAGGTCTGATTTGCGAGTACTCTCGGGTTGTTTGATACGCGAGATATGGTCGCGGTAGAACTTCTCGCGCTCTTTATCCGTAAGCTGAGAGTCCTTCATTTCAGGCTCTTTTCGGAACTTGCGCTTGAACTCTGGCCAGTAAAGCTTGGGAGTGGCATGTTTCTGCAGGAACGCCAGATACTTGATGCGCGGGTCCGTCTTTTCCTGCTTCGCCTTTTGTTCTTTAATGTGTTGGATCCTTTCCCTGGACCATTTGGAGAAAATCTCTCGTCGCATCTTCATGTTCGCGGGTGCTGTATATCGAGTGTCTTCAATGATGCGACCTTCTTCGATGACATTCTCCCATGTCGTGAATGGGTTGATCTGGAAATCGTCCAGCAGGTCGCGGAAGAGGGCTTCAGCGTCAGCCTCTGTCAGCGGTAGGCCCGCTGCGCCCTCTTCCCAGTCCTCCTCTCCAACCTCGCCGTATTCCCCGGGGTCCAGTCCATAGTCTTCGCCCATGGCTGCTAGTTGATATTCCATGTCTTCTTCGTTGAACTCTAGCGGCTGGTTCTCGAGGCCCTCGCTTTCAGCCCGCGCACGCTTTGACGGTTGACCCTCTTCGCCCTCGCTATCTGTAACCTCGACCTCCTCATACTCGTCGTCGTCGTCTGCGTGTTCCGTTTCCAGTGGTACCGGTTGGGCTTCCGTTTGAGCGTCCGGCGGTGCAGATGGTTCCTTTTTAACTGGCTCCTCGGGCTCCCCTCGTTCCTTTCTTTCCTTTTTCTCACGCTCGAGACGATCAAATTCAACCACGCCCTTCAGAACGTGTTCCGGAAATTTCCAAAAACTTTCCTTGGTTTCTGGATTGTGCACAAATCTCCTTCCAAGCTTTGTCTTGACCAGGAGCCATGGGGCGCAGTCAGGTATAGGATGCTTCTTTTTTGGCCTATCTTCGGGCTCTCTTCGTCCACGATCGTGGTAGCCTTTCCCTCCACGGAACCCTCCCCGGCCACGGAAGCTCTGCGGCGGGCTAGTATGCGCCGGTACATGGCCAAATCCTGGCGGTCCATGAGGTGTTGAAGAGAACGGGGGCAGTGTCGCCGGAGTGTAGGTTGCGTGTGAGGGATCAGGAGCCGATTGACTGGGGTGGGAGACAGTTTGTTGAGGGCGGGTATAGGTGGATTGTTTCGTTGCAGCGTTATAATAGTACCAGTGGCCTGTTATAACCGTCAGAATGATCAAAACTTTGCATGAAGCCGGCGCAAGACGAACCTGTGGGAGCTCGATGTTGAGTCCACCCTTCAGGCAAAGGGGGAGGAGCGGAGTATGTAGATTTGAGCATTTCAATCGAAACCAATCAAATCGCAAGCAAAAGAATTACGAAATGGGCCTCGCGGTCCGTCGTTGCGAGTCGAAGTAGGCAAAGTGTCGCAACCAAGCTGTGGTGTGGTGAAGTGGTCCGAGCTTGGCGGATGACAGAGGACGCGCCAGGGCGAGTTGCCTGGAGCTTCTACGACTTCACCACCGAACCTCACCATCCCGAACCAGAACCACCTCATTCATACAATCAACCTCTACCTTTGGTTCTTTTTTGGGTTTTCGTTGCTTTATTCACTCAGACACGATGTCTCGGAGATACGATTCGAGGGTTTGTGCACACCGTCATTCCTTTTGTTCGGCCTCAGCTAACCTATGACGATGCTCGACAGACTACCATCTTCTCCCCCGAAGGTCGACTGTATCAAGTTGAATATGCGCTTGAGGCTATCTCTCATGCCGGCACAGCTCTCGGTATCTTAGCCAAGGATGGAATTGTCCTTGCTGCGGAGCGGAAGGTGACCAGCAAGCTGCTGGAGCAGGATACCTCCGCCGAGAAGCTTTACACAATCAATGAGTACGAAACCTATATTATCTTCTTAGCATAAGCAACTCACAGCTGACACTTTTCAGTAACATGATTTGCGCCGTCGCTGGTATGAATGCCGACGCGAACATTCTGATCAACTATGCTCGCCAGAACGCCCAACGCTATCTCCTTACGTACAACGAAGACATCCCATGTGAACAGCTTGTCCGCCGGCTGTGTGATTTGAAGCAAGGATATACCCAACACGGTGGTCTCCGTCCATTCGGTGTGTCGTTCATTTACGCTGGGTACGACCACCTCCGTCAATTCCAGCTATACCAGAGCAACCCCAGTGGAAACTACGGAGGCTGGAAAGCCACAAGCGTTGGCGCAAACAATGCCAGCGCGCAGAGTCTCCTCAAGCAAGATTACAAGGAGGACTGCAATTTGCAGGAGGCCTGTGCTATGGCCGTCAAGGTGTTGAGCAAGACCATGGACTCTACAAAGCTGAGCAGTGAGAAGAGTAAGTCTTCCTGTTGTATATCTTCGTCTTAAATTTTGTTGAGCTAACATTTTGCCCCTACACAGTCGAGTTTGCAACGGTGGGCAAGACCAAGGATGGCAAGATCTACCACCACCTATGGACTGCGGATGAGATTGATTCCCTTCTGCGGGAACAAGGGCTCGCCAAGGTTGATGATGAGCCTGAGGCTGGTGACATAAAATAGATTAAATTCTTCCGTGCCCTTCTCCGTCCCAGATACTTGAATTCAATACTTTGACTATAATCATCCAGTTGCATTCTACTATCATCATCGACGAAAGGTTCTTACCGGTATCTCCTCTGTCGAATGTGCTTTCGCTTAGGGCTGCACCTGGTGTTGTTCTCTTGTGACGTGGCATGCAAATCGGCCCAGTCTCAGCGCCCTTCTTCGATTCTGCGCCCCGATTTGACGCTGTTTACCTTGAAGATGTTTGGTCGTGTAGGTCACACGTAGGCTGAAAGAACTAAGAGGGCATCTATCCATGGATGACGGGAGGTTGTAACCGGACTGCACATGTTAAGTTTCCGAGGACAAGGTTCCATATTCCCACAATATATAGTTCCCAACTTCTCTGGTGCCATCTCGCACCTCTTCTCCCGTCTGTTTCCCCGACTGACGGCAAAACGACGGGATTGCCATTCCATTTACTCAAATTGCCCGAGTCGTTATGGTATTGGCGTGAGTTCAAGCGATGAGAAGCTACATACCTAGTGTCGTTTCCGGGCATAGGTAGGTGGAGGTACCTAAGTACCTCATCTCGTCCATCCCCAAGAGGTATCCAATGATTCTTAGGTATCTCCATCCACTGGACCACTGCAACAACTGGTCGATACGCAACACAACTTCGATCTTCTACGCCCTATAATCTATTTCCATAATCTCCCACAGCAATATTCACTTTCCTATGGAGGACCCGACTTGATTTCAGGTTATATAAGCTGTCACGTGGAGGGTTGTGATGAGGCCTGTGATGAGGGGCCCCTCGTTCCATGCCGAGTATACATATGTCTCAAGCCTCACTCACTCTATCAATCTCTAACTTTAGGGCATTCTCGGATTTAGATGGCCGTTTGACCTCATTTGGGTCTCAATGGCTTTTTCATCTGGTTCTAGCGAGTGCCAACCCCTCACTCTGTGAGACTCAATCCGTCTCAGCGAACCGCTCACCCAGAAGAACAGGGCGCTTATGACATGACTAGTCCCCGTTGACAGTTTCTTTTAGGAGTTCGATAGCCTATGGACAGAAAGCAATATGGAACCCGAACCAATTATATTTCTCGTCAAATGTCAATATTTTCGAAAGCGATCTGGTTCTCTCGTCGGCTTGCAGAAACTCGATTCGAACTTGATGTCACGGACAAGTGGTGAAACATGATTATGAAACTCGCTGCAAATCCCCCTCAGGAGACAGTACCAAGCAGCAAAAAAGAAAACAAGAAAACAATTGGCTAATATGAACCGGAAACAGGCCAACACGCTTGCTGTTGGACTGCAAGGAAGGAAAACAAAAGAGCAAAGAAAAAAAAACACCGGTTCTGCAATTCCAAACCAATCCTATCTTAGGAGAGTGCTTCTTCGGTCGTCCCGCTCCCGTTGCAGGGCGCGGATTTCTTTCTCCAAGTCCAGGATGAGCCTCTCGGATCGATCCATTGAAGCCACAAGTGTGGCACCCTCTCGTTTCCACCGCGCCAGGCGTTCGAGTTCGGCGCTACGGCGACGATATTTTGTTTCGATTTTCTCGCAGAGACGGCAATTGTTCTTGTCATTCTCAGTGGCGTTGACGAGTCTCATACCGCATGTTTCGCCAGTGCGGTATTCATAGTTGCATCGGTGAGCGAAGCTGGTCCAGCTCCAGTCTCCACACGCAAACCGTTTCTGGTTGTAAAAGCACATGCCTATCATATCTGTCAGTGCTGCTCAATCTGCAAGTACGACATAACCTACTTGCTCACGGTTCTCTGTCTTTGTTTCAGACTGTGGACGCAGGGTTACTATTGGTTGCACCTGCCAGTACACCTGCACTTGTCGGATTTGATAGGTTGGCCTGTCGTCTGGGTCTTAAAAGGCCTGGCAAGCTTAACAAAGTTGAAACGAGTTCTTGAATGGATTCTTATCCCGACGGATATCTATTGGTCTGGCTTGAGGATTTCAGACTCGAACCATGAAATCAAAGGGGACGATTGTGAACCTCATGACATCTCGGGGCGTTGACAGGCTTATTTATCTTAGGACAAAGTTTCTATGCCACGGTTCTGTTATCCCATGTTTGCATCGTCCTACCGTTGATCGACGTTCGTCAGTGCCCGATGGCTTATCATCCGTGGTTCTAGTCCATGGATTTTACATTGCACCTGCCTGACGGATGATCCGGTTGGCTGTGGGCAGTTCTCTGGGCAGTGGGGAAGGTATGATAGCCATTGCATCTCGAATGGAACCACTATGAACAGCTGGTTGCTTCATAGATGCATGCAACCCTCAGGTGTGGCGAGTTCCTCCTCCTGGTGATGTACGATGGGTGGAAAATGCCTCAATCCATGGATGCAATTCTCCAATTTCCAGATTAGACTACTGCAATCATCCTGTCGCCAGCTGCCTCTCCCCGCTTTCATGTGGATGCTGTTCGCATGGACTCGCACCTCCATGATGCTCTTGCGTTTTACATGGCTGATCTTGCATGGTCATGTCGAGTCGGTCTCGGAATTCCCCAGCTGTCGTATTGATGCAATAATCAGGCTTTCATACCCAGGGATAACCCTGCCTCATGCAAGAGAAAAGTTACTGCCTTCGCGAATGTGATGGGAGTCTGCACGCCACTTGTGACTCCACCACAATAGTATGTTCTATCTTGATTCAAATATTTGTCGGCTGCAATTATTGATTGGCTCACGGCTTCAACCATCATGGGCATTGACACGGGGTTTCGACCGAACTCCATGGATTTATTCAAAGTGTCTATCCAATATTGCTGTCAGTGTGATTGCATACGCATGCACATCCTGTGTTGTTGCGTTCATTCCCTTTCCATTGAGCTCTCGCGTCTCCTGCATTTGGACAATAATGCAAATCCATATTGGGTCTCAGCATGTGGTTGCAGCCATTAGCCCCTGTTATCTTGTGTTGTTCTTACCGAGCTTACTCGCCAGTCTATCAAAATTAAGACCTGATCTTCGTCCCACGCCTGCCGCGCCTTTCCGCTCAGTGGATGTCGGCCAATAGTCTTACCCGAGCCGCAATCCTAGGGTCTCGTGAGGCTCTATAATTGGCACCCGGGTTCAAGGACAAGGATCACGAAGTTGAAATTTCGAGCGAGGCTCCAGATGAAAGGATGCAGGCCAGATAGATCCATTTTTGTTCAGCTGATCTTTCACTCCTGCAAAAGAGGAATCCAGCATTTGCCCCCGCTCATGTGGGTATATTTGTCGTCATCCACTTATATCTTTCGCTGAAAATGATAGGACCGGGTTACTATGCGGCGCTCGCCGCGGACACGAACCTTGACACTTTCCACATATTGGTAAACCACATGCAGCTGCACCTATGCTCAGAGACTCTGACGTGGCAAGTTACTTCTGGTTCCATGCGTGAACCTTTGGTAGCGAGCCCTGGCTTGAAGGCCGTGGGTCGCTGTGTAGGTATTGCATGCAGGCTCCGCCGAGATCCATGTGCTTTTCATATTATCGAAGATGACGAAAGATGACTGATCGCCAATACGGACTGGCAGTGTTCGTGGGCTCTTAGTGCTTGCCATTCTGCGCCAGTGTCTTGAGGATCTCACCAAGATGGCGAGTGATCGCCGGCAGATGCCGCTCAATCACACTTAGGACTTTGCGCAGGAAGGTGATCCATGACAAGATGTTGAGCTGGCAACTGGCATCCCTGAACATGGCTCACAGCCTCAACAGGGACGTGTCACTGTGGATTACTTGTTCTCTGCGGCGAGCTGGTTGCATACCGGCCGATAACCTCTCGAATCAACCCTTGAAGCGCCCCTGCTCTGTTGCCTCTTTCTCTCCATCTTACCACCAAAGTTTCGCCGCACATCCCTAGTGTACCAAACTTTCTCCTGGCAAGGATCGCATCGAGAGGTTGGGTAAAGCATGATTGTGGTTACTGCCCAACAACCGAAGTTACCGGTTGAATCACCAGAACACTTTTGATCAGGTTAGAGGTACCGCAGGCCAACTTTGAGCACTATGTTCCCGGGAAGCCCATACTTGAACGTTGAAATTGAATTTCCGGACCCGCATACGGCCTCCCACAGCGTCGGGATCGTGTGATCCCGTGATCTCAAAGTGAACGGAGACTCCCGCACCCGCCCACCCGCCTGTCTCTAACCAGTGACAAATGGCGGATGGCAAATTGACATTCGGCGCTGGAACGCAGAGAACCCGCGGGCCGCCGCCTCCATCTTCGCTCGGTGCACGCGGATTGGTCTGTCGATGTACTTTTCCCTATCTGCAGCCGATCTCAGCGTCCAATGGCAACCCTCGCTTGGATGCCGGTCATATGTAACTAATGATACATTGCCCCACCCTTCCTGCACTCAAGGGGCATGTGCATCTCATCAGCACTTGCATTCAGTAAGGCCGAGGCCTAACCCTTATTGGAAAACCGTGGCTGTCACAGCGCGGGCCCTCGCATTCGCGTGGTCCCAAATGCCATTCTTTCCACTACCGCAGTAAGTGACCGGCAGCTCCACTTGTGGAACACGGCCTGTGTAGGAAGAGTCTCGTTTGAGGGAATGGAATTTCACCCAATTTTTAGATATCAACTGCCTGCATGCCAATGAACACGCCGCATTGCTCTAGGCCTTGCCACTAACTGTCTCAGTGCATCGAAGCTGGCTGCATTGGCGAACCTTCCGTCACTCTGAATGACTACTTCATTTGGAACGCGTGGCTAGAGATCGAGGAATCAACTCGAACTACTTAGGTAATTCAATGGCCGGCAATCAAACCCCGAAACCCCGGGGCGAAGAGGCCACCGACGCGCGGACGGAGCCCTGGATACTGACGTGGCAGATATCTCGCACACTACCAGAAGTTCAGAAACAACACTTTAAACCAAGGCGATATAAAAGCTGGAGCTCGTAGATACAGTCTCATCTGCATAAAGCCAGCCTGCGTCTTAGGGCAAGCTTATTACCGAATCGGGTTAGCCTGGCTACTTTCCAAAATGACGTCAACATGATCCTACCCAGGGTTCGAAGAACCAAGGCACCTGCCGTTATATAATTGAACTTGTAATGCATCTCCCTGTACGTCAGTACTTAAACAATAAGCAAATCATTCACTCCGCCTAATTACTCTTCTCCAACCCATCTCGATCCCCAATCATTCTTTCCCACCTATACGAACGAGATACCTCAACAAACCACCTCTATTCCCATCTGACCTCATCTTCTTGCATCACCACTCATATCGCACAAAATGTGGAAATCCATTCTCTCAGCTGGCCAACAAGCCACTCGCGCCAGCCGCGCTCAATTCGTCAAAACCACGTCCCTCGCCACACCGACAGCAACAAGAACGCCCTTCAGCACAACCCAACGCTCCCAGACCGAAAAGGGACCGGGCGTGCAAGACCGTGAAGCCCTGAACCCAGAGCGCTCAGAGACCAGCAAATCCGGCACAGACAGCGAAGTCGCTAAGCACCCTGCTGCATTCGACCCGCACAACACAGCACCCGAGAACGAGCTCAAGGCTACCGAGGACGAGAGCAAGCAGGAGGGTAAGACAGACAGCCCTCTCGATGTTAGCCCTGCCAATAAGGATGTGAGCTCCTGGAAACGCGACACTGAGGGTGGACCTGCCCGAAACCGGGATCGCGATGCTTCGAGCTCTCGTGGCGCGGCGAAGAAGAATCGTGGAATTCATGTCAAGGAGGATGGGACTCATGTTTCGTACCGGGATTGAAGGCTCTTTTTCTTTCGTTAATAGTTCAGCGGGCGATGGATGATACATTGTTTAGGAACTCGGGATATCTGCAATTCATATCATATTGAGACTCGATTATTGCCATTCAAATTATTCTGTGCATAATATAGACAAGACCGCAGACTTCACAAGCATAAACATTATGTAGCCATAACTATTAACCCAATCCTCGTCCGAAAGCACGGAAACCATCAAGACGAGCCGTCCTTACTGTACTTGATAATATCGGAACCATGCAAAACCCAAACCTTCTCGCTACCCGCAGGAACATCACCCTCCAGTGCCTTCAAGCCAGCATTGACAGCAGCCTTACCAATAACATCCGCATCCTGAGCCCACCCATCCTTCAAACCAGAATGCAACTTACCAGCCCAATTAGCAAGGAACCGAGCCCCAGCCTCAAGAGGCCGGCTCTCCTCCCTCGTCCCAGCAATCAACCCAGGACGCAGGATAACCGTGCGCTCAAATCCAAGATTCTTGATATCCTCCTCAATCTCACCCTTCATGCGCGGGTATGCCATGCTGGAATTCTTGCTGGCGCCGCTAGACGAGACCAACACGCAAACCCGGGTGCCGGCTTCGCGCGCAGCCTTGGCCATCTCGACGTTCAGCCCGTGCTCGATTTTGTACTGGTTGTCGAAGCCGCCGGCAGCTGCGCGGGTGGTTCCGAAGGCGGAGATAAAGATGCTGGGGGTGGGGCTTAGAGAGGAGAGCTGGCTGGGCCAGGTGGCGGTGTCGCCGGAGACGAAGTTGGTGAGTTTGGCTGGGGGCGTGCCGCCGGCCGCGGGCGGGGTGCGCCGGGAGATGGTGTCCACGCGGGTTACGGAGGGATTGGCAATTAGGCTGGTGAGGATGTGGGAGCCCTGTTGGTTGAGCGCATTAGCTGAAGTTCTGCTGGAGTTTTTATGAAGCTGGGCGGTGTTTGTTTGGGCGATTTTCGGGGTAAGAAGCAGGGTTGATTGCGGAGTTTTGCTTGCAACTCTTGTTACTTACCACCATGCCGGTGCCACCGATCAATGCGACGTTCGCCATTGTGTTTGTATTTGGTAGTGTGAGTTGGTAATTAGTTGTCAATGCTACAAGCAGAGTGCAGTGAAGGCGTCCAGATATGCCATGTCGTCATCCCGAGGTCGAGCTAAGCTTGATTACGCGATCTGCAGACTGCAGCTTACAATTATCGCAAGTCATCAAATATTCGAGGTCTTCAGCAATGATATTGTGTAAACTATAATTATCCCTGGGTCGGTCTAAGGTTACGTACATGACCCATTCAAATCTTGGCGATCTTCGAGAGTTTCTTTTCTTCAGCTTGGTAGAGCTTGACCAGTTGACGCACAGACAGGTCGAGCAACACATCTTCCGAGCCTCCAGGAATACGAGCACCAGGAACATCGCGAAGAATGGCTAGAGATTCGTTAGCTTATTTTCAACAAAGGTCAATATCTTAGAACACATACCTTCAGCAAGTTCACCTTGGCCAGTCTGGGTGAAGCCAGCACCGCCGAACAGCAATACGGCCGTCTGAGCACACTCATTCAGTACCATAGCAGACTTCGCCTTAAGCAACGCCGTCAAGCCACCAAGCTGGCGATCTCCCTCTTCCTTGCTGAGGTGAGTCAGTTGATAGAGGATCTGCTCAACCCAAGCCCACGTGGATTCAAGCTCAGCACCTGCCTTGGCCAGACGGTGTCGAACCACGGGCTGCTCCATGAGTGTCTTTCCGAAGGCCTCGCGCTTGAGACAGTACGAGAAAGCGGCAGACAAGGCCACGCGAGCCTGGCGAGTGACGCCAACGGCAATGACGAGACGCTCGTGGTTGAAGTTGGTCATGATAATACGCATGCCATCGCCCTCCCTACCAATGATGTTCTCCACCGGAACCTTGACGTCGTCAAGCTCGATGTAAGTGGTTCCACCGGTGATCTGACCCCCGACCTTGAGGCGGCGCATTATGACACCGGGGTGGCCCTTCAGAGGCACAACCATCACGGACAGACCGGCGGCTCCTGGCTTACCGGTGCGCACGGCCATGGTGGCATAGTCTGACCAGATACCGTTCGTGATCCTGGTTTCTTAGTTTAGCATGCACCTCAATCCGCCTTAAGAGCTGCGAGCTACAACTTACCATTTCTTGGAGCCGTTCAAAATGTAGTGCTTGCCATCGGCGCTCTTGACTGCAGTGGTGGTGATATTCGCAACATCACTGCCGGCCTCGGGCTCTGTGATAGCGATACATCCTCGCTTCTTACCAGTGAGTAGCTCGGGCAAGAAACGCTCTTGCAGTTGCTTGCTGCCGAACTTGTAAATTGGTGCAATTCCGAACGCAAATCCAGCATTGAGAGAGCCGCCGGGGCCACTGAGACCGGAACGGGCCATCTGTTGATCACCAAAGTTAGTGGTTACTCTTCGCAGGAGTGTGGGTATCGGTAACAGCTCGCAGCATACCTCATCACAGTAGATTCCAGTGTAGATGTAGTCCCAGTCCTCAACCTTGACACCTAGGATGTCGTGAATTCCTAGGCGCTTCAGCCAATCCACGGGCAATGGGGCTGGCATGTTGGGCACCAGCATGTTATGCTTGCAGAATGTGTCAAAGACATGTGCGGGAACTGTTCCCTCGCGCTCCCATTGGAGAGCATGCTGAATCAGGTTCTCAGTTGCAAATTTACGGCATGCTTGCTGGAACCGAAGGTGCGCAGGTGTGATATAGGGCGAAGGGAGACCACGGAGGTAAGGTGGCTCCGAGAATGGGATGCGGTCAGGGGAAGTATCAGTCATGATGAAAAAATTCTATAGAAATGTTTTACCAGAGGAAGTGTTGAGAACAGGATCGGATATTAGGGTGTTTATGTATCACTGATCTACGGCGGTCTGAGGGGATGGGGATGGGATCTCCGCATTATGGGGTAAAGTGGATGACCGAGGCTCGGTGATTAGTGCAGACCGATGCCATGCACGCCGTGCACAAGCCCTTGCACTGTGCACAAGCCTGGCACATCACATGGTTAGATTGACACCTAAGGCGCACATAATTCTCAGACACACGCTGAGTCAACAATGGAAGGCGGTGGGGCATCATTATGCCGGCCGGTAGCGGACCCTGGGATCCTACAAAAGTTTGAATTGCCACTTACCACCGCCCTAGAAAGAAACTTATCGCCCGATAACGAGCACGCAATTGCCACTTAACCGCTTTGGGAAACATGCCTGGGGAAATCTATAAGCAAGCGATGAAGAGGGGAGAATCTTTTTTCTCCCCACGTTCTTCTTTATTGTCGTTTTCAAGGTGATATCGGTCTCATATCCGGTATCAAGAAGAAGTCATGGGTTCAACAATTCCAGCCCTGTCGGATTTGAACGGTCCTACATATGTTACAGCCCAGACGCTCATCCAGCAAGTCGCATACTTGCTGAGTGACAAGATCTTCTCCTACTCGCCAGAGACCTTCGATCTTGATGCCGCTCTCAAGCAATGGACTGCGCAGGGTGAGACCAACGCCAATGCCGAGTCTCCCGCCGTCAAGGCTCTCGAAACCCGCCAGGGTGCCGGTAACTTGGCCCTGGGTTACCTCTTCTCCCAGGACTTTGACTTGAAGAAGCGCCACATTCCCCAGGGTATCGTTGCTTCTTCGGCAACTCTTCCTTATATGCGCACCGCATTGGAGCAGCTCTCTCTGCTCTACTCTATCGCTAGCCCCGTCGCCGCACACGTCGCCGCTGTTGACTACGCTGGTGAGGATGGCCTCGTCTCCGACTATGCCTCGGCTCTTTCCCTGACCGAGGAGCTCGGTTTGGGTCTGGTCTCCAGTGCTTCTGTCCACGAGTCCCAGCACATGGCCCTTTTCGCAACCTTGCTCTCCACGGTTCTTCCCTCTGTCCACATCTATGATGGCGTGCGTGTTGGTCGTGATACTACCCGTGTCATTGATGTTCTCGACAAGGAGGGTCTGACTCGCACTTACGAGAATGTCCGCAAGACCCTCGACGATTCCCGCACCCGTCACCTCGATGCACAGGGCAAGGTCCTTGATCTGCTGAAGACACTGAACGGCGAACTCGGAACCGAATACGGTGCTTTCGAGTACCACGGTCACTCTGAGCCCACCTCTGTGCTGGTCGCCTTTGGCACCGTCGAGGCTACTCTCACTGCTCAGATCGCACGCTCCCTCGCAAAGGATGGTGTCCGTGTCGGTGTTGTCAATGTCCGCGTGTACCGCCCCTTCATCGAGGAGGAGTTCCTGCGTGTTCTTCCCCAGTCTACCAAGACCGTCGCAGTTCTTGGCCAGGTCGTTTCTGAGCAGGCTGTTCAGGAAGAGGGCATTCACTCTGCTCTCTACGAGGATGTTCTTGCATCTTTGACTTTTGCCACTGGCCGTGAACACAATCCGGCTTGCGTTGAGATCAAGTACCCCCGCTCCCAGCGCTGGGATCTCATCTCTACCGCCGCTGCATTCCAGCGTGTTTACGACCAGCCTATCCTCACCGTCGGTGGAGAGACCAACGCTTCTTTGCAGTTGATCGATCCTGCTTCCGTGCAGGAATACACCTTCTGGGATGTTGACACCTCGGTAACCGAATCCGCCGCTCACACTTTGGGCCAGGCTCTTGGTGCTGATTCTGCCAGCAACGTCACCACCAGCAAGTCTCACGACAACTTGGTTCAGGGCGGTGCTATCCGCGTGGACATCCGCAAGAGCGCCAAGATTGTCGACGCACCTTACGCGGTCACTGCTGCTGATGTCTCCTACGTTGGCAGCATTGCGTTGTTGAACGACGTTGATGTTTTGGCCTCTGTCAAGGACCTTGGCAAGGTTATTGTGAATGCCCCGGGCGTCAACGATGAGGACTTGGAGAAGAAACTTCCCGCCACCTTCAAGCAGACCGTTGCCCATCGTGGTATTTCCGTCTTCGTTCTTGACTCGTCTGCCGTGGAAGATTCGTCTCTGGATGCTCTTGTTCTCCAGGCTTCGTTCGTGCGCGTCGCTCTGCCTGCCCAGGAGGATCTGGCTACCAAGAAGCTGTCGGCGATCACTGGCAATGCCGAGGCCCTCGACAATGTCACCAAGGATCTCGAGAAGCTACTCCGCCAGATCGAGGTGCCGGAGTCTTGGAAGGAGCCTGAGGGCATTAGCGAGGCCGCTGAGCTCCCCAAGGACCTCACTGCCAACAGCTTCGTCTCCTTCGACAAGGACGAGTCCGAACCTACTACTTTCCTCAAGGACTGGGAGACAGCTGCCCGTGGCCTTGCATTCAAGGAAGCCTATGGCACCAAAACCGCCCTCCGTCCCGACCTTGCCCACAAGACTTACACTGTCCATGTCAAGGAGAACCGCCGTCTCACCCCTCCCACCTATGACCGTAACATTTTCCACATCGAGTTCGACCTCGGTGAGACTGGACTCAAGTACGACATTGGTGAGGCTCTCGGTATCCACGCCGAGAACGACCCAGAGGACATCAAGAAGTTCATCGAGTTCTACGGCTTGGACCCCGACGCGATTGTCGAAGTTCCTAGCCGCGAGGACCCTGCCGTCCTTGAGAACCGCACTGTCTACCAGGCTCTTGTCCAGAACGTCGACATCTACGGCCGTCCTCCCAAGCGCTTCTACGAGGCCCTCGCCGAGTTCGCTTCCGACGAGAAGGAGAAGACCGCCTTGCTCACCCTGGGAGGTCCCGACGGTGCCACCGAGTTCAAACGCCGCGCCGAGGTCGACACCGTCACCTTCGCCGACATCCTGCTCGAGTACCCCTCCGCTCACCCCGAGTTCCACGACATCGTCCGCATCGTCGGACCCCTCAAGCGTCGCGAGTACTCCATCGCCTCGTGCCAGAAGGTTACCCCCACTACCGTCGCTCTGATGATTGTCGCCGTGAACTGGGTCGACCCCAGCGGCCGCGACCGCTTCGGTCTGGCCACCCGCTTCCTGAGCCGCCTCCAAGTCGGCTCCCCCATCACCGTCAGCGTCAAGTCCAGTGTCATGAAGCTGCCCCCCAAGTCCACCCAGCCCCTCATCATGGCCGGTCTGGGTACCGGTCTGGCACCTTTCCGTGCCTTCGTCCAGCACCGCGCCCTCGAGAAGGCTCAGGGCAAGGAGATCGGCGCCGTCCTGCTGTACATGGGCTCTCGTCACCAGCGCGAGGAGTACTGCTACGGCGAGGAATGGGAGGCCTACCAGGAGGCTGGTGTCATCACTCTCCTCGGTGCTGCTTTCTCTCGTGACCAGCCTGAGAAGATTTACATCCAGGATCGCATGCGCCAGACTCTTCCTGAGATCATCCAGGCCTACATCCGTGAGGAGGGTGCCTTCTACCTGTGCGGTCCCACTTGGCCTGTGCCTGATGTCACCGCTGTCTTGGAGGAGGCTATTGCCACTGAAGCCAAGAACAACGGAAAGAAGGTCGAGACTCGCAAGGAGATTGAGAAGCTAAAGGACGAGGAGCGCTATGTCCTGGAGGTCTACTAGACGTCGTCGCTTGGTTTTCGCATGGCATGACTCGATGGTTGGCATTTTCTTGCTTTTTTATATTCCCATTTCGCAATTAGATGGTCCTGGTCAGTTTAAGACACTTCAAAATGCACATAGAATTTCAGGATCTTGACTTCAATGTTTCTTCATAAATGTAGATCTATCATCTATGGGTTGTCAGGGTTTGTATCATTCGAATAATGTAATTGGGTATCTGCTTCAAAGACAATATCCCTCTAGCATGAACCGTGTAAATGCCATATCGTGTCTAGATCGTCTATACATAACAAATTTTCTTAAGTCATGGAAAGTGTGTATCAAATTTGAGCAATGGACCCATACTTCGTCTTTCCATATGCACCACCTTTCTCTTTCCTCAGCTCCAATGCCCGACGATAAGGTGGCGCAGTGGGTGGCTGGATAGGGTCCAGATTAACATAATCCGGAGGCAGAGTATACGATGCATCAGAATCCCAAGCAGACAGATCACCGCAAGCAATGAAAGACGGAATCCAGCGGTTCTCAACTGAGAACTTGTTGGCAAGTTTCTGTGGTCGGGGCTGGTCTTGTGATGAGGTCGAAGTCTGAAGATGACGGACTTCGGTAGTGTGATTGGACGCAGGGCTGTTAGTCTGCGCGGTAGTCTGCGCTGGTGGGACCACGGTGTTTCGGACTTGTGTATCTTGGTCGATCTGCTCGCGGACCTCCACGCCCACATTCCCATCTTCTGATACAGCGATTGGAGCCGCTGCGCCGCCAAAGAGTGGATTCTTCAATGCGGCCATTCCGACCACGCCGCTGTCGCTGACGGGTGGGATGAAGCCTTCGCAGACGACGAAGGCTTCCAAACTACTAGCGCGACTACTGCGCGGCTTGGCGACACTCACGCGCTCGAAGACGGTCCGCAGCTGTGCGTAGAGAAGGTCGACATCGCGGCCGCGGAAAATCTTTGCGACGAACTTGCCGCCCGGTCGGAGAACGCCCATGGCAAGATTTAGGGCTGCGTAGAGTAGTTGTGATTGAATATAGATGTCGAGGTCGTGGAGGCCTGTTACATCTGGCGCACCGTCGGAGATGACCAGGTCGACCGGGCTGGGTTGCCTTATAGCTTCTGGAATTGGTGTTTGGGAGTCTGAGGGGGTGGACGACTGTTCGTATGCTTCGGGGTCCAGAGCGCGCAAGAGGAGTGGGATCGTGGAGGGGTGTGTGATATCTGCTTTGAGGGTTGTGATGCCTTCGAGAGGTGCCATGGGTTGCAAATCGATGGAGACAATCTTGACGTTCTTCCTTGGCTTCAGTTCGGCGCTGGGTGATTGCATGTCGTAGTCCATTTTATCCTCATCGGCAGTCGATGTGCCCGCGCCTTTCAATCCTTGTTGTTCTATGCGCTTTTTCTCGAGCCATGCCCGTCGTCCAAAGCTCTCGCCCTTAATCAGGACACGACTGAGTACTTGACTCCAGCTTCCGGGTGCAGCGCACAAATCCACGACTCTCGTCACATTGTCCGGGTTCTCGTGCTCGAATAGGTCGAATCGCTCGTCGATCTGAATAAGTTTGAAGGCGGAACGGGCGCGCCAGTTTTGCTCCTTGGCAAGACGGTAGTAAGCATCGCGCTTGTCCTTGGAGGATTTACCCATTTTGTAAGACAGGCCGGCGCAATTGGCAATTGCAGTCTGTCAAAGTGGGTTAATTTTGCGGCCAACGTGGGGAACGAAAAGATAAGATTCCAAAGGCGGACTGAAGTTTCTGCCGCTTTTTTTTGCGAATCTTCCCCGACGGATTATTTGCATCACTTGTCTACCTGAAGAATCCAATATACTCGATTGGTACTCAGTTCATAATGGGTCAAAAACGAGCGCGCGATTCCAAGGCCCCGGTGGCTGAGGCCAATAAGCGGAAAAAGGCAGGAAAGTCTGCCGCAGTCTCAAACGCAGATTATGGCTCTGTCGCAGTCGACGACCTCAACTGGAAGGAAGTTGCGCTACCAGATCGAATGGAGGATGCAACCGGATTCTTTGGATTGGAAGAGATCGAAGGCGTCGATATTATCAAACAGAGCGGTGGAGAGGTTCAATTCAAGGTACGAGGCTGCTTGATTCCATTAATCAGGTGAACTTGTTGCTAATGCATATGCTTGACGGACAGGCTAAGGCTGGTAAACCAGAAAAATCGATCCTCAAGCCTCCCTCTGAAGATGACGACGGGGAGGAATGGGGTGGCTTCAGTGACGATGACTCGTCCGAAAAGACTCCTGCCACCGAGACCCCCGCCGCAACTGAGGTGAAAGGAGATAAGAAGTCAGACAAGGAAAAGAAAAAGGAGCAGAACAAAGTCAAGAAAGCAGAACGAAAGGCCAAGGAGCAAAAATCTAAAGAGCAGAAGCCAACGGACTCCAAGTCTGCTAAGGACAACAGCATCAAGGACGGACTGTCATTCGCAGCTCTCGATGATGTTGAAGAAGATGATGGAGTGGATGTGTCGGCTTGGGATGGCCTCAATCTGTCGCCTGAGACCTTCACAGCGCTTTCCAAAATGAAGTTCAGCTCTCCATCGGCCATTCAACAAGCCAGTATCCCGGCCATTCTGGATGGGCACGACGTTGTTGGAAAGGCATCAACAGGTTCCGGAAAAACACTGGCGTTCGGCATTCCAATCATCGAGCACTACTTGGACAAGAGAGGGCGCCAGGGAGAACAGTCTGAAAAGCCCGAGAAGTCCAAGACTCCGATCGCTTTGATTCTATCTCCCACCCGAGAGCTGGCACACCAGTTGGGCAAGCATCTTGGGGAGCTGATCGCGAATTCCCCAGGAAACAACGCTCGTATCGCACTCGTGACTGGTGGTCTCTCTATCCAGAAGCAGCAAAGACAACTTGCCACTGCAGATATTGTCGTTGGAACGCCCGGTCGTGTATGGGAAGTCCTTAGCACAGGATCCGGTTTGATCCGCAAGATGCAGAAGATCCAGTTCCTAGTCGTCGACGAGGCGGATAGACTTCTCAGTGAAGGTCATTTCAAGGAAATGGAGGACATCCTCAATGCACTAGACAAGCACCAAGCCGGAGATATTGCCGATATGGATGATGAAGAAACCGAGGAGGAAGAACCAAGCCAGAGGCAGACACTCGTCTTTTCGGCTACATTCCACAAGGATCTTCAGCAAAAGCTTGCAGGCAAAAACCGCTGGACAAGTGGTGATATGCTGGACAACAAAGCATCCATGGAGTACTTGCTCAAGAAGTTGAACTTCCGCGAAGAGAAGCCCAAGTTCGTTGATGTGAACCCCGAATCACAAATGGCCGTAGGACTCAAGGAAGGAATCGTTGAATGTCCTGCCATGGAAAAGGTGAGCTATCCCCTTTACAAGTCCCCTGGATTGCTAATGCTAACCCGAACAATCAGGATCTATATCTCTACTCCGTCCTCCTCTACTACCCCAAGCACCGCACCCTCATTTTCACAAACTCTATCTCGGCTGTTCGTCGCATCACCCAGCTTTTACAAGCCCTTCAACTCCCCGTGTTCGCACTTCATTCAAACATGGCCCAGAAAGCTCGTCTCCGCTCAATCGAACGTTTCTCATCGCCTACTGCAAACCCAAGCTCCATCCTCGTCGCCACCGACGTTGCTGCTCGTGGTTTGGATATCAAGGGCATCAACTGCGTCATCCACTACCACGTTCCCCGCACAGCTGACGCTTACGTCCACCGATCCGGCCGTACTGCTCGTGCCGGTGAGTCCGGAAAGAGTATCCTCATCTGTGCTCCCGAAGAGGTCCTTGGAGTTGCCCGTCTCGTCGCAAAGATCCATGCCAAGAAGTCAAAGAAGGCAGGGGAATCTGAAGGACCTAGCAAGAAGGTTCCTCTTGAGTCTCTTGACATTGATCGCCGAGTGGTGGCTCGTCTCCGCCCCCGCATGGCTCTCGCCAAGCGGATCACCGAATCCACTATTGCCAAGGAAAAGGTCAACACCGAAGACAACTGGCTTCGTGCTGCGGCCGATGATCTCGGCGTCGAGTATGACAGCGATGAATTTGATCAGTCCAAGGGCCGAGGCCGTGGCCGTGGTGGTGGCCGCGAAAGACGTGAGAAGGAGGCCAGTGAGTTGAGCAAGAGCGACATGGCCGGTCTTCGCGCAGAGCTCAAGAAACTCCTTTCTCAGCGTGTGAACATCGGTGTCAGCGAGAAATATCTTACGGCGGGTCGCATTGACATTGATGCTCTTCTTCGTGGAGAGGGCAATGATGCTTTCTTGGGCCACCTTGACCCTCTAACTTTCTAGGCGTTTCTAAGTCTACATGAATGAAAGCCTTGGTTTTGTAAAAAGCATCACGTTTGTGATATAGTCTATACCAAAATAACATTGAAGCCTTTAGTCGATTGACTCGACATCTCATGTGCACATCTTAGCCTCATCGGACTTCTCCGATAACGATAGGAACAGATAAGATGCCCCGAAGGCTGATAAGTGACAAAGAAGATACTACATGGCGCGTGAGTTGATCCAAGACATTTAGAGGCCTAAGGGTGTCATAGGTCTTGCCGACATGCAGCTATTTACATAAGTGCATATTCCCCCGCCTTCCCAGGCGGGTTATGAACAACATCCGTTTGTCTCCTCCCGTCCACCGTCCACCCTCTATACTCAATCCCTCCTTCCCTCATTCCCTCTACCTGAATCATCATGGACCCCCATATTGAAGAACTACTAGGTCTAGAAGCCGTCCGTACAAGAGCCCATGCTGTCCTCAAGCTAGCCGAACAGCGCCGCTTGAACCATTTCACCTACCACCCCGAGCGGATGGAAGAGGCTGCCGACTATGTAACCAAGTTGATCCAGGTAGGGCAAACACATACAGACTGGAAAAATTGATCCCTAAACATTAACATCTATTCCTTTTGCACAGCGCGACTTTGGCCCTGACAAGTACCATACAATCCCACCCCACGGCCGCTGGCAACATTTCGAAGTCGGCGGCGTTCCCCGAATAGCCACCCTCCTGGCTCAATGGGACGAGCAGAAGTGTGATACCACTGAAAAGACACGCAGATTGATTGATCTTTTCTTTGTATCTGTTCTTTTGGATGCTGGTGCTGGTGATCATTGGAAATTCAAGGAGCCAGAGACTGGCATTATGCTCAATCGAAGTGAGGGTATTGCTGTAGCGGCCCTACACATGTTCCTGAATGGTGATTTTGCTGGCCAGGACTCTCCGGTGAAGCACACTGCAAATGGTAAACAGTTGAATATATGGATCCTCTGATAAGATTGTCGCTAACTGATGAAAGGCAATGCATTGCGCAATATTAGCGTGGAGGTACTCTCTCATGGACTGCAGGTCGATGAAGCCAACCCTATGGTCGGAGTACCTGCCCGTGCGGATATTCTACGCAAACTAGGTGAATCTTTGGTGAATCTCAAAGACATCTTTGGTCCCTCCGGTCGCCCTGGTAATCTAGTTGGTAAGTGTTGATTCCATGCAAGTTGACAGCCATCTAGTCTTTGGCATTAGCAATCATCCAAATGGCTAATCGGTTCACCAAAACCTCAAGACTACCTCAATTCCAAGTCTCAAGATGGCAAACTCGACTATAAAGATCTCTGGAACGTGCTACAGCGCCTTCTGATTCCAATCTGGCCATCAGATCGGACTCACATCAACGGCCAGCCCATTGGCGATGCATGGCCCTTGCGCGTGCTTGCTGAACAAGAAGGCGCTAAGTCCAAGCCCTACTCAAACATCCAACCTTTCCATAAACTCACCCAGTGGCTCGCATACTCATTGATGGTTCCATTCACCCGTCTGCTCTCAGTCTCCTGGTCCAACACCCACCTCGGAACCGGCCTGCCAGAGTATCGTAACGGAGGCATGCTCGTTGACATGGGAGTGCTGGAACTCAAACCTGAGGCACTGAAACGTGGACTGAGTCTTTCAGGTGGTAGCTTGCCGTCTTTCGGCGCCGGTGACGATGAGATTGTTGAGTGGCGAGCCATGACCGTTGCCCTGCTTGACGAGCTGCATAAGAAGATTCTTGTGCGTCTGGATGGTGTAGAGCTGTCTTTGCCCCAGGTGTTGGAGGCGGGATCTTGGAAGGCTGGTCGTGAACTGGCTGCTGCTAAACGTCCTGAGACGAAGTGCAGTCCTATTTTGAACTTCGGTGATGGAACTCTGTTCTAGATGTTGCGTTATAGAGCAAGGCATAGACGTCAATGCATACAATGCTCGGTTGGTTCCTTCCGGGCTGCAGCGGGCCTAAGTAGAATGTATCTCAATATTATATACGGGTTTCAGTACAAAGGTTTGTCAATAAGACGCCGGAATGGAGGTATCTCAAACCGGATATTCCATGTATCCCTGTGATAAGCTCTTTCTTGTAGGGCCCGCAGACATCCCGGGGCATTCGCCGTCGTTCGAGCGCCGGATAGGCCCCTCTGGTGGTGGGACCATAGGATGTACAGCGGTCGTATGTTGTAATATCGTCCTGTTCGCGACGGCGTACTAATTGCATCAATCGTATTCCCGTATGGCCGTCTCCATTCCAGGGTTCATCCCTGGCTCGGCGCGGACCGGGCCCACCGGACCCGCTTGAGCTGCTTCCCACTCCAACCTCATCATCCCACGATCTCCGCCCTTCACACTATGCCTATTCCGTGCTTGGTTATTCCCAAGCCCGGGATGCAATACTTTCATACCATTCCGAGCGTCTCGGCCAGCTCGACGAAGGTGATGGAGTATCAGCAATTATCCCCAAGGGAGCACACGAATGGACATGAAAAACAACATTGATTGCTACCTACGTGACGGCTTGCCTCCAGACAACGGAAACAACAACGAAACGCCAGATCACCGGCAGTACAAACACGCCTCCCATGACATGAGCAGCCACCACTTGAGGTGGGAGGCCGAAACGCCAGGTCACCGGCATTTCGTGTCTCCTGTCAGTCCAGATAATGGGCCCGGTGGAGAGCTGCTGCTGTTGCATTCCTGACACAGCATCGGGGACCGCCTCGGGGATTTGTCGAAAGTGAGGAGATGGTGGTGAGAATTGCAGTACAAACACGCCTCCCACCTCTAATGGCGGCTGTTTATGTCATGGGAGGCGTGTTTGTACTGCAATTCTCACCACCATCTCCTGACTTTCGACAAATCCCCGAGGCGGTCCCCGGTGCTGTCTCAAGAATGCAACAGCAGCAGCTCTCCACCGGGCCCACTATCTGGACTGACAGGAGACACGAAATGCCGGTGACCTGGCGTTTCGGCCTCCCACCTCAAATGGCGGCTGTTCATGTCATGGGAGGCGTGCTGTGCTGCCGGTGATCTGGCGTTTCGGCCTCCCACCTCTAATGGCGGCTGTTTGTGTCATGGGAGGCGGAGGCCGAAACCAACACAGTCTCGACTCCCCGACGCCCAAATGCAACGGCAACCGGCACATGGTGCCATTCATAGAACGGATCATACATCGTACAATTCCTGACGGGACTCGATGATGAGCTTTCGGACACCTCCTCCTCCTCCCCTTCTCCACCAACAGCGAGATCCTGCGGACTTAGATCTCGTCGGAATCCCAGTCCACATCAAAGCTGCTAGAATCATCGGCATCATAAAATCCGTTCGTTCCATACGCCCCTTCTGGCCCTGCCACAGCCAGGCCAAGCCCGTTCGACCCGCGTCCTGGCCCTGCCACAAACAGGTCAAACCCGTTCGGCCCACTTCCTGGTCCCGCCACAACCCCCTCGCCCGGCAACAATCTTTTTGGGGTGCCTCCTTTCGGGACGCCGTCACCCCCTCCCATCGGCAACCCATTTGCCGAGATCGGCCACAACGAAGTGACCGACTGTTACTACCCTGGTCGGTTCGTTCCGCGTCCGCAGGGCTTCAACCCTGACTGCTGCCATGCAGACAGCGACTCCGACAGAGACGACTCCAACTATGCGGATTGGAACCAAATCCTCCTAGGCCAAGATATCGGGGACAGATCCGAGTCTCTCCCAGCCTCTTGCCAAGGTATCGGAGTCCCCCGAGTCCTACGACGAGGAGAGCATTCTGTTCGGCGGACCAGGGCGAGGTCTGCACACTGACGCTGAGCTTGCTCTCTTGCATGCTTATTACAATGAGCTCCTACCCGAGGCTGAGGCCGAGGGGGATGGAGGCGGTTGCAATGGGTGTGGTTGTATCGGGGCCACGGGAATTAGCAAAGGGGTTGGGAGCTGCGGATTGGTCCGTCTCGGGGTAGGAGAGGCTGCTGGTCTCCAGCAGCAGGTCAAGGGCGGGTCTTCGGGAGATCCCGACATCAAGCATCTCACGAAAGGCAACATCCCTTTTGGCTTCGCTCATGGTTGAGCCAAAGGTGGCAGGCCTTCAGCCGATCCAGCCATAACGCACCTCATGAGTGCCGATAATCCTTCTGGTCTGGCCCACGGCGTGGCTAAGGGAGACAGGCCCCGAGGCTGGAAGATCAGGCCCAAACCGAATGCTGTTTGGAGCGGGTGTAAGTCAGGGAGCCGGGTGGCGGACGGCTGTGGGAGGCTGTCCAGAAGCGAAGCTGATGAACGGTTGACTTGCAGCAGGTGGGAGGGCACTTCCAGCGAGAGTGAGGGAGCCAGCGAGCTGGCCGGCAGATGAGTTATTGACAATGGTCAATGTCGCTGCCGGGGTGGGTGACGGTATTCGGGGAGGAATTATCTGAGCCGCAGCTAAGAGTATCCTCCTCGGAAGGGGGAGTGGACACGCCGCGCATGACGAGACAAATGCGAACCAAGATGAAGAGCTAGTGGGATGAAATAGACGATGTCCAGACGCTCGAGGAGAGGTTTGATGATGCGGAAGTGTTCGGAAATGATGCGAAAGTAATGCAAAGGTGATCCGAGAGAAAAGATGAGGTGAATAACAATGACAACCAAAAGGACAAACCGACAAATTGTGTGTCCCCCGCCTTGATCAACGCTTTTTTACTCGGGAAGGTACCCTGTCAAACGTGGCAAACGATCAATCGCATTCTATTCTCTGGCCCCGTCAAGCACCCCGTCAAACGGTCAATCGCGTTCTATTCTCCCGCCGTTGCTATAGATCTATAGATCTACGGGATCCAATCTTATCTCGGCATGCCGGGCGAGATCCTTGGCACTCCCGGTCCGATTCTCGGCAGTCTGAGACCCACTGTTGGGTCTGGAAAGAAAATTCGGCGTTGGAAAACAAGGACAAGCGGAATCCGAGAGTGGCGGATCATTTTTCCAATTGCACTTGTTTAATTCACCGTCATTGCGATCGCACCAGTCCATTCGTGTGTGGGATACTTCAAATCACAGCATACAACTTGAGCTTCGTTTAGCGCGAGCTTCGACGTCATCAGGGGGATAAACTTTATAACTGCCGACCGGGTATTTCTCCGCCAATTCTGCAGTCTGTGCCTCGATAGGCAACAATAGGTAAACATTTCTAATACGCCTGCAGGTGCAATAACCATATCTTCGAGATGTCAAACATCGCACACAACGTCCGTCGACTATTGCGACCGCAACAAGTATCCACATTCACAAAATACACCCGCGTGGCACCAATTGCGCGTCTGCACCAACAAGGCCCATCCCGCTCGGCAGTGGTTCACGAACAAGCACTCCCTCACAGCCAAAGTGAAGGAGCTGCATTCCTGTCACAGACCAAATGTCAAACATCAAGCCTACACAACACCCACCATGATTCAACAACCCTAGAAAACCTCGTTTCGCAAATCCCGCTCGTCCAGTCCCTCCGCGAGACCCACAGCTCCTACAAAGAAAGCCGCCCTCACCTCGCAATTCCCTCACCAATCAGACAGAGTCACCTCGTCGGCGGCAGCTTGACCGGTCCAGGAAAGCTCCCTTTCGCACCATACATGTGGCTCTCGACCGGACAGAGCGACGGAAAGGCCACTGGCGAGCGAAACAGCAGGGTTGTGTCAGTCTTCCACATCGGTCAGGACCTCTGCGGCCATCCGGGCTTTGTGCACGGTGGTCTCCTTACTGTCCTCTTCGATGAGGTGTTTGCTCGCTGTGTGTCTGCGGCGTTTCCTAGCGGGCTGGGTATGACTGCGAATCTGAATGTGGATTTCCGCAAGCCGGCACTTCCGGATCGCATGTATGTGCTGCGCACGGAGACGGTTAAGGTTGAGGGACGCAAGGCTTGGGTTGAGGGGAGGATGAGTTATCTTCCCTTGGCTTTGCCTGCCGATGCGAAGACTATTGTCCCGGATGTTAGTCAATTGCGCGAGGATAGTGAGGGTGCGGTTATGGTTGCTGAGGGTAAGGCTTTGTTTGTGGAGCCTAAGTTCGCAGATGTGAGTGCTTCTCTTGGTGGTTTTTCTGTGAATTTCGCTAACAAGTTGCAGTCTATGGTGTCGATCTATAGGAGCTGAGGATCCCTGAAAAGTTGGCGTTATACCGGTTGCATGCATTTGATGGTCATAGAGTATAGATTATAGAGTCATGATTAGTTATAGGTAGAATTATTTAATTACAATGATATGTTGGTTCCAATTGTATCATTCTCAACAGACCTAGCCCGGTATGTTGCCCTCGCTCTAATACCGTCCAAGGTTAGATACACCTAGTACTGCGTACCCTCTTAGGGCTAATTGTATAGCCTCACCATCTCCAGTCCATGGACCTCCATCAACCCGACTCCCTCCCAAGGAAATCAAAAACAATCCTCCCACAAATATACCTCCCCCCACCATCCATAACAACAACCCTCCGCGAAAAATACCTCATCCCCGCAAGTACCTCAAACCCCCAAACCTGCTCCGCCATCCACCCAACCCCCTCATTGCACTCAAAAGTATGAACCCAAAGCCCATCCCCTCTCTCCACATCCTCACTCTGCCTTTCAACCAAAAACCCCTCCGAAAAAGACCCATCAACCTCCTTCTCCCCCCTCAACCACCCCCGAATCTCCTCATTAGCATTATCAATCTTCACCTCCACATCCGGCCGTATTTTCCCATCGGCATCTGTGGTACCGTAGACGTATTCTGCCTGTGCTTGGACATGGCCGAAGATGTAATCTTCATGGGAGGCGGTTTTCCAATCCAGGACGCGGTTCTCGGCTGTACCGGCGAGACCACCCGTGGTTGTTTGGGTGAAGTTGATGTGTGTTAGGGTTTGGTCTGGGGACAGATCTGGGGTTTTATACTGTGAGATGCTGATGTAGATTGTTCCGAGGGCGAGGGCTTTGCGGAGGAGCCAGAGGACTTTTTGCTACAGAGTCAACGATTAGATATGTTCCATGTAGATGGGGTTTCATAAGAGGGCAGTTGGAACTGGAGGAGGACGGATCTAACCAGCTTGAGGATCGAGTCTACTTCGGTGGTTAGGGTTCTGTTCTGGCTGATGTTAGAAGGGCTCTTTGGGGGTTGTGACTTGTGGCAGAAGTTTGACTTACAAGGATCCAGTTGCCGGTGAGGTTTTCGATGGTGGTATCTTGTGGAGAGGCCATTGGGATGGTTTGTGGGCGAATGACTCGTAGGTTGTGCTGGTTGGTGTTGATATCGTTCCAAGGGCTTGGTAGGTACATATACCTATTTTGCCTCTGCTCGGACCTTTGTCGGGGCAAAAGCAGAAGAGACTACCTTGACAACCCTTGAATAGAGCGCGGTGCAGCTCGGAGGAAATAGGAAAGTGTCTATCCAACGATACTTTGTGCTACCATACATCGACGTAGGTAGCTGTGAGCCTCGGCTACTTCGAAAGTACTACACCAGAAGCAGAGTTCAGTAAAACATCATTGCTATCTAATACCACTGTCGTAATGAATTACCGCCATGACACCTTTCGACCCGGATGGCATCTGAGAACATGGAACATGAAGGAGATAGACAAGAAAAAAAAATAGAGAAATGGCTCGTCCGAACACTTGTGTATTCAGAACAGGGATGGATAAAGCAGAAACATGTGTTCGTCAAATCATGAGAAAAAACCGACTATCGATTCAAACTCTAGGAAAGATGGAATGCACCCTGGCCTTCTTTGATGGCTACCGAGAGACGCCGTTTGAGGACAGCCAAGTCACTATAGTCCGGCAACTTCAAGTAGTTGACGCAGGTCATCACACTGGGGAGATAATCGTCGGGTGTGTAGGGGTGTTCGCTTGGGCGGCACACCACTGTGAAGGTCGGCGTGAGACTTTTGAAACCTATACCCTCTATGTTAGTTATGTGAGCTCGATGAGGCGAATAAGAAGATCACTTGCCTCCGATGGGAAGTTTGGGGCTACCAGTGACAAACTGAAGGAAGTCGCGACGTTCCTGACTGTCCAGCTCACTCATAGTCTGCAGCAGGTTGCGCACGCTTCGACTATCCATATTGAATCCGTGATCCGCCTTAATTGAGTCCATTAAGGTTTCGATAGACCAATCTTCTTGGGCCTGGCCGAAAAGCATGACAAGCTCATTTGGAGTGAAGGCTCGAAGAGAGGAGTACGGGAAGACCTGCGAGAAGCCAGCTCGGAAGGCATCTATCTGACGCCGGACACCAGTACCCAACGTCATATCGATCACGCGTTCGATGTAGAGGTCAACATTCTCGATCGTCAATGGCACATCGCTGCCGCCAGGAGTCAACTCAATAGCAGGATAGCCAGGGAGAGTGAAGTCTAAGCCCAGGTCGTCAACTCTGGCGCCCTGAACCGTAAGGTCTCGGATCTCCTGGGCTTTCTGCGCTGCGGAAAGGAACTTGTTCTCTTTGATCGCGTTCTTAGCATTGACAAACTGTTTCAGCATCATCAGGGATTTCGCAAGATCCTCATCCACAAGCTTAACCGTGCCTAAAGATGGGGCGACCGAAGATAGAGTGTCCGCGATACGGAAGAAGGCCGGATTGAACGAAACGTCGATAATCCTAGAGTCAAGCATCGAGCGAGCGACGAACTTCCCGAGGACTCTGAAGAGGTTGAGCTGCTTCTTTCCATAGTCGTGAGCGGCCTGTTCGTCACTCATCGGCGCTGGGAACAAGCCGCGCTTGCCGAAGGCGTACTCAGCAGCAGCAGTGCCATCGTTATCTCTCCAGATCCTGAGCTTCTTCTTGGAGAATTCCCGAGAAACGGTAGAATAGAATTCAAGAGTAGGTCCCAGTCCAGTACCGACTTCTTCGAAGTACTCGACCTCCAGAATGCTGGGGGAAGATCCATAGAGCTCCATGACTTTTACCGCCGAGTCGAGGATGCGAGAACGAGAAATTCGCACTTTTTGGCGCTGCAGACGGCCAAGGAATGGGCGATCGTCGCGTCGTAGGTCCCGTCGGCTGTCCTCGCCACTTTGAGAGTTCTGCCACCTCATCATCGCCCTGGAGTAGCCAAATGCAGTGGACTGCAAGAACAAATGCCTTGTTTCGAATGGGAAGAGGAAAGAGAAGAGCCTGGCAAGGTCTTCGCTCCAACTTGGAAGGCAATCGCTTGCCACAATCAATGGCTCCTCAAGTTGTCGGTTGAGCTTAGCTGTGAGTTTAGTATTGATGAACTGGGCCAAGGGTTCAGCCGTAATGGTAGCAGAATCTTTGTTGTCAGTCAGAATGTCATCGATTGTCGCGTTCATCTCGTGCAAAACACGAAGAAGACGGATTATGGAAGAAGTCCTGTGATCTTTGTCGAGCGATGCTGGGATCTCGAGGCCATCCTCATCAGCAAGATCTCCTTGAGTCGCCGGAGTGAGAATGGAAGGCTCTGGCGGCGGAGGCCCGGGGACACGCTTGTATGTGACGGTGTGAACGGCCGACCATACGTTCTTGGCACTGCTCTCGTCCAAGTCTTCACGGTCGTGATGCACACCACGGTAGATAGTCGTCTCGTAGGTAACTGGTTTGCCATCTACGAAGAACTCAAGATGCCAGTCCTGGGGGACCGACGCCGTCGCAGCAGCATAAGACGAGAACGGGCGCCCGGCAGTAGCGAGTGAGGAGTTGCGTAGGCTACTAGAGGGCACGGGAGCAGTTGACGAGGAAGCTTTGGCTGCAGCCGTCTGGGATGGAGTTCCAACTCGAGTACCATCCTCTTTGCGAGCGGTGACTTTCCCTGAGGATGCCACCTCTAGGTTAACTGCCGAGGGGTCGGCCACGTTGTCAGTCTCTAGGTCCTCGTCAAGATCATCAACGATCGCGTCGAGCTCTTCATCATCATCTTCTTCCATGCCCTCTTCTCCCTCGTCGGTCAATTGCCTTTCGTCGGCACACTCGAGGGGGTCGTCATCATGATCATCTTCCTCCTCTTCAATACGATTGGATGCATGTCTCCGCGAGTGACCGGTTGCAGTATTGGAGATGCCATCCCCTGAATCACCGCCGGTGCCATGTGGGCCGCCCGTGTGACTTGGGAGGTCTATCCCAGAGCCCGAAGCAAGCTGGTCATGAAGTCGGGCCGCGTTAGCAATTTGTCCAAAAATCAAGTCCCTAGTCCGCGAAGGGCGAGGCTTTTCTGCCATGGTGATCCGTGGATGAAGGAAGTCATCCAAGGCCTTGAATGTAGCAATAGCATGAATGGACACCATGATACTGCGGTATGGGCGAGGAATTTCGGACGCATCGTCAGCAGCCAACTTGAGTCGGAGCTGTTTGTTCAGCATGTAGGCGGCGTTACTGCGAGTATTCTCCAACGAGTTGTGGTTGATGGTGAGGACCTCAAAGTGTTCTGTCCTACTCAGCAAGTCTTGCAACTTTCGAATGAGAACGCTGAAAGGCGTGGTGGCGGTGCTCTGGCTTTGAGCCTTGTCCGAAATTGAGACACCCATAAAGGCTTGTAAAAAGGCGGCCCTGGCCTCGCGAATCGAAGGAGCCTGGTAATTACCGAGGACAGATAGAAGAACCTCAATGATCCCGGAGTTGAGCAATTCAGAACTGGTAATACTCTTCAAACCCTCACCAATGAAGTAGGAGGCAAGCTGTTTGAAAAGCGAAAGACCGTCCTCCCCGCCACGCGAATAGCATGACTTGATTTTTGAGGCTAGAGACTTCAGAGCAAGCAAGATCTTCAGAGCCTCTGTTCGCACTCTTTCACCATGGCTTGCTTCATAGACCTCGAGGAAGGCCTGAGCATCGCGGATGACTAGGTCATTGAGCGAATTCTCCATTTTCTGCTGACCGCGTGGGCCGGACATGGAGTCATCCTCAGAATCAGAGATATCGTCATTCTCATCATCCTCGTCATCATAGTCGTCGTGCTCAACATCCTCATCCTCATCCTCGTCTTCATCCTCGTCAGGTCCAGTTCGTAGAATCTCGCCGCGCAGTGGCGGTGTGGTTGTGGCGGGATCGGGTAAATCGGTGATCTCCTTATCCCCCGACAGAGAGCCTTCTGACAGTTTGATGATCTCGAGGATTACGCCTTCACGGTGGAATTGATGCTGATAAACGTGCTCGAGTCGTTGGAACAGCAGCTCCGAGCAGCGGAGCGCCAGAGATACGAGAGAGGGGTGGTCTTTTTGGGAGAGAATAGCAGCCAGGAAGGAGGGATACGGAACCGTGCGCAGGGCGTCTTCAATCAGAGATGGCTCCAAAATGTGCAGCATTTTGAGCTGCGCAATCAATACCTTTTGGCGGACATGCAGGTTGACTGTGCTCGAGTAAGCGTCGGTCAAAGTTGGGAACAAGATCATCGCAAAACGCTTAAGCTCGGTCTTGCAGCCCTCGAGCAAGGCCCGCCTTTCCTCCACCGTCTCCTTCGTTTTATGTGACCTTAGGCCAATAGACATGTGAGCATCGAAGTATGAGCTCAACAAGTTGTCCGTCTTTGAGGCATCGCGAGTAGGGACACCCGGCAATAGCTCGCAAATGACGTTAAGTGTTTCAAATACTTGCTCACGGGGCCGGTGAATCAAGGCTTGCATAACTAGCACACTGTCCATTTTGACAGCTGTGTTCTCCACATCCTGCGGTGGTGACACGCCGGTCAGAATTTGGTAGAGCGTGTCTACTACATCCATCTTGAATAACTCGTTTGACAGCCGAGGGCTTGTTCTCGATACAATTGCCAATACCCTCAAAAACTGCGTGTGAATGTGAGGTCCAATCAGATTCGTGGTTCCGGGAAGGAGGAGCCGAAGAATGGCCTTGAGCATTGCAGGCTCGATGAGCTCTTCAAGATGTTCGGGGCGGTGCTTAAAGCTCTCAACAATCCGTGATACGCACAAGCATCCCTGCTCCACGACCTTTGGGTCATTGCTAGACAGGACATTGAGGAGAGTGGGCATTACATCCCGAACCACAGGGAACGAGTCATGTCCGAGGTTACGGCAGCAGTTTGCAGCGGTGGTGACTGCTGTCCGTTGGGTACTGGTCGGGAAGAAGTCCAGATAAGTGAGACAAGCGGTCAGTCCACCTTCCCGCACGATTGAGGCAGGGAAATCGATGGAAATCTTGGCTAAAGTACTCAAAGCCTGCTCAGCTAGATCGATGAACTGTATATCAAGGAGCTTTTGGCAAAGGATGGGCACAGCGCCACCATACACAACATTCGCAACGGAGCTCCGCAAGGCCTCCATGAGGTTGGCGAGACAGCGACATGCGAGGAGCATGATTTCCGGATTTTCTTCGCCGAACTGGTCCGGCTTCATTAAAGTCACCAGCTCCTTCACGTACGGGTCAGGTGAAAATTGACCAGATAGGTTATCCTCATTGGAAACCAGCAGGAGGTCCGACAGCTCCTGAAGAGCTATTAACTGGAGTGATGGGTCATCCTTCGCCTTCAGGTTGCAGAGAATGTCTCGAAGGCGAGATGACATGCCAGTCATCATGCCGGTAAGTGCACGGAGAGTATTTTGGAGCCCCATAGGAGTTCGGCCACCGAACAGGCTGCTGTGGAATGGATCCATTTCCTCATCGTCGAACGCCGAGGGGTTAGTTTCATCATTGCTCTCCCCCGTTTGGGAGCCTTGGTGTTCTAGGTGATCGTCCTCCTGCTCATCCTCTTCCTCCGCATCTCGCATGATAACATCGGGAGTCGGTTTAGCGGCCCGCTTCTTCGAGCGTCGAGGTGGGGGAGACTGTGCCGGCGGTTGTCGATCTATATTCATCAAAAAGCGTCAGATCTGCACAACAACTCTGTGGGAGACGGCGGAGCTCTATTCCCACCACTTACCGTGTCGGTTGGACTTTCGCCTTGAGGGTTGTGGAGATGTTGCAGATTTGGATTGTTCCTCCGACGGTCGAGACGAAGGTCTGAATCAGAAAATTACGTCAGTACTTATTCCTATTTGGTATTCGTAACTCGGATTCATCAATTACCCTGGTTGTGACATGGCGTTACGGCTGCGGGCGCCTCGACGGGGGGTTGCAGCAGCAGGTCCAGTTGATGGGGCTGTCTGTGGTGCTGTAGTCCGCGGTCGCTTCGTTTTCTTCGGTGGCGAGGGTGGTGCTGGAGCGTCCGCCTGTCGATCGTGACGGGAAGATGCCTTGCGTTTGCGAGTCGTCGTTGGGGCGGATGGTTGTAGTGGTGTACCAGACTCAGGAGGAGCGTCTGTGGCGAGTCTCGCAGCGGAGCGAGTGATTCTGGATGACATGAGAAAGTGGTCTTGTCTTTTTGTGTGATGAAATGAGGGTGCGAGGGAAGAAGAAAAGAAAAGAAAGAGAAAGAGAAAGGGAAAGGGAAAGAGAGTAAGGAGAAAGGAGGTAAGCCGACGCCTTGATGATTGAAGCGCTAGATAGTTGGTAGACAGTTGACGAAGTTGAAGATGTGGAGCCGATAACGATGCTCGCGGAACTGCTAGCAAACTATCCACCTCAAAACAAAAGACAAATGTAGAGGGGTGTGGACGGATCGACCTTTTTCTCGGCAGTGAGCGGTCACAGCGAGAGAGTCTGATCCTCGCATATGACCAGTGTGTAGGCGGAGAGAACGGGTGGGTAACTACCTCAGGGAAGAAGAGGCCGTGGAAGTGCCTGCGGGGGCAACGGGATAATCCTCGAGAGGGTCCTGGCGTTTGGCGGAGGGCCTTTGCCTGGCCATAAGTTATGGGGTATCAGGAGCTCGATTAGGTGTTCGTTGTCACCGTATTTACGCCATTCGCAGTCCTAGGCTAGCCGATAAGGCGAGCAGAGGATGAGAGGGGGGTTTTATATTCGGGTGTCACCGTTGCCGTTGGGACTATGAGATCACCTCGAACGAAATAAAGGTCAATGCCGGTAACACGAGAAAATTGATGAGATTGGGGGGCGGAAGAAGAAAAGAAAGAAGAAGGAAGTTAGAGTGGTGATGGGGATTCGGGGAGCGTCAGGCGGCGGAAGTGCAACATTTGATGATCTAACCACATTGTCTACGAGGTAGCTAGCTATTGAACGTAGGTTCCACACTATTTAATAGACACTCTTATCGAGATCCTCTATATTCATACCTACCTACTACAAACGGTTCTGTCTTTTGCTTTACAAACATTGCCATCTTGCCTGGTTAGACAGTTGGGCACGGAGGGCCCGAGACCTGTCTGACGTGCGGCAATAAATATCTCAAGGATCCTATGCATTGCATTTAGAAATATTACTGTCGTGTATACAAGGCAGTAGGTGGTTTAATTGTGTGGTCATTTGTGCATACTTAGGTACCTATAGGCAAATATGCCTCCTTAGTCTTACCGAGACGAACAATAGACAGTGAACCAATCACATACAACGACCTAGCTACTGTAGGCACGAACTATGAAAATACTGTAAAGAAAAGCCGAAGAATTTCGGCATATAGCCGTTAACTCCATATAACTCATTGTCTCAATGGATTTAGCCAGTCCGATCCGGAGTGCGGATCACGGAGACAAGCCGATAGACCTAGGAACTCGATTGACTCACCGAGGCTGAAAGCCCTGAAGCATTTTATTAATCACGACATATCGCTAGGTGTCTAGGTGGAACTAGCCCCTGATATATTCACGTTGAAAGAAATCAAAACCAACTCTCATTCTTTACTTTCTCTATTTCGCCTCTCCGGCGCATTCTCTTGCCGCCTTCGGTTCGCCCCCCCGCCATTTGCAACTTCACAAGACTTTCATCTTCGCTTTCTCTCCTCCCCGCTTTCCCGAGCCCCATAGCCTTTTTTCGTCTTCCCCGGTATTTGACAGGGGAAATAAATCACTACCTCTCCCTCTCCTCCGTCGCCATGGCAATTGAAATGGTCGGCGAGCAAAGCGATGATGTCCACCAGGCTCCCGCCGATATCACCCCCGCTCCGATGGAGGATTACACCTTTCCCGAATTGCGCCTCAAGCGCACGATGAGTGACCCGGAAAAGACTCCTCTGTTGTTAGTCGCCTGTGGTTCCTTTTCGCCAATTACCTATCTACACCTGCGGATGTTCGAGATGGCCGCCGACCATGTCAGATTCAGCTCCGACTACGAACTCATAGGAGGATATTTGTCGCCGGTCTCGGACGCCTATCGGAAAGCTGGTCTGGCCAGTGCTGAGCATCGGTATGGATTCTTCCAACGTTCAGGTTGCTTTGGGGGCTAATGACAATCGATATACAGCGTTGCGATGTGCCAACTCGCCGTTGATCAAACCTCTGACTGGTTGATGGTGGATACATGGGAACCCTTACAGAAGGAGTATCAGCCTACAGCGGTGGTATTGGATCATTTTGATCATGAAATCAACGTGGTTCGTGAAGGCGTGGACTGCGGAAATGGAACTCGAAAGCCTGTCCGCATTGCTTTGCTCGCGGGCGCGGATCTCATCCACACTATGTCAACACCCGGTGTGTGGAGTGAGAAGGATCTGGACCACATCCTCGGAAAATACGGTGTATGTTATCGACTGCCAACTCCGGGCCCGAGAAACGACTGCTAACACTCCCCTTTCCAGTCCTTCATTGTGGAGCGCAGTGGCACGGACATTGATGAAGCCCTTGCCAGTCTGCAGCCTTGGAAGGACAACATCCATGTGATTCAACAGCTTATCCAAAATGACGTGAGCAGTACTAAGATCCGACTGTTCCTGAGACGTGAGATGAGTGTTCGCTACCTCATCCCAGTGCCAGTCATTCATTACATTGAGCAACATCACCTCTACGAAGATGATGGCACTGCAGAGAAGGGTAAGGAGAAACAAGAGGGGCGATCCGGATAATACGTCCCAACGCTGCCTTCTTCAGGCATCCCCATAATGACCCCTAGCGACGCGACATCCTGATGCGATACCCCTGCCTTCTGTCCACTGACAGATGATGATTTACTGGAGTTTCTGGAGTACTTGCTTGAATTTTGAGAATATTGGCCTATCGCCATATGAAGCTATCACCGGGACTCGCATATATTCCCGCGTATAGCCGTTATGGCTGGCTTGATGTACATATTATGACTTTATATGTTCTGTAATACCCTCTGTACATATGAGAACGCAATAGACCTCTGTTGGGTTAGACTGCCAATTTCCAGACTAACAGTACAAATGGAGGAATTGGCCTCGGAAGTTCTCTAGGTACGATCTCCACATTTTCACCATTGCACCGGAGAATGACACCATATTATGGGGAGCGCTATGGTTTCAAATTATATGTCACCATTGATAATCAATAAACGTATGAACAGCAAAAACACCTCAAGTAAGAGTCATCAGTAGACCAATTCCCCCTTAAAACTTGATAACGCCTCTTATAAATCAACGGGTCGCGCGAAAGCCCGATCTATCCGATCGACCACTGTTTATCTCCCGTTATCGACAGATCTCGGCCTCCACAGTTTGCCTTCCGTACGAGAACGAAAAGGGATTCACTCCCAGGTTCACCCATACCAACCTCTCAATTCCGACAACCCTCACAATCCCCAACTATGCTATAGCAAATTGAATCTCGTGCTCCCCCGCCATGACTATCTCCGAACAACCCTTCCACGGCCACCCCGGCTGGCCGCTCACTCCTCCTGATTCCTCCGATCCACCAGCGCCGAAAGATGTCTCCTCGGTCGTCACAGCAATCCACGTTATATCAACGGAGCGAGCGGCCCTCGCCCACCTCGAGCATATATACCAGACGGACGCGCGCGCACAGGCCGATCTCGCTCGGGCCGTGGGCCAGATTGCGCGGAGCGTGAGCGAGGGAGGAAAACTGGTCGTTTGCGGGGTTGGGAAGAGTGGGAAGGTCGGACGCAAAATCGAGGCGACGATGAATAGCCTCGGTGTGTACAGTGCGTTCCTGCATCCGACTGAGGCTTTGCATGGTGACTTGGGATTGGTTCGGCCGGTAAGAATTTTTACTTTTCATGCGCCTGCTCCTGCAGGTCGGTGGTGGCTTTTGAAATGATCTACTTTACCCGGATCTTGTGATCTTGAGCCACTTGGAGACTTATATACTGATTGTGGTGTTGTCCAGAATGATACGATTCTTCTTATTTCCTTCTCTGGGCGCTCGCCGGAGCTTTTGTCGCTGCTTCCGCATCTTCCCGTGACTGTCCCGGTCATCGCTCTTACTTCGCATACACATCCTGAGGCGTGTCCGCTTCTTGCCTTGCATGGCCCGGCAGGGCTAGGGATGCTTCTGCCAGCGCCTGTACATGAGGACGAAGAGACCTCGTTCGGCGTGCGCGCGCCTACATCGTCAACGACCGTTGCCTTGTCGCTCGGTGATGCGCTGGCTATTGCTACCGCCCGGAAATTGCACACTGCGACGGGGAAGAGCCCTGCAGAGGTCTTTCGGGGCTTCCATCCCGGTGGTGCCATTGGGGCAGCGGCAGCAGCGACGCCGCTGACCACCCCGTCGATCGACTTGTCAATGGGAACGTATGATTCCCCGACGTCGTCGGTCTCTCTTCGGTGGGAGGAGATCGCCAATATACCATCGATTCCTTTTACGTTACAGCCGCCGCCTGAACAGCGCATCATTTCTCTGGACATACTCGTTCCATTTGATCAAATTCCCACTGCCTCTGCACCTTCATCGCACACGTCCGGCGATGTCCGACTTCTCGATATCCTCCTCACAGCCATCCAGCATCCCAATGCCAAATCATGGGTGTTTCTGTCTCCGACTGAGATCATTCCTCCTCGGCACCTTCGTTCTCTCGTCTCTCCTGGAGAAGATATGGACATGAGTGTTTCCGAGGCTATGGCCAGGAGTCCCGGTACTCCATTTGTCGTACCTCGAAGCGACTGGCTTTTGGTGCCACATTCGGCACCACTGTCTGAACTTCGGCGCCTTGCTTCCGAGTCCAGGAGTGGATCAAACGCGATATCCGTGATTGCTGTCATGAAGGATATGGCATCACCCGACAGTTGCATAGGGGTGATGGAAGCAGAGGATCTGTTAAATGCATGACATCGCCGAAAAGCCATCTATATTCTTGTTTACTTCCCTGCACATACTCATTTGATTTTTACCGCTTGCATTATCATGCATCCGATTGACGATGTTACGCCCACTCGACTCCCCTTTTTGCATGACCTTCTCTGTCTACTAGTTAAATACACACAATGCACATCTACATTCGAAGCCCAAGCCTCTCGGCAAAAGGCTGTTTATACAACCTACTCCTGCTCAGGTAGAAACTTGAATCAACGCCAATAATATATGCCATGATAATACAAAAATCCAATGCAAAGATCTACCTATAATACATAAACCCCCCCAACCAACCACCTAAGCCCTCGGCTTAATCCCCTTATGAATAGCAGCGATGCCACCAGTCAAATTCTCATACCCTTGCCCGGGAATCAAAAACCCAGCCTTCTGAATCATCCCCCTAAACTCCTCCTGACTAGGAAACCGCTCAATACTCTCAACAAGATACTGATAACTATCACGATCCCCAGCAACAACCTGCCCAATAAGCGGAATCGCACTAAAATTCCACCTCTTATAAATCCCATCCAGAACCGGATTATCAACCTTACTAAACTCCATACAAGCAAACACACCACCCGGCTTCAGCACCCGGAACGCCTCATTCAGCGCCGCCTGCTTATCCGTGAAATTCCGGATCCCAAACACAACCGTGTACAGATCCACCGAGTTGTCGGGGATGTGCGGCATGTGCTCCGCGTTCGCTTCGACAAAGCTCAGCCGCGACGTGTTGTAGTAGGGTGTGTCGAGGGAGCGCTTACGTCCCTCAGCTAGCATGTCGGCGTTGATGTCGCTGATTGTCACGCGCGTGTCCATGTCGTGGTTTACGTTGGTGGCGTGGTCGAGCATTCGGAAGGCGATGTCGCCGGTCCCGCCGGCGATGTCGAGGATGTTCCAGCCGCGTTGGTCGGCTGTGAGTGCGGGCAGACACGCGCCTGGATTCAGGGAGCGCACGAAGTGGTCTTTCCAGAGGCGGTGGATGCCGAGAGACATTAGGTCGTTCATGCGGTCGTAGGAGGCTGCGACGGAGGAGAAGACGGCGCCGACTGTGGGAAATTTGTTAGATAAGTATTTGTGAATTGGTCAATTGGTCAATTGGTCAATTGTTGATGGCAGGTCTTACCTCGTGACTCCTTCTCGGATTCGGGCACGTTGGTGAAGCCAAAGTGTGTCATGCGATCCTGTTCGGGCTTCTGCTCATTGCTGCGGGTGGAACATGAGAAACAGCGGTATGCGGTCGTGGGTTGGAAGGCACGACGCTTGGCACTGTAGTGCAGAGCTCGCCAGGCGGAGCGGGTGGACATGGTGGACATGGTGGTGATGTTTGTAGGTTGCTCGGTCTGGAGAAGCTGTGACGGGCAACTTTTCTTTTCCACTTCCCGGTCTCCACCGGTGCGTGTCCATAAGCACCCAGGCCAATCAGAGTGTCGGGTTTGGCCGAGGCCAGACTACTCTGTATCAAGACTGGCATGCGAACAGCTATCGAGTTTTGTTTCTGTAGCTGATCATCCCCCAATTTAAGTCTCGTCAGTGGAAGTTTCTCACTTCACAGTCATCAGTCATTCATTATTTCATCTTTCTTCCTTTCTAGGGCTTCTATCGAAGACCCTGGTTACTACAGGGGTAACCAGCTGAAACTGAAAGGCACAGATAGGACGTGAGGTAACTTTAGGTGGTGAATTGGAATGGGATCTAAGAGTATGATTGAAGGTTGTATATATTAAAAAAAAGACAAGACCGATGCAATCACCACATTCTCTCCCACGAACGCTTAATAAAGCTCATATTAGCCAGCTCCTCCTTCCTCCGTTCCTCATAGCCACCTTCCTCCCAAATCTTACATTCCTCATCCACCTCTGCCTTCCCAGTGTACAGGTCCGCAGTGGCAACATTCACAAACGAACTGCGATGATAAATCTTCCAGAAGGCAAACATGACAACCCAGAAGGCCAGACCGAAGTACGAGGTGATAAACCCCTGCACACTAAAAGGCTTGAAAACCGAAAACCCGTTGAAGATGGCCGTAACGCAGCCAATGAAAACAGCCATTATAGCACTGTATGGCTGCCACGGCGAAGCCCAGGGAACAAACGACTTGCGGTCGATCCCCTGCGCCTTCATAGCGCGGTACCAGGCAAGGAAGACACAGGCCATGCCGGTGTAAGTAAGCACGAAACCGATAGTGGTCAAATCGACGAACCAGTAGAACACCTCGACGGAGGAGTTACTCGCCACGAGGAAGGTGATGCAAGAGAGAAGCGAGACGGTGGTAACACAGTAGATGGGAATGCCGGATTGAGTGCACTTCAACAGGAACTTAGGCGCCTGTCCGTCACGGGCGAGAGAATAGAGCGTTCTGCTGGAGCTGTAGAGATAGGCGTTACCACATGACCAGCCCGATAGCAGGATCAGGAGATTGATCAGATCGGGCAGGCCGCTGATGCCTAGATTCTCGATTCCGATAACCCAAGGCGAAGCGGCTGAGCCTGCTGAGCCGCTGTTGAGGGCTGAGATGAGACGTGGGTCATGTGGGTTGCAGATGATGCCTACGGCCAGGACACCGAAGACGTAGAATCCGACGATACGCCAGAAGGTCATTCGCACCACGCGGGGGATGGTCACGCGTGGGTTCTGGATCTCGGCTGCGGCTAGGGCTGGGAGATCGGGTCCAGCTACGGAGAAGGCTGCGTAAACCATGACGGAGAAGAAGCCTAAGAAGCGGCCTGTGACGCCGTCGGTGTAGTACTCGTACATCACGCCGTCTTTCCAATTGCGGAATCCATAGGCGTCGTGTTTGGGGTTGCCGCCGACCATTGTGATGAATGTGAGGAGGACGAGACCGATGAGGAGGAGGACTTTGGTTGACGCCATAATGAACTCGCTTTCGCCGTACCATTTCACGGCGAGGAGATTGAGTGCCGTGCAAACGACTAGCGCCATGGCTACCCAGACCGCAGGATTGACGCCCGTGTCCCAGTACTGCATGACTGTCGCGACCGATGCGTATTCTGTACATACTAGCATTACGCCGGCGTAGAAATATACCCAGCCCCTGGAACTTGTCAGTGTCCGGGACTCAAAGCAAAAGAGGGAGAGGACAAGGCAGGACTCACATAGCAAAGCCGAATGCCGGGTCAATAAAGCGTGCAGCAAGCTCGAAGATAGATCCACGGATAGGAAGATATGCCGCCATCTCTCCAACCGACAAATTGACAGGGAGAATCATAAGACATCCCCAAACCATGAAACCAAGCAACAAGGACAGCGGTCCTGCATCCCGCAAGTATGAACCTATACCAACAAAAAGTCCCGTACCAATTGATCCTGCGATGGCCATCAATTGCACATGTCGAGACGTCAGACCGCGTTTTGTCTGTGGGAAGGGAACGATTTCGCCAGCGCCTGAGCTGGTATCCTCCGGGACGGAGAGGACCGATGATTCTTTTTTCTCCATGATGAGATGCTGATGGAACCAGAATTTACTCGATCATAACCGTACAGGGGGACGACCGTGCTTTATATGCGCACTAACGTTGGGGTACAGAAGATACTGCATCGCTCACAATTCCGTGCGGAGAGATATGTATGCCAAGAAGGACGCTGATACGATACGAAGAAGAGAGACAACTATCATCCATGTTGATCTTGCCACCCTGACCATTGACCGGTGGCTAAAGTGCTACCGACAGGGTCCGGCCATTCTAAAGCTAACGCTAGGGACCACCTGATAAGGGAAGGGATTGACCGGGGTTATGAAGTTATCGGCATTATCCCTAAAGGGGGAGGAGAAGGCGATGCTAAGATCTGCCAAGTGATAAGCTTATCACTCTTGGAAGGCTTCGACTGTAAACTTAAAGTCACACAGGGCCCTGATAAGAAGGGAAGCGTTGGTGTAGCTCAGGAGTCAGGAGTCAGGACAAGTGCCCAGGTGGCTTCGGTGGGGCAAGCTCTGAGTCAAAGCCACAGAAGGTTGATATCGGGGATTTAGGGAAGCGGTTATCAACCCCAGTTACAAATGGTAAATATCCGGACTAACTTAGCAACTGCATAAGGCCAAAAGTCCCATCCTAAGTGACTAGGATCTGTGAGATTTTATTGGTCCCATAGTTATGGCCTTCTTACTCCTGCACAACATATGGAACCCTTTTCCCTCCTTCAGTCTTGGAAAGCTTGAACAATCGGTTCCAAAGTTGAGCCCGTAGCCAAGATCTTATACTCCGTACCCCGCACTTTAACTGTAGCTTACCCGCTTCCGAGTTAGGCAGGTGCGACATCGGGACCTAATGTTGCTAAGGTCAATTTTCGGTTAAGACTAGATGCCCATGTGATATCAAATATACCTGGTGGAAGAGAGCAATGTATGTGTAGACAAAGAAGTATGGACCACTCATATTATTATTCAAACGTGCGAAGACAATGTACAGACATCGCAATACCTACATATTGAAAAGAAAATGGGAATAAATCACAAAGCCACCCCTCAACCAACCCAGTCCCAACAAATAAAAAGCATAATAAACAAATGGTTGAGCAACTATACATGCATCGTTACTCTACCAATCTACTCGTAAAAAGAACAATCAGCCTCCAACTCCCCTCGCAAACCCACAGACCCAACCACCACCCAAAAAAAATCACTCAAACGCCAGCGGCATAAAACCCTCTGAATGAGTCCCATCCAATGGCCATGGCCAATCCGACAACAACTCCGGCGGCAACTGGAACTGCATCAACTGCTCGCCCATCGCCGTTGGCGGCCCAACTGGCGGGCCATGCCCACTACGCGGAATATAAGGTCCAGATGGCATGGGAAGTTCAGTTTTGGGGAGCGAATTCTGGTGAAGGGGTGGGTGAGGGCCTGCGATTGGCCGTCGGGAGGAGCGCATATAGCCGTCGATGCGGTCTACCTGTGAGCGGAGACGGGCACTGGCGCCCGAGGCACGCTGAAGACCCGTTTCAAGGCGGCCGAGGAGGTCGGCCATTTCGAGGCTTTTCAGAGCATTAGACGGATTGACTGGTTGGTTGGGGATGTAGTGAGGGACTCACAGTAATGTGCGGACTCGTTGGTAGGATGCTTCTGATAGACTTCCTTCCATTACAGAGCCGAGGATGTAGCCGATTCCGCTGAGATGGTGGAGCTGGAGAGGGTTAGTTGGCTTGGCGGTTGGAAGTAACAGAGGAATGGGGGAATACCAAAGGGGAGCTGATTGCTTTTAGGTACTCGACCGGGACATTGCTGAAGACGCTGAGAAGTTCTCCAGCAACGTCACATTTACGGTCCACGCCAAGCTCTTCTGCAGATAGCAGCACCATACGGAGTAGCTGAAGTGTTGCCTGGATATTGGCTGACTGGAACCCGAATAGATCCTTGGCCATGTCGCCTGTAGTAGGCGGCGTTTCCTTGAATTGCGGTGGCAATGCGGCGTACATGGATAGTACACGCTCCATAACTGCCGGTTCTGACATGGATGCTGGGGTGAATAGGGACCACACCTGGGATGTTCCGTTGGCTGACGAGAAACGGCGCCGATTGCCGTCAACGACATGTTCCAGCATTCGGTACAGATCCGTGGTAAAGTTCCAACCTCGAAGCCAAGCCACAGGCTGTCGTGAGAAGACGGTCACATCGCCGGGGCTCATGACGCCCGAGCTTGGAGACACGGGCGGCAAGCCGTAGCCGTGTAGTGTGATGAACTCATCATCGACTTCGCTTGGATATCGCACGAGGGAATGCGCTTCGCGATATCTAATCACGCCTCCCCATACAATGGTAGAATAGATATCTAACGTATAGATAGACCAAAACTGCAGACCGACGAGTTAGTGGGAAGCATGAGTATGGTAGAATTGATGCATACCAATCTTCGACGCTCCTCGGTCTCAATAGGGCTCAGACCCTTCGGCCAGAGCTTCTCATCGTGTAGACCCTCCATACTGGTTAGAGTATGATACATACCAGAGTACTTCTGCATATTCTTGATCTGGCCATTTTGAATACTCGCAATTGCGAGTATAGCACATGCACGCATATAGTTTATGCCCTTTGCGGCGGCAAGGTCTCGGGGAATAGAGTCCTTCGCCGCGGCATAGAATGCCTCAGATGGAGGCTCCGCGAGTTCATCTCGATGCCATCTGTTGGTGAACAAGGCGCCGTCTCGCGCACGTCCTGAAACCAAGGCGCAAACTGCCATTGTCGAAGCGAACAACCCTGGGTCGCGAAGATGTTCTTGATTGTGAACCCTCTCGATGAAAGTATGCTTGTGAAAAAGGGGGAAGCTGAACGATAATTAGCCGTGCAGACAGATAGGAGAGATGATAAGGATAATCGTACATTGGATAGACAATCTCGAAATATACCTGTACAAGATTGCGGATCTGGCGATCACTGGCAATGGCGAATGCATTCCATGAGTTTCGCAATGCGCCATCGTCATCATACCCTTCAGCTGCCACACCACCGACATTGAACGTAGACCATGGGTCCCCCGTCAACGACGGGCGATGAGTCGACCCGGGGTAATACGAGCTCCTAGACCCGGAAGAATCCGAGGTCCTCCCCGTCACAGGTGGAGCATGTGACCCAGGGAGAACATGATCCGAGCCGGGCGTTCTTACCAACGCCGGCTCCCGCGTAGGAGCCCGGGTGCCAGCCTTGACGCCGCGGCGTTTAGCCGGGCGATCGAAGGTGCATGGGACGTCAAAATCCGCACAATTCTGACACCTACCTAGCGGGTCATCGCTCTTGCCGCATTTAATGCTGCGCTTATTGCAGAAGTCGCCTATAAGAGTCCCGATGAGCTATGGAACATTGGCGCTGGCATTCCCGGGCAATTGCCGCCAATCGCTGGTGTATGGAATGCAGACACAAATGACTTACAGGCTTTGGAGACGCGCTGAAGCTTTCGGGGTTTTTGCGACATTCAAATCATGAGCTCATTCCAACTCTTGGTTAGCTGTGTTGGCGCTAAGAGGGCGATTTCGCGGGCCCCCGAGCTTCGGTCGAAATATGGGGTTCGGGGGTCAGAGACACGGATCGCGTGTACCGCGTGTGCAGAATCCGGGGTATCGATAGCAGGATGTAGAATGGGAAAAAGGCACCCCAAAAAATGACAGAAGACAATTCTCAAGCAATAGTTCTTTCCGATGACCTTGATGTGCAATCCATTCAATCGCTGGCAATGGTGTTCGCAGGTTAAAAAGTCCACATTAGAGTTGCAGAGTCTAGAAGCTGACTCAGCAGCGTGTCATCGATTGCTTGAAGTGGAGATCTCCACGATCATTGGATCCGCACGATGTAGAGAAGTGTAGAAGTGGGGCCCTGGAGTAATCGTAGATGACATTGATACTCGCGGGAAAATGAGATGAATGCAGAGAGTTTAGCATCTGTCCTTGTTCTTGACTATAATGATTACTGTTCGAGATTAACTCAGGGCTAGAAGGAGAGGCTTTGGAATTGTACCTAAGACGCACCCTTGTAAAGTAAGACATAAACGCCAAAGAAATGAACCCTAACCGAGAAATGTATAGAACTTCAGGCCTCTGTACAATTAATTATATGATTATAGGTATGATGCAAAAACCTCGGTAGGTACATGATCTTGTAGGTGCAAACTCTTCAAAGGCAGCCCTGCAATTATCAAAGTGCTCGAGACAGCGTGGTATAACTAAGTGTTCAATGCCAAACTTAATTCAAGAGGATGCTGTCTCTGTCGGATATGTTGTGAGTTCACTTTTGCCCTCACTGAGAACAGGGTCCGGGTTAACCCCATATTCAGCAAGGACATCGCCGTGGAGCTTGTAAGCCTGTTCCATCTTCCAATAGAACGGACTGGACGTCGAGAAGAGAGCGTCAATGGACTCAAGAGAGCGGTTGCGGGTTTCAGGGTAGACTGAGAGAAAGATCATGTTAGCTCATCAGAAAAGACATGGGTTGATCGAGATCTAAGAACATACAGAGGTAGACGATTGGGATCCACAGTAGGTTGAGACCAGCAAACAGGAAATATGTACGGCTCTGAGAGACTATCAGTATTTTATTGAAGAGCTCGGGTCAGGAGGGAACTCACGGTTAAGACATTGAACATGATCGGATTGACCAAGGTGGTCATGCCCACGCCGATGGCCCATCCCGTGATGCCGAATCCATTACCCTGGGCTCGTAGATCACTAGGGAAGATCTCAGTGGGGACTAAGAAAGCGACTGTGCCCCAGGTGGCAGCATAACTATTCCCAAATTAGTATTAGGGACGGTGTTTATCATTTGACGCGCATGACTCACCCCAGGTTGAACAAAAACAGCATCGTAACAGCACCAGGCGCGTACTGAGCTGCCTTTTCAGGGTTGTGCAACGAACCCTCGTAAACAGCCCCGGCCTATAACAGTCAGAAAGAAGGTTCACAACGGCCCGGAAGTAAACGTACAATAAGGTTGACGGCAAATAGAACAGCCGCCCCGCCCATCAAGCAGGGACGTCGACCCAAGCGGTCGACAATTTGGGCACTGATGATAGTACCGACAATACCAATTGTGTTGATTCCTCCAGCAAGTCCATTTTGCTTGATATCGCTATAACCTGCCTGAGCAAGTAGTACTGGAGAATATGCAGTCACGGCCTAGGTCATCATTAGCACATAGGTATGGGCTACTATCGACGAACTCCGCACTCACCGTTATACCCGTCCAGGACGCCATGATTTGAAGCCATACACACAGCCAAGCTCGTCGGCCGAGGTTCAACCCTGGCTTGGGGCCTTTTCCAAATAGAATTTTTATGAACTCAACGGGAGAGCTGGGTTTGCTGCCCTGCGCAATGGTGATAATCTCGAGGTATTCCCGGTCGATATCCTCCTGAGAGGCCCGATCTTTCCGAAGACGATTCAGCAAATCTCGAGCTTCCTCATTGCGCCCAACTGAGGCCAAGTAACGGGGGCTATCCGGCAGCATCTTGATAAAGGCTACAAGAAGTAGTGCCGGGAAGCACTGAAACGCGAGGAGGAACCGCCATCGTACATCCGAATTACCGTTATTGACAAAAGCGAGACCGAAGGAGAGCCAATATGCAACAGAAATTCCTAAATCTTGAGAACAATGAACGTCAGCCACTGCCACCACATTGGATTTAGGAAATTGGCGGCTCACAATTTGCAATGAAGACATAACCCAAATACCCGCCTCGATGGTTCGCGGTAGATGTCTCTGACACCAATACCGGGGTGATGCCAGTCAAAGCTGTGCACAGAAAGCGAATTAGAAGCTTGACCTCTCTCATGCCCAAGCTGAGGCAGGGCTATAGCAAGGAGTCTCACCGCCAGTGCCGATCCCGGTGACCACCCTAGCACACAAGATGAAGTTCGAATTCTGCGCGGCTGCCTGCAGGGCACCACCGATTACCGCAAACAGTGATCCAGCGAGTAGACCGTTAATCCGACCCACACGGTCTGCAAGCCATCCGCCGGCAAAACAGCCAAAGATTGCGCCCAGGTAATAGATACTGACAATACCCCCTTGATGCGTGGTGTCAGTCACTGTGCCGTCGGCTTTACCAATTCCGACCTCTGTCACATATCTCGGTGAGGCGTTCACGCCACCCATAACACCTTGGTCATAGCCCTCGAAGAAGATCGAGATTAGCGAGAAGATCTGAATGGCGATATTCAGCTGACGCGGCGAAAGCCGCTTCCAAAACGTGGTATAACCCATGATAACTGATATCAGATTCTCCAGGCCGATTAATGCAACGAAAAAGCAACTCGTGATATCTGCAATGGGACCCGCCCACGGGCATTCGAAGAAGGTTATTATGAGCTAGTAGGCCCGAAAATCTGGGGCAAGATGGATCATCATGGAGACAGTTGATGCGGGGGTGCATTAGCCCCGAACTCAAGCAAATAACCATTTAGCAGTCGGGTATTTCTCGTTTAAATGGGCGTTTTGCCGATCATCCCTTCTGCCCTTATTCAAGGCTAATGATCTATCAAAGATGGAGAATGTTGGAAGCGCATTGCCGGTCTCCACCATGGACAGACTTGGGTCTGTTAAATATTTTCTGGTCCCTCGGCTTTTGGGTTTTCATTTCGAGTCGCACCCTCGGTGGTTATAGTGATATTCTCTTTTTTCTCCAGCGCAGAATTTACTATGGGTTCTACATCCGTTGATGGCACGAACAGCCGTGCTTTGGACATTACAGTGTTAGGGCTAAACAGCGGAACTTCTATGGTATGTGACACTTTATGCAAATGTGCAGAATATCAATCTCATCAATCTCCAGGATGGCATTGACTGTGCCCTCTGTCGATTCCGCCAGGAGACTCCGGAATCTCCAATGCACTTCGAACTACTCAAGGCAAGTTACTTCATTGCTCCACAACGTACGACACCAACATTAACCAATAACGCAGTATGGCGAAATCCCACTGGAGCCCGTGATAAAGAAGAGAGTGATGAACATGATCCTACACAACAAGACCTCCCCATCCGAACTATCAGAAGTAAACGTCATCCTAGGCGAGACCTTCGCATCAGCCGTGCATCAATTCTGCAAAGACTACAAAGTCGACATCAAATCAATCGACGTCATTGGCTCTCACGGGCAAACAATCTGGCTCCTCTCAATGCCCGAACCCGGCCAGACCCGCAGTGCCCTAACAATGGCCGAAGGCACATTCCTCGCTTCCCGCACAGGCATCACATCCGTCACCGACTTCCGCGTCAGCGACCAAGCCGCAGGACGACAAGGTGCGCCCCTCATCGCCTTCTTCGATGCTCTGGTCCTGCATCACCCGACCAAGCTACGAGCATGCCAGAACATAGGCGGTATCGCGAACGTCTGCTTCGTCCTGCCGGACACCCACGGCGGCGTCGATGCCTGCTATGATTTCGACACGGGGCCGGGCAATGTCTTCATTGATGCCGTCGTCCGCCACTATACAGACGGAAAGCGCGAGTTCGACCAGGACGGACAGATGGGAGCCCGTGGCACCGTGGACCAGGAACTCGTCGACGATTTCCTATCCCATCCTTACTTCGCGTTGGAACCGCCTAAAACGACGGGCCGTGAGGTCTTCCGCGATACGCTTGCTCATGACTTTATCATCAAGGCTGAGGCTAAGGGTCTCAGCCCGGACGATGTCGTTGCGTCCATTACCCGTGTTACTGCACAGGCTATTGTCGACCACTACCGGCGCTATGCGCCCAAGGGTCTTGAGATTGCGGAGATCTTCATGTGCGGCGGTGGCGCGCATAACCCTAACATCACTGCTTTTATCCAGAAGAATTACCCCAATACGCGCATCATGTTGCTCGACGAGGCGGGTATCCCTGGTGCCGCGAAGGAGGCTATTACGTTCGCGTGGCAGGGTATGGAGGCTGTAGTGGGGCGCTCCATTCCTGTGCCTACTCGTGTCGAAACACGGCGGGAATATGTCCTCGGGAAGGTGTCGCCTGGTGAGAACTACCGCAATGTCTTGCGACAGGGAATGATGTTTGGTGCTGGGCGGGATCATCTTGCACCGGTTAAGGAGTTGGTCAATTACGTTAACGGGAAGGTTTTCGATAACAAGTGGTAGTGTTGCATTCACTCGCATACTGGAGTTTGGATTGCGAGGCATCTTGTATATAGGTTATGGTGGCTTTTTCGTGGCGCTACCTGCTTTACAATGAATATATTCGCCATCTTGACATCATCTTGGAATGTTCACCTCCAGTGCGAACCTACCATAGAGGAGTTGGAGGTTGAAAATCATCCCTCTTCCAAACCTACAACATCTGGATCCAATGCCAAACCTCACGCTCATTCCATGGAACCTGACAACCCTGGAACTTCGATCAAACCCCAGTAGTCTGATCCCACAGACTCCGCACACTAACACCATCCACCCACTTCCCACCAGTCTCATCCTTCTGCACAACAAAGCGCAGCGTCCGCTTCTCACCCGGAAGCAAAGTAAACGCATTATCCTCAAAATACCCAACCACACCAGCAGGATAGTCAAGCCACGTATACAGCGATACGGCACTCGCTTCAACAGTGAAAGTACCAGCCTGAGAATCATGCGACAGCTTCAACTGCGGATCTCTCAGTTCCAAATCCTTGGCAAAAGCAGGCGTAAACTGGTTTCGGTGGGTGAAAGTCGTCGGGGTCTTGCTTTCAGCATTCGGGAGGTGACCTTGCGCAGTGATATCCATGACCAGGATCGCATCCTGCGGGTTATCCAACGGGAGGTTTGTCACGTTGGTCTCGTAGATGCGGGTAGTATTGAGCGCTCCGACGGAAAATTGACTGGTCATGGGTGTACCTGCGTTATCCGTGATTGGGGTACCAGAGAGATCAGTCCAGGTGAGGTTCACTGTTCCATGAGCTACTTCCCACAGATCCGACGTGACGTATACAGACAAAACACCAGTCTTTGTATCCATGAACGGCGATACGATGATGGGTTTGAAGATATCACGCGCAGTGTAATGGAGGACCTTCCAGCGGCCGTCGTACTCAATGCCTGCCCACGTCGGCGCTTGCCAGATATCCTCTAATTGCCAGTATAGGGCTCCGAGCTGGCGCTCCGGCATTCCGCTGCCACGGCGATAGAATTGGATTTCAGATTTGTACATGTCGGCCTGGAAGAGTTGTGTTGCGTGACACCAGGCGCTGAAATTGCCGATCGGGTCTGCCTTGCTCGGGGCAGGGTAGTATCTCTTTACTGCCGTCGTCATCTCGTCCATGCCTTTCGTGGTATTTTTGAAGTTGTGGGTGTCTGGACCTCCCGCTGGATAGTGGTGGTTTCGAAGCAATATCGTGCTACTATTGAAATCCAGGTCTTCGTCGTCCACGGCTTGTCGCCATGTTTGTAGACTTGGCATGCTGTGGTATCCAAATTCATTGGTAAAGCGGTTGACTGGGTAGCCGGAGAAGTCGAATGCCGTACTGCTATCATAGTTGTAGAAGTCAGCATCGCCGTAGTAGTGTCCTTTTGCGTCTGTGCCGTTATCATAACGTTCTGTCATGGGAACTGGCGCAGAGAGGTCAACTTCCAGGAAGCCATTGTTGGTGCTGCTGGGCATATATGAGATCGACCTCGAGTTCTCGTAAACCAGTGGGAGGATCAAGCTGATGAACAAATGTTCGTAATCTCCAACCAAGGCGGGGTATGACTCGGGGTCAGCGTCTTTCGCCATTGGTAGCATCAGGCTCTCGAGTTCGTTTCCGCCAGCCCACAATGCCAATGAAGGATGGTGATTGACCCGTCTCACATTGTAGACGACTTCGGCAGCCACATTATCAAGGAACGGCTGATCTGTTGGATACAGAGCATCGCTGAATTGAAATTCGCTCCATAGCAGTATTCCACGTTCGTCGGCGAGATCGTACATAAAGTCCGGAAGGTAAGAGCCCGAAGCCCAGACCCGGAGCATATTCTGGTTTCCGGCAACGACGGCATCGAAAAGTCGCTGCATCTTGGCTTCAGTGACTCGCGGCCAGAATGCGTCTGGTGGGATCAGGTTCGAGCCCTTGGCGTAAAATTCACGGCCATTCACCTCGAAATGCCAGTTGGCACCCGGGGCAATGCCTTGCGCCAACTGCTCCTCGGTAATGTTGGAGCGGTTGAGGAAAATAGTACGGAATCCACTCCTTTTCGTAACAGAGGCGAGATCACGGTCTTTGCTCTGGACTTTCACTGTGATGTTGTACAAGCTCTGCTTTCCCATTCCGGCGGGCCACCAGAGGTTTGGTGCGTCTGCGTCAACTATCACGGTACCGATGACAGTATTTCCGGATAGTACGACCTTGTCGATTGATTCAGATTTCAGCAACTTGCCAGACTCAAGCTCTTTGATCTCGATGGCCATAGAGGGGTTTTTGGGAAGAGAACCGAGATAGTCAATGCTCGCATTGACAATCCAGGGCTGAGTCTGATCGGGAGCAAGATGGTTAATCTGGCCCTTTCTGTAGATGTCAATGTCCGTGTTAAGAACATATGCATCTCCCTCGCCCTCGAACTGAGCAATGTAAATGTTCTGCCATGGGCCAGCGGGCGAGAACGCTGGACCCCAATCCCAGCCAAAGTCGGACTGTTCTTTGCGAATGAACCAACGATTTGGGAACTCAAAGATTCCTTGAACACCGGCAGGCCATGCTAAGGATCCGTTAGGCGCCGTAGTTTACGTGTTCACTTGAGGACTTACTTTGCGACTTCGGATCGGCGGCAATATCATTTGCAATTTTAGTGGCACTTCCAAACTCCAGAGATATGGTTGGTGAGCCCTTGCAATGTTTCAGGGCATCGGAGATGTCAAAGGTGTACTGGCGGAACTGATTATCGGTGGTTCCTATGAATTGATCGCAGAACTTGATTGTTGCGAAGGTATCAAGTCCGTTGAACACAAGCCAGGAGGACTTGGACTTTGGTTTTCTGTAGAAAGAGTCAGCAGTGATTCCAACCCGCAGAACAATGACCATACAAGCCTTCAATTGGCTTACTCGTATAAGTCCAATTGCTGTCTGCAACCCAACGCAAGTTGAAGTCATTCAACCCATGATAACTTCGATATGATCTGAATTAGTACCGAGAACAGTCACAATACGAGCTGAAGGTTGACTAACGGGTCATCTGCATCCTGTTAGCAATCAGATACCAAACTACGTAGGGCAATGTAGCATTACCAATGACATTCGCAGCAAGAAGATCCAAATGCACCTGGGAGGGCACTCGGCCAGGGACACTGATATTCAGTGCCTTGCTACTAACAGTCCACCCATCGCTGTTGAGATCCAGGACCGTTTGACCCAAAGTGGTTCCCGGGATCAGGGCCAGCAGAAGCTGGTGCCAAAGACGCATTGTGTCTGGAGAAGATTATGGCGAGATGTTCAGTCAAGCCTGAGGAGTCCAATAAAATAAGTACGACAACGTCCCCGACTCCCCCCTTGTTATGGGGTCCTTATCCTTGGACCCCTGACATCACTTGGAGACCTCGTCTGGGGCTTGGACCCCGGATGATCATCGGACGGTGACCGGTCTATGAGGAATTAGCGTGCATGATGGAGAAATTCCCCCGACTTCCCCTCACATCGCTGTTACATCGGCAATCGCACCGGCACTAGGTTGCATCGTTTCCTTTCATTGCCGAGCGTTAGCGAAGCACCCAGGGGCCATATCATAAGAAAGGAGGTCGCGGGTCGCGTGTCATGTGATCTAAATCTACTTGGGAAGTTGGGGTAACACTAAGGCTTTAACTGAGGCTGGGGGTCCGGCGGGCGCTAACTAAAGCCCCCTGGTGTTAAGCATTTCGACTTGGAGAGGGTAGGTCGGTAGGAACTCTCCAAGATTCAGTCTCGTTCCCAATTGGACTTAATCATTTTTAAACCCCACATCTTGGCATTGCTTCTTCCCACCTAGCCAATAGACTGTTCTACAGCTAGCCTCTAACACCTCTTCAACCCCTGTCAGTATCACACCCGGAAGACGATGGTGCAGATGGCCCACGACCTCGTCAGAGTCGTCACCTCGGCACAATATTGACCGAAGATATTATCAAGGTTGAAGTAGTGGGGTGTCTGGGGCAATCTGGCCCGGTCCTTGGAGGGGGGTTAATGCTCCAAAACTACGCAGTAAAAGCATTTCCTCGCAAGGCCGGGGTGTACGATTCGACGCTCACGGGAGGAAAGAAGTTTCTCCGTTGACTTGAGTCACTTGACTAGTAGTAGTGGGACGGGACATAGCGATGATCGGCGGCGGTGGGGTTATGGCAGTGGATGGAGAAGATGACGAGGGTCTTTAGGGCTGGCTTTATCTCAATAAACTCAGCTTCCGAAACGTCGAGTTTCGATGTACTACTGTGTATGGGCTTGGGTTTGGCGATGTCTTCAGGAACGGTGTGAATACAGTGATAGGTTGAATCACCCAAAAGGAATGAACCCCTAGGTAGATTGCGGGTTACGCCAATGAGCACCAGACATAGCTTCATAGACTTCGTGTATTTCATTTCTATTTGCACATGCAGTCGTATGTAATCTAGTAAATACAGGCTCACTGAGGTGGCTCAATATGTTCGTTCGCTCAAAATCCAATGCTAGGCCAATTTACGAGGACATGAGGTTCTTCCGCATGGTCGATATCTGACTTGACGAGAACCCAAGTTTGTCAGTGAGATAGCCCTCAACGCCGTTCTCATAGGTATCCTCGAAGGTTTTCAAGAATGCCTTCATGGCAGTAGCTCGTACACCACACAGTTCAAGCATGCCCAGTGCCTCAGGGGTCAACTGGCTGACGTCGAGCCCATCGTCTCCCGAATTGACGGCCATTGCCCCCATGAGGTTCTCCCGGGCGCTCTCGAGTCCGACTCGAGTGAGAATATAATCGTTGATGATCTCATCGTGGGGACGACCGATAAGTAGGAGAATGAGTGCGGCCAAGACGCCTGTGCGATCTTTGCCGGCTGTAAAGCAAATATATGGTCAGCCATGATCGAATCAAGGCATAAAATATAGCGCCAATGATGTGAATGGGACAATAAGGTAGTAGGATATCAATAGAACTCACCAGAACAGTGAAAAATAAACGGATCATCCGGGTTATCTCTGATATGCTTGAATATCTCGGCGAAACATGGGGCTGCCGCTTCGAGAATGCCCATGTACATCTTCACGAACCCAGCAGAGCCTTTATCTTCGCCCGCGAAGTCGCGGAGGTTCAGAGTGGCCGGTCGCGCTCCGTATGGCAGCCATATCGTGTCCACACCAGGGATAGACGGAGCAGGGGCCTTTTCTCGCTCGCTCTCATTGCGCAAGTCGAAGATCGTCGTGATTCCTAGTTCTCCTGCGATGATGGCTTTCCCTGATGGCAGAATGTCCGACATGTTCCCGGACCGATACACATATCCCGGGCGCAGCTTGTTGTTGTCATGACTTAGGTCTCGGAAGTTGGAAACCCCTGGTATAGGAATGAATGGTGGTAGGGATATGATCTTGGATACCAGGTCCTCGGGGATAGGGGTTCTGATATCGGTGTTTAGTACCTCGCGAATCTGAGCGGATTCGAGCATGATGCAAATGTGGTAGTTGAAATGAAGAGAAACTCGCGGACTCACAGAGGGCATTTCTTGTCTTTCTATATTCTCTTTGTTCTGACGATGTCATCGTCTCCACTGCCCAGTGCCCAGGTCCAGGCACTAACAATAGTGGGGGTCCAAGAGGAGCCGATTACGGTACAGGTTCGGTATTGCTAGTGTCGCGTGATTCTGCCGCCCCTCGTGAAGATTTTGATCTTGACCAAGAGACTCACCGCCCTGTTCACCGGCATATTTTTACCGCTATCCACATGACGACAGTTATCCACAACAACGAATTAAACGTTTATGCTACGGAGTACATCCATGATACTGGGTGAGGTTGGATAAATACTTCTGAAGACTGAAGGTGAGTTGGTAACTGTTGGATATCTCTGAATCTCACTTCATAGAGTAAATGGATTCGAGCTCGGTTTAGCAACGCGCCGAACGGATCAGCCTAAGAATCAGCAGCATGGATGCTTCAGATTCGTTCTCGCGCTTCATTGGCATCGGAGATAAGCGATCCTAGCAAGTAGGAGCCTCAATTGAGAAATGGAAAAATTACGTGTGTACCAACAAATACTGGTAATCTTTGTCTTTCCCGCCAATTGAGTTTTGAGATTCGGGCCGAAGCCTGGCGCAGGCACCAAACGTCATCATATGCGATGACGATGGGCGAGATCGGTCCTGCTTGATTCCAGGGACAATCTGATTCCAAGAGAAATAATTCTAAACTCAATCGCTCATTGGCTACGAGCCACATTTGGTTAGCGGTCTAGATGTTTCTCGCTGGCCCGTCGTACCTTCCGTATCTGACTACAACTACCATCGGTCCTTCCTCCTTATTACTACTCTCAAAGTCAAATGGAAGCAACGAAATCCCTCTTCGAATTGTAGTCACTCACTCACTCATATCTGCAATTCAGGTAGGGACGACCGTAGTAAACACCAAATAGCAAAACCATATATAAACCGATAGATATGCTTCTCTCACCATCGTCCATCCATCTCCAACAACGCCATACTCATCTCACCCATCTCCAGCTACATCCCGCCACTATGGAAGACATCAACATCACCACAAAAATCGGAGACCTACCCCAGGACAAGCAGTGGCGCATCGCGATATCCATATTCCGTAACCAAGGGAGCCCGGCACGCAAAATGGTCCTCCTGATGAAGCGCCGCACCTGCTACAGTCCAGAAGGGACCTGGCAGATACCCGTACTTCGACCCGATGACAGCGACACAACCATCGGGGACGCCATACGGCGCTATATCGCCGAACAGACGGGCCTGAGGGGTATCGACATCATAGAGCAGGCGGAACCATTGGGGTGGAGTTGGGGCGGCCGGGCCTACATACAACTTAATTTCGGGGTTCGAGATCGCTCTGTCTCTCTGGTCTCAATCAATCCTGACAGGTATATCGATTATCGATGGGTGCGCCTGTCACATCTTAGGTGGTTTGAGATCCCGTCGACGACAAAGGAGGTGATTCAAGGTGCATCGAGGATTGAGTCGATCTGGTACTAGGGATCGTTCAAGGCGTCAAGTCTTGTAATCCTTTTCAGCGAGACAGTATCAGCTAGCGATATTATTGCATCAGCGATGAAGGGAGTACACGGTCAACCAGTGATCATATCAATTGAAGTTGTGGTTTTTGATATTTCCCCGTACAACATTTTATTTACTTTCCCCGCGTCCACTCGGTTGGCCGCGGGAGGAAATCCCCCGACGCCAACCGCTCCTCCGCACTCACCCCCAGATTAACATTCAAAGAGAAGGACATCCTACTTCTTCTTCCATTGACACAAATCAATTCAATCATGTTGATACCAAGACACACCACAATGTCTTTGAAGATTCTGACGCGGAGTGGCCTTCGCAGCCACCACTTGACTACAGCACGCATCGCCCCCGCACGGAGGTGGAGTAGCTCCATCTCGCAGCGGCCGGGGTCAGATAGGTGAGAGAGATCACTGCAAATAAAAACAACAATGAATGAATACAGCTAACTGGAGGATATGTGTAGCGTTCGGTTCCCTGGCGCTGTCAACAGCAAATTCACTACCCAGATGTCGTTCCTCAAGGCATCGGATCTGCCTGCCATCCCTACCTACCGAGTAATGGATTCGGACGGCGAAATGGTCGATAAGACGAGACCGGCGCCCGATGTGACAGACGAAGAGGTTCTGACGTGGTACAAGAACATGCTATCAGGTTCGTTTGGCCCACTCAATGTGGTTGCGATCAAGGGGCTGACTAGGAGGTGTGCAGTAAGCGTTATGGATGTGGTCATGTTCGAGGCACAACGGCAGGGTCGGTTGAGTTTCTACATGGTATGTATTAGCATCTCAAGTGACAGAATGTATTAGTCGATCTGACCAAATATCTACAGGTCTCCGCAGGCGAGGAGGGCATCACAGTTGGATCCGCCGCAGCCTTGACACAAGACGATGTAGTCTTCGCACAATACCGCGAAGCCGGTGTATTCCAGCAACGAGGCTTCACACTCAAGAACTTCATGAGCCAGCTTTTTGCCAACTGTAACGACACAGGAAAGGGCCGCAATATGCCCGTCCACTACGGACAGAACTACCCCCGCATGGTGAGCCCATCAACCCATCATTACGGTACAGCAAATGAAGAACTCGAAGCTGACAAAACCACACAGCACACAATCTCATCACCCCTGGCCACACAAATCCCCCAAGCTGCCGGTGCAGCCTACGCCTTAAAACTCCAAGACCTCCAAAACCCCAACCGGGACCCCCGCATCGTAGCCTGCTACTTCGGCGAAGGAGCAGCAAGCGAAGGCGACTTCCACGCCGCACTCAACATCGCCGCAACACGCTCCTGCCCCGTCGTCTTCATATGCCGGAACAACGGCTACGCCATTTCCACACCGACACTCGAGCAGTACCGAGGCGACGGAATCGCCAGTCGCGGCGTAGGCTACGGCATCGACACGATCCGCGTCGACGGCAACGACGTCTTCGCTGTGAATGAAGCGATGAAAGAGGCGCGCAGACTTGCGCTCAGTGAAGGCGGAAAACCAGTGCTCATCGAAGCTATGAGCTACCGCGTCTCACACCACAGTACCAGTGACGATAGCTTTGCTTACCGTGCGCGCGTGGAGGTCGAGGACTGGAAACGTCGCGATAATCCTATTATCCGGCTGCGGAAGTGGCTTGAGAATCAGGGGCTTTGGAATGAAGAGTTGGAGAAGACGACGAGGGATGAGATGCGGAAGGCGGTTTTGAAGGAGTTTGGGGATGCGGAAAGGCAGCAGAAGCCTTCGCTTAAGGAGGCGTTTGCGGATGTTTATGAGGAGATTACTGAGGAGCAGAGGGAGCAGATGGCTGAACTGAAGCGCATTCTGGAGACTTATCCAGATGAGTATGATCTGCGACCTTACAAGGATGGGATTAAGGGATTGGACTGAGGCACTTGTTCAAAATACTTACACGGGTGGCCTTTTGAAACATAGAGCGGTCTTTAAAAGCCATCTCTATGGTATATAGACCTTGAAGCATGGAATCGCACAGCTTTACAAAAACTGTATCATGATGAAGACTCTTTCTAATATACACCATGAAGCATAACCCTCACCATGGATCTCTATCACTCTATGTAGGTAGGTAGCATCGACTATACCCCTGCCCTTGGAATACGCCTCCCCTGCGCAATAGCAACAGCAACCTTCGGCACCGACGCATAACTCATATAATCCTCATCATGGGTAAGATAAATAGCCCCAATCCCCAACCCCTTCGCAACCCCAACAACACCCCCAATATCAGCCTCAACCGGCGTCCGATTCAAAATAACAGCATCCTTCCCGTAATCCCCCTCCTTAGCAAAATGCTCCTCCGGCCCCAACGCAAGCCAATTATCATAAGTATCCTCACACTCAACCACCAGATCCGCAGCCTTAAACCACCCCTCAACATCACCCACAACCCTAACCCCCGGATTAAACACAACGGTCTCCAACCCATTCTTCTTCGCCATCTCTGCCATCGACTGGAAATACGCCAGCTTGGTGCCGTCTTCGCCGTCAGAGACCTGGTCAAAGAAGATACCGGACAGCGCGATATTGTGCTCTTTGTAGCTGGACCAGTTGGCGTAGGCGGCAATGTCATCTTCGACCTCGGTGCTGGGTCTAGTGCCGCGTGAAGTGTGTGTGTAGCCGAGGACGCGGGCGTTTGGGTAGCTGTTTATCTTTGCTATGCTGGTTATGAAGGCTGCTTCTGGGTAGGTGGTTTGCCCGGGCCCGCTGGATGGGTTGATGATTAGGTAGAAGGGGATGGTGGGGTAGGTGGCGATTGAGGTGTAGATTGGGTCCCAAGCGTCTGTGCCGGGGTAGGAGTACAGGGGGATTAGGAGCCCGGTTGAGAGAGATGGGGAGGGTAGGAAGAGCACCGTGGCTAGGATGGAGAGGAAGCGGAGCATGGCTTGGATGCTGTGTTTGGGTTTGAACACGACAATGAATGGAGTACCCACCGGGGTGAGGTTCAGTAAACTGTAAAGAAGGACTGGGATGAGAAAGCGCAAGGTCTATAACCATGGAAGTGAGTTGAGTGCACTTCATGCCAATGCCAGACGGTCAGGACCAAATAGCAACAAGAAAGTCAATATATTAGCCTCAAGCTTCATTCCTCCCGGATTAAAAGCTCGAACAAGCCTAAAATAACATCGTTCAGCCACATGTTTCAACGCTCCGACAACAGTCACCTTGGGGACACGAAAAGGAGTAAATGAGTTCGTCGGTCCAGGGCCAGCCGCCAGACTACTCAAGCAGAAAGAATCGATGCCAAGGTCCTCAAGGGACTTTAAATGAGAAAATGAACTAATGCCGGATGACTCGGAGGAATGATCCCTCGTCAAATCCCTGGGTTGGATTAAAATGTATGCGAGGAATGTAAATAAGGCCGAGACCCAGTCAGAGACAGGGAGACAATGAGATTGGATCTCATCTGGTCCGCGCCACAATTGGCCAGCCCCTGCGATGGGCTGCTTCTGATAGGTCTCAGGTCTCGGATTTCTCTCACTTGCAAGTTGGCACATTTGGGACTCGTGGGAGTGAGATATGGGGTATGATGTATCTGCTTTGCGAAGGGGTCTAAAGGACTGCCCAGCTAGGGCTGTCTCTCAAACAAACAGTGGCTTTCCTAGTATTATATGCGAATGAACCATGCAAGGTGGACTTCGGGGCATGTTAGAAACCGCCAGGGATGTAGCACTTTCTAAATCAAAAAGTAATTGCTCTTGCCAGTTGCTAAGCGTAGACTTGAGGTCTCTAGGGGGTTGATCCCGAACACTGCCTGGAGTAAGAATTTGGCATTGGGGGCAATCATGAACAGAAACCACGAGAAAACAGATAAAAGACAATCGTACAACACTCATTCATGTCGAAATAATCATACATCACGGGCAGAAGCGCCGTGAGAACCTCCATCTGGGGTATCATGCAAACCCATATGTACACGCACAAAAATGCTGGACATGACCAAATCACCGAAAATCTAAGATTCAAAAACAGGCCAAGATCAAACTCCAATTGAGGGAACCACAATGCAGGAACTCCTACACCTCCGATCCAGCAGCAAAACTCAATGCTTGCTGCTGAAGCTTCTTATTGCGTCGGAGGAGCGCGGCGAACTTCTTGTCCAGAGATTCCATCTCTTTCCGGGTAAGCTCAAGATCCTTCTGAGAACGACCGGAGAGATCCTTCAACTCCTCATTGGTCAGACCGGCGACATCATCCAAGGTGGGATTAGCCCCGAGCATACCCGGATTGCCCAGCATGTGCTGGGCTGTGGCTGCAGCGAACGAACGGACGGCCGCAGGAGTGGTATTGAGAAATTCCGCCGAGTTGGCAACAGCCCAGTCGTGGTTACGGGTGCTGTCTGCTTCCATTGCCGAGAGCACGTTCGGCGGGATGACGGATTCGGCCGCCTGCAGGGAAGAACAAGGCGATGTGGCGCCCAGGCGAGTGGGCATATCGTCGACCCAGCAGATGTTGAACTTTTCCGGGTTGGCGAAAAGCGCTTCCAAGCCTCCGCTGGGGTTGCTTGCGTCATCTCCAATCATGGAAGGATCGGAGATGATAGCCATGTTCTTCTCCAATTCGAGGTACCGTTCTTCCTCCTCCGGCTCGAGGTGGCGCAGGACGCACCCGCGGGGGTGATCAAGCACCGAGTCTTGAGCATTTCATTGCCGATCCGAACGGGCTCTCCACGAAGCAGGGTTTTGCGATCTTCCTCAGTCAGCTCGGTGGGCTGTTGGAGAAGATCATAATCCTCCGCAGTACATTTCATGTCGGTCCGCTGGCTCAAATTGCTGGGATTGAAAAGTGAACTCTTGTTGAGATCTAGTTCACCTGATTTGTGCATCTCAGCAAGCAACTCATGGAGGGGCTTGGTGCGCTCCAGGAAAAGATCCTTGATAGACTTTCCAAGGGCCTCGGCATCTTTGACCAATTGTCCAACAGTATTGTTAGAACGCCACGGCTCCGCAGGAATTTCCTTCTGTGCAGTTGGCTCTTGAACAGGAGGAGGAGTAGGTTCATTTACAGGCTTGGCCTCCTTGACTTTCACTTTCTTTGCAGTCTCAACCTTGGGCTCCGCCTTCACTGGAGAAGCCTCTGCTAGCTTCACAGGGCTCGTATTCTCAGCACCACTCACAGCGGGTGCATCAGTTGTGCTCACAGTGGCTGCGGGGGCCTTCTTAGTCTTGCGCTTTCGACCCATGATAGGAGCTTGGACAGGCTCCTCCACAGCTAGAGTTTCGACCTTCTTAGCCTCTGCCTCCTTGGCCTTTTGCTTCCGTTCCTTCTTGACCTGGCTCTTGGTCATGGTGCGAACGGGGGCAGAGCCGATACGAGAAGAGGCGGGAGGGGAATTGGCACGAGAGGCAGTTGTGGAGGCATAGAAATCACCATCCCATCCAAGATCACCAGGAGTGCCAGGGATGCTAACAGACGATATACTTTGCCTCCGAGAGCGCGACTTAGCACCTCCAACCACAGAGGCGGGCACAGATGGCGCGGTCACAATGGGTGGAGTTTCGGTTTTCGGTGTGTCTACCACGCGAAGGATACGAGGCTGACGAGAAGCCGGGGAGTCAGATAGGCGAGATGCACTGGTTTGTGGTGTGTCCGGCCGCGACCCAATTACAGAGACAGAGCCAGGACGCGGTACTGGCTCAATCTTGGTTGAAGGGGCTAATGGCATAGCAAAATCAAGTGGACTCCCTCTGGATGTGGCAGAAGTCGGTTGCGACTGATTCGCTGCCTTGGAAGGGGGGTCTTTGAAATCGGGACCATCTTTGAACTCGCTTTTCTGCTGTAACCGAGCCTTGCTCGCGGACTTTTGCACGGGCGAGCCGAGAGAGATTTGAGAAGCATCTTTCACGCGGCTGGACTTTAGAAGGCCGGTCGCGTTGAGTTCGGGACTCAAGGGACGGGACGGGCTAGCAATGGAGTTGTTCTGCGAGGGACTGTTAAGTCGTGAAATACTGTCTGTCAGACCAGGGGGCAGGATTGGAGCAGGAGAGGACGGCTGCGAGGAACCAGCATGTTCATGAAAGACGGAAGACGAGGGATGAGCATGGGGCAAAGGCAGGCCAGGTGGTAGGGTTGGGGTCCCAGCACGACCTGCTGACTCGCTAGGCAACTGAGACTTCAGAAACCCAAAGCTGTCAACGGTCCGCCAATCTTTGGATTGATCCATAAGAGGTGGGAAATCTTCATTCACTAAGGCGTTCAGTCAGCGTTGCTTCAACAAAGGATAATGTGTGGTGATGTGAATGGGTTGGTGCAGGTGGTGCACATGGGATCACAATCGCCTCGGCGATGAGCAAAAACGACTAAGCAACAGCACCATTAAGCGACAGTACAAAAGAAAAGCACGAGATAATTACATGATGGGATCTCCCAGACCAACATTGCAGGACAGGGCGTCTATGTAAGCGGCGGCTGTGAGGAAAACTGATTTCGAATAAGACGCTTTTTCGGCTTGTGGTATCAGGGTAGGGAGATCTTAACGTACATTAATCCATAGTCACCAGCCGCGGTCTTCAAGACTCAGCATATCGTGTGATGGAAGTCCGGGTTTGAGAAACAAGTAGAAAGCGAATAGACAGCCGCCGAATACAAACGAAGACCCGCAGACATGCTGTATGTCCATAAATGCAAGACACCTGGAGAGAGCCGTAGAAAACATGCAAGAAACAGATAGCGGAAAAACGATGGATGATAGAAAAGGGAAACCCCTAGTTCGCCATACACTCGCCCGACCATCGCATAAATCAGGACTGCCGGTCCTATCCGAACACAAATAATAGGCAAACAGCAAATGCAAAACCTCCCAGTGGAGGTAAAAAGAGAGGGAAATGATATCATGTCATCAAGATAAAGCAGGCCCTTCAAGGGAACGTCATGGCAAGAGGATAACAGAGGGAAATGCAAAGAAAGCAACGCGAGAAGTGCAGAGCAAAGTAGGAAAGAAAAGAAAAATCCCATGCTGAATCACCACCGACTGATGCCACCACCATACACCATCGAGGAGTTGTACCCACCTTGACCCTGACTCCCGTACAACGCTTGCCCAACTGTAGCATTCGCACCGATCTGATGCATTCTCGCTTGTAAAATGCTCGGGTCCGCAAGATCTACTACACCACCTCCACCGGAGGAAGTGTTAGCGTGTCTGTGCTTCTTCCCCTTCTTCTTCTGCTTCTGCGGACCACCCGAATCAGGCATTGCACCCGTTGGGGGCCCGTAGAAGGAGCCGAGAAGGCCATTGGCAGGAGTCATGGGGGGCGGGGTATTGTGCTGTGGAAGGAAAGGAAACATGAACTCACGCTTAGCAGCCTCCTGGCCTTGTAATCCACCAACGTTCGTACCAGTTCGTCCACGCAGAAGCTCACGCATGAGCTCCGGAGTTGGGTCTTGCTTCACACCGTTGGCGCCAAGCCCAGAGGTGAACCCATGTCCCTGAGCGAACATTCCACCGCCACTAATCGGAGGGGTGCCAGCGGTCTTTAGGCCTGGCGGCGGACCTTGGACACCACTGGCATAGAAGCCGCTCGCTGCAAGACCATGTTGAGGGCTTGGAGCGGAAAGAGGATTAGGAGAGGCAGATTGCAGCTGGCTCAACATGCGCGCATTGGGCATATTCTTGGAACCGGCATCGCTGGCGAAAGAAAATCGGGAAGACTGTCGGTGCTGTGCTGCCTGCAGCGCATTGAATTGTGCCATCTGGTTGTGCACAAGGCCTTGACGAGCCTGAGCGGCCTGCTCCAGAGCGGCAGAGCTTAAAGGATCGGCCAGACCAGCTTGTTGATTACCGGCTGACTTGAGGAGCATCAACTGCTGTTGTTGTAGAGGAGTTAGGCTTCGCCCAGCGAGGTTCAAACCCTGGAATTGATGACTCGTCGCAGAGACAGGAGATCCAACCGTTGAATTGTCTGCAGTGTCCTGCTGTGAAGGGGGTTGAATAGCACCGTGAGACTCCCGTGTTTGGCGATTCCGCGGGGGATTAATCTCCTCTGGCTCGCCACCTAGCTGCAGACTGCCGGCTTCACGACTGTCCTCTTCAGCTGCAACGGATTGAAGCAGTTCCTGTTCGCGACTCTGACGCTCCTGCTCGACTTTCTCGCGCATAGCCCTGCGCTTGACGCCGCCATACGGATCGATGAAAGACGGGTAATCTTTTATCAATTTCGCTTCTTCGGCACTCAACCCGGCCATGCTGAAAGTGAACTTGAAATCTGGCGAGTTGATGTCCTTGATCAGAGCTTCGAATGGCGACGGTCGCTTCGGGGGTTGAGTTGCACGGCGAGGACGTGGCTTCGATGCAGGGGTTTGAGGTTCGACTTGGGATGTAATTGGAGAGGGCTTTTCTACTCGCTTTGGTTCTTCAGTTGGAGTTGCAACATTGACCGTCGCAGGCCGTGGGCTATTAGATGCCTGACTGCCCGTAAGACTAGCCCTTCTGGCTCGATGAATTGCAGCATCTTTGTTAGCCCAACTAGCAGACGACGGGAGAGCCGGGCCGTCTGGTATGCCCCCGCGACTGCTGATTGAGTCCTCCTTGCTGGGTTGGCGGCGCATGGGATGGGAAATCGGTTGGGCTGATCGCCCGTGGTTAGGCGGAGGGAGGTTCTGGCGTTGAGTCGAGATCGTGTTCATCGACGAGAGGTCCTGGCGGCTGTAACTATCGCTGTCCTCCCCGGTTTCGTGCAAGAAGGTGCAATTTCGGTTATTGCACTGCTCGTTGCGCAGGAAGGATGAGCAATATTTAGTTGTTCCATATTGCGCTCTGAGAACCCGGTCACCATTCCCAGAACCGTCCACGGCGTTAATACACATCGCAGCATCGGCCTTGCGCGAGAAAGTCACATAAACGCCGATTCCTTGGTTGGGGTTGCCACCGGGCTTCGCCTTGCTAACCACGATCTTCTCGATCTCGCCATACTGACCGAAATATTCCCGACCACGAAGTGTTTGAAGTAGCTGGTTTTCGTCTCGGATCGTAGGATTGAGGCCAATAACGTAGACAAGGTTCTTCTGGACGACTCGGACGCCGGCTAAATTCTTTCGACTAGAAGTCTCGATTTCGCGCTTTTCGACTTCCTTCTTTCTGGCGGCGGCCGCTTTGCGGTGTTTCAAAGCCAGATCCGCTTTGAATCTAGCGAGGACAGCAGGTTAGTTGGGGTGTGGCGAAGATAATGCTGAACATCAGGTGACTCACTCCTCAACGTCCGGTATCTTGTACTGGATGGTACTTTCATCATATCGGCGCCGGCAGTTAGGACATCTTCCTTCCTCATTCTGCGTCTTAATGTTATTGTAGCAGAATTGGCAGATCTAAGGAAAATCACATGTCAGATCTGGCACAAGAGCAAAGACGATATATTTGTCTCCGCGACACCATATCACAGACGCGCAGATACGTGTCAAAGGTTCGCAATTTAAACATACCTGATATCCACACGGGCACGGCTTGAAATTCTTGTCGGAGAGATCAAACTCTTCAATGCACAGGGGGCTGTGAGGCGATCAGTACATGAATCCCATGGGTTAAATGATGTTCGACACATACCAGAACTCATCATCATCATCGATGACAGAGTCAATCAATGACATACTGGACATGATCGGTTGGGGTAGTAGTGGGGACCTGAGAGGGACACGAGATCTCAAACGATGGAGACTCGATCGAATCAAATGAGAAAGAAGAGAGAATAAATGAGAATGCGCTGCCCTGTGAACCAGGAGGAAGAGAAACGACGATTAGATGTTGTAAGAGGAGCGAGAAGAAGAGAAGACGAAAGAAAAGGTGGGGATGGTTGATTGACTGAGGGTAGACGGGGAGAAGAAGGAAGGAAATTGTAAAGCGCGGCTTCATTTTGCTGGCATTGCCTGATCAGGCTTAGCGCATCCACTTCACGTGACCTGATTGCTCGACCACTCTGAACCTTCACAATCCGACTTACGTGCCTCCGTCCCCTCCATTCGTTGCATCTGCCATTGCCCGCTCTACACAATGGCCTCCACACGAACTTTGATGCGTCTGGGCTCTGGCCGCTCCGTGACATCTGCCACGAGGTCCATGGCCGCCCGCACCTTTTCGTCGGCCTCCCTTCAATGTGCCCCCAAAGCTGCGACACACCCAGGCCCGGAACCTGAGAACATGCGCCAGGCGCAGCGCCCGCGTATGTACAATAGACCGATCAAGAAATCAAAACGCAATTGAGCTAACCGAAGTGTATTTTGACAGCCTCGGGACCCCTCCGCGCTCCCGTCATCAACCCTACCGACAAGTACCAGCCCATGGCTGACAGCCTCCACACCTACGGACAGTACATTATGTCCTGCCTGCCCAAATATATCCAGCAGTTCACCGTCTGGAAGGACGAGCTCACCGTCTACACCGCTCCCGCCGGTATCATTCCCGTGATGAGCTTCCTGAAGAACCACACGGCGGCCGAGTTCACCGCGGTCTCTGATATCACGGCTGTTGATTTCCCTACCCGCGATCAGCGCTTTGAGGTCGTCTACAACTTGCTCAGCGTTCGCTACAACTCCCGTATCCGTGTTAAGACCTACGCGGACGAGGCCACCCCCGTTCCCAGTGTGACTGGTCTCTTCGAGGGAGCTCTCTGGTACGAGCGTGAGGTGTACGACATGTTCGGTGTCTTCTTCTCTGGTCACCCTGATCTGCGCCGTATCATGACTGACTACGGTTTCGATGGCCACCCACTGCGCAAGGACTTCCCTCTCACCGGTTACACTGAGCTGCGCTACGACGAGGAGAAGAAGCGCATCGTTATTGAGCCTCTTGAGCTCACCCAGGCCTTCCGTAACTTCGAGAGCGGCTCCACTGCCTGGGAGCCTGTCGGTGCAGGTGAGAACCGCACTCCCGAGTCCGTAAGTTGTACCTCCTCCGTTTCCCAGAACCATTATCTTACCATTTCATCAACAGTTCAAGCTTCCGACTCCCAAGCCAGAAGAGAAGAAGGAGGAGGAAAAGAAATAGAAAGGTTCTGTATGCGTATCATTTGTTCTGCCATGTTTGTATGTACATATCCGTCAGTGTTAATCGATGGTCTTTCCAAGCAACGATGTCAACCCATGTAGCCGACATAGTGGTCTAGTTGCCCAATCTCTAGATTTAAAAAAAGCCGTCCTACGTTCCCTAGAGACATTAACTCATTATCCAGAACTCAAGACGGAAATATCCACTGCAAGATGAATAACGATCACGACGAGGGATTTGCGATGAAACGGCTCTGGCAAGCGCTGGTCTTGGCACCGGGATCCGCCCAAAAAAAAATTAAGCTACGGCAACCATCTGACGATCAACACGAACTTCGAGACCGCCTGCAGCCTTCCCTCCAGTGCAAGCCAGGGATCTTTTGGCTCGGTAATTCTCGCCTATTCTATCTTCATACAACTGCACCACAGCACAGAATGCTTAAACGCAAACTCGACGACGTCCGCGGCCGCGCGCCCGCGCGGCCCAGCGACACCCGCAAAATGTCCATTCACGGTACGCGGCTGACACAGATGTTCGAGAACGGCGTGGTGATGATCACACGTGCGCTCAAGACATCGCGCGGTTTCGAGCGACAAAAACTCAGTCGGCGAGAGAAGACGGCGAAATCACAGAAGGATGATAAGGCGTTGGAGCGCATTAAGGAAGAAATCGAGACCTTGAGAGTATGTCGCTACGTTTAGAGGAGAACCAGATGTTCATTGCTAATAATCGTCTTGACAGGGTCTCGACTACCATGCCGTTTCAGAGCGATACCTGTTCAAACAACTGATCAGGACAAAGCGAATTGCCGAGACGAAGACATTCAAAGAATTCCAGGAAGTCAAGAAAGTCTCCCAGGAAGGTCCGAAGAGTACTGCCGAAGCCAATATTCTTGCGCGACTATTCAAATCCGCAGTAGTGCAGAAGGAAATTCCCGGGATCATGGGGGGTATCAAGAAGTTACTGCGACTCGACGATGCGCCGAATGGAACGACAAAGAAAGAAGAGAACAACAAGGACAAGCCAACAAAGAAGTCACGAAAAGACCAGAGCGGCTCCGAGTGCGAATCGGAAGCAGCGACGTCCAAGTCCCGGCGCGGCGAGCAGGTCTTCCGGTCAGAACAGGACATGGATATCTCCGGCTCCGAGGAATCCGGAGACGAAGATATGTCACAGTTCACGTCACGACTTGCACCAGATTCCGACGCAGACTCGGAATCAGACGACGAGGAAGATCTCGACGATAACGATATCTCAGACTCTGTCTCTCGCTCCCCTTCACCATCCTTTTCAGGCTCAGACTCGCCGCCACCCAAGAAAGTAAAGGGAGTCAAGGGTTCTACGGCTCCGGTGCAGAGTACGACGTTCCTGCCGTCCTTGATGCACGGTGGTTACTGGTCTGGATCGGAAGAAGCTACTGACGAGGAAGGTGCTGGCGGTAAGCCTGTTCGCAAGAACCGTATGGGTCAGCAGGCGCGTCGGGCTTTGTGGGAGAAGAAGTTCGGAGCCGCTGCGAATCATATCAAGCAAGAGCAGATGGCTGCGAAGTACGGTGGTAGAGATAATGGATGGGATACGAAACGCGGTGCAACTGACGGTACGCGGGGAGGGAGAGGTGGGAGAGGCGGAAGGCGTGGTGCATTCGGTGGTGGGATTGGAAGACCTCAGCGTGGGGATGATTCTGCTGGTGCTCCCGCTGGAAAGTTCGCTGGTAAGCCTAAGCCTAAACCATCTAAGGATGATGAGGGCCCGCTGCATCCCTCTTGGGAGGCGAAGCGGAAGGCCAAGGAGCAGACTACGGCTGCCTTTGCTGGAAAGAAGGTTACGTTCGATTAGAAGAGGTTGTTCATCATGTATATTTTAGACATCGACCGCTATTTGAAGTACCTAGCAAACACGATCATGTATGCTCAAGTTATTTCCACTAGACCCGGCACCGATCCAACATAAACCTGTAGGAGGCAGTTCCACTCCACGGAGGTTTACCCCTCGTAGGAACCTACGCGGACTGGTGCCCACAGGCAGTGGATACCTTATATAGGTTATCTGTGCAATTTTTTTGTTCCATAGGTCTTTCCATACCAGCCGTCTGGTAGGTAGCGACATACAAGATCAACATATAAACAGTCGCAAAATGGTATACCAGGCAGATAAACACCAAAGACAGAGAACCAAACCCAGTACTTTTGAGTAGGTGAGGCGCCGTGGAAGCAAGAACATAGTCAAACAACCTTCTCGATGATCACCCGTTCCTCATGAACTGAAGCCATTGAGGGTCAGTTGCACCCCCTGGCCCCTTCATGTCCGGACCCAACGCATTCGCTTGAGTCTGAGCATCTGGTTCAAAGCAAGGGATGGCAGTGAACTCGCCTAACTCTTGCGGGAAATTAGAGACAAAGTGGTCGAACCCGAAGTGTGGTATGTGTGAGAGCGATTGCTGAGGGATGTTGAAGGCGTCAGGGAGTCCGCCAGGGACATCGCCTTCTGGGACGCCCTGGGCAGATCCGCCAGGAGTTGGTATAGCCCCTATCATTGCTGCGGGAGGAGGCGTCAGGGACATGCCCTGAAGAAGAGTAGCAGAGCCTGTTCCGCCAGGCGTGTGGGAGGGCACGCTGTGAGGAATATTCTGTTCACTAGATGCATAGTTTTCCGATTGTTGCCATGCGACAGACGGCGAAATGGGGCCTGCCTTCCAAAGCATTTCCCAGTTTTTAAATCTGTCGTAGGCGGATTCAGCGGCACCTCCGTTGCTCATATCTGGCTGTGTCTCGCTCCATGCTTCGAGGCGGCGAATGGCACGCTCGAGTGCTTCAATGACACTAACAGCTGAGCGGGCTGAGCCAACACCCATAGACATGATTTTTATCAGGGAGATACCCTGCTCGAGGGCAGCACCGAGCCTTTCGGTTCGTTTGCTTAACCCTTGGGCCAGGATGACCAATAAGGCTGCACGACATGAACTAAACTCGGTGAATGAGGCTCGCGCAAGACCGGTTTCATCGCGTAATAAGCGGCATAGATTGATAATTTCCAAAGCCGCCTCCACGCAATCTGTAACAAGTGTCGCACGGCTCTTCGACAATCCGGAAGCTCCCTTGTATGGTGCAGCTTGAGAGGAAGTTTGATAAATGCCCTTGATATTACTAAAAAGGAAAGGGCGTCCGATGAAAATCCGGGTCAGACAGTAGTCTAGCTTGAGATGGACGTTGGACCTGAAAAGCGGTCCTCCGGGGCTCAAATCACGACATGTGATCTCCTCTGGTAGGGTTGACCACCAATCCACGAGATGCTTGCGCAAGTTGAGCAACCGTTCAAGACAGTCTTGCTGTTGGTCTTTGCGATATTTCCGCAAGGACGTGATTGCATTGGAAACCTCACCGAGTTTCAAGGTCAGAGTAATCAGCGTTACCATGTTCGTGTGATTTGAAACTTGATTGGCGGGCATGAGCCCAGGGAAATCGACAGGCAGAGGAGCATCAACATCAGGGTCTGACAGAGATGATGGTCGGCCATGAAGGATGCTTATACGTTTTTCGATGGTAAAAGCTGTCCAGAAGACCCGATTCCGCACTTCAATCATGCGCGCAGACAGGCCTTCGCCGTGATATCTCCGGTGCATTCCATTCTGAATGGCCAGTTTCAGTGCCAGGCCGAAGTATGTGTAGCATAAACCGGAAGTATCCAATGGAAGCAAGTAGGTTCCGATTAGTAGACAGGCCTGCACACTTCTAACAGAGGCAGTGGCGATGATGTCTGGTAATAGCCTCGAGGCAAATTGATAGAATGTAAGGCCAACCTCATCTTCCGAAAAATGGTGGTCCTGATTTGCTGTAGAGCCTGAAGGCAGACAATTCACCGGCGTCGATGACTCCATATGTGCGAATTGAGTCCCCACAGCCAAAACCATGAGAATGCAGCAGACCGCGCCTGCATCGTCAAATGACAAACTCTCAGGGTCGGTGTAGCAGACATCCAATTTCTCAAGCAACCAGTCTTCCTCAATGTAAAAATTGTTGGTTTGCGCATACTTAAAAAAGATCTGCACGAGGAAATCGGCTACATATCGCGGTGGAAGACATGTAATTGACGAAGACACTTGGGGCGACGCGGACTGGAGTTGTGTACTTCGCCATCGTTCTTCAAAAGGTTCAACTTCGGAGGTTGCCTGCAGGACTCGGGTCAGAAAGGGTGTAACTTCGCTCACCGACAATTCTTGGAACCTACCTCAGGTGCAGCTGTCTTCATCCACTCGTCGATCTTCTTCCGAATCTTCATTGTGAAATTAAGATATGAAAACTCCCCGGAATATTCTGGTGCACATAGTTAGAAAACAACTTCTGCACGAGCCCACAGATCAACATACGAGTGGTATTATCGGGCATAGCTTTGATTGTAAAATCCTCGTCATCAATCGCAAGATCCTCCATGTCATTGGGGTCGTCTCTGGTAGAAATCGCCGACTCAGAATCGCGGTGTTTACTTTTCAGCTCCTCCGCAGCCTGGCGTAAAGACTGGATATCGAAAGTGATATTGGGCACATAATGCGACAGAAGACGTTCCATCAACCGCACCCGTTCTGCCTCAGCGATGTCATTTCGACTCAGTGCGGCGGCTCGATCCAACAGCCTGGTAGCAGACGATGCGCAATTAGCGATCTGAACAATTTCGAAGCATGGTCACGCGGACAACTCACGAGCCAGATGTTGACCGACTCTTCTCCGCGGGGTCGATGTGAGTAAAATTGCACTGGCGGCGGTATCGCAGACATCTCCGACATGGCACACCACCTTCGCATTTCTCTTTCACCCGGCGACAGCCATCGCACCTGCGCAAGAGCGATGTGTTAGAAACTGGCAGTATTAATTGAGGTCGCTGAATGGGGCGATAGCATACGCTCGGACAGCTCGCTTGCGGTTTTCTTCGGCCACGCGAGGTCGTTTTTGCTGGGCGGGCGTCGTCGGGGTCGAATCGTCCATTACCGGCAAAGTCAGCGAGATGGCCAGGGCATCGTCCGGGTATGGCGATGTAAGTGTATATTGCGAGTCAAGAAAATTCCTTCAGGCGGTGTTCAGTACAGGCGCATAAATATGTGAAGAAGGAGAAATCGGAGACTGATCGATAAGGTAGGACGAACCCCTACGAACCCCGCATGCCGGGCGCAATTTGCTCCGCTCGGTACGCTCGCCGGGCCCGGCTTCTCCAGGACTATTTCTGCTTATGAGTCCTTCGAATTTCCAGTACTCTTGTCATATACCTTTTCATTATCCACCGAATAGGCAGATTTATGTAACCATGGGGCAACTACAACTTATAAGTGCTTGTCATCTTATTTACCCTTTCTTGTCTGCTGGATGATCTCCTAGGTTGGAGCCTATGCAGTAGATGAGCAACACCCGGACATCAACTGGACAATACAACTGGCTCGGTTCCAATGGGTGCACACAAAGTAGCTGCCCTCAGCGCCAGGGAAAGTTGGGTCAAATGCCCCTCTTGAAATTGACTTAGTGGTAATATTTCGGAACAAGAACCTCATTCACAGCTCCTAGGTACATGGTAGTAGGTAACCTACATGGGAATGCTGACTCCGATGAAAGCTATAGGTAGCATTTTTCAAGGTATCTAGGCCATAGCGAAACTAACATGCATGATCATTCTGATCAATGATAGAATTCCCTATACGAAGATTCATACACACAAAAGAACTCAGAACCCATCGACATGAGTTCCAAGTCCCATCTCAACCCCAACATCAAGCACCTTCTTCCCAACAACGAGATCCATGAGTGCGATACCAACACCTTTGTAAACAACATTACAGCCAGCAGGGACATCAAGCGCTCCCTCTGCGGTGCTATCCGCCCCCAAAAGATCTCCCATCTCAATCAACGCCTCCTCCCCAACACCCCCAGAGATCAATTCCCCCGCCTCCTCCAGACAAGCCGACTTAGAATCAACATAAACCTTCCCACCACCCGAAAGCAGCGTCTCAGTATCAACCTCATGCATATTCGGCTTGTACGAGCCAATAAGCGAGATAAAACGCTGCTTGGGGTTAGTCTGCAGCGCCGCGAACCCAAAGTTCGGCTCCGTCGCCGGCGTACAACTAAAGATGACATCGGCAGCAGCAAGTTTCTCGCCAAGTCGCTGCTCGTAGTCTGATACGCCCTCCTTGGCCAACATCTCGAAGACCACACCGGGGTAAGTGCCGCGCAGCGTGGAAACAACTCCTTTTTCCATCTCCTGCAGCCTTTTCGCGCCGCGGTTGATGAATGTTACGCGGCGGATTTGCTCCGGATAGAGAAGGAGGGCGAGACGAGCGTGCCACTCTGCCTGTCGGCCGCTGCCGAGGACAAGGATGTTGTCCTTGGGAATGGTCGTGCAGCGCACGAAGAGGGTCATTGTTGCTAATGCGGTGCGGAAGGCTGTTACCTCTGCTGCGGCGATGAGGCCTTGAAGACGGCCTTCGGGATTGAAGATGTTGATTACACCTTGGATTCCATTGGCGCTGGCTGTCACTACTTTGATGCCGGTGGATGCTGTGTCCGATACCGGCATGAAGATGTAGGTGTTGTCATCACTGGTGGTGAAGACAGTGCGGAGAGGTTGATGGATTCTTTTGTCGGATGCTGGAGTCGAGGGTTTTGATTCTTTTGTGATTCTGATCAAAGCATTGCTCAGGAGTGAGACAAAGGCGTGGCATTGTTGTTGTGTTAGACCGCCGAAGATCTTGGACACATCCGGTTCAGAGAGGACATGCATTATGATGTTAAGAGTTGATTTCTGGGGTACAATACCCGGAAGAACGGCAATTGAAAGTTCTTTAATCACTTTAAGCAAGTTACTGGATGATTTGGAGACGATGAACAGCATATGGGGCAGACCAGGTACCGGATAGACCTCGCGGCATCTCGGAGGGGCAAGCCAACCAACCCCGCGGGGCTAACTAGGGGGTTGCATTCTGCACTCGACCTCCCACGGATTTGGCACTGGAATTAATCACTTGACACTCGCTATCTATCAATCTCATTATGTATGAGATATTTATCTGTGAGCAACAAGTTACAAGAAGTTTGTCTCTGATTAATTTCATTGAATCATTATCTGAATAGACTTATTCCCATAAAGCCAAACGACGCCTTTTGAGCACATGCACCACAACCAGACGCAAATGAAAATGCAACGAAACAACCCGTAGGCTGGAAGTAACGATAAGAGTAGCAAGAGACATGAAAAATTGCAAAATGAAATCGGGAAAACCCGAGGTTCTAGTTCCGGCTGCTGAAAACGCTGCTGCAGCGACGCTTCAACTCGCCGAACATTGCGATCTGCGAATCCTTAGTACGGCCAACAGCCTCAGTGTTCTCAATGGCGCGGCGAAGGAGGAAGCCCATGCACTCCTTGACAGAGCCCCAGGTCAACAGCTTGAAGACGTTGGGAGCCTCAATGGGAGTAGCACCGACGCCGTTCTCAGCACTTTCAAATCCTTGAAGCAGCTCAAGGCTAACTTCATCAGCCATGCCCTGGAGCTGAGCATAGCTGAGATCGACACCGTGGTTCTCACCGCGAGTCATCTGCTGCATGCGCAGAGCATGGGCCTTGCGAACAGACTCGCGGTTGTGGGTAGCGATAATCACGTTGACGGGAGGAAGTTCGGTGGGAGTATCCTTGGAAGGAGGTTGGAGCATAGAGTTGTACTTGCGGGTGAGCAGAGCCTCAACGACTTGGTCATAGCAGTCGTCAGTCTCCTCCTTCTTCGCCCAAATGACGTGGCGGGGCTCGGTCTTGAGGTAGGCACCACGGACCAGCTTCACGCCGAGTGTGTACCCCTCAGCACGAGCGATCTCGAGATGGCGGGCCAGAGTTGCGGGGGTTGAGCGCAGGTATGCCTGGTAGGTGCCGTAGAAGATGGCGCGACCGGGAGTCTGCGAGTTACAGTACTTCTGGTACTTCATGATCCAGGCCTCAATGCCAGGCTGCACGGCCTGCTCTTCCGCATCCACCAGGAGGCGAACACCACGGGCGATGGCAAGGTCGCAAACCTTGAGGATCGAAGCATCCATGACCTCTGTAGGCATTGTCTGGGATTGCAAGAGACGAAGGGCATCGTGACCCATTCCAGTAAATCTAAGACAGTCAGTCAGTGATTGTTCCAAGACGACCACAAAGGGTTTGAGAGTTGCACATACTTCAAAGCGACAAAATCGCCGGGCTGAGCCATGTCGACTGTCTGCAAGGTGCCATCCATCCAGGTCTGGATCTCAGCCAGGGCAGCCTTCTCATCGAGCGCAGCATCCGAGTTCTCGCCGACAAGAACCTCACGGGCGTATCCCAAGAGCACACCGCGGCATCCGAGCTCCTTGATTTTGTTGATCGAATTCTGCACCTCCAACTTGTTTTCACCAGCGTTGAACTGTTTGTAGATAGTGTGCTTGACGAGCAAGTTCAACAACGGATTCTTGGCAACATCCCAGAACGCATTGCGCGGGTGCGCCAACAAAGAGAGGGTATAGATGCATGGCTTGAGGAGTAGTGAGGATGACGACACAGACAGAACCAGCAATGAGCGTAGGACAGATGAGAGGGGCAGTTTAGCCAGAGGAGCCGTCAGCGCCTTCCGTGGTTGCGGAGGGGGGCCTCGTGTCTGCGGTTGCCATACGTTGGTGGCGGAAACTGAGGCGATTGAAGATCGCGAGTTGCTGGTGCCGCTCACCAGTCGACTGGTTCGAGCGGCCTTGAGGGGCACGCGCGCGGGAGGTGCGACTTTCAAGGGTGGCATTTGATGTACTTTCTTTTTCGGTGATGATATTATTGGGAAGAGAGGGTTAGGAAAAAAAGTCAAAGCCAGTTACTCGAGAGTTGACAAAGGATGAGAGGAAGTAAAGTGCCACAGTTGAAGGCGACCCTTTAGATATGGCCACTATGGTGGGTGGAACTTATTGGATAAGGGCCGGTGGCAACCGCCAGGCACCGGTACGGTCAGCTGTTCTAATCTGACGGGCCGGATGAGCCACTGAAAATCAATTTGTTATGTTTTATGGGGAGGAGAATTAAGGTTGGTTTTGCTGCGATTCATACTTGGATCCTTGGAACTACACAATACTATGAGCCTTTCGCATCCCATAGATCTATGGACCTACGACGAAGTATAGATGTGATGATGTCAATTTGAGGCAGATCAGAGCCTCCGGGCGAGATGGTGACCTTCCCGTATTCGTCCATCTGACCTTTCAAAGAATCTTCATCGCTTATCGCTTAGTGGTTCGCAGTTCAAGATACCGAATGGTCACGGCCCGGTTTGATATTGGGCACGGACCCACTGATAAGCGATAAGAAGTCGACCGGCCCGGTGTTCGCGCGTGACCTTTGCTTCCGGTTACTTTCGGTCTAGTGGCTCACCGAAGGTTCTGGTAGCTCGCACTAACCATAGACTCAAATTTGTATTCATGTTTGCTGATTTTGCCAAGATGCATTGGTGATCCATTATGGAGACCGCCGACCGGCTACTAGCCTACATACTAGTAGTATCTGTACAGTATTTTACCCCGGATTCTACCCCGGACCTGGCTCACGTGATCGCAATGGCAAACGGACCAAACATAGAAAGTCAATCTGGCCCGCCACATGCAAGCACCAATCACGGACCGCTTGGCCACCATAGAGTTGGGGCTAAACATTAAGAAGCCGCTAAAAGGAGCCAGAGAGATACTAGTCGCAAACCGTGTATCAACGACATGATAGCGATAACTTAGTGTCCGCATTGTTGAAATTCCGCAAAGATATGAGATGCGTCGCCGATAGGCAGCTCGCCAAGGCTCAAGAGTCAGGCGCTGGCCCGTGACCAGCACTAAAGAGTAACTTTGGCCAGCGAGACCAGTAAATCCACTCTCGCTCAGCGTCACCGTTGCTCAGTGCTGGCGCGCTATCCTAGATCCCTTCAGGATGTTGACCTACAATATCAGGCACATGATCTTGAATTCTTGATCAATGTGTTGCCTGGGACCTTGAGTCGCCGACGGACGGAGGGTTCATGAGCTTCTTTCTACGCCCATACTACTACAGAACGGGATAGGTACAGGCGTAGGTTTGCTTAATATAAAGCCTACTCAAACCTACTTCCCTAAGGCCTTACTCACCAGAGGTCTTATATTCCTCTATTCTGGTCCCGGGCAGATGGCTTGATGCCCGGTATATTTAGTGCCGATTCCCGGGTCTATGGATGCGTTATCTGCCCCCCTTTTTCTAGAAGAATACAATCAATGCTATCAAGATATCTTGATCGAAAACCACCAGGTACACAGAATGGATCTTGACTATGTACCAAGTACCAACCATTTAACTATCTATCCGGATAGGTCAGGGCCCGACCCAAACAATCATCTCGGAGTGTACCGCATCGATAGACCCCGGCCCGGTGGGGTCCACCCGGCTAAATTACCGGCCACTGCTGATTGGCTTCCACCTCGAGCTTGCCCCCGCTTGCCCCCGCTCGCCCTGCAAGGATCCCCATTGACAGCATGAGCTCTGACCGGCCGTAGCCGGCCATTCCATCATAGTTCTTCCCCGCGTCTACCTTTTCTTCTCCAATACTTCTCCCTTCCTTATTCAAAAACTTTCTCTTTGTATCAACTGGAAGATTTACCTTGCGTGTTCAATTTCAACCGTCAAGATGCTGTCGTCCGTTGTCCGCGCCCGCGCGCCCATCTCGCGGCTCGCATGTCGTATTCCAAGCGCCAGCAACCGTGCCATGGGCACTTATGCCACCTTCAAGGTGCCTACAATCAACAACGAACCTAACGTGAGCTATACCACTACTTTCGTATCGTAATGGTCGATTCTAACGTATTCCAATTTCTAGAAACACTATATTCCCGGTTCACCAGATCGCAAGGGCCTTGAGGAGGCTTTGGCAAAATACAAGAAAAACGGGGCATTGAATGTTCCCCTGGTTGTCGCTGGAAAGGAGGTGAGACTAAACTGCCCACTGATGTGGTTGCTCTGGATTCCTTCTAACAGAAACGTCACAGCTCAAGGGATATGAAACTTTCACTCAGACTAACCCGGCAACCCATGCCCCGGTGGCGACTTACTCCAATGCCACGAAGGCCGATGTTCAATCAGCCATTGATTCGGCTCTTGCCGCTCGCAAATCTTGGGCTGACACCCCATTCGCCGAGCGAGCTAGCATTTTCCTTAAGGCCGCTGATCTGATTTCGACCAAGTACCGTTACGATATCATGGCCCTGACTATGCACGGACAGGGCAAGAACGCATGGCAAGCCGAGATCGATTCTGCCGCTGAGCTTTGCGACTTCTTCCGTTTCGGTGTGAAGTATGCCGAGGAACTTTACGCACAGCAGCCCTCTCACAACGCTGCCGGCGTGTGGAACCGTCTGGAGTACCGCCCTCTGGAGGGTTTCGTGTACGCCATCAGCCCCTTCAATTTCACTGCTATTGGCGGTAACCTGGCTGCTGCGCCTGCCTTGATGGGCAACGTTGTGATCTGGAAGCCCTCGCCTTCCGCTATTGCTTCCAACTGGCTCGTCCACCAGATTCTCCTTGAGGCTGGTCTGCCCAAGGATGTCATTCAATTTGTGCCTGGTGAAGCCGAGGAGGTGACCAGTACCGTGCTTGCAAGCCGCGAGTTTGCTGCTCTTCACTTCACCGGAAGCACCGATGTCTTCCGCATGCTCTACGGCAAGATCTCGCAGGGCGTAGCGGACGGCAAGTACCGCGGCTACCCTCGCATTGTTGGTGAGACTGGTGGCAAGAACTTCCACTTGGTTCACAAGTCGGCCGATATCCGCAACGCCGCGGTCCAGACCGTTCGTGGTGCTTTCGAGTTCCAGGGCCAGAAATGTAGCGCCACATCCCGCGCCTACGTTGCCTCTTCAGTCGCCGAGGACTTCATTCAAGAGGTTGTCGCTGAGGTCCAGAAGATCAACGTTGGTGAGCCATCTGACTTCACCAACTTCTGTGGCCCTGTCATCCACGAGGCCTCATTCAACAAGCTGTCCGGTGTCATCGACGAGGCCAAGAATGATCCCGAGCTTGAGCTTCTCGCTGGTGGATCCTACGACTCCTCCAAGGGCTGGTACATCCAGCCTACAGTTTACCGCACCTCCAACCCTGACCACCCCCTGCTTTCGCGCGAGCTTTTTGGTCCCATTTTGGTCATTCACTCCTACAATGATGCCACTGATGCCGATTTCAGCAAGATCTGTGAGAAGATCGATAGCACCAGCACTTACGCCTTGACTGGCTCTGTGTTTGCTCAGGATCGTGCTGCTATCCAGGCTGCCGATGAGGCTCTCCGAAATGCCGCTGGTAACTTCTACATCAACTGCAAGAGCACAGGTGCCGTTGTTGGTCAGCAGCCCTTCGGTGGTGCCCGTGCCAGTGGTACCAACGACAAGGCTGGAAGTGCCAACCTGATGTCTCGTTTCGTCAGCTTGCGATCCATCAAGGAGGAGTTTGTTCCCACATATACCGTTGCTTACCCCAGCAACGCCAACTAAAGGACAACAGTTGCTTGTCCATGACCTTTCAAATTGCTGTTGCATCCTTTATGATCTGTTTGGCGTCAACCCTGCATCTTACCCGGCGTTCTGCTTTTGCCCACGAGATTCCATGGAGTCTCAAAATGTCTATAGTTTTTCTTGAGAGAAATATAATCTACCGAAATGTACCGACCTTTGACTTCTTTGAAAATCACCGATAAGGATTTCTCTGAATGATTCCTTGCTCTCAATCCGTAGCACAGTTCTTCAAGAGCTTCTGCATACTATCCATAGCCTTCGCCGCATAAGACCCCATCTCGTACCTCTTCCCAGTACCCTGCGGTCCACTATCGAAGATCTCCATTGAGAACCAACCTCGGAACCCCGTCCTCAGCACCGCCTTCGCAACGTCCTCAATGGGTAAGTATCCCCCGTCATATGGCATAGGTCTATAGTCATGGCTCCAGCGACCCCTCGGCCTCAAGCCATCAACCGTCTTATCTCTCAACGGCGGTGACACCTTGTAGGCATCAGAGATCTGAAGAAGATAAATCTTCTCAGCCGGCACAGTGCTCGCCAACTCCTCCAGACTCGCCTCGTACCGCTTGCGCAGCTCCGACTGCGAAACCGATTCAATCAGACCCGACTCAGTGGTCGGATCGCCCCATTCACTACCCGCAGTCTGGAACGTATCCAAACACAAGCCACAATTCGGCCGATCTACAGCTTTCACAATCTCCCAAACCTCCTTCCAGCCCGGCGCATGGGTTGACCAGCACCAGTTCTCGTACGCGAGACGATAGTTGCGGTCTGCGAGCTTGTCGGACAGAAGACGCAAGTCTGAAACGATGTTCTCACGTTCCACGCTGATTGACTCTTTCGGTGTATCTGTTGCTCCGACCTGATACATATCGCATTAGCCGGGCAATGGCGGATTTGTTAGTTGCATCATTGGAATATCTTGTCATACCTGCAATAAATCCGTACCGATAACATTCATAATCTCCATCCAACCATCGGCTCGAGCGAATGCTTCCTCGCGCTCCCTGGAGCCCTTGGGCCAGCCCTCGAAATTGGAGAATGGCTGGAGCATCATGATCTTCAGGCCATTTTCTTCGCATAGTCTGCGTATCTCGCTGGCCACAGGCAGTATTTGCGGGTAGTTATCAGCTGCAATTTCCTGGCCGGTGGCATGTGCGCCGTAGGCTAGAATATCTGGGAATGAGAGTTCTATGGCGCTGAAACCTGCCTGGCTGATTGCTTGCAGGCGGCGGGGGAGGATGTCGGTTGGTGCGCACCCAATTGAGCAGGAGGCATATGAGAGGGGAACCTGTTTAAGGCTTGAATAGGGAATTGACATTTTGATTTGGCAAGTCGAGTCTATTCAAGTGCACTTGTTAACGAGTTTCGTGATCTTCGAAATGGCGGGATATTGGCGAGAAGATACAAGGAATATGAAAATGCCATGTTAAGTCTCGTAAAATCAGTGTTTGCCTCCATTGGACCATTTGAGTTGTTTGTGCCAATTGACTCTTCATTCTGTGTCCATTGTGATGTAATTGTTGCTGGCAGTTCGTGTCGTCACACGTGCATCATTATCAACTTGCATTAATTTCAACCAGTTTGGAATTGTTATGCACGGTTGTACAACAAGTTGTCTCGCCTGTTATGAAACAGGTTTTTCTAATCTGGAGACAAGAAATACCGCACCTTCACTGGCTCGTAGCACTAAAATGTCCGGGCTGGGTCATGGTTCGGTTGCCACAGGCTTCGTTGCTCAAGAACGAGCGATACCCGCCACGGGCGTTTCACCTGCTGGGTTTGTGTTCAACATTAGATCTATGATACTTGAATGAATTAGCTCCCTGCGGTACCAATTACAACCATCACAATGTCAGCGGCCATTAAACATATCGGCGTTGTCGGCGCCGGAAACATGGGCTCTATGATGACCCTCCGCTTTGCCGAGCTTGGACTCGCAGTCTCAGTATGGGATGTCGTGAAGGAAAACGTTGACGAAGTAGTAAACTATTCAAAAGACGACAAAGACATCTCGGGTCGCGTCCAAGGCTTCTACGACATCAATGAATTCTCCAAGAGCCTCGACGGCAAATCTGAGCGGAAAGTCTTCATGTTCTCCATCACACATGGCGAGCCTGCCGATGAAGTGCTTCGCATGTTGAAGCCCGACTTGAAAGAGGGCGATATCATCCTGGACGGTGGTAACGAACACTACCGCAGAACCGAACGCCGCCAGAAAGAATGTGCCTCCATCGGCGTCAGTTGGATCGGAATGGGTGTTTCGGGTGGGTATCAGTCTGCGCGACGAGGACCCAGCCTCTCGCCTGGTGGGGATGCCAAAGCCATTGAGCTCGTCATGCCATTTTTGGAATCGTATGCCGCCAAAGATCCAAAGACCAAGACTCCGTGCGTGAAGCACATGGGACCAGGTGGATCTGGGCATTTCATCAAAATGGTCCACAATGGCATCGAGGGCGGAATGCTTTCTGTGCTTGCTGAGACTTGGCAATACATGCATGATGGACTGGGCATGGAGCATACTGAGATTGGAGACGTCTTTGACAAGTGGAACGAGTCCGGCGAGCTGCGGGGAAACTTCCTGGTCCGGATTGGCGCCAATATCTTACACACACGGAGACCGAAGGAGGGCGACAAGAAGGGCGAGGAAGCCAGTCGAGACGATGGATATGTGCTCGACGATGTACTTGACAAAGTTGTGCAAGATGACGATAACACCGAAGGCACTCCACTCTGGTCTATCATGGAGTCTGCCGCCCGACATGTCTCTTGTCCGACACTAGCAGTCTCCCATTATATGCGCATTTCAAGTGGAAATCGCCCAGAACGCGTGCAAGCCGCGAAGAAACTCGGAATGTCTTTGCCGAAACCAATTGAGGGAACCCGGGAGCACGCAGAGATCATTGAAGACCTACGAAAGGCTGTGTACTGCTCATTCTTGGCATCATTCTGCCAGGGCTTGGAGCTGATCTCCCGAGCTTCGATAGACGAAGGCTGGGGTGTTGACTTGGGCGATTGTCTGCAGATCTGGCGGGCAGGTTGCATCATTCAATCCGATTACATCGCGGATTTACTCCAGCCGCCGCTGTCAGGCAACAAAGAGCTGACGAATGTCAAGTTCGTGGATGCTGTTGCGCATGAGTTGCACCAGAATTTCCAGAGTCTCAAACGTGTCGTTTTGGAGGGAACCATGTTTGATCAATACATTCCGGCGCTGTCAGCTACCCTGGAATATCTCAAGTATGAGGGTGGATTGGGTCTGCCAACCAAGTTCATGGAGGCGCAGATGGACTACTTTGGTGCTCACAGTTATAATAAGCCAGGCATTCCCGGTGAGGATCCAGGGCCTGTTTCAAAGGGTCCTCATCATTATGAGTGGGCGCCGGCTTAGGGTTTCGGGCGTTTCGTTGTATCTATCAGTCTACTATTTGGATGGTACATGTACATATCTTCGGGCATCACTGTCACAGAATATACCACTTTTCGATATGCGGTGTATTTTGGGTCTCCAAGTCCAGATAGATTTTTTTTGTATCTCCTTCCATCTACTCGGTCTCATTGTTCAACTAATACCTATTCATCTTCACTTTTTCCTAAGTTCTGCAACATTAAAGACTTATAGATACCGAAAAGGGTAAGTTGCAGCCTCAGGAACCTACAGCACGTGGGTCTACCTGTGACCAATCGGAGATCCGCAGGTTGCCCGCAGATTGTCAGAGATTTGATGATGGCGCAAGATGCGCTGGATCTTAGGCTTACGTTCAATCTCTTCTATAACAAAACCGTTCATTAGAATTGAGTCCCCGAAACAACTCGCTCGCAGAATGGCTTCTCTTCCTACCACCTACGACGGTACGTGGGCTCCTACTTGCTCTCCAATCACTACCCCTCATCCCCCCACCTCGATAAAAAGCTGACGATAGTGAATCTGACAGGGCCCGTCCCAATCGCTGTCATCGGCGGCACTGGTCTTCGCGAGCTCCCCGGCTTCACCCAGGTGGCCTCTTTGACTGTCCCAACTCCCTGGGGCAACCCCTCCTCCCCCATCACCATCCTGCACCACGAGTGTAAGCACAACGGCAAGGTCGTCGCTGTTGCCTTCCTCAGCCGCCACGGCTCGCACCACCAGATCGCCCCTCATGAGGTTCCCGCTCGCGCAAACATCGCTGCTCTGCGCTCCATCGGTGTCCGCAGCATAATCGCGTTCTCTGCCGTCGGCAGTCTGCAGGAGGAGATCAAGCCCCGCGACTTCGTTATCCCTGACCAGGTTATTGACCGTACCAAGGGTGTGCGGCCGTGGACTTTCTTCGAGGGCGGCATTGTCGCTCACGTTCCCTTCGGTGACCCCTTCGATGAGGGTATTGCGAAGGTGGTGCGCGAGTGCGGACACAGTCTTGAGGGTGACGGTGTTGTCCTGCATGACCGTGGCACTTTGATTTGCATGGGTACGTGCATCCTCCCAATATGATCTATTACTTGCAAGAACGCTAGCTAATCACATCTCCTCCACTGTTCAGAGGGCCCTCAATTCTCCACCCGCGCCGAGAGCAAGATGTACCGCTCATGGGGCGGCAGCGTCATCAACATGTCTGCCCTGCCCGAGGCCAAGTTGGCTCGCGAAGCCGAGATTGCCTATCAAATGATCTGCATGTCCACTGATTATGATTGTTGGCATGAGGGTACCGCTGATGTGACTGTCGAGATGGTCATGGGCAACATGAAGTCCAACGCTGACAATGCTCGCCGCTTTGTGACTGCTGTTCTCGACGCCCTCGCGGGCGAGGAGCACACTGAGCTGATTCAAGCTAAGCACCTGGCTGGCGGGATCAAGTTCGGTGTCAGCACGCCTCAGGCTAACTGGAGCCCCGAGGCCAAGGAGAAGCTTGACTGGCTTTTCCCTGGTTACTGGTAGATTTAGTGGGTCTTGGATTTAGCGCACGACTTACCTTACTGCCATTCGGTTTATATTGATGATAGCATATATGCATTGTAGCTATGAGATACCTACATGAAAGACATGATTTGAATGCTAATCTGGAATGATATGAAGTCACGTTTGCCTTCTACATAGTCATAGGGCTGGTCAACCCAATGGGGTATTGTCACGGACAAGACACCTTCAGTTAGGTAGGCATTAGGCTCAAGCTATGCTGTCGGACCACATCGCAAAGCTCCTCGTATGCTTTTTGAAGCTGGTTGTAACTCTATTAATGAGAACGCACGCCTCGAAGAGAAAATGAATCGTAATAACTAGCAGTCAGGCTTCCTATTGATTTTAGCTGTCACATTGGGACCGTTCCTCCATGGACCAGGATGCTTGCAGCTTAGCCAATCCTAGGCATTTGTAGGTCGAACTCATGGCTGCGCGGACCAACGTGACTCTTCTTAATTTCGCACGGTCCATGGGTTTCCCATTTCTCTTCCCGTCTAGACTATAGATCGACTGCGAGACTCGCTCTCTATTGACAGTAGCGTTCCTGTCGACTCGCGCAGATTGTGGGTTGTCGCTGCCCATCCCTGTACATGTAGACTGTGACCCCTCTTCAGTTACGACGTTACTATCCCCAACCAAATCATCCCCGCGACGAGAAATGGCTAAGACGTCCAACATGGAGCCCCAGATGTTATACGACGACGTTGCATGGGAACAATCCGAGGATGTCTCCGACAATTGGTTGCGTCAATTTCTTGACATTGATGTCAAGAGACCGATTGCGAGATTTGTCCTGAAGCATGATTCTGGCAATGATCCCGAGTTTACTATTTTTCGAAAAGGGTCTTTCAATATCACATTACAAATGAAGTACACATACAGTGCGACCAACGTCCGCTTTGCACAGCCTGGCGCCATTCTCTTTCCCGAGGAGAAAGTTAAGAACGAAGTTGCTGTGATGCGATTCATCTCGGACCAGACATCAATACCAGTTCCATTCATTCTTCACTGGGGTACAAGGGAAGAGAGCCCCCTCAACTTGAGCCCCTTCATTATGATGAGCCATATTGAACATACAACAACCTTGTATGACGCTCTCAACACACCAGGGTGTCCAAAGGAAGAGCGCGGAGCCCTTGACCCAAACATTAATGAAGAGCAACTTGAGATGCTATACACACAAGTAGCAAAGATCCTGCTTCAGCTTTCCAAGCCAAAATTCCCTAAAATAGGGTCCCTCACTCAGATGGACGATTTTTCTTGGGAAGTGACCAGCCGGCCATTATCATTGAATATGAATGAGCTTGTGCGTTTGGGGACACTACCTCGATCGAATCTTCCTCCTCTAAACACTACCTTTAGGACATTATCTTCATACGTCGAAGCCCTGGCACGGCTCAATATCCAGCATCTACTGTATCAAAGGAATGATGCAGTGCAGTCTGCAAATGACTGTCGTCGGAAGTTCATTGCAAGACAGCTGTTTTACAAGCTTGCCAGAGACAAGAAATTGTCTCTGGCATGTTATGGCAATGGTCCATTCAAACTCTGGTGTGATGATTTCCGCCCAGCCAATATTCTTCTCAATGAAAAGATGCATATTGCCGGTGTGGTGGACTGGGAGTTCACATATGCAGCACCGGTGGAGTTTTCATACGCGCCACCATGGTGGCTCCTTATCGAGAAACCTGAATTCTGGTCCGAAGGTATCGAGGACTGGGCCTGAGAATTCGATCGCCGCCTAAAGACGTTCCTCATGGCAATGAGGCGTTGTGAAGATATGGATACTCAACACAGCCAGCCGCGGCTCTCCGATCAGATGCAACAGAGCTGGGAGAGCGGAGACTTCTGGGTGGTGTATGCGATTTTGCATAGCTTTGCGTTTGATGTGATCTACTGGCAGAAGATCGACCGGCGCTTCTTTGGGCCTACGGATACGGACGATCCCAGCGAGGCATGGAAAGAGCGGTTGAACCTGCTAGATGAGAATGAAAAGGTTGAGATGGAACGGCTAGTGACGAGGAAGCTTGAGGAGATGGAAGACAGGGTCTTGGCGTGGGACCCAGATGAGTATACTGAAGCATTTCGTCTGGAGTTGATAAGAAGGAGAGAGGAAAAAGCGAACGAGTCCAAGGAATTTGACCAAGAACCGGAGTGAACTGAAGGCACGATGTGCGTTTCTGAGGCCGCCGTGACCTGTTATTCATTATCTCCCCTTAAGACTGCTAGTTTTCTCGCGGTTTCTGTGGTAGGTATCTTGAGAGCAAAATGAGCCGCTGCACTAGGCTATGGCCTATTCTAGGACTAGGTTACCGTTGGGGAAATGTAGGCTGTGGTGATTTGATGTAGCTTAGGTGTTCAAGGTGGTAGAAGAGGTCGGTGGTAGAAGAGGTCTCTTGCAGAACACTGGTTGAGTCTTGTAAACGACGAACTTCTAGTGCAAAATGTCCCGTATCCCTCTATGTGGGATCCGCTAGCAGAATCCGGTTCCTAGGAGCCAATGGGCTCCAGGAAGCCAAGCCACGATTCCAGGGAGGACCAGAGGTTCACGAGACATTTCCATGTTTCGTTGAATTGACCGCCCCAACACGCACGTGATTAAGATGATTCCTGAGGCGCTAATAACGGGCACGGGCCCACCCCCGACGGACCTGCCAGATAATCTGCCATCTGCCGTCCTTATCTTCCCCCGAACCCCAACATTAACAAATGCTCTGAACAGCTCAGACTGTACATTTACAGCTGCTGTTACAAGTTGAAATCATAAATTGCGACTGACAAATCAAATCGCTACTGCTGTCCGTACAGATCTGTTTCAACAAGAGCTCTTCCCTTCCGAACACAGCTTAATCGCCCAGTTACGGACCCGGATTTAGATGATGCGCCTCAGGAAGTCGCGTTCACTCGTGGTATGAGAAGGTCTTTGCAAACTTGCAAGACATTGGGCCATCGTGAGAGCTTGAGGTGGTCAGCATGAGTCCTGCTGCTGAATGCCTTGAAGCTCTACCACAGCAGAAGATGGCCGAGAATGGGCTTCAAAAAGGGAGGAGTGGCACACTGGAGGAAGACAGCCACCCAACATCACACCCGCGGGGCGGAAAAGGGAATGGCGCAGATGGTCTCATGGCGGTGTTCGACAGCGAGACTGAAAGGAAGCCAACCAACGGTGCCAATGGTACAAAGGCGCAACGGGGACATGCGACATCGGACAGACACTTTAGCAATGGTGGACACAAAACAGCGGACTTAGGATCGTCAGAACAGGGCCTCGGTATCCTGATGGAGCATTCATCGGACGGAGGAGATAATCCTGGCAGGTTGTCGGTCGTGGATGTCTACGAAGGCCCTAAGGTCAACGCTGCTCTGGCAGAATTGACTGATGATATCTCTCACGAACTATCGGATGAAAAAGAGAAGGTTATGAAGTTGTCTCCTGAGAAGATCCAGGAGCTCACTTCATCCCCACAGTCAATACCCTATCGTCCTCTAGGTACACAAACGGACGCTGGGAAACGAGTGGTATCCGACACCACTCACGACAACCCTTCCCTTCCTCGACCAGATGTACCAGAATTTATGCTTCAGACCCTAAGCGAAAAGCCATTGCCCACGGAGGTTTTGCCAAGACTACGACCAACTAGGGATGTGCTACTGGGAGATGCTTCTGCGCCAGCGAGTCCGGCCTTCCCACGGAGTACTCAAAGCTCGCATGCCCGGAATCGTCCCCAGCCAGCACGAACAGTTTCGACCCCTGGTGCCATGCGTCGTCAAGTACCGTCCACCCCAGTCAATGATCGTTTAAACCATACATGGGCTTCGCGCTCAAAACAGGAACGGCTCCCGGTGGAGCGCGACTTGAAGAACAATCTCATCGCATCGCCTCAACTTATGGAATCACCTATGTCTCCCCCCGTGGCATCATCTATCCCTCTGCCTCCAGTTTCTCTGCCGACCTATCTTCAGCTTGAGCTTGCTTCTGGTCGACCTTCGCCGCTGTACATTCACCGTGACGCAGCTAATGACTTCCCATATGAATCATCCCGAGTGAAGATTGAAAGGCTCATGAACTTCCTTATGCTTCCACCCATGCTAGAGCAGGTACTTTGCTTCGGAAGTCTTGCCTGCCTTGATGCATGGCTCTATTCTTTCACGATAATGCCGTTGCGATTCATTAAGGCAGTCTACATCTTGGTCGTATCATGGGTGATGAACCTGGGCGCGGAGGTTAGCTTCACCTGTAAATTTGTTTTGAATGGGATTGGTCGAGTGTGGCGCAGAAGGAACCATACAGGCAAGGAGGACCAACCTGAACGACGCCAAAGCGAATCTGACACCACTCATCATCTTCCTCCGGGCTCTTCAGCCGGGCCAGATGTGATCGCCACAGACAAAGACTCTAGGCACCCACAGCCGGAGGGATTAAGGAAGAAGCACAGGTCCTCTGAATCTCGCAGGCATCATCACCGACGGAAGAAGTCAATGCCCTCCACACTGCTTCCAGACGATAAAGCGGACATTCTGACTGGCCTGCTTATGATAGCTACTTGCTGTGTTTTGATGTACTTCGATGCCAGCCGAATGTATCATTGGATCCGTGGACAGGCCGCTATCAAGCTGTACGTCATCTACAACGTGCTGGAAGTCAGCGACAGACTCTTGGCTGCCATAGGTCAAGATGTGCTTGAGTGCCTCTTTTCCCGAGAGGCCCTCGAGCGTCGTCCAGACGGTCGAAGCAAGATCATCCGCCCATTCTGGCTGTTCTTGTTAGCTCTCGTGTACACCGTCTCTCATGCGACCTCTCTGTTCTACCAAGTCATGACATTGAACGTGGCAGTGAACTCGTATTCCAACGCCTTGATCACCCTCCTCTTATCCAACCAATTCGTGGAGATCAAATCCACGGTCTTCCGCAAATTCGAAAAAGACAACCTCTTCCAATTAACCTGCGCCGACGTCGTGGAACGCTTCCAACTCTGGCTAATGCTAACAATCATCGCCTCTCGCAACATCGTCGAAACAGGCGCCTTCAACTTCATTGGCAACTTCGGTCTAAACTCCAGCTTCACAAGCCAATCCTCAACAAGCACGAACAGCACACCCCTATCCACGCCCCCGCGCACCGCTTCCTCAATCCTCCCCCAAGCCTTCACCCTCTTCCCCTCGTCCATCCTTTCCTCCTTCAACAGCGTCAACTCCATAATCCCAACCCTCGCCCAAGTTCTCGGCCCTTTCCTCGTAGTCCTGGGCTCGGAAATGCTAGTCGACTGGCTGAAACACGCCTACATCAACAAATTCAACAACAACCGCCCCGCAATCTACGGCCGCTTCCTCGACGTCCTCGCAAAAGACTACTACACCAACGCCTTCGGCGAACAAAACCTCACCCGCCGCATCGGCCTCCCCGTCATCCCACTCTCCTGTCTATTCTTCCGCGTCTCCGTCCAAACATACCAAATGTTCCTCGCCGCCCTGCTCCCCCACAATCCCTCCTCAACAGCAATGGAAGCAACATCCCTAACATCCATCCACAACCACTACGCTCCCTCCCCAGTCCCCTCCGCACCACCATTCACACTATCCACCATCATCCCCGCCTCAGCAGCGCACGTAAGCGCTCTCTTCCGCACTCTCCTCGAGAACGCGATCCCGTCGCCCGCGCAAAGCGTGCATATCTTCACGGCCATCTTCCTCTTAACCGGCTTCGTGGTCTTGCTTATCTTGAAGCTGTTGCTCGGTATGCTATTGCTCGCCTTTGCGCGCTCCAGGTACCGGAAGACGAAGCTCGAGAGTGAGCGCAGACAGTCTGCGCATCATGGTGAGGGCGCGGCTGCGCCGAGAGTAAGGGATTATGATGTTGAGGGGAGTCAGAGGGTGGGCGGGTGGGGGGTTGTGGAGGTTGGGGATGAGAAGAGGAAGTTGATCTATGCGGATGATCCCGAGGGTTTGAGAAGGGTTAAGGAGAAGGAGGAGAAGGATAAGAGTAAGGATAAGGAGTTTAATGTTGATCATGTACAGCGGTATGAGATGATTGCTAAGAAGATTTGGTGATGGGGGTGGGCTTTTGGTGGAGGTGGTGAGATTGTAATTTACTGGCATTCGGCATCTGGATATTCTAGAGTTACCGGTGTATAATAATAATAATATCTTCCTAGTTTCTCATTGTATTACTTCCTTACGTTGAGAACTAGAACATGAATAAGTAGATCTATGCATTTGCTAGTGTGAGGGAGATAGGATAGGATAGAAATCAATAGATTGGTGGTATCGAATAGAAGGTTTGAAAGATATCGCGTAGAGCAAAAAGGGGGTATGTATAAGATATCGGAGTCGCTCGCTGGTCATGATCAGGAAATGGGGATCCGGTCATCAAGCACAGGAGAACCGGCTCCTGGTTTTCATCGTGATAAAGCCATATGACCTTGCGGCTGGGGAATCGGGCCGTATCAATAGGGGATTTATCAGTATTGGTGTGTGTTTGCTCGATTGAATGAGTGCCCTGGTGGAGCGCGGTGCATAGCGGAAGGCGAAGCGGTATTCGATCGGAAGTTAGGTGGGATTTGAGTGAAAGGTTGGGGTGGTTGAGAAGGCATTGATGAGTTGAACGCTGCATAGGCGCTATTTCCAGGAGCTGGTGTAGCCGAGCTCATTGGGGCGAGTGATCTGGACGGAGGCTGTGCCATTGCGGCTGATTGTGGCGGAGGAGGTCGGTAGCTTGCCGGGGTGTGTGACCGTGTAGAGAGACCGGGTGTGCTAGCCGGCGTGTAGGATCTTGTGGAATATGGATCTGGGACATAATAGTCTTGCTGTGTGTGAGACGGGCCTCTCTGACCACTGGGGTTGCCATAACCTGCCTGACCGCCGTACATAGCCCTCGGGGGACCGTAGGGGTCATAGTGAGCGGGCGAATGGTCTTGGTTGAAATAATCATGATCCTCAGAACCATCGCCCATGTCGGCTGAAGCGTATTCGGGCGCTGGGGTGTAGCCCGGATAAGGGCGAGATTCCGAGCTACTATCAGTCAAATTCCTGTATCCAGGTGCCGGACCGTTCCGACCATCATTGCCGTATGGTCCAGGAGTTGTGCGGGGCTGAGGGCCCATCCTTGACGTAACGCCGGCCGGCAAGGGAGGTACCGGAGGAAGCGTCGGATTCTGACGATCAAGTGGGCTGTACCCCATTCCGGCCGCATTGCCTGTCAGCGAGGCAGATTCGGACATTGCCGAAGATGCAGTGGCAGTCCGGCTCAACGGTGGCTTGCCATCGAATTCCAGGTTTGGCAATGTCGGATTGTGTCCTGGCGCTGTTGACGAAGCTGATCGCGAGTAAGGTGGCAAGGTCGTTTGAGTAGTACTCCGTGACAAGGTAGACACCGCAGGGACTTTGTCCCCGGCGATAGACGGCAGAGTTGGTTTGGAATCAAAGTCGCCCAGGGTTGGTTGGGTGGGTGTTCGACTCTGTAATTTGAGTCCCTTTGCCAGGGCTTTGTTGTTTTTGCGGTGCACAATGCGCTTAAGACGCTGACCAACCTTGCGACGGCAGTACCTTGAAAGAGTACCATCTTCAGCCGGAATATGGTGAAAGAGGAAGATCAGATACAGCACGATGGCCGAGATCAACTTCAGGACAAATAGGACCCAAATGACGAGGGTGAAAAGCATGCCGAATAAGACCACCGCCTGCAAATTGTTGTCCTCGGCCAGGATCTTGACGTTATTAAAGAATTGACCGACCGCAGAAGTCCCATCATCGTGGGCGGCATTTTTCCCTCCAGGAATGAGGTCCATCTGCATGACCGAATAGAGAGTGATTGCATTGATAACTTGGCGCGGGCCATCTGCGAAGATCGTGTTCATCCAGACTGGGTTATCGATTAGCGGTGTTGGAAGCCTATCGAGGCGGCAAAGAACTTACATTGGAAGGAGAAATATGCATAAAGCGCAACGTATTCCGCTGCTTTTCTATCCTTGGTCAACTCGGCGAAAACAACGAATCTTCTGTATCCACGACCCTTCTTGCCGAAGCGGATACTCTGAATGCGCACAGCAAGCGGGTCCAGAAAGCTGCGAGTAATGCTTCCCGAGCGTATAGCGCGGATGGCGTGTATCCATCGGTATGCCAAAAGCACGAAGGAAGCAATGATGCAGGCGGCGAAGATCCATCGGGAGATATTGAACGGAATAGCGGGTTCGACTCTACCAGACCATCGGGAGAAAGCGAGCAAGTTGACGGCAGTGAATGTGTCAACTCCGTAAACGGCGAGTGAGACGAATAGAAACACCCATACAAAGAAGTACGAGAACGGAGTCCAGCACGATTCGGACTTGAAGTCATCCAAATTCTAATAGAAACCGCATCAGTATGCCAAATCCTATATTCATCTGCCCTTGTGACATACCACGTAGTCCCATTTCTCCTCCATGGCCACATCTCCCTTCTCACGGTCTCCGGAGCACAACATCGTATCAATGAGCCTGGTCCTGCCAGGAAGCGATCGCGGACGTCAAGCAGATGGCGGGATCACGGACGGGTTCAATATCGACTTCCTCGGGCCAGCCGGGCAAAGTCGTGAATCAAAGTCAAAACAAGATACGTATAGGAGTAAATTGGAAGAATCAGGCAGAGCTCAAGACGTAATGAGCGAGTGACTGGAATGATAATATCTTAACCGCGGGAATGGCGCATGTCTGCGGGAGGTAGAATGGAATGTTGATCGAGGTGACAGGGACCGAGGGATGTCGTCCACATGTACTGGGTGGTGACAACAAAAGCGTTGGTGTTTCAGACACGCATTGAGGTCTTCAAAGAGTGAATAGAGACTCTTTCATTGGCGATCGAGGGCAATGTGTCGATCCGCTGAACGCCAAGAAAGGGATCACCAGTGGTTGGATTGTGGAGAAGGAATGCCAATTGCCGAGTGAGAGGGCTGAATGAATGAGATAGGCAAGATTTGCAAAGGGGATGCGCTGGAAAAGACCGTGTTGGAAGATGGAGAGGGAAAAGGAAATGGGAAAGGGGAAGAGCGTTGAAACATCAACAGGGGGGAGAATAGGAAGAGGAGTTCGGGTGGAGTGGAGACGCGGGAAGTTTCAGGCACAGGCGCAACTGGGGTTTTTAGGGCTGAGGATTTTCTTTACAATGAAGGCGACCACGCAGTACTAGTCGTGCTTTTTGAATTGCTTCTCTTCTTTTCTTTGTTCCTTCGTATTTGGTAGACTGGTTGCCTTATACTACCTACATTCAGTAATCGATCTAGGCGCCCACTTCTGCTATTCCTGGATATTGAAGTCTGAACGCCTCTTTACATACTTCCAGTTCCTTCAGCCTTGACTTTGGCCCACCGGCCCACTCTCAACGCTGAGACACGAATGGAGTCCAATGGGGTCTTCGAGATTGCCCATTCCGACTCGTCAACTGCACGCGCCGGAGTCTCTGTACCTAAGCGCTGGTACTACGCTAAGCCACTGATCAGTGATCATGTCGATACGTACATACAGTTGTACGTGGTACAGAATAATAACCACTGACAACTTTCCAAATAGTGAGAGGGCGTCAATTTTCTCTGTTTCTGCATTGTTTCTTTAGCGCTTTGTTGATCGGAGTGATAACATCCGTGTTGACACCTGAGGTTTCAATCTCCATGTTTGCCTTATATTTCAGGCCAGAAGTTCGCAGTTCATTCCGAGGTTGCCACCGAGACTGCCGGCTCAACTTCTTCCCAAGATCACAAATTGCACAATTGCGGAGAACCATTTGCCGGCAGTTGTGGAGGTGAAAATTCTGAAGAATGCCCGCCTTCACTTCCTATTACCGTTTCCTCTATTACAAATTGACCTTGGACCTTCCCAAACCCCTGCAGTGACGTTAAACTAAGCAGAAGCCGGTTAGTCGGCAGCAGCATTCAGAAATCGCATTTATAAGCTGGTGGGGATAGGTTGGAGATACTGTACTTCCTGGTTTTTCAGTTAGAAAATGGATATAAAACGTCCCAATTTCTCCTCTCCTTCCTTCACCTCATCAAGTCATCAAGTCCCTACCTCACATTACTCACCACCAACATGTCAGACTCCCCGCATATCGTGAACAAGCCCGCCCCGGGCATCTCATACTTCACCCCCGCCCAAACACCCCCCGCCGGTTCTGCCGCAATCCCCCAGTCCGACGGCACCCAACCACCGAAACTCTTCCAACCCTTCACCGTCCGCGGCGTAACATTCCACAACCGCATCGGTCTCTCCCCACTGTGCCAATACAGCGCCGACGATGGCCACATGACCGACTGGCACGTCGCGCACCTAGGCGGAATCGCCCAGCGCGGCCCAGGCCTCCTAATCGCCGAAGCGACAGCCGTGCAGACGAACGGTCGCATCACGCCCGAAGACGCCGGTCTCTGGAAAGATTCGCAGATCGAGCCCTTCCGCCGCGTCGTCGAGTTCGTCCACAGTCAGAATCAAATTATCGGCGTGCAGCTTGCCCATGCTGGTCGCAAGGCTAGCACGGTCGCGCCTTGGCTTAGCATGGCGGCTACGGCGACCAAAGAAGTCGGTGGGTGGCCGGATAACGTCAAGGGTCCGACGAATGTTCCTTTCAATGCGAAGTTCCCGACGCCGCAGGCGCTGACGAAGGACGAGATTGAGACGTTCAAGAAGGATTGGGTAGAGGCTGTAAAGAGGGCTGTGAAGGCCGGTGTTGACTTTATCGAGATTCATAATGCTCATGGGTACATGCTGATGAGTTTCTTGTCGCCGGCTACCAACGATCGCACTGATGAGTACGGTGGTAGCTTTGAGAATCGCATTCGTCTGTCGCTGGAGGTTGCGAAACTGACACGCGAGAATGTGCCTGAGAATATGCCTATCTTCCTGCGTGTCTCTGCTACCGACTGGTTGGAGGAATCGCAGGCTGACAGCCCGAGCTGGCGTGTCGAGGACACTGTGCGGTTTGCGCAGATTCTGGCTGAGAAGGGCGACATTGATGTACTCGACATCAGTTCTGGCGGTAATCACGAGAAGCAGCACATCCATGCCAAGGCTGGGTTCCAGGCGCCGTTTGCTGTTGCCGTCAAGCAAGCGGTTGGGGATAAGCTGAAGGTTGGATCGGTCGGTATGATCGGAACTGCTGAGCTTGCCGATTCCCTGCTCGAGAAGGAGGGATTGGACTTTGTGCTTGTCGGTCGGGGCTTCCAGAAGAACCCCGGCTTGGTGTGGACTTGGGCTGAAGATCTCAACGTTGAGATCTCCATGGCGAACCAGATTCGATGGGGCTTTGCTAGTCGTGGTACCGGTGGTGGTCCTTACTTGAACAGACGGGGGAAGATTTAGATTATGCAGTAGACTTAAGATTTCGTCAAATACGATGAATAATCGAATAATCATCTCGGTCCTCATATTGCCCGAATTCCGGATGTGTGAATCCTTCCATTCTTCGTGGGGTAACTCCGTTCTTCGTCCGTGACGGACTAGAAATAGGCCGAATGACTGAAAACAGCTGGAGCCCGGCGATGTCCCGCTGCAACATAAATACTGTGGAATGATAACCTCTGCAGATTCCCATTGAGCCTTCCATGCATCTTAATTCTCGACTCTCGAACCCCCCACATTGTCTGAACAACCGTCAAAATGATCCCTCTATCAGAGGTCCAAGCCTCAAACGCCCAAATCGCCAACACATTCCCTCCAGGCCTCGTTGCCGTCTTCGTAGGCGCAACAAACGGCATCGGCGAAGCAGCTCTTAAAGAATTCGCTCGCTCAGCTCGCTCCCCACGCGCCTACTTCGTCGGCCGCTCCGAAGAAGCGGCTGCCCGCATCACGGCCGAATGCCGACAACTGAACCCACAAGGAGATTTCATCTTCATAAAGGCGGACATCAGTCTAATCAAAAATGTTGACGTTGTCACCCGCGAAATCCAATCCAAAGAAAAGAGTATCAATCTCCTCTTCCTTAGCTGTGGGACTCTGCGTTCCGGTGAAGGTAAAGTAACCCCCATTGACACATCATATCAATACACCGTTGCAGTCGGTTCTAATAGAATATACAGACACCTCTGAAGGCCTACATACCATCCTAGCAGCCGCCTACTACGCCCGCACACGCTTCATCCTCAATCTGCTACCAGAACTAAAGCGCGCAACACACCTACGCCGCGTCGTCTCCGTCCTGGCCGGGACGCACGAAGGCCCCGTCGACGAAACCGACTTCCAAGTCAGGAACATGTCGATGCTCAAGCGGCGCGGGCAGTCAGTCTCCATGACTGACTTGGCGCTGGAGACGCTGGCTGAGAAAGCGCCCGAAGTCACTTTTGTCCACAATTACCCCGGTGTCGTGAAGACGGGGATCGCGCGTGAGGCGAATTCGGTGGTTGGGTGGGTTTTATTCCTCGTGATGAGCGTTATCGGGCCGCTGCTTTATATACCTATTCGCGAGTCTGGGGAGAGGCATTTGTTCTTTGCGACGAGTGCGATTTATCCTCCCCGTACGGGAGATGCGGTTGGTGTGAAGCTGGATGGCGGGAAGATTACCAAGGGGACGGATGGGGTTGCTGGTAGTGGGGTTTATAGTGTGGGTTGGAAGGGGGAGGCTGCTGGGGAGGGGGAGGTGAAGTTGTTGGCTGGGTTGAGGGAGAAGGGGATGAAGGAGAAGGTTTGGGAGCATACTCTTGGGGAGTTTGAGAGGATTACTGGGTCGAGGGGGAGTAGATTGAGGGTTGCGTGTTGAGTTGTTGAATTAGACCGCGGGACGCTATGTCCAATCCACCGTGAACCTGTTGTTCTGTTGTTGGGATAAAAGATCTCATTTTATGAATATGCCCGAAGAAACGCTGGTTGAACCACTTTCCGCCTGAACAGTCTCTCATGAACGTTCGAGATTACCATTTACCCCGGCCTTTGAGGTCTATATCCGATGACGTCAACGCAGTTACAGTCACTGACCTCAATGCATAAAAGCTTGACCTTAATGGTCAGGTTATGTACATTGGTTTATGTTCATAGCGAGATATGCAAATTGTGCTCTGTTTACATGGTTGATACCTAGTACCTAGTTGTACAGTTGGCAGTTGTACAAGTCTTGCATATAGATCGACATCATATGGCAGTCTGGCAGAGAGTTGTATCAGGGACCTTTCCTGCTCAATGCAGTATTGATTGCGAAAAAGACCTTACTCCGTAACGAATCAGAGATCAATTCCAATAATATTCGAGATGATCGTAACTTCTAAGCTTGCCCTGATTAGGCTAATTGGATTATCTTGACACGCTAACTCCGGTCCGATCACTCCGATGTCACTAACGTGTCACTTCCAGGCTACCATCTACACATCTCTCCTTCATCTTCGTTCAACCATCAATTCATCCAGCTTCTGAGCTTCACAGTTCACATGAGTCAAAGCCACTGCTTACTTCCTAAGTGTACCTTGCGAACTCTGAGATCGTAGGGAATCCCCATCTCGCAAGCAGCCAAGAGAGCCAAGAGAGCCAAGAGAGCCAAGAGAGCCAAGAGTACCAAGTCTCTTCAAGTCTGTCCACCCCACACCGGACTTTTCATCGACGCTATACATACTGGACGCTGCGACGCAGCCCCAAAAGTCCTCAAATCCCGATAGAGAATCTGATGCCCAGTACAAGTTGCCTACGTGCGCGAACTTGAAACTGATAGCCATCATAATTTAGATTTCTCCCTGATTCTCAGGGCAAATTCAGCCATGGGCAGCGAAAGCTTCACCATTCTTTATCTCGGCATTGCCGCCGGGCTATACTTCAAGCCAGAGTATACCATATACAACTCTAGAATTGTGACTGCTGCTGTCCTCTTCGGGGTCATCACCGCATCGAAGCTGGTATATCGGTTTGTGCTCTACCCCGACTATTTGACTCCATTGAAACACATTCATTCTCCCAAGGTAAGTCAGAGAATCCATTCAACCAAATCGATGCATTGCTGATAAATCAACAGGGCCGAAGCTGGCTCACTGGAAATTCCCGGAGTTTCCTGCTTGAAGCCCCCTATGAGCAGCTAGAAGAGCATGTGAAAAGCATTCCCAATGAAGACCTCCTTCGATACTATATTGTCGGCAACCTTGAGAGGCTTTTGCCAATTAGCCCGAAGGCTTTGGGTGAGTTGCTTGTTACGAAGGTTTATGACTTCGAGAAACCGGTATTGATTCGTCAGAGCTTGCGACGGATCGTTGGGGATGGCATTTTACTTGCTGAAGGCGACGAGCACAAGGTCAGTCTGGCCATTCGAGGACCATTTTATATATATCTGCAGGCTGAAAACATCTACACTAGATTCAACGCAAGAACCTCATGCCAGCGTTCGCCTATCGCCATATAAAGAATCTCTACCCCGTCTTTTGGGCCAAAAGCGCCGAAATGGTCAAGATGATCGAGGAAGATCTGGATAACAGAAAAGCCTGCGGTAATAACGACAACACAGTTCAAATCAGTAACTGGGCTAGTCGGGCAACCCTGGACATCATCGGAGTCGCTGGTATGGATCATGACTTCGACTCCCTCCGTGACCCCGACAATACCCTCAACCGATGCTATCGTCAAATTGTGGCAGCACCACCTCTGTACATGAAGCTACTCTTCGTAGCCACAATGCTCCTTGGTAACCCAGCATGGATCCACCAACTACCATTCAAACGCAACAGAGAGATTCAAGAAAGTGGCGATGTCATCCGCAACGTCGCACGTCAAATGATCCGACAAAAGAAAGCAAAGATGCAAGACCCCAATTCCGAGACCGGTATTGACATCATCTCCGTTGCACTGAGCAGCGGCACCTTCGACGAAGAGAACCTAGTCGATCAATCCATGACCTTCCTAGGCGCCGGCCACGAGACAACCGCCACAGCCTTACAATGGGCTGTCTACGCGCTTTGCAAGCACCCATCCGTGCAAACCCGTCTGCGGGATGAAATCCGCGCCAATCTACCCTCCCTCGATGATCAAACTCCAATCACTGCAGCCGCAGTCGATAGCCTACCATACCTCAACGCAGTCTGCAACGAGGTGCTCCGCTTCTACCCTTCCGTACCCAACACGATCCGCACAGCAGTTCGCGATACAACACTCGCCGACAAGCATATTCCCAAGGACACGCTACTCTACATATCTCCGCGGATCATCAACCGCATGGAAACTTTATGGGGAACGGACGCGAATGTGTTCAACCCAGACCGGTTCATGGGTCCCGGTAAAGCAAATACTGGTGGGGCGGTTAGCAATTATGCCTATTTGACTTTCTTGCATGGTCCGCGCAGTTGTATTGGGCAGGGCTTTGCGAAGTCGGAGCTTGCTTGCTTGGTTGCTGCTGTTGTTGGGAGGTTCCATATGGAGTTGAAGTTTCCTGGTGCTAAGCTGGAGGTACGGGAGGCAGCTACTGTTTCTCCGAAAGATGGGGTTCTCGCTTTGATGACGCCGTTGCAGGGGTGGTAGACTCAGATAGATCCAGTTGAACGCTGTTTCAAACATAGCTCTGCAACGAGACTGGGAGTAACCAATCTCTTTGAATCGAGTATTCAGCTATAGATAGACGGAACCTAACATCCATGACTTGTTGTCTGCCAGGTAGCTTTGCCAAGGTAGGTAACATATTGGTCGAACACCGCTGCCGGGCTTTCTCGATCTGACAGCACTTCGGCAGACTTCAGCTCAGCTGCTCATCCAACTAAATTACTTGGATATAATTATGATCACAACAATATCTGGTACATACGACCATAGGGTGTGGAAAACAGGGCTTCCCGTCCGCTCAGCCGTACTTAAGCCACACGCCGGTGAGTTAGTAGTTGGGTGGGTGACCACCAGCGAATCCTCACTGTTGTATGTTTTTGTTTTTGAACTATTTGGTTTAACATTAAGGCTGGGCTATCATTAGACAGTTGGCTTAACTCTCAAGAACCTTCCTGGCCTCCGCTCGCCAAATATTTAGCAAGCAGAGGAGATTGAGAGTCCAGGCAGACAGCAGGCCAGTTCTGAACATCTGAGTTGTCTCAGGTGGTCCTAACTCCTAAGTAACAATGGACTCAGCCTCGCCTATCCGTTTGAGACAGAAGATAATGCTTGAAACAGTACTGTGTATGTCACTGATGAATGTTACTGTGTAAGAGAGTCTTAGAGACCCAGAGCTTCTCCGTAGAATCGATATCAGACTTGAAACAGCCAAGCTTAGTGAGGAGGAACATTGTATCTGTGTCCTTTTGGTTTGTCTACTTGATATATGAGTTATGACTATTGGCGCGGATATGCGCATAAAGATGATGTGTACAATTCCCAAAAGAGCTTATTCACAATATGATCCGTCTCGGCGTCCATCAACAAGGGAAAGAACTCTTGACAGCGGTACCTGGACACATCCTCAAGCACTCATCCAGCAGTTGGTTCCTTTCCGTCCTTTTCCGTCACTCCGGGTTTCTCTTCTCCTTGCAAATTGAACCAAATAGAAACAGTATGATGCGATTGCCCTCCGTTCTTTCGTTGATTTCCTGAATCAAACGCGAACGTGTCGCTGGGGGGTTTTTTGAGATTTTCTCTTCTATGAGAGAACCAAGCTCAATCGTCCTCCGGGAAGACCAGCCATTCCTGCCAGTCTACCTCCGCAGGGGCAGTTGTGGGGGACCGAACCTCTATGGGATCAGGCGGCAGGTACAAGGGCCCCGCTTCCTGATAAGGTTGGTAAGCGTGTCCATCCAGCTCTGTGGGATATAGCTGCTGGTACAAGGGATTCGCTTCCTGATAAGTTTGAAAAGCGGGTCCATGCAGCTCTGAAGTCATCGGATCAACCGTATTTTTGACTTCTTCAAGTAGCCTCCTTGTTTCTCTCATCTCTGCGACTATCTCTCGAAGCAGACATGTCTGCTCGATCTCGTGAGCATGCCCTCTTCCAAAAGACGACGTGCTTCCTGTGGGCGTGCATCCTTGGAAGCCGACGCAGAGGGCACAACAGTGGGAGGTGGCGGGGGTCAAGGCTTGCCTAGACGACGGGCCTTCTGCCGCTCGGCAGCCAGCCACTCACTGAAAGCTTGTGGAGCCGTCGGATATGTTGGCATCTTGACCTTTTCGCCAATGAAGACCTGCTTCCACTTGGGAAGAGCACGATGGAGAACATCATCCGACAGCAGGCGATTGCCTTGGGAATCGGTGGCCAGGGCAATATACCAGTAAGGCGTTCGAACGGCCCAGACAATGTTGCCAGAGGTATAGAAGACCTGCCGATTCTCTCTCATGCGTGCTGTGTCCCCAGATGTCATGATCTCTCTTAGCTCGTCCCCGGACGGTTCGAAACCGTTAGAACCCAGAGAAATGTGAGTGAAGTCCTCTACCAATTTCGTATGGTCAATGTCGCTCGGTGATGATCAAGTTGAACAGTGTGCTTACCATGGTGTGATGTGAGGAGCTCATCGCAAGTGAGCATCCTCTCGGGCAAATCTCCTAGGTGCAGAAGAAGTCTCTCGTCTGCTTTCTGGTTGATCAACACCCAAAGCTTGTGGATTCATTTCTGCGAATCGGTAGATGGCTCTGATGTATGGGTCTTTCATGCCTCATCTGCATTCTTCGTGGTGGTGAAATGTATCATAATGCGGAAGAGACGCTCAGGAACCTGAGATGGGACCTTGTCATGCTGTTTGACTACAATAGCCCGCCTGCCCCAGGGTGGGCCGATCTTTCAAAAGGCTCCACTGAGTTTGGCCATTCGTCGATGGCTGATTATGGTGAAACAGCATGACAAGGTCCCACCTCAGGTTCCTGAGTGTCTCTTCCAGGTGGAAGCAGGTCTTCAATGGCGAAAAGATCAGGACGCCAACATACCCGACGGCTCCACAAGCTTTCAGTGAGTGGCTGGCTGCCGAGCGGCAGAAGGCTCGTCGTCTAGGCAAGCCTTGGCCCCCACGAGTACGATCTCCCACTGTTGTGCTCTCCGCGTCGGCTCCCAAGGAAGCACGCCCACAGGAAGTATCCTCGGCGTTTACCTCTCGGCTAGGTCGCTTTCGCCTCGGCGGTCATGCCCGGACGTCATCCTTTGGACGAGAGGATGCTCACGAGGTCGAGCAGACATGTCTGCTTCGAGAGATAGTCGCAGAGATGAGAGAAACAAGGAGGCTACTTGAAGAAGTCAGAAATACGGTTGATCCGATGACTTCAGAGCTGCATGGACCCGCTTTTCAAACTTATCAGGAAGCGGAGCCCTTGTACCAGCAGCTATATCCCACAAAGCTGAGGTCAGAGGTGGATGGGCCCGCTTACCAAACTTATCAGGAAGCGGAGCCCTTGTTCCTGCCGCCAGATCCCACAGAGGTTCGGTCCCCTACAACTGCTCCTGCGGAGGTAGACTGGCAGGAATAGCTGGTCTTCCCGGAGGACGATTGAGCTTGGTTCTCTCATAAAACAGAAAATCCCAAAAAACCCCCAGCGACACGTTCACGTTTAATTCAGAAAATCATCTTTATGCGCATATCCGCGCCAATGGTCACAACTCATATCAAGTAGACAAACCAAAGGGACACAGATACAACGATCCTCCTCGCCAAGTTTAGCTGGTTGATAATCGATTCTACGGACACAGAAGCTCAGGGTTTCTACCTCTTACGCAGTTGCAGTACCATTAATCAGTGATATACTGTTGCAGGCAATTCCTTCTGTCTCGAACGGATAGCCGACGCTGAGTGCACTGTTACTTAGGACAACCTGAGAACTCACAGAACCGGTCTGCCGTCTGCCCGGACTCTCAACCTCCCCTGCTTGCTAAGAATTTGCCGAGCGGGGCCCCAGGTCCTTGGGCCAACTGTCTAATGATAGCCCAATCCTGACGTTAATCCAAATGGTTCAAAAACAAAAACATACAACAGTGAGGATTCGCTGGTGGTCACCCACCCAACTACTAACTCACCGGCGTGTGGCTTAAGTACGGCTGAGCGGACGGGAAGCCCTGTTTTCCACACCCTATGGTCGTATGTACTGGAGACAATGGTGGGCAGAATCATATCTAACAAGGAATTGGATGAGCTGAAGTGTACGCACTACGGACCTCACTTCGAAGTAGTATATCGGATTCTGTGGGATTGGGAAACCAGTTAATGTCACGTGAAGGAGCAGCGTATGCCGTATGGATTATCCGACTATCACATGTCTAGCCTCCAGCTTGCAGTTGCATGCAGCATAGTGGAGCCACTTCAGGAATGAGTGAGTCCATCAGCGATACATATTGAGCTAGTACTACTGTAGGAGCATCTGGAACCTTGTTCATTAAGCATAACGGGAACCGTGGAACCACGTGGGGCGATATTGCGGCTGTCCCCGTCTTTGTCTTGGCACGCGCAAGTTGTTGACTTGCTGTTTTAGTCTTCTGGGGACTGGGTAGATCTAAAAGACAATGGGGTCACTCGAAGACCAGCACGAATGTGCAAGATAACATGTTATTCTTATATGATCTAACGATCATCATTGATGGAAATCTAATTACTGATATTCCTCGCGAAAGACCATGACCCTCTCAACGTCATTGCCAGCAGCATCCTCCTCCGTCCAAGCACGCCACATACCACCAGAATTAAAGTCGAACACAACCTTGCCGCGGTGCAGTTTAGCCGACAACTCATCGACGGGCGCAAGCTCCGCTTCTATACCAATAATCCCGCCTTCACCCTCACCAGTCTTCTGCCACCTCAAACCAGCCGAGCGTTGAAGTTCACCACCAGGCCCAGCAACAGCCGTCACTACATCCGCAAGACCATCCGGAAACGTACCCGGCGAAGAAAACCTCAACATAGCCGCAGCCGTGCGCGCAGCGGCAATCCTTAGAAACGAATCCCCATTCCCAGTCCCAGAAAGCGCAATAGCCCGACGACGCGAGTGCTCAGCAGCCGGAGGCTGGTAAACCGTAGAACCCTTTTCCGACCCAAACGCCAGTTTCGGCTCAGACTCCGCAACAAGCGGCGCATAAGCCGGCGATTTCTCCCTCAGGAACCTTGGCATACAATCGCCCCAGAAACTCCTCGCATCGCGAAGCATACCCCCAACCGATGAATCCGCCGATACCCCAGCACCAGAAGCAATCTCATCCCATGCTTCGGCCCAAAAGCCAGCGCCTATAGAAGGCGTATCCCCGATCCGGCCGGGCCATTTATTCGTCATGCCGCCGGTACTAGTCGCAACTGCCAGATTGCCCCACTGATCGAGACAGACACACCCGACAGTCCCCTGGCTCAGCGAGATCGGCTCCTCTTCGCCCTTCAAGCCGCGCTTGTGCTCGTCCCACCTCTTCTGCGTGAAAAACCACTCATCGGGACAGAACTCCAGCCCCCATTCCCGTGCGAGATCCTCGATATATGGGGCGACGAGCTGCGAATGCAGGCAGCCGCCGTCATTGGTAGGTGTCCCATCGGCGGCGATGCCCGTTCGGAGAAGAGATTCGCGGGCGAGCTTGATGGGGTGGCGGACGTTGCGGAGACCCATGACGCTGGCGCCGCGTTTGATTGCGCCGGGTTGGGTGGGGTCGTATTCGTTGATGGAGGTGGTCATTATTGAGGCTTCCATTTCTATTGTGCCGTCTTTAGTGAAGACGCTGCCGCGCCCGCAGTTGAAGAGGGGGTCATCTTCCAGGAGGGAGACGGCGTGGACGACGGCATCGAGGGCTGTGCTTCCGTTTTTAAGGAGGTCGTGGGTTGAGCGGAGGTAGGATTTGAGGGAGGCGTGGTGTGCGGCGTAGAGGTCCGGGGGAGTTTGGAGCGTTGGATGTTGCCAGCTCCGCCGTGGATTATTAGGGTGGGTTTGAATGTGGCTGCCCGTTTACCCATCTTGATTATTTAATTGGCTTTTGAGGGTCTGCTTGATGCGGTTTTGATGTTGTGTTGTGTTCCGAGGTTGGGGAGGGGAGATGCAACGCTAACAGCATGGGCAGTCACGGCGATAATTCGAGCCCAAAGCGCCGATCAGGGATGAGATCATGCTGAGAGATTAAGAGGTTCGGTTTTCGAAAGCTGTTCGGACTTCTACTCCGATTCTGAATTGAGAAACCTGTTTGCTGCTTTGAATTAATTTGAAATACGATCGAATGTCCATGTCCCAGTCAAGCTGTGGATTTTGCCTGGTAGCTGCATGTTAATGTACGTGGTGGAGCGACATAATCCCTTCTAAAAGCTGAAGAGACCCGAGTAGAAAGGGCCACACTGCATAGTTGAATGGCTGCCAGACTAGCTCGCCATCAGTTCCAATGCCAGACGAGGTGAAATAGTTGTCGATGTGATCAAGAGGCCGGAAGCGGCCATGGCTGGTGACAGTCACGTGCTAATACACCAGTTGGCACTTGGCTCACCAGTTGGCGGAGAGCTGCAGGTAAAAGTACTGGCAGTCTGGATTTGTCCTCCTGAGTTGCTCTCCTCTGCAGGAATTATTTCTCTTATGCTTCAAGTTCGCTCTTGGCTCCTGGGGTATACCAATGGTCTTCTCATTATTGCGACCGTTCGGAACTATGTACAAGCGTGTTCTTCATCATGATGGCAGGTTCCAAATGAAATCCAAGGCACCACCTTCATACATTGGAAATTGGCAACCATGACTCATACCAAACGGTGCCATCGAAGGATCGAACGGCAACGAAAGCCAATCGTCTGCACCGACATCGTTCAAAGGCGGAATGAACCCCAGGTCCGGCGTCATTTCCTGCGAGACATGTGCACTCATCGGTGTTGACCGGTCGCCAGCGTCCGGCCAAGGAGGAGGACCCATGGACGATCTTCTCGTAGCTCCGCGGCTGCTTTTCGCTGTCTTCGAGGATGCCAGCAGATTACGCCGCAGACGCGAGACATGCATGTCTAGCAGAGTTGCATAGCGAGTGCTCAGATGCACATCGTCCAAGGCATTTGATTTGAGAGCTTCGATGCTCTTTTCGAGTATCTCTAGCGATTCCTGGAGCTTCGCTTGGCGTGTTCCCAGACTGAGGGCTTTCATTAGGAATATAGAGGCACTGGTGATGCGCAGGACGATTCGCACCGGCGAGAATCGGAGGGCACCCGCTTCGGCTAGATGCGTTACTTTCTGCAGGATCTGGCCACATCCGTCGATCACCTCTTGGATGTATTCGTAGTCTGTTGGGTCGATGGCCATAGGTCTGACGCCGTCGAAGTTATTTGGGTCGTTCTCTGCGACGGCCCGCTCCACGACTGCTTGCATGCCAACTGAATGAGTGTAGACGCGGACGAAGTGGTATTCGATGAAGAGATCGTTATAGAATGCTTTGTCGAGGACCTGGGGCTGTAGGTACTTGTCTTTCCATTGGTTGAGTAGAGGTCGGAAATGCTCAAGGAGACCGACGTATCGGCCACTGTGTAGTTGCTGGCGTGCGAATGCAGCAGATGGGAAGAACATGTCAGTCACAGACTTGGCTAGCTTTGTTAGCTCAATCCAGGAGTCCATGAAGGTCAGCCAAGTGCTGCCGGGTGCAGTGAGCCCTTGCGGCTTTCTTCCGCCCAGGATAGCGTGGTTTAACGACTGTGGTATGGGTGACATACACCCAATCCGCCAGGCTAATTGGTTTATGTACACGTATAGCAGGCGTTGGACTCGTTGCCAGCGGAGTGCCATTTGATCTCTCAATTCTGGTTCTTCGGTTGGGACGCTGCTCGCTTCTGTTTCGAATATGCCCAGCTCGTGCGCAAGTGATAGTGCAGACCCAAGCAACATCCAGGACATCTGGTCAGATCTGCGTGCGGGCTCGATCATATCGTCTATCCAGCGGTTATCCGGCACTGTGCTCGACTCGCTATTCTCGTGATGTCTCGGGGCTTCTGGGATCAGATCGTCGTCCCAGCCATCGGTTTCGGGCGGAAAATGCAGGGAACGAGGATGCCATTCCGACATTAAGAGAAGCGCCTCCACCGTACCGAGACTCCGAATTTTGGATTTAGTAGACTTTTCCTGTCCAAATATCAACCTCATCGTCAGCTGCTGGCAATGTTGCCAGAGTCGATGGTGAATAAAGAAATTCCTTGACTCTCCCCCAGCTCCAGGAAGGATGTGATAGCGAGAGGATATCATGAGAATTGTGGAGCATAGGACCGGCTCTCGACTAATCAGCCAGTAGTGATATGCATGATTGGCGTAAAAATCCGTTAAAATTGGAGATAGACAGGACATGTTCTTATAGAATCTGCTTCCAGTCAGTCTTGTGTCCCAGAGACGCAGGATGTACGAGGTAACACACAAATCCACAAAAGTAACGGCCTCTCTAGCAGTAAACCAGCCCATTTTCACAAATCGACAAGCCTCCCAGACATTGAGAATATCTTTACTCACGGCAGATAATTGGACGGGATGTACTACTCGTGCCACCGGGTCAAACGTGGGCTCGTAGTTCCCTGGTGTGCGGTCATGGGTACTCGGGCCTGCCGATGGGGGCCCGGCTATTGATTCGGAACTAGCCTCAGCATGGTTGTCTTCCTGGGCAGTCGCTGCCTCGAAGAGAATATTGAGCGCATCATTGCCACTTGCAACAACAGTACGCATCATAGAGTTCGCAAGTGTTGAATTCGATCGCGGCTTGTTATTTTCATATGCATGAGAGGGCGATTGTTCAGATCGTGGAGGCCCTACAGATTGGTGCTCGAAGGAGCCCTGATTAGGTTGGTCATGCTGATATGGCCATGCTGGCTGAAAGCTTTGCTTCTGATGGAAGTTGGTTTCGGATATCGTGCTGCGTGCTTCATTGACTTGATGCGCATGTTGTGTCTGTCCCTGTGCGAGGATGGAGCCATCCGGCGAAGTTGCTGATAACTGGCTCCCATGGCGGGGCGATATACCCGCTTCATAGCTCTCGGGGGATAGCGCTAGACATTGCAACTATTAGATATTGGCCAATTCGAATAAAACATATCCTCGGCTCTAGCGCACCTCGTTTGCGGGACCTTTCCCAGGCCCGTTTCTCGGGGAACACGCATTCCCTTAGTTCCCTTCGACAACGCGCACACGGTGGGCCGATCGGTAGGCCGTCGGGACCGGTTCCTAGGTCGCATTTGGCCTTGCGCTGCCGGCAAGGGATGCAGGCCTTGTAAGTGCGTTGATACGGCTTGTCTGGACGGGATGGCCTGACACCATCCATCGTCAACCGTTCCTGAGCGCTCCAAGTTGTTTTTAGTGTGGATGCTGTGGGTATTTCGTGAAGCTATGGATGAAACCCCGGGAGGTAGCAGAAGAGAGCTCCAATCGTTAGCCGGCGATATCCAATCGTTAGCCGGCGTTATCCGCTTTTGCCAAGCAATCTCTTTTCTGTGAGGATCGGACCTCCAGAAGAACGCTGCCTGAATTTGTGCATGTTCCAAGGTAATGACTTGAGATTATTTGAATAAAGCATCTAGAGAATTTTAATAGAATAGTACTTAGGGAAGTATTGACTTATATAGCGCATGCTCGACTGGATTGGCGTTGACTGAACCCTGACCCTGTACAACTAGCGACTCATAGCCAATAGAAGAACACCAGCAGATTACATGGGACACAGCCCTGGAGGACATCACGATTATCTGCAGGTCTCCCGCGGCCCGAGATCTCTTTAATACGCACTGCTAATGTGGGGAGCATGCAGTAGTCAATTAATGCCTGATGAATTTGGCGCTATATAAACCTAGAAGAATCACAAACAAAACAGAGAGTCAAAGGCTACAACACCTACAATTGGACATGAGGTATGTCTAAGGGCTACATGTTAAATGGCTATGGGAGAAGAGGCTGATACCCTCAGTTCACCCTACAAGGAACAAACATCTATATTGTAGGGACAGGCTCCCACCGACTGATCATCGACACGGCTCAGAGGATCCCAGAATGGGCGGATATCATTGCATCGACCTTGATCGATAACTCCATCTCTCTGTCCCATGTTTTCCTCACACACTGGCACGTTGACCATGCGGGTGGTGTTCCCGACCTCCATCGCCTTTACCCAGAGCTGCCGCAGTCTACATACAAGAACACGCCTGGACGAAACCAACAACCTATTGAAGACGGCCAGCGATTCAGAGTAGAAGGCGCCACTATCCGAGTGGTTCATGCGCAAGGACACTCTCATGATCATGTGTGCTTTGTACTCGAAGAGGAAAATGCCATGTTCACGGGAGACAATATTCTGGGCCATGGGAGCAGTGCCGTAGAGGAACTCGGCGTGTACATGGCATCCTTGAACAAATTGCAGGCCCAGAGATGTACCACTGGCTACCCCGCTCATGGTATTGTCATCACCGATCTCCCGGGCAAGATTACAGTGGGGCTGGCGCAGAAGAAAAGACGGGACGCCCAGGTCTTACAGACGCTGACCGAAATCCGACGAGAATACGGACGAAAGACGGCCAGTGTGACGGTTAAAGGGCTTGTCACTACCATGTACGGGGAGGGTATTGCCGATGAGGTAAAGCAGCAGGCACTGGAGCCATTCATGGATGAAGTTCTGAGAAACTTGGCCGAGGATGGCCGGGTAGCTTTTGAGTTTCGAGGCGGCGAGAAGCAATGGTTTGCGCTTGGTATTTAGTTTTGAAATATTATTTGACGACCATAGGAATTGACCTCTATGGCTATAGTACTTACCCCAACATTCTCCCGCTGTATGAGCGAGAGACATCCGTCGGATTTGAATAGACGTGGCCGGGGAATGGAGGAGTAGGTGGAAGCGTTGGCCCTGAAAGGGGTTGCTAAAGCCAACCTTCATACACCATCACTGTCCCCAAGCCCTGTTGCCAGTGGTGTAGAAAACCTCCCGATTCTCTGTCATGCGCGCTGTGTCCCCATATGTCATTATATCTCTTAACTCGTCCCCGGACGGTTCGAAACCGTTAGAATCCAGAGGAAGGTGAGTGAAGCTCTCTACCAAATTTCGTATGGTCAACGTCGCTCACTGATGATCAAGTTGAACAGTGTGCTTACCGTGGTGCGGTGTTAAGAGTTCATCACAAGTGATTGTTCTCTCGGTCAACTTTTCTAAGCGCCGCATAAGTCCCTGGTCTGCGTTTTTATTAATAAGAGTCTGGAGCATGTCCACCCATTCCTCTGAATCACCGAGTGCCTCCGGGGTATGAGTCTTCCAGATCTCATCCGCCTTCTTAGCGGTGGTGAATCTGATCAGAACTCGGAAGAGACATTCGGGGACCAAAGACGAGACCTCGTCATGCTGCTTTACCATACTCAGCCATCGATGAATGTGAAAACTGAGTGAAGTCTTCGTGGAGATTGTACCACCCTCAAACAAGCGAGATAACAGGAACTCGACTGCTTCGTTATTCACCGCATCTTGCCTCGCAAGATGAGTCAAATTGGCGTTCTCGGCCATTTTGCAGTGCGTTGCAGGCAGCAGGTCACTATGAGGAATGTCATAATTAGGGAGTGCTACTACGAGACACCTGGGTGGTGATGAACGGATGGATGCTACGACTTACCAAGTGGTCGACGAATTGGATGAATGGTGACAGTCGGGGAAGGTGAGAGTCGGAACCGTTGTGGATGAAGCACAAGGCCAGAGAAGAGACTGAGAATCGAGAACTGAGAAACAGCTGGCTGGTCAGATGTAGCTGGAAACAGCACGCCAAAACCGGAAGTGGCAAGGACAGAGCAGAGAGATGGGGGAAAGAGAATGGAGATTGATGAAGAAGATGTTGCAGATGGGCGATGAGGAAAGTTGCATATGGGTGAAGAGGAATGAACACCACAAGTGAAGAGAAAGCGTATATAGTGCCGAGTCTCTTGCCGGCGATGTCATCGCCGCCAGTGACGGTACACTAGCAAACAACGCACGACTACAATGGACGCACGACTACCATGAGCAAACACCATACGAGAGCCCGAGAACACCAGACGGAGTAATGTGTCCATTGTAGTCGTCGTTGTCGTCGATGACATCGCCGGCAAGAGACTCGGCACTATATACGCTTTCTCTTCACTTGTGGTGTTCATTCCTCTTCACCCATATGCAACTTTCCTCATCGCCCATCTGCAACATCTTCTTCATCAATCTCCATTCTCTTTCCCCCATCTCTCTGCTCTGTCCTTGCCACTTCCGGTTTTGGCGTGCTGTTTCCAGCTACATCTGACCAGCCAGCTGTTTCTCAGTTCTCGATTCTCAGTCTCTTCTCTGGCCTTGTGCTTCATCCACAACGGTTCCGACTCTCACCTTCCCCGACTGTCACCATTCATCCAATTCGTCGACCACTTGGTAAGTCGTAGCATCCATCCGTTCATCACCACCCAGGTGTCTCGTAGTAGCACTCCCTAATTATGACATTCCTCATAGTGACCTGCTGCCTGCAACGCACTGCAAAATGGCCGAGAACGCCAATTTGACTCATCTTGCGAGGCAAGATGCGGTGAATAACGAAGCAGTCGAGTTCCTGTTATCTCGCTTGTTCGAGGGTGGCACAATCTCCACGAAGACTGCACTCAATTATCACATTGATCGGTGGTTGAGTATGGTGAAACAGCATGACGAGGTCCCGTCTTTGGTTCCTGAATGTCTCTTCAGAGTTCTGATCAGTTTCACCGCCGCTAAGAAGGCGGATGAGGTCTGGAATATTCATACCCCGGAGACATTCGGTGATTCAGAGAAATGGAGGGACATGCTCCAGGCCCTGATCAATAAAAGGGCAGACAAGGGACTCATGCGGCACTTAGAAACGTTGCACGAGAGAACAATCACTTGTGACGAAGTCTAACACCGCACCACGGTAAGCACACTGTTCAACTTGATCATCAGTGAGCGACGTTGACCATACGAAATTTGGTAGAGAGCTTCACTCACCTTCCTCTGGATTCTAACGGTTTCGAACCGTCCGGGGACGAGTTAAGAGAGATAATGACATCAGGGGACACAGCGCGCATGACAGAGAATCGGGATATTTTTTACACCACCGGCAACATTGCCTGGGCCGTTCGAACGCCTTACTGGCATATTGCCAAGGTAATCGCCTGCTGTCGGATGATGTTCTCGATCGTGCGCTTCCCAAGTGGAAGCAGGTCATCACTGGCGAAAAGGATCAGGACGCCAACATACCCGACGGCTCCACAAGCTTTCAGTGAGTGGCTGGCTGCCGAGCGGCAGAAGGCCCGTCGTCTAGGCAAGCCTTGGCCCCCACCACCTCCCACTGTTGTGCTCTCCGCGTCGGCTCCGAAGGAGCACGCCCACTGAAAGGATCCGCGGCGTTTACCTCTCGGTTAAGTCGCTTTCGCCTCGGCGGTCATGCCCGCACGTCGTCTTTTGGAAGAGAGGATGCTCATGAGGTCGAGCAGACACGACTGATTCAAGAGATAGGCGCAGAGATGAGAGAGACAAGGAGGCTACTTGAAGAAGTCAGAAATAAGGTTGATCCAATGATTTCAGAGCTGCATGGACCCGCTTACCAAATTTATCAGGAGGCGGATTTCTTGTACCAGCAGGCGGCAGCAGCATATCCCACAGAGCTGGATAGACACGCTTACCAAACTTATCAGGAAGCGGGGCCTTTGTTCCTGCCGCCAGATCCCACAGAGGTTCGGTCCCCCATAGGTGCCCCTGCGGAGATAGACTGGCAGGAATGGCTGGTCTTCCCGGAGGACGATTGAGCTTGTTTCTCTCAAAAACACCAAGAAAACCAACGAAAACCCAGCGACACGTTCATGTTTGATTCAGAAAATCAACAACAGAACCGAGCGCAATGGCATCATACTGTTTGTAGTTGCTTCAGTTTGCGAGGAGAGAAACCCGGAATGATGGAACAAGACGAAAACAACCAACTGCTGGATGAGTGCTTGAGGATGCATCCAGGCACCGCTGTCAAGAGTTCTTTCCCTTCTAGATAGACGCCGAGACGGATCATATTGTGAATAACATATTGCTCACCGTACCATGGGCAGATGACTGGCTCTTTTGAGAATTGTACACATCACCTTTATGCGCATATCCGCACCAGTCATATCAAGCGGGCAACCCAAAAGGGCACAGATACAACGTTCCTCCTCACCAAGTTTAGCTGTTTGATAATCGATTCTACGGACAAAGAAGCTCAGTGTCTCTACCTCTTACGCAGTAGCATTCATCAGCGATATACTGTTACAGGCAATCCCTTCCGTCTCGAACGGATAGCCGACGCTGAGTGCACTGTTACTTAGGACCACCTGAGAACTCACAGAATTGGCCTGCCGTCTGCTCGGACTCTCAACCTCCTCTGCTTGCTAAGAATTTGGCAAGCGGAGGCCACCAGGTTCTTGAGCCAACTGTCTACTGATAGCCCATCCTTAAACGTCAAACCATGGAAATGGTTCAAAAGTAAAAACATACAACAGTGAGGATTCGCTGGTGGTCACCCACCCAACTACTAACTCACCGGCGTGTGGCTTAAGTACGGCTGAGCGGACGGGAAGCCCTGTTTTCCACACCCTATGGTCGTATGTACGGGGTATTGTTGTGAGCATAATTATATCTAACAAGGAATTGGATGAGCAGCTGAGCTGAAGTCTGCCGAAGTGAAAGGGTTGTAGGGCTTGTAGGACAAGCGGTTACCGACGCCATCGTACTCCGGTTGATTTCGACCAGAGAGAGAAACCGGAGTTAATTAACTCCCAAATACCGATCTTGGATTTCTAAGCGCTTGACACAGCCCTGGAGGAAGGCGTCGTTAGACAAATTGGACGATGACAGGGGTTTACGCAGGTGTATAGCGCCCAGGGGTACGGTACAGGGGTCGGATGGGGGTTGCAAAACCCGATAAACCCGACCCAGTCATGCTCCATCGGACCCCGACAGACTACAACAAAGAGAAAGACAAGGAGTTAGGCATTTGCGGCAGAAGCGACACCAACATAAATCTCAAAAGGGACTAACCATCCGACCATGGGTTACGGCTTCAAACTATTAAAGCGATGCCTTTCTCCCACTGTGCTGTGGTATACGAATCAAGCCTCGAAAAGCAAGATTGAGTGAGGTGAAGCTTCAGAGTAGCTCTACAAGTATTACAACAAACCTCACATCCAATCCAATCCAATCTAAGAAAATGCCTCCTCCACCCCCTCCTCCCAAGAGTGTCCTGGGCCGCCATCGTCTCCTGGCTCCCTCGGCGTCGGTGCGTGTCAGCCCGCTGTCGCTAGGCGGCATGAGTAAGAACTCTTATTCTTCCTATCAAAAAAAAAAAAGAGAAAAACATACTAACAGTTATCCAGGTCTGGGCGACAACTGGAAAGGCATGATGGGTGAATGTACAAAGGATCAGGCATTCGAGCTCCTGGACGCCTATTACGACCTGGGAGGTAATTTCATCGACACCGCCAACATGTACCAATTTGGACAGAGTGAAGAGTGGATCGGTGAGTGGCTGCAGAAGACGGGCCGACGATCTGAGATCGTGCTCGCAACCAAGTACTCGCTTAGCCCGATCTTCGGCAAGTCCGTGCAACAGAGCAACTACGGTGGCACGGGCACCAAGAGCATGCGCGTGGCGGTCGACGAAAGCCTGAAGCGTCTTCAGGTCGAGTATATTGACCTGTACTATGTTCATGCGTGGGACTTTGCCACCTCCATCCCTGAGCTGATGCAATCACTCAATACCCTCGTCCAGCAGGGCAAGGTCCTGTATCTGGGAATCAGCGACACGCCCGCTTGGGTCGTTACCAAAGCTAATGCTTATGCGCGTGAGCACGGTCTACGTCCGTTCTCGGTCTATCAGGGTCGGTACTCGGCTATGATGCGCGATCTCGAGCGTGATATCATTCCCATGGCTCGGGATGAGGGCATGGCTATTCACCCCTGGGGTGTCCTCGGCAGTGGTATGTCTTTCTCCGCCATGAACATATTAGCCTTTGCTAATGACTGTAGGATACTTCCGCTCACCCGATGCCGCCCCCAAGGAGGGTGGTCGTCAAACGCCTCATGTGAAGACGGGCCGCGAAGAACAGGTGTCGGCCGCCTTAGATGCTGTCGCCAAGCGCCATCAAGTCCCCATTACGTCTGTTGCGCTCGCTTATGCACTGCAAAAGGTAAAGAACACCTTGATCTCATGAATCTTTCTTTCACTAACTGGTTCAGGCTCCGTATATCTTCCCCATGGTTGGCGGAAACAAAGTCTCTCATCTCAAGGCCAATGTCGAAGCCTGGAGCTCACTCCTGAGGATGTGGCAGAGGTTGACAAGGGCTACGAGTTCGATCTCGGCTTCCCACACAACTTCCTCAACTTGGGTGGCTTTATGCCCCAGGGTCCACAGCACGTGTCCTACCTCGCGGGCTTGGGTCATTTCGATTATGTCGAGGCTCCAAAGGCAATCAAGCCTCAGAAGTAGTCGAAGCTGTCCATGTCAATGGTACTAGCTCGAGATATACACACCCGTATATATAGACAAATTCAGGGTTATGATATTGCCCACTAGGTTCCATTAGGTAGCAATCTATAAAAAAGCAGAACCATTCCGTGTAATACATCACGTTTCAGGTAGTAGGGTACTAGACTAGTTTGAAAAATACTACATTGATCTTCCCTCAACCTCATCGAGCTGCTTGTAGGGTTACCGAGTTCTTCTTCTCCCTCACAACATACAGAACATTTGAAAAGCGTAGCAACGTTTCTTTCAGCAACAGCAAATCCTCGTTAGACCTTCTCCAACCAGTAAATCAAGCGTGGCAAATAAAGATGCTTCGAGCATAGCAGGAAGTTTTCCCGCGAATCAAACTTCATGGCAGCCATCGGCTCGCGATAACTCCGGAGTGTGATTGTCGATGATTGGCGTCTAACCACCCTCGTGACAAGCCCGTACGCGCGAAGGGTAATGCCCAAATATGGAAAACATCTCTGGGTCGTCAGGACTCATGGTGTCCTCCTCACATGCTTGCATCAACTCAAAATCCACCATTTTTACAGCATTGGTTTCCGGGTCATACAAGACATTATGCATCCCGGAGTCAATAACAATGGTCGACGATTGGCTGAGGACCTTGATAGCCTTGTAATCTCTGAATGTATGTGCTCCTTGACCCTTCCAGAAAGTTGCTTCCATTGTTTGTCGAGCCGTTCCCCATCAACCTTTGTCATCACAATGATATAACCCTGGGGAAAGATCGAAGAGCAACAGATCTTGCCGATGCTTAGTAGTGAGGGGAAGAAATCGGAACCGGCTGGACGTTGCGCATGGATGTTCTCATACGTCCTCACTTCGTCAGCAAATCCACTGACGAATCGTTCCCAGTTCATCTTCTCTTTGCCGATGACATCTTGGCGGCAAAACAACCCTTGTCGATGTCCTTGTATTGCTCGTGCCGGGTGAGAGCGTCCCAGAACTTGATAAGCTGGGACCAGGCATACAAGTACTCCTTGTCGTCATTGGCCTCCTTGTGGTCGTGGCAGAGCTTTACCTGGACGGCAATGTTGGCATAGATCGACCGCACATACCACTTGCCGAAGTCTGAACTTTTATCATAGTCCAGTATGGGCTTTGCCCAGTAGAACACCTCCTCAAACTTGTCCGGAGTGAAGTTGCTCTCAAAGTGCCGGTAGGGCTTTGTAGGATCGGTTGAATCAGCCATGCTTAAATCTCCACCGGCACTGCGGGCCAGTTCCTTTTCGTGCGCTGCATGCTCCTAAGGACTTCTTAGCTTAACTATACAGGACAAATGTTGATAAAAGCAATTACTAACTAGCATTTTGGCGCGGGTCATTGACTTCCACTGTCGGGTGTTGGACATCACGATTGCTCGCGACTCACTAAACTCGTAGGTATGTTCGTTTCGTTCTTCAAGAACGTCGTAGATAACCTGAGGAACCGTTAACAGGGTCGTAAATAAGGTTCAACTGGACTTACCAATGTGGCAAGAGGCTGCTTCCTCTCAAGAGAGAGCCAACCAGCCATCGTGGGGCGGTTGCTGTCGATTGCACCAGGCGTAGCTCTGATGGTAATCAGACCTAGATGGTGGTCACCCGGGGTGGTGTAGTCCTCGTGCTCTTCACCACAGTCCCCGTGTCATCTTCTGAAAGTCTGTTGGCGTGATGAGCACGTCATGTTCTCCTTGTACCGGGACTCTATCGTAGAGAGCATTGAATGGCAAGACATGATCCGTCGTGTTCGTTGGCGATGGTGTGGATCGGGAGTGAACCAAGAGTTGAAACGTTGGAAGCAACGTCGGCCATGGCTCGTGATATGAGTGTCAAGACGGGAACATGGTCGGTCAATGCTTGTACATGTCTGATGTCTCCCAGAACCAGGATGTTGTGAGGACGCCATACTGTCGAGTAGAACCCGGATGTCTAGTCATACGATTAGACGAAGCCACCCATGTTGCTGGGGCATGTCGCTTGTGAACCGTATGCCAGGCCATTGAAGTCACAGAGGGGACCATGAGACGTCTGATGGCAGTCATGGCACTTGGAATCGATGAACCGGGAGTCGGGTTGACGGGAGTATGAGAGATGAAGGAGATGATGAAGGCTATGTCAAGATGATGGAAAGGCATATAGGAGGATGAAAGTGGAACCGCCCGTCGAGGCCACTTTCTCTTATATATATATATAAATGGATGATGGAAGGAGAGAAGAACTATCAAGGTGGGAAGCACCTATATATATGCGAGGAAGCAGAGACCACATGACCAAACACGGGCAGTGACCTACTAACTATATTGTTTAATCTTATGTTTTGTTTCCGAGAGATTAAGCAGCTTGTTAATCATAAATCGACCTCGAAGAATTGATACCCTGCCATAGAATCAGACACCAGATCAGACGCGGCACGTGTCGCAGTCGGGTTGTGGTGGCAATTCGTAGGGATAGCCTTGCCAGTTGGCGGGATGCTTCCAATACCAGTTGACGGGGAGCTCGCTAACTGGACAGAAGATTTTGTTGATATTTTATTTAGAAGTACTCCACTGTACAAGTGTACAGATGTCCCGTTCACTTTGTACTGCGTATATAGTCAATGAAGAGCGAGCAACGCGAACCTGTCTGCCAACCAGGTACGCCACTGGGAGACTACCTCCCCACTACTGTGACACTAGGTACCAGAGCCAATGAAGAACAACTCCCGAGGTCGGCAAAGACGGCCCAGGAGAAGATTCCTTGGAAGATAGAATAATATGAATATGCAGTAAAATTCCTCATGAGGATCACAGCGGAAAATGGAAATGCACAGCGCTTGGACTCGGCTTTAACGCCGCGGAACACATTCCGCACCCCAGATTATTGTAAGTCCGCCAAGACCAACTATGTACTGGACGCGTCCCAAGGCTAACGGTACACAATCCCCGCGGCTACAGGAGGGAAGATCGAACAAGAGGAGGCTTAACATAAGTAGTCCGGTTTATAAGCGTAGTCTGTTTTATACGCACGAATACGCTCCAGTCCCATCTTATAAGCCCATCTTAACCCACTGTCCAACATCCCATAGCTCGATTACAAGATACCATCAACCACCACAATGACCGACAAAATAACCCTCCACACCTACTTCCGCTCTTCCTGCTCCGCCAGGCTGCGAATAGCCCTCCACCTGAAAGAAATCCCCTTCGAATCAGTCTACGTGAACCTCCTAAAAGGCGAGCAATCCACACCCGCCCACCTGGCCATCAATCCATCCGGCACTGTGCCAGCCCTCGTAATCCAGCGTGAATCCCAACCCCCCGTGACAATTACCCAGTCCCTCGCTGCACTCGAGTATCTCGCCGAAGCGTTCCCGGAAAAGGAACCGGCGCTGATGCCCCCGGCCTCGGACCCAGAGACTCGCGCGGTAGTGCGCACGCTGTCAGACATTATCTCCTGTGATATCCAGCCTGTTACGAATCTGAGGATCTTGAAGAGAGTTGGCCCACTTGGTGTTGATCGGGCTGCTTGGTCGAAGGATCTCATGGAGGAGGGGTTTAGGGCCTATGAGGCTGTTGTTAAGGGGTCTGCGGGGAAGTTTAGTGTTGGGGATCAGATTACTATTGCGGATTTGTGTTTGATTCCGGCTGCTTGGGGGGCGCAGAGGTTTGGGGTTGATTTGGGACAGTTTCCGGTTACGAATGGGATTGTACAGAGGTTGGAGATGGAGGAGGCTGTGAGGAAGGGGCATTGGAGGGCTCAGGAGGATACGCCGGAGGAGTTTAGGATTAAGGAATAATTAGCGGGGTTACAGGTTGCAAATTGATAACCTTGAAGGTTGGTTGAATGTTTGGTCAATACATCTTAACGAAGACAGCCATGCAATAGCGATGCCACCAGTCTGCATCTTTGAATCTAGATGGGTTGCGAGGCAAAAAAGCTGGCCTAGCGGCTGGATAAACCGGCAAAGTCATGACATCGCGAGCTTTGTAGAGACATTTTATTGGAACAGGAGTAGAGTATTGCAGCATCATACAGTTGTTATTTAAATTGTAACTCTCTACTGCAACGGAATAGCAGGCAAGATAGTGCCAACACAATCACCGAAGCCAACATAGTTGCCTTCCGTACCAGCCATACCACGCAGAATAACAGTATCGCCATCCTCCAGGAACATACGCTCAGAGCCATCCGCCAACTTTATAGGCGTCTTGCCATTAGTCTGCTCCAAGAAACTACCCTCAGACCTAGGCTCAGTGCCAGAAATAGTACCCGATCCAAGTAAGTCACCAGTGCGCAAGTTGCAACCCGTGATAGTGTGGTGGGCAACCATCTGAGGGAAAGAGTAAAGCAGATTGCGAGCATTGCTCTTGGAAATAACAGTAGGCTGGCCGCCAGCATTGGTAACCTCGACATCAAGGGGGATCTCATAGGCACCCTCGGCGCGCTTCTCGCGCAGGTAAGGGAGCAGAGAGTCGCGGTTGGCAGGCTCGAGACCAGGGGCACGGAAGGGTTCCAAGGCATCAATGAGGACGACCCAGGGAGTAATGGTTGTGCCGAAGTTCTTGGCGTTGAAGGGGCCGAGAGGGACGTATTCCCATGCTTGGATGTCACGGGCGGACCAGTCGTTCATGAGGACGAGACCGAAGATGTGGTCCTCGGCTTCGTCAATTGAGACGGGCCGGCCGAGATCGTTGGGCTTGCCGATGAAGCAGGCAAGTTCCAGCTCGATGTCGAGCTTCTTACAAGGGGAGAAGGTGGGCACCTTGGGGTTGGCGGCGGGGTTGGCGAGGACCTGGCCCTGGGGGCGGTGGAGGGGTGTGCCAGAGGGCACGACTGATGAGGCACGACCGTGGTAGGCAACGGGAAGGTGCTTGTAGTTGGGCTGGAGGGCATTGTCGGGGCCACGGAACAGGACGCCAATGTTGTAGGCGTGGTTCAAACCGGCGTAGAAATCGGTGTAGTCACCGATCTGCATGGGGAGGTGGTTCGTGATCTGAGACCGCGGTAGCAACGCTGCGTCACGGAGAGCAGCATTATCCTTGAGAACCTGGGGGAATTTGGTGTCGGCGCGGAAGATGTCCTGGAGGTACTCGCGCACTTGTCGGTGCACGGGACGACCGAGTGCAGCGAAATCATTCAGTGTGGGCTGGTTGAATACACCAATGTGTTGTTGGAACTCTGAGAGGTGAGAGAAGCCTCCCAGTGAGCCGAATGCGCTCAAGTCTAATACATGATCACCGATGGCAATTGCACCGACTTTGGATGCGGATTGTGATGAGATGATGCCGAAGGGAATGTTGGCCAGTGAGAACGGCGAGTTCTTGGGAATCTGAAGCCACGAAGTCATTTTGGATATGTATGTTTTATGAGGAGTTTTGAAGAAAGAAAAGTGAATTCGCGATCTTAACTACTTGGTAATGTTTTCACCCCTCGATGGAGTGCGGAACAAATCCGCTCCCCCGCATCCAGCCGGTGCGGAACGAAAGGATAATCGCGGGAATTACAATGCCGCGGAAAGACGTCAACGTTAAATTGGGTCATTTGAGAATGGAGGTCCTCGGTTGTCTTGCTGCATTATTTAGTTTTGTTACAAGGCACACTGATCTCTAACATTATCAAATTCACATCACCGTCATTATGCCTGTCACTAAATTCAGCCATCCCGACCCATACACATACCAGACGGGCTTCGACTCACACCACGAGTACGTCCTCATAGAAAACAGAGTGCCGATCGTCAAATTAATACGTAAACAGGTCGGAAGCTGTCGAGGGCGCTCTACCCATCGGCCAAAACTCTCCACAGAAAGCCCCATATGGTCTCTACGCCGAGAAGCTCTCGGGCACGGCATTCACTGCCCCGCGCCATGAGAACAAGCAAACATGGGTCTACCGCATTTTGCCTGCAGCAGCCCACGAGAATTTCATCGAGGAAGAAGCCGACTCTTACCACACTAGCATGACAACTGAGACCCACAAGCTCCACCACATTCCCAACCAGCTGCGATGGAACCCCTTCGATCTAGACGAGAACGCCGACTGGGTGCATGGACTCCATCTGATCGCAGGCTCAGGAGATCCAACTTTGAAGCAAGGATTGGGTATTTTGATGTATGCTGCCGGCAAAGATATGGGCAAGGAGGCCTTTTACTCCGCAGATGGAGACTTCTTGATTGTGCCCCAGCACGGTGTGCTGGACATCCAAACAGAGCTCGGCCGTATTCTCTTGCGACCAAATGAGATTTGCGTGATCCCTCGCGGTGTCAGGTAAGGCTTTGTCTACTCGCGCAAACCTCCAATTCCTAACAGACTTTCCTCAGATACCGAGTAACTCTCCCCGACGGCCCCGTTCGCGGCTACATCTGCGAACTGTACCAAGGCCACTACCAGCTCCCCGAACTGGGACCCATTGGATCCAACTGCCTGGCCAATGCACGCGATTTCCAAGCTCCTGTTGCGGCATTCGATGACGAAGAGGAGAGCGAATACAAGCTGTACAGCAAATTCAACAACACGCTCTTCTCCGCACGTCAGAACCACACCCCCTTCGATGTCGTCGCCTGGCATGGCAATTACTACCCCTTCAAGTACGATCTTGGTCGGTTCAATACCATCGGCTCGATCTCATTTGACCACCCCGATCCTTCTATCTTCACCGTTCTGACAGGTCCCTCCGACCATGTTGGTACTGCCATTGCCGACTTTGTGATTTTCCCTCCTCGCTGGCTCGTTGCAGAGAACACTTTCCGTCCTCCTTGGTACCACCGTAACACCATGTCAGAGTTCATGGGCTTGATCGCTGGTGATTACGACGCCAAGGTTGGCGGTGGCTTCCAGCCTGCTGGTGCTAGTTTGCACAATGTCATGAGCGCACACGGTCCTGACTCCGGTGCTTTTGAGGGAGCCAGCAATGCTGAGTTGAAGCCTCAGAAGGTTGGAGATGGAAGTTTGGCTTTCATGTTTGAGAGGTGAGTTTGGAATGTCCTAATTATCTCTGAGTGTTTGATCCGCCTGCTGACAAGAATCTAGCTGCCTGATGGTTGGTGTTTCCGAGTGGGGTCTGAAGAAATGCCAGAAGGTGCAGCCAGAGTACAACGAGCATAGCTGGAAGCCTCTGAAGCGACACTTTGTGAACCCTAACAAGAAGGCTTAAAGTGTCGGATTTGGGCATATTATGATAAATACGTATAAATCACAATTTCAATTAATTACTTATTATGAAGCAAAAATGTGCCAGAATTTAACGCTGTGGGATTATTGGGGCAATTCGTAGGAATAGGTAGTCTTGCCAGTTGGCTGGAGGCTCGCCAGTTGACGGAAAGCTTGCTAAACAACGTCTGGGATTTGGCACCCATAACTGGATACTGTCAACTGGACGGAATATTTCTTGTTGATATTTTATTTAAGAAGGTACTGTACATGTAACCCCGTTGAATCTAATAGACATCTCAACCCCTAAGCTCATTAATCATTTCTTCTCGTCACCCTCCATCTCCTTCCTCATCGCCTCCTTAACGATAGCCCCACACATCTTCGCATATGGATTCGTCTGCACAGCCAGCTGCTGCGCAACCTTATTCCCATATCTCCCCCCAAAGAAGAAATCCCGACTAGCCATTTCCTCAAGTTGATCCGCCGAAAGCTCCCTCAAGCGCTCCGGTCCCGTCTCATCACCACCAACAAGCCCCTTCTTTGCGCGCGCCGCTTTGAGAAGCAAGTACCCGCGATGCGTGTGAGCGTCGGCCAATAGCCGCGCCTGGGCCGTTGACACCGCGTCAGCAGGAGAGGCGGGCGTGGCCAGGGTGATGGCTTGACCTAGGTCAGCGAAGATACGAGAGCAGAGCTGGGAGGTTTGTGGAGCGAAGAGTGCGGCGTCGGCTAGTTCGGTGTCGGCGGGATTCGCTTCGGTTGTGTTGTAGATGAGGTCGACTAGCAGGCGGAGTGTTTGTGCACGGTTTGTGTAGGCGGAGGGGTATGTAGGATGTTTTGTGATGAGGGAGTCGAAGTCGCTGAGTGCTGACTTGAGTGTGTCTTCGCTTGGTGATTTGTCTGATTGCAGCCTGCGGATGATATCTGTTTCGCGCTGCTTGAGAGATGCCAGGTCCGTTTCGGAGATGTTTAGAGATGTTGGCCATGAGGTGAGAGAGGAGTTGATGGTCACTCCTGACGACGGAGAGGATTCGGCGTCGAATAGAGCTTGTAGAACGGCCGAATCATTCGATGTTAATGATGGGCGCGCTGTTGCGATGGACGTCATTTTGAGGTTTGGTGTTTGGATGTGAAAATTCTGAGAAGTATGAGATCAAGAGTTCGTTTACAGTAATGCCTGGAATTTCAATTAAAGGGAGGATTTAGGAGAAAAATGTAGAAAAATATGGAAGCTTGAGAGTTGAGAGTAAATCGAATAGCTCCAGGCGGATAAAAGTGATGATCGTCACGGGCGGATATTTCCGGATATTTCAGGGTCCTCGAATAGCCGCATAGCATCAAAGAGCCACTGACGAAGTGGATTGGAAATAGGATCCGCTAAAGACAATGACGGTTACTGGAGGCTCTTTATATTATCTCTTAAAAAGCCAGGGTACCATACGTTTGGGTCGATTACGATATAAACTCAACATCTCTCATCTTCCACATACATTTTCTACTTCTATCTTTCCATCTTTTACTCACTATCAGGCATATACCAAGCAAAATGGCACCTGTAGCTACTTCAAATAGCCCTCCTCCTTCTACCTCAGGCGAAGTATCCAGCTACCGCGGCTATGACCACGTCCACTGGTACGTCGGCAACGCCAAGCAAGCCGCAAGCTACTACATCACCCGCATGGGCTTCAAGCGTGTTGCCTACAAGGGTCTCGAGACTGGCAGTCGCCATGTCTGCTCCCATGTCATCCGCAACGGCGACATCACATTCATCCTGACCTCGCCTCTGCGATCCCTCAACCAGATGGACCGTTTCAATCCCGAAGAGCAGGCCGAACTCAAAGAGATTCACGAGCACCTCGAGCAGCACGGTGATGCAGTGAAGGATGTTGCATTCGAGGTCGATGATGTGGACTCTGTTTTCTTTGCAGCTGTGAAGAATGGTGCTAAGGCTGTCTCTAAGCCTAAGACTCTTGAGGATAAGGATGGCCATATCAAGACTGCTACCATCCAGACATATGGTCAGACAACTCATACCCTGATTGAGCGCAACCAGTACCACGGTGTCTTTATCCCGGGCTATCGTGCTGAGATGGCAAACGTGGATCCCATTACGCAGTTCTTGCCCGGCGTTCATCTCAAACATATCGATCATTGTGTCGGGAACCAGGACTGGGATGAGATGGATAAGATCTGTGAATAGTGAGTTATGACACTTTTGCACTTGACTTGTATAATATCGACTGACCCTCTATCCAGCTATGAGAAAGCCCTCGGCTTCCATCGTTTCTGGTCCGTTGACGACAGCCAAATTTGCACGTAAGTGTTGAGAAGAGCCTAAACCCTAAACCAACATTCAAGACGACTAACACCCCCATCTCAGTGAATTCTCCGCCTTGAAGAGTATTGTGATGGCCTCCCCCAACGAGATTGTTAAAATGCCCATCAATGAACCAGCAAAGGGCAAGAAACAATCTCAGATCGAAGAATACGTCGACTTTTACAACGGCGCTGGCGTGCAACATATCGCCCTCCACACCGACGACATCATCCGCGACATCACCAATCTCAAGGCCCGTGGCGTCGAGTTCATCAAGGTCCCAGAGACATATTACACAGATATGCAAGCTCGCTTGAAGCAGTCCGGCCTGGTCCTGCAGGAAAGCTTCGAGACGATTCGCAGTCTGGACATTCTGATTGATTTCGACGAGGGCGGCTACTTGCTGCAGCTTTTCACTAAGGTATGTACAAACCCACAGCGTATTGTAGCTTGTATCTAAATACTGACTTGCTACATAGCACATGATGGATCGACCGACTGTGTTCATTGAGATCATCCAGCGACACAACTTCGATGGCTTCGGTGCTGGTAACTTCAAGTCGCTGTTTGAGGCTATTGAGCGTGAACAGGAGCTGCGCGGTAATCTCGTTTAAGAAAAAAGAATCTTTGTTTAGGTAGTCTTCTGGCTTGGTTTACTTGGGTGAACCCTATGGTTGGGCATTTCCATGCATTTAGCGGATAGTTTTTTTTGGTTTAGTTAGGGATAATCTTACAACGATCTAGTATCTCATCAATTCAGTTTTGCCGGTCTTTGAATTCCCAGTATACGAGCATATCCCTTGAGAGATGTCGAGTTTTCTTGAAACGCCGTTGAGGAGTGTAGTCACTACTACTATGAGCGGTAACCGCTTAGCCTACAACCCTTACACTTCAGCTCATCCAATGGCTTCTTAGATATGATTCAGCCCATCACTATACCCAATACATACGACCATAGGGTGTGGAAAACAGGGCTTCCCGTCCGCTCAGCCGTACTTAAGCCACACGCCGGTGAGTTAGTAGTTGGGTGGGTGACCACCAGCGAATCCTCACTGTTGTATGTTTTCTTTTTGTTTTGTCTACCTAGGATAGGAGGATTTACGTGCTTTAAAGCTGTTGTGGTATATTGATGTACACAGTAAGTAACTGTTAACAGAGGCCTCAACCTCAGCTATCCGTTTGAGACAGAAGCCCGGAGATGCCTACAACAGTATATCACTGATAAATTCCAGGTGGTACTGTGTAAGAGAGTCTTAGAAACCCCGAGCTTCTCTGTCCCGCCGTAGAACGGTAGAATCGATTATCAAACTGTTTCAAACAGCTAAACTTGGTGAGGAGGAACATTGTAATTTGTATCTGCGCCCTGTTGGTTTGTCTACTTGATATGAGTTACGTGCGTACTCCCGCCTTTCTATTTGTTGGCTTTTACCCCTCGCATTATCATTGGCCAGCGGGAAAACTATGTACATACATGCCCCCTTTGGGTTTAGCCTCTGCAATTGCATCTGCCTGGCTTTGTTTACCTGTTCACGCGTTGCTTCCACCTCAAATCTACAGCCTCTTGCCATGTCGAATCCTACCTCCCAGGCTCCCATCCAACCAATAAAACCATCTCAAATATGACTAGATCTTACTCCCTCTCTAGGCATGAGTCTTTCTTACACACTTAGTTGGTCCGATGTTGATCTCTAGTGGACCACTTGCATGAACGATGGTTCGCTTGAACAAAGCATTCGGATATTTACCCGTGGTCTCTTAAGTACACCAATCGGAACCGTATTCATGACTCGTAAGTTTCATCATAGGACATCCGTAACCCGAGGCTTGGGCCGAATGGCCAATTTGCCAGCCTGGTTAATCATAGCTTCATAGCCAGCTCTTTCCAGCACGCCACCATCCTTACTAACAACCTCCTGGGCCTCGAGTTCCTCAACAAGACGCTGGTTCTCACGGTTCCCCTCCAACAAGAACTTAAGACACATCACAGCATGTTCCTTGATGTACGGATTGTGCGCGTCGAAAGCAGTGCAGCAGAGAATAGCCTCCACGCCGCCGTAGCGACGGATCTGCTCTTGGACCTCGGGACATTTCCACACAAGCGAAGAGAGCACAAGCACGACCAGTTTCTTGAGATTGCGCCATTCAAACTCGGAGGGATCCTCCGTGATAGGCGGGGACTCGGGTCGGGAGCCGACACTGCCGGGGCCGTTATCGTTGGGGTCTGGGTCGCTGGGATCGTAGGGACGTTCGACGGCAACAGGGGCTGATGGAGCCGTACTGGATGGATCTTCCGTGGAGTCGTTTCTTAGGGGAGGGGAGGTGGCACGTTACCGAAGGATAGTTGGCTCAGTTCTCCTTTGGGGATACTTGCTTCCAACTCCTTGATCAATGTCACCAGGTCGTAGACGATCTCCCATTTGACCAGCAGGTTCTTCCAGTCGTTGTTTTCGGTCAACACGGCGAAGAACTCCAGGAACTGGTAGACACCTTCGTAGACCCGTTCCATGTCCCACAGATTGAGCGGGAAGTCCTCGGACAGAGCCCGCTCGGCGCGAATCTGGCCTTGGAGGTAGATCAGAGCACATGTCTCGGGAATGATGTTGCCCCGGAAGATGGTGAAGATGTAGCGGACGGTCAAGATATCAACTCGGTTGAGCGAACTCGGGCTGCGGGGGATGTTGGGCTGGGCCGAGCCCGTCACCGAGGCAGGAGAGTACTTGGCGCGGAAGATGTGGGTGAGAATCTTGATCACCACAGCTTGGGCCGGAGAAATGATGTCCTTGGGCTGACCAAAGTCGGAGTAAGCATGGGACATGAGGCCATTCTTGAGCACGGCTTCCATAATCTGGACCATCATCTTGAAGTAAAGTTCGTCGTCAGGGAGATCCCATGCTGCAATGAAAATCAGCAGTTCACGCAGCAAGTTGCGGCCTGTCTCCTGCGTGAGCAAGATGTGACAACGGAGCGCTTGCATGTTCCTAGTTCCATTCCGCTCGCCGCCCTTGAGGCCAAAGCTGTCGACAATACCGGCCTGGACGATCATAGGTAAAGCTTCAATTTCCGCCGGTCCAAGGACCAAGGGAATATCTGTCAGGAGGCCTCGTTGTTGATCACCAGGACGACCACGATATTCGTCATCCTCTTCTCCTTCGTCATCACCGTCTCCATCGATGCCATCGTCGTCCACATCATCCTCGCCATCTCCGTCAACGCTTCCGTCAACCTCGGCCTCCAGGCTGCGTGAGTCTTCGTCGCCCACAGTGTGCGCATCTCCATGGTCATAGTCGTGCTCTTCGTCGCCATCAATGTGTGATGGCTCTTGAAGCCGAGCCATGAGTTCGTCCTTGGCCTCTTGGAGGGTTTCGGCGGCGGACTGAGCTGACCGAGGCATACTGGTATCTTCATCCGTGACGGGCCCATCCACGGCGCCGAAATCGTTGATCTCTGGCAAATCAGCCCAGCAAAGTCGAGGGAAGCCGGCTGTCAGGCTGCGATCAATAGTGAGGATAGTCTTTTTCTTAGCCACTTCATGCTCTTCTTCCTCCTCCTGGTCGTGTGCCTCCTGACGCTCATGCTCTTCAGTTGCCTGCTCTTCGAACTCTTCATGCTCAGCTTCGGGAAGCGCAGCCGGGAGGTCGCGAGCCCTGTCCTGAAGATCAGACCAACCGTCAACCTTGGCTCCGAGGATTGCGGTCAAAGCGGCCCGGATATCCTTGACTTGATCTGGATCCCTGCCCATCTCCTGAATAGCACTGAGATCTCGCCCCAGAATCCTCTCCATGTGATCCTTGATGTTAGCCAGAAGAAGCATGGCGGCCTCTTCCTTGATAGTCGCCGGCTCCCGAGGGAACTTGGCAATAGTCTCCAAAAGCAGATCCTCCGCGGTTTGATCATAGAGTGCACGAATTGGGGGATTGATGACGCGCTCCCCGACTTGTACAACCGGCGCAACTCCTTCACGCGAGCTGGCATCGTCAAGAGGCTCCCTCGGCTTGATAATATTTGTATCGGCGGTCGAATGGTAACCAAACAAATCTAACCAGAGGACCATCTTGCGGTGCTCGTTGTGCATTATGAAGTTGTGAAGGTATTGAAGGCACGTAATCAGAAGGCGCTTGTAGAGATTGACGACTTTCTGCCATCGCTCCTCGTTTCGCGCATTTTGCTCGCCATCAAAGCCCCGGGCTGTAACCCTAACACATGTGTCGATCAGAGCTAAGATCCTTTGATCGAAACCTGTTTCCGCCGCGAGGTTCTGCGCCTTCTTAGTGGTAGCGAGAAGGTTGCGGGCGATCGTGCACAGATCATTGAGGCGCTCAATGTCTTTAACCAACGAGAAATAATTGTATGCAATAAGGTTTGCCGAGGAATGTTCGTAGCTTGCCGCGGGGCTTTTCCATGCGAAAGATTGAGACTCGAGAACCGGGATCGCTTTTGTAAGGACATCCGTGAGGCCTTGCCAGATGTCCGATGACATGCCAAGGTTATGTCTGACGCGCAATATGTTAGTATATAAAGCTTGAAATCAGTTATGGTTATATCGCAATCTTACCGAACATCGCTTTCCTGATGTGTCTTGTACAGAATCTGCTTCCCAGCTGCAAGCATGTGCTCCAGGCGTTTGTCATCGATCATACCGCGAACTTCGTAGTGGCTCAGTGTGCCAGCGAGAACCACCTTCAGCATAAGCTCAGCTGGTGTGCAGAGTGGCTTCGGTTCTGCCATGTTGCGAAGAAAAGCCGAGCTGCGACGCGTAACCAGTAAACAGCGCGGGGCAATCGCGGTGGGATGAGAGAATCAGAGATTCGGAGGTGTGGAGAGACAAATTTTCCGCCCGCAGTAAAGTGATCGATCATTGGTTTCGCCCGAGGATGGTCTATTGCATTCACCGCCAAGTTCACCGCTTGCTGGAATATAATTGGGAGATGCTCCAAGCTTTTGCACGTGAGCCATTTTACACATAGCTACTACAGTATAACTATGTCATTCTTCCTTTTTGTCATTCATGCCCCTACCGTCGGACGGGTTTCAATATAGACAGTCATGATGTACCAACTTCAATGTAACTAACTACCTAACAATGCCAGTCTCCTCGGTAACCGCTTGTCCTACACAGTACAAGGCTACAAGCCCTACAACCCTTTCACTTCGGCAGACTTCAGCTCAGCTGCTCATCCAATTGCTTGTTAGATATAATTATGCCCACAACAATACCCCGTACATACGACCATAGGGTGTGGAAAACAGGGCTTCCCGTCCGCTCAGCCGTACTTAAGCCACACGCCGGTGAGTTAGTAGTTGGGTGGGTGACCACCAGCGAATCCTCACTGTTGTATGTTTTTACTTTTGAACCATTTCCATGGTTTGACGTTTAAGGATGGGCTATCAGTAGACAGTTGGCTCAAGAACCTGGTGGCCTCCGCTTGCCAGATTCTTAGCAAGCAGAGGAGGTTGAGAGTCCGAGCAGACGGCAGGCCAATTCTGTGAGTTCTCAGGTGGTCCTAAGTAACAGTGCACTCAGCGTCGGCTATCCGTTCGAGACGGAAGGGATTGCCTGTAACAGTATATCGCTGATGAATGCTACTGCGTAAGAGGTAGAGACACTGAGCTTCTTTGTCCGTAGAATCGATTATCAAACAGCTAAACTTGGTGAGGAGGAACGTTGTATCTGTGCCCTTTTGGGTTGCCCGCTTGATATGACTGGTGCGGATATGCGCATAAAGGTGATGTGTACAATTCTCAAAAGAGCCAGTCATCTGCCCATGGTACGGTGAGCAATATGTTATTCACAATATGATCCGTCTCGGCGTCTATCTAGAAGGGAAAGAACTCTTGACAGCGGTGCCTGGATGCATCCTCAAGCACTCATCCAGCAGTTGGTTGTTTTCGTCTTGTTCCATCATTCCGGGTTTCTCTCCTCGCAAACTGAAGCAACTACAAACAGTATGATGCCATTGCGCTCGGTTCTGTTGTTGATTTTCTGAATCAAACATGAACGTGTCGCTGGGTTTTCGTTGGTTTTCTTGGTGTTTTTGAGAGAAACAAGCTCAATCGTCCTCCGGGAAGACCAGCCATTCCTGCCAGTCTATCTCCGCAGGGGCACCTATGGGGGACCGAACCTCTGTGGGATATAGCTGCTGGTACAAGGGATCCGCTTCCTGATCAGTTTGGTAAGCGGGTCCATCCATCTCAGCTCTGAAGTCATCGGATCAACCTTATTTCTGACTTCTTCAAGTAGCCTCCTTGTCTCTCTCCATCTCTGCGACTATCTCTTGAATCAGTCGTATCTGCTCGACCTCGTGAGCATCCTCTCTTCCAAAAGACGACGTGCGGGCATGACCGCCGAGGCGCAAGCGACTTAACCGAGAGGTAAACGCCGAGGATCCTTTCTGTGGGCGTGCTTCCTGGGAGCCGACGCCGAGCACAACAGTGGGAGGTGGTGGGGTCTAAGTGCCGCATGAGTCCATCATCTGCCCTTTCATTGATCAGGGCCTGGAGCATGTCCCTCCATTTCTCTGGATCACCGAATGCCTCCGGGGTATGAATCTTCCAGATCTCATCCGCCTTATTAGCGGCGGTGAAACTGATGAGAATCCGGAAGAGACATTCTGGAACCAAAGACGGGACCTCGTCATGCTGTTTCACCGAACTCAACCATCGGTGGATGTGAAAACTGAGGGGAGCTTTCGTGGAAATTGTACCACCCTCGAACAGGCGAGATAACAGGGAGTCGACGGGTAAGTTTACTGCCTCGTTATTCACCCGGTCTTCCCTCGCAAGATGCGTCAAGTTGGTGTTCTCGGCCATCTTGCAGTGCGTTGCAGGTAGTAGGTCACTATGAGGAATGTCATAATCAAGGAGTGCTGCTACGAGACACCAGGTTGGTGATGGACGGATGGATGCTTCGACTTACCAAGTGGCTTCTCACCCATATTACCTGCACTCACCTTGGAGTGGGTGATGAGGAAGGTCATCGATGAAAGCCATTATGAGGGAAGACAATCTGGACACAATGATTAATGTCAGCATTTATGAACGGATTGGATCGTATTGACACAGACAGCTCAGGAGTTTGGAATCCAACAAACAACTTTTGAACTGCTAATTTGAAATTGTCCCCACTGCATCTGCAAAAAGAAACTCGGATTAATCCAAATCAACTGACTCACCCTTATCAACCTTGTGCAGAGACTCAAAAAGCGCTGGGTGATGACACCCTTTGTTGAAGAGAAAGCAAATTGAAAAATCCATGGATCAGGATGGGCGATATGAGAGATGAAAAAGATGATGAAGGGCAGAGGAGAGATGGAGAAAGGGAGAAGAACTGACTGGGTGAGAAGCAGTCTATAAAGACGCGAGAGAGCAGAGGTCATATGACCAAACACCCACGGGCAACCACATCTCATGATCTCAGCAGTTCAAATACTCTCTCCTTCCTTTGTGGGTAACATGGGTATCAATATGCAATTATGGATCACCCCATCTCAATGCTTCCGATAAACGCTAAGTCCAACCTGCGAGATCCACCGCTTCAGCATTACCTTCGCCAGCAGCTTCCGGGTATCGTCATGCCATCTGCAGCCATCTCTTGGGTAGGAATTTTGATAACAGCCACAGATCCAGTGGCTATTTCTTGTCAAAACCAATGAAACCTGGGAGCGATGTGCGCTTCGTAGTTTCTTTTGTTGACAGCGCAACACATGGTTGTTTCTTGCTGGTCCAGAAAAAGGCTAAGTAACGAATATTCTAGGTCTTGGTGGTGCTTCTTAGGAGGCATTCAAGTCTTATTTCTTGGTGATATGGAGTTGGGGGTTAATTTGCTATACCAAGAGCTTCCATTTTAGTGGACATTGTGTTTCGTTGGCGTACATTCACCTTGCAGTCATGCCCTCATACCTATCATCTTAAGCTACATGAATCAGATAACATGTTGTACTAAGGAGTGGCATCTCTGATAAGCGGAATCTCCCAGAGTCCCTCCGCACCTTCCTTATTTCACTGGGCAAGAAATGTCACGGGCTAGGCACCTTCCTCATCAGACCTCTCTTTCCCTTATATTTCCCCTCCCCTCTCTTCTTTCTTTTTCTCGTGTTCCTTCCTCATCTCTTCGTTCTTCATCTCCCCTTCCCGTTCATCTCCTCTTTGACTCTTCTACAACAGTATTGCTTTCGTCCAATTGATAAGGTAAGGATGACTGATTACTCCAAACCTTAGTTAAGTATCCGAAACTTACTAAGCCCATATAGTTTCGGTCGCCGGGATGCCTGCACTTTCTCTCCTCTAGAATTCCCTTTCGGAAACCCTTACGTCAGCCCCAAAGACCAGACATCCAACAATGTCTGATGACTCGCGCACCTCGGACGTCGAGCACGCAGACATCGAGTGCTTTGCGGCGCTGCCCAACGACACAGCCCAAGCCACCGGGTTGACGGAGAATGTCGTACGGAAGACTATCAGAGAAAACCAAGGCACAACCGACGTGGTAAAGTACTTACGTTTCACAAATGTCCCACCAGCCGTTGCCGACAAGTTTTCTCGGTGCAATACTCGGCAGATGTTCAACCCCAGTACTCGGTACATGATTATCAAGCTCCTCAGTGGGGCCCATGAAACAGCTGCCCGTGGCCTGGATGGTGCAATGGGACATGATATATACAACATGGGGCTCGGAAAGGCAATCCGCCCTTTAGGGTCCAAAACCATCCATGGCGTATTTTGCAGAAAGGAGGCCGACGCGGCGTATGGCCCCGCACAACCTGTTCCAGGTCGCAGCCCCAAATGGCCGACCGTTGTGGTGGAAGTGGGGGTGTCCGAGTCATATCGAAAGCTGCGGGCGGATGCGGATTGGTGGCTAACAAATTCAAAGGGAGATGTGAAGCTTGTAGTTCTCGTGTCCATTAGCAGAACCACCCCCAATGTCAGGTTTGAGACTGTTGCTTTGAACCCGACCGTCGACTCCTTGCGACTGCAGCGGCCCCGGTACGCCCCATACATACGGCAGACCATTACAGCATCCCGCAACGCAAACGAACCAAACTCACAGATTTCCATCAGGCCCTCAGTACCTCTGACCATTCCGTTTGAGGAATTGTTGTGTCATCCACCAGTCCCGCCTGAAGGCGACATTCAAATATCACCGCATAGATTGGAAGAAATCTCAGAACACGTGTGGGCGGAGCAAGGATTGTAGTTTCTTACTGTGTATTGCTACGGGCGATGATATGACAGAAAACTAGTGATATCATTATATGCAATACCATACCTACAACTACCACCTTTTTGCGCTATCATCAATCTCCGGCTGCGTGTTCAACATCTCAAACCAAGTGGACTGCTAATGTAGTTGACAACTTCGAATACACAAGTGCACCTTGCACAGTGAAGTGTAGGCTCATATTCCTCTTCGGATCGACAGATCCCACATTCGGTGGTGTCTGTGGCCTGGTTCCCCGTGCCGTCTCCTTTGGCTACTTAAAGTCGGCATAATCAATGAAACGTGTTAGTAGAACATGTTCATTTGATTGGTTAGAGTGTTGATCCACGGATCCTTCCCGCATCACCCGCCGCCTTGCCTAATCAGGTTAGAGCATAGGGGATGGGCTTTTTTTACTACTTCCGGTCAATCACATCGGCTAATCCGACGACGTACATCTTCATCTACCACCATTCTTCGTACGAATGCACGTTCACTGTCCCTGAGATCTCTATCTATTGTGATCCGTCACAGCCATCGCTGTTCTCTTCCCTATAAAATTGGTATCAGACAGTCTTCCTTTTTTCAACATGTTAGTATTAGTTGGTACGGTGAGCGGGGACCTGGAAACCGATCTCATTACGCCACCCTCTCCCTACCCTCCCTCCCCTCGACTTATCGACGCCCTTTCCCTTCTCTTTCTCTCTCGGACCACTTTTTGTTCTTGCCCCCACTATCGCCTACGCATTTGCTTTCAATGAGATATGTCAGGTATCAATATTATTCTATATATCTTCATATCTTGAAAATGATAGTGCAGATAGTACAGAAGGCGAGATAGAAGAGTCGAGAGGTTGGAATGGACACACACGAGTCGAGAACATTTGATTGACTTCACCTATCCAGTCCATTTGCTTGGCACTAAAATTTCGAGCGTTAGAAAATGGTAATCGAAAAAAGAGGTTTTATACTTACCATTTGCCAGTACATCCCCTTATTGCGGAGCAATTCCTGATGTGACCCCCTTTCGATGATCCTAGACCCAATTCCATTCTGACTGTCTCCAAAAACGAAAATAATATCCGCCTTCTGGATAGTTGCGATTCTGTGCGCAACCGCGACTATCGTCATATTCCTGCGTGCCGCTAGACGTTCAAGGGCACCCTGGACGACCTTTTCCGACTGCGAGTCGAGACTGGATGTTGCCTCGTCTAAAAGCAACAAGATAGGTTTTCGTAACAATGCACGCGCTATGCAAAGTCTCTGGCGCTGTCCACCACTCAATGCTGTCTGTGCTTTTATGCCTAGATCTGTGGAGTATCCCGCAGGCAGGGATGTAATGAAGTTGTGAATCTCGGCGTCAGTACATGCCTGAACCAACTCCTCTTCAGTGTATTCTGATGGGTCGAGTCCAAGCGTAATGTTGTCTCGAATTGTTCCCTCGAAAAGCCGCGGCTCTTGTGCTACCAGCGACAAAGATCGACGGTATGAGGTTGTATCTAGCGATGTGATATTGTCATGATTGAGGAAAATATTCCCCTTGTAAGGATCGTAAAATCGCTCGAGCATGGAGATTATGGTCGTTTTCCCGCAGCCAGAGGCACCAACAAATGCAACGAACTGGCCACTTTCAATGGTGACATCGAGGTGGGTGAACAATGGGTTATCCTGTGAGGCATACTTGAAGGCAACCTTTTGGAATTCTATATGAGCCCCAGACCGAATAGTTGTATCGATCTTGAGCTTTTCAGAGTCCTTTTCGGAATGGCTCAAATCTGGACGGAAGTCGAGCATTCTGTTGGCTGCAGCAGTGCCCTGGGCGATATTAGGTCCATAGCTAAAGAACTGGCCCGCTTGTTGTCCGCCGAGAATGATAGACATATACACAACGAAGAAGGCAACCGGCTCATACTCTCTAGACGCTAGCAGCTGACCACCGTACCAGAAGGTAAGCGCCATGGCACAAAGCTCCACGCTATCAGAGAAGGCAAACACGAGAGTAGCGAGCCATGCTTTGCGAAAAGCTTTCTTTTGCTGCTCTTGCAGAAGGTTCGAGTATCTTTTCAAAATGGAATCCTCCATTGTCAACGCTGAAACAGTGCGAAATGCCTCGATAGCTTCTGCTGCGAACTGGGAGCTGCCGGAGTAAACAGCAGCATTCATCGAATCAAACTCCAGTTCATAACGAATGCGCATAAACGCAGCAAGGAAAACGAACGGAAGAGCAGCAAACGTAGCCACGAGACTTAATTTCCACCCAAAGGAAAACGCAACGGCGATGCAGCCAATCATGCTGCAGAGTGAGATGACTGGGAAGACACCATTTACCCCGACTAAATCTTGGATCTGCTTGGGATCGGTTGCCAGGCGCGAAACGAGAGACCCGGAGGCATTGTCGTTCAGATCATAGAATGGAACCGACTTTTTCAAAATGTTTTCAAAATATTCCGTCCGCAAAGTGGAAGACATTTCCTATAATACCGTTAGATCCAGTATATAATTCGAGTTTGATATCCACTGACAATTGCGAGTCTGTTGGTCGCGAAGCCAACCGCTGAATAGGAGGCGGCAATTCCAACAGACAAGACAAAGAACCACAGAGACCAAAAATTGGCGGCATCGGTCAGTTTCTGGTCTCTAAAGCTGAATACATCGATAAGCTTTGCAAAAAGCCAACTCTGTAAAGGGTACGCGGCTAATTTAATGTCAACGAGGATCAGAAGAGTTCGGGTCTTAATGACTGCTTACCGGCAGCACCCAAAATGCCGAGTAGTGCTAGGAGGAAGAATGGCCCATGAGTACGAGACTCATACATTAAAAGCCCCACGCTGTTAAAGAAGCCACGCTTTTTAGTCTTCTTGGCCTCCTCTTGCGAGTCTTCGGCAGTAGTAGTCGCATAGTTTTCAAGCTCCTCTGTGAAAGCTTCTTTGGTCTTCACTGGGTCATTTTCATCATCTGCAGCGATTTCAAGTCTCTGTGCATCGACCAGGCTCCGATAAAGGCCGTCATCCACTGCAAGAAGCTCATTGTGAGTCCCTTCCTCAATGTTCATACCGCCGCGAAGAACAATGATCCGATCAGCACGTCGAACGGTGGATAATCGGTGAGCAATCACAAGTGTAGTTCGGTTCCTAGAGACGCGGTCGAGAGCTGCTTGAACTATCTTCTCTCCCCGAACATCAATCGCACTAGTGGCCTCGTCCAGGATGAGAATAGAAGGCTTTTTGATGATACTTCGCGCTATAGCCAGGCGCTGTTTCTGACCTCCGCTTAACTTCGTGCCGTTCTCGCCCACAAGTGTCTCGTATCCCTAGAGGTCTTAGCAACGAAATTGGAAAGTGAGCGGCTTCCATACCCTGGGCAGCCGATCGATGAACTCGTCGGCAAATGCTTCTTTGCACGCATTTTCCACTAATCCGCCTTTCACTGAGTCAGGCTCATCTTCCCATTTGGTACCGACTAGCCCGAAAGAGACGTTATTGAAAATTGTATCATTGAATAAGAATGGCTCTTGTTGCACAAGCCCAATATTAGTTCTCCACCACTTGAGATCTAGCTTCTCAATATTGCGTTGGCCCACTGAAATGCTTCCTTGTTCTGGAGAATACCATCTTTCTGTGAGTGCGACGATAGTACTTTTACCTGATCCTGATGGGCCAACTATTGCTGTTGTCTTTCCTCTCTCAAACCGCGCGTTGAGACCCATGAGAATTTGGGTATCGGGTCTAGAAGGGTACGAAAACTGCACGTCCTCGAAGACTATGTCCCCTGAGACGAGGGCAGCTGCATCGCGATCTCCGCCAGAAGCAATACTTTCCGAATCGATTATCTCAAAAAAGGAAGCCGCTGCACTGGCCGCTTTAGAGACCATCATCAATGGCGATGCGATACTGCCTAGTACGCTCACCGCAATCATAACCGAAAAGAATACTCTGGAACAGATTAGTGAGTAGCGACAAAGTAGCGCTGGAGGGAGAAAACATACGTTATGACTGTGTTGATGTTCGGTATATGACCCTGTTGAAACAGTCTCAACCCCAGCCAGAACGTCAACGCATAGCTAGCGTACATGGCAAAGAAGAGAAGACCAAACTGACAGCCTATAATGACCGACAAGCTCATTCCTCTTTTCCGAGACTCTTCGACCCATTGGCGATATTTTGTGGCCAACGGTGCCTCGGCGCCCAGTGAGATGACTGTTCGAATGGAACCAAAAACTTCCGCCGCGATTGCCGAGTGTTTTTCATCTGCCTTGTCCACTTTTTGCTGGATTTTCGAAATCGCGGGCAACGTCAGACAGCATACGATCAGAATGAAGAGTATAGCCGAGCTGGTCGCAAGGGTCAGGGCCCACGAATACTTGAAGGCTATGATGTATGCGGCAATCAAAAGGGCGAGGGATTGGAACAAAATGGCCAATTTGTCGGATATGCTTTGCTGAATGGAGTTGGAAGAACTCGTGATGGCATTGACAACTGTACCGACTGATATTTGGTCCAGTTTACTTATAGGCTGGGCGAAGAGCGAGCTCATGTACTCAAGTCGTAAAGCCGCTGAAGCTCGAAGGCTGGTGACACGAAAGCAGTACTGTGGTTGGGTTTCGAGCGGGTTAGCTTTTGGGGAAGTACTGCAGTTTCATACTTGGGATATCCTAGCATACCATTGAAAAGTATGTCAAGACGAATTTCGCGATGAAGAGGTAGACGATATAGAGACTTTGGCAATTAGCCCCATGATACAATGATGACAACCGTAACCTATTTTGCGCTTACCTCAGTCGATTAACGGAAGCCTTGAATTCGCCTTCGGTCGTTGCTGAATCGGGAAGAAAGTAATCACTGAAGCTACCAACCAGCTCACCAAAAACGATATTCATGATAGGCAATGGCTGGCGACCGATTAGTAACTTTTCTTGTACTTTGTAAATGAACTCCCAAAATACAGTCAACTTACAACACCGGAGGCCATGGAGCATATGAGAGCGACTATCAAAACCATGCGATCTTTGGTGGTCAGGTAGGAAAGAATCCTCTGTGTGTTATTAGCGATATATCGCGACGAAATACTCCCTCGGCCACTTGACACATACGAAATAATCGCTCAGGGATGCAGATTGCTCTTTCACATCTTTGGCATTAGGATCCCGCTTGGAAACCTCGTTAACATCGACAACATTGGGCTGTCGGTCATCCGTCAAATATGGAGAATGTGACTCTCCCGTCATAGATCTTGTCTCGGTCATCACAGTTCCTTGGGGAGAATCCGAAGAGGAACCCATCCTTGTGAAATAGTCTTGATAGTAGCAGAGGACACAGCTCATCCTAGGAAGAGGATTCGTCTGAAGTTTATATTCAAAGACAGCCACGCGGCTCTCGTCAACGTACATTGCCTGTAGATCATTTGACAGGAAATACGGAAGTTTCCAAACTAGGCTAATGTGTCTTCAAATCGCTGCCTTGTGATAGGCCAACTGGCCAAGAAATCTCAGTCCATCATCAACGTGGATCACAATGGATCAAAGGAATGCCTACATGGGATCGAGCCATAAAGCTCGGCGTGCGAGGCGATCCCTAAATAGGGTTAGACCGTGCCCTAATCTAGACTAGCGTGTGGGATCTCGGGGTTACAGAGAGTCCGGACCCACTTAACCCAGAATCACATCCCTCCGGACTTTCGGCCTTTTCACTTTTCCCGCAACAGCCATGCTGAGCTAACAGTAATTAGCAGTGTCACCACGAGCAATGATGAGTACTGGGCATGCATTAGCAACTATTTCGGTGAGACAAGATTATGTGTACACATGGCTCGATCGGATTCTGACTTGAGGCTATCCTAGTGTGGTCGTTGTCAGTCTAAGAAGGTATAGAGTCCTTGGCAGTAATGTCTTGAATGGTCAGCCACAATAACAATCTTCTAGATTCGCTGCAATCGAGTTACGCCAAGATGTGATAGATGTGAAGCCACTGGAGCTGAGTGTACTTACTTGCCACGAAAGCCACGAACTAAGAAACAAGGGTACATTTGCCCAGCCATGAAGCATCAGTACATCCTTTCAAATTCTAATTGACGAGACTATCACAGGACCGAAATCTCTGAAAAGGGTGTTCTTCTAGAAGTTCTCGAGCGCCTCAAGCGCCTAGAGGAGTATTGTGGCTTGGATACTTCGGCGGGAAATCATGATAATGAGATCGATTCCATGTCTATCTCTTCTGTCGAATCAGAGGACACACGAAATACAACCCTGCCAGAAACCCCGAACACAATAGTCCCACCCGGGATCCGCGATATCATCAGTCGTATCAAAGATGAAGGCAGCCGATCTATGCTTCTCTCTAGTGTCTTATGTCACCTGCAACAAATTGAATCGTGCTTTCTCGAAAATGAACAGTTCCTTTGTGCCATTGGTTCCGCCATGTCGGAAACCCAGTTCATGAAAGTTATACAGCCTCAGCCTACGGAGCCACCAGAAGAACTGTCCATTCCAAAAGACCTGGCACAACAGCTCATAGACTGTAAACACATCTGCCCCGCGCTTGATTATTCATTCGCTAACGTCCAATCCAGATTACTACAGCTTCTGCAATTTCGAAGGCTTCAAGATTCCTCTCGAAAAATCTTTTTTAACTTCAATTCCTGATCTGCTCGAAATACCGCATGTTCAACTAGATTGTACCTCCCAAATCATCTATTACACCATTCTTCTTCAAGGCATCGTCACAAAGCCAGAGGCACTCCCAAGAAGAGGCACCCTGATTCATATTCTGTACCGGAAATGCGTGACTCTCAGCGAAGACTGGCTGAAAAATGTCAAAGACACCCCCGCCGACTTCTTCGCAGCAATAACGCTGGTAAAAGCAACATACTTTTCAACTTCACACCACTGAACTAACAAATTCAACAGATGTCATTGTCCCTCGAATGCTGCAATATCGATCTATCCTGGAAAGCCCTCGCCCAAGCATGCAGGATATCCAAAGCCCTAGGATATTTCTCCGTAGATGAGACACCCTCCGGAGATAACGAACTTTCCACAGAGCCGGAATCTCTCCCACACCAGGTGGAAGTAGAGCGGAATCGAAAACGGTTCGAATTCTGGCACATTTTGCGAACGGATTGTCTTTTTCGCATGTGTTTCGGAAAACCAACCCTCATCCCGGTTGGATCGTGGAAAGTCAATTTCCCCGACCCAACGATCAACGGCATCGACCATGCCTCATCCCGCTTCATTCAGATTCATTTCATTGCGTCAATGCGATTGACGCTCATTGTGATGAAATACCTTGATTGGGTTGACAGAGGGAAAGATCCTGATCCAGTCTCCCATGATGCTACAATTGACAGTTTTATCGATGAGGTTCAGCTAATATTATTGGATTGGGATGCGGTACGCCGAACACTAGAAACAAAATGTTATGAGATTTTCCTTGCTGATCTATCACTTTGAAGGAGGGCCTTCTTCAAATGGCTACAAATCACCTGGATATATGGTTCTGCGTCGACGTACTATTCAGCACTTACAAAATGCTCATCGTCCTCTATCAATCGAAAGAATGCAACCGGAGTCACATCCTACCATCCCAAGCTGTGGAGATATCCAGAAAATCTGTGAAAATCTTCCAATCTCTCCTTGCACCCTCGGCGCATGCATTTTGGGGCGTCAGGTACGTCAAACATGCAACTTGCCTTTCCTCGTTTGCGCAATTGGTTAACTTTCGGACAGTCTCGTATTATTCCACCAGTTGATCCCCTTTTTTATCCTTTGTTTGGATATCATTGGAAATCCTGACCACGCCAATCTCGAGGAGGATCTCGTATCCATAGGCTGGATTAGCGATCATGTCGAGATGGTCATTGAGGAACGAGTCGAGCTTAAGCCAGTTATGACCATCATTAAATCTATGGCTACGGCTTGCCAGCAAACGAAAACGGATAGACTAGCGCGAGCGGTACATGCTGGGGCATAGCTAGTCCCCCACTGATGCGCACTAAACGTGCGGGTCCCGCGGGCTCTGGACCAAGGCCCGATCCTGGGCCCCGTGATTGGCGCCTACACGCCGGAGATCGGCTACGGGTGAGCCGATTGGATCTCGATGATCATTGCCGGCGTCGCTCTGGTCGTCATCATGGTCGCCCAGCCTAGCCCTGTTCTTTTGGAATGGCGAGCAAAGCACCTCCGCGAACTGACTGGTGATATCCGGTACCGCGCTGCCCATGTGTCTACCTCTGCAAACTCATTAGGCCCGCGTCTGCTCACCAACGTCTCCCAACCCTTCGTCATGATCTGGACTGAGCCTATCATCCTCATCTTCAGTTTCTACCTGGTCCTTCTCTACTTCGTGCTGTTTACCTTCCTCAACGGCCACCCCTTCATCTTTGCCAATGTGTACGGTATCAGCACTAGCTTGACCTTCGTCATCTTCGTCGCCATGATTCCCGGTGTCATTGTTGCTCTGGCTATGATCGCTCCTCTGTACAGCATGACCAAGAAGGCCGCAACACAGGCTGAGGCTGAGGGTCAGGCTTTGCAGCCCGAGGTATCGCTCTACTGGGCCATGGCAGGCGCATCTATCATGATGCCGGTTTCTCTCTTCTGGATGGCCTGGACCTGCTACGTAGGTTCTTCTAATGCACCATGTCACATAATATTTACTAACATTACCTTCCAGGCCGATGTCAGTATCTGATCCCCGATCGTGGTCTCCGGCGTCTCCGGCTGGGCCCTTGTTTGCATTTTCACGACGACATACATGTACATCATCTTCGTGTACCTGCAGTATGCTGCTTCGGCACTTCGATTCATGACTTTCGCGCGATACGTCGTCGCCGATGCTCTCAGCCCTGCTTCTGTCAAGATGTACGAGAACATTTGTCCCCATTGGTCGGTGACTATTGTTGCTGTTCTGGCTACTCTCATGGCGTCTGTTCCGTATGCGCTTTACAAGTATGGCCACAATGTTCGTACCATGAGCAAGAACGCGGTCAACAAGGCGTCGATACCCAAGTTTTTGTTTGAGCCTTGTATTTACCTGTCAGGATTTGCACTGGGATGTATGTGTTAGCATGGGCAAATCAGAAGGGCTGTAACGAGTCTACAGGGCGACAAAGCCACACACACCGTGAACTGAAGACATAGTATCTCTTTTGGGGCTGTGTGCAGATGCCAAGGATCGAAACGTTTCAGGTTCAACTAAAAACTTATAATCCAATCATATCACGCTCCGTGTCACTACTTGATGAGCGGTAAATGTCGATCCTACACCCCCGGTTCACACCATTACATTTCAGCTTTTTCAAATCTCTTATGAATATGATTCTACTCACAAGTATACCTGGTACATACGACCATAGGGTGTGGAAAACAGGGCTTCCCGTCCGCTCAGCCGTACTTAAGCCACACGCCGGTGAGTTAGTAGTTGGGTGGGTGACCACCAGCGAATCCTCGCTGTTGTATGTTTTCGTTTTTGGAACATTTTGTTTGACGTTTAACACTGTAAGACTGGGCTATCATTAACTAGTTAGTTAGTTAGACAGTTGGCTGAGGTAGTTAGTTGCGTGAGGCGTTATAAGAATGAAGGACTCTTCATGTCGTTTTAGAACTTAGAACTTCCACCTTCGCAACCATTGAAGCCTTGTATTTTCAGGTTGAGCCATTCAGCAGGCCATATAGAAGTAGTATATCCATTCAAATCAAGCCAGAGATAATTCATGGAGTATGTAGTGTAGGAATGCCTCCACCAATGCAAGCTCTACTTTCGCTTCGATGCACTTGAAGTGGGAGCATTTGCCCCTAGTCGCTTGAACTTCCTCGGATCTAGCATCTAATCAGAGAGTGATACTTATTGCACACGCAAATCAACATGGAAGTCTTACCTTTCCGACTCATCAGAGTTCGATTTCTCGTTCCCTTTCCGCCCTCCCAGAACCCACTACCTGCCTTTCCGATAAGAACTGCTTTGCAAATACCACAGTTCTCAGGCCTATAGATTTGCTCGCGTGAGCAGAAGCCACAAATCATACGATTTGCGTGTTCAACGGGGTGGTCTGTTTCTGCGTCGTGGCATCTAGATTGAATCGGTGAGCCTTTGTACAAGCAAGGGCTGGGGAATGGGTCAATGAAACCTACTTGTCACAAGGGAATACTTTCGAGCAGCAGCTAAATCTGGATGGGGTCAGTAAAAGGTGAATGTCGAAAGACAATCCGAGCGGCAGGGGTATAAATACCTGAACCAGCGATGGCTCTTAGCGTAGTGCTGACAACGACCACGTCGTGGGAGTTCTTGTCCCGCGACAATGCCTAGCACTTCCTGGGGCTGGGAGAAGTGTTAGACTCAGATTGTAAGTCTGCTTGCTGGAGTGTACCGACCTTTCTTTTGCGGGGAAGAGCTCCACGGGCAGCGACTAGATGGCGCAGCAGTTAGCAAAAGCATACACTGCGCGTCGAGTATATTGGGACTTACTTGCTACGCTTCCCACCAAGAGGAACTTGACCTCCGGGGTCTTGAACACTGTTTAGATGTTAGCTGCGATCTAGGAGACACGTTATACCATAACGTACCCATCTTGCGATGACACTGGCGACAAATCCCCATGGCACTCTCTCCGCGCACTGCAGGTATACCCGGTGCAGGGTGTGGAGTCGAGCACTCAGAGCATGTTGGAATGAAGTCGCTGTAAAAACATGGGTCAGTATTACCCGACTGATGACACGAAAGATACCACGAACCTAAGAAGCATATCTCCAATCGTACAGCCACCCAAGTCGAGGTAGCCAGCACGATCAGCATGAGCATGCATCAACTGTTTCCGGAATGCTGCGATGACTCGTAAGTGACTATTTTGCAGAGGGTGAAGTATCCATGTGCAGACTCACCGACGCTCATATTATTAGCGCACTTCTTGCATGACTCCATTCTCGGCGTCATGCCTTTTTCTTCCGTAACCTGTGGCACGTTCTTGATGTCGGCTGACACCTTACACCTCTCACATTTGATGGTGATATTGAGATGCATGATCTCCAAAAGCTCAATTCCGTAGAGCTCTAAGAACGGGAAGGAAAGTGCGACGCCGCGGCCGGAAGCGTTGTTGTCCACTGAAGTGGCAACAGGTGCACCGCCTTCTTCATCCTCTTCGGTCTCCGTGCCATCGTCTTCATCGTAACTCGACTCATCTGATGTTTCGCCCGCGCCACCCTCAGGGTCGGGGACTGACCATTCAGGTGGCCGGGGAATGACAACTAGATGGGGGCGGTCATTTTCCTCACGAGTTGAGGGCGCCGTAGGTGGGTTTACAGGCTCCTCTAAAGACTCATCCTCATCAGCTTCGACGCTAGGGAGCACAGCCTCCGCGGAATCTTGCTCTTCTGGTAAGGGCGTTTCGGCGAATTTGTGAATGTTGCTCGTCAGGTAGTTGACCTGAGATACAAGACTCAGCTGTGAAGTCTGTTCGACCCACTGAGTGAATCCCACTTCCGTGGCTTTTGCCTCTAGCCCCTCGACCCCCTGCAGCTTGATTGAGCTGTGCTCAAGCGGGTACAGTTGTGGCACAAACAACCTGACAGTCTTGAGTGCTTGAAGTGTTCTCGGGAGCCGATCCTTTTTGGTAGGTTGTATGGGAAGAATGTATGTCCTGCCGTCCGAAAGTTTCTGAAACAGTGGCAATCTTCCCAGGCGCGCCTCGAGCTGTTTCGTCTCAGCAGCTCGTCTCTTCTGGGCCGCAGCTTTCGCTTCAGACGTGTGTTGGGGTACCACAGCCCGGGTTTGTGGTGCTGACTTGGCAGCACTGGGTGCTTTAGTGGGAGCTCGAGACGGGCTCGGCTGCTTTGGAGTCTTCTCCGGAGCCTTGACAGGTTCTTTGCTTGTCGATCCGTCACCGGTATTAGCAAAGAACTTCAACGTTGGCCCACGCTCCAGAGTTGTAAGCAACGGTTCAAGCTTTTTATCCAAACTGTTCAGCCAGCCTAGTAGGGTTCCTCGGCTATTGGTGCGGTAGCTGAAATCAACGATTTCATTGAAGCCTCTAACAACATTTGCTTGATATGCAGCTTCCATTTCGGGATTGGTCACTGCAAGAGTGGGCCGCTTTTGAGGGTATGAGTTAGGGACCTGAAGGACACATTGTAAGTTTTCCATCTCAAATGGAAAGTCCGGGTCAGAAGGTGCCAAGCCAAAGGTCAATGTAGAGCCTTGGTCGTCCTTAACTTCCTGTGGGCGGTATCGCCGCCTCAGCTGGTTGAGCTGGAACTCTCTTGGATCGGACTGCTCCAATTTAGAGACTGGTCTTTGGGGTTGGACAGGAGCTGCGGTAGAGCTCTGTTTCGGCTGGTTACCACCAATGTTCAAGTTCTGAGCCCCAGCGACAATCCCTTGCACCGAATTTCGGTTTCCATAGCCCGAAGACTGAGCGGGTGTCGGCTGATCCGATCCAGACTGTTTAGGCTCGGTGGCCGAGGCATCATGGAGAAATGGACATTCTGTTCCAAGTCGACATCCTTGAATGATATTAGCATATGATTCAAATAACACAGCGGCCTAACGAAGGGTCGAAATCGCAAATAAAGATGCAATATATTAGGGTGTGGTATATCACGCTATGCATCTATGGCCTCGCTCCATATCATTTCGGTGACCATGACTGGATCTGTATACAAGCATTCCCAAATAGGCATGCCTGTGGCATCCGAGGTGCATGGGTCTGTATTGAATGACGCGTAGGTCATTGCAGTAACCAGGCAGGTAAAGAGCCCTTACAGGCATAAACAAAGAACGCGGGCTTACCCTTTTTGGTTTTGAAAAAGCGACACTTCGGCCGCCGAGTCGATGACTGGCGAGGAGCACTCGTGTCGTCGGTGGATGCAACACCATGCGACCGGACCGCTGACAACTCATCAGTTATCGAGGATGGCTGCTCCGTACCTATTCAGAAAACTATGAGCGTGTCATCACAAAGGTTGCGGACCGTTGAGTCTGCCCCAAGCGGTAATGACAGGCCGACAAGGGCCAGTCTGCACGCCAATAAACTCCACGGAGGAATTAACAAGGGGGATGACAGGCTTTGGGACGGATGCAACATGTGGTGCATGGACATGCAACAGCGGGGCTGAAAATACGAAAGCCTGTTGAGGGCTACAGAAACTCCGCCGAAGTACTCCGTAGATCTCACGGAACTGATTGGGACAAAAGCCTCCGGCCGGATTGCTTTCACACGCCAATCATAGAAAAATGGTTCGACTCACCTGGGGTTTGGGATGCTGGACCCGCATTGTCGTCAAATGACTTATTCGCCATGCTGAATCTGAGCCTCGAGCGGTTGAAGGGGTCCACAGAATTGGAGCGATGGCTTAGGTCTGGAGCTGACGCCGCTGCCAACACAGAGATCGGGTGACCTTAGAAGATCGACAGGACCAGATCTGCGCAGTAAGTAAGCCGAGATGTAGCTCTGAATGTCCCGCGAGCGAAAGTCACGCTAACGAAAAACCGGGCACGGGGAAGTTTGGCAGTTTGGCAGACAGCACCGAGGAGAACAGCCACGTGATATCGAACGAAGTGTGATCAGCGGAGGGATTTAAAGATCTTAGTAGATGAAGCTATGAAGCTATACAAGAAGTTATATGTTGTTTACGTGGTGTATTGGTTGAGAGTGCCAAGACTTTTTAGTCGAAATGACCTCATTTGACTCACCACTTACCAATTCGCCTCATGAAGAGTCATACTGTGGCTCATGAGAATTATTCATCCGAAATTTTGAATTGGCAGATATCCTAGAGGGCAAAAAGAAGGAAATGACTTGTCAAGAAAAGAACCACGCGGAGACGCATCAAATCGGGATATCAGAGGTAAGGTGCAAGCGAGAAACTAGCCAACTGGCCAATCGTCCGGTGAATACTTCCATACTTCATTACGCGTGGTATCGGAGATTGACGAGCATGATGGCCCCTGAGTGCTCACTGTCAGAGCTGCTCAGTGATCAAGAGTATATTATTCCCTCTCCCGCCCACTCTACAACATAATTTCGTGTTGTCCAGTACAATCCTCTTTGAGTCAAGAATGGATGACAGACTAGGGGATTGAGGCTCTTAACACATCATCAAAGTGGCTTTGGTGGTGAAATATATCACCTATAATCTTGGCCTCGATCAAGTTCCTCCCAATCCGGTGCGCTACACCCGCTCAGGTCCTATTAACAGCCCCGAGTGGCAGACGCCAGACTAAGCTGATCACCCCCAAGATCAGGGCCATCTAGGCCAGTTTTTAGAGGATGTCGCAATTTCAAACATATTGAATGATTTTGGAATTGCGACATTCTCTCTCACTGTAATAGAGCCTCATGTGATAAGAGTCTCAAACTGCCAACGCTGGTCTTCAATGAGTTCCTGTAGATCGAAGTATTCTCCTATCCAGCATCGTTGTATAACGAGTCCAGCTGCCAGTCCATCAACGGGCGGGTACATTTTGGAGGCAAACAGGCCTACAACCAATTCTTCGTATTTATCCCTCTCCACAATGGACGTGAATGGACCTGGAGATTTGTACGGCCAATGACCAGTCATTATCGTATAGTAGATAGATCCGAGGCTAAAGATATCTGTGCTTTTCGTCGATTCCGGCGGGATGCAAGGATTAAAGAAGCCGGCATCAGGGAGGTGCCGACCATCTATTTCTTCATCTGTTGACCCTCCAAAGTCACAGAGCAAAAGATCGGGCTCGTTGCCGGCGACACTGTGTAACAGAAAGTTGTCAGGTCGGAGATCGGAGTGTATCACACCTTTTTGATGAATGAATTCGATCGCCTCCGCGGCTTGCGTGCGCCATTTGAATCGTATAGATATATCGATACTAGCATGGTGCTGATCAATGTATTTCTGTAGACTTCCATCGCTTGCTTCGGCAAATAACAATCCGAATGGATCATCCGAGACCCCCTTGAACCTAGGAAGAAGTCAGTGGCTGCATCACAAGAAGATAAGAGCTAACGGACTCTATTATTCTTGGATGCGGTCCTAGGATTTGCAGAAGTGCTTCTTCCACCTCGAAACTCCGCTTCATGTCCTGAACGAACCATTTATCCGTCGCTGACTTAGAATGCCACCACGAGAATCGTGGACATTTAATTATGACACCTGGTGCCACGCGTGCAATAAGGCAAGTTGAGCCTTCGCCCAAGATTTCGCCGAGAGGAGGCTCGTACGGGACCGGGCTATCATTTTCAATGTTTATGGCACCCGGGCTTTCCGCGATTGACGTCGCTCCCCATTGACGGGGCCTCTATAGCATTCAGCATCATCTGGTTTCTCACTGGTTGGAAGACGAATGTTCAAGAGAGAAGGTACTTTGAACAGGAGGTGATACAAGTGATATCGCAGAATTGATAGAACAGCGAAACCTTGGTTCCAGATGGTCGTCAACATGGTGGAGATGTGCCGAAAGGACCTAGGCTGACCCTAATTTGGTTAGGTACCTGGGTCATGTGAGCATGACCCAGCCAATCAGTTTGGTTTGAGCATGCTGCGGTAAAGTACACTGGCGGTATGGGATTTCCGCTCCCCGGTACCACAGTTTTCCGCGGTATGAAGGTAAGGTACGTAAATATGAAACAAAATACAATACTGATCAAATACACCCAAAGAGGCAAAGCGCGAATCGGAAACCTCGAACTCGCCAACCGGATCGTCCTTCCAGAAGGCTTCCAGAACCATGCACGGTCTTCCGTGGGTGTTGGCGCATTAGACCATGGATAGGAGCTAGAGGTTCACGGTTATGACCATCACTTCGGCAATTTTTTAAATGTCGATTTTCCTTATGATCAGAAGACACCTTCACCTTTTACTTTCGACGGTGAATGCTCTTGTCACACATCATCCTGACGGCAATTACAACATGGATGATGGAAATGCATTGCCAACTTGCGGGGTTTTCGGACCACAGAGCTCCACGAAGAACTGCCAGTCACCCGTGATGCTTTCTCCACCGGAGGGCCTAGAATAATGAGTCGGCCAATTGGGAAGGACATAATTGGGATTCCGTTTATTTTCAGGCTGTGTGAGTCACTGGGACGTTTCGTTTTTTCTGTTTGGGAGAGACAGACCAGGAGTGGGGAGTGATTGGGTAGGAAGCCACTCCGTGCGCCACACTCGGGATTGAGCCGAAGAATCACAAGCCGATAAGTACTCGGGACCGCCGCGGCGCCGCCTCAAAGGCGGCATCCCATGATTTGTGGGATGTTATGCATTTTTGCAAGGCCGGTGGAGTGTCTAATGATACACATCTTGAATTTGAGTGATATGGGCCTCGAGATGATAGGTTAGACTGAAGTATATGCGGCATATCCCAACTCTATAATAAACTAGCATGCATTAAAACAAGATATCGGCCCAGTCTAGAGCTCGAGCGGGATGTACAGGGGCAGTGTGGAATCGCACTCGGTCGATCACGGATAGCGAAAGGAGGCTCGAGAAAAATCGAACAAGTCTCGAGCACCGAGAAACCTGCTTCAGACACCAGAGAAGCAAAACAGAGATGCCAAACCTGCATGCAAGCAGCCACAATCTGTCAAAGCAGGGGAGACACCCCATGTTCCCAGCTCACGGACGCGATATCCTCGCATATCGCGGCTTCCAAGTTCCAAACCATGCAGCACGATGCCTACTGCATCGGCTTGCCGATGTTGCACATCGGGCGTACATCAACTCGGCGCGCCAGTTAGGCCCCAATCGTGCGGGACCCAAGTGGGAATGCCGCTTTTGGGTCTTCGTACTCGACTTACCTTCCAACACCACCCACGCCCTAGCAGCCCTGATCGTGGGGAGGTCCGTGGGGGTTTCCCTTGGCACCATAAGTAATAAACAAGGCATACGGAGTCTCGAATAGGAAGTGCGGAGCTGAGCTGTCACGCGTCATGGAAAAATACCTTCAGTACCGGTGAGACAGACAAACAGAAAGGAAAGTTCCTGCGAATCACGTCCCGCTGCTAGATCGTTACTGACCCACTGTGATATCCACTTTGTATTCATCTGAAGCAGAGATCGAGAAGACTCTTCTGGCCGGCGAGGCTACTTAGCCCTAACTCGGTAGGTGGATTTCGAGATGGAGTTGCAGTTGTTCACACAGTCTGGAGGATTTGGTGATCGACGACACCGAAGAGGCTCTTTTGGTGTGTCTGGTTCACATTGGGTCTTGTCGACAGAGGTCTGTGGCGGCTGCCGATCAATGTATGAACTGTGTCCTCATATTGTTCCGGGTGTCTTTCTCGGTGACCACGATGTTCATATTGTATGTACGTACTAATCAATTCGACTTTGAATTCACGGATTTGACATGAGATCTGTTATGTACCCATGTTATTTGGTTCGTTTGTGGGCCTTTGAAGCTTAGTCCTGAAGCAGTAAAGTTTTCTGATTGGAGCCCCACGAGGCAAGACTCGGGCAGGGCCGGAGTCACGGGAGTCGTTCCTAGAATACACATGGCGTCGGGCGTTTTAGGAGAAAAAGTCTTCATCCCCACACCCGTTCAAAATAGACTGAAGTTTGAACGGTCATGCATACGTCATTTTGATGAACACTACTGTATGTTGTAGGGCTTTGTTGTTGACACGTCAGTTGGCTGGAGTTATCGATATATTACTCCGTACGGTAGAAATGAGATGAAAGACAGGATACTACAACGTAGAAATGAAGGATCGAAGGACTCCACCCCCGGAATCATGTGCACCGGTCATGTGTCGCTATCACATGACTGGGGTGGACACCCAGTTCCGGGGAAACCGAGACTCCATCCATCGTGTATCGACATGATAAACATTGACATGTTCATCCCAAACGATCTCGGTTGGCAACCGATGGCAATCAACATCTCATTCTCGCCTCGGGAGAGCATAAGAGCATATGAAAAGCACGCAACCCCTCAACAACAATGACATCAGGACGAATCCACAAATCAGCCCCAAGTCATCAGATCTGCAGAATATCAAACCTTCAAGACAAACTGCCACCATTATCCAGACGAGGCAAAAAGGCCCGTGAAGGCGCAATGATGAAAACAACCCGAAGATCAACTCGCTCATAGCGTCATAATGAAAGCCTCCGGAACAAGATTCCTTCAATTCGCAACATCCCCGGGAAGGCAAAATAAGCCAAACACCTAAGTTCTAACCTTGTTCACAATCCATTAACCTCAGTAAGGTAGCACGAACCCTTCAAGATTCAATCGAGCCCTAGATTAGGTAGACCGAGATGCAGTCAGAAAAGGATAAAAAATGTAAAATGGGACCCAAAGTAAGCGAAAAACCCAATTGTCCCAACTGTCCAGGCCTAGAACTCCGGATTCCTAGCTCCGACCTCCACACACACACGCCCCCCAGATCCCCGATGAGCTGGTCCTGCAAACCATGCGAAGCGAGCAAGCCACCGTGGACTGAGCGCTTATCTCCTCGAGTCGACGGGTAATCCAAGCATCTTCTTCCGCGGGAGCTTTGGTAGAAGCTAAGGTAAAGATGTGATTGCGTTTCTTTCTCTTTTTCTTTTTCTTTTCTCATGTGCTGGCGATCAGTGCGAAGAATGAAGAAGATGGGATGATGTCTTCGATATCTACCCTGCAATAGGCAAGTAAGGCTGTTGGTACAAAACAAATGAACTAATTAAACAACGAAAACAGATCTGTCTGTCATATTCAACATGGAGATCAATATTAGCCCAGATACTACGTACAATCTGTAAATAAGCAAATCCGACCATCTGGACAACCAGATCTACCTAGTCCCGGGATTTAAAAGAAAAGGCTGAAAGCGTGGAAGGTGGTACTTTTGACGTCTAGCCGTGGAAGGTTTACCGTCTGGATAAACCTTCAAAACCCCCTTGTATGTAAACGGAGTATCCTTTCTTTTTTAGTTTTGGCGCCTTTTTTCCCCATCCCACCTGACCTTTCGTCCGATATTAGATCAAGACAGTAAACAAGGGAGGTCCGCAGAGGACCCTGCTGAAACGTGCCACTCATGAACTCATCGATAAACTCTTTTGTAATTCCCCGTCTAGGCAGGTGGTACTGCATCATTTCGATCTGTCGTAACGGGTGCAAGATAGTGTATACTCCCTTTGGATGATTAGCTCGGAGGGGAAGAGGGGAAGAGGAGAAGTACTAGTTAACATAGGGCTGATTTAGTTATAGCCAGAAACCCACCGTTTATGGCGATTATGATCGCAACAATGTATACATCATACATTGCGCAGTACATGATAGGAGGTATCAGTCTTGGAACTCCTCACTTCCTAGATACGTGTCAGCGCCACAAAGTCAACAGTCAAGCCTGAAAGATTTTTTCTACTTTTAGCTGGCGCGCGTATCACAGGGATCTTCGGTCGGAGAAGCAACCTTAGTACGGGCCTCTGGATAATCCCCGCTGCAAGAGCTATAGCTATCGACGCCAACGGAAATTCGGTCCAGACCGCTAATCCATGCCTATGCGTGGCGTCAAGCCCTGCTCTTCCTTCATGCCTCATGTCTCATGCCCGAGTCTACGGGGAAAATACGAAGGAGGCCAGGATTGGTCTTGAGTTCATTCATTGGGGTTTTTGGTTATTTTTTTGGCAGTCATCAGATAGGGTACAAGTGGTGGCCCGATGTGCCCATGAGATCGTAGAACATAATGTGGTATCAGGTATCTCGAAGGAAAACAAAACTCGCCGGGATGATCGGGAGGGGGGAAAACAAATGCTAGGCGTTTTCTGCAGTCATGGAATGGACTGGCAGTAAGAGACGCTGCGCATAGGTAGATGATCCTTTTTTTTGGGTGAACGTTCCGGGAATAAGAAACCCATCCGGGATATCTGGAAGGCAAGAGGAAGAAAATGAGAAAGGAAAAAACCCATGGTTCATCAACCGTGGACGGCCCGGAAATAGGACGAACATATGAACTGTACATGGATATTAAGGTCGTAAGAAGGTAGCCTTCAAGCGGTGTTCCATAAACTCCAGGTATGACAGATGCCCGGTGAAAACACCCTCGTAGGCGATGAAATTGATAGAAAACATAAAAGAAAAAAAAACCCAGATGTGCGCCATATATGCAATGCATGATCATGATCGTACGTGTCAAAAGAGAAAGGCTATGCTGTGCTGCAAAGCAAGTCTGTAGAAATGAGAAGACGCAAAGGGAGGCGAATGAACTACCATCCCTTCACATGATATTCCCATGGACCGTAGTCAGTGGTGTAGTTCGTCCAGGAGCCATTCTTGCCTAGGTCAGCGTTCATCTCTGCCTCAGCACTGGATTGATCCGGCCCGACTTCATTGTGGGGACCCTTAGGATTAGGATAATCTTGGAGATTCTTCACGTCGTGGGCGGTATGGCGACGCTTGAGGAAAGCATTCGCAGTAGCGCTCTTCTGCTGGCGTTCCCAGAGGAGGTGTCGGCGGAGAGACTCGGTCAATTCGGTGGCAAGCATGTTGCGGCGGGTTGTTCGTGGCGAGTGCGCCATACACTGTGAACCATTGTTGTTCATAACGATGGGCTTCGATCTGGGAACCTCGGGGCCACGCATAGTCAGGCTTTCCTCTTCGTTATCCGGAGGCGACTTGGGAATCGATGGACCGCTGGGTGAGGTCAACCGCGATCGTTGAAGTGCGGGACTGGACCGGAATGCGTTGCCCTGCATGCGCGACGGCTGGTGCATCATCATAGTGAGCATCGAGCGCCGCGAAACAAGGTTGGGTCGGGAATCGACCCGCTGGAACATCTCTCCACGTTCATCCACGCTAGACTCGCCTCCTTCCGTGACGGAGTCTTCCCAATCAGAATCTTCATCCTCAATTGCACTTTCCGAAACTTCGTCGTCAGTCTCAATGGCGTCCTCGTCGGATTGGCTGATATCCTTCGAATTGGGGATGATGTGAGAAGAGACTTGATTACTGAAGGAAGCGGTTTTTTTCGTAGATTTCGGATCGCTGGTTCTGGGCTTCAATCCGCCACCGGTCGCGTTCTCATGGGCCACCTGAGGAGCCATGCGCTCTTCAAAGGAGCTTTCGTCGTCATCTCCAGAGGAACCACCCAACGTAAACATGCCACCTCCCCTCTTCTTCAATGGCGATGGCTTCAGCTGCGTAGCAGAACAGGAAGGACTAGGGTCAATAGACAGCCTCGGCTGTGATCGGAATGAAGAAGAGATATGTGATGGCGAAAAACCACGGACGATGCTGGGAGACTTGATCAACTCAGGTCGGCTGGGAAGGATGCCGGAGGATGAGACGCTGGTATCAGACGCGTTGAGCTGTGCAGTGTCGCTCTCGTTGCCCTCGGGGGCTGTGGTCGAGCACGACTCTGTGGACTCATGCGGGTATGGGGTCGGTCGGACAGAGAAGTGAGGAACGCGGCGAGCAGTCGAGACGGAGGGAGGGGTGGGAGTAGGAGTCGATGGGCGGGGAGTAATGTCGACGACGGGTGCAGCGGGCTCGACTGGAGGAGACATTGGCTCCAGCTGTTTCTTCTCTTTAATGTTCAGGACCATGCGCTCCAAATCCAACGAGGTGATGTGCTTCTCCTTGCCACGGCCGAGGCTGGCCAATGAGTCTTCGCGAACGACAGCAGGTCGGTAGTCATTGAACTTGGGACGCTTGATGTGAGCTTCGATCCGCTCTGCTTGATCGGATGCAGCCGACTCAACACTGGCAGACAACTCAGGCAAATCGCCAGCTTCAGAACGTAGTAATGGTAGGGCGGAAGTGCTGTTGGACTTCTCAGGCTCGACGCAGAAGGTTTCGCGGGTCCACAGCCGCCAACTGAGGTTTTCAAGTCGACGGCCTTGGTCCATGTAATCGGCACATTTTGAAAAAACTGTGTAAAAGGTGTCAGCGAAAAAAAGAGATCCCGACCAGTAGATATGGTACTCACCCATCCACATTCCATGAAGACTCTGAGCGTTGGCGGTATCCACTTTGTGAATATTGTCCGCGTCCACGGTGAGGACCGGGGTTGTTAAAGGCATTGTCGCGTGGCCAGTACTACCAGCGTAGCGATTGTAAGGGTTTGAAGGTTGTTGATCGATGTTCCGGGGTCGCCGTCTCCCCCGAGAGTGGTCGTACGGCGCTTATGATGCCGTGAAGTTTCGTGAGTATCAAGCGGTTACTAAAATAGGCCTTGAAAATTGAGTCTGGGCCCTGCGGTGCTGCAGATGGTCGATCAATCGATACTGGCTCGTAGGCTGGCAATCGAGTGTCGAGTCCGAGGAATCCGGGTTGGAAATAATCTCAGTTGAAATTTTCGGTGAGGTGAAGAATCAGATATCCCGTTGCCCGTCAATTATCCGTCAGAGCGCCACAGTGCGGAGAAGCCGGGGGCGGAGAGTCGGAGATACGGAGCGCGTCAAGCAAGAGCGGATTGATGTGATCCTTCCCGATTGAAAATGAGGTGAGAGATTGGAGGTCGAAAACAAAGTGAACGGGTTGGGAAAAGATCTGGAGAAGAAAGAGAATGAGGGAGTCGGAACGATAATAAGAATGATGGGGGGGCGGCACTTGTGGAGTGGAGTGGAAGGAGAGGGGGACGGCAATAAATTATTAAAAGAAAAAATTTGGAAAAAGGAAAAAGACGAAAAAGAAAATGGAAAAATTAAGATTTATTTCAGATAAAGGTGGGAATTTTGGTGTATTATTGGTAAGAACATGACAATACAAGGGGAAATGATCGAAAATGAAAATAAATTCCGAAATAACTCCAGGCCGAGGATAAAAGGGTCGGTGAAGGGGAAAATTCGATCGCATCACGGGGCCTTTAATTACATCAATGGATACCTTGTCTATGTATTCTGACTCCTCCCTACCATGGTTCCTACTGGTATTCCCCCAGTACTTTAGACTTTTTGTCCCCTTTCCGAAGTTCCCCCCGAAATACGCTGGTTTTAAGTTACATGTTCGCGTTCGGATTACTAAATATTCAGGTCAATCTGCATTGAAGTTCGACTACTACTTCAACATACATTGATAGATTATTCGAGGGAGGCTATCGTATTGAATGTCGAGCAAGGAGAGGCAACGAAAAGAGCAAGACCTTTGACCTGTCCAACAATAGAAAGGAAGACAAAAAGGAAATGTCAGTACATACTGATCAAAAGACCAAAAGACATCACTCCAGCACAAGATACTGTCTGCAGTGACTTGCAGGAAGTCCAGACCAAGGCTCTCTGTACGCCACCTCATGTATCTCAAAGGTCGTTTGGACATTTGACATGGCCATTCGGGCATTGCCTCTTGCCACTGACTATGAACTCTCGACTGCGCACACCAGAAACAATAGACCTACTGACTGATGAAGTGTCAAACTGCCAGCTATTGGTGCTATCCAAACTGAAGATCCGGCTGACTCGCCTTACTGAGGGTGTCTCGTTTAAGCTATTTTCGTCACGGACGCTCCATGACTCGTACTCTGGGGTACACCGCGTCCAAAGGGCCTGGGAATCGGTCTAAGATCTCAAGCCACGTTGTGGTCACCGATTTGGACTGAGAGCTAACTGCTCTCAATAATTTTGTTTTGGATGGTTTCTTTTCTTTTCTTTTTTTTTCGAGCTCTCATGTCCGAAACAATTGTCATGAACCCGAACGAGGCTATCTAGAGATCGAAACACAAATTATTCTGGTGGAGATTATCCTCCCTGTCGACGCCTCATTCCTTTGATGGTAGCTCTTCTTTTTGTGATCTCGGCTGAATTTGTGATGTTTTACCCCCAGATCCAGTTTCCCTCCCCTAGCTCCCCTCCCCGCAACCAGCTATCAACCGGGAAAAAGGGAGGGTTCCAAGGCCGGCTGCATACCGGGGAACCAACGTACATATAGTATGTAGATCAGCTTGACTTTCTCGATGCATTGGTTTGTTCCAAAACAGGATCACTCTTCTATGTACGCAGCTCTCAGAGGATTCTGACCTCAGAAATTGCGGTAAATCACTTCGAGACCTCGATCATGTGAGAAAGAGACCAGAAAATCAGCCACCAGCCACTCTCATTCATAGCAAAGAGAACGAACTAGCGTTCGCGCCCCTATTTTCTATTTTCTTCTTCCAACGGGCACATCCTGGCAAGATTTCCTATTTTTGACCATTCAAACAGGACACGGCAGTCGAGAGTGTCACAAACCCAGGCTACATAGTCACGAGTCTGCCAGCTGTCATTGTTGTAATTCAGCGGGTTGCCTTGCGTTTCCTGAGAGAGACGGGATCGACAAATGACAGTCAACATGAGGAAGGCCGCCATACGTAAGACCGCCGACTTAGCGACGGAGGCCCTATTTCGGTCGTCACGGGGGTGTGGTTTTGAACGCTTACAGCAACCCCAGGAATCAAACCCGGACTGGCGGAAAGGAAATCGTGTCTTTCCTTTACCCGAGCATTCCAAACCTCTACCCGGGGAACACTAATGGGGCGATCCTCTACACGACCCCTGTTGTCGGGGCTTGCCGGGGCTAAGTCGCACAAGGCGCACGTTTCGTCTATCATGTGATATTTCACCATAAGATCTTTGATATACGAGGAATCAAATGCTACCCCAGGTAAGCAGCTTGAATGCGACGACATAGCTTCAAGCCCATTGTTCCCTGTCGAGAGAGGGTGTGGAGCTTGGTAGCAGTCATCATCTGGGGATTCTGAAAGCGTAAGCATCCGCATTGAGGGAGATCCGGAGAAGTAAAACGAGTCGACGAATGAGTGAATCAGACAATACAGTGCTTGAATGTGCCTGTTCTTGTACCTCATTTATTGTCTTCATTCCCGTAAACGGTCTCAATCAAGTAGGAAAAAGCAAGGGATCCAATCCACCATAACTATCTGCTTTTACCTCCCAAAAGAAAAATACCATCAAGTCGTCTGATTCGTTCGAAACAGTTCGTTGGTAACGAGATTATCCCTGCGGATGTATGACACTACACAATTATCGACAGGACGCGAAGCATTCTCGTCGCTTGTGCAGCCTCAATTTTTCATAGCTGCTGACCCCCTGCCTCGAAAGCTTGCACCACGAACCTCGGGTTTATGAAGGTCACCTCGAGCAAGTCATTCAATCATATTCAATACCAGCGAAGAGACAAAGCTTAGAAGCATACAACGCTCATTGCCCTTGACTAAGCTCATCTACAGTGTACACATTCCCAGCTCTTGTCTTACTGTCGACATGTATTATTCGGGTGGTACCAGGTGGCAATTCAAAACCGCGTGTAAGAACCCTCATTACTGTGATAGAAGCAGGCATACTGCATAATAAGCGAGGTGCGGCTGCGGGCCTGCGGCTGCCAGTAAATGGAGACTGGGGAAATGGAGCGTCACGCCCCCATCTTTGGGAGCATGGGGACGAGTAAAAGCCGGGGTACCGAGGTTCTGCTGGGCGGGAGAAAGGAACAAACGCAATCGAATAAGATAGCGCTCATTTGTTTTACTGTAGAATATTACCATGGGTCGGCCACGAACTTGATCACAGGGCAAACCGAGGCGCCAAAGAGAGAGCCGGGAAGGGGGCAGATGACAGCTGTAGCCGCTGCTTATGTCGGGCGCGCTTCGGAGTGCGAGGGATCCCCGTACATAGTGCCGGGTAAAGGAGCTGGCTGGTGGTGTGACGGGTACCCAGGGTAAATGGCATTAGCCAAGGATCCGTTCAGGTAGCCACGCCCCGTACATAATGATACGAGCCACATCTTGTCAAGATGAACAGCTCATAAAGTGGCAATTGGCAAAGGTCACGCGCAGTCACGTTACATGATTGTACTCAGTAATTTGTGGGGACAATCAGGAACCGCGCCACTTCAGGGGCTCGTGACTTTTCCGCCTCTGGCGGTTGATGGGGCCCAATATGAAAATCTCCAGCATTGGGGCGATGCCAGGTGACACATGGATGGACGCCTCCTCCACTCGCTTATCTCGTTCGGTGCTAGTAGCCTAGTTCCGCTGGACCGCTGGTCTGAATAGTTGCTGTGCCTGTCATGGGTCGCTGATACGCGCAACGGTTCGAGATGACAGCTATCCGTCAGACCCAATAATAAGAGCTAGTAGCACGAAGAAACCACTGTCATACGGCATATTCTTTCAACTGCTATTGTACCATATACACTCAAGGGTTTCTATTACGGAAGGCAACTGGAAGGCAATGAGAAAGTGATAGCAGATTGGGCCATGGTTGAACAGACTTTTGGATACATCTGGCGCAACAATACTCCGTGTCGATCAACGAGATTAATCAATGTTTCTATCATCTCACATGCTTACCTATAATTTGGCTATACGAAACAAAGAGCGCACTCAAGGATTCGACAGCAGATAACCAACATGAAAAAAGCTGCTGACCTAGACTCACCAAACTACGCTTAAATGTGTGACTGTTCCTGGACCGGCGCGCTTCGCTCCAACAAATCAACAGCCCAGAGCCATCGCCCATCACCTCTCTCTGCGACAGTCACTCGGACGACCAAACATGTGGCATAACCGTGTACGAGGGTGACTCTCATTTCCCGTTTACTTCTATTGCATCGCAAAATTGAGCGACAAATACATTGCAAGCTCCCTGGGGAGAGAGCGTCTCTTTGTATCACATAGCAAATGACATTCCCGGATTTTCCCACTTTATCTATCGCCCGCTTCCCCGAATGAACGTCCGTCCTTAGATCAAGTGTTTATGTCTATCATTGTCGAATGCAGTCTCCCCTTAACCTCCGACCAAGGAAATTCGGATGTCTGAGGTCAGTCAAGGGCAACAACGCGACAAAGTTTACGATCTGGTTTGAGATTTGGGGTGCGACGCGTATGAGCAAGGGATCGGACGACGGAAGGTCGAAGCCGGGACATAGTTCTCTCGATTTGAGTCAGGTGCTCAGTCGATCGGGGATAAACTCAATCTAGGACATTTCGTAGCCAACAACATGCGATCGAGATATTCCCGACATGGACGGAAGAGAGGGTAGGTACCGGATACGTGTCCAACTCCCTTAAACTCTGCCCCGTTCCATACTCGGG